CCTTCTGGCGTCAGAAATCGAATGATTTTATTATCAGCCTAGCTAATCCCTGGGCGTTGCTCACCTCAGCAAAAAACAAAAAAAAAAGGGCCTCGCGTTTAAACGGATCAAAAACTTTCCAGCATTGGCTGCCGACGCCGCCGCGAAGATTGGACTGGGCCTCATCGGTTTTTAGTTCGCCAACCCTTCCACACACCCCCCCCCCCCCTCCCCTTCCCTCCCGCTGCAGCTGCACATCATCCGACCGGGATCGCTGGCGAGAGGGTGGTTGACGCGCAACAGCGTGTGAAGAAGGACGGGTGTCCAAGCTGGCATGTCCACCGTAGTTACTCTTTTACCGTACAGGCAGACGTCACGTATTTGGGCTTTCCGCCAAGCTCGCCGTAAGCTCGCGTACGGCGCGTACGGTACCGTAATTTACAGCGTGGAAAGGGCCGTACAGGAATATTACAGGCATTAGGATTTCTTGTCTCAGAATTTTGCTCGCAAGCAATCCACGTTCCCTTCCCCGTTTGCTTTGATATCACTTCATTTCGCCAAAGAATGACGATTGTCGGTGTGGGCTTGGACCCCAAAAAACAAAAAACAAAAAAAAAAAAAAAAAAGAAGAGCACGACTGATCTGACGCCATAAGATGGGTTGGCCTGCTGGGGTAGTACTAGTGCTGTACTCGAGTGAAAGAGCGGGGTGGCTTCTAAGGATGAAAAGGTGGCATTACTATTGAGCATGAACCCTGACTGCATTGGGATTCGGCCTCACGATAGGCGTGCGGCTAACTGGTCCGATTAACAGCCGGCGTACGAGGCAAACAGAGCATGGGCGGATTATCCGCAAGGCACGTTGAGCCCCCAAAATATGGGAGGGGCCTCTGAACCTTGTCCTGGCCATGTCATACGGAGTACATTTCTGGGAGAGAGACGATGATACATACCTACTTGGGGATGATACCACTCCCAGGTCACATCATTGCTACTGGATATACATATACGTGCTTTGGCGGGATCACTAAACACGCGGGGCCACGCAGACATGGCGAACGGCGACCTATACCAGGCATATTGCCCGATCCAGCAGCTCCCAGGACAGCAACCGTGGTTCTGGCCTTCCCTGGCGGTTCTGGAAGATTGGGATGTACCGAGCTAAGCTGTATCACCCGAAACGCGGATAATAATACTGAAAGACCAGCCAGGTCCCAATCGCCTGGGGATCCCACCCCCCTTCCGCCTCCATCTCCATATCGACGGACGGGAGAGCCACGCCGCCCAACTTTTGCAGCACTAAGCTTACGTATCTGACACTACTGCTGGATTCTGTGCACCAATAGCCCGGGCTCGATTCAGGCCGGCGTTAATCCTTCTTTCTTTCTTTCTTTCTTTCTTTTTTTTTTGCTTCTTTTATCCCTCCAGGTTCTTTTTGGGGATGGTGGTGGGGAGGGTTGGATCAGGCAAAATCGGACTTACTAACTATACGGGAGGACATGAAATGCGACAGAAACGGACAAGGCACCTCAGGTTACGCAGTGAGGCTCCACCGACGTCGCGATGTGGGCCATCATGCGGCGGCAGCGCCCATCACCGGCCAGCAGTGATCAGTGAGCAACGACAACAACGAAGACGACGGCTCTTGCAGCGCGAAGTCTGAGCCGTGATGACGAGGTGCGGAGAGAGGTCTTTGTCCGTGGAAGGTTACGGAGAGAAGGAATTAAGCTTTTTTCTCCCATCTCCACTGTGCACCTGGAAGAAAGAGAAGCTGAAACTGATGTGCAAAAAAAAAAGGGCGTTTTTTTAATCATTATTACGGAGTATAATTTTTTTTTTTTTTTTTTTTTCGCTCTGTGGTTTGACTTTGCACCGCGCACGTTCATGGCCCTTGCCTGATAGTTATTGGGCCGCGGAACCCAAGAAACGCAGTTTTTTTTCTCCCATTCTTTGAGCCGCGGGCGCGCGGTCGACAAGCGGCCGTGGGCGGAGTCGCGGTGCCAATAATAATAATAATAATAATTGCGGGCCGTGAAGTAGCAGCAGCAGCAGCAGCAGCAGCGCGCCGTGTTGTTGGTGGGTGATTGGCGGACCCGTCGCACGGCAGCTGATCAGCCAGTGCAGTGCAGATTAACCGCTTTTCTGGTACGGATACCGTTTCTGCCCGTACGGGGGGGGAGAGAGGGGGCGCTGCGTTGTCACCCACGGCGCACGCGCCCCACACGCCCGCCCGCCCTCCCGCCCGCCGCCGCCGCGTCGTCGACTCTCGCTCTCTTCGCGGGCGAACCGGCTGCCAGGCTCTTCTTCGCCCAAATAACCGCGGTGACTCTCCCCCGGTGCGCGGGTCTGGGTGGGCTGCGGCGGCGCCAGCGGGCACCGCGAACGAAATGCGCCCCAAAAAGGCTAAATCGAGGGCGCCCGTTGGCTTGCCTAACTGAGTATGTCGACTACTGCTGCTAGCAACTACCACTACTACTACTACTGGCGGTACGGTCGAGCGTGCGCGCGGCGTCCAGGTCGCCGGTGGATGCGCTGAAAGCTTGTAGGGGGTGGGTGCGTGGGAGGAAGGAGGAGGAGAAGCAGCAGAAGGACGCCGGGTACTGTACGGTCCGGGCGACGTCAGAGCACGGTACGAGGGCAGTCCAGTACGGAACGATACCAGGCAGCGCGCGAGTCAGCCAAAGTTACGAAACGCCCAGGCGGGAGCAAACAAGCCATACGGCCGCCATACACACACACAACACACGCGTGCGGTTGCACCCCCCCCCCCCCCCCAAACACCCGCGGCGCAGCGCAGGGCAGCGCAAGGCAGGGCAGGAAACCTGATCTTCGGCGTGGGCGGCGGGCGCGTGTGAAACTCGGCCGTGCCGTAACGGTACCGCGCCAGGCTGCCCGTACTGTACGGCGGCGCGGTGGACTGTGTATTTTTGGTTTCTTCGTTCTTTTGCTTTCCTTTCATTTTTTTATTTTTTTTTTCTTGCGTTTGGTTTTTGTCTTTGCTGAGCGCCAGGGGTGGCTGCCCGGCGTGTGCGAGAAGCGCGAGCTGCGGAGGGCCGTTATTAAGCTTCCTTTCTGAAGAGGTGTTGGTTTTGATATCTGCTGGGTGGCCCAGCGAGGCACAGACAGACAGACAGACAGACAGACAGGCTGGGCAGGCGGTACGGCGGGCGTACGTACGTACGTATGTACTTACGGGCTGTACTAGTAAGTTCAGGATGGCGACGGCTAGGTATATATTTCCCGCACCGGGCGGCGGTACCACGCAGGGCTCGACAGACTCGGGACGTCCGCGCTGGCGGCCCATTATTATTATTATTTAGTTATTATTTCGGAGAGCGTTGTACCCACCCGCGCGGCCATGTGCTGGTGACCCTGTTTTGCGTGTCTGCGTGTGTTTTGTTGCTGTGCCTGACTGCCCTGCCTTGAGCCGGGGGGTTGTGCCGTCGCATAGTTATATCTCCTTCCCCCCCCCCCCCCCCGTCGCCTGCCGCAGCCCCCGCCAGACCTCGCCCAGCCCAGCGCACGCTCTCGCCCGCCGTGCACCGCAGCTCCCGCTCCAGCAAGCTGCACCGCCGCCAGCAGGCTCCCCCCCCCCCCAGTCCCTCCTAGGCTGCGGGAGCGTCGCCCAAGCGCCCCCACCGCCCACGCCCACGCCCACGCCCTCGCCCACCACGGCCGACCAGCGCAAGTGGCTGTCGCTAGCGTTGGCCTCGCCTCAGCACGCTTGCCTGCCTACCTGCCTACCTGCTTGCCTGCTCGCTCGCTCACTCGCTCCACCGCCCGCCCTCCCCAGCCTCCCCTTTTGACTTTTTGCCCGCAGTCGTTCTCACAACCTTACTTCTTTACCTTACCCGCCCGCTGCTCGTCCAAGGTAATGTGATCACCGCCAACCACCACCGCCTCCTCTTCCTCCTCTCCTCCTCCTCCTCCTCCACGGCCACCTCCAACCTCCAACCACCACCACCACCGCCGCCGCCGCCCTGCCGCTTCACCTCCCGCCCGTGCCCTCGTCCCTCTCTTCCTCCTCCTCCTCCTCTCTTCCTCCTCTTCTTCTGCCCCCCTCCCCCCTGCCCAATTGCTCCGCTGATGACTGAATGACCCTTGCCTGCCCCATCTGCTGCTGTTCCCACTAGCTCCTCTTGTTACTGCTACTGCTGCTGCTGCTGCGTTGCTTTCCTGTACTTACTACTACTACTACTCTCTCTGCCTTGCATGACATCCTCCTGCTCGTCCTTCCTCGCCGCACCACTGACTGGCTTCCTGTCTCTGCGCCGTTCTGCTGCTGTTTAGACTCAACCCGCACTCCCCCAAAAGTAAACCAGAGAGTCGGAAAGACCCCCAGAGGCGTCTGCCACCCGCTCTCCTACGACCCGTTACGACCGCTACGTACGACTGTTCTTTTATGCTGCGTTCCTTGCACCAAGCGTCGAGCCTTTGCGATCCCGTTTGCCCACTGCTCTCTGCCCTTGCTTGCCTGCTTGTTTCTCGCCCGCCTCGCCTCGTCTCACGCGCTCTGCACCCTGCGCGCGTCTTGCCTCTGGCTGCGTACCTGGCGATACCACCCGCCGCCACCCTCTCCACGTGCAGCCTGCTCGCCGGTGGTCGTGTGTCCGCCTGCTCTCCGTGACGACGCTACTTAGATCTTCCCCCCTAACCTAGAATGCCCTGTGATGATACCGAAAGAGCTTGAATAACGCGACGAAACCTCCAGCGTTGACCGGCGTTACTGCGGAATCCGTCTGATTTTGTTCGAAAAAAAAAAAAAGATCTCCCGACACCTTCCTACGTACGACTTGCTTGTTTTTTTATTTTTCTATTTTTTATTTTTTTGCCTCCCCCAGCTCGCACAGTTATCCTTCGGCTAGCGTTCGCTCCTCGCCCCGGAAGCTTCCCTCCTAGCGCCCTTTTCAAGAAGTTTTGTTTTAGACCGGAAAGCTGGAGCTACCATCGATATCCCAAGTTCACACCCGGGGCCTCCTTGACGTTCCCTTTTACAATCATCACGCCGCCCAGCGTCCCTCTATGAGCGGCGACAGGTTGCGCTCATTCTGCCTCCCAGAGCCGAGTTCGTCAACTCAATCTTCCCTCCCGGGTGCAAAACAGGACTTCTCCGCTATTTTTGCCGCGCCGTCACAGACCACCAGTGCTGAAACCGATCCCGCAGCCTATTCGACCTACAATTCGGATATCAAGGTTGCCCAATCGTCATCGGCCGAGGGACCTGGTGTGTTGCATAGCCAGCCTTCGTCGGAGTCCGCTCGCCATATCGACTACATCGGCTCGGGAGACGGCTATCTGCATAACCCAACCAGCCTGGGAACGATGAACCAAACCCAGTCTTACATGGACGTGCACTCGTCGCATCTGGCCTCAGCGCCCCCATATACCACCCAAGCGGGACCGGTGGAAACACTGCCCCATTATCCTTACCAGCAGCCTCCTCTTTTGCAGCCCGGGCCAACTGCTTACGCTCCAACGACAAGCGCATATCAGTATGGGTATTCCAATTCCACCACCTCCGGCCAACCCGTGAGCAACTCTCTCGCACCGCACATGCCTGCGCAAATCCTGCCGTTGCCTGGTAAGCTTTCCCCTTCCTACTATATACCTCTTAACTACGAACTAACTTTGCTCCTTTAGCAATGACCACTGCTCCGCCTGGCTATCCTGGATCCAACAACCATGGTTCTCCATACAACCCCCCACATACCTTTGATACCACCGGCCAGGTCGCTCCTCCGGGCATGAAGCCAAGGGTTACGGCAACCTTGTGGGAGGACGAAGGTAGTTTGTGCTTTCAGGTTGAAGCAAAGGGTGTTTGCGTTGCTCGCCGCGAAGGTAAATTTGGGCAATGCGCTTTTTTTTTTTGACTGATTGGAAGAACTTGTATTAATACGTGGCCTACAGATAACCATATGATCAACGGCACCAAGCTTTTGAATGTTGCTGGTATGACGAGAGGAAGAAGAGACGGTATTCTTAAGAGTGAGAAAGTTAGACACGTTGTGAAAATCGGCCCAATGCATCTTAAAGGCGTATGGTATGTTCCCTGTCGTCCTCCACAAGGTTACACATACTGACTCTTCAGGATCCCGTTTGAGCGTGCTCTTGAGTTTGCCAACAAAGAGAAGATTACCGACCAGCTGTATCCCCTGTTTGTGCACAATATCGGGGGACTCTTATACCATCCGTCAAACCAAACACGGCCAAATTCGATCGTTGCGGCTACAGAGCGGAGAAGACTTGAAGCCAGCCAACAACAGGGTCGTCCTATTCCTGGACCCCCACCTTCTTTACATCACCACCACTCGATGCATAATCCCGTCACATCGCAAGTCTCGCAGTCTTCCACTCCAGCACACAACTCTGTTGGCAGACCCAATTTCGAGCGTGCTCACACGTTTCCTACCCCGCCTGCCAGCGCTTCAAGCTTAGTCGGCGTGACCACCCAAAGCAATTCCTATGATTGGACAGGAAACGTGCAAAACTCTCATCCTCTCTCTATTGACACTGGGTTGGGGAATTCGAGGTCGATGCCTACAACTCCCGCAACGACTCCTCCAGGATCTAATCTCCAACCCATGCAACCCTACCAAAACCAGCAGAGTTATGACTCCAAACCCTATTATTCTTCTGCGCCCTCGAGTCACCCACATTATGCATCACATCAGCCCACTCAGCCCACTCCCCCCCAGAATATGACTAGGTACGTGAAACCGACCCCGGGTACGACCACAACGGAGATTGTGGAGAAGGACCTGTACTCCAGATATACTAACGTATTTTGTCACAGCCAGGGGACTGCTGAAGTTTCTCATGGTGCCACAGTTGGCGACGGAAACCAGGAGCACGAACCAGAATTTATAAACGATACTAACGGCGCGTATAATGGTAATCGTGGTTCATACAGCTATAATACCAATCCTTCCAACGGGAACATGCAAGGGGAGCAGAACCATGCACCCGACGTACCAAACTCGACTACCGCTGACAGGATACTTTCTCGACCAAGTCAAGGCCAGTGGAGCTCAGGCTACTCGACACCCCGTCTTGGCCCGCCAAGTAGCCTTTACAACGTCGTGAGCGATACGAGAAGCACGTCCAATGGAAACAGCACAGATGCGTATTCCGCTCCGCCGAACAGCGCGCCGGTATATTCCTCTTCCGCTTCCTCTTTAAACGGCTCCACCAAGCGCTCCAGGGACGATGACGAGCAGGACGAACCTCCACGGCCCGAGAGCCAAAAATGCGACGTGAGCTTTGAGCACAAACGCCGAAAAACCCTAACGGAAAATCCTGTTGGGGGGCCCGTTGGCAGCTCTGCCCTACCTCATCAAACTCTCAAGAATGGAATTTCGTCTCGCCGTCGTTAAAACGCGACGAGCTAGCTACATTTCTCTACCCCGCTCTCTCTCGTCCCAGGCCTTAGCAGTTGGCATACACTTGAACATTGTATGTTTTGAGAGTGTTGCCAACCCTTTTGACCTACCATAAACTCGAAAGTAGCCCTTAAATGTCTTTCAAGGCATTTTTGCTCCGAGACCTAGTGTCCTTCATCTCATCTACAATGGAAACATTAATTGCAGGCTGGGCTGGTGTATCTCATCACTTTTATTTCTCTTATTCTCTTCATATTTTCCTTTTTCTTCTATTTTCCGCAGCTACCTTGTTTTCTTCATCTCTTGCCACATTTCCATCAACACGCCATCCTTTCGCTGTTTGAATTGCCGCCGTTTTTTTTACTCTTCGTGATCTATACAAAAAATCGTTGACGATGACACGAATCTCCTTGACGCAGCCTTTTTTTTTTTTTTTGAACAAACAAGCCACCACACCTAAATGTCTACACTTCGTTTTTGTCGAGCATGCCTTTACTCCTTAGATCGAGGCTGGTCGTTTTGCTTTTTTTTCTCCCCAAAGATATGCAAACTTGCACTTAATTCTCTCCACTTTGATAATTCGGACGAGGACACGCTCGATGAAATCGGCTGACCGTCTTTGTACCAGTCAGCAAAAAAAAAACATTGTTTCTTGAAAAAAAAAAAAGCGCTTCAAACTTGGATGCATGGTAACGATTATGAATTGTAGCGAAGACCAAATATTTTTAACAACGCCTCTCCCCCTCATGCTGCCTTCTGCCTCTATTCTCCCTCGCTCTCTTTGTTTTATTTCTAAGACCTTTGCCGTTTCTAATCAGTCTCTTCCACCTACCCTTTTTTTTTTCCCCTATAATTTTTTTCCTTTTGCCCGATACGGGTTGGTGCAGACTTGGAAACGGGGATTGACATATATGTTTTCTTTCTCTTTCCTTCTCTCTATGTGTTTCTTTCATACTCCTTGCTTCGCCATGTCATATAGATCTACGGGTGAATGAATGAATGATAATGGCCTTCAAAAAACCGCAATTCTCGGCGTCTGCTCTTGGACCTTGGTAATTTCCCTCTGAACCCCCCCTCCTCCCCTCGTCTTTTCGCTTTCTTGTTCGTGTTCGTTGAAGGATGATGGGGGTATCTTCAAAATTTACAAAACCCGTGCCGAGAAGGGTAACGTTTTGTTTGAGAGGGGGGAAGGGGAGAGGGAGATCAGTTAACTAGTTATATTTGGATAGGACACCGATGATGCTTCCCTCCTTCCAAGAGTACATCCTGCTCAATGTATATCATAGAGGTGGAGGGCCCCTCAGATCCCTTGTTCATACGCGAATCACACTATAATTAAATAAATAACAATAATACCATAACAAGAAAGGCGAGCGAGAATAATACAGGGCAGATGGGATTTCTCAGGCGGTGGAGGATGATGGATGTGGTCTCTAACGAAACCCTGCAACCGAACCTTGGCCGGTTTCATTGGGCCCTCCCCCCCGCCTCCGAGAAAAAGAACAGGGAATAGCATGGTCGGCTATTTTGAGTGGGTGGGGTTTGTTTTCCTTATTTCTTTCTTTCTCTGTTTGTATAACTACCGGTGTAAATTTCGGTTTTTATATTATTATTATTGAGATTGGTAGTTCTCTGTATGGTTAAGAACGGCTAGGATTGAATCAAGAGCAGATCATTCCGGAGTCTCCAAGTAACTCTAAACCAACTAGTAACTAGCTAGGAGGTCATGGCCTATTTCGTCTTTTTCAAATCGTCAATAATAATAGTCCTTTCAAAAGCGCCGACAATCGGCCCCATAGGGTGAGGGGGGGTGGGAAATGTCTGGATCCTTTGGCGTGTCGATAGACCGCCGCTCCAAAGGGGAAGTATATTCCCTGCTATAATCCTATGCAAATGTGGCTTGACACAGTCACAATCACCTCGGTGGGAAATTCCGCCAGGGAAGATTATCAGCCCGTGAGTAGATTTGCAGTTTTGGCGTTTGTACTCCGTACATGATAAACATCTGTTAGTAGAAACCTCTGTGTACGAACAAAAAATAAAAAAAATATAAATTGACAAGGCAGACTAAATATTTATTATCATTGACAACTAAGCCTACTTACCAACCTTCTCATAACCTCGAGTTTGGCGTTCGAATTAATGAGGAGTTTTGATTTGAATCCGAGCTTCGCCGCCCGCTGTTTGCCCTTTCCCAATCACAAGTAACATGGAGATCTCTAAAGGTAGTGCAAATTGATAATATGATAGTAGCTTGGAACGGCGGGTCTTGTGGAAGTTGCGTTGCTGCTGGTCGCTTTTCTGGACTGTAGTCGAAGCACTTGTGTGCGATGGACAGTACAAGTTCAACTTTCCTATAATAGATAAGTCTTGCAGCGAGACCACTGTCAGTCATAATTGGAGATCCGGTGTAACAACTGTCAAGATCGTATTTAGATGAAAAATAGTGGCCCTTGTACTCCTCTGGCAATGGCCCTAGTTCCTCAACAAGGGAGCTCACAATCCCGCCTTGAACAAAAGCACGACAAAGAGTGTATCCAGCCCAAAGTTCCAGGAAGAGACAAATGTGGTTCCACATATCAAAAACCGTGCTCGGCCCTTGGTTAAAACCATGATCTGGGGAGTAATATTGGGAGGATGGTCGACACCATGATCTGGGGAGTAATATTGGGAGGATGGTCGACAAAGTTCAACTCTTCAAGCACTGAGCTTCATTGGTCTTGATCTGTGAAAGTCACTCAAATAGAAAGCATCCAGGCATAAATTTGCTGGGGTTTCAACAGCTTCGACCATTTTCTCTAACTTCCAAGGTATCTTCAAGGGCCCTCTTCTGCGGACGACCAAGTAATTTGTATTTCGCATCTTTCTCAAGATGGCCTAAAGGAGTCATACCCTACATTCCAACTATTTCTGTATAAGACATATCAGCAAGTTTTGAACGTAGGCTCGTGGATTCATTCCTTACTTCCAGACAATGTTCCGCCTGGATGGAGGCTCTCTGAAGCTTCAAGAAACAGTTTAGCTGTAGACATAAGAGTACATATTGATTGTTTTGTAAATAGAATACATCTAAGCATAGTGAACATACAAACCTGATAGCTCGTTCCATCTCCATCCCCACAAAGAATAAATTGACCCAGACAGGTAACAAGATGTGCGATTTCTTCCACAGATTTGGCAATCAACTTCTGAATATCAAGCTCACTGTCTCCATGTCCTTCAGCCAAATTATGAGAGCAACATCTTTCCTTTCAAAAATACCATGGGCCATAAAAACCATTGAAAATTTACCATACCCAGGTTTAACACGGTATTGGGATTTTAGCACTTCACCCAGGCAAATCGTACATGTTCAGGCACAGATTTGTCTGCGTATATCCAAGGTTGCTCGGTGAAGTCGTCAAGGCCATGGTACTCATAAGTATCAGGGTAAAGGAAGACACCGCAGTCCCGCCCGTGCTGTAAAATCGGAAGGGTAGGCGGAGAAACAGTGATAAGTAGGGTGATAGTGGTCAAGATCCATGGAAGTCCTTGGGACGGTCGCGTGCGTATCGGTGACCGAGCAGTCAACCGGCTCCTGTTATCATGTAGATAGAGCTCGACTCCATCTAAGAGCATTTGACTACAGTAACCACATAACCATGTAGCTCACCGACAGTAAAAAATTTCATGCATATATCATGCTGCATGGCAAGTTAACAGGGCAGTCAAGTCTTGTGCATAAATATAGAAGAGACGGCTGCCTGGAAGTGGTTGCCTAGGCAACCAAGGAGCATCATCAAACATTAAAGAAAACGGGGAGCAGAGAATGGGAGTAAAGCATGCACACTCTTTAAGGCCAAAGGTGATTCTTTGTGTCCTTAACACCTAAGGTGTGGGATGAGAAATTAATTACGGGGAGATGCGTTGTAAAACGCGTTGTCGTGTCTAAGCTAAGAAGGGTGGCAACTCAACCATAAATATCAGAATCTTGGCATCACTAACTGCCTGCCTATGGGATGGGATCCCGACTCCAGGCAATTGTTCTCTATATATGTGAGGGTACTCTACAGGATTAAGGGTATATCTGAGGAGCCAAGGCGTCAAGCAGCCTTCAGAATTGTCCCCTTTGGCTTCGACGACGACACCTGGATTTTCAGCATTCTACGAGGCAGAATGCCCCACAATAATAGCTCGAAAATTCCCCCGTCTCTTCGGAATATCCTTTCAGCACCCTCCCCTGCAAATCTGAGCCGCTTTGACCCATGGAATTCGTCATCTACCGGCCATCAACGAGCTGAGAATCGGTCTGCAGGTACTGCCTGGCGTGAGATAAGAGCCCAAAAGCTTGCAGCGCAACACGAATCAGGAACAGACTGTAACCATACTGGGCAAAATGGTGAATGGAAATGGGTAACTCCTACGCATATCGAGCACGAGGAGAGGAGAGTGCAAGGAAAACAGGATATAAGATCCTTTTTTGGTGTTCGGAAAGGAAACTCGGCCAGGAAGCCGGCCAGCGAAACAAAACCCGCGCAACAGTTGGCTGTGATGAGTACTGTCGGGAAGACGAAAGAATATCGTACAGGACATGCATATGGTATAGAGTACGGAAATGACCGGGCGCTCCCTGAAATACAAGAGCCACGGGCGTGTTGGGATGCTACGCCTACCGAGATTTCCTTGCCGTCATCCACGCATCCTCCGGTCACAAATAAGGGTATCTTTAGGAACCTTACTATCTATGTCAATGGATCCACATTTCCCGCGGTGTCAGACCATAAGCTCAAGCAGATTCTTGTGGATAATGGTGCGAAAATTTCTATCTATCTTGAAAGACGGAAGGTTACCCATGTCATCCTCGGCCGTCCAAATATCAATGCGAAATCTGGGAGGGACGGATGCGGAGGGGGGCTTGCTGGGAGCAAACTTGAACGGGAAGTTAAACGAGTAGGGGGCCAGGGCATCAAGTTTGTTGGGGTTGAGTGGTTCGTGGCTCTTAAGCTCTTTTGATTTCTCTTGGGTTTATATATTGATACTTATTCTCTACAGGGTTCTGGAAAGCGTCAAAGCAGGGCTCCGCCTACCGGAGGCGCGATTTTCAAACTTGCATATGGCATCAGCGAGACAAAGAAGTGTTCTGGATGACTTTGGCGGTTGAGGTAATGTTACGAAATAGGAGCTGCCGCGACATACTTTGACCATCTCTGCTTGTGAATCGGGCCAGGATGCTTCATCACTATGTCGAGGCTTATGTACTTCGACACCACATCTGGTCGTATTAAAGCAAGTAATAAGTAAGCCAACAAGTTTCATACTGCGTTGAGCCTATGATTTCTTGTTGGTATTACGTAGTAAAGCAGCTCGGAAAAACATATTTCAATGGTATGTTGTTTAACTATCCAACTGTGTATTGTTAACTAACCAACTCCGTAGTTACGTCGAAAATTCGAGTTCCTGTGTGGTGCTGATGTTGCGGTCGAAGGCAAAACTGCCACTACCGCCAGTCACTACGGAAGTACCCGCCGCACCGTATGGAAACACGCAAAGAACAGGCACTTATGACTGTTGCTGATAACTGTGTTTTTAGGGTTAAGGCTATGCACATGGTTGCATACATAACTTGCACAAGGAACTTCCAAGTTCAGTGAAGGCCCATTGGACTTGGAATGGTGGAGTCATCTAACGACTTCATTGCAGGTTGCCTGGCACCGGCGAGCACGCCGTTTTTATGAACAGCAATTGTTTCTTCTTTTATCTCCATACCCTTCTTTCTACCTCTTCCTATAGTGCACCTATATCAATAGTTTCGCAAACATGGTTGAGCTTTTTGACTTCCTCCCCTCTTCTTTCTTATTCCTAAAATTCCTTAAATGGCAAGAATTCTTTGACGCGGATTGCAACGCGCAAGGCATGCCGGTTTTTGTTTGGAAGAGACTCGTAGGAGTGCGAAGATGCATATGCTAAACCGGACGAATGTGTTAGAGCTAGTTGATCGTGCTATGAAACTTCTGTATGCAGAGCATCATGGACTGAAGCCCTCACATCTCATTTCTAGCCTCCACTACTCAGATTGCTATACAACAGCAGTGGTATTATCAATCCGGAAAATAGTATCTCGGTGGTCAGACGAAGAAACAGTGGCACAAGAATTTTATGGAGTATGGAGTATGGAACTTTTACTCAACTCACCATCCGCCGTCCACTCCCGAGCTTTAGTGTGCTTTCTGAGAAACTCCACCCCCTACATGTGCACTTGAGGTGTCCATGAATGTTCGCACGGTGCTAGTTTCATTAGGCATCTCAATTAGCTTGTGTTGTTCATTCCATTTTAGATGTCATCTAGTTCGGTTGAATTCATTTCTTTCCTGAGGTCAGCATTTCTTTTTACACAATGCTCGCCATACGGAGCACTGGACTCAAAACTGGGTTAAACTTTACTAGCGTTATGTTACATAAGACAAGTTCTGCTCAGTCGGTAACTATACTCCGTACTCCGTACACCTAACTGCTCCGTAATGGAGGACGGCGTAAGGCCAGATCTGCGCCCTTCATATCCCTAGCTTTTTCTTCGATCTAAACACTTAGCAACTACTCCCTACACCGTACAGAGTACTCCGTAGTTAACCATGGTTTAAGTGCACGGGCCAGAAAAGTGGCTATGGGGAAGTCAGATTCAAGCACATGAAAAATTGGACCTGGGACTCCGCACTACCGCGCGTGGCCCTGTTCCCACTACTGGTTAGACTTCGCAGCCCCTTGAGCTTTACATATGCTGGCCCGAGGTACAGACCTGATGGGGACCAGATATTTGTCTGATGCACATGTGTGTCCAAATCTTCTATGGGCGACGAGACGCTGTTCCGTTGACTTCTGCTTCTACTGATTTCATTAAATCCATGAAGCTTGCCCTTCTTTCTTGATACCGCATCGCGACAATGGCTTCTCCAAAACGCTGGCAGCCCCGCGAAGGTATGTTTTGCAACCACCCAAAAGCCGCCTCTTTGCTAAGTTGATGATGATTAGGATTCTCAGCCGACGTTATCGCTCGCCTGGTCAACGGTACGCTGCTGTCAACCTCCTTAACCCTACCTTTGTTCCTCCTCACGAAATTCACAAGCTGGGGGCAAGAATACGGCGAAAGGCGGCCAGGGGTTGTTCGAGTGTTGAGGCTTTTGCTCTCGATTGGGCTGTACCGCACTATCAATGCCTGGTTGAGCCGCCGTTCGCTGAACAACGGAGTTTCAGACACATATAACTGGCGAGCGGAGATTGCCGTCGTTACAGGTGGAAGCGATGGAATTGGAAAAAGAATCGCACTTCTGCTTGCCGCACGAGGACTGAAAGTGGCGGTGTTAGATGTTCAGCCGTTGAAATATGAACATCCAGCCAATATCGAATTCTTTTTGTGTGACATTTGCTCTAGCGAGCAGATCGCGGGTGTAGCTCAGCAGATTCGAGCAAAAATGGGCGAGCCGACTATTTTAGTCAACAATGCTGGTATCCTGAAAGGAAAGACAATCCTCGGAGGGACAGAAGCGGAGACCCGTCAGACTTTTGAAGTGAATACAATGTCGCACTACTGGCTCACCCGTCAATTTTTACCACATATGGTATCCCGAAACCACGGAATGGTCGTTACTGTTGCGTCACTCGCCTCCCATGTCACCAGCGCCAATCTAGTGGACTACTCTGCCAGCAAAGCGGCAGCGCTTGCATTCCATGAAGGTCTTGCTGGCGAACTGCGGAGTTGCTACAGTGCACCTAAAGTGAGAACGGTGCTAGTGACGCCGGGCTTCGTCAACACTCAGCTTGTGGATGTGATTAGGCCTGGAGGAAGCTTGCTGACTCCGCTGTTGCACCCAGACACTGTTGCCGAAGCTGTTACAGACCAAATTCTAACCGGTCGCAGCGGCAACGTTATCTTGCCGATTTTTTCTGGAAACATTGTCAGCAATGTCCGGTCTTTTCCTCATTGGCTCCAGAAGCGGTTTAGGAACGAGGGTGCGCGCTTGATGTCGCCGCGTAGCAGGGGTTAATGCGTTCTTAGCATCGTAAATGCGCGAAACTTGTCCATTTTGTTTGGCGCTCTGTTTTGACCTTCTTTGAAATGTTTTGGAAACTCGCTTCATTTAGAACACAATATACAGTGTGATCCTTGGAATAAACTTTCAAACTCAAGCCCAGTGCGTGTACAGTAACTATGCCATTAGAGTGCATATACGGGGTATTTGCGCAATACCTACTTAATTCCGAGTAACTATACGTACAGCACATTTGGATTATGATGAACCGGTCATCCTAGATCGTTTGCTCGATATTCCGTGCTCAGCGCAGCATCCTAAATGTCGTCGCCAGCAGCAACGCCTCCATCCGCCCTGCTGCCTGTCAGCTGAATCGATCGCTGCATAAAGTTGCCACAACGTCCTCTTGACATGCTTGGCTGCCCGCATCTATCGCCCCCAGTCTTTCATCAATCCTTCTGTTGTCGACGCCCGCCAAAAGCTACCACTATCGATTTCCTCGGTTGATTGCGACATTCATTTATCTCTTCACTTTATGCTTTGATTCATGGTTTCGACCCGCCCGGCTTGACCAGGGAAAACACCCGAGCGGCGGACCCACGGTTGCGGCTGCCGGCCACCAGCCACCCCAACCACAACACCAACCAAAACAACAACCCTCCCGCATCAACAAATGAACTGATTCTGCAGCGAACTGGACTCCCTTGCAGATACATTTTTTTGCACTCGTTTCCACATTCGAATCATTTTGTTCGCCATGTTACGAGGCTTGTTCATCAAGCCTTCCAATCGCTCATCCACATCCAGCTCCAGCTCCAGATCCGATCGCCATCGGCATCGCGATCGCGACGAGCGATCCTCCACTTCCTCATCACGCCGCAAAACAAAGAGCCGTCCCGAAGATGACCTTTCTCCAGCAACGCGAAAATCTACTCGGAGCGAAGAGCCCGAGCGCTCAAGAACCACAAGTTCATATCCCGAATACTCCGAGAACGCTGCAAGGTCGGCGGTGTCTAGTAGTTATGTGACGGCAATAGACGATGATTATGACGATTATACTCGATCGAAAGACAAAAACGATATTTCTGATGACGATAAAGCCGGTGAAGGTCCCGCTTCACCGAGATCTCTGCGATCGGAGGTGCGAAGACAAGAGCGACGTGCTCGTGCTGGCGAAGGTGAGCTTTCTGGCACTAGAGAACAGCGGAGATGGCGTAAGGAGGATGCAGACGAAGCTGCGCAAATATATGACCTAGAGGGTAGAGACTATCGCCCGCGAAGAAACGATGACGAGTTTGGAATCGACGAGGAGCAAGAATTGAGAAACTTGGAACGCGATCCCGATTCTCAGGAAACAGGATATGAACGGCGACGAAGTGATCGTGACAGAGTCGTTGTTAGTGACCGGGCGGATAGGAGACGTCACCGAAATGAATTTGACGCCGAAGATCCGCTGGCATATCTAGATGAGCGGAAATACAAACAACGAAGGGCAAAAGCCGAACCCGTCGATGAAGATATGTCATTTCCATATTCTTCTCGCTCCATACCCGATATACCAAGAGGCTATCCTACAGCATATTTTGCGCCTGAGACTACGCCAACGAATGACATTTCGGTGCCGCCGAATCTCTCTCGTGCTGCTGCGACTCCAGCCCAAAGAGCAGACAACATGTCTCCTTCAGCAGCCTACGGTTTGGCTGCCGATTACTATAATGATCAAGGTCAGTCTGTTTCAACACAGCCTGGCGTAAGGCCAGATTCGCAACCTGTCATTGCTGGGACTCAGCCGCATTTGATGTCGCCTTTGGAAACACCGGCTCCCCCGGTTGAGCCCAGTGCATTGGGACAACCAGGCGCGGCAGAGTCTTTCTACACTACCCCTACACCACAAAATAATCAGCCGCATAACGGTTCGCCAGCTTCTTCTACGGCAACCTATGGCATTGATCCCATTTTATTGGATGAGAACCCTGCCCAAGAACCGCCCCATACGTCGAGCCTACCAGCTTCACACTCTCAGGGTCAGACAGATATGTCTCATCAACATCACTCTAAATTTTCTTCTGCTCATGCCGGCATGGCTGCCTTAGGTGTAGGTGCCGGACTTTCAGCTGCGTCAGCCCTCGGACAGAACACTACCCAAGGCATGCACTATCCTAGTAATCAGTTGTATTACCCGGGGAAGCCGGGGTACCAGCGCAAGTATCACGGGCCCTTGGGTCGATTTATCAATTTCTGGAGAGACCCCGAGGCAGTCGCCCAATATGAAGAGTATTCCGAAATAATTGGTGTTTGCAAATACTGTTTTGAGCCTGGTACGACATCTCGAGATGCACCTAGAAAGCACCATTATCGGCAGAAGAATTTCAATAATAATTTCAACGGAAGATCTAAAGTCGATAAGTATAGTCGATATGCGTCATCCTCTGACGAAAGCCGTCGTAGGAAGCGATCAGGCATGAAACCTTGGATTGGCGCTGGCCTGGCTGCTGCTGCTGGAAAATCGATTTACGATATCACGAGATCGAATGCCAGCGGCAACTCTAGTAAGAGATACGCACGTTCGGCAAGTCCAACCTCCTCAACAAGTGGTTATAGCGCAAACCCAGGAACAAGAAGTTATGTATCTCAAGGTGTAACTACTGTGTCGAGTAACAGCCATCCAGCAACTTCTGCAGTTAGCGGGTACGGACTTCCACCAGCTCAATATGCTTATCCACACCATCCTCGATCTAGGGAACGGACACGACCGGGATCCAGCGGATCTTCTTCATTTTCTTCAGAAGAGTCTCGTGGTGTTGGTAGAAAAGGCCTTGCTCTAGGTGCGGCAGCTGTAGGAGCGGGAGCTTTGGCATCCAGAGCTCGACGTCGAAGCCGCACCAAATCTCCAAAAAAGCACCCACGGAGGAGAAGACGGTCGTCGTCTAGTTCTTCGGGCTCCCTTGTTGATATATCCCGCGTCTCTGGGAAGAGCGGAATGGCTGGCCTATCGTATTTCTTTACAGCACCATCAGAAAAGCGAATAAAGGACAGACCCGAGGGATCCAAAAAGAAGCAGAGAGGATTCTTCAGCTTTCGATCTGCATCGTCCTCTTCTTCAGATGATGATCTAGCATTTGGTCCTGGGTTCTACAAAGGGCCTTCCCGCCGATCGACAAAAAACAAAGACGACGGCAACGTGGACGCCAAACTGCTCGCACTGGGGGGCACTGCTGTCTCACTTGCTGGCGCAGCAGCTTATATGGATGGACGACGACGCCGTCGGCCAGATCTTGTAGCTGTGAAGGAGCGACGCCATGGCTACCCGAGCAATGCACCTATGATATCCACGGCCGGCCACAAATATGACGATGATGACGGGTGGGAATCGATGTCCGAGTCAAGCCTAGATTCAGCTCTAGCATATGGCGGCGATTCGTCAGATTCAGGAACTTCGAAATGGGGCTGGCGATGGGGGAAACGTAGAAAGCAGCCAAAGCCAGTGGCTAAGCTTGGGGCGCCGGCCTTGGCGCCAGCTTTAGCGCTAATCCCAGCAGCGGCAGCCATAGAAAGTTCTGCGAGCCAACCATCGATGCATAATGTGTACCCCGTTTCTACCTCTGACCCGTCTCGCTTTGAGACTGTGACAGAAACTCAAGCTTTGGAGCCATCTGATCGCCGTGAGCGAGAGCCTTTGCGTTTGACATCGTCAGAGCCACTGCTTCAAGAAGGGCCCGAAGCCACTGGACATCCCCAGCCCACTTATCCTCAAGGTCAGGCTGCGCAGCCTCTAACCCGCAGAAATGACGTCGATCACCCGATGACCACTACTGGGCCATTTAGTGAGCCTATTGATACCTACCGAAATAGACGAGAAGAATTTGACGACCGCCATGCCAGAGATTTACGAGGGGACAGGGGACATAGAAGAAGGGAATCGTCTCCTGCCTTTTCCTCAACCCAATTTGATACGTCTGATTATCGTTTACCAAAACGGCATTCGGCATCGCAAGTTCAATTTAATTTGACTCAAGAGCAGGAGGAAAAAGAACTGCGTCAGGAGCTGGATGATGAAAGAAGAGCCCGCCGTAGAGAACGTGCTTCTCGTCCGCCAGTAGATGACTCGTATCGGGACTGGCCTGAATATGAGGATGATCGTTCTAGCAAGAACGGAGAACGCGAAACATCGTCCCGTTACTATCGAGCCATACCAGTAGGCGCTGCTCTTGTCGGTGCAGCAGCAACTTCTGCCATTTTAAGCGACCTAGGAGACAAGCAAAGTCGCAAGCTGATAGACGAGAGCCAGGAGCGAAATAGCTCTAAACGCCATGATTATTCCGAATCTGACGACGATGGCAGGAAAAGTTCTAGGGTGCCTCGACGTGACTTTGATTCGGATGATGGCGACACAGACCACGCTCGACGAATCGCGGTGGAAGCTACCAAGCGCATCATTGCATCGCCTGCATATGACAGCTATGTGGAGTACTTCACTCCTGAGGAATTTAGATCATCTAAAAATCATTCTCGATCAGATACGAGTTCTGATCCTTCTTTGAAGGATCCACCCAAGGTTCGCTTTGATAAAGAGGCTGCCAAAATTTCTGATGGTGTGGATCCTAGTCGTCTTCCGTGGCCCGTTCCACATCTGAATTTGATAGAACCCACTCCTCCCCATAGTACTGATGGGTCTGTTATTTCGGACGGGTACCATGAAAACGAATCTCCCATCGAGCCCGTGAGAGATCAGTCGTCAACCGCGAGTGACAAGACCGAGGATGCTAGAGACCACAAAACCACCGAAGGGCCACAAGGCATAACCCGTGATCCTATTGTTGGTCTTGCGGAAGTGCGGGGACCGGAGAATACAGACATTCCAAAGGAATTTCAGCAAGAATCAGCTATGACACGCAGCACTGAAACACCAAAAGCGGAAATGGTGAAGGATGATGATAGTCCTATCGAAGAAGTTGTGTCCCAACGCATACCCGGAGGATTTGATGATGATATTGAATTTGCAGCTACTCTGGCTGCCGGCGCTGTACTTGCTGGTTTTGATCCTTCCATTGTCACAAATGAACCCATGTATCATTCACGCACCTCCCCTCCTAGCTCTGAACCCGAAAATGTTTCTGTGGAAACGGCAATTTTCGGGGAATTGCCCGATTTATCGACCACCGGAAGTCCTTCACATATTCACGGATTTGTGGAGCCCGAGTCACTACCTTCTTCCGACACAGAAGATTTCTATGGCAAGAAAAAGTCGGCACGGAATGTTGACGATCGCTCCTCTAAGATTGTACCGACGAAAGAAAAAGACGACATGAGTGAAGAACTAACTCATCAGGTGCCGGAATATTTACCAGCGCATAAAGTTGCATCAGATACTCGAGAATTCTTCGATGCCCAGGAAGAACAGGCGCCTAAGAGTCTTATCACTGAGGAACGTGGTTCTCAAAAATTTGTTCCCCTCATTGACGATCATTCTGGCGAGGGCTTAGTTTCTTCCGACACTTTTGATAATGAAGCAGAGACCGGCTTGAAATTGAAATCTCAAGCGCCTGTAGAGGAACCTATCCAACCTGAACCCGAAACTAAAACAATCAGCAGCAAGAAACAAAAACGAAAGAACAAGAACAAACAAGTGCGCAGTGAGGTAGAAGCTGATCCTGTTGAGCCTACTGAATTTTCAACTCAACGCCGTGAAGTCGATTTTCAAGAGCCGACGGACATCAAATTAGATGAAAAACAGAGTTTTGTGCGTGGCGATCTAGGCCCTGATTCAAATCTTGAGGCTCAAAAGGAAGATTCACTTCCAGAAGGTGAAAATGACGAAGTTGTTGATGTGCCAGGAATTTCGACCTCAAAGAGCAAGCGAAAGAAAAGAAAACAGAGACGTGCCGATGTGGCGCCTGAACAAGTCCAGCTGCCTTTTGGGGTCCATGAGGGGCAGCTAGCAGATTGCAGCGAAACCGACCACGGTACTTCTCTTACTGAAGACCATGTAATCGACAGTGTGGGAGGTGATATACGCCGGAGATCGCCGGATGAACCGGTCTGGGATGAGGTAGAGTCGTCGGGCCGAAAAAGAAACCGTAAAGAACGTACAAAAGACCGAAAGAGTCGGTATGAGGAAATAGTTGGATCTGGAAAACCGACAGATGATGAGGTACGATTTTCTGTCATTTTAACTGGGCAAGTTCTAATTTCAAGGCAGACTGAAGCTTCGACAACCAAATCTTTGCCAGATTCTTTTTTAGGCGAGCGCCCCGAAATACTATCGATGGGTGATAGTGCTTCGGGGATCGATGCCGAAACTCCTGCTTTTGTGAAGGCGCCTACTACGCCTGTCACCTCGACCCCGCCTGATACGCTTTTGGGCCAACGTGGCCGTAGCCGCTCAAGCTCTCCTTTTCCTGGAGAGAAATTCGACCTCCCACCTCTCTCACGGAGTCGACCTTCCTCTCCTTCACCTGGTATGGTCACACCAAGAAGAATTTCTCTTCGCGGCGATCATGATCTGTCTCCAAGTGCAACCCCTTCTCCAACCGCTGTACCTTTACATTTTCGCCGCCCATTCAGTGCGCACAGTGCATCTCCCACAGCGCCGCCCGCACCAGAATCCTCTGGCTCTTCCCCAGCCACGGCGAGGGCCCATAAACGACCTAAATCTACTGAATTTAAATTTGATAGAGAACTGCGTCCTCTCTGGCTAGTAGAAAGACATAGCTATTCCAAGCCAGAAGAACAAACTGAAGGCCCCTATCCGTCTCTACCATCAAGCCGAGCAACATCTCGAAGCCCCTCAGTAGAAGGCCAAAGGGCTTCAAGTGAAGCAGATTTTGCGTATGACCAATCAGCGGGGATTCCACGTCGACAGCCAATAGAACTACGCCTTGATACTAATCAAATGCCGGAGAACGACGATGTACTGGATTCTAAGGAAGCAACGCCCACGGCAGCCACATACCAGGACGCTATGAAGAAGCAGAAGCCAAAATACGAATTCCATTCACCTTCAGAACTTCTTATGGGACATTTTGACGAAAGTTTAGACTCCTTGCCTCCTTTACCCGAATCTCCAAAATCGGCATCTATTCCTGATGAGGAGCTTCCACCACTGCCAGACAGCATTCCTGAGAGTCCAGCCACAGAGGCCGAGTCGTGGCGCACAGCTGGTGATAGGTCAAGCATCAGTGTGCAATCCGATGTGACTGCGATTCCTAACTTCGGCCATGAATCTTTTGAAGCCGATCAACCCGAATCTCGGGATCTTGGGAGTCGTCCATCCACTGCCTTCAGTGCGTACGAATCAGCCGTTGAATACGACGCCCTAGAAGCCACCACACCTGTTCCAATCTCACCTGTATCGACCTCGGGGATTTACGTTCAAAAGCATCTTCATGATAATCTTGAGACGAGCCGAGGGGTTGAAGGGCCTGCTACTATTCCATTTACTGTTAACGATGCTTTGAACACAACTGCACCTCCGGCAGACGAGCTATTTCAAGAAGCAAATGACCACATAGTTGATCCCGTATCTGCCGAGGAAAAACAATATCAAGGTGTGGTGGGGGCCGTAAATACGAATGAAATGGGCTCGGTCTTACCTGAATATCAAGGTGAAGATGCTATGCATAGCCGAGATGGTGATACGTCTAATTTTCAGGATCCAGCCTCTGTAGCTGAAACGATATCCCCGGAGCAGGAAACTGAGGAGCCAACATCAATTTTGGCCCATGAGCCGTCCCCAAATATCTTTCCTCAGAAAGTAAAAGCGCTACAGGATCCTGACAATCAACTCATTACCTCAACGGATGATCATGACGGTGAAACTTCGGCCAAGGCGGCTGTGATCGAAACCGAGCCCATTCTTCCAGATGCAGTTACAGAGGCCCCGAAGAATGCCCCCTTGCAGCAAACAGGCGTAGAGTCGAAACCTACGGAGCCAACTGCAGTAGAAGACCCAGAGAAGGCACTAATAAGTGGAGAAGAGATGGGTATTGAGACTTCACGACAAATTGGCCATATTTCAACCCCAGATCCTGTTTTTAACTCTTTCTTTCCCCAGGTAGCCGACATCTCAATTGAAGAGGCCTTCGGACCCGGACTTCCTGATGTTGTCCAAAGAGGGCCTCAATCGAACGAACAGAACATGCCTCCCGAAACATCAATTTCTGAAGTTTCAATCCCGTTCCCACTTGTCAAGGATCGTGATGTAAGCCCTGAAGCGGTCGCCAGCGATGATAAACCTTATGAATCCCCTGTCACATTTTCAATCAAGCCGACCAAATCAAAGAAAGGGAAAAGGGGGAAGAGGAAAGGACGAGGGTCTGTTGCAACTTCTGGGAAGGACGATGCCGGACTTCTCGAAGGAGACTCCGACGCGCCCATTGCTGAGGCGGAAGAAGCAACGGTATTAGCCAAACAGGGGCAAACGCCACCGTTCGACGGCCATATTTTTACTACACACGATGTGAATAATCCCTTGGAATTTCCTACTCCTAGCAGGAAGGAAGCTGTCGAGATGAATGACCCAACCCTTACAGCAGAATTGAGCCACAAGGATGAAAATCATCCATTTACAGCTATTACCATTAGCCCTGAAGATATTGCTTCTCCTGAGGCCGCGGCTGATCAGGTGGACCGTTCTTCCCAAGATTTTGACCGAAACACGGATACTGCAGAAGCGCTGACGACTTCCTCCGTCGCTGAACAACCTCAACTGTCATCTGCTAAGGATTTTATACTTGAAAGTAAAGAAATTGCCCCTACTACTTCTCCAACGGAAGAAGCTAGAGAGACCTTCAAGCCTTCTCCGGTGCAGGATGCGAATACGCAAGGAATTTTTGTGGAGGATGGAATTTCTGGATCCGAAGCAGTCATTGAGCCACTAACAGCACTGCAGAAGGAGGAAGATAACCACTCTATAGTAGCCACAGAAGAAGCTGTGACGGCACACGATGCTATAGAACCACTCACAACGGCCATTTCCCCCATAATTTCTCATGATATTAGCGATGGGCTGCAGGATAAAGGGAACCCAACATGGGAGGCTTCGACGGAACATATTGCTAATGTAGAGGGTAACGGGCAAGAGTCTCCGGAGTCATTGACCGTGGTGACAGAAGAGTCACTCAAGGATGATTCGCAGAACAATACTGCATTAGAGCCCCGTGAGATAGCTGATGATTATTTTGCCCCTGTAACTTCTAGGAAGGACAAAAAGAAAAAACGAAAGAGCAAAAAATTTCGGGTTGAAGATGAGCCTTCTACAGATGCCAATGACAAGAAAGAACTCGATTGTTCAACAGTCGAAGAATCAACCCCTCCACAAGAGCAACCGCATTCACCGTCCCAGTCCCCACAGGAAGCTGGCACTGACGTATTAGCGGCTTCGGACGAAGCTTTGGGGAAAGAGGAGGTAGATGATATGACAACGTCTAGGTCATTGGCAAACGAAGAACATCTTGAATATTTTGTGCCAACAGAAAATGTTGAAGCCGAGGAAGAAATTGCCGTCGCGACCGAGGAACCCCTAACTGACATTTTCCCACTCATAACCAAAAAGGCCAAGAAGAAAAGGAAAGAAAAGGCATTGATTGTTACGCCCACTCCTGAAGACTCACAAACGTTGCAAAAAGATATGGAGCAAGTGGACGCTGAGCCTAGTAGTGAAACGCAAGAAACTTCTCCAGGTGGAGACGGCGTGGGAGTAGATAAAGACTTTCCTGGGGATGATGCGGTTGATAAACTCGGATCACTTAGTTCGCCCCAGAAGCTATTAGGCGAACAGCAAATTGTCGAAATACCTGACAATGAGCATGTTCATACCTTGGATTTGAGCAATACAGGCGTTATGGACGTTCCCTCTGAGATTCCGCTGGTTGGAGAAGATGCGTCATTTCCCGCTGCAGGCTCTTCGATGGAAGCCAATACCCCTGATTCTGCGCCTGAAGCCCTAGGGCAAGGTACGCAATTGGGGGAAGAAGAGACGCAAACTTGCAGAACTTCGCCAGATGAGATCACCAATCAAAATGACACAGAAGTTTTTAATGATGCCCCCGAATTCTTGCCATCTGTCACAGCAAACGACGCCACTGGACCTCAGATGGATCCTATTGATATCGATATCGACTCTTCTCCCTTTGTAAGAAAGAAGAGCAAAAAGGGCAAAGGAAAGAAAAAACGCCAAGAACCGGAGCCTAGAGAATCAGATATTTCTGTTGGAAAAAATAAAAATAAACAGGAAGTCTGCGAGGAGAAAATTGATATGGAACAAGAGCCCACCCAAAACCCCATGGAGTCTGTTACTATGGGAAACGATCATGAGTTACACGGATCGTTAAAGGACGAACAAATTCCCACGCCTTTTAGAGCAACTATCTCTAACACGGATGAAGTGGTCCAGGACCAAGGCACAGTACCAGAAACTACGAAAGTCGTTGATGATGGAACCGAACCTACGACTGGCACATTTATAGCACGTCCAGAGATCGTTTTTGTTCCTCGCGATGGAGCGGAAACGGGATCTATTATTGCTTCTAATCCAAAGGACCCCATGGCTTCTACCACGCCGGACGAAACGCCTCAACCCGCAGCAGTTCCAGCAGAAGATTTGGAAATTAGACGTATGGAAACTGACTTTTCATGTGGCGACAACGAAAATGGCCCGCCTCCTGTTGAGGGATTCACATGTCTTGACGAACCGACAGCCAAATCATCTACCGAGCCCGTACAGCTCGAGGCAGTCATGGAGTCCCCAGAGGGGATCGTACCGGTTTTTGAAACGGGTGGTCTAGAGACGGCCTCATTGGACACTAGTACGATGGACGAGATTCCTACGGCAATAGTGGAGAAAGACGAGAGCCTGGCGGAAGATTTCTGGGATGAACAAGTAACAAAAAAGCGTAAGAAAGGAAAAGGAAAACGAATGGAGATACTTCCAGTTGATGATAAACCATTGGCCGATACAGCGGATGTATCCCAACCAATGGATTTAGAGCGTAATTTACCACCCTCAGCGATTAAAGATACCGAATTCAGGGATATAGAGATGAAAGAGTCGCATTCTGAGTTAACGCCTGACATCCACACACCATTAGCCAATGAGCCTATCCCAAACTCTGAAGATGGCATAGCTGTATCAGAGTCTACAAAACCTTCTAGAAAACAAAGCAGAAAGGATAAGAAGAAGAAAAAGGCAACCATGGATGTGGGGCCACCTGAAGTTGAATCTAATGTTTGGATGAATTTGGACAAAAATGCGCTATCGGAATCCACATTGAAACTTCCAGAAGAGTCAACGGCACAGGATACTTCAAGCGGGTCGCAACATGTAATACTTGAAGGCTCAAGTACCGATGGTATTGAACTTTCCCCATCTACCATTCTAGAAACCGTTGAGCCAAGTGCTTCCATATCTCCATTAGATAGTGACAACAAACAGCCACCGCTGACTGAGGACAAAAAAGCGACTGACAACGCCGCTTTAGAACCTGGAATTCGAGAAACTGAGGTTGTGGCCGAGCCTCTAATTAGCAAAGTCGAATCTGAGGAACATCAAGATGAACCTGTCGCAGCGTGGACTTCTGGCGGAAAAAAATCGAAAAAGGACAAAAAAGCAAGGAAAGGCAAAAAAGTGGATACAGAGCCGCAAAAAGACGAAGTACAGCTTTCGGTTGTTCCACAGGTAGACCAACAAGTTGAAAATCAGTTCAACGAAGGAGATACAGAGCGCTCCGTCAAAGAAGAGCCAAAGTCAGCTAAATCCAAGCGGAAAGCCAAAAAAGACAAGAAGAAGCAAGATTTCTGGGAGGATGAGCCGCCGCCCCTGGAAAAAACAACTGCCACTGAAGTAGCTCATGCCGAACATGCGGAGGATACTACTGTTTCTCCCTTACGGGCTGATGAATCTGAGCCTGAGGAACCTAACTCGAGCAAAACAAGAAGGAAAGCAAAGAAAAACAAGCAAAAAGAAGCTTTCAATCTCACCGGTTCTCCCCCCGCTGTGCAAAATCCTGTCGACCGCTCGGACATCGAGACACCCTATCCTCCAGAACCTGAGCTGCACAGTGATGTAGACGCGACGACATTAGAGCAATCTACGACAAAGCCAAATGAAGCACGGTCTGAAGAACATCTAGAGGAAGTAGTGTCAAGGGAAGGCGTTGATGATCAATCTACAATTGGCGGGCGTGAAACGGACGGTAAAGAATTTCAATCTTTTAAGAAGAAAAGTAAAAATTCAAAGAGAAACGCTAAAACGACCGATTGGACTGATGAAATTCCCACTGAGCAGGTTATACCGGAGCCTGCTGATCAAGGTCCTCCGCGACCGCCAGCTACAGAAACTTCGCCAGAACACGCCGTCCCCACGCCGTCTATCCAACAAACCGATTTCCCCGATGTCATCTCAAAACGAGATACGCATTTCGACGATGAATTGCACGGGCCTGTGGGTCCACCCGGTTCCACCACCGTAGACAATTCCGATCCGCCCTCTGGCAACCAGCAGCCTCCCCCAACCGCCGACACCATCACAAAATCAGAGACTTTGGGAGATTCCTCGGATGGGCTTGGACCAGCTACTGCTTTAACGCCTATCAAGAACCCGTTCGCCCAAATAATTTCTCCTGACACAACAACCACTCCGATTATCACGAAGAATAATCATTGTTTGCCCATAACTCTTGACGCATTGCCTGAATCCAAGCCATCGACTCATTCTCAAGAGCAGGATAGCGTTCAACACGAGGTCCCACCAAAAGGATTAGATGCAAATCACCACACTTCGGAAAATGGTAGTCGGCTTAGCATCGAACCTCTCATAGAAAACTGGGGTTCTGAGAACCGCTATAGTATGCAACTTGAGCCTCATATGGCTAGCGATTGTCAAGTAGAATTTAGTGGGAATGAAGAACTAGATGCCAAGAGCGAGGAAGACAAAGCGGCCCCCCTTGAGACCCAGTCTGCTATGTTGGAGTCAGCAACATTGATGCAAAGTGATTCAGTCATTCGTCCAGTAATAGAGGCTCCCGAAAAAATTGAAATTGCAAGTGAAAGCTGCGCTCTTAAAGAAATGATTGTTGATAAAGACTCACAAGAGGTGGATACCCCTTACCAAAAAACATACCCGGCTCAAAACGAAATGACCCAGTCACCGGAAAGTCAGTCATGTGATAAACAGCTTGAGGACGAAGCTGCAAGTTCTCAATGGGCGAGTAAAAAACGAAAGAAGAACAAAAAGGCAAAGAAAGGCGTTTTACCCCTTACTCGGCCAACTAGCCCTTCCGTTGATCCGGTGAGGACAGATGCGGATATGTCTAATTTGTGTGAAGCACCTGTGATCATTTTGCCTGAGGCATCCACCGAAACTGTGTTAAGAAAGGAGAAACGAGGCAGAAAAGGGAAAGGGAAGAAGATAGATTCGGGAGCCACAGAAGAAGACAAGGTCAGTAGTGATGATGCTATAGGGCCACCAGAAATGATGAGACTGGAGAAGCGGGTTCCAGAGGACAAGAATACATCGGATGCTATTGGCGTGGCCATCCTACAAGCACAGCTAGACACTACTGCAGCTAAAGAAACAACTACCGACGGACCCCCAGCTAAAGGTATAAACTATAGGCTAAGGGGAGAAGGGTTTTCTGGTCCTTCCAGCCCGATTTTGAACGATCAAAGTAACGCCAAGGACGTTGGTGAGAACACATTTGAACAAGGCCCTGCTCGCATCGAATCATCGAGGCAAATCGCGGATGTGGAGAAGAATCTTTCAGCCGAAACCCCATCCTCAGAGGCTCTTCCCCTAACTTCTATAGAGGTATTAAACCCAGATCTGCAGAGGAAAGTTAACCAAGTTGCACCAAAGTCTGACGCCCTAAAAAATGAAGCGGTCCTGGGAGAAATTATCGAAGATGACTGTGAAGACTCTCCTGTTAAAACAATCGAGCCATCTATCAAACCATTTCTACTAAGCGAGAAGAAAGACGACACGCCCAGAGACGATGACTCGCTACCTTCAATTGATTGGGATCAATCGAAGCAAGGCGCGTTTCACGATTATGCCTTGAAGTCAACCATCTCTCTGCCCGATTTCCAAGTACCAGGTGGAAAAGTCCATGGCCCAAGATATTCATTTGAGTCCGACCAGCCTCACCTGTTAAAGTCAATTGAGGGTGGTATTGAGGAGTTTAATGCCGATGCCAGACCGAATTCGACCCTCTATGATCACAGCTCGGGTCTCCCCCGGCTATCTAGACAGTCAATGGAGTTGACTCCTGAATTAGATATGAGAGCGCAATCAAACCCAAGTCGGCAATTTTCGCAGCCACCCTCTGAAGGCGCACAACAGCAAAAACAAGAATCCTGGCAAACACCAATCGGGATCGTTGCCAGTGTTTTCCCGCATCTTGCACGGGTCTCAAGGAAGTCCAATGAAAAATTAAATCCAGAAACGTCCGAAGTTATCGAATCCAAAGTAATAAATCGGCAAGGAGATGGCCAATTACAGCATAGAGAACAAAGTAATGCCATAAGCCAGGCACAAATGGGTAAGGACGTGGTGGAGCAAGCACCAAATCTAAGCCCAAATTCGCCGTTAAGGGGCTTATCATCAGATCTTCGTGAATCCGTTTCCACACCTCAGTTGCAACAGCCACCCTCTATATTTGGTGGACCTTATGGGCTGGCAGACCAGTATCGGACGAGATCTCCTCCAAAAAGCCCACTCGCTCCCATCAAGGAACAGGCCACAGTGGGAGGTTTAGCTAGCTCTCGACAGAGTTATATATTAGACTCTAGCTCACTGGATCAAGGCAGCAGCGTTAAACTTGCTCAAGCCCCCCCTGCCTTCGCCATTCGACCCATTCAAGATACCCCGCAAGCTACCCCAAGGGCTCAGCTACGCTCATTCTCCGGGCCTCCTGACAATATTTTAAAAACCCCGGAAACTAGCGAGATAGTCCGGACAGGAAGCGTTACCAGCCTTGACAGCCTCAGGTCCACTGACTCTCTCCGGCTACGTCGCAGCCGTGGTAGCGGTGATCTCCGGGCTCAAAGCAACATCGACCATCTCGGCGGGAAAAATAAATATCCGACGCCCCAACCAGAAGAGGAAGACGTAAACATTGAGGCGATCGCATCGTCATCCACCTACGACCCAGTCACCGACAAGGGTAAACTCCCACTGCGAGGCATGGCCGCAGACGTCTATGTAAGCGATTCATTTTCACTGTCTATGATAACTTTTGATGGAACTAACTTTGGCTAGGAGGGCTGGGGCGACATTCCCGGATCCCCGCTTTCTCCATCTCGGCCTCCAAGCGTCCGTCGCCGTCGCAGCTTGCAGCATCTTCAAGATCTTGAGACTCGGCTCGATCAATTGGTGTCAGAAAATCGCCTGCTCTCCACTGCAAAATCTACCTCCGAAAAAGCCTTAGAAGCGCAGACAATTGCCCAGAGGCAACATGCGAAAGCGCTTGAGGCACGTGAACAGGAACTCCAGGATAAAGACTCACAGATCCAGCAATTGAAGAAGACTGCGCAATGGCTCCAGACGGAGCTTAATAAGCTGACAGAGCTTAACGAAGGTCTCACTGCAAGCAATGCTGGCCTCCAACAATCACGCGAACACCAAACGAGTCAACACAATGAAGTTGCGCAACAATGGCAACAGTCAAGGGAGGAGCTCGAAGACCTGCGAGCTAAATATACTCAGTTGTCCGCTGGTATGGCTACTATTGTGAGCACTGAAGTCGATACGGCTCTGGCAGAGAAAAACGCAGAAATTCGTCGACTACGCGAGGAGCTATTGGAATCCCAAGAAAAAATTAAGGAATTGCAAGAAAAAATTATCGCTTCCTCCCATGACAACGTGATTACATTTCGTGATGAAGACTATTTTGAAGGCGCATGTCAAAAGCTGTGTCATCACGTTCAGCAGTGGGTTCTACGGTTTTCCAAGTTTTCCGATATGCGGCTGTGCCGTTTGACAAGTACGCTCCGCGATGAGAAAGTTGCTGATCGTTTTGAGAATGCAATCTTGGATGGCTCAGATGTTGATTCTTATCTTGCTGACCGTGTGAAACGCCGAGACGTATTCATGTCTGTTGTTATGACAATGATGTGGGATTATATCTTCACACGGTATCTCTTCGGTATGGACAGGGAGCAGCGGCAAAAGTTAAAGATCCTTGAAAAACAGCTGAGCGAAGTGGGACCGCCCGCTGCTGTTCAGAGGTGGAGAGCTACAACACTCTCACTGCTTGCCAAGCGACACGCTTTCCAAGACCAGCGAGCCTTAGACACTGAAGCAGTGGTTCAAGAAATATATCGCACCTTGTCGAAATTACTCCCGCCTCCACAGGACCTAGAGCAGAGTATACAAGATTCACTCCGTAAGGTGATGAAATCTGCAGTGGACCTGTCCGTTCTCATGCGCACTCAAAAGGCGGAATATATTATGCTTCCTCCGTTACGACCGGAATATGACACTAATGGCGAATTGACCCGCAAAGTTCATTTCAATGCAGATTTAATGAATGAGCGGAGTGGCGAGACTGTGTCTAACGAGGAACTTGAATCACAGCAAGCTGTGGTTCGCATTGTGCTCTTCCCGCTAGTTGTCAAGAAGGGCACTGATGAGGGCGAGGGTGATGAAGAGATAGTTGTCTGTCCTGCCCAAGTGCTTGTAGCACGACCGGCAAGGGATAAAAAGATGGTTAGGATCCTAAGTGGCGATCGGCTCTCCGCGAATCCAGCCAATCAATCCATGCAAAGTATTTCGGAAATGGGTACAGGAACCATGATATAAGATTCCTGCCTCATATCCTCCTACTTGTATTTCGACTTTCCCGGGCATCATTTTCTTTCATATTATGGCGTTCTGGGCTCGCTCTCTGATAAGGTACATACATTGGTTTTTTCGGGGTACACCTTTGGAGGCTTAGATGATCTTGGAACATCGGTTCGTATGTTCTTTGGCCACTATGCTTTGGTTATCTAACAGCAACTCATGATTTTCCTTGGTTCACTTCTTTTTGCCAGCTTCTGCGATGTGCAAATGTGTTTTAATATGTTTTTGATGATTTCTATGATTGATGATGTGACATGCAATATGCAATATGTACTGTACGTAATTATATCCTCAGATAGTATTTAATTTAGAATAATCCAGATATCGTCTCACCAGCTTTTGATACGCCGAGTCGTCAAACGCACTATTTTAGCGCGCCTGTCGGGTGCAAGCCACACAACGTCATTGCTTTTGCCATCACGAACATCGTCTTCTCGGCGCGCCAGCAACCGCACCACACCATCTCCCTTCCACAGAGCGAATTTTTTGATTCATGTTGGTACATATGGTGCTTAGCTGCTTTAGATACCTCGAGTACTTCCCACCATAATGTCAGGCACCAATACTTCGGCGTCTCCTGCCAAGGGTAGCTCTTCAATCCCTCGTCGCGAGACATCGGTAACCTACCAGGAGAGCCCCCATGCGCGTTCGCCCTTCCCAGAAACGCAAATCGGCCCTCAGGGACCAATTAATAAAGCGGGGAAAAAGCGCAGGCATCGCACGCACAGACGTAGACGACATCGACGGCCCTCTTTCGCCCCTACTGCCATCGAAGTTCCACACGCCGAGGCTGGTGACCGCCAGCCTGACAGGATAGAGGAAGAAGCCTGTATCGATGTTGCCTCTACGCTGCCGTCAGGTAGCCGTCGGGCACCATTCTACAAAATGGGGCCGCTAGGGAGCGCTGACCTGAGTGACACGAGCCTGGACAGCGAAGTGTTACTCGACCACAGGTAGGTGTAGACTGTACGCCAATTTACGGATGATAAACTTATAATACAAATCTATAGAAACCAACCGATGTTGCGACCGCGCCGTGACAGCCGAGTCACTCAAAGCTTTCGGCTTGAGCACCCCCTTCAAGCATTTTCCACGACGGCTGATTATCATCCTCGTCCCAGCCCTACGAGTCGGACGTCCCAGGCATTAGGCGATAGCGAGTCGGAATCAGAGACAGCAGATGATCGAACGCCACTGATTAAACCTACTCCTGTTCAGAATACAAATTATATCCGGTATGGAACGGAGAGTAGAGATGTCCCTCGTTCTTCCAGGCAATATTCCGGGGCTGGCGTGAGTTCAAGTCCTCGCTCATCCAATGGAGGGTATGATTTCAAACGGGATTATGATATAAATAACCCACCATCTGTGCCCGGCAGCCCTAAGACCGGTCCTGATCTGGGGTATGATGATGCTCTTGTCACTGGCCGATCCTTCAGTTGCTCGGCCTCTCAGGATGCCAGGCGTACGCCTAGTGTGTCGTGTGATGCCGTTATTAATATTGAGGGCAGTGGTAGGGCTGATGGAATCGAGTCAACTCCACGACCGTCTCCTTCCATCTCCCCTCAAGACCTGAAACGACGCCGAACTGTAACTCTTCCCGTAGAAGAGGATGTTTGTTTTCCTATTGGGGCACTATCTGATCTTGGAGACGAAGAGTTTCCCCCTCACCCCCCAGATGAAGGTTATACTGCAGAACCTCGACGAAGGCGACGAAGGGTCTGGCCAGATCTGTCAGTTTTGGACGAGTGGAGCCGAGAAGAAAAGGAAGAGCGTACAGAAGGTATCCGAGCAAAAACAATTAGCGAGCCCGTTCTGGTTGGAGGACGGCTTCGTATTCGAAACACCTCGTGGCGGCGTGAAGAGGAAGAGGCACCCTATAGGTTCTTTTATTTCAACGAAGAATTTCAAAGCACAATCCACAGTCAGACTATATCTGAGCTTGTTCAGCCGGGCCAAACCTTCAAGAATCTATTCATACCTGATCCACCGGAGTTAGAATCCGATGATGAAGACGATGATGATGATGACTTTACTCCATTTGCGACGAACGGATTTAGAACAAATTCTTTCTCTTTGGTTGGCAATAATCATCCCAAAGCTGATCAGGAGTGTACAGCGGTAAAATCGAGCGTAGCGAGTCCCAATCATATTTCCGAGACTGCTTCTAAAGCAAAGCAAAAGCGCTACGGCCCTCGGCCGACATTTTGGCTGGATGTGCTATGTCCCACCGATGCAGAAATGCGGGTGATCGCTAAAGCTTTTGGTATCCACGCGTTAACAGCAGAGGATATCATGATGCAGGAGGCTCGAGAGAAGGTGGAACTCTTTCGAAACTATTATTTCATTAACTACCGTACTTTTGAACAAGATATGAACAGCGACAATTTTCTTGAACCTGTTAATATGTACGTGATAGTATTTCGGGAAGGGCTCCTGAGCTTTCGTTTTTCCCAGACACCGCACCCTGCAAACGTTCGACGCAGGATTCGTCAATTAAAGGATTATTTGATTTTGAATTCTGATTGGATATCCTACGCCATTATTGATGATATTACCGATGTTTTTGCTCCACTTATCCATTCTATCGAAGATGAAGTTGATCAAATTGATGATACAATTCTACGCCTCCATTCTGACTCCAAAAACTGTCATGATCAGTATCCTGCTGATGCTGCAGTCTCTGGTTCTGACATGCTTCGTCGTGTTGGTGAATGCCGGAAAAAGGTCATGGGCCTGTATCGCTTACTAGGCAACAAAGCAGATGTTATCAAAGGATTTGCAAAGCGGTGCAATGAACAATGGCAGGTTGCTCCGAAGTCAGAAATCGGGCTATATCTGGGTGATATCCAAGATCATATCCTGACTATGACGGGCAACCTTACACATTATGAGACGTATGGACCATATTTTATCCCTAGTGATTTTCAACTAACTTTGCTTCTAGCTTGCTATCACGAGCCCACTCAAATTACCTTGCACAAATAAATATTCGCATGAATGAAAGACAAGAGCAGACCGCTGATGTACTAGGAAAGCTCACTGTTCTTGGAACAATCGTACTTCCTATGAATATCATTTGTGGAATGTGGGGGATGAACGTTAAGGTGCCCGGCCAGGATGTTGAGAGCCTGACTTGGTTCATGTCCAGTGAGCCACCAGCCTTGCCCCCTTTTCGCAGCACCAACCAATACTAACCTTTCTTTAGTCACGGCTGGCCTGGTTGTTTTCGCCGTTGTTTGCTTCTATGTTGCGAAGCGAGTATATAGAATTGTGTGAATGGCAGAAAAAAACTCCTTATATTTCCATTGTTGTCCCTACCAATGCCGCCAGTCGATGCATCTTTGAAAGGTTATAGTAAAAATGTTATCTAACCACAGCAATGGTGTCTTGGATCCATACCCCTCTTTTTTTTTGTCATTTTATTTTATTTTATTTTTGCCGTCAAGGTTCAGAATATCCCATTGCCTGTTCTTTTCTTAAAAAGGTTGAGAACTGGATGGCATTTGCAAGTATAAACATATACATACAGTTTAGATAAAATTTGTTTATTGATATAATAGTCAAAGGTCTTAGTTATTTCTGAATAACTCGAACTTCAAAGGTTCAAATGCAAAATGTTTGTACAAGGGAATTTAAAAACACCAGTGAATAGTAGACTTGTGGTACTATGGTAGTAAAATATTCATTCTGGGTAGCAGCTCTGATTTGCTTCTGTATTCCTCCTTCAATCCAACCATACCCTAATCCCGCTGTTCATCCAGATACAAAAGAAATTGTTATATCTTCCTAGTTAAGGAGTGACTGAACTGTCAAAAGTTCGCCAAAAGAACGTAAACAAAAAAAAAGTGCTGAGTGTTAAGGTGTATGGGTATAAAGTAACAGAATGGACAAAAAAAAAAGAATACTAATCTCCATCCCTAAAGCCCAAAAGAAAGAGATATTATAACAACGACGGTAAACCAAGGAAATAAGCAGACCAGAAAGTCAAAAAAAATAGTAAATAATCCCATTTGCACTGAACACCATCCGCTGTGTTGTCGTTTCAGCAGTTGCCTTTTCCCATCTATATAACTGCAAGTTTGCATTTTGTGTCATGATTCGTCATAAATTTGAGGTATGCCTATGCTCCCGCTCTCAGTAAGTAGAGAGAGGAGCAAGGTAAAATTATCAATTTTCTTCTTTTCTGTTTTTTTGGTCCTGTTTTGGTAAATCGATGGCTCTTGCCTTCTCAGCTCCGCGTCTCAAACTACTCCAAAGAGTTGTAGGAGCGGGCATAATTACAAAATATAGTAGAAAAAAGGCGTTGATTGCCAGAAGAAAAGGCATTTGAAAATAGTGCAATCGGGGTGATATAAGCCCGAAGTGCTCAAGATGATCTCGAAAAATAGCACAGAAAAAAGTGACTTCAAAAATAGGCGGATAGTTGCGGGAGACTGAACGATTCATCGATAATCACTCGATGTGAATCGAATCATCAGAATCATCATCACCATCCTTATCGTTATCGTCCCCTTTGTCCGGCAGGACACTGATTTTTGAGCTCACGGAAGCGGATCTGGTCCCAGAGGTTAATGGTAGCTGGTATTTGACGACACCACGCACAATCAACTCGAAGGGATGCTGGAGAACGCGCTCCCACCTTAGAGAGCCTCCTTCTTCGGTTTTATTACCTGGTCTGGTCAATCGGACCTGCCCAGTGGAGTTGGAGGGGCGATGTTTCCAAGGCGACGAGTCAAAGACCAATGGTGATGCAAAATGGAAAATCCGACCTAGAAGCATAGTTTGGGGGTCGCCACTTGGGTCGTCCTCTGGTGGAATAGGATCAGTGCCTTTGTCCACCCCACCAGCTGTGGTAACCTCAGTTGAGTTCTCTTGGCGATGGTTGATCTTCCCCGCCATAATAGCACGCTTTCTGCTATCCGCAGTGCGGGGAAGCGATGGTGGATGTGGACCATGATCTCTCCAAAAAGCGTCGGTGCCCACAAATCTGCTCTTTGCGAATATATTCACATCCATATCGCTAATAGTGAGTGTAAATATATTAGGGTTGATGGCTTCGATATCCAGATCAAGCATGATTGTTTGTTCAGAAGCGAGAACGTTCTGGATTTCTCGAACATGGAGATCTCGAAGAGGCTGCGTAGCGCCAAAAATGAAGATAGTTGAACCGCCTGTTAAGATAAACAACAACGTGAAAAGTATTGCACACACGCCGTAGCGTGCACACCATCCCATTCGTAAGGAGCCCGAATGGTCCAGTTGTCGTAAGCCGGCGCTGTATGGGCGTCGTCCTTGCCGATTACGAGCCGCTCGCAGAGCGCCAACAAGTGGGGTTCTTTCATCATCGGCACCTTCAGCATCAAAATCGTAGCCATATGTATCTCCATCCTTTTTGAAATTTCGATTATGACCGTTGCCAAGTAGTTGCCTGGGTGACTTAGGACTGTGCGATGATTGAAAAGCTGGATCATCAACAAAAGGTTGATGGACGCCATTCCTCCCATGGCGTCCCATTTGATAATGGCGCGCCGTATGCATATGTCCATTTCCCCTTGAACTCCCTCTGCCCAAGCAACGGTCCTCGGTTTCACCGTCCATGGTATTATAGGAAGTATTTGTAAACTTCATACTCCGTTTCCCAGTGATTCCATGAAGGTCTCGAACACCAGGGCGGATTCGGCCACCGTACTGGTCCAGCTGGCCTACCATCGATGCCGTGCTTGGGGTTCGAGAATGATATCGGTGTTGCCGAGCAGGATGGGGGTCAGGAGGGTTTGACTCGTATACAAAGGTCTCTGCAGAATCTGATGAATCTGCATCGTCAACTGCGCTGGCTACTTTGGCCTCGAAAATATCCGCCTTCGATGAAACTACACAGAAAGTCAGCTTTTCTAAGAGTTCGCCTATTCATGTATTGAATCTATTTACCTGTTCCGGCAGGCAAGTTGAGCTTGCGAGTTTTCTTCTTTTCTTTCTTGGGTCGAATTGTCTCATCACTTGGACGTAAACGGATCATTGGGCCCCCCTCTTTCCTACCCAAACCTGCTCTCTCCCCAGCCCCTACACCCAGGGAGACTTGGGGTATTGAACTAACGGTTTCGGTTTCGACGGTCATATTGGTCATGGATGTCTCCCCGGTTTTACCGCGGGCAGAGCTCAACGAAGTGAACGATCGTTTTGCAACAGCCTCGTCTGGCTTCGGCTTACTAGGAATGGTTTTCCTAACATCTGCCTTAGACCCAGCACTCTTGTTACCACTGTCGCTTCCACTATCCCCAGGAGACTTTGTGGTTTTTGTAACTTCCCCAGATTCTTCGCTGGGAGATAGATCGGATACGGTAACCCTTGGTACACGGCCTTCTTGAACCGTCTCAAGAGCAGGCACAGTTCCTCGGGTAATTGAACCACGCAGAGTGTTCCGTCCCTGAGAATCTTCAGAAGCTTCAATAGAGATATCCGGCGACGGTATTTCCTCAGTTCCAGCATGGTACCGTTTACTCGAAGTGTTGGCAACAATACTGTCATTTTCCAAGCGTTTAGGGGATGTTGTGCGTTGGAGAGGGGTTCGTGTAGGTAGATTAGGAGGGGGTGACTTTAATCGATTTAATCGGGGCCATTGAAGTGGCGGATCACCCGACTTGGTGGGCATAACGGGCAGGGACGGGTCCGTCGGAGCATCAGTAGGTGGTAGTAGAGCGTGAGAAGCGTTTGAGTCAATGGGATTCCCCTCTAAGTCCAGGATTATAGGAGCAGAGGTATTGCCAGTTGATGTTGTACTCGATTTCCGGCTGTGGCTTGAGTCTTGAATATTCTTACGGGGTATGGAAAACGACCGTGATGTCGTGGCTCCGGGTCGGATCGGCGAAGTTTCGCGGGATGAGGCGGCGGAGATTGTGGAGGATAGCAAGGGGGTTTGTACGGTGGGAAGGTGTTTTGCCTGCGTCGTGCCATTTGACTGCAGGCCCCGGGTGGAGGGGACAACCGGGGAATATGAGGAACGAGGCCCTTGGCAGTGAGTACCGTTGCGAGAAGTTGACACGACAGGAGACGACATCTCCCAATCAGGGCCGTGCTGGCCATTACTATTCCCAGAAGACATGACAAGCGCGCAAACAGCAGGGCGCCCTTCAACAAGGTGAGATTGTTCACTATCGAATCCGAAGGTATCATTCACGCACGCAGGAGCCTGCCTGCAAGAAGGAATTTGCGCAGAGTGAATGGTATGCTAAGTTCTTCACATCAGCCAATAATCACAACTCCATCTTTATAACCGGGATAATCAAGCCAAACAGATTCACGGGGTTGTTGTTTTTTTTTTTTCTAGCCTCTCTCCGGGGAAGTGTGACAGTGAATGGCACAGAAACCGTCAGGGTAGGCGAGCAGACGGGAGGGAAAGGATTGGTTGGTGTTTGTTTGTTGTTATTGTTGGGCAGAAGTGAACCACATCATCGGAGCAGGGCGTTGAAGTTTGGGCAGACGAGCAGGCGAAAAGCGGTGGACGGGATTGGCGGGACGGATAGCCGGGGACAGAAGCGACAGTGGCTCGGAAGCGCCACGTTCCTGGTGCGTCTCTTGATTTAAAAATGTCGTTGAAAGGCCCTTTGTCTAGCTCCTCACAGATGCATCGTTGGCGGGAAAATGTGGTTCTGCTGGGTGGTGTGGATTTGCCGTTAGCGTCGATGAGACCAATGAGGGCAGCCCACGTCAAAAACGGGGAGGGAGGGATTGTTGGGAGCCTGAGCAACGAGCCCACAGTCCGGCAAAAGTTCCAAGAAGTGAAGCGGCCAGACAGGCACTGGGCTAAATTGCGCAACGAATCGAAGGCCGGCCACTCAACGAGCCTGCCAGGGGTCACGGGTGTGCGATATTAGGAGCCGGCAGGGATTTGCGGTGACGACGAGGAAGAGTCAGCGAGGGGGAGATTCGAGCGTGCGGAAGAGAATGCCAGAACTCGAAGAGCAGACGAGTGGGTTCTTGACTCCGGCGAGCGAGCGGGCGAGATGTTGGCGGTGGGTGGAAGTCGAGAAGGCGTGGCGGTTGGGCTTCCGCTTCGGGCTGGGTTATGTAACCAGCGCTGCCCGTGCGTCCCGAACGTGACGTGACCGTACGTACGCCAGGTACGGCCCTCCCGCGGCGATCTCGCGCCGTGTGATTGGCTGTGCGTCACCGCTATGACGCTTAGGTAAGTCGACTACAGTGTATGAGACCCGTCATTACGCCGGATTCCCCTCCCTAGCACAGCGCGACGCCGTTCTGTCGCTTCCTTGTATCTTCGGCGCCTGCAAACATACCGCGCACGATGCGTTCGCGTCAGCGGGAGTGCGTGCGCCCAGCATCGAATAGCCTTCCCAGTTTTGTGCATGACGGAGGCCCGTTTCAGGGATCCGTGCAGGCTGGCTTCCCGGTCTCCGTCATCTCGACTCCGTGTCAATAATAATAATACTTCAGAACTTCCAAGAAACCCATGGCATTCCGTCAGCGTCAGCGAGGGCCCAGAACACCTCCCAAACATCTAGATTCCTGCTAGCGCGGAAAGCTCCACTCATCCTGAATCAAGGGCTGATCAAGGGTGTCGGTGGCCGCCAGCCCGGGTTTGTGACACAAAAGGCGTCGGCAACTCCAACGCCGGTGCTGGCTTGTCCGGGGCCCGTGAGTTCATCTTGAAACATCCAGCTCGCTAGCAGGAGTCGACTGACATCCCTCAGAGGCGCCATCGCTCACCACGATCCAGGAAATACCCAGTCAAGATGGCGACTGCAGCGCCTGTAGCCAGTGCTGCCGGGTGTCTTTTGAGGACAGAAACAACAAGCGTAACGACGATCCAGTTTCTTATTACATGTTTTGAACTCTGTCAGCCACGCAACATCTAACCCCAAGCTACTCCCGTATTCTTTCCCGAGAAGGGGCCAGAATCAGTGCTAATAAGCCCAATGACGCTCAAGGAAGGTCCTTTGTATACATATGCGGGGTAGAAGCCCCGCTGAGTCAGTTCACGGGTGGACTGGAGCTGCTAGCTGCCGAGCTGCCGAGTGGTGTTTCCTTCCCTCTGCTTGCAGTGGAGCAGTAATGTTGGCTCCAGTGTTCAATCTCAGTTCTGGTCCTGCAGAGTCCTGTCGAGGCACCGGTTGTTTATCGTGCTTTTAGCTGCAGATACGGGTAGTTACGGAGTAACTAGTGGTCGGCTGGGCTGAAGCTTTTCGCTGCAGAAGATGAAGGCTAAGTGAGAGATAAATCCGTTTCCTGACCGCCGCTCCTTATAATACTCCTGTGTCCCGCCTACAAAGATGCAGGGGGGATATCCTCTTCCTGGAAACCAGCCTACACCCCCAGAGTTGCATCCTCGCTTCTTTTCTTCCTTTTGCCTATTCTTTCAGGATCGCAATTCGGAACGTAATGCAACCGCTATCCATGGGGTTATTATATAGGAAAAGGGCCTGATATTCTTCTTCTACCCATATCCTCCGAAATATTTCTCTGTTTATTTCCCTATACTCATGAAGCGTCACGCACAGCGTCGTCAATGGACCACCAAATCTTCAGTGATGATCACTAATATAAATTCCTCGATTAAAACATAATTAGGACCCTTTTCTATGACATATTTTCAGGATTGCTTGGTATCTTCCCTCATTTCAGGCAGGCTAGAATCTAAACAAAACTCGATAGAATTTGCTACTACTTGTAGGTAAACTTAACAAGTTTTACCCCAAAATGATTAAGGATTCCCAGCGACTATTCTACGTATTCCACTTTGCTATTGCAATTAGCTGATGATAATCCTGAAGACCTTCTCCCGCGTAAACCCACGGGCCAGACAAAGAATGAACTCCATATTGTTGGCAGAACAGGGTGATATTCGAGTGAGATACCCGTTTAGTGAGGCCTCACATAACGAAGCCTCTTCCTGGTGGTGATTTGGGTATCCAAGAAATGGTTAGGTTGTATCTGACATCGTCTCTGTTCATTTCAATGCAGGTCGCTTGATCCTTTTGGTCACATGGCTGGTTAGGATAAGGCTGGAAATCAAAGCGGCCGGAGGCTCGGAGCCTTTACGATGTACCCAGACAGCACATACAACTGGATGCGTGACCACAGCGTCCGGATATCGGGGGTAATGTCCGACCGGTAATGATAACTCTTTCGAATAATTTGATGAAGGATATTGTGCAACATACATACCTAGGCCTTGCAGTGGCGGAAGAGGGCGTTCATTCCAATATCCTTCCCGAGACTACGTTTATTGTACATACATACATAGCTATCAGGGTCCTAACCCAGACCATTTTGGCGGGGTGCACAACGGCCTCGAGGACACGTAAGAACAACGCGGCGTTGCGGCTGACTTGCAAGCTAGCATCGATGCAACATCGCAAGTGACCATTGGGAGGAGGCTGTCGAAGTTAGAGAGGGCGCGGGTACGGAGTATGACACCATTATTGTCTCTGTACACATACTGCACCGGCCCATCTTGTACTCTGGAACCGCGCGGGCCCAACCATGGTTCGCAACTGTGCCAAATAGGAAACCCGGACGACATCTCCGCCGTTCAACGACGCCCAACATAGCCGTGAGTTGTGAACCAGCCGGGCGCTGAGCCCGTCGGCATTGGGGGCGAGCTGAAAGCCGACCGAAACATGAACTACTGGGGGCTGAGTCCTCTAATATTATACCAGGCGCTACTATAGCTAATTACTAGTAGCTGCACGCAGGATGCTGGCCGCATGCAGCGGGCAGACAAAGGAGAACATGCACCTGCCACCACCGCCACGATGCCTAAGTATGGCGTACAGGCACCTTGATCGCAGAAAGAGGATCGGGCGTCAGGGCGAGCCGTCGTACTGGCGCCCTGTTTTGAAACCCCAGACCGGCGCAGAAGAGAGCCTATGAGCTCACGATCCTCGCTGTTATTGGCGCCCAGCAGGCAGAGGGCGCCGACTAACTAGACAAGGCTGCGGCTCTGGCAGACAAGATACGCCAGCCCGCGGAGATCGCCAGCGCCCTGGCCGGCACACAAAGGCCGAGAAATGAATCATTCTGACGGTCCCGCCAGACACCCACCGCGCCCGGCCGCCCCGACGTCAGCTCTTTCACAAGCAAGCATTCCCCGCCGCGGTGCCTGAACTCGGCTTCGTCCTCTGGCCGCCCTCTTTGCTTCCTTCCGCGGGCGACGTGGGATCGCCGTCGCTTGGCCCGCGTCATCTGGCAGGGGCTGCGTATTGCCAGCGCCGTTCGCGGCTGCTAAGCGCACGCCTGCGCTACGATGCGCCCGCCTGGCTTACAGACGACCTTACGCGCACAGCCGCCAGCCGCTTCGACGCATCCCTGCCGTATGGTACCGTCCGGCTCTCGTTATTTCGCATCGTGACGCCCCGGCTCACTGCGTTTCGCGCGGTCTTTGGCGTTCTGCGCCCGTCTGTACGGCCGCCCGGCGATCCTTTGCCCCTCTCCTGCTCCTCCTCAACCAACCTCGTTGCCCGCCCGTCTCTCTTCTTGTCTATCAAAACGCCGCTCAGCCTTGTTGCTTGCGAAACTTGGGTGCTGAACTAGCTGCCTGCCTACCTGCCTACTAGCCCACCAGCCCACCAGGGCGCCAGCCACCGCCCTTCTTTATCTCTGCTCTCACCCCTCCCCCGCCCTCCAGCACCTACCACCTGTTGCTCATTGACAGCTGAGGCGTCGGCATCATTCTGTGATTTGTATTAAAGCACCTTCTCTGTCCGTTTCATCAGCACCGATGAGCTATTCCTACAAAGAACGGGACCGTGACTGGGACGAGATGTCTCGCCACTCCGACCCAAGAACGACGTATTCCACCATTAAACGTTACGTCATTCCAGACGACCGTTCCTCTCGTCGAGACGATCCCGGCACCAGTGAACGTCAACTGGCCGTCCGGACTCTGGATCGGGAGGATCGTAGCGCAACGTCTCGCCGCTATGATTACGAATATAACCTGGACACCGACTTCGATCGTGGGTCTTCCTCCCCTCTTTCTTCATACCGCCTCTGGTTCTTTTTATACCCTTTTAGGCCCTGCCTACCCAATACTATTCTCCATTATCAGGATTAGTCTTTACTAAACAATATGGAGGTTGCAGCCGTTTATCGTGGCGCCAACTACTCCCCCCGCTCCGAGGCCGACTACCAAATCGTCCATCGTTCTGAGACAGATGACCGCTATGTAGCTCGCCGTGATCCAAGAGATGATGACTATTACTACTACCGGCGGGTTCGTGAATATGACAACGCGCGGCCCGGTTCAGAGTACGATGGAAGAAGCTACCGCACCGAAAGCCCCCGGCGCGCCCGGTCGCGAAGGCAGAAATATAACAGTGATGACGAAACGATATACACCTCTCGGACCGATCGTGACGAAAGCCCTCACTACAAACGCCATCTAGCAGAGGGTGCTCTAGTTGGTGTAGGAACCGCAGAGCTGATCCGCCATCAAAAGAAACCGCGCGACCGTGACACGGCTTTGGCGCGTGTGGGCAAAGATGTTGGCGCTGGAACACTTGGTGCTCTGGCTGCCGACGCAATCACTCGTGCCCGCAGCCGTCATAGAAGCAAAAGTCGTCCGCGCAGCAAGAGTCGCCATCGTGGAGGCTCTGTCGATCGAGGAACGGACCACCTTCATGAGCATTACCGATATCGCCATAGACGCTACCATCGCAGCCGTTCATCTTCCCATTCTCGTGTCCGGACTCTGGCTGGGTTGGGATTGGGCGCAGCCGCGATTGCCGGAGCTGTTGCTTTGGCTAAAAAGCACTCTGACAATAAAGCTGAGAAAGCAAGAGAGGAGAAGTCGGATAAATCGAGCCGTCGAAGCCGATCCCGTCGTCGTCGTTCCTCCCCCAGCCCTGTGTCAGATGCTCGTGATCCCAACCACCGTAACAAGAGAATGGCAGAAGCAGGCCTAGCAGGCGCAGCGGTTGCCGGCCTGATTGAGCATGCACGCAGTAAGTCTCGGCCAAGAAACGCCCGCTCAAAGAGTCGACTTCGCACCGGTCTTCCAATTGCTGCCGCTGGCCTAGGAAGCGCTGCAATTGCGGCGGTCTACGAGAAAACTAAAGCGAAAGGCGAAGAAACAAAGGCAAAGGAAAAAGAAAAAATAAAGGAAAAAAAAGAGAGACGTGCTCGGAGTCGCTCTAGAAGCACAGCGCGATCTTACACGACCACTGCACCAAGCGTGGCACCCCATTTGATCGAGTATGGCGGCGACCCAATACAAGGCCGAATTCCGGCTGCCGATTACTATGGCCGACCTGAAAGCCCTCCGTACTATGCCAACAGGAGGTATAGTCGAAGCCGCAGCCGCCGTCGCAGCCTATCCACCGACAGTTGGTCGTCTGACCAGGAGAGAAGACACCGGCGCCGTAGCCAGAGTCGATCCAGGGAATATGCCACTGCCGGTATTGCCGCTGCTGGCGCTGCCGGTGCGGCTGGCTTGGCTGCTCATGAGTATAAACAGCGAAAAGAGCGAAAGAAAGCCGAGAGGGCGCGAAGTAGGTATTTTTTTCCCCGTTTTCCTTTCTCCCCCTTGCCTCGGCTCTCTGCCGTGGCTCACAGAAAGAATTAATCCACTAATGTATTCTATAGGGCTTGAACAAGAAGAATCTCAAAGTGATATTGTAGAGAACAGTTATGATTCTGCACGTTACCCGCCTTCTCCGCCTCCTCCCAGCGCCTCGTCCGTTTCACAAGAAAGCTTTTATCCCCATACAAATCAGTTTCCGCCGCCCCCTACGCCAAGACCAATGGAGTATGCCCACAGCCCTGCCAACTATTCTGATTATCCTCCTGCGCCTGTTCCTCCTCCCGCTCACCCGTATTACTCTTCTGACTACCCACCACCCCCGGGTGCTGGGCCTTCCACTCCTCAGCCATATAATTATGCACCTCCAACAACACGCGATCCATACCCGCCACAGCAACCCAGAGGTGATGAGAATGTGAGTGCTGTTCCGAAATCCATCCCCACTACCGAGCAGCATCACAGTACAGATGATGGTGGGTTCAGGTAGTGCTTTTGTTAGAGATCTCATAGCTGATATTTTGACTTGATAGGTGTAAACCAGGACAATCCGTCAGAACAGCCGGGTGATAATCACCCTCCTGCAACACTTCAGCCCTCAGATTCCCAGTTCAGGTCGCCTAGTCCTCTGCCAGGCAAAACTGTTCAATTTGATCTAGAACCTGATGTTGCCTCCATTTCTTCCCCACAGGACAACGGTTACGAGACTGATGATAGCGATTCGACTGTTGATGAATACAAGGATTATCGCCGTCGCCGCCACCGCCACTCCTCTCGACGTCGTCAACGTCATTCTCGATCACCATCACCAGTACTAATAGCTTCACGGCATGAGCGTAGCTCTAAAACTCCGCTTGGTTCATCTGGAAATCATTTCTCCGATTCTGATGCTACTGTTGATTTGCCAGATAGATTTGATTCACGGGGGCATCCGATGTCAACAACATGGTGGTAGATCATTTGGCCCTATTTGGTTTTGCCTTTTGGTAATTTCTAGTATTTTCCTCGCCATTCTCGCGCGATTTGTTTATCTTTCTTCTTGAGCAACGTTTTCATTATCACACTATGTCATGATATATATTTCCTTATTATACTATTGACTTCTGTTACATTTTAAATTGGTTCTATTTTTGATATCTCTACATTTTAACGATTTCTTGATGAGAATAACGATTTATGAGTCTGGAAATGACTTGGAAGGAGGATTTTTTTTTGAATCTTATTTTGCAAATAGTTCACTTTTCCTGATATTCATGGAAAGAGGGTAAAATATTTCATCACCATTTGGATATGTCATCTGTCTTCAATCACTACTCCACGGCCTATCTTCGGACATAGTCTCATAACAACTGAGTTGGGCACTGCCGAGGTTTGAGCGCCCTACGTCATCCCATCAATAGATTACGCCGAGACTGGCTAGTGACAGATATTCATAAGCTTCAGGTTACATCAGCGGATTAGCCTTTAGGTAACTATGGCAAACGAGGGTGGCACGCCTAACTAGTAAAGAGGACACCCCAACTGCATTACGTGCGGCTAGTTGCGTTGGGGAGGTTTGAGAATGGTTGTTGTTTCCAATCCTAACAATAACAATGGCACTGTTAAGAAGAAATGCGATCCAGGTGTTGCAGGTGTGCATGACCGCATGCTATTGAGCGAACAGACTTAAAGATATTTTTTGAAAAAGATATCAATTCAATTCCACTACCTGCATTAATACAGGTAGTATAAACCTTTCTTCGCTTCACCCCATCGGATGAAACAGTTCTGGCAGTGCTTTCTGAGCAGCGCTAGAAAACTTTCCAAACTCATAGTCTGCCCGATTCACACCATTTTCGTCCCCCAAGGCGCGGTGATATGAAAATATAAAGCTAGGTATTCTTTCAAAAGATTCTCACGACTTCCATTCCTATAACCAGTCACCTGCCCTAATTACAGAGCTTTCGCCGCCATGCCTTGAAAACAGGAAATAAAATGGATATGAAAAGCGACATGACATGACCATAATAGTGTTTGATTTTATGAGGAAGAGGTTTAAAAGACGAGAGCAGCACCCTTTGTTTTCTTGTCACCACTGTTATTTTGATAAATAGTTAGCAAAGTTCACCAATAGTGAGTGCATCGAGTATCGTTCTTAGGCAGGCAGAAAATAATAATAGAGAGAAAAGGTACGCACCCCAATTCGAAGTGCTTGCATCGTTTCAGAGCGAGCTGTGCCTTTGTCTTGCAGACGGTGCACTCCAATCGCAGAACAACTTTCTTTGTGGTCTTCGCCTTCTTTCTGAACACGGGTTTGGTCTGACCACCGTAACCACTCTGCTTGCGGTCGTAACGGCGCTTACCCTGAGCGAACAGGGAAGCCTATCATAATGGAAAAACATAAAATTAGCCACTGTCACAGAGAAAGAAACTCTCCCAGCAGGTCGAAGGATCACAGGTGGTAGCTCACCTTTCCAGCCTTGTATTGTGTAACTCTGTGCTGGGTGTGTTTTTTGCACTGCTTGGCCTTGCAGTATGTCCGGCGGGTTTTGGGAATGTTGACCTGTTTTGCGCAAATGGCGAATTGTCAGCCAGGCATTCTTTTTAATGCTAAACGACAGATTGGAGCCCATCTGCATTCCACCGAGACGACATATTCGGAATTCAAGGTAACGGTGCATTGGCTGTAGCACTGGGTAAAGTACGTATATTGTCGATCGTTTGTGTGCGAGTTCTTAAGTTGTGTAGATAGATCGCATCAAAATGCTTCCGCCCCATTCTGAACGGGCTTCTCATTCAAAATCTTCGAATTTTTCATTCAAAAATGTCCGGTCCGATCATCCACCATCTCTGCCGTGCGATTTAACCGCAACATCTCGATCGTGGGGTGCTTCGGTATCGGTCAGGCGTCGGTCATCGGTGGAATGTCGCAATGCCTCGCTCTAACAAAATTCTGGCTCCAAAAAGTAATGAAAAGTATATCCTTACCATTTTGACTGATTTGCCGGGTCACGAACTGGGTGTGGTCGTTGTCGTCTCGATCGTTGAATCGCGCGGTGCTAAAGATGGAGTGTGCGATACCTTTTCGCTTATGGTGTTCCACCACCGCGCTAACCCCATTCGGCAACCAACCAGTCATTAGGTACCTGCCTGCATCGCCCTGGGTTCAACAGCTTCAACACAACCACCATTAGTTAAATGGTTTACTGACTTGCTTGATCTTTTAAAATTTCTATCTATATATGTGGACATACTCCGTATATCAAAACGGGAGGCCCATTCCTGGTCGCTTTTACTAATTATTTAAATGGCGGAGCTTCCACAAATACATTAGGCTACTTTATTGATGACTCCTAATGCTGATTTTTAGGAAATAGCACTCATTTGAGTGCTCTGGATTTGCTCAAATGCTTGACTCTAGCTAGCCCGACATTTTGTACAGTACTTGCCGCATCCAAACTTTTACGGTTACCCAGTCTTTCAGAAGTTCCGCTCTTAAAATATATCACACGTAGATGCCACATTACTTGCCTTGAAGCTGCTCTCAAGCTGCCGCTTGTCCATTTTCACCAGTATGTAGTTGAGGTATTTCTAAGCTTCCACTCGCTATTTGATACAGCCAAATTTCAGTGTATGAAAGTAGGCTGCCTGCCTGCAAACGCATAGGCTGAATAATTAGGGATCAAGCACTTGTGTTAATTTCATTATTAAAATGAACATATAGGCTGCAAGCGACTGGTTCTAATATGTGATGAAAAAACTGCCGTTATATAGTAGCCATGTCTTTAGTTCTGAATTGACAGGGTGAAGAACCAAACGCCCTACCCCACCCTGGTGGCCTTGCCTTGCGTGTTTGACCCCGCTACGTAAACAATTCAATTCCAACATCAATATCACCCCAGATCCTACCACCAGAAAGCTCACTACTATCTACCTCGCAGCACCACCAACTACTAATTAAACAACAAACTTCGCTGTCCTAGACCAATCGAGCCGGCCGTGGAACCCCAAAGTCGAGGATGCTGATCAAGTTGGGTCCCATCCGTGTCACTGAAAAGCGCTCTGTATGGAGACTAACACCTTTTCTTCTCATCTAATAGAGTCCGAACGCTTACGGGAAAAGAAATTGAGCTCGATATCGAGCCGGATTTCAAAGTGCGTCTCTCTGACCGCCGTTACCATTTCCCCCCGCCCCACCGCTTCTCACGCGGGTATAAGACGCTTGAACGCGACATTCTTATTGACAAGCCCTGCTATTCACAAATTCTAGGTTTCCCGAATTAAGGAGCGTGTGGAAGAGAAAGAGGGCATTCCGCCTGTACAGCAGCGTTTGATTTTTGGAGGGAAACAGATGTGTGTCACTTTCCACTTATGCGTTTCAACAGAGCCATTTTCGCGGCTACATCAACCATTCATGTTCTGAAAATTCCAGGAGAAATTGATTACTGACTTCGCTGGATCAAATAGGGCCGATGACAAGACCGCGCAGGACTACAACCTTGAAGGCGGGGCCACACTTCACCTTGTCCTCGCTCTACGAGGGGGCAAATAAATGTGGTACCCATTTGAAAAGAGAGAAATTTTATTTTGAAGTTGTGTGTGCCTGGAGTGCCACGGATATTGGTTGACTAGCGGGGTGGGCTCATGACGTCTCCAATTCTTTCCCTGGCCAAACTTCCAATGGCATACATTGAGAGTGTTGCGTTTTTTGTAAAGGCAGATGAAGTGATTCCTGCCTCCCCGAAAAGCTCATCATTATGAGTGAGCCGGTATTTCTTACAGTTTAAGTTTGAAAGATGTTTCTCTCTTTCTCCCTCCCCTCTTTTTTTTTTTTTTTTTTTTTTGAGGGGGGCGTGTTGTGTATAGATCCAGTTGCTACGGCCTATAAACAACGGTCTTCCCTTTGGCAAAGCTGATGTACAATACTCAGGAGTGTCAATTTTGCCCCTTGGTATCCTTTCTATTGAAATAACCTTCAACTGGAACATTTACTATACATTCATAATCAAAATTGATCCATCACACTCCAGCTCAATTGATAACTCCAGAAAATATGCAATCGTTTCCTTCGCTGTCTTTCAATAATAAATAGCTCCAGGTAAGCGCTCGCCTGCCGGTTAAATCGGTAAGAAGCCGCTTTCTATTTGGACAGTGTATGAAAATCCGGTATATAAGTCAAAAAAGTGTACGTGTTTAAAAAACCTTGCCGTAAAATGGCTGTATATCATGATAATTCTGCTCGAGTGTTGTAATTGCTATCATATCCCAAAATATCCTATGCACCCATAGCGCTAACCAAGTTGTTTGAAGAAGATCGGAAGAACAATGCGGTTTTGGTGTAATGCCGTTAAATTGCTGGTGTTATATACCTGCTGGCTCCTAGCTTGTTCATTGGTTTTAGAGGTATTTAGAGATTGGCACATTATGCTAGTCTCTTCGGTGTTGAAGATGCTACCCGCTTTTTAGGAATTAGAAGCGGGTTAGCAGGGGGTAATCGACGTTTGCGTGGTAGTACAGGGTAAGGCTTTGGTGATAATTGTAACTCTTTTGATACCACGGACTCCGCTGGTGAGTCGATGACGGGCTTTTGAGTTGTTGGGCCGGCATGTTCCGTCTGTGAAGAGCCGGTTCTAGCCTTAACGATAGTGGACGGCGAGACTGGATTTAGTGTAGGGCGCGAGCGAATTGCTGATGAAGCCATGGGAAGCAGTTTGCTAATAGCTGGCCTCTGTGGGCTACCACCGGTGATTCCACCTGGGATTGCATTTGGCACCCCATTTTTAATATCTGCCCGCCTCTGCTCATACTTGTAGTCATCAAGAAACGATCTCGGAGCTTTGGTAACAGTTGACGCTCTCTTATTTAATTGGTGGGTAGGAATGCAAAGATGTCCATTCCGCTTTACTACTGGTAAAGCCGACTTCTTGGACTTTGTTTGTGAGGGCAATCTCGGCTTTTCCAAAAGCCACCGCGACTGCTGAGAGAATGGCGTCAGGCCTTTACCATCATCCTTTGCAGGAGGAGCTAAAACAAAGACTGGCTCTATGCCGCCCATCTTTCGGTCGAAATTGGCGTATCTTTGCAGGCTGGTCGGCTTTTCCTTTGGCAGGCCCAGCTTCCTAGCATTGACAACCTTTGGTGACTGCTTCACTTTTTTAGAGTTCAGGCCATTCATGACCTGTCTGACTTGCTCGGCTTGCTGCTCGAGCTCTTCTGCGGCTTGTTTTCTCAAGGAGAGGTAGAAATAATACCAGCTCTCTTGGGGTACCTGGAGGTCCACCTCCCTCCAGAACGGGATGTCCCGCTTGATAATTTCGACCCAGAACTCACTCATCTGCTGTTTGAGCTGCGGTGAGCTGGTTTCAATATTATGCTAAATGATAGCTTAGCAAAGAAGTCACGCTACAAAAAGGGGCAGTGGAGAGATGTGGGTAAATTGTTTCTAGTCTTACCAACTGCTTTGGGTTCTCGACTTTTGCGAGAATAGGTCGTACAAGCTCGAATGGGGCATCTCCCAAGCCGTGTATTGCTATTTCAAGTAAGTTAGAGCTGTTCTTTTGAAGTCTAACGGAGGTTACAAATTGGAGAGGCTCACATTTAGCCTGCTTGACGCAGGCGTTACGAGCAAGCTGAACTAGTGATAAAACGGCCATCTTAGTAGGCGATGGCTCGTTTGAAGAGAATATTTATACTATAAAATAAGCGAGGAGTAATGATATCTTGGGCAGGTAAAGAGGGTAGGCTCGTGGTCCGAGAGAATGAATGTTCGTGGGAAGTGAAGGAAAATGAAAAAAAGGAAAGTGAGTGGCCGGGTAGGCATATAGGTAGGTATATATAATTCATGAGGAGCCGGATCTCTTAAACCGGGAACGTTGGCCGATGGCAGGAGTCACGATAAGGTATTCGCTGTAGTGGCAGAATTTCCTTGGTTCCAGGTGGTCGCCGTAGCCATCGCGGACTGTCATTGGCCGGTGATGCCAAGCGGACCCTTCCTACTTCGGTGGCGCGTTTATTTTCGGAATCATTTGGACGTCGAGTGATCATCGATCCAGGGTTCACGCACTGCAACAACAAGCGCCATGAGCCAACAAATACTACTACTTCGGTACGCGGACGTTTAGCTGCTATTTTCTCCAGCAATAGCATCTTCACACCGAGGCTCACTTGGAGTCGGGGTTTTGGACACTACACCAGTCTACATTCCTTAGTTCAGAGTGGCACCCGGCCTAGTTATTCCTAGTTACTGCCTGGAGCGCCTGGTGAATCAATTTTAGGTGTTACAAATCAGTCGGTACCCATCGTATCGGTACTTAGTACTTTAAAACACTATGATTCACAATGGTCAGTCAGGCTACCAAGAACCCATAGGAGAATACGCTATAGGGCAGCTTCTGCTCCTAACGTATTTTTATACTGCTAATCTGATGGCCAACGTCGCTCTTTCACCTATAGGTGACAATACTAGGAAACAACTGCTCGCTAGAAGGCGATATCGCTGACATGCTTTTCCTTAACTCTCCTGGTCTTGGTTTTGTTTCTGCGAGTGCGATAGTGTCAGTATTCAGTTCCTAAATTGCGGGGAGCATATACTGAGTACCCACATTGCAGCAACACCTTGGATACCCCTTTGGAGGTGGAATGATAATTTCAGATACCTGGTGGTCTGCCCTCAGGTTTCTCCCCTTAGTATTGACTCGGTGCGTTGACGCTGCTTCAGTCTGGGGAGCCCGATTGAACTAGCTACGTAGGTGTCATATATTCATCCAGCTCTTTGCCTGATACTGTGTATTTTGATACCATGTATCGATATGTGCTTGTCATTGGTCACTTTCTCGCAAACAGTATCGCTGCTGGAACTCTGGGGCTCAAGACCAACTAGGCCTTTAGCTTACTGTTCTCTATTCAAGAAGTCTGGCCCGCTGTGATTTCTTTCAGGGACACTTTACCCTAGAAGCTCGCTGGAGAACGCTTTGTCGGATTACATCTGCCAAAGTAGATGCAAAATCGGCATTGACACACCTGATTTTTTAGTATCGGCCTTGTGGGCGCCTGCCTATATTGGTAGAAAGATAATTTATTACAGTGGCTTGGTTGCTTGGTCATTTTTTTCATAGTCAATATATTGGACAACCTTACTTTGGCCCAAGTTAGCTTGATGGACTTTCACCTAAAATATCTCTACCGAGCCACATATTTTTTTAAACTGCGCTCTTAGACCAATTCTACTACCATTACGACCCAAGTTATATTTAGAGCAGTGAAGATCGTGGCTATCCCCGCATATCGTCAATTTCGAGGTTGGAAACATGCGAGGTAAAAGATTCTATGAAGTATGTTTTAGAGACAGCTTTAAATTTACGCTTCCATATAAATTTTCGATCTTAATGAATAGGACTTCTGACCTAGAAAGCAGCTTTTTTGAATCCTTTGTCACCTTCGAACTGGGTATCGGACTACCTAGTTTAAAAAACTACAACGCAACATACTAATTCCTCTTTGTTAGTATTAATAACTGCCTTTGGCCGCATTGTGCAATATATATTTTGAAGTTGAAATTCTGCTGTAATGCTGATGCTACCGACGGCAACAGCTGCAACTTTTACATAGGGATGCTTTTTATTTCTTCCACGTTCCAGGATCTCCTCATTTTTTCTGCCCCAAGCTCCCTCACTTCCTCGTCCAGATGTCTCCAAAGCACCTCTCCAAACTCGTTCCATCACTCTTTTCAACTCATCCAGCTCCAGTTTTCTCACCCTTCCCTTGCACTGTTCCAAGTAAGCCGCCGGTTTTTCCAACCCGGTATGGATCTGCCTATGCTGATTAATGAGATCTAGCTTCTTACAAAACGCGGGCATGCGCTGCGCTAGGCATGGAAATATGTGCTACTCTTCAATAGAGTGGTGAGCCTCTAGAATTGCACAGAGGTCGAGGCCGTCCCGGAGAAATCGAAGAAGAGAAAGGGATTTCGGCTGTTGGCCGGAGATACAAGCATCGTAGAGTGTAGTCCAGGATTCCCTAAAATGGCTGTGCTATAAAAATAGTGGTCAGAATTGGGGATGCTTGCGCGTGGGAGGCACAGACATCTTACAAAACATCCATACGCTCAGCGAGGCTATTATAGGTGCGAAGCTCTGAAGGGGTGACTTGCTGGGTATTGATAAGTCTGCTTCCTGGTCCATACTCGCTGGCATTTACTTGCCTAACTGTCTATCGACTCTTAAAAAATCCACTGGGTTTTAGCGCCTTTGTACTCTATTTAACCATGAGCTTTCCCCGCATCGCGCGCCGGATCCTTGTTGAATCCACACCGACGTCATTATGGATTTTGTAAGCTAAGCTGTCAGCAATGAATACCGAAGTCGCAAGTGAAATCGGAAAAGGAGCTGGTTCTAAGATAAATAGCTATGCTAATAAAAGTATAAAGGAGACCAATACATTAAATCGCCATTCAACATAGGTAACCAAGTCATATCAAAAAACAAAGCGTCGTATTATGAAAATGAGGGTATCTGTACGGAGCAAGGAAATACATATTGAGATAAGATGAAAGCATCTTTAATGATACTTAATTAGTTGTTATCTAGTTAGCGTTGGCCGTTTGCACCTTGGGTGTGATGTCGTTCTTAATAGGTTCGGCGGCATTCTGCTTCTGTCCCTGCGGCATCTGGACCAACCAATTGGGTGGGGCAATACCGGTTTGATCGTGGATCGTGGAAAAGAGCGGTGGTAGGCTCTGCATCAGGTTTCGAATGGGAGCAGTACTGTCTTGAGAGGCATCGGCAGCACCTAATAAATATGCATTAGGTCGCAAGTACACATATATGTGGATGAATTTTAAGCATACCGGTATTCCAGACTGTAATCTTTGGCTCCATGCCACGGACGGCGTGGGCATTTGCATTCGCGAGTTTCTCATAGGTGTTGTTCTGGATCATCATGTACTGTAAGAGCCCTTGGGGACCGCCGAAGGCATCCGCCATTGCACCGTATGCCTTGGCCATCTCCATCATGCCTTCTGCTTCTTTCTGCCTGGCGACGAATGCCGCTTCTGCAATTTTTGTCTCGCGGTAGACTGAGATTCAGGTCAGTAATTTAAGCACTATACAACATGGCATATAAGAGGAGGGTAGGGGAACTAACATTGGGCGTCGGCTTTCATCTTGTTCTCATAGAGCTGCGCGTCTGCATTCCTGGTCTGGGTATAGTAGCTAGCATCGGCGTCTTGTTGGGCCGATTCTTTGGCAACTTTGCTTTTTGTGACATCTGTGGCTCTCAGCCTCTCGAGTTCGGTTTCCGCACGTTTCGTTTCAACTTCCTTCTGCAACTCAGCATCTCTCATCTCAGACTGGCGTTGGGCGGCAATCTTCTTGAGACGAATGTCCATATCAAGCTCTGTCTGACGGTTGGTAAGTTGGGCATCTGCTTGCGCCTTTTCGCTTCGGCGTTTTGTTTCCAAAACTGCCGTCTCTGCATCGATCTTCGAAATCTCCTGTTTGGTTTTACCGCGTTTCTCAGCTTCCCCAATCTCACCTCTCATTCGGGCTTCAGCGACGTCAATCTTTGCCTGATTTAATGCTCCTTCATGTGCCTTCCGGCTAAGATAGGAGAAATATTCGCTCCCAGGGGCATCTTGGAGCTCTTTAACGTTTGCGTTGTAGCTGTGATGCGAGAGTGTGATTAGTGGTTGTGATGTAAACATGGGGTGAAGCCATGGCCTACATCCGAAGACCAAACTGGTCCAACTCATTCTGCACGTTATCAATGACGTGCTGCTTGAAGATCTGTCTCTCCTTGAAAATCTCTTCCATAGTCATACTGGAGACGATGACGCGAGTTTCACCCTCGATAATGCCTTTGACGATGTCTTGCACATGATTCCCCCTTGTACGGGTAGTGAGCTTTTTATCAGAGGATTCAATTCCATCGGCTTCCCCAGACAAAAGCAGAGCATATTTTTTGAGGGCCTCAATGTTGTTATCTGGGCCAATCGTGAAAACTGCTGGCAGAGAGAATTGGAGTTTCTCAATTGTCATGGCCTGCAGGTTGAGAGAGAAGTCAAAGGGAGAGATAGAGATTCTCCGGCACTAAAAAAGGGTTAGATTTTCAATTGCCAACAGCGGCTTAGAAGTTGTAGTATCATACTTTCTGCCAGGGTAGAACGAAAGCAGTCTTTTTAATAAGCACATCTGTAACCCCTCCTCCGGTAATAACCAAGTACTCATGAGGCTCTGAAACGTTGTACCTGCGGCTAATTCAGCAATGTAAATTTTTGGGGGGTTATAAAAAGCTAAGGACTAACCACATGGCGAGTATAAAGGCGAGTGGATCGCTTCTCTTGCTATAAAAGTCGACGGGAGAGGGCTTGCTAGGTGCGCAACAGAGAGTCGAGGAAGGTAAGGTACAGATACTTGAGGGGCGATGATACAGCTTTATACTTCGTGCCACGAGCGATTTCGAGATCAGCTATGAAGGCGGACTTCGATGACTGATTCTTTGGCCGCAAGGCGGAACCGTAGCTCGCTCTGCGGCTGGGCGTTACCTTGGTTAGTTAGTGTGATTCATGAGAATGTCACGAGGCCTAGCTAGGAGTGAGGTAACAACCTGCGGTCTCGGAAACTGCGGAAGCTGAGAAGTCAGTGTGGCTTGACCACGTTCTGAGAGACTTCCTGGTAGAACTGCCTCTTCCAATGAACCTTACGCACGAAGCGGATTCCCTGGTGGCATTGCGAGATTGGCAACCCGAAGCGAGTACTCCGTACAGCCCAGTGCGAGGCAGTTCTGCGATATGGAGCCATAACCACGGGGCATAATCTGATGCTGAGCATATCTTCCCCCATAGCCTGAGCGCATGCAGGGTTTAGTTACTGTGATGCTTGGCCTCAAACCTTCGTGAGGTGGTGGCGAAGTCGAGGCTCATTGAGCCTCATCATTCCAAGGGTCAATACGGAACAAAGCGGCACTGCCCCGTGTTTTGAAGCCTTGGTGGGATCAACGCTCGCTAACTACCTGCTTCCAGATAACCGAGTTTCCCTGCCAGTCGCAACTCTATGGACTTCGAGAACGCCTAAAAGCAGGCGCATGGTAGCTATTTTGCTCATTACGAGCACCGCTTTTGACAGACCAAGGCTTGAGGGCATTGCTAGTTATTAGCACCTTGGGTTTCATCTACAGCCTGATATCGTGAACATAGTCGCGCAGCTCTCGTTCCACTATGGGCCTGCCGGACGATCCGGCTCCGTCGTACGAAGAATCGGTCTCCTCGCCGTCCTTCACCGGCAGCACACCTAAACATGGCTTCGACTCGGCACCCCCTATGCCTCTCCAATCGCAGCTTGCTGACACTCGATGCCATCGCATCAACTCCATCCTGAGCACGTATGTCGACCCTCTTCTTCTGTCACAAGGTCTAGCGGGGCTCTACAAAACCACGTTTGTCCTGGTGCCGTCCACTGTGTCTACTCTCCAGGATGCCGTGAGCAACGCGTATACTGAGTCTTTGGAGCCGCAAGTCGTCGGATTTCCCATGAACGAGGTGGTAAAGCTCATCCAGCTCAGGGGCGAAGAATATGCGATGGAGTTTCTCCGTCAACCTGCTGTAGTCGCTGAGCTGGAATCATCAATGAAGGCGAGACTCGTCACTTCTGGACACAGAATATATGAACCATCAGATCAGCAGAGCGAGACAACAGTTCAGTCTGCAAAGGTTCAGGCACCGAAAAAAGTCGGGTTTTGGAAGAGAGTGCGGGCACTGGATACGCATGACGATGAGATTCAAGACCGCAAGCTTGGATGGCGGGCAGAGGAGCCACAAGCCCAAGGCTCACCGGGGAAAGTGCCAACGGGTTTGGTGAAGGTGTCTATACAGTGGAAAGACGTTGCGTTACGAATTGCAAATGAAATGGGACTGTATGAAAGTCGGCGGGGCCCTGCTCTCTGCATCAGTGTCGAAGTAGGAACATAAGCTCAGCTCCCGGGCAATCAGTAGTTTATAGTTAATACTGTCTCTTGCCCTGTTTAACGCGGCCAGTCGTTCACTCATGGCGGCTGGCTTCATGTCGTCTCCGCCGCGTCGAAGGATTGACCTGGACTGGAGCCCACCTGCCGTCACGTGAAGAGGTGGGATTAGCTATGTGCCTCAAGCCCGACCGGCATGAAATATGATGGAACCAACAGATTCACCACCTTTCTTGCAGTAGTGAGGTATGTGGCCGCATTTATCTCTTCGTTCTGTAAGATGGATGATTCATGTAACTAATAACACACGGCACAGCTCCTCAACTTTTAGTTTACAGTTACATATTTGTATGAAGACCAGCGAAAAATCGCCATCCAACTCTAACCTCACCTATCTTAAGGCATCTATTTAAAGCAATACGAACGTGCAGTGAACGAATTCTCTGATAGTAACTCTCATCAATCCATAACCCGGCTCCAGCAATATCCATAATAAAACGAAGAAGTACGATGCCTCAAATCGAAGGAAACGCTCGCCATCCTATATCACTAGCAACCTTGTCACTACGCCGACTTGTCGCGGAGGAGGCATCTTATCACAAGGAGCTTGAACAGCAAAAAACCAGCATTGAGAAGAAGGAGCAAGGCCTTAAAAACATTAAAGAGTCCCCAGAAGATGAAGGAAATGCGCAGTGGATGCTAAATCAAGAAGTAGGTTAATTTCCTAGAGTTCAAATGGCCTTATAAATACATGGCTGGCCAATTTTACTGATTGTAAATGGCCTCAGCGTACCGCTTTTGAAGAAACGAAGAAAGTAATGGTTCGCATGGAGGAAGTAGCTAGAAATGCAATGGAGAAATTGGAGGGGTTGTTAGTGAGTTCACCAAAATATGATCAGAATGATCCATTTAAGAAAATAGCCATCCTGACTATATTCTTTTTCCTAAATAGCGAGCAGTTAAAAATGAAGATGATGTCCCCGAGTCAATAATTAAGGAGGCCTCGGAAGAGATCGAAAAGGCAAAATTGGCAATTCCTGGTCTTGCGAGGTCGGCATAAGTGCAATTTTCTGCAGCTGGAAGTTCCCACGGGACGTGTTTCAATATACCTTTGAGCGTTATTCAATACATTCATAGCCGATATATCTACTTTAATGACATAGGCAAGGATTCCCAACACAGAAGTTCGCAAGAGCTACTCCTGAGCCCACTTGCAAAAGTTATTCATGAGAATGATACTCGATGAATTGGCTATTCGAGAATGTGACTCCCTCGTTTTTCAAGGTACCTCTTAATCAGCGCCAGGTATTTGCGGACTCGAGTCTCAAGATGTAGTCGCTTTCTGGGGTATCGAAATCAGTATCAGCGGTAGTTATGTGGTATCCATGGTATCCTTTTCATCATTTACTTCCTCTCCTTCCTCCAGCTCATCTGATGGTCTTAAAGATGAAACAAGGCCATCAGTGCCTGTAGTGGTCGTCAGACCAGCTCCCGCTTCATCCCCTGTTACTTCTCCTTCGTCACCCATGCTTTCATCCTCCATATCTCTTGTATCGGTATTTGATTCTGAGACGGCAACTGCATGCCGTAAGGGGGTACTACCCGGGGTCACTGCAGCTTTTAACTTTTCGACTGGCATCTTTCCGGAGGTCGAGGCAGTATCCTCCATCGCCTGAGACGGAGTCATACTATCTTGATCAGGTTGCGGAGTGCCAACGGTGCTTAATCTCCCCTTAGAGATAGTATCTCCCTCATACCCCTCTTCACCGTCCTCCATACCTTCACGCCTCTCCACCTCTTCCTTTTCATCCCGAATCAAACGTCGTAAATTCATTCCCTCTTCAACTATTCTGCCAAACTGCTCTCGACGTTCCGCCCAGGTCTGCGCATATTCTCCACTTTCCGTCTCCAGCTTGGCAATCTCGGTATTTAGTTTTTCGAGGTTTGCCAGCTGATCCTCCCGGGGTCGAAGCAGCCTGTTAGCGGTAATCTTCTCGGCGAGTTCGTCATATGTCTTGCGAAGTGCTAGAGTCTTCTGCGCTTCTTCCAATTGTCTCCTCAAATTTGCCGTATTTTCCTTCACCTCCTGCGCGGTGGCCAGTATTCTTAGCTTTTCGGCAGCATATCGTTCGCGCTCCTTCGCATTACTTGATAATAGAAATTGGATTCTGGCTATGCTGCTCTCAAATGCCGCAAAGTCCAAAGTAACGTCCTCCTTATACTGCCTCCACTCTTCTAAAAGTTTCTGTCTGCTTGCTTCATGTTGTGCTAGAGTACCTTCATCCCCAAGTGCGGAGTCAGGCGGGGGCGTTGGAAAAATTGAGGAAGGCGTAGACACTATGGAAGCTGGAGTAAGGAGGCGTTTTGTGATTCTTTTGAAAGGCTTTTCTTCGACATTTAAGAGACGCGACTTATGCAGGGAGTCTACGATCTTGGGTTAGCAATTAAAAGAGTTCATTACTGCAATGTAACTGTTCACCTTCTTCTGCTTGGTCAAGGAGGTGATACACGTCCATTTCCGTATTATTTATTAAGCGACGTACCCTCAAGACCCTGTCCTCACTATCCCAAGTCTTTCGTTTGCCTTATACGGAGTATTCCTTGTTCCTTCAAAGCATGTGGAGATGGATAGTTAAAATTATGCCAAGAAACAAAACTTCACGTGCCTAGTTATGGGACTTGGCATTTGTCCAGCACTGATGAATTGACTTCATGATGACGAGAATACGATAATAACTTTCCATGCAACTTTCTAATTTCAAGGACTACTCCGTACTGTTCTTTCAAAGATCGAAGTACATTAATTAGTACATATTCATAAAGTATGGGCATCCGGCGATGTAAAACAACGGCTGTGGTTTGCTACTCACGAAGTTCTTTTCCGAGAAATCTGGAGCTGATTACTTTTTTTATTTTGGTTTACGAAGTAGAGACCATATTGGCTATGTATGACAAGAAAACCTGGTCACAACAAAAAGGCTAGAAATGGCCATGCCCAGCTTCAACGGACTCTGTTCCATGGTTTTCAGATTCTGCATTGACACCTGCATCTCACACACACTTTTGCAATTTGGCGATGGTAAATGGCCACGCCGAATTGCAACGGTTGTATAAAGCTTGCCCCGGATTTATCATATGTGCCAACGACTAAAACGTGTGGTACCAACCCTCTGACGCCATCTGACCTTGTTATATCCCCAGGTCCCCACGAAACTGAATGCAAGAGTCTCGATTTTTCGATTGATTAAGCTATATTTTGAGCTTCTATTCAATTCCCCGGGGCTGCGTCTACACCCAGCCCATTGCTGAGGCCTGCTGCATGCCCATGTCCTAATAGCACACGCTAATCATGTATGCACCAATTTTGTTTGGCTGGCGTTATTCGCATAGTGGCAGTAATCTGAAGAAGCTGTCACTCTTTTTTCTGCGGTGATTGCCCTGCACAGGCCTAGGACGGGACCATGGCTCTCTGCATAAGTATAGTTTTGGTCATAAACGATGCAAATACACAAGAATGAGAGTTCTTAATATTCCGGTTTTAGGCTCTATATATGCTCTGACTTTCTGAATGCTATTTTATACCCCGCACCCCCAGATCCATTAGAATATATTATTCGTAATATCTCGATCTACAAGCTCTTTTGAGATATTCTCATCAGAGCTCTTTTTCACCCTAATAACTTGATTGACTTTCGAAATCAGATACTAAAATGTCCTATATGCAGCAAGAGAGTATGGGCAGTGTGAATAAAAACCCAGTTGAGCAGTTGGAAATCCAGCCTGCAGGCAGCGGCAGCCAAGCCAAAGTCGAACCTGTGGTCGATTACGACGAAAATACATCGGGCGATTCAGAGAAGGAGCCTACAGAAGAAGAATGCTATTCTCTCAGACGCGTTGCGGGACCTTTGCCGTGGTCTGCGTTTCTAGTTGCTCTGGTTGAATTGTGTGAAAGGTTCGCATACTACGGAATCACAGGACCTTTTCAGGTATGTAATTTTTTCATCCTCGGTGTTCTGTGCTAGGGTTTGACTTGATATCCGTAGAACTACGTTGAAAACCCCTACAAACCCGGTAGCCCAACTCCGGGTGCGATTGGTAGGTCGTGGCGTGGTCATCAAAAGAGTACTACTAATATTTCCAGGACTTGGCCAATCCGGTGCAACTGGATTGACAAGCTTCTTTCAGGTAAGGTGACAATTGAAACCCGATATGGTCTTGATTATAACATTTCTGTTTTGCCAGTTTTGGTGCTATGTCACTCCTACCCTTGGTGGCATTGTGGCCGACCAATATCTGGGGAAATACAATACCATCCTTCTGTCTTCCATAGTATATATTGTGGGCTTGGTGGTTTTGTGCTGCACATCTTTACCTGTGGCTATCACACATAATGCAGCGCTCGGTGGCCTTGTGGCTGCCATGATTATCATTGGTCTTGGGACCGGTGGAATCAAAGCCAACATTTCTCCTTTAATCGCAGAACAAATCCAGTTCAAAAAATTATTCGTGAAAAAATTGAAGTCTGGGGAGCGTGTTATTGTGGATCCTGCTCGGACTATTGAACGAGTGTGTAGGTTTTATAGGTCACATTCGAAGCTATTCAATGCTAATTTTATTTACTTAGATATGATATTTTATTTATGTATTAACATTGGATCTCTCTCACCTATTGCGACCACATCATTAGAGAAACATATTGGTTTTTGGGCTGCGTATCTACTACCAGCAGGCGTATTCCTTATTTCATTTACCGTCGCCGTTCTTGGGAGATCGCAGTATGTTGTGCGTCCGCCAAAGGGATCAGTTATTCCACAAGCACTCAGAATTATATGGATTGGTATAAAGAACAAAGGCAACCTCGATGCAGCAAAGCCTTCCTATAGAGCCATTGTTGGAGGTAGAATATCCCCTGTTCCCTGGGATGATCATTTTGTGGACGAAATAAAACGGACGCTTGTCGCCTGCAAAGTTTTTGTGTATAAATTCCTTCCTCAACTTAGAAGTGCACCTCTAACAATATACCAGGTATTTTCCTATTTACTGGGTCTGTTATCAGCAGATGTTGACCAATTTCATATCCCAAGCGGGTACTATGGAGCTTCATGGTATTCCAAATGATATTATGCAGAATATTGACCCGTTGACCATCATTATTTTTATTCCAATTTGCGACAGGTTGCTATATCCTTTTCTGCGAAAAATGGGTACTGAATTCCCTCGTGGTCTACCGTCGCTTTACTATGCTAATAAACATTAGGAATTCCTTTCAAACCAGTTACCCGTATTGCAACTGGCTTCATATTGGCGTCACTTTCTATGGCGTATGCTGCGATTGTACAACATCTGATCTACCAGTCACCGCCATGTTATCAGTTCCCCAAAAAGTGTCCGGCCAGCAAGGATGGCAAACAAGGAAACCATATCCATGTGGCAATACAGACTCCAGCTTATCTTTTCATTGGATTGTCTGAAATATTTGCCAGTATTACCGGAATTGAATATGCCTTTACCAAGGCACCCGCCTCGATGAAATCCTTTGTCACTGCGGTATTTTTGTTGACAAGCGCTTTCGGCGCTGCGCTTGGTATCGCAATATCGCCAACAGCTAAGCATCCTAAGCTTGTTGTAAGAGATATCTTTCCCTTCTTCCTACGGGGATCTCAAATGTAATGCTAATGGGTTCAATTCAGTGGATGTATACTGGTTTATCAGTTGCCTCTGCAATTGCCGGTGTCATATTCTGGTTGTTGTACCACCGGTACAATGAAACAGAAGAGGAAATGAACTCTCTTGAGGTTGAGCAGAGAGATGATGAAAAACCAGTAGCCGCGAACCAAATAGGGATTAGTGGCCGCCGTGACGATTATTCCTAAATTATATCCTTAAGGCATCAGAGTCCAGTTTGCCTAGTGTTGAGAATATAGTATCTTTCCTTGACCCTGAGGAGAGAACACATCATAATCTTCCAACGGGTTTCCCATCCTGCTACTATGAGGTTATGAAAAGAGGTTATCCATATTTTGCACACAAACGGGGCCTGCTTGCCACTCTTGCTGGTTTTTACAGTTTATTCTGATAATCTTGGACACAGGGTGCGGAATTTCTCTTTTTTGTAGAGGCATACATTACTGCAAAACTTCATATATCTGAATCAAGGCGAGACTCTATGTACTGGTGGGCATATGTCCCTATGGAAGATATTAACACAGGAGTATTAAGCTTGGATGTTTGAGTCTATTCTCTGAAACATTGTGCTTTTACATACCGTGATTAGTTGGCTGCCAATTGAATTCCATCTAATATTTGTGTCGAGGGCTTTCCATTAGAGTAATCCAACAACTGTCACTCCCAACTACACGCATCCATAAAATTTCGAAAAAAGGATACTACGGAGTAATCGGTACCCTGTACTCCGTATTGTATCTCGAGCTCGAGGCTTCTTTCTGCCTGAGGTTTGGTGTTCTGCTTAATCAGCACTTCCCGTGCACTTAACTATGTAGTTAGTTAATTATCCCTAAAACCCCCACAGAATTCTGTGAATGCTCTCAGTAGGTAAGCCTATCTACTATGTTACTCCGCAGGTGGTGGGCGATCTGTGAGACTCAGTGGAGATGCAGTTGCATTGAGTGACTGGATATCTTCTGAGGTGTCATACCTTATAAGGTGCGGGCCGAATCTGAGAGCACCACATGACGATTAAACCAAAGGCTGCTATGTCCAACTGGCTTGAAAACATACAACAACCCTTAATTCTTGCCTGCTGCTCTCACTCGCTATTTAGAAATCAAGAAGCCGGACTTCTTTAGGTCCATATATTTTATACCCACAATGGAGAACAATGCTTGCCTCGGCAATATCTTTACTCCCTTATTTTTTTTGGGTACGGAGTATTTGGGCTGTTCTCTGCCTTAATACAGAGAATGAACATCCAAAACAACAAAACACTGGCCTTCTGTGTGACAGAGCACCGTACTACATACCCATCCCGCAACCTTTTTCCAATTTTCAGACCAGCAACCCGGCCTTTTTTTTGGCCCTTAGCAATAGGAAAAGAAAGTTTGTATCACTGGAGAGCATGCAACCCCAGAATGCACTGCTTCCAGATAATGATCAAGAACTAAACGGGGTTTCTCAAGATGCCTATGCCAGCATCCACTAGTCCCTGCTGCATGATGATTAGCTATACTGTTCTATTCTGATTGACCACCTCTCCCAAATCATTTGAAAATACTTTTTATGAAGTTATTCCCCTCCTTGGATAGCATGTTTCATTTTATGAATGGAATTTTCTAAACTAATTATTTACCTTCCCTGCACCACAATGACATCTAGCGCCAGCAAAAATGAGGGGGACGAAAATACCAACCAAAGAGGCTCCCATATTGAAGATGCTGAAAAGGAGAATGCACAGTTGGTGCGAGGCCTTCAGGAAAGACATTTACAGATGATAGCAATTGGTATGTAAGCCATTCTTCAAAACATCCCTTTCCTCTGATAACGAGGTATGTTAGGTGGCTCCATTGGTGCAGGACTGTTCATTGGGTCTGGAAAAGCACTAAGCTCAGGTGGACCTGCCAGCTTAGTATAGTCTCTCCTTTGCGGCTCTTATTCTTTTGCGGTTCGATAACTGATTCTGCTGGTATTCAGTTTCTAGGGTTCATACTCATAGGCATCATGGTATTATGCTGTATACAATCTCTCGCTGAAATGGCAGTGTTGTATCCCGTAAACGGGGCATTTTACATATATTCATCCCGATTTATTGACCCAGGATGGTGTGTATCGGCGAACTAGCTGCAGTATTGTAAGCTAATACTTCCTCAAGGGGATTTGCTCTGGGATGGCAGTATGCGGTGGGCTGGCTTCTCACGCTTCCGTTCGAGATTACCGCTGCGGGAATAACAGTCAAATTCTGGCGCTCTGATATCAATATTGGAGTTTGGGTCGCTGTCTTTCTCGGAATGCTGATTCTGGTCCAGTTTTTTGGAATCAAAGGATACGGAGAATGTGAGATCACGATCTTGGATGAGATTAACCACTCCTAATATTAGCAGACTAACTTTGAATAGCCGAATTTATTCTTGCTCTTATCAAAGTAATCGCGTGCACAGCTCTGATTATCCTTGGCATTATAATCAATGTTGGAGGCGTGCCAACAGATAACCGGGGATACATCGGCGGCAGATACTGGCGTGACCCGGGAAGTTTTCGTAATGGCTTCAAAGGATTTGTATCCGTCCTTGTGGCAGCTGCATTCGCGTATGGGGGTGCCGAAATGGTCGGTCTGGCGGCTGCTGAGACAGTACACCCACACAAATCAATTCCAAAAGCATCTAGACAGGTGCTATGGCGCATCGTCATCTTCTACGTTGTCAATATCCTGCTGATAGGACTGAATGTACCAAGCGATAGCCCCGTGCTCCTGGGTGCGAAAGGGGGCAATACAAAAGCGAGTCCGTTTGTTCTTGCAACCCAGCTTGCGGGCATCAAAGCGTTACCGTCAGTTATCAATGCCGTCATCACCATCTCGGTTCTCAGTGTTGCAAATACATGTTCGTTTGCTTCAACCCGTACGCTACAGGCTTTGGCGTCAACGGGAAATGCACCGAAAATATTCGCCTACATAGATAGCAAAGGCCGGCCGCTGTGGTGCATTGTGTTACAGATACTATTTGGCTTATTGGCCTTTGTCAATGAGATTGCTGCCGGCGAGGTTGTTTTTTCTTGGTTGTTAGCTTTGGGGGGGCTCTCAAGCTTGATTATTTCAGCAAGCATCTGTTTAAGTCATATCAGATTTAGAAGAGCCTGGAAAATCCAGGGACGAAACGAGTCGGATATTCCGTACCGGTCTCCTCTCGGGGTTACGGGGAGCAGAGTTGGCTTTCTCGTGGCGAGTCTTGCTATCATAGCGACCTTTTATCTAGGAATATTCGTGAGTAAAAGCCGACTTTCTTCGTTCCTTGCAGCTGCTAAGACTAATTCCTTCGCCCAGCCTATTACTTCTAAGTCACGGGTTGAGTCTTTCTTCAAGACATGTTTATCAGGCCCGCTTATAGTAATTGTCGCGTTATGTTGGAAGATTTACTCCAGGGACTGGAGTTTTGGTGTTGATTTACAGCGCGTCGACCTGGACGACGGGCTACGAATGGATGTTCAAGTTAATCTAAGTTCCCCCGAAACGACGGAAGAAGAAAAACTGTCCACGGTTAGAAGAATTTCGGCTTTGCTCTTTTGAAGCGTACGGACAGTCACAGTCGATTGCCCTACCGATTCTCTGAGCCTCCCCAAACCTGCTTCTTCTGTGGCAACATTTGTTCTGCCGGTGGTCTGAAACCACCCAGTATGATGACTAGTTAACCCCGATGCCTCCAAGGAGGCCTTCAATAGGCAATTTTATGTTGAATTCCCTTTGTATATGTTTCATTCAAAGCTAAAAGGATCTGTTTTCTATATAGAGAATAGACTTTTATATACCTAGCTTCTCCAGCTTCTCCTGAAAAAAAAAACCTGGATCTACTCCGCACAGCCCAGACTCTAATATTGCGCCAGCCATTTCTTAACAGAGAGGGAACCCGGGTTTCCCCACAATGGCGAGAATACAGATGACCACAACAGTCTCCAGAAGCAACCCGGCCGCCAGCTGAGAGATACCTACCCCGCACTCCGCACTCACAAAGGCAGGGAGGAACCGACAACAGGCACATGAAGCAATCAATGCCAGTGCGGAGTCAAAGGTCCCAGTCCAACCCTGCAGTCATCAGGATGCTGGTTGTCGCAAGCAAATACCTCGTGAGGGGTTCAAACCCCCGCTTCCGAATCAGGCATCCAACCAGCCACACCGACGAAAACAAAACGCCCATACCAGCCACGAACTGGCGGGCGCAAAGGCATGGATACTTAGCTTCGTGTGGGGAGTCGGGGGAGATCGACAAACCCAAAAGACGGGCGCGGCTCTCGCTAGCTAGTAGTTAGTAGTTTGTCCACCGGAACTTGACCGAGCTCGCCCGTTTCCTCCCGGCACGCCAGGGCCCCGTCGGCTAGACTGCGCGCCCTGACATGTGGAGATCGGAGCACTCGAGCCCTTGTTCGTGCAGGGACTGAGCTCTCCCCGGATTCCCACCACGTGTGGGCTGGGAGCTTCTTCTCCACCGGGGGAGGGGGACGAAGGCCTGGGCGGTCGGACGGCCGGTTGATACGCGTTGTTGTTGCGGGGTGAGAGGTCTTCACGCAAAGGGTGTATGGTGTTTTGAAACAATTATTGGCCCATAGCCCAAAACACAATCTATTGCTATTAAGGATACCAAGGGTGGCAAACCCACCAGAAAATACTATAGGCTAGAAATGCACCAAGATGATTTCCCCGAGGATCCTGGATGTTGACGACCCTCTTCAATGCGTGCCGAAATCGGGATATCACAAACGTCCACAAGATGGTATTAAACCCAAGTAGTGGCATGCTCCATAATATGACTATTACTTTTGTCCCTCCAGAGCCCTCCACCTCGTCTCCGTGTTAACCAGTCCATAAGCCTCATGTGTAACAACAAAGAAAAAAGAAAAAATGCCGGCTAGAAAGGAAAATCACAAATGGGGTATGAGAATATGAATGCAAGACAGGAAATCTATCACGTAGCCAAGCGTCAGATCACAGCTTAGAGTCGCCATTCGCTTCCCCGTTGGTGGCATCTCCGTTTGTACTCAGACGCCCGATTGAAGAGAGGAGAAGGCCCACTTCTCTTTCCAAAGACTGCACCTCTCCATGGGGATTGTACATTCGGGCTTTGATCCAAGCGTCCAGATCCGAGTCAGTGAAGGACCGAATGCCCGTTTCACGGTCTACCTTGGCATCCTGGGCAGCGCGGATGACTCCACGAGCAACAGAAACGCTGACTTCCCTAATTCTCGTGATGTCGGGGTACAGAAGACCACGGTCGATTTCTTCAGCCGTGAGAGACTTGGAGAGGGCGTTGGCGGAAGCGTATATCATGGAGTCAGTGATCTCCACGGCCTTGGAGAGAATTGTTCCCAAGCCAATGCCTGGAAAGACATACATGTTATTACCTTGGCCGGGATAGTATGTCTTCGTCTCGCCAGTTCTGTCGCGGTGGGAGAAAGGCTGGAATGGGGATCCCGATGCAAAGAGGCAGCGGCCATCGGTGTGAAGGACAGCAGACTCAAAATTGCATTCAGAGTTAGCAGAGGGGTTGGACAGTGGGAAGATAATTGGGTGTTTATTCCAACCACCCATCTTCCTAAGAATATCAGGTGTGAAGACACTTCCAAGGGTGGACAACCCCATCAGCATCGTAGGTCTGGCATAGCCAACGACGTCGTCTAGGGTTTTGAACTGTTGGCCATCGTTGTCTGTTCGTGCAAAATATACCTTGTGAGGAGCGAGCTTGTCACCACGGTCGGCTGTCACAAGACCCTTTGTGTCGACGAGGTAAAAGCAAGCTCGGGCTTCATCTTCCGTCATGCCCTCGTTGACGAAGTAGTCCACGATCTGCTTAGCAACGCCGACACCAGCACTTCCTGCACCCAAAAACACGGCTCTGTGGTGCCTTGGGGGAATGCCGGACCTTTTAACAGCGTTCATTACACCAGCCAGGATGACGGCACCAGTGCCTTGGATATCGTCATTGAAGGAAGTATACTTGTGCCGATATCGCTCCAATGCGGGGAAGGGATTCTTGAAGTCTTCGAATTGGACAACAATACTAGTTACCTTGGTATTAGTATGCTTGTTTGACTCGGGCGGGGCGTATGACTCACCCTGGCCATCGTTCCGTTAGAGCCGTCATCAGCTCATCGAGAAATTCCAGTTCTTGCTCTGGAGTAATCTTTTCTCGACGGCTGCCCATGTATAAGGGATCCTCTCTCAACGACTTGTTGCTGGTTCCCAGGTCCAGTGTGAGAGGAAGAGTAGCCTCGGGTCGAATGCCAGCACAGGCAGTATACAGTGCCAGCTTGCCAATTGGAATACCCATGCCATTGATACCGAGGTCACCCAATCCCAAGATTCGTGACCCATCAGTGATACATGTGATTTCCACATTGGGCTGAGGCCAGTTCTGAATGACAGCAGCAATGTTTCCGCGATCCTCATAGCTGATATACATGCCTGTGGGGACGACGAAAACGTTTTAGCATGTGATTGTCGCCATTTGAACGGGGCATCGGGTGGATTACCTTCCGGCTGCTGGTATATTTCCGACCATTTCAGACAAGCTTCTCCGACAACGGGAGTATAGATCAAGGGCGTCAGTTCCTGGAAGAAGTTAGTCGGGACCCCCGACCCCATGCACGGATAGTGCCCGGGAGGCGTTCACTGCGTACCTTCAGGTGGTCTATTACCAACCGGTAGAATAAATGCACGTTGTTCTTGCGGATGGCGCTGAGATACAGGAATTTATCGATGGCAGTCGACTTCAGTGCTAATTGAGTGAGACCTAGAAATCCCATCTATCAGCACTGAGCTCCACGGCAGTCTTTTCACGCCCTTGACCAACATCTTGTCTTCTGCACCTCGTAGCTGTCAACGTGGGGAGGCGTCAGGCCGTATGTGCGAAGGTATTTGCGAATGTAGCCCGGGTTGGCGGTGTCGTAGTTCGCTTCTCTGTGTTGAGCAACGCCCTGTCAGCCTCCAGCAACACAGCAGCAGCAAAACTGCAGGGGACTCACGAAGCACTGGCAGCATGGCAGGGACTGTTATGGACAGCACGGAGCTGCTGGGAACGAGGGAGAGATTGACTCATTGTCAATACTGAGGGAAGACAGGACGGCAGACCAGAAGGGGCGGCAGCAGAGGGCGAGGAGAGGGCAGATACAAAAATCGGGGAAGCCGGGCGAGCTGGGAAGCAGCAGCAGCGAGCGATGCTTTTAAGGATTGGCATTGGAGAGCCGTCCACGCCAGCGACTGCGACTAGGGCAACCCAGAAGGGGGCCAGGCTCTTACAGTTATGAAGCGAGTTCCAGGATGGCGAGCGGGATGGGAAACGGCTAAGCAGAACAGCCCCGAGCAACGGGGGCCCTCGCGCGCGCGCCGCACGAGATTATTGCGACGTGCATGCGCTTTCGGCGGTCGAGCCAGCTCTCGGGCGATTCCGGGTCCCATTCTGCTTACTTCTGACGAAGTTTCCTGGCGCTCCATCATGGGCGTTTTGGTGCGTTTTTCGCGGCCCAAGGTTTGGTTGGACGCTGGCCCAGGGCGCGCGCGAACGATCCAATGCGGAGAACCCGAAAGTCTGATGCACGAAAAGAAGACGACGCCGGGCGATGAAGCTGTTCAGGTCGGAAGCTGGCTCCTCTTCTACGCTGTGCCGCCCGGTTTCAGCTGTGCCTCAAACCTCGGTTACGGCTGTGGGCTGGTGGCCGCCGCTGTGATTTGCGATCGATAGGTCTGTGGGATGCACTCCTGTGAGCAGCACCGGCAGATCCTCAAACGTCGCTCGCTCTCTGGCTCCTAACTATATAAATCGCACACGACCGCACGCGACACTGCAGTGGTCTCCTACGCTTCGTCTCCTCTGTCTGTCCTGGCCCCATCTTCAAACAGCTGGCACGCACCCAGCTCCAAAGTGGCCCCCGAGATCCCTGCGAGCGAGCTCCCCTGCGCCTCGGTGCGCTAACTAGTCGACAACGCCGAGTCTTAGTTCGATGCCACACTCATGGACGGGTGCTAATGCACTGCGGAGCCCCTAAGAACTTTCTTTGCCCTGCTGCCGGCTTACGAGTGGCTTGAGGGCCCGCAGCGAGCAGGGATTCGGGCGCCGCCATCTCGCCGGGCCTGTTCGTCATCAAACGCAAGCAAAATTGTGATAGACAGCCCCAAATGCCACGAGAAGGTTGGGCTCCCAACAAGCCAATTTGGTGGGAAGTCTTATTTGCTTTTCCTTTCACGAATCCTTCGGATCGAGCGACGAAGAGCCGTAGGATTCGCTGCAAAATACGCGCAAGGCCTGTGCTGCCCATTTCGCTCTCGCCTACCTCTCTTATACGAGTATTTCCAGATTCGGTCCCGATTGGTGTGCGAAGCCTGCGAATCGCGGCGCTGCTGTCAAACAACGTAACTTCATTCGATACTCTACTGGTAATTGCCCAATTTATGTGGAAAGTCTGAAGTTTTTATTGCTCCCAAATTCGAGATCGAAGTTCTGCCCCATCAACCACTATTCCAGAGGGATACTCTCCTTTGCCGCTACCTACTGAGGAGCATTCCGGTTTATTCTCACATAGCCAGTCTGCTGGTGCTGTCATATTTTAACCCCGGAACATCTTGATGTTGCACTTCAATTTCGAAGAAATTGGTTGCTATTTTTAAATCCCTTACGTGTCATATTTGGTGGCATAAGAGTGGTATGTGCGGAGTACGAAGTACTGGCCTACCCTTCAACCACTACATATTATTAAGACGAACAAGGCAGGTTCTTGTTTAGTACGACGCAATTACAAAGTCAATGGAAAATCGCCAATTCCAGCCTGCCACAGGAAGTGAATTAGTAAGATCGTCTCTACGAAGTTTACATGTTCGCGACGTAAGAATACAGCTAGCTCAAGCGCTACAGAGGCATTCAGAAGAAAGACACTTGTTGTGTCTGTCTTTTGTGACATTGTTAAAAGGTATTCTGTCAATAAGGGGCTGTCGAATATTCTGACGCCAACTATCCATTTATTTCTAGAAAAAGCCACTCGAGGCGAAGTATGCTACGGCATCATATATCCACATCCCAAAAAAGGCACTTTCATGAGACGGCCTTTCCTGAAACCGGCCTAGAAGGTTTGATAGTAGCAAGTATTGGCAGTGGAGAGACGGTTTCATTGTTGACCCTTCAATCTCAATTTTGACTACATGAGATACAGTTGCCGCTCCTCTAACATGGAGTTTTGTCTATGATGAAAAATATGTACTCCATATTTAACTTGACTCTTCTCAGCTTGCCAGTGCTCCCTAAGGAGAGGGCTTGCTCGAGTTGCGGGTTAGATACCGACTCAAAGACGATGCAACGGTTATGCTAAGTCCACCTGCAGGCCAATCTGACACCTGGGAAAATGGAAATCACTAAAAACATCATACTTATTCTTGAACTCCTGCGGTCAAAAAGCCCAAAGCATTTTGGACATAGCGATAGGAACCTAATAATATTCTACTACATTCTCTGTGGTGGAGCAGCTACTCTTGAATGCGTTCTAGATACCCACTTAAAAGAGGTCTTTTGGACCACTTTTACTGTGCACTTCCGGTGGTAATGTTGTCTCCCTTGGCCAAATGGAATGACGAAAAATAAAATGTTATTTTATCTACATACCTAAAGCAATGTGGCTCAGTTTGGACGGGTATTGAACGGAAGAAATTGAGAATATCAACTTATAAATTCGCGTATCCAACAAAGTGTTAAGCAAAACCGGCACTCTTAAGGCTCTGCTGCCATCTCTAGCATGAATGTATGTATTTCAATTAACTGCACCCCCCAAAAGAAGTCTTGGCGTCATAGTTATTTGGTGCTTATGTAACACCAAGAAGGACGTCATCAAGGTAGTTAATGCCCACTTTCTTGCATCGCCGTCGCATCTTAATCGCATCCACCAGGTCGCGACCTTCAATTACGATGTCCTGGTCTCACCTGAATGTGTTTATGTCTTAATGATCACTGACGTTTTCTGATTGTGCATACGAAGACCCATGAGGCCTGCATCCATACTTGGATAGTATCTTAGCGACTTGCATGTTCAATCGTCGGGTGTGTTCGAGATTAAGCACAGAGCCAACAAATATCGAAACTACTTCTGCGATTATAGCTAATGACCTTTTACCAGAATTCCCCACTACTGCAACAATGTTTTCGTGTTGTCAATCTCGCAAGTCGCGACACGGCGAAACCCAACCACTTCTCCCCCAACATGATGCCAACACCAATTTGCAGCGAGAGCTGCAGGATAAATTGCACCACTACGAAATGGTTCGGGCGATGTATTCGGGCTTCATGCCATCATCTACTCAGATCGTTTCACATCTCCGTGCCTTACTGGTTTCAGATTTGCTGAACCCAAACAATCTGACTCTGAGCTCGGCGGGCCGGCAGCTAGCCAGGGATTGCAGGGCCTGGATTAGGGTTTTCATCGAATTCCTGCGCCAGAAAAATGGAGAAGATCAGCTGCAAGAAGCCATCTGGAATTTTTCAAGGTCAACTGCATCCGTTGATACTTCTGATCTTGCTCAGAGGGTCTCGTTTGCAAAGGCGCGGGCAGACAGTACAGCTGGTACTTGATATCACTCTAACCGCAAAGTCCCTTATAGGGCATAATGCGTTGTTAGAAATAGACTGATTATTCAAGTAGCATACGAAAGCCTGCGCACTATAACGGGTCTTTTAATGACAAACGCTGATTTCCGTTTATTAGTGGGTGACCTGACGACAGTCTCTCGCCAGATATTTGCGGACACGGCTGCCTCTGTATCTGCAGCTGCAGCAGAAGTTTCACAACAGGTGGAACCCTCCGAAGCCCAGAAAGATGCTATTGGCGGAGATTCTTCTAACGAAGAGCCACCTACGACTGAAGACGTTGCTGAGGAAGCAGAGAGAGTTGCAGACATAACCATACAAGGAGTTAGCCAGGCAAGCCGGGACGCTGTGGATAGCACGATGAGCAATTTTTCTGGGAAACAGAGGAAGGCTATCCTGCACCGTATCAAACAAACAGTGGACAACCTGCGAAAAAGGGAAGATTATTCAAACTCTGCCAACACAATTTCACAAATTATTCAGCATTACTTAATGATATATTATCGGCTTATGGGCTCAACCGTTACTGACCTCGGAGAAGATATCGAGGTGAACAAAGAGCTCAATCAAGCTATTCGGAGCTTGTGGGCCTTTCTATCGTCATTTGGCGAACGGGAAGACTGGGAAATCTTAGAGCAAAATTTTTCGAAGCTGCTCAAAAACTACCAAGATGATGAAGAGTATCAGGAGCTTTTTAACAATATTGGATCCACCCTCTTCAGTTTATTGACTGACCCTGACTTTTATAACTCAGCTGAAGAATCTATCGATTCATTAAAGGAAAAGTTAAAGGTAGCCAGTACTGATTCAAACCAAGAGCTAGCCAACTTTTTCGATCAATTAAAACAGACACTGCTATCTGTTTCTCAAGACAAAAGTGTTGTTAAAATTATCGCTGCCTCCAAAGTTCTTATGACGCATTTGGTGGCAGCGTTCCGTGACGATCGCAGTCGGTTACCAGCCGATATATTGCACATATTTTTGCCAATTCTGATTCGAGCCGTGCAGCATATCCCGATTCCAAGATTGGAGGTTTCTGTCCCCGAAATGGATCTTCTGCTTGAGAATGTGATTCTGGAGCCTGGCCATACCATCCACGCATCTTCATTCCTTCCATATCGCCTGCTCTTCACGGCCACAAATAACTTTGAGCTTCGAAAGACCCACTCTAAGGAAACCACCTCTGCAATGACAAATATAATAAATATTACATTGAATGGACTTAATATTAGCGCGCAGGAATTTGGGTATTGGGTTCGCGTGCACTCGCCCCCTTACCTTCCATACTTTGGTGATGAAGGAATAGCAAGTTTTGCGCTCGACAAGCGTGGAATTGACATATCTCTTGAGATTGCTATCGGCAAACAACGTTTAGAACAAGTGTTCTCTCTGCGAGCTGTTCGTGTTTGCATCCACAAACTCGATTACACCATCAAAAAGAGCAGCTGGTCCTATCTCTGGTGGATTGTCAAACCGTTCGTCAAGCATATGGTTCGCCGCACCCTGGAGAAGAAGATTGCAGAGCAAATCGTGGCTGCAGCGCATGTCATCAATCGCGAGCTTGTGTTTGTGCGAGAGCGTTTGAGAGCGGCGAGAATTGCCGACCCTGATAATTTCCTGACCTTTGTCAAAGCTGTGATAACAAGAATGACACCTACCCAGGAACCAGACGTGTACACCAGGGTGGGAGTCGATGCGCCACGCCAAGGCGTATTTGAAAATGTGTATACGCCTGCCAGCTTGATGAAAATCTGGCATGAAGAGGGAGAAAGAGCTGACGAACTTGTTGATGGTGGAGATGAAAGTGGTGTGAGGCTTACTTGGAGAAATCGGATTTTCGATTATTTGTCGTCCAGACGCCCTTCCCAACAGCCCCTTCGAACGGTTTGAAGTAGTATTAGGTATTGATTTCGGGTGTTCTCAAGGTGTTTTACGAGCCAGTTGAATTCAAAATATATCTTGGGGTTTTCCAAACCTACTTCATTAAATATGAAATCCCACAATAATATAATATCATTTGATCTGGGTGCCTGTATCTCAGTAAAGGTGTTCAGGGGCTTTACGCGGATTACTAACAGACGTTACGTAATCGTATCGCCGATCGGTGAAACAATAATCCGTGATAAGTGTCAGCTTATCGCAAAAGCTGCCACCTTAGCAATTCTGAGCCTGCGACTCAACAAACAGACTCGCGCAATTATAATTGCCCTCTCTCTTGTGCCTTATGCCCCCTAATCCATAGACTAAAACTTTTATAAATCAAACAACGGCATCCGCCACCCCTTGCCTTCCCTACGAAATGTTGCTTCCTTCTATAAGACTATACCTCCAGTGATTTCTCATCCGAGATCTCGCGGTTAAGACTTCCCACGCCTCGGGTTCTGGGGGATTCTCCTACAATATCTCGCCTTAATAGACGCTCTTTCCTTTTCCAAAGGTCACAATGCTACCACTTTCCTTGCTAGTGGGGATATCGATTCTCCTACTTGTCCCATTTACGTTATGCGCTGAAGACTATTATAAAATACTGGGGGTGGACAAGTCGGCTTCAGAACGTGATATAAAGAGGGCATATAGAACATTGAGTAAAAAGTTCCATCCAGATAAGAATCCGTAAGTTCCAGATTAGTTTCGCGATTACTTATTTTTTATCTTCTTTTAATCGTAAATACATGCTGGGCCCTATCATCTGTTAACTGACTGTTTATCTCTATGGTTAGTGGAAATGAATCAGCGCATCAAAAGTTTGTTGACATAGCCGAAGCATATGAGATTCTATCAACCGCTTCTACGAGGAAGATCTATGATAAATACGGCCATGAAGGTCTGAAACAAAATCAACAAGGCGGGGGGGCGACGCACGACCCGTTCGATTTATTTTCGCGTTTTTTTGGCGGTGGTGGGCAAAACGGCCAGCGACGCGGTCATGATATGGAAGTCCGACTACAAGGACCACTTCGGGATTTTTACAACGGCAGAGAAGCCGAATTTCAGATCGAAAAACAGCAGATCTGTGATACATGTGAAGGCTCGGGATCTGCTGATGGGAAAGTGGAGACCTGCTCACAATGTGGCGGCCATGGGATCGTTTTAAAGAAACATATGTTAGCACCTGGCATATTCCAACAAGTGCAAATGCATTGCGATAAATGCGGCGGGAAAGGGAAAACGATATTACACCCTTGCCCTACTTGCCAGGGCAATCGCGTTGTGCGAAAAGTAGTCTCGCTGACGGCCAACATAGAACGAGGAATGGGCAAGGGCTCAAGGATAGTGTTCGAAAACGAAGCCGATGAAAGCCCAGACTGGGTTGCGGGCGACCTAATAGTCGTTCTAGCAGAAGCAGAGCCGAAGCTTGGTGATAGCGATGAGGAGAGGACCGACGGCGTTTTCTTCCGTCGTAAAGGCAAGGACTTGTTCTGGAAAGAAGTTCTTAGCCTTCGGGAAGCTTGGATGGGGGATTGGACCCGGAACATCACCCATCTTGATGGACATATTGTTCAGCTTGGTCGAAAGCGAGGCGAGACTGTTCAACCACTGACAGTGGAAACAGTGAAGGGTGAAGGGATGCCGATTTGGCACGGAGGTCATATGCACGAACACGGCGGTGAAGAATTTGGAAATCTTTACGTTGAATATACTGTGGTACTACCTGATGAAATGGAAAAGGGGATGGAGAAGGATTTCTTCTCTTTGTTTGAGAAATGGAGAAAGAAGGGTGGGGTGGACTTGCAAAAGGATTCTGGCCGGCCTATTCCTTCGAAGGACGAATTGTAACATTGCATACCTATTCTTTCTCTAGCATAAGAGATACTATATATTACCCTCTGCTATATTTTAGGTTTTGGAAGTAATACCCTTCCAGGACCAAAGTTCACCGAATGCAAAACGCAACAATATATTATTACACAACCTCCACTAAGTTTGAACTCTCGCTGTACGGATCCAATCACCCTAGCAAAAACTCTTCCACACGGTTATCTATCACCTTCACTAGCAAGACAACTAACTACCAGAGGTGACCATAGCAGAATACTACCGTTGTGATCAGTCCCAGCCCCAAATATTGATGTTATTGGCTCCATAACTTTACATATCTCTGGAAAATCTTGGATATCTATTACCTGATTACTCCATATCAAGTGTCGTATGCCTTTATATGAAAAACACTGAAACTCCCCATGCCTGTAAAATAAAGAACAATTAAAAAAAAGAGCGGGAAATTAATATTTCTATAGCTTCATCCCTTCAGCATGGTCTTTACAGGTGGATGTTAGCAGACAAAGAATTAAGCAGAATCTCATAACATCGTATATTAATCATTATTCTACAGCAACATTCTACTCTATACAGCCGTCGACGTGATGTAGACATGAAATGCGATACTATCCAAAAACATTCAAAACATTCACAAATGGCAGGGCTCCGAAATTCATTACAGAGGAGACATCTAACTTGCATTGCCGCCCCAGTTCACCTTGCGAATAGAAGCATCAGTCAGGCGAATTCTTCTCTTTTGCTCATATCTGCGATACCCAAGAATAGCCATTACAAATAATGCTAGCCCACCGACAACCCCGAGAGTAATTCCAGCAATTGCTCCATCCGAAAGCCCGTTGGCTGCCTTGGAAGCAGGAGAAGGATTACTTGGCGAGGGAGTACCTGACGGTTTGGCCTTGGGGTGGCCACCGAATTCACCCTTTGTGGCATTGAAACAGGGCACTTGAGTCTTAAACTTGCTCGCAGAGACATATCTAATATCTGCACAAGCGTAGAAGGTCTCAGTTCTATTGGAGTCGAATTCAGAGAGATATTTTAGCTGTATGGTAGCATTTGAACCGTCTTCAATGTCCCTAGGGGGTGGAGGAAGCGGATAACACCCGTGGCCAGGGTCAAGCTTGTCAATTTGCTTAGGTTCAGGAAGAGCTACAAAGTCATCGCTTGACCGGGGCTCTAGATCGTAGTATATATGTGAGAAAGATTCTATTCTGAGAAATTGGGTGATCAACTAGATACCATCTTTGTATGATACGGAAATATGTATGTTTGAAGAATTATCTTGTATGACAAGAGCAATGGCGCCGTTGACTACGAAATATTTGTCAGTATACAGACAGTATGGCAAGAGGTACAGGCAGAAAAAACCAAGATTCAACAGGGACACCAACTTAATGGAAAGTCTGTCCTATTTGTTACACCTTGATGAGAGCCACATGGAGCAGTGTTGTCGTGTGCGGCCCCCCATTCGCGATCTGGTGGCCACATAAAAGCAACGGGCCCCATTTTCTTCGACGCCTCTTCACCATGGGCTTTTTGTGCAGTCGCAAATGGCACTTTTGCTGTCATAACAGCCAAAATGAACGTAAAAGTAAGCATATCTGAGTACACCGGAGATTTAAAAAGATATTGCTTAGCAGTTTAAAAGCAATCTGGCAAAAGTAGACGGATTGGCCTACAGAAGTGGGGAAAGAGCGATAGTTATGTGGTTTTCAAAGGATTCCCAACAAGCTAGAGGGTAGCATACTGAAGGTGCCATCAAACACCTGGGTATTGATCAAATGATCTGAGCTTGGCCGGGAAAAAAAAAACCGAGCGGCTGCAGGATTGGCAAAAACTCTCCGTTTCCAAAGCTCAGATGTCGCGGGTGCAAAGAAAGGGGTATCACAGGGATTCTAAAGTCACTACTCGCCTGATACGACACAAAGGCTTGAGATTTCTTGAGCGCGGAACAAAACCAAGATCTTTCACATGCCATTGTTCTTCCTCTAGGGTGACATTCTTTTGAGCTCAAGTGTGTTGCGACTTGCACTTCAGATCAAAATACTAGACTATCAACAGAGTTGTTGAGGAGACTGTAATCGTGTATATCAATGACCGAATTGAATGCAATAAGACGCTGTCTGCTGAGCCATAAGCATTTGCGGACGAGGTGTCAAGTTGATGTGAAGAGCAAAACTCTAACTGATCAGATAATTTTAAAGGCTGGGCATTTTTGGAGCTTCGCGCTTCTATTGGCTAGGACTCAGCCGGTGAAAACTCTAGATCCCAGTTATCTTATCAATCTCTGGAGCAAATGCCTCAGTTTTCATTTCTCTTCTCGCAACTTGTTCATCCAGCATACTGCTTAAAGCGCTGCTTTTGCTAAACAAGTGGCCAATATATGCGCTCTAAAAATCATTATTAGGGTGTGCCAGGGCTTTCTTATCTTTAACCTTGCTTCTAACATTGATCTACTTATGCATAGTGCACGTTAAGCATCAAGTTGGAAATCACTCCCTAATCAAGTGGCTCAGTGTGGAATAAACCTTCCGTTATCCCGCTGATATTCTACCATGATTTTCTCATAGTTAGGGCTTGAGTGGAGTTTTGCAGCTTTGGTTTCAAGCGCGTTCTTTCGGGTGGATGATGATAGTGACAGTCACAAACTTGAAAAGGAAATATCCTTTCATGTAGAAGAGGATACCAAAAAGCTGTCAGTTGAAATTCAGCATGCCTGATCACGCCTTATGTAATGCTACTAGGTGTAACTCGGGCGCTAGATGGTCAGCAAATTGAAGTCGCCGAGTGAATTCCAAAATATCTCCGAATATTCGTTCGTTTTGATTGGGGGTTCCCTTTCCCAAGTTTCAACCACTAGAGTGGACGAACTAGCGCCGAAGCTGGTTCCATACGTCATTTGCTTTTCCTTTTTTCCTTTTTTTCTTATTTTGGCGGCGCACATACTCCGGCTCCGTATCTCCAGATGCACTATTATGAACACTGTTGGACATTTCGCCACTGTGGACCAAACAAAATTTGAGATTGAAAATGAACAGTGCGGAAAACCCTTGGAAAGTCAGGTTTGGACAGATAATTGAAAAGATTGGCCTCGTCCGCCCCACAAGGAGGCAAAGAGTACAAAGATGTGTCAAAGGAGGTATAGAGATTCCTTTGCTAGGGCTCCATCTACACGGTTATACCAGAAGGATGAAGCAAGAAAATTTTTCGGGTCGCACATACACGTATCCCCTGGCAACTTTTTGAAGAGTCACGAGAGCCTTTTAACAGCTGGGAAAGATATGTGTAACCAATGAAATGCTCCTAACAATAATGTGCGAAAAAGTGGCACAAAGAATGGAGCGACAGCAGAAATTTTGGAAAGAGAGCAAAGAAAAGCTCGGGGTACTCTGGAGTCTCAATAAGTGCTTTTCAAAAAAGGCGCCAAACGCTCAGGAATCGCTAGAAGGAAAGTAAAGACACATATGCAGTGCGAAGCAAAGTGAGGATTAGAATCATAATGGTTGTAGTCAAACGCGACGGCCAATATCTCAACGCTGTGCCAATAGCTAAGCACCAAAACACCGAAAAGAAGAAAGAAAAAAAAAATTGAGCAGCGGTGGAATGAGCCGAACAAGCCCGCAATATCATCCAAATTCATCTGTCACACTGTAGGATTCGGCTTTTGCGTCGGGCCTTTAGGCGGTGTTCAGTGTCCATCAGCCGATTCTGTACCCATCGTCGCACCTCCTGGTCGGATTTGATATCGGAGCAGTTGAGTAGATCGGTGAGGGCAAGTTTGAGCTGATAGTCGCTGTCGATTGACTTATCCACGTCTTGCTGGAGGAGGGAGGATATTTTAGCATCGATGGAGCCGAAGCACAGAGCAGATGTAGGTGGTGTTGACGCGTATCGAGCAGAGGGGTGAGGTCGAGCGCTTATGGCAGATTGTGTGGGAGAGTTGCAGCGAGTGGAGGGCTGCGTGAGGGAGTGGTTCGAGCCAGGCAGCCCCCAGCGGGTCTGTGAAGAAAGCATCGAAGAGATTGCAAGTGTAAGGTCTGGAGTGCGGGTTACGGAGATGTCTCTGGTGTTGGATTGTAGATTTGCGGTGCTCTCAGGGGCGGCGGGCAAGAAGCCAAGGGGGTAGTTAAGCGATCGGTAGGATCTAGTAGGTAGGAGGCGGTGGATTCTGAGAGAGTGGCCTGCCGATGGAAATGGCACGGCATGGAGGAGCTTGACGAGAGTATCTCAGGAGCGAGAACGGTGGCCGGCCAGTCAACTAAATATGAAATACAAGCGGGAGCGAAGCGACGCCCAGGCGACCCCCGGAGAAGCCCCTAAACCGCGCGGGCTTAAGGTTGCTCAACTGTCAGAGTCCAGGCCCGTGCGTGACGTAACTGCGCGCCGCGAAATTTGCCGCCGCAGAGATTGTTTCGTCCATCCTTTCCTGACCCCAGAAAAGCCACGCCCGCCAACGCAGACGGGGTCATCGATGGCGCTCAAGGCTGGCTGGCACCATGCAGCACGTTTCCTGCCCACAGGCCTGCACCCCGGGCGGCGTTCCTGGGACGGTCGCGGCGGTACATGACGGCTATCATGATACGTGCTGCTCAACAAACCTGCAGCGGTGATGCAATTCAGCGCTTTTTTCTGGCCAAATCAGGTTGTGCGAGTTTTAGATTCTCCGGTGATGGCCATTCACAGCGGCGTGCTGGCTTGGAGCCAGGCCGTGCCGGGAAGGTCTTTGCCTCCAGCGAATTTTATTCTCTGTTAGTTCCGTTCCAGACCGATTCATCCCAGTCAGAACGCTTTTAATGTTGCATTGGATTCCTCCAGGCTGGAACATTTTTCGGGCATGATCGTGCATTGACAAGTTCGCCCTGCAGAGACGAGATCGATCGCTGTAACCGTTTCGACCCCGATTGCGGTGTTGCGCAAGCCCTCGCGTATGACCAGACGCAAAAGAATGCGAGCGAATTGACTTCAGGGGGGTACTCGCAGTGTATCAAGGGACATTTCCAGGACCCGAAGTCGCGTTACGAGCCTCCAACTTCCCCCGAGATCCAATTCGCCCGGAAACGTGTCATACGGCGGCATTATTGATAACAGCACTGCTGCGCTGGTAACGCTCTTTGTGCGAACTCTCCAACCAATCGTGGCTTGCTCGCCCCGCATCTTTTGCGTTCGTCCAAAAAGCTTGGGGGGCTAGAGGCGTCGTTTGGCTTCGGCGATCCGCGATGCAGGCCTTAGATATGACATACGCGAGTACGCGACGATAAGCTTACTCTAGTTTATGATGCGACTGAGGTTGCCCGGCAAGGCGGAGCCTTCTACTTCAGGCGTGCAGTTAGTTGGCTTCTGGAGCTTGGTACAGTCTAAGGGCTTTCGAGTGTTTGAAGCAGAGCAGGTCTGAGAACAGCCAGCGCAGGAGGCCCGCCGAGTGCACGCCAGGACGACCGGAATAGTCCGTAGGTAACTACACCAAGCGCCTCGTCGCGCCCAAAGTGATGAAGTAGGTTTGCTGCCCAACATGTTCTGAGCACAGAAGGCCGAGAAGCGGACTTTCGGTGTACCTCGAAGTAGCCAAGGATGGACTATATCACTTGCGCTGCCGATTACTTAGAGGAATTATGGGCCTGTGCTATTTTTGAATCCTAGAGCGATGGCCCCCCTGGCTCTTAGTCGCCGTCGCTTCAACCCTTCGTTCTTCATTGCAGCTTGCCTAGCCCTGCTGCAGTTGGAATATCAACCCAGCCGATAACGACCGGATATTCTGGACGCAGCGGAACATGCAAGGGCGAATATCTTACCTAATTCCCAGCTCCAGCTCCGGTCAAATCAGAGGAGATCTGAATGCTCCTGGCACAATTGCAAGTGGTGATACGGTCGCCACTGACCAATCAGCCTAGTGGATGCGAGTCGGCGATTCTAAGTACCCATGGTTTTCCAAAAGTCAGCCTTGAGTTGTGCTTCGATATCCAACCGGATCACAACGAAACTCTTCGGGTGCAGTTTTCTAGCCTAATAATTTTCTCGGACTGGTGACTTGGGCAAGCAACAATGCAATGCACGGAATCTGTGAACAGTCACACCAGGCAGGGTTGTGAGCTATATTCAATAATGAGTACTCGTAAGCCAACGAAGCCGGAGGTGGCAGGTCTAGTATGACTCATTGAAGAGGATATATTCTGTATTGCAATCGCGGAGCACATTTATTACTCGGGCCTTGAGACGGGATTACTAGACAAAAAGCGCGAGAAGGGTTAAGCCTATGTTCGAAATGATAACAGGATATCGCTTTTTTTTAAAAAAAATTTTTGCTCAACCTTCTTCTGTGTCTATACTATACGGAGTACAAGGGCATAGAAATTGATTTGGAACGAATCCACCAGGCACGTCAGCGTCGACTGACTCGCAAATCAAGGTTATGTACAGGGTTCAAAGGCGAACTCAGCTAAGGGTGAAGGGAACAAGGAGGGGTTGTATAAATTTCTGGCCCCGGCTAACACTGACAGATTGGGAGGGGAAAACACTCTCCCATCCTCCGTATTTAATATTAATATTCGGTAGAAAGATGGCCTGTTATTTTTTCCAGAGGCGATGAGCCTTGATCATCTGGGCAAGGCTCGGCATGCAGATTGCGAGCGGACCGTCCCGCCCAGAGTCGGGGGGGGGGAGGCGAGTCGGAACAATATCGGGCCGAAGGTCAATCTATGCCAAGGAATTCCCAGTCTCGCCGCCTTTCTGAACTGCCAAAAATAATTTTCGATCAACCAGATATCAGCAAAGTCGCGAATGTCCATTTCCCGCCACACGCAGGCGCTGATTCTTTCACCATGGTCCGTAAATTAAAGCATCATGAAAAGAAGTAAGACGATACCCGAATCTGCTCGATTTTCCTCGTACTTACCAGACCAACCTTGCTCAGACTCCTCCGAAAAGTCGACCTCTACACATACAAATCCGACAACAACCACCGCGAAACCACCATCCGCCAACGCTACCACCTCCAAGACCCACTAGACTACAGAAAATATAATGCCCTTTGTGGCTCCCTCCGCCAACTTGCCCACAAGCTCTCCGCCATGGACCCAGAGTCGCCTTTCCGCAAGGAGATCGAGAGCCAGATGCTCGAGAAACTATGGTCGGTGGGGATATTAAAACAGAGCCGCGAGCAAGGCGCGGGCTTGAGCAAAGTGGAAAACGACGTCACCGTGAGCGCATTCGCGAGACGGAGACTGGGGGTTGTCATGACGAGGAATGGAATGGTGCAGCATGTGTCGGCGGTATGTCTCAATTTTTTTTTCCTCCTATGGCAGCACAACTAATTTTTTTCCTCTAGGCCGTCAAGTTTATTGAACAAGGCCACGTACGAGTAGGTACAGACGTCGTAACCGACCCAGCATTCCTGGTCACAAGGAACATGGAGGATTTTATTACATGGGTCGATTCGAGCAAGATAAAACGGAATATTCTACAATATCGGGAGAAGATGGACGATTTCGACCTTTTATAATGATATTTCACATTATGATCCGACACAACGACACATTCTATTTTTTGCCAACTGGCCCAAACTTCGCAAACCGACTCATGAAACCTGTTTGACTTGAGAGCACGATGTTACGACGAGCGCTCATTAAAAAGTATGCTCAGCAAGGTTCAAGGAACAGGCGAATTAACATCTGATATATGTATATCATTACTGTATCAAATATTCCAACCAAAATTGTTCCTGCTAGGTGTGGGGGTAAATGAAGGAGAGGAACTGTGTTATGAACTCCAAATAGGCAATATTGTGATAAATAATGCACTGCACACTATTCGGGGAGGGGGTCTCCAAGGAACACTGCTGAGACAGTATAGAAAGCGGGGAGGAGGAAAATGGAGAAATAACTGTGATAAAACTATCTGACAGGTTTTCATCAGATTAAGAACACTGAAAATGAAGATCTATTTTGAATCACCATTAAAAAAGTTTGATAGCGCTAAATCTGGGTATCTCATGCTGGTGAAAACTAAAAAAAGTAAAGGGGAGTGTTTGGCGGAAATTAATACAGCGTCAGACGTTCTGAGGTCCGGCTGAATCGCCATTGGTAGTTGTTTTTATGTTAGTATCAACTCTGCCATTCTGTGATAGGGGATGGTGGCTTATTGCGCCTTTTCGGAATTATCTGTAGGAATATCCATTCGGAAACGTCTGACACTGCTTTCGTATAGCCTCTTGTCTTTTGTTGTGTCGTTAAAGAATGAGAGACGCTGGCTTTTGCTCTGACACCATTTTGGGGCCAGTCTTCGCCACATTCCGCGGATGCCTCGACTTGAACGATCGATTTTCTCATATTCACGCTTTCTAGTAGACGGGGAAGTCCAATCAATAACAGTTGGCGGAATTCTCTCATACGCTGGTATTCTCTCAGGAATTTGCTGGCCATCTGAGTCTTGAGATCTAGTGGCAGCGAGGGGGCTATCCGGGCCTTCCAAGTCTAAAGAAACCGTTTCTGAGTGTGCTGGTAGTATTGCGCCACGGTCAAGCTGAGAGTGCAAATGTGTGTAATTGGATGGTAAGTCAGCGGAACTTCTCCGAGTAATAATTTTCGATCTTGTGATATTACTGCTATGGGAGGGTTCAGTCGAGGCGCGAGTGGGGCGAATTCCTGGCTCTTGCATTGTATCGAGAGACAAAGCGGGGTTATGTTTAGTTGGGTGGCTGAATGATTGAAAGAGCCGGCAGCTTTCACGGTGAAGTGTAATAAGGTCTCGATCCTCACGGTACGACCTGGAAGGATATTCCGAAACGGCGTTTCGTTGTAACTGGAACTGGTGATATGGACTAGCGCGACTACTATTTCTCGTAGACTTAGAGCCCGATATGGAGGAAGACCTGGATGTAGTGGGGGTCTGGGATTTTCGTCGACGAGCTTTTGGGGATGGAGATTCTTGCTGAGCTGTATTGCTGTTCACTTGTTCCTCAAGTGAAGTTTGTAATGCTGGCAGCGAGGCATCATTGGTGGACTGGGATCTCTGGCCCGAACCCCCAGCCATACCTTGAATTTTGTTCCCATTCACCATCCTATCTTCGACAGAGCTCTGTTGTGGGGGTTTAGGATCTGGTGGGCTACGTGGTTGGGTCGCCTTAACGTCGATGTCGGTGACCGTAAGAGCAGTACAAAACGACTTGCTATCGGACACAAAGCTCAGGGAAGAAATTGAACGGGCTACGACTCGTAGAGAGGACACAGCGATATCGAACTTGGGGCTTGCGGGACCATCGTGCTGAGGAGTGGGAGAGACGCGGAGGAAGGGCGATGTAACAGATATGTCAGTGAGTGTCGAGCCAGAATCATGCCGGTGTTTGTCGTTGTCAGGACATGTGAGGGTTGCCATAGCCATTCACTGCTGGCACATAGTGAAGCCAGGTAGAAGACTGCCGTCCATACAGTCAGCAGACAGATCACATGTGACTTCCTTTTTCAAAGAAACGCCGGCAAACATACGCAGGTGAGGGCTTTGGACGGCTTTTTGCGCACTTACAGGCAAATGTGAATCATAGGAAGAGTCTAAGAGATCAACTGATTCCTGTTTCAGAAGTCCTTGGGGCCAGCGCAGAACTGCTTCACTTTTAATATCTGATGCAACACTGGCAGGTCCCAACCCAGCGGCAGACAATCAGACACAAAGGAAGCGCTTGTCCGGCCAGGGACAGCCCAACCATAGGTGGTTCTCAGGAAAGCGCAAATATAGGTGAAACAGAGGATTGCAAACGCTCTGGCGCTTCGCAGGCCGGCAAATCAGACATGCTGGGCGGGCGGTTTATAAAAATAGCGAAAGAGCGGTGACGCGGGCCCCATCCTCCTCGTCCTCCAGCTACTCTTAGTACTAGGGCAACCAGCCGGCTGTCAGAGCGAGGCGGCAGGCGGGGTATGGCGCCGCGGCGTGACTTGACGGAGATCCATAGCCTGGCGTGTTGTTTGGCAGCGGGTGGAGGGCGGTTGCAGGCCAGCAAGCCAGCAAGCCGATCCACGTTCCGCCGCCTGGCGGAGCATACACATGACCGGCCCGCCAATCCCAGCCGTGACAGCAGCCACACGGGCGGGTCTGCAGTGCGACCCGCCAATCAGCACCCGCGATGCAGCCGAGCGCCGCGCGTGATTGGCCAGTACCGAACGGGGCTGGATCGCCCGTTGCCGCCCGTGCCCGCTGACTCAGCGCACCACGCTCGATCGTCGCGCAAACGATCCCCGACGTCCATCCCCAGGCCATATCCCGGCGTCCAGCACCCTGCGCACGGTCAGGCCGGGCCACCGTCGGAGCATTCGAGCAACACAAGACGAGAACCCGCAGGAGTTCCTTTTTCGCGTTGTCCTGCGCAGAGTTTCGAGGCTCCCACGGCGGATTGGCAAAATTCAATCCCGGCGCTAGTGCAGAGCTTGCTCCTGGATTCTGCTGCAGGCTCGGAGTATACGGCACTGGCGGAGAAATGCAAAAAACCCGGCAGGGACAAGACTTTGCGGCGCCATCTAGCCAGCCAGCAAGGCAGATTTGCGGTTGACCACCTGACAACCCACCAGCCCTCAAGCCACTGACTGAAATAATAAATAATAATGGGCCGCCGCGAGCAAGAAGCTGCATCTGAGCGCTGGAATTTGCACTCTGGTCATTGGAGAGTTACCCCGGGCTCCGCAGCTGCCCACTGCACGATGCAACACGCCCCTTTTCTCAGCTTGCGTGCGTAGCCTGAGTTGAAAACGCAGATGCTGCGAGGGAAGCCTGTTTCGAGGTTGGATTTTTTGTACTCCCTACGGAGTACGAAAAAGTTAGCTAACTACCCCATCGCACTTCATTTAATGACCCGTCGATCGCGTTTCGAACAACTCCCCTTGATGAATGTGAATTGTTCAAATTTTTTTGAGTACCAGTTTTGCAAATAATACATACATAACTCTTCTCGATGCCGTCCGCATGCCATTATTATTTAGGTTATTGAACCCCCAACTGTGGAGACATCCCGCTCTTAACTCCTTCGGTTCGCTTCATGTTGGCGGTATGTAAGCCCATCCCCGATATCGGGTGGATTCGTGGGTCAACGGGTGCGAGTGGCTCGACTAACCTTGAGGAGTGGAAGCGGCCCCCCCACCGTTCTACGTACTCCGTACTTACTACCTTGAGGTCAACATAATGAGCCCACGGTATGGAAACACTTCGGGCATACGGTTGAGTAATTGCGTCCATTCTACACCGCTCAATGGCGTGTCGTGTAGTTATTAGCCACCTGTTTGCGGCAATGCTTCTCTGCACGAAAACTACGCAGAGGTTCGAGACTCGATCGGCAAAACCAGATTATTATTATTGTTGAGATCTACGGCGCACATGGTGGACTCCATACCTCGCATTCCATGCTTGGCATATATCTTCTTTTTAAATTGTTGTGTGAGGGAGAAAAAGTTAAACCTGATGGAAAATAAACCTCCCGGAGCAATCAAATCTCAAATGACTCACTTTTCAAAAGGTTCGTCCTCATAGGATACGTACCCTGGATGACAATTTTTGATATGCCCAACATGATGTCATGGGCAGTACTGCATGGGAGCCACATATACCGTACATGTGGCATTCCCCAATGATACTCCGTACTTCGAAGGAATGTCCTTACAGCGATCCCTATTCATCGGTTAGGAAATACATAGGTCCTTTTAGGGAAATATTTATAGGAGCAGCGGCTCCATTGAAAATAAGAGTTAACTTGAAAATTTATCATTTAGTAACTCTATCGGTAGAAGCCGTCAAGATAACCCTTCCCCAACCCTCTAGGCTTCCCGGCCGTTGCTACCATATTTCAGGGTTTCGGCTCGGCATTTGAAGGTGGGCAACTGCAAATGGTATCTAAAAATTTTTCTCATAACGGTCTATTTAAAGTAATAGCTTTCTAAGAAGTCTAGTTTTCGAATACATCATTTGCACGTGAGGTCCGAGAAGCAGGAACGTACCTCTATGTTGAGGGAATGCTTTCGAATGAATGCAGTTCATCTCACAGCTGCTGTTTAAGAGGTTGTGGTGCGGGTACCATTTTTAAGCGTGGAGGATTTGTGCGAACGGCGAGCTTTATGACTCACACTGCATCAGAAAGTAGGTACGTCGCATGACGACCCGAGATTCTCGAATACTCCTCGTGAATCCCACCATATCACAGTTGATTCGAGGTTGCTGTTGGTTTCGGGGCGCGGGTTTGAACCATAATACCTAGATATCTATAGGGAAAATGTTAGTGAGAAACCATATGAACCAGAGCTACTTATCATCTACGTGTTATATATTTTCACTGCTGAGTGCGACATCTTCTTTGAGTCGCTCTCACCAGCGGGTGGTGGGGAAGGATTACAAGAAGCCTGAGAGATAGATATGAAATGACACTTCATAGAGGATGGTGAACCGTGCATATTTCCTCTCAGAGACTGGGTCATTTCCTGCACAGAGATGTCTATTTTATATACCACATATAACCGTATCCTTAAATAGTGGACATGCACAACAATATACTAGTCACAGAAGAATGCCTAGCCATGATCTAAACCTCCCAACTCTGCCACATTGTGCTCTGCTTCTCAAAGAAAAAGCCATGTATGTAGCTATGTACTAGGATGCTAGTCAGTCATCAGTCAGAAATATGGCAGGTCCTTACGGTTTCTGGTAGGATACGGGAAACCGACTGCCAGGCCACTAAGACCAATTAGGATTAGCCGATTAGTTCCCGTGACTTTGCCAAGTTGGAAGGCTTAGTCATATCTCCGTCGTCGAGGAAACTGTATAAACAATGACGGATCGCCACAACGGCTTCAAAAGTTGCTCCAGATGAGAGATATGCGTAATTTTGGAGCCATCAATCGCATCTCTAAGCCATGGAAAAACGGACAACTGAGTCCCCTATGGACTTTGAATGGCAATCCAGCGCCCCTGGGGACTGCACATCACCGTTTTACCAGCTTGCGAAGGAAGGAAAGAAACGTGAGCACATGTGTCCGTTAAGATCACCTCTAGTACTGACGGTATTTATTTTAGGGCCATTTGGCGTATTCGATTCTCCGTCAAAACCATTAAACTCGCCCTCGAAACAATCTTTCTTTTCCCAGCCGCGCTCCACATTTCAGGGCTTCTCCCATGACCCGGCATTTGCAACTCCACGCAAGTTGGACTTTGATTTCTCGTCGGGCGTAGAAAACTCGCCTGATGCAAACGCCGACAGCGAGGATACACCTGATAAGCCGTCAAATAATACTGGGCGACGGAATAGCTTGTTTAATTTCTACGGCAGGTTTGCGCCCAGCCCTGGCCGAGGTGAAATTCCTCGCTCAAATAAATTGTCAAATGTGGTCATCAACAGGGTACACAAGCAAAGAAAAAAAGAGAGGGAAATGAGGAGGCATTTTCATAAAACTAGTGAGACAAGTTTAAGATCCGCAAGCCAGGAGCGGTATGCGAAAAGCGAAAGCGTACCCAACGTTCCTCAGAAATCGCAAGATATACCGTTTTTTTCCCGGTTTTTTACCTTCCTAGAAGCTCACCCTCATATTCCTCGAATTCTGTCTTATTATGCTCAATTTACTTTTAATCTCATCCTTGCCTTCTTGACCCTCTATGTTATTATAACGTTTTTACTTGCAATCCAACACGACGTAACTCGTGCGAGTGAGGAAGTGTCGGCGGATATATTGGCTGAGATGGCAACGTGTGCAAAGAACTATGTCGAAAATCGATGCAGTGGAACAGACGGGAAGAGGTTACCGGCCTTAGAAACCGTTTGTGACAACTGGGAACGTTGTATGAATCGGGATCCCGCAAAGGTTGGAAGAGCAAAGGTCTCTGCGCAGACCCTCGCGGAAATTTTCAATGGTTTCATTGAACCCATAAGCTTTAAAACCATGGTTTGTTCATTTCACATGCCCCCTAAATTGCATGACAAGGTGCTTACAAGTTTTTTATAGATCTTCTTCCTTGCTTCCGTTACTTCATGCGTTGCTGTCTCGAATTTAACATTTTCCTTCTTTCGCAATAAATCCAATAACCCCCCCGAGCCCGTCCCTCACTACAGACCATTCACACCTCCCGGACAACACTCTCGCTCCTCGCAGGTTGTTTTTGCCACGGGCCCAGGCTTTGGAATGAGTACTCCATGTCCTCGTTTCCCCGACCATAACTCGAATTCAAGCCAAGCCTTTTATAATCTTCGTGCGAGAGATGATATGAGTAATGGCCAAGACCACAGATCGCTGCTCAAGATGGGAGACGTTAAAAACCCCATTCCGTTAAAACGATATAAATTTTCTGGGGAGATGGGTTCATAAAATTGGTTGGCGTTCTGAGAGTTTGAATTTGGTATGGCGTTTTGAATCTCGTTTAGGCATCTCTATAACAGTGGCAATGTCATGTAATTGTTTCGTCTTGTACATTGTTTTTATATAGGTTACTTTAAGCGGTAGCATGCCATGTTGGCTGTGTAGGCATCACGCAGATAACATTGAGAAGACTCACGGTTACAGAATACCGATGGACTTGATTTATCTCAAATTTCTACCCCTGACTTGAGAATTTTGAATTGCCCATCAATGTTTCTGCATTTGTATTTATTGGGTCAACAGAAAGAAAGCAAAATCACATAGGTCACCATATAAAAAACAACTTAACACCTGGATTGCATAATTAGTATACAAGTAGTAGGCTGTGTGGAATGGAGGGCCATTCTAATTGCTAGTAACTCTATTTAGGACTTTATAAGAATTTTTATACTAAAAACGATAAAGCTTTTTTAGTCGAGATATTGGCAGTGATAAGGAACTGGGAGGCTAATGAAAGGGGTTCATCACTGCATTAAAAGAGTCACAATACGGACCCTCGATCATAGCTCAAGATTTCCGGTAGACCCTATTAAGATATGCATTCCATCCAGCTTTCTGATACTGCTGAACAGCCCTAAGCGGATCTGCAGCACCATATATACCACGGCCAGCAATTATAAAATCAGCACCACCTGCGATAGCCGATTCAGGAACTTGGTATTGCTGGCCTAAAGGGTCACCTTTCGAAACAAGATTCACCCCTGTGGTGAAAAGGATAAAATCTTCATCGTCTGCTCTTCCGGCTGTTTCGATGAAACCCAGAGATTTGGTAGCCACGAAACCCAAAACAAAACCTTTATGTTTCCGGGCCAATTCAACGGACAGTTCTGTGTATTTTCCACTTGCCAGAGATCCTTTTGACGTCATCTCAGCTAGAATCAAGAGCCCTCTGTCTTTTGGATCGGGAAAATCTGGAGCTGTAGCAGTCTGTGCCAGCGCGTCAATGATCCCCGGCCCAGGTAGGACAGTTGCATTCACGATATGGGCCCATTTGGAAATCTGCAAGGCACCACCATGGTATTGCTTCTGCACTGTGTTGCCAATGTCGACAAACTTACGGTCCTCAAAAATGAGGAAATTGTGCTTTTGGGCGAGAGATTGGAGGCCGATGATAGTGTCCGGGGAGAAATCGCAAAGAATATCGATATGTGTTTTTAATACAGCCATATAAGGGCCCAGTTCTATTCGTCATTTCTCCCCCGCTATCAGCATGACTGCGCATTTTCCGTTGAAGGGACGGTAGTTGGCGGAGACAAGGATCGCGTAGATTAGATCTAATTGGAGCACGTACGGTCAGCCAAGTTTAGAAGTTCCTTCGTCGATGTGAGGTCTGCTGAAACTACAATGTTCGATTGTTTCTCTGTTGCAATTTGGAAAAGACGTCGAGCTAAGGGATTGGGGTGGTTCTGTGCGCGTTGTTCATAGGACATCTGAGATTTGGATGCCATGACCGCTGTGTAACAAGGGTAAACCAATATAAAGAAAAATATCAAAGGCTCCAATCAATAGATATGTATGTTTCTTCTCTTAGGCGGAATGGGGAACAGTAGAACATATGTATTGCTGATACGCACGGAGTAGCCTTTTTTCATCTCTATGGTGGGGCTCTTTCATCATCTTGACCAGGGATCATCTTTTATCCACCACAGGCTTTTGAGCAGCTATAGCTGCCATCACAACTCTTCTGATACTCAGTATTATCCTCAAGTGCTTTTACTAACTGGTCCATGTACTTAAGCCTACGAATAAGAATTTCAAGCTAACTAATGCACTGTATATGGTTCAATTATACTACTCCATATTGTTCTCCAATCCGTGGGAGATGTATAACCATATCAATGCAATGTCCAGTATCCTAATATATAGGAAGTTCGTGAAACTTCAAATTCATTTCTAATTGTAAAAATCGTATCCTGGAAAACCCATGCCAAAGACACTGAGACCCCAGAGTGCACCCTGCACAAGCCAGAATGGAGCACCCAAAAGTCGCCCGTTACCCTTCTTTTGTCCAGAGTAGACATAGCCGGCAAGATATAGTGCTCGCAGAGCTACCCATGTGGAACCTAGAACCGTAGCCAGGCGTGGGTGGGTAAGACCGGCAACGAGAATGGATATCATGGTCTGGGGCATGTTTTCGAGATAGTTTGCATGAGCGCGTTGGGCGCAGTTAAACTTGTGAGCATCAGGCTATGGAAGATATACGTGAGCTTTCCTCATCTTTAAGTATGCGTGGGGAAGATATGGTTGTTACATTTTTAGCGCACTGCTCCGGGGTGGCGTAGGCATGAGGGTACTGTACTCCGGCACGCTTACGGCAGCCCGTCGTGATAACGCCGTGAGCAAAAGCAAGGAAGGGAATTGCACCTAGGGCGACGGCAGCGACGTTACTAGGGAGATATGTTAGCAGGGCAGTCGGTGTATTTGATGTAAGAGGCGAGTATGGGAGAGAGATACACACCCGTAGTCATTGGGAACTGTGAATGTCAACGCCATTATGCTGGTATTGATGTTAGATTATTAAGAAGTGAAGAAGGATAGTGGATATCAGCTCTCGTCCAGATTTAAATAAAGAATAGTGGCCAATTTGGCTGACTTTATATGTAATCGCTCCCGATGGCCGGCAAAGATGTTTAGGCTGGGAGTTCTAGCACGTTCGAATGAAAGTTGGGTGCACGACTTAGTTGTGATGATGGTATTAGCTACATATTTAAGTTAGTCTTGCCAGCATGCTTTGCTGGCCTCTCTTATGGTGCTCGTGTCAGCTCCTCAGCTTGCGGAGTACTGCCTCGGGTGACAAGAGCATGTTTCGGAGTTTTGCTGGGAACGGGCGAATGGGTTCCTCCGATCGGCATAACCCCATGCCATTTATGCCGGTCGAGCACGTTTGAAACCACTACATGGAAGAATTGCTCATGTTTGAAATGTTCCTATGCATGTGTTTATGTACGTATTACAATTCTTTTTGCTCTACACGGCGGTTCTAGAGCATATCTCACTATGGGTTGTTCCAAAGCTGTGACAATCTACCCCAGGTCTATTCCGCTATAGACACTCGATAGTAATTACCTGGGAGCCATCTTGCTGATGCTACCATACTTGCCTTGCCAGGCAAAAAAGTACAGCAAAGCTCCCAACGGCTGACCGACCAAACAGAAACTCAACCAGAAGAGTGCATTGCCCAAGATCTTACCACTTGGGCTGTTCATTTTCTCCAGCGGCACAGTTACGGCTATCAGAGGTAGCTGCAGCAACATACCGCCGAATGCGACACCTAGTCAGGTATTAGGTCAGATATTAGAAGGACTCTAACATACAGAAAGAAGAAAATGTCTCACCGATAATATTGTGTGTAGGAATACCAACGGCCATTTCATGCAATACCCCTGAGAAGGTGAAGACCATCGCACTGGCCGCAAACGGTGACCAGCCTCGCCCAACAAGGGGAGAGAAGATGTGGCGCTTCATAAAATGATACACAGGAATGTTCCACGTTCGCCAATATCTACCCACACTGGGGCTGTTCCACCAATCCGTATAAAACTGACGATCGCCGAACTGCAGCACCTCTGCCAACGCATTCAGGAACGACTGGAACATGGCATAGAAACCAGCAAGCCAGATTATCAGAGATATTGTGGATAGTTTCATAACTCGTTCGGCGATTGACGTCCAATCCCGGGCTGCGATTTTTTGAAGAGCATTGATGAGCGTCGGAGAAGCGTATTGGGCTGAGATAATCCACATGAACACAGCCAACCCGCAGAATTCTGCAACCCGTTTTGCGACAAAGTGCCAGCGAATATGACTTGTTCTGGGATATACTGGCTGGTAAACTAAAGTGGGTGCTAGCCAAAAGTATGTTAAGTTTTCGATGCTGATGTTTTGCGGATATGGAAGAGCGTTATAGATTTTCGGAAGATGATTGTCCGGCGATGTATGCAATAGCGCATGACGAAGATCTCGGTTTGTAAAGGCGTATGAGCAGTTTTTTAGCCATACGACAATGGCATGCATTTGACACACGGTCCCGATGCCTGGGTGATTGATATAGAAATAAACAGCATATGATGTGACAAAAAGGCACAGGCTCGAATTGAGCGTGTGCGCAATAGCAATGCAGTACCAAGCAAGCCGAAAAGATAGCTGTGCCTGTGCATTTGTATCTTTTGTATTCTCGGCTTTCTTCTCACGGCCAATTGCACCCTTTACACGCTGGGCGGCAACGAGCTCGATCAGGTAGGCAATATATAAATGGCAAGGAACAAGTAAAAACAGTATTCCTCCAAGAACAAGGTCTTGTTTTCGATAATCGTGGCAGCGGAGGCAGATCAGGACTCCGTACTATCCACTGATCAGCAATCAAGTACCATCTAGGTAGCGCAGCGGGAACTGACTTTCATAAAATTCTCAATAATTAACCGCAGGTTCATGACGACTGTAGCGGAGAAACACAATTAGTATGGTCTGAAGTAGGGGTGAACGGAGATCTCCGACGCACTGAGCACAATCACCATGAGGTTGCGAAAGCCGAAGAAGCTGGGGGGAGTATTCGACTCGCGACTTAGACATGATGGCCTCACGATGGAATGGTACGCGGCGACATGAAGGTATTTGCTCCTCTGCTTCGCCTCGGGGGGAGGTTTTTCAGAGTCATCGGCGGACGGGTCGCGCGAGAATGTCTCTCCTTCCGAGGATGTCTGAGGCGTGAGAGAATCCTCGCTGCCGCTCGAGGCTGCCGGAGCAGCAGGGTTCACAAGAGCCATTTGCTACAATAGCAATTGGGCGATGAACAGGTGAAAATGAAAACTTTTCAGGTTGATAGGAATTCACTCCACTTGGTATTCAGACACTTGGGGATCCACGGCCATTGCAGATAGCGGCGCTGATAAGGACGGCAAGAGATGGGCGCGAGGGCTGGAGCGCCGGCTGGACCGTGTTGTAGAGTAGGCAAACTGAACGATGCGTGAAAAGTGCGCTTCCAGCCGATCATCAAGTCATGATTGACGGCGGCTTGCCGGGCTGGATCTGGAAGCTTGGAAGGTCGAGCGGGCGGGCGCCGGGCGGGCGCCAACTAGGTTCACAAGTCGAAAACTCAAGGAGATCGCGGCAGATTCGTGATGCTTCAAGCTCGGCATTATCAGCGGACAATTTATAAGGCTGGAGGGTCTTAACCTAGTTGGTTGTCACGCGCCAAAACCGCGTTTAAGGTGCCTGACTTTGAGAAATGAATTCTGTCTGTTGTCCATGCGTTTGTCGCTAATGTGGCCGTGAATCCCGCGGAGGATAACAAGTTGTGCGAGATTCTATTCTTCGAACAACCGAGCAAGCCACCGCCACCGCCGTGCTTATCCCAAAAAGCGAATATATTCTTCCGGCTTGAATAGCAAATATGGCATTTTACGATGAAGGCACAACAGACGCCCAATTTCTACCTCGAGCGCTGGGGCCGCGCCGACCAAGTCCGTAGCCTTTGCGCGTCTGCGTTTTTGTGCCGGATACTGATGAATAACAGGACCTGTCACGGATTACAGCTCGTCCCTAGTCCAATGGATGCGTGTGCGGCAACCGAAATATAAGGGAGGTAATAGGTTAGAATGGGAGCGACCCAGTGGGAGTTATGCGGTGGATGTAAGACACAAACAAGAATCCTTTCTCGCCGATAGAACTTGAGATTAACTGGATACATCCATAGATGCTTCCCCCTTTCGCCGCAATACATTCTGCTGCAGCTACTATTCCTGTTCGTCATTTGCACCAATCAATCGGAAAGTCCAAAAAACCTATTACAGTGGTGAGATGGACGCCGGAGGGCCGACGTTTACTGACGGGGGGGCACACTGGAGAGTTTATGCTATGGAACGGCACTGCGTTCAATTTTGAAACTGTTATGGATGTAAGGCACTATAAAACTGATATAACCCGGAGTGTGATGTATCTGACAGCACCCTTGCCCTGCAGGCTCACTACGACCAATATCAGGCGGGCGTCACATCGGCGGAATGGTCGTATAGCCACGACTGGTTGATATCTGGAGGACAGAAAGGCGATATTAAATACTGGAGACCAAACTTCAACAACGTGGAGACTGTGGATGATGCGCATCACGATGCTGTGCGAGATCTGGCGTGGTCCCCAAACGACACTAAGTTTTTGTCCGCGTCAGACGATACCATGCTTAAGATTTTTGATTTCAATGCTAGAACGTGCGAAATGGTTTTGACAGGACACGGTTGGGACGCGAAGTCGTGCGATTGGCACCCAACAAAAGGCCTGCTGGTATCAGGCTCGAAGGATCATCAAGTCAAATTCTGGGATCCGAGAACGGGAAGATGCCTGACTACCCTCCATAGCCACAAAAACACTGTCACAACAACGAAATTTTCGCGAGTCAATAATAATCTACTTGCTACTTCTTCGCGTGACCAAACTGGGCGAATTTTTGATTTGCGGATGATGCGAGATATCTGTATCCTCCGAGGACATGAGAAGCCAATCTCTTCGCTGACCTGGCACCCTATTCACAGTAAACTTGTGTCAACGGGAAGTGAAGATGGGTCGTTATACCACTATTTATTGGATGAACCGAATGTGCCAGCAGGACAGGCTCCCACCCTTGCTCCCTATGATACAACAGACCCAGCCAACACCCCCGCACAAACAATATTTCCTGCGCATCGCATACAATTTGCGCACAGTTCGACCATATGGTCACTTGATTGGCATCCGCTTGGGCACATCCTTGCCTCCGGGTCTAAAGATAATTTTACTCGGTTTTGGTCCAGGGCCCGACCTGGCGAGACCACTCATTTGAAAGATAGGTTCCACATAGGCGAAGAAGCTGCAGAGGCCCAAGGGACATGGAATCGCGGATTTGGCCGTCGACAGATGCGGGAAGAAGAGGAGCAAGAGATTCAAGACGAGGCCGAAGGTCTTGTGGACCAAATACGGCCAATGGAATCCTTATTGCCTGGAATTCAAGCCATGCCGCCTGCTGACGGCCTGCCAGGCTTGATTCCTGGAATAGGTGGCTCATATCCACCACCGCCGCCGCCACCGCCCCCAATAGATCTCGCGTCATCGATGCCACATATAGACCCTGGCCGCCTGGCCGCTATGCTATCCTCTGGAGCAATACCCCCGCCTCCCCCACAAAATCCGGGTCAGATGCCCTTCTCACTGCCAGGCATAATGGGCGCCTTCCCGCCTAACCCCGCATTTCCTCCGTTTTCTAACCAAATGTTCCCTCCACAATTCGCTCCTCAGCAGCCAAAATAGAGTATCGATGCCCACGGCATATGCTAAATTGACGCGGCCTTCCTATTATGGGGTCTCGGTTGTGCGTGAAAGGTGGGGATTTAAAACGGGTATACGAAAGCGTTGCAGGTTGTGCAACTCTCGGAACGTAAACTATTCAGAATCGGTGTAGAAGGCACGGTTTGGGCACTTGTACTTCAATATCAGGGTTGTGAGGCGTTAAGCTGGCGACCTGCACATAGGAATAAATTGTTATGATGTGATTCCTGTACCTGTCCGTGTGCTACAGTCCTCCTTGGAAAGAGAATCCGGACAGAATTAAAACGAAAGTGTTGATACAACCCCAAATGAAGGGTAGCCAAGTAGACATTTTGAAGTTTCCAGCTTCGTAGAGAGCTCCAATCCTACGCACAACTGTCAGCGGTGTTTAGTTGCATGGGGTAGCGGAAAATTAACATACAGCAACCCGACCACGCTCCCCGCCAACAGACCTTCCAAACCAGCAACAACGAGGTACACAGCTAGGAAAATCCAGGTAAGCCTCCAGCTGCGCCATTGGGTGACTACCGCACAAAGCGCTGCGGTGAGGTGCGCGCCGCCATAGAGTATCAGTGTCCAATAGAGCGTGAACCGCCAGATATCGGTTGTCAGCACAAGATACTTCGCATCGCTACGAAGAGGACGTATTGAGGTGTCAAGAGAGGGAAAGGGGGGGACTTGATAGTCCCCCGACGCCATCAGAAGACTGTAACGCGCGCTCCCTTCATTGATTGCGCGTTTCGATAGCTGAAACGATTGTGATGATGCTTGGTCTGTGCATGGAAGCTAACTAACTAACAGGTACCCGTGACCTTGCCAAGCCTCATGTTGGCCCACACGTGCTATGCACGTGATTCAGTGCCTCGGCACCAGCAGCACACCCATCCATCCTGAGAAGCTGTCTTCGCACTTCAATGCGCTACATAGCATGCAATTTTCATGATGGGTAGTGAGAGATCTCTCACCACACTTCTACGGTCTCTGCAGCAGGCATCTGTGCCTGAAGATGCTTACAGGTATTCCGCCTCGTCGCAATCCTGTCGGCCCCCATGCTAACAGGCCAAGGTTATTACCATCAGCCACAGGCATTTTGTCCCTTCTTACAAATCCTCTAAACGTGTCTTTACTATCGTCACAACTGCTATGTTGCCCAGCCCTATGGGAAGGCGAAGTTTGCCTTCAGACTTGTCGCCGGTTAATCAGTGTATTCAATAGCGCCGCGCTTACAATAACAGAGCACGAGTCGTTCCAAGGTACGAAACCACCGTATCTCCAGCGACGTGGGCTGGACCGGGAGGAATGGTTAAAGGCTGTTGTTAACGGTGCCGACGACAAATCCCCGCGCTGGAGACATCTCATTCTTCTTGGCGGAGTTTTGCTGGGATTTGAGGGCCAGAACCGCCAAAGTCTGTCACTTCATTGGAGAAAAAGGTTGGAATCCGCACTTGTCAAAGCTTTGCAGCTTTCTTTGGCAGAGCTAGAGAAGTTTCCAGTAGCCGCGACACATGCCATTGTACTAGTTCTCAACTACACATTTCAGCTCATATCGGACTTTGAACGAAGCCAGATTGACTACGATCTCCTTGTTCCGATTCTAGTAAGCTCTACTTACTTTTCTGATGAAGGCCTTGGCTCTGGGTACTTCTTGGGCGCTATTGATAGGGATGTTCGGGAGACCGGCGGCAAGAAGTTTACGTGGCCGGAAAGCTCTTCTTCACTCCAGCAGATTAACTCCATTTTATCAAGCCCGCTTATATCTTCCTTCGGCCCTCTTTCTCGATTAATGGCACATTCTCTTGAGAATGCGCAGAACCCAATGCTGGTCGTGGAAACGACCGACCGTTTGTTTGATCTATCCCGAACCCTATTGATTCAATGGCGTCAGAATAAGCTATCAGAGGTGGATAAGTCGGAAGAGCCGGAGTTCCTTGATGATGCCACCCTGAAAATGACCCTTCCTACGTTATGGAGATTGTTGAAATCCTCCTTATTCTCTGTAATCATTGTTTTAAGAGCCGCCCTGGGTAGGGTCCTCAATGATCGAGCCCTAGCCAGTGATCATAGTAAGATCCCTTGACACCCACACTTGAATGCTGCCTAATACAAGTAGATGCGCCATTTCTTGCCTCCAAGGCCCTTCAAGTGCTCCGAAATCTTTCATTTATCACAGACCGAATAGGGCACAACTCCTCCTCCCAGCTAGTTTTCATCAACCTCACATCTATTGATATCCTGTCTCAATACCCAAAATTGTCACAGGACTTTCTCGAAGGCATAAGACCATCGGAAAACGGCCAGATACCAGCTCACCCGGTAGACAGATGTTTGGACCTATTTTTCTTGAACACTGCTGAAAACTTTACACTTATATTATCGCCCGATGTGAATGAACGGCTATTAATGTCGGCAGCATTACCTTATCTTGCAGCAGGTGGCAACAATAACCTACTAGAAATATTTGAGGCTGCTCACAGTGTGGTGTTGGCTGTTCTCGCAGCACCAAACAGCGCCGACATGGCAGCTAAACATTTACCGTATTACGTTGATACTCTTATGAATGTGGGTACCTGCACCATATTGAATTCTTGAAAGCTTTTCTTATCATTTTTGATCAGGTATTTCCTCAAAACCTATCTGCAAGACAGTTCCGGCTCGCGTTCAAAACAATTCTTCGAATTACCGCTCCACCATCACCGCTAGCGAATAGCCAGCCCTTACTTCCTTCCATCCTCTTGCAACTTCTTTATGATAGAGCTCTTGCTGCATCTACTAACCCACTACCCTCCCCAAATGATACCGCAGACCCATCCCCTTCTGAGGGGCCTCTTCTTTCTGAGCAAGCTGTTCTTGCTCTCACTATAGTTGACTGTCTTTGCTTTTTGCGTGTCGAAAGTCTGGAAGAATGGCTTAATCTCACAGCGCACTTGATCAGTCAGATTCAGGACCGTATCATGAGAAACACATGTCAAGAGCGCCTTTGGGACGCACTAAGCAGTGGCGAAATGGATGTCGAGCGAGCTTATTTCTGTGTCACATGGTGGAGTACAAGAGGCGGAAGAGAAAAGGTTCTTTTTGGTGCAGAAGAAGACGTCCAAGTTCCATACATGAGCGGAGCGTTGGGAATTTCGAGTAAACTATGACATGAAATCGCCAAATGTGGGTTGTAAAATGGCCCATATACCACTTTCCTAGTCGAAGTTGAAATTTCGGCATACCATTTGCTCTCAGGTCTATCTTCTCTCTGTGTTTGGCCTAGGAAGCCTTATATCGTCAAAAGCACGGTCGTTGATTTTGTTTTCAGTGAAGTGGTTGTACTCACGGGATGCTTTAGGTGCAAGTATCCTGTGAACCTGTTTTATTGCTGGAGGCGAGGCTATACCCATGCCTGGGGATGCGCAATTTCCTAGAGGGTTTCCATATGCCTTTTATGCCACTATTACGGGACCAACTATTACCTATGGAGAGCTTTCTCACAAGATTCGTTATGTTTTCAAAAATGCCGACAAAAACCTCCTGGAGTCGAGTGTTATTTCTATTTTGCAATATTGCCTTTTTTCGTTATAGAATACCCCAAAGTTTCCATGCTGGCGAGCGAGCCCTCCCCTTAATGTCTTGCTGCCCTTCACTTGCCTGGCTTTCTGGTAACTTCTCAAAGGCTCCCCAGCTGGTTAAAGTTTGTTCGTCTTTGGTCTTCGAAGTGCGGCTATCCTCTATCGGGGCGGTGCTTCTCTTAACTGAATCTGATTTTCCATCAGTGCTTGAGCTTTGTATCGGCGGTGAACCGATAATAAGCCTTGGATCCTCCAGAATGAGGTTCCAATGCTCAGAACAAGGGTATGGGTCCGCAATATTAGGGTACATGTTCAGCTGGGGACAGCTGGCGAATAATGCCGGAATTAACGAGATATTGCGGACTCGAACGAAGCGGGACTTGGAAATAGGGTATGATGGGCACGAAGGTATGTGAAACGTACTGCAAATGCGGATGTGGTATGTTTTGCATTTGCAGATAGTGTGGATGTGTGTACGGATTTGGCACATGGAGGGCTAGTTCTTTGCTTGCAAACATCAATTTCATCAATGGAGGAAGATGGATTTCTAAAAAGCAACTAATAGGGGGTGTCGGAAATAAAGGTTTCGAATAGTTGCTGAAAACAATGGCATCACATGTAAAAGACTTAAAAAGCCACTATGACAGTGACGTTTGAATGGTTATATCTTCACTGTTCTGTAAAAGACCCGTCAAAAAAGAGAAATATGTTCCGGCCATACGCACTCCAAGTATGTATCTAAGAACAAAAAAAGTTCAAATAATACAATAAAGAAGTAATTTTTCAACACAAAATAATAAGGGGTAGGGGGTCCAAGATCTGTGCTATTCAGGAGATACCTGGGATTCCAACCCAAGTTTTGCTCCTATAATCATCGTATTCTTTGCCAAAAAAGCCAATTAATAATTGTTCCTCCTCTGGTTGGATTAGGTTAGTGGTTGTAATAAATGCCCCAAAAACTATCGGATCAGGGCCAAAATCAGATATATGTACTCCGTACTTACTCTGAATCCTCGTTGAAAAAAATTCCCAGAGCACAACGGCGTAACCCACAAAGCATACCGCATTTCCTAACACAAGCTGCGTACCTAAGCCCCACCAAAAAAACCCAAAGTAGCTTGGGTGCCGAAAAATGCTGTAAATGCCGTTTTTGATCAGTTGGTGCTCGTCGCGTCGCTGATGCTGAATCGTATGAGTGAAACTAACGCCGGCTTGCGCCATCGCCAATGATCGAACCACTTGTCCGACCACCATCAAGCCAAGCCCCAACATAACCTGATACTTTCTTCCCCCAAACATAGCAGCCGTCCATTCAAAGTACCAAGTCGGCAGGAATAGGTGCGAAAGTAGGGACTCGACAATAGCGGAACTATGCGCGATATTATATGCAGCGCCATTTTGTGATAACAGAAAGGCAGTGATCGTTGCGAATGTCGTGTTGTAGCGAGCTGTAATATAATATTCAAGAAAGTGAAATACGGCTAGCGATGCGATGAAGAAAGGAATGCGCCATAGGGTCGAAGAGGCGTGAAGCAGAAATGTCAGGATAGTACAGATGCCCGTGGCCTGGCCAAGAAGAAATGAGCGGATGGATATACCCGAAAGGGATTTCTCGCCGCCTGGAAGATACGACGGGTCGACAGCTCCATAAAAGGGTCGGTCGCTAGCATCATTAGTGCTGGGGCGATAGGGTTGATAGTTTGTATGGGAAGATGCTGAAGGCCGAGAGCTGTCTAAAGCAAAGGATCTGCGATTGGCATCTGAAGGAGAGGTCGTTGGTAGTTCCATCATATGCATAGTATTTGTGCAGAGTTACAGTCTAGATCAAGGTTTATATTGATAGGAAGCTACAAAGAGGGAGTGGTGCTCTCGAGAAGGTATCCTGGGGCTTTTAACATAGATGGAGACAAAGAAACACAAGAACAATATCATATTGTTCTGCGTCTAGAACTCCTGAAGGTACCTCATCTTTAGAGGGACATGCTGTTAAGGTTCATTAGCTAACTAGCTCATCAAAGTGCGAAGCAGCGCTGTTTGTCAGCAGTCAGGTGACCGGTTGTCAGGCTACTGATGGAGTACGGAGTACTCCGTACCCACCACTCATGTCCCATATTGACATTGTCAAATTCTACTCCGTACTCGTACACTTCATTTGCAGCTCCACTCTGTAGTAACCAGTAATAGCATTTTGATCTGTAGATGTGGTCTTAAATATTAAAGTCATCAATCATTAATTTTTACTTAAATGCATAAAATTATTCATTTTTAAAATATCTTCTAATCTTATCAAATAGTTATATAGCTCTTGTTGACGGACTTTTGCAAGCATCTGTAAGAAGTCGCATACCTAAGTACTTAGGCACTTCCTCAGCTCACGGTGCCGCGAGCCTTTCTGGGTCCTGAAGTCGCGCTAGTTCAAGCAACAGACGATAGGTGTAGATAGCCAGATCAATCTCTCGGAACGCCCGGGAGAACCAATCACGGCCAGATTCTGCTATTTCTTTCGCCCTTCGCTGTCCAATTGTAGTTGATGTAAGGAAAGAAACCAGTTCTGGGACTTCCTCCATGCTCTGGCTGACAGGTATGTAGTGAAGCCATGGTTCCAAACGATCATCATGCCACTCTCGCAGCAGGGTATGCTTCATGGGGGTGGATTTTGATGCCAATAGCTTGTAATAGCGGCCACTAATACCATTTCCATCAATATCAAACACAAGCCGTGATCGGAGTGCTTGGTCTTTATCTGCCCATGGCTTGACATCAAAATATGCAAGTTGATCTCTGCAAGCCGATCTTTTACATTGGAATATTTTGGTGAATCCAACATTATATAATCTGCTGTCGAGGAATGGTGATTTCACACTCGTGATTTTCCCACCTTTCTTTCGCAGGTAAGAGTGTTGCCGCTTTTCCAGATTCTGTGCCAACTTGACAAATCTTTGTCGGTGGAAATACTTCCACTCGCTATCCGATGCAAACCCGCCAGTTGTTGAGCCAGCCCAATATAGGTTGTTCTTCTTCTTTCCCCAGTCAACATCATGCTCCTCTGCATATCGAAACTCGGATTCAATATACGCCGGACTAGGGAATAGGATGTGTCCCATCGTTGACAGCGACCCGGTTGAAAGTATTGGTACAAGGCCTTCGATTAGGTGGAAAGAAGTAGGACTGATGGCAATGCCATGCATATTACGGTATTCAGGATGCAGACAAAGGTTCTTGGATGTTCTGGCATTAGTTACAAATGGCACGCCATCGGTTTCCGTGTCAAGCTTCTGATCATGATGGGAGGATAGGCAATATTTAGTTAGGGAGTCCCAAACTTTCTGTCTTGACATGTCGGTCAGGTTAAACCATTGGTTGTCCAGTGATCGTGGGGGAATCAAGATGCTTGGTTCATCAAAGTGATTGACAAGAAATGTGACTCTGGGAAGAACAACATCCATATTTTCCAACAACTTGTTGAATAAGAGCTCAATATGCCTGTCAAAACTACGGTAGGGATGGTGGCAGGCAATCTTAGAAGTATGATGACTGGACAAAGTACAGCGCCATAGCTCACAATTTGAAAAATGCTGGGAGTCATTGATCATTCCCAGCACTTCTTTCCCACTCAGTTTCCAAAATGGTGAAATCCCATCATAAATTAAATCAAAATCATCAATAATAGGTGATTTGTGTGATTTTGCAAATTCATACCAGGCCTGGAAGCCTGGTGGTGGCTCTACACTGTATCGACGTCGGTATTCATCACAAGCAGCCGTGTAATTTTTCGATTGTTTTTGGAGATAGCCATCAAAATTCAATTTTGCTTTTTGAATCAAGACATCAATTGGATGATTTTGTGAGACCTGGGATGAAGAGTGCGCGATGATTGTAAAGATATTCGCTAAAAAGGTGCCAAGGGGAAGAATGGCAAATATCCAGAGAATCATCTTGGTTTTTGCTTGTTTTGGGAGCGCTGAGACGATCTGACCAAGAACAAGTAACGTTGCCACGACATGTAAAAATGATCTCATACTTGAAGACTGTTTGAAAGGCTCGCGAGTAGACATGGCACTAAATGTTCCAATTGCAGCTGCAGCATGCCATGAGTGGTTGGTCTGAATGGCTCATTAATCAATATGATTTATGCTTTTGGTATATAATGGTGTTTGACGTACTATTTGAAATATAAAACACCATAGTAGGGACAGGCGGAAGCCTGCTATCAATATATTCAGGGCTCCATTGGAATGGAACCCACAAATATATGCTTCCACGCCCAGTACCAGAGCCAAAATAGTCACAATGCGTATTGAAAGAGGGAGAATGCAAGTTTTACCTTCAGAGTTATGAAGTCGTTGAGATTCATTATGAGGCCCGGATGTGAGAATAATATATGCCACTAGCAGTGCCATGACTGGAATAGTGGATAGGGCATGCCGTTGCACATCCCAGTCTGATAGCGTCATGATGGCAAAGAAAGCAGTCAACGCTGCTCCCAGTATTGTTTTTGAGAAAAGTGATTTGAAGGTGCAAGGTGGAATTGCGCGCCATTTTTCTACTGTTAGGAGTAAGGGACACAAAGCCGGCTACTCTATTAGCCTATGGCTCTTCTAATTCTAGAACGGGTAACATACAAAAAATCCAAGTATACCATGTTCTGCTCTAAAAAAGCAGAATGTGGCAATGCTAATTGCAGCAACCCACAAAGCTGGAGTAGAGGCTGCGTGCAATGCAAGTCCAATGGTATTTGTTCTCTGAGACCACTCACTGCGCATTTGCCCAGCGACCGCGAAGATAGCCGGGAGGAGTATCCATGCTAGAGTTTCTGAGGCGAGTTCAGATTGTTGGGACGACTGGCGTTGATTCAACAAGCCGAGAGCGAGAGCGAGCCCAGCTGGCCTGGTGACCGGGTCAACACTGTGAAAGACTCGATTCCACATTATGGGCATGCGGAGGACGAGAGTAGAGAATCCGCATCAAAAAATATTCCAGTTCTCGGATCATCTAATCCCTACCACCCAGCTTGCATAAACTAATTCGTATTTATGTACGGAGTAATTATGCATGTTCTTGCAAGCCAGCTAACGCATTTCTACCGGCTGTGCTCCATATTAAAGTATGTCCTAGAATCGAGCCGCAATCCGGATCAGGGTAAGCCATGCTGTCACAATATTATTATACCAACAAAGGGCCACAATGTTTATTTAGTCGCGTTTTGTAGAATCATCTTTTCTTCTCTGCGAGTGAGAGATGGACCTTCGAGCATCACGTCTGAGCCAACTGGCCTGGTGAGAGAGGTATTGACCGGGGCAAGGAGGAGATCTGCATAGCTCGTCTTTATCCTGCTACCAATCATAATGGAACCAACAGTTATAGAGCATTTGTTTTGCCCTGCCCTCCTTTATGTTTGCGGAAGACATAATCCTGAAGCCTGTTGACTGCTTATTGGCTCATGGATTCCACTTGATGTCCAGGTCCATGTAATTCTCAAAATTGGGTTCGAGGCTTGCTATAGAAGTATCCAATCAGTTTCAATACGTATAACTAAATAGTGGTTATCTAGGCCGGTACTGTCGAGGTCTCAGGCACTCGAAACCTGCTGATGCTCTTTCAGTGGAAGTTGGACCAAATAGTCAATATGCACAAAGTAGTTAATCATTCGATGTTCGCAAATATGTGAATCAAGACGTTGGTTTGCTCACTTGATTGATTGTGGACCAACATCCGGGGTAGTTATAGAGGACATTACTACTTGTGTTTTTCCTCGCACACTGACAAGGATTCATATGTACGGAGTATGGAGTACGGAGTAGTTAGTTTCACGGCCCAAAGCTTAGTTATGTACGGAGTAACTATAGCCTAGTTAGCTGAAGCCCTGTTAGTATGACCCTTGCCGCCGTATCCATAAAATACAAGAATGATTAAATTACCATTATGCGACTAGAAAGTACAATGCTTAAAAGCAGGCTACCGTATATGGAGTACACTGCACACTGAATTCAATCATCAAGACAAAAAGTCTTAGTAATTTTCAAGTCTGTGAGTCAAGTACGGAGTACGGAGTACGGAGTACATTGGAAAAGTCTCGTTATTTAAACTTTTAAAGTTTGGACAAAGCCCACATTAGGAACGTACGGAGTACATACGGAGTAGTGCCTAGGAATTTAAGGTGAATTACACTAGTGTATCACAGGTACGAAAGACGGAGTAATATAGTTTTGATCCTTAGGGGTTCTCGTTCTAGGGGCGTAATATTACCAAGTGAATACAGATTACTAAGAAACACTCGTGTACTAGAATTGAAATGACACCTGAGTCTGTCTTCACTATCAGTATTAAATTACAGACTTGTATGGAAGCTCAAACAAGTCATCAAATGGCAAAATATAAGCTAGACTTAATTAAAGCAGTAAAAACTGAGACATACTAGACTCTCTGCTACATGATGGATTTAAACTACTTGTATACCGCGTGCGACCCGCACTTGGAGAGATTTCATGGTTGCGGCACCTTGTAATTTGTTACATGGGTCGTAATTTAGTGTAATTACCTTACATTGCTGGGGATCAAAACTTTCGGCGTGATCTCCGTACTCCGTACCTAGGTATTATTACACCCTTAAAAATTTCCAGACTAAAACCTAGAACAGCAACCTCCAATCAGGCCAACTAGTCAATAAGAAGCCGTTGGCTTATTGACCTAACTAGCTAACTCTCCGCACAGTGAGTTGGCAACGTAAAGCAGCCAGTACATACACACTCATCGTGTTTTGGGCCTAGTTACTCTATGGAGTACAGCCTGTCAATCACTGTACTGCGGCCCCATATAACATGAATCCTAGCTTGTGCAAGCGGGCCAATACACCATGGTTGGAGGAAACATTCAGGCGACCTTGCAGGGTTCAGCAAGTATTGCTCTCAAGAGTTTGCAATGGAACTTGTCTATGCCACACTGTGGTCTACAAGCTGTCGGCTTGTAGATTAGACTAGGCACGGAGGTTGGAGAGCCCGACTCTATACTCCGTACTGCGTGCTCTGAATTATTTGCGGACCGTTCGTCATGTTTGCATGGATTTGATATCAATCTTGACCATCTCAGTATGACTCAAGTTTCGTTACTTTCCCTCCAGCCCGCTGTTTATTTCCACCTTGGAATATATCAGCAAATGGTCGAATGCGAAATACCCAGCTTAAGCCCCCAGTGCAAGGAAGGAGTAGAAGGCGACTACAGTCATCGTTACCTTCGCTTCCGTATTGCTGCACGTTGCAGCAAATGCGGGCATTCTTCCCCCTGTATATTGCTTGGATGAGTAGATTATTCACTCCATCTAATGTTGGGTGACCCTTGAATTTACTTGTACAGACGAACTATTGGTAGTTCCTCCATGCTTTGTGCATTGGAGAATTTGAAAAGAAACCGACTACATATTCAATATTTCTCTGGAAAAGTCGCCTCCCTTCTTCTGCATTTCCGATGTTTTCCCTGAAAATCCACTCTTTGGGCCTTTGCTATCCGCTCAACATGCTCGAAACTTCAGGTATAAGAGAGCAAGACTTCCTTTTATTTCTGTATATGTTTCTACAACCCATCTCCATCTGAGATAGTTTCAGAATCTCCTTTGAACCAGCTTGAAAATAATTTAACACCTTAAACTATACTTGATTTCCATCTACAAAAATGATGTTTTACCGCATTTCCCTGATTGCCGTTGCCGCTATGCTGGCTACTCCCGCTCTAGCCTGCAAATGCTATGTCAATGGTAACAGAGACGACGGCCGAACTGAATCGTGCTGCCGACAGCTCGGCGGTGTTTTCCGCTTCGGCAATGACTGCCTTGCCGGCTCCATCTCCGAACACCTGTCGAACTTCCGCCGCTGCTGCGGTGGCCAGTCCGACTGCGATTATCCAGGCCTTGACGAAGACAAGGAAAACCCCGGCATCACAACCATCGTCGTTGTCTAAGTCACCCTAGAATGATCTTCACATAAACCTTCACTTTCGATTCGATTAATCCTGATTACGATCCGATCCCGTTAAGACGAATGCGAATATTCAATACTCTACTCCGATATCGTCTGTCTGATGCCTCTATTAGGATTACGAGAGATGCAGGGATAAACATGAAGACTATCAAGGCATGCCGTTTATATACAAGGAGAACACATGAGTTTACGTAGTCACTTATCTGAATCAATTTATCACATTTATTGTATGCGAAACTTTTCCAGAGTAGTATTTACTAGTCTTCTAGCTGAGGCGATTTTTTTTCTTAAAAAAAAAAAACCAGAGGTGATAGGTAGTTAACTAAGTGTTTGGCTTCGCCCGACTTCCCCTATGAAGTTGGTTGAAAGCCAACTCGAACCTCCACGAAGCCCATACTGCCTAGTTTAGTTAGTCTAGCCTCTTGGCAGTAGGGCCTCCGCCTGAATGGGCCCGAGTCTGAGAAACTGAGGCAATATGTACCTTGTGGATTATCTATTGGCTTTAAGCGCGAGTAATAAACGAATTACTATGGAAGAGGGGCGTGTTTTAAGCGAGAAAGATAAGATGCTCCGCGGAGGTCTTTATCATGCATTTACTGCAGATCTTATAGCCGATAGGGCTCGTTGCAAACATGCGTGTAATGCTTTTAATAATGCAGGAGAGGTAACCAGGCGACAGCAAGTGGGACTGTGGAGAAAGTGAGTGAAATCCGGCAGTATGTTTGATACTAAAGGGCCCAGCATCGCGACCGCAATTGTCTATTCCAACATGCGGGGCATTAGTATGCCACTTCTTGCCTGGGAAACCCTCGCGGGCAATATAGCTAACAGTATCAGCATTATAAAAGATGAACGGCCTATGCCGCTTCTGCATGATGATCCTGTAATGGATAGCCGGCTCTTCGAGGATGACCCTTGGGTTGAATCGCCTATTCGAATGGACTACGGGTACAACCTGAAAATCGGTCAAGGAGTTTTTATTAATTTTGGCTGTGTAATTCTGGATACTTGCGAGGTGACAATCGGTGATAGAACCTTGCTAGGCCCCAATGTCAACCTCTACAGCGGAACCCATCCGCTGGACCCACGCCTAAGAAATGGTACTAAAGGCCCTGAACTTGGGAAGGAAATACATATTGGCGAGGATTGTTGGATCGGCGGAAATGTTGTCATATTACCAGGAGTAACGATCGGAAAAGGAGCCACAATTGGGGCTGGCAGTGTTGTCACGAAGGTAATGGATAATGCAAACCTCTGCCCTGGTTGAATATTGATTTGACGAGTGACAATAGGACATACCGCCGTTTCATGTTGCTGCTGGAAATCCTGCAAAGGTCATACGCCGCATAGATACTGCAGCTGCAGAGGAATAAAGAAATCGAGCTTGGTAGCCACATTAGCTCCTTTGTCAGGAAGTTGTAGGCTCAATTCGAGGTGCAGTGTTTTTATGTATGTATGCACGCATAGTTCTGCTTGTCCGGTGGTCAGGGTCAACTTCGCCAGTAGTTATATCATATGACAATAACGTCGTTCAATGGCGGCACAATCACACGAATATAGTCAATTAGCACTGTAGCTGAGGCACAGGTAGCGACGCCAATTACGCCTGCTCGAGGAACACCCAAAGCCTTCGATATTCGTATCTCGGCGTTTTCCCCCAGGTACACCAATCTGATTTTTTCTCCGTCTGGGAGCTTTCGAGACGCAGACTTTACAAGAAGAGGAAGGGGAGCATCAAGCGCTGCTGGCAGGGTTGAGCGGCACACAAATATCGCCGCCAGCGGCGTGGCATTCTTCTTCTGAATTGAAGTCATAGTATCGTGACTTTGAAGCCTTTTGCCCATGTCCTGGAGGGGGTACATACATAATTGCTCGAGAGCCCTAACTGTCGAGTTGAAGCCAATCGTAAGATGCTGTGTTACATCAGGAAGTGAAGCTGATGATATGGCACGAACGTTATGGATCAATAGTCGTCGACGTCTGCGCGCCGTCGAGCGTTTCCCATGCGATGGGGCCTTCGCATTCCGCCGTTCTGCAATAGACACATTGGTACCTTGATTAGTTAAATTGACACGTTCATGTTGTCCGAACTGATTAGGACTGCCTGTACTCAAAAGGTCTAGCACGATGGCCTCTTGCATGGGTACTTCGTAAGTACTCCGTACTGGCGCGCTTAAGAAAAAAAAGGATTGTCGATGTCATCAATGATCAGACATCTGGTCTGGGCCTCTTGGTCCCCAAAAACCCGTTCGTTAGTTAACTTTTATTAACTGGGATTTTCTAAACTTAAATTAGGACAAGTTGCAAAGTTACAATAAAGAGAACAGATTTGTCTCTAAAGGTTGTTATATAGGCCTATGCGGTATGGAATCCAGATTTCTTGTTTGTGGTGGAAGGTGCTAGCAGGATTTCACAAATTCTACCAGCCTGCCTCAAATGAGAAGCAAAATTCTGTCAACTAGCTTCAACCGCAGGTTAGCAGTGCAAGTTTTATGGTTGGATGCATAACTACATGTAGGCGTGTATGTATGTATGTAGATAGAGAAGGCCTGATGCTACTTCATGTTTTGAAGTCCGTCCTGCATTAGATTGAGATGATGGTGGGTGAAGCAAAACTCCGTATATATATTTACCTAAGTTAGCTAGCTGTCGTTAACTACCAGGTAGTTTATGTCACCGGCGAGTGCTGTGCTGACTAATCCGCGCTGTCAACGGGAAGGACTCAGGCAGAGCCAATCACAGTGCGGCACACTGGGTAGCTTGCAAGGTTTGGCCAATGAGGAGCCTGCGCCAGATAAAACAGATAGCAGCCTGCTTGCCGGGCAGCAAACCTCCACACTATCCATCACATCATCACTTGCCCTCCATCTTGCGTCCCGCAACCAGCACTCTCCCCTCTACCTGCTAATTTTGCCATTTTTTTTGCTTGCCCTTGGCGGATTCCTTGTTGAGTCGTCGTCCCCAAGCTCCATAACGGATTTCACCCTTGCTGCACATTTGGCGATGCCCAGAAACCCAGTGATTTCCCAACGGCGTTACTATTACTCTCAAATCCCTTCCGCCCACACTCCCACTGCTCTTGGTTTTGGAAAGGAACAATTAAATTTCTGAAACTATGCCTAGATGACACAATAGCTTCCGCAATCGCCCTTTCCTGATTTTCTGGTCCAACGGTTCCGCCAACGGGCGCAACCGTCGCAGCCCCAGGCCAGAGCCTCCTTACCCTCGGCATCTTTCATTTTTTAAATGCTCTAATCAGAAAATGCCATGGCAGGTTCACCTCTAGATACACTTAGCTCTGCTGCTGTCAGAGAAGCCGGAGAAGTTGAGTCGCCGCTGCTCCCGAACGATTCTATGGAAGATACAGGACCTCGCTCTACGCGAAAACGACCGCGCCTTGATAGTGGGACCGGAATTGTTGACCCCATCACGATGCTCCCTCGTGATGCTGCCAATGAGGACGATGATCAGACTCATTCTATAGGCTCGAATACAATTGCCGGCTCGTGTACCGCGTCGCCCGAACCTCAAGCCCCCCAACGACCCTCTAGTAGGGTAACCATTAATGTGAAGTCACCCACTATGCCCAATACTCACACACTAGCTTCCGGTAATCACCAGGGCATCAAACCTCAAGCTACCGATGGTTCATATGCTAGATCGAATACTTCCCCACGAGCTCAGAGCCGTTCCTCTCCTAGGTTGATCGCCGGAAACACCACAGATGCACTTGCTGTCTCGTCTCCCTCGCCCACACAAAGTGTTCAGATTGAAGTTGCAGAGGTGGAAGATATGGATCAAGATCCAAGCAAGTCGAATTGGAAAACACTGGAAGAAGCGTTGCAAGCGCCCTCTATTCCCGGCCAGGTCATCCAGCCTGGGCAACAGTTTATTCCAATCGAACCCTTCCCTCGTATTCAAGGACAACTATACATGCGTGAAACAATAAATGATATTCGTAGTATGCTTGAACGAGGTGAGTTCTTCCAGCTCATATCCTCACCCATGTAAACGACTTCCCACTAACAGTGTTTTCTAACTGATAGGACATTTACATGATGCCCCCATATTTAGTGTGCTTAAACAGTGGCTCGACCAGTGTGTGATTAACTCCGAGAAAATGACATATGAGATGTTTCTTGAGGACCGCGACTTTTGGGAAGAGATCCCCATGGTCATCGAAGCTCTCATTCGACGCGAGTAAGGCCCGACTACTCTCAACAGTTATCTTTTATACTGATCCAATAATAGGGTAGAGTTACTTCCAGACAATGGGGACAACCCATGGCAGTGCATGCAAAGTTTCTGTGTCTCTTTTGCAAAAATCGCACTGCACTTCATACAATTGGATATCACCATATTACGAAGCTACAAGAATGATTCCAATTGTACATTAGACCTTGTTTCGAAGACGTATTGGAATACTTTGAGTTGGATTCTTCAACTCGAACGCACCCCCTTTTTCAAGTCCATGGAGAAGGAATACGGCCCGGATATCACCTGTCTCCTGGCTCGCATCCTAGATTCTATTTGCCAAACGAATATTTTCGAATATGTTTCGGAGTTCGCAACATTGATACTGGAAGCATTATCCCAGTGGCCGACTTTAGCACTCCATTTCGCGCACGCTCTATTAGTTATTCATAATCTAGTTGAATCTGGTTATGAAATGAGAAAAACTCGGCCGAACAGTGAAATTCAGATTGGACCGATGGCATTTGTCAACACAATAGATCAAATCTATAACTTTATCCGCACCATTGACCTCAAATACCAGTCTCTTATTGCCAAGAAGGCTGCATGGATATCAGGCGACATCAGTGACATGGTACTTTGCTCAATTAGCTCTATCTATGCAAATATCTGTGCCTTTGATCCTCAGCTGGGGATTCAGATTGCTCAAGATTTGCAAATTGAATATCCAAACGCCACACCTCCTCAAGATTACTCACAAATTATTCGGTTTGGCTGGAAGTTCAAAATTTTAAAGCGATATATCACTGATGGCCGAATGGAATTACGTGTAGTTGGAGTGGACACAATGCAACAAGAGCTTGTAACTTTATGGAAAACTAGCATGAGTGGCAATCCTTCAAGCATTGACTACCCAATTACAAAGTTCCTGCTCAGATTCCTCAGGAGCAATAAAATTGTTGAATATCTGGTTGGTGTTGACTCACATCCTCAATTAATTGCTCGGAGTGGGAATATAGTTGGGTTCCTTGTTGTTACCAATACATACACAAATCAGGATACCGACATCATCTGGAAAACAGTGACAGAGAGTCATGACCCTCATACCATTTCAGAAGTATTGTCAATGTTAACCCATACATTCACTATGCATACTCAGAAATCAGCATACCTTTACATTTTCGAAAAACTTATCAAATTACCTTTGACTCAGTTTGATACTCAGATGATGGAATTTTGTGAACAGCTGCTGAGTAGCTTTAGGGCAAGATATGGGAATAGAGGTCAGAATGAAACGTCTATGAGTATTGTACCTCTAAGACTCTGTGTTCATTTGATTCAAGAAATCACTTCTGTTCAAGCGTCATCAGAACTGAAGTCACAACTTCAAAGATTTGCTAGCCGCCATCTCCACCTGCTAATAGACCATGGAATTAGCAATTCTGATAAGATGGAACTGTTTTCCCTTTGCATGAATGATATTTCAGAGATGAATGAGCTTGCTGTTGGGAGCATAAATGCACTCGTTGCCTTGATACCCTCTTTTGATACCAAGGACATTCACCAGCTGGCTTTAGAATTCAACTTCACCCATTCAGTTGTGGCCGAACTTGCACATACACTTCATTCCAAAACACCAGCTTCTCCCCACAATCTAACTCCACGAATCCAGCTCCTCCTACAAATAATAGAGCGGATCCCAGAAACAATTACAGCAGAGTTAGCTGATAAGTTGTGGGAGAGTCTTCTGTCCTCCAAAGCTATCGGTGATCAAAATCAGAGTTTTGTGTGGGATAATATGTCTAGCTGTGTATCGAAATGTGAAAAACCAAATCCTTTTCTTGAGCAATGCATGAATGAGTATCTCCCTCTTATATTGCCAGAAAATTTCACTGCAGATATTCTTTCATTTGCAGAACAAACTGTCAGCTATGACATCCGCTTTACTGACCCAAAGCTCATCAAGGAAGGTGAGATTATAAGAGTTCCTGGGATGGATAGGATTTGGCATATAATCCTCACTGTTCCATCTGCACAGATTGGAATACAAGCTATTAATTTTGCAATAGAGGTATATCTTGACCATCCACTCATACAGAGAGCACCAAAGTCAGCAGCAGAGGCTACTCATGTCTCCTTAGTTGATTGCTGTATTGATCAACTTAAGGCAGCTGCCAACAGAGATCAGGTTCCTACTTCTCAGAGGGTGGACGAGACAACCAGCAAAGCACTGGCAGACGAGCTAAAGTTCAGTCGTTCGCTACTATTTTTAAGGCAACTCCTACATGGGCTGCGAACAAGGCCACAATACACTCCACCCCATGGTAGCCCACCTATTCTTCCCTTGAGAAGTGAGGAAATCAAGGGAAATATGATTGATATCCCTTACCAAGCCTTTAGCGGAAGCTCTCAAACCCAAATTCGCACAGTACAGACCGGCGACCTTACAACTCTGGTCGAGCTTTCGCAAAAGCTTTCTCGCCTAACTGGCTTCTCCAAGTTTACCATAATTACTGGCGGAAGGTTTCTTGATCTGGCTAGCAATGGCAACCGAACTCTACGGGAATTAAGAGTGCCAGCCTCAGGATTACTTATTATTCGGAAGAGTGCCGATTCTTTGGACATATCCTTTGGTGGTAGGAGACAGTCCTTAACGCTTGTTGATTCCGAAGTGTTAAAACATTTCAACGACCTTTATGATCTTCTCAGCTTGGACGAAAGGCTATCAAAAGACGTATGTCAATATACTTCCAATGTATACTAGGAGGCAACTGACTGTAGCACTAGATTTTCGACTTTTTAATTATTTTCCCCCCGCAGCAGCGAGCTCGAGAAACTGTCCGATCCTCGGACGTTTCCGAAGCTGATATGTTCCCTCTCAAAACGCCCTACAAACTCCTATATCTAATCAACTCTCTCCTTGTATGCATTAGAGAAGAAGCGCTGGAGGTAAGTTAGCTCCCCACTACTCTTTATTTTGAAAGGTGAATTAATAAATATTCTTTGAGTAAGGCCAATCCCGATCAAGATTTTATAAATCGTAGTATCTGCAATCTGGTTACCTTTCTTCTTCGTTCTGAAATGCGCGACGCTTTGGACAACGGTCACTTAAAACTGACATTGGCTTGTAATTTTGTCGAATGTTTATTAGCAGCACTAGCAGGTACTTTTTACCAGTTCCCTCTGATCCTGACAAGGTGCTGAATCATATTTCTTTAGTCAAATCAACTGCAGATAGCTCAATACCTTTCTTCAGTGACCCGTCTGGTCTAGTTGATTGTATTACAAAGTTTGCACTACCTGGGGATCTTACTTCACCCTGTGCTAATTCCACTGTCCCACAATTAATATCGAATTCTGTTGCGGTGCTCCTAGAAGCATCCATGCATGATCGAAGAGTTTGGGATGCGTTTAGGGACAGTGCGAGAATGGAGGACATTATTCTATCCCTCCTATTACAAGACCCAAGGTTGACTCTTCGGCAAAGCATTGCTGGAATAATTTTCACCCTATGTGGAATGTCAACATCACAAAAGCAAGCGCTGAAAGTATATCCAAAGGATTCCAGAATCTCACATAAACTAGAAACAACCACTGGAACCGAGGTGATCAGGACATTATGGAACTGCTTGAATTCACTGATTCCTCGTATCACTGAATTTCCCCAGAGCTCTCAGCAGTTTTTCGAAGTCTCACTAGTTGTTTTCCAAACCATTGGAACCTTACCACCGGGAACTCTACCTTTTGAAGACTATTTAAGACAATGGGGTGAAGTTCTCCTCTGTCATCAAAGTCATGAAGTGAGTTGTCTGTTTTCCGAACGAGACACAAGCCCTATTGACAGTGATTAGTTTGTGGGTCGTGAAGTTGTCGATTGTATTGTTTTGGGAATTGCTCGCCTCCTTAAAAAGTGCTTGGAATTTTCACCGTCCAAGACTGTTGGCAACACAAGGTAATACCGCCCGCCATAAGAATTCTGAAAATATCATCCAGCTAATGGTACCAAAAAGCCTTATGGAGCAGCTCTTTAACACATATCTGTTTCCAAATTTGTCTGAAAACGTTGATGGAACACCCATTAACCCAGTTATACCTGTTATGCATACCGGAACTCGCCAAGAAATATACAGCGTTCTCCTTCTACTGTGCGATGATGTAGATAGCTGTGGGCAAATGCTCAAGATGGTGGAGGATGTCATCCCGCCAGGTTAGTCTTATTTCCACTTCAGCAATTTTATGATGCTTATCTCGACATAGATTATACCCACGAACCCAACTGGATCTTTGATCGCTATAAAACTATTCGATCTCCTGAAGGATATGCCGGCCTCAAGAATTTGTCTAACACTTGTTACTTCAACTCTCTGTTTACTCAACTTTTTATGAATGTTGATTTTCGCAAGTTTATGCTACAAGTCCCAGTCACCGGCCCCACCTCAAGCCAAAGACTCCTCGTTGAAACTAAGAGACTATTTTCCTATATGCAAAACACGTGGCAAAAAAGTGTGGATCCGTATGCTACAGTAGCCGCTATCCGAACCTTCGAAAATGAGGCGATCGACATAAATGTTCAGATGGATGTCGATGAGTTCTATAATCTTATCTTTGACCGATGGGAAAGCCAGATACAATCACCAGAAGACAAGCAAACGTTCCGCTCGTTCTATGGTGGTCAACTTGTTCAACAAATCAAATCTAAAGAATGTGAACATATTTCAGAGCGACTAGAGCCTTTTTCGGCAATCCAGTGTGATATCAAGGGTAAGAGTGGGCTAGAAGATAGCTTGAGAGCTTATGTGGAGGGGGAAATGATGCAAGGAGGTAAGTTTATCTGCAAAAACCTCATAACTGCTCTGTTATTTTACTTACTTTGCAACCAGACAATAAGTATTCATGTACTTCTTGTAACAGGCATGTTGATGCAGTTAAACGGTTTGTTTTTCTCGTCCCAATTCCTTGGTAAAGCTAACATGAATCAGAGCTTGTTTGAAAGATATCCCTGATAACCTGATTTTTCACCTTAAAAGGTTTGATTTTGACGTTATCTCTATGATGAGAAGCAAGATCAACGATGAGTTTCATTTTCCAGAGCGTATCGATATGGCCCCATTCAAAGTCGAGTCTCTCAGTGACAACAGCACTCCTGTGAAAGCAGATGTATTTGAATTAGTGGGCGTCTTAGTTCACAGTGGCACTGCAGAGTCAGGCCATTACTACTCCTACATAAAAGAACGTCCTTCTCCCAACAAATTTTCTTCCTGGGTGGAATTCAATGACGCGGATGTTAGCAGATTCGACCCGTCAAAGATCCCAGATCAGTGCTTTGGAGGCATGAATGATACATATCACGGCCCTAATGTCGGCCAAGTTCGTTTTGGCAAAGTGTGGAATGCTTATATGCTTTTCTATCAACGTGTAACCAGGATCGAGACCGGGCTACTTGAATACCAACCAGCCTTGGCCGATGCACCGGTTTCTATACCTCTTCCTTTGGAGATTGGAAATTTCATTGCCATGGAAAACGAACTGTTTCTTCGAATATACTGTCTTTTGGATCCGTTTTATTTTCGCTTTATCCTGGGACTCGTTCAAATATCGAGAAAATTAACTTTGTCTACGCGACCCCTGAAAACTATCCAAAAAGCTATGGTATACACTGCTCTAGATACTATTGACCAACTTGTGTCGAGAACCAAGGATGCTCCTATGCTAGAACCCCTTTTTTGCGAATTAGATCTGGCACACGAAGAAAACCCTCATGTGGCGTTCTTAGTTCTCGAATGGACGGCTAATCGGCGCCCTGCCTTGCGAAATCTCCTTTTGAAGTGTCCGAATCCAATTGTACGCTCTGGGTTCTCTACCTTGATTATAACTTCCCTTGCGCGTCTGAAGGATCGGTTAGCCGATGCAAGTCTTGAGCCTATTAGAGCAGCACGCTATACGCAACAATATACAGTTGTGCTTGAGAATGTTTTGACAAACCTTCACCAACTTTGGGGTACGATCCACCTCTACTCTCGAGCCTGGGATGAATACTTTCAGCTCGTTATCAGTATTGCCAAATTTGGTGAGCTGGAGGTTGAATCGGTTCTGGAACATGGATTCTTATTGAAGTGCTTGGAGATAATTTGGCTGGACAAAGAAGATTCCAAAGATCTCAAGTGCTTGTACGTCAACTACCATCGGCTGGTGGAAAAAGGCCGAAAGTTTTCACAGGTCAAACTTTTGGAATTGCTTTATTTATTGGTTAGCTGCCTCAATTGGAGGCTATCGCCCACGTCTGAGCAGCAATCACGGATTTGTCGAGAAGGGAAATTTTCAATGACAATCGACGAAGCGGATTTGATCCTTCCCATCGGACGGCATAAGGAATTAGTTGTCCTTCAAAAAATCATTGAACAACAATCTAATCCTCCTGTGATTCGACAGCTCATCAAGCTACTAGTCGAACTGCCGCCTTCGCAGAGGTTATTGGAAAATATTTGCCGGGCAATTGAGGAAGGGCTAAACGCTGAACCCTCAAGCTTTACAGTGCCTTTTCTTGAAGCCGCTATGATATTTTGTGAATATGCACCCGACGCAGATAGCATCCTAGGGCTTATTGACTTTGCAATCAAAGGTATTGAGACTCTTGACGATGCGGGCCGAGAATACCTTGCGTTTTTGCAAGCACTCTTATCTTTGCAAAACGAGAAGATCGGCCATGAAGAAGGCTGGTTCTGCGGTGTTGTTCTTGATCGAACTTCAGAATGGGCCCCTGCGTTGCTCATGTACGAAGATCGGTGCACACGTAATAACACCTTTGAACTTCTGCAGCGGCTTTTATTCTCAAAAGAGGTTGAGGAACTCCCAGATTCACATCGTCAATACTACCGAAATATTGGGAGAGATCTTGCCCAGGCCTGCGCAGAAAAATTACGCATCTTATGTGTTGAAAGGCCCTCACCGCAGCAAAATATTGATTCTCGACTTGTCGAAGCTATCAATCATGTCCTCAACCATTGTATGGATACATACTTTAATGAGAACGACAGTAATGAAGATTTGGAATTTTTGCAACAGGGCACAGGTAAGAGCTCTTTAACTACACCTTTGCATTGTCAGCATATACTAACGGAAGGGTTTACATCAGCTATATTGAGCGTGGTTGAGCAGATGAGCGTTGAAATCCCAGAAGATTTTGTATCCGGTATGTCTCAGGTTTTTTTTTAGGAATCACTTTATTTAGTGATAAATACAAACTTCATTTTCGTCAGTCAGAATCTAACTTTCCTCCAGATGCATGGGAGGATAACTCAATGATGGGCAGCGATTCCGATATTGGGTTAGCTGGATCACCTTGAAACGGGCCCGCCCTTGATTTACTCTTCGACTCTGAAGTCTCCTAGAAGCATCAAGGACACTGGCGTTATATTGGAAATCGACCTATAGACACTTTCATCGGAATGTGATAAGAAAGGATTGGTAAATCCAGGTTTTAAACGGGGCAATTGCGCGTTGATTTCGATTCCTTCCAAAAAAAGAAAAAAGAAATACTCGAAAAGGCATATTTCTGATTCCAGGGCTTCGTTTCATAGTTTTTTCAGCGTACAATGAGAAGACGAAGAATGCATGAACATGGCGTTTCTTTCCTTGGGTTATGTTTCTTCGCACTGCCATCCTCCTTCTCCTCAGAATAGGACATTTTGCATTACAATATGGTTTGGTGGAAACTGTCCGCCGACATCCACTGTTTTACCCCCTTTTTTTGTTTTTTGAAATAAGGCATCTTTGTTTTTCTCTGGGTCATATGGTATCTTCATGTCTAAGCGAGCGGCTGTCGGTTTATAAGTTATTGATAAATTCTTGTATTCCATGTTGGTGGTGTTTGGTTGCCAATAGAACATGTCTTATGGTTGGAACTTGGAACCAGACCATTAAAGTACATTATAATCTTCTTCTCACTGAGCCGTGAGCCAAATAATAGTACACAAAGCAAGTCTGTATGAAGTCAAGCAAGCAACACCTCCAATCTGAAATACTGCTAGATTGAGTGAAAAATATATAAGCCGAGAATAGATATCATTCATGTGTGTATATGTAATAGATGAAGTATTATGAACCGAAGGCACTTCAACATTAGGGCGGGCAAAGAACTTATATGGCGATTCTGGTCTCTAGTGGCTAATCGATTGTGAAAATAAGCAGCACTCCATGCACATAGTAACAACAGCGCTTCTTCAACTCCAAAAACGCCCAAGTAAATAGCAGCTATTACCATTATAGAACGCTCAAGAGATCTAAAATTTCAGTGACTTTTGTGTGAATCAAAATATAACTCACTTAAAGAAAGAATATTAAGTGACGTTAAAATGCAGAGAGTGGCAGTAAGTGTGATGAGGATGTATCACGGAATGCGAATTTTATTGAGTATGACGCCGGCTAAGCCCGTGGCCAATCTCAAGCCTAGCATCCTCTTCACGTAGACGTTTCTCGCCGGGTAAAATGATCTAGAATATGTCAGCATGAAAGGGACCGAAAACAGAGAATTCGAAAAACGTACGGCGCGATCAACTTCGTATGGTAAACCACGATGTTTGCCTCGAATCATCATAGCACAAATCACTAATTTGCCCAGGATGCCGAATTTACCGGTCAATGCGGTGTTTATGGTCGGGTGGCTGATGCTGAGGCCAACATTACCGCTATTTGCTATCCATCAGTTTATTGCAAGGCGCTTGTATAGAAGAAAGGATCACGTACTAAGCGGAGATGACTTCAAAGAAGACCGAAAACATGTTGAAGTCCTAGGTGCAATGTTAGTGTGGATGCGGCAAACCATCAAAAACGATTCAAATGAGTCGTTAGGATTCTCTTACCGGATCACTGCGGTCGGCAATACGACTACCTTCGGTAATAGCAAGCACAAATACGCCCAAGAAAACATACCACAAATCAAAGGCCAGCTGCATTTTAATGTGAACTCCAAGATACGATGTACGTTTGACTTCTAGAAGTTCTTCCGACTCATCAAAGACGCCTAAGGATGATTCCTCGTATGTATTGGTTCTAAATAATTTGTAGTCAGTGGGAGTTTGCGGATAATTTCCGAGATTCGTGGTTCAAAACTCACCCTCTTACACTGAGAGCAATTGGAAATACGGAAATATACATCATCACTAGGCTAGTTAGAGCTCATTCATTATCCTGGCAAAGGATACTTTTCGCGACTTACCCATCAAACTAAATTGAGCAGCAGGATGGATTTTTGAAATAGCAAAGGTGGATGTCCCAGTGGTACGCGCAGATGCAGTCTGGAACAGTGCAGCGCAGAACCGATGCCAACCAGAACTGATAGCCGTCACTTCGGGATAATTAAGATCCAGGATGAGAAAAAGGATGACATCAAAGCCATTTATCACCACCAAACTAGCAAAAAGAACCCAAGTTACCTTGCTTGGGAAGAGCATAGTGTAACACCGTCTAGGGTGATCTAGTAGAAAGTTCAACGGTTCTTTAATGGCGGAACCTTCGGGGGCCAGCTTGAAAGCTATCCAGATAGTTAGGCGCAGCATGCATGGATAGGCAGTGTTTCCAATATATATTAGAAACGTCATCCACAGCATTGGGAAAGTTGAGTCCCGAAAGCGGACCATAGAATCTGGCGTGAGAGTATAACCAAGATTATTAAACGTTGTCATAGACGAATAGAAGCCCCTTGAGATATTGATCAGACGTGTGTTACTCCCTGCAGATAAGTGGACTTTCTTACCACCAAGTGAGATTGGTTGCACAATCACCACGAACATAATCTCGGTATTTTTGTGGAGAGTTCCATATCCATGCAACTAGGCCTATGGCTCCAATAATGTGCCAGATCACATAGTAGCCTATGATAATCAGCAAAGCAGTCCAGATAAGAGAGAGAAAGCGTAACTCACCGCCGGCGATCTTAAGGAGTAGCCTTAAGCTTCGATATTCAATGCCACCAAGCTCCTCCTTTTGCTCTTCGGTTAATCCCAAAAACTTGGAGTTTCTTCCAATCGTTGGAGCATACGAGAGATAAGGTAGTTGTTGTGCGTTCGTCGCTTTGGAAGAGGTTCTGCTAAGGGCGCCTCTAGATCTCGATCGCGACCGAGATTTAGACGTGCCTCCAATGATGAAGGCGGATGATGCAGCATGCTCAATAGATGCCGCGCGGGAGAGGAAGCTCTCCATCGTTGGAAGTTTGCGGAATGTATCGGATGGGCCGGCAGCGCCTGCGTCGTCGACACTTTTCGACATATCCGCTATCAATCAATATTAGAGTGAAGTTGCACTCAAGATGAATTTCCAGATTTCTGGTCTTACCTTCATCCTCATCCTCATCCACTTCTTGAACCCGTTGGCCTGCTCCACAGTCAGTCCGAAATGTTTACCTGTGGATGTGTGGCAATACCGACCTCTCTCAAACTCCCTTGGGCCGGGAATTCTAAGTGCCTTTCCACGATTCGGCTTATCGAATGTGTCTGAAGAAAATGTGATGTGCTGAGGAGCACCTCTCTCTGCCGTATTGTCGACTGACGTTGTCTGCTCTAGGGCGGGGGCTGGGGGGTCTGGTACGGAGGCGCTTGTTCTCTCAGCAGCAGACCTTTGACGTAGAGCACTCCAATTGACATCCTCATCGATCGGGTCAGGGCGCAAGACTCTGATATTGTGCGAAGTTGTCGTGTCGTCGCTTTTGACGGCTTTGGAGCTTTCCACGGAGAGCAAATGGGCGCGTGAGCGCTCAGACGAGGGCAGCCTCGAGAAACGAACTGTAAGGTAGAAGAATTAGATATTTAATATGAAAAGCCGTTGTTGTTGATTTTCTCTGCTTTCTGTGTTGGGGGGAGGGGGGGAATGGAGGGGCAGGGTGAGAGAAAGAAGTACCTATATCCTTGAACTTCTTTTCAAACCAATACAGCCGCACATAGACCACAACAACATTGACAAAGCACATATTCCCAAGCATGGGGATAAACCAGACGGCAATTTGCTGGTAGAGCTTCATCTCTTTGAGATCAACACTGCGGATGTCAGACCTGAGCCACACAGAAGACCTATCAGCTACGCGGTGAATGTTTAACATACGTGTTGAGGCCAGTGACAGTGGAACCGCTGACAGCCTGGAAGAAAGCATCGATCCCACTCATGTTCTTCACTGGATACAAGATAATGGTGCCCACGACACTGAGCAGGAGTATGTAGGCATCTGGCTTTTGCAATACCAATCAGGCCTTGTTCCTAGTGCGATAGACGCGCTGATACAGGGACCATGAAACAACTCACAATGTATGCGAATGAAGTTCAGATGGGGCATATGAAACGATGGAGACCACATCTTTGCGACGTCTTTTTTTCGCGCAAGCAACACGCGATCACAGCGCTCGGGGCCAACACAGACACAGATGCTGAGACAACAGGGCCTCGGAGTCCGGCGTTGCAGGGCGGACAGCAGCAGATGTTAAAGATACGATAGAGAAGTCATGGCGGTCAACAAGCAAAAGCAGAAAGCAGAGGCGGAGGTACTGCAGAGTACTTGGGGAGGGAAATGAATCGAGGGGGAGATGAAGCGGACAACGAAGATAAAAAGAAGGCAAAAATGCGCAAAGAGGGGCGAGCTAAGCGGGAGCTAACTAGGCGCAGGCGCTGGGAGGATGTCTGAGTCCCTTTGGCTTAACTTTGCAGGCGAAATTCCTGGTGTCATGTCGAGGGCATCCAAGTTTGGCACGAGGATGACCGGGCCAAGCGGCGGTGGGAGCCAGTGCGCTGAAAAATTCTAAATCGCTGCTACATACTCCGTACATACGAGTTCCCGGCGCATGCTTTTGCCTTTTGCCTGCGACGGGCGCCGGGCGGCCAAAACTCCGACAGCTGGACGACGCAGAGACAAGCCCGGCGGGCGTCGTGGATGGTGCTGCCAAGCGCGCAAGGAGCCGGTTCCTCCCTGCGAGCCAGCGCTGAGATTGGGGCGGCGGTCCGTTTCGAAAGAAGGTTGGCTGCAAAGGCAAATATCAGCCACCATCCATGCGACGATGGCGCCCGGTGCCTGACTTTGCATGCTCCCGCAGCACCCCCAGGCCTACCGCCTCGCCAATGGCAGCACCCTGCCTGCACCACATGATGGCGTTCGTCCCTCACAGCTTCAGCTGGCAGAGCTGATCCCAGCCTGCCGAGCTTACTGGTTAACTAGTTAGTTACATAACTACTCGACAAGCCCGTCTTTCGCCGCTCTTCGACGCAGGAAAAGCTTGACTGGCCGCGGCGCCCATGCATTGGTGCATCCGCAATTAACCTCTGTCAGCTCGCGCTTGTTTCAGTGGGCCGGGGATGGATCTGAGAAAAAGAAAATAACCCAGTATTCCATCTCTCGGAAACGTTGTCTGGCCAGGATGTCCACTGTACACGTCCATGGGATCTAGTTAGACACAACGCCGGGCCACTCATCCTTCGTTTCACAGCCGACCCTCGAAGTGGTTGCATAGTTAACTGCCAGTTGGGTAACTTAGGTATGCATCGGCCCATCCGTGCACCATAGCGGCCGTACATATTGCAGACCTGCTCATTATTTCCGAGCACCTTTGCTTTTTTCTTTCCCTTCTGCCTTCTTTTTAAGCTGCCAGATCTTCCAATATTGCGTCTCCGATGTAACCACGATCACCAACGTTTTCTCATGGCTGCCTCATCTCATCCCACAATCGAGGTCCAAATTCCATGGCACCGAATGTATGCAAGCACTCCGTACTTCTGGTTGAGGCTGGAGTGTGGGGTCGTATGGGCACAAAGTACAGACAAGACGTGAGCCTCTTCCGTCGCCGTCAACACCTGAGATGTTACACCCGAGAACCTCCATGCAACAGCCTCACTTAACCCGGCGAGCCCGGAGCCACTTGATGCAAAACCTATCATTACGCTTTCAAGAAGGCCCTTCCGACATCTTTTCTTCAAGCGCAAACCGCCAGGTACCAGAGAGAAAACCCCTACCAACACGAGGCCGTAACAAAGAGACCCTGTACTCCGTATGAGGCGACTTTTCGTTTTGGCGGCTTTTATTTAAGTCCAGTTCTCCAGTATAGTTCGCGTGTCAGTGCGCTCAAAGCAGACAGTTGAAATGCGACCAGCATTCCCCGATTATGGGCTATGTGCTAGTTGACTACCTCCCTCGCATATGGGTAGTCAACGACATGACTGTGTGAGCACCGCATTGCCTCTAATTTATAGTAGGTCAAAGTCAGACAAAGGTGCTTGACAATAACTATATATTCTGTCCTCTACATCATAACAAGTCCTGCAAATGTGCAGCCTACCAAATTGCAGATCCAAAAAAGGAACCTAGATCTTGCTAACTCAGCTATGACTTCCGATGTACTTCGTACTCTGTATGAATACAAATTGCCGATAGCTACCCGCGCCGCACCAAAAGAAAAACCAGTGGGAGAGGTGAATGCCTCTACGGAGCACTTTTTGAGCTGCTACCCCCAAGCGTAAGGCTGTTTCCCGGTCTAAGAAGAATTTCTCTCTGATCGACATCAAATAACCTGAGTATTTCGCTAAGGCATGTGGAGATGCACAGCCTTGTCCATCTTCCTGTTCTTTATGGTAGAAATGGGCGATATATTTCACACAAAAACATAAACAAATCCTGAATGGGGGCTTTTCTGTATGGAACTGGACAAAATTATATGCTATAGCTCATCAAAAGCTTCCAAGATCAAGCCAGGCCAAAACACAGTTCAATTCTTGTAGATTACATGGCTGCTATCCACCTCTATTCACATAACCAATCATAGTTCACAATGTTTAAGATATTAAATAAAAAAAAGACATGCGATAAAACATACCTGTCACTTACTTCAGGCCCACAAAAAGCAGTTTTCCGCCCGGGTGATAATTCCAAACTCCAATATGCAGTGTTTTTTCCAGTTCCAAATGACGAGGAAGTTGAAGGACAATAAAGCAATCCAGTCAGCCAGGTAACTGGCATTAAGTTGTCCAAAAACATAGTAAAGAAAACGCCTTGTGCACCATGCTGCAAATAACATTATCAGCCCCCTATAAGAATTGAAAACAGAGCCAAAAGCCTCTAAACGTCCTCAAACTCATCGGCCTCTTCGTCCGAGTCTTCCTTTTTAACCTCCGGGTGCAGCTTGATCTTCTTCGCTGTTGGGCCCCCATCGTCAACTGGCGTGATTGGTGTAGGAATATTGGTATGCGGGGCACTGCTTCCAGATTCTGAATCGAGCTCCCTTTTCAAGGAACCATTGACGGGCAGTGCTTTCATGGCATCTGGAATTGCAGATGTGCCAATAGCACTAGGTGCAATCCCAACATCTTCAAATTCATCATCCTCGTCTTCAGAATCTTCTTCACTTACATCCTCTTTCGCTTCACGCTCCTTCTCGCGGGCCATCTCGGCGTAATATGCGGCAACACTATCATCCAAACTTTCAGCATCCGGTTTCTGTTCCTCTTTAATATCTGCCTTAATATCAACTTCAGTTTTGATTCCTATTCCATTCGCCTCTGGCTTTACTTGAGTCGGCCTTATATCCGTGCTGACAGTAGACTGTGTGTGCCAAACAGGGAGTGCATTTTGTTTTTCAAGCGCGGCTTTCCTTGCCTCTTCCCGGGCCTGCTCCTCTGCGCTCTTTTCAGCAGAAGAGGTAAGCGATACTTCAAGTGTTGAAGCATCAGTTTTGTTGATGCCCTTCACAGCAGAGCTTTTCGCTACTATCACGCCAGGTTTTGAAGGATTTGTGTACTGATTTCGTACGATATCGATCTTGTGATCCCACGCAGTATCAAAGTCATTGGGGGGAACCTCGACAGAATCGATTTGCTTCAGAAGCTTCAACATTGGATCCAGCTGAGCCATTAGTTTGCTGTTCTTTTCATGACCAGTGCGGTCTGCTCCGGCACCACCCTGGATTTCATCTGTCCCAGAGAGCAGATGACCGCATCGCTGGCATTCAAACCCTTCGGGCCCAACATGACCTAAGACTTCAAGCTGGGTCCATTCCGCCTGGCACCGTAAACATATGTACTCCTTCCTCTCTGCACTCGGGGTGTATTGGGTCTTGATCGTGGAAGTCAAGCGAGAAACGCGATACTTTATTGCATCGATTACAGGATGGAGCGGAATGTAGTAATACTCGCGGTTTACAGGGCGCGTCTGGCCTTCACGAAGTTCGGGGCGGGAATGGCTATTTCCAAGAATCCCAGGTTAGCTTTTCATGGGGAATAGAAACTTGAAGGCCGGGTACTGGCGGCCATCCATACACTGCTATGAGGCGGTCCTCCCGCAGGCGACCGCACAGTCTCCGAAGGTCTTTTTGTTGCATTCCCAAAAGGAGAGCTAGGTCCTCTGCATGGAGGCTACCAGGCAATGTTAGCAGTGCAATGATGCATGCAAAGAGCGCACCAGCCATACACTGAGTGTATGAAGAGAGCATCGATCACAAGAATATGACGAGTCTCATAAAACGCCCGAGCGACTATTCGAACGAGGCTCCTAGCAAGATCCATTGCCGTAACGAGTCGCGATCACAGGCTCGAAAGCAGTAAGATCACACGGCAAGTGGAATACTTATCAATCGAAGAATCTTGTCATTACTGGAACATATTGAAGTCTTCCTAGTAACGGCAAGTTGACGGTGGGAAAATAGTGACGAGAGTGCGATGGAGTGGGTTGAGGCGATGGTTGGTTCGGAATGAAGGGGTGTGGTGCGGCTCGAGCTGGCTGATGACTAATCGACCTGCATCATAGAATCGCTTTGAAGATTTTCCAGATTCAGCCACGCGAGAACAACCAGATGAACCTCGGACAGACAAATGAGCGGCGTTGTGGTTCTTTGCTCACGATGGATGCGCCAAACCCAACTCCCGGTCTGCCTGCCCCCCAAAGCCAGTCAATTCAGGCTGGCCATCCCCATACCACTTCGCATATACAACCGTCTTCAGCAACGACGCCAGATGACACTAGGCACGGTGCCGACTCCAGGACCGGTGGAAGAAATCGCAAAAATAAACGAAAGGATTTGGGAAGGAAGGCGTGGAGGTACTTCTCCAGTGAAGTGGTCTTACAAGTCTCCACAGCTAACTAATTCAGCCGTCTCCCCTCAGATAAAAGGCAACGGAATGAAAACGAGCAAGCCAATAAACGTCGAAAAGCCGAAGATGGCGAGGACATCCCAATATACGCGACCCAGTTTTCAAAAGAGGACATTGAAGCTGACCAAAGACGACCGAAACGTAAAGTTGCGGTGTTGCTTGGATATTCTGGAACTGGATATCATGGCATGCAGATGTACCATCCCAGACCCGTACCGGTCGTAATAGACTTCTAATATTTCACCTATAGGAGTACAAAAGAACGTACTATAGAAGGCGAAATATTCCCTGCTTTAGTTGCTGCGGGGGCCATATCCAAGGCAAATGCAATGGATCCGAAGAAGTCATCATTCGTCCGATGTGCAAGAACCGACAAGGGAGTCCACGCGGCAGGAAACGTAGTTTCGCTCAAACTCATTATTGAGGACCGAGACCTCGTACAAAAGGTGAACAGTATACTCAGCCCTCAAATCCGCATATGGGGCATCGAACCGACAAGCAAGAGCTTTAGCTGCTACCAATTCTGTGACTCAAGAATGTATGAATATTTAATACCGACCCATTGTTTTTTACCGCCCCATCCTAGCACATTTCTAGCAAAGAAAATATTAGAAGCTGCTGCCACCGAAAACGACATGGAAGCGTACGAAAACAGACAAGAAGAAGTACTCTCATATTGGGAAGACGTCGACAAAGAATTTATTAAGCCTCTGTTAGATACTCTGCCGGAAGATACTCGAGCAAAAGTGCAGGAAGCTCTTTGCATCCGTGAACGAAACTCCAGCAGCAAAAAGTCTGGAGAGAATGAAAACCCTAGCGTGAACGCTTCAACGCTACCTGAAGCCAGTCAACCGCAGGAATCAAACGCCGACAACCCTGAATCAACCGAGACTGGAGATAAGGCTATTAGCAATATTATCAAGACTGTCCGCGCAGCTTACTTCAAAGCAAAAAAAGCTTACCGGATTCATCCTACACGCCTCGCTCGTGTCCAGGAGGCGCTAGATCAATATGTGGGAACCCGAAATTTCCACAACTACACGATACAGAAAACGTTTCGAGACCCTTCGGCCAAACGGGTAATCAAATCATTCAAGATCTCGAAGGACCCTATAATCATCGACGGCGTCGAATGGTTGAGCCTAAAAGTACATGGTCAGAGTTTCATGATGCACCAGATTAGAAAAATGGTTGCTATGGCGGCATTGGTCGTCAGATGCGGTACTGATCTACAAAGGATAGCCCAGAGCTATGCAGCTCAAAAGGTCCCGATTCCTAAGGCTCCTGGTCTCGGCCTGCTTCTTGAGCGACCGATATTTGAGACATATAATAAAAAGGCTAAGGATCTAGGTAGAGATCCAATTGACTTTAACAAATACGAAGAGCAGATGGAAGAATTCAAAAATAGAGAGATATACCAGCGGATATTCCGTGAGGAACAGGAGACGAATGCGTGAGTTTCCCTGCTCGTCTGAAGGCATGAGACATATGACCACTTCAAGACTAATCCATTCAACATAGTTTTGGTAACTTCTTCAACCATATAGACACATTTCGCGAAGATTGTTTTCTCTATGTTACGTCCTCAGGAATTCGGGAACCTCGAGCAGACATGGTTACAACTGCCGAGACTGGTAAGGACAAGGAAGCTTTAGCGGAAGTTGAGTCAGAGTCTGAGGATGAAGTTGTAAACGGCGGGGAAGAGGGCGGTTGATTGTGAAATATTAACACTCCCGTAAAAGTTGAGACGCGGAAATTTTAGGTGTAGACTATTTAACCACTCTTACTATAGTGCCGAGTGCCCTAATATTTATGGCGGGGTGTCGTTAGTACAGCTGCAGTAAGGCTCGTTGTTCCATACACTCATAACTACTCCGTACCTGTCACATTCCCATCAATGTTTGCACCTTTAAAATTCCAGTCCTTTCTATATCGAATGGCAGATCAACGAGAAAGAGGAAGTTGAATGGTTAGTCCATATACCAAATACGTACATAGGAAAGCAAGTTCCGGCGCAAAGTGGGACTAGATTGGGGAAAAAAAACGGAGCCAGAAAATGACAGTCAGTTTTCTTCTTGATCACGTCTCAATTTTGTTCATATAACATCCAAGTTTTATCCGAGGGAAGGGTAACATTGAGCTTTGGCTAATGGAACAGGTGAAAAAATTAACTACCAGTTAAGGGAAAAAAACAAAGGGGGTTCAAAGAAAAGCAAACTCGAAGCCAGAAAAGAAGGGAAAACGTCGAATCAGATCATTAATGACATGGCGCACAGCGCAAAACAATATTCGAACCAAAGCAGTGAGTAAACAGCAAAATAGAAAAACGAGAGTTTTAATACAAGAAACAAAAAAGTCAGACGACCTCGGTATGCGTGGGCCGATTTAAAATATCAATGATCGAGCTTTCTGTCTTCTTGCATCTGCCCAGCTGATATTTGGTTGTGAGTTTTGCTTGCTATGTCTTGATTTTGGCGGAGGAGCAACGGGCGGCCGCGAAGTTGGAGTTGGGATATCCTTTGGCGGTGCTGGAGGAATTGGATTTCGCGCGCTCATCGGGCGTTCACTTGTTGGCATGTCACAGTGTGGCTGCTTTCCTTTCATACTCCGCTCTCGCCGGATAATAAGCTCCGTCCAGGCCTTTGCATTGCCGTTGCCAGAAGAGTGGCCTTTACCCACGGTCTCTTCGAGGACCTTGAGCCAGCCTTCCTTCTCCGCACGACTATCTGCATAAAAGTCGATCACCTCACCGTTGCCGAAGCGAATTCGAAACCCTTCCTCGACAAACATATAACCTTCTTCTTCTTCAGCAAAGGCTGACTTACGCCGTCTACCTCCTTTGGCCGTAGTTTCTTTTTGAGTTAAAATAGACCGGTCGTCGATCAGCTTAGCAGCTTTAGCAATGTTGATGTTCGCGCGTGGTTGGCGGGTGGTTTCGTGGTAGGCAGTAAGTTTGGAACCCTGGAGTTTGAAATACCTACGACGCCAATACTGTTGGAGCAGCAATGTTAATGCGGGCCCTGTGCTTCCAGGAAATTGTATGAGTACATACCGGGCAATCTCCACCTTGTTGCGATAAAAATCCTTCCCAGCTCCGCATAGAGGCATTGTCAGCCTCTCTCATTTCTCGAATGCATGCGTTCATGCTCTTAGGCATATCTTCGTCAGTCGCGCCTTTCGGTTTTGGAACATACAAAAGCTGGAGCTCCAGGTTTCCGACTCGATAGGGAGGTCGACGTTGAGCCGGCATTGGAATATTTCGCTTGGTTTTTGAATTGTTAACGGGCACTTCCTCAACTGCCCATTCGTTGAAACACGCCACATCTACAGTCAGAGGCCGGCCAAAAGCGTGCTGCTCATAATCTGCTAGCGACACATACGCCCGAGCGAAGCTGCCATCCTTAGCCACTAGGCTTCGGACTTTATCCCAGGGATCGGGCCCGTTGATGGCCTTCTTCTCTTCAGCTTGTTGCTTCAGTTGCTGGGCTTCCATCTGCTGTCGCATCTCCATTTCTCTTCGCTTCTTGGGAGATGCAAATACACGGCTAAATGCGGAAGTCTTCTGAGGTTTCTGGGGCTTAGGCGGAGAAGACGGAATGACCTGAGTCTTTGGTTTGAGCTGTTCAGGTTTGAGCTGCAGCGTCAACTGGAATTCAAGTTCGTTCATAACTACCAGTTCAAACTCTTGACCGATAGGTGCAGATTTTCCCAATTCTAGCCAGGAGGTCGTCACGCAGTGAAGCCCATTATCGAGAGTCAAGGAGAAAAAGGAACGTTCTCCTATAACACCGTCAGCGTCGTCATCGTCCCAAGTACATGTATGATGAGCAGGTCGTATTTACCTCGGGGAAGAGGAAGATCCAGGTCCTTGACACCAGTCACTTTTACGAAAAGGCGCCCTCTGTCTTTTCCATCTTCAACATCTTGTGCGTTAGTTTCATTTTCTGTCTCCTCCACTGCATTCAGTGTATCCTTTACAACGCTCTCCTGACCAGGTAGTGGAGGAACTGGTTCGGTTTTCTTCTTAGGTATGCCTGAGACCTTGATACTTTGACGCCTTGCCTTACCGTTCCATGGTTCTGTGGTCCATGTTTGCTGACTGGGCTTACGGGCTGCCGGACGGACATCTGCCGCAGGCTTTGGGTTTGCATCATCGGGGTTGGAGCTTGTCGCAACGATGACCTTTGTATTCTGCCTCATAAGGTATCCTCTCTGTCTCATTATTCTAGTGTTAGCCTTACTCTCACAATTACTAAGGGCGACATGGCTAGCAGCTTGCAGCTCACTGGTGAAGTGGGTGTCCTTATAGGGAGGGATCTGAGAAAGAGAGAGTTCAAACGCAACCTTTTGGGCTTCGATAACACGGTCAAATTCCTCGTCAAGGCCAAAACCCAGACCTTCGTCGCTAGCACTGACCGGGATGTCAAGTTTGACTAGCGATGACTGGCGTTTCTCAACGGAAGCGAGCCCGTTAATGGACGGGTGGTCTGGTTTAACAGAGTCGATGCTCGACTCCGATAGCATATTAGGAAGGCTGGAGCGGTGATGTTCCGAAATCGATGGTATCCTAGGACCCTGTCCGCTTACCTTGCGGCGAACGGCGGCCATCGATTCTACATCTGCTGGAGTTAAAGAAGGGCGAATCTTTAGGTCAGCTCCTGGCACCTTGACAGTCGCTACTGGTTCTGGAATCACAGCAGAACGCTCATCCGCTGTGGTATCTGTCAATATAGAATGACGAATAACGGAGTCTGGAGTGCCGGCACGATGGAAGCTTTCGTCATGCTGATCAACAGATGCTGCCTGGTCTGCTGCTTGCTCAGGTGTTCCCGGTCTTTGAAGCGACTCACGAATTGCCCCAAGTTCAAGAGGGGGAGGGATATCATCACTGTCCACAGCTGAAGGGGTGGACCTATCTACGTAGGAAAGCAAGTCCAGGTCAAATGGCTGCTCTTCATCTGCTGTAGTTGACACCGATCCTGATCGACGCCTGTGGTTGGCCTCGGCTGAGATACCTTGTGGAACGCACAATGGGACGGGGGTAGATTGTTTCTCGGCATCTTCGAATTGTTCTATGCGTGAGTCGTCTTCGTCTCTAGAAGCACGAGAGTAATGACTCTCATCATCATAGTCATACTGCTGAATATCGCCGTCGTTGTCAATGGCACTAAGCTTGCCTTCCAAACAGTACTCGGGAATATCATGAAGGTCAATTTCTTGCTCTTCTTCTTTAATTGAAATATCATCGGTTTCGAGGGATGGAATCGGAACATCTGGATCAAGTGGTAATGGGCGATGAGGACTGGAACTACCTACGGATGAAATACCACTGATGTCTTCATTGAACGACTCTTTCTTCCGCAGATTCCGTAAAATGGATTCTCTTGAGATCCGAGGCATGGTTGGACAAGGCTCAGACGATATACTGAGCTCACTAACCATACTATCGTCTGGATGCTCATCACCCTTGTCGAAAGTCTTTTCGCGCAGATTTGCACGCCGCATCCGTCGCTCACGCTGCAGTTCTGCGTCAGAAACATGGCCTTGATCCGCCATCATCAAACGAAGTCGATCTTCCAATGACAAAGACGAGGACCCGAAGGTGTTGAGATCGTCTTTTGAGCAAGAGGCTGGACGGAGAGGTGATGGCTTTGAAACACCACTGGCTCGCTCTAGAGTCGCCGATATGCCCCGATGGCTATCCGGAGACCTCATGTTAGATAGAGGAAGAGGAGGAAGTGGACGGCACTCCCCATTGGAATCCAAAGACTCAATTCTAGATTGGAAGGAACTAGATGCATTGGATGAGGGTGGGCGCACTTCTGACTCTGCCGCCTCATCTTCCGGACTAAAAGGGTCATATTCAAGCTGCGAGACGTCGTCATTTGTCTCATCAGGGCTTTCATAACCCCATTCATCAGGTAGCATCACTGGAGTTTTCTCCGTGTCTTCTAAACTTGCATCAAAACTATCTTCATGGAGCGAAAAGCTACACTCAAAGCTTTCCTCATTCTCTGTTGACTCATAACTCCCTTCGCGAGAACTGGATGCCACAGACGAAGGCACGGGGGTAGTCATTTCATACTCGTTAATTTGTGGAGGCGCCGCATCAAATGTAACACTCTTTGCGTGTCGGCGAGATCCACGACTGTCTCCAAACGATCGGTCAATAGCGGTTGAATCGTCATCAGACCATATTTCGCTATGAGGGTCGAATGATTTCCCAGAATAGCGACCATTTCGGTTGAGCGAAGATTTCGGTGGCGACTGGGTCTGCGCTCTACTGGGCGAGCCTTCGATTTGCTGCCCATGGAGTGCGCCTGAATCCGGAATGCTGGCCTTTGGTACTTGGGACGGCAGTTGGCGTCTTGCATCGGGGCTGGCATTAGAGGAACGTTGCTGGCTCAATGGTCGTCCACTTGCTAATGGACGTTCAAGCACCTGGACTTGCGTGGGATCGTATTCTCCCTTTTGTTCACGAGCAAACATGCTACTGTTTTTCACCCGTGAAGCTCTCTTTAAATTTTCAATCGACGACCTCTTGGCTGAATGCGCAGGGGACGATCCATCATAGGGGTTTCGATTCTCAAAATTGACGCGATATGGAGAGGCTGGGTCGCGGCCCTGCCAGAACATACGAGGGGATGCAGAAGACGAGTCAAATGGTGATGAATTTCCATTCGGACAATCCTTACAACGCGTGAGCGTTTGAGACATTGAAACACAACCGATAAAAAACAAACCTTTGTTCCGGGAGAGTTTCGCCGCGGTGCAACCGGGCTAATCTCAGATAGAGGGCGCTGACTACTCGCCATGCTTCAAGGGGCTTAAAGTCAACACACTCGCAATGCTCAACCTTAAGGCAAGTCAGCTATCTTGACCCACAGATGCACGATTGACGGTGCGATGCGGACCCTGCAACGCTACCTTACCTTTTGCGCGAATGTGCACTATGTGTGAGGGGATGGCATACAGTGTAGAAACTAGATAAATGCAGTGCGGCTGCTATGTGCTGGCTCAACTTGATGCCTCCTGGAGCGTAAGCTTAACGAGTGGTCAGGGCAGCATAAACAATACAGGTAGCGAAACAAAAAGGAAGGAAAAGAGGGCAGGCAAGGGCAACAAATGGAAGAACGAATTGACGTGGCGTCACTGAGAAGAATCGCGAGCGAGGCGTGAGGCGAGAAGGGCGGAGGGAAGAGGGGTGGTGGTGAGCGAGAGAGCGCGATATAAACAGTCCAGCCGCCGAAGTCGAGCGGCTCGCCGCCCGTATTGACGCCGCCCGAGTTGGCCTGGCAACCGCGGCTTGGCTTGGCCCGCGAAAATTCAAAATTGCCGGTCTTCGCATCACGATCATCACGACCACCACCACCACCTTGTCCTCCACCACCACTCCTGCGCTCATGGCACCGCTCCCCCTTGTCCGCAACGTGTGCCTACTATGCCGGTCCTGTCTGTCTGTCCGTCCGTCGCACTCGTGGTTGCTGCAGTCCTGGCGCCATGCCGCCACCCAAGCCCGCCGTCGGAAACCGGCTCGAATGACCTTGTCGAAAAACGTCGCTAATCCCACGGTGCAGTATGGCCAGGGCCGGCAACGGCCCCCGCGGCTATACAACAGCCCATTTGGTGGAATGAATCAAACCAGCGCCAACCTACAAGATCGGCGGCGTCCGCGATCCCAGGCCGAACTGCGCAGGGCAGAGTTTGCGGAGGACAAGGATGCTGGGGAAAGGCCAAAGCGCCAGAGGTCGCAGCCTACCAGGAAATTCTTAAAAATGCAGCAATCGCTTGTATCCGTTTCATATAAACGACGGAACCGTATTAAAGAAACGCTCGCTTCTATCACCTCCTTCGACCAATTCGAACTACTTCCATCTGTCAAACAAGCCATCTACACCCAGGCCTTACCCAACTTAGACTACGTCAAACCTACTCCTATTCAACGACTAGCCATACCAGCAGTACTCAAAGGTGCCTCCGCTGTACCGAGCAATGAGCATGTCTTAGGAAAATTCGACCAGTATCTTTTAGCTGGTGAAACTGGTTCTGGGAAGACATTGGCCTATCTGATTCCGGTGATTGATTCTATGAAACGGTCTGAGGATATAGATAAGGAAGAAGAATTAAAATCGGCGAGAAACCAACAAAAGAAGAAAGAGGTAGCCGCACACCAAAAGGCAAAAACTGCAAACGTATTTGAGCTGGAAGAGCCTACGGACGAGGAACCTGCTCCAGCCCCCAAGAACATCATTAAACCCAAAGTGTTAATTCTAGTACCGACGTTAGAGCTAGTCGAGCAGATTGGTAGAATTGTGAAGGAGATGGCCCACACAGTAAAGTATCGCTCGGCGCTTCTAGCATCCATGTTTACTCCGCGCAAGATCAGGAACACACTGTTCAACCCCGCTGGTGCCGATATCCTTGTGGCCACACCTCATATGGTAGAAGCTATCGCCAAATCTAACCCTTACATCTTAAGCCGCGTTACGCATCTTGTCGTCGACGAAGCTGATTCTATGTTTGATAAATCTTTTGGCCCGAAAACGAATTTCATCATCGATAGGGCAGCATCGAGCCTTAAACAACTTATTCTCTGCTCCGCTACGATCACGAACTCGCTCGACAAATGCTTACGTTTACGGTTTCCCGAAATTAACCGACTTGTAACCCCTGGCCTCCATTCGATACCCCGGAGGGTACAACTTGGTGTTGTGGATATTGATAAGTACCCCTTTAGGGGCAGAAGAGATCTGGCGTGTGCTAGCACTGTCTCTTCCATTATAAAAGGTGGAAATGAGCCCAAACCAATCATTGTTTTCGTAAACGAACGAGAGACTGCCGAGCAGCTTGCCGTATTTCTAAAAAGCAAAATGATTGATGCTATGTCATTGACGCGCGACACCACTGATCAACGCCGAGCTCGAATACTCGCTGACCTCTCCAAAACAAGCTCTTCAAAGGTTCCAGAAAGCCATGGGCTCCTAAAAAACAAAGGTCTCGGCGACCATCCGCAGATTACTGATTCAATTGGGCCTTCTGACTCACCCATGCCTAGCACAAAGGTCATTGTTGTGACAGACCTTGCCTCCCGCGGCATTGACACCACCCTAGTTCGAACAGTCATTCTATATGACGTTCCTCATAATACGATTGATTTCGTCCATCGCCTGGGTCGCCTAGGCCGCATGGGTAGCCGTGGTCGCGGTATTGTTTTAGTGGGCAAGCATGACCGTAAAGATATTGTCCGAGAAGTTCGGGAGTCCATGTTCCTTGGACAGGCTCTAATTTGATTATCAGCATCCTGTTCTATTGTTCCTTTTTGTTTGCATTCCTGGCGCGGGTTTGATACATCACTTTCATCTTATTGCCCCCCTGTCCCGTGCATCTTGCAGGAGTTGGTGACATGTTACATACCTATTATATTTTTACCGCTATACCCTATGCATGGACTAGATATGGATGGGTTTCAGATGTTGAGCGTGACACATATTGAGTTCGTCATAAATTCAACATCAATAAGGTTATTTGCTGATTGGAATAGGATTTATGGCATTTTCATTGGTTGTTCTATCAATCTAGTTAACGAGAATTGAAAGCTGCTGGTTATATAATAGCTCTACAGGATGGAGGTCATTGGCAAGCAAACATGCCCAAGCAAGCGGAATAAGTAGGTGAATGGATTACAATGTCCATTGAAGGTCATTTAAAGGCCGATGGCCAGCATCGGCAGAGCATAAGTTGGGTCAGTATAAGTTTGAAAAGTTCAAGCTGTGCAATCTTTCTTTCCTAGTGCGATATGGGGAACGTCCTATCGAGTCTGGCCACATTCGGGGAAGATGACAAGAGAAGTCCTTCGCGAAAGGGCAGATATCGGTCAAGAGAGAATCATCATTGCAATAGCTATGAGGAAGCTCCCGCAAAATACGATTTGAACGCTACATTAAACGGGGTGCTTGTTGCCTGTGAAGACCTCATCAAAGCAGAGACAGAGAATGCACAGCTGCGAAACCAGGACAGGCTGGAGAGGAGGAAACACAGAAAAAAGAGGTCTGTGATTGCTCAAGTGCAACCGCAACCTCAGCAGCAAACACCGGAGGTGCCACTGCAAGGGCATCTTCCGGTTCCCCATGTCTCTGCGTCAGAAATGCACGATGTACATCCACCTCTTCCACAAACAACAAGAAACGAAATGGCATATCCGACCGATTTCCCGGGAGTTCCAGGCGCTTTCCCTCCAGCAATGGGGACCAATGGCGAGAGTGGGTGAAGCCGAAGCCGCCTTGTATGTGTGTACATACATGCGTACAACCTTAGATTATACAAATGCTGAGTATGAATTAATCACCAGGACCAGTAAACATGGTAGTACGCCGGCAAAATGCGGCACCCTTCGCCATCGACGAGAATGGTGATAGGTTTTCTTCTCTGAACCACCATAGACAGCTAGGGAGGACCGGACATATCCAGGTTTCAGGCAGCACAGTCATCGCATGCAAAAGCTCGTCCGTCGCTGCTACCAGGTGAGAGACAAATGGAGTGAGTTCTCATTGCGCCTCATGTCGTTTTGTATACAACCTATGTATCCTTGAAGACACGCGATGCCTGTCGAAGGTGAAGATGATGCGAAGTCGAGTGAAACAGCAAACAGATGGCCTAGACTGGCACAAGACAGAAAACAATCGACCGATCCAAATAGCTCCCAGCGACAAAGCGAGCCGTACATGGTTGGGAGTTTGTGTGATGGGTGGGCAGCATACTGGTCCACATGTCCGTTGCCGACATAGACAACATGTAGTTAATAATGTTTGCCTGAAAACTTGTTTGTGATATGTAGTTACTGCCTGCGTGGAAATAAACTAAGCCAACCCATATATTCTCTTGATTCCCATGGAGCGAGGTCATAGAGTTGAAATCTACTCCGTAAAAGCAAACATTTTGAAGTTTGTATTGCGACCAACTTGTAATTGAATGGGCTGCTGCGTCCTGGATTATCTTCGACAGAAGTCAACTATTACAATAATAGAGGGCTAGACAAGTGCAACAGATTGTTGATCGTCTCGATCCACCTACAGTCCTTTTTTGAGCGGGCCAACATGACTTTCCTTACCTTCTGGTCCAAGTTCCGGGACGATCTCCATTATCCCAAGGAGAGCTCGGTTGCCCAGCTGAAACGAATATCTAAAACACCACCCGAGTTTTGGTCGGGCAAAGATTGGATGGAGTCTCGGCGGCACCGGTTTTTATACCAGAAGGGTCTCGAAGACGCCAACAAGAACGGCCTATCGCAAATAAGGCTCAGAAAAATATCCCCAGCCGGCAGATACTGGCCAAACACTCCAAAATTCGACCAAGGGTTCTTAGATGACGTGCTACACCAGAGATTTTGGCGAGAAAGGCTACATCAGATTGATGCATATGTTAGGGCGGCGGGATATGCGGACTGGGATTTTGATTAAAACGGAAATTTGGTCGTATATGGCTCTCCCCAAGTGCATTCGAATCACTGGTAAGGGGGGTCGAAGAACGAAGCTGAGATGTTCATCTAGTTGGGATGAAGCGATAAGTAGATACAAATGATAAACAACGAAGAAATATTTGTATTGTATGTACATACGTAGATATACTGAAAAAGGGCTCGCAGCTGCTTCAAATGGGTTCGAGATCGCAATGTGCACCACCAACCAATATTTTTAAAAAAGTTTTAACCAAAAAAATGTTGAAATTATATTACTGTAATGGCTACACATTCAAGTGTAGCGAGCTTCTTGCTCGCTTCGCGGCTCTCGTGACACGACGTTCATCTCCAAATTCACTTGGATCCGCTTCTGTTCTGTTCTCGGAAATATCCCGAGTTGAGGTGGTGGTTGCATGGCTAATGCCTCGGCCACGACGTTGAATTCGGGATTCATCTTCGGTTGCTAGAAAACGATGTATCGTGCGATGGTCCATCACGCGCTCTTCGGAATCATTCCGACCTTCTTTATCAGTTTTAGGCCAGCGATACCCGTACAGCTTGGAGTGACGTTCGCATCGGGGGCATTCTTTTCGTGTGAGATATGAGTCTCCCTGAACAAACCAGGCATTACAGGTCTGGCAGTCTACCCAGCGGTCATACCGCTGCGCAAGCAGCTTTGATGTTTTTGTGTAATCCCCAGGAGTTCTAAGTTTCGGACCGTCATGCTCGATAGTAGGAATGAGGTGGCTTTTGCGCTTTCTAGTCTTCTTAATCGAATCACGTTTCACAACGGTCATTTTCTTATCATCAATTTCCCAAGAAGCAGACAAGTCAGAGAGCTCTGACTCTTCATTCTCGCGAGTATTACGGCCGTCTTGCACAGCTGGAGTCTCGATCTCGCGTTTTTCAAGACATTTCTCAGATGTAGGCTCCAGTTTCAGTTCTCCCTTCTTTGAATTAAAATTTGATTCAGAAATAGATGTTACCGTAGTAGATCTTGTAGGAGCAGGAGTCTGATCGTCTCCAAAGGCAAGACATAGGTTTTGATCGCTAGGAGACGAAATACTAGAAGCAATGTTCGAACTTGAGTATTGGAAATGATGCAAGCTAGACCCAACAGTACATTGCGAAGAAAGCTCCTTGAATTCTGGAGGGATTAGAAAGCCAGAGAGCCGTCGTCCATTTACTGTGATCAGAGGCTCGGAGATAGGGTCGGGGCTGCTGGGAGGCGATGTTTGGTGCCGCAGGCTTGAGGATGTGATATTATCCACAGGCGTTGAGAAAATTGGGTCGAGCGACGGTTCGCGCATGTATTCTGAAGAGGCAGGAGTTGGGGAGACTCCTGACTGGATGTTGCCAGTTATTTCCTCAGGTGAAGAGGCACGACTATTATTTTCAGATGCATTATCGGGAGACCACCCATTTCGTAACGCAAGCTCGCAAGTGTTGCAAAGGCATTCACAATTGTCTACGCCAAAGTAATTATCACCATAAGATACGGTGATTTCCTCATTCACCTCAATATCCCGAATAGCCACAATTTCCATGCTTTCAGAGCCTTTCGTAACAAGCCTTGCGTTAGGATTGCAGTCATGGTTTGAAAACCTTGCTGGGCCTAGGAATAAGGATGGGGTTTTTTTGCGACTTGACATTACGATGCTGAAATCTCTTCTCGTCAAGTCTAGCGTCGTTTCCTCTTCGGGTGTAAGAGCGACAAGCGTCCCCGAAAGATGCCTTATAGTATCGCCAGCCCTGATGAGCTTTCTAGCCGACAATGCCGCTTCATATGTCGTAATCGTATAGCGATTCGTTGTGCTAACTTCAAAAGGGCAGTCGGGAAGATAAATGGAAATGTATTTTCGTAGATGACGGCGAAACCATTCCTTTTCCTTTTCAGATCCAAGTTTGCCAACATACTTCCTTATGCCTGTGAGATTGAGAAGGGATTTTTCCGCTTTTGACACGTCTTTGGCAACAATAACATCCTGCAGCAATATCGACGTAACCTCATCCTCTATAACGCCTCGGATGGGGAAATATTTGGGCCTGTTTTTGCGGATTTTAGTCCAAAAAAAAGCCTACATGTTGAAGGTTAGTCCTATTTAGATCAAAGAATTGGGCTTCATACGCGATCGACCATCGAGTCCGTGATGATATCATCGTAGGCGGCAAGTTGAGCCAGCGTCAACTTTCCTTTTTGCTTCGGCAGTGGAGTAGGCGCCATTAGGAGAAAAGAATGAATAAAAAATCAACAAGTGGCTATCCATGAATTTCGTATATTGGAGGTCTTTATACTCTAGAAAGATAAACGACCACACCAGGGGCTAATGAGAACGACAACTCCTGCGCCAGAAGAAAACGACGTTAGATATCAAAAAGAAAGATTAAGCTCTGAAAGAGCTCAACCATTGTAGAGAATGCACACATGCGCATAATCGGCTAAACTGCCGTCATATGAATACACAATGCGGGAGCCGCGCTCAGTCGACCCGTTCGTGTTTCTGGCGCTTCCTGGAGTAACGAAACAACTGCTTATGTCATCCGTACCTGAATCGGAACCCGGGGCACCAGATTATCCGACGCATCAAGATGAAATTCAACCTGCTAAGTGAAGGACGGCTTGAGCATGCTCTGCGTATTTGCATAATTTCAGCAATATGAGTATACAGCTTAAGGCATGTGGGACAGCCTCTTTTCCAAATTTGTCGTTTACATACTCACATCTGCCTCCTAGACCTTGTTGCACTGTATCGACAACTCGGGCGCTGCCATTGTGGAATGCACTGGCGTGTTGGGGAAGAAAGGGGCGGCGACTATCGGTTAGCTTTGTGATCGGGAGCAACGGAATGACTGTGTGATCTAACTTGCACCTTTTAGGTGATCGAATAATTGTTGTGGTACAGAAACAACGGCATTTTGGGTCGGATTCTGGCGGTGCGAGTACTGCTATTGCAAATAAGGTGCGCCAGGGCGACGTAAAACACGCCGTTGTTGTAAGAGCAAAACAAAACGTCCAACGATCGGACGGAGGTTTTGTCAAATTTGACGACAATGCTTGTGTGCTGATTAACAAGTCGGGGGACCCTATCGGAACACGGTTGAATGGTAAATCTGCTCCTTGGGATTTCTGAAACTCCTGCTAACTCAAGAATAGGAATTGTTGGAGCAGAACTACGGAACAAAAATTGGTCGAAAATATTATCTTTGGCGCCGATGCATTTATGATATACAACTAAGGCGAATATTTATGGGAAACTTTGATTGATTTTCCGTATTGTACTATTAGACTTCAACAAGCGCAGCACACTCATGACCATTTAATCCGTTCCTACCGATCCAAAACGCCCTCTTTTGAACGCCGGTAAAGAGCCAGGTAGAAGACCCCAATCGCTTCTTCCAGTACATATTGATATCAAATGAACACCTTACCACACGCGCAACAAACATAGTATAATTTCTAAATGTCCATGAACCCGTATTAGTGAGGTTTATTTATAACTCAAAATGCTGGCCAAGTGCAAAACATACCATTCCCGTTTCCGCCGAACGCTGTTGGGACTGAAAAAAAACAGCCTCATTTTCTCCGCAGCTAGGGCAGAGTTTATTTGATCTTGGAAGCTATGAAAGAATGTTTATTAGCAAGGCCCATTATATTATGCTAATGCAATGACAGCGGACTTGGGTATAGCTGGGGTCGGCAAATGCAGAGTGGGGAACGAACCGTAGGGTCCGAGGCAACATCTTGAGTCACGCCAGCGGTATCTCCTACTTGACTGTTGAGATTGTTCTGAAAGACACAATGAGAGGTGGCAGGCTCGCCGACGTGACAAGTACGGCAAGAAAACATCAGCGTATTCGTCGAGCGATCTTCTTTTGGGTACAGCAAATTGGAGCTAGGAGCAAATAAGATGTCAGTGAGATAAATAAAGGCCAAAAATGACAGTCCCTACCATTCGCGACAGAAACGAAAATGAATCTGGTCGACGTTTTGCGACTGCTCGTTCGCGGATGAGGAGGGTGGTGAGGCAGACATAATTGTACCTTATTCAGTGAGCTATAGTATCACTAGCAAGTTTTCTGCGTTTTAAATAAGAAGGGCTGAGCCAGCATGAATGCCAGACAGTGCTTTGGAGCGTGAATCTCACTCAAGGGCATGGACAATACTCCGTATTTAGTCAACCAACTTGAAGACTTGGATGCTTATTAATATGACGCACGGGCCTTCTCGACGGCGCTGGGTTACTTCAAACGTGCATTCAGTAACAGACCGCAAAGGTAACTATACTAGTTGGTAGAAGGCCGACTTGAAGGAAACAAGGAATAAGAACGATCAGTTATAGGCAAGGTCTACGGAGTACGGGGTTTATCTACCATCACTGCTTTTATAGGCGCCAGCGAAAAGTAGCACTCCTCGAGAGTAGGCAGCATGGTAAGTCCTTGACGCCTACATTCCAGATCTCTGGTGCACGATTGGTAACCGTTGATAGGCGGATTCAGGGCTTCCACCAGGCTGGGAAGTTCGGCATTCCAACTCGAAGAATTTACCCTATTATTTCAACCCTCAAACAAAGGAATCTCGCTGGGAGCCTCCAGCGGAAACGGATACCGAAAAACTGAAGGTGTACATGGCCGCCTATCACAGCTCTGCCCCAGATCGTCATGCGAATTCTGGCCAGAAAGATGGCCAGATCCGGGCAAGCCATCTACTCATTAAACATCGCGATAGTCGCAGGCCGACCAGCTGGAGGGAGGCAAGCGTCACGCGTACTAAAGAAGAAGCGATCGAGATTTTGAATGGCCATTTAAGCCGTATAAAAGCTGGAGAGGCCACTTTGGGCGACATTGCTACCACGGAGTCGGATTGTAGTAGCGCAAGGAAGAAGGGTGACTTGTCAGTGATGCACACCCTTTAGCTTGAGGCACACAGCATGCTTACCCTCCAAAACAGGGGTTTCTTCGGCCGTGGTGTTATGCAAAAAGAGTTTGAAGATGCCTCATTTGCCTTGAAGCCAGGGCAGATAAGTGGAGTGGTGGAAACACAGTCCGGTGTGCACCTGATTGAAAGGTAAACTGCTATGAACTCTTCAAACTGCTGTGTGCTAACATAGCTCAATTAGAATTGAATAAACACATGATCTTATTTTAGCTGTATCTAAAAGATGATTTTGATTTATACAGCTGAATAATTCTTGATATTCGCGCAACAGCCCCTAGTTGCTGGTGCATTCCGCCGATGTTCTAACAAGCACGTTCAAAATACCATACACGTATATCAAATCGCCATAGAAACAATTCTGTTGTTGACGCACTCTCTTAAATTTTCTTCTCTAGCCCTTTGAATTCCTCCATGCATTTCCATTGAGGCAGCAGTAAGCATCCTTGCACATAATATCTCACTGTTTTGTTTTTTCACCCCTACCTATACAACTTCTCCTGTATTGGTCCAGTCAGGCAGAAGTCCTATCAAAAAGATGGAAAACACGGGGCGCTTCCCTGTAGGCGTCCCTCACTTCCAGTCATATTCTTGCCTGCTAAGCTTCTTGTCAATCTAGGCGTTCGATTCCGGGAGCCATTATGGTATTCAAGGGACACAGATTTCTGATGCTAACAATGCCAAAAATTTCATGCTGGACGAAATTATGATGGGCACCGAGCCACATATTAATAGTCAAATACAACAGTACGAGGAGCCACTCCCCGATCTTGGGACTGAGGACTTCGCCACCATGAGCGACCAAGACTTTCTGGCTTTGTTTGCGCAATGTAATGCCGCTCAAAACAATGGGACTCCCAGTGCCAATGCTAATGCTGGCCCTGCGGCCCATGCTTATGGCCCAGTGCCTGATTCCACAGTCCTGGCAGCAACGGCCACCCAAGATCCGAACTATCATGAATCTGAGAACGCAGATGTCAATTCGTCTTACCTGAGTATCATACAAGGTAACTCAGTTGGAAATCCGGCAGACAATGGTTTTGTGCCCCTCACAGACTTAAAAGTCGTCAACCAGCATGCCGAAGCGCTGGTTGTTACGTTGGGACATATTCGAGTTCAGGCCTTAGGCGGGCTGGACTTTCTCCGTCAACTACATAATCAATCACTGAACTTTTATATGGACTGTCTTCGCAAACCTAATGATGCGGGTGACGATAGTTGGCAACGGTACTTGGAGGAAATGAGGTTGAGCTACAATATGTTGAGGGACTATCAGATGCAATCTTACAAGACTATGTGCGGCTCCATACGCATATGGCTTCGTTATTACTACAAGGTTGTCAACCCAGAAACCCTTCGCAGAACCTCTGAAGAACTCCGTCAATTCGTGGATATTCAACGTCACGTCGTGGGCTATCGCCTTCCGGAATGGCAAAACCACCCAGCATTGGTCATGAAACAAGAGAAAACTTGCCCTTCATCCTGATCTTTCCAAGCCGAAGGTGAGTAATTTCTTGTTTATCTCTTTAGCAACATGGAGTCTATGGCTGTCATTAGAACTTATACTGATTATTCGTCTTTAAAGGGCGGGTAGTCAGTGCGATATTCCTTTATCAACATTCTTTAACCCCCCTATTTAGTTTCTTGTCAAAAGGTTGGCTGGCGAAGTTGGATATCTGAAGGCCAGGCTTATTTAAATTGGGCTGGCAAAATCAATAAGGGATAGTAAAATATGTTACTCTCATCCATATTTCAAGTTTAAAGTCTTGCTTGTTTCTGCTGATATGGTTTATGCCAAACTAGATGCAGGAGGGACATGTGTGGTTCACGTGTGTTTTGGTTTGTTGCCCCTTGATATGACTCCTTTAAGCTGGTTTATCGATAAGAGAGAGCCATACGCGTATATGGGGAATATTTTCATAACAATCTGCTTCTTCTTCTTGTTGACATACTTTCTTCTACACTCTTCCAAAGCAACACAATCTACTTCCACAAAGCTCAATATCAGTTCAATTGTTCTGAGGCTCTCATTTCTAGTTTCACTATGGTTCTTCACCCCCCATACATAATGTATCCAAACCCCGCTGTGCTCGCTGACGGAGTTCCCTTACCGGAAAGTATCTCCTTTGTGACTCCGCTTGAAATCCGTATCGCACTCTGTCAAGCGTATCATACCGAAAAACATGCCCGTACTCAACTTAGCATGCTTGAGGAAAACACCCGTAATCGCTTCTATCGCCTCTGCCCAATTGAGAATACAGCTGTCTTCCAAGAACATTGCTCTTCTATCGACCGAATTCTCGACTGGACCGGTGGTAACATGCAGAGTATGTACCAAGTCAGCAGCACCCTTGCTCCGGCACTCAAAGTCCCCAGTTTCGTTCTGAAGTTTACTGTCGACGAACAAGCCTACAGCCGATATCTCAACGAGTGTAACGAGATGTATCGAATGTTCTTCAACAGTACACTCGTGGTATGGAAACAGTGTAAACGTAGAGGCGACGAAGTGTTGCGGCACAGTCAAATTTCAAAGCTCAACAAGCTAATGTGTCTGAGATGGTGGAACAAGTTTCTAGAAGATGCTCTTGCCTGGGAGTCAAGAATTGAGGACCTCACAGTATCTTCATGGCCCGACATAATTGCGGAATTGTCAACACTCATCGAGGAAAGGGTCGACTTCGAGGAAGCTTAGGGCCCTCCATAAAGGGGCTCGCAATAACTACGGAAGGATGCCTTTTAAAGTGAAAAAACCAAAAGAACAGAAAAAGAAGCAGATACAGAGATATCATAACACCGATTTCATACTTGCTAGGCTTTACTGAATCACTTCGAGAGTAGATATGTTGGCAGTTGCAACTACTACGAGGGCAGAAGGGGTTCTCAACAGAATTTTTGAACGGCAGACCGAGGGTGAAATAAAGGAAGAAAAGTAGTTCTGTAATATCTTGAGAAACAATGTAATGTTCTTTTGATAATCCCGAAGCTACCAAGCTTTTGATATCTTCAAATCCTGTAAGAGCAGGTATGGTTTGGTTGGAGGCTTGCGCTACTTCAAAGAGCTTAATAGCTGAACCGGGTTTAATTATTATCACTTGTATCATGGGAATAAACAAAGCTGCTCTGGCAAGAAATTTTATACGCTGAATAAGAGATCAATAACCATCACTGCGCATGGAGACTACCTGGACAGTGCCACCGAACGTAGCTATAGTTCAAGGGAAAAGATAGAGAACAGCGCAATAAAGATAATACGATCAAAATTCGAGCGTTCCGGTATTCAATCGTTCGAGCCGCGACGTTATAGCTTCTATAACTGCCGCTCTAGAGTTATCAAGACCATTAGCCAAAATTATGCAAGGTTTAATTATGTAAAGGAATAACGTACTCTCGCTCAACCATATTCATAGCATCTACAACTTTTGCCTCCCTTAGTCGGCGGGGAACTCTTAAAGGTGTGGGCTGCGCATCAACATCAATTGTAGTTGTGTCCGCCTCAGAAAGTCGTCTGGCTTCAGTTAACAGAGACTGTGCCAGTGCTTTTGCCTGCAATTCGGTTTTTAGTGAGCGGAACAAAAGACGGCAGTCAGGCGTTAGTTTCTTACCGTTTCAAGTCTTTGTATCAGGTCTGCACGTGCATCCCCATCGTCTGCTCCAATTGAATTCGACAAGGTCCCAACTTCTTGTATCCAACCCTTTTCTCTATCGCTAATAGGGCGGCCACCAGCTCTCAAAAGCTTGCTTCGCAGATTATGGTACCGCAATGTTAGTTCCTTCTGCGTAGATTCAACAGCGGCCATCCTTGAGTCTAAGGCTCCCTCGCGACCGGTTTTGCTAGATTGTACAGGTCGTCGAACAGTGCCTTGCGACACGTCGTTAATTCTTCCAGCAATGTCTATAAGTTGATCTAACTGGTAGCGGATTTCTCCTTGTAACCTTTCGCACCTCCGGAAAAGATCGGAAGCCGCTATTTCAAGTGCATGGCTATATGAGCTCAAGATTCGATGAGCAGCAGTCATAGTATCAAGCGTAGATGGAGAAAGACGGATGGGCTCCTTTAAAGTATGCCTGTGGCCATGGGGAACATGATCATTGACAAAGGAGACAAGCGGGTTTGTAGAGTAAAGAAGTGATGGGACTTGGTACGGAGCGCGTTGAAGGGTGGGCAGGTGGGTTTGCTGTACGCTCGCTGCTGGCTCCGAAGAAATAATGTCCTCTGTTGTCTCAGAATCTCTGGCAGCCGAAGACTCCAAAATAAGCGCACAGACCTCTGAGGGTGTGTAAGTAAGTAGCATGTAGCCCAAGTCAAAGTCGTGAAATATCAAGCTATTTGTAAGATGCTCAAAGTTTCCTAGTTGTTTCGCAGGTTTAACCTGAATTATTTGTTGGCCCTCTGCAATGGAGCTATCGCACATGATACCAATTCGATATGCGGACCCTACCGTATCTTCCGATTGTAACTCTGGCTCAAGTCTGTGTGCCCATGAAGATAAGGAGATGAAGGAGATCGCATTTGCCGTTGTCACGAAAAAGTTATAGCGAGATCCAATATCTTCCGAAAAAGTGGGCCAGCAATTTCGTTGTTGATCGCTTCCTCGGACCGTCTGCAAAGACTCAAGAAGTAAGAGCTCCATGGATTCGGACACTGGAGTGGTACATTTATTCTGGCTTTTATGCGGAAGCCATTGGCCTTCAACACCATGCATTTCAAGTCCGATATGGACCACGCCATTCTCAGTCACAAGGCAGAGCACTGTTCCTGATACTCCATTCTGGCTACTCTCGTTGGAAATACGCCCACCATCTTCGCCAATCAAAAGGCCATCAACCTTTGGCTTTGCAGCAATAACAAATATATCGGTGACATCGAAGTCGTCCGGCTCTTCTTCAATAGTGAATTGAAACGGACCTTGCAATCTTGGTATCGGACTCGGGATGCTTGGTCGTGGTCGGATTTCAGAGAGCCCAGAGTCACTATCAGGTTGTATCGGTTCCTGATTGTCAATTTCCCGAAGCCACTCGTACTGTTGCTCAATGAATTTTCGCTTATCATGATCAAAAGTATCATCCTGAGCTGCTGCTAAGGCATGGACAACTGAAGTTTTTAAGGATGGGATAGTTAGAGAAGGTGCATGCCATTTTGATGGTAATAGCGGGCATAGAGCGTAGACATCGCCCTGCCTCATCGCTATCCAAAAGGTCATTGATGCCCAGGCATCTTCGTCGTCATAACCTCGTCCACCAAACGAGGCCGAAGCAACTTCCATATCAGAAGAATCGACAGAAAATCCTTTGTTTTGACCGAACCTTGACGGAGTAAAATCATCCTCACAAGACCTTCCGTCGATTAACTTTTTAAGGTCAATAGCAATAGCAGGACGATCAAATGACCAATTATCTCGCCGGTCAATTTCCCAGACGCGCAATGCCGAGTCTGCGGTGACCGTCACAATGCAGCCACAGTGGTTGTCATATACGCCTAGGGGGTGCCACAAAGCAGATACCACTGGCGATTCTGGAATGACATGCGTGGCAGGCCCAAGTTGATATGTCCTCAATCGTATAGGGCTATGATCTGGGCCAGATAAATGAGATGAATCTGGTAGGACGGCAATATGGATGGTATGAACTGTGAGAATAGCGAGGAATGCGCCATTCGGCGAGGGGATCAGTTGTTTAATGTTGCCGTATATTGGGACAGTAAGTATCTAATCGGGTTAACGACTGCTATAAGATTTCACATCGAATCTCGACATACCCTATACTGAGACGTAGTATCAGAGTCACCTCTCACTCCATTAGTAGACCGAAACTTGTTCGACGCCCCGCCTTTCGAAGACACCGTAGGACTGCCTGATAAGGGAGCCGCGTCCTCTTCTTCGTGTCTTGAGCCATGTCTTCTGTGTCTAACGCTTTCCTGCCATTCGTCTTTCAGAAGAGTAAGATCTGACCATCGAATCTGACCGTCCACCACAGCAAAAACTTCGGTGTCTCGCCGAGCTAGCACTTTTGTTGGTCCAAGGTATGATTCGCCGGGCTGGTCGGCGCCATTTGTCGAGCTGGAACTTGAAAAAAACGAAGCAGCAGGAGAAGGCCTAGATAACCAGGCTGGCGCGTAATCAACAACTCGAGGCATGGAGGCGTGATTGCGGCAAATGTCAGCCGCGGTGGTTGAAAAGGGAGTCGTCAATCAAATTGTTGTACGGAGTAGCTTTATATTTTTGGGTGCAGTCGCGCCAAGCCAACAAGCTCCTTACGTAGAAACCTTGCCAGCAACATTGCCCAAGGAAACATCCAGGAACACCATTCAACCTTGAAGAATTACATCTAATAATTCCTTATCTGAAAGATGAGGCATACAATTGACCGTCTGGACAAACCAAGCACTTATTATCTAGGCAAGGCGAGTACCCACAGGGCTATGTACTGGTGACATGCTTACACAACACCAACAGAACAAAAGGCGGAAACTAGGCGTAAATCGTGATGAGCCTGAGGATATCAATATTGAGACAGAAGACCCTTTGAAAGATGCTACCACCCTTTATGTAGGAAATTTGTGCGTATACGGAATGACTTCACTCATTTCGCTTATGTGCATATTAACCGCCTATTACGTGCAGGTCATTTTATACTACGGAGGAGCAGATCCACGAATTATTTGCAAAGTAGGGTCCATTAAATAAAACATTTCAGCTTGGTTGCTAACGCAACTGCTAATATAGATGTGGTGAAATTAAACGCCTTGTAATGGGCCTCGACCGCTTTGCGAAGACACCGTGCGGCTTCTGTTTCGTCGAATACTACACACACCAAGATGCGCTTGACTGCATGAAGTATATCGGCGGCACGAAGTTGGACGAGAGGATTATCAGGACCGATTTGGACCCAGGGTTTCAGGAGGGAAGGCAATATGGGTATGGCCCAAAGCAAGGTTTTATAATCTTTTCGGCTAACAGGTCGATAGTCGGGGCAAATCAGGTGGCCAAGTTAGAGATGAATATAGAGATGAATATGATCCGGGCCGTGGAGGCTATGGCCGCGCGGTTGCAGAGGAGCGACGAAGGGAGGAAGAGCAATACGGTCGGGGCAGGTAAGCTAGGACGGAAGCACACGGGTTATGGCGCAAGTGAGGCGTATCGAAGTAAGAATTAAACATGGAATGCTTTCTATCTATCTCTATCAGGTACTCAAAATTCAGATTACGTGAAGGTGCAATATACATCTCGAAGCACTACCGATATGCTAAATTGTTTTCTTTCTGTGCTCCTCCAGCCCCTTCTGCTTTCTGGGTTGCGGACTTAACCTGCTGAAGCCACCACATATGAATCCTGGGATCATCGGTCAGCTCTGGGTGGAAACTTGTCCCAAAGACGTTTCCCTGTTTAACTGCAACAATATCACCAGCTTCAGGGTCAGTCGCAACATGAATACCGTTATCTGCCAACCTAGCCACTCTTCCCGCTAGCTTCGCGAGAACATCGACATGATCGCTCATAGCTTCCAGGGCAGCGATATTTTCTGGTTGTCTTGAAGGCGCAACGACGGTCCCTTGCTTCTGCTGTTCCTCAACTTGTAAGGAGTCACTGAAGCGAAGGATCTTCTCTACCACCGGCGCTCGAATGAATACCCCCCGGAATGGTTGGGATGGCTCGCCATTGTCTTGGCATGTTAAGAACGGCAATTCGAGGTCAGCTTGGAAACTCTCGGTTTGGCGGCCAAAATGATTTCGGTTTACGCGCACATCCAGCCCACCAATGAGTTCCTGCCCACCTTGTTTAGTCCTGTTCGCCGATTCAGCTAGGAGAATTAGGCCTGCACATGTTCCCCATGTCGGCTTTCGGTGAATCCTGAGAGACGCCGGTTAGTTACTGACTCGACACGCAGTGCCTTGGATCTATTATACTTACTTAACAAACCCTCTCAACGGCTCTAGCAAATTTGAGCGAGCAGCTACTAGCGATATAGCAGTGCTCTCACCGCCAGGGATAATCAAAGCATCGCAGGTCTCAAGTTGCGCTTCGGTTCTGACTTCAATAAAGCGCCATTGCTGGGTATTTTGGGCGGCTAGTCTGTCTGCAGCCGCATGGAGCAGTTTCAAGTGCTCATGAAAAGCACCTTGGAGGGCGAGAACACCCACTGTAATCGTCATCGCATGTTTTTTCAAGTTTCTGGCTAAGTTGGAGTCATCCGGTGCTTTTTTTTTGCGCCAAACAACGGCCCGCAATAACCGCCACCGGCATTATGTCGGCCCGTAAGAGAAAGTTTAAATACGTATCACATGATGCGGGGCTCAAGTGTTATCTAATCGATCTGATAAAGGAGTGGAATCGAGGCTTCTGCTTGAAATACTGTGGCGAGCAAGATGGCTTCTGTCCAGGGTGAGGGTGGGCATTTGCGCCCTTCGAAGGGACTTTCAAGATGGTATATAGATATGCAGATCCTCACAGCCACGTCTTCCACCCTTCCATTGCTCGCCACCCTTCGCCCTGAAGACCAAAATACTGTGAATAAATATTATCATCTTGCTGATAGGCACATGTCCCTGGCTTCATATTTGCTAAAGTATTTGTTTATTCACCGCTCCTGCCGAATCCCGTGGAATACGATCAGCCTCAGCAGAACCCCGGCACCGCACAAAAGGCCATGTTATATACCATTAGCGCAGGACGATGGATATCAGAATAGACCCCCTATTCCGAAGGTTGAATTCAATGTCAGCCATCAGGCCTCTCTTGTTGCAATTGCAGGCTGTATTATGCCTGATCAAACCAACCAAAACATTTCTTTCTCTCCGTCGCCTACTGGAAGCCCGTCTGGCCTTCAGGTCGGCATCGATATAACCTGTACTGACGAACGTGATCGACGCGGAAGCGATTCGTACCCAAAAAGTGAAGCTGATCTCTACTCCTTCATAGACATATACGCTGAAGTATTCTCAGCCCGAGAAATAGAAATTATGAAGTCGATGCCCAGTCAACCTTATGGGTTAGAAGAGTCAATCAAATATCGCCTTCGCCTCTTCTATACCTACTGGGCCCTAAAAGAGGCGTATATCAAAATGACGGGCGAGGCCCTTCTTGCTCCATGGCTTCGGCAGCTGGAGTTTCTTGGTGTCATTCCCCCGGAACCGTCATTCAACGGTGAAACGTCGACATGGGGCCCACCAGAGACTAGGATGCAAGTGTTTTTGCACGGAAAGAAAGTAGAAAATGTGAGAATTGAAGTTCTTGCCTTTGGAAAGACTTATCTTATCGCCACTGCAACAAGAGGGAGCATTCAACCCAATTATAATTCCGAGTCATTAGGGCCGGTGACGTGGTGTGACTTTCAAAATGTTGACATAGATACCGATATCAGCCCATGTGCTTCTGGCACGTGCCACTGTTGAGCCGGTTTTTGTATTCGAACTTGCTAATGATACAAGTACATATGTACATAAACAATAGTAGATTTGCCTGGATATCACTTGCAGAAGCATATGGGCAAAGTCAAAACATGTATATGAAACATAAAGGGTATTTGACCTGGCAAAATAACCAAGTATAGCCCTATAAGAAAGTAGCAATAAAAATCAACCGAAGCGCCAATGCCATGCAGAAAAGCCATCTATTTTAACCACCTACTCCCATTTAAGTCCGAATTTGATACTAACCTTTACTTCTAGGTGTAAGCGTCATCCCTTCTTTAGTAGCATCAGAGGAAATAGCTCGGAGTAGTGTAGCGGGGGTCAATGGTGATGTGTTCATATCGGTTGAAGAGAGCCGCGCAGATATTTCGGATCCGTGTTGTTGGTCGATTTTGGGGTATACCAAGCTGGTATTCCGGGAATTAACTTTTAGATATTGACGGCGGAGGATTGAGCAAGGCTGGCTGAAGCCGAATCTACCGGGCGATAACCTAGGGAACCTTTGTTCAACTTATTTAGATCCATCAGCGCGGCAAGCATAGTTTCTCTGGTTCTGATTGCTAAGCTATCGACATCTGTAGAGGTAAGACCATAAGTGCTGATGGCAGGAAGGACTTTGTTTCAATTAGTTAAAATACGGCCTTCGTTCGAATGGTAAATAAGCCGTGTATACACACCTTTGATCCGAATGGAGCCGGCACTAAACCTCCATTTTTTGATATTAAGCACATGCGAATAATTCTCCACCACGACAGGAACGATATCAACACCGGCCTGGACAGCTAAGTGGAACGCGCCCTTCTTAAACGGCAACAAGCAGGGTTCTGCCGAATAGCTCCTTGTTCCCTCCGGAAAAATGAAAACACTCTGCTTCTGCTTCTTCATCTGCTCTGCAGCGCCATCAAATGCCTTCAGTGCTGTCTGGCGATTCGCGCGATCGATAAACACGGTACCCGACAGAGCCATAAACCAGCCAAGTACAGGAACGTTTCGCAACGACTTCTTCGCAGTCACGCTGCAGTATGGAGGAAACACGGCACCAAGCATGAGGACATCGAGTTCTGTTTGGTGATTCCCAATGAACACGGCTGGACGAGTAGCCAGGTGCTGCTTGCCCTCGACAATGTCAAAATGTACCCCAGTCGATAGCCACATCACCCATTTGAAGCAGCGTCCAGCAGCCCATTGAGAAACCTGGCCATAGCCAAAGACGCGCAGGAATATCGAGGCGAAGACTCCGTAGCCGGCGCAAAGTAGGAGGGAGGCGTAAGCAGCAAGACAGCGGGCGAAGAAGCCAGCTTGGGGGATTCTGAGAGAGAGTCCAAACAGGCCGACGGTGAGAGCAACATAGGACCCCAGCCCGGCGAAGATGTAGGAGAGAATTGACATGCTGTCACTTCAACCAGCAGCAGTGTGAGAGTGGGCGTGGAGGAGAAAGTGGTTAGGCGCTGGTGTTCCTGTGCTATTGGTGTTGCCAACCTGCCTGCTGGCTTGTGATCAGAATGTTCAACAAAGTTTCAGCAGCCAGGATGTTGGGAAAGCGCACGAGACACCGGCATCTTGAAACTACACATACTCACTGGAAACGCAGTAGGATATCTACACAGATGTGGAATGGCATGGGGAGTCATTGTTAATAATATGTGGAATATAAGTCAACTGATGCTAGCTAGGTACGGAGTACACCTCCCATGACCTCCTCAAAGCCTCAGGCCAGAAACCACCCAAGCTCCACTCGATCCATAGTTCATCAGGCTCGTAAAGGAGCTGCAGCTGGTGGCTTTATTGAAACCCAGTAGTCAAATCAACGCTAGAACAAAACCGCTCAGCCCATCCATGTTCATGCACAATATCCAACCAGTTTCCAACACCAATGTCAAGGCGAACAATAAATTATTAGAGTTTTCATTGCTCAAGCCTTGCCAAAAACTATGCAAAACAAACCAGTGAGAAAGTACTATCAAGTTCACAGAAAATTACAATAGTAGGGGGGGGACTAGCTCATGTCTTCATCGAAGTCGTCAGGGTTTTCCAAAGACTCCATCGCATCTTTGACGAAATGGGCAGCCTGAGTGCGAGTGTTAGGTCCAGAGGCTTCTCTATATGCAACATTTGAGTAATTGTTTACATACCTTTGGATCTAGGTTGAGTGCTGTTGTAAAATGCTTAATCGCATTGCCCTTATCATGCATCATTTTGTAAAATTTCCCTAGAAGATAGTGCACGTTGGGTTCATCTGGCGCAAGGTCTTTCAGTACTCGAAGTTCGCCATGGGCGGCTTTAAGGTCATGTAGTTTCAAAAGGGCTCGAGCCTTGCGTAACCGTGGAACGACGGATTGCGGCGAAAGTGAGCAGGCGCGGGAATATTGCAATAAAGCCCCTTTTTGGTCTCCAATCCGCTCCAGAATTAAACCAATACAGCATATTAAGACAACATTAGTCGGGTTAATTTTCGAGGCCATCTGATAGTGCTGTTCGGCATATTGAAACTTGCCCATTTTCTCATATACCTTTCCCATTCCGTACCAAGCATTATAATGCCGGCTACTAGCACCGATCGCATGACGATATGCATCCATTGCTTTATCATGCTCTTCATTTGACAAGAATTCGTGCCCTTGCAGAGTAAATGCATAAGAGAACCTAGGATCTACCTGGGTTGCGCGACGGAAACATTTCAGAGCCTGGTCATGATCTCCTTCCAGAGAAAAGGAGTTGCCTATAGCGCACCATGCCTGCGGAGAAAGCCGATCAATCTCCATTAATTCATGGGCTAAATATGCCAGTTCAACCGCATTTTTCAGGTGCCAGAGCACCGTAGAGTAGACCTCCATGCTTTCTAAGGAGTGTGGCGCAATTGTTCTGACTCTGAGAAAGTATTTCTCAGCTTCAGCGTACTGAGCTTGCTCATAATAAGCACGACCAATCTGTGTTAGGGTCCATGGGGTTTCTCTTTGAGTTTGGGGCAATGAATTGAAAATTTGAATGGATTCTTGACAGCGATAGCTGGACAGTGCACTGTATCCCCCAGCAAGTTTCGAAAAAAGATCCAGGGTCCAGCCAAGAGCCTCTACCTCTTTTGATCTATCTGGAGCCGTGTTCTTCACCGAATTACCATTATGAGCCTCTTTCTTGTCAATCTCCATCGGTTCTGTAACGGCTTTTCGACTGCCACTGACTGTTCTCGTCGTACTCGTGCCAGAAGCACTTCGCGTTCTGATACCAGTGGACTTGATCTTCTTTATATCTCGACTATCTTTAGAACTTAGAGCGCTTGCTGAGACAGAAATCTTGGCAGCAGCAGGACGGATTTGATTGAATAGTCGCACACTTCTCCTTTGTGGGCACCCAGGCTCGGTGGATTGTGAAGATGAGCTAGGAGCTATGTGACCAGATACTGTTCGCTTGCGGTCCATGATAAGAGGGGCTGGAGCATCTCTCGAAACCCCTTCCTCCGCCTCGACTCGGGAACGAGTTTTCGCCCTTGTAACTGTTGACTTCATTTTGGGGGGAGGGTCGAGGTCGTATTCTAGTCCCAACACTTGCATTGACCGTGGCTTACGGGCGGGTGCAAGTGGCGGTTCTCCAAACGGCTCTGACCCAACTCGCCTACTCTCATTCGTCCTAACGTCATCAGAGTCACTTTGAGGAACAGGTGTCTCTAGGCCTTCAATAAGTGTCGATCCCACAGAGATTACGTTCATGGAATTGCCATTGAGTTTTTCCCAAAGCGCTGAGCTACTAGACCCCCCGCCAGCTCCTTCTCTAGAACTCAAGGCAAAAAAAGGATCCGCATTGATATTGGAATTCGGTTGTACTTGTAAAGGGCCACTTGCCATTGTTCCCTTTTCAAAAGACGAAAGGTTATCAGCGGAGGGAGACGTTGTAAGAATGGCCAACATTTCTGGAGACATCTTGTAAATATTAGGGACTCGAACGTTCGCGCCTAATAAAACAGGTGAATTAGTCACAACTTTCTACGAATATTAAACACCGTGATTTACCCGTTTCGCAGAGGCCGAGAAATGCATCCCAAAGAAAAGGATTTAGTTTTAACGCTTCAACGTAACAATCCACGGCTTTGTGGACATCCTTATGAGCTTTCCAGAGTCGACCTTGAAGAGATAGGACAGCCGCGGCATCAGGCAAGTTTTGGCGACGACTTTCACTGTGCTTATCTTAAAGCGAAGAAGTATAAGTATATGTCCAAGTCAAGTGGAGTCCTTGCCAAACAAGAAAACAAACAGATCACATTCCACTCACTCCAATTATTCCTTAAAATCCAGTGCGGTCTACTTCGCTCTAAGGCCGTAATTCCTTCCATATATCTCCCAAGGTCGAGGCAGGCTTGTGCATATACATAAGAGCAACCGAGATGTGTGCCTCGGGAGCCAGAATTTCTGCTAATCTCCCACGCCGCTTTAGATTGCCCGCCTAAAAGGTGGCATAGAGACAGTAGGTAAGCAGCTTCCGAGGATCTTGGTTCGAAGGCATGAAGTCGGCCTGCAACGAAGATGGCATTTCGAATAAGGTTATTATCGAGGTGGTAGTAAACTAGCTGTCGTAATTGACTAGAGATATGGGGCGACGAGGGCGGCATGTCGGATGCAACGGAGTATTTAGAAGGAGAGAGGGTAACTGGGATGTCGAAAATTCAATGAAGAGATCATGTGTTTGCACAGTCTCTCGGATCTTCGGGCTCTGAGGCTAGAAGGGCTCCGGGAGGGTTGGCCGGAGTGAATGGATGCAACACACAAACTAAGATAGAAGATTGGGCTGAAGGAGTTCTTTTAAGGCTAGGGATAGGCAGAGTCTTAGTCGCGTTAGAGCGCTACTTTGGATCGCACTGGCTGGCGGGTGAGCATGTTCGGAAGCAACTGAGCATGACAGTGAGAAGTAACAGTGGAGGTGGACCAAATGAACAAGTAGAGAACAGAACAGTGTATGTAGCTTTTCGATCGGCAGCTATGGAATGTTGTTTGACGCGAGAGCAGTGAGGAAGCCCTGACAAAGAACAGGCAGTGAAGTCAAAGTCGGATGTTTTGGGGTGGTCGTGGCTGGGTTGGGTTGTGCCGCTAGCCAGGCTGTTGTGTGGGCAACGCAGGCTGCCAGACGCACCAAAGTGATCGGGAGAACACATACATCCATTAGCTCTGGTAGGAACAACTGCACAATTTGCAAAGAATAGCTACTAAAAAGGATATAAGTTCTGCAAAATCCATGACATCAACTCCTAGTATCTACACAGGTTGCCGCCCAAGAACCGTACAGTTAGGCCGGGGTACAGTAATTCAAGCGGCCCAGAGTCTATCGACTCCGTGTATTGTTATAACCTCCCAGGTGCATAAAACTGGTGCGTTGCTCTGCTACATATTCAAGACAGTCCATCACATCTATGTCAGTATGAATAAGCGTTGGTTGTTCAATAATGAGAAAAGAATTCACAGGCCCACAGGGGTAGTTACACATTTAAAAAGAAATCCCTTTGGGGCTTAGGTCTTCCATGAGGAAATATCTACTCTATACAGAGCAACCAATATCAATTGCTCCGTGCACATACTCCGTCTTTCGTGCTCCGTACTCCGTGCAATGACAACCTGAAGCTTGATAAGGAGAATATTAAAGGTTAACTACAGATTAGTGTCTTACATAAGCGATATGGCCAGGTACCTAGTTACAGGTACATAGCTCCCAGCATTTAACCACAAATATCTGCGGCAGCTTCGGGCTCAGACCAGCCGTAAAAATGGCTCAGGTTGGTAAAGAAATACCCTTTTGCCAAAATGACTGCTGATTGACTGCTAGAAAGCGGCCAAAACACTTGCCGCGAGAAACACTGCGGTACTTCGCCAAACACACTTAACGACTCTGTGCCTCCACGCCATCTTTCTCTTCCTACATTTTGTTTTCCATCGCCCACACTCTCTTGTTCCATATGCCATTTTTACATCTCCTACTCTTCTCATAGAGTTTTACTTTGAGCGCCTTGGTCGTCCACGATATAACCCAGGTGACAGTTCCATCCGATCACCCGGCGAGGACCTCGATGCCTCTGGATTGACTGAGTATTTCTGGGACGTGCTCTACTGGACTTGGGGATGTATGGGTGCTGTTTGCGTGTTTGGTGATAAAGCATGGTGGCTATGGACTATTGTTCCACTATATTCGGCTTGGTCAGCATATACAACGTTTATGGGTATTAGAAAAGGGTTTGCTGGCAGTGTAGACGGGAATGACATCGCTCCTATGCCTGAGAGCAAGAGGCAGAAAAAGCTGGAGAAGAAGGGTCAGCGCGTTAAATACCGCTAGAGATACAAGAGACACCCCGACCAACAGATCAACAGATGCCTTGCTGGGTGTCGTAGGTCATTGACTTCCTAACGGCTACTGAAAATTATACATAGTAGTATGTTGCGAAAAATACACAAAGCTAGAGCGTAGAGCCGTGGCCTAAAAGATAAAAGAACCTAAATATCGCTCAAAATAATCGCCTGGATGGAATACAGAAAGGAATTTTGAATAGTACAGTGCGAAATCAAGATTGTGCCAAGGGATAGGAAGCAGGGCGAGAGAGGAGTCAAGGAGAAGTATTTCAATGTATGTGCATTGATGAAAGGGAGAGCATAGTATGGATTTCATTCTGGTTATGAGATGACACGAATCTATAACTCATCTCGGATGGTATTCGATGTACTGGTTGGTGGGTTTGCATTGCCTGCTGGCCGTTCCACAGAGGCGGTGGGGTCAGATTCGTCAATGTCTCGACGAAGCTGCTGTAGGTATACGTCCACAATTGTTGAAAATGTGCCAAGCTGAGCAACAGCACTGCTAAGAATCTGTTGCTTGTCTTTGCGAAGGCGGGGCTGCGTTGTAGGCGTTGGATCTGGCGAGGTATAAATAGCGTGGGTTAACGCGGAATTAGCTACCGAAGCAGCAGAAGCCAGTTCTAAAACTGCATCGTCTAGAATAGAGTTCGCATAGTAATGATCAGCCTCTGGTGCCTGAACTCCAACACTGACGGAATCAATTAGAGAACGGAATTGGTGATTTGCAGATGTCAGGATCTCCTTGACTCTCAATATTGAGAGGGGAGGGGTTGTAGATGGTCCATCCGCAGCGTTCGTGGGGGTCTGATGCCCGATATTGGTGGGTGCGGCTTGTTCACTGCGTAAAGGATCAGCCTGATTAGACAGGGGCGAAGGATTGCCACGTAGTTTCGACTGCTTTGACGAGTCCAAGGGAGAAATCTCATCATCTTCAATAGATATCGCAACGTCTTCACCATGAGCTTCATTGGCCGGGGTACCCGGCATTACCACTTGGGTGTGAAAATCTGGTGCATGTTTTACACTTTCCATCCTGCCAGCACTGCCCGGATTTGATGCTGTACTGCTGGCGGTTGTGGTGGTAAGGCTGTCTATAGTGTGTGATGCGAGCAACGAGGACGCTTCTTGTATCGATTTCGAATACGCATCAGCAACCTGATCGTGTATGCTAAACATTGGCTCAGAAGCTGCAGATCGAGATAAATCACGGCTGAGACTCTCAGCCTCATTAACAGCGTCTGAAACAAGAGAAACAGCCTCAGAAAACAGACCCTCCTCTGGTACCAGGGTGGCACCAGCTGAACGCAAAATGTGATCATTCTTTTGTTTTTCACTTTCACCTGAAACATGGTTTATGGGAGACCGCGAGCCGTCACTTGAAACACCTAATGAAGGAGATGTACTTTCAGTATTTATGGCGGTCTTTGGCTGTATCGTAGTGCCTTCGGACTTGACCGTCCTAGAGCGAATTCTGGAGGAATCCATGGCACCAGTGTCAAAGTTATCGCTACTGTCGCCAGCTCTGATTTTCCAAGCTCCAACAGTCTTGAGCATCAACAACTCTCCGGCAGCTTTTTCGGCGACCGCCATGCCACGAGAGAGTATATCGTCTCCGGCCTCTCTGGCTTTCAAGAGAGACTCGTGCCGCATGCCCACATCTCTTACTTCATCCTGCCACTCTGAGAACCTCTTTTTAAGAGCGTGGAACTTCGCCCAATCCTTGTATGTGACGCCGTCCATCCACGCCCATCTCATTCCGATTTCTTGAAGTCCCAAGTCTCGAATGTGGCTTAAAATATCAAGCGTGGAATCGATGATCTCAGATATTCGCTGAATGAGATCATTATCATAGGTTTTATACCACATCCTTAAGTTGTGCGCATGTTCCCGGATGGTGACGCCGGAAAACCTCAAACTATGCGCTAAAGCATCCTGAGCGGCTGCTTCATCTTCTTCACTTGAATCATTGCTTAGGTTCTGTACAAGCTCAATGATTTCAGCTCGGAGCTTCTGCAGCTGTTGTTGCGAAACAGCATCTAGCTGAGAGACTAGATTTTCGCCTTTGTTTACAGCGCCACTTTCCTGCAATTTTTTTAGGATAGCAGCCACCTCCTTTTCTACTTCGTCACAGCCTTTATCAGCAGCTACAGCAAACTTCTCTTGCCATAGTTTCAGGTCACTGGCTATTTTAACCTGCGCGGTCTGCCGTGACGGCGAGAGAGAGGTTGTATCGGGAACTATATCGGATGTCGCCGCCAAACTTGTTGTTGCCGATGAGGTATGTCTATTGGCTGATGTGTATGTTAAAGAGTCGGGTAGGGGACTGAAAGTTTCAGTTACACTGTTCAAAAGCCAGGTAAGCATAAACCGCGTTCAAAAACTAGTACTGAACTGTAGAATTTTGCCCATACCTCTCAGCTTCATCATGGGAATGTTTCAATTTCCCGCCTTCACGGTAGCTTGCAAGCTTCTCCCCTATCTTGAAAAGTTGTGGCTCCACGTTTTTTGAGTACAGACCAGCTACTTGCGGTCGCAACGTGCCGTTCAATAATAAAACAAGCTTCGACCAGCCCTTGCGACTACAAGGTATGACTGTCCTAATTAAAAACTCGCGGATAGAAACGCATATTCTGTCAACAATCGGTCGCAATTGGTCGTAGATAGGCAAGATATAACCGTCCCGCAACTCAATCAGCTGCGTTATCAGGAAATTGTATTTGGGTGTAATTATAAATTTTGCTTGGGTGATATGTGGGCCGATAGAGGCTTCGTAGGAAGCAGCAAATGATTTTTTCAACGAGTCTAATCGCGGTGAAATCAAGATATCCCACTCTTTCTCGGCACGTTGTAGTCCTTGCTTTATGCGAGGCGCTAAGTATTTATTATATGATTGCGAGGAAACGTCCGCCACCGGCAAATATATATTATCATGGAATGTTTGCGTGTATGGCTGTACCGCTTCCACGTACGGTTTACCATAGACCTGGTAGTAAGGAGCTAAATGAGGCTCGATATTCGATCTAGCGATAAGATAGGGCTCGCATACGCGTGGAGAGTGACCATCTAGGTCGTTCAGGTTTGATGGACATCGAAAGAAAGTTGTTATCATGAAGTACCATATTGATAATCTAATGTACCAGTCAACAACGACAAAAAACGAGGAGAAAAAAAACTATACATAGAACAATGACATACCGGAGAATTACACTCAGGGCCTTTCGCATAAAAACAGTTTGTTGTTTTGGTCGAAGATTTGAGGCGGCTATGTGAGTGGGCTTCTTGAGTTGCTCCGCCGAAGCATCATTCTCGACGTTCGCCATCGTACAAGAGTGGTGCGTATAGAGAGTGCACAATATAGAAGGCAGTGAATTTGAATATCGTCTATATGTGCCTTTAACTAGATGTAAGCGAGGTCGTGTGGAATTGGGTGCATAACGAATGGTGGATGGGCAAGGCCAGAAAGTCTAGAAGAAAATAGGTGTTGTCAAATAAGCAGGAGACCGCTCATGATCCCGCGCCATGCATGAGGCAAAGCCGAAGGTCAAGGTGGTTTGGCGAGGGCTCTGTTGCGCGTTGGGTTTCACTGTGCTCGAGCTTTTCGGCTACAGCTCGACCAGGCAAACGCGGTGAGGTCATGAGCCCGTGCCCACGCGTCCGATGCCTTGATTCGGCAAATTGCTGCTCCGAGTTCCGAAGATAACGTTTGGTCAACGACACATGCTGATTCGCTGGCGCGTTGGCCGAAGTTGCTAAAGGAGCCAATGGTTGATGCCAAATCATCCCTATTTAAGGCCAATAAAAGTGCTGTAATTCATGTTAAGAGCGCCGGCCAGCCAATCATTCACCAAAACTCCAGGCATCCTCAGCTTGCCACCCATGCACGATAGAGCAAAAGTTGGCGAAGTCAATGCCAGCAAAAGCCCAAATAGATATACCTGTTGATTTACCGTGAGAAATCACTCGCCATGTCTTGCCTGCATCGTAGTTATCTAGTTGACTCTAACTAATGGAGTTTGCAGTTATGTCCATGCCCGCCTCCAGGAACACTTGCCTCGGACCCTTCGTTGACTCGCCGAACCCCCCCTCCCCGTCGATTCCCAATTCGCTATGAAGGCCTCTCCAGTGCCAATCATATAGTCCAGATCATACACCTAACCTTCAATATCTCTGATAGCCCCATCGCTTTAGGGACGTCGGAACCTACCCAAGTCTCAAAAATCCGGAGGCTCCGTCTCAGACCGACACCATGAGCGAGTCGGCGTTTGCCGCAAGCCCAGTCAAGAGAGGGAAAGGGGTAGATGAGCCAGATACATGCCGTATATGTCGTGGAGAAAGCTCAGATGGAGAGGAGCTATTTTATCCCTGTAAATGCAATGGCAGCATCAAGTTTGTCCATCAGAGCTGTCTCATGGAATGGCTGTCCCATTCACAGAAAAAATACTGCGAGCTTTGCAAGACATCATTTCGCTTTACGAAGCTTTATGATCCTGATATGCCCCAGGATCTACCGGCCCCGGTTTTTTTGAAGGAACTGGCATTGCACGCTGCGCGAACACTGCTCACCTGGCTTCGTTTTCTCCTTGTCGCTTTTGTATGGCTGGGCTGGTTACCTTGGTCAATGAGAGCTGTTTGGCGGGGTCTCTTCTGGCTTGCTGACGGCCGCTGGCCGACAGCTGAAACCATTCACACAGCTATTTCGACACAAACAAGCGAAACTTTGAATAGTCTTGCGGGTACATGTCCTGTACCCAATGTATTCGCCGCTGTTCTCCCTGTGTGTACTACACAGAGTATCCAGGGTGCCATCCCACAGTTATCTTTCCCGGCTTCAACCCTTCTGAACCTCACCGCCGGGGAGCCTCTAATATATTCCATCGCCAAGCGACTATTGACAAACGCTGTGGTTTTGACTACTTCAACGCCGAGCTCTACATCACTGGTGGACTCTGGAAACTTAACAGCATCAGCAACTCGACGCTTACGACAGCCTTCATGGCTCTCCGATGTTGATGTTCTCAATAGGTTAACCCCATACCCGACTATAAACAACATACTCATCGATACCTTAGAGGGCCAGTTGATCACCTTGCTTGTTGTTGTTTTATTTATCCATGTATTTCTCATCCGTGAATGGGTCATTCAACAGCAGCCTGCAATAAACCTGGCTGAAATTGAACGTGAAGCAGCCATCCAGCTACTCCGAGAAAACAGACTTGAACCCGTCCCAGAACAGAATCCTCTGTTAGCGGAGCCGAATTTAGTACTTCCTGCAGAAATTGAAAGGGTAGAAAGGGTAGACGAAACAGCAGGGCCAGTTCATCCAACAGATGAGCCAAATGGAAGGCCTCCCACAACTGGTGTTCCATTACCCCCAGAAGCAGCACTTCCGGGTTCTAGAATCACATCTTCTGGTGCCCTTGCCCATAGAACCGGCTCGCCCCCTGAACCCGACATCCCTCGTGAAGCCATCTACCCTGAAGTCCCTACTCACAGCCCGAGACCTAGTTTCAATGATTTTGCCGGTCATGGGTGGAGTTTTGAGCCTGATGGTTCAGACGGGGCAATGCTTAATGAACAAAGTCCACCGGCTCACAATCTGAGTGACCCCTTAGAGGAACCCGCTGCTGATACACTGAACCACACTACACCTAGAGAAGTTGCTACCGCTAGCTCAATACCCTCTACCGAAAGAGAGGCAATGAATCCCGGGAGCATATTCTCCTTTGATGCCGGCCTCGCTGATCCTTTAGAAGGTCCAAGCTCAGGGCCCAGCGACCATTCTCAGAATATAGGCTCCCCTCTATTCAACAGTTATGCGTCAGATTCTGCCGGCTACCCTACCTCGCCATTTGCCTCCCCAGTGTTTGGAAATAGTGAACACAATCTACCGGGAAATAGTTTTGATTTTCGATCAAGTCTTGAGCTTCCAACAATTGATTCCCACATTAACGCTGGCACCTCCCATTCAGTACCGACTAGGGATACTCATTTGGATGGCACTCCAGACTCTGGACTAGCTCGGACTCCGAATAATGCTGCTCCGACCCCTCCTGCTGAGTTCCAAGTACCCGAGGCGATCCCACCTGCAATTCCTCCGCAGAGTTTTTGTCAGCACATTATGGATTGGTTTTGGGGTGGGATTCCCCTCCAAGCCGAACAGGAAGTTGAAGAACCTGTTGACGAGCACGTCGTTGAAGACCCAGCACAGGAGCCCGCTTTTGTGCCTGTTCGTCATGGACAGCCAGTTTTAGAACCCAATCCTGGCCATAATCGCCCCGCCCCAGTAAATGATGGAGCAGAGAACGATGTCGATGCAGCGGACGACGCTGATGATCTTGAAGGCGTGATGGAGCTGATTGGGATGCATGGTGCCATCTTCGGTCTACTTCAAAACGGGGTTTTTAGCGCCCTACTTATTTCTTTTACAGTGACTCTTGGCATTTGGCTCCCTTATCTATGGGGTAAAATTGCTCTTGTTCTTTTAACCAACCCTATACGGTTATTCATCGGCATTCCTTTGGCAATCATGTCGATCGTTGCTGACATTGCTGTCGATACAATTATTGGAAGCTTTGCCTATGTTGTCTACGTTGGCAATGTTTTACTTCGAACTCTTCTGGGGCAGGCAGGAAAAATTATCCCTGTTCTTGCAAAATTTTCTGCCAGCAATGCTGTCACCCATGCTTCGTTGGGGCTCATTGATGGAAGTGGTCAGCGCTTAAGGCGAATATTGGCCACTTTTTTTACGTTCCGGGACTCAGATGTTCCAATGTTCTCTGTCCTTGCCCATCAGGCACTGAGGATACACCAAGCCCGCATCACCACCATTTACAATGTTCTCGTCCAGGCCCTGAAACTTATACTTTATGACATCCCTTTACAATTGATTCCGCACAAGGAGAATGGGTCGCTAGTCCTGCGTCTTTTCTCTGTTAGCCCAACGAGAACATATTCGATGATTGTGAGCGGGTTTAGTAGTTTTTTACGAACTGGATATTCCTTTTTCCAAAATGGGAGTCTCTCACACCTAAATACACCAGGTAGTCACCCTCTCCCTGCCAATATGGATTTGGATCTGGCATATTGGGATACTAAAGATAGAATAATTGCTATTATCGTCGGCTATTGTTTCGCCTCCTTTGTTGGCTTATTCTATCTCCGCCTTTCTACTTACCTCTCTGGAGATCAGCGAGGTCATCATATGAACGGTGCTGTCGCGGAAGTGCTTCGCCAAGCGGGCGGTGTGATGAAAGTTATTCTTATCATTGGCATCGAAATGATTGTGTTTCCCCTTTATTGTGGTGTCTTACTAGACATCGCTCTTATGCCACTCTTTGAAAACGCGACGTTCGGAACAAGGATCGGATTTGGAATTGAGTCACCATTCACCTGCTTATTTGTACATTGGTTCATTGGCACCTGCTATATGTTCCACTTCGCACTTTTCGTGTCGATGTGTAGAAAAATTATGCGCGGTGGTGTACTTTGTGAGTCTACATCCAATTTTGCTGTACATCATTCATCTAGACAATGGCTAATTAACATTTGCAGATTTCATCCGGGATCCAGATGACCCGACATTCCATCCTGTTCGCGACGTTCTTGAGCGCAACGTATCCACCCAACTTCGCAAAATTGCGTTCAGTGCTCTGGTGTATGGCGCTCTTGTGATTATATGCATGGGTGGTGTTGTTTGGGGACTCGCGTTTGTGTTTCCGGGAGTACTCCCCCTACACTGGTCGTCCAATGAGCCTGTGCTTGAATTCCCTGTTGACCTACTTTTTTATAACCTCGTCATGCCGCTCACCATTCGGTCCATTAAACCTTCTAATATTTTGCATACAATGTATGCTTGGTGGTTCCATAAATGTGCGCGGCTCTTACGGTTAACGGATTTTCTATTTGGGAAAAGAAAACGGGATGAAGAAGGGTACTTTGCCAACAAAACGAGGCTTGAAATGCTTTTGAAAGCAAAATTTCGTACGATTTATGCCACAGACACAAAAAATACTCAAGATGAAGAGGAGGTACCCGTGGGCTTAGTACAGGATGGTAGATTCGTACGCACCCCAGCATCTGATCAAGTTCGGATACCGAAGGGTGCGCGAGTTTTTCTTGATGTTAACGATCAGAATGAGAGGCTTGATGGCAAGCCAGATCACGACGATGGCCTTCATGGCAAAGGCAACGATATGTTCACCAAAGTATACGTTCCTCCGAGATTTAAAACCAGAATCGCGGGTTTTATATTCTTGTTATGGGTCTTCGCCGCTATGACCGGCGTGGGAGCTACAATCTTGCCACTCGTCTTGGGACGGAAATTGATATCGTTTCTCTTTCCAGAAAATACACAGATCAATGATATATACGCATTCTCCGCCGGGATTTACTGTCTCGGCGGCGTCCTCTACGGACTGCACCACTGTCAACAATGGGCTGCTTCCCTATACAGACAATCCCACCTTTTAAACTCGCCACAAGAATTCCTAGTCAAATTGCACAGTGCACTGTGCCAACTCATCAACCTCTTATATGCTTTTACAGCATTTACATTTTTGGTTCCCACGCTTTTCGCCATCATCGTGGAGCTCTACTTCCTTGTGCCACTCCACACATACTTTAGCAGCGGAGGAACCCATGTCATTCATTTCGTCCAGGATTGGACGCTTGGTGTTTTATATACGCGCATGGCTGCGCGTTTGATGCTACGCAACGAGACTTCACGACCTGCTGTTGCTCTCAATGCAATAGTCCGAAATGGTTGGCTCCGCCCTGACGTCAAATTCGCGACTCGGGCATTTATTATACCCGCAACTCTGGCTACATTTGTCGCCGTGTTTACTCCTCTTCCGGTGGGATTCATTCTGAACGCCACCATTTTCAGGGGAGAATCGACGATGATGCACTCGCAAGTCTACCGATATTGCTATCCTGGATTTTTACTTGTAGTGCTACTTGGCTGGGGATTGCATCTTCTTCAACGCCAGATTAACGTTTGGCGGATGAGTATTAGAGATGATGTTTACTTGATTGGGGAACGACTGCATAATTTTGGCGAAAAGCGGGCAAGGGATATGGGCTCTGCTAGGCGCATCATCAACACTGCATGAGCGAACACAGCACATATGATTTTTATTTTTTTTTTTTGTTATTTGAGGACTTATTTTAGTTTTATGTATGTATAACTATACCAGTGTGCACCCTACGGACTCCTCCATGCTACTGTCCAAACTACGGAATACTCCGTAGTTGGTGCTCCGTACGGAGAATAATAATAGATTAGCCAAGCCATGCATCTACGTCAACGTGGCTGGTAGTGTGGCTGGCGTCCCCCGGTCTTTCGCGCTTAGCCGAATTTAGAATCCCTAGATACCCCGTAGAGGGAGGCCAGACTTGATTGGCCAGGCATTAGGCAACCGCAATCCATCCCAACTCGGGGTTTGGCGATGGACCGCGCAAGCGCGGCGCCATGCCCAGGCAACCCATTTAATATCTGCAAAGCAGATCTATTCTTAATTTCAGGACATTCTCTATGCCCTCATTCGCCTAATATAAGTCTCGTTTCTGTTTTTGCGCCTTGAATCCCTCCCCCAGGCCTCATTTTCAATATGTCGGTACTTCGCGGGGGTTCATACCTCCAGAGAAGACTGACAAAGCTCTATACAGATACCAAGTCGTCATGCGAAAGTGTGACTACGGTTTCAAGACCAAGTGATGACCCCGAATTAATATCCTTGAATCTGAGCTACCGAACACAGAAAGACCGGCTGTTGGCCTGGGGTTTAGACTGGAGCGATGCCAGTGCAGCGCAGCCAAATGATATCGACGATGCATTGGCGGAAGCCGGCTTTAGTGATGTTGTCGCTGGGATTATGTCGTCTATACAAGAACTCCTTAATGAAGCTGAGAGGCTGCAGCAGCCAGATATGCCAAAATCTTCTCCTGACGGACTGACGACGGGAGTTGTGAAAATGACATGGACTGATCAAGAGATATCGAGGTCAAAATCGTTGTTAGGAGAACTCACCTTGCATATCGATACGCTGTATGATTTATCTCGATCGAGGCGAGACATGACTATGAGTATGTCAAGTACGAAGCTGCATCCCTCGACCGCCCATGCGCACCTTCGACCGCATTTTGATAAGCTCTCAAAAGAGCACACCTACCCAGTCCCACCTGACTCAAAGTCACATCCCACAAAGTATACCAATGCGCCCAATGATTTCTTCCAGAAAGATGGAAACTTGGGCTTCTCTTCTATGGAGTCAGCAATCCGGCCTTTACATTCGCATAGTAAAACGTCGACCGGTGACAAGAACTTGACGGCAGATCAGATGTTTCTTCCCCTTTTATCTTCCACCAAGGAATTTTACATTGATCGCAACTCTCTCAGCCTCTCCAGTGGAGGAAACACCCACACCCCCAACCCTCCACCTTATGAGCCTATCGCGGCGTCGGCAAATTCCCGGATCTTAGGCCAATTGTCCACATCTGCGGTACCTACCCTTCTGACTGAAGGCATAAGTGGTACCTTCGTTCCAGTTTTGGTTGAATTTTCTCCTATTCCGATGGAGACACAGAACTCGCTTACGCTGCCGAAAAGGTGGAGATTGCAACGCCTGAGCACAATTTTACTAGGCCTTATTTCTAATGCCAGGGTTTCTCACTTAGGACTACTTAAGTTCCTGGGCTACTTCGTTGATATGACATACTCTCGTTATGCTTTCATCTATCAAATGCCCTCAGATATCCCCGGTTTTACAAAGCAGCCCTCTGATCCAGCAGAACCCAAGCCTTTGGCTTCCTTATTTCTTACTGGGTCGGACCCACAAGATACACCTGTTCCTCATCTTGAAACAAGATTTCGGCTGGCGTATAACCTCATTCTTGCCGTCTTACACCTCAGAAGTCAGAACCTTGTTCATGGGAATATCAACAGTAATAACATTTTGATATTTCCCGGTATGGAGGTGTCTAACAATGGAATTGTGGACAATTTCCCTGCAGACTTTCGTCATCCATATTTGTCCTCTTTAATGCAATTCGATAATGAGAATAATAATATTCCACCAGAGCCCCTTTCTCTAGGCATGTATCGTCACCCGGATGACCGGCAAATTATGTCGGATCCCTCTGCATGGGCGTACGATCTCTACAGTTTGGGATTGGTCTTGCTTGAAATTGGTTTATGGACCCCGATTAGTAGACTTTGGAAAATGAAGTATGATAAGATAATATTTAAAACGAGGATCGAAAACGTCTACATAAAGAAGCTCGCAGCCAAGTGCGGATCTGCATATCTTCAAGCTGTTCAACTTTGTCTGGATGCACCGAATTTTCATCTTTCGACATCACCCATGTCTGATCTAAGTCTTCGACTTCCACAGACATACCACTATCCTTGGAATGATCCAAATCAGGCCAACGAGTGGAACACTTTCTCTAGGAACTTTGTTTATACAACGAGTAAAATCCTATTTCGCTGCAGCAATCTTGACATTGTTGCGCCGCCTCCCGATACAGATCTTGAGGAGTCACTCCCACCCCCTGTCAGCCTTGGGCCCGAGTCATCGCCGTATGAAGAAATCACGCCACAAAATCATTGCCTACCTAATATTGATCCCGCTGTCCCAATCGATATCAGCAATGAGGGTGCCCCTTTCACTCATCAAAATTTACCAAATATGAAAGGGAATAGCGGTGAGAGAAAGGTTAGAAAGCGAACCCTGAAGAAATGGTCCAATATTGAGATACCAGATGAACATCTACAAATTTGGAATACAACACTCATGCCAAAGCTAAGTAAATTGCTACAGAAGATTCTGAGGGATTCAGCAGAATCTTGTAGCGCCACGCTGATGGTTGCTGGAGAATCTGCGGATTCTGCAAAAACCACCATTTGCGTTACCTGTACGAATGTCCGCAAGGTGAAGGCCACTCTTAAGAAGTATTTTGATTACGACAAAGACTGGGATTTGATTGTGATTCGAGGGGATATAAATCGATCCAAAGTACCTCGAAGGCGCCGAAAAAAAGCGAAGGTAAAGAGCAATGTTACAGCAAATTTTGTTGCTGAATTAAATCCATATTACCAGCCGAAACCGATTTGCGGCGCATCCATTGGGGCATTCCGCCTTGATGAGCATCTGCCGCCAGTCTCATATGGAGGGGCTATTCTTGTCGATGGGGAACCCTATGGAATGACTGTTCACCATATGATTGACAGTCCATACGATGAAGAGGAAGAATGCTATTCTCGTGGCCCCGGCCCAGCCACTGATTCTGTGCAGCCCTTGGAAGTGCAAGATCAGGATTTTGCGTATACCTGGTGTGATGATGTCTTACCTGAGGCATCGTATCCCTTTGAGATTTCTGACGACGAAGATATCGATGGTGAATCGGTATCTCAGAGTGCTGACGATTCATATGATGACTACTGGATCTCTGATGGCTATTCCAGCGATGAAGGTGGGGATATGGACGATTTCGATATCGATGACGACACTGCCTCAATCGGCGACACTGTAGGTGTATGTCCGGAAGACGAACCGCTAATAATGGTCACTCAACCGGCCCTAGATGACATTGAAGATGGCTTTTTCCCTTGCCCTGAAGATAGAGATGACGAACATCTTGCGTCACATTCTCTTGGACATATTCACGCCTCCTCTGGACTTCGACGGCTGACCCGAGACGGAATCAAACACGAAGTAGACTGGGCGCTCATCAAGATCGACCCCACCCGCATGGATACCACCAATGCTGTTCCTGCTGTGCCTATTTCATACTTCAATCCCAATATCCACCAACAAGGCCAAAGTACCCATTTTAAAGTGCTCACTAAAGTCGCTAAGCTCGATGAACTTTCTGGATCGTACGTGCAGTGTTGCGGAAGGACAAGTGGGTTGCAGAGCGGACGCATTTCTAAAGCGATGACCCTTGTTAAGTTACCGGGTCGTCAATCGTTCTCTTTGAGCTTTTGTGTGGATGGAAATTTTGGAGGTATGCTAAATCCAACCGAATCTATTACGCTTTAGTATGCTAAAAACATTTCGTCCTCGGCAGTTCCTGGGGATTCGGGTGCTTGGGTTTTTGACCAAAACGGCCAGGTATGCGGTCATGTTCTTGCATGGTCAGAAAAGAGCCAGACTGCATACATTGCACCAATGGTCATCCTCCTCGATGACATTGCTCGAACACTCGATGCCAAAAGCGTAGTGCTCCCTGGAAGTGAGGAAGAAATCGTATGGCAAAGCACCATGGCGGCTACTGGGTCGCCCTGCGTGAATTTCACCGCAGCGGCCAAAAAACACAACCTGCCAGTACCAGGCCCGCTACCGTTGGAGCTGAGCAAGCTGAGACTCAATACTTTTGACGATCCCTCGCCTACACGACCAAGTTCAAACCCTCCTACCAGCAGCGCAGCCACCGTCGGTAAAGATGTGCCCGCTTCGACCGCAACTACATATAGGAAGGGCGTAGCCGGTTTAATGACCCATCCGAGAACTATAGAGCGCCAACTTGCTTGATAATCGTTTTGGTGTTTGGTGGATATTATGGCTAACTATACCCCTAGTACATTTTTTGTGGATTTGCTATTTCGTTATGTTGTTAACGAGGGGGAATTTTATCGATGGCCAAATACATACCTCCTTCGAATTACATACTTCTTTATATAAAAATGCCTTTTCTATCAATATACATACAAACAAGACAATCAAATCAACAACCATTCATAGGAAATGCGTAAACAATCATGTTAACCAAAACAACAAAAAAACATAGGAATTTTTCATAAACCACATAATTAAAGAGACATCGTACCCCAAGCAAGAGTAAGCTAACACCTATTAGAAATCATTCCAGAATGCGAAATTAGAGTAAACAAGCATGAAGAAGAGAAAATTCTAAGAACTGCTCAAATACTTCAACACTGCTTCCTTTTCTTCAACTGGAAGCATACTCAAGACCTGGTGCACACCTTTCAACCCTCCTTCTTTATCACTCATCAACAGCTGCGTAACCTGCATTGCAATTCCATTCGTCTTCATTACCTCAACTTTGTCATAAAGCACCTTCTTATTTTCTTCATACCACAGAGCAACTTTCCGGTCATTGTCTTCGAAGTCTCTATCTAAAAACCCTGTCCATGACTTGAGAGTGAGGATATTCTTCTCGCGGATGGAGGGATTATCCTGCACACTGGTGGAAGTAGGCGATGGGCTTCTCGATGTGTCCGGAACAGTTTCGTCCTCTGCACCAACAGCAAGCATGCGCTTGAGAATAAGCTCTTCACTAAGACGGCGACGGAGTCGCCAGTAGAAGAATCGTCGCGCATTTTTCCATTGGAGAGGTTTGCGAATTGTGCCTTTTGCTTCCATTCGGCCAGCCCGATCGTGAAGATCAGCGAATTGGAGCGCAATCTGAAGGTAGACTGGAAGAAGTTGGGTTTCTCGTTGGGTCATCTGGTCTTTGATCTCGGACATCTTCTCCGCACTGAGAGATGAGTCTTGGAGGGATCTTCGGAGATCACCATATACTGAGTCAAGACGAGCCATAGTGTCCAGTTGCTTCTCGCGACGATACTTGATGCCAACAATACCTTCTGGCTCAAGAACACCGCCACGTGATTCAACGTCTGCATACATCTCCATTTGATCAGGGTTAATTGTCGGGTCAATAACAACCTAAGAGTCATTAGTATGTCTAATGTAAATGTAGAGTAGGATAACGCTTACCCAGGAACCACCTCGGAGCTCGCCAAACGGTGGGATATACACGAAGATCGGCTGTTCATACTTTACAAGGGCGTCGACAATATAAGAACCATACTTGAGGACCTCATTGTACATGTCTCGTTGCCCACCAGAGAATCCTCGCCAATTAGCCAATATCATCACTGGTAGCTGCTCGCCAAAGTTGAAATCTCTCAGAGCCTGGGCGGTCTTGAAGGCCGAGTTGGGATACCACACGCCTCCAGCTTCAGTGGTGACCATTTCCATGGAATCTGGGTTTGCAGGGTCGGCAGGGGTGACATTATCCACTGAGCGGGACTCTACTGCAATGACACCCATAGGGATACCCCCAAGTCGCGCACGTCCGACAACGACCGTTCTTGCCCAGCCTCCAAGTGTCTCTTGGAATGAACCATTGTCAAAGAGACCCGAAAGGAAGCCTTCTTCATCTTCTTTACCGTGAATAAGCCATCTTACATCATATGTCTGCTTAGCAGGAGGAACAAAGGTAATATCACGGTCCCATGGGTCAGAGCTTGGCCGAATAGGAATTGGTGAGGCTTTGCGATCCGGGATGAAAGACATCCATTGGACAATTTTTTGCACGCCCTCAAAGTCGTCATTGGCAGTCATATGAGAAACACCATTCTTGTACATAATCTGAGTTCCACCAAGTTGCAAGTTAGAAGTATAAACCTCACGGCCAAGAAGCTTGTTGATTGCAGGTGCACCTGTCAGAATGATGGGCTGCCCTTCAACTTGAATAGCACGGTGACCAAGACGGACGAGATAAGCACCAATTCCAACAGAGCGGCAAGTAACTAGTGTAATGGTGAAAATATCTTCATAGGCCTTCGATGTGGCTCCAGCAATAAGACCAGAGCCTCTTAAGCACTCGACACCTAAGCCATCCTTGGCACCAATGATCGTAGTAATTTTGTATCTCTCTTCACCATCTTCGTGAACGAGCTCTGTAATAACGTCCTGTGCCTTCCTGTCGTCGAGTTGCTTCTTCACATCGGGGGTTAAGTAGAGGTACTTGAAACCAGCCTCTGGTTTTTCAGGGTTGTTCCAGGCAACAGAGAAGAGCGGCATTAATTCTTCCGCCATCCCAATACGAGCACCAGAGTTAGCGGACAAATAAATTCGTGGAATACCTAACTTTCTTGCAAGCTCAGTGCACTTGTTGAAGAATTTATCTTCCTGTGGTCCGAATGAACCAATCTGATATGTAATATCATTTGAAATAACAATAAAACGTCTACCACGAGGATATTCGGGAGTTCTCGCAGTGACAACCCATCCAACCATCCCATGGGAATTGGTACCAGGTTCCCGCGATACCTCAATCAGGTGATCGGAGTCATCTAGAACAAGCTCACTATAGTCAATGCACCCTCCATGAGGAGGTCGCTTATCAGCAAGGCTAGGTTGAGTAGCAATTGCATCTGCCCAAGCATTCTGGAAAGCTTGTCTGAAGAGCTCGGGGAAATCATATACATATTGGGTTCCCATTAGATGAGCCTTGTAACGTTTTGGCTGCAGCCATTCCTTTGTTGGGTATGGTGTGGTTACTGGACGAAGGTGCATGGATCCAATCTTGGTCGTCCCGCCAATACTATGAAACACCCATTCGCCCTTCTCAGATTTCCTCTCAACGTACATTTCGACTTGGATAATGTACCCTGACGTATTGGTGATGACGACACGGAGAGGAAATGCTAGGCTGGTGGAAGGATCAGTGCAGAGAATTCGAATTTCAGCGCCGGTTACACGTAGACGCCACAGTCTTCGACCGAATCGCTCTAGGAAGCCCGCAAGAGCTTGCTCCACGTCCGATGGCTGGAGCTGGAAAACAGGAGTGAAGTTGATGAAAATGTGGTTTAAATCGGAATTGTTGTTTCCAATGATTTCCAATGCATCAAGGATATCATTCATGAGGTTGTCAGCTTCAGAGATCAAGTACTCGGCGGTCGGTATATCATCACGCAGACGTCCTGGACGAACGACAGCGCGAGTAAAATAGCGTTTATCAGCGGCAGCTTCTTTGGCAGGACCCTTTCCAATAGCTTCATAAACATGAATATTCCTATTCTCTGTGAAAACAGGGCTAATGTTGAATTTAGATAGGCGTCCAAGCTCCAGCTGGAAGGCAAGCGCTGGCTCACTGTGACGAATGCTCTCATCCTCGTCATATGTTGGGCCTCTGAATGTGAAATATCCGGGGTATGTTCCATCTCCATGGCCGCAAACAAATGTGACTCTTCGAACACGCCGACAGCGCAATTCTTCTTGAAACCCGGACATGATCTTACTAAGACGCGAAACAACCTCTTTATCATCAAGTCCCTCCATATCGCGAACAGCGATATTGCAAACACCAATAAGATCATCATTCTCTATTCGTGGTTGAGGTTGAGGTTTGCGCTTGGCCGCCAAATCAAGAGCATTGTTGGAGCTAGATCTGTGTGTAGAATCAACACGTGGGAATACCTCCAACGCGCGAGAAAGCATCTCGTCAATTTCTTCAAAGTACTGCGCAGGAATTAGCACACCCTTTCGTGATGGCTCATTTTCCGTCCTGTTGACTAGATATGTCATGTCGCTAATGGAACCAATCTTTCTGAATGGATTGTTTTCAGTAGTGGGTGTGCTTGGAATGGAGGGATTGGTTGAGGCAGTATTCATACCAAACTCTGCCTGGGGAACCTTGCGGAGAATGAAATCCCAGGAAACAAAGAAAGGGGATTCCTGGTCGTTATGGTATTGAATACCTTGGAGGTCGTAGGCACGATAAGCCCGTCGGACATAAACTTCCAAGGCGGCCAATGATACCCACTGGTCCTGATGTCCAAAGAACAGAGGAAGTACGTCAAAAACAGTATACTTGGAGTCAACCACCTCCTTCAGCACATCTAGATCTGGCTCCCGATGGTCCCAGCCAGTCTCTCCGTATTTCGATTGGACAACGGAAGATCGAAGGATATGCTCCATTTGAGCCATACGCTCTTCCAGAGACGGCAATGCGCACTGAATGAGCAGCTCACGCGCTTTAAGGGCAACCTTGGAACAAGCTCTTGATTCAAGCTCCGCAAGTTTCTTTAGTATAGGCTTCAGATACTTACCAACACCAGGAGTGGTTGGCTTGTTAGGCCGATAGGTTTCAAGAATTGCCAGCACAAGGTTGTTTTTGCCGCCGACTTTGCTGTGGGAGAGGACTGTTTGAATGACATTGGTGATATCATCCTTATGCTCCTCTCGAAGACCCAGAATGACATCTTCATCCCGAGTATTTCGCTGGGCGAATAAATGTTCCACATTCCAGTATTGCTCCAACAAACTAGCAATCACATTGTACTCATGGACTCTTAGTCCTTCATTATAATCTTGAATGACTTGAACCAAAGGAGCAAGGGTTGTCTTGAGTGTCTCAACGTCGCCTGGGGCAACATTATCGTCCAGGAAACGCGTGAACGTTTTCATTAATTGAGCAGCCGGGAAGTCGAGCTTGCGAATTTTAGATTTCTCAATGACTTGCGTGAATTGCGCATCGAGCTTCTGAGGCATGCGAGAATGGAGGGCCGAAACATGAGCATTCCACTCTCCATATGGCAAATCAGGTTCCCGTAACACTTCTACGAGGTCTGAAAGAGTGGTAGACATAATCACTTGATTATCAAATCCGAGTAGAATGTCATGTAAAATGTTATGGAGTAATCTGAATCGCTGCGGGGGTTTTTTACCTACGACCTGTGGCATGCCCATTGCGGGTAATTGCCCAAGGAATGGCTGTGCATGTTTGACTCTAGACGGATCATCAAGGGTAAGAATGCCGAGAATATCACCAGCTTGTAGCGTCGCTCCGGGCTGTTTGATGAACTGAACAAGACCATCTTCTTGAGCAACTAGAGGCATGTATAACTTCATGACTTCAATGCCAGCAAAGACCTGGCCAGCTTTAACATGTTCTCCATTTTCAACGGTATAATGAACAAGTTTACCTGGGCTGGGTGTTCGAAGCTGAGTCGGATCGTTCTCTTGTTCAAGAAGACAGGTCTTTCCATCAACACTCAACCGTGTCGCAGCAGCCTCGTCTTTCCAGTAGACGTTATGACTCCGGCCGTTTAATAGCACAAGCAGGCCACCGTCAGCTAAAGCACGTACACCCACAAGGCATTTTGAGCCATTAATGAATAGGTGGTAGCTGTCCGTGCTAGCCCTAGTGGCCGTGAATTTGTACCGTGTGTCTTCATAAATAAAATCGATGGTAAACACTGTTTTCAGGACGTCTTTCGAAGGAACCTGGCCCTTCTCAATGCCTTTTTTGTATTCCGCAATGCATGATTCACTAGCAACGTGTGCACGAGTCACAGCCCCACAAATCACGGCCACGACAGGATCGGGGCGTTCCGCTGTTAATTTTTTGGTTATAAGTTCATCAAGCCAGCCTGTAGTAATGGTGTTATCTTCAAAGGCGGGTGTCTCTAGAAGCTTGATTAAATATTCAACTGTGGTACGGAAGTCACCTCGGATGCTAAGCTCTTTCAAAGCCATGACCATGTGTTTCCGAGACGCGGATCGGTTTTCTCCATAAGCAAAGATATGGCCAAATTGAGAATCAGAAAAGTTATGGATTCCACCAGACGTACCCACAGAGAAATATCCCCACACATTTGAGCTGCTGCGAAAGTTGAGTTCGTGCATTGTGCCGCTGGAGGGCTTGAATCCTTCACCTGGGTCTTCTGAAGTAATTCGACAAGCAGTTGTATGGCCTTTTGGCTGTGGGCGTCGCTGCGCTTTGATACTGTTTTCGTTAGAGAAATCGAAGTCGATTACGGAGCTAGTGTTTGGGTCTACACCATAGAGAAGGCGAATATCCCGAATGCGGTGCAACGGAATGCCCATGGCAATTTGAAGTTGAGCGGCTGGTAGATTAACACCAGTGACCATTTCAGTGGTTGGGTGTTCAACTTGTAGACGGGGATTTAACTCCAGAAAGTAAAATTTGTCGTCGGCGTGGGAATACAGATACTCGACAGTACCGGTTGACACATAGCCAACCAGTTTCCCGAGTCTTACTGCAGCGCGTTCCATTGCTTGAAAGGTGGTTGACTTTGCAATTGTGACAGGAGCCTCTTCTATGATCTTTTGGTGACGGCGCTGAACCGAACAGTCTCGACCGAAAAGAGAAATATTATTGCCGTACTGGTCGGCCAACAGTTGGACTTCCAGATGTCTAGCGTTTCCTGCCAATTTCATGATAAAAATCGGAGAGCCAGGAATCTCGCTGGCGGCAGCATTGTAAAGATCCACAAAATCTTCTTCCCTTTCGACTTTGCGAATGCCCTTTCCACCACCACCCTCAGACGCCTTTACCATGACCGGAAACCCAATAGCTTTGGCTTTCTCTAAGCCTTCCTTAGGAGAATGTGTGCATCCAAGATCATAGACATGATCTTCAACGGTTACGATGCCATTGTTGTCAATCTTTACTTCTTCGACGCCGGTACCTGACCAGGGTATGCAAGGTACTCCTGCGTGTTGCGCAACGATGGTTGACGAGATTTTATCACCAAGAGATCGCATAGCCGAACCAGGGGGGCCAATGAAGATAATCTTTTTAGGGGAGGCGGCTAAAGACTCGGGAAGCTTTGGGTTTTCGGAGGCATGACCCCTGCAAGCTGGTTAGAAAACGCGCCTATATGAAAGAGCAGTCCGATTCAACCCACCATCCAGCCCAAACAGCATGTACACCCATTCTCTCGGCAACGTCAACGATAAGCTCAACGTTCGCAAAATTGTTATTGTTGGTACCACCGGGAACCTAGAGGATTATCATCAAAATCCGTCCTGGCATTTGGTTTGAATTCGGGTTGGACGAACCTCAACGTATCGGTCAGCCATGCGGATATAGTCCGCATTTGCCTGGAGATCTTCCGGCGTGGCCATGACTGTGAACTGGATAGCGCGCTCATCACCAAATGTGTCGTAGGCCCATTTACGGACTGATCTGATTTCTTTGACAGCAGCAATACCATTGTTGGCAATTAAAACCTAAAATAAACATTTTGGAAGTTAGTAAGAGGATTAACACAGAAGGGGTAAATTTGAGAAGAGTCGCAAACTGGGCTGTACCGAAGTAATAACTGAATGGCCGTCATGCTGCGAAACAAAGTCCCTCACGGCACCTGGTGGCGCTGCATTTAAGCTATTGCCACCGATAAAATGTGAAGGAATGTTGTGCTGAGCAGCATAGGAGCTACCGCTACCATTGACGAGCTCCGGCATGATGAATGAACGATATCGACAACAACGCCAGCACGTGCTGCGTGTCCAGCGGTAGTGTGATCAGTGAAGCACGGTCTCCAGCTGGCCTCAAAAGTCCAGAGAAACAACAACACCAAGCCCGAATCAACACCGCAAAGCCCAACACGCTGCAATGCTCATGCGAAAAACAACTGAGATTTTTTTTTCCAGATTGTTTAAAAAAGCATGAATGAACAAGAGAAGAAGGTGAAAAGAAGTAGCTGCCTCCTGCAACCAAACCACCGGCGAAGAGAAGAGAGAAAGCAAGACGAGTCGAGGGAGTGGATGGTGGTCGGAGCAGAAGAAAGAGAGACGACGAGATCGAGATGGCCCGAATTGGGTTTGGTGGTTGAGACGGCGATGCGGCGGTCACGTAACAGCGTCACAATACCGGGCGTACTGTACGGCTTGTGCCTGGCGAGATGCGAGATGGCCGAAACGACGGCCGTTGGTTGGCTGGCAGGTCTATCTTACGTCATTTGGTTGTCGTCGCGAACGGGTTAATACGCGTGTACGGGAAAACATTTCAACAAAAATGTTGGTGTGAAAAGCCAGTCCGGGTATAAGAAACAACAGGAACCTGCTGTCTGGCTCGCCTACACACCCAGCGAGCTGGACAAGAGAGGCAATCGCCGCTCCTGAATCGGCACTTCGCCGTTTGTCCGTCGTACTCCGTACAGCTGCTTCGCCTGCAGGCTTCTCCTGACGCCGCCCACTACGGCCCCTTGGCGGGAACCTGGTGCTCCGAATGCACCCCTTCCAATGCCGACTCCGTCGCGCCCACGCCGAACTTGGGTCCGACAGCTGCAGCTTGGGGGCAGATGACTCGTATCGCCTGGCTCCGACGCTGGTGCTCTACGGAGTATTCCGTCTCTGTACGCTGCTGGCCGTCTCTCCCAGCACCGTCGCCCAACCCGCCCGCCAGCTTGTTGAGCATTGCTAGCTGTAATTTACGCCCCCCAGCATTCCACTCGCTGCCGGATCGCCCAGCGGGACCCACTCTTGTTGCTCAAAAGCCCATTTGCCGTGCGCTGATTGGCAAGAGCTTTCCCCTATTTCCACCCCAACAAAAACACTTTGCGGGTTGGGCTCCGACGCTAGCCGTAATGGGCCTAGTGTTGCCAGTGCGGCTGGAGCCTGCCAGCTGGATCTGATAAGGCACACGCGAGTGGCCGACCGAGGGGTTTGGAACTCGCCCACGGCCCTGGGAGTGCGATCTCTCCGGCCCGGCTGTCTTAGCCCATCTCCGTCCGATTCGGGGTTACTCCATAATCCTCCTGAGAAATAGCTTGAGCTTTAAACACTGCACAGTGATGCATAATACGGGGTATTCGGCACACAAATAACAAGCACGCTAGAAAATATTGTCCATATGAAATACAGCTGAGCCAGTACTGTCTACGGAGTACCGAGGAAGGGCTATCTAGCGCTGGAGAAATAAAATAAAATACTAAATGAAGGGTGTTGAGCAACATGCGAACCCAGGTGGTTTCGGCATAACATTCCTCCCAGCCCACTATCGGAGACCCGCTACTCCTGCTCGTACTACATACGGCCCGTGGGATTGCGTTATCGCCAATTAAATATCGGCGAAGGTGCGGCGTCCATATCGTATCGTTAAGAAAATAAAACAAAAGAAATAAAAATCCCAGTAGATGCCAGCCGTAAATATCATCGCGCCGTGAATATTGGCCCTAAAAAAAAGGCAGAATGATGCAAAGAAAACCGGACAAAGAAAGGAGTCGGCATTCTCAAAACTAGTATGTCTCTCCTAACTCGCTAACCTCAGCTGTCCGGTCCGGTAGTAACATTTCACCTTCTCGGCGACTTAAGCTTTGACTGATGCGCCGTCCGTGCGCTAGAATAGCTGCTGTAGATCCTGCACTCTGTCGCTTTTTGATGCCTGGCGCTGTTGGAATGCCTGATGCGGGGAATTCCCGTCCAGTGAGCACAGTGGGTCGTGGCGTCGGCGTGGATACATCTGCCTCATGCTCATGAATGTAGGACATATTGGTTGATGGATTGTAGTTACTGAGTGATGACCTCGGTCGTCTACTTTCGGCATCCGTCGTAGAGTGCGACGTTACCGATGCTCTGGAAAAACTCTGACGGCTCTCAGGACGCCGGAATGGGATAGGGCCGGAATTTTGACTCGTCGAATAACGACTGGAAACACTGGCGCGGCTGCTTGGTCGACTATCGATGGGCCGTGATCGTGGAGGCGCCGATTGCGGAATACTGAAGGAGGTCCGGCTTTGTGGTACGCGAGAGGGTGTGACTTCTCCATCCCTAAAACTGGTAATGCCGCCGCTCACCCGTTTTCTTGCATTTCTCATTGTCACGGTAGAAGGAAGATATGTCTGCCCTAAAATGGTACTCGCCCGAGGAGATACCTTAGGGGGTGTCCCTGCTGGAGCGGGAAGTCTTGATCTTGCAGAATGAACCCGTTCCTCAAGCTTTTGCATCTTCCCAATAAGTCCGCGGATCTGATATAACGAGCCAGATCTCGGTAACGAATTATTTGATGATGTAGTAGCCGTGCTAGAACGCCGGTAGTATAAGTTCGGCGTATTTCGGCCATTCTGCGCGGGGGCAGAGGGGCCGCGAGAGTGGCGTGGGCCTCGAGACTGTGGAGAAAATTTTTGGAAGGACTTTAATTCTGATATAGAGGTTCTCGGACGTGTCAAGGTTGGAGTTGCAGGCGTTTTGTAAATCGAAGTAGATTGTTCAGAGCACGGTGGTGAGGGGGGCGTAACGTCGTCAGAGTTAACAGAGGATATAGATTTTGTTATTGGGGTTGTGATGGATGGCGAGGACGCCGTAGTTGTTGCTGTTGTTGTTGGCGAGCGTTCCGCATAGATATTGGAAGTTGTTGATGAGATAGAGAAATCTCTGTTCCTCCTTCTTACAGTCGACTCGGCTTTGCGAAGCTTTTCTTGAGCGATGTGTGTCTCAACTTTCAAGTCAGATAGCTCGTCGCGTAGGCGCTGAGCATCGATTCGCAACGACTCTCGCTCCTTTTCTCCATGCTTAATCTCTTCTTCAAGGAGTACCCCCCGTTCGATTGCCACGTTGTACTTAGATTCTAGGTCCTCCAGCGAGGAGGTAGTATGACGAGCCTGCCGTTCAAAATCATCGTTTACCACCTCTATATCTCGTAGCTTTAACTGGAGGGTTCTGTTGGCTTCTCTTAGGGTCGTTACCTCCCTTTGGAGAGTATTCTGCGCCGAGTTGGCTTCCGACTTTGCCTGCTTGTACTTTGTCTACCAGACTCATGTCAGCTTCTTTCGCTGATTCGGGTATTATCTGTTCGACAAAATGGCTAGCTTTTACCTTCCACTCCTCTACCTCAAAACCTAAACTTTCAGCTTTCTCCTTTAACTTCCTTTCCCGCTTTTCAGAGGCTTCGATATCTTTCTCCAGCTCAGCTTCCAGCTCTCGACTGGAGGTTTGGAACTCGGCTAGTTCGACCTCCAGCTGCTCGTATTGCGCTTTGTAGTATGCGATAGCATCGTTGGGGGATTTTGAGTCATCCGGTAGCGAAGATATTGATTCGTCAGGCATTGCGATCAGTAAGACGTAGCTTGCGGGGATGTTAAGTATGCGACGTGGGATATACCGACGATAAGGCGCGATGGAGGGATATCGCTAGTACCGCAAAAAGCAGCCTAGCTCATAGGCCTCCTGGTTTTTGATGGGCTGTGGTCGTGAGAAAAGGGGATATGAAACAGTTATTGAAAGGGATGATGCCAGCGGATGTGCCCTGTAACTAATTACCCCGACAGCATGGAGTACAGCCACCCAGTCCAAGAGCTCTCCGCAGGCGGTGCAGCACTCAGATAACAACGCACACTGGGGTCCTACTTACCTAGCACTGCTAGCTACCTGTTGCCCATGGCTCGTTCCGTGGCGCGGTGTTCTTCCAGCATGCCTCGTCGTCAACGTCAGCCATGATGTTTTGGGTCTGTTGACACCCAATAGGCGGGGCTTACATAACCTGGGCGACGTGACAACGGCTCCAAGCTTAGAGCGGCCTAGCGCAAGCGGAGATCATAGTCACCTGACCTGCCCAGTCGAAAAAGGTTAAAACGCCAGTCTGGGTGACGTGCACATTACGAGCTACGTCTCGTCAAGCCAGCAATCCATCTGCATCGGACACCACATCCGCCTGTCGACTGGAATCAACTTTGGTAAGCCTTCTATTTCCACGCTTGTGCCTTAAGTGACTGGGCTTTTGTTGCTTGACTCCGCTTTTTGAACCGGTCAAGTATTCGCGGGCTCTACATACTTGCGTACTTCCTTTGTTTAGACCTGCTCTCTGTTGAACCACTATCACCACGCACGATGCTTAACTCCCTACTTCGTGAACCTTGAGAAACCAATTGTGCTTGTTTCATTGCTCTTTTCGACTTCTGTCCCAATTTCCTTGCATCATGCTAACTAGCTTAAGAAAGCGCTGTCCTGTCTCGCGGGGTGGCCGACGACGGCAGCATGGCAGACACAACCGATTTGAGCCTTGATGCTCCCAGTGACCTCCAGGATATTGCCGATATCTCAATGGATTTGCTTCCACCTCCAGAAGGCACGTACCCTGACCGCGCAACTCTACTGGCTTCTGTACAGGCACATGGCAAAGCGCATGGATATAATGTGGTGGTCAAGTCATCGAGTACCCCAACAGAGAAGAAACCAGGCCGTACAGCCAAAGTATGGCTACGATGTGACCGCGGTGGCCAATACAGGCCGCGGAACGGCCTTACCGAGGAAACTCGCAAACGAAAACGAACCTCCCGTCTTATGGACTGCCCATTCATGATGGTTGCCGCGGGAAATCCGGGCATATGGACGCTTACGGTACTGAACCCTACTCATAACCACGGTCCTGTCACCGAAAAGCCACGACCTGCTCCCCAAAGCCGGGTAAAAAAAGGTCAAATTAATGCTATTCCTTATGATTGGCCACACGATGCTACTTTTACCCCGTTCACCACCGCACTAGTTGTTATTGATATGCAACGCGATTGTATGTGCAATGTAATGTATAGAACATGGGATGAGAAAGAACTAATTCACCCAATCATAGTTTGTTCACCTGGCGGATATATGGAGTATCAGGGTTATGATATCAGCGGCACCCAAATTCTTGTGCCGAGATTGCAGCGGCTGTTGAATGCATTTAGACATGGTGGATTTCCAGTCTACCATACTCGCGAAGGTATACACTCACCATATATAAGGCATATTCTATTGCGTAAGTTCGCTGAGAATACTAGGCCATCGTCGCGACCTTTCCACTCTCTCCACTCGCGAAAGTTTTAGATCTTGCAACAATCCCTCCGGTCTGGGGATCGGCGCAGATGGGCCTCTTGGCAAATTCTTAATACGCGGAGAACCGGGACATGATACTATAGCCGAGCTCTATCCTATCCCCGGTGAGCCGGTAATCGATAAACCTGGCCGTGGAGCTTTTATGCACACGGATTTCGAGCTCCTTCTGCGAAATAAAGGCATCAAAAATCTGGTTCTTGTTGGCCTCATGACAGACGTGGCAGTGTCAACAATCATGAGGGAGGCAAATGATCGCGGGTTTGACTGCCTCCTTGTAGAAGATGGGACAATGGCTCATGAGCCGAATTCCCCGCTGGCTGTTTGCGAGTCCGTGAAGAAAGAAGGGGGCATTCTTGGCGCTGTTGGCAAACTTGGCGACGTGGTTCGGGCTGTGGAAAATTTTAGATCGACAACCGTTAAAAGGCTTGCGCCGCAAATGACTGGTGTGTCATGAAATTTCCATATTTGTCGCCGTTGGTAAACAGCACAATTTCTTGCGATGAAATAATGAGGCGTTTGAACGGTTTGGATCATCAATCGTGAAATTTTATCGTCCTCTTGGTTATTGAAACATTATTCTGTAAAATAGTAATTTTGTTTCTCCTCGCCCATGCTCTTGAATTGATTTTACCATTGTTGAACTTGAGATTGTTTGAGTGAATTGCACCCGCATTTGGCATATGTATGCGAACGCGACACATTCCTCGAGCTATAGCCATTTCTTCCCTGCCGCCAATACTTTATTCCGAAAGACAGGGCTGGTAATTTCCATGCCTCTTCCATAAAATGGACTCATCACTGTTTTTACCCAATTCTCGTATATTTCGTTCATAAATTGTCGTATAGCCTCTTCGGTCTGTGGAGATGTAGGATTATTTGCAATGGATGAAGACGATGCGCGGCCGCCACCCGAGAGAGCATTGGATGATGAAGGAAGTAGCGGTTGGTGGAGAAGAATGAATCGTACACCGGTACCGGTTAAGAAAGCAGAGACGTATGCTGAAGCAGGAGGATAGGTGTCAACATGCTTCAAGTACCTAACGCATGAATGAAATAGCAGTTAGCTAGCCATACAGGAAAGTCAAGAAGGAAAGGAGCAGTCGCATACATGGCACCGTTGGTCCATTGTACCTCCTCCACGATATCTAGACTAGCATGAACAATGAATTGATTCATGTACTGCGCGTTATCAGGGAAACGGAATCTTGAGGCCCCATCACCACCGGTCTTCGAGGTGCCAAACTCTTGACTAAAAAGCGGAGCGTCAGTGGGAGATAGAATGGTAAAGTAATAAGACATGTTCGACGTAGATGCTTGAGTATTTGAAGTTCTGAGATAATTAGCAAGAAAGGTGTGCACTGCTTGATTGCGCTGCTCGTTAAACTTGGACGAGGGCGCGCTGTAGAGAGTGGTGTGGTCTTTGGGCCAGGAGCTATTGCGGAGAAACGATGTTGGGCCTGGCCACACTAGTTTCACAGGCAGGAAATCGGAATTTTGTAGGTCCGAGGTGTGGATCCTGCTGCTGCTTTGGTTAGTTGCCGCTTTTTGCGCCTGGAATCACTTTCATCCATTTGGCAAAGATAATATTGAAGATGCCGCCGCCCACACTCTCATATGGACTTAATCTTGCTTCGAATAAAAGGCCCTCCGCAGCCTCCAAAGAACCGCTAGCGACGAAGAAGCGAAAAAAGACCATCTTTGATTCCGATTCCGAAAGTGACGATGGGACCTTACAATCAACCGCTCATGAAGAGATCACAACCCTCGGTGGGCTGGTTTCCCCAAACAGTCAACCGCAAGCCGAGCCAACCTCGAAGAGGCATCAAAAGACAACCCAGAGCAATACTTTTCAAGATATATTAGGGAAAAAAGATAAAGACTACACCAACCTCTCCTCTCTTCATAGCAGCAATAAATATTCGAAGACCGCTACTTCCGTTGATTCCGGGATTTATGAATATGACTCCGTCTATGACTCCATCCACTCTAAGCCCGCTAAACCTGAATCTCCCACCACAACTGCTCCTTCGGGTCCAAAATACATGACGTCTTTACTTCGAAGTGCTGAAGTGCGCAAGCGTGATCAACTCCGTGCGCGTGACAAGCTACTAGCTCGTGAGCGTGAAGCCGAGGGCGATGAGTTTGCTGATAAAGAGAAATTTGTCACAGCCGCGTATAAAGCGCAGCAGGAAGAGGTGAAGCGAATTGAAGCCGAAGAGGCTGTTAGAGAAAAAGAGGAAGAAGCAAGGAGAAAAAAGGGCCTTGGTATGATGGGATTTTATAAAGATATGCTAGAGAGGGATGGGCGAAGACACGAAGAAGCGGTTAAAGCTGCAGGAGATGCAGTGAAAAACAAAGATAAAGTACAAGATAAAGCCAAAGAAGAAGACGAAGAAAAGTCCTCAGCACAGGTTGCCGCGGAGCTTAATTCGCGAGGCGCTAACATCATTGTTAACGATGAAGGAGAAGTGGTTGATAAACGGCAGCTACTTTCTGCCGGATTAAATGTTGCCACTAAGCCCAAGTCAAAAGTTATACCGGCCCAATCAAATGCTGAATCACGCGAGCAGCAGCTACAAGGAAGTCGCTTTGGGCAGACACCATCTGCCCGCTCACAGCAGCGAGCTCGCCAGACCGAAATGGTGACTGCACAGCTGGAGGAGAGGATGCGCAAAGAACAAGAGGAGGAAGAAGCTCGAGCGAAGGAGTTGGTAGAGAAGACTAAAAGCAAGAAGACAGACAGTGACGTGATGAGTGCCAGGGAGCGTTATCTTGCTCGAAAGAGAGAGAGAGAACAAGCCAAATCTTAGAAAAGGTAGGTAATCTAGGAATTTTGTCGATCTTTATGGAGCCCCTATTTTGCATAGCCGGTGTGTGGACGAATGGAGGCAGCAAATATCCTTCAGTGATTATATCATCGGGTCACTGACAAATATCACTACTATTTTCGATTCCTTGACGATATCAATACGGAGTGCTCAGGTTTCAAGGCAGCAAAAAGAAAAAGAGAAAATATTTCATAGGCATGGCAGAGCTGTCTTATCTATCAATCTAAAATGGACGCAAGTGATCCAACTATACAGAGCAAAATCTAATCGCCAACGCTTGCAGAGTAGTATAACACCAATTCATATACTATTTAGGCCGTCAGAGCAAAGCTTAGCCCTAAAATTCCCATGCCAGCAATTGCGAATCCGATACAAAGATTCTGATTATGTGACAGTACAAGTCCCTCTGAAAACAGCTGAAGAGCAACATTAGTCATCACACCAGCTGTCGCAGCAAACATCCCTCCGTATACAGCCCAAGACACGCCGTCAGGGTCGTCCGTATCTCCTCTATCACGCGCGTTGCTTCTCTGAACGCCCCAGATCCACAGCGCGGCTAATCCTGCTCCCGCGGGTTGACTAACACCCCCCAGAAGGCTGGACCAAAAAACCGCTCTCAATCTAGACCTCAGGGCCAAGAAAAGTGGAAGGGCCATCGCAAAGCCTTCCGTGATATTATGGACAGAAAGGGCAACAAAAACAGACCACCCCAGCGTGGGATTTGTATGGTTTGTAGCGTATGTGATGAATCCTTCAGGAAGCTTATGAAGAGCGATAGCGAGTGACGTCTGTAACCCAATCGACAGGAATGCGTTTTGGGGAACGTGGTGGTGATGATTCTTCGCTTGGTGAGGCAGAGCAGTGGAGCTTTCATTAAGGGAGGGTCGGTTGGTATCCGTAACTCTTCTGTTTTGGGCGGTAGGTGGAAGGGCATCGTCAGATACAGTTTCGAACATGATAGATGGTGAACTGCGAGTTCCAAGATCATCGGGCGGGAACTGTTGTATAGGGAAGGATGGTGTTGTAGCTTCTGACAAGCTCGATCCTTCGGTTGGTAACGGGGTAGGAAGGCTATGGTGCTGAACCATAGTGGGCCTTATGGATCCCTCCGGATCCTTGTGATGGCTTATTTTCAAGCATTCTTGGCCGCAAGCTTGAGAAAGACCATAACACGGGCCATTTTTGTCACACATTGTCTTCCGCACACCTACAATGCCACTGATACGTCGTGAAAAAAATGATTTGACTGAGGAGACACGATTTTTTGGTAGCTGTGCATTTTCCTCATGCGATGAGGGGTGTTGGGGCTGTGACGCCATGGAATCACTAGCTGCAGGGGTCGATAATAAGGGGGTTTGCTCCGTGGATTGTTCAAGGGTGGCAGAACAAGAATTTACTAGGCCAGGCGCGCATTCAATGTCATGAATGTCATTGTTCATATGGTCATTGTTTTCTTCATGGGAATGCGCACATGCCACCACATGGGAAGGAATATGCTGGTGTATAAAGCCTGACACCACTTTGATCCCCACCACACCAAGGAGAAACAGCCCTATCAACATAAAAGCTGCAATGCCGGAGGAATAACCAGCACGGGTAAGGTAGTCCCTGGAGGTTGGGAGCATGCTATATAGTGAAGTGAAAAGCTGCACTCCGTATATGCTGTTAGAATGATGGGCAAATCAAAACCTGATCCATCTCACGCACCAAGACACCGGCACTTAAGCTCATAGAGGACGCGAGAAAAACATCGTTCTCAACAATCTGAAATTTCCTCTTCCCTAAACACAATGGCGCGACAACATCCACGCATATGATCAACGAGCCGAGTACACAAGCTACCAGAGACTCTTAGTGCCGGCCCATGAAAAGAACCACGGGTAAAACGCACCTATACCACTAACACAGCTCATAATCCATCCTCGAGTGTCGTTGCCGAGATCCAACCCGGTAGGCAGCGCCATTGAAACCGCAATAGAATCTCGCATAGAGCTAACTGGCAGAGAAGCGGCACCATAAACGTTAGAGCATGTATGTATATACGAAGTACTAACGTCAGAGATATCCACCCGGGTCACGTAAACGAGTGGAAGAGTCAAAGCTACTGCGATTTGGAAGAGCGGGAGGGAGTACGGAGCAGTGGCGGCAGAGAGACTGCCTGAAACGCCGTGGTTGCAGTTTCGGCGAGGCTGTATGCCGGCGAGGGGCGTTCGGGCGACAGTCAAGTGGGCCTCTTGCCCGAAAGAGCTAGCGAGCCCACAAGGTCCCCGCGGGGAAGACGCCGGCGCTATCACTGGATTAGTAATCAGATTATGCAAGGAGCGCTGATTGGTCAAGGCTCTAGCGCAAGGAACCGACTCTGATTGGCCGCCTCGCGTCGCGCTTTTTCTGCTGCAAAGCTAAGCGCGTGAGGTCGACACGACGACGACGACGACGGCAGGGTTGTTGCAGCTGCGGTAGCCAGGAGATCTCAGCAGACAGCGCCGGGGAATTTGTGCCACCTGTCTCTGGGTACATGACCCGCTTACATTCTTTCCAACACCCCACTCGTTCTTGACCGTTATGTCCAAGGCAACCTTCGCCCTGATCGCTGCGGCTGGCGCTGCTACCGGCGCTGGCATCACCGCACTTGTCTATTCAGCCAAGACCTCTCGCCAGCAGCAGTTGGCGCCCTCTGCTCCTCCAACATTAACAAAACCTCCCAGCCCTGCCGCTGTCCCCCGCCCGTCCGCCCCGCAGCTCCCCTCCCGGCTTCAGTCGCCCGTCGACCCTGCCGGCCTCTTCCAGTACGGGTTTCCCGGCCCCATCGCAGATAATGTGAATAGCCTTCCTCTCGCAAGCGCATACGACAGACGCACGCGTAATCCTTCCTGGGTGGCAGAGCACATCACAACCGAATCCCTTAAGCTCAACAGTGGGGATCGGAAACACAGCAACTTTTACGAGGAACAGAGTATCCCACCCATGTTTCGCGCCAAACTGAGTGACTATTTTCGTTCGGGATACGACCGTGGTCACCAGGTTCCCGCGGCAGATGCCAAATGGAGCCAGGAGGCCATGGACTCAACATTCTCGTTGGCAAATATGTGCCCACAAGTGGGCGAGGGCTTCAACCGTGACTACTGGGCGCATTTCGAGGAGTTTTGTCGTGGATTGACAAGAAAGTATCCTTCCGTCCGGGTAGTGACAGGCCCTTTATATTTACCTAAGAAAGATCCAGCGGATGGGAAGTGGAGGGTTTCCTACGAAGTCATTGGAAACCCACCAAACGTTGCCGTTCCGACTCATTTCTACAAAGTTATCTTTGCAGAAGACGGGAAGACCGGAGGAAATGTTAGCCTAGGCGCATTTGTCCTACCAAACGCCAGGATTCCAAACGAAAAGAGCCTGGCTGATTTCGAGGTTCCCTTGGAGGCGATTGAGCGAGCTAGCGGCTTGGAGTTTGCCTCACAATTAACTACGAACAGAAAGAAACGTTTATGTCAGGAAATAAAATGCGAGATTACGGTGCGAGAGTTCAACAAAGTAAGCAATAAAAAGGCGTTGTCATCGTCATAAACGTTTGGCATTATATGGTGTTGTCTGTGTTTTTGTATGTAGTACATCTCGGGATATGATTTTGATTATAGTGTATCATATGATGGAGACTTGATCAACCAGGCTCCATTGCCGGTGTAGTATATAAGCACGCTGTCGTCAGCATTGAAACGCCGTGCCAGCTTTTTTTGCGAAATTCGTTCCTCCCCCCGCAAATCCGGTGCCTTCGCTGCTGATCTCGACAAGGCCCGGCCGTATTTTATCCTTGTCCTTATGTTTCTTACTTTCCTTTTTCAGCTTTTCCTCTGTGATGTCTGTTTCGCAAACATAACAGAGCATTTTGCCATAGAGCTCAGCCTCCTCTGAATTTTTCGCATGCGGATCGGGATCTTTATGTGGCGTCATGAATTTATCTACACATGGCTTGCAGATAACATGCCCGCAGGGTTTTGTCACTAGATGTGTAAGCTACAGCGACGACCTTTATCCCAATTGCTACTTACGCATTGCCTTGACGCCATTGCTTAATGCTCGTTTACATGACGGACATATCCGCACCATTTCATCGGATTTTTCATCCTTCTCTTCTGTGAAATTCACTGTGACGAGGGACTTGAGGGCGTATCCGTGCTTGTTTGTAGGGGTAGATGCGGGACAAATAGGGCTGAGTTTCGCAGGTTTCGAGTCCCCTGCACCATTTTCTGTACTTGGTGTTAACGCAGGAATCCAGAAAGAAGGCATTTGTGGTTTTGAGGACTCGCTCTGGAGCATCAATTCTCATTAATATCCAATTTAGGTAGACAGAGGCTCCAGTAGTTACCCTTTCCAACTCAATCTGCTTCCTAACTCTGTCCCTCTCCTCGCTCGCGATGCGTTTTAGTTCCGATTCATCCAGCTGAAATCCCTTTTTTTTCTTAGCAGACGGCTCTTGGGTGTTATCCATGTTTCCCCCTCTGGCATGATCTCGATCGTGGAGCTTTCTCTTCCGATCCTCGAGGCCTATGCTTATCATCTCAAACTCTCTCAACTCCCTCTCCTTAGCTTCTTCCAATATCCGCTTCTCATTTTCCTCATTTTCCTGTTTCTCCAATTGTCTCTCTTTTTCTAATCGTTTGATTTCCTTTCTTTGCGCAAGGAGGTCATTGACGGCACATTCTCGGCAAAACAAATCGCCATTCGTGGCACATGCAACTACCGGCGCGCGAGCTGGAAGAAGACAGAGTCTGCAAGACGAAAATGGAAGAAACGATTCTCGTGATAGTCTGGCACTTTGGGTTCCCCAGGTGGACCGGAGAAGAGACCGTTCATAAGAGGTGAAATGGGGAAGAGAAGTGTTGCGTTTCGAGTGTGCCATTGGAGCTGTATCTAATATCACAGATTTCACCCCCAGGTGCCGTAGCAGGAGCAATACTACCTTTTTACGGCTTTGAACATTCTGAACTTCGGGGAAGCTTCGAACTACGGTGTACAATATCGAGGTGTGGAGTACATACGAAAGGATCATCATTGTCCCGATCCGCCGGCCGCAATTCTCCTGCGGCATTGTATGGAACTACTCCGTCATTCGTCGCAGGTTCTGGGGAATAAAATATGTCGTTCTAACACGAAGTCATTGGCAATGTGGCTATATTACGAAGATAATTAATATGGTAGTAGTTACGACACAATGTAGCAGCTGGAAGTGGTAAAGTCATATCATATTCAAATAGATTTTCAATGTCAAGTCTAGTCATAAATCCAGCTAGTAATGATCTAACCATTAACAAGTTGATAGGTATGTTCTAATGCTTCCGTTAGTCAAGGAGTTTATATAAGCGTCGAGACGATATGAAGTAGGTATGGGAATGATCAGGTCTCCAAGGTGAATGTTGTTCTTCAAGGTAGAACTCAGTGATAGAACAATAATCAAGAGTTCATCATACTTGACAAAAAAGGTTGAGTTGATGGTAAAGCACGGAAATAGCACAGAAGTCCACGTACCGGACATACACAACTACAATAATACCAAGTTACGATCGGTCCTACCTAATGATATTGTCAGTTTCATTCAAACCAAACAATTTCAAGATATCCATGTAGAAGTAGGACAAGTAATATCATCTAAATGTCAGGCTTTTCAGCCCCCTCGTTAGCTTCGTAATATAGGTGAGAAGTAAGAATATTTAGCATACCTCATTAAATCAGAATTTTCAGTGTTATAAGTTCATACCCCAACAATTATGCCAGGATCAAACAGTGTGAATAATGTTCATCATAGAAAAAGATGATATGCGGTGTAGAAAGATGTCTAATTAGAAGATTTGCACCGTACCTAATCGTGAGAAAAGTGTCAGCACATCAATCGTGGGGGCCTAATGCATAATGTTACAAATGAAGCGATGCCACAATCAGCTGACGAGATCTCAACAAGCCTCCCAACTACCTATCAGCTGCAGGATTGTACAGTCTGCGTTTAATGCATGACAGAAGAAGAGGGCACTCTGTCCGCCCGTTCGTTCAAGTGTTCCTCATGAAAGAGCATATAGTGCTGAGAGTATTCAGGGCGGCAAAAATTCCAAGTCATACCTAAAGGGACAGAGAACGTTAGTCAAGTCCAGACACGGTCATTCAAGAGTTGCAGTGGGCAACATAGTGAGAGAGGCATTGAAGCAAAAGCAACAAGGCTCTGATCAGACAAGGCTGAAACTTTATAACATGACATATTCCACATGGAGATTAAGCTTGAGGAATGCCTTTGCATGTCGTAGTGGTCATCATCGTAAAGGTAAAGAGAACCCCAGTAGAAATTCGTACCTTTTGATAATGAGTTTTGTTTATAAATGGCAGCGGGAGTATAGCGGCTACAAATAAACTACTATTGTCGTATTAGTTAACAGCTTCTTCATGGTGCAGTTGTTGAAGAAAACATAAGTGAGGTCGGATCAGGTATAAAAAAGTCAAGTCCGTCACGAAGGGTAGGATTTGGATTGTTCATGAAGCAAGTACTCATCAAGAAGGTCTGTAAAAACAACAGATCAAGTGAGACATACCTTATAAAACAAAAGCTATCAAGACCTCCGTCTGCTATATTGAATGGTATGAAGTGCAAAAGAGAGCAAGAGGGGGTCGACATCTTAAGACATTGAGCTTTTAAGGGAGAGAGACGAGATTTTTGTGTGGAAGAAAATTTAAAGAGGTTAATACGGCGGGTGGCAAAGCCGTTGGTGCAAAATCTCTGACTAAGCAGCAAGCCCCTCAAACATGCAAACATGATGGACGTACGAAGTACGGAGTACAGCAGAGCACCATTATTGATACTCGGAAAATACATTGGAACATACATTTTAAATTCATTTATCTACATACGTCGATACAATGCCAAAAGGTTGGTAGAATCTTCATCGTACTAAATACACGAAATCAAAAAAAAAAAAAAAAAAACATATGGGTATTACATATATCGAGGTGTCCCCCCTGCCTCATAACTCTCCCCACATAGCACTGCGGCATTTTCAGGAGAAAACCAGAATCGATAGTCAGAATGTTGACTGTTTACAGCATAATCGCGACGCCGAGGAGACCGGCTACACCGGCAAAACTGGCAGCAATAGCGCCTGTGGCACGAGGAGCAATGTTACCCGATGCTCGAGCAGGTGTATTGCTTTGGCTAGGATTGCTGGTAGGTCGGGAGGCAGAGCCGCCCGTTTGGCTAGAGCTGCCCGTCGGGGTAAAACCGCCGATTTGGTTGAGGTAGGATTTCACATCGGATGGAAGATTATTATACCAGGAGGGAGTATTTCCTGCCTTGAGGCTGCTGTGCAGTTCGCTGTTGAAATTAAGAGCGTTGGTAGGATTGGCTTCGATGCTGCTGCGGACACCTGGGGGAATGGCAGTTGCGAGAACAGATATGATGCCAGATGGCGGGAGGAAATTGCTGAGGCTCTTGAGATCATGGGCGATGCCTGCAAGGTCTGATGGTAGGGCGGTAGCCAGTCCACCAACAAGAGATTTTCTGATCAGTGAGTCACAATGAGCACGCGCGGACATGTCTAGGAGATTGTTGCTACCTACAGATCATTGAGATCATCGCGCTTTTGCTGTGCCTCAGGGGTAGCGAGTGCCGTAGCAGTAAGGAAGAAAAATGCAAGAGATTTGAACTGCATGATTGATAGATGGTTGGAGGGTATCAAGGTTGGAACACTCGCGGATGATGCTCTGCAGATGCTATTCTGTATTAAAATTTCTAATGTAGGTAAGAAAGAGGGGTATTATTGAAAGTATTCTGAAGTGACTGAAGAGTCAATTGGGGCCGAAACAAAAGGAAATAGCCGTCCCCTTGCTCATTTATGTATACTGGCCGAGAGCCTTAGGGGGCCGCGGCTTAAGGTTTGCCTGGTATCCGAACCCGAAACTAGAGCACACAGCGAGGCGATTCTCGGTGTAAGCCACCCTCGCCTTGTCTCTGCACCCTTCCAATCACCCTGGGCTGGTGGAGCCATCTAAAGGATCCCTTGTTTGATTCCACTTCGTATTTCATCGTTGGATGTCTCGTGGCCAGGCCGCGGCTCTCGCTTGGTGTCAGCTGTGGCTCACTCTGGAGCACAGATCTAGCAGCTCTTGTCGCTGGGGAGGGCTGTGCTGGAACCGAAAAAAACCAGCCGTTCAATTCGTAGGGCATTGGCGGGTGGTGCCCATGGTGGTCCCCAAGGCGAAACGTCGTGGCTGAAGGGTCCTAAACCCCAAACCTTACTCAAAATTGACCATTCCTGACAGTTGAGTTTGGTATCCTGTGGCCGAAGGATGTTTGAGGCTAGTGTTTGACCAGGTGGTGTGTCGCCTGCATGCACACATCTCTGGGGGGGGGGCCTGGTGGAATGCTTGCACACTTCAAAGCCGCTCAATTAAAGGAGAACACATCCTTATACCAAGAAGGATAGCCCCAGAAACAGACATGGGCGAGTGTTTTTTGTCGCCCAATTCCTCTCCTGCAGCAGCATGACTATATTCTTGACGGCGCACCGCGCAACTGAATTGATGTCATAGACCATAAATACACTGCCCCCTTCCAGGCAACAGCGAAAATATGCCAGCAGCAAAACGGCCCCCACCGCAAGGAGTGGACGGGGAGAAGTCCGCCCAGACTTTGCCTCAGCTCGCCAAGCTGCCGATGCTTGGGACGCCGGTCCTCTCCGTTGCACCGCCGGCGAAATAGAACCTACATACTCTGGGTATACTGTCCATAATGAGCTGATAAGCCACACGGCCAAGGCAAAGTCTGTGGCTACTAGGAACGGTTTGGTAACTTAAACAACGATAGGATTCAGGTTGGGGCGCGGGGAATCGATAGCGGAGCAGCTTCGAACTTGCCAGACGGTGACCGCCTCCCTGCTGTGGACATGCTGAGGCATGGCATATGTAACTAGTAGTTATGTAGGCTCCCGCTCTTGAACATATAAATTTAGTCACTTGGGGTCGACTTTTAAGATATCCACCTTGACAGGGTATTGATTGCTTTGCCCTTTTCCTTCAATGTCATGCTGGTCTAATTTGCAGCTGTTAGCCATCGAGCTGGGCAGAAGGCTTGGATCGGGGCATTATAAATATGATAGTTTGTGCTCTCACACAGAGCCAAAAGTACTTTTAGCACACTGATTTATACTCTGCATCGATCAATGCGCCATAACCCTTTAACGATTTTTAGGATACCTAGGCCAGGCATCCACGGGCAACTGGCTACAGTGGTTCACAGTGCACAAAAAGCTGGATAATACCCGCACGTTCTTGCTAATACCTTAAACAAAACCTGGCAGTCCCTTTTGAACCAATTGTATTGCTGCATTAGGTTGCTGAAAGGTTACAACTTTACCAACTTGGCTACCAATTTCTGACGTTATCTGTACCCCCATACTCCGTGGGTCCATATACAGAGTAGATAGCCCGAGCTGTATTTAGTAGATGCACCATTCTGCCGTCTTCCTTTTTCTTTTATTCTCTTATCGGCTGATTAATTGTATTTGAAATTCTACCTCTTCATAATGACTACACGCCACACACATTTCAAGCTAAACACTGGGCAAGAAATCCCAGCTATAGGATTTGGAACATGGCAAGATGAAAAGGCACAAGAGGACGCAGTTGTAACAGCAATTGCTGCTGGATATCGTCATATTGATACTGCTGCGATGTGAGTACATACGATTTGCAGGTGCACTGGTAGAAATCTGTAGGGGGATGGAAGGTTAATGTTGAATGGACAGATACGGAACTGAGAAGGCAATTGGGAGAGCCCTTCAGCGGGCTGGTGTTCCCGGCGATCAACTCTTCATTACCAGCAAACTGTGGAATAACAAACATGACCCAGCTGACGTAGAGACGGCGATTGATCAATCACTAAAGAATCTGGGTGTTGATCACCTCGATTTGTACCTTATGCATTGGCCTGCGGCATTTGCTTCTGGAGACGAAAATTTCCCAAAAGATGCCCAAGGAAATTCCAAGAATGCAAACATTGACTATGTTGATGTATGTCATGGCGACTCCGATGCAATACTCGAGTTCGTGCTAATAAAAATGATCACCGTGCTAGACGTATAAAGCCATGGAGAAACTGGTAAAATCCGGTAAAACGAAGGCGATTGGGGTGTCCAATTTCTCCAAAGCAGAAATGGAACGGCTGCTTAAGGAATGCTCGGTTGTTCCCGCTGTCCACCAGTTGGAAGTGCATCCTTGGCTTCAGCAAAAGGATTTTGTCGAATGGCACAAGAGCAAAGGCATCCACGTCACACAGTATTCATCCCTCGGTAACCAGAACGAGATTTACGTGGGACATCAGAAGTTTGGAAAACTGATTGAAGACTCTGTTCTCGTGCAGATTGCAAAGAAGCACGAGCGCACAGGGGCACAGGTAGCACTTGGTATGTGTATTCAACGCCAAGCCCATGAAATATCTTTTCCATTTGAGATGCTCCACTAACGGAAGGAATAACATGCAGCATGGGGAATCAATAAGGGCCACTCGGTATTGGTGAAATCGAAAACACCGGATCGTATCAAACAAAACTTCGCATCAGACTTTAAGCTAGATGCAGAGGACATGCAGGCCATCGCGGCAATAGACAAAAAGCTTCGCTTCAACGATCCTAGCAAGCCCTTTAAGTATGAGTTTTACACGGACTTGGACGGAAAGCAGAAGTAGTGGGAATTGTGTAATGGGACGTGGGGTCAGCTTAATGTTTTTCGGATTGTTTCGATAACGTCGCTCCCTTAGCAGCTGATGCCTAAATTCGAATGTAACATGTAATGTGCATCGCAAGTACCGGAATAGGAGGTCGAAAATGCATTCGTGCTTAATGGTATGGAAGCGTGATGAGTTTGACTTTGGCTCTAAACAATCTTAAAGCGCCGAGAATGACATATTAAGGCAAGATGACCGAGCGGTTAAGGTGGTAGACTCAAGTAAGCACGGACAACCGTGCCCTTCAGCCCTCAAACGGCTGTGAATTCTACTGGGGAAACCCGCCAGGGTTCGAATCCCTGTCTTGTCAAGATTCTTTTTTTTTTTCAAACCCTCCCAAATCAACTCAATATTTTTGTAAATACTATTGACTAATTAAGTGAATCGCTTGTCTATTTAGTTACATGTCCCTGCGTCGGCCTTGTCTTCAAAAAAGCGTTGTCTTCCATCACGATCCGGGCCAACTGGACGAGGCGATGGCTCAATCATCAACGGACCTCAAGGTGCAAGGTACCGGTAGCCTTAACTTATCATGCAACTCACGCTCCCCCGAATAGCCTCTGCTTGTGAGTATTCTGATATTCCTCTAAGCTAAATTCACCGTCATGCAGCTGATCGCTGTCCGGGTCCCCCGCCCACACAAATACCCGGCAGCTCTCGATGCTGCCGTCATCCATCTCCACGTCGCGTGCACACCACGTATACGCAGGTGTTTCGTATTTCTCAAGCCGCTCAAAGTGATCTGGCTGCTCCACTGGGTATACCAGGCCGTGGACTTCTGAACCCTCATGGGGAACCAAGGTGGGGTAGATATGCCACATCTTCATCTTGTAGTTTCGCAGCTTGGCGGCACGGAGAGGGGGAGGGGGTGCTGGGAGATCGAGGACGATTTGGATAACGTCGGTATCCATGAGGGAGCCGTAGACAAAAAGTGGTTCAGGAGACGTCCGGGGCGATGGCCTGCCAGGTTTCTCAGGCGGCTGGACTTCGGAGCCGTTCGTATGCGTAGCGTCCATCGGTCCAATATATAAGATAGTTGCAATTTTATTCTTCCTAGCTAAAAAAGTGATTCAAATTCAACATATGTTAGAAAGCATTTGCGCTATTGTTGACTAGATACCACCGCTAGTTCCTTAACTCCCTACGGAGTACTCCGTACAGAAGCTAGTTATGTATCAGTGACTCGCAGGGATGACATTCGCAAGTTCGCAACCAATAAATACTTAAGAAAAAGCGAAGATCCCACAGGCGCGACTCGTTACAACATAAAAAGCGCTCCTATCCCCTCGGTCTTTCGTATGATAAATGACAGCGAAATCACATAAGCCTGGCACACCAAGAATACATAGCACCCTATTTAGATTACGCAGCGCATGAGCCTGGCTCCGACAAAATTCTTGTTAGTAAATGCCTAGGCGCCAGCGCCATTTGAAAGCAAAGAAATTGATGGGCATTCGGTGAAGGCGAATCCTAATATGTTGCTAGTATTTTCACTGTTTTAAAGATAATGATTTATAGTTCTGTTTTTTCGGGATAAAAGAAGAGAACTCTATCTTAACAAGGACCTTGTGAAGCATAGTATCGGGCTCTTAGAGGTGATAGGCAGTAGCTTTGTCTTTCTCTGTTGTCACTGGTGTCTTAGAGAAGGGAGTGATTCTCGGCTTCAACACTCCAGATATGGGATCTTGGAATCTTGTCAGTGCACTATTCAAATTTTTGTAGAATCAACTTTGCACTTGGGAATAGTGTGCTATTAATGCGGAGAGAAAGAAATCGTGGCAACAAGGAGCGAGGGTTTGCGTCACTCAAAGTGGCTGATGGAATAGATGAGGGTAAAATTGTCTGACCAGTACCGGTTAGTTAACTATCTGGTTGACCTAGGAGAAGTGTTTGCACAATTAGTTATCTGGCTTTTTTATGCACGAGCATGTATGTCTTTACGTATTCCCTACTCCGTATGAAGTATAGAGTATGCATAGGTAGAGTAACGGTACGGAGGGGATGGTCTTGCTGGGCAATGTATGAAATCTGGATGCTGTAGCTTAAAATACATAGCGCATTTTTTAAGGAGGCTTAGCACGTCGCCACTGGGCCTGGTCCTTTTCCCTCCCGGCATGGCGAAACCTACTCCGTACTTACTAGCCACTGTGAGGCTGGCGCTTTGTGGAGCTGACGCAGTCATGTTTGTGGGCTTTTTCTACAGCCTGGTGGTCTTGAAAGACTGATCGTTAGGAATATGCGACGCACAGCGTTACTGCACGATTCCTGTGACTGGGAGACTCGACCGCTGCTGGTGCACTCGTTTCGACGTGTGCCCGATCTTGTCGATAGCTGAACATTTATTCTTATCACACGCATAGTTGCGCTCCCTTGCTCTGGATGTTGGAGTTCGCAGTCGATATCAGAACTAATGCGGCCGGAGATCTTCGATCGAGTCCGCTCCTCGATGGGCACCCATAATAGGGGAGCATTGGGGGAGAATTGGTTCTCAAAACGACTGGTACTGGCGTATGTTATAGATTGGGCCTTCATTATGTATGTCTCTATCGTTTCTTCTTCTTGTTCCCGGTGCTAATAAGTACGAAACGAACAGATTTATTGGAGTGTTGGGCCGTATCATGAAGTTGATCGAGCCGAACCGGAGACCTTTCAGCCTGACTGACCAGAGCATATCCTACCCGTTTGCTAGACACGAGAGAGTGCCGGTCGTTCATCTCCTCATCGCCAGTCTTTTCGTTCCCGCCGCCACAATCGCGCTTTTTAGCCTTGTTCTCGTTCCTGCTCCCACAGGTCATCGTATTTTTGGTGCAGACTCATGGCGGCGCAAGTTCTGGGAATGGAATGCTGGCTGGATGGGGCTGGGCGTTGCCTATAATTTTACATACACCGTGACGGAGGCGATGAAGGTTATGTTCGGCAAGCCACGGCCAGACCTTCTGGATAGATGCAATCCAAACATATCCAATATCACATCTCATGTTATTGGGGGCTTAGGTGGGAAAATAACTGGTGCACCTTCACTCGTGGCTTGGACTATCTGTCAGAACCAGACGAAACGGCTCTCGCAGGATGGATTTGTTAGCTTTCCTAGTGGACATGCTTCCAGTATGATTCTTGTTCTGCTTCTATAGCCCCTGGATTATTGCTGACGGCGAGCAACTCTAGTGTCTTTCGCCGGGTTAACATACCTGGCTCTCTGGCTGTGTGCTAAGTTCGCCGTCTCAATTCCATATCTCTCTTCTAGTCGCTCCTCTTCATCGCGTCGCCCATTTCACGCCTTTGAAGAATCAACATCAGTTCCCTCCACCGTCCCTCTTCGTGACCAGGGTGCAGCACCGCCCCTATACCTCTTAACTCTTCTTTTTGCACCTATCATGGCGGCAACATACATTGCCTCTAGCCGCTGGGTCGACAACCGTCATTTCGGGTTCGATCTGATAATTGGCTCTTTGCTAGGCATTGGATTCGCCTGGTTTGGATTTCGCTTGTTTCATCTGCCACTGGACTCGGGCCAGGGGTGGGCATTGGCCCCCAGGAATAAGCATCGGGCATTTTTTGGAAATATTGATGATACTTCCTATGGGGAAGGTGAGGATGTGTTGGATAGCGGCCATCTGCGTCATCACTCACTTCACTCTTCCATTGAACAAAACGAACATGAAATGCTACCAGCCTCGGAAGCGCGGCTTGACGAACATGTTCGCTGATGTGTATGGAGTCTCAGGGGAACGATGGTGCTTGACGATATAGTGCTCTTTTAATATATAAATGCCACATATATAACTGTTTCTTAGACGATCTTTCGATGGAAGTCATTAGAATGCTTTATTCTTAACTGAATACCCGTATACCGACAAATGCACCATAAGAACTAGAAGTCGCTTCAAAACTCCAAGATATCATGCAAAATAGCAACTGCAGAATAGGCCCAATGCTGCTACCTCCAGCCCCCAACTCTTCCTTCATCCCACCTTGCCCTTGCTTCCCTTCGCATCTCCAACTTTGCGCTTTCGCTCCTCACACGCCTGACCCACTCCACCACCTCCCTCTCACCCGCAACCCCATGGTGCAAGTCACCTTCTAAAAAGCTCTCCTCCACCGCCCTCACCACCGCCTCCTGCTCCGCAATGCCCGCCACAAGTCTCTGGTAGAGCGCCTTGGGCGACCATGGTGCCAAGGCGGTGTCCATTTCGGTCTGTTTCTTGCGCCATGAGAGCTCCAGGGACTGGTGCTGTAATAGGAGCGTTTCAGTGGAGGACCGGAGAGAGGAGAGATGCGATTCTAGCTCTAGGGCGTGGGCTGCCAGTGACTTGTTGGCGTGGAGGAGAGCCAGGAGATGGCTTTGAGAGGCGGGGTACGAGGGGTGAGTATTTGCTAGGGCATTGAGTAGAAGAGGTTCGGAGAGGACGGACTGTAGGTCATTGGTCCTATAGTGAGATAGAAGTTAGAACAGCCGGCCTGATCTTGGGTGTTCTGCTGTGATATCGCACGATTTGTCTCTGAGGGTTTCTGGAATCCATCCATCATCTCGCCCCGGTGGCTGAGCAGAACTGCTCGGTGAAGCAAAGTTTCTGTCACCTGCTACTGTTTGTGCATCTTCGCGAGGTGCCAAAGCTTCCTTGGGTGGTGTAGACGGAGCCGGCGATCTAACGTGTGGATTAGGGATCGGAGTGCCTCTCCCGCTCGCTTCGTGGCTCGAGGGTTTTGGCGGAGGGGGCGGTGGTGTTGCGAGCGCCGGAGGACTTTGTAGACTTGAGGCTGAATATGGAATCGGTGAAAGCGACATGACTGCACGATAGAAAATGACGGTGGTAGAGAATACGCAGTGTTGGGTTGGTCTATTTGCCCAGCCAAACTTCTACAGACGCCTCTTGGCACATGCTGCACACTTGAACTAGTTAAAATACCCCGTGTGTAAAGAGTACGGAGTACACATAGGTGGCATACAGCCGAATACAATAAATTTAGTATTAGACTTACATAGTTATTTGTGGTCGTGTAATTAAGTGGTGAGTATCTAAATTCTGGTGACCGAGCTTCACAGTTATGATGTGTAGAATTGAACCAAAGAGTCGAGCCATACAGTCTAACATCCCTGTATAAAAACAGTAGCTCCATAGGGGGCTCAGGACACCAGTCAGAAGAAAAGGTCCAGGGTATCAGTGGAAGGACATCCTGTAAGAGTAGTAAGAATAAGAGGTACATATTTTCAAAAATTAATTCATTAAATAGTCTAGAGATGTCTACTCCTCCAAAGAAGACGATCTGCTGTACAGAATTGTTGCTAGGGAAAATCGAAGTCCACTCAGCAAGGTATATGTGGCCCCATCGAGCCCATAATGGTATGTATCATATATCACTGATAATAGTGACCATCGCAAGCAGAAGCTAGAGAAGATTTGGCCATTGCTACTAATCTCATTTGCATTTGCCTCACTTCGGCAGCAGTAAGACCATAGGTTATGGCTTTCCCCCAAAACCTAAGTCGAGACAAGAGTCTTTCAGAGTGTATTTAAGTTGAAAAAGTCTCCAATGTTTAAGAGAGGGTGTTATTCACTGAAGATATATGCGCCGTAAGAACATCTTTAGATGTTCACTCTGAGCAAAATGAGAGAGGAGAGCGGCTGATGAACATTTTGTGGGGGACATATGCCATTTTCATTCAGTCTAGTCGGCGACGGACGTCCTTTCGCTGGGTTTCCACGTTGACGCCCCTGACGGCTTCTGCAACAAGTTGTCGTAGCTCTCGTTGGTTCTCTTCGCTGTGGAAATTTTCTCTCGAAGCAAGCTCTTCTATTCTGCGCCTGAATTCCGGGTCCGGTGCACCCGAGTCCTCATCTACAGGCGGCTCCGTCATTGTACCGAAATTCACGGTGACATTCGGGGGCAAGCTCGGTGTAGAGCTGCTGCCGTTGGCAGTATTTTTCAGAGCGCCTTTTAGGTATGCTGCGACCCGTGGAAAGGAGCCATCGTTGAGAATCGCCTCTTCAGCTGTCAACCCTTCATCGTTTGTCAAGTCCCTATTTACACCAAGCTCCTCCACCAGGCACCGGGCAACTTCGACAGTTTCGGCAACGAAAAGGCAAGTTTCCCCATCTTCATCCGTAAGGTTGATGTTGACGTGGAATTCTTGAACCAGGGACCGGAGCAGGTCTACGTGACCGTAAGATGAGGCAGCGTGCAGGAGAGAATAGCCATAGGAATCTTGGGCGGAGGCTAACGAGGGGTTGGATCGAAGGAGGGGCAGTAAGGCAGGCGAATTGTCCGAGGCGAGGATATACGGGTTGGGGGCAGACATGGCGAAACAGGTGAGTCAGAGAAAACCATCCGATACGGCTCGGGCGCGCGTGAGACACGGGCAGTGACTCTTCGACTGCGGCGTTGATGGCGGAGGATGCATCTGGCGGAAAAGAAAAAAAGAGCGGGGAGCCGAATCGAGACTAGACCCCACTATGCGTCACTGCGGGCTGATGAGTCATGTCCCGATACGGCTCGTTGGCTGTGTTTGCATGGCAAAGCCTCTCTATGATTGGACTGAAGCTTCAGCCCTGCTGACATCAGCAGTATTTACGCTGTGTAGCTGCCGCGCGTTTATATATACGAGGAATTCCAGCTTGCCCGCCTTTCAGGTCCTCCAGCTTGAGAAGTTAAGCTCTCTGCTCGCGCTGGCTTAGGAGACTTCTGCGTTTCTGACAGCACCATCATCGACTATCCCTTTGGCCCCTCCGTTGGTGTATGGTTTTTGAAATTTCAACTGTCTTCGCAATGGTGCATCAGGACCCGCAGGAGGTCGCCCAGCTTGTCAAAGCTTTATCAGTCGCCCAGGGCCCCAAGAAGGAGGGGAAGCGATTTTCTTGCAGAAAGTCGACCTTTCCTGTAGCGGGGACGCAGAATATCACGGTCGATTCGTGGAAGTTTCAAGACTGGGATTACAAGCGGGACGACCTTCCCACCTACGCTCGCGGTCTCTTCACTACTGTGACCAGGAATGGGAGGTCTGAGATAGCCGTTCGCGGATACGACAAATTCTTCAATGTCGACGAAGTAAGTTCGACGAAATGGGAAAATATTCAAACCAATACCGTGGGTCCGTACGAGCTGAGTGTGAAGGAGAACGGGTGCATAATTTTCATCTCAGGCCTAGAGGATGGCTCTCTTCTGGTCTGCAGCAAGCATTCCACTGGAGCCAGAGCTGACGTCAATCTCAGCCATGCAGTTGCAGGGCAGAACTGGGTGAGAAGACACGTCGAGTCCGTGGGGAAAACAGAACGGGACCTGGCGCTGGAGCTGCGTGCGATGAATGCGACAGCGGTCGGGGAGTTATGCGATGATAGCTTTGAAGAACACGTCCTGGCCTACGAAGAAAAAGATGCAGGCATATATCTCCACGGTATCAACTACAACGTGCCTTTCTTTGCAACTCTACCTGGCTCTGAGGTCCATAGGTTTGCCGACCATTGGGGCTTCAAAAAGGCCAATTTTGTGGTAGAACATGATATTTCAAAGGTTAAAGCCTTCCTAGAGGCCTGTGCAGAGACTGGCTCGTGGGATGGCAGAGACACCGAAGGGTTCGTTATCCGGTGTAAACAGCGACAGTCTCACTCTGGGCCATATATCGACTGGTTTTTCAAGTACAAATTTGAAGAACCGTATCTTATGTACCGGCAATGGCGTGAGTGCACCAAAGCAGTCATTGCTGGTCGACCTCCAAGGTACAAGAAACACCTGAAAATTACAGAAGAATACCTGACATATGCCCGGCGGCAGCTCCAGAGGGACCCTAATATTGGGAAGCGCTATAATCAAAACCATGGTATCATCGCCATGAGAGAAGGGTTTCTTAAGGAACGCGGCCTAAAGGGCTCAGAAATCATTGCCATGGAAGCCGCCGAGGAATCTGGAGGAACGGCTCCAGTGACAGACAATGTTGTCCTTGTTCCGGTCGCCTCGATCGGATGTGGAAAAACAACTGTTGCCCTTGCTCTCGTCAAGCTCTTTGGCTGGGGCCATATCCAAAATGATAATATCCAAGGACGCCAGAATCGACCCAGGAGATTTGCCCAGGAGGTTTGTCGCTCATTGTCGCTTCACAAGGTTGTTGTTGCGGATCGCAATAACCATCAGAAGCGTGAAAGAAAGCAAATTGTAGACGACATTCGTCCCATTGTTCCCGAGGCTCGATTTGTGGCTCTGCAATATGTCCATGAGCCCAAAGGCAAGCTTCTCAATGGAATTAGAAACGTCACTCGCCAACGGGTGCTCGAGCGTGGGGACAACCACCAGACCATCCGCGCGGGGAGCAAGAGCCAGGACGAAATCATCTCCATCATGGAGGGGTTTTTGCACCGGTTTGAAGCTGTCAACACCGATAATGAACCCGATATCAATTTCGAGGAGGTTATTGATCTCGATATCTTCTCATCCTCACGGCAGAATCTAGAAACCGTCGTCGCTACTCTTTACAATGCTTACCCCGGACTGTTCGACAGACCCATGCCATCTGCATCGGACATGGACGACGCCCTTCACGCAGCCATGGCCGACTACGCCGTGGACCTGAAGCACGACCTGAACTTCGCAGGCCCCAACAAGCCCGGCAAAGGCCCCAGCCACGGCCAGTCCGCACCAAACACCATCGGCGGCAAGACCATCGACCAACTCCTGAAGAAAGTCGAATACTTCCGCATCTCCCTCCCCACCTCCGAGATCAACACCCTCCTCTCCTCGCTCTTCCACCCCGACACCCCCCCACACCTATCCCGACTCTACAACCACCTCAAAAACTCGCGCCGCATCCAGCCCTCCTTCCACGTCACCCTGGTCCACAAGGCCTCCTCCAGCGCGCACCCGGACGCCTGGGCGCTGTACACCAGCCTCTACGCCGGCGCGCTCCAGCAGCAACTCCAACTCCAGCTCCCGTCGCCGACGACCACCACCAGCCCCGCGCTGGGCACCGCGCGCGTGCGGCTCGAGCGCCTCGTGTGGAACGCACACATCATGGCGTTCGTGGCGCGTATCATGCCGGTGGACCACGGCGCGCAGCAGCAACAGCAGCAGTGTGTGCTGCCGGCCGACCTCGCCGTGTGGGCGTGCGCCAATGCTATCCCGCACGTCACGGTGGGCACGGCCGCGCCGGCGGTCAAGCCGCGCGAGAGCAACGACCTGCTGCGCGTGTGGCTGGAGCACGGCGCCGCGCCGGATAGTGGGATTATGGAGCTGGAGGTGCCGGATGTGAGGGTGCTGGAGGGCGTGGTGGGTGTGGTGTTGGGGAGGTGAGAGGGGGAGAGAGTGGAATGAATGAAGTGTCGGTGGGTAACTAGTTGGTTAGTCGGGGGAGTCGACAAAATGTCCGAAGATTAGGTAGAAAAATGGTTATTACTTGCATCTTCATCGGCTTGATGTCTCGAACGCAAAATGATACTAGAAATAGCCATACCGCTCCACCCAATAACTAACTACACTAGCATGGGTCTACGTAGTCGGCTGTGCGATAACACGAACATGTCTTACATCTGGCAGAAGCCTACGCAGTCGCCTCGATGGCGATATCATAGCAGCCCAAGTCTATTAAATAAGAAACTATGATAGATATACAGTAACATACAATCAATCGCTCATCCAGGCGGCCACTCTCCCCGTGCCAACACGGGCCGCAAAGCGTAGACCAGTGGTGCCCATGGGGAAATAGCTGACGAGGTACCAGACGAGAGCGACGAGCTGGACGATGGAGGAGATCAGGGTGAGGATGGTAGAGTGGAGCTAGAAGGTAGAGGGTCAGCCTGGAGGGGATGAGAGAAAGCAGGCCAACACGCAGCAGCAGTAGCAGTGAGCGGTGATCGAAGGAGTCGTCGAGAGGCTGACAGACGCGACGGCGCGGAGAGAGAGCTAATGACATCACAAGGACGCGCAGAGCTGGAAAAGGAGGTACACGTGAAGGTAACACATGTACATACGTACATGTAGTGGGAAGAAAAAAACAGGTCGAGGGGGTTCAGTCAAGAAAACGAGGATGGAGGGAGGGAGGGAGGTGGGGGGGGCGGAGGGCTAGAGGTGGTGGGCAAAGAATGCGACAGTTACAGAAGCAGAACTTACGCGGACGGCAAAGAAAATGGTGAGGGCGATCGACGAGAAGTAGGCGGCCGTGAAGGGCAGTCGAGGGCCGGACATTAGGTGTCGGAAATAGGCCACTGGGCCTAGAAGTACAGCCCACGAGGCGAGAAACAGCGCAGAGCCGACGGACCATCTACACACAGCGTTTCTGGTTAATGCGAGCCCGAGAATGTGATAGAAGAGAAAGCGCAACGTCACGCAGCAGAGGGTGAGCAATTCAACGGGGCGATCTCAGCTGGCTTTGGGGGAGTAGGGGTGGCGACAAAAGATAGGATGCCCACCACCTACTAGGCCATCTAGGCCGCTACTGAAAGGAGCTCATCCTGGGAGATTCGTTATAATATTTGGCGTATAGTTTTCACCCAGTTGAGTTCAGAATGTCTGGAAGGGAAGCGGTACGGGATGACGAGATGGGGGAGGGGATATTGACGAAAGCGGGAGAGGGGGGCCAGAAGGTAAAAAAAAAAAAGCCAAAAAAAGCCAAAGAGAGTGTAAGACTCACAGGATGGCGAATTTTCGTGGAACAAACATCAAAGCAGGGAAGATGATGAAACACATGCATATGGCGAAACAGACAAGAGCGCCGATATTGAAGCCGGCGAATATCAGCATGCGGTCCCATCTGCTTACTGGAGGGAGCAAAATAGAACGAGTTAGCTTTGGAGCAAGGGCACACTGCGGGATGACGATTCGCTCCCCCCCCCCCTCCAGAGAACCAAAAAGCACAGCCTCGACGACTGACTCTCTTGAGGGGGTGGGAAGCAAACAAAAAAGCCCGTGAAACTTGGCGCAATGCAGGAACTGGCGGCACGGCATCCGACGAGCTCACAGCAGAAGAAGTAGAAGTATAACAATCGTAGTATATCAGGAACGGGGGAGGGGGCCACGGGACGGGGTTGTGACTCACAGGCAAACCAGCCCTCCTCCTCTTCACGGCGCGTGGGCGCGGGCAGCGGTGCGGCCGAGCCCTCAGGCAGCTGGACGTAGGCGCGGTTGGCGAAGGGGTTGAGGGCGTGCAGGCTGGGGAACATGGGCGCGGGCGCGGTGGCGTTCGCGGCGGGGGAGGCCTCGGGGGCGCGGCGGGCCCAGCCCAGCGAGTTCATGGAGTCGCGAAAGGACGCCGACGCCATTGTTTTCTTCCTTTGCAGGTCTGCAGGGGTTGATGAGGAGTATTTTCTTTTTTTTCTTTTGCGGAACCCGGCAGGGTGGGCGGGCGCGGGCGACGACGACCGAGCGGGAGCTTCTTTCAACGTGGAGGATTGGCGCTCAGACGAATTAATGCCGGCGGGTTGGCTGCAGCCTCCACGGAAGCTAACGGGCAGGATGGGAGGGAGGGAGGATAGGTAAGTGGGGGGAAAGGGGCGGCAATGGCGGTCGATCCGCGACGAGCGCGCGCGCGCGGGTACAGGGAAATAATGTCGTCGAGAGGCGCGGACAAGGGCAGATGATATGCAGCGATCAGGGGGTCAGATGACTGACGGGCAAGGTCGAGGCCAAAGCCGAGCGGGTGATTGGGTGTCTGGGAGAGTGAGGTCTGGGCCCTGGCGTCACGAGTGGGAGCACGGCGTGTGGGAGGAACGGCGGGGGGCGCGGACGGGCGTTGCGCAGAGCATGAAACAGCTGTAGGCTATGATGGATGCTGGATGCACGACGGCGGCGACCCTGGGCGAGCAAGAAGGATATCAGATGACCAGTCAGGGTAGCGCAGCGGGCGTGTAGTTCTCGCAGTCAGTCTCTTCTTCGGCGTCTTTTTCTTCTTTTCCTTCTTCTTCTTCTTCTTCTTCTTCTTCTTCTTCTTTCGTCGTCACAGACACGTCGGCGTGGCGGCGTCGAGACCAACGCGCAGGCCGCCCGCTTCACCGTCGTTTGGCGTCGTCGTCGTCTGTGGTGGCTGCCTGTTGCGGCCGGCGTGCTGACTCAGCACAACGTGGCTTGGCGGCGCGTATCGGGCTTAGCGGCGGCCGCGCGTGACGCCCGCATTACATACGCCAAAATACCGCTAGTAGGCATGCACGGACCAGTCGCGCTAATCCCGGAACAGCCTAGCGCGGCCGGCGAACCATGCAGGCAGGCGTGAAGTACCGCGCACCGCCACGGCCGTGCAGGGTACCTCCCTCCCTTCCTCTCCCTCTCCCTCCAGCCAGCCCACGTCGGACACGCTCAGCCCAGCCGCCGGCCGTGTGTGTGTGTGTGTGTGTGTGTGTGTGTGTGTGTGTGTGTGTCTCCCCAGGCCGGTGCGACACGACGCGGACGAGAGGCCCGCCGTGTTTGCTCGCCCGCCGCCTCGCCGGAGCTGCTGCCCTGCGAGCCTATAGTTAGTGAGCTGCCCGCCCACCCCCGTCGCCGTCGTTCCGTTGCGCCGATTCGATCGTGCATGTGCAGGCTTATGCAGCTCGCATGCACGAGGAGGGAGGGAGGCGGGAGGCTGGGAGAGAGAGAAGCCTTCTGGGTCTCTTCTTCTCAAGACGCGATCCCGTCTTGCTGCCTGGCTGCCTGGCTGCCTGGCTGGCTGGCACGCCCGCCACCCCCGCCCAATCTAATCTGATGCCTCATCCTGTCCTGTTCTGCCATGGCTAAACTACACAGACAGCCTCGCAGCGTCGGCCAGCGGAACGGGGATACGGGCGATCCATGGTCCCTGCACCAGCCGATCGCGCCGGCGGGGTCGATCGTGTTGCGGGTATCGTGCAGCACTGCGGTCTCGATCTAGTCATACAGCGCAGGCGTAGTTGCTCTGCAGCCTGCGGGGTCGCGGCTTATCCACGCCGGTTGAAGTACATAGACTAACCAACTAACTAGTCAACTAGCTAGCGACGCTACTTCGAGCTCGTGGGATGGCGTTCTGCAGTAGCAGGTATATAGTTATTCTTAGATCCCTGCACCGTGCATCCCGTCGAAGCCCCGGCCCGGCGATCTCTCAGTGGGATGCGCGCAAACGCACGCTGGCCGGCCTCATACATAGCGGTCGACTGCTGTGCCCAGCGGGATGATGCGCCGGGGCTGCATCCTTCGTCCAGCGTGCTGGGAAGGGCGTCTGTCGCGGCCGCCGCGTGAGAACGCAGCCTGTTAGTTAGCTACTTAGATAGATATACTTCTGCTGCATCACACCGGCCTGCATCATCCCACCACCCCCCCGCCAGCCAGCCAGCCAGCGGTCATCTGTCTGCACCGCCGCGGTTCTGCGCGGCGCGTAAGCTTTGGCGTGCATGAACTGTGCCCGGCTCTCTGCTGCCTTGGGGCCCATCCTTCGCGCTCTCAGTACCTACAGAGCTCCTATACTCCCTACACAGTCTCTCCCTCGCGCGCCCAGACCGCGACGAAACCGGATTTCCCTCGTTTGTATCTCCCACTCCCTCTCACGCTCACCCACCACCACCATACTCTTCCTGATAGTTGCTTAGCCTCTGCTGCTGCCTCCCCCTCCCCCCCCCCCCCCCCCTCCCCCCCCCCTTCGTAGCCCACCTCCCGGGGTCGTCAGCGCGAGCCGCGTGGACGGTCTGATCAGCCCGCGCGGCATGACCCTCGGCGTCATTTATTTATGGCCCATCGTTATCAAATCACAGCTGCAGCAGACCTCCATACATACATATAGCTAGTTAGTTAGCCCGGGCCGAGTTCGTGCTGTGCGTCAGAAACCTCTCTGCAGAGCGCCCTGCTGTTTCAACCTTCTTTTTTTTTTTTCCTGCATCTTCCATTTTCTCCGGCTGATTCGTCGCGGCGCCTAACCCGCATCGCCCGCGCTGCTCGTCTAGTTAGTTGGTTGGTTACCTACTAGTCAATCAATCCCCGCCGCACTGCGTGCTTGGCTGGTCAGCCTCAGCTCTCCTCTCTCTCTCTGTCTCTCTCGCCGCCTCTTGGGAGGGGCTTCTAGCCTGGCCTGGCCTGTCCTGCGTCCTTGCTTTGCTGCTTGTCCCGCGTCGCTCGTCGCACCGTGTTGCCCCCCTCCCCCGGCGTCCGTCGTGATTAGTATTATTATATAGTCCACCGCGCCCGCCGACTCGCGCTCTCCGGACGGACTGACTTCCCTGTGCCACCGTGGACCGCCCGTCGGGATCAATCATCAATCCATTCCATTCCATTCTGCTGCCCGCCGTCTGTCTGCTATCAAACACCAGTCGTCGTCGGCACCTCCCATCGATCGATCGATCTATCCATCGCGCGCCGCCGGGTCTTCATGGGGTCTTGGTTCGCCGCTTGCTGCTCCCCCCCCACCGTCTCAGACACTTGTGAGCATCCCAAGGTTGGTACCGTCTCTCCCGTTCCACTTCCCAGCCCAGTCTGTTTGATGTGCATCCCTCCCCTCTCGCTTCTATCTCTCTCTCTGTATGTTTGTGTCTGTGTGTGTGTGGCTCTCCACTGCCGTCGGCCATTGCTTCCCGTCGCCGCGCCGAAACCACCACGTCGCCCGCCTCTCGGGCTCCAACCCGAGATCACCACCAGCCAAGCCGGCGGCTGGCCACTCCGCACGCTTGCCAGACCGCCCCTTCGGACGGGCTGCAGGGTGCGGGCGCGGGGGGGGGGAAGGGCTCGAGGGCCTGTTGTTGGCTCGGACGGCTCCGCTGGCGATATTTTTAGCTTCCGCCTCTCAAAACGCTCGTCGAACACCCAAAAAGGCGCCTTGTTCCGTACCGTACGCCGCGTGACCGTACCGTACCGCCTTGCCTCTTCCGTTTCGCTCGCTCGCTCTCTTTCGCTTCCCCAGCCTCGATCATCGGCTTCATCATCACCATCTCTGCCCTCTCGTCGCTCTGTGGCTTGCTCCCAGCCTTCGCTGTCATCGTCGTGAATGGACCTGCTTCAATTCCACCGTCTTCACTTTTCCTCTCGGATCGCTCGTTGACTGATATCTGTTGTTCTGCCCATTTTCTCAAAGCTTCACACACCCTCTCCCTCTCTCTGCCTTTTCCGCTTTCTCCGCCCACCGTCGACCTCTCCGCCAGAACTGACCCCTTTGTTCCCGTCTAGTGGCCTGAAAACGCACCTCAATAGCCCCGCCGACACGCTGTGATCAATCGACTCGTGTTGTAACCGTGCTGCATCGCTTTGCGCAACCTCCGTGCTGAAGCTTACTTCGACACCGACCCAACCCTAGCCTCGCACACAACTCGCCCACGAACATTCGACTCTCATATACGCCCATCGCATCTACATCTGAAGCTTCCACCCTTATTCTCTTTTCCCCAAGGTTTGTATGTTTTTCCAGCTTTTTCTGTCGGCGCCCGAGCCCCAAGCGCAATTGCGGCCCTTCCTCCCCCCCTGGCAGCCCTCTGGGGTCATGTCACACAGGGAGGCACCGTTGCACCACTCGACTCTGAACCACTTGTTGTCTATGATTCATAACCTGCTAGGACTGGGCGCCGCCGCCTGCTTCAATTGCTGTTTGCGCTTACTGCTGCCTGTGTGCTAACTTTATTTCGCTAAATAGATTACTTAGTTAGCTCATCCTTCGATATACCTTGACCCAGATCCAGCTCGACCTCGACCGCCTATCGTTCTCGCTCCCCCGCGCCCGGTCCCGGTTTACAAATAGCTCTTGGGTTGCCCGCCCAGGACCAAAGCTAGCCAAAGTATTTGATTATCTTTTTCTTGGTCGCAAAAAGATGGCAGAGGCAACATTTATTAAAACCGAGCCTGATGATCAAAATTCTAGCCACTTTATGATGTCCAACCCCGCCTACGCAATGCACAGCCCGTCGTTTGGCAACCATTTTGGTGGCTCTGGAATCAACGACGGAATTGACCCCTCCGAACTCACCATGCAGAGCAGCGGCTTCATGTCCAACCCCTTCAGTTCCCCACAAAACCTGTCGTCGAGCTTCAACCTTGGCAACTCGGGCATCGACACCGAAGAATTGCTCGATTTGGAGATTCCCGGTCACAACACAATGCATGATGGTCGCTTCAACATGGTGCCCGACCAGCGACAGCCGACTGGCATTTCGATGAGTCACCAAGGACAAATGTCTCACATCTACTCCAACACGCCCGACGGCGCCCCGATCAATAGCCCGTTCATCCGAGGTGGCTTTGGCTACGACCAGTTTCGCATGCAGCAGCACACCCCGCAAGACGCCTCTCCCCAAATGAACGCCACGAATATGCATTTCGATCAGAACTACATGAATGGAAAAGCGCGCGCGAGCATGCAGAATCCCGGAGGACCCCGAAGCCCCATGTCACCAAAGACGCCTGCCATGGCGGGACTCAACATTGCCACCCCCGACTCTGGAAGCTTCCCTTCGCAACCAATCAGAGCGGTCCCGCTACAGCATCAAAAGAATTTATCACATCAGTGGGACGGCACGCCTGGCAGCTCCCACTCGTTGATGGAGTCGCCAATCTCGTCACCTGGCCACCCGTCTCACCCTCTCATCATCTCGGAAATCCTCAAGTCTGGAAAGCATGCTTCCCTGCCTACCAAGGTCGGTCATCATTCTAGCGCGCAGCAAGCTCTCGAGTCCCAGGAAGCAAAGAGAAAGCGCCGCCGTGCGTCACACAACCTCGTGGAGCGTCGCCGGCGCGACAATATCAACGAGCGCATCCAGGACCTTTCGCATCTTGTCCCGCAACACCGTCTTGAGGATGAGAAGATTCGAAAACAGCTTCTGAACAATTCTTCGCTCTCGAGCTCTATGGGCGGATCGGCAATGAGCCCGACCAATGCTGCGACTTCTCTTCTTGCCGGTGGCTGCGGACGACGTGCGACCGGGGGAAATATCACCATGGGACTACCCCTTGAAGAGAAAGAGAAGGGCCCAAACAAAGGCGACATCCTGAACGGCGCCGTTGGCTGGACGCGAGACCTCATGTGGGCACTACACCGCAAACTGGAACAAGAGGACCAGCTGGCCGAGCTGATCAGCTCCCTGGGCGGAACGTGGCCCTTCGAGCAGACGGAAGAAGACAAGCGCATGCGCACGGAGCTGCTGGACGCCATGGAGAAGAACAACGCCAACTCGTTCGCGTACAGCCGCGCGCCCGGCACGGGGCTGCGCGTCCCCAAGCACACCAACGTCGCCGGCGAGCCGATCCACGGCGGCCACTCCGGCATGGGCTCGCAGAGTCTCAGCCCGGGCTTCCACAGCGGAGGCAGCGGCGCGAACAGCGGCGGCGGCCAGGCGCAGTACTGGAACACGTCGGGACACGCGGGTATGAGCTTCAAGGAAGAAGATGAGTACACGATGGATATGAATTAAGCCGCGTGTTTGTCTGTTGTTGTTGTTGTTGTTGTTGTTGCTGTCGCCCCGTTTTTTTCCGTCGTCAGATATTGACTGACCAGGGGGGGGTTTTTGGGTTTGCATAAAGTGGCGTCGCTTTCTCCGGGGAGGGGCCAAAGAAGGGAGTGAGTGGGTGGGGGGCGCTGGAGTAGCGGGAATATCCTCGAGTTTCTTTTTTGGGTCACTACTGACTTGGATGCCTACAACTAACTAACTCACCTAACTACCGATCGTCCCTCTTTGCTTTGTGTGTTTCAGGCTGTTGCTGTTGTTCTGAAGTGAACCATTTTGATGGTTTTTGATTTCGCCCTGATTTTAGCTTCTATCTTTTTTTCTTGTCTTTTTCTTGGGTCTTCAGCTACACCTGTCTGCTTCCGCGGCGTGTCTTCCCCCCCAATGCGAGCGAGCATCTCTCTGCGAGCAGCCTCCTTTTTTTTCGATTCTCTATTATCCAATCTCCTCTCAGAGATCTTGGCCTTTTTTCGTTTCCTTTTTTTGTATTTTGTATCTTTTTTTTTCTTCACATTTTTATTGCCTTCTTGTTGCAATTTACTCTGACGTTATTAATGCGTTGCTATTCACATCGAGCTCCGTTTGCGCTTTGCTTCTTAACGCTCCCCACGCCCCATATAATGACTGCTGATACCCAAAGTTGTTGTTATGATGATGCCTATGAAATTTACACGCTTGCCTTCCAACATGATGCATGAGTTCCGTGTCGGGGCCTGTTTTCTCTGCCCACATGCGCCCCGCAGCCAACGAAGCAACCACGTCCCCTCCCATGTTGAGCGTTTGTTTGCCATCGCAGGCCCTTCCGAGCAACTGATTTTTATGCCAGCATATGGGAAGAGACGATAGAAAAAGAAGGCTCAATGAGGTATGATAATGACTGCAATGAGATGTGTCCAGCAAAGTTTGCTGTCTTGCTTTTTTTTTATCCCTTATGGCTTGAATCTCTCCAGGGTATACTTTTTTTTTTCGCTACTTGTGCCGTGCCGGCAACTAATATGATCTCCTTTTATATGTTGTATGACTTGCTATGAATGATGATGAAACTCGGATAATGCAGACTAGGATTCCTAATGACAAGCCAAATTTGCTCTTGAATTTTATTTTATTTTTATTTTTTTTCTGGAACCCGACCGACTTCACCTAGTTTTTTTTTTTTTGCCAGCCGGGGGGCGGGCGGGCGGTCGGTCGGTCGAACAGCATCGATACCGGCTCCGCCGTAACGGTATCGTGCGGTACGGTACGGGCCGGGCGCCGGGAGGCGACAATACATAGCGGTAAAAAATCAGTTATGACTCCTCGCGCGCCCGCTTGGCAGCGCAGCAAGGGCGGCGTTCAGGGGAGGGGGAATAATGTCGTGTTCGCCCCTCTCCGGCGGGAAGCGCGCGCGAGTGGTGGTGGTGGTGGTGGTGAGTGTCATCGTGCATGTCGCGGACTGCGGATCCCGGCTCGACACGTTTTTTTTTTTTTTTTTTTCTTTAGCCCGTCTCTCCACTACTTACTGTTGTTGTGTTGGGTGAGTAGCAACAGCGGACGGCGAGCTGGGCGTGAGCCTATCATGATGTCATGCGGGCAGGTCGCGTTGTTCTGACGCGCGAACCACCGACAGAGAAGAGAAGAGACAGATATGTATGCCACGCACGGAGGCGCGAAGAGCGAACGGCATCGCTGGCTAGTTAGTTGGTTAGTTCGGCCAGCGCTGAGCAGCGAGGCCTGTCTGCGTGCGTGCGCTCGCGGCATCCAGCAGCGCGCACACCGCTGCCCTTGGCGAGGCCGTTCTCGTATCGCGTCGCGCAGAGGCCCGCGTGTGGGTGGCGGACGGGCGGTTTTTTTTTTTTTTCCTTTTCGCGCAAAGGTTCTGGACGAGGTGCGCGGGGTAGGTAGTTAGGTGGCGTGGCTAACGATGTAACTAGGGGGCTGGGGATGGCGATGATGCCGTGATATTTACGATGATGATGATGATGATGATGATGATGATGATGACAGCCACGCGAAAGTTGAAGTGCGGAGGAATGAACTAACTAGGTTGGAAAGCAACAATGGCTAATGTGATGCCTCCCGCAACCTTCTTTTTCGAGAGAGCGAGATTACCGAGCATGGATCAGGGGCGGGCAACAGAGCCTTGACTGCGACGGAGGACTAGTAGTTTAGTTAGTAAATATTACCACCTCCTCCAGATGCTCTTGGCGGCTCCTCTGTCGCGCCGGGATCGTTGTTTTAAGCCTGCGGGACACAGAAGCCGGCTGGGTATCCTCCAGCGCGGTGGAGCACGGCGCCCTTCACCAGCACGCCGTGATTAGCGGGGAGAGAGACCCTGCAGATGAAGCCAAGGCGGGAAGCCCTTTCGATGTGGGTTACCTATGTAGCTACGGAGGACATACATGCATACATACATATCGAACCTTGAGTTTCCGCAGCCCCGCACCACGCCAGATTCTTGTGATGAGAAAGAAGACGGTGTATCGTTGCGGCCCCTTACCTGGTTTATTTTTCTTTGGTGGCTGGCGGAGACGGTGTCTCCCCAGACCGATATCGAATCTTGAACTTGGGCGTGAAGATCACGTCCCAATCCTTCTCATTCTTTTCATCTCCAAAAATCCTTAGGGCCCGAATACGTAGCTGGCATATCCCCTCAGGCAAAAATTTGCCATTTTCAAGTTTGCCAATGAATGGGATGCCCATCCTACCCTGGTCTCTAGCTGACGTCTTTGGCTCTCCGTGGTAGATATGGCCTAGATCTGTGCCGTTCTCAGCGAGAGCGTTATATTCGACCCGCCGACTTCCCATCGAGAGTAGTGTATTAAAGCTCGGTTCATCGTTTGAGATTTGCCCAGTTACGTTCTGGGGTCTGAGCAAGAGTTCGTCTCCTTCTTTGACGACCTCTCCATCTCGGCTCTTTTTAAGGATATTAACATCATGTAGACTTTTGTCCAGTACCATAGCATCCCGCATCGATCCTGCTACCCCTAAATATGGAAGAACATAAGACCCATCAGTAGCATTGACTGTGATGAAGCCATTGTATACTGGGATCCTGGACTCTTTCAATCCCTTTGGTGGTGTCGCAGAGACCTCAACGGTTGCTTTTTTCCCTGGCAAGAGCGTAACGCTAGAAGAAGAGAATGACAAAGTTGCGTGAGCTGGATCTGTCTGAAGCTGGCGTTGGAGGGCTGGAATCGAAGAGTTACCGTTTAGAGCATACACTGCTGGCACCGGAACATGCCCAATCTTGTATGTTACTGGTTTTCTACCTTTGTTCCAGATTGAAAATTTGGATTTCTGTAGATTTTTTGTATCATTAAAGTTAATGCCGTTGGTGGATATGATTGACGTTGTGTACGCGGCTCGATGGACATTTACAAGCCCAGCCCCCTGTTTCATTGTCGGGCCCAAAAAAGAGTGTATTTTGGACCCATCAAAATATGGTAACTGAGTGGCCGTACTACTCAGAATGGCCGCCATTTCAGCAGGGGATGTCTTCCCCCTAGCCTCCAAAATAAGGGCAACAGCACCAGCGAGATATGGAGTAGCGAAAGAAGTTCCGCCCGTTACCTCATATCCCCCTAAATTCAGAAGTGAAGTTGTCAAAAGTTCATATCCGGGAGCAAGGACCGTCGGCGAAACTTGCAGTGAATAACTGGGTCCCCATGATGACCAGATGGAAATAGTGCCTCCGAAACGTGGATTTTTATCGACGTGTAAGATCTTCGTTGCAAAAGTCGAATTTGTTATGGTAATGGTGACAGGAGATTTTGTATCGAGGGCTTTAAGAATCTTCTGGCCAAAGCTGTTTGGAACGAGTCCAATGCCCTTAATAGGGCCTGAAGGTTCTGGTCTAAATGTATTCGGTGGGGAAACGCTGTCTTCGGTATTATAAAAAAGGATGTTGGCGGCCTTGCGGTCACCAAGATTTTTTACTTGGGTTTGAGCTTCGCAAGTACTCAAAGAAAGAAACACTGTTTTCCCCGAAAAATCGACTGTGGCGGGTAGCGGTTTGCAGGCATCTTGCACTCCAGTAGAGTTGTGAGTTATTGCAATAAGAGGATAGGTGCCATTACTGAACTCGGAATATTGTTTCCAGCCAAAGTTGCCTTTACCTTGCGCGCTGGTATAAACTGCCTCGTTCAAGAGAGCAGGGTATTCATGGTTCGTCGAAGCGCCAACAGTAAGGAGGCGTGGATCACCGAAACCAAACGTAGGAAGGAAAAGTCCATTGTTCCCTTGATTTCCGGCGGCGAGTAAACATATAACGCCATGGCTCATTATCCTTGATATGACAACGGCCCAGGGTTCTAGCAGACGACTTATCAATGCCACAAGTTAAAACAAGGAGGGTGATCTTTAGGGTGTACCTTCTTCCCAGCCATTCATGCCGCCAATTGAGCCGGTAATGATATGCGATCCAGCATGGAAGGCATCCAAGTATGCCTTTATCAATATTTCATTAGGCGACGTGGGGAGGTCAGGATAGTCTGTAGGCCGGGGGAGGCCTTGTACACGAAAATGCCCAAGAGTTACACCGGGAGCTATCCCAGTAAAATTGAAAGGGTTTTTCTGAGCAGCAATTATGCCCGAAACAAGAGTACCTTTCGAGGGGTAAGCAAAAAGAACTGGTCACGTAAGCCGGAATGGAAAGTACCATGAGAATCAACATCATTGTAAGGATCACCAGGTCCAATGTAGTTCGCTCCGAAGGACACAAGGCATCCTTTTCCAAAACAGCCACCCAATGCGGGATGTTTGTAATCAATGCCGGTGTCCACAACAGCGACTTTGATTCCTTTTCCAGTAAAGCCTTCATTGCGGAGACGGTCTACACCAGTTATTTTATGCCAGACTTCCCCATCTTCCGTCCAATTGCGACGACCTAAACGAGCACCTCCATCGTGGGCAAAATTCGCCGGTGGTGACTTGAACGAGGGCATAGGAATCCGTCGGACGGGAGAAATTTTCTTTACGTGGGGCATAGAGGCGATTTTCGGAAGCTCGGTGTCGAGGCGACTTTTGTCATCGAAACTGAAGGAGAATCCTTTGTAAAGCGGCGATGTATATTCATATCGTCGAGTTAGCGAAATTCTTTCTTTGGACTTGAGTTCCGCGATAAAGCTATCTGCTGTCTATTTTTGTAATATTAGAGCATTGTTGTCAGAGACAAATGGGCTGGTTCTGGTGACTCACTGTTGTAACATCATCTTTGAATTCAATTATATAAGTTCCAGGCACATCATATCTCTGGGGAACCTTGAGTGCAGAGGCACCTGCAACAGCGATCGCTGTTAGGAACCAGGCTTTGACTGATACCATCGTGAAAGGGACGAGCACGAATAAAAACCCTAACCCCAAGGCCACCGCGAGGGTTAAGTGATAATGGGCAGCAAGCAAAATATATACGCCCCATGGCATAGAGCATATTCAACTGTTGGAAGAAAAGCCAAGAACCACGTATACAGAGTATACAGGGCCATTTTCCGATTTAAAAAAGCCAATTGGGTATAAAGCATCTTCAGATTGCACCCCTTGCATACAAAGGCAAGGTCATAGAAGGAACGCAGTATAAAATGAGTGGATATCATTTGTCCGTTGAGCTGTAGTTACAAGCCCGGCATGGGGTCTGGGGTTGGCCTTGCGTACTCCTCACTGACGATCGCCGGCATTCAAGTCCGTAGTAGCTATGAGTAGCTCCGTGGGATGATCGAGAACGCGTCACCAAACGAGCAAATTGGCCCTTCAATTGTCACCATCAGCCTTCTTGACGTTGCATGTCGCCTGAGCCAAGAGTGCGAAAGGAGCAAAACGCCGGGACTGAAGCCAAGACGTCATGTGAAAAGAGACATCTGCTCGAGTATTAATGGAGAGTTTACAGTCAAAAGAGGTCTAGTTAGTAGTGAATTCTGGAGAACAATGCCCCTCAACATCACGTAAGTAATGGCTGACAGATGGATGAGACCTACTAATTACCTAGTTGGTCGGGTACAACTAACTATCCAAGCCTAGCCGGCCTCGGTGATTTACGCTCACCCCGGTTGAAAGCTATTTTCTTGGTTTTCATGTCCACAATTTGCACAGAGTACTCCGTACTGAGAAGTTATGTTAGGAAAAGTCCTCACCCGAAAGCATCGCAAATTTCTTAGGGCGTGTGGGCCGATGGCCCGTTCTGCCTCTATGGGGTAGATGTGACCTGGAACCAGGATACCACCCTCCCCCAACAACTGACATCTAACAAGGTCGCCACTGGGCCAGTCCTTTATAGGTAGGTGGAGGCGACCTTCAGGGTAGTTCAAACATATCCAACCTACTTTAGTTTCAACTCTCGGCGATGATACCTGTCATCCAAACATCGAATCCTTCTCCGTCGACAACACATCACCCACATGCTGATGAAAAATGGAAATACATGTCACACCCAGCTGGATCCTTCGCCTGTGGCTCCGTGCAGCCGCTGTGTCTCTGGGCACTCACGAATGTCGGATTTTTCTGGATCAGGTGAACGAAGCTAGCTTCAAGAGAGCAGTGTGCCTGACAGCAACATCGGGCTGTTTGGTCCTTTGCCGGTATGTCTTCTGATGTTTTCTGACAGAACGTAATCCAACTGTACCCCGGCCTGATGTCCTCCCTTAGTTTCTCTTCTCACTGGATAAACATGAATTCTTACACTGTAGGACATTCCATTTCTGAATCCATTGCTGCTGCTCTTTTTTATCATGTGAGGCTAGCTCCATAGCAATCACTCGAAAATAGAACCTCTTCACAACTTGGTTCAATATCTAGTGATATTTTATGCTAAAGATATGAAAAAGTGACGAATATACTAAGCATTGATAATGTCAGCATATTTACGCTTGAATATCTTCTCATTTCCAATGTCGCCGGGTTTTCACTAAACGCCTCAACTTCTGTATCACTTTTCGGTGAGTGTATATATTAAATTCGTCGCTGGTAAAAAATAACATCATCTGTAATTTAATAGAATACAATGTTACAGGCGTCGATGATGTCAAAATTTACTCTTTTATCAGATCCGAGTGGCTTACCTCTTCTCAGGGTTACGGTGACGGGACTCTGAAAGACATTGTGCTGTCAAGGAGCCGCTGAGAGCTTGAACAGACGGATGGACTTCTCTATTGTGTTGTGGAAGAGAGTAATCTCCTTTTTGTCCAAGGACTTTGCGCAAAAAGCGTAGAAGAAAGGTAAATTATTTTGGGAATAAGAAGCCTTTGGATCAAGGAAGGAAGTGCACCTTCCGTTGGGGTGGTATCTTCAGGACTTGAATGTATCCACGTAAAGGAAACTGTGGAATCTCACTCGACAGAGGAGCCAGAAAACGCAGTTTTGCGGTATATCAGATAAGTGATCAAGGTCATTGCTAAAGTGCAGTGATTGAGAAGGTAGGGCTCCGAGAGTACAGTCAAAGTGGTATTGCAAGAGAATCAAACCAGTCTTAAAACCACTCACATCCCTTGCAAACTGGCGAGTACAAAAGAATTTGAACTCTGAGCTGAATTCAGCTCGAGTCAATTACCATATAAAACACGTTGAACAGTTAAATTCAGACCAGAGAAGGGCGTCGTGTGGTCTTGGTTACGCTTAATAAACAGTTAGCCTGAACGTATTATTGGGGTCTATTTAACCTCCATAGAATCGTGAACTCTGCAAGGGCTGCAAATCGCCATACGGGAACCCCATATAATAGGGGCGTTACAAGCGATATGCTTTTCCATTTCTCAAATGTGGCATATATTATATAACCAGTCTCATAAGCGAAATTTATTGCCATCCAGGGAGAAGACAAGGAATCTATCAAGTATGATACAGGAAAGAAAAGGAGCACATGGGGTCTATTCTATAGCCAACGCTCGAAAAAAGATAGACAAAATCTCGTCTCCCCTTGTCTAATCGGCTTATGGGTATGTTTGTTGGAGAGAGAGGTTTAGGCGGAAACAGAGGTCAGTTGGTGGTGGATCTTTCGGAATGGGTGCATAAGTAAGAGTCCTAGGACCTTGGAATGTTGCTGACGTCAATTAAGAGTCACCGTCGACCATTCACCTTTTGGTGGGACTAATGTAAGTTTTGGAATAATGGATATTTATTCCCCCCTCATCTTACGGAAGAAATCGGTGACACTGGTGAAAACGACCAGCAAAATACCACCACCAGGGCCCAATCTCAACACTTTGGGGGTAAAACCCTTATACAGGGCACCAAAGCCTTCTTCCTTCATAACTGTGCCCAAAGCTGGCCATGCCCAGTTGTACTTTGGAGTCTGTCCCGCAATCTTGGGGCTGTTCTGAATACGCGATTTGACCACATCCATGGGGGTGTTTACGACTGTACCAAGAGTTCCGCCAACTGTACCCGCAATAATATCATTGCGCATTTGTTGACTCTTGTTTCCAGGCTCAGCTTTGGGGAGTTGGGCGCGAATTTGGAAGATTGACCCGAAGTAACCAGCATTCCAGAGAATGTGACGCCACAGAGTCGACTCGAGACCGTTGTAAAGTGCAAGTAATCCTTCCTGCTTGACAATCTTTTGAACCACATCAATCATGCCATTGTATTTTCCGGCCGAGTTGCGGTCCTGCAGACGGATCTTGACAAGCTCAAAGGGGACAACGACGAAGGACTCAGTGGCACCGGCGGTTGCGCCAGTAAGGATTGCCAAAGGTTGGTTGGTCTTTTCGATTCCAAACAGTGACCGATAAAAAGCACCCCAGCTATCATTAGCAGCGAATTTGGTGGCACGTTTTGGAGCTTCCATGAGAATTGGCGCTGTGATTCCGCGGTAGAGACGCGAAAAACTAGGTGTACATTGCGTATTAGCATCGGGTTCTGCGCATGAGAGCAGGCTGCATGACAAACCCTTCATTTTTCACAATCTTCCGGAAACAGTCAACCATTCCATTGTAAGCTTCAGCCCCGGTCCCACTGCCCTGCTGCAGTTGTCTATTGCCAATTAGCAACGGAAAATAAGACGCTGGGACGGAGGAAATTACACTCTTGTTTTGACAACATCTAAAGGATACCTAGCTTGATTGTAAGCACACTAAACAGTCTTTCGTCACGCTGTAATTAAGGGGAGTGTAGAATGATGCGCACATTACAAGAATCTAGTACAATTGACAGTTTCCGATTAGTATAATGGAAATGCAAATGGCGATGCGAAAAACACATACCTCAGACACACCAGCAACCGCACCCGCGGCGAACTGGTATGCGAATGGCAAAGGTTTCTTTTCTTGCGACATGTTTGTGGGGCACACGCGAGGCAGTGAATGGGATCTCACAGGGGGAAATCCAGGCTGTAGATAGGATTTCAAGGACTGGTAACTATCCTAAAAGAGAGCGCCCCTGTTCCCAATTGACAAGCAAGCGTGCAGAGAGAGGGACAAGAGAGGTGAATTCGCGTGTGGCCAGTAGTGGGAGATGGCGGGATCGGCGACGGTGTTTCGGCAACAAAGGCGGCCGTTTAGACTTTTCGTCGCCGCCTGCGAGTCAATCCGCAAGCTCGGTCGGGCCAGGCCAGGCAACAGACAGAACTATGGAACCGCAACGGGCGGCTGCTTCTGCAAGGCAATAATGCCATGGCCCATACATGCATCCTTGTGGAACATGGCGTTGCAGCTGTGATGGGAGCTTGGACGCGTCTCTGGGGTTGATGGGCCCTGCCTGGCTGCTGGAATCGCAATTTATTTCGATCTGAACAAACGCCGCCAGGATGCGCACAGGACACAGGTCTCCGTTTGCTTGCAAACACAGGTTTATTATTGCCTAACAATAATATGGGGAATCCATGGACCGGGGGAAACAGCGTCGCGAACACGCCAGATTCGCCCCAGCAGTGGCTGAGTCAACATGAGCAAGAATTAGTACTTGGATTTGCCCCGCGTCGCGAGCCGAGTGTTGGCTGAGTGCCTGTTATAAACCGCTTGGATCTCTCTCGCCTCTGCTATTTTCTTCTCTAAAACATAACTAACTAACCAATATCCAACCTATCTAAGAGAAGCGATCGCATTGTCACCATTCGCCATGTCGTCCGCCCACCCCATTGTCTTCTACGACATCTCCATGCGCGCGCCCGTGGAGAAGAACTGCTGCTCCCCAAACCCCTGGAAAACCCGGCTGGCGCTCAATTTCAAGGATCTACCGTATTCGACCTCATGGGTGGCGTTGCCCGACGTTTCCAAAGTGCGCAAGGGTCTGAACGTACCCGCCTGTCGCAAATTCGCCGATGGCACCGACTTCTTTACCTTGCCGATAATTGAGGACCCCTCCGCCAATACGACGGTTGGCGACTCCTTCGATATCGCAGTCTATCTTCAGCAGACATATCCCAACGCCGGCGCGGGCGATCTTCTCCCCCCTATCACGCTCGACTATGTCTTCAAGCCCGATTTTGATATTCTGGTGCCCCTCTCAGAGTGTCGCGATGGCGAATTCGCCGAATACTCCAAGTTCAACGCGAACGTCGATGCAGCATTTACCACGCATACACAGCTGGCACTTCAACACTTTCCTTTCGACCCGGCTACTGCCGACGCCAGCAAGGCGGAATTCGTCCGGCGCGCCGGCGTAACGTCTTGGGAGGACTTTGCGTTGGTTGGAGAGCAGCGAGAGAAGACGATGGAGTCGTTCCGGAATACGCTGGGTGGGCTGGCTAAGGTATTTTTAAAGGACACTAACGGGCCATTTATACTTGGAGCAAAGGCTTGCTATGCCGACATGATCGTCGGCGCGTGGCTGCGGATGATGGCTGCGACGCTACCGGAGAGCGAATGGGAGGAGGTGAAAAGCTGGCATGGGGGTCTATTTGGGCAGCTACATGACGCATTGGAGATATATGCTGCTGTGAAATAATAATATATGTTCTTCTTGAAACGAATGAGACGAATTCCATATGCTGTTCAAACGACTTCATGCCCGGCCACCGTTCGCGGTCGACGCGACCCTAAGTCTGGTCATGTAATTAGGCCTCTCCGTCCTATTAGAATGAGCCAGCCTCACCAGCACTGGAGTGCCCTGCATTTTCCCCTTATAGAACGAGAGTGTAAGGCAATGCTTTGTATGGACTGTTAAATGCTTTCAAGTTCTCGGCAGTGCCGAGCATCCAAGTCACCTGATGACGCGTCTTTGTTGACGCAATGACGCGCTGGAAGCCAACCAAACCTTGAGCGAAACTTGCCAGTGACAACCCACAGCCCTCGCAACTCGACTATGTCCCTGACAGCTATGTCTCCAGATTGAAAGCGACTGTCATGGTTGATATCCACAACCCTGCTATTTCTTCTGCCTCTCGATCCAAACTGAATTCGTTCCGCTATACAGATGCGCCCCACATGTCTTCCAAAAGCGACGGCGAGTCGAATGGTGCTTCTGAACTAGAGAATGATCCCCCACCCGCGGTGAAGCTGGCTAAAGAATGTGATGACAAGGAAAATTCTGACCCCGAGATACGAGAGACCAAACCTGAATTCACTTGCCCGCAGACACCCGCTCATCGAATCCCGTTTTCCGACCTGATTAGCAATACAGAGGATGCCTTGAATAAAGCACCTGGGGCCACCACTACTCCCGATGATCATGTGTACTGGGACCACCGAACGTCTTCGACCAAAAATAAGTCGCGTTTGTCCACCAGGCGTGGTAAAAAGCGCCACCACAGCTCCTCGCCTGCTGGATCTCCGTCAGGAAATGCCATTCCAGCAGATTTAAGTTGCATCCAATCGATCCTGAAAACACCTCAGCAAGATATAGCTGCTGATTTATGGAATAAATATGTCGGTAAACATGGTGAACTGCCTGGTGGAGAACCCCCAAAGTTCCATTTTTCGCACCTTGCGTCTTCTGCCCAATCACCCGCACCACGGATACGTACCAGTAAAGATGGGTCAGGACTGCGACGAGCTAATAGCTGTAATATGTATTGGCCAACGTCCAATTGCAAACGAAGGAAAGTAGACTTGGATCAACAGCGCAAAGACAGCATCTGCGATGGCTTTGAAGGATCACGGTCATCGTTATTAGCGCCAGACCGGCCGAAGTCCTCAAAGATTGGTCTTCTGGTAGGAAAGATCCAGGAGACCCTACTTAAATACCCAAGAGATGACCCCGATGCCCCCTCTAGCTCCTCTCCGATGCCTGACCGGTCTGATACTTTGGATAATATCGGCCATCCAATTGCAACCGAAACACTACTTCAAAACCAGCCAGTCACGCCTTCTAAATGTATCGCCGACTCACGCCATGATATTTCACTGGTGAATGATGCTATTGACGACCAGGAAAAGTGTGGGTCATCGGAATTTGGTGATGATGATCTAGACCGTGACTTTCTTGCATTCACAGTCAACTCTCCCAAGAAACTTTTTTCTCCTCGCGCACCATCGCCAGAGCTTGAGAAAGAAATGCTGAATAACATACCGACACTCAGACCGGTAGAACCTCTACCTCCCGACCCTAAGGATATCTCTCTTCCGGAATTGGGAAGCTTTGACGATGACTTTGATGACTTAGATGATGGTATTGAAGAAATTATGGCCCAATACGATGAAAATGACCTGTCTAACGGACAGACAAAGGCCACCGAAAATATTATAGAAATTTCTGAACTGCATGAAACAATGGGCAATGTTAAAGATGAAATACCGAATGAGGATGTAAAATTGAATGAGTCTACTACTTATTCCACTGATGACGAGTTCGATGATGATATCGAATTTGAGGCCATTGAAGAGGCAATGCGGGTGAACACTGGAGTCAATGCTACTTCTAGCCAAGTTTGTCTTCCCGTGTATCCATAAATGATTGATTAATTTAGATCCTGTACTAAATGTTTTTCAAAGCATACTAAGTATTCTCATAATTTTAAACGGTGTCTGGTTCTTGATCACGCTGAGAATACATACACTGAAGCCAATAGGGGACCAAAGCTAGAAAAGGTACCCTGTTCGACAGTCTATCCTGAATCCACGACGCTTGCTAATCTCGAGGTAGGTACTGTTCGTACAGGAAGAAAGGTCAAGAAAGAACGGGGCGATCATTTTACGAGAGTCCTGGTTTGATACATCTTTTGAAAAGGACATTTATGTTCATCTTATTGGAGACTTTGACTCCAGCGGCCAATGTATCGTCGATAATGACAATAATTTGATCATCATCCACCCAGATACCCTTATATCAGCCACTGTTGTTGCGGATTCTTTCTCGTGTCAACGGAGAGCAGTACTCCAAGACCGTATCAAGGCAACTAGTGAAGCCTCGGGTCCACAAGTCTACGGCCATATTCTTCACGAGATTTTCCAAGAGGCAATGAAGGCAAACAATTGGAGTGAAACTTGGCTTAATGATCTCATTTCTCGGGTTATTAATAAATATTTGGAAAGTCTCTACCAGATTCGCGTGGAACCAGAGGAAGCCGTGGCTCATTTGCTGCCCAAGATACCTGCTCTGAAGGCCTGGGCGGAAACATTTCTCCACTACCAACCAAATGTATGCAATTCAATCGTGTTATTTGGTTTACCTCTTTCTAATCACTGTATAGGCCAAATCTCTTATTGAAGATATTGCTGGCACCAAATCTCAGCTCTGCATCAATAAACTTCTTGAGGTTGAGGAGCATGTTTGGTCGCCTATGTACGGCTTGAAGGGGAATATTGATGCTACTGTTCAAGCCGTGCTCCAGGAAGGAACAGAACAGAAGACCCTTACAGTCCCGCTGGAACTCAAAACTGGACGAAACAATACCAACGAGGCACATAGAGCGCAAACTGCTCTCTATACTCTACTGCTGTCGGATCGTTATGGTATGTTTTTTGGCGCATTGTGGTTATCCATGTACTGACATCTGGATACAGACATCGATGTAAGCTTTGGCGTATTGTACTACCTTGAAGCTTCGAAAACACTTCGTGTTCGAGCTCCGCTACCTCAAATTCGCGAAATGATACAGCAACGGAATAGGTTGGCTGTATATATTCAAAAACGGCTTGAACTTCCTCCCATGGCAAAAAAATCATGGCTGTGTAAAAACTGCTACGCAAAGCCTTCTTGTTTTGTATATCACAAGCTTGTTGAAAATGGCGATGAGAATACTAGTGGTGTGGGGAAGGATTTCTCTGAGCTCGTTGGCCATCTTACTCCGTCCCACCAGTCATTTTTTAAGAAATGGGACTTGCTCTTAACTCAAGAAGAAGGTGATATGACAAAATTTCGCAAAGAGCTATGGACGATGCTAAGCCCAGAACGCGAGGCCGTCGGTCGCTGCTTTAGCAAAGTTGTTATAGAGCCCGGCTCAGCCTTCGAAGACACTGATGGGCCGAAAATCAATCGATTCCAATACACCTTTGTGAAGCATAAAGGGTCTCCAGGCTATTCATTTACTGACTCGCAGATTAATGTTGGAGAGCCAATTGTTGTATCAGATGAGAAAGGCCATTTTGCTCTAGCCAATGGTTACGTGGTGCAATTGAGCTCGAGAAAACTTACAGTCTCTGTGGATCGAAAGCTACATAATGCTCGAACGAAAACTGCGGGCTTTGATGCCATTCAGAATCAATCGTATGTCGGAATTATGGAAGTTGGAGGCTTTGGACCCGAAGCGATAGACGAGGAGGAAGCTACGCTTTATCGGGTTGATAAGGATGAGTTCAGCAACGGAATGGCCACGGTTCGAAACAATCTGGTCTGTATGATGGACAAAATGCTTTTCCGCTCACGGGAGCTGAGAGACTTGATTATTGACGGCGCAAATCCATCATTTCAGCCACTGTCATCCATACCGAATCTCCCTACCTTAGAACAAGCAACACTGAATGTTGATCAGAAAAAGGCAATTGAAAAAGTCATGAGTGCGAATGACTATGCTCTAGTTCTTGGGATGCCTGGAACTGGGAAGACAACTACCATCGCCCAGATCATTCGAGCCATTGTGTCTCAAGGTAAAAGTGTCTTGCTAACTTCATACACACATACGGCGGTAGATAATATTCTTCTCAAAATTCGCAACGATAGCTTTCGGGTTTTAAGACTTGGGGTCCCAGCAAAAATCCACCCCGAAGTCCAAAAATTTGCGAAGTTAGCCGGATTACCACAGCTCTCTATTGATGATCTAAAGAACTCGTATGAAAATTCACAAGTGGTTGCAACGACATGTTTAGGTATCAACCACCCTATTTTCAACAGTCGCGCATTTGACTACTGCATTGTCGATGAAGCTTCACAGATCACGCTTCCAGTCTGCCTTGGTCCAATTCGGATGGCAAAGACATTTATCCTTGTTGGCGATCATTATCAGTTACCACCTCTCGTTCAGAACAAGGAGGCACGGGAAGGTGGTTTGGATATTAGTCTGTTTAAACTGCTCTGTGATGTCCATCCTGAATCGGTGGTTAACCTTGAACATCAATATCGGATGTGTGAAGACATAATGCTTCTCTCTAACACTCTCATTTACTCTGGCCACCTTAAATGCGGTACGCCGGAAGTAGCATCTCGTTCATTAAAGGTCCCCGACATAGATGCGCTGAAGCAGCACCATATGAGACCGCTAACCGTGTCGCCTACCCAATCACCTTGTTTGGGACGAAGTCATGGGCGTTGCTGGCTTCGTGATCTTCTCGAGCCAGGCGCGAAAGCCCGCCTTGTTAATACGGATTTTTTAAAGCCAGCAGCAACGGAATCTTCCAACGGGGCCCGTATCGTGAACCCTGTTGAAGCTACTCTGTGTACGCAACTTGTCGAAGCGCTTATTTCCACTGGAATTTCTCCGCAAGATATCGGTGTAGTGACACTTTATCGAAGCCAGCTCGCACTTCTCAGACAAAAATTGCGCCACCGTCTTCCGGACCTGGAGATGCACACAGCTGATCGGTTCCAAGGTCGTGATAAAGAAATAATTATTATGAGCTGCGTCAGAAGCAACGCTGACAATAACGTTGGTGACCTTTTGCGAGACTGGCACCGAGTTAATGTTGCATTTACTCGCGCTAGAACGAAGTTACTAATTGTGGGTAGTAAGACTACGCTTTGTGAAGGAAGTGAGTTACTACGAAAATTTGTTGAGCTTATGGATGGGCGGGGGTGGTGCTATAATTTACCACTGACGGCGGTAGAGAGCCATATTTTCGAAGAGCAAGCGTTCACGCAAGCCAGTCCACAAAAATCGCGGAAGCTTTCGGTCAGTCCGAAGAAATCCAGTCCCATGAAAAAGGGGATAGTGAAGCAGAGGCCTCGAACGGCGCTCAGCCCGGTAAAGAGCAGAGGAAATATATTTGCCAGCCTTACCAGGAAACCAGAAAAGGTAGGAGGGAAAATGGCACATGCAGCTAGCATGATTGAAAAGAAACCTGTGATGAGGGATGTTTATAATGACATGTTCGATGATGAATCGGTATTTTTTGGTTTATGAACATTCTTGGCTTCTTAGCATTGGCATCGTGGTTTATCATGGTATTTTTGGACATAGAATCCAATGTCCACCATGCCTATTTTATTGGAAATTCATGTCTGTTAGTGATCAAGGGTTAGGGAGCATTCCGTGCAATACAAAATATATGTTCAAGTGCAATTCTCCTTTATATATAATGCACAAAAGCGCCTGTTACCAGACCTCTACATCACGAACTGGCTGACCATGGGCTACCAGTATACTCCCAAAAGACAAAACTTGGCTTTGAAGCTTGATTTTCTTCATTCGCGGAGGTGAGTTTTGTTTGAGGAAACCCTAGTATCATATACCCATCCTTGCCTTCAATCGCTTTTTTACCCAAAGCACATGAATTGAAGGCAAACCAAGAATCAGATTTAGTGGTGCTATGTCTTGAACAGTCATATTAGTTAGAATTATCAGCCAGTGCTTTTTAGAAGGCCATTAGACGTACAAAGTAGCAATGAATAATTGTATAATCCATGGACTGGGGATTAATCCTTTCCAGGAGATTTTCACTAAATTAGTTTGTGTGCAGTTCTCTTGGTCCGGGACCGAGTATCGACTTAAATACTGATCAATCGTGTCATTGGCATGGATACGTGGGGAGTCCAAAAAAGCGAGAGCAAGCCACTCTTGAATCTCATGACATGTCTCAATAAACGCCGATGTCGCCCTACCTTCGTCTGTAACGAACGTTGAAGGGGTAAGCGGGGGTACTAGGATATCACGGAAAGATGACGTCGTAGACGTGCAAGGGAATATCTGGGGCTGATGCTTCTTAATAGGTGCATCTGTTTCTAAGCATTAGTAAAAGGGTCAATACGGTACCAAGGGAATGGTGATGATTCTGACCCTCGCCTAAGATGCTGGATGTTGACGATAAGTCACAAAATAGCCATGCAACAGATGAGTTTAAAACGTTTTTAAATGCCCATACAATGCGATCAAACCCTTTTTTGCCGTGGAGCATTGAAGGGAGGCGAAGATTTATTTCAACAACTAAATCATTCAGCCACGTCAGCTGAATAGATGATATAGAAGACATACACATACCGTATCTGGTGACCACATGTTTTTTACCTCCACTTTGGATTGGTTTACCTACAAGACCTGCGCGTTCGTAGGAGTTTTTATCTAGCTCTAACGAAAGAAGACCTGACATCGGAAGGTTAGCCCAAACATGTACGAAAGAGTAGAAAATGAGTAAATGTAACGGGAAATCATACCGTCCTTAAGCGAATATACATTATCCACGCCGTGTCTTCCCTCTGAAATCATCAAGATATTACCTACCACATCAACCACACGTCAGGAATGCAAAGTATATGCTCGTAGAGAAAACTTACCAATCTTAATATATTTATTAAAGAATTCACCTTCAATAACATCTAACAGAGACATGAACACCTTCGCATATTCACAGGGGTTAATCTTAGCCGAAATTGCATCCCAGGTAGTCTGAAAAAGCTCATCTGGGAGAAGAAGCTCTATCTATAGGCTAGTTAGGACCAAAGGCTACATATTCACATGAGAAAGTCATGATATAAAGATAGATGGGGCATATAAGTACACACCGAATGCGTAAAGGGATGCCCTGATATCGCTGATAATGGTATTTTTTTGGTTGGCGGCTGTCGTGGATCAATGGAACGGGGAAACTGGCCGATTGTAGTACGGCATTTTTCTTTGTTCAGCGTGGGATCTTCGATGTCGAACATTTTTCTCTACAGCGCGGATTCTGCGACTATCCTACCTTACTATGAAGCTCACGGATATCGAAATGCCTGGGAGAAGCTGAGCTGGAAAGCTAGTTTATCACTCCAGCATTTCGTGCGTGAATAAAATATTCCAATTAGTTGTTCTTAATGTAAGATTCTTCCACAGATCCCACAGGGCGAGCACTGAGCTCAACGAATATTCTTATACGCCAGGACTGAAGTCGGATGCCATGCCGCGAGGGCCATGAGCGGAGGAAGGGTGCTATTCCGATCCCGATGACTAATGTCCGGATTTTCTATTCGCCGGTCCACCCGCTCTCTCTCCGTGAAGCTATCAGACAAGGGCACGAGATAAACAGACGGAGGTTTATCGCCATCTCGACAATCATGGCAACGCGGTGACAGGAAATTAAGATTTGAGACCAGTGGTCTAGCAGGCGCCCAACATGCCACCTCCTCCCCCAACACAGATGATCCACAAAGACCGCTTTAGCTACGCATTCGGCAGGCTGAGGACCCAAACCTATACGGATCCAAATGCTCGCGGGCCTGGCTCCCACAGGTACCTGCAACTCGGAGGGTTTTTAGCGACTCTTAGTTCTGACTCTTATTACCCAGCATTCGTACGCTAGCATGGAATCCAACTGGCCTCCTGATTGCGACTGGCGCGGCGGACCGTACACTTCGAATTTGGAACCCAGAGCGGCCCGATGTGCGAAACTCGACTGAGCTACGCGGCCATGCTTCCGGGATCGAACAGGTTGCTTTTAACCCGGTCAAAGAATCTGAGCTAGCAAGTTGTTCGACCGACGGGACTGTCCGTTTCTGGGATGTCCGATCCAAAAGCTGCGTCAGCCGACTTGATATCGGTGGAGAAGCATTCACTCTCTCTTGGTCCGCAGATGGCACCGTACTCTTAGCTGGAAGAATGGTATTTCCACCTTCTCTAAATAAATACACAGGTTGAAGCCTAATCTATAAAATTTATCCAGGACGATACCCTCGTTCCCATTTCTATAGACTCCCTCTCCTCACCTACAATAAAACCCCCCACAGAAACCCCCAAGTCGACCACACCAGCAACCGCATACAACCTCCTTACATCTCACAAACAAAGTGTTCAAACAAACGGTACCACTTTCTCACATTCGCAGTGCCCAAATGCAGATATATTCCTTACTACCGGCGATGGCACCGTCCAAATCGTTTCTTACCCCTCTTTCACCCCACTACACACCCTTAACGCGCACACCGCCGCCTGCCTCTGCGTATCTCTCTCCCCCACGGCCCGTTACCTCGCAGTTGGCGGCGGTGACTCCCTTATATCACTCTGGGATACAACTGACTGGATTTGTAAACGCACTGTTACTAGTACAGGTGGCGGTGGTGTTCGTGGTATTAGCTGGAGTTGGGATGGCCGGTTTATAGTTGGTGCGTGTGAAGAGGTTGACTGTGCGGGTGTAGGGCTGGAGATCTTCCACGCGGAGACAGGAGATAGTGTATTTACGATTCCTACAGACGGGGCGCATGTTGTGCCTGCCGTGGCATGGCATCCATCTAGATACTTACTTGCATATTCCGTATATGCGGAATTAATGGGAGTGGGTAGTAATGGTTTACGGATAGTGGGTGCCTCTGGGAGCGCCGTATGATGAAAAATGCCGAGAATGTTAACAATTTGCACCTTTCCGCTTTAAGCGTTATAAAATATTATTTGAATAGTATATTCATTATTCAATACCAAAAGGGACTTTCCATATGTAACATTAAAAGCATTATTAAAAATCACGATATATTTATTGTAAAGCATGATTCAGCTGGAGTATCGAAGAGGAACGGGGTCATCAAAGTGTGGATATTGCCAAAATACTCCGTAAAAAAATTCCAACTAACAAATAAAAAAAGTAAAGGAAATCATAATAATATAGTTGATGAGCCTGTCAGATACTCATGTACTCCGAAAGAAAAGACCCTCCCCCTTTTTGGTGCAGCAAGTAAATAAACGCCAGATCCTCATCAAGTTCCGAAGGATATAAATATTAGTGCTGCCAGTTATTCCAATCAATAATGTTGCCCGTTGCATTCTGCATCCAACTAAGGTCTTCAAAGAACATAAGATCTGCGCCTAGGCTGGCAGATGTAATATTTGTGGAAGCTGGGAGTGGATTTCCTCCCTCTTCCGGTTGTGTGCGGTTCTGATTGCTGTAGTTCCAAGACGCAGTAAATCCAAAGGGGTTACCTACTGTAGATTGTACGTTAAATGGATTAAATGTTAGGTCGGGTGCGATAGCGCCGGTATCGAAATCAGGAGACGTTACGGGTATATGAGGTTGGGATTTGGTTTGAGAAGACTTATGTTGTTGTTTTGGGGACGAAGGACCATAGTCGATGGTATGGGGCGATAGGGATATGTTTGATGATGACTGGTGGGTATTGGGTGTTGAATGGTCGGAATTGGATTGCTGGCGGTCACTTGTGGTACTAATGTCCGTTGCCATGTCTATATCCATGGCAAGTGCACGCCTTTGTTCGTCTAATAAAGCCGAAAAGGAAGCTTCCGTTGTATCCCCCGAACTGTTTGGTACACGATAGTACGTTGAGTGAGGAGTCGAGTGCGGTTTTTCTTTGTTATTGGGCTTCTGACGGCTTGGAAGAGAAATATTTGACGAAAATATGCCTTTGGCATACTGTACTTCGCCATCCTGCTCAACACTGGATGTTTTTCGTGTTCCTGTGGCATTTTGGTCTGAAAGAGTTGAATTATCAGGTTTTGCTACGTCCGTCTTCGATTTAATTAGTATTTGCAGAGATCTAAGGATAAAGTAGGCTTCCAACATACCAATTCAGGGTCTGGCTGCTGCAAAGTGCACGGCAAACTAGAGCAGACGACACTAGGAGTCTCCAAGTTGGAATTTTCAAGGTCGAACTCTAGTTGAACCAAGAATGATTGACTTAGTGGGTTTTTGCTTTTCAACGCATTCATAGCGGATATTAAAAATTGAAGTGACGAGCGAACAGTGAGATCCTCAGATCGTGATCTTAGATATTGAACAAAAACACGTGCGGCTACGTATAAACAAAATGAGAGAAACGGGTTCATCTGCCCAACTAGATTAGCTCCGTTACCTATAGTTCTCGATATGAATAGCTTACCACCGTTAAGTCAAGATGGCTTATCATCTTCATGATGTTAGTAATCTGGTCAGCCGCAATTATACAGCGACGTTTACTTTCTGCAGCAATTTGATTGGGCATATGATTCTTTTCTGCTTTGAAAATCGCGGCTTGGTGGAGGCAAATCGTAGATGTATGGATACACATATTGCAGAATACAACGGTAGGGTCGTTAACCCCCTCGGGTAGACGTAAGTGGTTAGGAAGGGATAGTGATGTGTTTAGTAAAATATTGTCAAGGGCGCGATGGCGTTTCCAAAATTCTCCATTCAGATCATGGTCCTTATCATTGGCGGAGGGACGATGGAGATGGTGAAGGTTCCTACCGAGATGACAAGTGAGAATCACAACGGAAGCAAAAGACGAGAGCGTAGAAGCACCCTGGCCAGCCAGGGCGTCAGATAGCGACATGCTCTTCTGTGCTCTACAACTGAGAAATGCTTCGTCAGAGGCAGGGAGATAGGTTAAAATCTGGCCGATAAAAGATTAGGACAAATGTACCATCTAGCGATATTTCCTTCAGTCCACTTACATCTCTTTCATCCACCATCATTGGCCAGCCAGTTCCTACCGAGGCATATCGATCTTGGCAAAAAGCAACCCAAAACGTTCGCCTCCTTTCTTCTCGTTCGGTCCAATCGCGGGCTGGTGGTATACATTGCTTGACGTCTAAACCCAGTCCATCCTGTCGATGTAATCCCATCATAAGAGATAATCTAGTAGCTCTACCCGCACTCATCCACGCCCGAGGGAAATACATCATTTTAAACTCGTAGGAAGTGATCAATACCCAACATTGCGCATGTGCAACAGTAATCAGAGATTCACCAAGACCTTTCATCTCATCCATCTCTGCGTACTTTCGGGCACGCTGATAGAAATGTGGGTGAAGTGATTGGTATCGATCAGTAACTGCAGCTGCATGCGCCCACATCATATATCGAAGACAAATCGGTGGTCTCATCGCAGGAGAAAGATTCATGGCGGCATAGTATCGTGGCTTATGAATCATAGGAGAGGAAGGGTGAATTTTTTGGAAATAGATGTTGTTTCTGATGAATTCATCAGTTAGAGTACGTCACGTAGACAACTATGGACGGGGCACATACAAATCATCGATGGCATCTTGGGTAGGGAGAGCCTCCTCTAAGCCCAAGCCTATCATTTCCCAGGGGACGTCTTCGCCAATTCCAAGATTTGTTGCAGGTATATCCACAGGGTTTGATGGCAGGTCAACATAAGAATAGAGGGGCAAGGAAGATTCCGAATCAGGAGCCGGGGCATAATCTATGCTCTCCATAGAGCCGTTTTGTGATGTTTGGAAACGTGTGTCGGAACTCCCGAGAGGTCCTTGTGGGGTTTCCCCTGCATCTTGTACTTTAAGTAAAGTCTCAACTTGTGCTAGAAGCCTGGGTTAGCAGAGATCTGAAGACTGGATATTGTCCTGTAGAGTATCCCAAGAAACGCACCTAATCGGGCCTCTAATTGTTTGACGTAGCCTCTTTTAGGGCCACTCTTCTTTCTCACTTCGTTATATGCACATGCATGGCCTAGCCGTGTACAGTTCCCGCAATTGGGCTTCACTCCATCGCATCGCAATTTCCGCCTTCTGCACACCGTACAAGCCACTCGTTTGGGGCGCGGAACATATCCCGGGGCAGCATCTTCACCTATTTGCACTTCGCCCGGGGCATCACTTCTTGGCTCCCCAACATTTCCGTCAAGCGCTGCATCAGAAACTACCACTGGTTCGGAGGTATTCACGGCGCTCATACTGGCCCACTCGTTGCTGGAACAAGAGGTGTGCGAGACAACTGGGCCTCTTAAGTCGGGTAAGATATGTGTAGTAGGAGTATAACTTTGCAAAACATAACAGAGAAGACTGGCCGAATTCTCCCACTACAGCAAAGGTCGCCGCCATCGACGTCGAGCTGGCATGTGTCTTACGGAATCATTGCTACCTGGCGCCGATGACATAAGCTAGCGTCGGTTATGTAATCGGACCTGGGGCGACTGCGGCTCTGCCCTAGTCTCTGTTTCAGACTAGCCGGCCCACCGCCCCCTACGTATCGTGCTGCAGAGTGACATAGTTAACTAAGCAGTGGAAATTTATTGGCACCACAAACCTCACTGTAGCCCAATAGCTACATTATGCTCCCCCCTGCTGCGGGCTATTCAAAACGTCATTCAGCCCTCTTTTCTACAGCGTAAAGCCTCTTCTCAGAAGAATGCTTCACCTCCCTCTTTGAACTTGCTCAGCAGGCCATCTACTTGACGCTTTGAAAATGGAGTCATCGAAAGGAGACAGCTTTAACTTGCTTCGCGACGTAGGTCTGTCAGAAGATGAGGATTTTTTGAAAGAATCCTTGGACGCAGAGCGGTGGCTGGAGGCGCGCAAAGCACAAGAGCGCAGCGATGAAGCCGTTCCTGAAGCTTCAGTTGGCGGCAGCGTACCTGTATACGAGTCCGGATCTCCAATACAGCCGTCTTCGAGTCTCTCCACGATTCGCCAATCCTCCTACCTGACTTTAACCGCCATCCCGAGGTCACGAGCCTCCCAGCAGGCGGAAGCTTCCGTGTCGCCTGGTATGCTCATAGGCTCATTTCAGTTGAAAACCGAAAACGCCAATCGCAAGAATACGGCTAATTTTGAAGTCGAATGTATTGACCTTACCCACGATAAGCCAGTTATAGTCGCTTCGTCGTCTCATACAGTTGGGACTGAAACTCAAGGTGCAGCCCAGCCATTGACAGCTGTCTCTTCTCAGTATCAACCCCTACATTATCGACAACAACAGATGCCGCGTGCCCCTTATCCTGGGTATAACTCCGTTAATGCCCCTTCCGCCACCCCAATGCATGGAGAGGAGTTCATGCAACGCCCGTTCACATCTTCGGCATTTCTTCCCGCTACTGCCACCAATGCATCACATATTCAACACAGGAAAGTCGACAGCTCTTCACTAAATGGCTATCTGAATGTAATTCCGCAGCAAGCGCTCCCCAATATTTCCCTACCCCATATACCTTTTGCTCCTATTCTCAATGGCCTTGCGCCTCAATTAGGGTATGTCAATTCCGACTTCTTCGTCTTAGATTAAAGCTAACAAAAAGTTTTGCTAAAGAGGAATATATGATGGCACACGCTCTCAGGATGAAGCAAATGTAGAGCTGAGGAAGCTTCTTGACAATATTCGACCAGACCAGGATCTAGAACGCAACTGCGAAGGCACACCTAGAGCAATGAAATATACGTTGATGGAACACCAGAAACTTGGACTGGCGTGGATGAAATCAATGGAAGAGGGCTCAAATCGTGGGGGAATTTTAGCTGATGATATGGGCCTCGGGAAAACTATACAGGCTCTAGCTCTCATCCTCTCTCGGCCCTCAAGTGATTTCAGTTGCAAGGCTACACTTGTCGTTGCCCCTGTTTTCTTGATGCATCAGTGGAAGCGGGAAATCGAACAAAAGATTAAAACTGGCTCTCAGCTCTCCGTGTATATCCTTCACGGAGACAAGAAAACCACACCATTTTCTATCTTAAGAAAATATGATGTTGTACTAACATCCTACGGTACAGTCGCCTCGGAATTCGGACGTAGGGAGCAGCTTGACCTTGTTGCTCGCCAAACTCCTAATCTTTATCAAAGTCATCCGCTTCACTCTAAACTATCGGTCTTTGGAGAACAGTCAAAGTGGCACCGTGTCATTCTGGATGAAGCTCAATGTATTAAAAATAGGAAAACTAAAGCCGCCCAGGCATGTTGTTATATCGAGTCTACCTATCGATGGTGCATGAGCGGGACTCCAATGATGAACTGTATTAAGGAGCTTTACTCCTTGCTTCGATTTCTTCGCATCGGGCCGTATAATCATTTAGAAAGGTTTAATACGGTAAGCCCATCCCATTGTATTAGCGACATGGGTTGAAATTGATTTGGATGCAGGCATTCTCCCGCCCTCTCCAGAGCGGCAGCCGAAAAGATCAACATGATGCCATGAAAAGGCTACAAGCTCTGCTAAAAGCCACTCTTCTTCGTCGAACTAAGACCTCAAAAATCAATGGGCAACCCATCTTGCAATTACCACCCAAAACGATCGAAAAGATTCATGTGGTATTTAGCGAAGATGAAACAAGGGTTTACAATATTTTGGAAGCTCGGACTCGATCCCAATTCACCAACTACCTAGATGCCGGCACCGTAGGCCGACACTATTCTAACGTTTTAGTTATGTTGCTTCGACTCCGTCAGGCGTGCTGTCACCCACACTTAGTAAAGATTGCTAGGCCGGACCTTGCAATCAATATAGGCAATATTGATCTGATAGGTAATGCGAAGTTACTTAGCAATGAAGTTGTCACACGCTTGACACAGAATGGAGACGTTGAATGCCCTGTGTGTATTGACGCTGTGGACAATGCAATTATTTTCTTTCCTTGTGGGCATAATATCTGTGCGGAGTGTTTCTCAAAGATATCTGATCCCTCTAGAGCTGTGGTGCAGGGCATAGATGGAATACTTGAGATTAAGTGCCCTAATTGCCGTGCTAGAATTGACCCCAAAAAGGTCACAGACAGCAATTCCTTTCAAAAAGTGTTTGTTACCGGGGACTATGTTGATACGGTTGAAAATAACAATGACGACAATGAAGAAAGTGATACTTCCGACGAAGATTCGGACGATTCAGAGGCAGAGCCGTCATATACTTTTATCGACGCTGAAACAGACGTTATTCCAAAGCCTAAGAAGAGGAAGCGAACAGGTACGGTAAAGGAAGATAAGAAGTACCTAGTCGACCTCAAGCGTGCAGGTCTGAGAAACGCCAAAGCGAAGAGAAAATATATACGGCACTTAAAGAAGAACTGGGAAACCAGTACGAAGATAGAAAAGGCCCTTGAGATTATTCGTGATATCGAAAGCCAAGGTAATGGTGAAAAAGTGATCATCTTCAGCCAATTCACGTCTCTTCTCGACCTTCTAGAGGTTCCCATAGCGAGAGAGAGGTGGGGATATCGACGATATGACGGTAGCATGAGTCCAGTGGAGCGCAATGGAGCAGTGCTGGATTTTACGGACAATTCAAATTGCAGAATCATGCTTGTTTCCTTGAAAGCGGGTAATTCCGGGCTAAATCTCGTTTCTGCGTCTCAGGTCATCATTTTCGACCCCTTTTGGAATCCGTACGTTGAAGACCAAGCAATTGATCGAGCCCATCGCATTGGCCAAACCCGGCCAGTTACAGTACATCGGATCCTTGTTCAGAATACGGTTGAAGACCGGATTCTCCAATTACAGGAAGAGAAAAGAGAGTTGATTGAGAGTGCGCTGGATGAGAAAGCAAGTATGAAACTTGGTCGTTTGGAGGTTCATGAACTTGCTTTTTTGTTTGTAAGCTATCCGCTTTGCCTTCGCTCACAATGACACCAATTGATGGCTAACTGTATGATAGAACGTCCCTCGAAACCGCGGACGGTAGATTTTGAGGCAACATACTCCCAATCAACAGCAAAGGCAATTCTTGTTTTCCTGTATTGCCAATTCTCGTACAGTCCCTTCCAACAAACGATTTTCTTTTCCTTTCTTTCTTTTTGACTGGTGCCGATTCTGGCGTGCTGTTCTCTCGATGCGTAAGGATCATTCTGGGTCGCTTATGGGTGGCAATAGTCATTTTTTCGCATTACCATACCCCCCTGCATTGTATCCGGATTGTATTTTCAGTGTTCATTCAGCTTTTACTTCTGCAGTGGCTTTCTACAAAAAAAAAAACATCACTAGCATAGTATTCTGCTGGAGTGTCATCGAGCATGGAACCAACAAGCTCATCTGCAATAAGGACATCTCCTCGCGTTTCGGTGCATGATGCAAGCCAGCCTTTTTGACATTTCTTTCTGTATATCGGGCTCATTGATTTAACCTTAGTATTATCACTTCTACTCGAAATACAGTCATATTTTGAAGCTGCTCCATAAACTCTCGCCAGCCCCCTCACCCCTCTATAGAGCAGGATGCCCACGGAGTTGATTTGTTGCACTCTGTTTACAATGGATATCAAAGGCTACTTTGACTTTTAAAAATGAACAGCAATAACATGCTCCCCTGTTTCAGCCCAAGAGCGTGAAGCTTCTCCTATTATCATTGTTCGCATAAAATCCATAGATCATTAAATCAAGTAGGGTTGATGGGTTCCTTTTTTTGCATCCTGCCGTCTAAAATATTTTTCAAATTATTGAAACTTCATAGTAGTATTGTGATTTTGTTTCGCAGGTTTTGTAACAGGAAGAAAATTGACCCTTTCTCCATTCACTCTGCGCTCCAGATCACCCTCATAATTTCAAGTTTTAACCAATCACTTTACAAGTCACCATCTTCTTCATCAGGCAAAGGCATCTGAGCAGCCCGTTCCATCTCCAGCCGCTGTTCCTCGAGGAGAGCATGGTTAACTTCAACTTCAGGAGGAGCGAGGGCGGGTGCGGCAACAAAGTCCTAAAAACAATGTTAAAAAAATATAATTTCCATATCAGAGAATACTAACCAGAGTCTGGTTACCAACAAGTTTTCTAGCGAGCCACAAAAATGGCTTTTCGAAGTTGTAGTTGGACTTGGCAGAGATATCGTAGTATTGGAGGTTCTTCTTGCGGTGGAAAGTAATCGTCTTAGCCTTAACTTTACGTTCCTTAACATCGACCTTGTTGCCACAGAGGACGATTGGGATATTCTCGCAGACGCGGGTCAAATCGCCTAGATCACAATTAGTCTCTATCGTAAGAAAACTAGGAACTCTGAAACTAAATTGTCACTTACGGTGCCAGGAGGGAACATTTTTATACGTGATACGCGAAGTAACGTCGAACATGATAATACCGCACTGGCCATTGATGTAGTAACCATCTCTGAGACCACCGAATTTCTCTTGGCCGGCGGTATCCCACACATCGAACTGGATGGGACCCAGGTTCTATTCATATTGTTAGAGGATTATAGAAGGTACACACGCGACCGATAGCAACGTACCGTAGTGAAGCCGAGAGGGTGGACTTCGACGCCAAGTGTGGCAATGTATTTTTTCTCGAATTCACCAGTAAGATGGCGTTTGACGAAAGTGGTCTATGTCGATAAATGTAATGGTCAGCAAGCGCGTTTTACCTCGCTCGATAACCAAGTCGAGATCAGTGAGGGACATCAGGGTGGCCAACGCGGGGTAGTCGGCAGTTGACTGCCCGCACAGCGTTAAAACTCGAAGCAAAGCAAAAGACCAAACAAATGCAGTAACATGTTAGGATTCTCACCTTGCCTGTACCACCATCACCAACAAGCACCAATTTGAAAGTAGGTGTGCCTTGGTTTTGGGGAGCAGCCATAGTGGTGGAGATGTGGTATTAGTACGCAGAGAAAAAGGAAAAAAAGGCAAAAAGGATGTTTCAGAGCTCAGGGTAGAGAGCCGTCCGATGCACTTGAGTCTGGTGCGTGGGGCCGAAGAGCAGGAAGGGGGGGAGAGATAGAATGCGGGTGGTGGTGGGTTGGGTTGGTGATGGAATTTTATCAAGCAGGAGAGCAACAATTCAGGCGGCGTCGTCGCAGCCAAACAAAAACGGTTGTTGGGCACTGGGCATCACGTGAATTCTGACTCAGCGGCCCAAAAATGCTATCCGGCGGGCGAGAGCGGCCACAGTGGGCAAACTTGCAGTGGGGATTGGAAATATGTTTCTAGCACTGCTCGGTTTATTATTGAGGCGGCGCATTGCATCTTCATCAAGGAGGACACTGAATTTAATTCTAAACCTACACTTGAGCCTCCAAACCCCGCCAACTTCAAGCTTCATCCCTAGCCCATGGGTTACACACCAGTTGTGGTAGCGTTGAACCACTTCCCATAAATATACAGTGCTTTGGTATTCCTAGATCATGTTACGTATGCGCGGAAGAATATTTCAGAGTTATGAAGGCAAGTCGAGCTGTTGTAACTCATAGCGGAACTAGATGGCACCCCAGTAACCCCCGCCCTCCCCAGTCGCGACGAGGAGTGAGTTGCAAGATGAGATCCGTGACATTTTGGCCAGGTTCACTAGGTCTTACAACTTTGACTATTAAAGGCACCTATCACGGTACTATAAGCAATGCTTTTTCAAGTTGTAGTATACTCGACTCACCCCTTCACTATTCGTAACAACTTCCGAGATCTTTTTAAGATTCTCGTGGTTCATCCAGTTAACAGTCCCAAAACTTCGAATCTTATCACCAGCCTTCAGTCCTGCTTGCGCTGCTGGACTACCATCTGCCACACTATTGACCCTTACAAATGGTGTTTCTTCCAGGTCGTTTTGCCCCGAAGCGGTGTCGGTACGCTCAGAAACGGCAGCGGGCATCGGAGCATTACCAGACATCTCCCCTCGAGCCTCGCGATCTTTAATATCTGCAAAATAGGCATGCACCCCCTGCTCAAGCTTCGACATAACTGCCTTGTGATCATTACGGAGGTGGATTATTCGACTCCGCGTGGTGCGAACTGATAAGTTCCCAAATATCATTAGCAAGCCATGCCTACAACCTGGAGGATAAACTCATACTCTGAGCAATATCAAGGTCATCCCTTGGGTATCCATCGAAAGTGAGCAAGGGTGTTTCCATAGTTACTCCATGCTAGCAGAGGTAAGGTCAAGTCAACCCAAGTGTCTGTATGAATTTGTCCAGGGGGTGGAGAAATAACAAGAATCAACAAAGCTTACAAACTGAAGAATCCCACTAAGCGCCTTTAACTCCGCTTCGATATTCTCCTTTTCGTGGTAAAGTTCGTTGATACTGAGTCTTGAGATATCTCTCCCCGCGCCCATGCCAGAGGTGGGGCCAGATGGCACAGTCGGAGCGTGTAGTTCATCCATAGGTATTCCCATATCAGAGACTCCTTAGCTTTGCAAAGGGGGTTTTCATGGTCAGAAGAGGATAATCCTGCAATGACGTCGAGCTCACCTCCGCCACCAACCGCGTGGTTAATGATATCCGACATGAACCCAGTCAAAACCAGATAGTTAACTAGCTCAACGCCAAGCCCCGCCCAAACCAAGCTCCAGATTGAATTTCTTCAGTCAGCGACTCAGCGGAGGCATCTATCTGCACTTGTGGCCGTTCACTGGCGCAAAACAGGAACACTCTCATATTAGATAAAAGTGATCATAGTTAATACCACGCTTTAAGGGAGGTGAAATTGGTGCTCCGATACTAAGCAACAATGCCGAGTACATCAACATTGGTCTGATTTTTGCATTCCAGGCTAGTACTACACACATGTTGTTTTAATGGTTTTCTACATCTCGAATCCTAACCCTTGGCTTTATCATTATAGAAGCATACATACATACATACTTATCACCCTTCGAAACCGCTAATGCTGTCATCAAATACCTTGAATTACTGGGATAAACGCAAGCTGTCAATCGTTCTCTCACTATCCCGAGAACCCATGCTTAAACGAGCCACTACGGTGATTTTGTAAACCGTGAGGAGTTCCCTTCTGATATTAATGAATATGCCCCGTGAAGTACAGTCTACCTTATACCCAACACAGGTTCTCTCTTGCATTTGTGTTAGATAGACTCTAAACCAGTCAAGATCGGGCGGAGCATAAACCTTGCCTTGGTGACTTTTTAACTGTCTGGGTGGTTTGCGAGGCAAGAGACATGTTGCTCTCGAAGTAATGGCCGAAGGACTTCGAGATTATGAGTACTATATTCTCAAGGACGTAAAGGCTACATCTCATTCTTCACATAGTTCAACATCTTTGTTAGGAATAGAGATGATGCACAGTTAGAGGTCCTGGACAGTCTTCACATAGGCGCCTTCTAAGACTCTTTTAGGGGTGATTATCCAAGTTGCGAGAAAATAAGAAAGAATAAGAGAATAGGTCTACGGACACGGTAAAACCACTGTTCAACAAAACAAAGGGCCCATCGTCTACCACACTCATGTTGGACCTCACAGAATCGCTGTTGTGAGAGTACATGTACACGATAGCTTGGAATGAGAAACCTCCAAAAAAGTGTGCCTCTGTCAGGTATGCTTCGGGGAGATAGGTGAATAATTTGTATACCATTTGGGATATTGTAGTGCCGAGTTTCAGTGCTAGGCCAAAATCACCCAGGAGATTGGTTGAGACGATTATAAAAAAACTCACTGAGTACTCCCTCTGGTACACAAGCAAGCAACTATTCTTCCCGCTATTGCTCTGTTCTTTACCTGATAAAGAATATGTAAACTGGGCTGCTCCCATAGCTCTGGTGCCCCGGATTTCTCACAAAACGCTAAACTAGCTGGAAGGCATACCTCCTCTCCTATCTTTGTTCGTCAGTGATCCCTTCATCACCGCCGAGCCTCTGTCGCCCTTTCCCCAATTTGGCCGTTACGCGGGTCTAGTGATGCGATGTTTTCAGAAGAGCAGGTTTCTGTTCTTCTCGTGCATTTTTCTCTTGTTCACACTTGTTCTCATTTTCTCTTGCTTCATGGATGTGGTGGATTGGCCATTATGAGCCCAAGCACGGAAGAAGGCACCCTAGAAGAGTTCATCTTGGAGAACTATCCGGATGCCAATCTTCTCGATACAATCGGTGAGGGTGTGATCGAGGCCACTGAAGCAAGCTCAAGGGAGGCGCGTTCATCCTCTGGTTTCAGGAGCTGGGTCAGAAGTATCCGAAACAGCAGAAGTGGCTTTTCTCGAGGACCCACGCGTTTTGTGACCGATTGGCCCGAGGATGAGGGTCTAGATGAGAGCTATCGCATGTTCTCTGAACAGCGAATTAGCCGTGACGACGCTTCCTTCGTGACATCCTCTTCGTTTCTGCATAGTATCAAGACAGCTACTATGAGCCTGGCAAGCTTGAGCGTTTTGAATCGAGGACGATCAAATACTCAAGGGAGCAGCCATCATCGCAGCAGTACCTTTTCTGGCTCCGATCCCCGAAGATCAATGGAAAGCAATAAGCTTAGTACAAGTGTCTCCCTCGATGAACTCGCCTGGAGTCACGCAGTTAGGAGGCACAGAGTCATTCAAGAGTTGATTGACACGGAAACTTCTTACATCGCAATATTAAGGAATCTGTCACAGGTAAAATGTTGTCAAGTTAAATCTATTGCACTGTCTAACAGGTATCCAGGGCCTCTCACTGGTCTTCATCACTCCGTCCGCCGTCCGCCGTTGTGTCGATTCACTCATCACTCTTCATGAGAGCTTGCTAGATCGCTTCCTACATCGCCCGAATTCTTCCCAGTCAAGCTCAGTGTTCTTTTCAGCAAGCAGAAGTCGTCAAGTCAAGCGTGGCAATGCGAACTCTTCAGCTCCTTCAGGCACGAATAATGTATTTTTGGATCCTAGAAAGCCGCGTGGACAAGCAAGCTCGCGAAGTCAGCCTCTCAGAATTGCTGCCGCTGCTCCAAAAGAGGCGGCCGATATAGCAAGCATCATAGAAGCACATGTAGCCTCCCACATAAATCTACATTTAGGAGACAATTGCTAACATTACGCATCGCAGCTGCCGAGATTTTTGATATACAGAGAATATATTGCAAAATACCCATTGCTGCAAACTGAGGTTGAGGTGTTCAGACACTCAAAACAAAATTGGCAAGCATATGACCAGGGCCTTGAAGCCTTATTCCGAACCGTTCAGCCGCTCAGCTCGCGAGAAAAATATGCCAATCACGCCCGAACCATAAGTGACCTTCTTATACAGGTATGGGTAATTCGGAGTTTAAGATAGCGAATACTAATATATACGGTGATAGCCAGTGCAAAGGCTTTGCAAGTATCAGCTCTTCCTATCCGACTTGCTCAAATGTACCCCGGCGTCACACTGTCCGACCACGCACGAGATACTTCAGGGGGTATATCAAAAGGTCGTTGAAGTGACGGCAGATGTTAACAGCAGCTCTGCAGACCGTCTCACCTTAAGTCGGCTAAGGCAGACAATGGAGCTTCAGCTGAAGCTTGAATTCCCTTCGAACGAGGTACAGCGTGCAACTCCCGCAGCCTCCTACTGGAAAACCTTGTGTATATGGCCTAACTAAGTTTCCAGGAATATCGCGATCTGCTCAAGGTATTTGGGCCAATCAAAGTGTGCGGAGCACTTCATATCACTTACCAGGCTCGTGATATGGTGAATGGGGTATACATGGCATGTGCATTATTTGGATCCCACTTGCTACTAGCTATTTCAAGTAGTGATCGGGAGAAGTTCAGAGTTATGGGAATCGTTTTCCTCGGTGGAGCAAGGTTGGAGGAGACAGTCAATGGAATAGGTATGTGATGTTCTCATGTTGCTCAATGCTTCAAGTTTTGACCGTTGATAGGCCTGCATTGTGCCACACCTTATTCCTGGAAACTTGTTTTTAATTTCGAGGAAAACCTCGTGGAGCTAATGTTCAGTGCCTGTTCAGCAAAGGAAGAAAGCGAGTGGGTCCGACATTTGATATTGGAAATGGCTCCTGAAAATAGCACACAGCCTGGTGCTGGAAGTCCTAGAGGGAAATCGAGCCTGTATTTCGATATAAAGCCACTCCAGGCTATGATAGTGAATGACCGCCTCCTTGGAGTCGCGCGTCGTACTTCCATTCACGGTACTTTGGTGACGCTCGCCAGTCCGGACTACCAGCGTATTTATATCAAGGGCACTTCCGCGATACCCATCAATCAATCAAACCGCCCGCCATTGGGGAGGTCCCAGTCTGTCCAAAACGCTGAACGAGACATTGTTATCGCCCCAAAAAGACAAAAACGAGTCAAGCTAGAGAAACGACTCTCGGATGTTTGGACACGCGATATCATCCCATATCCAGGGATGCCAGTTCAAGGCCTCGGGGAGGCCTTTATGCGATCCTCGACTGACGCATTGATGGGAAGACTTACGAGTTTGCCACAATTTGGTCGACGCGCTAATAGCAACCGGATGATTGTAAGAACTAAGAGCATAGAGCAGTTCACAATTCAAAAGGATGACGCCAACAATAAGGAGGACGACGAGGATGACCCCAGCAGCCCTTCTCTAGAAAAAGAGAAAGACCAGGATGAAGAAGCCGACAAGTTTGATCTGAAAAGTACCATTATTGAAACTCCTAGATCCCAGCGTCGAGGATTCATGTCGCTTCGCAAGAAATACTCAATGTCAACTGAGTGCGATTCCGGACAAGGACCAGTTGAAATTCTTCCAAAAGCGATGAAACAAAGCTTGCGCAAGCGGCTGAGTGTGGCTTTGTTCAGAACGGGCTCTCCTAGCAGATCTCGTCGCTTCAAGTCGGTTGAGGTATGAGAAAGTGGCGAGGATCAGTTATGCCAAAGGGTTTTCTTATGGCGGACGACATTTGTGAGCGGGGGAGTCGAATTTGGAGGTTGAAATTTGCGAAGTAAAAAATCTTGTACTTAGAACGCAAAAGACCAGAGACATGTCTCTAAATACAGCACCATTGTTCTGCCGTAGTCGCGCACGTACATTATAGACGGCAGTGGATTCCATAGGTCAGCATAATTGCCGTTGGGCCGGTGCACAGAGAGCGCGAGGTCGATGACAGACAAGCGTTTTGGGCGGATCGTCGCCTATGACGAAGATGACGTCGTTGAGGGCGGGCGGGTGACATCAGCGCTCCGCCATTTTGTATGGCGGAAGCAGGTACTCCGCGGGCTCGGCCAACAATTCCCAGGGCAATGATGTAGGCCCGGGCTGGCGCTATATATGTGCTTGACTTTTCCACGGGAGAAAGAGAGGCTGCAATTGACTCCATACCCGCGCATATTCCCGTCGTTCTTCACGAGATATATCCATAACTAGTTACATACCTATACAAAGACACACCGATTTGCAAAAGAATCCGCTCGCATTTTCATTATCTAGCTAGCTACCATTATTACCGTCCTAGTCAACCAAGTCCCCACGATCATCGAGAAGAAAAAAAAAAAAACCAACAGACGTGACAATGGCCCGCGGCAACATCGACGTCTACAAGGTCTTCTACAAGGGCGACCACGACGACTTCGTGGTGTTCGTCGAGGACGTGGCGGCGGTGCAGAACTGGAGAAAGGACCGGTCGATCCCGCTATCGCAGGTGGTCAACGGCTTCAAGGTGTTTTGCACGCATCGGTATGGGGCCTTTCTTTCTTTTCTTTCTTTCATTCATTCATTCACCGCACAAAGCCATTGCTGATCTCCAATTTTTTTTTGTTCGAACGACCCAGGCAAGGCGCGCAGGGCATCTACGACGGCGCCAGCAAGGCGCTGCTGGAGAGCGAGTTCGGCACGTCCAACGAGGACGACGTCGTGACGAAGATTCTGGAGAAGGGCGAGATCCAGGAGAGCGAGGTGGGTCATTTAACTAACTAACTAACTACACATCACACCATGCAGCTCCTGCATGTCTTTCTTGACATAGAGAGAGAGAGAGTGTGTGTGTGTGAGAAGAGTCTTGAGCTGACGAAAAACCGCAGAACCGAGAACGTAATGGATCGAAGAATGATTCCAAGGGGGTGTACATGTCGCGTTAGTTAGTGCGACGGGAACGCGAGCCGTTTCTGCTGGGTGGTAGAAGGAAAGGGGGCGTATGACGTAGGGATGCATGACGTGTGTGGACAGGGTATGTTGGAACAGAGTGCCAGACCAGCCATGCTGCTACGGGGATGAATATGCATGTCTTGTCTTATGCTATATACAGCAACAAGGGGGGAGGGAGGGAGGAAAAAAGGACCACGGACCGCCCCATTGTTTGTTCTACATACTATATGCAAATTGATTAACTACATGTCCAAGGCTCATTTTCTTTTTTAGCGATCATCGCGGGTTGGGACCAGCCCAAATTGTAGCATCCAGAGTGTGTGAAGCATATGTCAGGAATCAGAAGGTCTTCTCTCGTCAGTAGGTACAGGGAATATATATATATATATAGCGTCGCACGGAGGGTAAAAGGGGGTATTTGGAGAATCGGCGTCGCCAGAAACGCAGGCGGCGACATAAGAAAAAGGGGTAAGTTATACACAAAGATGACGGGGGAAAATATAAGACGCATTGGGACGTACAGATCATGATGGAATACGGAGTACAAGGCAACGATAAACACCAAGAAAGAAAGAGAAAAAAAAAGACCAAAAAAGGGAAAAGGGAAAAAAAAAAGTAGTTTTACGGAGGGTGATCCACCTCGCTTTGACATCGCCCTTAGAAGTGTTCTTTCCAGAACCTGAAGCGCACCTCTCGCGACGTGCACTCCTTGGCCGCCTTTCTGATCTCCTTGGCGGCGACATTGGGCCCGCAGAAGTACACGCCGACGTCGGTCCGCAGCGAGGCGTCGAGGCCGGGCATGTAGGTCTGGTCGACGAGGCCGGAACGCAGGGCGGTGAAGAAGCTGCGGAAGTCCGGGCGACCGAACTTGGTGCCGGTGCGCAGCTCGGTCAGCGGATCGACCTGCTGGCCGACGGAGTTCAGCATGATGTTGGCGGCGGTGTCCTGGTCGAAGCGCTGCGTGAGGTAGGTGTGGATGCGTAGGAACTGCTGGCCGGCGCGGGCGTCGGCGGCCGACTGCGATTCCAGCGAGGACAGCAGCGCGTGGAACCACTCGAAGGAGCTGGTGTCGCGGCAGATCCAGATGAACTCGACGCGGCGCAGGCGCGTGGGCGGGTTGGGTCCCGCGCGGAGGTGCCAGATGTTCTTGAGGATGGCGGCCCAGGGCGTCACGCCGATACCCGTGCCAATGAGCACGGCGATTTCGTTGTCGAAGACGTCCTCGGCGGGGGCGCCGTAGGGGCCGTCAATGCGGATCTTGGGCATGGTCTGACCATTCTGCACGGCAATTTCGTACATTCCAAGAGGGTCAAGGCCGTTGATATCCTTGGATTGCTCGGGACCGCAACCTAGACGGTTTCCAAGAGCCTTGGTCCAGTCCCCAACTTGGCGGATGTGGATACTGATGTAGGGGTCAAAGGGGCAGGATGTGATAGTGAAAGGATGCCACTGGGCGCGCGAAATGCCGGGAACCTGAATGAACAGCCACTGTCCGGCTTTATATTTCATGCTTGGCTTGCTGAACTGGATTTCCATGGCGTCTGGCGGAAGATTGTTAGTATCCAAAGCTCAAAAAGGTAATCATAGAAATTCGAGCAAGGCGTACCGTATGGGTGTCTAACGACCTTTGTAATCTTGGTCTCTCGTGCAGCACGCACTTCGCGATACAGTCGCTCGATGAGGTAGATGCCACCGCCCCACAGCTCCCATCTCCAGCCTTCGTAGCCAATACAGTGGTTCCAGAATTCGTCACCGGCAAGTGGAGAGATGGGCTTCAGAGTGTCACGCACGAAGCAGCCAGTGGCATGAGTGTAGAGGCCAAGCATGAATGGGATGAAAAGATGATGGGTGTACCAGAAGGTCTCGAAGGCTTGCTGCCTGATGCGGGCGTGGGCGGTGGTGTACATTAGAAGCATGCACAAGAGCATGATGTGGCCCGTGATACCGCCGGCCTGGGTGTAATGAATCTGGACAGCGGTTTCCTTGCGGACCTGGGTTTTCTCGACGTTGAAAAAGCTGAGGATTCTGCATTAGTAAAGCGGTTTTCTGGCTCCGATTGAAAGAAAAAAAAAACCAACTTACTTGACATAATGAGCGATGGTATGCACCAAACTGAAGAAAAGCATAGAATAAGCAACTTGTCGGTGGAACCACTGCGACTCGTCGAGTGGAAGCCATCTGAACTTGGGTCTGACGTATCGCAGCAGCGTCCTGCACATGGGGAGGAGAATGAGAGCGCCATCGACGGAGAGCACCAAGCCGGCGCCTCGCGAAATCCACACGGAGAACTGTAGGGTATTAAGGGGAGCGAGTCGGATATCCGCGGCCTGCTTGTACCTGGACGGAGGTCAGCGATCACGAAGAGGAAGGACTCTGGTCTGGAGTAGGGCAGGGAGCGCATACCATCCAAAAATGAAAATGCCAATGTGCAAACCGTAGAAAAGAAAGTAGAAGAGGAGCTTCGAGCCACCGAAGTGCCGGCGCCACGTTGAATGCTCCATGATGCCGGGCGTCAGGCAATTCCCATGCACGGAGAGGGTTGTTCACAGAAGAGCGACAGGAAAGAAAGAAAGAGAGAGAGAGAAGAAAGAAAAGAGCGAAGAGAGAGAACAGGGAGCCGCTGGGGCGTCAGGAGTCCAATCTCGGCGCGGAGGTTGGTAATAAGAGAACGAGCGGGCGGCAGGCAGAGGGCGGACAAGAGGCCAATGACATAAGAGGGCCAAAAAAGAAAGAAAAGGAAGAGACGAGGAAGAGCGGCGTTCGACGCTAGGGCAGGGCCGGGGAGCATCAATATTAAGGGAGGTGAAGCAGGGCCAGGTGTAGCAGATTGAGAAGCGATATCAGACGGTTGGGTCGGGTCTGGCGGGTGCGGGCGCGAGCAGAGGAGGGCGGGCGACGGGGTTTCGCGAGGCTGGATCGGGACACAAGCGTCAAGCTTTCCCCTGGGCGGACGGAGAGTTTTCGCGGGCAGGCAGGCAGGCAGGCAGGCAGCGTGGTTCGTGGGAGAGAGACGATCTTCCGGGACGGCGGTCACGACGGCGGGCTGGACATGGCGAGGGAAGAGAGGTAGCGAAGGGAGAGAAGTGTGAGAGCGCACAAGCGAGGGAAAGCGATGTGTGTTTGTTTGTAGAGAGAGGTGAGGGCGTAGCGAAATTGAGGAGCGGGCAGACAGCAGCTGGGGTGAAGCGGCGGGCGTGCGGGCGGGTTGGGCGAGGGAGCGGTTCCGGGGCAGTTCGTGTCTCAGAGCGGAGAATTCGCAGCGGCTGCGGCACTGATGCGACGGGGCGAGTTTGGCCCGGGGGGTGGGCAGCAGGCGATGGCGTGTAACTAGCGCTGGTAGGTGGGTGGTTGAGTATGGAGTAGCAGCAACCAGGTAAGCCGGTAGTTAGGCGTGGTGGTGGTGGTGGTGGTGGTGGTCATCATCTCAGCGAGAGTGAGCGACCGTGCTGTCAGTCGAGCGGGCGGATCGGCGGGCGTGAAGAACGGCTAAATTTAGCGGTGGGTGAGTGGCAGGCACCGAACCTAGCGAGGGTGGGAGTGCCTGGCGAACTCTAATACGAATAATACTCCAAGTCCATGCGCAGGATCGCCTGCCGCCCGCCCAGTACGCCCCGTCACGCCCGTCACGTCACGTCACGCCATGCATGCGACGCTCGCTTGGGCTAGTCGCCCAGCTTATGTCACCGCCCCAACCCGGCTAGCGGCCTGCCCCGCCCCACATGGCCTGCCCGCCAATCACCGCCCCGCCTGGCCCCGCCTGGCCCCGGCGCCAGCCCGGTTCTGTGCGCTGATTGGCCGCTTGCCTTCGAGAAGCGCTGTTTGTGCTGCTGCTCACCGTCTGTCCCGCCGAGCCCTGCAGCCGCTGCAGAACCCGCTCGCTCGCTCCCCTCGCTTGCGCACCCGGCTGTCGCTGTGCCCATCGCTACTACTACTACTCTCTCGCCCGTCCATCGCATTCTCACCATTCTTAACGAACTACTAGTCCATTATCTACCTCATCTCGCTGCTACACGCCTCTGTTTTGTCTCTGCGCCACCCGCTCCGCGCCAGATTCCAGGAGCGCCGCCAATGCTTCGCGCCCTCGCCCCAGGTGTGGCCCAGACCTCGCGTCGTGTTCATGCCTGCTGACTGGCCCTGGCCTGCCTGCCCTAGTCCCGCCCGCGTGAACGCTATTCTTGCTTCTTGCTCTCGTTCCCCCCAATCGTGCGACTTGGCCGTGCTGGTACCGCTGTCACATCTGCTGTATCAGCCCTGAGGCACACCAGACGCCTCCCCTTCCATTCCTCCCTCCCCCAAAGGAAACAGGCCGCTGGTCAATGCCACACACGCGCCGGACTAGCCTGCGAATCCATCAAAATCTGCTGCCCGCGCCCCTTTTTCGCCTTCCTGCTGCCGTTTATCACTGCCATGCCTCGCCGCCGCTGTCAGCAATAGTCGAATGCTCGCTGGCTCGCCATTCCACTGTCCATTCGCTGTGTTGACGGCCGCTCCTCCGTGCTGACCTGAGTCCTCGCGCGAGGCCTGCTTTTGCACGTCTGTTCTCTTTCTCTTTCTCTTTTTATTGTCTTTGTTTGGCTGCACGCTCCGTGCCTTTGTCGTCGTCGTCGTTGTTGGTGGAGGACTGAACAAACACCCCGCACGCCCACGTCTGGGACCCAGGGCAAGCAATCATGGGAAAACTAATCAAGAACCATCTGGCGCGGCTAATCGTCCTCACCGCTGCCGTCTGTACGTTGTGGAAGTCCTGGCCTCTTTGTTTTTTGCTCGCCTGTCTAACATCCATCCTGCAGTCCAATTTGCCGCCGGCGTCCACGGCTTCTTCTGGCCCAAGGTGTTCTGGGACTTTATCACGAAAAACCTCGACGGCGCCGTCAAGCCCATCCCCATCCTGCAGGTCTTCAACGTCATCTTCGGCCTGCTCGGCATCGCCCTCGAATGGCCTTTCAAGCCTCTCGCCGGCTCCATGATCCACCGCAGCATCGAGGTTCGACTGCTCCTGCTGCCCGTCAGCACTCTGCTTGCTGGCCTGCTCTACCAGGGCACGAACCCCGCCATCTACTACATTGTGGGGATGGTCGTGTACTTTTGGGCGTACAGCGAAGGCGAGGTGAGAATCTCCACTTCCTCACACGTACTGGGACACCTCAGGCTGATTTCTCACAGGTCGTTTGCCCCGAACCGTGGACCTTGCCCCAGAAACCAGGCCGAATAACGAAAGTCTAATGATCTAATTTTCCCGATGCTTTCATGACTTTGATAGCTCATGCATGCATGGACTCTAACCTTTTTTTTTTTTTTTTCTTTTCATTTCTTTTTTGCTGAACTGATCGAGCCGTGGATCATTTGAACGTCCCCCTCCCCCCTTTCTGACGACTTGTAGATATATACATTGAGGATTTCTTTTTCTTTTTTGGTACAGTTGCGGTGTGGGCGTGTGAACATGCCGTAGTCTGTGGCGGATACCGCGCCTGCGTGTGGTATTGCGCATTCGAGAGTCCTTGCGCATGGGCTGTATATATATGCACATATAGCGACACGATACTCCCTCAAAACAATTCAAAAATTATTACGATGAGAATTATCTAGCAAACGTAGCTACGGCCCCGTTGGGTGCGCTCCAATCTGACAGCCGTTGACCACCTGTCGCGCCGTTGGGGGATCACGATCTAGACATTGTCTCGGGCGTCTTCGGCGCCACCGACTAGTCTCCGCGCGTGTATCTCAGTCAACCTGTCAACTCTATAATAAATTGCTATTCCACCGCGACGGATAAGTAAGACACGACGGGCAACGGCGATGCTTGGCCGTTAAGTAACTAATTAATTAATCTGAACCCTCTCCACTCTCCACCCGGCCTACCTGCGATGCCGTCCAACGAGGACATCCTCCGCTCCGCGCCCGCCGCCTCGTTCAACGGCGCCCTCGACAAGTTCCGCCACAGCCTCTCCCCCGACCGGCCTCGCTCCACCACCGCGTCGCCGCTCAAGCGACGATACGCAGACCCGGAAGGCGAAGACGAACACGAAGCCGAAGCCCACACACCCTCCTCATCGCCCTCCCGCCCGCCCGCCAAACGCACCCGCTCCTCCCCATCCGCCTCGCCCTCCCCCATCAACCTCCTCCGCGACACCACCCCGCCCAACCTAATCCTCCTCCTCGTCGGCGTCAACCCGGGCCTGCTCACCGGCCGCACGGGCTTCGTGTACGCGCACCCGTCCAACCTGTACTGGAAGCTGCTGCACGGCTCGGGCCTGACCTCGCGCCGCCACCCGCCGCGCGACACCTACCGCCTGCCGGCGCTCTACGGCCTCGGCAACACCAACCTCGTCACGCGCCCGACGCGCGACGCCAGCATGCTGAGCCGCGCCGAGCTGGCGGCCGGCGCGCGCGCGCTCGAACACTCCGTGCGCGCGTGCCGCCCCGACGCCGTCGCGCTGGTGGGCAAGGGCGTGTGGGACGCCGTGTGGCGCGTGCGTCGCGGCCGGGGCTTGCGCCGTGCTGACGGCTTTGCGTATGGTTGGCAGGCGGAGAGTGAGAATGTGGGCGTGGATGAGCCCGCGGGCTGGCCGGGCGCGCCGGTGTTTGTGGCTACGTCCACGAGCGGGCTGGCCGCGGGTATGTCGATGGCGGAGAAGCTGGCGGTGTGGAGCGAGTTGGGCGCGTGGGTTGTGCGCCGGAGGGAGGAAAGGGGGTTTGTGCCGGATGAGAGTTGAGATTAACTAACTATGGGACGGAGTATGGAGTAGTTAGTTTTTGGATGTTTATGCATGTGGTTACGGAGTTAATTATCTACATCTCGTCATTGCTGCTCCGGTCATCAGGCAGCACGATCGGAGCCCGCCCAGCCTCCCTCCTCTCGTCGTCCATCTCGTCCAACACATCCTCCAAATCGACATGGACCCGCAGCCCCTTTTCAACAAGAACATTCCACACCTTCCTTAGCTCCCCAAAGCCCATCTCCTCCCGCAGCCCCGGCTCCTCAAACGCCAGCAGCACAAGCGCCTTCGCCCATGGGCACGACCGGATCGCTCGGTAGAACACGTCACGAGCCCGGCGTCTGTGGCCCAGTGCCAGTTCGAACAGGATATACAGCTTCCACAGCGCGGCGCTGCACTGGCCGCCGCTGGAGCCGACCGCCGTCTCAAAAGCGGCGCGCGCGGAGTGCGCTGTAGATCCCGTCGAGACGCCGCGGTGCAGCTCGCTGTAGATGGAGAAGAAATGCGGTGTGAGAGGAGGCTGCGCCGTCGCCTTACCTGACGCCTGGTGTGGTGGGGCTATATGGTGTCGTAGAACATCGCGTACGCGGTCGTCCGTGCGAAAGCGAGACTCGTTGTAAGCGAAGAGGCTCAGGAAGATGGTGTTGTGTGGGAAAAGAGCCAGGCTGCGGGATAACTCCTCCCGGATCAAAGCCGGCTTGTACCTCCTCGTGCTCAAGGTATGGTGCCATAGGAGCCGAGCTTTAGACTGATGCAGGAGCTCGGACATGTGTGCTTGCGCCAGATTGTTTGCCGCCAGCCGTTCTTCAGCGTCTCGGTATGTTTGCAGCGCACTTTCAACATCCCGGCCCTGTTTGAGATAGGCCAATACCGCGAGACAATCAGTGCTACTAACGAACTCGAGCGGTTTTCGAAAAGACAGGCCATGGTCCCGGGAGTCAACAAGGATCTGGAAGCGGTTAACACCAGTTCGTGCTACCGTGGCTTGAGGGAACTACTTACTCTTCGTATCTTCAGCGATTCCGCCGGACTAAGATCGGCGGCCTGCTGTGCCTTCGCTGAGAGTTGCTCAGCGTCGATGCTGGTGTCCGGCATTGCGCGGAGCAGCTGAATTGCCTTGTGAATGTCCTGTTTTGTCAACAATTCCCAGAGCCATGATCGCCATAGCAGCACAAAATCCCGCTTGGCGTCCTCCGAGAAGGAATTGTTCATGGACAGAGTTGTCATCCAGACCTTCTCGGCTGCGGCTTCTTGGCCGCGCCGGCTCTCGACCAGCGCATACGTGTTGTACAGCTCAACGCTTAGCGGCCGCTTGCGCAAGAGGGATTTGGCGTATTTTGTGGCGTTGTCGGGGTCACAGGCATACTCAAGGCCGATAGAGTATTTGGCTAAAGCGTCGTTCGTCGGTGTACGACCTACCAAGTGTCGCAGAGTTTGGCGGGCCCATCGAGCATCGATGATGCCCGCATTATCAGCATAAGTGTTTTTCCAGGACAGAAATGCTGAATACCAAGACGAGGCGTCGCTGAACATAGTATCTTCATTATTTGCAAAATTGGAATATGGAAGCAAGATGGGAGTGGCAGACTCATGGTTTTCTGGACCAGAGGAAATACTCTCAAGCCACTGGGCAGGTATATCCGACTGATCCAGGATCAGGTTGCGAATAAAAGGATCCTCACACCACTGTGATAGAGTATCTGGATTCTTCCCCGAAGACTGAGGGGGAAGGCGACAAAAAAGGAGAAAAGCGTCAAGCAGTAGATCGGATACGTCTTCCGAGAAAATGGCAAGAAATTCTGAAATGTCAGATGATAAAATTACCTGGTATGGGTCATCCTCTTGGACTTCATCTTGTGTCCGGGCCGGCAGGCATGAGTGATGCATAAGGTTCTGCTCCACCTTGATCCAGGAGTCAAAGATGGCTGCCGTGTCAACTGTCCCTGGCGGTGGAGCTGCTTTGGCGGTAGGTGGTTCGTGCCCAGCAGCGTCCCAACCTCTAGCATTAGCTTCCCCTAGCCGAGCCCCTTCGCCGTCCCAAAAGTCAGAAAATGAGCTGATGGCATCGTAAGTTGTACTGAGGTCTGGTGGGCGACAAAAGTTAAATTCCAGTATCGCTTGCCACATAGCCACAGCATGTTCTTGGTAGCCGGCCTCGCGCATGAAAAGACTAAGTCGGAGCAAGATATATATGTGGATGATGTCCCGCTTATCATTGTCGCGAGAGGTGCGGATTATGTGTAAACACTCTAGGAAAATAGAACGACAGTTTTCATACGTAAAACTGGTGAAGCGTGTTTGTTGAAAATCAAGGTATTTAACCCATAGAGATATGTATCCTGCGTTTGACTGTAGGATATTTTTCCAATTATTCGACAGTGTTTTCGTGTCCCATACCTGGGCGCCTTCTTCCATCATGCCAAGTATAAGCCGATCACGAGGAGCACTGCTAGAAACTTTGGTTAATGCCTTCTCATATATGGAAATTTTTACATCAGCAATGCTTCTCCTTTCAGCGGATGTGAATGTGCGGCGACCTTCCGAGTCTGCAACGCCAACTAGATTTTCCTGGTGATCAATAAGATCCAACCATCCAGAAACATCCTCCGGATGGGCGGAAACATGAGCTGACAGTTTGGAATTCTGTTGCCTTGCAGCCTGGCCTTCAGACTCCAAATCTGAATCTGAGGTCAAATCCATATCGAAAGCAGATTCTTGGGGCGGCTTCACCTTCCCTTCAAGTGAACGGTAGTCTGGAAAATCCAAATCATAATATAAAGAATTTTCGACTTTCCTCCGTTTTCTGCTTCCGCTAGATGATAGAGGAATGAAATTTTGCTGTAATTCAGCGCCTGCTTGAGCGGGAACCGACGGACGAACGCGGCGAAAGTCCTTATATTTACTAGCTTGTCTCCAAGCAGAAGTATTGAATCTTTGCCTGTCAATATCCGTCCTTCCGCTGCCAGACATATGTATCACGATTTTATTTCCCATGCTTGACTCGTGATCTATAACATAGTTGGAACGTAGGCCTAGAACTCTACCTGCACCAAGGCGACGGTAGAGAGGTATGTCATATTTATGAGGAGCTCCATACTCCACATTATATCTATCACCTTTCCGATCTATTTTGAAGATATCAGAAGCGAGTTGACTTCGCTCTCTGTATTCAATCGAGCGTTCAGGAACGCGTGGGTGTTCTGGAGGGGCAAGTTTGTCGCTATCCTTGCTTTCTTTAGGGTGAGCATGTCTGCGTCCATGTCTAGACTTTTGCGAGCCTTGGGCGGCATCGCGTTCTCTGGCCCCTTTGTCATCCCTATGTTTTTCCTGGTGATGCTCTGTAGCTACAGCCTGAAGAGGGAGCTTGGGTTTAAAGCTCGAGAACTTGGGTACTGCCTGCTTTCCCTACACACCATGCAATTAGTACGAATTCTTGCATAGTCATCAGAAACTCATTGCTATACCTTTTCTCCTGCAGGCTCCATCTCTGCGTTGGCCTCACCCCGAACTCTCTCGGTCAGCTCAAGTAGTAGGCTGGGGTCGGGTGAACTTGCCTCTCGAGAGAGGTGCGGCCGGGAAAAACTTCCCGTTACGGACCATAAATTTTTAGAGCTTCGAGTGCTGTCGCGCAGACAAAAACTCCGATCCAGCGGGGGTTAGAGGTTGCGTTGCTGGCTACGCTCATTTTTAGAAATGGTTTTTTCTTGAATATTTCTAGTACTGATTTTTCACTTTTTTCAAAATGGCATCGTCGCTGGCTGCGCAACTTGCACAAATTGCAGCGACATCGACCCATCAGCTTGATCTAAAAGCGCAGAGAGCCGCGCATTCTCAATCGTTAATATTCGATAAAAAGGTCGCGGGATCTCAGGACTTTGACACGATTTTCCAAATATGCTACGAAGGATTTCAGGAGTTATGCTCCTTGGATGCGCGCTTTCTGCCCTTCAGACGAACCATTTTCAGTGATCATAGTAAAACGGAGGATCGTGGGCAAATGACTGCAGACCAGAACAAGAAACTTGACAACGTATTAGAGGACTTCATGATCCTCGTTGGAGCGCGGCTTCTTTTGAACCCGGCCGTCAAAGCAATTGACTGGCTCATTAGACGGTTTCGGTAGGCATTCATCCCCAGTTACTCCTAGACCTGATAGCGACTGACATATCTCTGGTAGTGTACACGAGCACAACACGCCCTGTCTCCTCCTCACCTTTCTCCCTTACCATACCACCCCTTTATTTTTAAACCTACTGTCTATATTGCCTGATGATCTCACCCAGACATTTAAGGTCCTATTTCCATATAAGAGAAGTTTAAGTCTTCCTCCCAGGCAAGCAATCGTACAGAGTGCTACAACAAATAAACTATTTTTTTCGGCACTGAATAACTATGTTTTGCAAGCTGGAAGAAACCTCGCCCAATACCAGGGGCTCGTTTCCTTTTGGGCCGGGGTCACTACAGAGGCACTTGCAAACATGTTAGATTCGGCCAAGTCTGGGAGAATGGAAATCGAAAATAGAAACAAGGAAGATGTGCTAATTCGGATACTTCCAGTATTGAATGATGCATTCATGTTACAAAATGCTCCCCAGCTGGTTGTTGGTTGTTATATGTTTTGCGTGGTGCTTGCAAGCAAAGCAGACCTAGAGGACCATGTTCTTGATGACTTAATGGAGGCTGTGACCAGTTCATGGACCGAGACTAATACTGCGTCCGGCATCACCTGTTTGTCAGTACTGGCACAACATAAGCAAGAGCAAGCTTTGTCTCAAAAAGTTGTCAAGGCACTGATGGAGGTGGACAATGTTATTCAAATTATCGAAGAGCTAAGTGGGCGGTACTCAATGACGAATCTGATTCTTGGTCTCCTAAAAGGGTGCGTTCAATGGAATGGAAAACGTGCAGATTCTGCTCGGATTCCATTCGTTGGTCAAGTCATAGAAAAATCCATTTTGAACGACGAAGAAACAGTCAAAGCTTTAGTTATCTTACTCGAGGCGATTGACTCTCTACAACGGCGGAATCTTGTGACAGACGGAATAGGGAAGCAATTATCGGATTTGCTCTTGCAATTTAACGAATCTGCTCACCTCACACCATTGCTTCGCAGTGCCGTGCAGGAATCAGGAGTCGACGTCACCCGATTGGAAATGACATTGGAGACTGTCCTTCACATGGACGTGACTCCCATGGAGATCGAGTATGTTGACATGGCTGACTCCACAGGCAATTCTGAAATCGAAGACACGTTCGCGAAGGCTTTTGAATCCCTGTCCAAAGTGTCACCGAAGGAATACTCTTTCCTAGTAGAACAACCCAATCTGTTCAACCAGTTGGCTCATGCCTTTGTGCATGGGGCTTTTGTGAAAGACAGAGTATCAAAGTTCATCAAGCTCCCCGTTCTCCATTTCGACAAGGCTTTGGAGGACCCTCTTTATCTATCCTTTTTCATTCGCTTCTTCTGCGGCCCATACCCAGCTACGGCAAGGGCTGTGGCGATAAGCATTATCACGTCTTGCGTAGCTGAGATGGCGGATAATGGCGTTGACATACAGGCGATTATTCCCTACACGATCTCGGCTCTTGCTGATCCTTCAGAGAGAGTCCGGAGAGAAGCCGCCGGCCTATTGACAATAATTGATCGCCAAATTTCAAAGTGCCGGAACAAAGATACGTCGGATATCTGCATCTGGGGCCGCGAGCACGTATATGGCCAGACCGACTTTTCGAAGTCTATCCAGTGGCTCTCTGCCAAAGATGTCTATAAACTTACACACCGTTTTTTGATACCCGGAGTGGAGGAGTTTATACTTGATCCTGACCAAGTTGGCCGGGCCTTAGTACTCGCTATTCGCGGCGAAGTAGCGGGATCGAAGACAGTTGATGCCGAACTGAAGAAGCAATTCCGTCGCGATCTATTCTCTTTTATTTGCTCCCACGTCAATTCAACCCCACTGCACACCGTCAAATTACGGCTACTGAAAATTCTAAACCAGGTCGGAAAAGTTGGATCAATGACTCGGACTCAAACTCTTCGACCAATATTTGATCACTGGAGACTTCTTAGGCCGGACGACATTCAGCGTATTGAAAATGAGGAGCAGATACCCGTGAAAGAATTGGAAGAGCAAATTTTACGGATTATTTACCCGAAAGACACCGATGCTGTTGAGCTCTTATATGCCTCCATAGTTTCAAATCCACAAACTACAAGGCCTTCCTTCCAATCTGCAGCTTTCAATCGTTTGAGGGAAGCCTGGCGTTCATTTGATCCTAGTTATGAGCTGGTGCTTGCCAGTAAGCTACTCGAACTCTGTTTAGAACCCGAGCCTGAGAATATAGCATTGGTAAGTGGTGCTAAGGGCCTTCTCCGAGCTGTAGACCTTTCTGGCCCTGTTATCCTTGACTTTGTTGGTAAGGTCTCTTCATCTGGAGCCGACCTTGGATATCGAGGGCCACCTTCAAAAAAAAGACGCACGAGTCAGAACAATATGGTATCTATGAACCTGATGGATAAAGAGATGGATTCTGCGCTCCAGAAAATCACCTTCGTTCTCGAGCTAGTGGACGGATCTCACCCGGAGAATTCTCCCGAACTAATCCCTGGCCTCTTCCAAATACTCACTACTATCCATCACCTGAAATTGCAGACCAGATCAGAAATGAGTTATCTCCTCAGCTTAAACCTAGGCATTCTACTAAGTATTATCAACAAATGGAAAGGTACCCCAGCACGGAAAATCAATTCTTCTTCTTTAAGAGCGGATTTGATAATCGACTGTGTGCGTACATCTGAAAGCCCTCAAGTCCAAAATACAGCACTGCTTTTGGTTGCAGGCCTGGCTACTGTTGCGCCGGAACTTGTATTGCACAGCGTCATGCCTATATTTACATTTATGGGCTCTAGCGTTTTAAGAAAAGACGACGAATATTCTGCTCTTGTCATTGACCAGGTAAATTCTACTCCCTATTTTTATTGTTTTTTACGTTTTCATTTTGATATTAACATTTAGATCTTTGTTTAGACAATTGACCAAGTCGTTCCCCCTCTGGTACAATCGTTACGAAACCAAAAAAGAGATGTGGTGTCGGGTACTTCGGAACTTCTCCTTTCTTTTACTACGGCGTTTGAACACATCCCTTCATACCGCAGATTACGACTGTTCGATGCATTGGTTGCTAAACTGGGTCCCGAGGATTTCTTATTTGCAGTATTTGCGATGTTTGCGAATCGGTATGCCTTGGACAAAGATGTTCTGTCCGTGATGACAGCTCTAGCATCGGACTGCAATGTGGAATTGCAGCTTATTGTGAGTGTGATCTTGGGTCGGTTCAATTCCCCTTTGACTAATCAACCTTTAGACTTATGGCCGATATCTTAACTTGGTTAAAGATGCACTCCAACCTAAGCCGAAATTAGCAAAGACGCTATTAGGCGTTGGCGGCGAAGATGGACGGGACCCCCAGAGGGTAGCAGTGGACTTACTTCAAGCACTTTCACATCTTTTGAAATTCGCCTCCCTACGAACGAAGATAACCGAATGTTTTGATTCCGGTACTGATGAGCAAATTGATAAAGCCCATACGCTTTTTTCCAGCCTTTTAGAGCAGGTTATAGCCTTATCTGAGCCGTCCACCTCAACGAAATCCATAAGCAATGCTTGTGGTGAGACTCTGGGCACATTACTAGGTACCCTTTCGTTGGTCGATTTTATTGACACTGTTGAGGTGCTGCTTCGACGACCAAGCAATGACCTTCGCCGAAAGGTTCTGAAACTTCTTGAAAACCGCCTGGATGATAGCGAATACAAGGATCGACCCTCACAACTACGGACTTTATCTTTCCTGACTGTCTTGATAGATATTCTCGAGACGTCCCCCGATACCTTACTTCAACACACGGCAATCGCTTGCATTGAGAAGATTTCTGAGAAATACGGAAAGAAAGAACCACAGCAGGTTGTTTCGGCAGCAAAGGTTATTTCGGGCACTCATGGCATTGGGCAGCCTGAAAAACGTATTCGAGTAATGGGGTTACTTTGTCTTGCCTCTATGACCGACGTAGTAGGCGAAGCCATTATTCCTGCGCTTCCTGATGGCCTTCCTCGCGCATTTGACCTTTTGAAAAATGCCGTTGAAACGTCAACCCCAGATTCGGAACTTCACGATGCAGTATTCTCCTTCATTTCTGCTATTCTCATACAAATTCCCTGGATAATTTCCGGTTCTCACCTCGATAAAATTCTCCAACTGTCTGCGAAGTGTTCAAATGCCGATTTGAATCAAGGATGTGAGGAGAATCGCATTGAGGTTCTGCAATTGTTGGCTAGCAAGTCTGATGTTGGAGAAGTCCTCGCTGCTATTGAACGAAACTGGGATTTGTTAATGCCTGAGGGTCCAAAGGTTAGTATCTATATACTTTTTTCCCCGAAATATTTTTTATTAACATTATGTAGGTTATCCAAGAAGTCCTTGACATAGCAAAAATTGCAATTGAAAAACATCCAAAGTCCGCTACAGTGAAAAATATCCCAGTTTTGATGAAACTGCTCTGCAAAGCCTTTGACCTTCGTCGAATTCGGCTTCTTTCGGGAGACTCTGAGATTTTTGACGAAATCGATGTTACCGAGACCGAATCACAAATAAACGATGTGGCTATCAAAATGATATATAAGCTGAACGACACAACCTTTCATCCGCTCTTCATAGACCTAGCAGACTGGGCAATGAATGGATTGAATAAAAAAGAACACACGGGCCGTATCGCACGTCTAACATCATTCTATAGCTTTTTGCAGTGCTTTTTCGGCACTCTCAAGGTCAGTAATGCTTTTTCTGTGCCAAGACGGCTTGAAAGCCTAGCTAATTATCATCGTATTATTTAGTCCATTGTCACGGGATATTCCAGCTACGTTATTGAAAACGCAGTCGAAGTGCTTAAGATTTCCCGTTGTAACGATAAGGCGACGAAACCCCTCTGGTTAGCCTGCCTGAGTATGCTGCGAAACTCATTTGAACACGATCAAGATGGTAAGTGATCAGTGGTCGCTGTACCTTAAAGTAGGGACTAACAAATAACCGGCATACAGAATTTTGGCAGTCGCCAAGTCATCTTGCATCTATTTCTGAGCCTCTCCTCCGACAAATTTCTCTCGCTCAGAATGCTTCGACCTCGGATCTTGTTGTTTCTGAGGCCATCCCCACCATAGTAGCACTTGCTGTCGCTGCCGATTCGTCCGAAAATCACAAAGAATTGAATACAACGATCATGAAATATTTACGCGCAGGGCCGAGCAGCCGTGGAAACAATGCGTACACGCGTTTGGCAGCCGTCAAATGCGAGCATCAGCTAACAGAGCGTTTGGGAGAAGAGTGGCTCGCAATGCTTCCTGAAATGCTGCCATATATCAGCGAATTACTGGAGGACGACGATGAGAACGTGGAACGAGAGGCGCGAAAGTGGGTGTTGACGATCGAGGATATCTTAGGTGAGAAATTGGATGACATGTTAGCATAGAACTCGCCCTTGTTTGTGTTTTGCGGAGTATGGGAAAATGGATTCGTGTTTGTTGGTATCTATGGCGTTGGAATATGTATCTATATGCCGGATTTCATATAAAAAGCTCTCTAGGTGCTCTTAGTTTGGTGGAGGGTTCAAATCAAGGCCGTCAACAGTCAACTTGAACGAATCATTGCGAGAATAACTCCCAGCAACGTCCAAGTCCAATCTCCCCCTTACACAATCGTCAAAGTCAACCTCCGAAATCAGCAGCCCGCCTTCCTGCTCATCATCCGCAAACCACGCCGGGCCCGCAAGAACCTTGCCCATGGGGCTCACAATGCATGACCCGCCGCCTGTAAGAATGTCATCTGTACCGTCGCTGCCTTTGGCATCAGGGCCCATCACCCAGCTGGGCATCTGGCTCTTCCGAACACATTGGTTGCAGCTGAGAACAACAGAGCGGCTCTCGCATGCCACTGTTTGCATCAAGGGTAGCCAAGTATCGCGGCCGTCTGCAGTTGGAGCTAGATATAGGTTTACATTTTGCTGATACAGGCTTTGTCGCAACAACGGCATGTAGTTCTCCCAGCAAATTGCGGCGGCGAGGGTCAACTTGACACCGTTGATTTCAGTTGTTACGGCTTTCAAGGTCGATGGCGACCCTTGGGCCCAGACAAGACGTTCAGTGCCGGTCTACGACCGTGTGATTAGAGAAAATGCATCTGCTAGGATTAAGTAGATATCATAGCTCACCGGCATGACCTTCCGCCGCTTCCCCAGCATCCCTCGCTGGGGGTCAACATACACCACCGCGCAGTACAGGCTTCCGGCACACCGTTCGATCAGTCCCACGATCACAAGGAGCCCAGTCTCACGCGCGATGCGCTCCAGGGTCTCTCGAACCCCATCGCCTCGGTAATTCTTCCCTTCAGCGACAGGTAGCCGCTTATACACCCAGTCATCTCCCGCTCCAGTAGGCGTATCTCCCAGATCAACAGCAGCTTGAAAGTAGTTCAGGTACTGTTCCCGCCCAATGTCATCACGGCTTCCCATCGCTGCACCCCAAGTGCATGTCCGTGGATAACCTCCTAGAAAACCTTCGGGAAAAAGGATGATTTTGGCACCACGGGACGCTGCCAGTCGGGCAACCCGTTCAAGAGTTGAGATCGTCTCCTCGGTGGTGTCCCGGGTCCTCGCCTGGGACACGGCGACTTTAAGCTTCTGAGACATGCTGGTCAAGGTTGAATTGAACACGGTCGATGTACAATGTTCGGCAACAACCTGCCTGTCGGGTTCTTGGGGTTTCCCCGCACTAGCCATACTGTTTACCCCGACGGCGAGGTGGGGAATCACCGACAAGGTTCTCAGTCAAGATGTTGGGCAACACGCGGCTCTGGGGAAGATTGAGGAGAAGAGAAGGCCTATCTTATGGTAGCTATTTACAATAATCTAAGAACGAAGCACCCCTAGGATGATATAAGATATGTGTCAACGGATAAATTACGATCCCAAGCATGGTGTGTAGCCGATGGAACCGTACTCAAAGATCATCGACTGGAAGAATCCAATATTCTTGTCTCATACATCCCTTCAGAACATACATCAGGAACGCATCCAGCTCAAAATCGGACGACGGAAGCGTAGACAGATCGAGCGAGGCAAGAGACTGTACTCCGTACGGAGTACTGTAAACGCTATTCTATTTCATATCGTGGAAGACATAGTCGTAGTCGTGTTCGCTATGGAACCACAAGGGGTTATTTACCAACCATGAACTCCGCTGTTGAATTCACACTGCGGTAGATCCTGCCTTGAATTTTCAACTGCTGTATAATTATGGTACACACAAAGTCCCTATAAAAAAAGGAACATGTCACGCTCATTATGCCCATGAGGATTTTAGTACGCCACTTTTGTACGCATGTCCTATTGCATAAATTAGCCCTGCAACAAGGGAGGCGTCAGAGCAAAACGAAAACTCAGGACTTACAGAAATCTTCCTTTCAATTTCACGAACAGATCGATCCAGCTCTCCGGCTATCATTAGCTTCTTATCATTTGGTAAAGTAAAATACGTTTCGCAGAGGTCTCCGTCAATAGTTCCTTTCGCAGGTGCGTAGTAACTTCGGTAAATTAAATGGTCACGGCCGGCTAAAGGGGGGTTTTGTGAGGTTAGCTGCATTTCTAGGCTTTGGAAGAAATCAACATCTTCACGGCTGACAAAGGGTATAAGCAATCCAATGGTTCCCTGTAGCCCAGTCCAGACAACGATATCTCTTCCCCCAGCGACTAGCTGTGTTTTTTGAAGGCTTGTAGGGATATCTTGAGGGTAATAGTGAACCACCAAACCGAGTCTGTTCGGTGCACCCTGGAGATACTGCCTTTCATGGATAAGGTGTGCGCCTGAACCATCTTCATCGGCCTCTTCTGACGCTTTTTGGGGACATCTTAATAGCCAAAGATTTCCAAATTTATCACCGCCAGCAACAGTTTCATAATCAACCATTGCCGTACATGTAGTCCAACGAGGAATCATATCATCAGCGAAAGGAATAAGTCGGTTCTCCTGAAACTTATATACCACGTAAGTAACACTCTCTTGAACGTCGCTGACAACGATACGGCTACCCTGGGTCTGAAGGCCAACAATCATACGTGGTGTGACCTCGGCTTGGCATTTGCGAAGTAGTTGCTTCATGCCGAGATCATAGATTCGTAAGTCTGTGCCGATACCAGCAATGAGACGTCCTTGAAAAGGCAAAAGAGCTTGAGGTGGAGATTCAACTTTCGTTTTATGAATAAACTCAAGTTCTTTCCCTTCTTCTTGAAATCTATAGATATGAATGTAACCTCCTGACGAAGAAGGGGGGTTAGCAATCATGTTTTGGCCTGTTCCAACAACCAGAAACGTTTCATCGTCTTGGCTGGAAAATGGTACTGCAGCAACGCTGATGGCTGCTTCGTTCTCTTCCAGTTCAATACGAGAAAGTACTCCTTTTCTGTTGATTGGATCTACAACCTGGATGCATGATGCCCAGTGACCTGTTCCACGAGCGTACCCAAAGTCTTCTGGGGGTAGCTCTGCAGATTCTCCATTAACTGCTTTTGAATCCTGAATCAGTTTCGCTTTTGTAGTAGGCGCAAGTATATTGTTGTCAGCCTCTATGACATAAAAAAGGGCGTGTTCCGGGTGGCGAACAAAATGCCGTGGCGTGTAGGCAAGTGATATAGACTCTTGAAGAAGATTATTGTCAAGCTTTTCAATCGAGAAGATCCTATCGATTATTTTATTAGAAACCTAGACGAAAAGAAAATTCACGAAGTAGGACGGTTCAACGAATTTTTCATCAGTAGGAACAATTGGATAAAAAGTAAATCCGCAGTGTCGATGTCGACTTGGGGACTTTGGTAGTCATCATGAAAGAAAGCTATCAAGCGCTGAAGACATGGTACAGAAAAAAAATCTTACCTTAAGTTTTGGCCCTGGATTCCAACCATACCTTCCACACACTGCTCACTACTGAAATTCCAACTCCATTCAAGAGGAACATAGTCCAATGGCGTAAGCATGAAATTCCTTGTCTGGATATCGGAGTACCCTAGCCACGGACGTGAACTTAATGCTAATACTGATTTCTGCTCCTTTACGGATACATTGAAGAGTTTGACTGGTTTAAGACCGAGAAACCTTGTGCGGGTATCCGATAGTTCGCCGGTCACTTCATCTAGAACGGTACGAAGGTAAATGCCAGAATAGAGCCCAATGTGGAGATAGAGGGTGGAACCGCCCGAGGTAGAATCAATCATTGGCATTATCGAAAGGGCGGATGGAGCGGAGGTAAGAGCCTGAACAGATTTATTTTCAAGGGTGGATTCTGGATCCAGACTTAGGATGCGGACAGTCGAATCATCACATCCAACAGCGAGGAATGAACTTCTGACACGGCCTGGCGGCACTTCGCCTAGACTCAGGCTTGTAACAGTGCCAGACATTTCACGCTTTTCATCGTATTCTGCTAAAGACCCATCGCTATCCATTTCAAAGTAAACAATTTCACCAGAGCTAAGAGCTACCGCAACTTGGCGCTCATTCGTAGCTGCAGCAACAATAGATCGATGTTGTGGAGCAGGCCATTCATTTACTCGTCGATCAGCATGTATATGCCGTATGCCTCTTGGATGGACCTGGATCAGGGAATCTTCACCAAGCTGTTGGACGGCTAGGGTAGGGGCAGAGGGGAGAAAGCCTGTATCGGTGACTTCTTCCACTGTTTCACCAATACTCAAAACCAAAGTGCCGTTGGAAAAGGATAATATGATGTATGCGTCGTACTGATCATTTCGGGTAAGTTTAGTAGTCCAGACAGCTGACGGAACACTGGGAAGTTCAGATTCGACAATCTCCGATACCTCAAGGCCATGTTTCAAGGTTCTGAAGGTACTTCGCGCTCCAGTACCGCACAGGGTATAAAACTGGGGTGCATCATCCTCGGTAAGATTTGTGACCTTGCAACTCATCAATGGGTTCATGGAATTCACGCTCTCGACCAAGTTCAAATTTTCAGCGGGTCGAGGTTGGAAAAAAATGGGGGAAAGTGGCTCCGATGGATCCGCTGAGAAATCGTCGCTAGTGAACTCGGTTTCATCATCATCGTCGCCTAGTTTTTCAAACTGATAAAAATGATGATTGCCGGTTTCGCTGGCTACAAATAGGAAACCATTTTTCAGAATACACAGACTCGACGCAATTGGAACAGTATCAAAGTATTTCAGCTTCAGGCGCTGTACTTCACCAGTGGGCTGCCCATTACCGTCCTCGGCCATGTCCATGGTAACTTTAAATAGGTCTCCATCTTCAGTTTGTAAAAGGCAGAAGAACGCTCTTCGCATCTTGTGAACCACACCTGCCACGATCGTTCGTTTTCGGTCTGGATTTTCAGTAGCCCCAATGCGACGAGGAATCGGTACTCTGAAGGGGTCTTGATTCGAGTGACGATAAGTGATACTGCCTTCAGCACAAACAAGAACACCACTAGGGCCATCTGCCCCACCTGGTACTTGAAAGAGAATGCTTGAAGTGCGGTCAACAGGCTCGGCCCATTTTCGAACAACATGATTCAGACCAAGGTCAAGCTCATAGTAAACAAGCAGTTTCTCCAGTTCCTCATACGCCGAGCCAGTCGGATCTAGGTCGGATTCCGTGTATTCTACTTCTAGAGCTGCAAAAATAGGGTTCTCGTACCCCACGTCAAGAGCTGTCATCGCAAAGACCAAGGTCTGAGGGCGGTGAGCCTCAAGCGGAGATGAAATCGTGAGCTCTGCTTGGGCATTTCGATTCAAAACATACACCAATTTATTTTTCTCCACCGATGCTATCAAGCACGCTCGCCCTTTTGGGTCTACGGCAAGATACTGGCCAGGTACAACTCGTCGGATACCGGATTTTCCAAATGTTTCCAGGTGGATGCGGTTGAAGCGGTTTTGCGAAGGGACATATTCGATGATGGTAATTCGACCAGAGTCAGAACCGATTATAATATAGTCTAATGACACAAATACTTAGCATCACTCATCAAAGGCACTGCGCGAGGATATAGCGGCCAGTCCTTTCGCGTGGGAGGCAGAATTGGAAGAGCGAATGAAGGCGTCATGCTGCTCCCAAAGCTTCCAATAATCACTAATTTGGCCTTTTACAATCATATTAGGTGTAAACATACCTTTGCTGCTCCCTGCAAGCCTGAATGCGGCCAGTGACCTTATTATACCGAACACATCTTGAGAGTAGAGTGTGCGAATTTTGCCTTGATGGGAATCCGGCTCGTGAATTGAAAGTTTAGAGCCAGATGCAGTTACAATCTGCTGCTCCTTGATGCCTGAAAATTGCCCAATGATTGCTTGAGTGATGGCTGTCGGTGGCTGGATCGTAAGCGAGTACATGAACATAGACGACGTGGTCGCCATGGCTGCTGGGGGAGCCGCACTAGCTAATTATGAAAGCCGATTGAATCTCATAGGGAATGCAAGATGCCTTTGCATCTGTTGAAAAGCGAAATTTCACAATTTCTGGTAGATACGGAGGGAATGAGGATGTTGAAATTGTGGAGTTGGTTGATGGCTGGGATGAGACTGAGGTTGAGGTTTTCTTTGCCTTTCGATGCGCGTCGAGCACGTAGCGCTCGCCGTAGCCCTTTCCGTCCCCCAAGCTGATCACTCTTCGCCTCGCTCATTGAACGTGAACCCTCTTGCTCTAGTTTTATCATTTTCCAAGCCCATTTTCTCCCCTACATTCCTTTCTTGCTGCGCGTACTTCTGATGCTTACTAAGCGGCCTCTGTTTTCTTTTAGGATTGGATAGCTAGCTTTTGCTTTACACCCCCCGCTCGCAGTGGTGCACTTGACCTTGACACCTGTGATATCATTTTACGATGGCGGACAACGAGCCTAGAGAAGAGACACCGATTACATTCCAAGTTAAATCATCCAATGATGCGAAATACACGCTGACGCTACCACCGTCAACGACAATCGAGGATCTGAAAGCCAAACTTGCAGCCCCAGAATACGCAGATGTCCCCCCTGGTCGCCAGCGACTGATCTACTCCGGACGAGTCCTGAAAGACCACGATACTCTAGCAACTCACAAAGTTAAGGATAGCCATACAATACACCTGGTTAAGAGTGCCGCCAGCAATCAGCCCGCTCCTCAAGCTTCCCAAAGTGCGAGCACAACAACTGGACGATCAACACCTCAAGCGCCACCACCTGGTATTCCTACAAATATCGCCGCTGGGACTGGAAATAATCCCTTAATGGGTCTCACCGGAGCTAGATATGCCGGCTATCTTCAGCTTCCCGGAGCAGGGATGTTTGGACCCGATGGTGGGGTAAGTTACTGAGTGTTATTCGGAATATCGATTAGTATCTAATGTGCGGAACTAGATGGGGCCTCCTCCTAGTTCCGAGCAATTGATAAACATGTTGGATAACCCACAATTCCAATCAATGATGAACGAGGCTCTCCAAAATCCACAACTTCTTGATATGATGGTCCAACAAAATCCTATGCTGCGGGATATGGGGCCAGGTGTTCGACAGATGATGCAAACTCCTGAGTTTCGAAGAATGTTGACAGATCCTGCCATGCTTCGTCAAATGGCTCAAATGCAAAGTCGACTGGGCTTGAATCCATTGGGAGGAAGCCCGGCTTTTCCGGCTCCCGGTGTCACCAATACAACGACAGAGGAGCATCGCCAGCAAGACGAGGCACAGCCTGGGAGTACTACTGATTCTGCAGGAAACGCTTCTGACCCGTTTGGCGCTTTTAGGTTTCCGCCCACACAAGGGGTTGCCCCGAACCCTTTTGCTGCACTATTTGGCAACCCGGCCCTCGGTAGCGCTGTAGCTGGTAATGCGGGGAACTCAACTTCACGGGAAGCACCTACAACAGGTGCTGATGCCCCAACTGGAACTACCGAGAACCCTCCGACGAACCAAACTCCGCAAAACCCATTTGCTGCGCTATTTAACCCTGCTTTATTTGGCCCTCCTGGTGGCCAAACTGAGGGCCAGCAAGGCCAAAATCCATATGCCGCTCTTATGAATAATCCGCTTTTGCAAGATCCTGCACTATTTAATCAAATGATGCAGAATTTTGGGGGAGGCCAAGGTGCCTCAACAAATACCGACCCTGGTACCAATCCACTGGCTGCGCTTTTCCCTGGCTTAATGCCGCAAACCAACTCTGCCTCGCAGGATACCCGCCCTCCAGAAGAAAGGTATGCCGAACAACTTCGCCAGTTGAATGAGATGGGGTTTTTTGAGTTTGATAGGAACATTGAAGCACTGAGAAGAGCAGGTGGCAACGTGCAGGGTGCGATAGAATATTTACTAAATAATTCATAAGATATGCGTGGGATGCGGTGATGTGATCGGAAATTGTGCCTTCTATTTTTCTGTGCTCTGGCGTATAGTTATTCCTTTCAATCCACCCATATCTTCCTTGTTCTTCGGACAATCTGCAAAAGAATCACTCTACCTCTCGGCCCTGCTTGAGGTTAACAGGCAAGACCGTATCAAATCGTTGTAGGTCATAACAACTTTTAAAAAAGATCTTAACCTGGGTCGCATCTATTGAGCAGCTGCTAAATGTACGCATTTTTACTCCGTAGGTTATGGGGTCCGGAGTAACTACTCCGTACGGTGTACATATGCTGACTAATACAACCAAGACACGCCGAGGATTACCTCATCCCTGGCGCTCCTTCTCACCAGCCCGTGTCTGTGCAAACAACAGGAGGCAACTGGCTTCATCCTCGCGCATCTTGCACTCGACAGAGCAATAATGTGGCCCATGCCCATGCGACGCTGCCCGCCCTGAGTCCCCGCCTTGTCACTACGTACTCCACTCCTCGACCACCTGATGTCGTAGCCCACCACCTGGCAATGGCACTCTACATCTTACCAACAGATTGACGCATGGGGCCATCGTTTGCCGATTGTATTCGCTTTTCTTCCTTTCTTTTCAAGAACTCATAGCTTTTCATTTAATACTTTTTACCAGTTACGCTCGCTTTCCAATCGGTCACCGATGATTGATCCCCTTTGTCCCCTCGTAGCGACAATCTCCGAAGAACTCCATAGTTCCTAATCACTATTTCAAGCGCACCAGGATGGCCCACGATATCCGGCTATGGCACCCCGTTGTGCTGGCTATTTCTTTTTTCTCAACCGCTCATGCCTTCTACATACCTGGTACGTATGCTCTGCCAAACGCCCACTTTAAAAATATGCCACTTGTACTAACAAGAGTGCTTGGTGGAATAGGCTATTCAATCCGGAGCTATCGTGAAAATGACGCCATTCCCCTTCTAGTAAATAAGATTTTCTCCGACCGTTCCCAACTTCAGTATGCTTACTTTGACCTTCCATTCGTCTGTCCTCCAAGCGGCAAGAAGCATGGAAGTTTTCCGTTTGCCAGTGGCCACAGCATGTCTCTCAATCTGGGTGAAGTCTTGCGTGGAGATCGTATTCAAACATCTGATTTTGAAGTGTCAATGGGGAAAAACATTGGTTGCCAATTTCTTTGTTATAAAAAGATTGGCCGCAAAGATGTATACCGTGCGAAGAATCTTATCTCAGAAGGATATGTTGTAGAATGGATTCTGGACAATTTGCCGGGGGCAACGAGCTTTGTTTCGGTAGACAGGTCCAAACGATATTATTCTACAGGTTTCAAACTTGGATACCAGGACTTTTCGCCTTCTGTCCGGCAGCCCAGATTCTTCATCCACAACCACTTTACTTTGGTGATCCGCTGGCGAGATGCTCCAGGAAATGCTGGCCCTCATAGTGGGAAAGTTATTGTCGGATTCGAAATTTATCCGAAAAGTATTGGTGGCGTTGGTCGTTCCGCGAACGGGTGTCCAAAGGATGTACATGCGAAGCAAGAGCGCCTAGAGCTGTACATTGCCCCAAACAATACTAGACTGGCCGAAAAGTATCCAGGCTCTTCTTATTTACCAGAGAACGATGATGTCGATGACGGCGCGTCAATCACGGTCCCGTACTCATACTCAGTATATTTCCGGAAGGAAGAAAACATTGGATGGTCTAATCGATGGGACCTGTATTTTTCGAGTCATCAAGAGGGTCGAATTACCCATTGGCTCGCAATTCTGAATGCTCTTACTATTGCGACAGTACTAGGGTTCGTTGTTTTTGTTATTTGGGGGAGAACCATGTCGGATGGCAAAGGCCGCGGTGAAGGATATATTGAAGAAGGGAAAGTAAAACTGGTATCACGGACCCCAAGAAGTGGTAGTCGAACTCCTAGAACCCCCAAAAGTGACAAGACACCCTCCATTAGTCTCCTTGACCACCACACGGAAGATCGTTACGATGACCATTTATCTGATGAAGAGATGGAGGAGGTAGCTTCATGGAAGCATTTACATGGCGATGTGTTTCGTACTCCAGCATACAGTGGACTTTTGGCACCTATAGTTGGCTCAGGAATGCAGCTCCTCTTCATGGCAGTTGGCCTTCTAGCATTAAGTTGCCTTGGGGTCCTGAACCCTAGTTTCAGAGGAGGTTTTTTGAGCGTCGGCATGGGACTGTTCGTCTTTGCTGGCACTTTCTCTGGTTATTTTTCAGGAAGGCTCTATAGGACCTTCGGAGGGAAGAATTGGCATAAAAACACCATAGTTGTAAGTCAAAGCACATTGTTATTTGATTGCTCATAGCTGACAATATCTTCCAGACTGCACTGCTTTTTCCGGGGCTGTTCTTTGCCTTAATTTTCGTTCTCAACCTATTTGTCTGGGCCCAGGCGTCCAGCACAGCTATCCCATTTGGGACATTGATAGCAATTATTGCCCTCTGGCTTTTGATTCAACTTCCTCTCGTTTATTTTAGTGGCTGGTACGGTTATGAAAAAACAACTCCTTGGGATCATCCCACTCGCACGAGTTCAATCTCTCGACAAATCCCACCCCAGTCGTGGTATTTGACGTCCATCCAAGGCACACTTTTGACCGGACTTCCACCTTTCGCAGTTCTTTTTGTGGAATTGCTTTTTGTCTTTCACAATCTACTTCAAGATAAGAGCGGCTACTATTATGTGTTTGGGTACTTGAGCGCGATCTGCATTATCTTGATTATAACTGTCAGCGAAGTGACAATCATCGCTACGTATAGTCAACTTTGCGCAGAGAACCATCGATGGTGGTGGCAGAGCTTTATTATTGGAGGTAGCAGTGCTTTATGGGTATTCATTTCGTGCGTTTGGTATTACTGCACAAAATTGCGGATTCAGGGTTTCATCTCGTGCCTGCTGTTCTTTGGATACAGCTTTCTGGGCTGTGCTGTCTACGGCTTACTAACCGGAACGGTGGGATTTCTTACCGCTTATGCTTTTGTCCGTCGAATATATAGGTAAGCCATCCACCCACCTATTCCCTGCTGGCGAGCATGCTGACACTTCCCCTAATTTATATAGCTCTGTTAAGACAGACTAGTAAGCTGTTCCACTCTATTGCCTGTCATTATGCGACATCCAGTACCTAGAATCTGAATTCAGAGCCTGCTTGAGGTAGCAATAATACAGAGATACTATTTCTTCTACTTTTTTTCCACGCAGAATTGCTATCGCCAGAATATTTAAATATTTACCGCTAGGAATCAAAGCATTTCTTTTGCTTTTAGAATTCTAATATCGTACAAAATGCTGGATTTTTCACCCTTGTTCTGTGATACCAGGCCCTCGCGGTTGTCCTTGGTCAAACGTTTCTGGTGAGATCATTACTCTAACGGATATTTTGATTAGAACTCTTTCATGTTGGCCTAGATAAATATACTTATACAATTCATATATCCTAAGTCACCAAATAGGGTGTCTAGGCTACATGAACACTATAGCAGTATAAGGTAGGCAGGTGGAATATGCGAAATCAGGCCACAAAATACTTTGAACTATTCATGCACATAATTTTTCTATTCTGCCAGGGTGCATTTTATATAATTCATTATAAATTGTCAGGGAAAAAAAATATGGGTAAACCCTATCACACATCTGTGATTAGGAAATGGGTGAAATTGTGATTGGAAGTCAAAAGAGAGTAGGATCTCTTCTTGAGCTTTACGCAATTCCAGGGGCCAATATCACCCCAATGAATGGCGATCAAACCAAATGGTATAATACACTATCAAACTGAAGACATAAATTCGGAATCGGTATTTTTCAGTGCTGTCGGAAAATCTTCCTTCAGAGGTGAAATTTTAATCGGTGATGGAGAGCCAATAGATCAGAATTTAAACCGACCCTAGATAACTGTAACGAAAAGAGAAAGACTGCCGAATCACCATAATGAACAGATGGCGTGACGTGCTTTTGAGAAGTTTTCATCTAACTTCCGGGGCTGCAGCAGCTGCGAACTCGGCATTGACATTTCTAGCATTGGTACTTCCATCGCCGGTTTGCCTTCTTTCAAACAGTCGCCTCCACCATGCAGGTGGGTCTAAAGGCCGCTGGCCTCCATGCAAAGGAGGATACACGTCGGAGAAGAAATACCAAATATGGCCTACAATGACACCACATATTTCATCTTTTGGAATTGAGCCGTGGACAACGAGGCTAAATGCCATCAGTACCCAGGGTAGGTATGGCGCCGAGAAAACGAGCAGGCCGAGAATGCTGAGCCTAGTGTCAGGGTTCCGCCGGCCCCAAATGTAAACCAGACTCGACGACAAGGCGGGTCCAAGGAATGGAAGTGAGAGGAAGGGGGATAGAATAAGAAGGCTGGAGGTAGCGTATAGAAGAAGCCAGGCAAAATCAGCTGACGAGTGTCCGGATGATTCTTCTAGAAGCCTGGAATACCGCTGGAGAAAGAATACATGAAATATTATGTCTAGGCTCAACGGCCCGAAGTATAGGAACGTGGATATGAGGCGCCAATACTATAGCTTAAAAGTTAGTATATTTGACAAAAGCATTGTTCAAAAGACCGGGCGTTTCTCACTTGTGACTTCACAAAGACCGCTCGAAAGCTATAGAAAAGCTGGAAAGGTGTCAAGACATGACATTGAACAAGGATAGATGTTGCGACAGTAGCCGTAGTCCACCATCTTGTACAAAACGGCATCTCATAAAACCATTGTTCCAGCGGAAATTGGCCTGGCTGCCCGGCATTTCCCCAGATAGCGGCCATGGGTAGCGTGTTCCAAAGTCGTCAACGGCCAGAGAGGGAAGTATACGTCAGAGTGACAAAGCTTGGCTTCGGAAAGAACGAGAAAGTGGCCTCAGTCGTTCTGGTTCCAAAACATCAGCAAAAGAGCGGGAGGCATAGGGGAATATGGAGTTAACAGCAACAAGCGGGACCGGCCAGCCGAAGAATGGCGAGCTGTCTTGGTGCTGGCGCTGAGCTGCGGCTCTTCCAACTGTCGATCTGGCAATGATGACATAACGGCGACGGAATATCACCGGGCCGTTGACAGCTTATCTAACACTGGCTCGGATCAAGGAAACTCCGTGTAATACGCTAAGTCAACATTAGTTAGTGTCAGGCGCGTAAATTTGGATTTTGAACGTTCAGCCGATCGGCAAGCGCGCCCCTCGCGTTTTTTCGCGTTGCGAATGGCTGGGGGTTCCCCAACCACCTCAATAATACTATCACGAACCTTACGGGATCTCTTTGCAAACACTCCTTTTTGTCACTCTAGACAACCGTTCGCTGCTATCTATTTAGATTCACCTTAATCATATCTCACTTTACAAGATACGGTGCGGAGCGTCAAGATACCATACAATTGGTTCACTGTCTCACGCGGTACTACACTCCTAGATGGCGCAACGTTGACAGAGGCCTACGAGGTACATACGATTGCGATATTTGCTAGCGCGTTCTAAACATATTTTCATACGATGGCACCGAGGGGTCGCGGGCTCAAAAAGATTACAGGTGCATCCCCCACATCGGGGCGAACAAATAGCGGAGGCGCTCCGAATACTGCCGTAGGACAACCTTCATCTAGAGGAGCGGGAGCTGGCTCAAGGCCTCAGCAAGGAAAAAGTCAAGGGAGAGGAAGGGGAAAAGGAGGAGTAACAAGTCGGGCTGGAGAGTCTACGCCCTCTAGAAAAACAGATGTGCAACGTACGAGCTACTGTCCTTGATCTTGCCTCTCGAAAGCTATTCTAAATCTTATTTCTCTCTCTAGCCGGTGATCCTATTCCTCAACCCCGAAAACATCGCTACCATCCTGGAACAGTCGCCCTCAAAGAGATCCGCCGGTACCAGCGGTCCTGGGACCTCCTTCTCCTTAAACTCCCATTTGCACGCTTAGTTCGAGAAGTGGCTCTGGAAATGTTACCTGAAGGGGTTGGTGAGGAGCTCAGATGGCAGTCACAGGCCATTCAGGCTCTACAAGAAGCTTCGGAAGCATTCTTGGTACATCTTTTTGAAGATACCAATCTGTGCGCAATTCATGCCAAGCGGGTCACGATCATGCAGAAAGATATGCAGCTTGCGCGACGTATTCGGGGCGCGTGGGGCGGCATAGGATAATTTTAGAAGGCTCTTTCCGATTTATAAGAGTACCTCGCCTTAGTCTCTTTGCGCACTTTTTTGCGGTTTGCATTAGAGTGTCATCGCACTCACGGTGTTTGTTCGAGGTCGGTAGACCCGAGGATGGAGCAAAAGATGGCGTTTTGGAATTTGATGGCCATTTGAGTTCAATGTTACTTTGTGTCGCAATAAAATTCTTATTGTTCTTAATATATGTGTTATCAGTGTATGTGTGCTAATAATCACATGGGCTCCTTTGAAACAGCATTAAAGCAACGATTGAGCCTATGGCTAGAATAAGCCACGGCGGACTTCACCAAATACCGAGCTGTGGCTTCAGTCGCCGAATGCTTGTGGTGTATTTGGGCGTCGTTGGCGAAATTTGTCGATACTGTTGGCGGTAAAGAAATTCCGCCACCAGAATATGGCTATTTCACATTTAACATGAAATTTGTAGGTAAAAGGAAGCGTGTGCTGCTAGGTTGTGTAGGTAGTAGATTTAAACCGCTTTTACCCTCATTTCGCTTGATGTATCCTTGCGATGGGAGTCCAGTTTTCCGGTTTTCGTCAGTATTGCTGGTAGTCTGGCCAGCTCACTGTCTGCTTTTTTCCGTAAAGCGATAGCTTCATTCGTTTTACCCTGGCGTTCTAATGTCTCTGCAAGCAACTCGTCCGTAACGCTGATCCATAACTTATCATCTGTTTTCCTAGCCATTGCTTTGGCAGCCATAGCACTCTTCTCGCTTTGCTCGCCAACAACACCACGAAAGTACTTCCAGCTCATGAATGTCAGCGCTAAACAAGTGACTTGACTATTCCCTATGGCAGTAGCAGCTTGCAAGGATTGGTGGAGATTTCTTTTTGTCTGCATAGTGGATTCTGTTTGGATAGTAGCACTAATTAGGGAATAAGCAGCCCGAATATATTTGTTTGGGCTATCTTGGCAGAAAGGTTCAAGAGCAGCTAAAGAGTTCGTAGCACTCATATATGCCACATGACCTGGGTTCCGGTGAATAAGAATGCAATTGAGACCTGCAAGAATAGCTGTGTCACGGTGTGGATCATTGCGGCATGTTTTATGGGGAAATTGCGACAATGAGAAAATGGGTTGCTGAAAAATGTTCAGTGCGTCATCAAGGTTTCCGGTCGCCTGAGCAAGTACGCCAGTAGCGTATTGTATCAGGCAACCGATGGCATCTTGTGAGCCATCTTTGAGATATGTAAAAATAAGGTGTACTTCTTTCAATGTGCGGCTTGCTAAGGGCCAGTCCGTTCGCGCACAGGCAAGAAACACCTGTTGAAGAAGCATGTGCAAGTATAACAATCTACGCCATCGAACCCGTGCAGTTGCAAGCATTAAAGATTCGGACACTTCCTGTGGCGACTCAAAGGCGCCTGTTGTTTTCCGTCAGACAGGGTATCCAGAAACAGGAAATATAACATACCTCGAATCATACGTAGGCCTTCCTGTAAATACTTCTCAGCCTTGTGTCCGTCCTGGGAATTCTTTGCACTCAGAGTCAAAGAACTAAGAAAATAGCATAAGGAATAAATATCGATTTCCGGGAGCCAGTTTAGCAACAACGTGGGGTTCCCGTTTTCTTCCTGGATAATGTCACCAAACTCTATGGCAAAATGCCTAAGGCCCTCGCGATTTAATGGCACCGAGAACGAGCCATCGTCCCGCCAAAGGGGGTTGCTGATATTTTGATCCATATATTTTTGGAGAGTTTGTAGCTTTTGAGAGGCCTGTACGATATCATAATCAAGAACGCTGCAGCATATATCAATTATTTGAATAATAGTACCGATATGGGGGCCATCTCCAATGGTATCGTTAAGCTGATGGCTTCTTGCCGTTGCAATGGCCCTCTGTGCGAGTTCAACGGAATCGCCGCCGGAGGAATGCTGTAGATGCACAAGTGCTTCAACAATAGAAGAGACGACCACTATGGCCTTATCGCCGTTGCGATTTGCCATAGATGCTGTTTTTTGGAGATTATGTATCGCAGCGACTAGGTCCTGGTGTGGGGGTGAAGAGAGAGAGAGGGTGACTCGTAGCAGACGAAAGGCGTACTCCCAGGCAGTATGCCGATATCTGATCACGTTAGAGAAAATAGTATTTCGGAAGCACCCGGGATTTCTTACGCCTCAATATCACGAATTATGCCGTCTACCATTCTTACAGAAGCTTTAGGATTGGTTCTGAACATTATTCGACATAAAAGCTGCTGCATGCTGTATTTAAGATCGAACATTCGATTCTAAACGAACGAGGAAGAGATATTAGCATCGATATTTCCATACAGCCGGCGAGTTAGCGTACCCTCTCACATAGATCAATCTGGTACGTAAGTTATCAGTATAATATACGAAGCTCTCGGGTTAAAGGAAATACGTACGCCTTTACTCAATGCAGTCTCAGCTTCTAAATCATTATTCGTTTCTTCGAAGAGAATGCGTGCATAGCGCAGCCTGAGAAGAGCCTCCGTCCTAGGCTGTAACCTCCAATTCTACAAACATGGATTAGTTATATTCCAGCAGGCTACGCCAGCAGGGAAAAAATGTGAGAGGAATACCTTCATAACGGCTTCAATGCAGCATAATCCAGTAGCGACTAGCTTATAGTATTGTTCAACGTCAGCTTCTTGATGGGAAGCGGCGAGAATCGTTCCTTGACTGTGGGCTGCATCCAAATACTCATCTGCTAGAGATAATAGTAATATTTGATAATCAATGGGCTGTTTTTCACATTTAGAATGGGGCGTGGAGGGCTTCATTTGCTGCGTCGCGGAAGGCGGCATCGGCCGTATCTGTTGGTTCGGTGTTTGGGCGTAAATGAGAGGAGTCTTTTGCTTTTCAACTTTGGTAGCAACCGGCGCCGGCCCCGGTATCTCCAGTCTTGTAGCTGAAAGAATTTCGGGCTGTGCAAGAGGTGGAGGTCGAATCTGAATTCGAGGGTATTGTGACGGGGAAGTGGCCGGAGGTGGTATTGGCTGAGGGCGCGGCGGAGGGGTTTGGTACTGCGCGGCGTACATATCATGCTGATTCGGCAGATTGTAGTAAGACACTGGCATGGCGGGTCCCACGCCGTACTGTATAGCAACATTCGGTGGAGCGGGCTGGAGCTGGGGTAAAGGACACGAGGGATAGGCGGCGGCAGATGGCTGGCTGGGAAAGAGCTGAGGGTGAAGACTCTGTTGCGGCGAGATATAGCTGGTGAACTGCGCTAGCAAAGCTTGGGATTGTTGCTCATGCTTGAAGGTCGGTGACGCGGTAGGAGAGGCCGTAGGGCGAGCTTGTTGCTGCCGATGGTTCGGGAGAGGTGCCTGTCCCGAAAACGGTGGGCCATCGTGAGGAGGTTGGGCCATTTCTGAGCCAGGTGAAAGTACAGATAAGTCCAGAAAGAATATCCGGCGAGCGCTATCATGTCATAAGTGGATAAAACGCAAGTTGACGCAATGGACGGCCAAGCTATCGAATTCACATGTTTTGGGTATGCGGAGGAGCAATTGTCGAGGCATGTCGCGCCAAGCCTGTCAACTTCGTGCTAGTTATGGATTGCAGAGTTAACTACCAGTCAACATCCAACGTCCAGTAACAGACCAACTACAACCTATATAAATACATCCTAAATCACAATTCATCTTCTTACAATACTTGTGCGAGAAGTTGCATGATCTCGAAAGTCTACGGCGCCTGGTTCTATCCTCCTAAATTAACTTGATGATGTTATCTTCAGGCCAGAGTCAGCTTTTCCTCGGGCTGCCTGCGCATTTTTTTTACGGTCTTGGGCTGACGGGGGTCTTCGGACTCATAGATGCAAATGGGTATGAAATTAATTATCATGCCCAAAGACATTATTATAACGTACACTGGCGTCTTAAACACAACGGTATGCTAACCACTCCTAGCTAGTAAGCACATTGATATTTGGGATACCGAGAGGTCTATCTAAATGACCCGATTCTTTAACTTAATAAATGTATTTCTTTAAGGCTCTCGATTCGACAAACAGCCAGAGGGATTTTATTCAGCCCCGTTGTGGATGCCATTGAAGAAACTTCTCTCTCTAGAAGTTAAAGTTAAAGCGGTATACATATGTAGAAACTAATGACTAGACAGGTCCTGGTGTCGTGTCAATTTTTTCTTGGTAACTACTCTTTGGTAAGAAGCCTTGTATGTAACTAGGCTTGCAGAGGTGGTTTTTTGCTTGAGGCAGCAGGTTTCAGCTCTCGCACCACAGATGTCGGAGCTGTAGGCTGGTGCTCTTGATCTTACAGCAAATACTGCAATGGGCTCCTTGCATTCGCTGATAACTCCTGCAACTGCATGGGAACAAAGTACGTACCAAACACAGATCTCTAGGCAGTGAATGATTTATATCGACTGTGCTCCGTAACAAATATACTATGGACCCTCTATATTTTTTGTCTGATGAGATTAATGATAAACCAATTATCAAAGCTAAGATCTTAACCTGAGATTTTTACAAGTTCGAACACCATAAACCATCTGAAGTATTCTGCAGATATTCTACTTCCCTTGTCTACCTAGGATCAAGGCGATCGTCATTCTCTAGTCAAGCATAGTGGTTATAGATCTGTAGTTCATGGATAAAAGCTCTTTATACCTCTTCAAGCGATACTTACAATCCATATTTGCATTCACGACCGCAGGACGCAGGCTGAGTCGACTGAGCTCCGTGCCACTGCTTATTGAGAGGGCGGAGCGGAGTAGTTAAGCCCTGATTGGCTAGCCCTACGGTCTTCCCCACTTCACCGCACTAATAGCCGCTGGATCCGCGATAGTGGGGCTTAGCTACAATAACGCCAAGATTGGAAGCTACTAAGCGCTATTCAAGCCTTGTTGTGTGGCATCCACGGAGTACAACATCGTACGGAGTACTGAGTACTCTATTCCTTTTCTAGAACAAAAATAATTTTCAATGACCAATAGAAGATATAAAGGGCCGGTGTGAGATTTAACCAATCAGGAGACTTGTTCTGTAGCTCCACGTGACTGTAACGATAGGGTTGAGCTCTAAAAGATCATGTTGCTTCAATTCTTCAAACTACTCCGTATAAAAAGTAGACAAAGAGAAAGGGGATAAGAATAGAGGAGTATAGGAACCTTCCCCCAATTTGATGTCTGAGGACTTTGGGTTAGGAATTCAATTTGTTTGCCAGTACGGCTCACCTCGATACACTCAAACCGCATGACAGTAAGATATATGGGCAGCGTCAACGGTCAGACTCAGTTCAGCGGCGTATGCCCGATTCCAGAAATGAAATAGTCTGGTATTCACATTGTAAGCTTGGAGAGCCCTGATGCACAGGGAATTTGATTTTTAATTCCGAAACCCCATCAGAGACACCGGAAGACGAGATCAACAATACCAAAAAATGTATCACGGTTGAAATCTGGCGTTTCCAACCCAAGTCCAACAACTAAAAGTCTTTTCTCGTTGGGATTTTTCGTCACGATAGCGCTGGCAATCTGGCATGCATACAGGTGCCCTAGATTCTCCCATTCTGGTGCACGGCCACCTAGTACTGTCGTGGCTGTTAGCTCGGGTGGGGGAAGCAAGGCGTCGTCCCCTTCTTCTGGAACTGAGTGGTATCCGCTGGTTCCTGGATTTGTATTCTCAAGAGGCACATGGAGCTTCCATGGTCAGCAGCGGAAATTTAAGTAAAGTGAGAGCGTAACCCGCGCATACCCAATGGGCTAACCTCCCGTTTTGTGCTACCGTCACGAGAATCTTATCTGAGAATGATACGGCTATCACATCAGTCTGGATACCTCCGACTTCCCCCCTGGCCTGTTTGGTTTGCGCGGGAAACGGGTGGGATTGTGCTCCAGCCGTCGCAGGAGGAGCAACGGTAACGACGTCCATCAAAGTTTTGTGGTGTTATTATGCGCTAATAATTGTATTGGCACCACAGCTTGCTGGAGTGTCTTGACCACAGAGAGTACACTGATATATATTTTAATAACTTGTAGTAGGCTTCAAATGACCAGTACGTATGGGGTAACATATAGTTAGTGCACTGATTAGGTGTTCAAGGTAGTTAGGGAGGTACTCTACGGTAGTAGTTAACTACCTTAGTTAGTTAGTGTCTTCGACTCTCACCGCCCTTTGGCAAAATAATTTATCAATTTAGGAAGTTACGGAGTACTCCGTATTCTGTAGTCAACCAACTAACTTAGTTACTGATGGAATAATTCAATGGCAATGGAAAGATCGATCAAAAATATGTATTCATGAATTTTGAGAGTCTTTGAAAATGCCGAAGTTTGTGCCGCGGCAACGAAAACATAAAGTGTTAGTCAGGGAGAAAAAGCCGACCCAAGCGCGAGACTCAAATGTCACCGAAATCCAACCAATTTCGAAATCGGAGAGGGAAGAGAAGAAAAGAATACTGAGAGAAGAATTAGCAGCTCAACAACCGAAAATTTCTGGCAAGAAACAAAAGCGTTTGGACAAGTATATTGTACGTGCTGCACTTGTCTGATTGCTATGGCCCGCAGCTGATATCCACATTCTTCCCAAAGGAAAACAAACTCAAGAAAGACGAAAATCAATTACTTATCAGGAAACTTGCTAAATCAAAGATAGATACTACTCTGCTCCAGAGTTCGCGAGATCTACGCAAAAATAAGAAAAAGGTGCAGAAACGTGGCATTCATCCTCCAGATGACGCGGAAAGCTCATTTAAGGCGCTTGGAGACTTTGTCTCTACCGAAGAGACTGATTCTGAGCGCGAGGATACTTCGGTAAAGAATACTGCAATCTGCACCGGGGTCCCACCTGAGAATGTACAGCTCGGAAGCGGCTTGAAGCGGCCCTTGGAGATTGGCGCAGATGGTTTTCCTATACTCAAAAAAAGGAAGAAGAACAAAACAAGGCTCAAACAGGCACCTAATCTAGTTGAGGAGCCTGAATGGGAAGGATTTGGGTCAGAAGATTCAGCATTACTACCGGTTGATAGCAAGGAGAAAAGTTCTAGTCCAGGGGGAAGTAGTGGTCATGCTGAATCATTTCAAGACGGCGCAGCCTCGGGTAGCGAGGGCAATGATACCGAAACTTCTACATCAGAACTTGACGACACAAGCAAAATCGGCCCTAGAAAATCTACATTCAAAGCTTGGGCTGTTCAACAAATAAACGAGGCTGTCGGCTTTGTCCCTACGCAACATGTCGCTGGGCCGGTTCCGGAAAAGGTTCTTCGAGCATTTAAGATAACCCAACATGCGACTCCAGATGAGGCCGAACCCCTGCCCCCTGAGCTTCTAACAACAAACCCATATATCGCCAGAAAAGCGTTTTCCGTTCAAGTTAGCCGTCCCGATGACATACAAGAGGCTCGTCTAAAATTACCGGTTGTTGGTGAAGAGCAGAAAATTATGGAAGCCATACACAACAATTCATCCGTTGTGATATGGGGAGCTACCGGAAGTGGAAAAACCACTCAGCTTCCGCAGTTTCTGTTTGAGGCAGGCTATGGAAATCCCGATAGCAACACTCCAGGTATGATTGGTATCACGCAGCCAAGGCGTGTCGCGGCTGTAAGCATGGCAAATCGCGTGGGAGTGGAACTGGGTGAATTTTCTGATCGGGTCTCCTATCAGATTCGGTTCGATAGCACTGTGTCTGCCAAAACAGCCATAAAATTTATGACTGATGGTGTTTTAATACGAGAAATAGCTCAAGATTTCTCACTTTCAAAGTACTCGGTCATTATCATTGATGAAGCACATGAACGCAGTGTCAATACTGATCTGCTCATTGGCATGGTAAGTCGAATTGTGGATTTACGGAAATCTATGAGTGCGGATACACCTTCAATCAAGCCGCTCAGGTTGGTCATAATGTCAGCGACATTACGCATATCTGATTTTATTCAAAACTCCAATTTATTCAAGCATGGCCCACCACCTCTGGTACAAGCGGAAGGGCGCCAATATCCTGTTACTGTTCACTTTGCGCGCCGCACCCATCGGGATTATATTGAAGAAGCATACCGAAAGATTTGTAAAGGCCACCGAAAATTACCTGCAGGCGGATTCCTTGTCTTTTTGACTGGCCAGGGCGAAATAAAACTGTTAGCAAAACGTCTAAATCAAGCATTAAAATCGACCCATACTCCAAATAGTTCCCAAGGAAAAGTTCGCATATGCCCTGCAGAAGCACCTCTCGAAGCTGACGACATTGCATTTGGTGAGGAAAACTTAAAACTGCAAGGAGAAGAGGAAGACGCCGAGAGCGATATTGAATTTCGGGGTCTAGACGACGACGGTGAAGATGAGTGGGATGAATTCGATCAAGAAGAAGGACCAATGGACTCGGGGACCCAAGCCCATATTTTGCCATTATACTCCCAATTACCCACAAAGGAACAGCTTAAAATATTTGAGCCAGTACCAGAAGGCTCCCGATTAATAGTCCTAGCGACAAATGTTGCGGAGACGAGTTTAACTATTCCTGGAGTCAGATACGTGTTTGATTGCGGTCGTTCTAAGGAGAAACAGTACGATATCTCCACTGGCGTGCAAAGTTTTCAAATAGGATGGATCAGTAAAGCCAGTGCAAGCCAGCGTGCCGGACGAGCAGGAAGAACCGGGCCAGGCCACTGCTATAGGCTATATTCTTCAGCGGTATTTGAGGACGCATTTGCAGAATATACTGAGCCGGAAATTCTTCGAACCCCGATTGAAGGCGTCGTTCTACAAATGAAAAGCATGGGATTGCACCACATTATCAGTTTCCCATTTCCTACACCGCCCAACCGCACTGCACTTACGAAAGCCGAGAGCTTGCTAAAATACCTGGGTGCACTGGGAACTGATGACCAGGTGACAGAGATAGGCCGACACTTGACACTGTATCCGCTGAGCCCAAGATTCGGGAAAATGCTTCATATAGGGTACCAGCATGGCTGTATGCCATATGTTATTGCAATGGTTTCAGCTTTGGCTGTTTCAGATCTATTTATTCAAGAAAGTCAACTTGATCTTTCGCCGCTGCCAAGGGATACGGAACATCGAATTTATACAAATACTGATCGGCTTGAAGATACCGCTAGAGAGCAAAGGAAAAGAGCGTATCACAAAGCTCATCGTATTTTTGGTAAATATGACGAGAAAGCGGATGCTTTGAAATTCCTTGCTGCCGTATGTGCCTATGCTTATGCGACGAATGGGGAAGCCTTTTGTTCTCAAATGTTTGTTCGCCAGAACGCAATCAAAGAAGCTTCGCAGCTCCGGCAACAATTGACTGGACTCGTTCGTTTGAACACCCCAAGTCTCCTTGGCTCTTTTGAGCCCTGCCTACCAGAGCCTTCAGACAAACAGCTGCGAGCGCTGAAACAGATAACAGCAGCTGGGTTTATTGACCAGATAGCCATTCGTGCAGACGCCGCCCCAGTTCCACCTGCGATGGAACGGAAGCCAAAAAGAGCCATTGACGTCCCCTACTTCACTCTCTTTGCATCTCGCGAGGGGCGTGCGATAGACCTAGATGAGAAGGCGGTTTACCTTCATCCATCGTCGTGCTTAGCCAGGCTATCGCCCGCAGAACTTCCTCAGTATTTAGTCTACTCTCATCTCCAACAATCGACTACGACACATGTCGGGGACTCGCCTAAAGTGCGCATGTTCCCCCTAACACCAATTAGTGGTTTGCAACTCTCGGCCCTTGCGCAAGGTACTCCGTTGATTCAATATGGGAAACCCATTGGGAAAACTGAGACTTTAGGTGGTATTCCTGAAAGGAGAGAATGCTGGGTTATCCCTTCACTGGTTGGGGAGCCGGGGAGCCACGGATGGCCACTTCCCGCAAAGAAAGTGGTCCAAAAGAAGGATAGAAAAGAAGGGTGGGTTATTGAGCGGTTTGTGTAAGTCGATTAAACTGTTATCGCTCTTTGCATGCTATACAGAGTATACAATATCTCATGTTGAAATAAGTGCATTTTTCGTGGAAAAAGTACTCCATACTCCATACCTTTAGATAGTCTCAAAACCCAGGCTAACAATGCATATTTTGTAAAAATGGATATCAGTTGAAAAGGGCCCGACTGTAATTGTCAACCGCTAAGTGAGCTCCAGAATGCCACCAACGCCCACCAATGCTGGGTATCTAAGACGAATCCTAGTTCCTGCTTCTGCTATGGTTATCGTCCCTGTCATCTCGATACCTGTCCCGCGTGGCTCTGTCATCCGCTCTCTCTGGTCGATCCCAGTCTCGCCGTCTACCACCTTTTTTCGGGAACTCCTCTCCATCAGCCCTAATGCCAAGCGCTTTGCGAAACCGTTCACTTTCTTCGATCTTCGCTTCCGCCAACTCATGAACTTGATAGGTTTTGAAGTGTCTCTTTCCCCTCCCGTCGCCACTAAAATCTCCTTGTTTTCTCTTTTCACCACGATAATCTCGCCCCGCAAGTTCATCCTCTAACTCCTTCGTTAACTTTACTCGTAGCTCATCGAGCTTAGTCTCAATCTCCTCTTCTGATAGTTTGTATTTTTTGCCTTTAGCATCATCATCATCCTCCTCCTCCTCTCCTCGCTCTTCCAACTCTTCATTCTCATCCTCAAGTCTATCTCTTTCCTCCATCACCTTAACTTCAATCTGTCTCCGCCGGTCATGTTCAAGAATCTGCTTATCAGGCTGCCGTTGCTTAAAGGTTCGTGTATCTTCTGTATCTGCACCCAATTGATTTGGTGTGCCATAGTTCCTGTCGCGAGGTTTAAGAAGCGAAAGATTGCGCTGTACATAGCCCGAAGTTCCGCTACCACGGGGCGTAGAAAGGCCGACATTGGATGACATGATTTCGGAATTTGATTTGGCTGTGTTTGAATTGTGGTCGAGATCATAGTACGGAGTACAGAGTAGGTTATCAAACAAGACCAGTTGTATGACTAATCACAGCTCGGGCGTTTTGTTATTAGTCAGCCACTGGCTCAGGTCTGATACTTGGCAAAATCAAATGACTTTCTAACTTCCACATAGGTAACATCGAGTTGGAAAATATAAAAAATGAACCGCGTAGCTGTATTTGTACACTTTTAAAATTAGTCCTAGCTCAATCCGCAACCTCAGTTGGACTCTAGCTGGATAAAATAAAACCACCTTCCTTTTACCAAAATAAAATCATGAGACGTTTATCCATAAGTTGGATTATTTTCATCATCCAAAATCGGTCGAAAATAGCTCAATGATCTATGCAGCTTACCAGCTGCGTATATATTACCATCCGAATACATCTCCAACACTGATCGTGCTCCACCTCACTCCTCCAATTGCAAAGCAGAGCATAATGATATCTACTGTAGCCAGCACCGCTGCTCCCATCAAAAATCTTGGACAGAATATTCGATACAGCATTAGATGACGTCTTAGCCAGCCAGCCCACATTGTTGTGGCTAAATTGATGGTTGCATAGTAAAGTATGTGCGTCGTACTTGCTTGTGCAATATCCGCCATCAAACGTTTAGTGGAGTTCTCGGGAGTTTTCGCGACTCCGTTCAATACCTGCGGGCCACGAGACTCGATAGGCCTTTTCCATAGTGCAGTCAAGGGGGCAGCTACGGCAGAGAGAATCTGAGCTCCGAAGGTATTGAAGATGACAAGGAGGGGTGACCATGGGTAACGGACATTATCAAGGGCGATGAAGGCAGTTTCCCATTGGATACTGCTGAGCGTGGCTTGGTGACCAGTTGTGAAGAAGTGAAAGGAGCCGAGAACGGCGAGTATAATGGGTCCGATAGCAGAATTGCTCGTGGTGAGGTGATTTGTGTCGAGAATTTCGAGAAGAGACAGGATTTGCCATATCTGAATAGCAATTGTCCCCCCACCCATAGGTTTTTGGAGGAGAATGACCGCGAGTGCAAAGTTAACGACGAGGATAAAATACCGGGTTCCATAAATATTGGCGTAGCCTAGAATTGTCACAGATCTTTTAGCCGCAGATTGTCCCGGAGTCATTGCAATGCTAACGCAAGGTTTGGCCCAGGTAAAAGTTGTAGTACCAGCGGCGAAGGCTATCGCCAGAATAATTTGGGCCAAAATTCTTTTAGTTGACTTAAGTGTGCTGGAATTCAAAACCAGCCAATTGCCATCGTCAGCAGTATCCAAAAACCGGTAAGTCGCTGCGAGAAGCAGGCCCATGCGGAACGCAAAGCCGATCCAGAATATGGCTGATCCCTCATATGATTTTGTTCCTTGGTAATATGACCGAATAACGGTAGGGAGAATTAGCGATACTGCAAATGGGATCAGAAGCTGCCATGGCGCCGAGGTAGACGATGTATTCGATGCATAGTAGGTCGATCTGCAGTAAGGCATTTGTTCTTCCCGACAAAGTCGTGACAGTGATGCCAGTCTGCCTAAGACAATGAATATGATCGAATGGTATAAACCAAGTATTCTATCCTCTTTAGCGGTTTGTCGTAGCGAAGATATAGCGGCAAGGATACCAAACGTAGTAAGAAAAAATAAAAGAATCCGGTCTTCCCATATGGTATAAGAGTTTGATGCAAATCCAACGGATTGAGCAACAGTAAAAACAACTGCTAACCAGCCCCATAGCGAGGTTGGGAGTGGGGATATGATCCGTTCAGGAATCCAGAGTATGGTTGACGAAGCACCAAGAATGATACCAACAGCGGCCCCAAGGACACCACCTTCTACGGCCGGTATTGGTAGAAGTAACGTCGTTGCTGACACAATACCTGCTACTGCTCCAACCGCAGCCGCAATGCTCGTCTTCTTCAGTGTTGGAAAGGTAATATCCGTTCGATCGCCTCGGATCGCTCGAGCATAAAACACTAGTAGCCCAATGCCAGCAGCTGAGATTCCAATACCCAGCATCATACTAGGCACATCGAATCGAGCCCACAATCCACGGCAAACATTTAGCGTATCTCTCTGATACTCTCTATATGAATTATAAATGCTTCGAAGAACCGTGTAACTAGGATTCTTGGCTCGCTCAGATACCCATTTTTGCTCAGCCTGATGCCACAAGGACAAGGGCCCGGAAGTTTGACTCTGATCTAGCCCCCGTGCTCGCGCATATTCACGCTGATACCTTTCAATTTGAGCAGAGGCAAGCCTATTGACAGATATCAAGTTTCGGAGATCCTTTCCATTAGCCCCAGCAAAGGCCTCTTCAATAGGAGACCCAAGGTTGTTGAATGGGATCGGTAGGCCTAGAAGCAAAGACAGGGTGGGTACAAGATCAATTTGGGGGACAGGTCGCTCTTTGGCGCTCTTGGGGGGATAGAAGGCGTCGCTGCTTGTGCGTCCGAAAATTTTCTTCTTTGAGTACATCCACAAGGTAGCTTCTACCTCGTCGTCGGACTCGCCGCCATGATCTCCTTTAGAATCCATGCCATGGTCACCCATAACAACAAGTAACGTGCTTTCATCAATGGTTTCGATGAGACGCCGTAATACGCCATCCATCTCCTTCAGCTTCGCAGCCATTGCAGTATGGTCGGGTCCATATCGATGTCCCGCATGGTCAACTCCCAAGTAATGCCCTATAACTATATCCCATTTCGTCGCATTTTCAGCGTGCAAAAGGGGGAAGATATGTTCCGTAACACCATTATCAACAGTAAACAAGTCCCACACGTTAAATGAGTCGTACCCATGGGAAAGATCCTCTTCGAAATAGCCCGGGAATAATGCATTCCAAGTATCGTCACCCAAATGAACCACTCTTTTACCCGCACTTCGTAGCTGAGCAATGATATTATCCTCCTCTATGGCTGTCCCGGCAAAATTCGACCCAGCATCTATGAATGTAGGCAAGGTCCCAGTCGTTAGCCCTTTGAGACGCTGCAGTGTCGTTGTTGGAGGGTCTGCAATAAAAGGAAGCAGGAAAGCATTGTTGGGTTGCTGGAGAGCTGTCTCGTGAAGGACGGGAATATTATGATGGAACAACCGGGGACTTTGTCCCTCGATAGTAGGATGGAAGGGAACGGCGAAATCGTACCGCAACGCATCGATAATAACAATGACGGCCTTATCAAACGATTTCGGGTGCCAGCATCCCTTCTCACTGGAGCGTATACTTGGGTGATCCGATGTCGCAAAGGGAAGCACCGAACATTCAGACTTAGTATCTAGCACGAGCCGCGTGAGCAAAAAGCCTTTAGTAAAAAAGAAAATTCCAACCAAATGGATAAACCTGAACGCAAGAAACCTCCTTGTTAACTGGCGACATTCCTGCCGAAACGAATAGGAAAGGGGGAAGAGGCCACTCACACCAGCCAGCCGAGTAATGCTAACACGCCTCCGTGAGCAACTTTAAACTCCTTCTCCTTCACTTTATTTTTCTGAATATCTCTTTGCTTAACCTCTTTCATCAGCTCCTCTTCGCTGGCAGCACCCTGTTTTGCGCGGCGAGAAAGGTGCTGGGTCCGTATCCGCGCCGCATTGCGCGCCTCTTCCTCAGCCAGTAGCTGGGCGTTTGCCCATTGTGTTTGTATTTTCCTATACTCAGCGCCAGAGCCAACTGCATCACGGCTATCGGGGCCTCTAATGTTAGGCGGCTTCATTCTCTCTTCCCCTTTCTTCCCTCTCGTGTAGGGTGCTAGCTTCGAACTGCGGGAGAACGCTGGGGTGAGGATTTTTGTTCGGCACTGAAGGGTTTGCTAGCGAAAAGGAGAGAAATAACTAAACCCATCCATTGGAGACCAGCTAGTGAAGCGGCTCAATCAAGAGAGACTGCCGGTTCGGACTTTGGTTGTCATGTTTTCAAATGCTTGTTATCCAAACTGTTAGTTTTAGCGAAAGAGAACCTTGACAGCTAGGACCTTCTGCGACTGGGCTGATCCACCGGGTTCATAACAACAAGGCATCTAGGGGTAGAATCCTCCGACTGCACAATTGAAAGTAATCTACGAGGTACGGAGTACAGAGCACTGAATTCGAGAGAATAAAAAACACATGATATTGCAGAAAGATTACGGATTGAGCTATGTATGTCCTGAATGAGCACTCGGTGAAAACACGATACAGCCACTGAGACCAGAGATGTCCAAAGTGTTCCAATTGTGCAAGTGAGAGTGAAATCTGACAGTATTTGAAAAGCTTCGCGGAATCGAACTGGATTGTTGTGTGAAGTAAGCGAAGGGATGCCGCCCTGATCTGGGCAAATCCAGGCGGCCGCAAGTCATTAGAAAGAAATCCATTAATATCAACAAAATATTTTCACAGTGGAGTACAATAGGGACATAAGAAAAGAAAAATCGCGCCATTTTTGCTGCTTCTAGGCCCTAGGAACATAGCAGGACGCATGAAAACGTGGCGGTCTGTTGCGGTTTAACCGAAGCCAGTCGGAATTCGAACACAGTTAAGGTCAAATTTTGATTATGGGCCAAAAGTGGGCGATACGCCATGAATAGCATGTAGCGCAAATGAAATTTGGCATGGAATTAGTGGCTTCAAGATTAAACCGGGAGAAGGAATAATAGTACTGGCGGAGGTATCGCTCGGGTTCGGTTTTGTGAGAAGATGAATTCCCTATGAGTATCGTTTGGTATCATCTTTCTCTTTTAGTCCACCCATACGATTGAGATCGAGGGACTGGAACCTATCTGAGCTGTCTGTTGGGTATGGGGGCAGCTGTTCTGGGCATGGTTCTAGGCCGATTCCACCCTTCTCGCCAATGCGGACGACAACAACACTTCCTGGCCTGCGTCTGCCATTAGTATCCTCCTCCTCAGGGAATGTAATGCGGATTTCAGGAACAGGGCTTGACGGAGGGCTGGATGAGTTCTCGACAAGATTTCGCTTTTCGTCGATGACATAGACGGACTCCGATCTGCCACTATATGGAGTAGCGGTGATGGTGAGTCGGCGGTGGTGCGAGGGTTGATTGGCCTGTTCGATATCGACGGCTTTGGCGGCACGGCGTTTCTTGCGGAGAAGCAAAAGTACAGAGACCAAGGTGATTCCAAACAAAATTAAGACCAGCAGAGATATCAGAAGATTAATGGTGGTAGAGTTTAATTCCTTCCCATCACCACGGCGAACTAGCCGGTGCAAAGAAACCATTGTCGAAATGGTAAATGTGAAGATATCAAAAATATGGTATGAGTGGTGTAGCTCCAAGCTTAGCGCGTATACGTATTGCTAATCGCAGACTGAGACTGAACGCAATCGGCAGGGAGTCAAGGCTTGACGGCGTAGTTTGGCAGGGCAATGTCAGGGCGGTTGCGTAGGGCTTGGTTAATTAACGCGCGTTTGATCGGAGGCGGGTCGAGAGTCAAGGAGCGTGAGGGAGAGAAAGAATGGACAGCAGAGAGGCAGCTAAAAGAATGGAGCTGCCGGGCCTGCTTGGGCGAAGGAGAGAAAGCGGATGTTGGTTGATGTTGTGGGTGTGTGGGCGAGCAGCGAGAGCGAGCGAGAAGGGGAGAAGGGGGAAAGGGAGGCAGATGTGTTGGCGCGGCCCGAACAGGCAAGGCGCCGAGGGTCATCCCTGCCAAGCATCAGCGCTAAGCTCTTTTGGCATGTGGATTTCGGCACTTGGCCAATAGTACGCGATGACGCTTGCAGCGGCGCCGCCTCATTGGCCGCCCGGGCCAGAGCAATTTCATCAGCCGGCCAATCAGCGCCGCGCGGTGCCTGAGCGGAAGTGGGGTGCTTCGCGACTGCTGAGTCGTTCGTCGCAGCGCTAAGCTGCTGCTATTCCGACCGGAGACCACGACAGGGCTTGTTCCGGCGGCTGGCCGGTTATCAAGGCCGCTTTGTCTGGCGTCTATTTTCAGCTGCCCGTCTCGGATGCAACGGCTGCACAGCCCAGTTGGGCCTGCAGACAAAGAACTGTGAATGGACTGGGCAGTCCGCATGTAGGCTGGTGTCTGGCAGGTGCACAGCTCGCATGCCACATGGATAATAGAGTCCCCTCCGCCTGTGTGCTCTAGCAACAAACACCATGGTTGGAAGGCGCAGAATCCTTTCTATTGTGTGTGAAGCCCATACATATACAGTATAACTGCATCGTACGGAATACTCCGTATTGTACTCGTATACGTTGATGGTCAAGACCCAAGATCAACGGTGGGTTCTGCCCCGACGGACCCAACTCGGAATAGGAGTTATCTTCGCGCCTGATGCCTTCTGGTGACCCAGCATGCATAAATCACACGACAACTTGCTTTCCCGGCCCTCGTGCTTCTCGCCATCCATCGATTAGGCAACTAGTCGCTTGATGGGCGGGGGTACGCCAATGAAATTACTTCAAAGCCAGGTGCTATTCGCGGCTCCCACGTCCAGGGCCGCTCTGTTAGTTATGCGTGGGGCCGCCGAAACAAGGGCACATGAGTAACAGGCCAGATGGCGCAGAGCCAGTACAGAGTATATTTGGGTCTTCATGTGTATATACCGTACTATACATACGTATCACAGCGCCCACATACGATGCAACACCCAAACAGCCTGGCCAGACGTACAGGAAAGAATAGCACTGATGATCAAACGTACCGAGTTGAGTTACGTGTAGAGGCAACTAGTCTGCTGATGGGTGCCCCCTGTGCTGCACTGCCGAGAAAAAACATTAACCTGGCGGTAATGCTGTGCGACAAAACCTGTTGTCCGGAATAGTTCCCTTTTTGCCAGATCCTGCATGATTGCCCGCTAGAACGGAGGACTGTGCGTGTCCGACCATGACTGGCCTTTCAAAGCGGGTGGCAGGAAAATGTCGTGGGAATCCATGGCTCAGGTAGGACAGGGCGGTTGAATGCAGAAAAATTGCCAACGGCGGCTCACGAAAATCTCGGTGAGAACAACGATGTGTTGCGGAACACCATCCCGGTTTCCATTCCCAAACAGTTGGCAGGTTTCCTTTTTAAGGGATATTTCCCCTTTACATGATTCAGCAGTCTTGGGAAAGGCTGTGTACGTGAACACGGCGCAGCTGAAAGTACGTATGCATGCATGCATGTATGGAGCATACACATACAGCTGCTTGCCATGACAAAGAAGCCCGGTATCGTTGTCTATTTGTTGTAGTGTTTCTCTCTTTGGTTATGTTCTTTGTAATGCCCTTCAGGACCTGGGTGCGCGAATCAGAAAGAGTAATTCAGCTAAGTGGCTGTGAGCCAACCGCAATCAACAACAGTGAGGTTGGACCTTACGTCCACGGCCATGGGAAAAACAAAGTTACTCGTCGATGCCTTGAAGAACTTGGTTGAGTGAGTTGGCACCCAAGATGTTGGGATCCGCTGCCCCAGGTTATGACCCTTGTGGCAGCGTACACCCGAAATCAAGGGTGTAAGTGAGAACATTGCTCTTTCATGCAGGAAGGAGATTACATACAGACATATACCCACGAGCAAGCAGGGGAACCGGAAGCTTGAGCTAGGTCCTTGTTCTCTAGCCATCTTTTGTTCGGCAGGCCGTCAGCAGCCCATGCTGCTGGGAACAGCGCGCATAGCTACGTACATCGTAAACAGAAATCCTAAGAGACGAGCATCAGCGAAATCAACATGAGATGGATAGCTGGAGTAACTAAGTCTGCAGCCCTCCTATTGTCGAGTGCTCTGTGACGAGCGGCTTCATACATCTTCGCATGAGGAGTACCCCGTAACCAGCCCGGGGTCCTGGCTGGGGTCTCGGCAGGGACGAAGTAGCTAGTTACGACAAGGGTTTTTTTGCTGATCTTGATTTAAACTTGCCCCATTCGAAGTTTTGCGCGACATAACCTCCGATCAGACTATATTTTTATAGAAGGGTTATCTTAAGCTGGTATTCCGTACTGCCGCCTGGCCGTTTTCCTAAACGGCTGTGCTGGACCCCGTATTTTGATGGGTGACCAACCGCTGGAGGGTTAATTACGTCCTGCGTTTAAATGTTCCGGCAGAGGGGCGTGCAGTCTGCCCAGAAAGTTTCACCAAGCAACGCCCGCAAACAAGCGTTTGAGTTTAACACTGAATCTCGAATCACGGATTGTCTATGACACATCGAGTCGGGTGTCTGGTGGCGAGCGTGGATTGCTTTGGTCATGATTTTTGCGGCGCGGGCCAACCAACAACATCACTGGCGGAGGGAGATTCTGGAAGAACTGCACGTTGAACGGTGCAGCAAGGCGGCTGGGAAGACGGCGGCGGCGTGTGGTGGGCGGACGGATGGGCTATGGGGATCGCTGGCGCTGGCGATGCGGAGGGCGCGCGCGCGGTTGGCGGCGACGCGGTGGAGTCCCGATGACGCCTTATAGTGATCTGCCGTTTGGGGTGGAGACGCGTTAGGCCGGGCTGGGACTAGCGGCATGGGCCTTGGTATTTTTAAAACAAACAGCTGCGCCAAAACGCGCGACGGGCAGCGCTGATTGGCCGCGGGGCGCAGCTCGCCGACCCCCTGGCACGTCCTGCGCCGCGTATTTCGCGGTACGTTTCAAAACACGGACCAGCGTCTCACCGCGACCCACCGTGACCGTACGGGACGCACTGGCGGCCGCAGCAGGCGGGGCGCGGCGTATTTGTACGTATCGGTCGGACGGGCTAGCCGAATAGTTTCCACGGCGGTGGCGGGCTAGTCGCCTTGGCGGTTGCTTACATAACGACCGCCGCCCAAGGCCGCCCAAAGCGGTAATTCGACCGTTTGATCTCGAAAAAAGTCGACGTCGGCCAGCGCAGCGCCGTCGAAAAAGCAACGCCCGCCGCCGCTCCTGCTGCTGCTGCTGCAGCTCCCGTCAACCTCTTCACCACCGCCGCCGCCGCCCTCGTCGCCCACCCGCTCTGCCCTGCCCTGCCGTACCGCCCGTCCTGCGTTGTGCTGCGCTGTGCTGTGCTCTGCTGTGTTGGGCCTGGCTCTGGGTCTGGAGCGCTGCGATCCAGGGAATGCCGACTTGTCATCCGCAGACTCTCTTTGTACGCCCTCCTCTCTGGCTCCCGTACTACCCTGCTTGCGCTGTCGCTACCACTGCTCGTCCCCTAGCTACCCCGTACACTGGCCTTCTCGTCCCCAAACCTGTCTTTTGGTGTCTTTCTAGTGACTCCCGCCCAACTGGCGTTCTCAACCGCCCGCCACCCCAGCTCCCTGTGCTGTGCTAACTGGGCTGTCTTGCCCTCCAGGAGATCGATTACGCCCTGACTGCCGCCGTCTGATGCGATGAAGCTTCCGTGCGTGTGACAAGTTTCATGCGTTTCCCGCCCGCTGCTCGCCCCTCTTTGTTTGTGGCCCGGGCTTCCCTTTGAAACAGAATTTCATTCACCTTGTCATTCATCACTCGCCCGGACTGGCTCCTCCCCAGTAAACGCTCCCGCAAATCACCTTTCAGGCCTCGATCTCCTCGCCTATAACCGATCGTCCCCCCTCCATCCGCTTGACTTTCTGGCGCCCAACTCGTCCACATACATACCAACATCTGGTACGGAGTACATATATATATATAATACACACGTCGCTCAACCATTACTCAACCCTGTCACTGTCCCGCCGCCCGCCTCCCCCATCGCCAGCGTCGCCGCCGCCTGGTCCTGCTTCCACGTCGCTTCCCCCACGTCAACGCATCCAGATTGCCGATGAGCCCCAGCTGGCCGCATTTAGACTAGTCGCGCGTCTCAAGGTTATGCATGGAGGGTGAGTTTCTTGCCCTTCGCTCGACTCAACTTGTTTCCCTTCACCTGTTCACGGCTGCCTGCCGCGACCATGCTGGCAAACGAAGCCGGCTCTTGCCCCGATTTCCTGCTTTGCATTCGGCCGTACATGCCTACTTCCACGCCAGCTCTTTACTCTTTTTGCCGTCTTCAAATCATGCTCCGTCACTTCTTCTTTATCTTCAACTCACCCGCCTTGTTTGACTTCGGACGTTTTTCCTGGTCCAGCTCAATCCCGGATCTTTGTGTGCTTTTTTCACTCTTTCCCTTCTGCACATTTTCTCTCTTCTCTTTCATTCACTTTTCTCACCTACGTGCACATACTATATTTCTGTATATTTGCCATCCGACCATTTGAGAACTGTCTTTCTCCGGGTTCTCTCAGCCCGGTCGTCACCAACCACAAAATATATCTATTCTCACCTCAGGTTGCAGACACAGGCATTCATTATCTCAGAGAACTGACTGTGCTTATCTTTTGCAGTGACAAACTACACCTACAGCCTGTCAAAACTTTCACCTACACCTCCTTCTAAGGGCCCTTTTTCCTAATCTGACTTGTGCTTCTACGAATCCCTCTGGTGTGGGTCTGGAAAGCCCTTTGTCTGGCCGTTTATATTACATCGTCGTCCATCTACAGACTACACCCTCCATCGCTCACCAAAGAATCAGTCAAAGATGGCGCCCGGTCTTTCAAACGGAAACAGCGCCCAAGTACGCTCATCTCCCACTTCTAGTATCCATCAGACATAGCTATTTCTAACAACGATTCCTAGATTCGAGCGCCCCGATTCCAACAAGCCGATACACTGGGTGCTGGCCGGGGCTTCAGTTCTACGAATGGGAACTGGAGCGGTGCCTGGAGCAACCCTACCATGACAAATACCTCTTCGGATAATGCCTTGGAGAATGGTCAGTCTGGTCAGCAATTCCCCATGATTCCTCTATCTTGAATATCATATTGACAGTTCCGTATTATAAATTTTAGCAGACATCCCCGATGAGATAGAGGGCAGGTCAGGGTCTGGCTGTCTTTTAGCCACCTCAGAATCTGATGGTTGGGATGGGCGACTTAATTTGCCATGGAACGTCAATAGTCAAACCGCCCCTTCCATTACTCCCACAGGAATCGGCAACGCTCCATCTGGGCATTCTTCTCCCTATTTCACTTCAGCAAGGCCAGCGGCGATTGGCATGACGGCGAGGACTGCAGCTCAAAGAACATTCTTTACTCACTCCGACTCAATTAGTGGGGCCTCATTCGGAACGTCAGCATCAAACGGCATGATCAATCATAATACTCCTCCTCAGCCATCAAATATAGCTCTAAATATGGGTCCTGCCACAGACTACACAAGCAACCACGCGTTCCCTGCAACCAATGGGGATATAACCATATATGAAAGGTCTAATGTACATTTTGGCTTTCGTGGGTTCGCCTCACAAATCGCCTCTCAGTCTGGATCAGTTGCGCCGACACCATACTCTCATGCATCACACAACTCCATAGGCACCTTTCCATATCGATCTGCTCATTCCTCACAATCTTCTTTCCATTCTGACTCCGATAATAATGAAATTAGAAATATGCGGACACAAAGTGACATTGCGCTTGCTTTCTCTGGTCTGGAACTTGAAAGCAACGCTTATATGGCTCGCTCACAGTCCAACTCCCACCGACCAGGCTATGTTAGCCATTCTTCATTTGACGGATCTCTTCCACAATTTCGAAACCCTCTTGGTTTAGATGATTTGCCGCTTTCTAACTACCGGACATACAGCCCTGAATCTTTCGCGCCGCACTCGCGTCGTTCAGATAGGGACGATGACCCTCCATCTCTTCACAATGTTGGCAGAAACGGAAATCCGGGCTTCTATTCTACTCATGGGTCATCTCCAGTTGCTGGACGCCTCATGTTCTCGATAGAGAATCAATTGAACACCCGCCCTTTAAACGGCCCAACAGAGGTTCTCGATAGGCGATTGCAGAGTCTGCAAAACCAGCAACAGTACCGGGCAGCCTCGGCACAAACCAGAGGAATGCCACGTCAAAACCAAGGGTATAGTAATGCGAGCTACCAAACTGGCCCAATGAGTCAAACAGTGGATGCATATGGGATGCCATCTCTTACCGGGGTTTCTCCAGCGACTATTCCGCGACATTCATACCGTAGTAAAGAGCCCGAAGTGTTCATACCGCTACGCAGCCCATTGCTTGAAGAATTTCGTGCTAACATCAAAGGAAACAAGCGTTATGATCTTAAGGTAATTCTTAAATTCAGCTTTATATGGTCACAGAAACTAATTTTTTTTGTCTGCCAGGACATATACGATCATATTGTTGAATTCAGTGGCGATCAACACGGCTCTAGATTTATTCAAACGAAACTAGAGACGGCACACAGCGACGAAAAGGATCGTGTTTTCCAGGAAATCCGGCCAAATGCAATTCAACTCATGAAAGATGTCTTCGGAAATTACGTCATTCAAAAACTTTTTGAACATGGTAGCCAAGCACAGAAAAAAGCTCTAGCGCAACAGATGATGGGTGACGTCCTCAATTTGTCTACCCAGATGTATGGCTGTCGAGTCGTTCAAAAGGTATGAATTTAGATTATTCTTTTTTAGAAAATCTCAAGTTAACAGCTTCTTAGGCACTAGAACACGTCTTACTCGATCAGCAAGCGGAAATAGTGAAGGAACTAGAGCAGCACGTCTTCAGATGTGTCAAAGATCAAAATGGTAACCATGTCATCCAGAAGGCCATTGAGCGGGTACCACAAGACCGCATTCAATTCATAATAGATTGTTTCAAAGGCCAAATTCCACAATGGGCTGTTCATTCTTATGGATGCCGCGTTATCCAGAGAATGCTAGAGCATTGCAATGCGGCAGACTGTGAAGCTATCCTTGCTGAGCTTCACCGCTGCTGTGCTAGCCTTATACCAGATCAGTTTGGAAACTATGTTATTCAGCATGTTATTGAGAATGGTGAGAAGAAAGATAAGCTACAGATGATTTCTGTAGTTATTTCTCAAGTTGTCTCTTTCTCTAAACATAAGTTTGCAAGTAATGTGGTTGAGAAAACCATTGAGTTTGGATGTCCCAGCGATCGCTCTAGGATCTTCAAAGTGTTCATAACTCCCAATGATCACGGTGAAAGTCCCTTGCTGGGTCTAATGAGGGACCAATATGGGAACTATGTTGTTCGTAAGTCACAAGCATGACCCTTGCTTACTATTTAGCCACTAACAACAGTACAGAAAAAGTACTTCAAGTTTTACAAGGCCGCGAGTATCATGCACTTGTAGAACAAATTCATCCTCTACTAAGCCAGCTCAAGAAATTCAGCTACGGCAAGCAAATTGCGGCTATTGAGAAGTATCTCGTCAGACATGCCCCGTCCGTTTCGCCAAACTCGTCCCGGTGTCCTAGCCCGTTCATTGCAAACGATATGGACTCCGCCTGTGAGGATAATGCTTTCTCTACCCGATGCATTCCGAGCTCTCGTGGCAGCATTGCTCAAAGCACAAATACAAGCATCGATTCAACAGAAAATGATGACCAGAAACCCGCATAGTACATACTACTTTTGTTTCCAAAATTAATCGACATCCAAGTACATATTTTTATTCCGCTCGTCCAAATTGAGAGCAGCACCGCACTCTTAACACCGCTGTGCGCATATAAGAGCATCAATACTGTTGCATGGAAATGTTGATACTTCACATGACATGTCTATATTCACCCTTTTCTGGGCCTCAATTGATGCATCACCTTGCCTTCATAATACCACTTGATGGCTATACCTATTTAATTCTCATTTTTCCTGTGGTATGACTTTTATTTGATTTTTTTTTCTCTCATGCAACGGCACCCGGAATGAAAGTGATTGTTAATGTTAGGTGGGCAGGCTGGGTCTGGAGGAGTGCCCGTTTACATGATCTTTCTACTATTTGACTTTCTCTGTGGATTATATGGGGTTTGCGGGCTTAAACGTCGCCTTTTGCCAATTTTTTTTTAACCACATATTATGCAAAAATTTGCCTGCACATTTACTTCATGGTTTTCAGAAGCGGCATACCCAAAATATTTTCCCCTTGGTTCGTTTTTCTTCCCTAGGTTTCCGTTTCCAAGAGTATAAAGTGGGCGCAGCTGGGAAAAAGAATACATTTTTGATGGTTTCAATAGGCGCTGGTGTAATGCTTTCCTGTCGCCTTCTTCTGCATGTATCGCACTTCTCCTCTTACTCTTGGTTATTAACCACTAGTTAGTTACCTGGGCTCCATATTAATAAGATGAATCTCAATAAAATACAATCATCATGTTAAACAGATGCTCAAATCTGAATCCAATGCTTGGATGGTTTCCCTAAATTTATAAGTATATGTATGTGCAAAGGTAAGGATATTTTTTATGTTATACGGAGAACATGGCGTGTGTCAAGTACATACGTATGTATCCATATGGCCACTAGGATACAGTTTTTTGAAAGACGGATTAGGTCTAATAATTTATCCTGCTCTGGAAGAGTGCTTTCTAGAGAAGTAGCAAAATATGTTAAATACAAGAAATAAACAAAATCAACTTTTGAGACACAGGCTAACAAAACAATGTGAAGTAGAGATGTTAGCAGGGTTTTAAGGAAAGTTAAAATCCAGGTAGAACTCGTCGGTTTTTGAAGTAGCAAATTCAAACATATATCATTATTAGAGATGCCAAGAAAATTTAACCACGATTGTTGCTCCAGCGCGAGAAGTCTAAGTTTTGGAAAACATTATTATCAGTGTAGAGATTTCTCGCTGTTCCAAAATTAGCTCTGAAGCCCTGTGCCGGCATATATTCCTCGGCCTGCACGGTCGCCGGCTTAGTATTTCGTCTGTGTGGATAATAAATGGCTTCGGCAGCGGCATCTGAACTCCCAACGGAGGCAGCATAGGCACGTTCACGAAGTCGACGAATTTCGCGGAGACGGTTTTGCCATGATGATACGTGCTCCCCACCGCGGCTAGATACCAGAGAAAACGCAGAGGCATTGAGCGCAATAAGGCGGACGAATGAGGCCAGATTCCGACCAGAAATGACTTTTGGAATTGCAGCAGACGAAAGGTCGGGGAATCCCGGCTTGCTAGCAACTTTGACGGTGTAGAACGTCTGGTAAAAGTCTTCAATTGAGTCCATAGGCGATTCGATAGGGGAGACGCGACAGGCAGGTGCGATCACAATGTTAACAAAGTTAAATTGCGTGAGAATGGTATCAAAAGCAACATCTTTATTAGAATGGTTGAAGATAATGTTGACGAAGTCATTGCCGATATGCATCTTCTTTTTCACGCATTGCGGATCTGCTCCTAGGTCTGTAGGCATCATGGTAGAAACATGGTAGACAATTTCTGAGACCCGATCGCGCCATGCATAGGTGTATTCACCATCATCTCCCCATCGTAACCCCTGAGTATTGAATTTAGCGTTCTCAAGGGAGACTTTTGTGCCCAAACCACTCAGGAAAAATTCGTAGTCTGCACTTCCTTTAGTATTGGCAAGAATCTGCTTCTCCTCTATTTGGCCTTCGCCTACGTAAATCACGCCAATCTTGTGTCCGTCAACAATGTCATTTCTATCAAACGTGCTGATGGCTCTACGAGTAAAGTCATCATCTGGAAGAGGCAGGGGCTGTGTGACTACAGGAGTCGGGAATGCGGAGGTAGTCAATTGGATAAGAATATGAGAAGGTAGGATTCGCGTAGGCTGCTCATCCGTGATAGAGTGGGGTGACGGGCTGACTGGAATTTGATGAGGAAGAACTGGGGCTGTACGCTGCTGATAGGACGCATATGTTGTGCCGGAGGCTTGCCTTTTTGTTACCTGGCTTAGACCAGATGCACCTGCTGTTTCAACTGTAAGAATGCTCATACCGACAATCCAGGTTTTCTTTGAAACAGGGCCGTCACTCTCTGATGGAGGGAAGTGTTCAAATGGTATAGTATCTCCTAAATCCGAAAAAGTCACTCTTTGCATAAAATCCATGAAAACTTGGCTTTGCTCTTCAATAACCTCTTTCCCTGACTCATCGGTGAACACAAGGCGTTTTGTAACCCAACTAATATGATTAGACCTGTCTTGAATCTTGAGAGAGAGGAACCAGAAAACCATGACATGATAAGTTAAATGATAAACGTATCTTGACAGGTCGTCTGAGATTTTGGTATCGCCCGCAATCGTACTTGGATTGGCACTGTATTCTTTTGAGCCACTGCCGAGTCGGATTGGCAAAGAAGTAGAGCGATTCGCCATGGGATCTATAGCCTTGTAACGTTGTTCTCTCGAAGACTCAATATATCTAAGACAGATACCAAATATCGTACGGATTTCTTCATCTCGCAAATTCACGTACACATCTGGCAGCCGCGCAAGAAGAGCAAGGAACTCCAGAATATGAACTGCAATGTGTGTACGAGTCATGACCTTGGACATTTTGTCGAGTATTCCGTGTAGAGACTTTGTCACAGACATCGGAATTTCGTGGCAGCAGACAGATAGTGCATGGATGCAGCCGCGGGATGTTGCTTCCCAGGATCCGATTCCAAGCATTAATGTGCGCACAATCTCATCCTGCTCACTCTTTGCGAAATGCTGATGAAAGCTCACTAGATTTGTCAGGGCTGCAAATATACATACTGCAATATCACCCTTCTTCACGCCTGTCCAGCCAAGAGGTTCCTGGAAAGTTTCGTTTTTAATCTGTTCACACAAAACACTCCGAAGAAGTTTTATTTGTAGAATGGAGTTCCGGAATAATTCCCTATTCATGAGCTGCGAGCCCATATGCGTGAGGACATAACTGTAGATATCCCAGTTTTTCTCCCTCTGAAGAAGGGTAATGACTGTTTCCACCCAGAAATTGATTGGAAGAACAGTGCGCTGGTGCTGGTCACCCTCTGTATTTTCCAGCTCAGCACTAAAGGCAAAGATATGGGTACTAGGCGCGCAAGGTGTGTTTTCGGGAAAAGCTTTTGCTTCATCGCCCGTCCAGACGGGAGAGTTCCACTTCAAAAGGCGGGTATCATTTGCTCCACGGCTACTTTCTGGAACCAAAGGTCCAGACAGGGGGTCTTTGAGAGACAGTCGGCTACTTTGGCTGTCATTCGTCGCTTTCCGATCATTTGGCAATTCTTCCGCTACACTTGGCCGGGATGTTGCATCAATCGTGCGCGAAATTACAGGAATTAAGAAGTTGCTATCGTTCGGTTGATATACAAGGATTGAGCCGGCGGAGTCGCATCGTATTCCAAACAGCAATTTAAGTGCTGTTAAACGTGCATCGGATGGTCGCTGGGGAGATCGCGCAATGTCAATTAATTTTTCAAAAACGAGAGACAAATTGATGGATGGATGATCAACTAAAGCTCTTAGAAAGATCCGAACCAAGCCAACACATGCGATGTTTGACAGCGACGGCGAGAGGACGTTGGTAAACGGGATGGACTGGGATACCGGATGTGACGATACAGAGGTTGGAGAAAGGTCTTCCTTGTTTTCATCGGCTCGCATAGAAAGGCTTATGGTTTCAACTAGGCGTGCGAATGTCTGAGATTCACAGTCTAAGGCGATAGTAACGAGGAAAGGCACCAATTTTTCAAGAAAACTCGCAGAGCTCTCATCTTCAAATTTGTGGCACAGGGCATCAGTGAAACCCTCTGCATTGAACATAGGAGCAGCTCCACTTTGTTGGTAGGACTCTTCAAAGACGAGCAGTGCCAAACTGCGGATTTCACTTGGTTTCTCCTGGGACAAAATAAAGTTATATACCAATTCCCAACACCTAGAAACCCAATCAGCGGACTCGACATGACATAAGCCCTGAGTATTCAAGAAATTCAAAGCCAATTCCAACTGAGTAGGGGTGAGGTGCTTATGAACACTCATATAAAAATGTAAAACATCCAGTTTTTGGTGTTCGCCAAGATTCGACCAAGCAGTCTCCATTGAAGTAGCAATTCGAGTGACGTGGGCAGATATGTTGGATTTTATGTCGTCAGATGTAATCGATTTCGGAAGAGACGCTGCGTCTGTAGATTGAGGGCGGGGATTAATCACTCGTCTGGAGCAAGTGAGAATAACCTCCACAAACTGCATCCAATTGTGCTGAAGTGCGATAGCTAAGTAATCGCCCTGCAGCATGTTTAAGCAAACTTCAAGAATGTCGGTATCGATTCGGCCGTCATTTTTGCCCGTTGCCTGCAGTAGTGAGTTGACTAGAAGGTCAAATGAAAGACTAGGCATCCCTTCTTGCCCGTATGCGGCGACGAGATCTCTGAAAATATCGACAGCGCCCCGAGTTACATTCAAGTTTCTATCGCTTGACACGGGAGTCTCCAAAAGAAAAGCATACAGCAACTCCACCATTTCTTGTTGGTTTCTGGATTTGGCCAGATTGCGGACCACTCGCGATGTTGGACCCGCTAAAGATTTAATTGACGCGTGAATGTTGGACAGAACCTCTAGTAGAGAGCTAAATGTTGAAGTGGGAATCTCTAAACTTGAGATAATCGCGTCAAAAACAGCGAGGGCTTGCTTTATGTCGCCGGTCACATGAGTACTCTTACAAACCACAAAGAGACCTTCAAGAAGTGACTGTATATCACCCGTCTCAGGTATTTGGCGTTGGAGGGTCAGTATATCGATGATTAGTTGGAACAAATCGGTAAAAGCGACCTCTTCCATTGTCGATGAATTATAAGGTCTTCCTAATTTTTTATTTCTGGCTCGGAGAGATGCAATTGTATCATAGAAGGGGATGACCCAGGAAACAGCGGCTGGAAGAACGGAGCTGTCGGAAAAGTCGATTTTTCTACCATGATCTGTCAACGCAATGAGGGCTTTGACTCGAGAAGGAATGAGGTCAGGTGTGGAGGGGTGAGAAAGGTAGTGAAACAAAGTCTGGCGCGCAGATAGAGGTAGATCTTGACGGCCCGATACGGCTTCAAGAAGGTTAGAGGCAGCCTTTTTCGCATCTGGGGGATTTGAGACATCCGCCAAGTAATTCCCAGCATTCCAGACGGCCATCGCTTGGTCGGCACTGAAATTATGCAAATGGCGCGCTGCTCTCTCTGCTTCTTCCACGGCACCGGAGAGGGGCTGGTCGCGGCTAAGACTCCGAAGCAAAGTATCGAAACTCGCAGGCCCCGAGATGTCCACAGCTATACTGCTCCGGTGCAATGAATCAAGCCCAAATCGGCTCCCACGTCGACCCTCCATTATCGATACCTAGATGTCCAAGCTCGCACAGGAAAAAACTGCTATCTTCCTAGAATAGTTGCTTTTGTGGATAGGTGAAGAAACATTGTTTTAAATACACCAGCCCCAGTTGGGCATATGTGCTGTTCAGATTGCCGACTAAGCAGCCAGTTTATGACTGTTTGAACCTTATACAATATCATTGTCAGCTGATGTCCTGGTGATGAAGAGTGCAAAAGCACAACGATCAAGGTTGCAGGTAGCTTATTACACAAAGATTTCTGGGTGAAGCACACTACATTGACCCTTTCTGCAGGCAACAAATAAGGAAAGAGCAAGAAAAACCCGAACATGACAAAACAGGGGGAAGCAGTACTGATCATTGATATTTATATAATATGCTGGACATAAGGCTCCTCACAACTGATGAATCTTGTACTCATTGCCTGTCCATCCCCAGACACCACATGGAGGAACGGATAGCAATATCTCGTTGAAGTTGATACTGTTGTAAATATAAATTAAGGGCCAGAGGTGACCCCTACCACCTAGGCTACAATAGCAGGAAAGTATTATAAATAGTATATATATATATGTCCCTTAAAAGGTGTATTAATGAGAAGTAAATAAGATATATATTGTATGAAGGGGTTGGAGTGGTTGTCTTTGTTCGTGTATTAGAACCGCTGCATGTGAGCAATGGGAGGGGGACAGAGGAGGTGGAAGACAGCGAAGTTAAAGCTTTTTGAGCTTGTGAGTGACATAGCAAGTGAGTGGATCATCAGGCAAATCTGGAGAACACTGCCTAGGCTAACTATTTGGGACTAGCATACGCGTGGGACATCTATTGTTCCGCTGGTACAGGACCACGTGCCCAGGAGTCTGTAAATAGCAAGTAACTCCGTTCCAGCCCAAATCAGGCTTAGTGCCTATTTGGTTTTCTTTCCCCACTTGTTCCCTTCTTATATAAGCAGCCAAACAAACTTCCCAAAAAAGGTGGGTTGAGCTACAGCCGTGAGAGACAGAAGCTCATCAACTAGCCAGCAGAACCAATAGCAACAGGGGGCTTACTGCTAAGCAATTTCTACAATTGTCTTTTCAAGCTTTCTTTGATTCGAATCACCCTTTGAAGGCTATTGCTGGGCCGCTTTGCTTCTACCACTCAAGCCCCACGCTGTTTTGCTGGGCAGCTCTCCTTTCGATATGGCGGCAAATCTCGCTTCAATTGTCCCTCTACTCGAGGCTACACTTAGCCCAAAAGAGCATAAACAAGGTGGGTATATGGTCTGATCTCTTGGCCCTGTTGATAATGCTGATATGCCCTGTATTTCAGCCGAAGCTGCCCTTCGACAGGAAGAACGAAAGCCAGGATATTCCCTACAGCTTCTACATATCACAGCCAACCAAGAATGTTCATTCACTACTCGCCTGGCCAGTGCACTTTATTTCAAAAATTTTATTAAGTGGAATTGGACAGACGAGAATGGAAACTACAAGTTACCGGAGAATGATGTTGTCACTATCAAACAAGAGCTCATAAGCCTTATGATATCAATGCCCCCAGGAATTCAATCTCAACTAGGAGAAGCTGTTAGTGTAATAGCAGATAGTGATTTCTGGAGGCGGTGGGATACGCTTGTTGATGTTCGTTGTTTGACCAGAACCTTACATATTATACCCAAACTGATACGCGTCCTAGGATCTTGTGTCACGTCTCTCTCCGGACAACATTTCAGTAAACATAGGTGTTCTACAGGTTGCGCATTCTATATTCAAGAGGTGGCGGCCGCTCTTCCGCTCAGACGAACTTTATGAAGAGATAAACCACGTGTTGAGCAAGTTTGGCCAACCATACCTGGCACTCTTCGAGGTTTGTTTGGCGCCCTCTTGACTAAATTGATGCCATCAAGTCTAATATGACAGGTTTGTCTAGAGCTTAGATTCCTTTCTTGAGCAGAACAAGAACAACAAAGAAAAGATCCAGCAAGGGTTTTGCCAGCTAAATTTGATGGTAAAATTATTTTACGACCTTTCGTGCCACGACCTTCCACCAATGTTTGAAGACCATATAAGTGCTCTTTCTGCTCTACTTCTGAAATATCTCACTTACGACAACCCGCTCCTTCACTCCGACACCGAATTGGAAGCCAGTGAGCTGGAGTTTGTGAAGGCCGGTATATTTGAAGTACTGATCCTTTATGTACAAAAATTCATGGATGTTTTTGGGCCCCACGTTGAGCAGTTTATCGGTAGTTCTTGGAATCTACTCACAACAATTGGGCAGGACACAAAATATGACATTCTAGTCAGTCGTGCTCTACAGTTCTTGACATCAGTTGCTCGCCTATCAAGTCACGCGAATGCGTTCAAAGATGAGGCGACCCTCAGCCAAATCACAGAGAAGGTCATTCTACCGAATATTTCCTTGCGAGAATCGGATATTGAAATGTTCGAGGACGAGCCTATTGAATTCATTCGTCGTGACCTCGAGGGTGGCGACAGCGAAACCAGGCGGCGGGCGGCCACAGACTTCTTGAGACAGCTCCTGGAAACTTTTGAGGAGTCAGTAACAAAAATTGTAACCAAGTACAGCGACCATTTCTTGGCAGAATATTCCAAGTCTCCATCGGAACACTGGCAGTCCAAAGATACTGCAATATATTTGTTTTCAGCGATTGCTGCTAAGGGAATTGCTACTACTGCTCATGGTGTTACGACTACCAACCCCTTAGTCAACATTACAGAATTTTTTCAAACCCATTTGGCCTCTGACTTAACTGCAGCAACTGGTATTCATCCTCTACTAAAAGTAGATGCCATAAAATATCTCTATTCATTCCGCAGCATTATCACAAAAGAGCAATGGCGGGAAATCCTCCCCATGCTGGTGCAATATCTTGGGTCGTCAGTCTATGTTGTGTATACATATGCCGCCGTTGCTCTCGAAAGGGCTCTCTGTCTCAGCGACCATCAACACCAGCCCATTATTTCTGCCAGTGAAATTATCCCATTAACCCCACAGCTCCTAGAGCATGTTTTCCAACTCATAGAAAAGGATCCATCGCCGCCAAAAGTCCAAGAGAATGAGTTTCTCATGCGTTGCATCATGAGGGTGTTAATCGTGATCAAGGACGGTGTTATTCCAATCGTTGACCCAATCCTGCAGCATCTTATGAAAATAACTGAAATCATCAGCACGAACCCAAGCAACCCACGATTTTACTATTACCATTTTGAAGCTCTTGGGGCTTTAATAAGGTATTTCACCTATTAACACGGATGCTTGAGCCTATTGCTTAACATTCTTTTAGGTTCGGGGCTCCTGCGCAGCCCGAAAAATTTGAAGGGATGCTCTATGCTCCTTTTGTCAATGTGTTACAGAGCGATATACAAGGTAAGTGTGCTTTTTAGACTGGGTTTCGATTATCGATGCTAAGCTACCAATGCAGAATTTATGCCATACGTTTTCCAACTTCTCGCCGCACTTCTGGAAGCCCAGCCTTCCAATCAGCTCTCGGGGGATTATCAAAACTTACTGTCTCCGATTCTCCTTCCTACAATGTGGGAAGCGCGGGGAAACATTCCCGCCCTTGTTCGATTATTATCATCCATTCTACCCCGCGGCGCCGAAATAATCACGAAAAATAACCAGATCGAGCCTATTCTGGGAATATTTCAGAAGCTGGTTTCGTCAAAACTCAATGAAAGCTATGGCTTCGACCTCCTTGAAAATGTTATTCTCACATTTTCGCCGTACGTATTAATAAATCGGCTTCTGCTATGATGGGATGGGCTGAACCTTTCTTTATAGGAAAATACTGGAACCATACTTTCCAACAATAATTCAAATAGTTCTAACACGTCTCCAAAATTCTAAAACGGAGAATTTTTCTCTGCGATTTGTTCGGTTTTACCATTTCATATCTGCACTGGATGACAACGGATATGGCTGCGACTTTTTCATTCAGGTAACCGAGAATCTTCAGTCTGGGTATGTTATCCATCACACGCATTGTTCAGCACAGAGCCTGTCTCTGATTAATTTAGGGTTTTTACTCCGATATATCTCAACATAATCCTTCCAGAATCGCGTAAGCTCGCTCGTCCCTTAGACCGAACAGCAGCCTTGATCTCGTTTACAAAGACACTTGCAAACTCTGAGGCATTTGCCAATCGTTACAAGAAAGGATGGGGGTTCACCTGTGAAGCTCTTCTCAACCTTGTTAGCCAACCACCTCTCCCTGCTAGCAAAGATGACATCATCATGGAAAATGATGTCGAAGATATGGCCTTTGGAGTCGGGTTTACTCAACTGAACACAGTTAGAAAAAGCCCGCATGACCCGTGGGGACAGATCGGCCCCAATTTTGGTAATTGGGTAAGCTCCTACCTTAAGGAAGCGGATAGGAAACATGGTGGCCGCATTACCGGGTTTGCACAGGAGCGTTTGAGTCCAGAAGCTAAGGCTGGATTGGCGACTTATTTGGGTGGATAGGGGTAGATTGGTGGTATAGAATTCCACCACAGTGAACCGGACTTGAAAAAGTAAAAAAAATTCATACTTCGTGATTCTTTGCTATTGGACGTATGCACAAAAAGCTAAGCCTTACAACTCATGCACTTCCTCGCTCTGTTTCTCCTTGGTGACCTCATCTATATTCTCTTTTCCTTGATTGGACTTCTCCTCATCTAGCAACCTATACTTCCTTTTAGACTTTTTCACTTTGCTTGCCTTTCTTTTCCTCTTCGTCTCCGCCACGATCGCGGCGCGACTCCGATCACCTTTTTTAAGCTGCTCGACTTTCTCGGCCAGAATCTGCATGGCAATTTTACGATTCTGGGAGCGTGAACGGGTAGCTTGAGACTTTACGACGATGTTTGTGGGGAGGTGCTTGAGTTGCACTGCGGAGGAGGTTTTATTCTAAGGAAAACAGTGGATGGCGGATTTAGGGAGTCAGATATCATAGAGGGAGCATGGAGAGGAGGAAAGGGGAGAAAGACAGGGCTAATTACTTGCGACATTGGCTGAAGAAGTACAGTATCACAGACTTTGGTATGCAAAAATATACTGGGGGCATAACAAAATCCCAAGAATTTGACCCACACCCGGGTCGCTTTCAGTAGCAAAAAGGCGGCACTCACGATTTTTTGCCCTCCTGGACCAGACCCTTTTAAATAGGAACCGGTAATTTCCGCCTCATCGATGGTTGGTCTTGGTGGCATCTGTTTGGCGCGTAGCGTGGCGCACAAGGAAAAGAAACGTGGGCTGAAGTAAGCTCGCCACCGTGCCATATACAAAGTTGTAGGAAATGTAGAGGGAGGCATGGCAGTTTAGGCAAAATACAACAAAGACAGGACAATTATAAGAAAAAGACCATGGCTGCAATCTCTCCAATGCCTCTGCTGACACAGAACAGTGATGTGGAAGGACGCACGCAAAGTTCGTATGGTGATTAGGATATTCAAGAATTATCGGTGTAACACTTTCTGGGGACTGTCAGCAAGGCAAAGTTGGAATCTTGAGGGGGTTGCTGCATTTTGATTCCAATTTCTGGCATCGCATGTCTTCGAAGTCGAATAGGCTTAGTCACCCACCCAATCTGGTGTCCAGCCTTCTTGTTTCTGTTTCCTTCTAGACCGTAGCAGCCAGCGTTTGTCACTTGTATCATGCATGGGGAAATAACGCAATGCCACATTTCATACTTTTACAAATATCTAGGCTCAGATGCAAAAACTGTTGAAGTGTGTAACAAAAAGATGTTGACAAGGGTGAGATTCGAACTCACGCCCCATTTCTGAGAACAGGACCTTAACCTGTCGCCTTGGACCGCTCGGCCACCTTGCCTATCCTGTTAGTCATTAACAATTTTAGAATCGAAACATCAGGAAGTAACTCTGACTAAGCTGTTGTTGGCCGTGCACCTTCCAATATTAAGGTGTATTTCGTGTCAGTGATCGGCATCCGACTCACTGTACCCTCTTTTTTGGCTCTCGTCGCATCTTACTTTCAAAGCCTTTGTTCTCCATTGTCGTCGGCATTTGTTGCATTTTTTTTAAAAATATTTAGCACAGTCCTACGGCGTTTGCACTATTATGGCTGTTGCTGAACCTGCACACCCTTCAGCGTGGACGAACTTTATTCGTTGGCTCCGACTGAAAAACTACCAATATGAAGTCACCTATGCTCTCTATATGCTTACTCCGATGGAAAAATTTGTTTTCAGTGCGTGTGGCCTTGACCCGATTATTTCTACCCAATAGCGCTACAGTGCGACTAATCTCTATTTTGTTATAGACACCCTCTTACTCTTGGTCACCTCAATGTTTCTGGTCGCTGCCTACATCTACCTGCCAGATCATGTAATCAGTATATGCCAACATATCTGGTACTACTGGGCTGGCAATGACCCGTTTCCACCATCGATGACCTCTGATTTCAATAGAAACCTATCGACAGCCCTCGCTGGTGGGCCAGAGCTGCATAGGTTGATCAGGGAATCCGCAACATTAGTAGCGGAGACAACGACCAAAAGATTTGCAGAATTATAGCCTGTTATTTTTTTATTTTATTCTTGGAGTTGGTGGCATGATATCATGCGCAGGGACGTTTGGCCCCATGCTTACCAGGCGTATATTTTCTTTATTTTATGCCCTCTAGTTGCGGCACGAGAATCTAATACCCAGCTTTCCCCTTCCGTTTTTGGACGAATGTTTAATATTGCATCTGCATCTGCATTTGGCATTTGGCCGACAGCTTACTATTTGACTTCGTCATGAAAAACTAGACGCCCAGTTTCAATTATAGTAGCACGAAAGCCGTATCGGTCATTTAATTCCAAGTGAGTTCAGCTCGTGTATATACAGAAGAGTGGGGATCAAGAGTAAGAAATCAGATCCCATTTTGTTCCCTAACACCAAATGCACCCTGTTGCGTAAAGTAAGAAATTTCTGCCTGCCGACAAACTCCACGATATATAATACAATCATGCAATGCTCCTTAATACATTGTCTCCGTTACCGGTGGTCCAGACTTGAACGCTCGCTGATAATTTCAGGCAGGCTCGCTGTTTGGGCCGTTCCCCACCGCCGTGGTTTCCAGCTCTAGTCGCCTTAGTCTCTTCCGTTCCTTCTCTCGATCCATCCTGGCCAACTCTGCTTCAATGTCGCCCTTCTCCAATGGAATCTTATGTGAATGCTCTGCTTTGGGCCAGAAGTCGGGGACGGAGAAGCGTTCTTCAAGGTTTGTACCAAAATAGTACATCCAGCCGATAGGAAACAGGACATACATTCCGAACTATATGTGAGAACGTTGGGTTAGGAGAGTCTCAAAAAAACCTATAGGGCTTGAGATAACACACTTTAAAGACTTCAAGGTTACCACCTTGGAGCCTGCGAAGGGCAGAGGAGATCATTTTAAAATATAGTTATTAAATTAACCTTTCTCCTTTAACGCTTAGCTTTCTCGCCAATGGGTGGGAGCCTTTAGTTTGCTTGTTCGTCCTTACCATCATCGGGTGCATCGAAACGCTCCATCGAGAATGAACATCCGGAGTAAAGTTATTAGTCATGCGATGCTTATTCAGATGTTCATTACATAAGAGTCAGCTAGTTAACCCTATTTTCAATATTACATAATATGGAACTGCCCCAACCTCGGCATTTCGAGATTCACGCGCTGCTCAGCTCCCGCCGGCCGGTGGAGGACAGACGGGCTGGTGAGGACGGATATTTGGGGGCGGCACCATGGACTTGAGTTGTGGTTGAGCAGTTCGTGAGCCGGAACTAAAGCCTCGCCCCGAGCCTCGCAAAGCAAGCAGTCCCGGAGCAAATCTTGCTCTCGGTTAACGATCCCCCAGGCTGCGGAGCATTTTAACCGCGGGATGACTTTGCCCTAAAGTAGTTGTATACTTGAGCGCTGAGATCTCCGTTTCTCTCTCTCTCCTCCCTCTATATTTTACTTCATGTGCTCCATTTCGACGTGAATCTATTTACGTACCATGCCTACCTCCAACGAAATTGAGCTCTCTTACCAGGGCCGCATTGCCATCATCACACTCAATCGACCATCAAAGCTTAACGCATTGGACGCCGACCTTTATTATGAATTGGGTGAAAAGCTGCGAGAAGTCGCTGCACGCGACGATATCTACATCACTATCTTGACCGGAAGAGGCCGGTACTTCTCCGCGTAGGGGTCACTCAGCTATACTGAAGCAATGGACAACATGTCTAACCACCGTTTTCTTAACAGAGGCGCCGATGTTCGTTCTACCAAGCCTTCGACTGGAAATTCCGACATCCGTCGACAAATCGTTCGTAATTTTGTTGTCAATAATCTTGATATCACCCGCGCTTTTTATAATCATCCGAAGATCCTCATTATGGCTCTAAATGGTCCTGCTGTCGGTCTTTCTGCCGCGCTCACTGCCTTCGGAGACTTCATCTATGCTGCGCCCCACACATTTCTCCTTACACCTTTTTCATCTCTGGGACTTGTGACCGAAGGTGGCGCTAGCCGGGCTTTTGTTGAGCGTTTGGGTATTTCCAAAGCAAACGAAGCTTTACTGATGAGCAAGCGGATCCCAATTGAAGACCTCGTATCAACAGGGTTTGTAAACAAGGTGATTATTCCGTCGAGTGGGAGGCAGGATGATTCCGACGAGTTTCTGAAGCTGGTATTGGAGGAGGTGGAGGATCGGCTGGGGAAGCATCTGAATCAGGATAGTCTGTTGAAGATGAAGAGTTTAATTCGCATGCATGAGAGGGAGATTCTTGATCGTCAGAATGTCCATGAGGTGTTCATGGGCATGGAAAGGTTTTTGGCTGGCATCCCACAAGAGGAGTTTCGGAAGATTGCAGCAGGAGAAAAGAAGCATAAATTGTAGCCATCTTAGGATACAAAATCGATCTTTAGAGAGAATGTTTTCATCTATTTTTCTTTGGGCGCTCAGCGAGCGCCCCTGCCATATATCCATTCGACAGATTGAAACCAAACAAGGAACAAAAAGGTAAGGCAGCTGAGTAATATCTAGTTAGTACTTCCAAACACCGTTGAGAAGTCCTAGATATTTCTAGCATCACACTGGATAGGTTATTACCCAGTACATACCAATTACCCAAAGTCCTTTCAAATGGTTGCGAGAGTGATAGGCTGTTGATGCCACACTTATGGTATGTATTGCAGCGCAACTTAAAAGATGCCAGGGCATCCCAAATTTAGTAAAAGAAGCAAATGCAATGGAGATTTCAAGTGCCGAATAAATCTCCATTGCATTTGCTTCTTTTACTCTCTCTTTCCAGGTATACCTAGATATCTTTAAATGCATAATGCTTCGAGCACAACCACTACCTTTTCTTTCTGCCTCTTTCGTATTCTACTTATTTCCCAAAGACCTGATTAAACTTATTATCCATCTATCTGCATTTCCTGCTTGTTCCTTGTATGGAAGTATAAGAAAATATCTTTTCCAAAAACCACCCACCCACCTGGAGGTGAGTGGGTTAAATTTCACCAGGTCCCGATCCTGCTTGTCAATATATTATCCAATGGATACTTTAAGTCTACGAAGTAAGGTAAATCCTCTCAATCCTCCACTCCGATTACGTCTCGGAACATTCAAGACTTAATCTCTTTTATTCTTAAGTATGTATATCAAAACTCACTTTCCCCTGGACAAAGTTGCAATAGGAAGATATATTCAGGAAATTTATAACAGGCGTGAAAATTCTCAACCTCCCTTAAGCGTCTAGCATTATATATATTTTACCGCCGACTAGCTCTACGCTTTTTCTAAGAGACCTGCCCCCTTAACACGACCTTCTTCACTGACTCACAAGTAATTGAATGTGCTGAAGCCCAAATGCATATATAAAGGGTCCAATAGGAACGCCATCTAGTATTTCCTCACTAAAGCTTGTGGTAAGTTGTCAACCAGTCAGTTGACATTGGTGACATTGTGATATTGAGGCCTCTCGCTTTATCTTATTGGCAATAGAGTGGGAGGCAATGGCTTGAGCTTTCAGCTCCTTGAAACGTCATAAAAACTAACATTTATGATTTGTATTATCTTAGGTCGGCCCATTATGTGTAAAATTAAGATATATTACCTCCCAAAATAAGTCAATTAACTACTATTGTAGGAACATTTGTCATCCTCGCGCCATGTTTAATGCATTAAATTTCAAATGCTGCCAACCAACCCATTGGTAACGTATTGAATCAAGTAATTACTGAAAAAAAGTCTTGTCACAATCCACTAGCCTTTAGGAGAAGAGATATTCTCATTCTCACTCTGATACTCTTGATCTGCTTGTATATCTCGCTCCAGTGCTATTTTCCAGCTCGCTAAAAGCTCTGCAGTCCCGCCTGGTGTTTGTGCCGCATCTATGACGTCACGTGGCACTCTGTCTTCATTTATGAAAGAGTAACTCGCGGACGTCGTCGTCCCCAGGTCCAGGCCAACATGCTCCGTATCAGGATTACCTGCAAGCACAAAGGTGGGTCGAAAAGATGAGATCGGGGGTTCAACTGGTGTAGATTCATTACGAGAATGCGAATCCACATTTCCTCCATTCTCCTGTGGCCCTCGACGTCGGGCGCGCATTCTCAAAGTCTGTTCCTCTGGGATGGTACGCGAGTCTCCCTCATCAGGCATTTCCATGCCGAGTACTTCTTCCCATGTAAAATGCAGCGGTTCAGTACGTTCAGAGAAAGGGCTGAAATCCAATAACCACACCTTTCCATTCGGTACATATACGTCAAAAGTGAAATCGGGATCTGGAAAAGTATCACGAAGATGTTTGTCAAAAAATTGTTGAATAGATTGAAGCACATCCTCCTTCATATCATGCAGCCATTTGTAAAATTTAAAGGTTCTTTGACAGATGCAAATAAGACGACGAGAGCGCACGAAGCATCGGAACTCGAGTGCTGGGTTGAAATTAACGTATTTCCGAAGTACCAGGTGGTAGGGAATCTGGGCGGTGACGGAAACAGTGCTATTGTCACCATTGCTGCGGCATGGGCTGAAAGCTTCAGGGGGGACCGGAGAACCTGGCGTACACCCCTCAAACGCACGATCTAGGTCGTTGGCAATAAGACTGCTGCTTTTCAACACTAAGTAGACATCATTTGCAGTTTTACACTCCAAGCGATTAGACGGAATCATATGTGTTGCATCTCTTGGGGCACTCCAGTTCAGTTTTGGGGATACACTACCCCCTAACTCTGTTATCGTAGCCTTAACACGAGCATGGATTTCGGGCCACTGTTCTGAAGGATCAGGAAGACCTTCTTCGTCGTCATCGTATTCCCCCGATGCCACCCAGCTATCATCATCCGTAGCTACCTGAGTGTCATCAGGAGGAAGGACAATTCCATCAGCCTGAAGGTACTGCACAAAGGAGGATGAAAGGGCTATCAGGCGAGCTTTTGGAGAGATGGCTCGGTATCTGGGGGTGCAAAAAAAAAAAAACAGCTATTAGCTTCAAAATTATCAAAATATCAAGGGAATCCTTACATAGAATGCCAGTAGTGATAAGAGCAGTGCATGACCTTCATCTTGGTGAGGATTGGCATTCCCTGGGTAGGCATTGGGGATTGTCTATCTAGACCCAAGGCACCATGATCCTGTTGGTTATCACATATATCTTGCATGATTGTAGACTCCATGTAGGCATAAAAACGGTATTCTGGATTTCAATTTATGGTACAGAGGATTCATCCTCGAGGTTTCCTGTAATTCTTTCATTCAGTCATACTTCGGTGGCACATTATCTATCACGTGCTGATTAGATAAGATAAGCCTTTACAACAAACCTTATAACTAGTGGGTATTACGACACAACTGTAACAACTTCTGGGCATAATATCTAGGTGATTGGGTCGCTTGGCGGCATCAGTTAAGCTCCATGTTATATGGGACCTCAGGAGCTCGGACCCGATGGTTGAGTCGCTAGGCCCAAACAGCATGAGCACTTACCGCCGAGCTGGTTGCCTTACTAAACCATTACATCAGGTGTATTGCCAAGATTACCCCTTACATACGTACTAGCTTTTATTGGAGGGCGCTATATGGTGCTTGGCAAGCTGGTGCTGTCTTACCACCTGAACAGCCAAGAAATGCTCAGATCATACTACACTAGTCTATTCTAGGACTAAATCAATACCTAATTTTTGAGGGCTTGGTGTACTCCGTACCATAGTGGTTAATACTAGTCTGTACCTCTAGCCATTACAGCCGCTTACATAACAATCGATACTCTCATCATCCTTCTGTGAACGGAATCTGTTATGAGAAGTGTTATATGGCGCCATTACTATGGCAGCCGATACCCCAGACGCCCGCTCTATTGAGTCATGGGAAGAAGTATTTTGTTATCCGGTTCCTACAGCTCGGCGAATTGAACGAGAGCTTCGTCATGATGTGGTCAGCAACAGAGAGAAGTTACGATCTTTGGTTGGGTGCGCAAAATCTTGTGCTATTGATCCAGAGGAATGTGAACTAAATCCGATCTTTCAATAGTGTGCGATATAGAGACCTTTTAGATACAGCGCAAAGAATTATGGTGATGAATGAAGAGATTAAGAAAGTTGAACAGAATTTATCAGGAATCACCATAGGTTGTAATTCTGTTGCCATTTCTAGGAAATGTAATGAGCTTCGCAAGTTGCAAGGCGTTCAATTTGAGAGAGGTCAGGCAGACTACACTTGTCAATCGTTACCCAAACTTAAACTAATTCTCAACAGTTTCCAGCGACCGGACATTCGCTGCACACTTAACTCTTTTCACAAAATGCGTGTCCGCCATTTCCAGATTGCTCCACCACGGTTGCTCTATAGCCGTTTCTTCCAAGCTCATGGTCATCTCAAGGATTCTTCATAATACACTGTGTCAGTCGAAGAAAGCCGTACCTTATGTGGAAAGGCTATGGAGTCGATTGGGGTACCTTCGGCGGACACTCCTGAAACACATCAATGTTCAACTTGCGTCACACAATCTACCTGCTCAAGATATTGTAGAGTCCTTATCTGCCTACTGCCTAACTACCAGCTCCTCTGCAGAAGATGCGTACCGCTACTTTCATGATATCCGACAAGAGGAAATTGGTCGCCAGATAGGGAAAAATGGAAGCGTGCGACATAATTTACTTTCAGCGCTGGCCCTTTACATGTACACACTGCAGAACACGGTGGAACTACTGGGTGGCCAATTTTTTACTACTTTGGAAAATTTGACCAGCAGCCCTCTTCTCGATGATCCAGCGGTTCGTCTCATAGGCGAGCTTGAAATTGGCACTCTCTACCCATGGATTTCGAAAGAAATAAGAAATTTCAAGCCTTGGATCAAGCATGACCGGATGTCCAAACAGACCCTTGAAATGTTAGTCAACTCCTGGTCAAAAATAGCATTCGATAATCTAGTTACTCGCGCCAAAAGCAAGTTGAAATGCTGTGAGAACTTCCAAGAGCTACTATCGATACGCAAATGCTTATTGGAGAAGTGGCTTCCTGCGTTTAGCTCTATTCCTTGTTACTCTTCCACAGATGTTCTAGACAAGATTCGCAGGATGATTAATGAGCAACTTATTACAGTGATTCAACTGCGAAATAATGAACTTGGCTCTGTTGGCGAAACAATATCCTCGGCTATGACAAAGTGGCCCGATGTGTCAACTTTCGCCTTAAAGTTATGGGAACCGGAGTTTGTTTTCGCAGATACCTCGGATGGAGCTACTAGGTTCAAGTTGCAACTTGTGGATAGAGTTCAGGGACATGATTCCTGTGTGCTACACGTTCTAGATGCCTATAAATATTGGCTTAACGCGGTTATAAATCGCTCAAGTATGATACAGGAGCTCAGAAACCTCAAATGGGAGGATGTCCTGGACGATGATGTAGAAGAAGAGCTCTCTGAGACAATATGTGATTACTTGAGCGACGATGACCCTCATATTTTGCAGAACGAACATATCGAATCGCTGCTCAAAAGCTATAAATCACTGGAAATTGTGCTTAAATTGGCCGCCGAACGCAAAAGTCCGCCGCACCAACTATCGCAAACGGCGTTTCTTCTTCGGATAACTCGATCAATACGAGAAAATAGTCCAGATCAGGTTGCAATCACAGATTACTCATTTGCGCAGTCTCTAGTACCAAGTCTTCACAGTATCTTAGCCGAGAAAATATCCTCTCAGTCGTCTCTCTCAACTATAGTCAAATCGCTGCTTCGCCATCGAACGAGATGCGCCGGTAGGTCGCTTTGGGAAGGTGATGAACCACTTCCTGTGCTGCCTTCCCAGGCCACTTTCAAAATTCTCCAGCAACTAGTCCTGTCCATGGAACAGGAAGGCCCAGATCTATGGACTCCTGCAGCCATAAGTGCTTTGAAACGGGATATGCTGGATCGCATTGGGACAGTTGTCATGACAAATTATGAGAAACTCCTTTCTACCGCCGAATTAGGGCAGGCCCGGCAGAGTGTGCAACAGGAACAAGAATCACATAAGTCGAGCCTTCGAGATCATAAGATTCAGCTTCTCTTTGACCTTCTCTATCTCCGCAGCGCATTGTCTTGTAATGACAAATCGGCCTCTAAGCAGTCGCTAAAGAAAGTAGTCGACGTGGTACACAAGGATTTGAAACTCTCAGGGGACTCCATGGATATTTTAGGGAGTCGCTCGCATGAATACTGGCTTCGCACGAGGTTGCTGTTCGGTTTGCTGGGTTAACCGACTGGTTCTATTAATATCCTGGAAAACAACATACCACGTGATCATAAAAACCGGCAGGTACCGTATTCACACCGTATGATACATACTTGTTTTATTTCCATACCACATGACTGCGATACAGACAAGCAGCAAAGTCGTAGTTAAATGTAAATCTCCCCTCACAACAGCCCAGTACGAATGGCGACTTCAAGGCTTCCGTTTCTATATCCAAACCTTTTCCGCTTAGTACGATCATGCGAGCCGACGACGTACAGATCACTTCGATATCCTCCTACCCAACGCCCCTCAGGCTTCCATTCTGGCCCGGCATGTGAACAAGAGGCCTACCACCAACGTTATGGGCCTGCCGCAGAGCCACACCTCCGACCGCCGCCATGGTCTACTGGAAAAGGCGATATCCTGCCCCCCGGAAAATTTCCCAGCAATACTCACAAGCGAACCAACGATACGACTCAGACGCCGAGCTTGAAAGATGCGAGTAAGCAGACTGTCTCATCTGTCGCTGGAGTGCCAGAATCTTCATCTCCTTCCGCGGTCTCTGTTTCATCCACGGTTCTTTCCAGCGAATTGCCTTCTCAAGAAAGAGTTGGCGGCGACTCAAATCTAGCAGGTCCTATTAATGCCGCTCAAGCTTCAACGGGTAATGACATCGCCAATGGTCCCGTCACTGATGCCCTTGAATCCGTATTTCAGATGACAGATGCTGACGTGGGATCTTCGTCGGCATCATCACCCCCAGCGGAGTCGATGTCACTAATGCGCTCTACTGCTTCGGAGTCGCATAGACCACCACACCTCTCTCCTCCACCTTACGTACACCACTTTGACAGTTACAGCTTAGTGAAAGATCTTGAAAAGGGTGGATTCACAGATAGACAATCAACATCTATCATGAAAGCAGTCAGAGGCATATTAGCAGAGAACTTGGAACTGGCTCGGCAAGGCCTGATATCTAAATCCGATTTCGAGAATGAAACATATCTCTTTCGCGCTGCATGTTCAGAATTGCGAAATTCCATTCAGAAGTCTAGGACTGCAGGCACGCAAGCCCAGCGCGCTCAACGTGCCCAATTGCAGCACGAAGTCGACATTTTGTCCCAGAAGATGGCTCAGGAGTTAGCTGGTTTGAAGGACGATCTGAAAGAGATGTTCAACGACCAAAAAATATCATCTAAAGAGCTACAGCGATCCCAAGATACCGGGATACAGGAATTGAACTATCAAATAACTGTTTCTTTAAACAGTGATGGGAAAAGGGCAGTGGAAAGCCTCAGATGGATCTTGACTCGCAGGGCTGCTGTTGCCATTGCAACGAGCGCTAGTAAGCTATTGCCGTTCATTGTATTACGCCTTTTACTAAATTGCTTTTTAGTTATGATAATATTTGCCCTCCGTCTTCATTCATATAAACAACAAAAGGGAGAAAAGCAAAAGGCTGCGGCTGCCCTTATGCCAGTTATACCCCAAGATTCTACGTTTATAAACGAGGCCTCTCAAAGCGGCTCAGTCGAATCTGCTGTTGCCGAGCCCATGGGTTAAATATCCCCAAATTTACCTGCTGCTCCACTTTTGTAAGCCCTGCCTTTGGTATTTGAACGGCCTAATAATGTACCATCGGATATCTAACGTACATACGGAATACATACATACAAAGTTCATTTTTAGTAAACTCATGATTGGCCCTATTTTGGGAATTGCCTGCAGAAATAATAGAGTTTACCCCATACAATGTTTCATCAATAACCATTAAATAAACATACTCCGTAAAATAGTATACTACCCAAATGGTTTAAAAGCAGCAAAATATGTTGTTATTCAATCAATACAGGTACACAGGTCTAAAAGTCCATCCGTAGCGTGATGGTTGGCGCAGCGGTGGTCTGATCATCCGTATCGTGCCCCCCAACCCCAGGGCTCCTCATACCAGTACTCTGTAGAATATCTTTTGTCAAAGATCTTAGAGTGGGCTCCATTCTCGCAACAAAATTTTTGAACGATGTTTGGTCAACCCGTGCTAGCTCTAATAGCATTCCCGCAGTCTCTTTATACACGTCATGTCCTTCTAACTGGGCTCGTTGAAGCAATGCTGGAATTAGGACCGCCATTGCAGTCAAAGCGGAACGGAAAGGGACTGTTGCCAGCCCTACGCAGGATATGAGGGTCTGAGCGATGGTGGCCTTTATATGTTCAGGGTCAATTGGCAGTGTGCCATCGATCGTCGTAGGTATATTCGCAATAAACGCTATGAGACGGGGAAATAGAAAACGAGCAATAATATCATCGGTTGGCGAGCGAGGAGTGGAATGGAGAAGAGATCTGATGCACCCTGCCGCCACGCTTGCAAGGCCAAGATCTTGAATACAGTCAAATATTTCTTGAAGAACTTGTGGAATTAATGGATCTCCTGGAGGTATCACGTGCCCGCCACTTGTGAGTACAATTGTGAGCGCAAGGAGAGTGTTTTTGGCACAAGGAAGGGAGGTATCAGATTCCCGGCGTTGCGCTGTGCGTAGGATTGATAGAAAGCAAGAAACACAGCCACGAATCTGGCGGGAGATCGTTTTTGCCTCATCTTGCTCATGAACATCGTCAGGGTGTATATGAATGGTAAGGTCACGCGCAAACCGCCGGAGGATTGGGAGTGCTTGAGGTACGATTTCAGCCTGGCAGATACCTGTCGCAAGAATAGTACAAAATATGTGAAGTATACAGGCGTGTAAGTCGGCACGGATAATGGATGGAAAAACAGAGGTGATATCCACCAAGGATGCCAAGGACAATTGGATCAAAGATGTAGAGTCCTCGGATATAACAGCACGAGGCTTTGGGGATGAGTCTCCAAGATTGGGAAGAATGCCTGCTAGGACTAAGATAATGTTTCGCGTAAGCTCGAAAAGCTGTTCGATGTCATCCGAGAGGTTTTCCGTGCGAAGTTCGCTTCTTGTTGCCGATTGATGATGCAGTGCAAGGTTTCGGGCAATCTCCACAATCACGGATTGAGCGCTATGGCTTTCTGTCATCACAAGTCTATCTAGTACGTCAATAGTTTCAGAAAAGACAGAGTCCTGGTATACCGCGTTTCCTGCAACTGAAGGTCGTAATATTTTTCGCAAGGCATGGAGTATTTCTAAAATTTGTGAGGATGGTGCGGTCGATTGGCTAACAAGGGCCTCGAATGCTAGACCAAAAAGGACAAAGAAAAATGCGACGGGCTCATCGCGGTAGTTGATATAATTGCCTTGTGGTTCCGCTTTATCATTCATTGTAATGACAGCTTCCGAACCCAAATCTCTTTCTGACATAATTTTCATTTCTTTTTTGTCTAGTGCATCAAAAACAAAGGCACTGTCTTTTTCAACGAGACTAGCAATGGCATCCACAAAATTGAGCCATGAGTCTTGATAGAACTGACTCACAATTTGTTACCAAGGAGCAAACTCTATAAGGACACGGGTATTCACCTTCAAAAGTATTTCACGATTTAATGCAGCGTAAGTGTCGTCAAGTTGATCCGAAACGCTGATAGAGCCTAAGGTGCTGGATATATCCGGCTCAAATCTGAGACGCGCATATTCTTGAAGTGAGGATAGCCAAAGGGGAGTGAGCATAGCTGTATATGGCTTCACAACTTTAACAAGGTAATGCTGTTCAGGGCTTGAAATCTGTAACCGAGCCCACGCTGAATAGAGCGCGAGCTTCACCATTACTCTAGCATTTGAATTTAGTCCTTTCAGGTCACCGATCTCGGTAGTGTTGGGGTTATCTAGATGGGGTCAGAATTGCAAAGTCAAATGCTTGGAGAAGCTTCTTACTGGCGAAGTTTTCTACTCCCGCAACGAGAAGCTTGAAAATCCGACCCATTCGCTCAACACTAGTGACAATACCAGTGCCAACGAAGGTGGCACTAACATTTATCGCCTCCGAGGCCAGCTCTGGAGAAGAATCGGCTGCAAATGCTGGAGTTAAAGCAGACCCAATTTGTGCTTGGTATTGCTCTAGGAGGGAAGCCTCAGCAAAATCTGGATCTGGCGTTTTCCCAAACATCTAGCAGATTGTCAATAGGCAATAGTACCCCCAAGAAGCAATGTATGTCTGTCTTACTTTTAAGATACGGTCCAAGATTTTAAGACCCCAAACCCTTAGTTCAATGATATTCGCGGTAGAGGCAGAAAATGCCATCCTGACAATGTCTCCAACTCTTTCCTGAAGAGCGGCTTCTGCTGGTATTGTCTGGTCGGACAATATTTCCTTATTTACCATATTTAACAGCTCGCTCAGACAGCTCATCACAAAATTTCGCGTTTGCCATTTAAGTAATTCTTGGCCTATGGGAGACTCTGGCTCTCTGGAGTCTCCATCCCCCGTGGCCACTGCCGACGCAAACCCCGCTACTTCATCATCTGGAATGTCGGGAGCCGCAGTATTTACCGCGGTCAACGGACTCCGCACGTCTTCAACTTTCGGCCGAGTTTTGCTAAAAACAGTGTGACAACGTTGGACCCAAATAGCAGTTTCAGTCAATCCAGTCTGGTGTAACCAATTGTAGACAAGGTCTTTGAGCAATTGGTTATCAGGAATCGTGTCAAATGCCATCCAGAGTTCATCCTCGAAAGTTGCTGATGCTGTCCGAACAACCTTGTTTGGGTCCCGTTTCATAATGTTATTTAAACCACGTACTGCTGCTTCTCTTATTTGCATTTCTTTGGAATTTAACTCTTGCTGTAGCCAGTGAACATAGCCAGGGAAATCCATGTGATCTGGGGCATATAGCGATAAATGATCCAAACATTTTGAGCTCACAGCAACCATAAAAATGTCTCTTTCTAGTTGAAATTCTTTGACTAGAGTAAAAACAAGGTCCCTTGTCTTCTTTATTTCTCGAAGATCGGGCCCAATAACATTGATAAGGGCATCAACACATTGACTGATGGCCAATGGAGTTGAACATATGAATTCATGATTAGCTGTGGCAACGGATTCCGAGTCTTTGTTGTGCGTATCCGAAGCGTACAGTCTCGAGAGCATACCGAGGGAACTGGAAACATAAGCGGAAAAGGTTAATCCCGCCGAGTCAACTACTCGCAGTAACCCTTCCAAAGCCCAAAAATGCACAACGGGATGGGGGTCATTGCACAATGACATGAGCACACCGATGATGGTTTTCAAATGAAACCCAGCAGCCATGCCGCCAACTTGAGCATGGATTGAGCCCAACGCAGCGGCGCAGCCAGCTCGAGCATTGGGGTCGCGGTTTTCCACAATGATATCAATTATAGAATTAATCTGAAAATTTGTAAAAGAGTTACCTGCGCTGTTGCATAATCGGCCTAGTGCTTCGAACGCTATGGTACGGACGATATAATCGGGATCACCAAGAAACCTCTAGGGAGAATTAGCTGGGACGGCGATTTGTTCTAAGGGAAGCTGCCGAACCTGAAGAAGCTCTTGAATAATTTTCTCGGTGGCTGGATTTTTCATGTCACCAGAAGGAAAGTCTGTTTCCTTTACCGTGACTCTAAGAGCATATAACAAGGCTACAGCAACATTAACTGTCATAGCTGCCTTTCTACCGGGGTTTCTTATAAGACTCTGTGACGCCAAGAGCGTTGCTATTTGCTCGACGCTACTTTCCTGTACTTTTGCGGCTTGCAGGGGAAGCGTTGTGGCGAATAATTGTATGGCAGCATTCACAACTTCCGTGGTTGGAGGATCAGGCAGAGATCTGTGTTTGATGTACTTCGAGGAGTATAGGAGAACTGAATCATGCTCCCTACCTTGGCAAATTGGCGACATTAACTGACTACTATTAGTAATGCAATAGAAAGTTCAATATTGTTTTCAATGTAACCTACAGCGCTATTGATAGTCTTCTCTGTATCTCCTGGTAATTGTCTGGCCCCAAGATTTTCGTTTTTAACCTCACTGTCCCGAGAAAATTCTGTAGCCAGGCCTGTAACGCCAAACCCAAAATTGTCGTCAAGATCCCACAGATTCTCGAAATTAGCCGCAGCAGTTGCAACGGAAGAGTCAAGCGGGTTGGCAGATATGACATCAGGATCAGCAAAAGAAGATATTGCAAGCCCAAGAACATTTGACAATGAGAGGATGTCTGCGACATTGGTATGACTTAGATTCACCAATTTCGCAAAGCATTGTAAAACGCGCCGCCGGACAAGGATAGGAAAGTCCTTTAGGTGCAACGAAGGAGACAACCGCTGAGAAATATCTTCCGTAGACTTGATGCGAGGTAAATTCTCCAGAAATATAATAGTATTTTGAAGCATCGTAGCGATACGCTTTGCCCCATCGGAAGTGACAAGCTTACTATTAAACTCTAGGAAGACAAGAATCGAGCTCAAGGCGCACTCCCTAACATGAGCGAGAAAACTCAATTCCAAGGGACTTCGTTTAACCAAATCGTCTTTGGGTAGTGCTTTTGGTAAGGCATTTTTCCATAGAAGGAATAGTTGAGATATGTGTATCTTTGTGAAATTAGGGCCAAGAGGTAGTAAACCACCAATCATGATCCATGCTACCTGTATCTGGGTACTGGCGATCCTCAGCTCTGAGCTACTGCTCGTTTTGAGCAGATCGGTGGCCTGGGTGAGTACCCTTGAATACACTTCCACGGATCCGTACAGTGATTGAAGTCGCGATGTGCTTAGCATCGCCGCTAGGCCGTGAGCGTAGCCAAGGCAGCGCCGGCTTGATTGCCTGGGCGTTGACAGTTGCCCAATCTCTCTATGCAAGCTGTTCAAACAAATTGTTATACATGAAAGCAATTGCTGAGGACAAGCAATGACAAAACTTTGGAGGCAGTGGGAGACGTGTATCTGGACCGTATAGCTAGGATGCTGCAAGACCTGCAATAACGCATCGCGGCAAGCATCTGTAATTGCAGTGACAGCAGATCCTAATGAGGATATTAGAGAAGACAGAGCGCTGACAGCACAGGTCAATGTATGTTTATTTGGTTCTGGTCGTTCTTGTATCACTTGTGGGTAATCCTTCAAGACATCATTGATCAGCCACTTTGCTGCATTGAGCAAACTATTTTCACTCAGTATTTCACAGCCAACTACATCCTCTAAGATATGCTTGATAAACTTCCTTGTTATGAGCAATCGATACCGATTATTGACTATCGCTGTATGGTTTAGGAGCGTGAAAATTAGATGGCCGGCTATATCGGGATAATTCTCCTCGACTAGTTTTTCGCCTAGGTTGCGGAAAATAAGTTTATAGCAAAGTGCGATACCGGCTCTTGCCCTATTGCTCGTGGATGCCCGACAATATTGGATTGATAACTGGCGGAGGAGGTCTGGTAGTTGCAGTGCAAGAGTAGTTTCCGTCTTTCGGCCGGATGGCGACTGAGAACGCTCTGGAAGATCGTCCTCAACAACAGTGATATCTTGCCTTTTCAATGGCTTTTTGGGTCGTTTAACAGTCGGCACGTCAACTTGACTGCCGGTAACGTGACTTTTTATAAGAATGGCAGCAAGACATGCTGCAGATGCATTTCTAACACCAGCGACGGGACTGTCGATCACTTTCCAGATTATGGTTTTCAGGTTCTCGAAGTCAGTCACATTGTCAAAAAAAGGGGTGCTTTTGATCAACTGTTCTAGGCATAGACAGGCATTTGCCTGGACCGAGTAAGCCTTGTCACCTGTTGCCGCGTTTCGAGCATGTTTCCATATGTCCCTAGCAGTGGATTCGTCAAGAAAGGTATCGATACCAGCCACAACCTTCTTTATCGCAGTATAAATGGAGCTTCTAAGACCAACATGGTTATGTGCAGACTTAAACAGCTTGAGCAAAGCGCTGCATACCACACTTGACTGGGCGATGATAGCCTCCCCGGTTGCAAAAAATATGTCCCCCAGTGCAACGGCAGCAGCAAATTTTGCTTTAATATTCTCGCTTTTCCCCGCATTTATAACAGAAAGTAACTCATTAACCGTGTCGTAGAGTATATTCCGATTTCCTTTGGAGAATATGGCCCCAAAACATCTTCCTATGTTGTTTCGAATCACCCTTGTTGGTACGGGCGAAGAGAGTCTGATGATTTTCAACAGCTCCCTCTTGATGAATTCCTGCTGAGAATTAATTTCATCTTTATCGAGACTTGCGGTATATTGAACAAGATCCGCAGTTAGGGTCAAAAGGTAGAGGTCTTGTTGTTCCGATGGTAACGCATGGAGCTTGGAGATGTCAAGTTCGGCGCGAGGAGTTACATTTTGAGGCCCAGGCGTTTGCGACACGGTGGTATTCGACGCTGACATCGATCCTTTGAATATATTGGCCGTAAACCCAACTTCTGGCTCTCTTGCAGCTGAATCGAATGGCATGGCATTTCCAATCGACTGTTCAACTCAGCACATAGCCCCTACTGCCTGGCCATTCCAGAATCGGATAAATTGTAGGCCCGAATACTAAGTTGAGGAGTTCCAAGTGAATGAAGCCTTTCTGCTTACGAAGTACAACGGCAACACTTTGGTTAATTTGCCGCTCCTTTCATGATATGGCTGTGTTTCTACGCCAGATATATCTTACTAGCTCTCAGACTACACCGCAGCCATGGACATGCAGGACCTTCCGCAATTTCTGCTACACCGCATCCCTCCATGCCGGCCATAGCAAATGGGCCAACACCAAACATGTCAAAAGTAGAAATGACGCAGCAAAGAGCAAGGAGCGACAAGTTATTAGCCAAGAGCTTATACAAGCCTCCAAATGTAAGATTTCCTTATTAACATGGTTGCTACGGCGCTACTTACGTCTAACTGAAGTATATGGGCCTAATCCAGGATCCAATCCGAAACTCGCAGCTGCGATTGCCAGTGCCAAACGTAGCGGGATGTCTAAAGCAACAATGGAGTTTGCCATTGCGAAGGGCCAGGGAAAGACCACTTCCGGTGCTCCCCTAGAACCTCTCACTATTGAAGCTATGTTTCCTGGTTCCGTAGCTGTGGTAATTGAATGCCAGACCGACCAAAAGGGCCGAACCCTTCAAGAGGTCCGACATATTATTAAAGAATCTGGTGGCACTTTAACTCCTACAACCTTTTTGTTTGAAAAAAAGGGTAAAATCGTTTTTGAAAAGGACCCTCGCAAGATAACTGAGGATGATTGCCTTGAGAGTGCTATTGACGCTGGAGCTGTAGACGTGGACACGGATTCGAAGGGAAGACTGATAGTGTATACCGATCCAGCCATGACAAAAGCCGTTGGTGAGAAGCTAGCTGCTAGTCTTGGGTTGAAGATTGAAAGTCTCGACATTATCTGGGACCCAAACAGGGACACGATGGTCATGCTTTCAAACCAAGATGCCTTTCATCAACTAGAGGAGTTTCTAAATGAACTTCGTGAAGAATCAACTGTTCAAGAAATATACATGAACTTGAAAAATATTTAATGCGGGCTCAAAAATCTATGCAAGGTAGATTAATTCTATTCCCTTACTTAAAATTTCGTAACTCAAGTATTTCTCAAATTTATCATAGAACTTCGCATCAGAGCCCCTATACCTTTGCTTCCATACTCATCTAGCCAATCAAGCATTTTCAATCTATATTCTTGCCAATTCAACACGATTCCTCCATCTCTTCCTATTCTTGTTAACACATCTTGCGTTACTGGAAGCGGAAGCTTTGCAGATATGGTTTTACCCTCCTTCCCAGCTATGTTCTCCAGGCTCTGTATGCAATCAGCAGAAAGGCGGCACAGGGCACAATTGTGGCTTAACGAAAACATTGACACTAGTTTCAATCTGCATTTGTAACTGCTATTGTATCTGCCGTTTAAGGTGGTATTTAGATCGTGGACAAAGTTTGCTAAGGTAGTGATGGTCTTAGTTGGAATCAGACACCCTATTGCATTTTGTTCATCGCTATTTAGCGCCCTATTCCTCCAAAGAAGGTTGCAAGTATCGAGTACATATCCGTTAAATTTAATAATCTCGCCTTGGGGCACCCGATTGGGAAACACAGCATTCAGAGTCTCCAGTGTAGCTTTGTAGCGTGCTAATATAGAGGATAAAATGGACGTATTGCAAATAGTAGGGGTGAATATAAGATGGTAAACTGTTTGAGGAATGGGTATTGTTAGGGGTATGGCCATTTTTTTTGGCGCAAAATAAAACATTTGGGTCAGCTCCATATAGAATTGGAGGACACATACGCCTGGAGAAATTGGAGCGACAATGTCCAGGTTACCCCAGGAAGTTTCAAAAAGAGTTAGGCAGAGAAGCTCGGATCTAAGGATAAGATCTGAAAGAGGAGGTGAAGTTGAAAGATTTGTGTCAGACCGAATCAAACAACCCCAATGGCGGATAATATTGGTATAACAACAAAGTAGAGAAACCTTCGCTTGAATAGAGTTATCGAGAATTGCGGCTTCCAGGCGTGAAAAGTACGCATTGCGAAGATTCCTGTACCCTTCAACTGGTAGATATTCCAAGAGAGCCAGGATATTTGTCTGGTAGTCTTTGCCATTCCAGATCGAAAGATACTTTCGGAAAAACGTAAGTGCTGACTGAGGTAATTCCTATGGAAGAAGGATCAGTAACAAAGCCTTCGAAATCTCACATGATAACTTGCCTTGACATATCGGACATATCCAACAAGTATTTCTAGAACATATGACAAATCTCCCGACTCACAATCTTGTACGGCAAGCAGGTCTAATTCATCTTCAAAAAAATTCTGAAGCCAATTTTCCATTCTCTGTGAGGCTTGGTTGTTTTGCACAAGCAGTAAATATTTCTGAACTAGAGGATCTGCAAGGGCTGAAGCAATTTGATTGGGAAGTTGAACTTTATCCAGCTTCTGCACAAAGCTATTGATGCTCCGAACCTCTTCTAGTGACGTAAACCCATAGGTTACTTTGGATGTCCTTGCTGAGGGAATAACAACTTCTACACGGCTCCGCTTCCCACCTTCACGACGCACAACTTGAAATGTCCGCATTTTTGAACACTTAGACTTTGCTGCAGTCTCCTGTAGTGTTTGCATGCGTGAAATCCATTCAGCATCACTGTGCTTAAAAAAGTATGTTCCCTGTTTTCGTGAGAAAACACTATCTGTAACGATAATATCAGGGTAATAGCTTTTGAAGACGCGCAATAAACCAAGCAACTCTCTCTCCTCACCAGCTGTATTCCTTATAAGTTCCATCAAACTTTGAATGCGAAAAGGTTTGACATGTTTTCGACGTGTAATCATAGATAAAAGGCGGCAGAGCAAATGCCGAATTGTAATCATTTCCAGATTGTCAAAAAAAACGGCGTAAAATTTGGACAAATAAGATTGATCTTCCAGTCCGTCATATACTAGAATAAGCCACTGCAGCAGCAAATTTTGTGTTACTGCCGATGGCTTGGTCTTAGAAGGGCCTAAGGAAGCGATGACCCTTGCAATCAATTTAGATGGCACCCTTTCGGACGGGTATAGATTTTTAACAAGAGCAGTGACCGTAGTTTGATTGAGGTACTTGGACCTCACAATAACATCCAATAAACGGTCTAGAAGACCCGTTTCGATACCATATTCATATGCCAGGGACGTTATACTTCTTGCAGCGTCAAGGATGCTATCATGTCTTTGATTTTTGGGAACAAACGCAGCTACACTCGTGAGTCAGTAGCCGTCGGAATGATCACCATAAATAGGGAGTTCGTTAGGTAGCCTATACATTGTTCTAGTTGCGCTATAGCATCCTCAAGATTCTTATGAGCCGTATTAACTGGCATTGTGTATCAGTAATCATCGAACAACCCAAAACAGGTTACAGTACATCTCACCAGTGGGAAGAATGACCTCCATAATATCTTCGCAATTTTAATAAATTCCCACAATCACCAGTTGCCAGAGCATTAGCCCGCAGCTGAGATTATTTCAATCAACAAATACTTTGTAATATAATACCGTCGATACTATTCTTAGGGATGGATTATAGCTATTCCAGTCCGAAGATAGCCCACCCGGTAGGTAGGTTAGCAAAATTGGCCTCGTTGGTCAAATGTTATTATAGTGGGTAATGAAGAAGTTGAGATGTTGGCTAGGAAAGTGTCTTGTAGTTATGTATGTTTTGTCGTTACTCCGTACTCAATGCTCAATTCTCAAATTGGTGATACCATATGGCTACATCCTGTATACTTACATGTCCCACTAACCCTAGCCCTAATGTCCGAATGCGTTACAGCATCAAAATTCTATCACCGTAATTGGTTTAAACCGGAGTTAAACTTTACTAGCTATTAAGTCTTAGTTGGTAACTATGTACTCCGTACGGAGTACTGACATCATTGATTAGAAAACTTGTGAACATCATCCATCTGGTACGGAGTACTATGATTCAGATCCAGGCACAGCCACAGCTCTACGCCCTTCATTTACTTATAGAATTGCGGTTGGAGTACTTGGCAGCTACTAACAAGAGTGGAGGAGCGAACGAAGCGAGAGCTCCGCTCGTATTATATAATTAAATAGTAATGGAATTCTCTCCAGGTGAACTTTGTATGTGTAAGTGTTCTCCCCCTCTCCAGCTCACTGGTAAAATGAGTTTGGAGTTAAGATTCAAAGCGAAAATATCATGTGGAAATGAGCCAGGAAAGGAGTCGTGGTCTTGTTAGAGCGGGTGACGAAAGGCATAATCCTTGCTCGGTCACAGGGGCACCCTGAGTTATTGGCTATTACAAGTAGCTGTCCTCTACTTCGTCGGTGGTCTCCACTCTTCTTTGAAATCTCCGCACAAACTCATCAACGATGGAAAGATGCCAATAAACTCCACACTGTCATATGTCGATACCCATGCAAGACTGGGCTTTGCGATTCCCTCCAAACTTCGGAATACTCGGAGAGTTTTCGAAGTCAGGGTGAGATGGCCGTTCGATACGAAACCGTCTATTATACCTCAAGACTACCTCAGGACTCAGTGGTTCTATAGATTGAGGTCTAAGGCAATACATAAGTTATTGTAGAGGTTGGAACTATCAGAAACCAAAAACCTGTATTGTATATAGATAGCGAAGAAAAATATGTGCAAAAAGAAATACTTCAAATATGTACTGAGAATTTAATTGAGATGCAGACATAGTCTACATCACCTGTGGAGGGCATATAGAGTAAATAGTATATCAAGGGAAAAATAAAGTGACATGAAAAAGATGTAAAGGGGGGTTAGTGATGATGTCCACAACTCACACCCCCTCCTGACATTGCTTGTATCAACCCAGCCGGCCCTCTAAGGAGCTAGCATAAGTTAAACCTATAACCACTGTCGGAATAGCAGGACCTATATACATTTCCTTATTTGGTGCACTCCTGCCAGCGGAAGTGAACGATTTGCTTGAAGCTGGCATCGAGAGAGTCGTTGGTCATGATACCGCGAGCTTTGTTATCAGCCGAGTTAAGGCGGATCTGAGAATTGATGTTAAGGGCACCATTAGCGCCGCATGGCGACCAGACGGTAGAGGCGCTGTCGGCTTCATCATGCACAAGGAAGTCGCCAACAAAAGGTCCTTTCCAGTTGGTCTCAGTGTGAGTCTATGGCGAGAGTGATGTGGTCAGCAAGTTGTGTCTTTCAAAGGAAAGGTAACAATTGGCAAACATACCTGCTGGGTTTGGCCGGAGAAGTAGTAGGTGCTCTTCTGGGTACCAGTAATGCCCTTGTCAAGATTGGCATATCCGCGGTAGTCAGCAGAAAAGATAGAAAATTGAAAGCCACCGGGGTAGCGGATGTTGATGTTGAGCTGGCAGTTCTTGCGACTTTGGGTGATGGCAACATCAGGGCCAATAGATGCAACGTATTGGTCGAAAATGAGGGTCATAACCTGACGATCATCGGAGAGGACGTGGCTAACGGTGTTGGAAGGGCAGCCGGTACCGCCATATGTGAGGCCAATGATTTGGACCTTATTTGGGTCGGGAGGGGAATTTCCGATTGGGATGGTGGAGCGGATAGCATCGCGGGTTGGGGCCGGAGGCATGCCACCTCCTGGAAATTGAGGCAATGCAACGGATCTGGTCACGATTTCATCACGCTCTATAGCAGCACCTAGGGCAGTGCCCACCAAGCCAAGAAGGAGAGCAGGCTTCATAATGTCAAATTCGAGGAATAGGACGGGAATTAGGTATGTACCAAAAGGCAAAGAACTGTCAAGTATGAACTTGATGAAGAATAAAATCCAACACAAGAGCGGGAATGGCGAGGGTTTATATAGATATACATGCAGATGGTCCTAGTTAACCCTTGTAGATTGAAAAGACCCATGTCCCGGAGCGAGATACGATGTACAAGCCACGCACTCCCACCTATACCTATGCAAACTCCTCGTTTGCCGCCACTAATTGACGCATCGGCTTAAAGTAGGGTTGCATGGCGCTCGAGGAAGGCTCGTGAGCTAAGCCGAACAGACTTGTTAAAGGGGCTCTTCAATCCTCTTGCCAGATTAACTGGTAGCTCTGAACGGTAAGGAGTAACAGTGTTTTCCTTTTTTCTACCAGTTACACGCGTATATGGAACGACCAAGTCCCAGCTGTGAGTTCCAATTATCATATGGGTAGAAGGTGCCGAATACGACAGTTGACAAAAGAAGCGAAAATTAGACATACATACACACGTAAAAGGAGGTATTATTAGCTCACCCCATGAGCGAAATATTCTCCTAGACGACTCCGAGAAGTAGGCTATCCCCTGTTGTCACTTTGGTAAAGAGGGGCAAGAAAAGGATAACAGTGATAGTAGCAGTGATGATGATGAACCGGAGCGCTTCGCATGGTCGTTACCTCTAGTAGTCTAGCCGGGCCAAAATGCGAGCCGACTAATATGGCGGAAATTCTATTCTCAGATTCTCTTAACCTAAGCCGTAGGGATCAAAACTAAGCCAAGAACATGGGTATACGAGGGTTACAAAAATCTGGGGTAATATCGTATTATTGCCTGATATCGCAAAATCAACCATATTAGCTGTCTGTGGAAGCCATGAAGTCGTGATAGTGGGGAAGGCATGTTCCATACTTTTGTGTCTTAAATCATCGGTTGGAACCTGATTAGAATGCGCTAGAACTGTATATGTATATAATAGAACAGTATTGTATACACAGGTCATGTTCCAGGCCAGGCTCTACGGCAGTCTCACAAGGTGGACTGTAGTGGAAGAGCATCGTCGTGATGTGATCCTGTTGCGTGGTTAGGGTGGAGTGGAGAGGTCGGCGATGTCGATCCCGTGAGCTTATTCGGCTGAGTCAGAAATGCTTAGTCACATGTAGCTATGCCAAGACACAACTGCGTCCTCTGTTTTCGTTGACGGTTCACCAACATCAACCCCCGTCCCTGCTCGCCTCGCTTCGACAGGATACCCAGCGTACTAATACAAGGGTTTCCTCATTTTTGCCAAAGTTTCACCCTTCCGTCTAGAGCATTCTCTCAGCCGTCTTTGGGAAATCTACCACTGGCTCCCTGTGCCTGGTTTCATTCAGTTGGACTGATTGTGATTTTGTACCCGGCTCGATTGCCGCCCACTTACTCAGTACTTCTCATCATTTTTATGCCCCCAGCTACGCACAATCCTGTCAAGTCCTTTGGTTGTTAGTGGTATACGTTCTGAGTTTTCTTCGGCCCCGAGATTCTGCGTAATAATAATAATAATCGGAGATGTTCGCACTTCTTTTTAGCTCTTCCTATCCCTTGCGATAATCTTCCAGGCTCACCCCTTGACTGGTGCCATATCCCTGTGATATGTTTCTTGTCCGCCCTTGAGAGATGAATTCCCGGCTGTCAGTGTACTTTTCTGAGATATCATATTGTTCGGCCCTGATGATTCAGTTATAGTCGCCATTCTTGACAGTATAGATGATACTCTCTATTCTCGTTAGGTATATCTGCTTATCCGAAGTTATGGGTATTATATTGTTCACCGCATCGACCTGCCAGCCTAGCTGCATGCCGGGATCAGTACTCCATGTGTTATCTGCGGTTTTAATACATATTGCACTTATTCATACCCCCCGCAATCTTATTATGCATGTACTAGGTACATGCATTAATTATTTCCTCCGCCCCCATAGCGCTGACTGTTATTTGGCTGTATTGATACTACTAGCAGCGCTGTCATATCTCAATCCAGCAGTGAATGATACATATTCGTACGGAGTACTGTTGAGCGAAAGTTTCTGCCCTAACTCTTTGAATTGTAACTGCAGTCCTTGACCACTATTTTGCCACTGTAGTTGATGGCTGTTGCTATTGGATCAACAGCCATTTTGAATATGGTTCGACAGCATAGGACCTTGGGATAGGAGTCTTTCTCTAGGCATTCGCCGATTTCATCATTCCCATACGTACATGCATACATACTAAAATACGTTTTAGGTCATGACTGTTTTAGTCGCTGCGAGCTGGGTTGTCCTGCAGAAGCCAGCGGTGGTGGATGGCGAAAGGCGTGAGGCAGGGGTCTAGAGCGTAGTTGGTACCTCTCCCCGTCGAAGAGCTCGGATTCAACGTTTCCTGGGCTATTATAGAGTTACATTATCTCAATGGCATGACGGTTCTTGCGGACCACGTCCGGTTAAAGCTATGCAAACATTGCGGCACTGATCAGCAGGCACATCCATTCTCTTGGAAGCCGAACCGAAATAATGAAGGATCTACGAAGGCAAACTTTCTCTCAAAAAGTCCTGTTATATTTTTCACTCATACTTCAAGACCTGCTCGTGTTGGCATTGCCCCACACTCTCTTCCTCCAAGGGGTTCCTTGCAGTTACATGAGGGGGAGGGGGAAAGACGCTTTGATTCGAACTATAATCAGCTTTGACTATCGGACAAAGTGTTTGTTCCACGTGTTCCGGCTTGACACTTTTTCCACTCAAAGTCCGAACACAGGGCTTAAATAAATAAGAATTGGCCTTTGTCGATCGATTTCGTCGTAATGGATAACAATTTCATTGAACAACAATATTGCGGGGTGATGCGTTGTCCCGAGCAATCTCTACAGAGCAGTGGGCTTGACGACGATTCTAACAATATCAAATGGCGGGAAAGGAGATTTTACGAGCTTCATTTCGATTAGCTAGTCTACGGCCTACTGCTATGATATACACGGCAAATAGCCTGCGAATTAGCACGAAGTTCTCTGGTAAACACGACATTCTTGGCCCCAACCGCGGGGCAATCGTGGTATCAAACTCGCGTGATTTCAGCAATCCCTACCCACGAGCCGCTGAGATACTGTTTTGATCTACACTATTTCATAGTTTGTGCCTCATCTCATAATCGCCTGTTATCAGCCGCCATAGAATATGAAGTAGAGAGGTAGTTTGTCTATGCGATAAAAGCCATCTCGTACAATTCTCATAGATCGAGTGGCAGTAATTCAGTTCACAGTCCTTGCACTAATTATCTACTTTCGCTTTCGGGTCGACCTTTTGGGTGAAGCAGATGGAGGCGATGGGGCGGATGCAGAGGTAGCCGCTACCGTAAGGCTGTCCTTTTCTGTACTACTTGTGCCTTTAGTCTGATTTTCCCCCTTGAGTTCAGCGTCGTTACCCTCTTCGCCACCCTGCCCAAATTCATTAACTCTCTTATAGTCAATCTTATATTTCCAGCTCTGGTATAGCCAGATAAAAAAGATCACATCATCTCTGAGAGTTGCCAGACGGTGAAGGGTCGGCATTTTGATAGTGAACGCAAAGAGGTCGTCGATGAACGTGTTTAGAAACTTGTACATGAGTGCTTTTCCTGGCATATGAGCGACGGACTGTATAATTACAGTTAGCAGGTATATTCGAGTTTCAGCATAAGGTCCAGATTACTCACCTTGAGACGATAATTAATATAAAGGCTTGGGACCATCATCAAAAAACCATAGGCATAGACGCTGCCAACTAGAGTCTCAATAACAAACGAGTACCATGATTTATGGCTCTCGTACACAAGACTATAGATTGCATATGCAATCAATAATGGCACGGCAATGATGTAGAGCCACTTGAACGCAATCTCGTCATACTCTTTAGTTTTCTGTTCCGTCTCACTGAGCTTATGCTTATCCTCAAAAACAATATGATATGGCAAAAAAGAGAAAAAAGACTCGGGGTTGGGTCTTCGAATGCGGACATTGACGGTTTTTGTGATCTTCCAAGCCTCAAGCGCAATTCCAAACCCTTGGCCTGCAAGAATCATCCAAGACGTGCCCTCGCGATTATCCATTAAGTATAAGAGAATCACAGCTTGCATGAAGATGTTGGCAAGGATGGTTCGGAGAGACGTGCCCACCACGTCCTTTTTCTGGCGCCAGTGAGCCTATCAACGTAGAAAGGTCAGCGGTGCCTGATAACATGGGAGTTAAATAACCGGTGATGCAGGGATAGAACTCACAATATCGTTTTTGAACGCAAGCGTTTCAAAAATCATGTGCAGGACGCTCACGATGCCTGTAGTTGCTAGAAGATAGCTGTTGGTGTCAAGGAGCACTTCCTTAAACATTTCAAACTCGCTTCCATCGGTTCCGGCAGGCATAGGGCCTCCCATGGCAGCTTGGCGTTGAGTTTGCTTCATATTCTCATCAACGCTAGCATACATGCTAAATTTCCAATTTTTCAGGTTGTTGAGGGAGATCCGGAGCGGAAGTGTTTGAACGGTGGAATTCAGTTCAGTCATATGGCTTTGTAATTGCCAAAAGGTGTTGGCAAAAATGATCGGGTAATACCAGCCATTCTGTCCAGACGAATCTCTTGCATTCGTTCGTTCTAACTGAATAAATTGGCGAACACCAGGGTGCATTGCTTGGTAATTCAGGATATTACTATCAGGAATCACCGAGAGTGTGAGATTTGGATGGTAATACGATCCAAATTGTACCTTTTTTTGAGCCTCTTCCACTGGCTTTATTTCATCGGCAGAATCAAGAAGATTTCTCAGTTTCTTCACCTTTTTTTTAGGGAGGTATTGATTTAAAGGCCGAATGAAATGGAAAGCGGTGTCTGCGCTATAGTCACTTTTTGTTGGATCAAGCTGATGTCCCGTAAGAGCAATGTAGAAATGGGCCCACAGCGTGCCATTGTTTTGAACCTCCTTGGGTACAGCTATATGAGCTGTCACCTCCCTGCGCTCGTTCCAGTCACCAACAATGAAGTTTTTTTCTTCCAAAACTTTCATATCTTTCGGCACCTTGTTAAGGGCCGGTAGCGTGATGTATGGCGAGACAAAAATATTAATGTCTAAACCACTGTTTCGTTCCCACATTGGGCCGATGTGCTGCGGGATTAGTGTAGCATTCGTAATGGTGCCTTGGTCGGGTCGGTCCGTCCACGCGGGAATAGTTGACGATCTTGCACCCGGCACATTGGCTGCTTGTGGCTTAGCAGGGAAGAGTCTTTGAATAACGAACTGGGAGAGAGCGAAGATAGCTATCCCCTGAAACGCAGCCTTGATTGCAGACTAAGTGTGAGAAATAACAGTCAGTACTCCATATTTATCATATATTTTCTATTCAAACTCACGCTCGTGGAGCTCTCCTCTCGAGGCTGTTCTCTTCGCTGCGACATTACTAGCAGCCAGGTCGATGAACCTCTATGAAGAAAAGCTTGAGATCGATGTTGATAGAGATCAGTACCAAGTAATCGGGAGTATAACTTAACTATTTATTTGTCAGCCCCCTTAGTTAGCTTCTAACTAGGCAGTTAGTTAACTAGTTAACTTAATTAACCAACAGGAAGTACTCCGTAGTCAACTAAATAAACCTATGACGTGAATCGCCAGATCAACAACAGACATAGAATATTCACCATTCACCAGCCATGTTGCTATGAGTACATACAGCGGAACATTTAGCCCTTTTGACTACTCGGTATCAGTTATTTCTGACCTAAGCCTTTTCTGGAAACCTTGGCTACGGAACATGGGCTTTCCATCATTTCCCGCACCACCCTCTTGTCAAAGATGATGGACAACCTTCTCTTATCAGCCGCACCGAGTCTAGGCACTTTGCCATCATACTCCCCCTTCCCACCCCATGACAGTCCCCGCGTCTGGCTTCTATCTGCTGGAGATTCGCCAATCGGTATCTCACTAACTCGACGACTACTGGCACATGGAGACTATGTGGTGGCGGGGGTAACCCCGTCGAAACCAGAGAAGCAGGATTCGAGAAGGCTAAACTTTGATCATTTTTTGGGGGACATTACTGGTGAAGACAGTGAGTTTGGTTGGCGAGAACGATTGGTTTCAGTTGATTTGGATATAAGGTCCGTCTCGTTTGTTAAAATTGTGAATAGTCCTCTGATCGTCAATGAAATAGAATGATGAGCGAGTGTCAGGCCGCAGTTGCAATTGCAACCGTCAAATTTGGAAGAGTGGATGTTTTATTTTGCTGTTCAAGCCAAGGTGGGCATTTTTCCCGGAAACCTTGTGGACAGCTGCTCATGTGGGTTTTGGGCAGCTATTATAGGGACCGTCGAAGAACTGGCAATGTCGGAGAGGACTCATGCGTTAGTCAAAGACCAGTTTGAGACCAATTATTTCGGGCCAGTAAATCTCATTAAGGCCGCGTTGCCTTTGATGCGTAAACAACAGTCGGGTCATATGATGGTCCTTGGGGGAATAAGTATGATTGTCTGTTCTTATTGTCTTTCTTGTTCACGTCGCTTATAACAGCTAGCGGGCCACATAGGTACTCCTGGACTGGGTGTATACTGCGCTGCTGGCTGGGCGCTTGAAGGGTTCTGCGACGTCAGTACTTAATTCAATTATCCCCCTCCGGCTACTTACCACTTCCAATACAGAGCATGGCATATGAAATTGCCCCCTTTAATATTCGCGTAACTATCCTTCAATGTAATATTGAAATTGGTATACTTTCCAATCTTATTACCAGCGTTCCGCCAATGTACAACTCATACTCACAAACGACAAATCATGCCCCTCTGTTTCGAGGTATCATGAACAGTATTCTCTCCCGTCTTTCCAGTGATTCCCGGTCTACTTACTCCACCGCATCTTCTCCTATTTCTCGTTCCTCACCTTGCCCGGCTTCCCCGATGTCTAGTGGAAACCCGGAATTTCAGGAGGATCACTGCCTCGATACTCACGTTTATCCACTCTCCGCAAACTCCATTGTCTCCCTCTACCCACCACTCACAGCAACACATTTAGATCTTCTTACTGCAGAGACTGTCCATGCAATCACTGCAATTGGGGGACATGAAAACCCACCCGCGCGTCACCTTGTGGGTGCTGAAGCAGTAGCGAGTGTGAAAGAAAAGTTGAAAACGATAAGTGAGGAGCTGGAAGACTTTATTGCGTGTAGTATTGCTGTGGATATCGGTGGTGATGAGAATCCTATTAGGGTGGTAAGTGAAGAGACCACTGCACAAGCTACTGCCAAATGATTCATAGGGGGTGACTGTTTAGGTTATCCGGAATTATATCAGGGCTTACCACACTTACTAGATATCTATACCGGTGAATGTACATAATATGAATTTGTTAAGGTAGTTCTGTGGGTGGTTCGGCCATTCTTGGGCAAGCACATACAGCGTATACAAAAGTAAAAGTCACTTTAATTGACAGAGGTGATATTTGTGGACTTTTGATAGACCAACAAATTATTGCATGAATACTCTATATTGCTTATGTGCTGTTTGGTGAGTATATTTCATAGTGTATATAGGTATGAAGCCATCCAGCAATGGATAATAGGTGCTAGATTTTGACTGACTCTTAGCGAGTCCGAAGATACCATGCCTGTCTGATTTCCCAGAGACTACCCATGTCTTGGTTGTTCCGGAAACAGCGGAAATCTTTCCAGGCATTTCCGTTCGGGGGGTTAGTCATACGGCCATCGGTTCGAAGAATTTTGTTTTCTAAAGCTCCAGGCCCCCTTACACCACTGAGCACAATATCCTTCATAGGTTGTTCACTGGGTCTTGGAAAAGCCTCCCTAGTATTGGTAGTGTCGACCTTGGATTGGGCTCTATTGAGAATGGTGTTTTTGTCTCTGCTAGAGGAGGAATACTTTATGGATTCATTGATATTCTCCGGTGTAGAGTGTTCAGTCTTCATTAAACCTGCTGATATATTCTCAGATCGATCCTTAGTAGTATTTGGCCTGGCGTGAGTGCAATTTCTGCCATCAGTCGAATCCCGTCCAGAAGCGCCCATATTAGAGCTAAGATTAAAACGGTAGATATCCCAGGAGAGGTCGATATCGTCAAGGTTAAAATTGGATTCGATATCTGAGATCTCAGAGCAAGAGCTAAAGGAATCTTCCTCACAGCTTTCGGGGAAATTGGCAGCACCAGGTACTGCGATACTGTCATGAGTGAGGCAAAAGCTGGCGGTACTACTGGGCACAGTCTTCATTTTCGTATTAATAGTTGCCTTGGTTGTATCCGTCTTAGGAGGTGTATCCGCAGAGGGAATTAGGGTTTCAGAGTTGCCCTCTATGCCCACGATAAATTCGTTCAGAGAGTGCACAAGATTCCCACTTTGTAATAGCTCTTGAGGTGATCCATTATTTACATCTATATGACGCGGGAATTGAGAGCCAGTATCCATCTCAGTAGCGGAACTAGTCTCATCATCAAGAAAAGGGTTGTCAATCGATGCCAATTTTGGGGGTGTGTTAGAGGAGTCCTTCGTCTCGGAGCAGTCTATGACACCGCAGAGAAGGACACGGCGACCAGGAGGAATGGAAAACGTAAGAGTATTCCCATCGCGACCAATTATCTAGCTCTACAGTGTAAGTAGCCAAACGATCTTCAGAAGGAAATGCAAAATTGAGGCTTACTTTCACTTCTTTCTCAATGAAAACTTTCTCCTTTTGTTTCCCAAAAACCCTAGCGTATTTCCAAACATCGCCAACTTGAATGAGATTATGTTGAACTAACGTTTCTAGCTTAATTTTTGAGCTTTCTCCCGCAATCAAACCCGAATCGATTTTCTGTTTCTGTCCCCAGAATTCTTCAAACTGCTCTTCTTTCCAAGCATCGAACTTGCCGTCTGCCCTTTCTTGCATAGCTTGATGGGCCTGGCGCTGCCATTCCGGGTCATATTTACCATTTTCGAGGTCAGCCTGGAACTGACGCACTGCATCACGCCAGGGTATTGAGTAACGGAGAAATTCTTGTGGAAGTGGCTCTAATTTGAAATTCGCATCTTCAGGGTCCCCATCAGGGTTAGGATGAACATCAGGAGGAAGTAAAGAAAGAATCTCCCTCTTTTCATCCTCTTCAAGACAATTCCATGCCTCGGGTTTGGCCAGCAGTTTCTAATGATGGTGTTAGTTCCCAAGACAAGGATGGATATTTTATAGAATAGTATACCACTAAATCAATATTCACAAGCGGCGACTTTTCACTCGTCGTCACAAACGGTTCACTCCACTTCTTTGATGCTCTTTTCGTAGTTGTGCGGCTCGCAGCCGGGTTTGCCGCATGAGAAGCCATCTTCTCTGAAGATTCCGCAGGCAGGTCTGAATTCTTCGCATTATCAGTAGCAGCTCTGCGAGGACGTCTACATCAAATATTTATTAGCACCATCCTTGAACCACCATAGCCTTGATGCTTATTCAGCTCGTTACTGCTTGGACTTACAAGCTACGTTGTGGTGAGTTACTGCCGCTTTTAGCCGCCTTTATCTTGGCTCGCCGTGGCATGTTGATTGGTCGGCACAGCTAGAAACAACAACCTCAGATGACAGCTTGTATGATTGAAGAATTGTTGGTATAGTCGGCACGATTTTTTCCCTGAAAAGTAGGCGGGTATTTTGCGACGGCGAGAAGGATGAGAAATATAACTCGATTTCTGAAAAATGGTTAAATCAACTCAAATCTCAAGACTTGATGGTGAGCATGTTTTTGTGCTTAAAGGAGGGAACAAGAGAAAGGAAGGCAGATTCTTTAACTGACCCATCTTTTAGGTCTCATGCTGTCTGCATCTGTGGACGACGAACAGGTGTGTTGTCTGCATTCACTCACCCCTCTGTGTCCCTGCCCATTATCATTGATCTTCACAACACGAACGAACTTAGGCTATTGTTCTATGCTAATCGATTATAGGCAGAGGCCCAACTATCTGAAATCAAGGGCCAGGCAAAAATAATATTTCGTCGGCTGAATAGCAATTCTGAACCAGAAGCTAGCATTGAATCTGGGGAATATAATCTACAGCTAGTGCTCCCCTTTCGATAAGCTCTCAAATAATACTGACTCGTGTCTTTTGCAGCTACATAATCAAAAGCGACATCTGCTTCCTATGTATCGCTGATCGCTCGTATCCTCGAAAGCTTGCATTCGCTTATTTAGCGGATATCGCAGATGAGTTTACGACTACATACCCGCCAACCCAGTATCTTTCCTCCAACCTCCGGCCTTACGCTTTTGTGGAGTTCGAGACTACCCTTCAGCGCAAGAAGAAACAATATCAAGATAGTCGCGCGTCGGCAAATCTTGACAAATTGAATGATGAACTGAAAGACGTAACCAAAGTCATGACTAAGAATATAGAAGACCTTCTTTATCGCGGTGACAGTCTAGAGCGCATGGGAGAGATGTCGGGAAGATTAAGAGAAGATAGTCGCAAATACCGCAAGGCTGCAGTAAGAATTAATTGGGAGCTCCTTTTGAAACAGGTAAGAATCTTGACCATCTTTAGTACACACTGTCCTCTCTCTAATATTATTCCAAGTACGGCCCCTTTGGCGCCGTCGGTCTTCTTATCTTCATTCTCCTTTGGTGGCGCTTCTTCTAATTCATGTAACTGCTTTTCTTAATAAAGTACCGATAACGACAATGATATCCATTATTGGGGTGGTAAGAGTTTGCTGCCCTGTGGCGTTTTTGTGCGTACCGCGTTGGCCTGTTGGTTTCCTTCGCCCTTCGATTATAAGCGCGTTCGCCAGCCATTTGCTATGTGTGTTGGGATAACACTTGACCCTTTGTTTAATTCGGAGTAATTCTTCACTTACCCTTTTCAATAAGCGAGGGCTTCAAATTTCATCTTCCTCCTCATCAAAGTCATCTTCTTCTCCCATTTCATATAGGATTCGTCCACCTTCACCTGGACCCTCGCCTTTCTGCGCGTCAAAGTAGGGCAGAACCACATTCTCCCGATCCCGTCGTTGTCGCTCGGTTAATCCCAATTCAAATGTCGAGACTAGTTCTTCTGCTACTGATGTAACAGTCTCCTCTTCTCTCCTGTATAGCGGATGGTCGTCAAGCAATATCACTATTTCCCGCGGCTGTCTTGTAGTATATTGTGAGGCCCTGGGTAAGAAGTACCATTCAACGATACCCCTGCCACTCTTTCGTCTATGTTCCATTTCCAGTACGATACCATCATATTTGTTGAGTTTCTTCTTCGAATCTTGTTGGCCAATAATGATGCCTTCGGTTTCTTCGTCGACGCCAAAAACAGGAGACACCATACTTTTGTCAGCAGCGGTTTTTCGGGCTAGAACTTGGGTAAAGGAGTGGACAGCGATAATTGTCGTTGCTAGGTATGTTACCAGAGATAATAGCGAAGGTGCATATGGGTGAAAGTTACGTGGTGAAGGGAGGTCTTGATGATGTACCATAACCAAGGATACCTGGAGTCTCGAACTTGCTGACGCCAGCAGGTTGCTTAAATATTCAGCTACATTTACTGGCTGCCCCTGAGATCCACGGGATGCAAGCCCATGAACGGAGTCAATAATCAAGAGACACCCTAGTAGAACAGTTAGTGTATCAAGGTTTTTGGCGGTGTATTTATACAAATAATTATTATTTAGACTGGTGGGATAACCTACTCTTCTCTGGAAGAATATCGACGTTCGATATGGAGGTTCTCACTTCCCTCAATACTTCGTTTAATCCCTTTTTGGTAGTGAAAATAAAAGTATCAACGCCCTTAGGCCGTTTAAAGGTATCAAATGAAATAAAAACTACGTGGGATTTAGAAAGCTAGCCCAAGGCCGTAAATGTTAGATAGAGACATGCGTAAGCGGGCGCATTTCAAAGGCGATATCAAGCATGTATATTGACGCATCGAGGAGAGTCAGCAGGAATTAATTCAAAAATTACATACCTTTGCACGTCGAATGTATTCGGCTAGTAAGGGGTACGCTGGTTGCTCTAAAGAGTCTAGAAGCAGAGTTAAAGGGGATGCCGTATCACGTAGGTTTAAAAGAGTAGAAATAAGTAATAAGTTGTGTGTTCGTCGGCGAGATAGGGTGCTTCCAGAAGACATATTGGCAATTTCTGCATAAAAGATGAGATTGCATTTGCGAACTCTTGTTAGGTCTTAAAAGATAGAGTTGCAGTATTGAGATATTCTGCTCTCCGTAGTGATTTAGCTAACTACCTAGTTAGTTAACTAGCACTCCGTAGCTAACTAGTTAACTAGGCAGTTAGTTTAGTTACAGGCTGTTACTAAGTTACATAGCTAACTAGCACTCCATATCACAAAATTCGCGGCCCAGCAAAAGAAGACGGGTTTCCTTATATGCGCATCTTCCCCAGACATGTCGACTTGCTAAGGACTTACATTTTCATACCCGCCTTCCCTTTTTCAGCCTTTCCCATTTACATACAATCCGCCGCTACTTTAGCTCTTCAGGCCGAGACGGAAATTCGAAAATGACAGAGCCTCCAACCAAGCGCGCCAGACGCATGGATAGCTCAACAATGTGGGATATTAGTGACAAAAAATCAAGACCAAATGAGTGCACACTGAACCCAACAGATGGGTCCAGTAAGGGCAACAAAGATGACGCGAGACTACCCGCACCTACGTCGCGCACGGAGAGACGTCAACAATCTCGGTCTAGAAATAAGGATGGCAGAAGACGAGATCAGAGTAGATCTCGTGAGCGGAAAACTAGAGAAGGCACCCGAGACACTTGGCGAGAAGGTGAAAGGGATCCGCGTGCAGCTGCAAGAGATAGGGACAGGAGCAGAAGTCGGGACAGAGATTATACGCGACGTGGTCAGTATATCTTGTGGGTTTAACCCTCAATGGTTTTCTCGTTTCTCAAGCGCCACATTATTAACCCAATTGCATGCACTAGACTACCACTCGAAATCTAGTCGATATCACGAGCGGTCAAGATCTCGATCCCGCTCCCCTACTCGACATAACACAAAAATTAGGACACGATCACCTCCCCGGCGCGGCTCCAAACCTGATCGGCGGGACATTGGAAGTCGCAGCGTACCACCCGATGACGATAAAGGGCCTAATGGATCGACCGGTCGGCAAGGGCATTCGTCGATATCCAAAGGTACTGATGGCATAGAGCTGGATATGGACCTGGAGAATGGAGAGGTGGATAGTTTGATATTTAAAACAATGGGGTTCAAATCCTTCCGGTCTACCCAAAATACGAAAGTTCCCGGCAACCAGATATATGGAGTTCGAAAGGAGAAGAAGACGGAGTACAGACAGTATATGAACCGTGTGGGCGGTTTCAACAGACCACTAAGCCCTTCGAGATGATACATTGCTTTTGGCATGATGCCAAATACTCCACTGTCGGGTCATCATGAACAACTTATCTTCTACATAGATGTTTCGTGCGCTTGGTTGTTAAAGGGGCGAGCAAACTTCACCTCTTAGCTATCTAGATCTACGACAGGGTTGGACAGATAACAGGTACTTCCCTATATACTGTCATATTGTCCTTGGAGGCAGTAAGGAATTTCCTTAAACTCAAAATGAAACGGATAGAGGTAGGACACACTTACATCAAGTGAAAAACGAGTAGCTTGGAAACATTTTTAACATTGATGATTCCTTTTAAAAGGAAGACCTACGCGATTTCTATCAATCCTCTTTTCTTGATACCTGCGTTTTATGGTTTCTAGTATGGTTGCATTGCATAGGTCGTCTATTAGACTCGAGAGATTTCTTTACGCCCACACCTTATAAAATGATGTCAATGCAGCTGAGTCTTAGCCATGCATTTATGATATTGCGGCCCAGCGAAAAGGCAGCCGACGAATCCCTCTTCGCTTAAGACCATAGTTCAGTATTGAAACCTGACTCATCGCATATTGGCGCGGAGGTTTCATGATCCACGATGCAAGAGGGTCGGGTATCCAAGTCGAGTCCGTACACCATAAATCACAGTCGTATTGGAGTGGAAAGGATCCACAGGGCGTTAAGGCTACCGGTCTAGGTGACTGATGCCGCAAATAGTATTACTACTGGCATAAATTGACGTATAGTCACTGGTGAGACCGTTACTCTTCTGCCAGAGGGGTTATGTGACTGGGTTCCAGGTCACAATTGCAAGTTTGAAGAACAGCCAGAAAGCTTTCTGTAGCATTTACCTATCCAGTTAGGAAATCAAATGCAAAAAAAGGAGTAGCAAAAAAGGACACTCCAAGAAACAGTATGAAAAACAAAAAGTTGCCTGAACGATGCTGGCGCTGATGCCCAATGCCGAAAGACTTTCAAAGTCGGCGAACCGGCCAAGCCGATCTAACACAAGTTTAACTTAGGTAACTAGTCTAGTTAAGTAACTTACTAGGTATCTTACCTAACCTACCTAACTACCTAATTAACTAGGTAGTTTAATTAACTAACTAGTCACGTGTGCACCCCACTTTTAAGTTGCCTGGCTGCTGGCTTCATGTCATCCATCCCTACACAACAGAAGCCTTGAACTTGACAACCACCTTGATACTCTGCGGCCCTATTACCTTTCTCCGGCTTGGTACGGAGTACAATAAATAATCCTCAATTTAATATAATAATAGTATGGCTCCAGATAACTCCATATCAGATAATAATAGCCTCACGATGGCCGAGGTATTCTAGCCCCCTACTTCCCGGGCGCTACAGCCCGTGTTGAGCAACCAGGGAACGTTGCATCCCCCGCTTGACAAGAGAGTCTGGAGATGATCACACAGGCCTTAACCTAAGGCTTATTTTTCCATTCCACGCGAAATCGTTCAGTCACCCAGGCGTCGATCCACGAGCGAGCTGCAGATTACTTTCTCGCCTTCACAAATAATATGACCCGTTCCTTATGCTTTCGAAGCTACCTACCTCACACCTACCGATCCGGCTTTGCGATGCGCCATTCATAGCTCAGCCCATCACCAAAATGCCAATACTTCATAGAGAGTCGCAGTGCCGGCCTCCTTTTTACACTTTTGGCCAGGTTATACTACTAGGTGGCGACGTTTGGCATGGAAAGATTCTAGATTCTGGGGCGGACTCGAACCCCTGGCCACGATATGATTGCGAAAATACGGGTGGTCTATCGGGACCTAGTTGCCTTAAAAACCTGGTACGATTCTGCCGGATCGCAATGTCGCTTTGGTATCTGTCAATATGCCGTAGTGCAGAATATTATTATGAAAAAGTGGAAATCATGTTGTACCATCTGTTTGCTTGGTCGTGAGTATCTTCGCCTCTTTTGTCTTAGAGAAAAGGCCAAAGTGGTGCAATATACGGAGTGAAGCTTTTGTTCCGCCTGAGGGAATTGTGAAGCGCCTTTGTTGGACCTTGATGCTACGGCAAAACTAGATCGCCCTCGCTTCACTAATTGGCATTCCTGGCATGCCCGTACATGACCCACGCAATGGTACAGTTCTCCTTGAATGTTGAGTAGGATGCGTAGGTTTCTCCTCTACGTCGCATATACCACTTCTGCCGTGCGCATGATTTGGCACTACTACTACTGTTCACAAGGCAGCTTTGGTTGTGGAGACCCGAAATTCCACTGGAGCCGTCCTGGACAGAACCGCAGTGGACTGTTGTCAGCTCTTATTTCGGGCCGGAAAGGGTCAATTATTATTATTATTATTAGTGCCTTCACAACGAGAGACAGCGTGTACGGCCAGAATTGACGGTAAATTGCACTTCCACACAGTAGCGATAGGCTTTTTTGTTCATGGTAAACCTTCCAGCAAATATCGCAGCGTGGAACCGCTCCACTACTAAACAGCGGTTATTCCTCCATAATAGATGAAGATGGGCGACTTTTGAACAAGGATGCCATTCAACCTCCCTCCAGTATGCAGGCTCATGCGGATTATTTGCCTCCGATAATGACCGGGATCCTTTATCTGGGGAGAGTGGCTCTATCTTTCATTAAACTTTCCAGTGCTGCACCACAATTTGGAGATATGTAACTCGGGAGCCGGTCTCAGCATGGGCATTTCTAACACCCGAACCCGAGGCCACCACTAAGCCTTCTAGAAGGCGCTGGATACCCGCTAGCCCACTCGGTATATCCTCACCGATTCAGACCGGTGGCTTTTAGCTCGGCGGGTCATCCCTGCCGACAAACCCCGGGTTTTGGCGCTTCCAACCTAGTTTTGAGAAAGACACCGAATTTGATGTTGGGTGCCTCAGTTTTGTTTTTCCTTGCTCGCGTTATGAAACTGTTGTTTGTTTATATTCAGAAACAGTTACAAGATGCACACCCAGTCGACAAAGTGGCTTCGTCTCTTCGGTCCCCTGTTCCATAGATCGCCCAGGTCACCTTCGGCCATTGGTTGGCGATGCCGGCCAAGTTGATCAAGCACTCGCGGTATGTTGGCGATCATCAGGGGCCCATGCTGCCGGTTGTCCCTACTAGGGAAGTGGTATCGGACGGCCCTCCCCATATTAAACTAGTTTACTAGTTAACTAGTTAATATAATAGGGTTGCCGAGATCGAGCGGCAGCCATTCAGGCAACTTCAGCCACAGATCACCTGGACGACATATCACTATCCCCAAACCTGCAGATGTCTGTTCAATTGCCATAACAACTGCCAGTCTCGTCAGCAGTTCTGCTCGTCGTAGAGGGGGAGCTCTCCGCCTCCAATCTTGAAACAGTACAAAGTGATAAGTATTCATACTGAATACCATTCCTTTCGCGCTGAGAAAATCGAGATTCGGGCCAAATTAGAGGGTTACACTCCGCGGCTTGGCTATGATTACCCTTTCAGCAAAACCCTGGGACTAACCATGTCATCTCCACAAACACCTTTAATCTAACGCTGCGAAATGTCATGGGCCGGCTGGAAGAGTTGGCCCGGCGGCCCCTTGCATTGCTGTCCCCGTCCATAACCGGCGTTTACTGGTGGGTTGTGGTCGCATGCGTTTTCGAGAAGAGTCACTATATGGTCAAGAGGTTTGATGCGGAGCGAGCTGAGCGCGGGGGAGAGTTCCATTGCGGGTACGTCATGTGGGTTATACCCTGACCACATGCAATTTCGGGGTGGTCGATGGCAAGTCTGAGTGATGAAGGGATACCGGAAATCATTATTATTCGAGAGCCCGCAGGATAACTGGGGTATTAGCCGATCAAGTCGAGGGGCGCAGAAGACCTCCAAGCCTGATATAAATTTGAGACGATTTCCGCGTCAAGAGTTTCAGGAAGCAGAGCAGCAATCCTGATCCTCGTTGTTTTTGGTCTTCATCATGCACGGTCTCTTGCTTGCCGCTGGGCTTCTCAGCCTGCCCTTCCACGCTGCTGCCCATCCTCAGCAGCCCGCTACCGGTGTCGCCCGCCGAGGAGTTGACCTCAACGCCTACCGTTTGCCCCTGAAGGCCGACTATAAAAACACCGAGAAGGTCGAGGCCGAGCCTCCAGCTCTCAACCTGTTTGGCCCTGCAAGCTATGTAGAGGTTGCCCAAGCGCTTGCTAAGACGACCGTTCCTGGAGCCACTTTCCGTGTCGTTGACGACCATTATGTCGGCGACAATGGTGTTGCCCATGTTCACTTGCGCCAGACAATGAACGGTATTGATATTGACAATGCTGACTTCAACGTTAACGTAAGTCGGCTTCAGGGCTCGCTTTTTCTTTCTGTCAGCTAACACTCCTCACAGGTCAAAGATGGCAAGGTGTTCTCCTTCGGCAACTCCTTTTACACTGGAAAGGCCCCCAGCCCATTGGTCAAGCGTGACCGTGCCGATCCAGTTCAGGCCTTGAAGGAGGCCTGCAAGACCCTCCAAATTCCAGTCAAGACCGAGAAAGCCACTGCTCAGGCTGTCAAGGGCTCTGAATCTGTTGTTTTCAAGGGTACCTCTGGAGCTCTGTCTGAGCCAAAGGCTAAACTTGTTTACCTCGTCAAGTCTGATGGAAACCTCGCTCTGACTTGGAGAGTCGAGACCGACATTGGCGACAACTGGCTCTTGTCATATGTTGATGCTAAGGATGGCAAGAAGGTCCACAACGTTGTCGACTATGTCTCAGAGGCCACTTATTCCGTCTTGTATGTAAATACGTCTTCGATACTCCAGAACGATAGCTAACTTGAACCACAGCCCATGGGGTACCAACGATCCAACTGAGGGTGAGCGCAAGGTCTTCACTGATCCTTGGGACACGAAGTCCTCCGAGTTCACCTGGATTGGCGATGGCCAGACTAAGTATCAGACCACTCGTGGAAACAATGGAATCGCTCAGTCCAACCCTCGAGGTGGCAATGAGTACCTTAACAACTACCGCCCAATGAGCCCGGCTCTTAAATTTGAATACCCATACTCCACCTCTATGACTCCTCCATCAAGCTATATTGATGCTTCCATTACCCAGCTCTTCTATACTTCAAATGTCTACCATGATCTTCTTTATTCCCTTGGTTTCACTGAGCGTGCTGGTAACTTCCAGTGGAACAACAGCAACAAGGGTGGTCGCGGAAATGACTATGTCATCTTGAATGCCCAGGATGGCTCTGGTACAAACAACGCCAACTTTGCTACTCCCCCTGATGGTCAGCCAGGCCGTATGCGCATGTACACCTGGACCACTGCCAACCCCAACCGTGATGGCAGCATGGAGGCAGGTATTGTTATTCATGAATACACTCACGGTCGTAAGTGATACATGTCCTTTTGTGTGACTCTTCTGGCGGACGGCGCTTAATCGTGCTCTTTAGTTTCCACTCGTCTTACTGGTGGGCCCGCCAACTCCAACTGCTTGAATGCTCTCGAATCTGGTGGTATGGGCGAAGGTTGGGGAGACTTCATGGCTACTGCCATTCGTCTCAAGGCTCGCGACACCCGCAACACCAACTACGGTATGGGCGACTGGTCTGCAAACAAACGGGGCGGCATCCGTGCCTATGTCTACTCCACCAGCCTGAGCACCAACCCCCTCAACTACCTCTCCGTCAACAGCTTGAGACAAGTCCACGCCATCGGTACCGTTTGGGCCAGCATGCTCTACGAAGTCATGTGGAACTTGATCGATAAACACGGAAAGAATGACAGCCCTGTTCCTCAGTTCCGCAACGGTGTCCCTACTGATGGCAGATATCTTGCTATGAAGCTCGTTGTTGACGGCATGGCCATGTAAGTTCAATCCCTGTCATTTCTGAGCCCATCCCTTTGAAGAAGCAATAGCTGACCGGGATGTTTCCAACTTCTAGCCAACCCTGCAACCCCAACTTCGTCCAGGCCCGTGATGCTATCTTGGATGCCGACCGGGCCCTCACCGGCAGCCAGAACAAGTGCGAGATCTGGAAGGCTTTCGCCAAGCGTCAACTCGGTGTTGGTGCCAGATACGGTACCACCCGCACTGGCAGCACTGAGGTTCCCGCTGAATGCAAATAAGCATTTAAATCACCTTCTTGTACATAGCTTTTAGACCGGAGAGTACCCTTCTTGGGAAAGCCGGGTCGACCAATTTATTTTTGATTCTTTTTTCGAATTGTCTCTAAACCTGTACTCCGTATTTTTTAGCATTCATGCGATGTGACTTGTAGTGGACTCCTGAATTGGCCGTCTCGTTGGTTTCGATGCCAAGATGAGCTACAACAAGTTCGAGTGCAGCGGCCCACCATTTAACTATCTTGTTAGTAACTAGTTAACTAACTGGTTCTTTGAGCGAGTTGACTAACTACTCGGCAACTAGTTAGCTATGCAGCTAACTGCTTAGCCATCAACACACTTCGCTCAACTCGTCGCTGGTGGGAGGCAGCGTGTGCCTTCTTTCTCATCGTACTGGTGGAAGCGGACTTTCTCGCGGAGGTAAGACTGGTTTGGCTGAAGCTTGCCAGCTAACTAGCTAGTTAACTACTAACTCTGTAGTAGTGAGCTTGGTTGAAAAGCATGTTCCGGATTGACACGTCTTCGGCGGAACACCGCTCCATATTTATATTGCCAGCCCGGAGGACCTTGGGGACAGTCACACCCAAGCCCGCGTCATCGCCGGGGGCTCAACGAAAGCCAACAGCTTCTTAAGCACACCTTGGGAGATTACTATCTGCTCGCCACGTATTGCTTGTTTCTTCGAGATGAACTCCGCTTCTGAGCGCACAATTGCCGTGATTGGTAACTGCCCCTCGAGCTCCCCGCAAAACCCGCTGGTCTTGGAGAATGGGCTAACTGTCATTCTGCAACAACAGGGGGCGGAATCATCGGTTGCTCGACCGCATACTATTTGACGAGACACCCGTCCTATGACCCCACACTACACAAGATCGTCGTTTTCGAAGCCACAGGCATCGCTGGCGGTGCATCTGGCAAAGCAGGGGGGTTTCTAGCCATTTGGGCGCATCCGGACAACATTGCGCCTTTAAGTTATTCTCTTCACAAGGAACTGGCCCAAGAGCACAATGGTGTGGAGAGATGGGGGTATCGGAGGATAAAATGTGGACAATTGCTCGCACATGTCACCCCACGTGACGCATCTAGCAGCAATACGGAGACGTTAGGCTCGGGTAAGAATTACGACAAGCAAGCTACTTCGCGGGAAAAGAGGGCGTGTAGCATACCGGCAGACCTGGACTGGTTTGATTCATCCATGTGCCTTGAGTTTGAGGATATGGGCAACATGGGAGCAACAGCTCAAGTACATCCCTACTTGTTTACGACGTCAATGATGAAACTAGCGGAGGAGAAAGGAGCTAAATTTATACTGGGATCTGTCACGGAGATTGAGCTCTCAGAAGATCGGGTTCGTGGGCTCAAATACAATGATAAGGAGACCGGCGAGTCTAAATCAATGCCAGTGACAGACGCAATTGTTGCTGCTGGGCCGTGGGCGAGGACCGTGTTTCCAAGAGCTCCGATTCTCGCTGAGCGCGCTCATAGCGTGGTAATCCGTCCCACCCGTCCTGTGTCAGCATATGCTGTGTTTACAAGTATCACCCCTCAGCGTTCGAATCGCCACCCTCAACAAGACGCGGCGGTATCTCCTGAGATCTACTCAAGGCCAGATGGCACTGTATATTCTTGCGGAGCAGGCGACGTATCCGTCTCTCTGCCAGAAACAACAGCGGATGTGCAAGTGGATGACTCTCGATGTCAATCAATCATTGATTCAGTGGGCTCTATATCATCCGAACTGCGAGGGGGCGAAATCCTGCGGCAACAGGCGTGTTATCTGCCGGCTGTTGCAGGCCCCGCTGCAGGGCCACTCATCGGCCCGGCTGATATTAAAGGTGTGCATCTTGCAGTTGGCCATACTTGCTGGGGAATTCAAAATGCACCGGCCACCGGGAAGCTCATGAGCGAGTTTGTTTTCGATGGAGCAGCGCAAAGTGCGGATGTTGCCAGTCTCAATCCACGTAATTTTCTGTAAGCTGGGAATATGCTCAGTCTGGACTCCGTAGGTAGTTATGTAACTGCTCCTTAGGTACTCCGTAGGATTAAGCGTAACTCGAACTAACGTCATCTTGCTTTTGGCTTTGCAGGATCCGCTTATAGACACGTAGTTAGTTAGTTACATAATTCATCGCACCTACTAGTTAGCTCTCCGGAGTAGAGCCTCAAGCTTGCGGAGTTGCCTATCAAACACCACCACCACTTGGGGACGTCGGAGGAAAGCGTTGTCTGGAGGATGTGCTAAAGTGCTAGTTAATTGCTTCTTTGTGCCTGCACTCAAGTCATGAATGGTCTCCAATCGCTGTGGATCTGCGCCCTAGCAGTCATCAGCTATGGACTGGCCGAAGCCAAATCCACGATACACGAATCCTCGCCCCTGGTCAGCGAAATTGAACACGCCTCGAATCAATCTCTACTATGGGGCCCCTACCGTCCCAATCTCTATTTTGGCGTTCGCCCACGAATACCAAAAAGCCTGATGATGGGCCTGATGTGGGCGAAGGTGGACAACTTCGGAACAGCGCAAGGCAGTACGTAGGTCAATGGCTCCGGAAGATATCGTGAGAGGAATCACCATTTTCATTTTACGCGATTTTCTAACCATCGTCTCAGATTTTAGGCATACTTGCGAGCAAAACGAAGGGATGGCAGGCTACGGCTGGGAGGAGTACGACATCCGGAACGGGGGACGCCAAACTATTCACGATGCTGGCAATACGCTTGATCTAACGATAGATTTTATAAAGGTTCCCGGTGGCAATCATGGTGGAAGCTGGGCAGCCCGCATCAAGGGCAACCCGCGCCGGGATGCTCCACCCAACCAGCCCACAACTCTTATATTTTACACAACTATGGAGGGTTTGGGAGAGCTGGGGGTTGGTAATGAAATAGACCCTCTCGGATTTCAAGGAGACGTGAAATTATTTGGCAGTACCGTGGACCTGGGAGAATTTACAATAGACATCACCCGAGGCCCTGATACTAATCGCTATCCGCAGAAAATTCATCCAAGCTATGATGAAAAACCTATGGATAGGACATTTGTGGCTAGCTTTCAGCTTGAATCTGAATTATTGTGGCAGGCAAAAGGTACTTTGATTTCCTGAGTATCCTAACTATGCATTCACTGATCCCCCCAGAAATTCTTTTTACGCATCTGAAGCAGGAGGTCGAGCCTCTGTTCCAGAAGTACGGGACAGAGAATCCACCTCCACCAAGCAGTGTTTTTACAATTGCCAACAAACCAGCACACGGCAACTTTCACCTTATTCAAAAGACCTTCGAAGGCCCCTTTGAGGTAGGAAACTGCTAAGCACTGTGCAGGTATGAAGCTCTCTAATGATACGCAGTTTGATATACTGTTTTCATCCGCTTCTGCAAGTGAGCCAGTAACCTGTAAGCAAGTTTGCCGTTTGCTTATTGTTTTCCCTTCTAACTGCTTGTTAGCCGACGGGTTGAGTAAGGGAATTAAGAGTGTATCCCAGTCATTTACAGAGAGATTCCAAACGATATATTCCCCGGCAAAACCTTTCGGGGCCTCCAAATACATGGCCTTCTCAAAGGCGATGCTATCAAATTTGGTTGGCGGTATTGGGTATTTTCATGGAGATTCAATTGTTGACCGTTCCAATGCTCCAGAATACGAAGAGGAAAACGAAGGCTTCTGGGAAGAAGCAGCAGAGGCTAGGGCAAAAGTAGAGCCGACTCTGGAACGCCCTTCTGAGCTTTTTACTTCTATTCCGTCGCGACCATTCTTTCCTCGCGGATTTCTTTGGGATGAAGGCTTTCATCTTATGCCGATCATCGATTGGGACCTTGACCTCAGGTTAGTCAAATATTCAAACCCGCCAATCAGAGCACTACTGATTAAGTTCATAGCTTGCAAATTGTGGAGAGTTGGTTCAAGTTAATGGATGACGATGGATGGATTGCTCGTGAACAGATCTTGGGGCCCGAAGCTCGTAGCAAAGTCCCTGCCGAATTTCAAGTTCAGTATCCGCACTACGCCAACCCGCCAACTTTGTTTATGATTTTAGACGAGCTTTCGGACAAGATGAAAGCAAGCGCTGTCGACCCTGGAGATATTAGGTCATTATACTTGAAAAATCCAGAGGCTGTTGAATCTTACTTGCGCTCGATATACCCATTGCTTAAACGACAATATTTTTGGTTTAAGAAGACACAGTGGGGTGATATAAAATCATACGATCGCGAAGCCTTTTCGATGAAAGAAGGATACCGGTGGAGGGGCCGCACCGTCGAACATATTCTCACCTCAGGCCTTGATGACTACCCGCGGGCCCAGCCCCCTCATCCAGGAGAGCTACATGTGGATCTTATCAGTTGGATGGGACTAATGACACGGTCCTTGCGACGCATTGCTCACGCCTTGGGTGAACAAGAAGACGTGGAAGAACTCGGCCAGTATGAAAACGCTATTAAGAGGAATATTGACGATCTTCATTGGGACGAAGCAACCAAGACATATTGCGATGCTACCGTTGATGAGTTTGAAGAAAGCGTGCATGTCTGCCATAAAGGTTACATATCCATTTCCCCCTTTTGGACAGGAATGCTAGCGCCGGATGACCGGCACTTAAAACATACTTTGGATTTAATCTCTGACCCAGAGGAGCTGTGGAGTGATTATGGCATTAGAAGCCTTAGCAAAAAGGACGAATTCTACGGCACCGGCGAGAATTACTGGAGGAGCCCGATCTGGATCAACATCAACTACTTAATCCTTAAAAACTTGCTTGTATGAGCCCCCGTCATCTGATAATTTTTCTTTTTCTTTGATACTGATCTTCTTAATGCAGAGAATCGCAAACGTCTCAGGCCTACACCAGAAGCAGGCTGGTGACATGTATACAAAGCTACGGAGAAATTTGGTAGAAAACGTGTTCAATGAATGGGAACGAACGGGATTTGCTTGGGAACAGTATAACCCAGAATCCGGCCATGGCCAACGAACTCAGCACTTTACAGGATGGACTAGCCTTGTTGTCAAGATAATGGTGATGCCAGAGATTCCGAATGTTGTAGGAAACCTGCGGGACGAGCTGTAAAAACATTACCCTTTTATTCAAAACCATGGGATTTATTGAGAAAACAGTGATCATTTGTAGAGCAATGGGTATCGGTCAAGTCTGCGGCAAATCCCCTTTCTTATCCAAGGATGTAACACCTACCAGAATAACACCATAACGCCGATATCTAAGTCAACGGTACCTAAACGCCCAAGTTCTTTTGGGCAATTTCCCCTTATCGACGCCGCCTATGTTCGTATTCATCTGGCCTGTGGCGATTGTCTCTATGCCTGGTAGGGGATCGTTCTTGGTAGAAACGGCGACGCTCTTCCCGGCGTCGCCGGTCTCGCGATCGTGATCGAGAGCGCTGCTTTTCACGGACGCAGCCAGGGGAGCGCGAACGATGTCTGCGTCGTTCATGACGACTAACATCGTAGTCACCCCTTCTACACCGATTCCTTCGATCCCGATGGCGCTCCTTCTCCTGGCTGCGGTCACTGCGGCGTTCTAGTCTCCTATCAATTATGTCTTGGCGCATCACTGTATCGTCCTTTATGTTGTCGTGTGTTTCTCTGCATTTATCATCCAAATTTCCGATAGCTTCAAGTCTGTCTCCATTTTGCATAGAGTCAATTGTGCCTTTTGTACCATTGTAGGCACCAAACCCAATGCCGCTCACTCTGTCAACGCCGCTCCCACTTCCAGTGGTTGTGGCCTCTTTTACAATCTTTTGGACAGATAACCCAGTAACGCGAGCAGCATTTGCGCCAGAGGCTATCTTTAGATTAACAGGTAAACCTAATGCTTGAGCCATTGCCTCCTGTTCAGCCTCTTTGATTCTTTGTATTTCGTCATTACGTTCGTTCCCTGCATCATGGGGGGATCCGTCTCCATCATTTTTGGCGTACCATGATAGATCACGGCGTTGCTGCCAGCGGCCTACAGGGGCCATAAGAGAATGACCAAGGTAATTTTCACGGTGAGAGGAGTCCTTGACGTCTGACCATTTGAAGGCATCGCGGCCTCCACTGAGAACAGCGTGGTTAGCAGGTGGTGGGAGCCGAGCGGTTGGACTAACACTTACCGGCTGCCTTCTTTGCGCACCCCAGCTACAAGATCCATGGTGCTAAGTGAAATTACTTCTCCTGTCGTGTTCTTTTCGAGGAGAGGGTGTTTGAAGAAGACAAGGTTGCTTTAGGCAAAACAGTGGCGAGCACCAGCTGCCCGGCTCGTGAATAAACAGTCACGTGTAGTTAACTAGTTGAGTTTAACTCGGTATGCCCACCGAATAGCTTGTAACTACGCCATACGGGGTCCTGGGTAGGTACTTCGTTGTTCCCTATTCAGGGAGCGGCAATCTACATCCTGAGGGAGGCTGGCACTAGAGATGCTATTGTGAACATCATCCGCGGCGATTTTTGAAGAAACTCGATGTCCCGCCGCCCAAAGTTAACTGCTCTAACTCCCTTAGGCCACTGTGTACGGAGTACCAGGTTTTTTTTTTAATTTGAAGTGGGAGTTTATTGGATAGGTAACTATGTAGTTAGTCAAACTATGTAAGCCAGGTTGATTCACACCTGCCACCCAGCGGCAAATCCACTAACATGAATAGCTGAACTATAGTTAGCTGAGCAGCATGAGAAGGACGCAAGATACCTCCGACATATCTTGATGGCTCCCTGTTGATAAGTCACCTGTTTTCTTTCTGCGGCAAAGAGATGTGTGAACCGCCAAACACGTTCTTTCCTATGTCAACGTCCATTGGAACACTGGAAATTGCGGCTGGGCTTTAAGACAGTCGTGCTCCCAAGGGCGCTGTACTTTGTCTTTCTGCCTTGAAAATGACTTCTTATGCGAGACCGAAGTTCAAGATGGTATTTGATGATGATGAAGAAGACCACAGAATTCGGGTCGACATACGGAAAGTGGAACCGGGAAAACGAAGGGTATGTTTTCCTCTCAGTATTGATATAGTATGTGCAACAAGCCTGATTGACTTCTCTAGTTCCCACGGTATGTCTATTATGTCTGCTTGACGCTCAATTATACTGACCGATAGGCAAAAGCGGAAGCAATATGCTCCCTGAAGTCGCCGAATGGAGGAATAATCTGGTAAGCACCTTCTATGTCTGCATTACCTTGTCCATGTCCTTACTTCCTCTCAGACAGCTTTGTCTCAGCACCGCAACCTTTACTTTGTTGCTTCGATGCGTCAGGTATATGTCTACCAGCCGGCATCTTCTTCAGTGGGGTCTAAACCCGCCCTAATTCTAACACCTACTTTGAAAGAACCTGCAGCTCCTGGCTTCATATCCCATTCTTGCCCTCATGCTATTAACCATATCGTTGTTGGTGACCTCGGAAACGAGGAAATTGTGCTTCTAGCCACGGACTCGGGAAATATTGCGGCCTATTGGACTGAGCGCATTTTTTCTGCCCTCGAACATAGCAAAAGTTCGGAGCCTCAATCACCAGAAGCCCTTGGGGCTATTGTACCCTGTTTCTTCTCTGATTGGGTTAAGCAAAGCGCCTGGGGATTAGCTATCCACAAGTTTGCACGCATGATTGCTGCAAGCTCGAATACCTCTGAAATTACTGTTTGGGCTTTCGCTTTGGCTGAACAAGCGGAATCTATGCCTGCATGGAATCTCGACTATACAGACGAGTGGTCTGATGTTACAACCGCCACGCAATTTGCAGCCCTCCGTTTGATGCCTGCCTGGTGTCGCCGCTCTCGAAGCATTCGTATCACATTGCGTGGGCACTATAATAATATCCCATGTGTCGGGTTCCTGAGCTCAGAAATCGACCGTAATGGGGAATGGCTTGTGAGCACAGATATTACTAACAGACTGCTTGTCTGGAGAATTTGGGAAAGCCCAAACCCATTGAAAGAGTGGGATTTGAATCACCCATGGCAAGATGGAGACCAGAACTATACTGCTGATTCGTGAGTGTGCAAATCCTAAATTCCGACTACTATTCTCACTAGTTATAGGTATGACCGTGGATGGAGTGTGCTAGCCCTGGATAATAGATCTTTTCGCATAAAACGCTCCATTCGTGAAGCGTGTGGTGGTCACCCATTTTCCCTCAACGATTACTCTCCCTATGATTTAACACCGCTCATTCATTCCATCCCTGACGCATCCACAACTTATATAGTTGACCCACCCAACCGTCGGAACCAGCCACAGCATGACCAAGCCATAATTGGGCTGGAACTTTCTGACAACTTCTTTGAAGACTCTGATCAGGGAGATGGAGACGGAGATGGTCTGATGACTCTAGCCATGAACCCGAACGTCGGTTTTCCCGTTATCCAAGCAACCCCGACACAGCCCGAAAACATGCCTCTTCCTACAGCCACGGAGAATGGTCCAGGTACTGAAGAAATGAATCTTGATGCTCATGAGTTGATTGGTGCTGGTGGGGCTGGAGAGGTCATCGAAACTGAGGAGGATTTTATAAATGATGATGACGATGATGATGATGATGGTACCTACCTAGTCGATGCTCTTCTTGAACGCCTTTATGGGGCAACTGACGATTTTACGAAACAATCAGACGAACCCGCGCCGTCGATGATAGATTCCACTATACTTAGCAATCTTCGGTATCTTGAGGAGAAATATGGGGCTTCTTTCTCAATTCTTCATTTGTCTGAAGCTGATGTCCAATTTCTTCCAAGTCAATTCTGTGCGAAACCCTCTGTCTATTGTCGAATGGTACTCAGACAAACAGTCCCAGCATTAGCCCCGATTCTTCAGAACTACGATCGTTTCAACATGGTCCACCAAATTCCTGAGTTAGGAGTTGTAATCGCGGCGTCCCAAAAGGGCCGTGTTGCCATAATATCCTTAACTCAAGGTCCAGAAGGGGGTCGGTACATGAGAGTTGATAATATTGTGCCCTTTGAAAGTCAAGAGAGGCTGGGCCAAAGACCCCTTGTACAACTACTGGGAATAGCGGTTGGCCCCATTGAAAGTAACCTCATCCCCGTTGAGGCAGACTTGAATAATCAATCTGATGCTGATTCTGAAACCCACCCGAGACCTTTTAAAATTCCGTCAACTCCTCGCGAATCCTGGCATGGATCTCAGTATTCTCGCAAATATCGTCTCATCCTAACGTACTTCGATCATACTGTGCTGTGGTATGAATTGTCGTATGACTGGCCCGCTGGTGTTCTTGGAGTTAATCATGATGATAGAATAGCATTTACGTTGGCTCCTTGATGCCCTCTACGTGGCAGATGATTGTAGAAGTTGCCATCAAAACATACGCCTGAGAAGTTTTTGCAACTATTAGTTATGTACTTATGTATGTATGTACATATATGCGTTCTTTTAGTATGTAGTTACATATATGTACACATGGACATACATCCATACACGAATGATGAACTATTAAAAAAACAAGTTTGTTATCATAACTATAGCCAAGGATAAAAGGGAAGTGGAACCCTGCGATGTACTAACATACATATTTCAGTTGACTGCTTTTAAATAGCTTGGTAAAAGAAAGTACCAGCAACTATATTTTTAAATATGTGTTTATGTACTCTAGGCACCATTCTCTTGAATGCCTCCAAAAGTATGAAAATCCAGAAAAATGGTTCCAGGATAAGCTAGAAGTCGCCCTCTAATTCATCGCTGTCCCATTCATCCTCCTGATCATGCTGTACTAGGTACAGAAAACGCTGTAATCCACGTCTTTGCCCAGGCTCTACTTCGGCTTGGCCTTGGTTCTGCGCGGGACGAGGGTTACCATTCACGGCTTCAGCAAGGGGAGGACCTCGGTATGGTAGATCAATTTGCACGGCTTGCTGAGCTTGTTCCAGATGAGCAGGAGCTATCGCTTGCGGAGGATCAGGAGCGGCCGGAGGAGCTCGGTTGTCTCTGTTAACTACATGAGCGAATTGCCAAGCGCCATGGATTTCGTCTTCTTCATGATCAGACTCTTCGGCCCAAAAGGGGTCTTGTTGTTCTTGAACCGCTCCACCTATGCCATCGCCTTTCTCGAGCTCCCATAATCTCATGTAACATTTACTGGTCCTTTCATTAAAATGCTGGTACGGATTATTAGCAAAAAGCCAGCTGCTACACAAGTAGCAAAAATGAGTTTTGCATCTGGAGCAGATCATATGATTGCAGCCCATCGCTTTCTGGCAACGAAAATCACAAGTTGGACATTGAGCGGTGTAAAGGAACATGTAATCCTCGGTTGCCTTTTCCTCTGCTGTAAGCTCTGCAGCACGTCGCGGATAGCAGAATGCTCGAGGACCATGCCAGCCTTTTTTGCACACACGACAAAAGGCATACCCACAATCTTCACAAATCGCGACTCGCTTTTCCATGGGTGGAAGTTGATCTTCAGAGCCTAGAGGGTCAAATGCGTCTGTTTCATCTTCGTCATCTGATAACTCTAAATTGCTAGTATTCATTAAGTCTGTTGGCTTCGGAAACCGCTTTGACCGAGCGGCACCTTGGCACCATTGGCGTGGACAATACATGATAGACTTATCGGCTTCCAATTTGAGTTTCCGTTTGAGAAAGGCGTATCGTTTGACAACCTGCTGTTCGAGAGGGATTGAGAGGAGCTCCGTTGGCGTTAAAGTGAAGTCTGGCTTTCGGCTGCGTCTGGATTTTCTTCCCGCTTCTACTTCGCCATCATTGCACCGAGAGGCATGATTTGCTTCCTTCCCACAATCAAGATCAATACACTTGACGTTGTCAACATCACCCTCTTTAATGCAGGTATTGTAGAAATCTTGCAAGCATGCGACGCAGAAAACATGCGAGCAACGTTGAAGCCTATGACAAACTTGTCCTTTTTTGGGTTCCAGACAAATACCACAAACGAAAGTCTCTTGTTCGAACTTCTCTCGCTTCAAGCGGAGGTCGAACTCTAAAAGGGGAACCTTCAATTCTTCAGGAAAGACCAAAGCACTTTGCGAGTCTATGGGAAGCCCAAAGAAGGATTCCCCTGACTGTTGGAGATGGTCGATATACGAGTAAACAATTAAATTTCGACCGCACTCTTCCCACAGCCCCTTGCTTTCGTTGACCAGTCTTGATATGGCAGGTGCAGGAAGCCATTCAGGATTCGTAGATATAGCAAATGTAGGAGGTTCAGTAGCTGGGTACCGATCCGGTAAATCGATGCTCAGAAGCAGTGGAGGGAAATGCGCGACGGGATAAACGTCTACATTTACAACGTCTTTCGTAGATATTGTTTTCAGAAGGAAGCCATCCTTTTCAAAGTATTGACTTGTTAGGGTTTCAGGAGAAACTGAAGCGTCGATATGGGGTATTTCTAAAGAAGGTTTGAAGATGATTTTCGTAGAGTTTGTTGGAGAAACAGGTAAGGCTAGAGAAGCTGAGAAGGGAGCGTCCGAATTTAATTCGATCTCAGGATAGATGGCAGCGATAGAAGACAGTTCGACGGCTCTTTCGTCATCTGCGGATTCTGTGTCTATATCCATTATCACATATGTTTCCCCTTCAGCGTTTTCTTTCCCAATAATTTACCAAAGTGCTCTGCACCTATTGGGCATGGTTGGCTGGGAGGCAGTTCAGAGCTTGCTTTATTGAATTAGAGGAATGCATCAAAAAGTAGGTATGTGTCTGTTAATGCTGCAACATTTGCTTGTAGGGACTGATTATCGAAGCCTGAGACTCTCATAGTAGAGTGGGATGAGGGGCGAGTTCGGAGGGGCGGACAACAGAATAAGCTAATTAACTAGTTACGATGTAGTTAGTTATGGTGAGCGATTCGCAGTACACAAGCTGGTGGTCAGAACTCTTTTGGGAAAAGAGCGGGTGGGAGACAGGGTACATAGAAAGCGGTGGATGAAGCCGGCCAGTACGGGACCCAAGCTTCTATTTATTCTCTTGGTGATGAGGCGAGGCCATCCCCCGAATTGCCACTTTGTAAGCTTAGCACTAACTAACTAGTTGACTCTGGCATCTGCCAATGCACTCCGTACAGATCTATCTACTCCGTCCAGTTCGGCAGCGCGCTGGCTTTATGTGAACTGGCTTAGTTAGATAACTAACTAACCCGTATTACAATTCTTTCTCTGATACACAAAGCCCTTCTAATTACTTAGTCGCCTTCGCCTTCAGTCTCTTATGTTGATGCGCGACGCACCCCATAGACAGTGCTTCCCCCGAGTCTGCCTTCTGATCAATGGAGGCGAGCGAAATAGAATCGACTTTGGCTTCATTATCGCTCACTCATGTGCATTATGTGAGGCTGCCTTTTCTCATGCCTCCGTCATTGCTAATGATGCATCATCCCAGGACCCAACTGACCCAATATCCTATCTTTGCGCTTTCCTATCTCTCGTTCCGCAAGCTCTTATGATTGTATATGTTACATTAATATGGTCATCTCGGGAGATTGAGGTAATATTGATGTTTGGAGGTCAAATGATCTGCGAAGCGTTGAACTTCGTTCTAAAACGATTGATACGTCAGGAGAGGCCCCGGCGTATGTATTCGCCAGGTTCCATATTTTATAGGGCGAGAAGTGCATACGGTTGACTCTTCAATGTTTGTTTACAGGTCTCCATGGCAAAGGCTACGGCATGCCATCATCCCATTCACAGTTCGTTGCCTTCTTCGCTGTGTCCGTAACCCTGTTTCTTGTCCTTCGTCACCGCCCGTCCAGCTCGTCTTCTTTAACCAATGATTCTCCATCAACTTTTCCTCAGCGAGCTTTTTTGTCAATGTTAGTTTGCCTCGGAGCAGCGTCGGTCGCTTTCAGTCGGATATACCTAGGTTACCATACCCCTAACCAAGTTTTTGTCGGTGCTGCTGGAGGAATTTTATTTGCAGTTGCTTGGTATTTGTTTGGAATGTATCTCCGGCAATCGGGATGGCTTTCGTGGGCCCTCGAAATGAATTTATGTAAATTATTTAGACTCCGTGACCTCCTGTTGCAAGAGGATCTGGCTGAAGCCGGATGGCAGAGGTGGAAGGTAAAGCAACGGACGAACGGGAGAGCTGATGGGCGGAAAAAGCTCACTTAAGAGCGCTACAAGCTTAGAATTTTCTAGAGTAACTAGAGCATCTCAGCCATTGTGAACAAAATCACATCAACTACTTGTGCTCCCATGTTAAAACAACCTTAACACCCAAGAAGCCTCCCGGGTCAATATATTATCCGATCCTCCTAAGAGTTTGATGACCTAATCGGTGGCATCGAGATCGCGTTGACATCGGAGAACTGGCAGATATGAATGGGGATGGTTTTATGACTACTATACGTTGTGTGGATCTAGTTTCCTATAATTCTTTCTCATAGAGCCATTTTCTAACCAGAAATCGGAGGAAGGCATCCAATACCTCCGAAGATTATTAATATTGAATGATACCCAAAACTTGAACCTTTCACAGCGGGAATCCGCAAGCCGTCTGTGTCAAGAACATATTTTTCAGAATGGGTTCGGAGGATGAGACTAAGTCTGGTCATCATATTGTCCGAGCAGATGAGGTGGATCAAACAGGGACAGATATATCCCCGATGCCTGACGACCAACTCATGCCAAATCTAGTACGAGATTTCAAAGCAGAACAGTCTCGAAAACTCGAAGAAGAGTTTCCAGAATTTCCCCAGCGCCATCCAAAACCGCCAGTGCGTCCAGAGCTGAGGCCTGATGTTATTGTTCCTCCGCCGCCACTGCAACCGCCGCCGCCAACTCCATCCCCGCAAAATATAGGCCACCCCACCGATTCCCTAAGTCTGGCTCAATTACGAAAAATTGTCCAAGACTTTCCAAAGTCTGAACAGCAGCCAGTATATGCATTTCACTACGCAGATACTGAACCATTTTCAGACGAGTTGAACGAATGGTTTCAGTATACTGAAGTTGACCAGTTAATGTTACTTGGATCGAAATCATCCTTTGAGCAAAGTTGGTACCGGTTCAGCCAATCGTTATCAAAGGAGAACACGTCGGAGACTTCTTGGCTTCTCGCAAGCGAGAGCTCGAGAAGGGGTTTTATGGAGATGAACATGTCTTGTCTTTCAAAAAGCAAGGATTTGTTGTCACGAATTGAGGCTCTGGAAACTACTTGCTATCTCGTTACAGGGGTCTGGGGTCTCACTGCAGGAAAGGTTGACGAGGAATATCCTTTGGAACCTACTAAAACAGAAGCAGAAAAAACCCCAAAGAATATGTCATTACAAATTCGATGGATGGAGAAGAACGTAGATCTCTTTCGCAAGACAAATGGTATATACATAATATTCAATCACTTACAATCCGCATTTGAATTATACCAGTGAGTGGCTCGCCCCAACTCGAATATAAGCCTGTTCTACTAACAAACATGCTGCAGGACAACAGATCAAGATGATATGAAAACTTTTGGACGAGAAAATTCAGCAGCAGCTTATTTCTCTGCTCGTGATAGAGAATTGAATCTAATTCTCACTATTTTCTATTTGATCATAGAGGTTGCACGGAGAGAGGAGACCCTTCATCCAGATGCGCCGTACCTTAGGAATGCACTAGGTATTTTGCCAATGGCTGTATTTTATTTCTTTTGCTGCCGGTTTTCTAATCTAATAATAGCGGCTTTGAAGCCAAGCTACCTTGCTGTGGTAACCCGAATCATTGCTCGATTACGGTGGGAGGATGTTAGCAAAGTCCCATTGACGAGAGTATGCCAGCCATATTCCATAATAATGAATAGCACTAACCAATTTGTAAAGCTTATCCTTTTATTTTGGAAATCTATTTTGCTACTATTCGGGGGCTCCGATAGCTTGAAGCGCGCCAAAGCCTCTTTGGAGCCACAATTCGACGCAAAAGCTTCCAGTTCTAAAGCATCTTTGCCAATCCTCACAGCCTCTCCTCTTGATTACCAAACATTCCGGCAAGAAATAATGTCCAAATACCCTGCCTATAATCCTCCACCGCCATTATTTGCTTTGGAGCTTGAAAATAATTCCATTCTCCCTCCACCTCCAAATGTATCAATGCGAGTAAACCAATCAACAATATTTCCGGGGGGGTCGACCTCGTTTGGAACAGGAAACGGCTCTATTCTTAATAAATCTGTTCACATTGCAACGCCAGCCCCTTCCCCACCTCCTTCGCCTGGTGGGCCAGGAAAAAGCGGTAAAAAACAAAACTATCAGACAAATCAAAATTTCCCTTTCATGTACCCCCCGTTGGATAGCGCTAGCAATAATATTGGCGGCAAAGGCTCAAGTGGGCTTCAAGACACGTTGGTTGGTCAAAAGTGGGAAGGTGGTGATGTGCCAGCTTCAATTATCGAGGCTGGAAAGCTTTTTTCAAGTCGAACGCGCATGACGCGGTCTATTAGACAGCTCTGGGAAGCACGCGAGCAGTTTATGAAGTATGATAGAGGCTGGGATGCAGATACGGATGCGGCAAGCCTTGAACATCAAGAGAATAATGACGACAATTTGGCGGCTGGTACTAGCTGCTTATCTAAAGAGACAGATGACGAAGACGTACAACGTCGCTTGGATACTGTCGAGGATTTCTATGTATGGCCTTCTAAAGTGAGTATTAATCATGGGAACTAATGGCTTTTATAGAACCAAATATTGCCCAATCTTCAATCCGTCATCATTGTGATGTTGAAGGAAATACTAACCAATATAACAGCCGCTATTGGAACGTCTGATGGAGATCTTAGCTCAAATGACTATAAGGAAGGGTAAGATCACTTCATTGCTCCAATTCAGAAGGGTAATATACTGAGTGTAATAGACCAGTGATGAATGACGTTTTTCAGCTGCCTGCTAATGCTGAGACAAAACCATCTCATAAACTAGAGGAGCTTGGAGATCTTAGATGCCGTGAGATTAAGTCGAAAGCCATCTCTGGTGTGCTGCTGCTATTGTTGAAATGGTTTAAACGCTCCCGTACGTGAAAATGAACTATCCGTGGGAGTATAAGCTGACCATTCTGTAGATATCCTTAAAATGGAATACATGACACAACTCCTACTTGATTCTAATTATTTGCCCTTAATCTTGAAAATGTTGATACATAAAGACCTCGACAAGTCCGTTGCCCAAAAGAATGATCGGCAAAACCAAAGGTTAGAGAAACCTTTTTGCTTTTCTTGTGAACTTTGTATTGACACCATGTCACTGCAGCTTTTTCCACTTCTGTCACCTTCATTCAGATCAACCACCTGAATTTGATCCTACACCTGAGATTAGAAACCAAGAGGATAGTGAAGATGAGGCTGTTCCACCCCCAATTTCCCGTAGTCGATCTTCGCTATCGGTACTTCACTCCGGCTTTTCAAAGGAACCAGTGCCGGATCAAACGAGTCTAAAAGACGAATGTCTACCAGAAGTTAACGAATTGGGATTTCCCACAGCCCCCCTTCCCATTGCACCTATCACTGACTTTTCGTTTCGGAACTTCTTCTCGGCCATAAACTATCTCCATATAATGCAGAAAATCACTCGCGACAAAGCCCATCGCTGCCTACTTCTTGTTCAGTATAAATCTAGTGCTGTCTTGCATGCAGGCATTAAGATCCCCAACCCCGATCTCCGCTTGTACACTTTGAAACTTTTCAAATCTCAGGTCCCCTACTGCGGCCGCAAGTGGCGCCAATCTCATATGCGCATCATTACCGCGATATACTTGTACTGCCGGCCCGAGTTGCGTGATGACTGGCTAGCAGGTGCAGATATCGATGCTGAAGTGGAAAACTCACTACCGATGGAGCAAGCTTTAAGGGGGTTGACTCATTGGTGGCATATGAGGCAGTATAAGGACGCTATGGCAGTAGAAGGAGGCCAAGTATTAATGGACGAAGAAAGAGATTTCTTTTCTCGAGAACTAGAGACAATGGGCTGGGGTTTTGCCGGAGAGGAGATCTGTACAGGTACAGGTGATGACGTAAACGGTGTGGGAGTCGATGGCCGAGGTGGTGGTCTAAATGATTTTGACCCAGTGCCGTGGTAGATGGAAATTTCTTCTTTTCCCCTTACTTGGGCGTGGGTCAATGTAGGGAAACATGCATACTTATCCGTGTGGTTGTTTTTGGCTAGTTACTCCTCAGTCGTCTGCCTCACAAGGTAGTTATCCCTCAGCGATGTCGTTGTTAAGAATAAATGTGCTTTTCAGTCTTCGTCTTCAATGGCGGCTTAATGAAGCGTTTCCAAGCGCGCCACTTTAGCAAGCTCTGCTTCTCGGTTCAGGGCTTCAATTTCTGCCCTTACATATGGAATACCTTCTATCATTCTTCGTCTTGCTGTCAGTTGTTCAATTTCTCCAGGGTAATAGATCCGATCCACTCCAGCCATCTTCTCACATCCCACAACTCTACGATACAGATAATCCATGCGTGCCTTAAAGTCGTCCAGGGACATGAACAGATTTGGCGAAATGGCTACCATCATATGACCTACATCCGCAGGGCTAGACGGGTCATATGGGTTAGTGACATGCCCCGCAAATGCAGAGCCGGATAGTACGCCAGAAAGCACATCCATCATTATTGACAATGCTGAGCCTTTAGGTCCACCAACAGGAAGCATCACACCCTTCAAGGCTGACGATGGGTCCGTGGTTTGCGAGCCATCCTGGTCAAGCGCCCAATTGGGGGGTATCTGTTCGCCGCGACGAAGTGCCTTATATACCTTGCCTCGTGCAGCTACCGAAGGAGTCATGTCAAGAATGAAAGGAATGGTATCGTCACCTGCTGGCGCACCACACGCAATTGGTGACACACCCATCAGTTTTTCCTTTCCACCCCAGACGGGTAATGCGGCGGAGGAGTTGGTGAAGACCAAGCTCAGCATGTCTGCGTCAATGGCTTGCTGGACGAAAGACGCCGACATGCCGAAATGATTAGAGTGTTTCACAGAAACCATCCCAATGCCGAATTCCTTGCCAATTCGTATGGCTATTTCCATAGCTGCCTGGGCGGCGACAAAGCCGAAACCGTTTTGCCCATCGACCTGCGCTACTACTGGCGTTATGTTTCTGGTTAAGGGTGAGGCAGCGGGGTCAAGCACATCATGGCGAATACGAGCAATGTACGATGGTATTCGGTTGATGCCGTGAGAGTCCACGCCACGGAGATCCGCATCCACGAGACATTTCGCTACTAGGGCGGCATATTGGGTAGGGGTTTGATGTTTTTCCAGGAGAGTTTGGACGAACCGACGGGCCGCGGAGGCCGACACCCGAATGGATGTGGAAGAGGGCATCAAGCAACTCATTTGGGTTCAGGGCCAGCCAACGTTCAAGTGTACGAAAAACTCTGTAGAGCCGTCGTTGGGACGACAACTACGGAGTACAAGCACCCATGGCCTCTAGAATTAGTTGGTCTATTAGTTAACTAGTTAACTAAGCGGCTATCCGCGACGCGATGAGACGTGTCACTTTAAGGTTCAAATAAAACCGAGCACAGGCCTTATTGGTCATCCAAGCGCGCCGCAATCTAATCTCCAAGTCTACTCTGTACCTACATACAGGTATAGCCCCCATATGCGCTTTATAGCTACACGGAAATATCTACAAACTATGAAGTGCTCGATACTAAGGCCAGAAAGCTGTCTCATTTATGATGTATGCCCACTTAAGTGGCGTCAATACTTCCGCTTAAAAACGTTCAAAGTGTGGTCAGAGCTCAGCACAAAATGATTCTCGGCGTATTGTAAGTCTCGCATTCGCGCATCATCGGTCAAATCAAATTCAGTTCGCATGTACTTTCCACTTCTATTGCTAGTCTGTCGGCCACTGAAGAGCGGTTGGCGGCTCCGCGGGTCCACGAATTCTTACCCCGCAGACCACGCAAAGTTTAAGCTGGACGTGCCGACACCCGTAGCTTGTGCTGGAGACATATATATATATATATATATATATATATATATACTCGCGCGAGAATACAATTGCCGCTCCAAAGCAACTTTGAAACTTGTACATACATTTGAATAGTCCAAGGTCTGCTTCTGATTTTTTATCAGCTTTATTGTACCCATTGACTCAACTATGTCTCTCCCACACTGGAAAATACTCGCTCTAGAAAGAAGAGCCCAGCAGCAGGCATTGATTCCTAAAGAATGGCTGCTCACTTCTTCCATGCCATCAGATGCTGTCAACCCCAAAGACTTCATAGACTCACTGGATCTACTTAGCCAAGAGGAAAAAGCCATAACAAGCATTACAGATGCATCTGCTCTACTTGCTAAAATAGCCTCCCGTGAACTATCCAGTGAACAGGTGGCACGAGCTTTTTGCAAAAGAGCAGCAATTGCTCAACAATTAATTAAATGCTGCACAGAATTATTCTTCGATCGCGCGATTCAAGATGCAAAGGCTTTGGATGACTACCTAGAAAAAACTGGAAAGCTAAAGGGGCCATTACATGGGCTTCCAATCTCAATTAAAGACTCTTTCGACATTGAGGGATTTGATACCACCATAGGTAGGCATTCTCATCTATTTCTTGTTGAATTTGACATGTTATGATTTTGCTTTAACTTTAAGAGTAGGATGGGTCGGTCTGATTGGAAAACCTGCTCCCCGGAATGGCTGTGTGGCAGAACTGCTCCTCTCCATGGGAGCCGTGATCTACTGCAAGACTAATATTCCTCAGTCTCTTATGGTTAGTCCCATATTTACCTTCCTTAGACCAGCATTTGACTGGGAGAATAGATGTCGGATTCCTATAATCACGTCTTTGGCCAGTCTTTAAATGCATTGAACAAGAACTTGGTATCCGGTGGAAGTTCTGGCGGCGAGGGCGCTATTGTTGCTGCTCAGGCGAGCATCATTGGAATTGGAACGGATATTGGAGGGTCCATTCGAATTCCGGCAGCATTACAAGGCATATACGGCTTGATGCCATCTGCTGGGCGAATTCCTTGGGAAAAGTCCATGTAAGGCTATCGCGTGTAAGATTGGACATTTAACGCTCTCTAATTGGTTTTCTATGATAGGAGTACACAAACATACATTGTTCCTCCAGTTGCTGGGCCAATGACGACAAGTTTGAAGAGCTTGGAGTTTTTTATGGAGGAGTTCATCTCCACCGAGCCATGGAAACGAGATACAAGGGCTTTACCGATTCCATGGAGAAAGGAATTAGCCGATGTGTCGGGTCGTACATTGAAAATTGGTATCATTTTTGATGATGGAGTTGTTAAGCCGCAACCTCCTATTACCAGGGCTCTTCAAGAGGTAGCGAAAAGGTTCCGTGCCGCCGGACACGACGGTAAGGTGTATCCCGGCCACATGTAAACTGGTGCTCTAACATGATATCCAAAATAGTGCTGGAATGGGATGCGTCCTCCCATGTCCAGGGCCTCAATCTATGGTTGAAAGCCATCTTTGCGGATGGAGGAGCAGACTGCCAAAGACTCTGCAAGGTAGTTGATGAGCCTCTGATACAAGGAATGTTGGTAGGCCAGGAAAAGGATAAGCTGACACGACCTGAGCGCCAAGAGGTAAGCTATAAATACCGAGCTTATGTTGACACGGCATCGCAGATTTTTAACCAAGTACAATATATAGCTCGAAAAGCAAAAATATGAATATCGAGATGAAATTCATCGGCAATGGAGAGAATCCGGAATTGATGCCTTGATAATGCCCACAGTACCCTGGGTTGGATACCCCCCAAAGGTTTGGGTGGAAAGCAAACAGTGGCTTGGATATACTGCTATTTGGAATCTGCTCGATTATTCTGTAGCAGTCGTTCCCGTGACAAGGGCTGATGCATCCCTCGATGCTCCGGGACCTGAATGGAACAGCTATACGCCAAGGAACGAGTCTGATGCATTTAACCATAAACAATGTAAGCATGGGGAGAAGGAAAACTGTGAAAGTATAGCTAACTTGAAAAAAAATAGATAACATTAACCTGGTTAAAAACATCCCTATCGGCGTTCAGATTGTCACTGGCCGTTTTGGCGAAGAAAAAGCCATTGCAGTGGCAAAGGTTTTGGCGCAATTACAATAAATTTTGACCTTCAAGAACATCTTTAACTAGCAGCTTAGAAAAATAGATCATCTAGGGTTTAGAAGTATAGTGAGCTCTATGTGTTCTTCAATGAAAATTCCTTCAGTTGGAATCGAGATGATTGTCTCGAGCGGATATCTGCCTAAGTCACGGCTGCAATGCTAGGGCCCATAGAGTATATGGTTAATTTACTTCGTACGCAGCCCTGCATACTCCATACAATCTAAATCCTGGGTTTACTCCCTGTGACTTCCCCCGTTTGTTTTGTATGCTAAGCCCAAGCCACATAGTATTTATAAAATGACACTGTCATTACGCCGGGAAGGGGAGTTGTCGTATACTCCGTAGAGAGTATTTAAATACTTGATAAAATGCCTAATAGCAGTAAAAACCATAGTTTTTAAAAATGGCCTCTCGGTGAAAAAGTCACAAGTATGTTTAGGAAAGAGGGAAGCTCATCGAGAAATTAGGAGCAAGGTAAGTTTTCAAGTTCTTCGAGAGGTTGGCTTACAACTATTGACGGAACACAAGGATGCTTATGCACAAGTGTCTGGGTATGAACCACTTCTCTGTATTCTCGACTCTCTTGCTTTGCTTCAACTGTCGATTCTGCGAGATCAATTGATTGAACATTGGGTTCTATAATCCCACGGAGACGGCCTTCCATATATTGAACAAGTAAACCAACACGACCACTTCCACCCCAGTAGCCGGCTGGGCATGTCCTTGTTTCGGAGTGTTGTAAGAGGTCACACATGCGATTGAATCCTCGTTGACAGTCATGACAGTAAAAGATATAAGTACCCTGGTCAGATCCCTGTGAAATGTGATCTGCCGCTAGTCTCCGAACGGTTGCGCCTGTTATCCCGGAGGAACAACGGTTAGACTCAAAATGACCGTACAGCGCTGAGAGCACTGGGAATTGAAAACTACAGCCATAGCAATGTACTCCACGTGGCCGGTGTATGAAAGCATGCTAAGAACCAGTCAGTCAACCCCACTCAGCTCATTCTTTTATTTGTTGGAAGAATTTAAATACTTACTACTGTAAGCTGGTGCTGGTTGTTAAAATAGTCACCACAGGTGACGCACATGTAATGTCTAGACGTATTGTGTTGCTTTAGACCCTCAACAGAAGGCGCGAACCATTGACAAGGCTCACAATACAAGTGAAACTGATCAAGATGTTTTTGAAGGCCCGTAAAAGAGTCAAAATCTGTTCGATATCGACATAGATAGCAAGGGTGGTGATTCAATGACTCGTTAATATGACGAGTATACTCAGGCCGGCTGCTAAAGAGAAGCTGACATCTATGACAGCAGAATGGCTGGAACGAACTGCTCACTGTATTTTGAGACATTGGTTTTGAAGCTGAATAGAATAGCGAGTATAAAACAAAAGGTGGCTCAAAAAATTTTCGAATTATATGCACAACGTAGTGAGGCCTGATTGTGCAGGCCCATACATATTGGAAAAGCGAGTGACAGAAGATGACAAATAAGTAGCAGTGAAAAAGGAGGTCCATAAAACTTGAGAAAAGTTTATGGGAAAAGCACTCTGTACAATGTGACAGAGATGACAGACGAACAGGGAATTGACGGAGAATTCCTATACAAAAGCCTGTCGTGTAGCGATGGTTCCAAACTCAGATATACTGCAGCATTGCAAAAATAAAGAAAGAAGACACACTCTTGGACTCTGAGACCAACGAGTACCGAGCTGGTTATACCATGTGTTCTTGCCAGTGACAAGAAGATGGAATTTAGATCCAGAGCGAAGTATGCTCTCGGCTCTTGGAAGGAACAATAAGTCCCGCTACCAAACGGTACGCATGATGTAGGTTCTGGTGTATTAAAAACATTCCCACGAAGGCCCCTGTAATGAGTTGAAGAAATCTGAAATCTAACCAGTACATGCGTAGCGGTCATTGCGCCATTCTCATGTGCCTATCAGACAAAGAAAAGGTCCAACTATGAGCAAAGCAGTTTACCAAATGAAGCCCCGGAGAATAGTCGAATGATATCTACCAACGGACTTGAACTGGTTCTTCTTTTTTTTGCTCTGTGGATAGAGGTTGAAACATCAGAAACCCCATTGGACAAGATATCAGTCACGTGGCTATGCAAAAACCTTCTTATATAAGCAGATGGCTGAAACTTTTGTTTATCAAAATCAAAATTTCTACTGCTTGAATCGAAGCTCTTCGGATAACATTGTCAATGCGCTTTTACGCTAGACCAAAACTTGGATAAAACTAAAGTTATGGCGTCCGATGAGATTGTATGGCAGGTAATCAACCAGCAGTTTTGCTCTTTCAAGTTGAAGTGAGTTTCCAGCCTAAAATCCAAGGTGATGCGCTTCGGCTTTTCGAGTAAGCTTTCGTTAAGCAACTGTCTAATACCTCTTGCATAGAACCACCAAGGGCCAGAACTTTTGTCGTAACGAACACAACGTCACTGGACTTTGTAATCGCCAGTCATGCCCCCTTGCGAATTCACGCTATGCCACCGTACGCTCCGATCCTGCAACAGGCGCAATGTACCTCTATATGAAGACAATTGAACGTGCACATATGCCCAGTAAGCTGTGGGAGCGGATACGCCTACCCTCAAATTACACTAAGGCACTGGAACAAATCGATGAGCGACTGATATACTGGCCGAAATTTTTAATTCACAAATGCAAGCAGCGTCTGACTCGCCTCACACAGGTTGGGATTCGGATGAAAAAGCTAGTGAAGGAGGAAGAGCGCTTAGGAGAAAAGCTGGTACCGAAACTAGCTCCCAAAATTAGACATAGAGAGGCCACCAGAGAGCGGAAAGCGGAGGCCGCCGCAAAGGTTGAAAGAGCAATTGAAAGGGAACTTATCGAACGTCTAAGAAGTGGTGCCTACGGTGACAGACCATTGAATGTGGAGGAAAATATCTGGAAAAAAGTACTGAGAGGATTGGAACGCCAGGGAGATGGTGAGCGTGATGAAGACCTGGACGAGGGTATTGAGGAGGACTTAGAAGAGGAAGGGGAGGAAGAAGGAGTTGGTGAGGTAGAATATGTCAGTGATTTTGATGAAGATGAAGACCTAGAAGACATTGAGGATTGGATTGGCCATGGCAGCGGAGATGACAGTTTTGACGAAGATGACGAGGGAGAGAGTGACAGTGAAGAAGGCAGTTCTGAGGAGAACGAGGACAGTAGTGGTGATACACAACAAACGATGTCTGCTCCTAGACCTAAAAGGAAACGTGGGGCGCCGGTACCTACTCCGCGCAAGAAAGGCGCCCGTATTGAGATAGAATACGAGACTGAAGGACCGGTACAGGGGAGTGTTTTTGCATGATGCTTATCGGATAGAATAAAAGTATTTGATGTGTTTGGCGCTGGGCATTGGTACAGCATGGCATTCTATGAGGGGCAATTTATCTAGTTTACTCCGTGGCTCTATAATTTTGACAGTTTTTTTATTCCATACAATTGTCTGAAATGTACGCAGTAATAATCCTTGATGCTATTGACATATTAGTTGCCTGCTTGTATACTGATTGCATCAACTTCCGCCTTCCATTGTATAGGCTTTTTTTAAAAGGCAAATACAAAACCAAAGCGAATGCATGTTGTAGAGTAAATTTTTGAAAAACAAGTGCCCCTTCGAGTCTACACCAGGTAAGGCAGAACATCGCTTCTATGTCAAAATCTTGTGTACAACTAGTCCTTGTATGCATTTTTGTAATTCAAACTAAGCACTGTTAATAGTCACTACAGATTCTGATCAACCTGGTTCATGGAAGCATCAGCTCTTTGGGTACATGGAGGCCAACGCAGGCCCCAACCACCCCTAACCATAATAGCAAGTATGTGTGTATTGTCGGCATTGTGTCTCCACTCACGCTTTTTAGAGCATTTGCTGTGTTACACGGGTGAATGAAATATACCGGAACGCCTGATATAGGGTGGTTCTAATATTGGTGTAAGTCTTGATTCGAGTTGTCTATTTTAGAAAACGTACAGTCAGGCTAATTCCGCCCATAATCCCTACCTGCTGCAAACCAGACATGTAGGTAGAGGGAACAAGGCAGTTGTATATTATCTCTAGCTGATTAGAACTAGCGATTGGAGTTCCACGAAGAAAGAAGTATAGAACGGGGACTTCATAAGTTGGCGAAAGCAGAATGTTGTATTCGACCTCAACCTGGCCAAATTTGGAGGACGTTGGCGGTCTTAAAAACGCTTCCTGATTCGCTGTAGTTAGTTTTAGAAATAGAAATTCAAGAATGATTTGCCAACAGGGTCACCGTCGCTGTCATCCAGCCCGATGATATCCTTCTCGGAGTTCTCCTCATCCATCAACTGCTTTTCTAGCTCCGTGGCTGCAGCTCCGTCCAATTTTTTGGAGACCGATAAGATGGGTATTCCATCCTACAAATACAAGACGGGCGCAAACTTATATTAGCAATTATACATGAAAATCGGTGCGGGTGTGTACCTGTTCATCGTGCTGGATTTTGAGCCAGCCAAGTTTCGACGGGTCTCGCTGGAATGCGTGAACACGGCCTAAGAACGAGGAGCAGATGGAACGGAACTGGTCAAGCGATAGGCTGGGAAACGATGGCAATGACTCAGGCGCCATCAGCAGAGAATAAGATCCTCATGGCGGGCGGCTTGCGTGAAGATGGATTGGCGGGGGTAGACAGCTTAATGTCACGTTCTAGTTTCATCCCCAAGTTCCGACCCAGCCAACTCTCCTTCATTCATTTCACCTTTACTACGACTCTCCCTATTCGGATGAGCATTGGAGGTTCGCAGCTTTTTTCAATCAATCTTCATCGTCTTGCTCAAACGACTCTTCCTCTCCCCTCACCTCGACGCCTCTGGCCTGTAGGGCCGCGCCTTCAGGCTCTGACTGTACCCAGTTTAAAGCCGTCCTTGACAGCACAGTTCGCCTGGGCCGAGCATCCAAGCAAATCCCCAGCCTAGATAACGACTACAATGTCCTCCTACTTCTCGTCCTTCACCTCCTCGAGTGCAATATCTAACCTCAGCACCCGTTTCACATCTCTCCGGCGCGCCTTATCTGCAAGTGACGAGAACGATGACCCAGACAATGAAGATAACTCCCACATCTCCCATGTTCTACGCGGATACTACACTGAAAAAGGCCGTCCTTTTCCTCCCTGGCTTCCCCCAGACCCAAAATCCCCGCAGCGCCCACCTCCCACCGTTGCGACACAGCCGTCCTTTCAAGGTTATGGTAGTCGGCCCAACGCTGCAGCTGGCCGCGGCGGCGGGCGCGGGGGTCTAGGCGACCTTTGGGGCGACTCCGCAACCCCTTCCGCGCCCTCGCAGCCGCAGACTTCAAGCCTTCGACTTGGAAGGGGGGCTGGTCCAGCACAAGCGCCCGGATTCAAACCATCTGCGTCGAGTTTACCTGGTCGCCCTTCGCCGGCGAATACCCCCCGTCATCCTTTCGATCGAACCCAATCATCTTTCACAAGACCCCCTGGCGGCCCAGGAGGAACTGGCGGAGCGAGACCGCTTCCAAGCCAAATGGCCGGCTCGTATCAGGCATCTCAAGCTGCGCAGCGGCCTGTTCCGGATCGTACGCTCTCCGCCGCTTCGGCTCAGGAGAGACTGAGAGCGAGATTACATGGAGGTGGTAGCGGGGCCAGTAGCCCTGGAGGATATGGCAGCGTTTCACCGTCCGGAAATCCGTCACGAAGTCCAATGAGAGGCCCTCGCTGATCGTACTCTATAATTTTAACAGCGATGCCCACCGTTGGAGTTCAAACTATTGATTCAATACTGCATATAGCGATTTGGCGGCTTTGTTATTGTATTTCACATTGGGTGCTCCGCATTGCATCGTTATTGCCCACCTGTTTATCGGGCTAACCACTTGCACATGAATGTCGCCTAAGCTTTATTATCTCTTCGATTTCACTGTATATTATGTACATACATATTTAATTTAATGCAGGGAATCCGGGTTGCAGGGATGGAGTCAAGACTGTATCAACACACTTACGGGGAGGGCACTGTCTCCAACATTTTTCTCTATCATTATTCATTGAAGTAATACAACTCTAATTTCACGCTTAGAAGGCATCTTAGCATCCCACCCCATGTAGTTCTAAATCAAGCAAGTCCAACCACGCCCCAGTATCCCCCAGAGACGCCCAACTATCATGCATACATTTATACCAGAATGAGTTTATCCCCTAACTTTGCGATAATTAGGAGGACTCCAGGTCCTGCTAATGAATTTGACGGCCCAAACAGGGACTAAAGATATGGCGCATACAACTGCCACTCTCCAAACCCAGCTCACGGTAATAACATATTTCAAATCAAAATAATCTCCCAAAAATGGTACACTGGCAGCATACACAAGTGCAGTGCCGACAATGCAGAGAATCATTGTAGGATGCCATGTAGTAATCGATATTGCAACCATAGCAAGTTCGTTCAATACCAGTGCGGTGAAAGAGACACTGATCAATCTGGGTCCAGAGGTGGCGTCGACAAGAATTTGAGAAAAGCCCTGGATAACAGACCCCTGGTACACCGACACTAGAACCCAAGTGAAAAAGGATCGGTAGCTGAGACTTCGGCCTGATTTGAGCTCTTTATACAACTCAGGATAGAGATTAGCGAGCTCCTCGTCCACATCGCGGTCTAGTACAAGAGAGAAAACGGGTGCATTCGTATATACAGTGGCGTATCCGACGAGCAGCCAGTTAATAAAGAGACCCTTTGGCTCGAAATGCTTGGCGATACTGTAAATGGTCTGGCACGCGCTGATAATCAGGCCGCGATGCATAATGAACTGTGCTAACTTGGCGGACCTTTTATAGGAATTGCGGCCGTGCCAGACAAGGAGTTTGGTAAGATGGTGAAATTGTGTAATGCTGAAGTCAGCTGCAAGTGAGGCTTGACGGCCTTCTTTGCCGACAATGCCTATTCCGACGTCTGCCGCCTGGATCATAGACACATCGTTGCCGCCATCCCCAATGCAGCACACCCGCTTGTTGGTATGTTGTCTGATAAGAAGAGCAACTTCTGCCTTCTGGGTTGGGGAACAACGACAAGCAATAACCGTGGGTAGCATAACCGCAGTAGAGATAAATGAGGAACGGAACTGGCTTAGCATCATAGTCAACGACTCTCCATCGATGAGCAAGCAGGCTTCAGGTTTGTTTCGCAGGAAATCAAGAACTTCCTGTGCTGACTCCGGGCCCTTCAATTTCGAGACAGTGTGAATGGGTTGTCCGCGCGATACTAGCCTTGAAGAAACGGCAACGCATCGAGCTGTCTCAATTTTATCGCCTGTGAGCATCCATATTTTCACACCAGCATTTCGCAGAAGCTCGAGGGACGGCTTTACATCCTTTTGAAGCTTATCTTCAACGCCAGTTACTCCAAGAAGTTCCAGATCGCATTCAAGGTAGCTCCGAATGACTCTGGCCATAAGAGAGTCCCTCGAAGTCAAAGATAGTGACGCTTGTTTGTAATGGGCGGAAAAGTCTTCGTATCGTTCCTCTGTGAGACTTTTCCGCCCAACCACCAACGTTCTCAAACCTTCCCGGGCCATATTTGCTGTTTCTTCCTCAAGCCAGTCATTAGCTGCAACTATCGAAGACATAACGGTATCGGCACCCTTTTGAAAGAACCAGATTTCGCCTTGTGACTGTTCTGGTTCCTGTCCGTGAACAAATTTCACGACGATTCCCATTCTTTTGCTGTCTGAAGTAAACGGGAAAATATCTAGGATATCAGCTTTCACTACAATGTCCCCGGATTCTATTGAGCGAAGGAGTATTTTTTGCCTATCACGATACGCTAGTTGAACACCAACGTCTTCGGCATATTTGACAATCGCTATCTCATCTGGGGAAGAGGCTTGGTAGGTGGTGACCTGTTGTCCATCTTTTTCTTCCGATGTCGGCGTAACGTTATGGCATATAGCAAGAGCCATGATCAAGTCTCTCACTCGAGAGCTAATTTCTCGGCGTGTTCGCGTAGTTCCGGTGTTACCCGCTTGGAGTGCTTTCAAAGATGACGGTGTGACAAAGACTTTCGAATCGGCTTGATTTGATAATGGGGACGAGGAAAACCCCTGGCGAACATACGCTGCGACTTCCTCCATCGCCTCATTAGCGTACGACACGGTTCCAACGTGTATCTTTTTCAGTTCCATCTCTAATAGCTATTAGCGTATCAAGACAAAGTCTTTGATTCAGGAAAAGGACAAACCATTTTGTGTTAATGTGCCCGTTTTATCAGAAAGAAGATACTCTATTCTCCCGAGATCTTCTGGAATTGTGCTGGTTCTGACAATTGTATCAGGAATTCCTTTATCTCGTTCAATAAATCTTCCATAAACAGACTTCGCCATATCAAGATTAACTCGTAAGCTCATTGGGATGATGGTTGAGAACAAAATAAGATAAATCATGATGGCAATATACCATTTCTTGTCATTTGTGGGCTGAAACCCTTCAAGCGCAACAAGGACGATGGATAAGGAGAGAGTAAGGACACAAAGTATTTTTGTCAAACTGTTGATCTCGTATTCAAGCAGTCCAACTTTAGAGCGAGACGGTGATGTAGACAACGCTGATCGTGTCTCGGAGCCTGTATATATAACGACTGCAAGCGTCACAGTATTTGAAGCAAGGACTGTATTTCCCCATGCAGTGTTATCGATAGTCAGGGGCGCAGATTGGGATTCAATGGATTTTGAGGGTGCATTACTATTTTCAGGAGAACCACCAGTTTCAGGTGCAGAATCATATGATGCAGGAACGGCAGGCGAGAGGACTAATTTTCCAACAAAACCATTGACGCTCTTTTCAGGAGGTCCTGCAGTAATATGAATTCTATAAAATTCCGATAAGGGCAAATTCTGGGTAAGAGGAGAGGCAACCCGCAATTTCCAGTCGGTTTCTCCATCTAATTGATCTGTACGAATGAATGTATCCACAGAGTCGTTGCTTTCGATGGTGGACCGATTTTCCGACCGAGCATCTACTCGGTTATAATCACTAGAATGTTGTTTTGAACCAGAAGATGCTGGTGGCTCATTATGTAGGGACTTCAGTATTACGACGTCGGCTGGTAGACGTTTATCCTTTCGAATTTTTAGGATATCGCCTACTTTGAGATCCTTGGACTTTTTGGTGGTCTCAAAAGGGGCCCCCGTATTGCCACTGTGTGCTTCCCCGGAAACTGACCGATTATTTTTACGCTGTGGGCTGAGGTCGAATGTCAACACGGTATAGTTCTCAGAGTTTGCCTCGGCATCTCTTCTCCGGCGGGCGATGTCATCCAGGGCTTCCTTGCCTAGGGAGATGGTTACCACAAAGGCTAGTGGCGCAATGTAAGATGACATATAACCGATTCGTAGCACTGGTATGATTTGTGAAAGGGCAACGAGAAGAAAGTAAATGTTGAAGAAAAAAGAGAATTCGTTATATAAAGTACGAGGGAGGAAACTCCAAGGCGTATATTTCGCATTCGATATAGCGTTGATGGGGTACCGGAAGTTTTGTCGCTGACCAACCAAAATCACGCGGCTGGGCTTTGGCTTTAAGGAGCCAGGTGCACCTAAGACACTGCTACTATCCCGCGCCGCAGGTTGTCTCCTTGATCCCGCAAACCGCAATTTTGATCGCAGACGCGCGAAAAAGCCAACAACAGGAGAAGAGAGACCCGGAGATTGCCGCGCTTGGCCGGCCATTTCAAGAAGTGGAACGTTGTCATCTGCGTAGCTTGAGTCGGCTTGAGACGATATATGGCCCTCCTCATCATGGTCATGAAGCAAAGCGCCTAAATCATCTTGCGAATGTTGTCCTATTGTTTCCCGGTTATGGTCTTTCGGGTAGTTTCGCGTGGTGGCGCGGATATTTCTGAGTGCAATTCCTGGATTAGACCAACGACTATCCGCCTCCTTATGATACGCATAGTCCAGGCTGCGCCGCGGCCTCGATGCACCGGCCCCAAGTTCCTCTAGGTCAAGGTCGTCGTCATCAGAGTTCGAAAGCAAAGAGGGGCTTCTCGAGTTAAGTGGACGGTGGGAGCTAGAAGGCATTATGCCGACAGAATGTCGTTATCGCAGGAGTAAGGACTCTGTATTCATATTATGTTCCGGTCTTACAAGACCTTTGCTGTCGTTTAGAAGAACTCCAAAAATGGTAGGGCGATGAATGCTAACATGCTCGCTGGTTTTGTAGCGGCCTGTAGAGAGAGAGTTGATCGGAGTCGACCGTATGCAGTGCAGGCAGTGGTGGCTCATTTCGCTGTTTGATGGCTGCTCCGCAACACTCGATGAATCGACGTCTTCACAAGCACCATCCACGTGATCCCAGCGGTTGTGGCAATGTAACTATGATGCTCCGAGACACGCCCGCCCATCTCCAGGTGGTTCGTCGACCTTGCGCCTATTTCTACTTCTTCTACGAGAAAACAAGTAAGATAACGGCACGCATTGACAAGGCCTGCGCCGCTCCCCATACAATTCCTCCGTCGGTGCCGTTTGGCTACGGCCCGCTGTTTTGATGTTTAGCTGGCCAGTTTCGGCCCGCCGTTGTTCCGCGCCTCGTCACTAACAGCCGTCAAGCTGTTGAATCTTTTGAACCTGCAAGGTGTCTGCTTTTCCCGCCGCGGCACGGTAAGGACATTGCACATCATGGCTTTGTTTTTGTTGTTTCCGTTTTAATCTTTTTTTGGCATTAACGTGTTCGCAGAAGCGGCATTCTCCTTCCTTGCTTAGTTACCTTAATCCTGCATTTGCCTCCTTTCCATCTCGAGAGCCCTCCTGTCGCAGAATCGTCTCTCGATGGCGGAGAAGCCACCGCCGGGCTATAACAATAGCCCACTCGGAGACACGCTTCGACTGGGGTCGTGGAACCCAGCACACCGACCCGATTGCGACTACGGCCAACAACAGAAGGAAACGCCCGGTTCGCTCCTTGCCGTTCAAGCACCAGAGTCGCTTTCAGGCCCAGCGATAGAGCCTGAACAAAAAGTTTGCGGTCTACCACTCCATTCATCTAAGGAGACGAACGATGATGGTGGAATGGTAGAACTTACGCCGGACCACTCTGAAGATGCTACTCCTTTTCCTAATGGTATCGCAGGCCAGAGGTGTGCCCCCTGGGAGAACCTTGAGACTCGGTCTAAAAGTACGACGAATCCAGCGATTAATGACTCTCTAATCGATTCGGTTACGGGATCGGACGTTAAAACTAGAACAAACTCTTTCCCTGACGTTCACATCGACTCTCAGAAAATGGTCTTGCAACCAGAGGAATGTGATGAGACTGTGAACCATTCCGCTGGTAATGAGACCGTCAGTAGCGAGTGTCAACTTCATACTGGGCCTACTATAGGCGCAAATAGTCCCTCTAAAGCCGATACTTGGGGTGATGCGTTCACGAATTCCGACGATGCAGATTTCTTCACGCAAATAAGCTCCCAGACAAACCCAGTATACATTCCTCCTGAATCTGAATCTCGATTTGACGAGGGTGTCCCGCTTGTGAGCAACATCGATGTTCGACAGGAGGATAACCCTCCGCACGCGATTGAGTCGTTTTTCGCCCAAGATGATCCCGCTGGTGACGCGGACTTTTTTAGCTCACAGAAACCATGTCCTGGTGTGAATCGTCCCTTAGAATTTCAGCGTAAATCGACATCGGATGTCCTTCAACAATTTAGTGCTGAAAATGAACCTCCTTCCAATGTCGCCATTAGTACTGTTACCTCACCCTCAACAGCTGTAGCTCATGAGCACAGCTCGCCACTGGAACTGACGAATACTCCTAACGTCGAGGTTGGAGAGGAGGAATTGGCAGAGAGGTGGAAGGCATTACTGGAGGATGATGATATGCTAATAGATGATGATAATGCGCCAGTTGACGAAGTCGGTACCATGCCAATTGCCGCAACGCGGCCGGACCTTACTACGCCACAAAGATCCAATATTTATACCCCTCATCAGCCTTCAACGTCCGAGATAGTTGGTGACTTACCAGCCGCAGAGTATTTTCCAAGCCAGGCATCAACAGCATCAACGGTTGAAAGCTTCTCTAACCGATCGAAGGCCGGATATCAATCCCCGTACGACCTACCATTTGACATTCGCCCAAAACATACTGCCGTTCGCGCAGCTCCACGCCCTATTGGTATTGATGCACCTCCGAGCAGCATTTCAATGTCGGGACAACCTCCACAAAGCTCATCTTTCATACCACCGCCTCCGGTAGGGACTGGGTATCCGCCTGCAGCAGGTCCACCACCACCTACCGTTCATACCACTCCACCTCCAAGTCGAGAGCCCATCAGGGCTGGCAGCTTTTTTGAAGAACTTCCTCCAGTATCGAGATCGCAGCCGCCTACCCGAGACCGATATAATCCCCAAGCCAATAATACCACCCCACAGACTATTAGCGCTCATTCAGCTCCTACCCCATCGTTTCAAGAGCCAAAAATCGATCCCTATTCCAAGTTCCAACTCCAGCCTCCGACCCGTTTGGACCCCTATTCGACCCTCTCAGCTCCCCCCTCGCAGGCCCAAACGCCATCCTCTTCCCGTTACTCTCCCCGGCCTCCCCAGCCTTCAACTAAATCTATTCCATACCCACGATATTCCCCAGCACCACCGCAACCCCCTACCGCACCGGTACCCCCATCATATGTCTCGCAGTCACCTAACGTGCACACATCTGTAAATACGCTTCCATTCCAGCCACGAACATCCAGCCCGTTGGCTCATAATGAACCCTCCAAATCTCAATTTTCCCCACCACGTAAGCAAGACTCCTTTCCGAACCCTGCCGCCTCTTCATTGCATTCTCGCATTCCCCAGGCTGCGTCAGATTCACAAATAATACCTCCTAAGAGATCTATGACCCAATCCCCTGGAAAAATGGCACCCTTTCAGAGTAATGGAGGGCCGATGCACAAAAGGCCAGCTTCCGCTCATGGTCCCAGGTTGCCAGTACAACACGCGCCGTTTCATCAGGTTTCCACACCGGGTGTTCATAATAACGTATTGGATGTGATAGAACCCACTGACGGTCAAGAAAATGATCCTTTGGGTCGTTGGAAAGGGGCCCCAATTTTTAAATTCGGGTTTGGTGGGACCGTAATTAGTACTTTCCCAAGGTATATTCCGAGATATGCGACCGGCCAGATCAACCCCCGGATGAAACCCAATCCTGGAGACCTCAAAACCCACTCTGCTGCACAATTTTTGACTGAAGACGAATCATCTACCAAGTTTCCTGGGCCTCTTAAAAGCAAATCAAAGAAAAAAGAGGTTCTGATCTGGCTATCTGCTATGATATCTTCTTTGGAAAACAATCTTCCAACGATCCACCCAAACCTCCATCCCATGGAAGAGCATCGTGAAGATACGAACATACTTTGGAAAGTAGTGAAAGTCTTAGTCGAACACGATGGGGTTCTGGGGGGTGCTGCAGCGGAAGCTAGCCTCCAGAGTGTTTTTCATCCAAATCTTAATGACTCCAAAGTGACAATACCCGGTCTTAGCTCTCAGGTTGTCCAGTCGACTTCTAGTTACTCTGCTACCGGCCAGTTGCGCGCTGAACCTACCGGTGGTTTAGGAGTTGATGCCATCTACAACAATCTCGTTGCTGGCGATAGGGAGAAAGCAGTCTGGGATGCGGTTGATCGTCGTCTTTGGGGCCACGCAATGCTAATTTCATCTACGATGGAAAAATCCGTATGGGGCCAGGTCGTTCGCGAATTTATTCGCCGCGAGGTTCGGTCGCTAGGACAAAATACGGTGTCCTTATCTGCTTTATATGAGGTGTTTGCGGGCAATTTTGAGGAGAGCATTGACGAACTTGTGCCTCCATCTGCACGGGCTGGGCTACAGATGGTAAGTATGCATGCGGGCCCTGGACCTACTAAAAATGCTCTTGAAGGCTTGAATAAATGGAGGGACACGGTGAACTTGATACTCAAAAACAGAAGCAGTCAGGATCACCAGGCTTTACTGGCACTGGGCAAGTTGCTTGCATCCTATGGACGAGTTGCAGCATCGCATGTTTGTTGTCTGATTGCAGGAACAACAGCCGGACCCATATTTGGGGGTATTAATGACCCACAAGCAAATGTCGTTCTCCTTGGAGCAGATCATTGGCGACACCCATCTACCTTTATGGTAGATCCATATGCCTACATGCTAACAGAGGTATACGAATTTGCAACATCGGTGCTAGCTGCTTCGCCGTCCCCAATATTACCTCACCTTCAGCCATTCAAGCTCCAGCATGCGGCCTCACTAATTGAGCACGGACACAAGGCCGAAGCACAACAGTATTGCGAGATAATTACCGCAAATGTTGCCTCAAGATCTGCCGTGAAATCGCCATATTATCACCAACATTTCATCACCATGCTTGACGAACTATCCTATCGTCTAAGACAAGCCCCGACGGATGGTTCATCTTCTTGGATGTCGAAACCTAGTATGGAGAAAGTGTCTGGGTCAATGTGGGCAAAGTTTAATAGCTTTGTTGCTGGTGATGACAACGAGATATCTAATGGAGCTGGAAAAGCGGGCGACGGCGATATTGGCCCCTTTGCCAAGATTACGGGAACTCCCCCTGTTAGCAGACCACCGTCCGTTGCCGAGACGTATGGGTCATATTTTCCTCAAGCCCAGGCTATTCCTACAACGACGAGCTCTCGATATGCCCCAAATAGCCAATATGCCCCTTATTCGTCTCCGGAGCAATCTTATGGCCGTCGATCCTTCGAGACGCAGCCCTCGCCTGGAGGCACCTTGGGCAGATCCTATTCACATAAACGACGTTCTCAAGACCCTTCAACACCGCTCGAAAATACTTCTGTTTCAGTTCTCTCAAGTAGTATCTACTCGCCACCCACCGGCTTAGGTGCCACTGCTACGTCTTCGATTTCGCCGTACGCACCGCTTGCTCCTGTTGAAGAAAGACATTCTCCCCTTATCCAGTCTCCTACCAGTGAAATTCCAGCCATGATGCAAAATTCCACTGGTAGTTTTGGAATAATCCAAACACCACCAGATCAATCATTAGTAGAACACCAGGGTATAAATGGTGAGCAGATTAGTTATCAGCCACCCACCTACGATCCTCCCTCTTTAAGTACTGGGTATGAACCTCCTTCGTACACGCCTTATTCTCCTGAAGAAGAGAATCCGGATCAGGAAGCAAAACCGAGGCAGTCCTTCATGGATGGTGACAGTGACGGTGACGGTGGGTTTATGGCTCGGGCAAACAAGCTGGCAGAAAAGGCACGATTCGATCGCGAAGCTGCCGAGGCAGTCAAAAGAGCAGCTGAAGAAGATGGTAAGTGCCTTTAATATTTTATATACTATAACTAATTCTTTAATAGCTAAACGACCTGCGGCTTCAGAGAAGAAAGGCTGGTTTACTGGCTGGTTTGGGAAGAAAGAAAATCCCAACTCTAGCGGTCCTGTTCGAGCAGACCTGGGTGATGACAATTCCTTCTACTTCGATAAAGAGTTGAATAGATGGGTTAATAAGAATGACCCCGGGGGCGCCACAGCAGTGGCGGCACCTCCACCTCCGCCAAAAGGATCTACATTGTTAAGTCAATCCGCAAGCACTACACAAACACCAACAACACCTGCACCCCCGAATGGCCGACCAGGCCCTTCTCCAATTCCTGGAGGCGTGGGTTCCGCGCCTTCTACAGGCATAATGCAACTTCCAACACCGCCGTTAGTCTCTATGCCCCCCCCCTCAGGAAGTCCCCGCTCTATTCCAAGGTCTGTCTCTGCTGGTGCCCCAACCGGACCACCATCGCGACCTGGTACATCATTAAGCACTGCTAGCTCTATTGATGATCTCCTTGGGCCTCCACAGCCTCGAAAGGCGGGAACCCTAAAAGCAAAAAAGAAGGGCCGTGGCTATATCGATGTAATGGCAAAATGAACATGTGTTCATGTTTTCATCGAATCTCATGATTTATGATATGAAGGATTGATGTAAACTGTGGCCCTCTCCTTTTGGTCTTGCGTTATTTTACATGCAATTTGTTCTTTGGCGTCCAGCTGCATAGTCCTGACTAGTCCTGACTTTCAGGGAACGAGTAGTCAACAGACCTGCTTGATTTGCACATTTAACTAAAAATGTCGCTTTCTAACCTGATTTTTTTAATACACTGGTCGCCACTTGGATAAGAGTGTATTTCGATGAACCCCTTTTGTGCATCTTCATCCCTGTTGTTCTTCCTATGCCCCTTGGTAGATCCATCGGGGTTTGCATATACTGTTTCAAATACCTCCATGGATATTTATTTCATTGGGGTCTCCTGCTTACCCTTAGACCTGTTGTTTCCTTCGCCCCACCTTCATTCCGCCTCGATTTGGCATTATTCAGCGGTTTTCTAATATATGGTATTATAGAAATTTACGAGCTGCGCTCGTTTCTGAATTGATGTATTTTTAATGGTTCCATGGTAGATAATTTCCAATTTTTTTGTTTTTGAGAATGAGGGTAACGTAACGGTCCGAAAAGTCAGTTGATTACAATGCCGTTTACTCCCCAAAGCACTGGGGTCCTAGTATGGAGTACCAGGACTGGGTCAGCTGTCTGCAAAGCCAGGGAATGTATGGTTGGGTTTACGAAATAGATTCTTTACCCCCTACGGAGTATAAGAATTGATGTAATACTAGATTTTGGAGTATTTAGCAAATGTTGTCAACGAGTTGGGAGAATAAAGACTTACAGTCAAGCACGAGTTGTTATCGTTGCAAGTGGCAGTGAGATATACATATAAAATTAAGGCAGTGTTATCGAGAAAACCTACAACTGAAAATCAGCTATGCATCGTTGGTTTCCAGCATAGAACTCACACGCAACGACCTTCGGGCTCAATCGTCCAACACTCAACACCCGACCCCAGTCTTTGCCGTCAATTCTTACACTAGCCCAGCCCTCCTCATTCTGCCCATTCTCTCCTCCAAGCGCCCTCATACGCTCGCTAGGGGCCTCTATCTCTTGGCCATGGAGCGTGGTGTCTATTTCGGGATTCGCCAATCCTGTCCACAAGCTAGAAACCCTTAGAGAATCAGTCGCAATGCCTAATTTCAGGGAACCATGCTTGTTTGCACTGAGTTCGAGCTTCGGGTTAGAGCTAACACCGCCAACTAAACCAGTGGTACTAGTTCGCATCGTATCCATAGCTAGTTTATTGAATCGTTCCGAGATGCTTTTGAGTTGAATTAAACTAGGTAGCACAATGTTAACGTCTGGGTCGCGGCAACGCGGCTCATGAAGCGTTTCCACGACCGTTGGGTGTAGTATGCGCACTGGGACTTCTTGAGTAACAAGTGTTTCCCTCTCGCGAGATTCGATTTGGATCCCTTCCTGCCTGGTGGGGTCTGACGACTGGTCCGCAGAAACGCCTAAGGCATTTTTGTCGGATATCCAGGAAGAAGTCACGACTGTTAGGGATAGCAGAGGTTGTGCTCCTTTTTTAGTCAAGCGTAAGCTAGATGAGCTCGCGTCTCCCGCCGATTTGAGGGCTCTATGGAGGGCCGCAATTGGAACTTCCAGATTGATAACATTAGCAGCAGCCGACATCGAGTAGAAATCAAAGATCGCGTCCTAGATATCTCGATTCAGCGACATACTTGAATGTGAACTTCCAAGCACATAAGCGGAAGTATAGGGGAGCAACCCACATACAATTGGAAGGTGTGCCCATACTTGGGAGCCTTGGTCTGGAATGACAGTAAATCGTACCAGTTCCTTTTCAAGTTGTACCCAACATAATTTTCCCAGAGACGACAGTGACGCAGTGAACTCTGGAAAAGGGTCAGCATGTACATACACATACATGTCAGTTGGGTAGCGTACTCGTAAATGTGCCGATATTCGTTAATTGGCTGCGGAACCTCATTATTAAAATTCATCACTGAGAATTTTTGGGATCGTAAGCCAACAATAAGACTGTGTTCATAGATACTCCGTAAAGGCTATCCACCCGTTGTCAGCCTTGTCTGTATGGATTCAAGTCGCGTCATTACAAGTTAGCCGCTTAGTAAGCAGACGCGCCCGCACGTGACAGCGTGTTGCCCTCCTCGAGAAGAAGCGGGCTGAGGGACCTACGCGACAGACAACACGTAGCAAAAGGATTACCGCTCCGTGATGTGCTGTGTTTTGGGAACAACCAGACATTCCCAACGCAATTCTTGCTGGTGGCAATGATAGATATTTAAGGTTTGGTCTGTGCGTGGCGCCCTTCTAACGAAGCGCTAGAGCCGAATCGGCTAGCCTGTCAACTCTATTTGCACCGTGTCGGGCTCTGAGCTGAGCTAACTAGTTAAGCTAGCTTAATCGTTCGATGTCGTTTGTCCTCTTCTCCTTCGCCTCGTTAATCGCCGGTTCCTCAGCTGCAAAGGCGATTTTGTACACCAACTTCTCTGAACATTCCACTCGCTTGCTCCTCTTTTTTCTCTCTTTTAAGTCCTGTTCTCATGTATTCTTCCACCCTGAGACTTTTGCACCAACATCTTTTTCCCGACATTCTCTTGTTACATATATTTTACACCCTGGACGTATCTTGATACCTACGCTCTCTACAGTAATTTTACTTGTTTCACTATCGTTTAAGACACAGTTATATCGCTGCACTCCATTCTTCGAAGTCCGACAGTTTGCTCGAATCGGACCGCCCACCTGAGAATCGCTTTTGTGACCGCAGATAATAATTGATTGGTCCACGACCCTTGCCACTCGCTTTCCCGTCTTTGACAAGGCACCCCGATATACACCCCGCGATGCGCTTCTCCCAAATCGAAAATGGCTGAGTCTTCATTTAGGCCGTTAATGACGGCCCTGTGTCCAACTACAACCATCTTCAGAACCCGATCACCGTCTCCCAGACGACCTCGATCACCAGACAGAAGAAATCAATTTCCATCTGTAGATCTTGATCCTTTACTATCGAACTTGTCACCTCAGTCTACGCTAAAGGCCCTTTCGGCTACTACCGCCGTTCCATCGGACAGACTCGACCCCTCCAATGCATTAGCAACAAGCATTGCTAACGTATCAACTGTCGAGCGTGCCTTCGGAATAAAAGCTGCCCTGGCAGCACAGAAACTAAGAGAATGGTATACCGAAGTTTTGACCTGGGATTGGCCCTCCGACCAAGAAGCTAGCTTAGGAAAAGGCTTTTTCCCTTCGCATGCGGCTTCAGAAGACAGGCTTGCCGCCAACGAGGCTCAAAATCCATATATCGGCTACCTTCCTATCGAAGCTATCGCTCACTATGAACGCAGGATAGAAGATATTAGGGATAATATAGATGCCTTGGATGTTGAAGTATTAAAAGAACATGTTCTAAACGTTCATATAGCGTCCCGTTCCCGGCCTATATCATCTCAAAGTGCAGCGCAAATTGAGATAAAACCGCTATCCTATGTGCAGCTAAGCGATTTTACTACTATTATCACTGCAACAATTCTTCAGGCTCTTCCAATCCTATCGAGATTAAACAGTCTGTTGTCTACTTGGGATATCCGACTTAGCGTCCTGCGGCAAATACCGAGCTTGCTCCATCAATTAAAAGAGGTCAGATTAGCTATCGATACTGCCCTAATTCGCCTTTCGATGGGCATGTTGCCCGATAATAATGATTGGCCATTTTCTCAAGACCTCCTTGCTATCGCCCGCCAAAAGTTAGAGAGAAAGGTCACAAGCTTAGGAAGACAAATCGACCGCATACTTGATGAGCTTGAAGGCCGCTCTGACTCTCTACCCGAAAGCTGGATTGATGATATGGAGAAAATTGAAGCAGACTTTGCCACTTGGATAGCACAGGTACAAAATATATCCCTCAAAAATGACTGGCAACTTCCTGTGTCGCCTTCCGAGTCTGAACGGACACTTTTACCTGAACCTAGTTTCACTTCTAACAACAACACATCTTTGCCTTCCCAAACACCAACAACAGCTCCCTCAAGGGCCCAAAATTTTGCAGTAGAAAGCTCAGCGAATCTTCCATTTATAAGTCCAGCCAAATTTGCCCAGCCATCTAACCCTCGCCAGGTGCAAAACCTGCCCTCGAACATAAGCTCAAGCGCAGAAGCTCGTATTAACGTGGATATAAGACCTGTCATCCAATTAGATAATGACAATCTCCGCTCCCAGATGGCTGAAAATCAGAATTTTCTCACCACTACTCCGCAAATGGAAGTACAACAAGCATCGCCCATATCACAGCCACCGAAAACAAATGAAGGAAAAACTTTCGAAACCTTGGCATCGATTGAAAAACAATGTCCCAGGAGTATCAAAGGTGGGCTCGTCTCGCCGTTGCTCGCATCGCCACCTTTGAAGGCAAGAGTCAATGGCACTCAAACCTGTTACGCTCCAGAGAATCCAGCACCGGCCGATTCCTCCCAAAGTGTGGTCAGACCAAATGGACAACATCATAAAATTGAAAACTCTTACTCGTCAGATAGAAAGCTGATTGAAACTCCACCCACTGTTTCTCATTTTGCACAAGGACACCAAGAAAAGTGCAGCTCATCGGCCGACCACCGTATTGACATCGTTTCTCCTATGAGAAACGATTATTTTACTTCTAGCCCCCACGGCCCTCTACCAAAAAGTACCTGTCAAGAATTCGCCAATGAACTATCAGCACCCAGAAATTTACCAAAGAATCTCGTAAACCAATCGCCCTGTGAAGAGCCAATTGACCGACCCCTCACAAGCAGATCTTCAAGGGACTCTTATAGCTTAACTGAAGAGAGCTGTTGCGGCATGGGCTCTGATGATCTTTCGTCGATTCCACACGGCTCACCGAATTTCATAAGCAGCCCTCCAGATTCTACAACATCTGTACACGAAACTCCAAGCCCACCCTGCCCTGGGTCGCCATGCTTTCCAGACCCCGATGGCTTATTTATCCCCCCCGATTCCCCCAACGCTTCCATATCATCGCCTGCCTCGATGTTAATATCATCCACACCGTATCTGATGCGCTGTAAGTCACCAGAGGACCAGTTGGAGGAAAAGATTAGTTCCATACTCACTACCATTCCCGCACGAATTCACCTCGGATACACCCCGGTTACCAATTCATCTAAGCCTGCGGTAGACCACCATCCGCAAACTGTGCCACGATCAAGTCAAGGCCGGCCACGTCCATCCGTACCTCCACGGCCTGTTACCCCCACCCCCACTTTAACTCTCACACCGGCATATGACCGTCTCAAGCGACGGCATGCTCGATCAGAGAATGAAAACCCCGTAAGATTGTATCATCTTTATCGTGGCGAAAAGCAACCCCCTTTAAAGCTGTTTGTGCGTGCAGTAGGCGAGGAGGGAGAACGAGTCATGGTGCGTGTTGGAGGTGGTTGGGCAGACCTTGCTGAATACCTTAGAGAATATGTAATGCATCATGGACGACGACGAATGTCTGAAAGCAAGCTGGAGGTCCAAGAGATACCCACTAACTCTCCCCACCGTTCTCCCGGTAGAATACCGGACACTGGGCGCACTACTCCAATTTCCCGACCAAGCTCGGCGTTTGACATTCGGCCGTCACCCCCGCTCGCCATTCGAAAAACCAGACAACCGAATACCTCTTCAGCGCCGCGTCCGTCTTTGACTGTTGCCAATGTTGAAAAAGCATCCAGAGCAGCCGGAGGGTCTCTTCTTTTTCCACATCGTCGCCTCTCTGTATCTTCTTCCACGTCAATCTTTTCTAACTCGACACCACTTGGACTCGCTGGCCCGACTCCTAAATCGAGAAATATTTCCATGAGCCCTGAGAGCGAGGCATGGGTAGAGGACATGATGGGTCAAGCCCGGAAGACATCTGCAACTTTACGCTCGAAATTATCGACAGGGTCATTGCGTGGCTATCGTCCGTCCCCCATGGCTGAGCCCATTCCACAGCTGAAGGGAAGACTAGATCCAAATTTTCGAAGAGTGAGTGATTTTGCAAGCCATCCGAGCAGTGGTGGCGGCCCTTCGAATAAACGTGTTTTCCTCAAAGGTCTCAATAAAGGAAAAGTTTGAAATTTTTCTATACATTTTACTCTTGATTTTGCCTGTCCACATTTTTCTTGCCGATGTCGGAGCATATCATACCTTCCTTTTGGCGTTCCAGGCAGCTAAAATACATATGAGTCATGTATAACTGGTCAGCTCCCCGCCTTTGCATACTTCTTTAGCCATATTCTATCTTGACATAGCATGGCCAAGTGATCAGATTACGTACCAGTCGTATCTCGATCTTTATTTGCTGCTGACATCTTACTTTATAAATGTATATACCCATACATATGCAAGGGTGTTATGTTGTTCGATGCTCCCCCCCTCTTTTAGTATTCATATTCATGTGATACTGTTGTTGCGGGTCATTCTTGTGAGCTTTATGTCTGGATTACTTCTATTTACGTTCTATACGAGACTTGATTGAATAAATAGCCTGGAAATATGGAATAACCTCGGTACCAAGAAAAAGGCTGTGTAAATTGTAGCCTTTCTGCAATAGAATGAATATTAACTACATAGAGTTACGACCAAAGTATTATACAATCCAGATTTCAAATCAGTACGCTTCCTTTATGGCAAAATTCCAGTATTCATGTAATGAAAAAAATGAACATAGCAAGAGCAAAAACGTTCCTTACGTCGATCTGGGTCCTTGGTTTATACTCCGCTCATCCTTCTTGATACGATAGAAGTCCTTACTTAATAACTTCCGAAGCAATGGCGAAATGACTTGCCCTGCTTCAACAGGCTCTTTGGGGGGCTGGTCACCAATAGATGTACACCCAGGGCGATTTTGAACACCAGTTGCCGAAGCTGAAGGTTGCTGTCTTTCACAAGGTGGTGGAGAAGATACCTGCGCCAGTTGTGAAGATTGTTTTTGTTTTTGGGATTGAGTTTCCGGGCTCGTCCGGTCGGGTTTTCGTTGACGGACGGGCACGCTGGGGAAATTATATTGTTTGTCGATCGTTTCGACTTTCTTCTGGAAGTGTTGGAATAATGCTTCGGCTCTGCTGAGGATTTGTATAAGATCTATGGTATTGGAGAGTTCATTCACTACAGGAGGCTTTCAGTTAGCTTTTAGTTTGGAAAATTAACAAATAGGGGCAATTTACCATATTTAAGAATTTCATCAAAATGGTGTAGATGTGCGATTATAACATCCCGATGTTTTTCCAAGATAGCAAGAGCAATGAATATATGAAAGCTACTGGAGAGAAAGTCGGTCCAGAGAGCTTCCCATAGACGTAAGATATCTACCCATTCAAACTCGCGCTTGAACCAAACAAGGAACATGCGAAAAAAGAAGAAGAAATTTGTGCTCTCAGCTTTCTGAAGATGAAGATAGAGCTCCGGATCCATGAGTTGAACAAGCTGATCTAGGGTAAGCAATTGTTCACGCATGCCAGACTGATCGCGTAGGAAATTTCGCTCCTATGATATTGTTAGAGCTATTATGCGACAGAGACGGAAGACTTTAGGGTGGAGAACATACCATGCGATCCATAAAGCCAACAAAGGCCCAGAATGCAACTGCATCGTCTTGCATGACAGCATATATTGGAGCAAGGAGGTCACTCATACCCTGGACATAACCCAGGTCACGATTATATTCATTATACGTCAGGAGCATGTCCTTCATCTGCTCTAGGTGAACGTTCGTCCCCGTTTCAGCGAAAGGAGAATCTGGGTCTGGATGAGGGATGTCCTCTCCTGCAAAAAGTGGTATTGTCCGGTCTGTACGATGGACATCCTTTTCTGTGGAATGACCCGCCGGTGGCGGTATTCGTTAGCTTTCAGTCAATGCAAGAGGGCCCTTAATGCTACCTACCAATTCTATTTTTTTGCTCTTTCCACCATTCATAGTCCTCGCTCGTGGATGCGCCCTCTACCATACGCTCCCACCAGCCTCCTTTCAGCCGCACGTACTCGTCCCTTTTCGAATTCATTACGGCATTTCGTTCATCTCGACTGCTATCCCATGAATATACTCCTAGGAGGAACAGCCAAGCTTCTTTCCGTACACCGTCATTGGCGTCCAACCCGCCATGGAAGATTCGCTCTTTTGCTTCATTGACAGTTATTTGCAGCCGGCCAGTTGTAGAGTCAAACCAGCTCTTCCATTCTTCTTTAGAGACAATCTTTCGCTTATCACTGATTGTCATATTAGCTGCTTCCATATTCAATATTTCAAACTCTCCGACCGATGTGTCCTCCATGGCCAACACATCCTTTGCTGTCCATATTCTCTGGTTCCTTTCACGGTCACTTTGTTCAGAGATTCCCATTGCCCACCGTGCCAGGTATATTCTTGCACTATCAAATTCATCTTGGAGAGTTTGGACTTCCGGGTTTATCATTAAACGCCGCACCTGCGGTGGCAGCTTAGGGTGATCAGCCAAGTCCTGTGCTGTTCGTCTAGTGAATGTTGTGATTTTGCTGAGTTGCTCCAGAACCTTCCACCGGGTTTCCTTGAGGGCTTTTGTTATTGGGTCCATCTCCGCCTCCCTTTGTGGTTGTGTTGTGACGCCAGCGTTGGATGGGGTTTTGACAGCTTTGTCAACCTTTGGTAAATGGCCAAACGATGTCTTATCTTCTTCGGAGGGGTTGATCAAATACACGTTTGGATCTGCACCAGAGCGATATACCTCGACATATCTCTTGAGCCACCGCAAGACCTCATCCCCTCCCCAGAACATGTGTCCATCTTCGAACGGATTGAAGCTTTCCTTAGTTCGTTTCTTTTTCTGCAAAATAGTGGACTCGCATTCAGAGTCATGGAAGAACAAAGCAGCGGAGCTATCGCCTGCTTTTGTATTGATAACCAAGCTCCCAAACCACCAGCCCAGGCTGGGAGGGCGTACGAGTAAGGAGTAAATTTGCGAGAGAGGAACCGCAAACGCGTAGAGACCAATGGAGTCAGTATGGGCTGTTGTGGTCGGCAACGGTGGTACAAGGTATGATTGGCGTGGAGGAGATGAGCCTTCGGCTAGGTCGACTTTCACGTAGGTAGTGTAGGCGTCTCCCAGAGACGATTCAGGTACCCAAGCGAGTAGATATGAAGACGCATCAGCAGCGCTCAAGGGGGACGCCGCGGCAGACGCGTTTTCGCCCTCGACTGGAGCTGACTTTGCCTGGATAAGAGCAATGAAGCCTGGTATATTGTCTTTGAATGACGGGGTGGGGTGGACGTAGACCTGGGTATTCTGGAGTCAGGTTTTTGTACGAAACAATAAATGAGAGGATGGGTTGAATAGACCTTGCTTTTGGAGAATAGCAGCTTCACTCCCCTCCCTGTCTTGGTATGCGTCACCGTGCTATATTCTCCCTCTTCATTATCGCTGATATCGTAGAATGAAGCGGACGGCGAGGGTGGGGATGGCGGAGGGGTGAACTGGGTGGAACGGCCAGCCATGGCCAGGCTGGCGGAGACGCTGAGAAACCCTCTGCAGATAGAATAATAGAGATGGACTAGTGATGCAGGATCAAGGGCTGCTGAATCATGCAACAAGGAAGCCTGCGGTGCTTGTTCAATGTCGGAGATGCGGGATGGATGGAGTGACGTAGTTAACTAACTAGTTAGTTAACCACGACTTTAATGATAAGGCGGTTTTGCTTCAACACCACGACGGATAACAAAATCAAGGAGCCATACAATATTTGTCGCTGGTCATCGGCATGTTATGTTGTACTGCGTACTAATAGAAATGGGAGGGGGGCACGTCCTCCAGCCTAGCCGCCACCTTAGGCGCACTTCAATCAAGGCAGCAGCATTCAGGGGGACTCAGAAGCTGCGGTACATCCAGGGTAACTAGCTTACAGCGACGGTAGTGTGCCTCTCTTTTAATGTGGCCATTGGCCCTTAATACAGATTCTATAGGCATCTGCCAACCCATCCACACCCTATGCTAAACTAGCAGGCAGATGCTATCTTTAAACATCTAATCCAGAGAATGGTGCTATCCAAGGTATGGAGTAGATCATGTCAACCCGTTGATCAATCGTTATACTAGGTAAAGCTGTATTTTATGGGCTGATATAATAGCTGTATGATTTCATTAGCCCTAAGCCGAGCTTGGGACCTACTCTTCTATATTTTTGAGTGCTATGTAGGATAACAAGTACGGAGTAGTTCTCCTAAAGCGACAGCTGCTCTAGAATTCTCCCCTCTTTGGCAGCGTCTAGTGAGCCAGCAGATTTAATAAAACCACAAGTCTTTTACTGAAATTTTGCTTCTGTATGGGGTGATAGCCCCCAACTCACCCCGTCTGTCCAACATCGGAAGGTTAATAGTGTGCAACAAGACCGAATGGCGTTAGAATTGGTTTAAGGGAAAGCCAAAATAGCGGGGAGGCTGACGTAGTTCTGTGGGAGGAATAGTGAGTGGACATGTTTATAGTTTTTTGAGGGACCGCTATCAAGAAGGCTCGGAACGGTGGTGCGTGACTATCCCGTGAGAGGGCATATGTATGCACTCTGCGTGGAGTATAAGTGCAATTGAATGGATTGAATGTGTTGCAAAAAGGGTTGTGCTAGCAGTCATTGGTGTCCTTGGGGTCGTTCAAGGGCATCCATACGAATGGAAGCCGGATCGAAAGGGGCTTTCTTTTCTTTTGAGTATAACGCCGACCCCCTACGGAGCAGACGTGGCAGTTATGTCAGTCCCGGTACAGTGATTGGTAAGACTGGCAGTTCTGGCCTTTGCAACGATCCAGCAACAGGGTTGCCAAGTACAGAGAAGAATATGCCTGGCCGAACGGCCGATACGGAGCCTGAGGACTGCTGGCGAGTCTGTTCATGAGTAAGGGGAAGTCTTGGCCGTGTGGCGCCGGCGAGCACGAGGGCAGCGATGTGGCTTCATGGTGGGCCTTCATGATCAAGCTGAGGAATCTCTTGTGCGGGAAGAGCGAGATGGAGCAACGGCCGCTTAGCTAGTTAGCTCGCGAGTGGCCGTCCGTCCAGTCCAATTCGAAGTATATAGCGAATGCCACGGGTTGCCATCGCGAAGGATGCGCGGGAGCGACACAGCCAGAGAGTACAGACCCACCGAGCACCGCACTGCAGCCGCTGTTAGCTAACGAGTTATGTAACTAACTGACCAGAAGAAGGGGAGAAAGGATAGCCACGTCGGGAGTTAGCCGCCTTGGAGCGTGGGCAACGGCGATGGTTACATAGGACGGGGAGAAGAGGATCAACGCGAAACAACGACGTCGGCCAGCAGGATCCACGGCACTCTCGCGATCACACTCTCTACCATCGTTCTGATTATTATTATTATTGCTGCCGATACCACGCCCTCTGTGCGCTGCAACGACCCAAAAGCTTCATCCTTCGCCCTCCAGCCCCCACTCGCGCGCTGCCCGCGGGGGTTCTCGAGGCCTGCGAGGCTGTGCGGCAGCCAACACTGCCCGCCCGGCCACCACCGCCAGCCATGCAGGCAACTCATAGTTGGTTAACCTGTTCTGCAGGCGCTGGATATTCATAGCTCGCGACGTCGCACGGCCTGCAGCCCCCGGCCTCGTCTCGTCTCTGCAGCCGCCGCCGCCGCTGCCGCCCGCCCTCCCTCCCTCCCTCGTCGCGGCGATCCGTCAGTCGCAGGCAATCCTCCGTGGCTCTAACGACGGCCGTGGCGCGGCGGCCAGCAGCCCCCAAAGCAAAGCCCACCCCTGCGTCTGATCCAGCAATAACTCCGTCTTGATGCGGAGAATTAACCCGCCCGCGCTGCTTGCCATCCTGGCCCGCCCCGGGACCGCGCGCTGGCTGACTGGCTGTCTGTCTGGCTGGTGTCCTGGCCCGCCTACGTCGGCTGGCCCCGCCGGCTCCCCCTGTCCTCAGACATAATACTAATATGTATCATCCGGAGCTGTGCCCTGCAACCGGCCCTCTGCGACTGTGGCCGTGACTCGCTTCTGTACGCGCTGGTCTGTTGTTCTATTCTTGCCGCTGCCCTTGCGAGACCCGACATCCAGCCCGCCATCATGCCCGCCGGTGAGTTATCAAATCACAGCGCAGACCTGAACGAGCTGCTGTGTGACCCCCTCCAGCCGCTGCTGTGTCTATCGTCCTCTCTCCTCCTCTGTCCTGCTTCTTTCATACCTTGCTCGGCTGCTTTCTCTGTCAAAAAGTGACTTCGCTGAAGCTTTCCACCCCTCCCTCGCAGCCTCACTTCTCTTCCCATTGAAAACCGTGTGTGTGTAGTTTTATGTGTATAGTTTTATGTCGATAAAGATATCGGCAGTTTGCTGTCAGTTTGTCATTTTGATTGGTTATTTATATTTGAACTTCTACCGCGCGGCTGAGAGCGGTTGATACGCTGCAGACTAACATGTGGCCCTCTACAGGAACTTCTGAGTGTGTTTCGACGGACTGATTCAATAGAATGCCCTGTCCGGCTTATCTACCACAATCTTCTCTTCACCCTGGTTGCCAACTGGACAACATCTTCACAAAGAAACAAGAGATCCCTCGTCCCGCCGCATGGTCTGACAAACACCGCTCCCATTCATATCAAAGCCCGCCGAGGAGACCAGGGAAACCGTCCTCTCGAGCTTCAAAGAGCCCGAAGAAAAGTCCCATCTCAAATGTCGAAATCATAAAATCAATCTGGCAGGCAAATATGCCTGCACTTCATTCAAACGCCCCTATCAACATGACGCCTAATTACTTCCATAGCATCGACAGTCGAAATACCAACGCTAAATTTCACCCATACACGATGAGTTTGTATCAAGGCCATACCAAGCACCCTGAGGCTCTACACGAAGACCGGCGGAGTTCTCCAGAGTACATATCGACCGTTTCCAGATACCAACCACCCACGATACCTACTGAAAGCTTGTTGGAAAGGAAAGTGTCAAAACTCAAGACGGAGGAAATACACCTGTCAAAAATTAGCACTGGCCCCGTCTCCCCCCTCTCTACCTTGGACGACCAAGCATATCCTGCCACTCCGAAACTCAACATTATTGCTACCACTCCTGCCCCAGCAGCCATCGTTTCTCCCCTTTCCGCGGGCTCGTCACAACAATTCCAGTCTTTCGCTACTAATATCTCCCCGCCCCCTGCCCACGGGAACTTTCAAAGCTCTCCACATCCGGATTCTGGATTCGCATCGGCGTCATTAACGAAAGAATGGAGTGAGGGATGGACACCGAAGGTTTCCTCCTTCTCTAGATCTAGTACTGAGCGGCCCCGACAAACACGCTTTCCGGATGGTAGAGCCGATGGCGCTTTGGATTCCGGACGATATGATCTTATATGTCCTGTTGTGGCTGGCGTTTTTGATGAAAAAAGTCCACGCTTAAAACGAAACCCGACTTTCCGAAAACAACTCTCGATAAACGAATCAAAAATGAAACCTTTGCCTCCGGCCCCAGATATCTCGATCATTCCAAAAGCGCTTCGCCAGAAGTTCACGAAATCCGGACCACTGGCGCTACCACATTCTCCAGAGCGAATATTTCTCCCCCAGAAACCAGAAGCTTCCGATCTATACAGCCTTGATGAAGCATTTCGGCGATCTGGCCTCCTTGAAAATGATTCCAGCAGCTTCCCTTGTTCCCCTTTACATCACGCCACAATGGAATTGGAGAGGCAACTGTCTCAAATGTCATCTAGTACCCCATATATGAATCCCGTGCTATCAGAGCTTTCTCCCAGATATTCCAAACTAAGCATGGGTGGATCTTCGGCCTTACTCAAAGAAAATTCACATGCCCAGTCTCCAGAAATTTTGTCGCAACATCCAGATCCCCTACCAACACAATCCTGGCTGGATCTAGAACCTACTGAGTCTAAATCGTACCGGGGCAGTACTCTTTCTCCTCAGGAAACCTGTGCGTCGCTCGTCAACCAACAAAATTTAAAGCATCACCATTCCTTCGACACATTCTTTGATACCCCACGACCCTCACATTCTCGAAGTGTATCTCTCCAGGACAGCCCTTCTTTCACCACCGAACAGTCTCGGAAAACATTGTCTCCGAAGTCCAGGACCCATGGGGACAAGCGCCCTCGTGTACGGTTACCACGTATGAGAAGTGTTGATCTCCCCTTCGGAGCACGGGAGCTTGCTAATCTCAGTGTTGTCGTTGAGTCTCCCTCGGAAGGTGAATGTCCCCGTACTGAAGATATTAAAGACTGTGTTGTACGTACAAGAAAAGAGCACCCTGGGGGGGATCTGAGCGGTTTCAGGATAGAGTCACCTGATTTCTGTATACCAGAGAACCATACACCAATAATACAAAGCCCAGAATCACAGGTACCCCTATTTTCACATCTACTTGACGTGTATACCGCATCGTGTACTCCTACTAGGACTTCCAGGGACTATGGACAAGTGGTGAATGATATACCTGCGGTAGCAGCAGAAGAAATTGTTCTTCAGATTCTCCGTAGCGTGGATACCCTGGAAGACCTGTTCAGCCTTGCTGTGCTCAATTCGGCATTCTATAGCATATTTAAGAAAAATGAGCTTCCTCTTATCAAGCGAATTATGTTTCGCGTATCGCCATCTGCTTGGGAATTACGGGAGATGAGCATACCATGGGAAGATGATGACTTTGATGTTGGACCTGTTGACAGGCCAGTGCCGGAGTACACACCTAATCTCTATCTTCGCCATTATATGCGAGATCTTTGCACCATGGTTTCTTTGAAGTGGCTGATCCTCGTGCGGTGCGAACATTTCCTTCGACCGGAAACTGTCCGTGCTTTAGCTGGACAGGATGAAAAACGTTCTGCCGAACTCGACGATGCCTTCTGGAGGGTCTGGACCTTTTGCCGACTTTTTGGCTGCGGGAAAGGTCGCGAGGAAGACATCACTACCCAGGCAGACTGGCTGAGTGGCGGTAGCCATGCCCGGTCAAACAATCGAGGGTCGAGTGCCGTACTAACATCTCCCTTGATTGGTGATGAGGTTCCTTTCCTCCTTCCCGATGGGTTTGCGAGAGGGAATGAAGGAGGCTTGACTGCAACACAATTGTATGATATGATGGAAATATGGACATGTTTAGGCGTTCTGATTCAGGCCTTTCATGGGAAGAATAGCGAAGCTCGCCAATATGGCGTTTTTGATGATCTGGATGTTGACCCGGGCACGATGGAGGAAGATGCTATGCTTGGTAAGTTCGGACTTTCATCTTTACCTTGATTTTTCTTCACAATATACTAACAGCAGGTAGAATGCTGGACCCAATATTTATTGACACTTGGACCTTCGGCTATCCTCACGCTTTGCAACCTCAACCCGGATACGCCAATCGAAGATATGTTTTCTAGGGCCCAATCATTAGGCTGGACGCAATGGACCAGTCCAACGAAAGCAAAAAGCGGATCCAACCGGTCCTTTCTCAAAGAAGCGGTTTCTCGTGTTCACGAAAACCAGCTTGTAAGAGAAGAAGGCCGCACACAATGCATCACGACTCATGCTCCCTCGGGCCTATCGCTGGAGGTGCCGCCGTATAGCCCAAAGCAAAGAGTGCGGTCGTACTCCGCTGGCACAAGAATTCCTAAACAACGACGCAAAGAATTTGCCATTGAGATTCGTCAAAAGAGGCAAGACAACGAAAAACCGACGCAGCGATTGGTTCCGGCCGTGGAGGAAAGGCCCACTTCAAATTTTGAACAAGTCATACAGCAGCTAGATGGGACACAACACCAATTTCTATCAGGACACTCTGCTTTTTACAACTATCCTTATCCCGCTCCAGAACGTAGGTCGGCACCTCCGCTCTATCCCCAAGCCATCATCACTGCAGCACCTGCTGAAGCCGAAGAAAAAATCCCTGTACACGACCATCACACCTCGGTTCTTCATCAAAAATACTCTCACATCCCGCCTCCCGGATTCATCGACCCGGCTGACCGGGCTCTGCACAAGCTCGTTCACGAATTAGGATTTAACGAATCAGACGCAAAATGGGCCTTGAAGTGCACTGACACGGGTGAATCTGTGGATGTTGAAGCCGCCATTAACCTGCTGCTTCCGAATATCGATACCAACCCTGCTGGAAGCTATGGGAATGTACTAGTTCACTCGCCACCACTGGCGCCGTCATCGCGCCCGGTATCCTATTGTCTGCGGAGTGATGCACGGCTTATGAACAGGCTGAGTATGGGCGATACTGAGCAGATCCAGAGGCCCCCATGGAGGTGGGCGTGATTGTATGTACATACATATTTATTCTTTATTATTGTTTAGAAATTTTTTAGCGGGCATTTTTTCTTTTTTTAATGTGTACTTTTACATTGTCAAACTTTTGCCTATTTTGGGAGTATCTGCTTGTCATTCGAGATACTATTCTTTACATACTTTTTTCCATTTTTTCCTATAGCACAGGATTACTTACCAAGTTACAATGTTCAAAACAAACTTTTCGGGGTATATTATAGCCATCAGAGCTGAATGTGCATACACAAAAGACGATTCGGAGCGATGCTTGGGGTCGCCATGACGTGTTTAAAAAGCAACCCTGTCAGCTAAACCATCGAGCTCCCGATCAAAATTTCTCCCTTGATAGATCTGATGGAAGAATTTTCCCAAGAAGTGGCTCCCTTCCTTTAGCATCCTCATCCCTTCAACCATGCCCTCCGGCTCGTGAAATTTCCCGCTTGTCACGACTCCATACGACTCTACCAGCTTTCCATCAGTGGCGTCTGCAATTTCCACTTCCGGAACCGCACTCAAAGCCTGCGCTACAAGGTTGACGGCTTCCCCTGTAGCACCAATGGGCTTAAGATGCCCAAAAGATTCCGCAATCCAGTGCCTGATCCGACCGATCTGGCCCATGTTCTTGATGTGTGAGCCGCCTGGGATGAAGGTGGCATCAAACAGGGTTGAGTATTGGGCGTCGTAGTGATGGTCGGGTATGACGCCTTTGTCACTTTCTGGGTCTTCATGGTCAGCGATGATGGCTTGACGCTTGGTGCCGATGACGAAGGGCAGTGCGCCGGACGCTTTGATTGCTGCCTTTGCAGAGACAAATGCGATAGGATCATAGCCATCGCCGATGAGGATAGCAATGCGGCGAGACTTGATAGTTGGATTACTAGCATATTTCTTGTTTAGCTCTGCTTGACTAACGTTGGTGGCCGTTTTGCCCAAGTTTGGTCGGTCTGTCTTGTGTGGTGATGGAACTCCGACTTTAGCGGCAACAGACTGAGCAAGGTCAAGGTCAATTTCAGTGAGACGCTCCACGAGACGACTGTAGACGACCGGGTCGTCACAGTGATCGAGCTCGAATGAAAAAGATTTTTGAATATGGAGTTTCTCATGGTCACTTAGGGAGTTATAGAACATTTGGGCCTGGTTGATATGCTCGAGGAATTTCTTATTTAAGATACGGGTTTTGATCCCGGATATCTTTTCTGGAAATGAGGTAAAGCTGTGCTCATTGAAGCCGGTGGGGGGTACAGCATCGAACCTATTAGGCCAGTAGTTTACAGTGCCCTGAGTAATCCGATGGCGCATCTGTCCATCTCTGTTATGGTTCATCACAGGACATACGGGTCTGTTGATGGGGAGTTCTTCCCAGTTTACCCCAAGACGAGATATTTGAGTGTCAAAGTAAGAAAAATTGCGCCCCTGAAGAAGCGGATCGTTTGAAAAGTCGATACCAGGAACAAGGTGGCTTGTGCAAAATGCGACTTGTTCAGTCTGAGGGAAAAACTCGTCAACATTGCGATTCAGTTCAAGCTCGCCAATCCATCGAATAGGGACGAGATCTTCAGGCCATATCTTGGTGGCATCAAGAATATCGAAGTCGAATGCATGCTCTTTTGCTTCAGGGATTAGCTGAAGCCCAAGTTGCCATTTCGGGTACATTTTATTATCAATGGCTTCCATAAGGTCCTTGCGATGGAAGTCGGGATCTTGACCGCAAATCTTGAGACTTTCATCCCACACAAGTGAGTGAACACCAAGTTCTGGCATCCAATGAAACTTGACAAAGGTTCGTGTTCCAACATGGTTAACCAGAACATAAGTATTGACGCCAAACCCTTGCATCATGCGGAAGGACCGGGGAATAGCACGATCAGACATTGCCCACATGAACATATGAGTGGCTTCTGGGTGTAAATAAACAAAATCCCAAAAATTATTATGGGCAGTTTGTCCTTGGGGCACCTCATTTTGGGGTTCTGGCTTCATGGCGTGAACTGATTTGCACTTAGAATGTCTGCTGCCAAAGCACTTTGGTTATATCACATACCAAAATCGGGGAACTTAACAGCGTCTTGAATAAAAAACACTGGAACGTTATTTCCAACAAGGTCCCAATTTCCTTCCTCCGTGTAGAACTTGACCGCAAACCCCCGGACATCACGGACAGTGTCAGCACTCCCCCGGCTGCCTTGGACTGTTGAAAACCGAACAAAGACAGGAGTTGCTCGAGACGTATCATTCAGCACTCGAGCACATGTAACATCAGTGGCACTCTCAAAAACCCGGAAGTGGCCGAATGCTGCTGTTCCACGGGCATGCACAACACGCTCGGGTATACGTTCATGATCAAACCGATGAATCTTTGTAGACGTTAGGTCTTTAAGGTGGAAATAGTTCAATTGTAAAAAATACCTTTTCACGAGCAAGTTGATCCTCCAGCAACAAAGGCCCGGTTCTATTTCCATCAGTCACACTGAGCCAATTATCTGTGTTGTTAACCTTTGTGCCATGATCTGTAGTGATTGTCGCAGAACCATAAACATTAACAGTGTTTTGGGAAAGGTCCCTGATTTTTTGATTGTCTGCTATTGTGGGTATTGCACGCTTCGCATGACTTGGGCCACCGGGAGTCATGTGGGCCATATTATGAACTGTAAATAATCCTGAGCTAATCAAGATAATTTTTTGATTCGGCCAGAATGAGAACCATTGGGGGAGCAGCCCAGATATAATGAACAATCCCCTTGATATTAGCTCGGGGCATGACAGTGAGTATGTCAGCATGACGTTAGCTGCGCAAACCAGAGCTCCAAGATTATAAGATAGAGGGAATACATGGCAAAAACTCTAGCAAACTGCGACATGGAGTGCTAGAGAGATTGGTAGTAAAGTGCTTTCGCAGGCAGGGAACAGTCTGGTTGTAGGTGGCTAACCTTTAATTAACCTGTAAAGTTCTGAATAACTTGTTTTGCACAGTAGAAATAGAATTCTCTGAGAGCAGGAAGCTCCTTAACTGGTCCTGACAGTGGTAAGAAAAAACTCTCGTTGAAGGACAGGGATGATGTCATGGCCAGCTACCATAACATTGCCAATCCTCCAGAGGTTCGCCCACTGTCATACTCCGTAGTTCCTAACTACATAACCAGGTACCTAGTTCTCAGAAACCTTGAAACCTTGCTAGCTGGGCCTTACAGCAAAGACTGTCAATAAGGACTATCGAGCATGAAAGAAATTAGCAAGACAGCAAAGGGCAGCAGTGATTATGAGATGGGAGCCATGGGCTTGATAGTTGAGCAAATTGAGATTCGAGGGCTATCAAGTGGTTCGATTTTAGCAGAATATGCAGGAGCTACCTTCTTTACCAAGTAGCTAGCTTATAGAGCATATATGTACTCTGTAATTTTTTTGGAAAGGCCACCACCACTCTTTCTGCTACCCAAATTGTCCATACTGTACGAATAGATAGTGGATCATGTGTCTTTGACAAACAATGTTAAAACAATTGACTAAAGACGTGGTAATTGCCCCATTCAGCAGTTAGATTGAGCCAGCTGGCCACCTATAAGCCCATCCTTTTCTAAGCTAAGATTAGCATACTGAAGGAACAACATCTCACTATCTTCTACACAAATACCGACTAATTCATACTGGCACACTTGGTGACTTCAATTTTGGAGCTGGCTTGGACGTAACAGGATCCAGTCGACTAAGGATCCACATAAAGAGAAATTGTATCACATAGGAGTAGATAAAGAGGAACTGTGTACGTCTATTTCTCTGTGAGCGGGCAACAGTGGGCATGGTACCACCGCGAATAGGACCGTCGCTTGATGAGTCGGGGAGCAGGACGTATTTTAGTGACCGTAGCTGCGGAGACAGGCTTTAGCTGCTTGGAGGTGGGTGGCAATAGGCATGATTACTTACCAGAAAGAAGGCATTGGCAAGGAAGGTGTACGTAAATACGGCCCAGCCAACCCAGCCACTCGTGCCTCGGCCCGGGCTCAACGTTTCGGCGGCAACCAGGGTGATGATGATGCCAACGAATTTATATCCAGAATAGGCAACAAGATCGAGGAGTTGAGAATCATTGCTGATACTGAGAATATACATGGCAACTTTCAGGCAGATTATTTCAAAAATAACGACTGCTAATGCAGTCGACGTTATCGAGCCCAGCAATTCCGGGTGGAAACTACCGCGGAGCCCTGCTAGTACAGTCGAAAGAAGGATATAAGTCACCAGCGCCATGGCCGGTATATACATGTCGGGTGAATTGAGATCATCGCGAGGGGGGAGGTACATCGACGAGTATTGAGCCTGTGAAATATGACCGTTTACGCTGGTGCCTGAGGGCAATCGTCCTTGCTGTCGCGACCAGGGCTTATGGCGCCAGGGAAAAAGAACGAGGGCTATTTTTTTGAGAACGTAGGAGTTGGAAACATTGAAGTAGTGCTTAAGCGCTGGAATAGACACATATCGGTTGAACTATGTAGTAGATTAGGCCATGGGGTGGCAACAGAACTTCGAATAGAGGGGAGTCTTACGTTTTGCTCCATATACTCTTGTCCAGCCATCACGGCTGATTTTCCAACCTGAAAGCCCATTTGCGCAGTGGGATCCGATATAAAACCGCCAAAATTGGGGGCATATGTGCCACTGCCGCCCTGGGCGGGGGCTGGTTGATACGGGTTTCCATAACTCGATTGCTGGGGTTGTTGAGACATCGGTGGAGGGGGTGATCGCATCATAGGCACAGTAGATACATGTTGAGGAACAGGGTGGTGAAGAGGAGGAGATTGAGCAGGCGGAGGAGCTGCAAAGGGTGCTCGGTGCATGGTTATTTTGAAGATGTCTGTGATTAGGTAGGATGGTTCAGCACAGAGGGACTGAAACTATCAGCAAACAAGGGGCATTAGGATTGTAGAAAAAGAAAGAATTATTGTATGCGTCCTTGACAGCTGCACAGGAAGTCAAAACATGAGTACACACAGTATAAAAGGGAATGAAGTTGTTCATACAGGCCTCAGCTTGGTGTGATCTGTTCGGAATGGCCAGAAGGTTTAGAGCCAGGTGGTCCGTGCACGTGTTCACAGGCTACTTTAGAGGCATGCTTTGTACATTTGTTCTTGTAAGCAGGAAGAGAAGCTCGGCACTGGGACAATACGCAAGCAGAGTATCCAAGATGCTGGATTCTTTTGAGATTATCACAACTTCGGGGGTTGTTCTGTGGTCAAAGTCTTATGCTCCTGTGGGCGCACACATTGTCAACAGCCTCATCAAGGAGATATTCATTGAGGAGAAAACACACCTGTCGGATTCTGAGGTCGATAGTGCAGCACTGCGATATAAAAAAGAAAAATATACACTCAGATGGACCAAGTCAAAGGATTTGGGGCTGCTCTTCGTTGTATGCCATGCGATTCTCGGTTATGGTTGAATTGGCTAACTCCCCTGATTATAGGCTGTCTACCAATCCCTTCTGCATCTGACTTGGATAGATGAACTTCTCGAAAACATTAAAACGATATTCATCGATTTATACGAGAAACAGCTTAAAGGACCCAGGTTTCGAGTGGTAGAATATTCCTTTGATCCCTATTTCGACCAGCAGCTTCAGGAGCTTGAGAGCGCCGCAAACGTGTCCTCTGGAAAGGAGTCTCGCTACATTGAAGAAGAGAAAAAGGATGCGCTCACGAATGCTGATACGGGGGGACCCCCTCCGCCACCTGTTCCGGGTCTTCTGCCTGGTATGCTTGCTCTTAGGTAGAAATTTATGAAGGGGATACTAATATCTCTATAGCGCAGCCCCGCGCTGCTCAGGCTTCACTGGCGTCAACAGATACTACGCCATCATTATCTCCGGTGACTCCTCGGTCCTTGTCTCCGGCACGAAATCACATTGTAACAGGAAAGTCAGGTCCTGGTGGTCGTATTTCAAGGCGCTCCCGCAAAGCTGCCAACGCTGCAAACACATTTCAGGACGGCGATACGCCCAGAAAAGGAAAACACAACAAGGGTGGAGCGAAGAAAATGAGGAAATGGGGCGTTGACGGACTTGCAGAGGAGGACGATGGGGAGATTCTGGACTATTCCGCAACAGATGCCAGCACCATTAAGCCAGTGGGACCTCAAGTTGAAGCTGTGGAATCTAGTTCTTGGGGAACCAAAACTTCCAAGGGACAGTTCGTCCTGAAGGACCTTGGAGACGAGGTTCACTCAATTTTACATAAAGCAGATCAAGAGAAAGCTAAGGCCAGTCCTTCCACAGGAATGGTTAGCTCTAGCTTCGGGGCTATTACCGGTCTATTTCGAAACGTTATTGGTGGAAAGGTGTTGACTACAGCTGACCTCGAAAAACCCCTGAAAGCAATGGAGGACCATCTTCTAAAAAAAAACGTTGCCAGAGAAGCCGCCCTTCGCCTCTGCGAAGGGGTAGAGACGGAACTCGTTGGAAAGAAAACTGGAAGTTTTCAAAGCATCGACTCCGCCTTACGACTAGCTATGGAGGCTTCTCTCCGTAAGATCCTGACGCCAACATCGTCCCTCGACCTTCTTCGTGAGATTGAGGTTGTCACGTCTCCCACCAGCAAGCAGCAATCTCGTCGCCCATACGTCATTTCTATTGTTGGCGTGAATGGCGTGGGCAAGTCTACAAACCTCAGCAAAATATGCTTCTTCTTGCTTCAAAACAACTATAAGGTTCTTATCGCAGCTTGCGATACCTTCCGATCTGGCGCCGTGGAACAACTCCGTGTTCATGCACGAAATCTGAAGGAGCTTAGTGAGCGAGAAAATGTGGGCAGTATTGAGTTATACGAGAAGGGTTACGGCAAAGATGCCGCAAACGTGGCCAAAGATGCTGTGTCGTACGCCGCTGCCAACAATTTGGACGTCGTGCTCATCGACACTGCTGGACGTCGACACAATGACCAGCGACTGATGTCCTCTCTGGAGAAGTTTGCCAAACTTGCAGCTCCTGACAAGATTTTCATGGTTGGCGAAGCCCTTGTAGGGACAGATAGCGTCATGCAAGCACGGAATTTCAACCAAGCGTTTGGGGCTGGGCGGAATCTGGACGGTTTTATTATCAGCAAGTGTGACACTGTTGGGGACATGATTGGTACGCTAGTCAGCATGGTTCATGCCACAGGCATCCCTATTGTTTTCCTGGGAATCGGGCAGCACTATGGCGACCTGCGAGGGCTGAGCGTGCCGTGGGCCGTCGGGCTCCTGATGAAGTAGTTTGCTCCGGTTCTGTTTGGCGTGTTTGTTCCGTTTGCATGGCAGCTAGCTGGGCCGCTTGGCGGGTGATTCGCGCTAACTCCAGCTTGGCACACGCCAGGTAAAAACGGCGTTTTTCGTCGCCAAATTTCTCGATATCAAGCTGGAAGCGCTTGCAGTTAATACAATTTAACTCTCACGCTCACAGTGCTCTACTTCTACTCAATTACGACCTAATTTGTTTTTCATTGTTGCCCTCCGCTATCTTTCTACTCATCTTAATCTCTAAATTACAAATGATCTCATAATTAGCCAGGTTTTGAAGCACAACTTCGTCAACAGATTTGCCAGAATGCATGCCGTCTCCTAGTGCTCTAGCCCCAGAATCTTCTTTTAATCTGAATTCCTAGCTACAGAAATGACCGACCGTCCTCAAGTACCACGGCGCAAGTCCTCTACGCCTCACTACCACACCTTTGCGACCCCCCCTCCCACCTCGCGTGGCCGGCCGCCGTCCAATGGCTCTGCCTCATTCAACGGAGGCTCGAGGGCGCCGACGGATGATGACGACGATGATGGTAACAGCGATAAGAGCTCCTTTTCTGGCACACCGATGCCCATCCGACAAATGGCCGTTCTGGCCGCGATTGCACTCTGCGAGCAGACAGCCTTGAATTCCATCAGCCCCTATTTGCCCGACATGGCGTCTTCATTTCCAGAAACAGATCGGACCAAAGTTGGCATGTATGTCGGAACTATAGCCTCGTCGTTTGCGCTGGCTCAATTTGTCACAAACTATTTCTGGGGCTGGCTCTCTGATCGGATTGGTCGCAAGCCCGTGATTCTCATTGGAACCATTTCCACGTCCGCATGCTTCCTTGCGTTCGGCTTCTGCAAACACCTGTGGCAAGCAATTGCTGTGCAGGCGATAATGGGAACCGTTAATGGAAATCAGGGTGTAGTGTCGACGTGCCTGGGAGAAATAACCGACCGAAGCAATCAGTCTCGCGCTTTTGCGTTCCTGCCTGTCATCTATGGTATAGGAGGAATTACCGGTCCAGTCCTTGGCGGTTTGTTAGTTTCGAAAAAGGCGATTATCGACGAGAGATTTCCTTACCTTGCACCCAACCTTGTCTCCGCGGCTATTCTAGTGATTGATTTTATCATGGCTGCTCTCTACTTAGAAGAAAGCCTAGAAGATGCAGTCAGCATTCCTGCCATTGGAAGAAGGGTTCGCAATCTCTTTACTCGGCTATGGCAGTTTACCTGCTCCTCGAGGCCTTCATACCTTAGAGCACAGAGCAGGGATTCCGGTAGAGGACTCAGCTGTTGGGGAAGTCGCGGCAACACAGATACAGATGTCGAACAGCCACTTTTTAGACGTCGTCGGAGTCACGACCCGCATCTTATCAGTGAAGAAGTGTTGAATCGAGATATAATTCTTTTGCTCATCACATATTTAATATTCGCGCTATCGAACGTTTCGTATAACTCGCTATACCCCATTTTTGCCCAGGCATCGCCCCCAACTGGTCGTGCACTAACACCTCAGGAGATTGGCTTGTCTTTGGGATTTGCCGGCATCGTGACGATAGTATTCCAGGTCTGCATATTTGGTAAACTTCGGGATAAAATGGGAAATAGATGGTCGTATCGTGCTGGCCTTTTTGGCTTTGTTATATCCTTTGCTTTGATGCCATTCATCGGGTATAAAGACAAAGCAGCTCTTGAGGGAAGAGTGTCAAAAAATGGAATTCTGTTGGCGATTGAACTGTGTGTCATTCTGCTTCTCAAAACTATTGCCGCTGTCGGGGGCTTGACAAGTGCCCTACTTCTAGTACGTCCTCTCATTCCCCCATCCTAGCCGTGACAATCATGTTAATTGATCCGTATAGATCACAAACTCTGCCCCTGACCACTCCGTACTAGGAGCCTTAAATGGCCTCGCCCAGACGCTGTCGGCTGCCGGTCGAGCAGCCGGGCCGTTTCTATCCGGCAGCCTCTTCTCGATCGCCACAAAGGTCCGGCCGAAAGGAGAAGCCCTTGCATTCGGCGTTTTTGGCGGAATCGCTTTTCTCGGCTTCTTGCTTAGCTTTGGGATCCGCTCTAGAAACTTGGAGGCAGACGGCTGGGGCGAGGATAGCGACGACGTGGACGACGATGATGATGATGTCGATAAGTCTGATGACGAAACTACGCGTATCAACGCTTGATGAAAGGCTGACAGAATAAGTTATATGAATAGATATTTAAACTTGTGATATGTACATACACGTTTTTTGTTTTTGATGCCAGAGAACTGATATGAATACTCTTAGGTTGTATATGTGAGCGAAATTTTTTTAGCGGTATAGTTATTGAATTTTAAATTCCAAGACTTTTAAAGAGCGGCAATTGTTATTTCTTTGGGCTACCGAGTGCTCGAAACAACTAATTGTTGAAACACCAGCTACGAACACGTTGGCCAGAATTTAAGAGTCTGGATGAACAAATTTGCAAGGGCCAAATGGAAATCGCCCCCAATGGGACAAAGATGTTGGAATAATGTTGCAGTTGCATCCCTTTAACGTTATTACCCACTCAGATCTCAGCCTCAATGGTGAAGGCCCTCGGCATTCTCACCGTCTCAGAAACCTTGGCCAGGTGTCTGTTAGAACCAGAACTTTCGCCGACCGTTCAGCTTCATTAAAAATGCCATCGTCAAAGGAACCGTGGAATTCGATACGCCTCCCTTGAGAGATGTGGTAATCATTTGTCCAAGATTCGCCCAGTCGAGGTTTGTCCTGCTATCACGCTTGGCGAGGTTCTAGGGGCTAACGAACCTATGCCTGGGCTAACTAGTTAGTTTAGTCGTTCTCAGCTTACTCCAGGTTCCAGAGTTTGAAGAGCGATGCTCACATCTCCCTTCGACCAGGGTCGAATTCATACAGATGTGGTTGTGCTCCTCTTGGAAGTAGGCCAACTGCATTGCGTCACGAAACGTCACCTCCAGGCAGAACAAAATTCCTGATACGTGGTTAATGTTATTGTTGGGTGTATGTATGTCGTGTAAATTTCTACTGGAAGCGTGACTAAGCTGTGGTGTAGACTCAGCATCGCTAAAATTCGAAGAGAGTCGAGCGCTGTTCGTTTTCAATAGGCAAGCTAGCCATATTCAACGCAGAGGCTGATGTATATCTGAAGCTAAGCCAGCGGCATGCTATTGGATTTAGTCCTGATGCGATGCAAAAATAGAACGTTTTTGTTAGTAGCTCTTGGTAAAACTCGATTTTAGAGTCGCCTAGCATGGTATTGAGACCTTTCTGAAAGGACAAGGGGATGGCGGAGGGAGTTAGTTGGGTTCAGTAACTGTAGTACTGGAAAGGCTTGAGGGCTAGAGCATCTTCATTCTGATGTTAGTACTGATGTCTAAGTATAGCGTAGCAACTTGCCAAGGCATGGCCATCTGAGTCAACGTCGACACAAGGGAAAAGTATTAGACACAAGAACAAACACTGCATAGGGTACATAAAGTTTGGTCAATGTATCAATGCGGAAGGGTTTGCCCAGCGAATATCGACCAAAGAGTTTAAGCACGCCAGGCAACGGGATTGGGAACATTCCAGTGTGTGAAATGCCTGGAAAGAAGACAAAAGGGTAAGTCGATGCCTGGAAGACAGCTGGCAACTAGTATCAGCATTACTGGGAAATACTGTTCCAGGGCAAGGGACAACCGGTACGCTCCGCTCCTTCTCGGCACTCGAATGAGGACGTATACGTCGACAATATGCTCATTTCCTAGGGCTGGCTGAATGCAAAGTGAATTGCAAACGTCACCGGAAGCCATAGGGATAAGTGGCCTAGACTAAATCAAAGGCAGTTCTCAGGCCACCGTACCTCGAGCCAAATATAGGCAAAGTGGGGCAATTTGAGTTGTAGTTGAGATGAATAGTTGGGACAAGTCAAAGAACTTCCAGTTGCACATAAAAGGAAAAGAGGCACCTAGTGAGTATAGTGTAACAATACAAACCCAAAGAGCATCCTATATCTTCAGAACCAAATTGTTTTTAGAAAGAATGAGAATTTTGAAACTGGGGTGCAAAAGAACCCATAAAGACATTAAAATATCCAAGTGGAACAAAAATTCTTGATTATATATATAAATTCCATTATACCTAGGAATCAAGTCTAGAACTGGACAACGAAACCAGGGGCCAACCCTGCGAACTGGCAGAAAAGAGAGTGGTTGATTGACCCAGCAAGCTCGTAAATAGTGGGGATAAGGGTAATTCAACAGACCAAATTCATTAAGCAGACAAGTATGTAGCCTAGACAGACAGCGGAGTTCTCAAACCTGGTTTATGCAAGTCAGTTTTGGCTCAAGGCAATCAATATTAAGACACAAAATTGGTCATGGATTTGTCTTTCAGCGATCTTGGTGTAAAAGAAAATATCATCGCCCGTAGGCGTCATTTACTATCTAGTGCGTTTGTGTGTCATCACAGACAGAATAAACAGGCTACTATATGGAACTAATGCAAGAGAAAATAAGTCATACCTCTATGAAACAAGCAAATCCAGTGAGCAATGGAATTTACTTCCAACATCAGTATGAGCTGGCCAAATATTGTGGATGGGCAATCTCTAAGAGTGAAATGCATGTTAGTCAACAGAAACACACTGTAAACAAAAAGAAAAGTCGGTGGATCAGATAAAATTCAGAATATGTAAGAAATAACTTTCAGTATCTAACTTTTGCTTAAGAAACCCAGGCGTGAGCTTCACAAAAGATGATTCAACCGCAAATTACAGCATCATAAAGGATATGAAGAAAGGGAAATGGGGCAGAAGCTTACCAGTTAGCCAGGTGTAGCAGCCATGGTCGCATATAGTCGCCATGCAAGAACCTCTTCGAGTGTTCAAGTTTCGGCGAAGTTGCAAGGAAAAAAAATCTGAAGACAGACAAACGAGGCCGGGTAGGAGAAGTGATGCTGCGCTAGTCTCAAAGTGGAAATCCTAAAAACGTTAGCGTAGGGTTAAGCGAGTAAGGGTTTTGTGGGCATCTGTTTGATTGCCGAAATTCGCGATCCACGACAACGACAACGACAAATCGACAACCATCCACTCCATCAACGTCCAGGTAGACCAGTGGATTGTGAGCAGCTCCGTTTCCTACGCGCGCCATTGAATTTATCCCAAAACTGACGGATTTGCCTTTAGGACGCCTTCGCCATGGCTCAGATCGATATCAAGCCTTCGTCATGGAAGCTCGTGGAGGTGGGCCGTGTTCTGCTCATCAGAAATGGCCCTTACACGGGAAAACTGGCAGTTATCGCCGAAATTATCGACCACAAGCGCGTACGTGGCCGACTTGAAAGTATCGTCCAAAATTATGTGATTCTGATTGCGCTCGCATCTATAGGTCTTAGTTGATGGTCCTTCGGGTCAAGAGAACAAAGTTGTTCCACGCCACGCTCTCCCTCTCGCACAAGTTACTTTGACACCATTTACTATCCCCAAACTTCCCCGCGCTGCTGGCACAGGACCCATCAAGAAATTGTGGGAGAAGGCTGAGATCGACGAGAAGTGGGCGCAGAGCGGTTATGCGAAGAAGAGGGAGCAACAAGAGCGGAGACGCAACCTCACCGATTTTGAACGTTTTAAGGTCATGAGACTGAAGAAACAGGTTTGTACAGCCCAGTACTTTGCAACCTATGAATTAGCAATCTACTCGTGGTATTGGCGACTTGATTGGCTAATGGTTATTTGTGACAGGCTCGTTATGAAGTCCTTAAGGCAAATGCTAAGCTCCGAGCGGCTTCGTGAATTTGCTGAAATAGACAGTTGATAGGCGGAGGCGGTGGAGAAATGGGCGTTCTTTTCTAGACTTGAAAATCGCTCGATCTCCGTTCAACAAATGCAGCTGAATCAATGTCATTTTGTGATGTTGAAACACGACTTTAAAACATCCTTTTTAATGAATAGGATTGAATGGCCATGTTCCTTGACAAATTCCTACTTCTGCCTTGTCTTGGAATAAAACCAGTACTGGTGTGCTTCTGGCGCCTGTGGGTATGGTTTGTAGCAATGTGATTACAATTTACAATAAACACTGTAAAATTCATGAAGCAACTATATTCCCCATGGTATTCATTTATCTTTTACCACTGTACCTTGATATGAGTGTTAGTGGTGCTTAGCTAGGCATTTGTGTTGATGGGGTAAAATCTCGCTAAACGATTTTGGGCGAGAGGCCAAAAGCCCTCCCAAAGATTGAGCCACCTTCACACATCCTCACATCACAACACCGCAAAGAACAACATCCGGCCCCTCATTTTTCATTCTCTCAGACAAGGTAAGATTATTTAACGTGTTGTTTGGTTCTCATTTGCGCGTGCTGCCAATGGCTATGGCAAATTCAATGTGTCTACCGTTCTAATATCATACAACAGCTTCCATAAACACACCATGGCCAACCCTCGCGTAGAAGAGCTGCCTGACGACGAAGTCGCCAAAGCCACCGTCGAAGATGCTGCTGATAGCTCTGAGTCGGAAGCTGAGGGTGGTGAGGAGACAACCATTCCAGGAGGCGCCGCCGTTACCGTCCACTCTCGCAATGAAAAAAAGGCCCGTAAGGCAATTGGCAAGCTCGGCTTGAAACATGTTCCTGGAATCACTCGTGTCACTCTCCGCCGCCCAAAAAACGTAAGAGAGACAAATTTTTGACGATATACGGGCTATACTAATGCGACTACTAAACAGATCCTTTTTGTGATCAGCCAACCTGACGTTTACCGCTCACCATCTAGCAACACCTGGATGTATGCCGCCAGTACTTTTGCATGTTCTCCTTACAACAGATTTACTAATGATGTTTATAGCATCTTTGGCGAAGCCAAGATTGAAGACTTGAACTCCCAGGCCCAAGCTACCGCCGCCCAGCAACTTTCTGCTGCCGATGCCGGAAACGTAGAGCACGCAGGACACGAACATATTGATCTCGGCAAAGGCAAGGCTGTCGAAGCTGAGAAGAAGGAAGAAGAGGAAGAAGAGGAGGGCGAGGTGGACGAGTCAGGTTTGGAATCGAAGGATATTGCACTTGTCATGGCCCAAGCCGGCGTATCGAGAGGAAAGGCTGTTAAGGCATTGAGAGAGAACGATAATGATATCGTCAACTCGATCATGGCCTTGAGTGTATGAGAAAAATGATGACCTTGAGTGAATGTTCATGCATGCTACTTTGATCCGGGGTCATATCAATGACTGCGGGTATATGGGTCTCTATGAGCGGCATGTAAAACCGTCGGATTCTAAAAGTCGTCTAGCTAAATACTATTCGAATGATTCCTCTAGCCATAAGCTTTTTCTTTCTTTCCTGCCCATCAGATTCTGCAACCGCTTAATGCCAAGATTTGGAACAGTGGGTCACGTGATTAACCAAACGGGAACAACCTCAACAATCTCCCTCTTCAACGTCAGGTTAATCGGAACTGATTGCACACTCCAACCCAACATTTTATCACATCAAAATGGCTGTAGCAGTAAGTAATCAGGCTGTGAAACTTCACCTTCGTTTTCTGCAAGCCATTGAGACCCAGTACTTACCATCCCACTTTGAAACCTCCAGCGAAGCGCAGCTCTCAAACTCGACTGGGTCAAAGTCTCCAGCTCCCTCGGCCTCCGTGGAGCTACGGCGGCATCACTCCAGTCTTTCAAAAAACGGAACGACGATGCTCGCCGTAAGGTGCAGACCCTTTCCGAGACCCCCCAAACCGTCGACTTCTCGCATTACCGCGACGTCCTAAAGAACCAGGCAATTGTAGACGAGATCGAGAAGCAATTCAAGGCATTCAAGCCCCAAACATATGACGTCAACCGGCAATTGAAAGCCATTGAGGCCTTTGAGGCTCAAGCTGTGACCAGTGCAGAGGCAACCAAGGGAAAGGTCGAGGAGGAGTTGAAGTCCCTCGAGAAAACTTTGGAGAATATCGAGACAGCGCGGCCGTGGGAGGACCTCACTGTGGTATGTTAGGCCTAACTTGCTAGGGTTTGGTTAGACATGGCTCACCTTTTGTGTTTTGCTTCCAGGATGATGTTGTCGCCGCCCAGCCTGAGATTGATAAAAAAACTGCTGAATTGGTGAAGAGGGGTATCTGGATGCCACCTGGCTACAAGGTTTGTTTCTCTCTATTCTTTCATCATATTCGTCTATTGGCGATAATGCTCATACTTTTTACAGGAGAAATTCGGCGACCTCTCTTTCTTGTAAAATTCCTGACACATTGGACTAAGGATAGACCGGATTGTTCCAACCTGTAAGAAACTCAAGATACCGGAGCAAGTGGATTGTTCGACCCCTCGTTCTACCTTCCTGTAGTCACTGAAACTGTATAGAATTGATCATATTCTCTTTTATATTTGCATGTTGTGCTATGGCCATAAATTCCATAAATAGGGCTGCATTGCCGCTCAGCGCGTAGGCCAGCTAAACGATGACCTGGCTATAACAATAGCCGTTGGAATGTATTTGATTTTACAAATGGGTTCTACTGCACGGAGTACTGCTCACCACCCTTATTTTTTATTTTATTTTTTATCTTCGGGAAGTAGGTTCAAACTGAGCCGTCGCTGAGCTTCACGTTCGAGTCAGTACACATTTGGTATGTGAAGCATGCATGTAGGCTGCCAATGACTACGGAGCTACGGAGTAGCTATTCCATATCTTAACGCTAAACAAGAAACCTATCGCCTCGGCTTCTTATCCGCCAAATGCATCAATAGGAGAGAGTGGCTGGCACTCGTGTTCGTTGAAGCCGTAGGAGAGCAAGAGCCGTGACGCCCAGTTCTGAAAACGTGGGTATGCCGTAGTATATAAGACGACCCGGAACTGCGAGCCTATGGCAGTAGGTGGGATGTGAATTTTCATCTCGACTATGTCGGCATAAAGGTCTATTTACCCAGCAATATCACTGCAGTCGCTGCCTATGCAATTATTAATGCAGAATCAACCCTGAAGTGTAGAAAAACAACTGCAGCAGAAAACTCCACGACACGCCGGCGGCCTAGGAACAGACTTCCAGGGGCTCTGAGTGGACTTCCACCATGGGATGGATCTTGACGCCTGCTTGTTTCTATCTCTCTTATTATCGGTGCAACACGGATCCTCAGCCACGTTCAGCTCAACGAACCACACATGCACAAACCTGATACGAGAATATGTCCAAAAACGGAGGAAATATTCGGAGGCGCTGCAGCATTGTATGTAGTTAACTATAGTGAGCCCAAAGCCCACAATGCGGCATGCAGATCTGCGATCGATCAAGACGAGCCACTCCGGACACCTGCACGTCTCGCATCCAAATCAAGCGACGCCATGACATCCCAATGGCCGGGGGATTTTCATGGCTGTTTCAACTGCGGCGTCCTGGGGAGCATTCACCCTCTCCCCTCGCCCACAGCTCCCTTCCAATCCAAAGACGCTCCAGCAGCGGATGCACGGCCGGGTGCCAGAATGGACATCCCAACGAAGATGCGGCGACCCGACAGTCGGGGTCGGTGCGTTCCACTATGAAGTCATCCTTGCAGCCGCAACGCGAGCGCGTTGCCTGTCGCGAGCCACGTCCCGGCGTCTCGGGTCCCGCCCGTGCGACTCTGGTTCCTGGGCCTCGCTCGGCGGCGGCATCGCGGGCTCAGCGCTCTGGTCGGGCGGCCTGCTGAACGGCCCTCGCATCATTTCGCCACGTTCCGCCACTCTGCATCTGCATCTGTCTTCTGCAACCTACCCCCCGGCTGATCATCCCTCGGAGCTTATGTTATCAAGCCCGATGTGGCGTCTGCATCTGGTTTGGAAGGCCGCAACAGCGGCTTCAAGTGCAAAGTTAAAACGCAACTTACGACCAGGGCATTGCTGCTCTTGGGCTTCGCTTCTGCAGCCCCGGCCCAACAGCCAGGAACGTAAGAGCCCCGACGCCGCCTCGCGTTCCCCAGCCCTGGAAAGCCACCAACAGCAGCAGAAGGGCAGCCCAGGGGCCGGTGCCGTTGAGCCGTGATGCCCATCCGATGCTCTTTTGCATCTCGCTTTTTCGGCTTGCGGTACTTTGGTGAGACTCCGCTCCGGCCATACACACAAAGTTTTTCCTGATATTTCACTTTTTAGTCCCTGATCAATCAACCTTGAGGGGAATTCAAGACCCCGCAATGCTCGCCTCACAAGATACTACGTTATTAACTTCGCCCTGTTTGTCTTTAGCACTCTCCTATTACGATGGGCGTGACTTCTGGCGAAACAGAGCCTTTTCCTTGCTTGGAGATTGGTCCTTTTTACTTTGGTTTCGTACCTGATGGCTCTTGAGCTATTTCTTTGCTGCTCCTCTTACGACATCCTTTCCCAAGGGCCAAGAAGTATCAAGCGTTTTCAGTATTTCTTGGGCCCGGATACACAGGCTTGGTAATCCCAAGGAGGGCGACACAGGCCTTTATTGATCTTCAATATTCCCACACCCATTCTGCCGGTTCATTTCTCAGCCCTGCTGGGTTGTCAGATAAACTCCGACCTTGCGCTGCAGAATGAGCTGGCAGTCTGTGTCAAACTCCAAATTGCTGCAACCGCCGCTCTCCCCCACCGATAAACGAGCCCCCGTTGAAAGACTTCCAGTCGAACTAATCCAGAAAATATTTTTCTATAGCCTCGAATTCAACTTTCCTCGGGCATCATTCCACATTGCTACGGCTCTATCCAACGAGATAATATACACTTGGCTAGTCCGTCTAGTATTCAGCAGCAACAACGCCTCTTCGAACTCCGGTATATTCGTTCGCCCTTTCTTGCCGATGAACCAATTTTCGTTGGACATGAATAAACGGGCCGAGCTGCAGACAGAGCTGCTAAGGTGTCGCTGGTGTACCATCACTCTTATGCGAAGATGCCAAAGAGAATACGTTGAGCATGTCCTACGGCAGAAATGTGGAAATCTAATTATGTCGGATGGTGATCGCGCTCGGCTATATGCTTTGGATGACTATTGGAAACATGTCGGCCAGTACGATCATACGCCACGGGGAAGACGAGGAAAAGGGGATTTAGTCCTCACTGCCAGGAACCCTCATTCAGACGTGACGCTTAAGATTGCCATCTGGTTTAACTCCGGCTCCGTGCAAATTAGAGAGCCCAGCCCCGTCGTTGTACAGGACACTGATGTCTTCCTCCTTCCATCCTGTAGCATTACGGATCCTTGCCGGATGCCAGATCGACTACTCCAACCGCCCTGGACCAAGGAAAATCTGGAGCTACTTCAACTGCTGTCCAACGAGGCGTATATCGACGAGGACAATAACTTTGAGAGGTCAAAAATGGTGCTTCGACAATTAATAATCGATCGGGACATTGATACGTTTAAATATATACTATTATTACATGTTCGCGTTAAAGTGTATGCGTACCCTCTGCGTTGGCCAGTGCGACCAAACCATTTTAGGTTGGCAGCACGGTACGCAGAGTCAGAGAATGATGACCCGTTTTTGAAGGTATTATTTTCTGAGCGCCGTGATGACATTTCAAGCACAGATAAATCAATCCGAGCATTGTTATCAAGATACGATCGAAGCTTATGATTCATTTCTGCGGTTATGGAGCTTTCATTAGGATAAAGGGCCGTTGCAATGGTTTAAAATATGTACATACATACGATATTTGCACTGCATATATATTTCCCATGTCGAGTCTGTCCAATTAGCTCCTATATACAATGAAACGAGAGATCCAGTAGTCCAGATCCATCGGCGTACATAAAAAGGGCCCGTAGTTGACTCGAAGATCCCCATTGCTTTCCTCTAATATGTGAATCTAATGTAATGGGCAGTTGAATGGAAGTTTAGCGGCCGTCAGCCCTTGAGATTCACCAGACATCTCCTATCCTGGAGCATAACGATACGTATTCGTTACTTCCGAGGAAAAATCTTGTTCAGGGTCCCCAAACAAGGTGCTGTAGGTCAAGCCATCGTAGCCAGGAAAGAAATTTCGAACGCCAACGATGCAGATCTCGATATTCCTGTTTCTGAATGTTGGGATATCTCGAAGGTATTGTACAAACCAACGCCCAAATGGTTCATTTCTCTCCTGCGACTCTATCGCCCATTCTGTGAGCTCGGGGTCGTCGGATGGCACCGAAAGTGAGGCCGCGCGAACAAGAAGGCTAAGAATTGGAATAGCAAACCCTGCTTGACGCGAGGCAATAACAAAGTACTCTTCCGGTAAGGCATATGGGATCGGTTGGTCACCAAATTCATAACTATGACACAGAGTCCCCAGTGCTAACAGATTAAGCAATGCCCGGTGATTGTGTTCTAGGATTGCAGAAAGGATGCCCTCCTGTAGACTGTCTTGTGACACACACGAGGTCCAGGGTACAGGCTGATCTTCTGGATTGGTGAAATACCGTCGAAGAAGCTCTAAAAAGTATATTTTGTCGTTCGTCCACGGATCGCCACGAAGAAGTTTGTCCGGGAATGACAGCACGAGAACTGAGGAATGCCGGGACAGGTCATATTCGCCCTGGTTGCCCAGCGGATTAATCGAGCGGGATATGATACCGGCAGCGTCAGCTTTAGTCGAGTCTGCTACAAAGCCTAACCCGGGCGGGAAACTGCCGCAATCAGACTTGTAAGCGCCGTCAATAAAGATGGTTCGGCAGAGTGACAAATTCACCAATTCCGTAATCTGATTCTCGAACCGCTCAGATGTGCACCACTTGCAGTTTAGTACCAAGCGTTGGAAACTCTGGCGATTAGAGATATCCATGGGAAAATAGCGAACTGGTCGGAACTTGCGATGGACAAGTGCTGTAGATGCATTCTCAGGCGCAGGGTCATTCCAGAAGGCTAGCAGAATTAAGCCACGGTACAATCGTTCCGAGGAGAGAACAGAGGCGAGAACGGGTGACGCACGCGGAAAGCTGAAATCCAGACATTCCACAAATATATGCTCGATCAATTCGGCGGGGAGCAACTCGAGACGGGAGAACTTCTTCTGACCCTGCGGCCGAGTGCGGCGTAGCTTTCGCTTTTTGAGTCCCTTTCCAGCGCTAGGCGGCGTGTCCGGCAGCGGCCTCCTTTTTCCTCGCACCCGGACAGGGGTCAGATCAGACACCAACAGTACCATCACTCCAGCGTCGTTGCTATTGCTGGTTTGGTTCCTAATACCAGGTCCGAGTTTTATATAGAGCAGAGTAGAGCAGCGCCATCAGATAACCTTTTTGTCAACTGCTGGTTATCACGTGATCGAATGACTAACTAGTCCATTTATTTATTAATAACAATCTTTTGTCGAACAAGTCCGGTTGACTAATAAAACTCTCATGGTCTCTTTCCACATCTTTGGAGCGTCCCAGGTCGTTGATCGATTGAAAGATGCAACTTCATGCACGCAGAGGAGCTGGCTGATATTTGTGTAATCTCCGAGGAAGATAAAATTTGAAAAAAAGACTTTCGAATGCTTCACAGAGTATTATGAGCCACTCATGCCCCGTGTAAATAGGCGGTAAATGCAACTGTCTGTTGTAGTAGACTGCTTGATACTTGTGCATATGAATTTCTTTGCTGACAAGACACGAAACTAAGTCACTTCTATATGTTAACCCTGGCACCGTTTTGCTGTAAATGCCGAGACTGTAAAGGTGCAAAACAAGCATTATTGATATCGCTTGTATCCAGGGTAAATTGTATCATATTAAGTGCACTTTGGTGGGCGTTAAAAGATGACGCACTTCCTGGGAAGGATACCAATAAGACAATATGTCAACATGCTGCAAAGCGACATAGTCATACCGTATAAATTATGAGCAGCGTACGTATGCCTATCGTTGACGTAAAAATAGCATCGAAGTATACAATCTTTGGGGAATATATGGACCCATTGAAGTTAACAGAACTGAAGATGCAGTTGAGATAATCGAAAAGCCGTGTTTAGAATTTGCCACAATTTGAACCTTCGCTCTTCATTTGAGTAACTTCAGAGCGAAGATAGGTCACATATTAGTAGTCGTTAGAATGTAACAATTTCCCGACTATCGGGTTGCCGGGGCGTTTATCGTGAATTTTCAAAAGGCCTTGTATTTCTGATAAGCAGTTGAGGCGTAATATAGTGGAAAGCATGGTGAGCTTGATATCACAAAAGTAAGTAGCGGCGGTATTTTGAAGTTCCAGCTTGCTGGAATATCTGACGGGCGAGATATTAAAAAAAAGGTGCTACGGCTGGAAATTTAGGATGCCAGTAGTAGCAGATATGTGTTTTTGATTTTAAAAAGATTTTTTCAAGAAAATTTCTTCCGCGGGCTGAAAATTAGGGTTCATTGGGAAAGATATTTTCGAGTACGCTAGGCGTGGATAATTGATCGCGAAAAGGTGCTCTTTATTATCATTTCAAAGCAGCGTAATGTCACTGGTGACTCATTTTGGCTTCTCAGAGTGCATAGTTAACTTGGAATGGCAATCTGTTCTCTGATACTGGTCTCCAACACCACGGAGAGGCATAAGTCAATTGTTGGAGTATAAATCAGGGCTGGATGCTCCATATAGAGCCCGCTAGGCACTAAATGTAGCCAGCTACTCTGGCTACATTCCCTCATAGTGCCCTCCCAATCTAGCCCGGATATTGGCCCTTTGCGGTAGGTTTGGGCTGGCAATATCCGGGACTTTCGGTTGCCTACCACTTATTCAACCTTAGGAATTGATAGATGGTGATTACAGGATGCCCGTGACCCGACATTCCTGCTGGTGGCTTAGACAAGCCTACCTCACCGACCAGGGGGTCCGTCTCCCATGGCCAAGGCGTGCTGTGACATGCACCGGATCCTAGTTCTCGGGTTGCGAGTTCTTACTTCAGGGTAAGATCCCGGACCTCTGAAACCAGTTCTTCTTGCCCTCGAGAAGTTTAGACGCCTCTACGCCGCCTGAGCGGAGTCCGTGACAAGACTCGCCAGAGTGTCACCACTGTGGCTTCAGCAGATACTGCCCTCTGCAGGAACTCGTCACGCTCCCGTCGGAGCACAGCGGCAGACTCTTCGAGCTCCCGTCGGAGCCCAGCGGCAGACTCTTCATGCTCCCGTCGGAGCTGGTCTTCTCTCTCCCGGGAGGCAGCGGCAGACTCTTTAAGCTCCCGTCGGAGCTGGTCTTCTCTCTCCCGAGAGGCGGCGGCAGACTCTTCACTCTCGCGTCGGAGTTCTGCGACTCTCTCCTCTAGAGCCGCTACTCTTTGCTGGGCGAGATCGCGCTCCCCTCTCATTTCGGCAACTTGCTCGGCGGGCAAGGACACCTTTTGCCTAAAGATGTGCCCCCTGGGATGTTAAACAAGTCAGCCTGTTTATTCCACAAACACAGGATAGACTCAAAACATCTTTTATGGATATCATTCACTAACAAAATGAGGGTCTTGAGCCAGGCCCCTGACATCCAGCCGGACAATATCGTTCCCAGGGCACCAATGCTGCCAGCCACTGTGCCCCATATTGCTGGAACGGTCCACGGACCTTCAGTCATTTTCAAAGTAAAAAAAAAAAAAAAGAATCAAGTAAAGAAAAGAAAAAGTAGAGGAGACTCACCATTTAGAAAAAAGGCGAAAAGGTCTAGGAATGTCGTTAAAAGAGGGCAAAACTGGGGGGGATAGCAAAAATAGGAAGGAACTCACCTCCATGGCTTCCGTGGGGAAGGTGCTACCTGCCCGCGACAGAGAGCCATCGCTCCTTCCTCTCTGTGTTCAGCATCATGCGGCCATGGCTTGCCGTGTGCGCTGCCACCCGTAAGCATCCCAGCGCTTTCCCACTGCTCGCTGCGGCTGCTGTACGGCGGAAGGCTGGTCGCAAGAGCGTTGCTGGAGTAATAGCTAGGAGGACGGTCTGCAATGCTGCCTTCCATCATGAGTCACGCTGAAGTTGCAAGCGGCTGCTGTAAGTGTTGGGGCTTTGAGGTTAAGAGTAGTCAGAGAGCCCGACTAGTTAACTGAGACAAAGATCAAGTTGGAGAAAGAATTGTCTGGTTATTAAATGTGCTGCAGTACGTGGCGTGCAAGGCAACATCATACAGTCATCTTAGCCAGGTTATATCTAAACGTAAACCCACTAACCAAAGGGTAAGTGAATCTGGACCGTAGTGGACCGACGTCATCGGCTGAGACAACAGGCCATCCACATTGAACCCCGAATAGTACGTTGAAACGTTACATGATATTGATTTTATGGGTTTGAAAGAGCTCAGGGTGGAATAAACAACCATACAGAGCTTATAGTCACTCTGTTTAGCTAATCTATACCGCTTGAAGTTTAAAACGAAGGGCGATCATAAGACTGGCCTTAGACCCGGAGAACCTTACAACCCCTTTAGGGTAGTTTAGGTATTTCATGTCACTGCTCCGCATGAAGTTTGCTTGTTGAGAATTGAGTTGTTGTTCGGCGTTGCCAAGACTAGGAGCTTAGCCCACTGCACGTGCCCCGAATTTTGACTTGTTTGATTGAAAGCTGAAGGTGATTGGCTAATTAGCTAACTAGCGCCTGATGACGTTACTTGGCTTCGGATGCTTCCCGCTAAGCTCGTTCAGGCCGCCACGTGAAACAGAACCTCACTTCCCTGATGCCCCCTGACGTCACGCCTACGACCATTATTGTAAACTGGCCTGCAAAAAGCCTGGCTTCATGAAGTCGGCACGAATGACTTTTGAACGGAGTCGACACTATTGGCCTACGTACAGGGATGTTGCTTGCATATGCCCCGCTATTTCGCCTAGAGTGCAGGGGGACAAAGCTGGAAATATGGCAATTTTCGAATGAAGTCATATTGTTCGCTCGATGAAGCCATTACCTGGGGGTGAAGTGTGCATATATAAACGTCGACCTTGAACGGGATGAGCATTTTTATTTTAGATCTATACTCAATCCTCAATCATCTTCCAAAGCTACTCTGTATTCAAAAACCCTTCCTTAACAACCGCTTCTACATTTATACATACACAACTGCATAGCCAGCCCCCAGTACGAAGTACTTATATTTAAGAAATCCACAGAACACACACCTGCTTGAAAAAAACCGACCATGGGTGCCGTCGTATCAATGGTAATCCCCATCAGTGCTCAAAGCCATAGAAGCAGCTGGGCTAATTCTCGCCGTCTTAGTTTCACGCCATTGGCAACTGCCTGATGACAGTTGTACAAGCCATTGCATCGGTGCTCATGGCAATCGTCGGCGGCATTGTCTCTGTCTGCGGCGCAATCATTTCTTGTTTAACATGCGGCTGGTATTCGAGACGGCGGAGTGTTCGTTCCACAGGAGGAGTCCGCACCAGACGTCGTCACCATTTCGGTCGAAGGCCAATGCGCACTGTGTAAAATGCCAACCGCCCACGCGAAAGTTTCTATTCCACCTCCTCTTCTTAGACAACCCGCCCTTATAATGTCATTTTGCCTGGAATTGTGATGACTGCAAGTTCCACCGTTCATGCCTAATTTGCTTTTTGCATTATTAACATTGATATGGGGCGTTCTTTGCTGTCGTTTTCTTTGTATATACATCGAGACCATACTCTAGTTACAGATAATACCTGTTGTTGAACTTTCATTTTCCAGGTACTTTTCAAAACACCTGCTCTTAGTTTCGATTTACAATGCCGCCAATAGACTAGGTGAGTCAAGGTGTTTAAATATTATTAAGAATCTTCCATACACCATTTATCTTTCCGTTGAGTGATGGATGGTATCCGGTCTCCACTACCCCCTTACACATTTCCCATGCTCCGCGGCCGTCTTTTTTGGCGCTCTCGCCTTTCTGTATCGGATAGTCTAAGGTTGGAGGAATTTTGGTTTGAATGAATGGCCACCCATCTTCGCAGACGGCCTTGAGATTACTCAAGTTGCGTAGACCCTCAGCACCACCAAAGCGTCCGTATCCACTGCCCTTCAACCCGCCAAATGGCAAGCCAACCGCATAATAAGCTCCAAAATCATTCACAGCGACCATTCCGGCATTAAGATTGGAGACGCAGTATTCAACGTCCCGCTTCCGATGCCCAAAAACACTGGAGCCAAGGGCGTATTCAGTAGAATTGGCAATAGTTACTGCCTCTGCTAAATCGGCGGCACGCATCAGCAGGAATACTGGCGCAAACAATTCCATTTGCGCAATTCGCATCTCTCGGGTGACATTGGCGAGAAGTGTCGGGGTGAAGTAGTGTCCATGTGGGTAAAGAGGATGATTATATCGTTTCCCACCGCAAATGAGTTTTGCCCCCTGACCAACAGCTTCGGAAATTAGTGCCTCTAAGAGATCAAAGGATCTTTGTGAGATAATAGCACCGACATCTGGTGTATGGAGCGCGTGGCCAGAGTCTTTCTCAATATTCCGTGAATCCAAGAGTACAGACCCAAGCCGAAGAGCTTTGATCCGAGGTGTGATAATCTCTAGTATTTTGTTGTACGAGCGAGGAAGGGCAATGATTCGCTCTGCACCAACACAATTTTGGCCTGCCGACTGAAAAACCCCCCTCATAAGAATTGATGTGATATTGGGCAGGTCCTTTAGGGTAGAAGGGTCGTCAAGGACAACAACAGGGTCCTTTCCCCCCAGCTCAACAGTCACCGGCGTGAGAGCTTTAGCTGCTGACTTGCACACCTCATGCGCAACCGGCCGCGAGCCAATGAAAATAATGTGGTCAATCTTGCGATGAGATGTCAAGACATCGGCGTGTTGAGGTAAACAGACAAGGCTCTGTACTAAAAATTCCGAATAGCCGCAGCTGACAATAGCCTCTCGGATCATGCTTTGAAAGAAGGAGGATGACCAGGCGGTATGTTCTGACGGTTTCACAATAATTGAATTTCCAGCAAAGATCGCACTAATAACCGGGGAGATGAAATTATGGAAGGGGTAATTCCATGACACACATGCAGCGACAACTCCCAGGGGCTCATATCGAACTGTGTTCTTTTTGTACATCATCAATAGATTCGTGGGGCGAGAGTCCGTACGAAGAGCCTTCTCTCCATGATCGATAGTCCATTTTAGCTTTTCGACGGTAACAAGGATTTCACCGAAACAGGCATCGACCTTGGTTTTGCCAGAATCTAAACAGCAGGCGGCGACAATCTCATCTTGATGCTCTAAAATGTACCTAATAGAGGTGAAAATGTAAGCATCCTGCATTCCAAAGCGTCATTGACGGAGACCATGCAGTGCGCACTTTAGAAGCGTCCTGAGCACCTTTCGCCGCTCTGAAAAGGTTGTCTTTTTGAATTTTAGGTGTGCAACAACGGCTCTCCGCACCGTCAAGTCAATCTCCCCCGGTGACGCTGGTTTAACGCCATCCTCGTTTCCGAGCAACCGGCCATCGGCAGGACAGTAGCTAAGGATTTTAGATGTGTCGAATTTCTAGGTGGCCATTGTCTGTTAGAATTATATTCTATCCTCACGAGTGGGTAGGGAACGGCATACTCCAAAAGACTGCGCCTCGAGAAGTTCCCTATCTGCACCTTCGGCCTCACTCCATGATTTGCCTCTCCAGTCCGGAGATACTTCGGGGGGTAAAGGGACAGAAAAGTCAACGGGACTCTCTTTCTGGGCAAGGATATACCTGTAGGCTACTCGGACTGCAATCCAGGTCAACACAGCAATAAGAGCCCGGCGTAAGATCTGTGAAAGACTGTAAGTAAGACAATAATAAACAATAGCTGCCCGAAGCCCTTCCATCGTTCGGCAAACCAGACCTCAACCCCTGGTTTCCGCACAAATGACACCACAGCGGTGCTGGAGCTCTCTAGAGGGCATTGGTTCGCTTAGTGAAAAGAGCTCCAACAACAGCCTTGCCAAGCACAGCACGCGGCCTCCCTGCCAAGCATCTTGATCTTTTGTTTTCAGCATCATCATCTCCGGATCCGGCATTAACCTCCCACCTGGGTGAACACTGGGATCTTTACCTATATGGACGCTATGTTCCTGTACATTTCTTTTCTTCCTTATAACTAACTAATAATAGTAGGTTTATGCATCCTTCCACAAAACAAAGCCAGAATATTCCTCTTAATGCCCTAATACTCCGAGACTTTATCACATATTTAACCTTGTATGAGGCATGTCATTCAACTCTTGGATCTTTCTTTTTCCTGTACGCTTTACCAAATGCTCAACAACGCAGCCTTTTGCCCAGCCCTCACTTTTCACACTTGTTGCTGCCCTACATCTCCCACATTGTTTCCCGTGGAATAGAAACAGCTGATGCAACGAATACTTAAGATGATCGGGAACTCGGGCCTCTAGATGCCTGAATGCCGCTATCTCATTGACTTTCTCTGGCGGCACCCACCCAAGCCATTTTGAAAGGCGAAAAACGTGGGTATCAACGGCAAAGCAAGGCCGTCGAAGGCAGAAGAGCACCACACATGCAGCAGTTTTGACTCCAACCCCTGGATATTTAATGAAATGTTGCATTGCTTCGTCTTTTGTGAAATCATGCATATAGTCCAGGGACAGCACACCCTCATTTCCACTGTCTGCCTTTCCTATCTCCCGCCGTTCTATGTTTTCTGCATGCACCATTTCCAATATTTTTTTGATGCGTTTGCTCTTTGTATCAGCTAAGCCACCGCTTCTTATGGCATCACGGATATCCTTCACCGAGGCTTGCCGCACCTTGTCCCAGTCTACGCTCCCCTTGCCCACTCCAGCTTGGAGAATACCGAACTTTTGAACCAGACCCTGAAATGCCATTGCTGCGTTGGTGCTGGTTGTTGCACCGCTCAAAAAAGTGCGGATTAGGGCGTCCAGAACGCATGGCACTTCCCCACAACCAGTTACTGTCAATGATGGTGGTGGTATTTCTTTAGGCGCTTTAACATCTCCGTGTTCATTTGACAGTAGACGGGCTACCTCCTCACATTCCTCGGCTGTTGGGCTCAACCATGTAGGAAACGGCGTGATGTTAAAATCCAACTTATGACTTCGGCGTATAGACTCAGGTGCCATGTCTTCTTCTTTGATGCTAATTGACTCGTGCTTGTCTATCAGCTTCGATGCTGGTATTTGCACCGGTATGTTCGGGACATGGTTGATGACCATCTTCGAAGGAACTATTTACGCAGCCACCAGTGAAAGACGAGCCAACCACAGCTGCAGGGCAATGTAATTCACAAAATGCCTTAGATACTAAAATGGGGTGCCGACCAATAATGCTGTACTTTGAAGGTTGTATTTTCGTCGGTTGTTGAGGGGTGATAGAATTGGTAGGTACCACCGTGCTTCCCTGGCTGGCACCAGGATACAGGTCCAGAATGCCACACTTTGCCACATAATTAACTTTGTGCCCTTATACGACTAAAGTGCTTGATCTACTAATTCTAGACTATAAAAACCGTGAGGAAACGAAACATATACTGATCATTTTCCATTCAAATTGTTCTAATCATATACAGCAGAAGCAAACCTGAAATATATCTATAATTATAAGATAGGTACAGTGTTGTTTGCAAAGTCTCAGTGGCCCCCATACTACTAAATGAAATGTCCTGTGAATCCAACTGCCTCCCAAATGACATCACCCATTCCGCTCCATGCCATCACCATGTTAAGCCCAGAAGGCTTCAGCATAAAATTTAGGCGTAGTCTCCAAAATTATGCAAGGAGATATCCATTCGGTCTTTGACTTGTGGGGGACGATCTGCCCCATCATTTTGATGGTTTTTAGAGCCCATAGCAAGTTGCTCAGGGTACATAGATGGAGTGGGCACGGCTTTACTCTTTGCATCTAACGTAACTCCATTTGCTTCAGTATGTGCATCCGGTGAACTAACGGGTTTGGGTTTTCGCCCTTCGCCACGGGCCTTTTCCAGACGATCAAAGTAGCCTTCTGAAACTGGTGTCACGTAGTCCCCACAGAAGACGCCGACCTCGAATTTGGTAGGTTCTTCTAGGCCGTTTTCTTTGGAAATCTCAGCGCAGGCATCCTTTAGATCATCTAGGGTCTGATAGATAATTGTGTCAGCGCCAATATGAGCCGCAACCGATTCTGTATCGCGGTTATGCGCAACTAGTTCCTGCGGTGAAGCAAGATCAATACCATAGATATGAGCATGGCTAGAAAGTAACGTTAGCAGTCGTGATGTATGAGTAAAAAAAGATAAGCCTACGTAATTTTAGGCGCGCAGCTGGCGAAATGCACAGTCTTCGCGCCAGCATCCCTTGCCATCGTGACAATTTCGCGACTCGTTGTGCCACGAACAATACTATCATCAACCAAGAGGACATTCCGGCCTTTGAATTCCGATTTCATGGCGTTAAGCTTTCGCCGGACGCCTTTTTGTCTGGCCTTCTGTTCTGGCATGATGAACGTTCGAAAAACATATCGATTTTTCACAAACCCTTGGCAATATGGTTTATCAAGAAACCGCGCGACACTGGCGGCCGATGTATTAGACGTCTCTGGGATTGGAATGACAACATCAATTTCTTCTATAGCCTTGGGCCCCAGTACATCAACCACGCGCTGTGCGAGTTTGTTACCCATGCGTTGTCGGCTTCGATAGACACTGATGCCATCAATAACGGAGTCCGGGCGGGCAAAATAAACATATTCAAAAATATCAGGTGCATATGCTTTCTTCGGGCACACCTGACGGAATACTGGTTCGGTTCCCTTTCGAATAATAACAGCTTCCCCAGGTTGAATATCTCGAATGTTGGAGAAGCCAAGCTGGTCCAGAGCAACAGACTCGGACGCCATCATATAATCCATACCAGAGCCGTTGGTGGATTGGCGCGAACCCATCACCAAGGGACGAATGCCATAAGCATCACGGAAACCAAGGACACCAAAGCCCGCCAACATGGCGGTGCAGGCCCATCCACCTTCGCAGCGCTCATACATTTTTGTCAACGCAGTGAAGATATCTTCACAGTTGACACGGACCTTTTTTGTTTCATTCAACTCATTCGCGAAAACATTCAGCATTAATTCGCTGTCACTATCGGTGTTGATATGCCGGTGCGCCTCATAGTCAAGATATCGTTTGAGCTCGATAGCATTAATCAGGTTGCCGTTGTGAGCCAAGCAGATACCATAAGGACTATTAACGTAGAACGGCTGCGCTTCTGCGTTAGCACTGCTGCCCGCAGTTGGGTATCTTAAATGAGCGATCCCCATGAAGCCAGGCAAATCGGCCACGCGTGCACCGTCATGAAAGACTTTTGCGGCCATTCCATTTCCTTTGCACTGGAATATCCGTCCACCTGATGCACATGTTGCTATGCCACAAGCGTCCTGACCACGGTGTTGAAGTAGATACAACGCTTCATGGAGGTCGACGCTGGCAGACTCTGAAGCATTGGCTAATATCAGGGCAAGAATTCCGCACATTATGAGATGTGTTCCTTATGAGTATATCTGAAGCAAGAATAAAGGATTAGCAGATTCTTTTGACAACTAACATCCGCCAGAGTAGTATGGGAAAAGAGTGGTCTAAGAATCAGATATATGGTGTTTTCCGCAATGTTTGTTCAGAAGTCTAACATCCAAATATTCCATTTTAAATCATCATAGGAACAAAGACCGCACAAAATGAAAGCTATACTCGGGGGACGTACTTTGCTGCTATATCCCCGTAATTATAGTTGTTGGTGTTTGGCAGGTATCTACTCATGGAATGAGCAGGAGGGTGCAGTTGAAGACTGGGATAAGCCGTTCAGGACATTGAGAGAGTGGAGAAAGAAGAGAGTAGTACAATGCGGGTAGAGAGGGACAAACCAAACAGTGTTCCGGCGGAGAGCCCTGGCATATTGAAAGCTGAAATAAAACTTCCCCGGACGAAGGAAAAATCTCTCTTTTTGCGGTGAATTTTGTCCCCTACAATACGCGCTGTTTGGTACGGTACGCGACATGGGTGCCCCGCGGGCTAAAAGCGGCGTTCCGGCGGATTTTCACCGAAAATTCGGTTCTCGGGATGAAATGGTATTGTATCCTAGCCGCGTCACCTGACCTGGTTCGCGCGAACCGAGAAATTCGAGTGCAACGGCCAGTGAATTGTTGACGGCCTTGCTGGGGTCGGATCGATAGTGCGGAGAGAACTTGGGTTCGCGCACGAGACTGCTGCCCTGCCCTGGATATGATTTGCTCTTCCCCTGACTCGGCTGCGGCTTCGACAACGTCCGAACGCCATCCCTTGCCTGGACATAGATAACTGTGCCGTGTTGTTTTGATATGTTGGATAGCCTCAACATATGGCCTTTTGCCTTCTTAAAACCATAAAATTGCACCTCGGAAAATACAACTTTTATCCGAGCGCAATTTCTAATTGATATCTGCATACCCAGTACTGAGTACCTCTCACGTACCCTCCAAACCAGCCGTCAACTATCATCCGACACTTGCCATCACTGGTTGATGCAGTGAAATTGTCACCCTTGCTTTGTTTTACGACCCACTCCCTGGAATCTCTCTCCAACTGTGACAGTAAAACTTTTTCGCACTTGTCTCTTTCAACATCCTGCCTCTCTCGGTTGCTAGGAGTGGTACTGCTTAGACTCTACCACGTAGGGCTTGAAAATGTTTCCTTTGCACCTTCATTACAACATGCAGGTCAGATGCTTTTAGAGCGTCTTTGTTGATTGCCTGATGGCTTTTGTGATTTCTTATTATGTGTTGTGGGAGTGAATCATTACAATGTCCCATTTAATGCCCCTTGGGCCATGGGCTTCTTTAACAACACATCATCCTCCGCTTCTCAGTCTTGTCATCATATTTTTTGTCTTTGCACTATTTTTCTCTGTCAGTGCATTCCCACCATAATGTCATTTTCTCATACTGGCATCAATTTTTATCACAAGCTGTCTTGAGCTTTTGGAAATGGCCTTTGAGGAAGCGATCATCATCGATGATGATGATAGCAGTGTGACTCTTGCAGCCGAGGATGAGCTGCACCCTCTTACTGAAAATACCTTTGGACCAGAGGACTTTATGACAGATGATGATTTTGAATCCTACATTACAGGACTGTCTGTCAATGTTACCAACACGGCCCCCTTACTTTCTCCACCCCCAACGCCACGCTCCAGCAGACGACTCATTTTCGAGACTTCGATTGGCAAAACGGCATACAAACTAGGAAAGTCAGTTGAGTTATTTGATGGCACCTTTTTACGCATTCAAGAATTGCTATGTGACGAGAGGGAAGATGTGTTCCTGCGCGGCCCCCGATTTCAACGTTTAGAGCATATGGACAGCCTTGTTCCTGATAGAACGAACGAACTGTGTTGGGTGATTGACATGAAGCTAGAAAATGAATATGATAATGTCGAAGAAGTGCCAATAACCAATGTTAAGGGCCTAAGGATTATTCGTCTAACAAACCAACCATACCCTGGATTGGAGGCCAGCGGGGGTCTTTTTCGCAATGTTGAAGAGTATCGGCAAGAAGGACCTCTTTTTTGCCGGTTTAAGTATGTGCGAGTTTGGAATAGGTCAGATACGCGCAAACCTCGTGTTGTGGAGGAGGCGATGGTATTTTTGCAAGGAGAGGAATGTGACTCCGGCTTTAGGGTCGAGTCGACTGCTCTTCGCGAATCTTGGAGAGGCCCAACGTCGTTAGGCGGGAGCTACACATCGCCTTTCATAGACCTTACGGGAAGCAATGAATGCAGGCTGCAATATACATTTGGAGACGGGTTTTGTGGTGCTGGAGGTGTTTCTCGTGGAGCACTACAGGCAGGATTACATGTACGATGGGGCTTTGACAAATGTCCAAAAGCCATGGATACTTACCGACTTAATTTCAGAACGGCGATCGGGGAAACATGCGAAGTAGTTCATTTCCTCACAAATGACATCAAAGACATTATGGTTGATGTCTTGCACTTTTCACCGCCTTGCCAAACGTTTTCCTCGGCGAAGACAGTTGCTGCAGCTTCAGACAATGCCAACGAGGCATGCATCTTCTCTGCCAGAGAGCTACTATTAAGAGTCAAGCCGAGAATAGCAACCATGGAAGAAACTTCAGGCCTCCAAGAGCGCCACAAAGAATTTCTATATGCAATAATCCATACGTTTGTCGAACTTGGCTACTCTATACGATGGAAGCTTCTTGCCTGTGAGGCGTATGGCGTCCCACAGCAGCGCAAAAGACTTGTGTTAATTGGAGCCGGGTAACTAAACATCGGACACTTACCTCTTTTGAAAAGCTAACATAAATCCCTTAGGCCAGGCGAATCTCTCCCTCGGTTTCCGAGACCCACACATGGCCCTCCAGGCTCTGGTCTCCAGCCTTTCCGCACCATTCGAGATGCTATTGGCGGCATCTCCGAAAACGCCCCTGACCATGATCCGGAGCGCGCATTCTTCCGCAACATCACCAAGCCAGCATACTCCCCTTATTCTTTTGCAAAGACTATTACCTGCAATGGTGGCGATAATTTCCACCCGAGCGGCACGAGAGCGTATACCCACCGGGAGGCGGCGTGTCTTCAGACATTTCCTATGGATCACCGATTCTGTGGGGTTGGAACGTTGAAACAAATTGGGAATGCGGTGCCTCCAATGTTAGCGAAGGCAATGTTTGAAGAGATCATTAAAGAGCTGGAAAGCAGCGATCGAGCGTCTCGGTGATATTACTGTTGGTTAATAACGTATATCATGCTGACGCGGTTGGTGCTCTACTTTGATGCAATAAACCGTTTAAAATCCGTCACGAGCCTGGTATGTCTCTCACTCAAGGGTAACACAATGCCATTGTCGGCCAATGTTTGTTATGATTTAGAATCGGATATATGTATGTATATGCAAATATTCAAAGTCTTTGTATGTACATATGTACAGAAGAAGTATTATCGCCAATTCGTAAGACCTTGTTTTAGCGCTCATTTCGCAGAGATTTCCAACCGTGATGCATAAAAGAGCACTCCGTGTTTGTTTCTAGTTGATGTAACTAGCAAGTACAGATCTTTTTAGTGGTTGTTTTGCCTCCAAGGGTACAAAATATCTCGAGCTAATTGAAATTCTGATTTGCAAGAGGGAAGCTGCATGGGAACTACTTACGTGGACGATCGATCTAAGATATCTTCGTAATTATCCACAACACATTCTAAATTTTAAAAACCTGAGGTGGTGTCAGCAGGACGTGAAATACAGAATCTAGACTGAACAATGGGATTAGTAAATACCTGACTCCGTATTCCCTTCACCCATGCTCTTGTTCGAGCTACTGCCGCTGAGTATGGAGCCCAGAATACCATCGACATAAGGAGCGCCACTCCATCTTTGGTGCGTGAGGACGTCAACACCGATCTCCTTCTCTCGTTTCTGAATTAGATTGACGTAAGAAAGCATTCCATCTTCTTTGAATCCTCTAGAAAGCTCTGTGGTGATGGTGGCATTTGAATGAAGTCCAGCCAGGGAAATAAGTTGGAGTACAAAACTGAGAGATATTAGCATACTGACTTTGAATGCATCCTCATTTTTGAGCCACTTACCCGTGCTTTGCGAGATCCCAGATAAATGACCGAAGGCTCGCCTCATCAAAGCCCTGGCCCATCCAGTTGAACGATGGGCTGAGATTATAGACCAGCTTCTTCCCCGGAAATTGTTTTCGAATTTCACCGGCGAATCCAGCAGCAACTTCGACATTAGGGTCTCCAGTTTCAACCCACAGAAGATCAGCGTATGGAGCGAAATTAATAGCACGTTTGGTGGCTGCTGCCTCGCCTGCCCGATAATGATAGAATCCTTCCCGGGTCCTTGGGATATCCCACGACCAGAATACTGGGTTCTTTGTCAGTGTGTTTGCAAAAGCTCGCCGTTCAGAGATGGACCAGTCCCTGTTTTGGTGCACTTTGGTCTTATATTCAGTGATTGTAGACGCTGAAGCTTTCTCGCTAGCAAGATGTTGTTCCACAGCTAGATAGGATGTTAGTCAAAATTAACTAGGTTGAGATAGTGAGGCATGTTTACCTTCATCAAATGTTACGAGCTTATGATCCTTCACCCATTTCAATTCGAACTTATCGATTTCGGCTCCGGATGCGCCGCTAAGTTCCATTTTTTGCAATGTTTCAGAGAGAGGTGCCGTGTTTTCAGTCACCCCGAGAATAAATTCATGATCACGAACATCGATGGTGCTGCTAAGCAACTTTCCACTCTCAGAATCAGTTCTGGCAATGAGGAGGTTCTCAGTGCCCAGAAGGTCCCACTGAAACCTAGCTGCTACTAGACGATTGATATGTTCGGCAATAGGCACCAAAACCTTTCCAGCCAGATGACCACATTTCTTTCCGCCGTGAAGTTGGTCCTCGAAATGAACGGCTGCTGCTCCATTTTCAGCAAACAACTTTGCAAGCTTCATCACGGCAGTTAAGCCCCCATGGCTACCTAGTATCAGTTCTCGTAATTCAAACCAGGAAATAAGCACAAACTGACCCTGTATCTCCATCTGCAACGATCGGTCGCATATAATCGGTGTACGGTGTGCTCTTCCTCTGCTCAGCAGTCATTTTTCGCCTAAGATCCCAGTTTTTGCGATCGTGCAGCTGCTGTGCCTTGAACATTCTCTGCACCTGGTTTGGAACAGTATTGTATGGATAGTCGCCGAAATCAGCGGAGACCTCGTTGGTGGTGGTGAGAAGGGAAGAGCACGCCCATCCGGAGATGTATAGGGCTTCTTGGTTTGGGGCTTGCTGCGTCATCTGGACCGGATCAACAGCACCGACTATACGGCATCAATAGCCATATCAAAAAGAAGCGATCTGGTTGTGATAATAGACTTACGTGTGTGCAGCGGCTCCCCCTTCGCGGCCTTCTCATTCAGTAGATTAAAGAGCTTTCGAGCCATCAGCGAGCTTGGGTATGTCTGCTGCAGTGTTCCACGTTTGCTGACAACATCCTCTGCCGAATAAGGCCGCTTGATACCCTCATATCGAGGCGTTGCCCACCATTGTTTGACCTCATTCACCTGCTCATTGAACAGAGCGTCTTCTGCCAAGCCGGCTTTGTCTGACGCAGAAAGCAGCTGGTACGAATCAGCAGGAAGCTCACGAGAGACGGGTGGCTTCACGGAAGAAAGCTGCGATGCCATGCGAATCGGTGTCCAGAGCAGACGACCGGCTGCGGCGCCACGGGGAGCTGCGGAAGCTCTAGCGACCGGATGGAGCTGGCGGGGGAGGCGACGGGAGACGTTGCGGATCATGGCGTCGGAAACGAGGGTGACGGGAGGGAACGAGGGGCCAGGGCGCTTCTCTGCTCTGGCACTGTTCTCTTCGTCTCTGCTCTGTGATTCTTTTCTTCTCTTTTTCTTCATTCGTCTGGTGTTATCCCCGATTATGTCACCGCCCAGCCGGCGATGCGGGTGTGACCGTACCGTACGGCCCCTGCACGGCCCCGGCGGCCGCGGCGCTGGCGGGCGTTGGCCGGGGTCGTATCATCGCGTATCGGCTAGCGCCGGCGAGCGGCGTGATTGGCCCGAGCAGAGCCGTGGCCTGTCCAGCGCGAAAATCACAAAAAGCGCTTTTGTTTTCGTTTCTCCTCCTCTGCTCAGCTCTCTGCTCTGGTGCAATTGGCCGCGATCCTTGTGCGAGTTATCTAATCGAAGCTGCTGCTGTCCAGCCCTGAGCGTGATGTCGGTCGCCAACCCACTTCTCCGCCGTCTCGCCGCCCGAACCCCACGTTCTTGCGCCCTCCACCGCCTGGCCGCTCCCGCTGCCTCTCTCCGCTCCTCGTCCTCCAGATTCACATCGCCCCGCCAGATCTCTCATCCAAAAGCTTTTTCCACCATGACTGCGCTGCAATCTGCTGCTCCTCCGGCCACTGGCCCCCGGGAATATGACCCGGAGATCAACGACATGGCTGGCTACATTCACAAATACAACGTGGACTCGGATCTCGCGGTATGCACCTGGTCGCTCCCCATGGGAGCCGGAGAGGGAACTTACTTTTTTCTCTAGTTCGACACTGCGCGATGGGTCTTCTTGGACACCCTCGGTTGCGGTTTGGAGGCGCTGAAATTCAAAGAGTGCACAAAACTCTTGGGCCCGATTGTGCCGGGAACGGTCGTTCCCAATGGCACCAGGGTCCCCGGAACCCCATTCCAGCTTGATCCTGTGAACGGTGCTTTCAACATTGGCGCTATGATCCGCTGGCTGGACTACAACGACTGCTGGCTCGCGGCCGAGTGGGGTCACCCATCGGACAACTTGGGTGGCATTCTTGCTGTCGCTGACTGGATCTCCCGCACCAACCGCGCCGGCGGGAAGTTGGGTAACGGCAAAGTCTTGAAGGTCCGTGATGTTTTGGAAGCCATGATCAAGGCCCATGAAATCCAGGGTGTCCTTGCTCTGGAAAATTCATACAACAAGGTCGGGTTGGACCATGTTGTCTTGGTGAAGGTTGCAACGACTGCCGTTGTTTCCAAGCTCATGGGCTTGACTGAGCAGCAGACTGCTGATGCCATCACCCAAGCCTGGGTTGATGGACAGAGCTTGCGCACCTACAGACACTCCCCCAACACCATGTCTCGGAAATCCTGGGCCGCCGGCGATGCCTGCCAACGTGCAGTCAACCTCGTGCTGAAGGTCCAGAAGGGCGAGCCTGGTATTCCCACGGTTCTCTCCGCTCCTGTTTGGGGTTTCTATGATGTTCTTTTCAAGGGCAATAAATTCCAATTCCAGCGTCCCTATGGAAGCTACGTAATGGAAAACGTTCTCTTCAAGGTTTCCTATCCAGGTATGCATCATACGTGCCGCATCGTCTTTATCAGGGTGAAATATTAATTGGCGTTGTAGCGGAATTCCACTCTCAGACCGCCATTGAAGCCGCAACCAAGGTCAATGCCACTCTCGCTAAGATGGGCAAAACTGCCGAAGACATCAAGGAGGTGACCATTAGAACACATGAAGCTTGCGTCCGCATTATCGACAAACAATTCAAGCCCATGGACAACTTTGCTGACCGTGATCACTGCATCCAGGTACGTTCCAGGCGAAGCCCAGTGTTGGTATCTGTGCTGACAAGCCCTTTTGTTTTAGTACATGGTTGCAACTATGCTCGTATTCAACCGTCTTGTGGCTACTGACTACACCGATGGATCTGAGGCTGCAACATCTCCATTACTCGAATCTCTCCGCAAACGCATTCGATGCGTCGAGGACCCTCAGATGACCAAGGACTACCATGACCCTGCTCTCCGCACCATCCCCAATGCGCTCACGGTCACGCTGAACGACGGAACCGTCCTTGAGGAAGTCGTTGTTGATGCGCCTCTTGGCCACCGTCTCCGTCGCGAGGAGGCCAAGCCCGAGATCCTGGCCAAGTATAAGCGCCATCTTGAGGCGCACTACGATGCCTCCAAGGTTCAAAGCCTTATTGACCTGGGCTTGAAGCAGAAGGAGCTCGAGAACACGGATGTTGATAAATACGTCGACATGTACGTAAAGGAGAAGGTGGACTTTTAGATGTTTGAAGGGTGTTCATAGATACCGCTGTGCTTTTGGATGCTGTTGTGCTGGTCGTTCGAACCTGTTCCTTGTTCTTGCAGTGCTTTGGGCGGTTTGAGATTCATAGGGAGCTGCAGGCCTGGTTTTCGCAGACCATTGCGACTCTGTAACTATTACATAGAGAAAAGCATGTGAAGCCAATATGTATATCACGAAGAGTGCTTTGGGCTGCGGCATTCCGATTCCCTGTTGTCGCGCCAGCCCCCAGTCACGTGCCCTCCCAATCGGGCAACTGACGGGCTTGCTAGCCAGCGACAGCGCACACGCCGGGCGATTCATGAGCACCGTTCGGGCTAGGACGACGGCCCAAAGGAGCCAGATGGCCGGCCTGCGCAACAGGCTTAGAAGGCGGCGAGACGGCGCTGAAACTGTGGGCGCCCTCTCCTGTAACAGCTCCACGGCGCTTGGCAGCGGTGGCCAGCCGCGCGGCGGGGGCCCTGGTGGTGGGCATCGATCGGGTGGTGTAACACGCCCAGATCGAACGCACCGCCAGCTCCCGACGACACCACCGCTTCTGGAAAAGGATTTCATGCGACACTTCCGGGGCCGCCCTAAAGCAAGGGGGTGGGCGGGGCCTGGCAGTCTTGCTGCGATATGCGTCTCTGCTTGGTGCTTGTTTCCTCCACTTGCGTGTCGGGGAGATGGGGCCGCTGATACTTAAGCCGGTTCATCGTCTGCACGGCCGTGCGCAATGAAGCTGCTCTCTGCTGCAGGTTTTCAGCGGCTGCTGGTTTTTCGATTGCTGCTTTTTTGAATTGTCGTACCGCACGTTTGGCTGCTGCTGGAAAGCGGGAAGATACCCCCCAAGAAGGCCCGGCGCTCTATTCCGCCCTTTGCTCTTATCATTGATGTGAGAAAGGTATTGAATAAAAGCAACTATTTACAGCCATTTACTGCCATGAAGGCTCATTTCGCAATCGCGTCGACGCTGTTCGGCCTTGCCCTGTCGCAGGCAAAGGTTCCTTCCGACCTCTCCAGCGGCTTTGGATCAGGCTCCATAGGCCTACAGCTCAGCTTTGGTGGCGATGCCTCCGATGGCTTATCGAGCGGCGCTGTGGTGTCGAAAGATGGTGAGCACAAGACCCTTGTCTAGAATAACTACACAGTGCAGTCATTCTGACCGTAGCTAGATGCATCGAAAACGCCCAGCTTCGCCTTGACAGATGCCTCTGGTGTTAACAGAGCCGTCTCATTTACCATTATGATGATTGACACCACAGAGCAAGGGTCCCGCAAGCTCCACTATTTGCACACCGATTTTAAAGCAACCGGCGAAAAGACAAAGCTGGATTCGTCCACCAAACCCCTTGTTGCCTACGGAGCTCCCGGCAGCTTTGGTGAGAACGGAAAAAGGGAATACACGTTCCTATTGTATCGTCAAACCGGCGATGGCAAGATGAGCGACGTCCCCAAGGGGGGAGACTCTATCGACGTGAAACAATTCCAACAGAAAAATGGATTGCAGGATGCACGAGCCGGTGTCGCTTTATCTGTAGATATGGGAGGAGGCAGTGGTGGTGGCGGCGGCGGCGGCGGTGGTGGTGGTGGTGGTGGTGATGGTAACAGGCCGCCCAATCGGCCGCCCCCTGACTCCCCAGCCATTACCTCCACTGCTACTCGTGAGAGAGAATCACCGGCCTTCCCTATTGCGATACCTCCAGCGCAACCGCCCCCCACACCCCCTGCCGCCGCGCCCCCTGCTATCCCAGTTCCCGCTCCCGCTCCCGCTCCAGCTCCAGCGCCCATCCCTGCACCAGCGCCTCCAGCTGCTCCTGCGCCTCCGTCAAACCCCGGTGCCATTGCGCCTCTTGTACCCGTTGCGCCCGGCGACGCCAACCGGAACCAAAACCCCAGCTCCAGCCGCACCACCGAATCCGCGTCGACGCCTCAGGTCATCCAAGGCCCTGGTACGTCTGTTGCCTCTGCAAATAGCACTTCCACCCCTAGCGTGCGGCCAGCTAACAACGGCACGGCGGCGTTGCCTCTGCCAGACCGGCCTACCGCATCGCGCACCCAGCCCGCCGTTTCCAATACCGGTGGCCAGGGCGCGGAAACGAGCTTCGTGTTTGTTTCTCCGTCCGGGGCCAGCAATGCGGCTGGCAACTCGCAGCCGAGCGGATCGGGCGCGGCCTTGAATTCGCAGGGCGGGCAGAACTCGGGAGCCACGGCGATGGCAGTCGGGCCCCTGGGCGTCGCGGGCGCTCTGGGTGTGGTCGGGTGCGCTGTGATTTTTGGTCTGTGAGGTGGTTGTTGATGGGCTGGATGCTCGTGTGGCCACCGGGTGGCAGTTTGTTAATGGACGGCATACCAGCGATTGACTTGCTGGAATTTGGAGTTTATTTTATTTACTCGGACAGCTAGACGCTAGGTACATGGTTTGACTTTGTTTTCAAACGTAATTGGAGGCTGTTGCTTGTATGTTTTTTTGGGCTATTGTTTTGGGTTGGGATTAATGCCGGTACTCGCGGTAGCTCGGCGTGGGTAATACTGGATATGCCTACGGAGTCCAGTCCGTGGTACATGTAAAGACACAATGAGCGGCGGTAGAATTGTTGAGACAAAAGCATGGTTAGATACGACTCCGTAGTTAGTTAATTTGAATCCTCTGTTTCTTTTTTGTCATGCAGGCCCGCGCGGCTCTTTTCGCAGGGATCAACACGCGAGCCAGCGTCTCCGGCAGCCCATATCCAATACTAATAATAAGTTGGCGAGCTGTTCGTCTGTCAACAGACAGAACAACTACTGGATTGCGGCACCAAACACCATCCTCCTACGCGACGGTTTCCCTTCGGGCCTTGGCCTTCGACTTGCCGCCAATCCTTCCCCAAGCCGGGCATCCAAGCGAAAAATGCCGAGGTCGAAGCGCCCCCCAACGGACGCCCCAGGCCTCTGCACCCCGGGTTTCCTTCAACGGCTACTCCGCCCCGCGGGATACAGAGGGGGGGGAACCGGGACTATATGTAAGGTGCAGGACAGCATTGACTATCTGACTAGTTTTGAGCGCCTTTTTTGCGCTTCTGTCGTGTATTTCGGTCGTGCATAGGCTCTTTGTTCGCGAATAGGGGGAATCGATCCGTGCCCGCCACATAACATAACAGAGCTTTGTTTATACCCTTCTTGCTACACTACATTTCCATAAAACGAAACCGTGAATCGAATGGGCTAAGATGGTCTTGCGTATTTATCCTCCCCAGTCCTATATACACCGTGCCTCGCTAACGCTGCGACCAGCTGTTGCCGCCGCCGCCGCCCTGGTGGCCGGCAGTGCCACGGTGGGTGCGTATCTCAATGCCAAGTACCACATCCACCAGGACCTGTCGGCGATTTTCGAAATGAAGGCCATCGAGCGCGCCGTGGCTCGCGCAGGTACGCATTTCCTCTCCTCTCGGACACCACTCAACGGAGCATCGGCTGAGCGTGTATGTATGTATTAATTAGCGGCCAGCGGGACCATGTCGACGTGGTACTTGTTCGAAGACAAGGTGAAGAAGTACCCCCACGCCCGCTGCATCTGGACGCGCGAAGTCGAGTACACCTTCCAGGAGACATACGACCTGGTGTGCCGCTATGCGAACTACTTCCTGTCCCTGGGCATCACGCGCGGCGACCTGGTGGCCGTGTACCTGCAGAACTGCGCCGAGTTCCCGATCGTGTGGACGGCGCTGTGGGCCATCGGCTGTGCGCCGGCTCTGATCAACTACCACCTGGCCGGGCCGGCGCTGCTGCACTGTCTGAAAGTCAGCAGCGGCACATTCCTGCTCGTCGACCCCAGCGCGGAGTGCCTGCAGCGCATCGAGGAGCAGAAGTCGGCCATCGAGACGGAGCTGGGCATGACGCCGCTGGTGCTGGACGACGCCCTCAAGGCGTCCATTGAGACCTTCCCCGCCACGCTGCCGGACGACTCCTTGCGCCGCGGCATCAGCGGCGACGCGCCGTCGTGCCTGTTCTACACCAGCGGCACGACCGGCCTGCCCAAGGCGTCGGCGTTCACGATGGCCCGCCTGCACGCGACGGCGCTGATGGGCGCGCGGCGCGACCGGCCCGGCGTCGACGGCGACGTGTGGTACAACTGCATGCCGCTGTACCACGGCACGGGCGGCGTGCGGCTGCAGGTGTGCCTGTGCAGCGGGGCGGCGGCGGCGATCGGCCAGCGGTTCAGCACGCGCAGCTTCTGGCGCGAGGTGGTGGATGCGCGCGCGACGCACTTCATCTACGTGGGCGAGACGGCGCGGTACCTGCTGGCGGCGCCGGCGTCGGCGCTGGACCGCGCGCACGGCGTGCGCGGCGTGTACGGCAACGGCTTGCGGCCGGACGTGTGGGAGGCGTTCCGCGAGCGCTTCGGCATCGCGCAGATCTGCGAGTTCTTCAACAGCACCGAGGGCATGTTCGGCCTGGTCAACGTCAACCACGGCGCGTACACGGCGGCGTGCGTCGGCCACCACGGCGCGCTGCTGCGCTGGCTGCTGCGCGACACGTACGTGCCCGTGGCCGTGGACGCCGCCACGGGCGACATCGCGCGCGACCCGGCCACGGGCTTCGCGGTGCGCAGCGCGTACGAGGACGGCGGCGAGATGCTGGTGGCCGTGGCCGACGAGCAGGCGTTTCAGGGCTACTGGCGCAACGCGGCCGCCACGCAGCAGAAGTTCGTGCGCGACGTGTTCCGCGCCGGCGACCTGTGGTACCGCACGGGCGACGCGCTGCGGCGCTCGGCCGACGGCCACTGGCACTTCCTCGACCGCCTGGGCGACACGTTCCGCTGGAAGTCGGAGAACGTGTCGACGGCCGAGGTGGCCGCCGTGCTGGGCCAGTACGCCGGCGTGGTCGAGGCCAACGTGTACGGCGTGGCGCTGCCGCACTACGAGGGCCGCGCCGGCTGTGCGGCGGTGCTGCTGGCGCCCGGTGCCGCTGCTGCCGCCGACGCGCGCGGCTTCGATTGGTCTGGGCTGGTGCGGCATGCGCGCGCGCGGCTGCCGCGCTACGCGGTGCCGGTGTTTATCCGGCTGGTGCGGGCGTCGAACCACATCCACAACAACAAGCAGAACAAGGTGCCGCTGCGGGCCGAGGGCGTGGATCCGGCCAAGAGGGGCACGCAGGTGCCGGACGGCGCGGCCGACCGCATTCTGTGGATGACGCCCGGCGACGACACGTACCGCGAGTTCACGGTGCAGGACTGGGAGAGCCTGGTGGCGAGCCAGGTGCGGCTGTAACTAGTTGAGATTGGGAGGAATTAAACGATATCGGAATACTAGCGTCCCTCTATGTACATATATCGGGCGGTGAACATGAGCATACGTAACAGTTACATACAGACAATATCATCATATACAAGCCTGCCACCTCGCCTCCGGCTCGGCGTCCACTACAGGCCGATGCGCCGCTGCGGCCAGGCCAGGGCCTCCTCGAGCGGGCGGCTGGTGGGCTGCACGGCGGCGGCGAGCTCGACGATGAGGGCGCGGCCGGCGTTGCGGGCCCACCAGCGCTGGCCGTCGAGCTGGTGCAGCAGCACGGCCCAGTGCATGAGGATGAGCACGGGCAGGGGCTGGCGGCGCTGCACGGCGGCGACGAAGCCCTTGTCGACGAGCGCCAGCCAGGCCAGCACGGCGTCGATGGAGGCCACGAGCACGAAGCGGCGGCAGCAGCGCAGCAGCAGCGCGATGGCGTCCTGGTTGGCGCGGTGGGCGCGCGGCTGCGCCGTGTCCAGCGCGGCGTCGTTGAGCGCCGCCAGCCGGCGCAGCGCACGCTCGGTGTCGTCGTCGGTGTGCGCGGCGGCCGCGCGCGCCCAGAAGTCCGACTTGGACGCGAACAGCGAGCCCTCGTGCTGGCCCAGCCACGCGCGCGCGATGATGAAGATGTTGCCGACGCCCTGCAGCAGCTCGAACACGAACACGATGTGCTCGGTGGGCGAGCGCGGGTCGCGGCTGGCGTCGTCGCCGCCGGGCGTGTGCGGCAGCGCGAGCCCCAGCGCCGTGGTGATGACGGAGTGGGCCAGCAGCGGCTCGCAGTTGACGGGCGTGATGGTGTCGAGGGCGCGGCGGAAGGGCGCCAGGGCGCGGTTGTAGTACTGGAGCGCGGTGTCGACGTACGAGAGCGCGGCGGGCGCGGGCAGGGCGCTGGCGCGGTGCAGGGCGGCCAGGGCGAGCATGCCGTCCATGAGGAAGTCGTAGCCCAGCGCCTTGCGCGGCAGCACGATCTGCCACGCGTGCTGCTCCGAGTCCTCGATGCACAGGCTGCGGTACGTGTCCGTGGCGAAGTGGTGCATCAGCTCGAGGTCGCGCAGCGCCGCCTGCCGCGCGAGCGGGCGTTCCACCTCCAGGTCCAGCTCACGCGGCACAAGCTCGTGCGGTTCACGCTGCGGCTCATGCTGCTGTTGTTGTTGTTCATTCTCATGCGGCTGCGAGGGTGGCACGGACGGGCTGGAGACGGCGGTGCTGGCGGGGCGCGAGAAGGCACAGGCGATCTCGCGGCGGCGGCACTGCGCACAGGGCGGGCCGTCCTCGTCGCACTGGACAGTCAGCGAGAGAATTGAAAGGTAGAGACGGAAATAGACACCTTGACGCGGCGGCGCTTGCACTGGTCGCAGCCGTTGCGCGACTTCTTATGCGGCCGGCGGGGAGGCATCGGGCGGCATGGCCCGGGGCCGACGGCGGTCGTCTGGGTCTCACTCTCGCTCTTCGTCAAGGGGGAGGGTGGCAGCGTCGGATCGGGTTCGCTTGCCTGTTCTGTTCGTGTGGCCGGGCGGGCTGTTTTGCGTCGCTTGCTCGTTCGTTGCGCGTTCGATGTAGGCGTTGAGACAGCGAGAGCGAGAGCGAGAGCGAGAGCGAGAGCGAGCGGGGGGGGGAGTGGGAACGAGAACGAGAACGAGAACGGGAACGAGCGGGTGTTCCAACGCCGAACGAGAACGACGGCGACCAGCAGCAGCAGCAGCAGCGATATAAAGGCGGTGCCTGCGCAGCCGGTGTAGCGATTCTGTGTGCTGCAAGGCTTCTTCTTGCTCTTCTGTGCCTGATTCCTGTTGTTGTGCGGGTCGACTGTGATCCGCACGCACGCTCGCTCGCTAACTAACATCCCCGTCTCGGGGCTCGATAACCAAGAATTACTCTCATGATGGACGGCATGGCGGCGATGGACTTCTCGCACTGCACGCAGGTCAGCGTGCTCTGCCCGGTGCAGGCGACGACGTACGGCTACTACCCGCACCGGGCGGGCAACGCGTTCCTGGCGGCGGTGTTCGCGGGGTGCGCGGTGGTGCAGGGGGGCGTGGGGGCGGTGGGCGCGGGGCGCGGGGCGTGGGCGTTCACGGCGGCGGTGGCGCTGGGGGCGCTGCTGGAGCTGGCGGGCTACGTCGGGCGGCTGCTGCTGCACGGCAACCCGTGGGCGGCGGGCGCGTTCAAGCTGCAGATCGTGACGCTGATCCTGGGGCCGACGCTGGTGGCGGCGGCCATCTACGTGTCGCTGGCGCGGCTGGTGCGGTTCCTGGGGCCGGCGCACTCGCGGCTGGCGCCGCGGTGGTACACGGCGGTGTTCATCGGCTGCGACGTGGTGTCGCTGGTGCTGCAGGCCATCGGCGGCGGCGTGGCGGCGGCGGCCGGGCGGACGAACGCGCGCCAGCTGGACGCGGGCAACAAGGTGATCCTGGCGGGCATTGCGTTCCAGGTGGCCACGATGGCGGCGTGCGGGCTGCTGGCGCTGGACTTTGGGGTGCGGGCGGCACGGCACGGGGCGTGGGCAGCGGCAACAGCAGCAGCAGAGAAGCCACAGCAGCAGGCACCGCGATGGCGATGGCGGTGGACGGGCGAGCAGGTGTTCTGCGCGGCGCTGGCGCTGGCGTACGGCGCGGTGCTGGTGCGGTGTATCTACCGGTGAGTGAGGGCCTCTGCGCGTGACTGGCCAGCCCTAACCCTATGTCCCTAGACTGCCGGAGATGGCGGGCGGCTGGGGCAACCCGCTGATGCGCAACGAGCGCGAGTTCCTGGTGCTGGACGGGGGGTGAGTCTACTGGTGGTTCTTTCGTATCCTCTCTTGTTTACTGACGGGCTCTCCCAGCATGGTCGCGCTGGCAGTCGTGGCGCTGACGGCCTTCCACCCGGGGCTGTGTGCGCGCAACCTGTTCGCGCGCTACGAGTCCGTTTCTCGGCCCTGTGCTGACTCAGCTCACGTGCGCACCGGGGCTGCACGGCATGGTTCGCCGCCTGCGACACGCCATGCAGCCTGCTAAAACACACTACCGCCGCACCCCTGAGTCCTGCGCCGCCCGCCGATCGTCATCACGCGGGCCGTCGTCTCTTTTGTCTTTCTCGCTCTCCTTCTCTCCTTTTTTCTCTTCTCTTCTCTTCTCTACTCTGCTCTTCGCTACCCTGCCCTGCTCTCCCCTCGCTCCCCGCCCCGGCATGCCCGCCGGCCCCCCCCCGCCATGCGCGCCCTGCTGCTGCTGCTGCCGCCGCTGCTGCTGCTGCTCCTGCGCGCCGGTGCGGCCGTCGACGAACCCACTCCTGGCGACGATGATGACGACGCCGCCGAGCCGGTGCTGTTCGTCGACGCGCTGCTGGGCTCCATCGGCGGCGGCAACGTCTTCGCCGGCGCTTCGCTGCCGTACGGGCTGGCCAAAGCCGTGGCCGACATCCACGTCGACGGCGCCGCGACGCCCGCCGCCTTCACGCCCGACGGCTCGCGCGTCACCGGCTTCTCGCACGCCCACGACGCCGGCGCGGCCGGCCGCCCGTCGCTGGGCTGGTTCCCGCTGTTCCCGCAGCTCTGTGCTGCTGGCGCCGACCTGGCCCGCTGTCGCTTCACCCGCGCCGCCCGCGCCATGCACTATCTCAACGACTCCGTCGTGCCCGCGCCCGGCTTCTTCTCGCTGGCCCTCGAGAACGACATCGTGGCCGAGATGACCGTGTCGGCCCACGCCGTGCTGTACCGCTTCCATCTGCCGCTGTGGAACGACTCGCGCCCGCGCGACATCGCCGCCGCCGCCGACGCGCCCGTCGTGCTGCTCGACCTGTCTGACCTGCCCGGCTCGCGCCAGTCGGCCTGGGTGGCCGTCGACCGCCGCTCCGGCCGCATCGCCACCAACGCCACCTTTCGCCCCAGCTACGGCGCCGGCGAGTACGTCGCCCACGCCTGCGTCGACTTCGCCGGCGCCGCGGTCGCCCACACGGGCGTCTATCTCGACCAGCGCGCCGCCGAGCATCCAGCCACCCTGCACGTCCCGCGCGGCGCCGGCCCGCACGTCGTCGAGGCCGGCGCCTGGGTCAGCTTCGTGCCCGCCAACGAGACCGTGCTCGCTGCCCGCGTCGGCCTCAGCCTGGTCAGCGTCGACCAGGCCTGCCGCAATGCCGACCGCGAGATCCCTCGCCCCTGGGATTTTAACGACGTCTGGACCCGCGCCGAGCGTGCCTGGGGCGACAAGATGCGTCCTCTGCACGTTGAACCCGGCGATGTCAGTGACGGCCTGCTGCGCATCTTCTGGAGCGCCGTCTATCGCTCCATGATCTCGCCGCAGGACTACACCAGCGAAAACCCGCGCTGGGCCAGCGCCGAGCCCTACTTCGACTCCTTCTCCTGGTAATCCCCCCAATCCTGTCCGCCACCCTATTCTTATATGCTAACCTCACGCCCAGCCTGTGGGACTCCTTCCGCACCCAGCTCCCGCTCCTCGCCATCCTCGACCCCGCCGCCCTGGCCCGGATGATCCGCAGCCTGCTCGATACCTACCTCCACGAGGGCTGGCTGCCCGACTGCCGCACGGCTCTGTCCCCGGGCTTCTCGCGCGGCGGCTCCAGCGCCGACATCGTGCTCACCGACGCCTATCTCAAGAACGTCAGCGAGGGCATCGACTGGAACGTGGCCTTCGACGCCATGGTCAAGAACGCCGAGCAGGAGCCCTACGACTGGTCCACCAAGGGCCGCGGCGGGCTCATGAGCTGGAAGGCCCTCGACTACATCCCCGCCCTGGACTTCGACTACATCGGCTTCGGCGCCAACTCGCGGTCCATCTCGCGCACGCTCGAGTACTCCTACAACGACTACTGCATCGCCACGCTGGCCCAGAAGCTGCGCAAGGAGCCCGCCCTCTTCCACAAGTACCTCAAGCGCGCCGACAACTGGCGCAACCTCCACCGCGAGGACCAGAACTCCACCGTCGACGGCGAAGACTCGGGTTTCCGCGGCTTCCTGCAGCCGCGCTACGCCAACGGCTCCTGGGGCTTCCAGGACCCCACGCGCTGCAGCCTGCTCGACGAGCCGTGCTCGCTGACCGTCAACCCGCAGGAGACCTTCGAGGGTAGTATCTGGGAATACCAGTTGTGAGCATCCCTTCTCGTTCCCCCATCTCATTCTCATTCCCTCACTAACCTTCTGCCAGCTTCGTCCCGCACAACATCGCCAACCTCGTGCACCTCTACGGCGGGCCCGACAACTTCACCGCGCGGCTCGACATGCTGCACGACCTCGACCTGGCCGACATGGGCAGCGCGCCGGCGCTGCTCACGCCCTTCCTGTACCACTACGCCGGCCGGCCGGCGCTCTCGGCGCTGCGCATCCACTCGTACATCCCGTCGCGCTTCAACAGCTCGCGCAACGGGCTGCCGGGCAGCGACGACGGCGCCGCGCTGGCCGCCTTCACCGTCTTCGCCATGATGGGGCTGTTCCCCAACGCCGGCCAGGACGTCTACCTCATCACCCCGCCCTTCTTCGCCGCCGTGCACCTCACCCACCCGCTCACCAACCGCACCGCCACCATCCGCTCGCGCAACTTCGACCCGCGCTACCGCGCCCTCTGCATCCAGTACGCCACCCTCAACGGCAAGCCCTACACCAAGAACTGGATCGGCCACGACTTCTTCACCCACGGCATGACCCTCGAGCTCACCCTCGGCGAGGAGGAGACCGACTGGGGCACCAAGCCTGAGGATCTGCCGCCCAGCATGAATATCGCCTCCATGCCGCTTGTGTAGACCGTTTTTTTTTTTTTTTTTTTTTGATCTTGTTTTATATATATATATATATAAGCACGGGCGGCGCCGGTTACTTCAGAGCAATTTCTTTTCTTTCTTATTCTTCTTTGGTTTGATGGAACTCAAGCCACGATTTTCTTTTTCGTCGCTATCATGGTCTAAATAATGCTAATAATAGATAAATCTACATCCCGCAGATAAGGGAAAGAAAAAAAACCACAAAAAGAAGTATCAGTTTCAAATAGAAATATATATGTTTTTCCTTTTCTAAAAGTAAAAATCGCAGCCTAAACGAAATGGTATCTATCTTCTTTTCACGTCACGAAGTAGTTCTCAGGGGCACTCGTCCAACACCAAAGGACATCTCGCCAGTCGTATCACCAGGGGGGAGAGACAGCTAGTTACCCACAACCTACTCCGTACACTAGTTCAATTTTTTGCGCATATAATACAACAACAACAACAGTAACAAACATCGCCCCATCTATATGTCCTTGGAAATCAATCAATTAATTCTTCTTCGTCAGATCAAGCAGACCCTGCATGTTGATGCTCTTGGGGCGCTCGATGGGCAGCCCGAGCGCGCGGCTCCAGATCAGCTGCGCCAGCGGGCCCAGCGCGCGGCTGACGCCGAAGGTCACCGTGTAGTACAGCGGCTCCTGGAAGCCGTAGTGGTGGAAGAGCACGCCGGACGCGGCGTCGACGTTGGGGTGCGGGTTCTTGGTCTGGGGCACGGGGGGAAGTGGTTAGTACAGAAAAAAAAGAAATACCATAGGAGCTTCAGATCATACCTTGCCGTGCTCGGTGAGCACGCCCGGGGCGATCTCGGAGTTCTTCTTGACCAGCTGGAAGACCGGGTTGCGCATGATCTCGGGGCGGGTGCTGGCGAAGTCCATCAGGGCCTCGAAGCGCGGGTCGGGCTTGCGCAGCACGCCGTGGCCGTAGCCCGGCACGACCTGGCCCGACTTGAGCGTGCGCCAGAGGTAGTCCTTGACGTCCTGGTCGGAGAAGCGATCGCCGACCTCCGCGCGCATGTTCAGGATCCACCGCAGCACCTCCTGCGCGGCCAGCCCGTGCAGCGGGCCCGCCAGCCCCAGCAGCCCCGCGGAGTAGCTGAGGAACGGGTCGCTGAGCGCGCTGCCCACCAGGTGCGTGGCGTGCGCCGACACGTTGCCGCCCTCGTGGTCGCCGTGCAGTGCCAGGTACAGCCGCAGCACGTCGTGGAAGCTCTCGTGCTCGCGCCCGCCTTTGCCGAGCAGCACCGCGAAGTTGTACGCCCAGTCCTGCGCGCTGTCGAGCGCCTGCGTGCCGACCGTGTCGACCTCGTCCGGCCGGAAGACCAGCGCCGCCACGCGCGGGATCTTGGCCAGCAGCGCGATGCTGTCGTCGAACGTCGGCTCCCAGTAGTCGGCCTTGTTCATGCCCTCGGCGTACTTTCGCGCGAACTGCGACTCCGTGTTGAGCGCCGCCACGGCCACCGACAGCTGCGTCATCGGGTGCATGTCGCGCGGGAACGCCTTGATCATCTCCAGGATGTGCTGCGGCAGGTGCGATTTCTCCGCCAGCTCGCGCGAGAACGCGCGGATCTGCGGCGTCGTGGGCACCTGGCCGGTGAGCAGCAGCCAGAACATGGCTTCGGGGAGCATCTCGGTGCCCGTGGTGCCCTTGGGGAGCTCCTTCTGGCAGTCCTTGATGGTGCGGCCGTGGAAGCGGATGCCCTCGTTGGGGTCCAGCACGGAGCCCTCCCACACCATGGCCTTGAGGCCTCGCATGCCGCCGATGACATTGGACACGGTGACGTCGCCGATCTTGTCCTCGCCGTGCTCCTTCAGCTGCTTGAGGAGCGCGCGCTTGGCCGGGATGACCTCCTTCAACACGCTTTTCAGCTCCGACTCGGCCGACGCCGAGTAGAATCTGGCCGATCCAGCGGCTGTGCGAGAGGACGGGGCCTGGAGCATGGAATCAGCAGGTAAGCCACAACATTCGTGAAAGCGATGGGAGTGGGAGTTCTGTACCTTTGCGGCCCGGAGGGCCTGGCGGGTAGCTCTAGCAGCCAAAGCCATTGTTCAAGGAAGCAATTGAGGTGGACAGACAGGCACCAGCAGCGGGAAGAGAGGAGAGAGAGAGAGAGAGAGAGCAGGACGGGAGAAGAGCGATGCTCGCGAGAGATGCAGAGAGAGCAGGCAAGCGAGCGAGCGGGAGACGTTGAGACCGCCGGGGCGACTTCGGGGCAGCGGCGCGGTTGGCAGCGGCAAAGAAAAAGTCGATCGCCCGAGGAAAGCTTCGGGCCCGCCAGCCGACGGCGCGAAGAAATGCACGCTGCACTACTGCATCCATCCATAAGTCGCCTGCAGCCTCCCCTGGTGTCTTTCTGGGTGTCGGGATATATATTTTCAATTTCTCGAGGTGAGGATGGCATAACTAACGCCCAGTCTGCACAGCCAACCGCCGGCCGCGCCCCTGCAGCTAACAGCGCCGCCTTGCTGCAACCGGCATGGCCCAGAGGCGCAACATTAACTAACTACTCCGTACTCTCCTCAATTCTATTGTTCAGCACATTTCGTCAATCCTGCAAGCCTGGCTTAGTTAACTACCCCGGCTGGGGTTATCACTCGGGTTGTTAGTCCCCATTGGCATGCTTTGCACGTGCTGACTCAATCCCTTCCTGTTGAAAGTCAGCAGGCTGGCATAGCGAATAATACAGCGAGCGTCCTAGATCCGTGCGAAGATAACTACATTTGAAAATACACCCTCTGTGAGTCAATGCAAGCTCTAGTTTCCCTTGTATGTACTCCGTAAGGCCTTCGTTTTGTTGGGACTGGTGTATTGTCCTGGGAATACGTCGGGTGAGGCTTTAGCTTGTGTATTTCTCTACATTTATGTTGCCGTATTGGGCAGGGTATATCCTGTAGATGCTGTACCGTGAGGTAGTCATGCATATTACAGATGGCATACTCCCGACCTTGTTGCGTTGGCGAGCACGGAGAAAAGAAAGCAGCAGAGGATCAGATAAGATAAGATTGATGACCTCGGATCCCCTTCGCCAAGAACGCGGAAATACGCGCACGTCAGCATTGATGGCGGTTGATATACAGCGCAACCTGGGTGTTATGCAATTCCGCGATGACAAAGCAGTCGATACAAAATACGAGAGTTGTTGTAGTTATAGCTGAAGCGAGACAGCAGAGCAACGATCATGTAACTAACTAACTATATCACCTATCTGTCATCTATGCCTGTATTCTCTCCGTCAACCAAACATACCCGCAGGTCGTCCTCGACAAGGAGAGCAAGTGCCAGTCGCGCTGGGACGAGAGTGAACTTCGCATTTATATTTGGCGTCGGTACACTTATCATAATTCTGACAGCGTGGTATTTCCCACACGGGATATTCCTACATCGAAACAATATAATGTCTGATATGAATGAGGACATCTCTCCCCAAGCCGATGCTCCTCGGCGAACGCCGGTTTATTTTCTAAGTCATGGTGGAGTGGGTATCCCACCTCCATTTCCTTTCCCGACCTGCGCTCTAAAGCCGGCCTTTAGCCTAGTATAATGTATCAGCATGATCATCCTGCGTATATCAAATTACAGCAGATCGGGAAGGAGATCACACAAAGAGTAAAGCCACGCGCCGTTGTTGTCTTTTCCGCACATTGGCAGGCCGGGAAGGATACTATCCAAGTAAATACGGCAGAGACCACGGATCTGATCTATGAGTGAGTCTGTCTTTAGTCTAAAAAAGGAAGTCGTTAATGCCACATAATGCAGCTTTTACGGATTCCCGTCACATTACTATCAGGAGACGTATCCAAATACTGGAAGCCCTGGCGTTGCCGCAATGGTCATCGAAGCCATACAAGACGCAGGCATTCACGTCGAAGGGGTGACGAGAGGGCTGGATCATGGAGTTTGGGCGAGTTTTAAATGTGGTATATATTTCATCCCTAACCCACTAGCTGTCAAGAGTGCAAGCAGTAATTCGCAGTAGCTTTTGATCCGAACGATAACCCTCTGAATGTTCCTATTGTTCAGGTGTCTCTGTTCCAGACAGAGGATCCCGATCAGCACTTCCGTCTTGGCCAAGCGGTTTCCAAGCTCCGGGAGAACAATATCCAGATAATTGTATCTGGAATGGCGGTGCATAATTTGCGAGACATGCGCTTTACCTTTGGAGACCCACGGCCGTTGCCATACGCGGTGAGCTTTGACGAAGCACTGACGGACGCCGTTACCAAAGCGCCGGGCGATAGGCAACAGGCCCTGCGTGATCTATTAAAAAGACCAGATGCAAGACAAGCACATCCGACTTTTGATCATTTACTGCCCATTCACGTCGGGGCCGGAGCTGCTGGAAGTGACCTCGGCACCAGGCTGTTCTCATTTCCTGAGGGGAGTATGAGCTGGTCGCAATTCCGCTTTGGTAACGTCGTTGTCGAATGATGCAACCAAATAGCTTCTTTTTTTTAGGATTTAAGAACTTGGGATATCATGTATAAGTCGGGCATTTTTGTAAATAGAGGGTGTATTCATGATATATAGATACAGAGAAAGCCGAGTCTAAAGTCGTAATGAAATCAAAATTGAACAGCGCGCTATGCTTCGCCTTTCACCAATGTTGTGACCTTCTGTTCTATCTCCTTATCCGATAAGCCTACCAAAAATTAGCTTCGAAAGTCAAGATCTCGCTAGGCGCAAGGCAGTACCTTGTAAGGATTCTTGCTTCTCCTTTCCGAATTCTAGATGAACAAAACCAAATTCCCCAGTTAGCTCTGATATTGTGCCAACAAGATATACTCTGCAAACACTCGTACCGTATCGTGCAAATATTCTAGGCTCGATATCGGCTGCTTCCCGAATCATAATCGGTGTGTAAGGATTGTGTTTCTTCATTGTCGGGTATGCTCGTTTTAAAAATGTTCTACCCATTCCTGTTAGCACATTATATATAGACCATGATGTCAGAAATCAGAACAAGGAAAAACTTCTAATTCTGAAATGAGCCTGTCTAACCTTGTCGCATCGCCGTGTGAAGATGTGTGGCAGAAAAGGAATCGGAGCTCTTTCAGACTCTTGCTAAAAACGTATTTGGTAGACATTGTGAAAGGTCTCTGATAGCCGGTAGGACCAAGGAATGAGAACACAAAGGCTCAATTGAGCAGCGGGCAGCTTCGTCTCGACCGTTTGTTCGACTTGAAGTTGAGATGCCAATTGGCGCCCATGCTTAATCATCATGATTAACTACGTTGATATGATTATCTAATCGATCATCCACATCAGGTGATAATTCTGCCACACTGGCTCCTGATTGGCTGACAAGACTGCGAATATCGGAGCTCCATTCAACATTCCCTCGACGTCCTCGCAAACGTGTCGCTGGGTATATTCTCAGTTTCGATGTCCCACTTCTAGATTTGCCCCCCATTAGGGATTTTTATCGTTCACATTGTCCTAGTTGGTGGTAGCAATTTCTATTTCTCGTTTGCGGAGTACTCACGTCCTTCGCCCCCCCCCTCTCAACCTTCTCCACTCTGCCTTATCATCATGTCTTCGCGATTCGGCCTCCGATTCTTCCAAAGCTCGAAAGCAGCTTTTCACAATGCTTCATCTCCTCTTCGCAGACACATTCTCCGGAATCGGCGGTTTCAGAGTACAGAGGCTACCGCAGAAAAACAGAGTTTCCTGCAGCGATCATGGAATAGTCCGGTTGGCATGAAGACGGTGCACTTTTGGTATGCCCCATCACCTTGGATTGGGGATCGAATCAAATGCTAACTACGACCCGTCCGAATCAGGGCTCCTGTAATGAAGGTTAGAACGCCCTACGAAGCGAGCCTCATCATTCTCCCTCCCCCTCTCGGTTCAACATATATCCTGTTGTCTAACGTCTTCTCAGTGGGTTCTTGTTATTGCAGGCCTGGGTGATATGGCGCGGCCCGCCGATAAGCTCTCCTTGACGCAAAATCTTGCTCTTATGTGCACAGGCGCTATTTGGACTCGATGGTGTCTGATAATCAAGCCGAAGAATGTTTTGTAAGTTCCCGACCGGGATACGCGAGAGATTACTCGAATATGCCAGCTCTTTATTTCAGTGCAAGTACGGCTTCAAAGCAATATGACTCACGTTTATGTAGACTGGCAACCGTGAACTTTTTCGTCGGATGCTTGGGATTAACGCAGGTCACCCGCATCTTCCTACATAGACGAAGTGTTGATGGGTCTTCGACCGGCGCCTTAAAAGACTTGAGCCATGAAGCAACAGACTCGGCAAAAACCATGGCCCATAAGGCTGAGGATATGGTGAAAAAACACTAGGCTAGAAACCGTTCCGTGCGCGGATCCGGCCACTAGTCATTGTATTAAACACCATACCTATCAGTTTTAATATCACCGCAAATTCAAAGACCTCGAGATTTTTCTTTTTCTTAGCTCGCTATCCTTCCATTGCATATTATAGGCCCCCGTTGCCCCCTTACCTTGCTTGCATTGAAAATGTTGGATTCCCAAATGGCCGCTAATTTCTGCTCCTCTTCCTTCCGCCTAGAACGGCGAGTTTATATTCCTGTGTAAGGGCAATCTTCTACAAAGATTATACGAAGAATCTCTCCTTTTACCTACCGCTTTCTTCGATTCCATTTGCTCTCACTTAGTAACCCAATGGCGAAAGCACGTTTACTAAGGAAGCTGAAGCATGTCTCGAAACACTTAGAACTGGAGCCATGCTCCAGTCTAAAACATAAAAATATATTTGACTATTTATACATATATTTTTTTCCAAAAAAAAACCCCCCTCTTTGAAAAAATAAAAAATAAAAAATACTAAAATACAAAGAAAAAAAAAAGTCTAACGCCCTGGAATCATTTGTTAGCAATGTTACTCGTCTTACTAAAGCTTAGGAGATGGGCATATCCTTACCTCTAGAGCCCCGCCTCCCCCCTCTCAGCGGCGGAGGAAGAGAAAAAGGGGCGGGAGGAATCGTCGTTGGCGGCAGCGGCGGTGGTAGCAGTGGGGGTAGCGGGAGTGGGAGTGGTGGGAGCGGGAGTGGCGGGAGTGGCGGGGGTAGCGGCGGTGTTGGCGGCGGCGGGAGTAGCAGCAGCAACAGCAGCGGGAGTGGCAGCAGTGGTGATGGGAGCAGTGGTGGCGGCGGCGGCGGGAGCAATGGTGATGCTTATGGAGAGGGAAGTGGTGGTGGTGGTGAGATTGATGATAGTGCCGGGGGCAGCGGCGGCGACGGCGGCGGCGATGGCGGCGTCTCGGCGACCAGCCCACCCCCAAACACAGACTTCTGCCCTATATCTTGGTAAGAAACCGGTGTCATGTATCCTCTGTTGAAAGGGCACTTACGCTACTTTCACGAGCGGCCAAAGAAACCACGCCAACACAACCGTTATGGCCAGTGGCCAACCCCAATCTCGGAGCACATTGGCGGCAGATGCCGCAAGACAAGTTGTTGTATTCATTTTTGTTTAATTGCTTATTTGTGTGTTTAAGTTTGATGAAGGAAGATTCAGAGATGCCGGGCGGTCTTCGGCTTTATATCCATTTCCCCTTTCGGCAGGCATGGCCTGACGTCTGCATTTCCCCTTCCAGCCACAGCCTACACGTGCCCCCAACCATCCGGATTCGCTGCTCGCGATTTCCCCTTTATCGATCTTCTCTTTTCCGCATATGGGCAGTGGGCAGTTTAGCCTTATACAGTGCTGAAGTTAAGCAGCTTAGCAGCAACCCTGCCAGAAGATTTAACTTCCTAGCTCTCGCACAGCTGGCTCTGCTTTTACGAAGTGCACTGTTGTAATATTACTGAAGTTAGGAGGGCTTTACGGAAGCCTGGGGCCTCATCCACCCCTAAAAGGCCCTATCATGGTGGTGGTAATGATGGCGTTTCACCTATGCTACCTTCTTTGACTTCTCTAGAATTTGTTGTCATTTTCTCCCTTTTTAGCAAAGTATGCCGATAAGGTTTTGCTTACTCCATATGTAGTCTTTGCTTCACTGCCAACTTTTATAGTTTCTTCCACCTGATAGTCAGCCCGGCTTTTCATAATTGCGCACCTGTCATAGAATCAAGCTACATGCTGTGATCGCACCTAAAGCTACAGCTTTTGGTTTTGCCTGCTCTACAACAGGTATCGCCCTATGCTTGTATTTCTTGCCTGGCCCTCCTACCCTTCCGCAGGTAACGGGTTTCCAGAAACCTGGAAGGTGATAGAAAGCATAAACGGCCATTTTGAAAGCCGAACCATGGATACCTAGTAACGGCTATGACTATGATGACGAAAATATGCCAGCCAGTTGCTAACTATATATAGAGGGAATCCACCCTTCTCAATACCATCTTCCCCAGCTTCTCCGCCCATGATATTATTTAATTTCTTGCTTTCCAGATCTCGCCATGATGGTCGATATATTTGAATGTCTAATTGTACCAACAGTTTGTACCTTTTTGCTTGTCCTCATTACTTCTACCCTCGCGGCCTTGGAATCTGCCGTAGCCTCGAGGATGCCTGCCGTGATTCCTTCGACCAGGGTGCTAGCGGCTATTGTCTTGGGCTGCATATGGTATACGGAAGCGATCCCAAACGTATATCCTTTTTACTGGATTGCAAGCAAGATTCGACAGGCCAAAACGCTCTGCCAGCTACCTAGTAGCATCAAAAAGCAGGAGAACTGGCTTAAGGCTGCGAAGATAAACGCCATCTCAATACGCAAATTGAGGCAGAGACATGGATTTATTGAATCAAAGATGCTTCGACATGGAGAAGGAGGATGCCTCACAGCTGTAAAGAAGGCCCGCTTAACTTACTGGCAATGGTGGCTGTCGTATGGGAGCAAAGAGATTTGGAAAAAAGCACAGGAGCGTTATCAGCATTATCACAGCAAACCAGACGGCCCACTGATTAGGGAGTACGAAGCTACAGAAGATCGGAAAGCCAGGCAGTATAGACAAGACCCTATCAAGTTCCTCTCTCAATCAAACAGAGTGAAGGACTGCAAACTTTTTCACGGGTGCTGCTATCGAGGCTGCGGATGCTGTTTCGAACCTCGGGACACTCTTCCTGATGGTACGCCGACCTACTCTCATTGCACCTCCTGGTGTGGCTGTTGTATGGACGCGCGGGGGGCGCCGGATCATTGTAGGGACTCGGTGAACAGCCCTGGTAAGGATATTGATAACCTAGCAGTACTCGATTAGTTGGCTCTGTGCACGTTCAGATGCGCTGAGATAGGAGCTCCCGCTGCCAAGGCATCGACAAGACAAGATTCGAAGGTAGGGGGTATCGTATTGTGCGAAAGCTGTGAGAGCCAGAAGATTAGTTAACTACTGTGTGTTCAACCTAGTTATATGTTTTATCATTTCTATGCTCTAACTAACCCACTGTGGTGTTTTGATAGCCCCCTTCTTGGCTGTACACGATGAGCCGGTATGGGCTAACTAATAAGTTAAGTAGTTAACTTAGTTAGATAGCTAGTTAACTAATTAACTAACTAACTAGCTAGCTAACTAACTAACAACTATGGAGTAGTTACAGAGTAGGTCCCACAGGTTGAGGCTCATCGGCTGATCTCCTGCCATACAGCCAAGGCCAAACAACAAACAACAAACAACGCAGAACAACCTCCAGAACAACCAGCTCGTGTGCTGGTTTCACTATCCCATATGCAGGCCAGCAGTGCCCCATTCCGCCGAATGACTACCCAATACGTTTGGCAGATGTCCCACCTGCTTCATAACCTTAATCTATGCCTCCTTCTGCTGGCGTGCAGAGCAGATCACCCACACTCAAGGCAAACGGAAGGGCTACGGGATCGCTACACTGCATATTCCACAGCAGGATCAGCGTCTGCACCCACACCGGGCGTCAATCCCCCGCACAGCCCCTCGACCCGTTCTTGCAGACCTTCCAGAGTACAAGCATCAACGTCATATTATGGCTCTGGGACGAGCTGAAGGTTTTTAAAACCTGAATTATACTCGTTTCCAGGTCGTTTCACGGCATAGCACTTACAAATGTTCCGGCCAACTGGAGAAGATCTAAGGACCAGATTTCCATGGAAGGGCTGCCGGCTATGGCGGCCCGCTCCCCTTCTCTTCTCCACCTTCCATGCATTAGCAACCAGCCCATGGCATGCCGTCCAGGGCGGACAGCCTCCACAAGCTGTGAATGTGTGTGACGATGTGACCTTTTCGGCTTCCTAATTGGAGACCCACCAAGCTGAGCTGAAGCTGTCGGGATAACAATACAGCATTTTCAATCCAGCTAATCAGCCGGATGGAGAGACGTCCATGGTGATCTTGCTTTAGTTGTCTGTTGGACTTGGGATTATGATCCCGCTCTAGTAGCCCAAGTGTTACATCCCGCTCTCATTTATGCCACGTACCTCCGAGAGGTAATCTATATAAACCCGCCTTCCAACCTCCTCGAAGTGTTCTTGGAGCACCAGCCTTTCTCGAAAAAGCCTACTACCTGACACATTTACAATTCCTGCGCTACCTTGATCCTCCTTCTTGCAATTCCAAGCTCTTCAATATGAAATTCGTTTCTATTTCTTCCTTTGGGCTTGTCCTTTCCGCCGTCCTCGGCGCAGTCGCCGTGCCAATGGAGGCAGACTCTGTCTCGCCTCTAGATGCAAGGGCTGAAAATGGAGTTCTACACAGATATCGAGGAGTGAGTTCTGAAGTTATGTTGCGGCACATGAGCAAATGGCTAAACACTTTTCACCCAGGAATGCGATCCATCGAAGAAAACATGCAGATACAAGGGTCCCAACGGCAGGACTGCTTTTTGTACCTGCCAGTCTACGGTATGCTCTTCACTGCCCGATCCCTACCAGCACAGCAATTGATTTTCTTTTAGTGCTTCCACAACAAGAAGGTGTGCTACTGGGACAGCGCTAATAGATCCTGCCGCTGTGGTGCCGAACCATGAGGGCTTATCCTACTTACATTTAACCGTCGCGTCATTTATGGCGAAGACATGGATTTCGGGATACTGGGGAAGTTGTCTATGTTGTTAAGTAGCTATATCTTCATCTAAAGAAGCAATAAGATGTTATCTAGCATACTTGCCTATGCGAAGCGTAGCCTAAACTTTCATACCTCTTACCACGAGTATGTAAATTATCTAGTAGTGGGGTTGAGACGCCAATTCAAGACGTATTCAGTCCGATTCTATTAGCATTAATACGCTACTATTGAGCCGCATTTTGTCGAGAATTGTAACTGCTAAACCTAGTAAATTGGGCATCTTAGTTTTGGACAGGAGTAAGGAGATGATTGAAATATGGAGCACAAATCACATTTCAAAGCCTCATTCAAGGGTACAATCCTTCTATTTAGAATCGGAAGTGGTTTTAATTGCGGATCAGATCACCAGCATAAATCAAAATCCATCAAAAACCCATGAGCTAAGAGCGGAGATTGTTTGATCTATGTCTTTACAGTCATAAATAGCATTATCCCCAAACTACGTGCTAGTGCCATTGAAAACCAAAAGCCTGTCCGCAGGGATGAGTACGAGAAATTTAAATCGACAAGAAAACGAGTGCATGTGATAACAGCACCAGCACCAGCACCTAGCAAATGGCATGAGTTTTCCCGGTTTTTCCTTGGAGGGAGTGGTCTTCATCCTGGTACTGAGTGGGGGTGTGCGTTGCCTTGCCCGAGTTTGTGACATTGCGGCGGATGTGCCTAAAATGTGATCCAGCGGTCAGCAAATCTAAGAGAGCAAGGGCGTAGGAAGGCCATACTCTTGATATTTCTCCACTGTTTTCTTATCCATCTCACCCAATTGCTGTAGGGCAAGCTTAATATCATTCACTAGGTTATCGCAGCGGCTTCGACTGAAATCTTCACGCACGACGATTCGCATCAGTTTCAGCTGCTCGCTGTGCGGTGCCATGGTGTAGGCGGGTACCACCCAGCCACGCTCACGTAATTGATGAGCCAGAGTGAACTCGTCATATAATATGTCATCGTTCTCGGGGTTGAGTCTAAATGCCACAAGGGGGAGGCCATGCCCCTTTCCGTCACTCATGATGATGAAGCCCAGATGCTTCAGTGAAGTTGCTAAATAGTCAGCAGTACGAGTGAGATTTACCATGATAGAGCGGTAGCCACGCTTTCCGAGCCGAATCATTTGATAATACTGCCCGATCACTTGAGAAGCACCTTTGGAGAAGTTCAAAGTGAAGCTTGCTTGGTCAGCTCCCAGGTAGTTGATATTGAACACCAATTCCTTGGGTAGGAACTCAGGAGAACGCCAGACAACCCAGCCAACACCTGGATACACCTAGCGTTGCAAAACATCAGCACAGCTTTACACAAAAGCTCACAGTAGATAGGCAAACCAGTCCATATTTGTGGCCCGAAACATTGATGGACACAACCTTTTCGAGCCGGAAATCCCATACAAGATTGGTGTTGACAAATGGTGCAACAAATCCGCCGCTGGCAGCATCGACGTGGATTGGGCAGTCAATATTCCGTTCGATTAACAGGTCGTTGATTGCCTTGATATCCTCATACTGACCCGTGTATGTGGTGCCCAAGATTGCACAAATACCAATTGTGTTTTCGTCCACCAGATCAACCGCTTCCTCAGGGTCAATCACGTATCTCTCACTGGTGCAGTAGACAAATTTCTCCTCAATATCGAAATATCTGGCAGCTTTTTCCCAGCAGACTTGGACAGCGCTGCTCATAATAAGATTGGGACGCGAGTAGTCCTTCCCCTCCGCTTTACGCTTATTCTGCCAGCGCTTTTTCATAGCAAGGGTGCCCAGCATGATGGCTTCGGAGGAACCGACGCACGAAGTCCCCACTGCATGATCTGCATCATCAGCCATGGGGGCGTGGAAAAGACGGGCTATCATGTTGACGCAGCGATTTTGGATTTCAGCGGATTGGGGGTATTCTTCGTAGTCGATAAAGTTCTTGCTGAACGATTCAGCCATGAGCTTTTCTGCTTCCTCTTCCTATATTTCACAACACCAGCCATGTCAGTTAGAGCCAGCAAGGTCTTGCATTAAGAGAGAAAGAATGGGTGCATGTAGATACATACCATGTACGTGGTGACAAAGCTTGCCAAGCTGCAATTGAACCTGAGTTAGCTTTCTTCCGAGTTCAATGTGATATTGTTTTACCAATAGTGGAAATGAAAGTATTAGAACGCACTTGAGCATAGGATTACCGTCCAGGCTCAGGTCATCCTTGATCATTCTGTAGGCAACTTCCTTAGGCATTTCCTTCTCCGGCATCTCGTGCATGGGGAGGTCCTCAGCTGCAAAGCGAGACCCATAGACACTTGAATAGAAATCATGTTCCTGGGGCTCTTCCAGAGGGATTGTGTCCACCCGCCTCATCAGGCGGATTGGCACCGCATCGGACTCTTTGCTTACGGCGGCGAGATGAACCATTGTTGAGGAGGAATTGTCTCTTCAAGCCGGAAATATGGATGAGATGTGTGTGTGTATATGCTGCTGTTGCAACAGAGAAATTGGCTACGATTAGAATGGTGGCCAGGTCGAGGGAGGTTCGCCGAGCCTTTTTATAGACAATCAAAGAGGGGTAGAGAGAGTGATGTGGGGAGCGGAACGAACACCCATGCAGCCAAGTGTGGCGCGCCGCCCAATGAATCCAATACACTAGCCCATGAATCTAGCCGTGATAGCAAGGAATTGGGCTCTGGCTTTTTACTAGTGATAGTGACGCACGAAGTGGAGATTGGAAATGCTAGCTTACATACTGTACGTATATGCCTCTGCAGGCGAGCCACCAACAGCGAATATGGCCTGATGCAGCATCCATACCGCAGTCGCTTAGCACCCCGCGACACTGGACCACGTTGCAGCCTCGTATGCCTGGCCATGGCTGTGGGCGTGGGTTGCGATGCGATGCGATGCCGTTCCGCCACACAAACAGCCACGGGGTGCCAAGGCCCATGTAAAGCTTACCACGCGAAGGGAAAAGCTTGGTCGAGCTCGAGCCACACTGGTGACATCATCATTCGAGATTGACTATTTCGAAGAACAAGACGGAAACAACTGCCTGAACAGAACATAAGTAAAGCGCCGCCCATACCTTTAGGCCCGCTGGCCTTATTATTAGAGCAGAAACGAAACCCCGCCGTTGCTTATCGACCCCTCAGGGAATCACCCTCCTTCACGAGCGAAGCATGCTGGGCAGATCCGTCAACTCATTTGGCGAAGCGCCCGCATTAGTAGCCGCTCTTGCTTGTTGTCCACCACCCGATGCTGTTCCACCATTCATAGCAGCTCCACCACCCACTTTGGAGCCATTCGTAGCTTCCGCCGGTTTGGAAGATCCCCTCCCCAATATCCGATCAATTAAGGAACCCCTCCTGTTGTCGCGCGGTTGATGTTGCTGCTGACCATCAGTGTGGGGAGCTGAGTTCCCATTTTGCAATTGGCGTTGAACATCATCCTGCTGCTGCTTTTGCGCCTTAATACGATCCTTTTCTTCTTTTTGAAGCCGTTTATCACGTTGCTTAGCTTCCTTTTCGGCTCTCCGTCTCTCTGCACGGCTGGCCTTCTCGGAAACCTTTCCTGCCTGGGGTTGGGTCGCTTGGCTCGGGTTTGCCGCGGTCGGAGCTGCCGCCACCGGTGCAGCAGCACCAGCAGTACCGCCCCCACCGCCAACGGGAACAGGAACCGGGGCTGGCTGGCTGACAGGTTCAGGTGTTTCCTGCGCCATTGGGAACGGCTGAGTATCTTGTCTATAGTAGCCCTGCCCTGAAGAGGGCGGTAGCGCTGGAGACTCGTGGTATTCTTGTGGCTTCGAGGGCGCATGAACATCGGGTTGCTGTGCTGAAATCGGCATTTCGGGCTCCTCTGTAATGGGAATTTTGGTCTTCCTGACACCCTGGTCAGGTTGCATTTGTGCCTCCTCTTGCAACCCATGGTGCATTGTTGATGGCGCCCCTTCTTGTAGCACTTGCTCGGGGTTCGTTGGTTGCGCTACAACAACAGGAATGACGGTAGGAGCAACTGCTGGAGGTCCGTAGAAAGCGTCCACGGGATTGTCGGCCCAGTAAGAGTGAGAGCTCTCCTTCATTCCACTCACCATACCCGCGTTGTCATCCTCTTCTTCAAGAATCATCTCTTCACTTTCTGCTTCAGATTCTCCCTCTACCGGCTCTTTAGTCCCGGGCACCAGCCGGGGTTCCACACCTCGCCTAAATGGTCTCTTCTTCTTCGCTACTGTAATGGATCTCCCTTGGCCCACGGTCATAGCTCCCTGCCTTCTGCGCTTGATATACTCAGTTTCAGCTTGAGCTTGCAAAACAGCGCATTCCCATGCTTGAGCGCATCTAGAAGCTTGCTTTTTTTCCGCTATCTGGCGTTCTCTCCTAGCAATCTCTTCATCTAATCGCCTTAGCTTCTCTAGTTCTGCTTCTTCAGCTTTGGCTTGCTCAACTGCAATGACATAGGCCGGAGGCACAGGTGGTGGCTGTGCACGTTGAACTTCTGCCTCCTTCGAATGCGGAGGTGTATGCGGAGGTGTATGTTGTTGATCTGGCGCATGAGGCGATTGAATGTTCATTGCACTACCAATAATAACAGTGGAATACCGGAAAGGCGAGAACCGCCCGGACACAGGACGGTTTACCATAGAGGAGGGCCTATAAGTAGCCGGAACCTCCCAGTGACCCGAGTCTCGTTCATCAATTTCGGAGTCAATTGGCAGAGCTGCGGTCAATCCACCCTCTTCAATTATTACATCATCGTTCCATTCTGCTTTCCCATACCCCTCATCTTGAGGATGAACCGTGTCGATGTCCGCTAGATCTTCTACATATTCCTCTTTGACAACCTCGGCTGCAAAAGGCTGTTGTTGATTCGCGGGTGTCTTTGGAAAGTTTTCTCCAGTACAATAGGCGGATGCTGCAGCCGCTACAGCCGCCCCCTGCTCATCTTGAACTCCAAGCGATCGGCCCCGGGATGAGGTAAGAGGTGGGGGAGCGGTCTTCTGTCGAGTACTCGGATGCTTTGGAGCGGCTGGTGGGCTTGATTTGTATCTCGTTGGTCGAGAACCTGCAAATTTGGTCAGATCGAGCAATTTCTGAAGGAAATGGCTATAGACATACTCTCAGTAGGCGCATCACCATCAATAGAAGTCGTCCCTATAGCCATTGAATCGTCATATGTCTCCCGGGAAACACGGTTGACAGCACGGCCACGGGTGGCGTCTCCAGAGCCTCGCTCAACAAAAGGCCTCCGTTCGCCAGCACTATGGATTCGCGTTTCAAAATCTTTCATGGCGGCTCTACCGGCACGAGCTTGAGTAAAGTGTGACCCAGGACCAGTCAACATTTTGCCCTGTCGATGCTTGGCTGTTCGGTCGTGGCTGTCCATTGTGTCGTCCTTGTGGCTATTGGCACAGTGAATAAATCGATGCTGGGAAGAGAGCCGGGCCAATATGTGTACTCACCCGACTGATTTCAATTTGAACATTGTAGCGCGGCAGGCTGTTCCAGCAAGCACGTTATCGGAATAATGGTTCAGGGACAGGCAGCGATATCAGGAATATAAAGGAGAAGGGCAGCCATCGCGATGGCAATTCAACCCCTCGTATTATCACGAAGTCTGGAACGGTGAAGTCATGCATTGCCATGTTTTTGGCCACACTGCTTCCAGAGCTGGTGAGCACTAGAGTTGCGCTGGAAGTCAATTCATGAAGTCTCATAGGAAATCGTTGAATGGCAAATTGTGTTTGCATGGTTTGCATGGCCGCCCAAGAAGTGCGCGGGCCTCTAAAAACCTGGGATGACGAAGTCAATCCGCCGACTTGTTCGCTACACTGCATAATAACTCACGTCCGTTGCACTTCTACCTGCGGTTCGACTAATCTTCGTTAAATCTTCGCTCTAGTTGTGGCGGACTGTGGCGAAACTGCAGACATACCAAGTACGAAGTATGTATGTACATACTTTCCATGGTATCCGAGCTCCCGCTGACACCAATTCGGTAAAAATAGTTGATGGGAGATAAGAGGCAAGTGCAGAAAACGAGGTGAAGGTCTGTATAGAAACACAGCCTAATATATCGTCCATTTGATTGTCCTAGCACCCTTGTATGCAACTTAAAGCAGAGACCTCGATCATGTGCTAGGAGCGAGAAAAATCCCCTCATTCCGCATAAAGAGTCGCATAACCTTCCAAATAGTTATCTATACTCAAGTTGAGAAGAAATTGCGTTTGGAAGAAGTGCTGTGTCGGATGCTCGCTCAAGCTATACCCAAGCTTCCGTCGCTGATGGATGTTCTGTATAGCTGATAGAGCCGGCTACGTAGTTAAGTGAAGAAAGACAACGCGAGAGCTAGTGTATGTGGTAAAGGGGAAGCAATGATACTATTTACCGAAATACGACGGGTATATAGCTAGAGTTGTACAAAGTACGGAGTAGTTAGTTATGTAGTGCCGACGCTGATATTCCGATCATCTGCAGCTGAAACCAATCCAACCCCGGGAACGAACTCACCACCTGCCTAGCCAGCCATGGACTACGAAAGAGCCAGCTAACGAGTTAACTGCAGGGGTACGGGAGAGTTAGTTGCTCTCACAATGAGCCAGCGAGTCGTTTGATCCAACAAGCTGCTTCCTCACGCTTCAACTCGACAAACTCGGCCTGAACTCTCTCACCGGTCATGGCGCCGACTCTTCGGCGCTCTTGTGCTGCCTGTGCCCGCGTCAAGCACAGTTGCGACCTTCGTACGCCGCGCTGCTCCCGTTGCATCAAGCGCGGCGCCCAGTGCGACTATGCCAACGAGCCGTGGGCGGCGCTTCCGGTAGCTCCTGTGCCCGACGACAGCGCGTCAACAGGCCCTCACGATGGCTCTGGCGTCCTCACCAACTACACGTTCGGGTCTCTCGATCCGTTCGATTCATACCCACAGACTAGGCTTCCTCGAGAGCACGTCCAGCGTCTGATCCATAGCTGTAAGCCTGTCTTGCACTGGCGCCGTTGCCCCTAGGCTTTGGCTCACCATTCCAGTTCTCCATAAAATCGCCTTTCAGTACTATCCACTTGACTTGAACCCGGCGTCTAACCCGTTTCTCATCTCCTGGTGGCCATTGGCTTTGGGTGATCCTGCGCTTTTCCACGTCTCGCTGCAAACCGCATGCCTAGACGAGGAGCTGCGGGCCCAAAATGGGTTCCAGGCCTCAAACCTTCTCATGGCGGACTCTGTATCGCTGTTACGACGGAAGGTTGGAAATACGTCCCTGGCTGTGCAGGATGGGACAGTGAACTCGGTCATTACTTTAGCAGCTATCGAGGTGAGCTAAGTATTTTATATCGCTAATTTCGAGCGACTACTGATCATTCTGCGACTCTCAGTTTGGCAAAGGCAATATTGGAGTTGCCGAAATGCATGTTGACGGAGCGACCAAACTTGTCAACATGAGAGGCGGGATCAATTCGGTAATACAGACGAGTCCGCTGACCGCAAGAATGGTTAGCTGGTAAGTTCCTCCTCGGCCATTTACAAGAGTAGGGTATTCACGCCGTATCAGGGTGTCAATGCTCATCATGGGCCGTCCTCAATTCGCAACCCAGGACGATGCTGGTATTGGAGATGGCATTCCACCTATTCCTGAATGGCAAATGGACTCCACCGCCATTCAAGATGACATATACGATCTCTGCAGCGCTGGTATCGATCTTTTGGTTGCGAATACATTCATCCGCCTTCGAAGAATCTTCGAGAGAGCAAAACATATACCACTCTCTGCCACCCGACTCCATGACCTTACCTGCTTTGTTGTACACAGACTTTTAGCCTCACCCTTGTCCACGACTAACCTTCAATCGCCGTCGATTTCCGAGTGCATCCGCTATGCAATTATACTCCATATGCTCATCGTTCATGGCCCAACTTATTATTCGCATGCGGTCATAATGAATACCATTGTCAACCGGTTCATGGAGCACCTCAAGCCACTTGAATCGACACAAAATTTGCATGGCCCCCTCTATATCTGGCTGCTTGCAGCTGGAATGGCTTCCTCAACTGGCACTGTCCACTACCCTTGGTTTTTAGACAGGGCTAGGAGTGTGGTTTCCTCTCTGCAATTGAAAAATTGGACTGATATACTCGTTCTCATCAAGGATATTCTGTGGTTAGAGACACCCCAGGCGGAATCTACCTTTCAACCGCCCTGGGACGTTGCCCTAAGTGCTTTGACGGACCATTCATTGAATGTTCTTCAAAGTACAGTCTCACTTAAAAGCCCGGAACTAGTCAACATAATGGAAATTGATAGCACTTGAATGTGGCATCTTCCTTACTACTATAAAACAATAGTCCATTCGAACTATCATATACGACATCATAAATTTTCCAGCTACATGTTCTATCTTTACTTTCAGCTGGTCTGCCTACTATGCGCACTGTACAGCCATGGAAAACGTCCATTACCCGATCTAGCGCCTTCATCATACTCTGGAAACTTGACGAAAGGAAAAAAAACTTTTCTGGTCTAGAAAATAGACTGGCAGGCGTCTCCTCTCACCTTGAACTCCACACAGGTGTCCAAGTCGGGGATAACGACATCATACATACTTGAATTAGATGGCCTTTGCGTCGATCCTCCCGGAAACCGAAGATGGTACCTTAGAAGGATATTGCTAACGATCATTTTCATAGAGTGGTCAGCAAAGAAGCGCCCTGGGCATACAATCTTGCCATGGCCAAAATGGAGATTATTTTCGCTCGTGGTAGTAAATTCTGTCCGCAGCTATTAGCGATTACTAGATACCAGTATTAGGAAGAGATGCATACGGTGCCAGTTGCTTTCACCTGGTCTTTGTCGGTTTTTGTATTGACGCAGGCCATCAAACGTATCCGCGTCTGAAACCCGGTCAGGATCAACGCCAATCGCATAAGTTGCCATTTGGATGTGAGCTCCCTCAGGGAGGACAACCCCGTCATGCAGTGTCACTGGTTGGCGCACAACAGCGTTGAAACCAACTGTTGAATCAATTAGTATCGACATCATTTTTTGATAATAAATAATTCTGAAAGGGGAATAACAATAACCAGGGGCGACAAAAAAAAGAAGAGAGAGAAGACAATATATAGAACAAAACTGACGTAATGTGGGTGGGCTCAGCCGTTGGGATTCTCTCATGAAGCTGTCCATCTTTTTCATATTTGCCAATGCTTGCTTTGTATAGCCTCCCTCACGTAAGACCTCCAAGGCTTCCTGTCTCAATGGCTCTACATATTCTGGATGAGCACAGAGATCAAACAGAACCTGAGCTACAGCGATGATTGTTGAGGGGCCAGAGCCGAGATATGTAACCATCAAACGTTGTACCGTAGTTTCAACGTCATCGTTGATTTCTTCGCCTCCGTCCATCAAGTGCTGCAGAAAGTCATCCGGTTTCTCATAGGCCAAACCCTCTTTTTCCCGTCGGCGGCGTTCCTGTATAACAGGGATGACCATGCGTTTTGCATCCTTGAGAGCCCAATCGACACGCCAACTCGTAGGAAGGAGGCGAGCGACGACAGGTTTGATCCAATCGGGGAAAACGCGGAGGAGAAAGTTATGTCGAAAGCCATTCTCTGAATAGCTGATGGCTGTAGAGAGATAGTCTTCATCTTCTGCTAGCTCGGTTACAAACTGGGTGGCTACACCTCTATGAACCATTCGACGTGCAAGATGCAGAGCATTGACACTTGTCCACTCCTTCTCTGTTGCAGGTAGCTCATGCGGCAAGTATTTGCGAAACTGGTCTTGAACTAAGGGGACATGAAGGCCAAGCTTTGGTGTCAACCGTGACATTAGCATCCGCGATTGTAAACTGTTATCGGCGATAACCGCGGTAATCGAGTGAAGCCTTTGAAATGCGTCCACGATAGCTGTGTTGAGACTCAGCTTCTCGGGAGGCATGCTCGCAAGCTCGGCAAGATATTTGTTGGGAACAATAAGGAGGTCGTTACCGGAGACTTTAAAGAAGGTGTCCTTATACTTTTCGTACCCCTCGCGGATCAGTGCAGGCCCATTTCGAAAGAATTGCCATCTTGCGAGGATCATATATTTAGACCCCACTATCGGCGCTTTGAAGTTATAATTCCCATAGATATTGGGTGATTTCTTGCTGTTGATTGTCACGAGATACAACCATAGCACAAAAATTCCGGCAAAGGCAGTAAGTGTTGGAGTGGATGAGAAGAACAAGGGCAGAGAAACAACGACGTTTTCAAGAATCTCTGTTCTATTAAGTGCTGGGGCGTCCATGGCGAAGTAGTAGCAGGCATCAACTGGATAGGTCACAAAAGACGGCGAGTCGTCTTAGTTTTTTCAAGCGGGCACACAGCTCTATATATATGCTTCTTGACGATTTCCCCTTTTTGGCACTTGCGGCTGTATTCCTCTCTTTTGGATAAACTCGCCATGGTTCAAGAATGCAGCAGCGGCCGGTGTTATGTTGGGTACGGGTCAGCCGCCAGGCCCCATCGTATATCTTCTCAGCTGAGGTATGTCTATCCAATGATGGATGAGCCAATTGACGAACAAGGTCATACCTACAGCACGTCACAGTCCATTTGGCTTGCCCGTCACCCCCCCTGCTCGTTCCCGGGTCGGTTGGAATTTTCTTTATGGCTCGCCGATGGATGGTGGGATAGAAAATCTATTCTATGGTGGGGAGGCTGGACGTAGTCGACTCCAAAGTAGCAAAAATGACGGTCTTCAAGAAAGATAGAAATATATAGATAGTCGGTTCAGACGCGTGAAGGTTGAAGCACAGTAGCATCTTAAGTACGACACTAAACCTTCCTCCGCATGTGAAAATTTAAGCGGTTGTGGCATCCGTCTAAAGAATCGGACACGGGTAGTTAGATCTAAAATCAACCACTCACGGCCAGCCGCCTCGTGGGCTTGTCGTTGGATTTGTCTCAAAAAACGAGGAATAGCCATGCGTGCATATCGCCAACTTCAACCCTTGGATTCGAGTGGCCGGCTCCGTACCCTGAGTGTGGTCTCCAGCATCGCCCGGGCCGGTTGCCTTCGTAAACACCGGAATGGACTCGACATGGCGGCGCCCCAGACGAGGCTTTCAGCCAATCAGATATAAGCAAAAAAGAAATTCTAGTTGCTTCGCCTGTTGATCTATCAGGAATATCAAGTATGGGGCAAGCTGCTCTCACACCATAGAAGCATTCAGTGTCGTCAGAATCGACATTTAGAACAGTAGCAGCCTTAGCTCAGAAAGAAGACGGATCAGTCACCACACTATCACGTTCCTTGGGGGTATAAGCTGTATGTACTTCGTATTTACATTCATACTTGCTACTCCGTCAGGAGTTTGATATCAGCCGGTAGCACAGGAGCTCGCTAGTAACTAGTTAATGGATTGGATGCTGGGTAGGTCTGCATTAGCTAACGATAACTCGTTAACTAGTTAATAGCCAAAGGCTCTACAAACTCTGCAGCAAGATTAAGAGGATCATGTACTCTCAAGAAGCACCAGCTCGCCTATTTCCTCGACGGCCTGATCAAGCCTGGCTGGTACAGGACAAATAGCAAAGGACAGCCGGAAACACTGAGCTATGTAGGAGTTAGGAGACAGCCCAATTTAAGGTTTTCTTCGTATCACGTGCAGGAACGGGACAACCACCACCATCTCTCACGTTGGTGAAGTTGATGTTGAGCTTCTTCATTACATTAATAATACGTATACTTTTATTATACATCATTGCCTAAAAATTTTGAGAACTGTATTCTAGCCGCCAGTCGCATTCCTATTACAGGCGTTTTGTGAACACCAATGGGCACTCGTCCTATGTTGCAATTAGCAGAAGCCATTGACCAGCAGTATCAGGGTTCCTTACCATCGGAAACAGTGTCGCAAACACCCTAATCTCCTCTGATCGTGGTGTCGCATGGTGCTTCCAGTCGAGCTCCAGCGCCGCTTTGCCAATCATGCCAGCCATTGTCAGTGGTACGTACTTCCGCGCAAGGCAGTCATGCGGCCCTGCACCAAAAACAAGCCAGTTCTTGGTCTTTGACTCCGCGTCGCCTGATATCCAACGATCGGGATCGAAAACTTCGGGGTCCGGATACGCAACTGGGTCATGTAAAGCTGGGTAGCATGATGGAACAATCATGGAGCCCTTAGGGACGGTGTAGTTAGGTGTGACAGGAAAGCTCTTTGTGGCGAGGTATGGAACGAAGATGACAGGCGGTCTATGACGGAGGAGCTCTTTAATAACTGCATTTGTGTAAGTGAGTGACTCCAGCATGGGAAGATCGAACGGCTTGTTTCTATCGCCACCTCGTGCTGCCAGATTCTCTTCTCGCAATCTATCGAGGACATCGGGCCGCTGCGCGAGAACCTGAAACAACCAGGTTGTTGCACTGCTTGACGCGTCTTGGGAAGCGAATAAGAAGGTGAACAGTGTATCTGCGATCTCTTCATTCGTGAATTCACGAATCAAATTGGTTGGCTTCTCTACATCCGTCTCCCCCGCCGCGATTCTTTCGCGGTATCGGTTAGACTCCATCATGTGGAGCACCCAGTGGTCCACGATACACGTGGGTATAGCGCCAATTGCCATGTTTGCTTTGCATGCAGCCGCGCATTTAGCAAACTCGAGATGCACCGCGTCGGCTGTTCGCTTACCCCACCAGGGTTTGGTGAACGGAATGTACATCGATAGCGGGATGTTGACAAGTTCCAGGGCAGCAGTTGCGAGGTAAAAGTCATCGGCGATTTTCTTGACTGCGTCCTGCGATATATAGTCGCCAAAAAAAGTACGGCAAGAAAGTGCACAATTGATCTCGCGGAATTTGGTCATGAATGGAATCGGTCGTTCTTGATTTGCCTTACTAGCGGCAACAAACTTATCAAAGTAGTCGGTCAGGACCCTTTCGTGAACGGGGAGGTAAGTAGCTATGGCCTTGTTGGTGAAGAGCGGAGTCAATCCCCTCCGGTACTCAGCATGGGCTTTGCCCTGAAGAAATACCCAGGCTTTGTGGCCGATTATGTCTTTTGCGATTGGAACTATGCATGGCTCCGCGAATGATGGCGACTTAAAGACCTTGTGTGCGATGTCTCTATCAGAGACGAGCACGACGAATCTATGATGTACATCATGAGCATAATCACCTCCACCAGCTGATGGGATGTTGAAATGTGAAAAATGACCACGTACTTGTGGAAGACTGATACACAGCTGAGAGGACCGCTTGCCCATTGGGCAAGATATCCCTCAAATTTTGGATGAAGTGCTTGAATAAACGGCCCCATTAGGGGGATCTTGAACGACGGGCCAGCGATTGGTCCCTTTCGCTTGATGTACAGGACTAGAGACATAGTCAGCTGGAGGCTATTCTTCATACTCAACATTGCCAATTACCTTGGTCATAGACCACCAGGGCAAGCAAAAAAGTCACGATGTACTGCCAGGCAGACCAGCCCGCCAGAGCATGCGACAGAGTGCCTTGTAGCTGAAGCGTGAATGGCCATGTTTGTGGCAGCTCAGGCTGAGAGCTCGACGCGTTGAAAACTTCAGCAACCTGGTTCATGTTGTCGATGGTCGAGACAAGCTTCCTAAGCCCGCAGCTAGCAAGCATTGGGGAGGGCCCTGGATTTAAAAGGGGAGAAAGGTGGAAGCTTCATGATTCGCAATAATCACTCGTCTTCGGTCTCGGTTCCGCCGCAATGCCGACCGGAGAGTACGGCTGCCGCATTAGGACTAGACTCCGAACGCCGCAGTGATGCCAGCGGGAACTAGTTCGTTTTAGGACTAGTGCGGCTAAAATTCGAAGTGACTTGAAAGGCTTCGCTTATTAATGAGACAAATTTGCTTATGTAAGCGCATGAATACCCCGGCTATAAAAAAGGGGCTTCTCACTCACGAGATTCAATGCTTTCTTCCGCCAGCAACAACAGCAACATAAAGGTGGGTCACCAAAGGCATTCATCGCCCATATTTACCCCAGGTCTCTTTCTACCGAATTTTTCATAGCTCACCTTATTCTATGAAACCGAAGGACCCCTCAAGAAAAAGCCGTTGTCGAGCGCAAAACGAACATAAAATTCAAGGCTAATCATGATCAGAGCATTAAGTCTCAATCGGCAACATTAAAAAGCGAACGGGCAACTATAAATCGGTAGTGGTCTCAACGAGTGGGTGTACCGAGTATTTGGAGTTTTCGACAAAAGCTCGCTCGTTCGAGCAAGGCGACTGACTCTGTTAGCTGCAGCATAGGCAACCAGCACACATCATCTAGGCTCCCATACCTTCACTAGGAACCTGAAGCGGTTATGTTACTCTAAACAAAGGTATAAACAACTTGGTGCAGCCTTATGGTGCACTGGAATAATATTACTTATTAAATATGCTGCTATTCCAAGTACATGGTCAAGAAAAATCCATGGCGCAAAATTCATCGCCTTGGGCTCCAGTTTTTGACCCAGGCTTGAAGTGAGCAAAAAGTGATCAACAACAACATCAATGTTATTGGAAACGGTGGCAATAATAAAGACTAGCCTCTTTTCTCAGTGGCACTGACTTACACTTCACGGCACTTTCACTGCATTTAAGCTGATTTAACTGTGACATTCCATTCAACATTTGGCAGTTGATCCATGTCTACAGAGTACAGAGGCCAAATTCTCTCTCAAATGATTTAATCACACCTTTCAATTTTATATGGAACAATACAGCATGCGCTTTATATACCCAATCTTAAACATATTATATTCATAGTTTCAATTCACTTGTTTAAGTGATGATTATTGAATTGATCATCTCACATAATTCTAGAATCAGTCTCTTAGTTCTCATATCAATGAGATTCAAAATATTTTACCTCAACAATAATATTTTGTCGCAAAATATCCAACAACTCCGCGACAATGGGGAGCATATTTATCTCGGCATACAACCTTTTTATCACTGTTATTAATATCAGTCTAGATCTATTCTAGGAGAAGAGATTACCAGGTGGTTGGTAAGGCTTTTATATCAAGTGTGTTAATGCCATGTTTTTTACATTTGTCACCCACTGCTCTTCTGAGTCCAAAATTGGGTGCGTGTGCGCGTCAATCTAGTATCCATTATGTTGATGAATCCATTCTCAATGAATAGGAATACTTTCTATGACTGTTACAGCCTTATACTGTGCTGAAACAACTGTTGCTAGTGCTTTCACTGGGGGCCAAACCACACTTGATTCTCATCTTTATTCTTTGGCTGATCTGCATTTTGCCAATACTTAGGCCTACCGTGAATAGCAGAATTTGGATATTGTACTAAAGCTGCTGGATCAAAAACCTATAATTAACTTACAACATCCAGTGTATGTACTGGCTTGTTTGATCTTGCACATTACATATGCGTACAGAATTTTGCTGCCTGCCCTCTCTCTTTAAACTCATGTTGAAGCGTGAACTTTGATGGTTGGACCACCACAAGGGTTCTGAGCCGTCTGGCCATCGCCCGCGTCTTCCTCCTGGTACCATGAGGGACATCCATCTCTCCGGACCAATTTTCCTGATCCCGTGACAGCCGGTTCACCACCACCCTGCCCCGGGTAATGGAGGGAATGGGAGGTTGGATTTGCTCCGCTCCTCCTCTCTTTACAATTTAGAGCCATATGTCTCTGAAGATTACCCCTTGTCGGGTAGTCCGTCGCGACCAAGCCAGCCAGGCTTTGAGTATTCCCGGCATGATATGCAGAAAAGAAGAAGACTTGCCAGCATCTTCCAGGCCAAAGGGGTCTGAATAGCTATGGCAGCTACGATACAGGGGCGCTTGAACAACAATACTTTAACAACATGCAACTCCTTCTAGAGTAACATGAATGGTTTTGACTATGCTCTAAATTCGAAGCGGGTGAACGTCGCTATTTGCTACACAAAGACTAATCTATACAGTATCAGAAATATAAATAGCTTTAGCAATGGCATTTATTGCCTCCCTAAAGATGGACCAAAATATTGAAAAGAATATTGCAGCCCGCTAGTATAAAAAGACGAAATGTCTTGGGTCAATCAAACCTCCAGAATAACTCTTGTGAATGTTGTTTTCGATAGGTATATCGAGAGACTAGTGTCTTGTCTACCTAGTGTGGACACTTCCGCACACACAAAGCGCTTCAAGCCAGAGGCGTTATTATTTTTATACATGAACAGCAGACATTGTCCCGGGACAACATCATTGTCTGCTAGTTTGCTTTAAAAGAATTTCATGGACCATATTGAAATTGGACTCCATCATTGACAAGTGGACAGTGCTTGAACTTCTAGATGCAATCGTATAAGACCATGGGGTCTGGCTTGATGTTGAACTGAAGAGGTATAATAAGAAGTGTTACTGGCTATAATTTCCAGTAACTAGATTTATTTTGAAACCCTGAATACACACAAGAGTGTACCATCCCCCCAGCACAAGAGTCCAGTAAGAAGAACCTCTTACTAAAAGAAAAAGAGCAGAACTCTAGGCTGAAAGAAATCAATGGAGAGTGGGCTTCATGAGCAGCCATACCCATGTATTCATTTACGAAATTCGAAGGAAGACTTCTTTAAGGTCTATGGCTCATAATGGGTGTAGAGAATGTTCATGCCGGCCATTGGTATGGGGAACCCATGCCCTCATCTGATGCAAGTGTCTGTCTTCCACAAGTCCAGTCACCTTTGTTGGCCCGGTCCGGAGAGAGAGCACCCAACTCCAGGGTGGAGAAAGTCTACATGTTTGTTGCCAGCCTGCTTCATTTTTACGCTGCCGGTGAAGGCAGGGTCTGACATACCCAGCATGCCAACTGTGGGTTTCTTTTTCCCAGTCATGACAAATTGTGAGCGCCTGCGAAGATATTCTAAGGCCCCAAGATTAACTTTTTCATGGTTAGATTGCCGGTGCATAGTGAACTCTGCATCCCTAATGGCCTTGGCCGATCGGTGGCCTGACATCTCAGGAGTAAGAGGGTGAGGATAGTGTTTCTGCAGCACCATTACCCTCACCATCACCCTCACCGCCACTGTCGCAGCCGTGAGCCAGCCAGTCACTACTTACCACCTGGAAGACGCCTGTGAGCTTGCAAGGATGATACTCTTGAGTTTTGCAGTCTGCGAAATCTAAGAAGGTGTCCATCGACTGCCAGGTGTCCGCCAATACATTATCTTCTTAGCCCAAGCCAGGCAGTAATGGATTCCTGCCGTGCTTCTCGAAGCCGTTGTGACCTTGATGTTTTGCTTCGCGAGCCCTGGCTAACCGAGCCTTACATAGTAGTAAGTTAGGCGTGGGATTGCCAACCACCGCGCCTCCCCTGCCTCCTGGCGACCATGCGTGGTGGGCGCATGGGTGGTGGGTGGAGAATACGGGAACTGCTACTATTATTGCAATTATAGCAGCTGCCTGTGGGCTTCATGGGCCGGAGAGCAGGGTCTATATCGATCAACAGGCTTGGAATACTGGCCCTGCATGAGAGTGGCAATAATAACCAGTTAATAACTGCCGGCCAGGAAAAAAGAATGATCACCCTTAGAACCTTGTGGCCTGAAGGCGCTGCTTCTGCGGTAGTTATGTTGTTCACTGCTGACTGGCACAGAGTTGGTTCAGGAAAGCTTGTTTTCCAAGGAGTCAGGCAGAAATCGGACAGGTGTCAGCATTATGGAAGCTGTGAAGAAGCAAATAATAATACCCTGCTCTTGCAAGAAGATGCTATATATATAACTATGTATACCCTGACTATAATAGCTAGTGAGTAAGGGAGATGCAACAGTGAACTCAAAACAACCCAGAGCCGTCGTCGGGTGACGGGCGTGATATCTAGTTCCATGACTCGATATCTTGAGAGACTTAGCGATCATGCAGGCACTGACTGATGTTCACAACGGCTTTCCTGTTCTCGAAGCGAGCGTTGACAATAATAGCGATAGGGTAGTTAGTTGATAAGTTACAATACTGATTTGTGTACACTCCCTGCTCGATCAGGGTTACAAAAATTAGCCTACATAGCCTCTTTCTTTGCCTGCCGCTCGATTCCTTGCACGGTCCGGTCTCGTGGCCAGGGAAATGTGTTATCTGCGCCTTTCTGGCCGTGCCATGCTCGACCATCCGGGTATTCCTTCTCGAGGGTGCGTGCTGGAAAATGCCTTGGGGGATGCAAAGCCCACCCGCGGTTGGTCTCTGCAAGTATGTATCTGGCTACCATATACCCGGCGTACTAGAATAGCGCGGCCTTGTTGGCAACACGCATCAGAAGGATCATGGTCATGGCCGGAGGTACTCGTTAGTCTGTATGCTGCAGAATGCGCTTCATGTAGTTACAAGGTATGTTTATAGATAAGAAAACAAAGATTCATCACATCATTGCCGCCCCCTTCATTCTATCATCACGGCCCCACGCTCACCCACCACCCTCCTCCTCGTCATCGTCGTCGTGCGTGACGGCCATGTCCAGCACCTCGACACGGCCGCGGCCCTTGGTCTCGCCGCCAACGAAGTCGCTCAGGCCCTTAACGGCGCCGGGCTCGGCGAAGCCCACGACCTCCCACTCCTCGCCGTCGTCCAGCAGCTGCTGCGTCTCGACCTGCTCGAAGAAGCCCAGGATGCGATCCTTCACCGTGGCAGCTACTGCTGCCGCTGCTTGTCCTTCCTGCGTTGTCGTCGTCACTACTGTCCGCTGCTGGTGATCCTCCTCGTCAACCTGCTGCGCTTTCTTGCCCTTCTTGGCCTTTGCTCGACTCGCACCCTTGCCGGTACTACTACTATTATTATTATTAGTAGTATCCTGACCCTCGGACACCACCGACTGCGACGACCGCACCACGGCAGCGCCGCGCTTGGCCACGGCCGTCGCGCACGTCACGCGCAGGCGCATGCGCGCGCGCATCACGGCGATGGGCTGGTGGGCGATGAGGGCGCGCATGGCGTCGAGCGCCTGGGTCTTGGCGGGACGGCCGGCCACGACGCCGGTCCACGCGGGCATCACCATCTTCTTCTTCTTCGTCTTGTCATCCTCCGCGGACGATGACGGCGGCGGCGGAGGGGCGGGCGCGGCCTTGAGCTGGTCCAGCGCCTTGGCGATCATGCCGGGCGTGTAGACGCGGCGCTCGACGGGGTCGACCAGCTGCGCGGCCACGCGCGCCACGACCTCCTTCTCCACGCGCTCCAGCAGGTCGCGGCGCTCGCGCTCGCCCACCTGCAGCTCGCCGCGGCGCAGGATCTCCTGCACGATGGCGGCGCGCGGCGCGGACGGGCCGAAGGCGGCGGCGAGGTCGGCGGCGGGCGCCGTCTGCGCTTTGGAGACGGACAGGAAGACGGTGGGGATCTGGAGGACGTTGTCGAGGTCGGTCTCGGCGCCCGAGCGGTATTCGAGCAGTTTGTTCTTGTAGCACGCGAGCTCGAAGCGTTTTTTGCCTGGTGCGGGCGGGGGAGGGTGTTAGTGGAGGGGTGGGCAGTGGTGGGGAGAAGGGGGGAGAGTACCTTTTTTGAGGCGCACGATCGACACGTTGGTGAATTTGATCTGGTTGGAGGGCTGGTTGATGCCGACGGGCATGGTGGCGGTGGAGGGATCGTGGAGCGAGGGTGGTGGTGAGATGGAGTTGTTTGTATCGGGGAATATACAAGTAGGTTTAATAACTAACTAACTAGTTAACTAACTAGCTGCTGTGAACGGATCGACTTGACACCTCCGAGATTTTCGGCAGCGCAACGGTCCGGAATGGTCTAACGGTCATGATTTCCGCTTGTCACTCGCTGAGAACGAGCGCGGGAGACCAGGGTTCGACTCCCTGTTCCGGAGAGCATCGTTTTTTTGAAAAAAAAAAATAGACAGATCAGATGGATTAAATATTATGCTAGACTAACTGCGGTACAGTCCTATCTTACAACCAGCCGGGCACGACGAACAAGCATGGTGCTATTCAGCTTCTCATACAGACTCAAGCGATTACTGCCGCCGCACAGCTGCGTAGCGTTGCCGGAGCACAGCATGCTGCAGTCGGCGTCGGGCTGGCGCACACTGGCGGCCTCGAGCGCGGCGCCGCAGAAGCACTCACTCCCGTACTCGGCGCCGAAGAAGCGCGTGCCGTTGCAGAAGGTCGCGCAGCGGTCCAGGCTCATGGCGTCGGCGCTGAACTCGAAGCGGCCGCGCAGGGCGCGCGTGGCGGCCGAGTCGTTGAAGCAGCCGCGGTGCGCGTAGGTGCCCGCGACCACGGCGGGCGCCGTGGCGGGCCGCCACGCGGTGTGCCGGTACAGACTGAGGCGGTTGGCGGCGCCACACGTCTGGGAGCGGTCGCCGCCGCACGGCATGTTGCACTCGGCGGCGGCCACGGGCGTGCTGGCGGGCGCGCGCGCGTTGCCGCAGAAGCACTCGGTGGCGTACTCGAGGCCGAAGAACTGGAAGGCCGCGCAGCTGGCGGCGCACCGCGCGATGGTCATCTGCGCGTCGACCGAGGCGCCGCCGGTCAGCGCGCGCGCGCCCACGGAGTCGGTGAAGCAGCCCTCGAACGTGTAGCTGGGCGGCAGGGGATCCTCGCCAAAGGGCGTGCAGCGGGCGGGCAGGTCGGCGGTGGCGCGGAAGCCGTCGGTGAAGGTGGTGTCGCCGGACACGGCGACGACGTCGAAGCGCGCGATCGGGCGGTTGGCGGCGTCGAGCGGGAGCGAGACGGTGTACAGGGTGTAGAGACTGCCGGCGGCGGCACCGCGGGTCATGGGCAGGGTGGTGGTGGTGAGGGCGGGCACGACGCAGCAGTCGCGCGGGGTCTTGGTGGTGAGGGCCAGCGAGACATTGGGGGCCGTGAGGGTGTTGCGGACCTGGTTAGTTAGTTAGTTCGTCTGTCCACAGGCTGGTGTGAGATGGGACTTACGGCGGCGACGACGGTCAGGGTGGTGGCGACGACGCAGCTCTGGGCGGGCAGCAGCAGCACGGCATCGCTGACGGGGAAGCGGGCGGCGTTGTTGTCGAAAGTGACGGACTGGCCGTCGGCGAGGGCGAGGTGGGCGGTGAAGGAGGCGATGGAGGCGTTGGCGGGGATGGCGGCGTCGAAGGCGTAGTACTGGTAAAGGTTAGGGCTTAGGGTTAGGGCGGAGAGGAGGGTTAGGGTTAGGGCGGAGAGAAAGGAGAGTGGGTTAGGGCTTAGGGTTAGGCGGAGAGGAGGATTAGGGTTAGGGCGGAGAGAAAGGAGAGTGGGTTAGGGCTTAGGGTTAGGGAGGAGAGAAGAAGGGAGAGGGGCTGCGTACCGCGAAGGACTCGCCGAAGAGCGCGTCGGTGGCGGCGAGGCGGGCGGGGACGACGCACGAGGGGCAGGCGGCGGGGCCTTGGCGCGGGGTGTAGCGGAGCGAGAGGGCGGAGACGGTGGAGAGCGGGCGGGCGGTGGTGCGGAGACGCAGGGAGCCGGTGAAGCGGAGCGAGTCGTTGGCGGATAGGGCGAGCGACAGGTTGACGGGCTTGAGCTCGTACGGCGTGAGGGGGGCGGCGGAGAGATTGACCCCGCGCGGCACCGTGTCGATCATCTGCTGCAGCACGCGTGCGCACGTGGCGCGGAACACGGCGGGGTCGGCCAGCGCGCGGATGGTGGCGTTGCCGTCGATGGAGAAGACCTTGTTGTCGGAGTCGCGCGAGTTGGCGCGCGCGAAGGGGCTGGTCAGCGGGTTGCCCGCCACGTTGTTCACGAAGTTGGACGCAATGCGCTCGTCGAAGCCGCGCGTGCCGTCCAGCAGCGTGAAGTCGTCGGGCGCGCTGCCGGGCCGCACGATCAGCGGGAAGTTGGCGCCGTGCACGCCGCCCAGCGTGTGGCCGCAGGCGACCAGCGCGACCATGTCGCTCTGGTTGAACCCCGCGCGCGCAAACTGGTTGGCGAACGTGCGCGCCGAGTTCTCCGGCACCGGCACGCCCACGGGCCCGCGCGCCGCCGCGTCCACGCGCCCCGTGCGCACGCCCACCGCCGGCCCGCCGCACGCCCGCACCGCCGTCGCCACGCCCAGCGCGATCAGGTCGGCCAGCGGGCTGCGTGTCGAGTGGAACGCCGACAGCGTGCGCAGGGTGCTGTTGAACCCCGCGCCCACGTTCTCGCCGCCGCTGCCGCCCAGCTCGAACACCAGCGACGCGTCCAGCCCGCCCACGCCCGTGAACACATTCGCCGGCGCTGCGTCGTGGAAGCCCGTCCGCAGCCACTCCGCCGCCGTCTGCCGCCCCGCCCCGAACGCCGACCCCCCGCACGGCGTCACGCCCGCCGCAAACCCGCGCCCGCCCTCAAACGCCAGCGCCTCCAGCTCGTCGCTCGCCGCCGGCCACGTCGCCGCCCCGAACCCGGGCGGTATGATTGCCAGTATTATTATTATGATCCCTCTCTTCATCGTGATTCGCATCGTGGCCGTTCGCTGCCTGCTCGACGACCAGGACCGGGGCAGGCCCGCCGTTATAATAACAATAATACTCCGTACATCCCATCCCATCACACCCGCCCCAGCCCAGCCCAGCCCGTTCTAAGACATTCTCCTGATAATACTAATGCCCTCGCCCGTATTCGCCAGGTTGCATCTCCCCCCCAGACCACGCCGCGCGCCCCGTGCGCCAGGCGACGTGGACCAGCAGAACTGTACTAGTACTAACTAACCAGTAGTTACTCCGTACTGATAACGACCTTGCGGACGGAGTACGGACTGCTCCGTACCACTAACTAGGTAGGTCGTCACTACTGCTAGACAAGAGCCCGCCGCGCCCACCAGGAACACGCCCTGGTCGGGCGGATTCGCATGCCTGCTCTCACTAACGCGCCCGGCTAAGCATTCCATTCCACCCGCCCAGAATAATAATAATACGTACACGAGCGAAGCTACGCAGTACCGAGTCCGGAGTGCCGGTGGCAAACAAGCTGCTGAGTTCCCGAATTACTCCGTCCAGTCTATCGTCTATCGAACTACGAACTACTAGTAATTAAACACCATCAGCGACGGGTTCAGCAGCAGCGGCAGCAGCGCGTGCGACCCCAGCGTCACCGCCATCGGCACCACCGCCGCGATCTCCGTGATCTCCCACCCGCGCGGCGCAAACCGCCCCAGGTACACCATGCCGCCCAGCAGCGGCACCACCACCGCGTACATCCACTTGAACCCCTGGAAGATCTTGGGCATCTCCTTGAAGAAGTTCGACTCCACCTTCTCCTTCGCCGTCGCCCCCCACTCCATGTTCACCGACAGCAGGTGCGACAGCAGCGCCACGCTCAGGTGGAACGACAGCCCGCCGAAGAAGATCGCCATCATCGGCATCCACTTGAAGTTCTCCAGCAACGCCCCCCACAGGCTCTTCTCGCCCAGCCGGTACCGGATCACCGCCAGGCACACGTTGCCCAGCAGCGGGAACACCACCAGCAGCCCCAGGAATACTAATACATATATCATCAGTACCGCCAGAATAATATATACACAACAAGACAATACTCACCCTTCCACGACTCCAGGTAGAACTTGTCCAGCTGCCCGTTGAACCACCCCACCAGGAAGTAGTTCAGGATCGTCAGCGGGAACCCCGACGCCAGCGCATAGTCTACGTAGTTTCGTTAGTCCCCCTCCGCTCAAGCGGTGCCAATCCCTCAGCGCACTGCACTGCACGACTTACACGACGAGATATACCCCAGGATCGTAATCTTGCTCGACAGCGGCAGGTTACACCACAGGAACGTCAGAAACAGCCGAGTGAACGGCCCGCGGAAGATCCAAGTTCGCAGCGGGTTGAACACCAGCTCGTTGCACCCGTACGCGTACCTAAAACAACTCTCATTAGCCTTGCCCGAGATGGGTTTTCACATCTTTAGATCAATATCTTCTTACTTCTCCCACCGCGCCAGCTCGTCGTAGATCGTCAGCGACACCCCCTCTTTGAACTCGTCGTCGTGGTAGCTCGCCAGCCGCACGATGTTGCCCGCGATCTGCAGCCGCAGCGCGATGTCGAAGTCCTCCGACACGTGGCTCTCCGACCAGTACGCCACATACCCGTCGTCCGGCCGCCCGACCGACTGCACCGCTGCGCTCCAACATCAGCTATACATACATTGACATTATTGGGATGGCGACCTACCTTTCCACCGCAGGAACGCGTTGTGCCCCACAAACGGCGCCGTCTCGCCGCTGCCCACCGCAAACCGGATCGCCGAGTAGATCAGGTTCGTGAAGAACGTGATGCCGTTCTCGAAGTAGTCCTCCGACACCTGCATCACCCCCGTCGAGTGCTGGATGATCGCCACCTCCGGGCTCAGGAACATCTCCGCCGCCCCGTAGAGCAGGCAGTCGACCGGCTAGCCGCACGGCATCGTCAGCACCCCAACCATCCTATGTAAAGAACCAAAACAAGCATACCACGCGCGTGTCTGAGTCCACGATGAGAATCGCCTCGCCGATGCGGATGTCGCCCGCCGCCACCGCCCGGCTGTCCGCCGCCAGAACCTCCTCCAGCGCCAGCTGGTACAGCTGGTCTTCCTCCGTGGCGTCGATCATGTCCGTCGTCTGGAGCGTGTCCGCCAGCTTCTCCAGCAGCTTGTCCTCCACCCGGTTCGACACGTTCAGCGCAAAGTTCATGTTCGACGCCTTCTTGAACTTGCCCTTGCGCACGTAGCCGTTGTCGTTGTTCTTCGGCCGCGCCACCCACCCGATATTGTTGTCATGGTAGAAATTCACTCGCTCCGCCCGCTCCTCCTCCGACATGTACGCGTAGCCGTCGTCGTTGACGAAGATCGTCGCGCTGCCTACACACGCTGTCAGTTCCAAACAGACCACCGCGAACCGGCCAAAGATCAGTCAGTAGTACCTCCATGAGATTCGTAGTGCGAAATCGCCGCTTTCAAACTCGTAATCGTCGGGATGATAACCCCGTTGAGCGACTCCGTGTACACCGGCATCTGGATCGTCAGCCGCGGCGGCTTGAACCCGAGCGCATACGCCCGTCCGAGATCCGGCCGCACCGCCGAATAGAACCGCGAGTTCGTCTTGAGCGTCTTGATCGGCCCAATGGCCTGGAAGATGTCCGTGAAGATGACAATGGCAAAGAAGATGCTGAACAGCATGAAAACCGGAATCGTAGCCGCCAGTGCCAGTCGGATCCACTTCTTGTCAACCAGCACTTGCAGGATAAGATTGGAGACACCGAACCCTAAGAGAAGCACGGTGATCAGGCACATTGCCAGTCCGACAAATATCGAACTCGTCAGCGCCAGCGGTCGTTCCAGCGACTCGATCGGCGCTGCTACTTCTTCGTCCGGGATCGAGTTGGAGAGCCGCTGTCCAACCACACTGGATTCCTTGGTGGCCGCCGGTGGGGGAACAAACCGGTGCGTCGAGTCTGCGGGAGATGTGAGGGATGATCGTTGAAAGGGATGGCCATGGAATGACGAAGCAAATAGGCCGGTGGACGTGCCGCAGATCTAGACGAGTAGCATGAGTATGCGCTTGCCTGGCCATCAGACTTCAGCAGGGGCATACTTACAAAAGAGAGAAGCTTCCCCTCCACGTCTTCGGCGTGCATCAGGATTTTGCTCAGTTCGTCGTGCCACACTAACAGTAATTGTTCCCTTCGCACCAGCGCGACATATTGGAATTTCTTTACAGAGCTCGGCGGAGAGAGCGCAATCTCCTCTAGAGACTCGATCACCTGTAGCTGAAAGCCACTCGGCAGCACCAGCTCCGTCTGCTGGGGGTGGATCAGGGAGAAGATGATGCGCGTGGTCTCTGTCGACATGGTAAACGCAACACTGACATTGATCTTCTGCACCGCGGCCAGCAGCAGCGGGTGTACATTTTCCGGTTCGGACATGTACGTCCCCCGAGACTTGCGCAGAAGAAGGCCATGATATTCAAGAGTTGGGTCAGTAGGGCTGGAGTACCATTGATTAGTGGCAAGGCGGGCGTGTAAATATTTTATGATCTATCAAACGTCAATTGAGCCACCAACAACGCCGTTGATATACATATAACAAAAAGTGGGAAAAATAAAAAAAAAAAAAAAAAATTATGTAAAAACGGCCGTGGGGCACAATGACAACATACAGCTCTATACTTCGAATCTTCGTCAACACCCGCTACCGGAGTGGGTTGGCTGTGGGTGCCATGGGGAGACGACGTGCCGGATAGTCTTGGTGATGGTGTTACGGCTGCGGAATCTTGCTGCGCGGACTGAGAACTGTTCCGCTGTGAACGCCGCCAAAACATCCCTGCTGTGAGATTGTGAAGCAAAGATAAAAAGGGACCGGGCGGTGGAAGACGCAATCTGCCAGGAATGTCATGAGAAGAAAGGGGATCAGGGCGAGCAGAAGAAGTTTTGAGCTTCACAAGAGAAGCAATTTGAACTAGATCACAGAGGAAACCTGTTGTGTTCCCAAGAGGAAAACCATAACAGGACTGACTCTATGGCTGACCGTGAGAGGAGGCGATGAATTGCCCCAGCGACCGAGTATACACTATCCCATTTGTCTCAGGTTCGCCTAAATGCTTGTCGGGTACTTGTCCTGGTGGGCGTTAGATGCACCTCCATCCAGACTGTCTTGTCGTGTTCGATACATAACTAAGCCGTGAAAATCCCAGCGTGCCTGCGTAATTATCGAAGACTATCTGCCAGAGTGGAGGCATGTGTCAAGCGGCATGCCGGGCGCAAACATCTTCCAGAAAAAGGACGCTCAGGGGCGCCACTTCGGCGACGCCAGGGCAGCGGGAATCTCAGCGCATGGATTGCCATGCTTCTATTCAAGACAACCGGTGAACCTCGTGCAGGCTAAGCCCGCTCTCTGTTGTGCCAGAATACGAACAAGGGCAAGAAGTGGAATCAAGGGCCAACAAGCGAACGCCGGTCGCCCAGGCCCAGAGCAAGACTCGGCCTCAATTTTGAGATGCAACAATAATGTGTGCTTGTCGACCGGGATTGAAACTGACAACTGGAGGCCAAGCGACTCGGAGAGACCATGGTTTCCGTCCCCTGCAAGGGCTAGCGGCCGACGGTGGATCGAATTGGTCCTTCGAATTCTCCTGCTTTCCGCGGATTCTCCGGGCAGGGTGCGATAGTAATAATAATACGGACCAGGGTGCACATCTCGGGTCTGCCAGCTGCATGCACCACGGCTGTGTAAAAATAGAGCAGTCGTCGCAGGACAAGCCCGGGCACAGAGCCACATCACACATATTGCCTGTTTTCGCAGCACCACAGCGCAGGCAGCCTCCCGTTTTCGTGCGTGATACTTCAGGGATGCGGTCTGGGATACGGAGGCCAGCTCGCACACCAAGCTTCAGGTGAGGTTGCATGCTGTCGCCCCATGTCCGACGCTAGAATACTAGTGAACCCGCACGAACTTGGCCCGGCGACAGTCAAGCAGTGCGCCAAGCCGCGAGCGTTCTCGGTTGCTTTGCCCCGAGGAAGCTGATCGACAGAGTGGCTTGGGGCGACCTGTGGCGACGTATATGTACGTGAGAGTAATATTAATTATCGCAGGCGTTAAGACAGGACCGGCCGGTGATCTGGACGCAGCTCGCAATTGGGCCGGAAGTCATCTCTGGACGGGCAGACACAGCAACTGGGAAAGAGTTTGCCCAAACACAGGACCTTGCTGGAGTGCAGGCGGTTTCTATTTTCAAACATCGCCGTCGTCTGGATTGTGGTTTTATGCAAGGAATCTACTCCGTGCCTCTCATCAAGCCTGTATCCCGGCGCCGCGCAGCTCATAAAGAACCGCGCTCCCGACGCCCGTGGCGGAGTGCGATGAGAGAGAGGCTTTGCGATGGAGAAGCAACCAGCAATCCCGCCAAATCCGTTCTCTGATAGCGCTGCTGCATCTCTCCGAGCTGCATCCTACTACTCGCAGCCCTCTGATTTTCCGTCGGGACCCAGGCAACCCACTCGGCGCCAGTTCAGGTCGTATCGGCTCAACGGCGAATATGAACGACCATGGCTGAACGACAAACGGCTGTTGAGAACTCGAGTTGGCAACTATATCATCTGGGGGTTCATCGTCGTGGGCCTCGCCCTCAGCGCCTACATTAACTTCGCAGTCACCCGAAAGGTGTCCAGACACCAGGTATGTTGGCAACTGGCCGTCCCCAACTCCACTGGAATGCAACCGGGCGGCTAATCTCATATCCCAGTACTGCCTGGTTCTCGATGACCAGTTTTCCTCTTTCAACAAGGACGTCTGGAACCAGGAAGTCCAGGTACACAACCTGTTCCTGCTGTGCCCTAGTACGGAGCTGACGACGATTTAGGTAGGTGGTTTTGGCACGGGTGCCTTCGACTGGACTACAACAGACGAAAAAAACTCGTTTGTAGATAGCGAAGGCCTCCACATCGTACCAACATTGACCACCAACTCGACGTCGATTACGGAGGCGCAACTCTTAGATGGCTATACACTGAACCTCACCAAAGCCGGCGGAGATGGATCTTGCACAGCCGACACCAATTTTGCATGCTCCGTCCGGTCGAACAAGACTCTCGGTACCATCATCCCTCCCGTCCGATCCGCTAGACTAAACACCCGAGGAAAGAAGGGTATCCGTTACGGCAGAGTCGAAGTTGTCGCCAAGATGCCAAGGGGAGATTGGTTCTGGCCCGCTATCTGTAGGATGAAACGCCTTAATAATTATTGTCAAAGAATCGACTGACTTGAAATAATCCTCCTAGGGATGATGCCCGTGAACGAGACATACGGCACCTGGCCGGCAAGCGGGGAGATCGATATTGCTGAAAGCAGGGGGAACGATGTTCACTACCCCCTTGGCGGAAGGGATGTCGTGTCAAGCTCCATTCATTGGGGTAAGTTAGGGTTCAATCCATCAAAACCTAAAACATATTGCTAATTTTCTTCAAATCTCACCAAGGCCCGACACCTGGTACTGACGCCTTTTGGAAATCAACCCGTGGCAAAGCTCTCCGCCGAACAGATTACACCAAGGGGTTCCACACTTTCGGTATGGAATGGTCTGAGGACTACATGTTTACGTACCTCGACAGTCCCTTACAACAGGTGATGTACTGGAAGTTCAAGAAAGACCAAACCATGTGGCAACAGGGAGGGTTCGAGGGACGAACAGTCAACTCGTCTCTGCTGGTAGATCCTTGGTCCCAGACAGGGCGGTCAAACACCCCTTTCGACCAGGAATTCTATCTCATCCTGAACGTCGCCGTCGGGAGCACGAATGGCTGGTTCCTGGACGGCACTGGGCATAAACCGTGGACGGACGCGGGCAAGGCTGCTTCAGACTTCTACAAAAGTAGGTTTGCGTCACCGTTCTGCCCCCCCCCCCCCCCCCCCCCCCCCCCCCCCCCCCCCCCCCCCCCCCCCCCCCCCCCCCCCCCCCGCTGCCAAAAACGCTTTGCTTGCATTGCAGCCCTAACGTCGTGTGATAGGTCTCAACACTTTCTATAAAACTTGGCCAGAAGACAAGAATCGTGGCATGACCGTGAAGTCGGTTCGAATGTGGCAACAGGGGCCGTGCAGTTGAGGGTCGAAACCCGCTTTTTTTTTCCGACGGATAGTTTCGGTGTACGGAGTACGGAGTATGGGGGCGCAGATATGTAACTGTGCTATGCCAAGCAGCCGGGGTAAACAAACGATAAAACTTATGTATGTAATGAAAAGTGTCCTTGCCAACCCCCGACTTTTTTCATATAGTTTGGGGCACCCAAGTGTCTTGTGAACAGGTTGAGAGCAGCGAGACAGGGCCCTGATCAGGTTAGACCCAATATAATAATGTCGGCAGTTGAGGGTGTTACGAGGCGCCAAGATCCATGTTCACAGCCTCAGGAAACAATATATTCGTGATAATGGTGTAGAGCAATAGAGCAATAGACTAAGCGAAGCCTTCCAGGGTGCAATGTTCGCCTGTCCGATCATGAACACTCGTTTGAGCCCACAAAAGGGCGATCGTTTGTCCTCCGCCACAAAAATATCGCAAACCGGCCTGGATAAAGGAATCAAGGGACAGCTTGGACGCTAAGGGTCGTCAAGGTCTGGCTCAATCCCACCCGCTCCCTTCAATTTTATTTGTTTATACTTTGTTTATGAAAGTCTTGACTCTAGAGCCGCGGGTACTTTGCAAACCCATGGAACAAGATTGCGCTGCTATTATTAGCTGCCGTCGCCGATGTCGATGTCTTACAGACCACGAAGGCCCCAAATCCGAGAGTTGGCCTTCAATTCCGACGTGTCCAGCTAGGATACGGGGATACGCGAAGAGGAACCTCCCATTTCTCCGCGCGACGTACGTACTTCTGCGGGACCTGCATGACTACCTGAGACCTTGTGCACCTTTTGGGTTGGATGGATAAGCTGGCAAATTCGGCAAAGGATTGCTAGCATTATGGTGTGAGCTCGACCTCGCACTTCCAATAATCGTATTGGAAATTTCGGCATCTCGGCCTTATGCTTGCATGGACCGTGCCATCGAATGATTGAGCCAAACGCCACCGGAAACTTCTGTCATCCTTTCATATCATGTGAAGCTGAGACGTACGATTAAAAATCAAAGGAGCAAGGTCAATTTTGAGGGGGGGAAGCTTCCCAACTATATAGGACTGGGCCCCGATGAGAAAAATCTCCACACTCCTCTCATGCCATAATATCCGTTGTCTATTGGACTACCCGCTCCTGACTTGAGTTCTTCTTGGGGTGTACATACACCCCCTGACGTCAGTCGAGATGGCTCAAACTCTCTCGTCACGCCTAGTTCGCGTGCTCATAGTAGGTTCATGACGATACCTATCACTTTGATGGCTAGACAACTAACATGCAATTCACTAGTTGAACTTGCTCATTAATTTTGTCTGGGGTGCAGAATTGCTCCCAAGGGCGGCTCCTAATGAGTATTGGAAGTACTTGGGCTGCTACACCGATTCGGTGGGAGCCAGAACGTTATCGCGGGTTGGCTACACGATGGGCGGTCCATCCAACATGACAGTAGAGAACTGTGCCGAGGGGTGTCGCAATGCAGGATTCAATTTTGCAGGTATGGAATACGGCGGTGAATGTTGGTGTGATAGCCAAGTGCGAAACGGCGGCCCTGCTCCGGATGGCGAAGCCAAATGTACCATGCCTTGCAATGGTAACCGTCAGCAGATTTGTGGCGGACCCGATCGACTGAGCATGTACCAATATACCGGTGGGCCAGCATCCTCCAACACTTCAACAGCAGATCCGTCTCCAACCGGATCACCTGTATCAACAATGACATCGGTCAGCGCGACACCGACGCCATTGCCAACTGCTTTGCCAACTGGCTGGGGATACGCGGGTTGCTATGTGGATAACCGAAACGGACGTGTAATGGATAAATTGCTGCCCGACGACTCGAATCTCACAGTCGAATCCTGCGTTACGCGCTGTCAAGACATGGGGTATAGCGTCGCGGGAATGGAATTTGCGAGACAATGTTTCTGTGATAATTATGTTCGCAAGCAAGCCGCAAAGGCGAGTGATACAGAGTGCGCTATGAGCTGTACAGGCAACCCAAATCAGAAATGCGGTGGTCCCGATCGCTTGAGTGTATATTCTAAGGGCGACTTGGTTGTCTTGCCAAACCCAGCTACACAAACAGGAGGCCTTCCTGGATCATGGAAATACCAAGGATGTCTTGAGTGAGTTCGATTATTCGCTCCAGAGCGTTTCCACACATGCTGACCTACCCCACAGGGACAATATCAACCGAGTACGGACATTTCCATATCAAATAATCAACCAAAACAATAACTCCGCGACGACCTGCTTGAATCGATGCGCAATGTTTGGATTTGGAGCCGGCGGGATGAGCTATGGTCAAGAGTGCTGTATGCTAGTTTATCCAAAAGCTTTTCGAGGACATTGATTGACATTTACTAGTTTGTGGTGATGTCACCGACATTGCCAAAGTCGGCGCCAAACTTGTTCCAGAAGACAGATGTTCCATGGTTTGCACGGGAAACCAAACAGCAATATGTGGGAGCGGGAACTTGATATCCTATTATAAGTGGACAGGAACTCCATTGCAGACATGGGACTTTCGATCAGGTAATAACGCCGGCAGGTACGAGTTTCTCATTGGCGGAGTCGTTGTGTCGCTTATGACAACTATTGGTATCAATGGCAAGGTTACTTTTCAAGAGAAGTTCGGAACGGGAGATCCCAATTCGACAGGGGCGTATGAGTTTGACCCAGTATTCGAGAAAGATTTTAGCAAAGCGTGGCGTACTATGCATGTTAAAACCGATATCTTTTGTTCTGGAGGTCTTGTTCTTCCCGACAGAGCAGGGCGGCAATTGACAGTGGGTGGCTGGTCTGGAACTTCAACACAAGGTGTTAGGCTGTACTGGCCAGACGGCTCTCCCGGAAAACCAAGTGTCAACGACTGGCAAGAAGATCCTGATAAATTGGCATTGCAAAATGGTCGATGGTATCCATCTGCCATGGTTATGACTAATGGGTCTATCCTAGTTGTGGGAGGAGAAGAAGGCTCTAACGGCAGGCCTGTCCCAACACTTGAGATCCTGCCACGAGTTGGCCCCGTTCTATTCATGGACTGGCTTCAACGAACAGATCCAAATAATCTCTACCCGTATCTCACACCTCTGCCAAGTGGAAATATTTTTGTGGCATATTTCAACGAGGCGAGAATTTTGAACGAGGTGACATTCGATACAGTGAGGACATTGCCTAACATGCCAGGTGCGGTCAACAACAACGACGGTGGACGAACGTATCCCTTGGAGGGAACTATGGTGCTTCTGCCGCAGCATGCACCATATAAAGACCCCTTGGGTGTCTTGCTGTGCGGAGGTTCCGCCCCATTTAGTGGTGATGCTCTCGATAACTGTGTATCCATGCAACCAGAAGTGCCGAACAGCAATTGGACAATCGAAAGAATGGTAAGTAGAAAAATTAATAGCCTCCAATTGCCACCGTTACTAACAAGTAATTTTTATATCAGCCTTCCAAGAGGGTTCTTACATGTATGGCAGGCCTGCCGGATGGCACATTCCTGATTTTGAACGGTGCAAAGAAAGGCGTTGCAGGGTTTGGCCTCGCGAAAGAACCAAACCACAATGCCGTTTTATATGATCCTTCGAAGCCAGTTAATCAGCGAATGAGTGTCATGGCCAACACGACAATCTCCCGAATGTACCACTCTGAAGCCATCCTCATGGCCGACGGAAGGGTGCTTGTTTCTGGTTCAGACCCGCAAGATGCCGAATTCCCCCAAGAATACCGTGTGGAAGTCTTCCTGCCTCCATATCTTCTGTCGGGAGCAGCTCGTCCGACTTTCACCATCCAAAACAAGGACTGGGAATATGGTAAGCAGTATCAGATTAGAGTCACGTCGGGAAATATGTCAAGGGTCAAAGTCTCGTTACTCGGTCTGGTATCCAGCACCCACGGTAACAGTTTTGGCTCACGAACTATCTTCCCTGCCTTCTCCTGTTCTGGAAGAACTTGTACGATCACGGCGCCGCCAAATGGCCATGTCTGCCCTCCAGGATGGTTCATGTTGTTTGTTCTGGACGGGCCAACGCCATCAGTGGCCGCCTTCGTTCGCATTGGGGGCGACCCAGGTAGACTTGGAGACTGGCCTAAATTGCCCGGCTTTAGTCTTCCTGGTGTCAACTAATCGCGATATCCTTTCCTTTCTTGCAGCCGTATCGGCGGGCGTCGCACACATGATATTGCATAATAATAATCAGCATAGCACTTCATTTACTGACTGTAATTAATTCTTCCAATGATACTTGATACATGGATGAGTTTTTACCTCTGTGATGGCAAGCCCAGCCTGATGTCCAGCCGCCAAGCCATAGCTGACTCAGCGAGGCTGAGTGCCAACCGTAATGCCAAGATTCGGCTCTTTACTCCGTACAGTACAAAACATAACTACTAGGCCTTAATAAGCAAAACGTCACGCCTGTTGCGCCGCCTTGGCATGTTGTGTGGTATCGGCGCCGTATGCCACCACGGCCTGAGCTGAGTAATAACGTCACCGCGTCAGAGCTCCGAAACATCCCCAACCTCCCGCAGTTGGTCTCTTATCTCATCCAACTTCATTCACTTACAGTCCGTTTTCAACCATCGGAAGCCTGCTAAAAGTTGGCTTCCAAAAACGCGACTTGCTGAATACTAGTTCTCTCTAGCTTTACATCATCCTGACAGCGTCACCTGCCATCTTCAGCCACCCCGGCGCTTCATTCTCAACATCTCCCACGCAGGCTGCTTTTTGTCATGAAGGCATTTGCGGCAACTTTGGTGGTAAGCACAGCCCTCGCTGCTGTGCCGCCACAGCAGCCACTTCAAATACAGACAGAAGACTCTGTCTGGGCCAAACCACTCCAAGGCTTTAAGGAAAGTCTGAAGAATCTAGGCGCTGAAGCAAAGCATGCATGGAACGAATTGGCTTCGGCGTATCCAGACGCAGTTGATGATTTCACCCTCTTGTCTCTGCCGAAGAAACACACCCGCCGACCAGATGCTCATTGGGACCACATTGTGCGAGGATCGGATGTCCAGGGCATCTGGATAGAAGGCACCGATGGCCAGAAACAACGAGAACTCGATGGGAAGCTGGAAAACTACGATCTCCGAACGAAGGCTGTTGATCCCTCAAAGCTTGGAATCGATCCGGGCGTCAAACAGTACAGTGGCTATCTTGATGATAAGGAAACCGACAAACATTTATTCTACTGTAGGTCAACGCCCTATATTAGCATCACTGTTGGGATATAACTAATGTTCAACAGGGTTTTTTGAGTCTCGAAACGATCCCAAAAATGACCCTGTGGTATTGTGGTTAAACGGAGGCCCAGGCTGCTCATCCTTAACCGGTCTATTTTTGGAGCTCGGCCCCGCAAGCATTGACAAGAACCTGAAAGTTGTACACAACCCCTACTCATGGAATTCCAATGCATCTGTTATCTTTTTGGATCAACCCGTGAATGTCGGTTTCTCTTACAGCGACAACGCTGTCAGCGACACTATTGCTGCCGGAAAAGATGTCTACGCCCTGCTTACCCTTTTCTTCAAACAATTTCCACAGTATGCCAAGCAAGATTTCCACATTGCGGGCGAATCTTATGCGGGACATTACATTCCAGTCTTCGCCTCAGAGATCCTCTCCCATAAGAAGCGTAATATCAACCTTCAATCTGTGCTCATTGGAAATGGTCTAACCGACCCCCTTACTCAATACCCACACTACCGACCCATGGCATGCGGCGCCGGTGGCTATCCTGCTGTCTTGGATAAGGCTAGCTGCCGCTCCATGGACAACGCTCTTCCTCGCTGTTTATCTATGATCGAATCTTGCTATAGCAGCGAGAGTGCGTGGGTTTGCGTTCCCGCTTCAATTTACTGCAACAATGCTATGATTGGCCCTTACCAACGCACAGGACAGAATGTCTACGATGTCCGTAGCAAGTGCGAAGACAGCGGCTCCCTCTGTTATACCCAGCTTAACTGGATTACCAAATGGCTAAATCGGCAATCCGTCATGGATGCATTGGGTGTGGAAGTCAGCAGTTACGACTCTTGCAACATGGATATCAATCGTAACTTCCTTTTCCATGGCGATTGGATGAAGCCTTTCCACCGTCTTGTTCCAGGATTGATTGAAAAAATTCGTGTTCTTATCTACGCTGGCGATGCTGATTTTATCTGCAACTGGCTTGGTAACCAAGCCTGGTCTGACGCCCTTGAATGGAACGGTCATAAAGAATTTGCCGGTGCCGAGATGAAGAACCTGACTGTTGTCGAAAACAAGAGTAAAGGCAAGAACATTGGCCAAGTCAAATCGCACGGCAACTTCACGTTTATGCGTCTCTTTGGTGGCGGCCATATGGTTCCGCTTGATCAACCTGAAGCAAGTCTCGAATTCTTCAACCGCTGGCTGGGAGGAGAGTGGGGGGCTTGAGTTAGATCTTTCTGTAGGTTTTCGAATTGCCTTGCCGCTGTCTAGTCGTCATGGTTTGTTTGTTATTTTCTTTTGGATTGGATACTGCTTTTTTATGTCTTTTTCGTTTTGCATTGCTAAGGCGGCTTCTCTATTTACTATGCAACCATGGCACCCGCGGTGTATCACCCTCTGGCTATAACAATGTAGAACGTGAATTTCAATAAATTAATTCCCTTTGCTGCGCAGGATTGTTTCGGCTCAAACGATTCAGTCTCCGTTCCAAAGTATGTGTGTTTCTTGACTCTAAAAAACATACTCCGTACAGTAGCTTTGCATTTCTAATTCTGCGCGCCCGAGATGACAATTAGACCGTAAATACGAAAGAGAATAAGCATCAAAAATAGAAGTCCTCAAGGGAACCTCGGAGATTGGAGATAAAAAAAAATTATTGAATTTTTATCATTTCAATTCCCTTCATTCTCACTCCACAGGACCGTCGCAGTATTAGATATCTCAACACAGAAAAGAAGGCAGGATAGGTAAGACCTGCTTGAGAGTAGGCCTTCCTCAAAATCCCACCGGCTGTGACCTATGGTAGAAGATATGACGGAAATAACACTGCACTTTATGATGCAATTCACCCTTATCCGTATTCCCACGCGCACAAAAAAGGTACGTACACCATGAAACAACGAAGCGAGGAAACAAAGGTGTCCCACGTAACGTTTATCCCTTCTTCTTGCTGACACCGACAGTACGGCCCCTACGACCCGTCGTCTTGGTGTGTTGACCTCTGACACGAAGACCCCAGTAGTGGCGCAGACCTCTATGAGCACGGATCTTCTTCAGGCGTTCAAGATCCTCTCGGAGCTTGGAGTCCATATTGTTGGCAAGGATCTGAGAGTCCTTACCATCGACAATATCACGTTGACGATTGAGGAACCAGGTGGGAATCTTGTATTGGGTTGGGTTTTGAATAATGGTGACGATGCGCTCGAGTTCTTCGGTGGTAATTTCTCCAGCACTATATTTCAAGAAAATATATCAATACTGATGTAAATTTCGACCGGACACTTCTGTATTATACACCTGAGCAGAGAGAGATGGAAAGCATACCGTTTGTTCAAGTCAACGTCGGCCTTCTTACAGACCAAGTTGGAGTATCGGCGGCCCACACCCTTGATCTTAGTCAAGGCGTACATGATCTTCTGCTTGCCGTCGACATTGGTGTTTAAAAGACGCAAGATGAACTGGAAGTTCGTCTTTTCGCCGGACACGAGCGCTATAATTTCATCGCCAACGTCAGTCCATTGATCGAATTCTCGAGTCGCCCAACGCTTGCAGTGGTTGCTATCATCGGCCATACATCGCAATCGGGGGAGAAGAGGATCACATACACATGACGGGCGATATCTGCAATAAATATCTACCCCAGTAGTTGAGCAGGTTGTCGACGGGAGAACGAGAATTAACGAGGGTTGCCGATGGAAGTGGTTGATTTGACTGTGTGGGATCGAAAATATGGCGGCTAGCCATTCTGGGGCTAGCCCACACCACTTTTCGCTACAGACTCTTATGTCATCATGAGTTCAGCGTACTAGTACTAGTTTAGTTTAGCTCGTATTTTCAAACGCCAGAGTACCTCCAGTACCGTACTCTGTACGGAGTACCTCGAGATTCTCAACTTGAAGTTGGATCATGCTATCATAGAGAAAACAGCCATGTGAGATTATACTCTGCCTACGGAGTAAAATACTTAGTATGTACGGAGTGTATAAATCATGAATCTCCCATTAGGGGGCCCAAAACAAAAAAAAGAAAAAGATAACGTGGACTGTCGGAGAATCGAACTCCGGACCACCCCCATGCTAAGGGGGTATTATACCACTAAACCAACAGCCCTTTGATTGGCGGTTGATATCCAATATTTTTATTATGTTTTAAGACGTTACTTTTTAATTCAATTATACTCCGTCTCCGGATTGACCACATATCCGTAAAGAAGGAGATTTAGTAGACCTTAAGAAAAAAAAAAAGAGGGCTGTTGAACAGCAGAAGTGTGTATCTCTAACATACGAAAAATATATATATCAAAACTCCGTAAAAACACGTAACGGGTGTATGTAGCCTGTAAGTGACGATGCCATTAATCCAGACTCGAGATCAACAAAAAATTTGGTTTGTTCTTCCCAATACAACCACCTTATACAAGACCATAGACAGGGGCTTTGACAAGAACAGTACCTACACCCTTACTGCGGATCTCTACTGCAACGAAAGCTGCAAACCGAATGCGCATCGTGTCGTCTTTATCCACTTCATTTCGTTCCTTTCCATCTCGCATTAAGGATGAGCTTTGTCGACTCGGCTCAGGTATGATCTGGCTCGCAGTCGGATGAGGCTTTTTTGATATCAGGGATCCGAAGACAGATTTCTTTCGGCCTTCTTTGGCGTAAGATGAATTGCTTGAAGTTGCATCCTTGACGTTTTCTCCATCGACCGTAAAATTATCCAGCACAAATTCCTTGAGTGACGTCTGGTCGCCACGATCTGCCGCCGCCGACGAGGGTTCAGAGCTAAGACGGCTTTCTGGTGGAATATTTGTGAGAGGTGGCAGCGTTGTTTCAAGCTTCATATGAGATTCGGCAACCGGGGCTCCAGGTAGGAAATATTCCACTAGGACGTCCCTGGATTCGAGGGGTATGTTTGCTGCAATTCCAACAGCCAGCTCAACGATCATGGAAACTCCATTTTCAAGGCCTGGTGGGGCGGGATCTTTCAAATTCATCCCCAGGCTAGCCGTGAGTTTCTCAACAAGGCTTCTAGTGAGGGTGGAACGGTGATCCTCCGCCAATTTTCCAGTCAATACCTGTTCAAGGCCATCAAGAGTTGTGCGACGCCATGTCGAAAGTTTAGCTACGTGATTCTCTTTTTCTTCTTCAGTGGTGGCCTTTGCCATTTGTCTCACGTTCCGTTCAATCATTTTCAACTGCCGACTCAATGTTGGCTCCAAGCTAGGGTGAAAATACCTGTCAAACAACTCATCTACTAGCCAACGAGTGAGACACGCACGCCCAACAGCCGTCATCTCCTTTGTGCCCACGATATACGCGTCCTCATTTACCACTGGCTGGAGCCATTGTGGAATGCTTTTCCAGTCTTTACGAATGTTGAATGCAAGGTTGTTAATAGCGCCATCGAGCCGACTGAAGCGCGTGGAATATTCATTGTCATCGAAAACAGTTCGGGAGGTAGACATTCGCTGATGAGCAACTGTATTTTGAAGCTGCTGTACTTGTGCCTCTCTTTCAAAGTAATATCTTTTTACTTTGATATACTTTGCTTCTACGAATCTGTTAGCTAATATGATGATCCACGGGTCTATAGTACATACGGAGCTCTTCGTGTTTCTGTATTAATGCACGAACATCAATATCGGAAAAATCCTCGCGGTCTTTCACCGGCGGCAAGGGCGGATTGGTCCGTTCCAAGTCATTAGAACTAGCTTGTGACAGGTTTCCTTTGAAACTTGAGCCAGGAGTTAAAGTTGGCGGCTGGCTGTTTTGCCCTGTTAGCATGGAATCCGTAGATTGCCTTAGGCCAGCTTGTCTGTCCATTCCAATTTGCGCTGAACCTTGCCCGACTGGCGGTTGAAGAGATTGTCGAAAATGAAACTTTTGCGGGTTAGATTCAGGGCACTGGTACTGAGGGTTTAGAGGAGAAGGAGGGCCAATAGACTGCTGTGAAGGCGGTCTTGTCGTATTGTGTGCGTCTGACTGTGGAGATTGGCTACGAGCAGCCGTTGTATGGTCCAAAAAGGTATGTGGGCCTCCTACTTGATTGGTTGGCTGGTGCAGATGACCTTTGTCAATTTGCAATTGAGGATGTGGCGGCCCTGAATTGAGTTCCTGTGGATAGCAATCACGGGTGAAAGGCTCGGTGTTTACGCGTTGGATTCTAGGGGGCTCGAATGGTTGGGGCTCGATGTTTGAAGATCGTTCTACCAAGGAAGGAGAGGGGGAAACTGCGTGCGGAGTCCTCTTCAAACGTAAAGGCATACGGTTGTTATCCGCAAGTTGCTCCTCTTTAGGCTCCAGTTCTGGGTCAAAAAGACGCTCGCTAGGTACCTGTTGCACCGGGGGCACTCGTCCAGGACTTTTGCGCCTGACGGACAGAGTACGCCCAAGCCTTGAACTTCGCAACGAAGAGTCTTTATCTTTGTTTTTATCCTTTGATGTTAACCCAAACAGTGTTTTCCTTAGCTTTCGAGAATGCGATTCCACTGAGGGAGATGCCTCTGAGCTAAGTGGGGTATAAGAAGGCTCAGCCGAGCTGAGATCCGATGAGCTGCCTAGCCCCAAACTAGAAGTGGAAACGAGGTTGAGTGCTGGTCTAGCCACCCTTTGATGGGAAGATGCTGGTGGTGAATCTGGCGGATCGCGACTAAATCTGCTGACAGTGTGGGCAGGGTGGGTATAGCTCTCTTCGTAGTGCTGCTGTGTTTGTAATGCTGGTACCACTTGTTCATTAGAAAACGGATAGGGCAGCTGCTGCGTTTGGTTGCCGGGAGTCGCCAATGGATGGTGGACAGGTAGGCGAGTATCAGTGGTCCGCGAGAGGTTGTTGTTCACACCACCCGTCTCAAAAACTTCTGGGATTGATGGCTGCGATTTGTTTTTGTGGAAGAAGGGCATGGGGCTGGCTAGGGAGGGGCAATGCAGGAAGATAGCTTGCTTTTATTGCTGCCCCGCTTGGGTTCTTGACTGTTCTCGTGCTCTTAAGGCCGGGCGTTGGTTATGCGGGAGAGGGAAAACACGGTAAATATTCATCGACGTCTGGCGCATGGAGTCACGGACAGGGTATCTATTAGTTCAAGCTAGACTATTGCAACCGCTATGTCTCTTATGTTAGAAACGAGAGGGATAAAATTGAGGTAGGTATGCAGGCATAGCCCAAGCCTAAGGCTGAGCGACGCCTCGAACTCGGGCGGGGAGGGATGTGGGATACGCTGCCTCACCTATCCGAAGTAACAGTACGGAGTACTGCGAGTCAGCAAAGACGACTAGGGCGACATGTCGACGGATCCCTGATGGGGAAGAAGAGCGTGTCTGCAAGAGAAGAAAAGGCTCGGGAGAGGGCAAGGATCGCAGCGAAGGAAGAGGTTACATACTGTGATGGAGGGGGTTTAAGCCGCAACTTCAGCACTTGGTCCCTTTTAGTAAAACTAACGACAGGACGTCGACGTGGCCTTGGGCGTCTTCCTCTCCAGCACTCACGGTTATCCGCTCCAAGCTCTCGACCTATTCACTATTAATGAAGGTATTGACTCTGCATCTGGGCTATCCTACCTTTCCATTCGCTAATATGTAACTAACCTCCCGGCATTGGCCCCCAACGATTGCCCTCTTCCTGCATGATCGTTGCAAACAACCAAGTCGCCAGGCTTTTGTTCCACATCGCGCTGCAACGATTTTCATCAGAGTTGCAATAAACTTCCCATGTCAATGCATTGATCCATGGTCAGCTCAAATGCAGTGGCAACTAAGAACTTCGAAAAACCGTTTTGCCCATCCATCTCTCAGCTCATCCCCAGCTACTTCAGCCATCGATCCGCCCTTTGCCGGCTCGTTAGCAGTATATTATTGGGTTCATTTAAACAGAGCAGCGACCGCCCCCAACGGTGGCCAATTTTACTTTTCTTTTCTTCTCAGCCATCTCTCTCAGCAAAGGATGTCTACCCTGGCATCTATTTGAATCCTCAAACCTTCTAATACTCCGTACAGCGGCATCCCAAATTATTCTCTGGTTATATTTTTTCATGATCCCTGAGAAGAAAATAACACGGACAAATATGCAAGCTCACCGCCAATTTTCTATTTGTCAATGTTGTTCAAAATCCCCTGCCACTCATCATTCGTTAGCAATATTAAGAAGCTAGGCCAAACCAGGCACGGATGGTACGTTCTATTTAACTAGACTCCTCTTTTGAAGAGTGGGATTCTTTCCTTCTTCAATGCCCCGTTCGATGGTCTTTACTTCTAGAAACAGTTTTTGAGATAATCTTCGAGTGGATCCGGCTACGCCATACATACACATATAATATCCACAATCCTCTTGATACGCTTTGCACTATTATTTTTTATTCTTTATTTTTTATTTTTATTCTCTGCAGGAGCGCTTCGCTTCTGCTTCCAATCTTACTGTTGGTCTTCATTTCGGTTCTCTGTTACTACAGCGTGCGGTACTAATTCCCTACCGTTTCTACTTGCCAGGAATGCCCCCTTAAATTATCATCACCTATTCCTTTGAATTAGTCGCTCAACTCCCTCTGGTGACGTTTTCCATTGGTGGTTTTCGTCTAACAAGGTGTCACATTTTTCCTTCCACACCTGCCGAATGAGTCTTGCTCGCTCAGGGTCCCTTGGCCTGATATCCGCCGGAAATGGCTTCAGGCGAACCACAAGCCCAGGTCTCAAAGCTCTAGGATTGATAGAGATGGTATTCCCGCCTTGGTCTTTCATTATGGGAGATGTTAAATGCCCATAGCAGACGTGATACCAACATAAACACACTTCTCTCGGCTAAATGCTTTCCGGGGCAGACGCGACGCCCCGCTCCAAAGGAGAAAAGAAGGCCATCCGCGTGTGCCAAATTGATCTTTCCTTCCCAACGTTCTGGACGGAACACATCTGGCTCTGGGTAGAAGCTCGGGTCATGGTGGATGGCGTACGTGTTCATTACCAATATAGTTCCTTCAGGAAACTGGTAATTACCCCACTTTACAGGTTCTGTTGCTACCTTCGGTAGAGAGAGCGGAACAATAGGCATCCAGCGATGGATTCTGTTTGTTGTCGTATTCGTTAGCCTCATTATGAAGGAATGATATCTTGCAGAAATACTAACTCAAGAATAAATTGCTGAATGTATGGCAACTTCTCGGCATCTTCCGCCTGTGGTAGCCTATTTTGACCGACGACTCGGTCGATCTCTACACCAGATTAGACATGGATTTCCACGGTTGGCATGATGACGGACCTTCTTGGGCTTTTTTCTGGACATGTGGATAGAGGCACAAAGCTGCAATACAAGTGATAAGAGTAGTAGCTGCAGTATCTGTTGATCCAGATAGCAAATGTTGGCCGATTTCTGCCCCTTCCATTTCGGACACATCTTTCCAGCCTTCTTTGAGCTTTTGTTGAATTGCCTGGTTGAATGAAGGTACACCTATTCCTTGATCAGCCTTTCTCTTGACTGAAGAGTAATTTCTCCAAATATAAGCTCTGTGGTTTTTTGCAACACTGCAGGCTTCTCTGCATATTGGATGCCACATCACTGGCAGTTTCCATAAGAACGGCCAGAAGTCAAGCAATTTGCCCCGAAATCCCAGTCTTGACAGATCATACACATCATCAAGTGTTTCTTTTATCATTGGGTTGTCGAAAGTTGTGATTCTATACCCATTTACTATTGCCATCCCAGCGCTATTGGTATACCTTTCAATATGGTTGCACCAGCGAGAAGGTTCTCCGAGGATGTCAAATAACAGCTGTGCGCTCTCTAAGTCATGATAGGGAACGTATTGCTTTGCGGCCGTGGGTTTTAAAATGACGTGCCACATCCTCCTTGCATTGCGCCATTTCGGTCCATGCATCGAGCTTGGGAAATACCCGTCTCTCATTAGCATTTTAAACTTTGATGGCGGACGATTTTGGGTCTGAGCTCCTTGCTCAACGAAAATTTTGCGTGCGTCCTCTGCCGTGTTAACTATTATATGTGGCGTATTACCCTGCATGACCGTGTATACTGGCCCATATCTCGACGCCCATGCTGTATATTGGTACTGCGGGAAGAACTGGTCGAACTACTAGAGGCGTCAGCAGCTTTTGCGAGGCTTGGGCTAATTCGGTTGTCGGGGAGAAAGAACCTGTTTCAGGTTACCCCAGATCACCTGTGTGGGTGGACCTGGAGGCAGGTGTTTTGGACGACGGCCAATTCCCAGGACAAGATGAAGGAAGTAAGCTATGGCGCCAAAGATACCCACAGCCAAGCCAAGGGACACAGTTGAGAAGCCAAAAGCATTGTATACTACTGCCATGTATGCGATTGCCGAAATATCGCCTTACTGCCTAACTGGAAAAAAGAAGAGACTGGGGGAGCAGGGGTTAAATACACACCTTTGGACACTGAATGATCTGCGGCCGTTTCATACATGAAGACGACAAGTTCGCTACGCGGCTACTCTGCTAAAGATCGCTCCTGTGTATCCACCCAACGAAGTGGCTTCTCTTGCTTAGCTATCTCAAGCCAGAGGCTATTTTAATCCCGACCATAACAGTTTTCGAAGTTACCGCGACCAATTGAAAACCAAATGCGACCAGATCATCTGCAGAGTTTGCCAATCTGGTGGATTTCACCGGAACGTGCTTTGGTTGATTGTATGTAAAATCCGAGATGCTGGAAGCTCAAAAATAAAGATGGAGTCATCTGAGGGTTGGTTCCGTCTGTTTTTCTCGAGGCGACCCAATGATGGACCTCCGTTCGGGAACGTCAGCAGGTGTGTCTTCTGGCCTGCTTGGATATCCTGCATCTCCCAGCCAATTGCAGATGGCCGACGATGAAGGTGAGATGGTGGCTTTCCAATCGCCTATTGAGACCCGCACTGGTGCTCAGCAAAGGTGGCATCGAGCAGGGAACCAATTCTACAGCTCCCGGGCCCTTGGTAGTTAGTTACTCGCCCTTGGCTGTGATGGACAGGGAGGACGATGGGATTGCAGCGCAAAAAAGCGCCACTCTCACAATGCTACATCATCAACTGAGAGCGGACCTAGTCACTGGTTCTAACCAGCAGAACTTCGGCAGGCGCTTGTTTTTCACGCTGGCCATGCCGCTTCGCGCCCTAGGGCCGACACCACTAGCTAACCACCTGTTAAATAAATCTACACACGCGACATCGGCGTTCACATTGCCTGGTACCACCTGCGCGATGCATCGCTGCCTCCCGGTTTTCGCTGGAGTCGCCGGTTCGCTGCCCGCTGTTCATGTGACGGGTCAGAACCTCCACCACCGCTCTTTGTTCTTCTCGTCACACGGGTGTCCGACCATCCATCCCATTGAACGAACTCGACTGCGTTACTGGACATTTTGTGTAACCCGGTACGGAGTATAGCCTTCCCCGGCCCGCTGCCGCCTCCCGTTTCGTTGGTTGGCGTTTTATGGCACCGACACTGCGCGTGCGCAACCCAGATGCAACGGTTCTGTGCGCGGGTATGCAGCCGATGCTCCCCGTTGCACTGCACCGGCGGATGGGCGAGCGTTTTGTGCCATGTCCTCGCGGAGAGATCGACTAACGATCTGCCCTTCCCGGTAGTGAGGGCTTGGAGATTTTCAGAGGCTATAACGGCCCCGCAGGCGGCGCATTATTGCCCTAGAAGTCACAGAGAGAGATAGTGGCATCTAAAATAATAGCCAGGCCTAACACAGAATTCAGCTTTTCTTGTCTATAGCACTTGACTTTGTTTTCTCGCGTGATGATCAAACTACTCAAGATTACCATAGCCTCTCTGATTTCAGAGCGATTTAACTATAATACAGAAGATTATCCCTTAATCAACTATATGCATTTACGTACGGAGTAGTATGCGTATGTATGTACATAGTACATACAAGGTACTCCGTACATAGCTACATATTTATAGCCTTTGCTTAGTTATGTGGAATGGATCAAAAAGACTATGTTTCGCACCAGCAACTTCCTTTCATGGGTATGGAATTCTATACGCTCCACAAAATACGCCCGGAAAACGAGAAGATTTCCAGCCCGCTTCTTACCCTCGTAGGCGAGAAATTGTCCCAATGATATACCGAATTCAAGACCGAAAATTTGCAGAAATAGTTGGCAAGTAGTGCGACGCTTTCTCCGTGGAATATTTACCCATACAAAATCCGATTTTAGCCTGGACTGTTTCTCTACCGATAAGGATCGAGAAATCGCATTATACCGAGTAGACCCGCACAACTTGGAAAAAATGTTTCTCAAATCGAAGGCACGCATGCACATCCATATAAAAAAAGGTGTACAGCCAATAATTGTACTTTGCTAAAGTGTTGGTTCCACATTTGCAACGGTACACCAAGTCAAAGAACTGTGGATCGTGGGGAATACCAGGCTAGCATATGTAAATGTGGTCCAGTAGTTATCATTGACGCTGTGCTGCACGATTTATAGTCTGTAGCCTGTGAGCCCTTGTCAACAGTGTGCACTTGCATACATAGTGAAAGGAATGAGGTGCATGGGTGATCGTAGCAGGTCATTTTAAAGATAACTATTATTTTATTTTCATCTTGTCATCCCCAGCTCGTGGTATGAGACAGCAGCCCACTCTCTCAGGCTCCGTGATCTCAAGCACTACTTCTAGATCCATCCTTTGATATAGTTTTATCTGTTTATGCTTCCTTGAAGTCCTAGTTTTCCAGCTATCAGCCAATTCACTGTACGAAAAAGAGGAAGAAATCATGATGTTTTGGGTATCCACTTATTTTCGCCTGAATTTATTATTAAAATAAAGGCGGTCACTAGTGGATGTTGAAAGAATTGGGTCAAAAGACAAATATTTGTTTTAGAAGGCTGTGCTTATGAATCCAAAGGGTATAATATCCAAGTTTTCAACAGTGAGCTTGGTCATAGAATAACGTGGTTGATTGAGGGAGTAGTAAGACTCTTTGAGGTTAAGTACAACAGAAATAGGGTTCTAAGGGGAATACAAGTAGTCGCTGGTGGTAAGATTGGAGCAGATTAGAAGGAGGGAGAGCGGTTTTCAAGGCATCCAACCAAATATGATTAATGTTGGAGGGTTGGGTTTGTGCTGAGAAAGAATGGGAAGTGATGATTGCTTGGCATCACCAAAATCAACCTCAACCAACTACTCCGTATGGTCTGAACAATGAGACTCGCACAGACAATACCCCGGCTGAACAGAATGTAGTCGATCTAGCCTTCACCATTATGCTTTCATGTCGCCTAAGATGCTCTCGCCTCTTTACACGTCGACGCCACCTTCCCCGCCAGCATTGTCGTTATTCTCAACTTACAATCGCACGACATAACTCGCAAGCTCAGCTCACCCAAGCATGTCGTCTCTTCCAGCCCTTCGCCACGCGCCATTTCCACCTTGCTTCACCCTTAATTCCGCCACTCGTCTTCACTGGCCTTCTCGTTACATTGTGGATATACAAGTGCATGATGATGATTGTGTTCCAGAACCAGATCATCTATATGCCATCCATTCCCCCCGGGGCGAGAAGGGAGAGAATCGAGGATTATGCCGGTGAATGTAGTGGGATTCGCTGGGTGGAAGAGAGGATCTTGGCGGCAGATGGAGTGGAACTCGGGATGTGCGTGGGTGAGAATGTCAATTCCCATAATGCAACAGTAGCTGGAAAAGGACATGGCGTTGATAAACATGTCATTATTCTGTATTTCCAGGGGTCAGTTCCGAATATTCTGTTCTTCTACTATAATTTATCCTAGCTAAAGAAAGTGAAATTATTACTTGTAGCAATGCGTCTTCACTCCCGCCCCGGCTACCGCTTCTATCAAATGTTCTTCGCGATCTAGAAAGGGCCTCGAACCCCCGGGTCAAGTACACACTCGTCGCGCTATCCTACCGCGGCTACTGGACATCCCGTGGGCGGGCCTCACAGAAGGGAATCGAGCGGGATGCACTGGCAGCACATGATTGGATTCACAGAACGTATTTCGGCTCCAACGCAGATGCTCCCCCTGCCAGGTACAGGGCCGCTCTTGTCCTGTGGGGCCAAAGTATCGGGGCGGGAGTAGCAACCGGTCTTGCGGCCCATCAGGCAGATACTCAATCGCGGGGGCATGTTCCCTATATACCTCTCATTCTCGAAACCCCGTTTCTTAGCATTCCCAGCATGCTCGAGGCCCTTTATCCCCAACGTTGGCTCCCGTATCGCTACTTGTCACCGTTCCTGCGTAATTGGTGGGACTCGGAAACAGCGATAGCCAGAATCGGCGTCGCACATCGAAAAGCGAGAGAAACAGAACGCAAGGCGCCTGTTCTCATTATCACTGCTGCGAATGACGAACTGGTTCCTACGCATCAGGCGACCAGGTTAGAGGCGCTGTGTACAGAATCTGGGTTGGAGGTACAGCGACAGGATGTCAGCGGGGCGCTGCACACGGAGGCAACGATCCGAGCAGAGGGCCGACATGCGGTCGTACAGTTCCTCAAGGCCATCGGCGAGCGCAAGGGAGATTAAGGGCTGGCTGACTCATCGTTTGTACTCCGTACTTGGCAGGGCGTGCATCTCCGCTTGACAGCCGGATTGGCTTGCTTTTATTATTAGCCGCCCAAACCCCAACTCCGCGACCGGAGTCGACCCTCTTGTTGACTCCATACTCCGTACACTGCAAAAGCATCCCGACCGGACTTAAATGGCCACCCAACCGGCCTAGAGCGGCCACCCCCGGATCTGCCGCCCCAGCCGCGGTTCAAGTCACGTGAGCATTGCGTGCTGGGGCTGTTTACTCAGCAGCGACGTCATGGAGCTCGCAGCGGCGAGGCGTGCCGCCGTGCCTGGTCCGTGCTCGCACGCGTAAACTGGCCAATCACGGCGCGTCGGCCTCACGGAAGGTTTCGGAGTGGGGCGCGCTTAAAGCTCGGGCGGGGCCCAGTCGCGCATTTGGGAAGTTTCACGCGAGGCCCCTGGGCGCTGCGATGCCGGCCAGCCGCCAGCGACGAACCACGGCACCGGCGCCGCGCCCTGTTGTTGACATCTAGAACGGCGCACACGTGGTTGGTGAAGCGTTCTGGGTGAGTCAGACAGCTTCTCAGAGCCAGCCTGCAACGCACGCGAGACATTCGATGGCGGCGGTAGGGTGGGGGGGGGGGGGGGACGCTGAGGGCCTGGCACCTTCGTGGTGTTGCATGTTGGCGGGGGCGTCAAAACTTGCGTGCTGCTCTGCTGCGTGCTCGCCGCACGATGATCCTTGACGCGCATGGTCACCGGCCTTGGGGCCATCATTATCATTGCAAATTGCAGGACGTTAATAATCCAGCAGCAGCCGCAGGCATGCCGTGGCTTGCCCGCTCGCCTTCCAAAACACCCGTCTACCTGCCCAAATGTTTGCAGGAGCAAGCTTCAGGATTCTAAATATTAAACATGGCCACATGCACCAGCAGACTTTGCAGTGGAGCCATGGTTGCTCACCGCCGAGAAGCGTCAACCGCAAGGACGCACCTTTTCGCTGCCGGGCTCCCGCCACAGGTCACTCGCTGGTACCCGTGCGCTGTGGCCGCCGCAGAAAGGTACCGCCGCGCGACCTGCAGGGGTGCACGGTCCAGCTTAGCATCGAGACTCGCCATGCGGGAAATGTGGAACGAAGCCCCATGAGTCAACAATTCTATTTTTTGTCCTCCTACTTGCTGTTGCTACTGCTGCTGCTGCCGCCCTGCAGCGGGCTATATAACTCTCGTCGCCAGCCCGCCCTCCTTGCGGCGCCTTGACCTCCAGCTCACCCGTCTCGTGCCCTACATGCTTGTCCTTGCAGCGCCCAGCAACGCCCCCGCTTCTCTTCTCGTGAGCCAGCGGCATCATCCTCTCTCTCCCTACTTTGCTCTGCTCTGTAGCTCTCTCCCGCTGCCTGCACAATGCCTCCGTCAACCAGATCCCGCAGCACCGGCACTTTCGACTCCTTCTCCCGCAGGGGCAAGCCGACAGTCGAGATCTCGCTCAAGGACGAACAGCTGGCCCGCATCAGTACCTATACCAGCCTTGATGCCATTCAAGGCGATGTGACCCTCACCACGGACAGTGATGTCCGATTTGACCAGCTATGCATCACCTTCGTTGGTACATCCCACACTGTGATCGAGCGCCCAGGCTATGCTGGCCCAACTATCGGCCAATCGTCTGCTTTCCACACCTTTCTGAAGCTGCAGCAACCCATCGACGAGACGCAGTATCCCCAGCCCAGAATCCTCGAGGCCGGCCGCAGATACACGTTCCCGTTTACGTTTGTGGTCCCGGAACGCTTGCTTCCCCACGCATGTAGGCATTGTGTCAACCATCGCCTGGTTCATGCCGCACACACTCATCTCCCGCCGTCTCTCGGCGATCCAATGCTAGCAGGTCGCGGTTCAAAACTACTCGATGACATGTGTCCCCAGATGTGTCAGGTCCAGTACCAGATCCGCGCCCGGCTCATTAGATTTGAACAAGCGGATTTCGCCCCTAAAACTATCGTTGACGTGGGGAAAAAAGTACGCATTATTCCGGCTACGGACGAAGAACCCCCGCTAGACGTATCTGGTGACAGCCGGGAGTTCTGTATGCGTAAGGAGAAGACAGTGAAGAAGGGACCTCTCAGAAAGAGGACTGGCCGGATCGCCATCGCCGCGGCACAGCCAAAGGCGTTCCGTCTCCCGCCCGTGCGCTCAGCCATCTCAGAGACAACGCAGCCCTCGACCATGGTCAAGCTGCACATCCGCTTCGACCCTGAAAATGAGCTCCAGGCCCCTCCTAGATTAGGCTCGCTCTGGACCAAACTGCGAGTGAACACGTTCTACTCCACCGCCCCGTCTTCAGATTTCCCTGTCAAGTCGTCCGGAATTGCCTGGGATCTCCATCAAGGAGTCTATTCCGACAGCGTCTGCCTGGCATCTCGCTGCGTTGCATCTGCATCGTGGGAGAAACATACCCAATCTCCCTCCGCCTCACCCTGCGATAGTCGCCGCTCCTCCATCAACTCTACCTGCACCACTGCGTCCTCGTTCCTCCCCGGCCCCACCGCCTGTTTCGCCGGCAAGATGTACTACACCGCCACCGTGCTCGTTCCGATCTCTCTGCCCGCACACAAAACCTACATGCCGACCTTCCACTCCTGTCTTACCTCCCGCACGTACTCTCTCAATATCTGCCTGTCCTTCAACCCGCCCAACGTGGGACCCTTCACCACCCACCAGACCCTCTCCCTACGCATTCCGGTGCAGGTCACCGGTGCGGAGAGCCTTGCTGAGGCCGTGAGCCGTGGCGAGGAAGCCAATGCTGACCTCGTGGATGAGTTCTTTACGCCACGCACTCTCACCCCGCCGCCACATGAGTATGTCGAACAGGCAAGATTCGACCGGATGATTCGGCCGTCTGATATGGTATCGGCACCGCCGGAATATGTCCCCCCGCCCCTGCTCGGGCGCGGGTTTGGGTCGGTGGCTGTTGCTTGAAACGAGTGTTTCGACTTTGCAATGTGTTTGTTCGTATATGTTTCATCTCGCTGCTATATGGCATGCAGCGTATTTTCTTTAACCAGATACCCCTTCGACCTTTGGTGGTTGCTGCCTACTAGTATTATTATAACTGCTTGATACCCCTTTCTGCTGTATCGATAAAAAAAGATTTGATTCCGCTCGTGTTCTTGGCTTATCTTATGAGTATATGTTATAAACGATATATATAATCTCTAATTCAAAGTACTTGACTAACATTGACTGAGATCCCACCAAGGGGTGAATGATATGCCTGAAACTAGTAAACAAACGGTATAGAACGAACATGAAACGCCTATCATTCCTTGGAATGATAGGAACCGGTTTCAGCTGAAATTAGTCATTAATATTATGGTATCTCTTTTATATACGTACATACAGGCCGATTGGCTTTCCAGGCACGAGGTCAACTCCAGAAAAGAAATGGCCCGCTGCTCTGATCCTCTCTCTAACGATCGCGATGCGCAAAACAATGGTCTCATATGCCTTTCCTGCATGTCCCACCCTGACCCCAGCTCTTTCTTAATCCAACAAATTAATTATGGGTATGCCTCAACAGGTACAAGTACAATCGAACGAGCAACCGCGTACAATGGCTCAGAAGAGCAGTAGTAAAGAAGATATGCGCGCAAGATGTGGTAACACTTCCACCCAGTATAAGAGAAGAAAATCAACTATGCAAGAGCATAGAACTCTAACAAGGTACCGCAGGCTAGCTCAAGACGAGATCGCAGAAACAAAGAGGTATTTCGGTAATAGCACAACAAAACGCCATCAGATGCCATGACATAGCAAAGTATATTTTTTATCAAAACAGTACAGTCATGAGGACCAAAAATTGGGCAGATAAATGACGAAGTGAGTTGGGTATCATATCGTTTTTACTCAGGCCGGTTGATTAGCTCGTAGATAGTGGTCGACAACGCATTTTCTTCGTCCCTTTTCCTCGAGGCACTCCTTCGCTGCAGAAAGGACGGCAGAATGCCAAGCTTACGCGGGGGAGAAAACGATCGATAGGAGCCAGATGGGCGCGTAGCGATGGGTGAGTATCGATGGCAGTACTTGGATGTGAAGATGAGCAATCGTCGATAGGCCCACCACATGAAGGTGCCGACGATACCGGCCAGGAGAAATCCGACTATGGTGAGCAACATCCAATGTGAGCCCATCTGTGGTCGGTCTTAGTCAGCGATTTCTTTTCCTTTGTTGTCGAGAAAAAGCTTACCCAAAAAATCAGCCTAGCGTCTTTTCCATGCCAGCTGCTACCGGGGTGATGGGTGAAAAAGCTCCATGAGTGTCGATTGTACTCGTCGGCCATGATGACACGAACGCGGTCAGCTCCCGACGGCCGGCCGGCCATGTACTGTTTCCAGAGTACGGAGAGAAACAGAGGTCCTGTCGAGTACATGACGGTAATGTAAGGCAGCACCCAGTGTCGGTTGTAGTCCTGTAAGGAATCAATAACACGACGGAAGAAGGGATGCTGCGGCACGGATCCCATGATATCATTGGAAATTCCAGTAGGGTTGGTTTTGCGAACCCAGGCGGGATAGCCAAGAAGGGGGTCTAGTCTGCGATTACAACCCTAGAAGTCGGTTAGTAAGGGCGTTGAGGGACGGAATGCTAGGGATATCTGACATCGTCAAGATCAATGTAAATTCCACCGTAAAATGTCAAAATAAAGTATCGAATAGCGTCGGCGCGTTGAATGGGGTAACGATAGTTGCGAAACGTCTCCAAGAACCATGGATATTCAGTTGCAATGAGCTCATCGGCCTTTAGATCGGTCCACAGCTATTGCATAAAGGTCAGAACCAGCGCTAGGGGCACTCAAATCGAAGGGGAGGGGGCGCACTCTATATTCATAATCTGGGTGGAGATCGATACAGCTCTGCTGCGCTTCTTGCCAAAGTTCGGGAATAGACTCATTTTTGTAGGTCTGATGGATGATCTTCGGAATCAACGAGGGACGTTCATCGATAAGACTCGAGTTGGGTGCTGGGAGCTCAGTACGGCTGATGGCGTCGTCGGAGGCATCCTCAAAGAGGAGACTGAGCAGAGTCGACACGCTGTGGACAAGGAAGCCAATGACGAGAAGATTGGCGAGGATGAAGATCAACGCGCCCTTTCGCATGTTGCCGGCGGGGAGGAGGCCGACACGTCGTCGCGGCGGAGACGACGGGAGAGGAGGAGGCGAGGCTCAAGGGGGCGACGGGGAGGAAAGACGAAGCGACGAACGGGCAAACATGCAGTTGCAGGCAGGACGCGACGAAAGGCGAGCAGAGACAGAAGAAATAAAAAGGCGAGGGTCGGGTGGGTAGGTAGGTAGGTAGGAAGGCAGCAAGATTTGACGAGAAGCTGAAGGGCCGAAAAGGGCCGTGCGGGAGGTGAAGCTGCGCTAGGTGCTCCGTAGAGTTCGCAGGGGCGTTCGCCGCGGTGCCCCTGAGTGGCTGAGCTGCGGGTGGTGGGCAGCTGTGCGAGCTCTCGCAATTATTATCCGACTATCTGCATGCAAACCTGCCTTGCTGGCTTCACTATACGTACAACGGAGCTAGGCACGCAGTGAGGGAGAACTGACAGACTGCCAGCGGGCGGGCGCTCATTCATATAGGGCGCCGCCGTTAACTAACTATAAGTGTCTGCTGACGACGGCAACGCAGTGGCCTGACAGCCCGTTCGGCCTGCTGCAGCGCCTTGCCCCCGCCCGAGCCTGTCCCTTGCGTGCGCCTCGACTGCATCGTTGCCCGCGCCTCGACTGCATCGTTGCCCGCGCCTCGTTCGCAGCAGCATCACCGCACGCGGCCCTCTGTGCTTCTGGTGTTTTCACGATGAAACCCCCGCCGTCTTGTCTTGTACGGCCCGTGTATTTTATCTCTCGCGTGCCCGGCGCCGTTGGCATTACCCGTACGCAGTACTGGCCAGGCTAGCCCAGGATGGCTAGCGCTGCTTGCGTCAAAGGATCACAGAGTACGGAGTAGAATTAAGTATTCAGTACAAAAAGTACGGCGTACGGAGTACAAAGTAACAACGCCAATTTAGTCCAGCACGCGGTAGTCATAGATATATTTTACTATTGTAGCCCGTGGCCTTGTACTTAACTCGTTCAATTTAACCTCGCGAAAGTTGGATTAAAGGTGAACCCCATTTCCTTTGGTTCTGCCGAAGAAAGCAGGTGAATGAGTCCGCGGCTTTCTATGTCTTGACAAAATTGTTTACTCGCTAGAAATTCCTCGGCTGAGAGGCCATAATCTTCAGCGGCGTCTAGCTTATTGGTGCTTGTATCATGTGTCGTTTTGTCTTGGAGCCTTTCTGTATCCACAGCCAATTCTGCAATCGTGGCATATTTGTTGTGCCAGCACTTGTCGATTATTTCGTCAAGGCGGGCATCACCATCTAGTTTTGGAAACTCCATTTCCTGCAGCAAACGCACGACTTCAGGACCATGATCATTCAGATCCTGCGTAAGACGTTGATCTCCGTACACCTCAAATCCGTAGTTGATCAGATAGTATAGAGACCCAAGCGCAAACTGTTCGGTTCGGGGACCCAGAAGTCCAGCTGATCCACGGAGACCATATTTCGATTCATTACTGCCAAGTACCCTTCCATACGGCGGGATGCAGGCTTCGAAGCATTCTCTCAATTTTTGCTGCACAGTCAAAATCGGATAGTTTAAGTCGGTTGCGATCAAGCAGGATATTTTCAGGCCGTAGGTCACCATGCGCGAGGTTAAGCGATTCAAGAAAAGCAACGCCCTGGGCAAGATCGTTCATCCATTCCTTTCGTAGGTGTAGAGGCTCCAACTTTTCCACTGAAGTAACTAGCCTAGTCTGCAGATCCCGTGTATTATTTTGCTGTATTCTGAAAGAAAGGCATTCATCTAGCAACAGGGTAAGTATATAAATCTGTCAGTACCCGTGGAAATGATACCTCTCATGTATTCAAGGAAGATGGCACGATCTGAGTAGCTGAAAGGCTGCACGAGAGAGGGGCAAGGTGGGTGTTTTGAGAAAATCCGATATATCTGAACTTCTTTCTGAAACTGCTCCCGTTCAAAGTCGCCAGGCTTTGGCACCTTGACGACAATGCGAGGGTGGATTTCATAAACTGAGCAAATGCCCCCCCCTGCCGACCCAGTACACATTCGGAAATTGGAGTCGAGCGTCCATGATATGGCATGTATGTACATACAACGTAAGAACGCGCTTATTGGATTCCTGCCACGCTCGCCCAGGAAACCGATATGTTGAAGCCTTCCAGTGTCCGCCAATACCAACATTTGGAAACCGACTGTATTATAGTAGCTTAGTATCTTAGTCACGTGTATCACTACACATAAGATGAGGACTTAGGAGAATCAAGCTTTTATCTCTCTTTACTATGCTCGCTCGTAGCACCGACGTTCTCGTCACACCCTCCATTTGTACTCAAGGAATCCTTGATCAGCCGGGAGATCTTGACCTTTTTTACGAATCTTCCATCTTTAGTTGACTTAATTCATTGATAATAGCTAGCAGCGAAGCGCAATAATATCAGCGGGCTCTGTCCCAGGATCCAGCAATTCCTTTCTTGTAAGATGGGTGTATTCTCCTATCTGCAGAGGCTTATCCGCAATGAATGCTCTACCAACTCTAGCTGGGACTATGTCTGCAGGGCCGGGCGAAAATGTGAGGTTTGTTGATTCGTATATGCGCCACACGTTATATTCTTGTTTGCCCTGGGATAGCTCCTCAGCCGGGAGCTTCCTCTATGAGAACGATTTGTTTACCTCTATAGCCCCAAGCGCAAGTAGTGGTGGTTTGATGGCAGCATGTAATTCAGGCGTTGGTTTGAACTTTGCGGCCGCCGCATTTCCATGTTTCTTTTCTTCCACATCCGCGGTAATGAGGAAGGCGGAGAATCGCGCAAGTGCATCAATAACGGATGTATTATCCGATCCGCCCAGCTCCCGCTGGTCGAGATGGATGCCGGATTGTAGAAGACTCATGTCTTTTTAGAACCAAGTGGTTCGAATCTGTAAGCCAGTTCATTTTAATCCTCTAATGATGCTGCAAGGCATTTTCAGCGTCCAGGGCGGGGTATTTGGCACGGCGGTGGAACACGGCATTATTAACTAGTCAACTAACTAGCTACATAACTAATTAACTAGCTAACTAGTGGACTAACTAGTTAACTAGTTAGTTTAGTTAACTAACTAGTTAACTAGTTAGTTTAGTTAACTAACTAACTAACCACTCCGGAACTAACTAACTAACAGTTCCCGCCTAGTGCGGAGTAACTCGGTATTGGACGGCCAAAATGCCTTACTCCACGGATTTGGGATTTTACAACCATCAGCTGGTTCTCCGTACAAATAGCTAGGGAGTAACTAATTCGTACTACAAGAATAAAGATTTTCGGGGAAATAGCTGTAGTACCTAACTACCTGCCAAGCACATCAACAATCGATTACTGCTGCTGGTCAAATAGCTGCCGACGGCGCCCTTCATCTCCACTCGTTATAATTTCTTCTATTTATGATATTCAATCTCTTCGCATTGAGAATATGTATATGCTACTTTCATATTATTATCCTAGCCTTCAGGGTAACTACTAATGAGAAATTCACTTGAATTGCACGCCCAGTGCCGTAATCCAGCCCATCAATGCCGCCACCGTCCCCTCCGGGTCCTCCTCTGCCACGAAATGCCCAACTCCGTTCCCCAGCTCGACGATCTTCAGCAGGTCATCTGCCTTTCCCTCCGCAACCCAGTCCCTCCACACGTTCATATCAAACCGGCGCCCAATCCCACTGCAGTGCAGCACTAGCACGGGCAGGTCGACTTTCCGCTCCTGCTCCTGGTCGGCCTTCTGCATCGCTACGTCTACCGTTGCCCCGGCTTGATAGTCCAAGCACGAGCAACGCACGACACTGTCCCATCGGAAGGGCCGCTGGTAGATCTCCAATGCATCATCGGCACGGAGTCTCTGTCGTCCGCTTTCATTGTTACCCATCCATTGTTCGATCAGCTGCCGGATGAAATGGTCCCCGCCAATCTGCAGAATAATTTGCGTTGCATATTCAGCGTTGGCCAAGAACGGCCAGTGGAACGTCCGCGCCGTCTCAGCGGGGTTCGACATGCCCTGCCACTGAACTGTCGTGGGAACAATGTCCATGAGGGCGGCGCCCAAGATAGTGAATGAGGACGTGTATTCCGCGGCATCGACGCTCAGTCGATGTGAGATACGAGCCCCACGGTCATGCCCGATGAGTATCACATCTTGCGGCTGCGGGACTTGGGACGATTCGAGGTGATAGGAAAGGGCCTTAAGAATCGTCTTACCAACCGAGGATTTGTCGTGTCCAGACAGGCATGGTGAGCTGTTTCCGTAACCCGGTATGTCCGGCACAAAGAGCCGAGCCGTCTTTGGAAGAAGCTTGATCACCTAGTTACAAGGTCAGAATTATGCAACTTTTCATTCACATTTAACCAGCTTGTTCATCTTACATGGCGCCACCTGCAGTATCCGCCGGGGCACACGTTAGTACGGAGCATAGACAGGCAGCCTGGGAAATGAGGCTGCCAGGGGGGTGTTTATGAGCACTGACATGAAGTACCTATAGTTCAAAGTATCATGATTAACACGTCAACCTAAGCCGCACCCAAAGCCACAGCGTACTCACGTTTGCGGGTATCCGTGGATCAAAACCAAGATTGGCCCCTCATACTGATGATCGCTTGGGAAGATGCCTCTGGACACCCCATAGACAGTAGAGTCCTCCGTTTCGATCTCAAAAGTGCTTAAATTATAACCTTCTAGGGTTTCGGGGACTGTTATAGCCACCATGATGTCAAGTTAAAATTCACCTGTCTTTCCGCCTCGATATCCTCGTTTTTGGGGTATCTTCTGGAGTAATAAGTATTCGGCTCCGGAGTTCAAGCGAGTTTGAGCCTCTCTGCTGTCGGTTAGGCTCCGACATACTAGGTTGATTTGCGCCCAGTACGGAGTAGTAGGTTTTATAAGGTGATGCGATGGCCGAGGCCCATCCAAACTTAAATCGCCCACCTTGTGTGGGAGTAGTTAAGCTTCTAACCAACTAAACTAACTAGTGCTTTGGGCCAGCGAGCGATCAAGGCAAATCTGGGTTTAAGTGGCCGACACTACTGTATGAAGAACAGTTGCCTGTTTTCTACAAAGGACAAGTACCCCGTAGTTGTCATGGATTAGGTTGTATCAAAATGCCTTAATATTGGTATGGTGTTTAACTATGTACAGGAATATAAATATGTATAAGATGGCAGTTTAAGAATGGGAGCCGAGGTCAACTTCAACTTCGCTGTGATCAGCTTATCTTCCACGGAACTGGTTCCACATGTTTTGCATACGAGCACCCTGGCCACGGGTGAACTCGGTCATGCAGCGGCTACAGTATTGAATTAGTTTCTGTGCATCACTTGTCTGTAAAGGTATAAGAAGACTTACTCGTCAGAGTAATCCATGTAGTTGTGGATTGGGTCGGGGCCACCGCCAGGGCAAGAGTCGCGGCCCGTGGGACAGCCGGAGCTAGCGCTTCGTTGGGCTGGGGTGTCTGCAACACCATCACCGGAACCACTGCAGCCACCTTCGAAAGTGTGAAGAAGACCTAGCCAAAGAAGGATTGTCAGTATAAAGATCTGCAAATCAAGAGTTACCCGTAAGGAAAGGGGCCCTCTTACCCATCCAGTGGCCGACTTCGTGTGTGGAAGTCTTGCCAAGATTGTATGGCGCATTGCTACCGCCGGGAAGACTTGTGGAGACAATGGTGCATCCGTCACGAATGAAAGTCTCCGTTCCTGGCTGTGCCCTTGTGGGGAAATAGCAGTACTAAGATTGAACATGTTAGTACCGTGGTAATTTGGCAATAGTATGCTGGGAGCTTCAATGACATACGCCGAGGAGCTGTCCAAGAGCTGGAAGTAAGTAAAGATTCAGGGTGTTGTAGCCTCCCTTACGGAGAGCACGCTTCATCGCCATTTCGTTTCCATCTCTAGCCCAGTTGGCATTGACGGTTCTGGTGGTGTCCACCAGTCTGAACTGGAACCCATGAGGAGCATAGTCAGAGTTCATAACTCTAATTTGATCTTGGACCATTCGATCCTAAATAAGATGCTATTAGTAGGGGGACGTTTGAAAGGCAATGTATATTTGCATACGGGGACGTTGCCTTGGGCAGGGCTGCTGCCAGACGAAACAACATGGACATAAGTGTCGATCGTGACCATCGCGTTAGAGGCGGTAAACCCATCCTTTGCCTCCTGCGCAGCAAAATCAGCCGTGATGAACATGAATTCCGCCGTTGGCACGGTACCGCAAGTTCGCCCTCTGCCGACCTTGGTAGAGCCGGCCGAGGCCAGGCCCAGGGCGAAAGTGAGGAGAGAGACGGAGACGCGCATGATGAAGAACCTTGGAGCAAAGGCAAGGCTGATTTTGCTGTGCGGGTGGGGGAGTTCTGAGCTTGGGGTGGAATGGTTCTCGAGGACCTTGGGGCATCCAGCTTCTTATATAGGATTGCTTCTCGCCTGGAGATTGAGAGAACGGATACCCTCACGTTTCGCCTTGAATGATACCCGACGCTTAGATAGCGTTCATCCAAGTATGCGTCAAGCCCCTCAGCCTCTGTTCGCAGCGTCGCATTGAAACCGGGGGAGCAGGGTCCAGTAGAAATGATTGGCGCAGAACAATATTGGCGACCAGGAGGTTTTCCAGAACATCACGCATATTTCTTAATAATGGTATTGGGAAGCATATTTGTTTCATTGCCCCTTTCAGCAGGGATATGCCAGCATTGAGCAGCCTCGATATGTCACAGACGGTCCCATAGCGAGGCCGGCTGGCGAGACTTTGGCGTCCGAGGGGCCGGAAGCCCCTCTTGAAATTGCCTATAGAGCATTATTCCCACCAAAGGATGGAGAGAGCCACCCAGGGCAATAATATCATCGTTCGGGTATTATTATACGATGCTTGCAAAGCCAAAGACCAGGCGTGGAAAGCAGTTCTGGTTTCGACAGCGGCGGGTGCTCGGCTCGGAAATTGGTGAACAGAATAATGATCAGCGTGATGGACACCGGGTATGGCAGCCGCAAAGCCGCATTGCTGTGCCGCCCTTCGCAATCATAATGTCCAGCGATAGACAGGGCCTCAGGCCGGCCGGCGACGTAGCATTTGCGGTGTTAGTGGGTGGTCACGTGGTCGGCAGGCTTGCCAACCCGTTAGTAAGTCAGCTAACACACTCTAGTGAGTGAAGGCCGAGACGGCTTCCCGGCGACCCAACCTTCGCTGTTTCGACTGCATTCCGTGTGCTGTTTCAACCGCCACGCCCTCGGTCGGCGCAGCCACACGCGTGCCGTACCATCAGACCCGTGTTTGGCCGGCCTCACTGCTCGGCGGCTGCGATCTCCAAAACGCTCAACGGGGCTCCCTTTCTGGGCCCCCCTTGCTCCGGCTCTCATTTGCCAACCTTTCAGATCAACGATCTTCATCAGGGACCATGTCACCTTCCACCCTGCGTTGGCGACTTGGCGGCAATCCAAGCATTATATTGGACTGCAGCCGAAGAAGGAATATTCCTCATGACAAGCTTGCCTCTGTTGCAAAGACTCGCCAAGCGTGACCGTCGTCGGATCGATACTCCGCACAGCCACTCTTTTGCTGACATACCGTCAAGTACATGCGGCATCGTTGGACATGTATGTATGTACATACATACATACACAGGTCGCTCTTGGTCACATTCTCATTCGCCGTATTGAGGATTGAGAGTCCCGTTGTTCCTGTCCTTCATTAATCGGCATGTACCCCACATTCTGGTTTTTACAAGGGTTCGAGGCTTAGTACATGCAGAGGCCCTTCCTCTTTACGGGGGCTCTTTTGATACACCATACCCTGTTTTAGTCCCAGACGCGGTTGGAATTTGAGTGTTGTCCGAAGTGATTCGCTCTTTTGTGCAGGGATCGAATATCGATACCTAGGAAACTTATTCATAAAACGTTACGTGACCCTTCCGCATTTGGTCTCTAAAATATCGAAATACCCTTCGGCAAGTCCTGAAGCCGATTATTGGATATATGGATTTGGTGTATTTCGGATAGCCACGCCTTATTTCGTCTCTGCACTCTGATTACCCGTTGTCCTTCTACGGGATTTCCGCTGTGGGATATCTGTAAGATTACTAGGCTTACGGAAGTGGCGGAAAAATGAACCTGGATGTCCCATGCACATCTCTAATCTGCATGGGCAATGCCACGCCCCTGAGAGTCCCCGGGGAATTCAACTCGCAGCTATCGTGAGGACGCACCGGTATTCCGAGACGAGGCGATCGAGACATGCGAAAGGTCCCTAAGAATCATGTAGTCCTGCCCGCCGGAACCTGGGACAAACGCCCTACTGGCGAACTTATGTAAATTGCCGCGGATTTTATCGAAGCAGGGTTTGCGGGCCGTTCCAGATCATAAACACCACGACCTCAGCCAGAGTGGTGGCCTAGAAAGACGATCCCGCTTTTACAATACTTTTCTTGATTGCGACTGTCATGCCACTTGGTCACGCTACTTGTCGAATCGCCATGTCGTATTCCAACTCGACAGGCGATAAAAACTACCCGTTAGCGATATACCATGAAGATTACTGGGCAATGAACCTACAGAATTAGTATTCCGTGATAGCCGCTGGGCAGCAAACTGCATCTATGTATGTAGCACCTGAACTCGGTATTGGCTATCTTGTCATTTTCATATGAATGCGGAAGGTCTGACCACTCTGTTCTTGGGCTGCTTTTAACGCAGCTGAGAGGCTTGGACTCAGTTGCAGCTAGTTATAGGGTGTTGTTGCCGTATCTTCAATATCTACGATGTAACCTCCAGCATAGCAGAAATCCCGAAAGCAACAATCACGCGCCACAACCTCCCGTCTTTCTTTCTAGGCATTGCTACTAGCGAATTCGTCGGTTTCCTAACAGCGCAAAGCGGAAAAACGCCTGACTCTCTAAATGTGTAGATATAATTTGCTTAGGCCTCATCCCTCCTAAAACCCCGAACCTTTCCTCAACTCTCCTGTACTCTCTAGTAGTTTATTAGCTGCCGCGTGCGTGTTTTGAGAGATGGTCGAGATTTCCATCAGGAGCCCACCGTTTTGAACGGTGACTAGATGTATCGTGAGATCGGATGCGCTCACCCCGTAGATCAAGAGTTCAATGATACCCCTTTATATGCAGTACGTATGCATGTACGGACATACATACATATATAAATTCGAAAAACGCCAAAGTATGGAGCGGTGAAAAATATGTGCAGAATTCCTCGGAGAGAAAAACAAGATGCCAATAAAGACTATTGCATCCCAACCCAACCGAACCAAGCCCAATGCGATGCAGTGCAGTGCAAAGCTCTGAAGATCGCCCGACACCGTGAAGCTAATCTTGCTCCATATCTCGCCTCCTCTCCGCTCTTTTGACCTTCCTCAAGACCTCCATATACTCCTGCACCCGCCTTTCTGCCCAAATACAGCCGCCAAACGTCATGGCAGCGATCTGTAGAAACACTTTGAATTGCGGGGTCAGTCCGCGGTATACTTTCGATACGGAGGCAATGGACTCGGAGATGGACATCAACGGGCGGTAGAAGGAGGCGGGATTGATGATAGGGCGCCTGCGGAAGCGAGACGAGGCAGACGAGGACGAAGGAGGGGTAGGGGTATGGTCAGCGAAATGGAGAGGGTGGGGGAGAGCGAGGATCAGGTGGGCAATGATGGAAAGAGAGCCGAACTAGCATTTTAGTTAGGGAGGGTTAACGGAACGTGGCGCAAGGGCCATTTGACAGGGGACTGTTGCATGGAGGGAGACGGCGTACCCGAGCCACGCCGGTCAGAAACCCTTTGATGCCCTCTTCGGTGACTTGATCTGGGGCCTCAACATCGGCTCTCAGCTTGGATGGGGGAGGCATTGTACTAAAAGGAAAACAAAAAGTGGTATCTATAAATCCATATGGTGCCTGGGTCTCTTCTCCGCCGCCGTTCCGCACGTTTTGAGGGGTATATAGAGTCCGGTACTAGGTGTGATCGCTTGAGCAGCGCGCAGGATTCAAAAATGGAGAATGGAAGTGCCAGGTAAGAAGCTACGGGACCAACAAACACACCGCAAAACGCCAGGCGACACCAGTAGTCTGATCAATAATCCCCAGGTTGTTCGGCAGATCGTCTTCACAGGCGGGTTGATCGGCCGACGAATAGTCACGTGTATTCGGCATTACTATTATTCCGGAATTCGGAGTATTATTTATCCGAAGAACCGCGGCCAATCGGATCGATAGAATCGGATGTGAATCAGCGATAAGAAATCGAGCTCATCAACATATCCAGCGGACTCAAAAGGCCCACGGCGAGGGATCGGCGTCCCCAACTGCATATTGCATCTTTGCGGAGTCTAGCTTGACCCCGGCCAGGTCCATCATGTCGTCTCTTCCCCGCCGAACGGTATCCCTCAACCGCATCACGAACGAAACGAAAGTCCAGGTCTCTCTCTCCCTCGATGGCGGCGTCCTCCTCCCTTTTACACCATGCCCACACTTCCCACAAACTTCCCCTGAAGAGGCTGCACAGATTCTTCCTTTGCCAGAATCAGACCATGCAACACAGTTCACGTCGTCTCAGCAGATCACGATAAACACGGGGATTGGCTTCCTAGATCACTTACTGCATGCCCTAGCAAAGCATGCGGGTTGGAGTTTAGCTGTCCGGTGTAAGGGGGATCTAGTTAGTATGTCTATCCCTGGCTCCCATACATAGCTAGAAGTAATCACGCCTAACGCAGCTCCAGTTGACGACCACCACACCACTGAAGACACCTTCCTCGCCCTCGGCACTGCCTTCACTCGCGCCCTTGGCCCCCGCGTGTCCATTGTGCGCTTTGCCCGCGGCGACGCGCCTCTCGACGAGGCCCTCTCCTGGGCCGTCATTGACATCTCCTCGCGGCCCTACAGCGTTATCAATCTGGGCCTGCAGCGCGAGAAAGTCGGCGCTTTGAGTACGGAGATGATTCCACATGGACTGGAAAGCTTTGCGCAGGCCGCGGGCGTGACGCTGCATGTGGGCTGCGTGTATGGGAATAATGACCATCATCGTGCGGAGAGTGCAATCAAGGCCGTTGCTGTGGCTATTCGGGGGGCCATAGCGAGGCGAGCAGCGGGAGAGGTTGGCGGAGGTGGGGAGGTGGTGAGCACAAAAGGTGTACTATAAGCCGAAGGTCTCCTTAGTGGTGGTGTGTACTAGTAAAAACGTCTTCTTTTTGAATAATGTTGCGTGAGCTTATTTTGGGAGGTACTGGGCATTTTTATGACTTATCAGACTTGTTGATAGAGAGAATGATATATAGATCTTCTGTAACCTATTGGGACATTAGTCTTGCATATGTACATCTCTATGATTCCATCTTACATACAGCCAAATGCCGCTTATTATATCTTTTTGCCCATCCAAATATGCCACGCAATCCCCATACACAACATCTGGACGCTGGCATGAAAGGAGAAAGGCCAACAAAACATTATGCCCGATTATCCACCAAATAACCCAACCAACCCGCCTCCAAGAGTCCAAATACGAATTACATTATCCCTCGATGCTCGACATAACGATGCCTAAAAACAAAAGCGTATGCCCAACTCCAATATAATCGTGCCGCCTGCAGGTAAGAGAAAAAAAAAAAAGAAACCGCACAAATATACAAATGGGGAAAAATGTATGCGGCCGATCAAGTCAAATCCAAGCTTGGAAGGTCCAATTCCAGTCGCGGCGCACGCGCAAACGTGACGGTCATTCGGTTGGTGTTTTTCCGCGCTATTAACCTATCTGCATGGGATCGAGAGCTGAGGATACTCCTCAGCGATGACGAGGCGCTGTTCAATCTCGAACTGCTGCCGGTCTTGCGAAGGCCCACTGTTGAAGCATCGCTAACGTTGCTAGATAATGCGCTGCGGAAGCTTGTGTTGGTTTGGCTTCGCATCGCGGTTGGACGGGGTAGAGCGGAAATAGGGGCCGAGGCTTCAGGGTCGGCAGAGGAAACGGCGCCGTTATCGGCTAATGATGGGAACGGGTACGAAGAACTTTCAACAGCTTTCTGTGTGGGAGAGGGGAGAGATACAATATCGGAGAGCTTTCTAGACAGTGGTGGAGGCATGGGCACAAGAAAAGCGGCCATCGTCATGTCATCTTTTGGCCTAGCCCGCATCACAAGGCCTTCATCGTCGTACAATTCTTGTTGCTCTAGCCCCGATTCGAAAGAAAACTGTTCAAGGAAGGTTCTCAAGCTCGCCACCGATTTCGGCCGATCATCACTAGCTGTATCCTGCATATCGGTTATGTTATCCTCGGCGGGCTGCATGTCCCCTTGTGCAAGATGATAGTTTCGGTACAGATAACACTGTAGACGCTCATCTTCGAGATCCCATTTTTCAGCCAAAGACTGGAGCATAGCTTGAATCTGGGGACTATTAAACTCGGAATCAGGGGCAGAAGCCGAGGGTGAGGTAGACAGCATCGGGACAACATCAGTTTGTCGATTCTTATTCGATTTTGTTAGCCTGGTACTGTTTGGTCCAGCGCTATGCACGGCGGCCTGGACTGTCCGACGAAAGGAGCCAGCTGCTGCCGTAGTTGAATTCCTTCGCTTTGGGGCTGTATTGACTGATTTTATCTCACGACGAACTTTCTCCATCGCGTGTTCTCTGTCCCGAGTCATGCATGGCAGATGCAGCAGAGTGTTATTGTTCCGCAATCCATTTACTAAGACAGTAAAAGACTGCAGGTTAAGTTCGTTATTATCGCAGTGCACTTCAAGAAGAGAGTCGTTCTCCTCTAACACAGAAGCAAGTGTATTGGCTCCCTGCAGTCCCAACTTCTGATGCTCAATCTTTAACACCTTGAGGGTCGTATTCTTCTTGAGCCCGGTTAAAGCCAGATTTAACCCGATTCCAAACCGGGCTACATCCAGATGAGCATATTCTCCGCTGATATCTAGCTCTTCTATAGTCGTATTCTCCTCGAACATTACCTGCAGCGCTTTGCATGTCTCAGGGCCCGCATCGTAGGGTAGCGACGCCTTTGAAATATCGACATATTTTAAAGACTTGTTTTTTCTCAGAGCTTCTATCAGTTGTCGGAAATGGTCCTCTTTCTGGAAATCCATCATTCTCATCGTCAGGTGCGTTGGGGTTTTCCCTTGGGCGATGGATCCAAAGAGCAAGGAGTAATCAACATGAAGCCTGTTCTCACTAACATGAAGATGGATATTGCGCGGCTTTCCGGAGTCGTCGACCATGAAATACAAGAATGTTGCTACATCCCTTCCTGTAAGACCACACTGATCCAGTCTCAACTCACGCAGCTTGTTTGACTTCTTGCTAGCCAGGTAGGCGGCAATGGAGTCCACAGTCTTCTCGTTCACAACGGTATGGCTCAAAGATAGCTCCTCCAATTCCCAATTAAGTAACGTCTCAGGGGCTATAAGGGGCTCGGGGCCGGTGTTTCTTGAGATATGCGAAAGATTGATCTTGCGAATGTGTGCGAAGTAGCCAATCTGCTGCTGGAACAGTTCCGCACTTAGTCGGCCTTGGACTCCAGAGATATTGATCGCCTCAAGAGTGGATTCTTGAGTAGTCATTGTTGATAGTATTAGATCAAGGTCATGGATGGAAATGCCACAATGGCTTATTTCAAGGGCGCGAAATTGTGATGCCGCTTGAGATGCGGCATCAACCAAGTAATCTAGGTCGGAGTCACCGAGTTTAATACCATTTAACACGACCCAATCGACCTGAGTAAGTCTGCGTCGACACAACGGGAATATGGCTTCCGGGATGCCACACCCAGGGTCAACTTCGCCTTTTTCACTAGTTGGTACTCGAGTAAGACAAAACGCAAAGTTCAACCGCCGCAATTCATTACTTTTTAAAGCTAATGCCCTGATCTCTTGCGTTAAGACAGAAATTTCCTCTTGCCCAGGAATATCTAGCAGCAAATTCGAGCGAGTGCGCAGCGCATCGTAATCGAACCCATACGGGTCGTATAGGTTTTGAAGCACGTCCAAATTAACACCTTCAAAGGAGACGGTTCTGAATGATTCGTTATAGCGCAAAGCCCTCAGAACTGCCAGTAATTCGAAAACACAGTAGCCTCGCCCGTCCTTCGAACCGGCTGGCGGGAGTAATTGAAAGCTCGGCGCATCCTCACAGGAGTAATCGATCGAGTATCGGATATTCGAAGCATCGACGTCATATGCGGCGCAATACGCTGTCAAAGTGCGATCGAAGTGGCCATCCTCTTCATCCGATTGCGCGGGAGCAGCAATGAATTGCTCCTCTAACCATCCAGGAACCTTAACAGTATACGGTTGCTGGAGCCACTGAGGCCGTAAATATTCGGCCCGCTGACGAATGTGAAGAACGATATCAGCCGAAAATGCAGAGGACAATTGTACCTGTATTGCGGGCTTGAAAGGTAGGCTAATACACGGCAAAGTCAGCGGGTATTTCCAATTAAAGAGTAAAGTAGAAGAAAAGAAAAGATATACCGAAAGAGCAATTGGAGTCCATCGTCACCACGCTGCATATGTAGGGCTGCTAACGATAAAATGCCAAAAGACTGCCCAATATCAAGTTCGCTTAAAGATGCCATGGATGAACGGTTACTTATCCTTGATAAAGGTAGAATATGAATTTTGTGGACTCCTATTACCAGGTAGCATGGTGTTGATGCAAGTTTGGTATAGTCGTCGGTTGAAGCGCGGCCACTTTGTTTTACCGGCAGTCGACGCACGACGCGGTGCATAGACATGGAGTATGGGTCGTAATCCCGTTCCTGGTCAAGAGTACGTGAAATATATTCAACGGTCTCGGGATCAAACGGGATAGGAGCTGTAGCTCTAGCTTCTGCCGCGGCATCTCGAATTCCGGAGCGCCAGAGCTCAGCATCCAGGGGGTCTGTCAGCTGAATTTGCAAAGATAATGCCTTGGAAGATCGGTCTTCCATGTAGCACACTTCAACAGAGAAGAACGGCCGGCCATCGTCCAGTTTATGGACGGCCAGAATTCGGTTTAGAGGAATTCCGGTCCCGATATCTGTTCCACTGGCAGAAACGGCACCATCCTGCAGCGACGCAAGCGAAACAACGGAAAGGCGGTTAGACGTGAGTGTACTGGGAGTATTTCGACCCCATTGCACGGGAATGGAAGGGAAAACGTCCGCCGCCTTGGACCGGCTCTTGAATCGCACGAGATGTGTATCCGTTAGGACCAAGTACTGGCTCTTTTTCCTCCACATGGGGGCGGAGGTCTGTACTTCGCCATGGTGCAGCACGGTGGTGCCCATGAGTTGTTTTGTGTTGCCATTTCCGAATCCAAAAATGGCGAGCTCGTCTTCTTCGCCCGAGGAGTCCTTTGAACGGGTTTTGCCAGGGTCGTCATCATTGTACGCGGTCAACGAGCGAAACGAGCCGAAGACGGAATTGCGCTTTGATTTCTGAAAGGATTTAGATCTAGTACGGGGAATCGGCGTAGGCCAGCGGAGGCTGTCGGCCTCAGAGACAGAATGATCATTGAAAGCTAAGGGGCTGGACGACATGCGGCCGCGAGCGGCGTACTGTGTCTTGGAGCGGATCATGTTGGGCGGGCAGTTGTCGACGTCACTGAAGCTGTCGGAGCGTTGCCTGAGGCCCATGATGCCCAGCAACGAGCCGCTACTTCGAGGGCGGCTCCCGCAACGGCGGCGTGTTATGTTCTCGCAGCGCAGGTCGACATGGCTGCGGCTGCGCAGACCGTCGGACGGAGAGAGTTGGGGATATGGGTGCGACTGTGATGGCACATTCTGGCCGGCAGAGCCCAGCAGCCCTGTCGAGCCAAATAGCAGGCTAAAACTCTTTCTCCGTTTGACCTTTTTAGCCTTCTCAGCCATGATCGCGGAAAGTTGGCGCCAGCAAAGCTAGCGCGGAACGGCGGAAGGCAGCTGGCGGGCAAAAAGCAATTAAGGATGGGGACACAATTAATGCTGGGTCAGAAACGAGCGTTGGATGGACTATTGAGAACCGGACGACAGCATCGCGGCGCGGCGGCCGGGCGGGGAGCGAGCGTGTGAGTGGTAGGGCAGGACGGACTGGGCCAGCGGGCTCAGAGCAGCTCTGGGCGAGGAGCAGTGGCAGCGTTCAGTGCGTTCATCCGACGGTTGGCTGAGCGGCGGATCGACCAAGCCATGTCTCCGCAGGCTAAGCGTCATGCATTGCCAGCCGGCCGTCCAGGCGAGAGTGGCGGGCGTGGTGATGGCGGTGGCAGCGGGCGGTGGTGGTGGTTTGGAGAGCGTCGGGAGCGAGCGAGCGAGCCAGCCGGGTAGTTAGTTAGCTAACGGAGCTAACCCGCCCAGGCAGTCAGGCGACTACGGCGTGCGACCGAGCCCACCCGCGCCGTACCAAACACGCCAATACACGGCGACGACACGCCCAGCCCGCATGTCTCAGAGCGCGGTACCGTACCAGACCGGACCCGACAAGGATGATACGGCGGCTTGGCCGCGCCGCGCCGCGCCGCCGTTCCTGCGTGGGTGGGCGGCGCCAGGCCCGCGCGCAGGACGGCGGAGAGCCATGGGTGGCCGCCGTCCCTTTCATTTGGAGTACGGAGGACGGGCGTCGTTGACTATGTTGTAGCTAGCTACTAGCTGGTAGTACGGAAGGGAACGGGGTGCCTCACCCACCGCGGCGCCAGCTCGTGACGGCGTCATTTCCGTGCGACAACGGGCGCAAGACGACAATCAAATCAACAAATAAATAATAAGTCGTTAATCAAACTACAGACCCCCAACCTGCCGATTTCTCGCTTACCAGGCCAGCCTAAGGTGGCTGGCTGGGATCTCAAACCCGCTCGCAACCCCACTGCCCGACCCTTGATACAGCGCACATGAGCATCACGACGACGGACGATTTGTCACGCCTGCAGGCCCGCCACGCCACTGCCACTGCTGGGCTGCGCCGGAGATTAGTTGTTATTCGAGCCAGCGCGCACTGGCGCACACGTGGAGGCTGGCCGATCCACGCTGTCTGTCCACAAACCAAACGGCCTCGTGCCGTCCACAATAACAGGAAGGCCATGGGCGGTGAGGCGACGCGATGCGATGCGATGCGACGCGCAGCCGCCAGTGCGCGCGGGGGAAACATAAAAAAGAAAAAAGAAGAAACTGAATTGCACCAACCGCGAATCGAACGCGGGCAGCTTGCTTGGAAGGCAAGCGTCATACCACTAGACCATTGGAGCTGTTATGACTACCATACCCCAGCTGGGTCTACATCCCACCCACGGCGCATCGGGGCATGGATCCACTCAACGGCCGCAAACGCCCTGAGGGTCCCATTATTGTTGGGCAAGTCGACGCATCTGAATCCCTTCGCCTCAACAACGCCATCGCCAAGCACCGCAAAAAATTTCTTTAAGATGAAGTCAAAGCACAATTCAAGAAATTAACCACCTACTCCGTACTAGTTACTACTACCACGACTCCGTATGGAGGACCTCGACCCACTATCCGCCCAACTGCACAATCCCATGTTCCTGGTCCAGCTTGTCCTGCGCTTCCCTCCATTTGATGCCCCGGTCACTGATGGACCACAATTTCCGTCGATAAAAGTCCGCCTCCGACCCTTCCGTTTCCTTGTACTGCTTCTCTCGCCGCCGCTGGCATGCCTGGAATAGCACCTGCGCTCGCGACGAGGGCAGCACTGTGAGCTTGTAGTCGACTTCCCACTTGTCGTCCGCCGTCAGGTCCTGGGGCCGCTCGACGTGCGACCCGTTCACCTTGTGGTAAACATGCAACGTCATCCCCACCACGGACTGTGCAGATTCCTCCGCCTGGTTGGAGTCTGCCTGCTCCCCGTCCTTCTCGGCCTGCGTCTCTTCTGATGGTGGCGATGTTACTTCAGCCGCTGGCGCTTCCTCTGAGCTGTCGCAAAGTTCTGGGTACAAAAGCTGCTTCTGAATTCGCTCGATCTGCTCTTGGTTGCGCGTTTGGATTTCATCAATCTGCTCCTCCGTCACTGGTTCCGCGAAAATATACATGAACGGCAGAACCCCTGTCCGTGTCTCAAAGTGGAATCGCAGTGATTGTTCGGGAAATCGAGCGCTGACCTTGTCCAGGATTTTATTCCACAGAGCCACGCTATGCATGAACTCTACGTCTCCCAAAGTCGTATCTTCTTGGCCATGAAGCGCTTTGTCCATTTCGGGCAGAGAAACATACTGGAACCCAAAGATCCGTCGAACATTGTGAAACGCAACAAATATACCATCCATTCGTCCAATTCGCACCTGAAGCGAATACTTTAGAAACGCCGACCGGACCATATCGAAATATTCTCGTTCGAAGGACTCGTAGTCCCCGAACCGGCTCCGAATTTCGTAGCCCGCCCCCCGCGTGAAGTTGCTGGAATCCATTCGAACAGATACGACCGCGCGGGTTTTCAGATCAAACATGCCGGTGCCGGGAAGGCGAGGATCATATGCGTCAAGTTGCGCTCGCATTAAAAAGTCTCCGTATGTCGAGTAATGGTAGCTTTCAGGTGCCGCTTCACCTGGTACTGGCTCTTCGCCCGGCATTCTTCGATAGCGTTCAAATTCGTCCGTTGGCATCGTGAGAAGCTTTTCCATAGATTTCCCCAGATTCATCAAGACATTTGCTGAGTCAAATTCTTTATCCGCATCAATAGCGTATACCCCATCTTTGTATCGCAAAAATACAGCAGAGGGTGCCCTGGTAAGCCGCGTAAATGTTTGCATCTCATCGGAAAATCCTCGGGATATCATTTTCAAATCAAGCGGCCGCCATGCTGAAAGAAGAAAGTGGAAATGCGATAGGACACTTGTCATACTCGATGACGATCCTATGTATTTTTTCCCCTGCTCTCTAGCTATTTTTCTAAGAATAACGTCCTGCGAACTCGTAATGTAATCGCCCAATGCTTTAAAATCAAACTCGGAAACCGGCATGATGGAGCTAAGGTATGGGTCGAAATTATACACGCGAGATCTTGGATCGCGAAGGTGATATACTCCCGGACTACTTAATATTAGCGTCTTTGGACGGGGATCACCATTGGGGCCGGATATCTTACTTGAATAATACCCGGTCAAGGCCATATGCGAGACCAGGCACCGCTGTGGACTGTGTGTTTAAAGCTAGGAGTTATTAGAACAACAATCTTCTCAACTGCTCTAGGACTGCATTTTCTCACCTGTAATTTTCCCTTTTGGAGGTTCTAAAATGTCCGATTGTGCAGATAATCCGGCATGAACGCTGGCGAACTCATCATGTCGTCGTTTGCGAGACTTCGGTTTCGCCGTAGCTGGATTCTTCTGTGGATGCGCATCTATTAGTAAAAACCGATCAAGCAAGCTGTAATATAGACACACTGTTCCGTCAAAAGGAGCCACAGATACTCTCCGTACCACAGATCTCGAAGAAATAACTCTCCGAACTGTTCCTGCCGCCTTTTTTGAAGATTTGATGGTCTTTACGTCACCCTTCGTCGAATGTGATTCATTTTCTAGTTGCTACATGTCGTTTCCGTATTAGTCTTGCAAAGGAGAGGTAAACTGTCCAAGGGTGGAATGAAATGAAACTAACATGTTGATCATCACTAGGGATATTTGGATTTCCATCCTCGCAATTATTTAATTGCCCTTGTGGATTGTTATCCTGGCCAACCTTTGTATGATTCGAACTCAGATCTGAGTTGAGGAGGATCTCGGTCGTGTGACTGGAGCCCGATGAAATATCCGTTACCGCATCATGGCGAGGCAGAGATAAAACGAAGGAACGCTCGAATGTTCTTCTCACGCAGAATAGGCAGACATATGGATTGGAACGTCGTGCGATGGCCCAGACGGATTTGCTGAACATTCCGGCGGCGACAGACAAGTCGTCGCGACAAAAGACCCTGGACTGTGAATAGGCGGTAGCGAGCAAGAAGCAAACAATTTCACAATAGAAACAAAAGAACAAAAAGGGAAGAAACTCTAACAAATTATATAAGGTCAAAGTAGAGCATATACGCGCGATCGCGACCTTGCTCACTTTTCTCCAGAAACTGCGTTCGAAATAAAATGCGACGAAACTTTTTGAGTTCGACGCGCCGATACGCACTTAGCCCTGTAGGTACGGAGTACGGAGTACCTAAGGTACCTAATTAACAGCTTACTAGTCCTGTTTAGGTTTAAAGTCAGGCCACTTAGGTAATCGATCCCCGAACAAACGGCCCGATATTAATCCACAGACTTTTTCAGGCGACAGCAAACATGCGGGGGGTGCGAAGATAGGCAAGATAACATGAATAATGACAAATACGAGTATTGATGTATGCTTCTACGCTGGCATAACTGTTTGCTGCTGAATATGCGAGGCTCATCTCTCACTTTATCATAGTACTACAGTGGTACAGGGCTCATACGCACAATCAAGCTTTCTTTCCTTGAAAATACTGTATCTGTACTGCAATGATACGTCCCAATTATACGGTCTACGGAAAAAGTTTAAAATATCAAAAGAGAGCCATCCCACTTCATTCGCAGATAATAGGCGCTGAGTGTGTATTTTGATTCTGGTTGGTCCTACGACCTTGTGAGATTAGAATGTGAGTCCAATATTTACCCTCTGGACCCCAGGGCCTCAATCCCAGGAAGTTTCGTGAACGCCAAATGTGCCTATCTGCCCCCGCACCCCTCCATTGAGTCACGCACCACCAAGTTGTTGATTAGAGCAATTCAATTTTGTCCTGCGACGCCTTCAATCTGTCAAAAACTATACTACTAGCTACCAAATTCTCAAGGGATTAAAATACAGACTGGAATTATAGCTTATTCTTGCTAACATGGCATCATGTCTTCACGGTTTTCTATTCCTCAAATCTTCATGATTGTCAAATTACTTTTGTTGAAATTTGTCATGTTCATGGGACTACGTTTGATTCTACCGGCCATTTAATGGGGCTAACAAATGGGATTTAGTGTTATTCCAAGGGAGCCGGATCGCTATGCTTCAGGAAAGGCTCCGTATTCTCGTTGTCGGTAGCGGCGGCCGTGAGCATGCCCTAGCATGGAGACTTAGCAAATCTTCTCTCGTTGAATCTGTGTTTTGTGCGCCTGGAAATGGCGGGACGGAGGCACAGGAGGCATCCAAAATATCAAATATTGGTATTACGTCTGATGATTACCCCGCTTTAGTCTCTTTTGCACAGAAGGAGAATGTGAACCTGGTCGTACCAGGACCGGAAGCTCCTTTAGTAGATGGGATTCAGGGGTATTTTCAAGCAGGTACGATACGTCTTTCACTGGAATATCAAAGGAACGACTAACCAGAACTACTAGTTGGAATAAGATGCTTTGGTCCATCTAAAGCTGCCGCTCAAATGGAGGGCTCCAAGGCGTTTTCTAAAGATTTCATGAAGCGCCATAATATACCAACTGCCCAGTACGAAAACTTCAACAACTATGAGGCTGCATGCAAGTACCTCAATTCCATCGAACATAATGTTGTCATTAAAGCTAGCGGGCTTGCTGCTGGTAAGGGTGTCATCATGCCTCAAAACAAAGAGGAAGCACTTCAAGCCGTCAAAGAGATGATGCTGGATCACCAATTTGGCGAAGCAGGGGATGAAATTGTTATAGAAGAATTTTTAGAAGGAGATGAGTTGAGCATATTGAGTTTCTCAGATGGGTATACTATACGGTCTCTTCCTCCAGCACAAGATCACAAAAGGATCTTGGATGGCGACCAGGGCCCAAACACTGGAGGAATGGGGTGTTATGCTCCAACACGTATTGCTTCGAAAGAGGTTATGGCTGAAATCGATAAGACCATCGTACAGCCTAGTGTTGATGGGATGAGAAGGGAAGGTGAAGCCTCTCCAAAGTGTGCATCCATTATTTTTGATCACTGACAAAAGTTCAGGCATACCATTCGTTGGCATTTTATTTACAGGATTAATGATGACGAAGAATGGCCCAAAGGTTTTGGAATATAACGTCCGCGGTGGCGACCCTGAGACACAGACATTACTGCCTTTGCTCAGTGATGATACAGACCTTGCAGAAATTATGGTCGCTTGTACGGAGCATTGGTTAGATGGTGTGAATATCAAGGTGGAACCTCGATTTGCAGCCACTGTTATCGCCGTGGCTGAAGGTTATCCGGGGCCATATGCTAAGGGCGTCGGTATCACACTTGACACGCCCGCCCCAGATACTCTAATTTTCCACGCTGGTACGAAGATCGTTCAAAACCATTTGCAATCGGCGGGCGGCCGAGTGATTGCAGCGACCGCAACGGCCGATACACTGGAAGATGCAGTTAAAAAAGCCTACTCTGGAATATCGACGATTCATTTTCAGGGCATGCACTATCGTAAAGATATTGCCCATCGTGCGTTCAGAAAACCCACGCAGGTGGAAGGCCTTACATATGCGGCCGCGGGGGTATCTATCGATGCCGGGAATGCACTTGTCAACCGTATCAAAGCAAGCGTCGCGCGAACAAAAAGGCCGGGATCGGATGCTGTAATTGGTGGATTTGGAGGGGCCTTTTCACTTGCTGCGTCCAATTCTGGCTTCCATAGTGCGTCACCTACTTTGATTGGCGCTATCGACGGCGTTGGAACAAAACTCAAGGTAGCACACGAGATGGGAATCCACAACACTGTTGGCATTGATCTCGTTGCGATGAATGTCAATGATCTGGTCGTTCAGGGCGCTGAGCCGCTCCTCTTCCTAGATTGCTATAGCTGCGGAAAACTAGATGTCGATACCGCTGCCGCATTTGTTTCCGGCGTTGCTGATGGCTGTGTCGAGTCAGGGTGTGCTCTTGTGGGTGGAGAAACTGCCGAGATGCCTGGTCTCTTTATCGACGGTGCTTATGATGCTGTGGGTGCTGCTATTGGGGCTATCGACGCGAACACCCACCCTATCCTGCCACTTACTGATCAAATGAAGCCCGGTGACATTCTACTCGGCCTTTCTAGTAGTGGTCCACATTCCAATGGTTATTCATTAGTTCGAAAAATCGTTGAACAATCAGGGTTATCCTATCATGACCCTCCGCCATTCCACACGTCCGCTGCATCTTTGGGAGCTGCTCTTCTAACACCTACCAGAATTTATGTCAAACCCCTTCTATCGGCTCTCGCAACATTCAATACCGGTACCATTAACATTAAAGGACTTGCGCACATCACGGGTGGGGGCTTGGTCGAAAACGTTCCTCGCGCTCTCCCCAGAAATCTGTGTGCTGAGATTGACGTGGCTACGTGGCCACTGCCCAGTGTTTTCAGATGGCTGAAACAGTCAGGCAATGTCAGCGCCGTGGAAATGGGACGGGCGCTCAACAACGGCATTGGAATGGTCATGGTTGTTTCTGAAGATAAAGCGGAGGATATCAAAATTCATTTGGAGCAGCAGGGTGAGACAGTTTTTGTTATTGGGTCTCTTACCGAGAAAGGAAACGAGAGCAATGAGGGATGCGTGTTAAAGAACATGAGCACATGGGAGTAGCTGTTTGGTAGACTAGACTTTGGTAGGGTAAAGGGAAAAGGCGCCTATCCCGCATTCTAGCAGGCAACCAGTTCCTTATGTACAGGAGTGTAGTACGCCGTAGGAATCGCGTAGAGTCGGTCATTGTACTCCGTACTCCGTATCCATGGGGACAACCCATGATGTCATGAGGCTGATCAGCGGGCCGTCCCGGAGAAGCTTTTTTCCCAGCGCACTTCATCGCTCGGATCGACGGCTGTTGTTGGGAACGCAACAGGCGGCTTCTCCTGGTAGCCTAGGAGACCTGAGGCTGGCGTACGTGGGGTTTATTGGACCGGTCGAGAGTATGTATATTGATCCGCTTGTCTGGTACTGACGAAGCCATCCGCGCCACCGGCGTGATATGTAGACCTCTTCTGTCCCACAACCAGCGAAGCTTTTAAGTTTCAATTGACAACATCCCATGCTCGAATCACCCCGTCATTCGGTCATCGCTCAACCAGCGTGGACTAAACAGCGCGGCAGCGCCGGGGCAACCGGGAACCCAGCTGCTTTCCTACCGTTCCGTTTCAACTTGCGGTTCTCGGATCGCCTGGGGGTGGGACACAAGAGAACCATGCCTCGGTGCGCCTGACGTGGTGCTCTCTCCAATCCGGCAAAGAGATTGCACTCCAAAAGGAGGTTTTTAACTCTGTCCGTGTGGGTTGCCGTTATGATGCATGGCGACGGACGAGACCACCTCGCTGCTCCCCATCTGTTGATTGTTTTGGGGGGCCATTGTGATGTTCCCGCCCCCCCGCCTTGCGTCGCGTGCTGCTTATTTTTCCTTTCTCTTGCGTTGCCGAGTACACCGTACACAGTGGACGCTCCTCCATTACACGCGCGTTTACGTTGGCCCCACCCGTTGCCACGGAGCAGAAGATGATCTCAACTCCTCAGGTGTTCGTGAGTGGGCCGAAAACATCTGATTGATCTCATTACAACCTTAGAGTGCAAGTCTAAGGCATTTCTCTCATTTCTACTGGTTCTTTCTCTTGGTGGCTCTGTTGCCAAGTCTGCTTGTTGCTACTGTTCTGGTATATGTGATCGACCCTCGAGCCTTCAGCCTACGCTGCGTGATACTATTCTAGAGGGAGCGCATGATGGCCTCCATTGCTTGGTTAACGGAAGCAGATGACATTTTTGGTTGTGTTTTGTGTAGACATCAATCAATCAAGAAGTACAAATAGCCCAGTCAACGCTTGTTGCTCGGAGCTCTTTACTACCAACACATAGACCTTCTCATGCTCTCTCACCATGCAACTCTACACAGCTTTGTTACTGACCATCCCTGTGCTTGCCCAGGCAGCGGCCGTCCCTAACTATACCTGCCCATGTAGTTCGGAATCAGAAGCTTCAGCGACTTCCACAACATGCGTACCAGTGACCACGAGGCTGCCAGCATCAACAGTAACACCAACAACATCGACAGCAACGCCAACGACAACTCCACAGGTCCCAGGGACTCCGGAAGCCAGTGGCCTTCGATCAGTCATTTATTTTGTGAACTGGGTATGTTTCTTTCTGCCTCCATTCTCGGCAACAGTAACCAATATTTGTTAGGCTATCTATGGACGTCAACACAATCCGCAGGATCTGAAGATTGATCAGTTTACCCACATTCTATACTCATTTGCCAATATTAGATCTACCGGGGAAGTATACCTTTCTGATACTTGGGCTGACCTAGACAAGCATTACCCCAACGACAAGTGGGATGAACCTGGAAAAAATGTGTATGGTTGTATTAAACAGATGTACTTACTGAAGAAGAGGAACCGAAACTTAAAAACTCTCCTTTCCATCGGAGGGTGGACATATTCTTCTAATTTTAAGGGCCCCGCCGGCACGGACGCAGGTAGAAAAACCTTCGCAGAGACCTCAGTGACACTTATGAAAGATCTTGGGTTTGATGGAATCGACATTGACTGGGAGGTATGAATCAGACCCCTACTTCTAATTCTGAGATGGACACATTCCTAAATATCAAACAGTATCCAGAGAATGAGAAAGAGGCAAATGACTACGTTCTTTTACTCAAGGCATGCAGAGAGGTAAGAAAGTTCTACGGCAAGAAAGCCTAGATTTCTAATCGTGTTTTTTTAGGCTCTCGACGCATACTCTGCCAAACATGCCAATGGCAAGAAGTTTTTACTTACCATTGCCTCCCCAGCTGGTATATTGCCCACTGGTAATATGATTCTAAACCGACGCTAATTTAATTTAGGCCCTGATAAGTATAACAAGCTGAAACTTTCGGAGATGAACAAATACCTTGATTTCTGGAACCTTATGGGATATGATTATAGCGGCAGCTGGGATAGTATATCGGGACACATGTCAAACGTGTATTCTTCGTCGTCCAAGCCCGAGTCTACGCCATTCAGTAGCGACAAAGCTGTCAAAGACTATATTAAGGCCGGTGTTCCCGCTAACAAGATTGTTCTTGGGATGCCTTTATATGGACGAGGCTTTGCTGAAACTGATGGTATGGGATCGAGGTTTTCTGGCATCGGCGAAGGTAGCTGGGAGAGAGGTGTTTGGGACTACAAAGCACTTCCTCAGTCCGGCGCCACTATTGCAGAGCTTAATGACCTTGTTGCTTCGTACTCATATGACAAGAGCAAGCGCTATCTCATCAGCTACGATACTCCCAATATTGCAGCACTCAAGGCGGATTACATTACTAAAAACGGCCTTGGTGGTGGTATGTGGTGGGAGAGCAGCAGCGACAAAAACGGCACGGATAGTCTTGTTGGCACTGTAGGTCAAATCCCGATAAACGGATATATCTTTGGGATACTAATCATCTTTTAGGTTGTCAATAGATGGGGCGGGAATGGTCGCTTTGAGAAACGCCAGAATGAAGTCAACTACCCTGACTCAATCTACAATAATCTCAAGAATGGCATGCAGTAACAACCTGAATAAAGGCTATTGCTGCTGCTTGGTGATGAGAAGCGAGTTGTGGTTTATGCCTGGAGACTTTATGATGACGGTCGCTTTGCTTTTATATTCCGCATGATTCCATTGTGAACTAAGATACCATGACCTTATGTACAGCCCATTATATATCAACTTCTATTTCCGAAGGTTGCGTGACAAAAACACGTAAAGCTCTTGTGTAGTTAATACTAAATACCTAACTATTTATTTTTCACATATTGACCACAGCCGGAAGCCTCCATCTATCAGGTGTAGTGCCTGGGGCAAGAATTTACGGGAAATTCTTGTAATATCTCAGCCCTACATGCCCCTCCTTCTTCGAGCCCAATTAACTACGCATTTCGGCCCCTGGATACGCCGCTTGCCCCTCTGTGTTGTTGGCGAATGGCTAGGATGCAAGGATGACGCTTCCACATTTTGGGATGCATCAAGTGATAGGCTCATGTAACTAGTCCAAGTCCGGGTTTGGGGCGGTGGAAGGCAAGGTATAGTCCTCTCGAAAACCAGAGCAAATTACGTTGAAGTTCTAACTGTTGTGAAAACGGGTGAAAACCCTCTGTTGTTGATGATTGGCAAGGTATCACTCCAAACATCATCATAAGTCACGCGGGGCTAACATCTTTCAATAGGACAGGATTCTTATCACAGATATGGCAGACAGAAGTTGGTGATAAATATGAATTATAAGATACAATGAGCTTGACCTAGTGTGGATATCATAGGTGTGTACAAGACATGGTTTGGAAAGAGATAGCCACATGGCAAAACGGCAACTAGGGAATCACAGAGAGAATACCGCAAACAGGCCGTGTTCAAACTGTAGGTTACCTCTAGGGATTGGAAAGGAGTAATAACTTAGAGATTGATTGTTGGGTGGGTTGAATTACTGGTAAGTAGACAAGGTTGTCAACGACAAAGATTTAAGAGTTGTTGCATAATGGAGGCTAACTAAACTCAGTACTGTAGAAGGATGAAACACAGAAGGGGGGGTTGAAAACGGGACGTATGCCTCTCATCTTAACAACTCTCAGCACGAAGCCGCCGCACGGTTTTCATCAAGAGAAGGTAGTGGCATATACTTTTCCTGTGGCCTTGAATCCCGAGCGCGCAAAAAAAAAAAACTTAGAAGCACTTCCGGTGGACAATCGAAGGGCCGGATTCATCGTATTCTTGCTTGGAGATCCACATTTGTTGGAAGGTGGAGAGAGAGGCCAGGATAGAGCCACCAATCCAGACGGAGTATTTACGCTCTGGAGGCGCAATGATCTTGACCTTCATGGAAGAAGGAGCAAGTGCAGTAATTTCCTTCTGCATACGGTCGGCAATACCTGGATACATAGTTGTGCCACCAGACTAAACAGGCGTCAGAAATCGGTGCAAATTGAATAGTATCAAGGACAGCAATCTTACCATAACAATATTACCATAAAGATCCTTTCGGACATCAACATCACACTTCATTATAGCGTTGTAGGTAGTCGCGTGAATACCACCGCTCTCCAGACCCAAGACGCTGGGTTGGAAAAGGGCTTCGGGAGCACGGAATCGCTCGTTGCCAATAGTAATGACTTGGCCGTCAGGAAGCTCATAAGATCTCTCCAAGCTAGAGCTCTGAGCAGCAGTCTGGATCTCTTGCTGGAAATCTAAAGCTACATAGCAGAGCTTCTCCTTGATATCTCGGACGATTTCACGCTCAGCAGTGGTCGAGAAGCTGTATCCGCGCTCGGCCAGAATCTTCATTAGATAATCAGTGAGATCACGGCCAGCCATGTCGATACGAGAAATGGCGTGAGGCAGAGCAAAACCTTCATAAATTGGGACAACGTGGGTCACACCGTCACCAGAGTCCAGCACGATACCGGTGGTACGACCAGAAGCATAGAGGGAAAGGACGGCTTGAATAGACACGTAGAAAGCGGGAGCATTAAAGGTTTCAAAGACGATTTGTGTCATCTTCTCACGGTTGGATTTGGGGTTGATAGGAGCTTCAGTCAAAAGAACAGGATGCTCTTCGGGTGCGACACGTAATTCGTTGTAAAATGTATGATGCCAGATTTTTTCCATGTCGTCCCAGTTTGTCACGACACCATGCTCAATTGGGTACCTCAGAGTTAGGATACCACGCTTCGATTGTGCCTCATCACCAACATAGGAATCCTTCTGGCCCATACCAATCATAATACTATGAGTAGTGTTAGTTGGCATCAGTGGAGGGGGACGAAGGATGTTTACCCGTGATGGCGCGGGCGGCCGACGATTGATGCTATCAATTGCGTCAGTATCGAGGCCGTAGTAGAGCAATTGTAAGCCATTCGGTAAGAAAGGCGATCTACACTGCGTGTATGATCTAAAGGTACTTACGGAAAACAGCTCGCGGAGCATCGTCACCGGCGAAACCGGCTTTGCACATGCCGGAGCTGGAGATAAAATATCAGTATGTTTTAAATTCGCAGTCTGAAAAAATCGCCACGAAACTAGACGAGGGAGAGATGGGTTTGAAGGGGCGCATGTTTCGACGTCAAGGCGGCACAGGATTGTGGGCTTCAGGCGCAGGAAACATTCACAGAGTCAACATACCCATTGTCGATGACGAGGCCAGCAACTTCTTCTGTAGGATTGAAATGACTATGTTAGCGATGTTTTCTGGCCGCGGGGATGTGAAGAGATACGGAAATGGGCTAGGTGATGTTAAGGTCCGGGGTGCCTTACCTTCCATGTTTGATGACAGCGAAAGCGAAAACTAGAAAGTACAGAAAGGAGGCTGTGAATGGAAAAAGCGAAGGAAGGTGAGCTGGGAAGCAGAGGGTCTATTAACAGGCGTTGAAAGGAGCAGCGTTGAGCGATAAATAGGGATGGGGTGAATATGGGGGGGCGGAAAGGGAGGAGGTTGATTTCTTGTTGATGAGATGTTGGAAGATGAAGTGGACTTAGCGGGCGAAGACGAATTTTGAACAGAGAGGGGGGGCAAAGTTACTAGCGGAAATCGGGTCCGGTTCGGTACTAGTGACTTCAGCGCCGGGTGCAGCACGCTGCCTTGGCGGTGTACTCGATACCTATGGGTGCTGCGCCAGCCCAACGATGATACCCACAATTACCCCCATAAATACACGCCCAGCTTGCTGTCAACACCAGGCTCCAGCATTCCCACGGCTGGCTGCCATGGTTATTGTTAGCATGATCGCATGCCCCAGATTGCTGCCTTGAGGGTCACAATGCCTGCCACTGCACCAAAACGTATGCTCAATCTACACGCATATGAGCTTCATAGCTCTGGAGGACACGGATAAGGTGTATAGAGCATGGTGTGTATGTCCATATAGGCGTTATGGACTTGGTTGCTGGAAATAGATACCTGACAAGATGCTGCTCTCCTCTTTGCCTGACCATATATCATAGGCGGCATCGTTGGGGGGTTCTGCCACAGGGAAACCTACACCCCTAGCTAGGTCCTTCGTTTTTAACAAGTGTCCGCCACATATCAGTGTCATTCCAGACCACGCTGAAATTAGCTGCTGTATGGTTGCCTGACATAATTTCCTGACAGTCCTGTAGACTGACCTGCATTTATAAGGTGCATCTGTTTTCTTTTGCCAGGGAAAGGCATTTTGCTATGCCTTATGGCTCTAGTTTTCTTGCATTCCAAAAGAGTGATACGAGTAAAGCTCGCTCACTTTTTTCGCTGCTCCACTCTTGCTAGTAGCTGCTATACAGTACTCCTGCCGCAATTCTATGTATGAGCGCCGTCTGCCTGTTCCGAGGATAATAGGTACGGATTCTGTTGATGAGGGACTAGTAGAGTTTAACTAATTAGGTTGTAAGCCAATAAGCGTAATATGATTTTGATAAGGTAACTAACATATTCAGAAACTAGGGCTAGGGCTTTACGTAACCAATTAACCATGTAACTATGGAGTAGTGGGGAGTGCTAAATTTTTGGAAATCTTTATTCTTATCGTACTTCCTACTACAATAGGTTTTTTTACACAGCTGCAGACCAGAGTGAGGGAGAGCAAAAGAGCGGCAAGAGCCAGTAGCATGGATTCGCAGATGAGCAACCTGCTAAAATGGAGCATCGAAAACTCCGCCCCCACACAGAAAAATGGCGTTGAACAGGACTCGCCCGAACAAACGGCACAGCGCCTTGATACTGATGCTCTCGAGCGCCTTCTGGGAAATGCTCCATCAGATGCCGAAATGATGAAGGCGGCTATGGAGGTGATCCAAGACGAGACCGCCACCCTGGATAACAGGCTCCTCGCATTCGACAATTTCGAACAACTGATTGAGAACCTAGATAATGCAAACAATATGGCTGTTCTAGGGCTATGGACTCCATTAATTGGGGAGCTGGGCAACGTAGAGCCAGATATGAGGAAGATGGCTGCCTGGTGTATTGGAACGGCTGTGCAAAATAACGAGCAGGCGCAAAACAAGGTATGTCGGTCTTTCTGATCTGACTGTCTGATTCTAAACATATTCACCATGGGATTATAGCTCGTGTCTTTTGAAGCCATTCCTAAGCTTCTCCAATTGGCACAGACCGATCTAAATGCTGCTGTTCGCCGAAAAGCTATATATGCACTATCTTCCGCGGTACGGAATAGCCAGCCTGCACTTGACCAATTGCAATCACATTTACCAAATGATTTCGTTTCAAAAGACGAAAGGCTTCATGCCGATGATATGGGACGTATTGATGCTATTCTGAATAAGTTAAGAGAGATATCTGTATGAGTATTCACCATACGGTACTTTCGTGCCCTGGCGAAACTGGAAGCTAATCGACTTGGGTGTATGCGTTGAACATTTCATAAAGTGAGGGAAATCTCTCCACAGAATATGGTATGGAACTGAAAGGATACTTGGCGTTAGGAATTGTCTTCAGATTCCATAATCATTTGCACCTTACCACTTGCTCTTTTCTAGAAATCCTGCTTCCTTAACCTCGAATCTACAAGAGCTGATAGGGCCTTAAATAGTTTAACAATAGGTTCATTGATGAGCTTAATCATGTTCAAGTAATCTGTACCAAAGTTCTCAAACCATAAACACCAGATACGCCGAATGCGAGAAGGAAAGAAAAGTAAAACGCAGCAGAGCCTCCCAAGAAGAGGAAGTAGCTAAGATATGAAATATATTATCTCTAAGAAGTTCATAGAGCAAGGCTATACGTATAGTCATCTTCCATGTTTTGCGAAATCCACAAAACCGCAGAGCTAGATAGCATTTAGCAGTTAGTCTACTGGATCTAGGGTATGAAATGCTGCTAAAGTCTGATTAGAACTTACCTGACCATAATTAAACCGTTTGCAATTACATTTGCAATTCCAAAGTATAGCGTTTGCAGTGGGTATCCTTTGATAAGGTATTTGAGCACCATTACAGTCTATCGATTGGATCAGTTAAGGTGGCTTTTGCAATTGAAACCAAAGAGAAACTTACCACACTCCCTGCCAACCCACCAGCTAGCAAGGCAAACCCTAAGAATAACACAAATCGTACCTTCCAGGCAACACCGTTTCCAAAGTAGCTAAGGCTATCGGCAGTTAAGCGGGATTTTTCAATCGAGTTGATTACCAGCATTCCCAGCGATGAGCAAATCCCAGGTATCCAGTCAACAAATTTGACATGAACAATAGAACCGTTTTTAGAGCTATGCGAAAAGGCCGCCGCGTCAATGAAGAAAAAGAACCCGAGGGAGAACTGAAGGGATGGAAAGCCGTCAGATGTTGGTTCGATTTGGGGATGGAATCCGATGATACATACCAGAGCACCCGAGGCGTACACGCCTGCGCTGCGGGCATTAGCACTATTTAGCCATGTCGGCTTGGAGAAGCGAAATAGGCGGGTCTCTGAGTCGTCCATGATGAGAACGGTTCGGGTAAAGCTCTGGTAACGGCACGATAAATGTTAGGGGCTTTAAAATGAGTAAAGAGTATTTCGAGAGTACGGAATAATTAAATCAGAGCGAATATGTTGTAATAGCTACCAGGCAAGTTTGTTTGAGCTCCTGGCCGGGCACAGAGTGCTGATGTCAATGCAACAGGCATGGTTCCAGAACTCTTGATCACATGATGTCATGTGTTCCCCATAGCGGACCTTAAGGGGGTGAGATTCATTCACATTGCATCTATATTATTAGAATTATCCATTCTCTAACTTTAACTCGAGAAAGATTGATTGAAAAGGTCTATTATTATCATTTGAGCAACTATGAAGGACTTCTCAAATCGTCTCACATCACAAAAAATCGTAAATCATGAACTACCAGGGTGGATGCTTTCACCATTCAGAGTCTTCGCAGAACAGCTTTAGAATAGAATCAACAACTTCGGTCGCCTTTTCTCTTTCTAACATTGGTACACAAGTGATGTTGTTCGCAGTCTTAAGCGGAGTTTCTTGATCCAAGCCGGGTACCGGTGCTGGGTGTGTGTCATGGAGAAACCTACGGAGCGCAAAAGTCGATGCACGGTATGTTGCATGATACATTGCCTTAAAACCCTGTCCCTCGTAGCCTAGTAATTCCGGTGTTTTGTCAGGGGCTATTGTATTAGAGGCCTGGTCAATGGAGCCAGGCTTGGTGCGTTGAGTTGTAGGGCCACGATGATAGCCGTACAGGCGCAAGCAAGTTAAAATCGTTCGGGTCAGACAGGCTTTGTTTGCAGTTATGATATCTTCCGATGTCGCGGTAGTTGGATGGGTTGGAAAATTCTTCTTTTTTTTAAAGACTGGGGTGACAAGGGTGGATTTCTGCCTATCTGATATGTTTGTTTCAAATGCTCGGGGGGCTGGCGAACATTGTTTAGATAAAGAAGATGTTCTGCCTCCTATGAAACCCGCCCGGCTGGTTCCTGAGTCCAAAGGAACGCTGGAAGAAGTAGTTGAGCAGTGCTCCTTTTTCGTTTTCGAATACAGAACATTTACCAAGGGCGACGCTTCCCTCTTCTTCTCTATATACTCAGAAACTGCGACGACGCCTTTCTTCCGGACGTTCTTATGATATTCGTACGCGGCCTCGAAAAGAGAATCCGCTCGTTTTCGTTTTGGGTTTGACTCAGAAGCATTACAAAGAAACCGCGCATATTGCGAGGGCTCTATGCCATTTGTAAAGTCGTAGTCCAGCGTCGGTTGGAGCGATCGTGCTTTTGTTATTAGGGCAGAACTGAGCGGGGCAGCGTATACGCGTATTTCTTTTAGAAGGGAGAGTCCCGAATCACCCCCTCGTAATGCCGTTGACGCATGGAGTGATACAACACCATAAATTAAAAGGCTGTTTGTCTTTTCAGGACCTTTTGTGTTATCACGAGAGTCTTCAACCATTACCAAAATCCCGATAGGGCATTGTAGCATAGACGCCTCCTCATCCTTATCTGGACTGACATTACTCAGTAGCGTTTGTTTAATCCATTCACCAGTCGAACTATTCACAACATGAACTTCAAGTACAGGGCCGGTCAGCGCCAGGAGTGGGATGGAGGTCGAATCAACTAGAGACTGTAACGAAAGCGTCGCACCCGATAAGTCACAACGATTAGTCGACGACGGGTTAATTAGGCGAATTCCTAGATATAGGGGTTAGATATCTCAGGTGCTTTCTCTATCACTTGCCTTACCATCGAGAAACACAGACCTCGAGGTAATGGTCCCCGACCAAACTTCCATAGCGGGGAAGAAGCCCTTGGTATACCACAAGATACGATCGAACGCCTACAGCCTGCAATGTCACCGATGATAGTAAAAGAAATTTTGAAGTCTATATTTGGTGGTTTATACGCGTAGGAATGAAATTCTATGATGTTAAAGATTAGACGCTTGACAGGTACAAACGCGCGATCACGTGTAGCTAAATCAAGTGACGGATTTGGTATCCAAAAGGGACACAGGATCACGAGTATACTGTTTTTTAAGGATACGGAGTACAGTCTGATAATATTAATTGTACGATATTCCGTATTCTATTATACATACTATTCCGTGCACACATACATTCAGACAAAGCAGGAAACAATCTGTTACCATCGGGGCGATAAGCGCGAGTCTACACAGGTCAAGAGAAGACAGCATGAAACAGCTATGCAACCTCAGCAGGCTCAAATACCAAAAAAGAAAGAGAGAGAGAGAGAGAGAGGCCGCAAGGGGTAGTACGCCATTCACGCCAGAGAAATGGAAATGCGAGAAGGAATCGTGACTGCCATTGAAACCATTCCAAGGGGAGGGGTATAACAAACAAAAGAAAAAAGTAACAAGGGGCCCCTAGAACTCTTCTTGCTCCTGAAAGAACATGGTGAAGCTGATTATTGTGCCGTATATCAAAAGGCCACCCAAGACCGACATCACCATGGCAGGAACTTGTATCGCACCACTATGCGCTAAGACGGCAGGAAGAGCTATGATGCTGTTAGTAAATCTACGTTCAGTATTAAGCCCATCTAAATGTAATGGCGGCTATTATTGGAACACTGAGTGTAGAAGACCGCCAACTAGACATACCGATTCCCATGATGACGAGAAAGCCAGTAAGCCATCTGCCAAAATCCACAACGCCACTGCCAGGCGTCTCCATAAAGTCGTCCGGATTTGAACATCGACCACATATCCAATTTGGTAACGGCGCGATCACATAAGTTGCTACGACAAGGAGTGGAAGGTAGTTATGCCATAAGGCAGCGGAGAGGATAACAAGAAGGAATCCGATGGCAAGGACCTTAGGGTGGGTTCTCATCAATAAAGACCGAGGGAAAATCATTTAGATATCCTGCCAGCACTTACAAATGAAAGTGAAATTATAGTCTTCAGGCCGGCGGCCATAATTTGAGTATCAGATCAGAATCAGGGAAAATGGGAGGGGTTGATTGGTGGGAGTTAGTTAATCTCTAGCAAGCTATCGGAGTTCAGGCAGAGGTTGCCTCGAGAGTCCATCAAGAGATTTATATTTAAGGGTAGGATGTTTAGAAAACGAAGCTGTCCAAACAGGTAACATTTATAAAGCCGCCCTGCCTTGCCAATGCCTATCACCATCGAATAACTCGGCAGGATTATGTAATAACTAAGCAGCGTACGGATACGGAGTACTACCTGGTACGAAGAGGTACTCAGGCAGCTAGCTAAGTAACCTTAGTCAGTAAACTAACAGCTATATCTAACAGGTAGCAACGGGGAACTAACTGGCTTAGGCCCGCTGTAGTTAGTTAACTCCTAACTAAAGTAGCTAAACTAACTAGCTGACTCTCCCGTCGTTTGTGCTCGAAAGGCGCTAAGCCTAGGGTAGATAAGAGCTCACTTCCAGGCAACATGTCTGTAGTCATCTCTGCCTACTAATTACACTGAACATCTCTGATTCTCTTCTTCAGATATTTTAGCAGCTAGAGAGCGCAGAAAAGCCAATATATACTTTAAACACTGTTTTCCCATCTCCTCACCGCCATTTAAACATGTTCCGAAATAACTACGATAATGATTCAGTTACATTGTGGGTTCAGCTTACTTCTTGCCTCACTATATTGCACTGGCTAAGGCGAGTGATGATAGCTCCCCGCAAGGAAGGATTTTCCAAGTTGAATATGCGCAGGAGGCTGTCAAGCAAGGCTCGGTAGTAGTAGGAATTGTCAGCAAAACACACGCAGTACTCGCTGCACTTAAGGCACGTCCCTTCATCTCTTCTATCGTTTAAACGCACCCAAAACTGCAATCTAATAGGCCTGAACAGAGAAATGCAGAAGAACTTTCCTCTTACCAGAAGAAGGTCATCGCTATTGACTCTCACATGGGAATTGCCATCGCCGGCCTCGCCTCTGATGCGCGCGTGCTTTCCAATTTTATGAAACAACAATCACTTTCCTCAAAAATGACATATGGCCGTTCCATCCCTATAGAACGCATCGTCAATAGAATTGGTGATCGCGCGCAAACGAACACGCAACACTACGGCAAGAGACCCTACGGTGTGGGGTTGCTTATAGCTGGTGTTGATGAGGCAGGGCCCCATCTGTTTGAGTTCCAGCCCTCTGGCATGACCCACGAGATGATCGCATGTGCCATTGGTGCTAGGAGCCAGATGGCTCGGACATATTTAGAAAAGCATTTGGATGAATTTGAGGACTGTGGGCGGGATGAGTTAATCAGTCATGCTCTAAGGGCACTAAAGGAAAGTCTATCGCAGGATAAAGAGCTAACTATTGACAATACTACGATTGGTGTGACGGGTATCGGTACCGAGGCTTCCAAAGGAAAGATGGATATATTTAAGGTGTATGATGGGCAAGAAGTCACGGCCTTCCTTGAAGTTAGCGTGGGCGAAACCGTTTCTGCTACCGCCGAACACCAGGGCGAATCGATGGAGGTAGATTCCTAGCAAGACAATTGATTAGATGTGATATCAGCCTTTTCTTCTGACATGGTGTTTAAATTAAGGATGAGCAGGCTTTTCTCTCAAATTAATGACTGTTATCTATATGATGCTCGCCCTATTTTTGCTACTCATTCTAAAGTCGACAATCTACAATATATCAAAGTCAATTTCACTTTATCAAACCGCAACACTTGTTGATGTCCAAATACACCACCTATTCCACTTCCCAAGCAGGACAGCCATACCAGTTTGCTACCCTTGGGTTTTCTATGGCTTCTTTCCCCACTGGAGATTATATCGCTCTTCGCTCACTCTGTACTCTCTGAGCGCCCCCAAAACACCCTTCACATCCTTACATTCGACCATAATCTTACTATTTTCCTGGGTAACAAATGTTTCCTTCACGCTTTCCTTGAGCCAATCCAAGATTCCGTCCCAGTATCCGTCAATATTCAATAAAACGATGCCAACACTGTGGATACCAAGTTGATTCCAGGTGATCATTTCCATTGCTTCTTCAAGCGTCCCAAACCCCCCCGGAAGCACCACAAAGCCCGAACCGGGGCCACCGGCGATGACTTTGTCGGCCATCATTCTCTTTCGAGTATGCATGTCTGAAACAATGGTAGTTAAGCCATATTCGGAGTTGACTTTCTCTGTTGAAGAATTGACAGGGACAATGCGCTCCGGTGCCTTGCCTACGAATTCTTCACTCTCGACACCATCTTCAGACTCCAAGATTGCTTTATGCCCGCTCTCAACCTTCACCAATGCCTCAGGAATAATGCCGTGAACCGCGTGAGGACCGGATAGAGATACTAGGGTCCGAGACACCTCGCCCATGAGACCGCTTGTGCCACCGCCATACACAAGCGTCGCATTGTTTTTATGGAGCTCATGGCCAAAGGCACGAGCTGCCTCCAAATAGGCGGGATTATTGCCAGGTTTGGCGCCGCAACTACAGTTGTGTTAGTATATCGCTAGATATTGACGCAAAGAAGGGTAGGGTAAGGTAGAGACATACAAGACACAAATGACAGGGGGCTTATTTTCAATCGTGGGGCTCATGATAAGTATTCTGTGATTAATTCCCAGAGAGACGCGGTCGACTTTCTTTGTATGTTGTATTGGTTTTATTTTATGGGACAGATGTTATAGAAACAGATTGATAGACTTGTACGAAACGTAAAACTGCGGGGTCCGTGGTTGAATAGGTCGACAAACCCGAAATATATATGTAGATGTTGGTATTAGCTCCCCCCCCCCCCCACACTATCGTTATATATCAAAGATAGAGGCATCAGAACGGTCTGCAAGTTATACACATGTGACGCAAGAAGTGGGAATTTCCCTACAGATAGGTATAGGCTTGGTGAGGTAATGTAGAAGTATATTCAATTACTAGTCAAATTCACTACATATGAGCAATTAAACAATTTCATCTTTTTATACAACATATCAGCATGGCGGTGCTTATGAGGATTGTTACTGGACAAAGAATATGTTTCACTCCTTCACAAAGTTCGCCTAAATGGTATTGCTTTGTACTTTATCGTTCTAAGAGCTCATTGACTCTCCAGTTTTATGCTTTTTTCTTCTTGACTTTATCCTTTAATGACAACGGAACCTTATCAGCACTTCTTTCATCCGTGCTCCTTGTGGCTTCTGGTTGAAGATTTACAGGCCCGGCTACTATTGTATCTGGCTTCACTACTCCGAGCTGAGGTATACCTGCCCCTGGCTTAATATTTTGCTTTACTTCAGGCACATTTATCCCGCTAGCTAGCTTTTGTGCTGGAGCTGCGGTTTTCGTAAAAATGAAAGACCCAGGTTCGCCGATTAAAGTCGAATCATCCATATATTCGTCTCCATAACGAGTAAATAGACTCAGCATTTCTGCAAAATTTCGAGTATCTTGTAATTCTGGTGAATTTATTCTAGATGTCGAAGTTGATGATGAGAATTTGGCTGTGAGCCCATCTTTTGTGGCAGATTGGGGGTCAGGCAAAGGCGTTGTTTCTTGGTTTCGTTGGGCGGACTGTGGAAATTCGAGGGGTTTAGGGGTATATGAAAAGTAGCTATGTCCGTAGGATGGAGAAAATGAGAGTAACGGAGAAGCGGATGAGAGAACCTTTGACAATGAAGTAACAGATGAGAGCTTCGAAAGGGTGTTAGGACGATGTATCCGCACCAAAAAAGCCTCGGGAATAGAACATACCACCCGCCTTCCCACCACACTCCACACTGACGGTGCCATAAACACAGACTCTCCAACAGCAAAAAATGTTGCCAATATCTGCACATCATCTTGGCCTCCCTTTCCAACTGCCTTTCGCCTCATCTGTTTCCTGATTACCCAGACATTTGATGGCTCTTTGGGTTGTTCACCTCGAACTGTAGCACTAGCATTTGCAGCAGCTGATTCCAGCAGTGGGTCACGCGCGACCATAAACTCAAGTCCTTGCATTGTTTTGAGCCGCGCTTCAAACGCTTCGCGGGTCTCCACGAAAGGCCGAAGGTTCTCATTATGCATGGCTTGGAGAGCAAGAGAGGCATTGTTAGATGTAGGGTCAAAAAAGGGGGACTCAGCAAAGTAAAATAGAACTATTGAATGATTCTATCAGTAACTATAAGAGCAAAGTAAGGGACAATTACACACTGTTGTTGGAGTGAACGAACCCTCCCATCATTTGCACGTGCTGGGGAGAGTGCCATGTTATTTCTTCTAACGGTACATCTGGTGAAAAATCCATGTGTAGAGAAAGGAATGAAGACTGGTTACATTTCAATAGAGAGCAATGGACACTATGGACTCACTACTAGAACGAGCTAGTTAACTATGTTAACTTCCTAACTAGCTTCTGTCCTAGGTTTGCAATGTTTGCACTGTTGATGTCATTTCATACATTCCTAGCCACTTACTAGCCCATAGCTCTAGCAAATAGTCAACTACATAATATTGACAAAACAATAATGCTATATGCCATTTTAGGCCTCAAGTCAGTGTATGTTTTGTCACCAAACTCCGTATAAGGGCAACTAAAGGACTGGTAGTTACACATCCAATGTGCTCTGTATCATCAACACCAATCTTCGTTTTGATTGTCTGTTGTGAAATGCAGCCAGTGTCAAGTGCATACATGGCCCTCAGCCTTTTTTAAAATAGAGTTGTTGATTGGAGCCAATCAACCTCCTGCAAGCAGACCATTGCTGCTATCCACTGGAAGCTCAGTAACTTATTCGTTTTTCTGCCATGCCCAAAGTGGTGATCATCAAATAGAGCAGACCAGAGGCAAGCAACCGAACGCTCAAGGGAGTCCTCCGTACCCAATTCTCGAGCCACTATCTTGGATATTGTAAAATTGACCAACTCTTGGTATGCTAAAGATCAAGTAAGTTTCACATATACCGCGAAAAATCCAACATTGCTGGAATGACGTACCGTCTCGCATGCTCTTTGACGACTCCTTGTCGCGCTTTGTTTGTTTGCTATTCTGGCCGAGAATAGACCCAACAAACACCTCCACCTCTGTCAGAGAGCTCTTCCAAGGGGTCTTAGAGTATTGCTTCATTATATCTTGTAGATTGTCTTCATATCTAAAAAGAAAATATGTGCTAGTCAACAGCCAATGCAAGCCAGAAAGGGAAGCAAAAGCAAAAGGAAATTAGATACCACATACATCTCCTGAATGGACCTGCTATGTTCAACGAAATGGTCCCATTGAAACCCCTGTGTTTCACTTGCAACATAGGCCCAAATGGCTTGCAGCACAGACTTATCGCTTTTCTCTATTTTTCTGACGTTTCTGAGATTCCCAAGGAACTCCTGCTCATCGATATTTCGATACAACCGGCCAAGAATATTATGACTCTTATAATACTGTCGCGGTGGTCTCTCATCATCTTCATCGTCTTCAGCAATGTATGTATCTTCATCAATGGCCTCGATTGTATCTGAAATTCGAATGCGAGGATTAGGCGCCATGAAATCCGGGTAAAATTGGGGGCGCCTTGGGATGCGAGAGAGATCCGCCTGCAGTCGAAGATAAGGGTCAGCAACGACCGTCTATAAAAAAGGAGATACGCTGAGGATTCTTTTTACCGGAATGCCACTCTTAGAAAAATCCACTGCCACTGAATGTAGTTCAGCAAGCATTAAGCAATCTACATGGTTAGTACCCTCAGGCATTTGATCTGCAATAGCTTGGTGGATAGTCGCTATCCGGCCTAATTGATCCTGTTGCATGAAGGTAATGAAAAAATCAATTATATCATCACGTTGAACTTGCCGCTCCAACAATTTTTCTTCGACCTTCGGATAATTGGCTGGTTCATGAGTACGCGGCGGAAAGAGGCGCTCGTCGTAAATGATATTATAGAGATCGCCGTCCAGATCACCACCACTCAACATACTTGGTAGGTCACGTTTTCCATGCTGGCTAAACGCAACACAATTATGCAACTTCCGAAGTGGCGAGTGAACGGGGACGTCGACAGCTTTGGCATACTGAACGTCACCAGGGTGCAATGCGGGGGCTCGTGTCACTAAGATACGATCACGAACGAGGATTTCGCGAATACCCGCCTCAGTCAAAAAAGTGCAAAAGATTTCTCCCTCCTTCAAAAGGCCAGTTTCATCCATGATACCATAGAGAGTGACGGCTTGTGGTACCCTTATCCGAGCGCGATATTTTAGATCTCGCATTTTTAAAAAGACAGCGAGCTGCATGACGGTGCGCAGAAAAGGATCATGGTCATAGCGAAGGTCAAGGCCATGCAAGATTTGGAAAAGCCATGACAAACGCACACCCTTTGCAATACTTGTCTCCTCTAGAAACTGTCCAGCCTTTGAGATCGAGTGCTGCACTGACCGTAGGCGTATAATCTCATCCTTCTGAAGCTCCATAAAGACTATTGGACACACCCCTAAGTCTTCCAAGATCTTAATCAGTTGTGCGTTGAGGTAAAATGGAAGTGATCTGACTCCAGAACCACATATTTCAATGTTAAAGGCTTTACTTGCAGAAAATTTCACCATTGACTCCCGCAACCTAAGCTGATCCCCCTTTAACCTACTATCTAATGAAACCATGCCTTTAGCACCTAGATGTGACAAAAGTTAGCTTCTATCCGTCATCTTGAAGCATAAGTGCAACCACTATTCATACCTGCGAAGCGAATCTGGAAGACTGTTGGCTTAACTTTTTCCCGAAGGGCATATTCCCTCCAGACTTTGTACAACAGGGAGGAGGATAGAGTTCCCACTCCGTCACTAAACACCCTGCCATTGCGTCTCACATCCGGTTCGTTTAGATAAACAGCATTCTCAGGAATCCGTATTGAGCTTTGGGTTTCAGAGAAAGTCTGGCCGACTCTTGCAGCTAGCTTTGCGGGAGAAAATATATGGCCAAAAGAGCCAAGACCATTTATAATACTTTGTGCATCAAAATTTTCACCATTTGCGGTTGTAAACGGAGCTACAAACCAACACGACTGGCTTCGCAAAGACGAATGAGAAAAGCCTAGAAAGCTGAAGCATCTCCCCCCAATAGCAATACCTTTTTTCAAAACCGTTTTGAAGCGATTTTGGAAGATTTGTTCCAAGGAGGAAGTCGGGTCGAAATAGACTGGATCCCCGGTCTCATCAACAAACTCAACACGAAGAAAATAATTGATGTGGTCGCTGTATTGACGGAGGACGCGATTTTTCGTCTCCGTATTAGGACCAGAGAGATAAATTCCGCTTGGTGTTACCTGAGCGCGATGGACATTGACATTATTGGGGTGACTTGTTAGGCGAGAAGTTCCTTGAAAAGTTACTCGATCAATACAATTGCCTAGAAGTTTCACTAACCCCTCGACGTCAACTTCTGACGCATCCGTATCAGGGCTAGCATAATCCAGTTTATGTGAAAAGATTTTCAACCCTTCCACAGTATTGTAAACCCCATGAACATCCACGAAGTTTTGGATAGAAGGATATAGTCTTGAGACTTTGTCCGGGCTGATCTCTCCATTCCAGACCAATTTCACCAGTTGAAATTTGAGGATAAATAGTATGTTTTCAGTATCCAAGAACTTCTCGAATTCCGCCTTACTCCAGCTGAAGCTAAAAGGAGCGGCATAATTCATGCGGCGGTCGACCCACGTACCAATCGGCGGGATACGTCCATCCCCACCGAGACCTTTAATAATATGTACATCTCGGCGGTTCTGTAGCTCAAATCGATACGTAAAGCAAGATCCTGAAGTGATTTCATGCTCCCCACCGAAATTACCAACTCTACGTTTTGCCGGGGGTGGTTTTCTGAGCTTCTTCATCAGCATCATCATTTGTGATTCTAGCTTTTCCATGGGGTCTGATATGAAGAAACTGGGAGCGGTGTCTGTAGTGAATGTGACAGACGCTTGGTCAGCAGTGCCAACATGAATGCCCTGGATATTCCAATAGGCTGATTTTAAGAAGAATTCGGTCGACGGGGCGACATTGAGCATCACCACCTGCAAGAGAGATTTGCCAAATGTCACTCTTCCAGTACCGGGACATCGAAAATATTCAATGAACACTGGGCTTTCCCTGTAATAGTCCCAAATTCCACAAGACATCGTGGTCACGGGAAAAAATATGGTTCGAACAGCACGGCTTTGGGAAACAACACTGGAAGGGGGTGGATTCAAACCCCTAACGGGAGCTTGATAGGCGAGCCTTTTTTCTTCTTCAAATTTCAGCGCACGAAGTGCATACTCGTCTGGTGCATGTCGGCTTTTTGACAAATAGATACGCTGGTGGAACAATATCAACGGCTTAGCGGTATTTGTTTTTTTTGCTTCATCTTGCCCATGAACGTCTAAAAGTTTCTGGGCTTTTTGGATATCAAGAATAAGAAGGAAAGCATTTTTCTTCCCTGCTCTTCGACAGCTAAACGTAGAAATAGAGAAATGTTCAAGGACTGGCCGAAACGCCTTTTTCAAGTGCGAGGCTTGAATTTGCTCGGGAATATTTCGACAAAAAATCTCCATTTTGCCTATAACCCCACTCAAAATCGTTACATAAAGGAGTGAGTTGAATAAAACATAAAGGCCACCTACCAGGTTCTAGGGAAGCTGGGTGTGTCAGAAAGAAGGGTGCAATGCGGCCTGTTCTACAGCCTAGCCGAATCTAAAAAAGAGACATATTTCTAAGTGAGTCCAATAAATCCGCCAGTCCATGTAGCTGGCCTTCCTTTGGCCTGTCGTTGATGTTGAAGAAGAGAGGAGGGAGGAAGGATGGAAGGATGGAGGGAGTCAAGCTGGAGAATGTGAAAATTAATTGGTTTATTGTCTCCAGCAGATGTTCTGTATGTGGTTAACTAGGCAACTAAGTGGTCTGTACTTCTGTTTGCTTGCAAGTGCCAGCTGGGTTACCTCAGCATCCCAGACATAACAGGTGTATTGTAGGCAGGCCACTGCAGAAAGTCTCCCAACATATATGTAGCATGGATGCCTTTTCACATTACCAGGTAGTTACATAACTAAAAGGTACCTAAACCTTCACCTCCCAGATGTAGTGGAAGGTTTTGTAGTGTGTTTTTCGTCTCGCATTAATCCTCTTCTGGTTAGTGCAGGTGACCCTTCGGCGCGCTTGGCACAGTTATATTCTTGGGTCGGGAAGAATAGTTTGTACGTACGGGGTACGGAGTAGAGGCTAAGCTGTGGTCCATCATCAAGAAATTTTAGCAAAATATTTGAACCGTTGTTAGATATGGTAGTTATCTCATCAAATCTAGCCGCTTGTTGCGAAGGTTGTCATCTTCATGTCGTGATTGAGTATAGTTAAACTGTTCCTCGTTCATGGTTGACTCCATCCACAACAAGTTACCATCTTCCTATTACTAACATACTAAATCAAACAACTGAATCCCCATTTAATGAGAAACGTCCTAAAAAGCTACCCTAAAATGGGACTTCAAGGTCTCCTTTCTGGGCCTTCTTTTCTCGAACAGCCGTTTTTTTTTTTTTTTTTGTTGTAGGCAGCAGTCACACGGCTCAGGTTTCGACAGCTGGGTGACGAGGATAATATTTCTGCTTGCAGAGTACTGAAGTTGCCACCCACCAAAGCTGAGCTCAGATATGCAATAGAACAAACACGCTCACGGGAATGTAAGGCAACAGCTTGAGTACACAGCAGGTCCAGCAACTCGCGGGGCGATTCAACAGCAAACCTACAGTTCCCATCCGTACGTGGCTCATATCAATTAAGCAAGTTGTAAATTGGGATATCTTCAAGGGATGTGGATTCAAAACTGCTCTGCAGCAGCAAAACAGATGCGCCCAGACAGGTGCGGATCTGTGGTGGGCTGCCATTAGGATAGGTAATTCTATACAATATCAAGCAAGGGGCGGAAGATCTGGTCACCAGGGACTCTGATTTCAGCGCAGTGTATTTTACTCCTCTAGCATAGCCTCTTCTCCGGCTTGGCCAAGGACAACGCGAACCAACTGGTAAGAAATCTTGAATGCCTTGAGGTTTGGAGAGATGTCCTTTTCAGAATGTACAAGTTCAACAATTTTACCATGATGAAGAAACTGAAAACCCAATCCAATACTAAAAACAGGGGCGTGACAGAAAAAGTCCGTTGCGTTTTTGACCTAGGTGGAGATTGGCCGCCCCAGCCTGGATCGGAAATAATAAAATCGTATTCCCTGTAAGGGTCGATGAAGGATTCGGGTTGCATGAAATCTCTACATGCCAGATATTAACAATAGAGTCAGGTTAATGTTCTACTTAGCAGAGAAAGTAGTGAGAATGCCGTTGAATGAACTGATATATAAATTGTTAGACGGCTCGAAGGGGTTTCACGGGATTCATGGTATCAATCCCGACTAAATAATAATATGCTGCTGTTGCTGTTAAAATATGCATAGAAATGTTTAGTACATATGAGCCAGACGTGCAGCAGGATCGATAAACCTCCCTAGTAAGGCTGACGTCCTATCGAACGTCGGTATAAGGCACCAGGCTTAAATTTCAGAATATATAAGCTGTTTTTATCGGCTTTTTTGGGTAGGGGTGGCAGTGTTAGAATTCTGGAGCAACGCAGTAATTGCTGGGAGGTATTTCATAACAAAACTTTCACTAGCGAGTATGAGAACAGATGTTAGTTATAAGTTATAACTCAGCATTACGTTGGCTAAAAAAAGGATATGAAAACATACGTATAGTAGCCGTGCTCAGAGTTGTGCGGGCCAATGAGGTTATGGGCCAGTTCATGGCAAAATATTGTCCACCAGTATACCAGACAATCTGATCGATTACCCGCAGTCACTGTTTTTAAATGCAGCCGCTGAAAATAATCGTAATTGCAGAAGATGCTTCCTCCGTGGTTAAAGGCAATGGTGTTTCCATTCATCTCATTAAAAACGGCAATGCTATCTTTTCGCACTCCAAATATACCAGCACAGTCTATGAGTATGACAGCAAACCTATGGAGGCCGTTTGCATGTCGGCTGTAAAAGCCTTCCCCCTTCTCATCCGTCGGCGACTGGAAAAACCTAATGGTGGTGTCTGCAATATTGGTGACGTAGACAAGATTAAGAGCTGGCCGTTCGTCGCAGTATGACTTTGCATCTGTGATTTGGGTTACTTGGCCTGGATTCTGAATTGGAGCATGCCCGTGAGGTCGACAACGCGCTATAGCAGCAGACAAGTTTTGTTGGAGGTTGTCATTAGATAATAGAGAGTGCGGCTCAGCCGTGTCTACTTTGTTTTCTGGCTGCTGGGAATAGGGCGATGGCGGCGTGCTGGCTGTGCCGTTATTCCGAAAAATCTCCTCTAAGCCGAAACGACGGCCAAGATCCGAGATAAACCCTCCCATTCCCCTATTGCTCTCGAGGCTCGATTGTGTTATGTTTGGAACCTGGTCAGGCCGCGACTCGGGGAACACGCCCGGCATCGGGTGTGGGCTATAGCCATCTGGACGCACGTCCTGCCCTAGCTGCCCCTTTTCTGCAGTTTTGACAAGACGGCTCCGGTCTTCTTCAAGTTGCTGCTCCTGCCGTTGCTGCTGATGAGTTTTAGCAATCCGAGCGGCTGCGTCCTTTTGTCGAAGAATCCGTTCCACATTGTAACCCCGGGCACGGAGTTCGAGAAGATCCGTCTTCAACAGCATTTCAAGTGTAAGGGACGAGTGTAATTTAGGCCTTGACAAGATCGTATGGACGAGCACCTGGCTCACCTGATAGAAATTGATATCACCCGGGGAGATAGAAAGAATAGGGTCCGGTTTGTTCGGTCCTCGGGTTACAATGGCGTGTCGCTTCTCAACATGACCAGTGTTCCGTCCGCGCAGAGACCGACGCAGCGATATACTCTGGACAACTTGAACCACCAGATACTTCTCCAGCCATTTTGCATCATGCTTGATCTGGTCCTTCGGTACGTCGTGTAAAAAAATCTTCGCCCGCTCGTGTATCTGTTTCTGGAGCTTGAGAGCATTATGTTGGTTAGGAACAACCTGGCCACAGCGAGCTTCTTCAACAATGATGCTGCTCAAGGTCGGCGAGCCAAGTTGAGCATACAGGTCTTCCAGTGTCTCCTCCTGTGGAGCCGCCAGCATAGTGTCCTTAAACAAATTGAAACTAGTGTAATCGTCAACAATAACAGCATCTGTGGCCTTGATTAGCTGCCATTCCTTGATAGGCAGCTCTTCATCCTCATTTAGATCTTCAGCTTCGTCCTTTTTGGTCTGGTTCGGTAGTTCCTTGCTTGCAAGAAGGAAGCTGGCTTTCTTCATATCCCTAAAAAGATTTTTATGTTTCTTGATATGATCAATATTATCTGCTATGCTTCGCAGGAATCTCAAGTACTTATCTGGATTCTGCAGATGTGAAAGGACTACCACAGAGTTTTTCACCAGCATGACACCTAACTCGACTGATGTAGGCTCCTGCTTTGAGCCACATGCCATAAGAAATAGATTTCCCTTTGGCCCAAAATCAACAAAGCTAAAAATGTCCGCATAGTCGTTACTATTTCCAAGATAGCAATCCCGTGGAGCTATATGCCCTGATAAAGAGCTTCCTTCCAAGTTCTTGGCATTATGAAGCGGCACTATGGGGCTCATACCAATACGCTCTGCGGTCGAAGCGTTAATTTCAGCAAGGCGTTGTGCAAAATATTCAAAAAGTTCTTTTGCTTTAGCTAGCGATTTAGGAGGGTCTCGAAGCATAATTCCTAGACAATCATTTATCGGCGGATGCTGTTTTATTCCAAATTTCGAAGCATGAACTCCAAGGTCACTTCGGAGTAGTTTGAATCCGAATAGTAACGCTCCCGTATCTGTAAAGCATTGGGATGGAATACATTGAAGCCCATCGTTTCCTGGAAGAAAAGGGGTGGTGACCTGCGTATAATCAAAATTTGCATAGCCATTGATAACATGGGTGCTAATGAAATATGCCAACGCTTTCTCCCTTAGGTCTGTTCGCTTCTGGGAAGCAGCATTTGAAATGAGCTGAATTAATTCTGCGGCAGAAGGGAAGGCTTTAAGCCCTAGAAGACTCAAGAATTTTGCTTCTGAACTACTGCTTGAATAATTTCCTGGCCAGTGTAGCAGGGGAAGTTCAAGATCTCTTAAAGAGTTCTTGGGTTCAAAAAGTTCGCATACCTTATATCGCTTATTCAAACGTGCAGAGGTTTCGTTGTGTTCGGCCGTACAAATACTGGCCTGCTTCAGCTTTGCAATGTCATCTCTAGGAATGTCTCCTTGAACAGATGTTAGATACTTGATGAGCTCGACATGACTCCACTGCGATTCCCGCATCTTCTCAGTAGAATCGATGGGTGTATTGAGGAGACGTTCGAATATTACGTTCAGTTCAACGGTTTTTCGGACGCCGAGATTAATAAGAAATTTTTCTTTCACATTATTCAGACCGTGGACAATAGGTAAATCCGCAAACAAACGGACGGAAGGAAAGTAGGTTTCCGGAGGCCTTTTCATTATTCCTGATTTCGTGGGTATAACGGTATGACTTTTAAGTAAAGTAATAAGCTCCATTTTGGATGGCTGAGAGAGTGTATCAAATTGCTTTGATAAAAGGGGTAAAATACGAGACGAAAACGATGCCGTGCGGGTAATACAATGTTCCAAGGGCAAGGAACCGTTTAAATCGCTTTCAATAAGCCAGTGAACCAAAATATCTACAGGCAGCTCTCGCCAGCCAAACATCGTCAATTGGCTACGGCTTAAATTCTTCGTATAGTGAAATGGTAGGACAGACTGTGGAATCGGTAAGTCTGTAGGAACTCGAGCTGGATCAAGAAACCACTTGATATCATTTAGACAGATAATACCAGATTGCGTTTTGCTAGATTCATCGTTGGCCACGACAACGCTCAGCAGAGCTTTGACCGTAGTCTGATTAAGACTACCGTTGCTTGCCTTCCCTGAAAGCCAAAGAAGAAACTCGCCGAGCTGTTGTGCGGTGACGGGAGACGATTCTAGCTCTTGTTTGATATCAGAGACGGTGATTTCCGTAAGAAGTCCAAAATCGATCAGTTTCGTTATGAAATCCTTGGATTGCTCCATTATCAAATCTGGAACCACGGGTAATGATTTCATGAAGCTCAGGTCCTTGGGCGCAAGCCGGATTTTGTAGCTGGGGAGAACTCCACACGTTGATAGTAGCTCAAGATACGCGTTTTTATTACAAGTCCAGAACGAGTTCTCAAGAACTTGACCAACTTGTGAGGATGGAGTAGACTCTCCAAATACAAACTGATTTGATAGGTGAACAACTTCCGGAATAACTGCCGAAATATTCTCAAGCGGTGGTGTAGTTTTTCCAGCGTTTGATGCTGAGGACCAAATTCGCTTGTCAATCGAAGCCATTTCTGCAGACCAAGCGATCCTGCATACAATCCCCGCCGCCCTTAGAAGTTCCGTATTCCAAGTACGTACCCAGCGTGCATTTAAATCAATGCTTTCTCGTTCTACAGTTGGTATTAATGAAGGTGCAGATATATGGGCATTTAGGCCAGTGGTTTGGTGAGTTGAAAAGCCAATATAAATCTTGCCAGACCTATGTGGCAAAACAGTAGTAAAAATAGATTTCGGAGAGCGATTCACAGAACCATTCATAATTTCCATAGAAATAAACGAGGAAGTCAAAATTGCTAAGGATGTAAATTTTGGCGCGGGTTTTTTGGTTGCGCGCAATAGCTCTTGCCCAAAAGAATGACCTACTGCAGTCTGCACACGCGCAGTATTAATGTGAAGGAACACAGATGAAGAAATAGGCGTGACTAGATCTTCGGGTGGTCGCAATACAGGAGATTCGAGACTATCTGATGATTTTTCTCCAAGTTTGTTTCCAGCAGCTCTGGTTAGACGCGAAAAAAAACTGCGAAGAGAGCCTGTGTTATCATCCGAACGAGTTCCCTCGAAGCGCGAGGAATTAGTTGGCGATTTCCACTCAACGGCTGGCATCCATGTGGCGTCAATCTGTGCAATTTCTTGAGTGACATCGTTGACATTCATCAGGCCCTCAGAAGTAGAGGTCTGGATATCTCTGGGTATGGACACCGGAACTCCAGGGGCAACCTTTTTCGTTAAGTGTAATAGCTTCCAATTATCAAGCCACAACTCTATGGTCTGAAGGCCAATAAATGTAAGACTGCTCGCAAGAAACTGAGCTAACGGCAGAAGACTGGGCACCGGAGAAGTGGTGTTTCTATACTCCAATACGAATGTAGTGTCTGGAGAACAATCTTGTTCTTGAAGCTGTAGGCGGCGAGTGAATAAAGAATTCCCCTTCCAGTAAAAAGCAATAGCCTCCTTGCCAGAGGATACAAAAGGTTCTTCACAGTCAGAAAACACACTGTAAAATCCAACCCCGAAGGCGCCAATTTTCGTTTCGTCTGGGTTTCCCTCAGCGATTCGTTTTAGGCGAGACCAATCATTAGAGTTGAAGGCAAAGCCATTATTCTTGACAATCAAGCTCTTGATTGTGTGGTGGGATATAATATGTTTTAAGGATAGACTCTGCTCAATTGTGGATGGTGTTGGTACGGTTACTGAAGGTATGGTTTCAAGTTTGACGATAACTCTCGTAGCCGAAGCATCAGCAGCATTTTGAAGTAACTCGCGAAGGACAGTCCTGCTACCAGCATCAGTACTATAGTCTGTTGGAACTGAAAATGTGCCTACCATTCTCCTGAATATCTCGCTAGGACTTTATCTATCAAAGCACGAGTGTTAACTGTAACCGCTTCTTCGTCGATCCCAGAATCTATTGCACGGGCCTTCAAGGCTCGAAAATCAACATTACCCGCCATCCAAGAAGATTAGCCTTGGTTTTTGACATGGGAGTTTGAAATGAGACAAATGGTTTGTAGGGAAAGAAGGCAATAACATCAAGGCAACCCAGTCGGTTTCGAATGGTTGGAAATGTGGTCACTCCTGTAGCTAGCGTACGCCCAACCTCTAGCGTCTTATCTCGAGCATTGGGGCTATCAATACGGAGTACTTGATGACAAATGTTGGTCCTATAGTTAGTTAGCTGACTAATCACCAACTAACCTAGTTAAGCTAGTTACCTAACAAGGGCAGGTCACAAGAGCCATTAGCGTCTTTGTTCCATGCTCTGTACCGAGTACGATCACCCAAACTGCAAACGGAGTAGAGACGCAATGAAAGCCGGGCTTAGTGAGCCGCAAGCAAGCATTGGTACTTGAATCTCGATGGAATTTCAAGTAAACGGAGATATAACTGCATCCATGTGCGCCCAAATCACTCTTCCCCTGTAGACTGGGGATCTCATATTCTTGAACGTCCTTGGGATGTTCTTTAATGTTACCCAGTGGAGCCTACCATATACCCAAATTCAGCCGTCCAGATGTTACAATGGCAGTTGATACTATTTCACCGATCGCGCTGGCGCGAATTCGCGCTCTACTACTCCCAATAGGCAAAATCAAGCGGTCACGATTCCTTGAGTTTGTGCAGCGTCTTCAATCTCAGAATATGGTTCGGCTGGGAGACGTGAGCCCTAGCGGAAATCCCAATAAAAGTACGCGCGATTATTTGACCCCTAGGCAATATGAATCATTATCCTAACCGTACTCGAAACCACTAGATACTTTCTCACCACTTGCCTTTCCATCTGGTATGGTTATCTATGACCTGTCCATATCAGTACCACCGACCTCTCATCTCGACCTTTTCCCCTTTGAACTATTTCGAGAACCGCTTGTTATTTTAGCAATCGCCGATGGGAAGGAGCTCTCCTCAGTCTCAGATACCAATGAGGCGAAGGGCTACAAATCCCCCGATGGGGTTAAACACTCCCCACCTTATAACCCCCTCGGGTTGACTGGGCTGGTCGAAGAACTAGATGGGATAGGAAATAGCTATCCGAAATCTCTCATACGACAATTACTTATATTTGACTTTGTAGACGTCAACGAGTTGGTAATAAGCCCTGCCGATGTGATCTGGATCCCATCTCCTGCCGCGTCGCGAACTACAACAATCAAGACGTTAATGTGCGATATCTCATCTTTACTGCTTAAGGAGCTTGGGAATTTTGCCGATTCCATGCAAGAGTGGTCAAAGATCGACTCCCCCAAGGCATCGTCATGGGGACCGCGTCGAACGACCGAGTCACGGCCGACAGATAGACTTAGGCACCGGATGACCCTGCCCGCACACCTGCCGTCACAACCAGGAGCCCCGTCTAGTCATCATTCAGATGCAGAACTTAATATTCATGCTGCTGAGTCTCCTACCACATTTGATGAAATTACTCGATCAATTCAGCTCTCAAACCGCACCACAACGTCCTTAAAATCTAGCTCAAAACCGGGCTCGAAGGAGCACAGTCGCGAGCGGATGTCAATTCAAGGGCTAGCAAACATCAATGAGCGTTCAAAAAGCAGATTTCAGACTCGTCTGAAAGTCGTTACTGGGCTCTTACACCTTCAAGCAGGTATCTGGCCTGAAGCCTTGAGGGAACTCGTCGAAGGCGCTTCCGGTGCGAGAGCGGGAAGTGATTATATTTGGCACGCAAAAGCTTTAGAAGGTATTTTAGTTTGTTTGATATTACATGGTTGGCTTGGCATAGAGTTTCAGGTTCGCACCCAACAGTAACCACTCACCGCCAGCATATACCTGATTCGTATTCACAGATACCCCAAGTATGTTTCCCTTTCGAAAAATCTACGTCAAAACTCCTTTCCGGCAGTCAAACGGAACCAAGTTTGCCCTCGGAATCCAATGCTTCATGCCTTCATAACTTAGCGTGCATTCTTCCAGACATCTCAAATCATATTTTAAGCCTATATAATCGCGCAACGAATATTACCGATGAACCTTTGCCGCAACTTGTGTTTTCTGAAACTACTATCAGACTCGCGAAATTGTTAACAGTCGTTTATATACGGAATGCAAAACTTGATGATAACGGCTTAAAGAATATAGTATTGAACCTTCCCCTTCAATCGGAACCTCTTTCCGATACCCAGGTGCCTCATACAATGATTCGAAGGTCCGAAATTGCATCTTTTGTATTTCGGGCTTTGCCTTCTTCACCTACGACGGAAGTTCCGATTACAGACTCTGTGCAAATTCTCGTTGGAATAGCAGCAGTACTATCTGCATTGCAGCTAGAAAGAAAAAGAGGCTTCATTTTAAAAGAACTCATAAGCATTTCCATTATTGGACTCGTTCAAGCACGTAAAATTGGCGCTGCAGAAATGGGAATCCACCCAGCTGCAGGCTTATCCGCCCTCAACAACGAAGCTTTTGATTTGAATGCCCTAGATATCGCGTCTGGGAACACGGAGGACAGTATGAGGGGCGTTCTATCTTCAATATCCGCGATATACGGCTCACGGGGATTAAAAGAGCAAGAGCTTACAGGAATTACCTTGAATACCACTGACCAACAGCTGGAATATGATTCTGCCAGTTCTATAATTGATAGGAATATCTACGATGCTAATCTGAGTTCTTACGGTGATATATCGTTAAAAGTGAATATTTTTAAAGCTTGCATTGATTTTTGCGAAGCTCTGCCTGATTTTCAGGGTGTTCTTCAGTTTACGTCGGGACTACTTCAAACAATCAAAGGCAGCGCCATGCTTTCAGTAAATCACAGGAATATTCGCCCTACCCTAGCACCTGAAGAGCAAGTGCGACTTTATAACAATATCAAGCGAACGGTTGGAGCTGCCGATAGACTTGGACATCCTAATATGGAAGCCGAGTATTGGGATGATTTTCTCCTCCGAGGAGTCAAAGTTTTAGGCTGTACAAACGTTAAAAAGCCTGTTTTACGGTCAAAGAAGGACTTTGGAATTTCAATCTTAAAAGAAGATCTGGGGCAAAAAGACCCTTTCATATATAGTGCGTTCTCAAAAGTTCAAGTCGACCAGGACGAGGCCATAGTCATCGCCGGCGAGCGCAATGCGATACAAGTGGTTCTTCAAAATCCGTTCGAGTTTGAAATTGAAATTGACAGTCTAGAGTTGATAGGAGATGGTGTTGCTTTCAATTCAGATACTCGCGGCTTATCACTACCCCCTTTCTCTATAGAAGAAAGAGTCCTTCCACTATTCGCCACAACTGAAGGGATTCTTACACTTACCGGTTGTGTTGCGAAAATTAAGTTTTGCAGGCAGCGTCGCTTTCTAATATTCAAACAATGTTGGAAACCGGAAATACAGCCGAAATTAAAGCGGATAGGACTGGTTGCTAAGACATTCTCGATAGAGCGCCCTTCTTCTTGGGGATCAAACTATTCAGAGAACTCAAGTAGGCCCCCTCAAAATGGGCCCAGGGCTGATTCTGCAGCTATCAATGTGATAAAAGAACAACCTATTCTGGAAATTGAATATTCCTCTCTTTCACAAAATGCAATTACTCTTTTGGATGGCCAAAAGCGGACATTCTACCTTACGTTACGCAACCGAGCCTCATGTCCTGCTGATTTGATTTTTGTCACCTTTCAGGATTCCACTGCAAGGCATTTGCAAACTGCCATTAGCCAGAAAGACAATCTTGCGGTTGATTTATATGAACTAGAGTACCAGCTTATTGAGAACCCGGCCGTTAGATGGAAACAATTAGGCACTCATGGACGCCCCACAGTTGCCGCAAATGATACTTCCATGTTTGAAATCCAGGTTTCTGGCAAGCCAGGACTGAATGAAGCTGAACTTCAATTTGATTATGGACATACCGGCGTCGCCTCCGAAATTCCAGAAACGTTCTACACAAGACAACTAAACCTCCCACTGGCAATCACCGTTAGTCCCAGTATCGAGGTACTCCGTTGCGATATTTTGCCTTTTCATCATTACTCTACTGCTTTGAGTCACATAGGGGTGCAGAGCGATGCTCCGATATCGGAAAAACTCTTGTTAAGAAATAAACAATTTTCAACATTGCTATCATCCCTCGGCACAAGCTCCCATAGCGCAGATCACTGCTTACTCCTACTAGATCTACGAAATTCATGGTCAAATCCATTATCGGCTTCTATATCGGTTGCTGAAAGAGGGGACGGAAATCTTGACTCTGTATATGGGATTTACGATGTACTGCAGCCCAGTCGCACTGTTCGCATTGTTGTTCCCGTTTCCCGAGTCTACTTAAGTGACCCTTATAAAGCGATCCCAAGCCTGGGACATGCCAACAAGCGACAGTTTGTCGTGAGTGCCCGTAAAACATGCTATGAAAAAGAAGCTGCCGCCAGGGAAGTATTTTGGCTCAAAGAACGGCTGCTTAAATCGCTTCATGGAACCTGGAAGGACGAAACTACTGGCCATGAGGGTGTTATTAACCTGCGAGGTATCAAACTGACCGGCGAAATGGCCGATGTTCTTCGCGTTGACCAGGTGGAAATATCGTTTTTCATTCAGTCCCTCGGCACAAATGAAATGATTGCTACGGATCTTGGGCACCATGATGTAGCACCCGTTGTCCGAGCTGGGTGTTCTAATTTTACTGTTCCAACAAATACTTTTCTCACCTTATGCGTTTCTATCTTTAATCGATCTCCAAGGCCAATTCACCCTCTTCTCCGCCTTATCCCAAGCCTCAAATACCAATCTTCAGCTGTCGCTTTGGAGCTGTCGAAACGGCTCTCCTGGACCGGCATGTTGCAGCGGGCGTTGCCCGTGCTAGCAGCTGGGCAGACTACCGTGGCACGTTTAGGGGTCACGGCACTTTGTGAGGGAGAATATGAGATAAATGCTCTTGTTGAGGAAGTACGCCGAATAAGGCCGCATGGTATCAAACCGGAGGAAAATGCCACGCAAGATATGAACAAGGCCACAAACGAACTCCCCAATTCTACTGATCACCATGACAGCCCCTTCGAGGCGTTCACCAGCACCAACTCTGCTGTAAAGAGACGTGTGTGGCATGCACGGAGGCCGTGTGTATTGTCCGCCCATGAATGATCCTTATTACGTACTGTTTATAGCATGCTTATTGGTGCTTATAAATGAAGAAGCCTGGCCCCCTTAAAGGCTAAGTGGAGTGGGAGGGGGATTGGCTTTTGCTTTTGGCACGATAGCTACAAAGGAGGCAAGAGCTTCCTCCATACGGAATGCAGCGAACTAGCTAGGTTGACGGTTGCTTTGTGCTGCGAAGATCAAATAGTAGGCAGTTACCTAGTTAGTTTAGTCCGTAGGCCAGAGACACAGAATTTTGGCTAATGCACGGTTCGTCCGATGAGCGACAAAGAGATAGGATCATCAAACTCGACCTCGGTCAAAAGTAGAGTTAGCTAGTGATAACCTTATTAACGAACTAACTAGTGGTTAGTTAGTTAGTTGCCTGTTATAAAAAGAAACTGTAAAGTTGCTTGACTCGTGCAACTTGAGATTGCCGCCGATTTTCTACCCCCTCGCTCATTCTTCTTCTTGCTCTAACTTCTCTTTATGGAGCTGCAAAATACACTCGTTTTTGGCTAGTTAAGTAACTAGCTAGGTAGCTCATCTTTGTTGCTCCTGCTCCAACTACACATACTCCTACACCTACATACCCACATTGTGGCATCCATAATTGCATCTTTTTATGTGTGTGCATTCATTATTCTTGCCACGTCCAGAAAGCTGTCGAAAACCGCTTTGTGACTCGAGTCTGCGCAATATCCTACGGAAGCCTGAACAGCGCAACGGCCTAGCCTGGTGACAATGGCCCTTCTCTCCTGGCTCCTCCCCACTGGCCGCGTCGCCTTTCACCATGCTCCAAAAACTGCCCTACTACCCTGCAAGAGCTCCTACGCTGGTGACTCGAAGTATATCTCTCTCATAGACCTCTGCAAAGCTGCCACGCCACCTACATGTCAGCTCAACCCCTTGCTATTCAACGGGCATTTACAAACCGCCTGGACAGTAGTGAAAAACGACGATATTCCTGTGTTCTATAAAAGATGGAGATTTGAGGCCATTGACCCAAACTTCAGCGGCAGCTTCGAAGTCGACTTTGTCGTTGATCCGTACGATGTGGCGGTTGTCTCCAGTTTGGAGGAGAATAAGGGCCTTCCTCCTCGAACGACATTCTACACAGAGAGAGAGTTCGCCGACCTGCCATCCGATGATAAGAAGCCTATGCTAGTTATTTTGCATGGTCTATCTGGCGGTTCTCATGAGCTGTATCTTCGACATGTGGTTTCGCCCTTATTGGAGATGGGATGGGCCGCCTGCGTGATAAATTTCCGTGGATGTGCCCAATCTAAGGTAACAAGCTCGATTCTATACAACGCGCGTGCAACCTGGGACTTGCGACAGCTCGTGAAATGGCTGAGCCAAAAATTTCCGAATAGACCTTTGTTTGGAATCGGTTTCTCACTCGGTGCGAATATTTTGACCAATGTATATTCCCCCGTCTGTTCACGCTTGTATTAAGCTACGGAGAACTAACTTTGATAGTATCTTGGAGAGGAAAGCGAAGCCTGTTGTCTAAAGGCTGCTGTGATATGTTCAAACCCCTGGAATCTCGAGACCGGATCGCTGGCGCTGCAGCGCACTTGGATCGGCTCAGAGATATATTCCAAAACCATGGGTTCAAATATGAAGCGCCTTTTTGAACGGTATGATATGTTGTACTCGTTATTTATGCTCATTTTATTAATTTCTGGACAGACATATTAGTTCTATTGAAAAGCACCCTCGTGTCAACGTGGAGCAGGTTCGGAGCTCCAGGTATCTACACGAATTTGACAGGTGAGCCTCCTGAATTTATTGTTTTAAGAATAATTACCTCTTACTCAATGGGGGTCAGAGCGCTACAAGCCCCCGTATGGGGCTACCCTACGGAATCTGCCTACTATCGAGATGCGTCGTCGATTGACTCGCTATTCGCCATTAAGATACCTTTTTTTGCTATTAACGCAGAAGATGACCCCGTAAGTGGTTTTCATTGTCTATGTTGAACTAAAGAATGCTAAGTAGCAACTGTAGATTTCTGTTAAAGAAGCTCTTCCATACCTTGAAATTGAGCAAACGCCATATGGTGTTATGTGCACGACCACATGGGGTGGCCACTTGAGTTGGTTTGAAAGTGACGGGTCAAGATGGTTTACTAAACCTGTAAGTTGATATTCGTGATTATCACCACCCGGTACTCCAGTGTTTCCGTTAATGAGTCTCATTAGGTTACTGGATTTCTCAATAAGATGGCCACTGAGATAGATCTTGATCTGCCTGTTCGGGTAGAGTCAGGACTCTCATCACAGCAAGTTCCAGTAACCCTGGCGCCGAAAGTCGATGGTCCTATCCCTAATTTCCAACCTATGCGGCGGAAATGCAAAATGCCGCTCGCGCACAAAGAGGGCGAATGAGCATTCTTCTGAGACGATGACGATGATACCTGTAAACACGTTCGCTTATTTTTATATTGATTATGGTTACCAGGTAATATACTTATTCATCGTCGAGCGTGCCTTCGGCGTCGTTCTCTCTCGATTCTTGCTTCGCGACGTTCTGGTGAACTATTCGAATTCATAGCCGCTGCCTCCCCATCAAACGAAAGAAACTTGTTTCTTTTTTGACTTTGACTCAGGGAGGTCATCGCCTTGCTGGCTGGTAGAGGCTTTGGCGCTTTTCTTACTGTTCCGTTTCCTCTTTAGAGACTCCTTAGTTTGTTCCTATAGAAGTGATGAGCCATATATCTGTGTAGGTGAGGTAGGCATATCTGGGCTCGTACGAGTTTGGATTTTTTTTCCTCCTGCCTCGCTTCGGCCTCTTGTTTTCTGGCTTCGCGGATTTCCTCCATTCGCCTCGCTTTTATAATCTTTGATTCAATTTCACCGTCCTTCTCTGCATTCACCATTGCCAGTATCGTCATCATACTCTCCTATGTGTATCCATTCATTGTCAATCGCCATTGATTGCGTTTAGAATAGGATAGGGCTTATACCTGATCGTCGACAAAAATTTTACCCTTCTTCGCCCCCCTTGGCTTTTGCACACCTACAGGTGTGATCATGTTAAGTGCAGGAATATTGAGCTCCTTTTCTGTATATTTGCGCTGCTTCTTCTTCTTTTGTAGGGCTCGTTCTGTGCGCGCTTTCGTTTTCACTTCCTTAAAAGGCGTTCTTTTGGCATCCCTTTTCACGGGGGACTTCGATGTAGCAGTTTTTTTGGAAACTCGAGACTTCGATGCAACGGCGGACGAGGAGGATTTCTTCGAAGGAGCTTTATTAGACTGTTTAGAGGCAGAAGGGCCTCTGTTCGGCGACATCTTGATTGAGGGAATCGGAGAGGGGGTGCTCTAGTTCCAAATAAAAGGTGTTGTGAATTTGAATTTGTCAGGCTCGTATGCGCATTCCACCGTGGATATGTAGTGGGGAAGTACAGAGTAGTTTAGTTTATGGAATGCGCTCCGTACGTTCCCAGCGTGAATGAAAAAAATGCCTGGCAGTTTCGAACTGGCAGTTTCGAATGTGACGGGTTTTGCTTCAACCAGTCATGTTGCTACAACGTTAGGGCGGTGAGTTGGTTAACTACTCCGTAGTTAGTTAGTGACCAGTTACAAACCACCCTTCCCCATTCGTCAAAACCAACTTACACTCGCTCGACTTGATCGATTGCCAGCAACCTGAGCTTTACCACAGCTGTTGTCTGCCATGGTACTGAACCCAACATATTTGGCGCAGCGGACGCGATCCTGTCAGTTATCCCGATACGTTTCATCTTCTCCATCCGCTCTAGCAACCAAGACAGAAATGCTTACAATAGTAAATAGCTGTTAACTGGGTCGACGCCAAAAGAAGGGTGGTTAAATCATATCGAGAATGGCTCAGAGCGGTTTGTAATCTTCATTTTCTATATAACTATCCCCAATTCCGTTGACAGCATGATACCTCCGAACGCACACGCCTTGAATTGGAACATCATGTTAATTCGGTTATTCGACGTTCTAGTCTCCTGAAATCCAGTCGATGTATTCCCTGGATATTCCTGTTTCTGCCATTCGAACCAAGATTCGACAGGAGTTCGAAAGACATCGCTATGTGAACCAACTGCCTGTCGTTGATGTGTTACTATTCCAGAGTCATTCCGAGTATCAGGTGTGTGACTTCGTCCACCTGTTTATGCGCATATAGTTGCATATACAAGATGTTCTCCCCGATTTAAGGATCGTCCCTAATGATTTATTTCCTTCTACAGGAGACACTGAATTATTGGAAGCAACTCTCTCATGTTATGAAATATTTCCGTGTTGAAGAGGATGCATCCGCCAGATTACCAAAAAACTTCATGCAAGGCTTCTTAGAGGTATTGAGCTATTATGAATGCTCCCTTGATACAAAAGCTAATTCACCAAATATTCTTAGGGTCGGAATTGATTTGCTTCAACGCTTTCCCTTGTTTATTGCAGTCAGCCTCTCCACCATAGAATCCATTATCGATTGCTCCGGCAGATCTTCGATCTTCCTAGATTCGTCTATATGAAAAGGGAATGATATACCAAATGAAATAATACCATGTTTGTATACCGATGCACCTGAACTCGGGCGCCACCACAGCATTACACTTTCATCTATATCCAAACGAGTGCACCTCCCAGGGATGAAAAACAGAAACAACTGTAAATTATGACATCATTTTGGTTGATTCAAAATCGTCCCTTGCAGCTGTGAACGTTTCCGTCATAACGTCGCAAAGATTCATCAGATCATCGAGACCCTTGTGAAGTGCTTCGAATACATTGGTCGAATCTGGTATATGTATATGTTAGTATTGACAGTAGAAGCTAAGCAAAACTGACAGACCGTAAGTTTGGATCCGTAGATTCATTTTGAACTCTGACGGGTGTGGGAGAACGTAACCACAGAACTCAACCTCGGGACTGATTAGAATTTTTAGTGGGTGGTTGTGGCATAAGAAGAGAAGTCTTCTATAATGTTTTGGCTGGTTTGTTACCAGTAACGGGAAGTGTCTCACTTCTTCATAATGGTATATCGTAGTATATTTCCCAGGGTATGATCTTCTCCTTCGAACTCGAACGATGCGGCAGTTTCAGTAGAACCAGGCAGCTATTCACGGCATGGAATGTTAGTGAATCAATATACCTTCTAAAGCACTCATGGATAAATTCTGGGCAGAGGGCAGCGCATTTGCTCACAATTGTGATTCTCGGCCTCTCGCGGATGCCTGTCTCTTCGCCACCATCATTCAAGTCTTGCATTTCTGTATCGTTTGTGGTCGGCCGTCCAGCTAGATCAAGGTCGCCGGAGTGACTGGGCGCTAGCATTTGAAGCAAAGATTCTTTTCCCCAAAAAGGCTTGCCAATGAATAATTTTTAGAGGTTTTCGATCGAACAAATATTGATTTATAATCCGTACGGAAATGCTATGCGTAGCTTCGTATTACTCGGTGCCGGATTCAGAGCTCGAAAAGCTTTAACCCGACTCCTACACGGAGTAATCCGTGATCCTGTGGTGACTGATTCAAGTGAACCATCTTTACTACGGAGTACAGAGTACGGAGTACCCGTGCCCTTGCCAAGCCTTCTAGCCTGTGCAGATTTACTAGTGTTTGCTGGTGATGCAAACTTAGAGCGCTAATAGCCTTTATGTAAAGGGATGCACGCCCAAGGTTGGACCGACGTTGACTGAGATGGTTGGTTTGAACTGTGTATTCCATATTGAGTAGTTTTACCTATCATAGTTGGTTTACTGAGGAGGGTGGCTAGTGGAGCATACCTTGTTGGAAAGGGAGCTCGTGAGGACAGCTTGGCCCTCAAACTGAGTCTATTAGTAGCGCATGTCTAGCTGTGCAGCTGCACCTACGGACTCCCTTCGTCTCAAATGTCTTGCCATGAGGAGCAAACTGATTGTGCTATGTTAGTCGCTCTAGAAAAGATATTTCTATTGGTTTTGTCGATACTAGACCATGCGATGTTGTAGTTGTTAAGGAATTGAATATCATGTCAGAAAAAGCAAAGGGGTGACACGCTCTTTCTCCCTTTCAACCATGAGCGCTTAAAAGGTGGGTTTCTCTCCTACCAAGGACGTGGGGGAGGTAACAAAATCCTTTGTGCAGAGTACTCCATGCTCTACTTGCATAACAATGGATGGCCTTGACCTCAGGTCACCGTACCGTGAAATGGAATTTCATTGTAGCGAGATCCACTTTAATAGAACCTATTTATAACAGATCTAGGCTCTCAAAACACAGGTCGAGACGTGGTAATTGAGTATCAAATCGTGTCTGATATCCGAGCACCAGCGTCCGTAGAAGAATTGAAATCAATCATCTCTCCATTGAACCAGGACTTCATCTGTTCTAAAGCGCTGCGTACAGGTCGAATCTTTCAGGTTGGTGCTAAAACCAGTGCCATAGGCTAAGATGCCTGCTTGGGCAATCATGATTCCATTGTCGATGCAAAATCGCTCGTCCGTAGCAAATACGTTCCCGCCTCTATCACGAGCCATGATTCCCATCATTTCTTGAAGGCGCTCATTGCACCCAACACCCCCAACTATGAGAACTTCTCTGGAGCCAACATGGGCCATTGCGCGTTCTGTAATCTCCACAAGCATAGAGAACACCGTCTCCTGCAATGAAAAGCAGAGATCCTCCCTAGTTGGGATCTCGCTTTCACTAATGGATATGCTAGACGCATCGAGCCCTGCTTGGTAGTTCTCAGTTCGTTTACGTTCTCCGTCCAGTCCATATGCAGCAGCTAGCCCATCGATAGCAGCAAGGATTCCTGAAAAGGAACAATCCATGCCCTTCACCGTATAAGGCAATTCCACTAGCCTCTTTCCTTTCTTCGCTAGCTGTTCTATGTTATATCCTGGAGCTGGGTCGTTCGAGATATGCAATGTGCGGGCAAAACGATCAAGACAATTCCCTACAGCAATGTCAAGCGTTTCTCCAAATATACGATACCGTTGGGAGCTATAGGCAATGACTTGTGTATTCCCGCCGGATACGTATAGAACAATGGGATTTTGAGCGCCGGTAACGGAACGGCCCATTTCAATATCTAAATTGCTATTTTAGTACAGGTCTCCGGGAAAAGAGGCAGAGGGGATGTTATGACTGTTCGATCACATACGACCAACACAATGGTTGACGCCCACCAATGGTTTCCGCCATAATAAGCCTAATGTCCGAGCTGCCAGAGCAACACACTGTAAAGGAGCACCCATTCCTGGCCCTTTTGTGTAGCATATACAATCGATATCCCCAATGTCAATGTGTGCATCTCTTAAAGCAGCTATGACAAGATCTACTACCCATTTGCGGTGATGCCTTGCCGTGTCTTTGGGTAGGAAGCCTTCACCAGGTGGGGAAACGTAGGTGTGGCGGACATTTGAAAGAACCTGGGGCTCAGTCCCATTGTCCGGATGAAAAATGACACCGACTCCAAGCTTGTTAGCTGAACCCTCAAGACCAATGGCGATCATGGTAGTGTGGCAGTATGTGTTTGCTTCACTAAACCGATCGATAACCCGTATTTAAGTTCGGATAAGGAATAACATTCTTACTCTTAGGTAGTTAACCATCTGAACTTTTTACCTGGTTAATTAGTTAACTAACTGACTGACTAACTACATAGCTAGCTAGTTAAGTTAACTACATGGTCTGTAACCCGTAGTACAGATTAGTGAGGTAGATAATCGCCGTACTCCGTACTGTCCTGCTATATAGCGCTCCCCACACATAATTTCTCTCGCACTTTCGGGCACTATTTGCGAGTGCATGTCTACACTGTTCTATTGCTTACTATTATTTTATCATACTTTACATTTATTGGCCCATACGGCAGGTACCTATTCTATTGACATGGAGCCTGGAGTTGATCGACGCTTTGCTCAAAACTCCAATGCATTCATGCACTGGTTGAAGCAGCAACATGGTGTCTGGGTAAGTCCTAAGATTAGTATCGCCGATCTACGATCAAGAGGTGCAGGCAGAGGTGTTGGTAGGCTTTGGGACATTTTTGTGTTTAACCGCTAGGCCCGCTGACGAGAAACAGTTGCCTGCGAGGGAATTGCCTCAAATGAAGACCTGTTTAGCATCCCGGAAGACCTTGTCCTTAATGTTCAGAACTCAGAACTAAAAAACTTGATCAACCTGGAAAATGCTGGCCTTGATACTTGGTCGTCTCTCATAGTAACGATGATTTATGAGTATCTTCGTGGTGCCGCATCTAGATGGTCTTCTTACTTTGATGTTCTTCCCACTGAGTTTGACACTCTCATGTTCTGGACAGATGAGGAGCTACACCAGTTGAAAGGGAGCTTTGTCCTCGGAAAAATCGGAAAACAACAGGCGGACGAAATGATCTACGAAGATATACTTCCGCTTATTGCTAAGCATCCTCATATTTTTCAACCTCATAATCAGTTTGTCTCGTCTGATTTGCTGGAAAACCAGGTGGTCTGGATAGAACTTGCCCATCGAATGGGGACGTTGATTATGGCCTACGCCTTCGACATTGAGGTCGACATAGACAAAGAAGAAAAAGAAGGTCAAGATGGATATGTCACTGATGACGAACTGCAAGTAACAAAAGGAATGATTCCGCTCGCAGATTTACTTAATGCAGATGGCCATAGAAACAATGTAAGTAGAATGTCGGTCATTCGGATTCCATCATATATTAATTGCACCCAGGCCCGCCTATATCAAGAAGATGGATATTTTAGAATGAGGTCTATCGCACCCATTAGTAAGGGTGCGGAAATTTTCAATGACTACGGCGAAATCCCTCGTGCCGACCTCCTCCGACGATATGGGTATATAACCGATAACTACACACCTTACGATGTTGTGGAAATCTCCCTTGAGTCTGTTCTCAATGCTACCGGAAGAGATAGCGACTGCTACCAGGTACGTGCCCGGTTAGAACAGTGTTACCCAGATTAACATTTTGTAGTTGAAATTTCTCGAGGATTTTGATATTCTCGATGATGGATATGCCTTCCAGAGACCTGATGAACATACTACCCTAGCAGACGTCATTCCCGCCGACCTACTCATATTACTCCAGGTTTTACAGATGACCCAGGACCAACTACTTGAGCTGGAGAAGAAAGCGACTTTACCTAAACCCGAACTTAAAGAGTCAGAGGCAAAGGTGCTCGTCAAAATTCTCCAAAATAGACAACAGGACTATCCCACCACTGTTGATGAAGACAATCACCTTCTCCAGTCATTGGACAATAGTGACTCCACGTCTGATCACCACAAAGAAATGGCGATCCAAGTCAGGAAAGGCGAGAAGGAAGTTCTACAACTCCTCCTTGATGACCTACAGTCATTCATCCGTAGCCTTCATAATCAGCAACCAAAACGGGGTGCAAACAACGAAAGTGGGGATGGGAAACGACGAAAACTGAAATGGTAACAGATAGAGCATATATGATGGCTAAAAAAGGGAAAAGTAGTCTTCAAAATTTTCGAATTTTTATTTAGGTTTCATTGCTGATTTTATTGTAGTCTACAGAGGCCTAGCATAGGATTACCTTGAGATAAGAACACGGATGACAGCTCGGTTCCGCGGGTGAAAAGAAGAACAACCACCATCCGAAGCCTTCCGTGCAGCACATGATGGTTGAACGGTATTTGGGATATCGATTGATAAGGGGCGCGGTATAACATGGTAACAGGGAGTCGAATGATTTTGATCCTGAATACCTCTCATATCTTTGAGCGAACTGAAAAACTCCACTTATGGTTGGAATTTGTGCAGTTCAAGCCGTGGATTGAGGGCGTTTTGTGGGATGTGGTAAAGCGGGGGTGCCTCCTGTTTGCGGCTGGAGAGAGCCGGTCTGCAGTCGTCTGCCGTTTTGAGCAGCTTGTGCTTGCATCTGGGCCTGGATAGCTTGATCTCTTGATGACTTAGCATTGAGATAAGCTCGGTGCTGCATTATTTGGATATTGAATTCGTCCCGCGCATATACTGGGTCAGAGTCACCATCATCCTCCTGGTCATATTTGAAACGATCTAACTGGACTGGGTCAACCTCATTCCTATTACGGAACGGGAGGTTTCTTCGGTCAATCATCATGCGCCCACCTCTACCTATTCGTCGACGAAAGCATGGCATCCCTCTTTGCGATTGCTCATCAGGGGATATTGCGCTTTTGAGTATTACAGAAAAGATATCTGACGGCCTTTCTATCAAAATATCTTCTGAGTCAATGCCGGCCTCAGACGATTCGGATGTGGGCGGCGTAGGGAGATACTCGGTTATTGCGGGTCGGAAATCCAAACCGTCAAAAGACCGTGGAGCATCCGGGCATAATGGCGATCGAGTCATATCTACATAACCCTCGTTCCACTTAGCATGTTTGATGACATTTTGCTTAATGTCACGGCAAATCTCATTTTCTTTATCAGCTTGGGCGTCTTCCAGTAGCCTTAGGTCTTCTGCGGGGTGTCCAGCTGGTCTGGGAGGTGCGCGAAGCTGAGGGGCAACGGGTCGTGGTGTCGACACGATATCTGCTGGCTTCTTTTTCGGCTGTTTCTCCGTTAACACGACGGTCTGTGTTTCAATTTCAAATTTACACACCTTCTGATTGATGAGATCCTCATCATCATCCTTGATTCCTAGTTTGCGTTTCATTTCCTTGACCTCGCTGCGCTGCAGGAACACTTGTCTATCGATGGCAAATTGCTCTTTTCTTGCGACTTCACGTTGTCGAACGAGAGCAACCAGTTGTCTAGCGTCGTCTAGTTCTTTTCTAAGACGGCGAAGCTTCTCCGCACTTTGCGCATCTCTTCCACGGGTTTTACGGGCCTGTCGTACCTCCCTACGCCGGAAGCATACATATGGGTCGCTGTCATCGGTATCTTGACCTGATTCAAACTATTCCAAAGTCAATGATAATAATGCACACTGGATATACAGTACGAACCTTTAGATTCGGCTGTAACGGACAATTTCCGGTCCGAGCCCGCCTTGACCTCCAGTGCTCATATGCGATTTTCGTGAATATTTTCAAACTATCATTGATAATCCCGTCGAAACACTCTTCCATTTCCTCGTATGGAATTACAGGAGGGTTATCTACTGCTGCAAAAGGCTGTTTGGTGTGAGCCGTGTCCTCGAAGAAGCTCATGATCTCTTCGAATTGACTTTCTGAGCATTGTGTTGAGGCATCAGTTTTTTGGTTCATGATCCTCAGGGCCAAGTCATCTTCCTCCACAAGGTTATACGAACACCCGCAACAATCTTCAACTGTGGAGGAAAACCTAATATATGTCGCTGGCTGAGAAAACGTCGCGGGATATAATTTTCCATATTGGAGCGAACTTGTGACTGTCTCTGGTGTGGGGATATGCGTCTTCTGGGAGACATTTCCGAGAGCTGCCGCATTTATAGCCGCTTGAAGGTGGTACTCCTACAGTATACACCTTGTCAGTTGCAATTCATAGGATATGTCATTCTGGGGGCGTAAAGTCACATGGTCACGTGACTACATTCAGGCAACCACATTGAAAAATTTGCAGTGAGTGACACGTACGCTTTCTTCCGCCTTTTCAACACCGGTTTCAATGGTATGAAGGGTGGTTTGGAGCTCATCGTCGGCTATTTCTATCTGGCTATCTCTGTAGATAGGTATTGCCTGCTTTGAGGTGAGTTTTTTAGGTCGCGTAGACCGCATCATCCCGGTGAGCCGCGACATAAGTCTGGCGCGAAAACGAAAAATGGACCATGCGCAACAAAGCCCAAAATGGGTATTAAATCGTAGCGTAGCTCATGGGTAATCCCGTAGTGTAACTCTTACGGCTCTGAAGCCGCGTTGTTGTGCGCAAATGGAATGCCAAATCTGACGTCAAGTCAGCTGTATGCTAGGTTGATGTTGCGTTGCCGCCATAAAAAGGCCTGTTTTGCGCAGCTTACTAGGCTCAGGGGTGCGCTAGGGCTCCCGCATTAGGCTAGTGCGGGGCGATCAATATCAGATTCACTAGGCACGGAGTAGAATCTGGAGAACTACCCGATTGGGCTAGCGCATCCATCCCAGATCCCCATCACTTGCTTCTGCGTCTTCCACCCGCATCACTGCTGCCCACTACGTCGCGGTCCTCCACGCTCTCCTGGTGGCCTTCGACAAGTTTTCCCACTGTATATTTGCCGTTTACTCCCCTGTCGCAAACGCTGTCCGCCATGGTCGAGCAAAACACCCCGAGTGGACATGATTCTACCCCCCGCAAGCAGACCAGTTCCAGTGCGCAGGTGATAAATGACATTGTGCTGGGCTCCAACTGTGCGTACCCGCTCACTGCTAAGATGACACTGCTCACATCAACGCTGCAGTTGATCATGACGAAGTGGACCGGCTCTGGAAGCGGTTTATGAAGCTGGACAGAGTACGCCCTTCTTACTTATCGATTCCAAGCTTCTTTCTAACTATTTCTCAGGATAAATCGGGCACGATTGAGCGCGATGAATTTCTTTCTCTTCCACAAGTCTCCTCAAATCCTCTCTCAACACGGTATGTCACCTACGTATCCTCCTCTCCAAGGTCGCCGCTACCTTCTGATAACCCTACAACTAGAATGATTGCTATTTTTGACGAAGATGGCGGCGGCGATGTTGACTTCCAAGAATTTGTCTCCGGGCTATCGGCGTTCAGCTCTAAAGGGAACAAAGAGGAAAAGTTACGCTTCGCCTTCAAAGTATATGATATTGACCGTGACGGTTTCATTTCTAATGGTGAACTGTTTATTGTGCTGAAAATGATGGTTGGGAGCAACTTAAAAGACATGCAGCTTCAGCAAATTGTCGATAAAACCATCATGGAGGCTGATTTGGATGGGGATGGGCGAATAAGCTTCGAAGAATTCACACGAATGGTAGAAAACACTGATGTGAGCATGAGTATGACGCTTGGTAAGTTAGATTTCTTCTGTATTTATGTAACACAAGTAGCTGATACCTTCTGTAGACCAATTTTGAATGTGGCGTATTATTGGTGTATGTTTGATCCCCTTGCTTCTTATACATAATGGCTTTACTTTTCATTGGGCGTTTGAAAACATCGCTTGGTACCTGGATTCTAGAAAGACTGGAAAGTATATTCAACACATTAAATGCTTGTGTCTTACTTCGTATTCCAGTTTTTATGAGCTGTGTCCATCAGGTAGGCCATATGTATCTGCTTTCACGATTGTATTGACACAAATACGCGGGAGTTTTTGCTTTTCTGAAATATTATAGCACAAATGTCTCGGATATAAGTAGGTATGAGGCTATAGGCCACAAGGATTCATTACAGTCAATAAAATGGGTACTTTCATTGGTAAGTGCCGCCGGAATTTCTGGCCTAATCCAATCATCGACTATCATGTGTGATCTACTACCAACCTAAATCCATTCCATTTGGGGTTCGAATATAAGTTCAAGGTAAACTACAGGCCAGGGAAAACATATCATGGATGTAGTACAAATTTGTGGTCGGTACAAGGCATCAAGCAATCACGCCTGGGTAAGAAGCAGCCTTATGGAATCGGATCAATGAGGCGTGACTGGATCAATTTTTAGCCACTTTGGCAAATTACTAGATCTAGAGTTATGGTAAAAAAGTACAGGGTACGGAGTAGTAAACCAAAACATTCAGAAAAGCTCTGAATGCACCTACACTGTATCTTTCACTGTAACACAAAAGCAGATGTCACAAGGGTAGTTGCAAATGCAATTTTTTTTAACTTTTCTTCATGCTTCACAAGTACAGCAGTAGTGTTGTGAGGAAGATAGGTGCCCTTTTATTTGCAGCAGAACAAAATTCATATGTTTCCTTGTTTAATGAATACATGATATAAAGTAACCTTAAAGGCCACGTGACCATTTCTCTATGAGAGGGTATCAATCAGCAAGTAACAACCAGAAAGGTGAAAAGAAGAAATCCAGTCACAGATATGTGCGCAAAGTCCCGAGCTCCTGAGCTTGATACCCCATAATGCTCTCGCCGAATTGCTTCGATGCCCGTGTATCCAGTTCCCCTTGCAAGAATCAAAGAAATACAAAGACGCAGATTCGAAACAGAAATTGTAGTAACGAACAAAACAGATTCCAAAGAAAGCAGACCCAACCCGTTACTCCAAGCCGAGTCTATAGCCACTCTAAAATCTAGGTCATGGGATATCGTCGAACATTCGTTCCGCTGAAAGAAAAGAAGAAAAAGAAATAGCAACCAAGAAATCTTTCAATATCAGAGAGAGGTTAAAGGCAGGGTTGTTTGTGACGAGATAAGTCCGTATCAATCTCGCCATTGCCATTAATCTTTCTTTTAATGGTATTATATTTAAAGGAAATGCTGGTGGCGGTAGGTTCATCCGAAGGAACGGGAGTCCAGGTGGTATGAGATACAAACACGCAGTTTAGCGGCCGGTGGCACATGTTTGGCTTCGAGACGTCGAAACTGAGTCTTCATATTGTTCAACAAGGTCCAGACATTGGCCGAGGACTATAGGTTCACATGTAAGCAAAAGTGGCACTGAGAGGCTAGGGGAAATTTGACATTTTTCTTACCACACAATATCTCTTCTTCCCAGACACCCATCTGATAATCAACAAGTCCATATTGTTCAACCCTATCACACAATCGAACCAGCTCCTTCCCCATTTTAGTCAGAACTCCCTCTGTTAGTACCTCCAGTGACGCGGATGCAGAATCGAACATTGTTTGTGTATTGTCTTTCTGCTTTTGGAAAAGAGCAAGCCAGCAAGTATTGAACTCATCCCAGAGCTTTATTCGGTCGGTATGTAGATGTTCTTCATCACGAACGAGGCCTAAAATCAGTCATTAGCTCGAAATGGAATAACTCCCCTGTCGAACCGCTGACTTAAAGAGATTTTACAGGACTTTACAATATGACATACCGAGATCTACAGCATTTCCCAGTAGCCATTCAGACATATCGATCAGTGCCCTGCTAGCAGTGTTTAACCTCCCAGCACGGATATTTTCAAATGTTTGCCTTAAGGCCTGCTGGTATTGATTATATGCTTCCTCAAGACCCGATGGGGTTTCTCGTGGTTGTTCGGGTGTCTGAAGGGGTTCCGAAGCAAAAGCAGTCATAGATTCGGGAAAGGAAGTCGCAATATGCGGGCGATTCGAGGACGCAGGCTGGGAGTATGGTGTCTGGGAGACTTGGGCAGATAAATAATGGCTAGGTTCCTGCGAAGGCCCTTCTTCCGTTGGATAATATTGCGGAACGCCAAATTGTGTAGCTAGGACTTCAATAGCAGCAGAATGCCGTGGTTGGTAATGTGAGGGCGTGTCGTAGGGGGAGTGGGGTGTGGCCTGTGGCGTCATATTGTAGACCATTCCTGGGTCGTACTGAGGCATCCGTTGCTGGTGTTGATCTTGGTGGTCCGATTGCTGCGGGGCCTGTGATGGAGTCTGCCTGGAAGATGGTGTAGAGAAGTCATGCTGGTAGGATAGAGCCCCACTCTGCAGTGAGCCGCTTTGAAGGGATGGGGAATTGTAGGATGGTGACTCGGTGTACTCGAAACCGCCGTAGGGGTGAAGTGAAGGATTGCGGCCCTGCTGTGTCAAGGTGTCCACATGAAGCCCACGAGCATCAGCGGCTTGGTTATTTTGCCGAAATCGATGTATAGAGCTCTCGTTGGAATGGTGAAGCGTTCGCGGCCTCCCTATTCCAGCGCCCTGTTGCTGCGAAGTGAAGTCGTATTTCTTCCGCTGGCTGCTATCGCCATCCATTCCCCCAACCCGGCCTGAGGCTGTCCCGCCCCGCGACGAATCGAGATATGAAGTTCGATGCGTCGGAGGCGAGAGAGGTGGGCTGGTGTAAAATTCCAGCTTCACTCTTTTGCTGGAAAACCCGAAGGATAACACCGAGTATCAGAGCCTGATGTTTAACGGGCCTCTATTTGCCAGCGCGATCTGTCAAAACAAGATGCTCTTGTGTGTCGAATCTGCAACTTGAGGATCCCTTGCGAATGGGGTAACAGGGATGTAAGAAGTAAAAGTTGGGCAGGGTCAATTCAGATAATGATTTAAGCCAAACCTATTCCAAGGAATACCGCGACCTTTGGAACGTGCGTGCATCAAAAGAAAAAGAAAAAAAAAAGATTAGAGGGCAAAGTATTGAAAGTAAGACTGGGGCATAGGATAAAGCATTATCGGAGCCTTGGAATCAGGTAATTGTGGTTGGAGGTGGAAAGGAGCAAGAGAAAGGAGGGTGTGACACTGGACCGAGAAGCAGTTGTTCAGGTGTGTCTGGAAGCAATAGTCGGCAGGGAATGCCGACTATATGTATCAAACTCTGGTTTCCAAGAGGGACAAGGTGTTGATATTAAGTTTTAAGTCAACCGATGGTGACCCAAATGCCGGTTGTTTGACGAATCCGCGAGTGATGCGGGGACAGCAGTGGTTGGTGAAAAGTCTTAGCCTGTTGTTTGAGAGATCGGGCAAGAAAAAATAATAGAGTAATAATGTAGAGAAAAGAAAAAACAAAAAATAAAATAAAATAAAATAAATAAAAATAAAAAATATAATAAAATCAAGGGCGCGCGATAATGTCAAATAATAATAATGGGGATGTGCTTACAGCTCCGTGCCTGATTCACAACCGTTGTCTATCAATGTGGAGCAAAACCGAGCCTTATAAAACCTAGACCTGAAAGCTTAGACTTCTCCTATTTCCTCATTTCCAGGACCCGAAAATGCAGGGTCAGCTGGGGGTCAAATAAGAGAGAGCAAAATACTACTGCTGTTGAACTGCGCCCACGATGATGATACGCTGCTTCTGTGACTGTGAAGCTATCCAGAAAAGTCGCATCCAGTAGTTACTGCGTTGATACAGCGAGCACCAAATACACGTAGTAAATGAGCTTGAATGGGTTCTTTGATACATCGGCGCAGTGCGGCTTTGTATTGCATTGGGGCCAGACTCGACCAGAGGCGCTTTGGCGCTTTGGTCAGAACTTTTCTGTAGCCTTCATCAACGCAACATTTTTTTTAACACGCTTGGGTATTAATTATTTTGATTAATGATTGGTCGGGGCTGGCGACACCATCCATGGCGATCGTTCCACTGGAAACTGACACGGTGGTAGTGAATAACCCGGCGATGGACCTCGACCTGCTGAATCCCGTCCTGAGCTTTCGGCCGCTCGAATGTGGCTTCACCAGCTTCTAGAATTCATGTCTCGTTCTGAACAATAAAATTGCACATGGAGATCGGCCGGAAAGTGAACCTAAATCGAACGAGACACGATCATTCGCACGTCATTGAATCACGATGGATGGCTAGCGGGTTGGCGGTGGTAGCCAGCGCCTTGGGGATGACTTTGTCGTCGGCTGGCTAAAGTTCTAGCGTCGAGGGAAATAACAACGGCGCCCCTGGCTGAAATTGCGGGACGAATTCCCTGCGGCGGTGAGGTTAAAGCAGGCATCAGCAACAAGAGACGAAAATCAGGAGCAACTCTAGCGTGGAGAGCGGAGACAAGCGTTGGAGCACACAGGCAAGCACGCAAGCCATGGGATGGTGAACCGCAACCGTAATGTTGTTTCAGGGCAAGCCACCACGCCAGCCAGCCGGTGGGTGGCCTCAGGAGAGGCGAGAAAGAACACGTTGGGAATTGCGAAGCCTTTTCCAGAATTCTGCCCTTGCAGTGAACCTTGATCCTGGCTCTTCAGGCTTGGACAGCCCTCATGAAGGATTGTTCAAAGAATCACAAGGCATGAGAGACCTCCCTGGGTGAGACTGCCTCAAACAATGGTGAATATTAACAGGCGAAAAGGAGCAAGGATTGCGAGCGAAAATCCTCAAACTCTCGCAGTGATTGGCCAAGACATCATGCCCAATGTTGGATTTTTCCGTTTCTCTACGATGATTGCCAGAGTTAAAGGGAGCAACAGTGCGTTGCATCTCCGAAGGCTTCTTGGAGCCCGACAAGGGTCAAACCCGATCGAACGAAACTTACGATGCTTGCGGGCCCTGGGCATGAGCCTGCAAGCAAAGGGGGCTCGGGAGTCTCCGGTGCTCCGCATTTGATGGAGCGGCGTATGTACGTATATATGTAGGTGCATTCGGAGGCCGCGACATATTCATATACACATAAGGAGTACGGTGTACCCGTACGTGCTTCTAATACACAGACTACCAGTGGAGAATGCGGAGAGCCTCTGATGCAAAACGCCCTCTTTTGTAACCCGACAAAGCATCGACTAGTTAACTAGCGGCTGTACGGAGAAGAAACTTAAAAATTGTACCAGTTTTCCACCGCTGGATGCTGCTCGCCAGCTTTGCATCTGATGGTCAGCATGGAGCTGCTTTCAAGGCTGGATGTATGTATCGGAATGGCGGACTGCGATATGAGCTTGCAAGTGAGCCTCAATTACCCGAGCGGTACACGCGCCCTACGTATGAACTATTAAATCCCATACATGTTGCCCTGTGGATGATACCAAAATATCTGACTCATGGTTATCGACATTTTGAGTGATCTCAAGCGGTCAGAAGCAAACTTATACATGTTTTATCTGGGTGTCTAGTACCCTCATGGCAAGCCGTCTGATCACGATCCTGCAGCTGAATTTGGGCGCACAGGCTAAGATCCCACGTACACGTCGTGTGTCTTCTCCGAAGCCGTCTTTATGTCTCCACGAATGCCTATGTGTTGTACCTACGGAGTAGGCACTACATATTTTACTCCTTATTCATATGAAAGCCCGAGTATCCAATCAACTTACGACAGGGGTAGCGCTGATCCGACAAGCCTGTGTAGTAACAAGCGAGTACTCCGTAGATGGTACCAGCTGTTTCCTGTATACGACAGAGGAGCAAAATACACCAGGGCTCGCCAGATCTCCTTTTTGGCTAATCCTCCAAGCTACCCGAAAGGACGGGGGAGCGTTTCAGAGCTTGCGTGCTTAGTTTGCTGGTGCAGATTTAACTAACTAAACTCTAGCGTGGGACAACGTCAAGAGAGCAGGGGGTGATTGGTAACTAGGCCAGGTAGCAACCCTAGCGAGGTACTCTGTATGTATGATACCTTTTGAAATCTTCGATGGAGTATGTTTATTATATATGTACTCCGTACGAAGTACGTACCCTGGAGAATGCTCAAGATCAGCAGGCCAATAAATGTTTATATAACTTAGCTAACTACTCTGTAGTTAGCTGAACTTCTGGCTGCAAAGATAAACACTTTAATACGTTTGCATTTACAGGGGCATCTATACAGAGTACATACATAGGATGGTCATAGATTTAGAAGAGCTTGGAAGAATAGGTGTATTGTGAAGTTGGTACCTATTGTTCAAGAAAAGTAGAATCTATGGATGGACATATTGAAATATTGTTGTGCCAGTAAACTTGAACATAAATTTGTCACTTCCAAGCACAGTTGCCCTTCGCCAGCACCCCAACCAACTTGAAGCCTCTATCAGTACGTTGTACTGCATTTTCAGGCTGCTATAAGAAATTACCTACCCAAGGTTTAGGGCTGCGACACGCGATCAATCACTCGAATCAACTAGTTAGCTAATTTGTACTCCGTATTAACAACTCTTGATGCTTCAGCCTTTCATTCCTTAGCCTCTAAGGTCCAATCGCCCCAACAACCTGTTACTATCCATACTTCAGCGTATGGTGGAAGGGAGGGCAGATATCAGAGTTCTCTGTATAATACTCTGCAGTTACATACAGTATACGGAGTACATCTCCCCTTGAATACCTCGACAACAAGTGAGTCCCAGGATGGCCGCACAGCCTCGTATCACTCGCAGTGTTTCAAATTGTTTCAAGGTGAATAATAATGTTGGAGTAACTACTAGTTAACTTACTAACCAGCACTCCAATACCTGGCCCGTTTTTCGGAGTATGCACGGAGTCCGGAGCACTCCGTACGTCAAACAAAAGGCATCCATCGCCTCAATCCAGGGGCAGCAGTTCAGCCGTATGTAGTACTCCGTTCTGAAGCTGCATCATCCCTAATGACTATCACAAGTATTTACCTCCAAGGTGTGCTAGATATTGTCTTAATATTTTATTCCCACAGTACAGAGCAGATCAGTGTAATATCATGTCTGTGATGCAAAAAATTTCTCCTCTTAACTACCTGGGTCCTGATGCTAAGAAACACCAACTAACCAACGCAAATTCAAGACATTCACATGCTATCTGGCCACGCCGATCTGCTCATATTTTTGCTCAAGAGGATTGCTAAAAAAGCTGATCTGGATCTTGCTGCCCTTATGATTCTCCCGTCGGCATGGCTTTGAGGATGATGATCGCGATACCTGGTAGGGATTCATCCAAAGAGGAGCTTTAGAAAGCAAAAGTGCCTCTGAAAGGAATATGCAATGGTGCACCGCCGCCTGGAGACGGACTGATTAAGTTGAGAGGTCTTTAAACTAAGCCCATTTCTGTACGAGTGGGATTTTGGCTGCCTTTAGCAGATATGCGTGGATGAATATACTTTTCAGCACAGGATAAGGAGATGAAGTGGTGAAGTACTCACACAACCGCGCTCGGCTTAATTCAAACGTACTTCATAGAAGGAATCTAATCAGGTTTATCGCTTCTAGCTTCGCGAAATGCAGGAATTTTCTGTACACACATATAACTACAAGTTGAAAAATCATGGAAAAGTGGCATCTTGAGACACGATTGGAAAAGTACAAAAAGAAAGCAATCTGCTTTATCTTTTGACCCAAGCAGGCCTCTTTCTAGCCTTAACGCGACCAGGTTTCTTTCTTTCAACTTGCCTCGAGTCGATTGTGGAAGTTCCAGCTATTTAAAAAGATTAGCAAAACAATGAAGTTATACGTAGCCGCTAGCAGCGAGCCGCCGGAAAAAAACAACGTAATATGGGACCACCTACCTGGTTTAAGAAAGTAACTCAGTTCCGGCTCGTGAGTAAGAAGTGCTCTTGAAACAGCCACAGTCATAGCTTCGGCTTGACCAGTTACTCCACCACCACGAACCACAGCAAATACGTTGTATTTACCTATCCTATTTGTGATTCTTAATGACCAAAGAGCACTCTCTCGGTCGTGAATGCGTGGAAACACGTGTACTATACTCTTCCCGTTGACAATGATCTCGCCATCTCCTTCGACTAACCAGGCCGTTGCGGTGGACGTTTTGCGGCCACCGACCCCACGGGCACGTCCACGCTCATCCACTGTCGGAAGGGCTGCTTTAACATGGGAGGGTGGGGCGGGCTTCGCGAATATTTTCATCGCCGATTTAACTTCTTCAGGCATTAATTTGGGATTTATTTTATTGAGTCTCTTCAAAACGTTAACAAGAGCTGTGTGATTTGACTCGGAAACATCTTCTTTGAGGCTGGCGCGTAATTCTTTTGGAGAAAGGAACAATGAACGCGGAGCTTCGGCTGGATCGACAAGTGGGAGGTGCGCATACTTCGCACAAATACGTTCCAAAAGTAGCAGATTGTTAATATATTTAGGTATTCCTGAGAAATATGCCGGCGAGTCTGGAACTATGCGTGCGGGTATCGCGTTCTGGTTGTTGAAGTCGATGGGCGGGGCTGAATTTTCAGAGAATCGGGGAGGAAATATTGAAAGATGCCTCTGTTGAAAGGTGTGTAAGGAGGTGCGGCAAGGAGAATGCGGGATATTCTGCGTTATTCGTACTCGGGTGAGTGTCCGCTCAATCTGGTGAAGGCATTGTGAAGACTTTAAGGCACGAAGCGTGCATCCAGGCCGATGCCAGGACATCGCTTTCGAGAAGCCAGTAGTAACCGAATCAGCTTATGAATGGGGTTCGCCGTAGCTCTATGTGGTTTGCCCGTTGTATCTCACGTTGTTGGTGTTTTAGTTGATTCGTCAGGAGCGAAAATCCATCATGACAAAGTTCATATGTACGGAGTACGTTAGGTAAGATAGCTGTCGGCGGAGTAACTGTTACTCCGGACCTACAGTGATATCCGGACGAATTCCTTTTCCGATCCCGACGACCGCCCACTTGCGAGAAAAACTTCTCGCGCCCCTCGCCTAGCTGGTAGTGCATCACAACTTTGACCTGACTTTCACACTGTTATCTCTGAAGTCATCATGTCTTTCGGAAAGCTCTATGGTACTGCTGTACGTTATTCACTATTTAACAATTGTTTAATGACGTCCTCTAATGGGCTTGTCGACCATAGGAAAACGCTCGCACCAATGCGTGTCGTCTAGTCGCTCATGCCAATGACCTTGACCTTGAGCTTGTCAATACTCCTCCTGGTTCTACCGATCCAGAATACTTACAGATCAACCCACTGGGCAAGGTCCCGGCCTTTGTTGCTGCTAATGGCTTCACTTTGACCGAGTGTATCTCCATTGCCGTCTACTGTATGTTCTTCTCCTTTACTGGTAGTTTGCGTTTTTCAGGATGAGTCATATTATCATTATCAGTTATCCCTGTCAGAATAGCTCTGTTGACTATCTATACTCTGATTTTATTGCAACTTCATTCTCATTTTGTTCTGCACTTATTGTCTCTTTGCTTGACTGACGTGAGAATGTAGTTGCTTCGCAAAATAACAACACCACCCTCCTTGGAAAAACAAAGCAAGACTATGCTTCAATTCTCCGCTGGATGTCATTTACCAACCAAGAAGTTGGCGGCCCCCTTGGTGACTGGTTCCGTCCGCTTGCTGGATTGGCCCCCTATAACAAAAAGTCCGTTGAGGACAACTCTAAACGTGCTCTCAAAGCCCTGGATATCCTAGAGAAGCACTTGACTAGTTCCACTTTTCTTGTTGGCGAGCGGGTCACTCTAGCTGATCTTTTCTGTGCTTCCCTCTTATGCCGAGGATTCCAGTTTGTCCTTGACCGGAACTTTCGTCTTGCCAATCCTGCCACTGCCCGATGGTTTGAGACTATAATCAACCAACCTGTTTTCAAGGCCGTTGTTCCAAGCCCTGTTCTCATTGAGGAGGGATTGAAGAACGTCGCACCGAAGAAGGAGGAAAAGGCCGCCCCCGCCAAAAAAGAAACCCCCAAGGAACCCGAGGAGGAAGAAAAGCCAGCTCCAAAAGCCAAGCATCCGCTTGAGGCTCTCCCAAAGCCATCCATGATTCTTGATGACTGGAAACGCAAATATTCCAACGAGGAAACCCGTGAAGTCGCCATGCCATGGTTCTGGGAAAACTACAACTCCGAGGATTACTCCCTTTGGAAGGTTGACTATAAATACAACAGTGAACTCACTTTGACCTTCATGTCCAACAACCTGATTGGTAAACTATTTGTACCCGTTTCTTAATTCAATTTACGTTTACTAACAAGCTGTTAGGTGGTTTCTTCGCTCGCCTCGAAGCTTCTCGCAAGTACCTATTTGGTGCATGCTCCGTTTATGGTGAGAGCAACAACTCCATTATTCAGGGAGCTTTCCTCGTTCGCGGACAGGAGGCCATTCCAGCTTTCGATGTTGCTCCGGATTGGGAGAGCTATAGCTTCTCTAAATTGGATAGCGGTAAGGCTGAGGACAAGCAGTTCGTCGAGGACCAGTGGGCTCAGGACAAGTCTATCGTTGCCGATGGTAAAACCTACGAATGGGCTGAAGGTAAAGTTTTTAAGTAAACGATTGTAATGACAAGAAAAATACGACAGCTGACGGAATGAGGAAACGGAAATCATGGGACACACCTAGATAGATTCTCTGGTAAACCCGGCAAAATATCTCTTTCAATGAAATTATGTGCTGATGGCCTTGCTATGACACCGCAACCCCATGTCCTCTGTAGAAAGTTCGTAGGTCATCTATTTGAAAAAAATCGAATCACATTCAAATCCAGCAATTGCCCAAAGAATTAATATTCCTAGGCATCTCTCATAATTTAGCTAGCTCCCTGTAAAGAGGCGAGAATTTGCTAAATCCCAGGCAATATGTGAATACAAATACCCTGGGAAAGCTATATGAATACAAAATGATGTTTTTGGAATCTCTCGTTAGAGCTTTGGCTAACATGACCAAGACTTGATGCATGTTGAGCAACAGGCTCCTCAACACATTTTGCCCTCGCCGTGCTCCTTTCGGTGAACAGACTTTGAAGAAGGATGATGTTGTGGCAGGATTTCACTTCCTTAGCTTTGTGCTCGACTTTGTCAACTAGCAGATGTGGTCATAGCCTGCATAGTGCTTTTCCCTCTTTTCTTCGCCTTCTTTTTCTTCTTCTTCTTCTTCTTCTTCTTATTCGTCGATTCGGCATTGTTCCATTTAGAAACGGACTCACTCACATCGGTTTGAGTTTCTAAAAGCATGATTTCCTCATCCAGACCAAGCTCCTTCTCATCTTTATTGAGCTGAGTGCGCCAAAATTGGGCGACCGAAAGGCTCGCGTCCGCTGTCTTTTTCATCTCCCCCCATTGGCGTAGTTTCCGACTCACGTCGTGTTGCATCGCCAGTATCCTCAGTTGGCGTAGAACTGTTATCAAAATTTCCTTCTCGTCGACAGCCATATCGTTGGTGAACTCGGGTATGTCAATAATATTATGGGGCTGACCAGCAGCTTTCAATTTATTGTCGTCAATAAGAACAGTATTGGACTGGCTCCAAGATGATTGTTCATTGGTGAGATCATCCCTTACTTCGGGGTACTTTGATTGTATGAAGTCGTCATTCCAAACTTTCTCCAGTTTTTTATATACCTGAACTTTGTCGATATATTGTTTTTTGGAAAGGTCTAATTTATCTCGAGCCCAAACCGACACAAAATTATCGGACTTCACCTCTGGCGCGAACAGCTTTCTGACTATCTCCCGCACAGTAAGCGGCGTAGCGCTGGTCCAAATCATAACCTTATATCTTTCAAATAGATGACGAAGGAAAACGTCAAGGTAGGGGCGCTTGATAAAGGAGGTGGCTGGTCTGCTTTTGTTACGGTATATAAGGGTGCCGTTCATATCAAGGATAACCAACAGCGGACGTGGAAAAGAGGCGACGACCGGTTCTTGATGTGCGTTCGCAAGATAGTCTGGGGTAGGAATAGGAGCAACTGGGCTTTGAGTTCTAGTGGATGAAGATTTGCGAGCGTTTTCAAGTTCGGGAGCAGTCGTATCGGGCATTGAACTATGAGTATGTCGCGAGGTCGGGGTGTTATCTGGGACACGGCGACAGCTGTCGACTGTTCCGATGGGGTGATTGAGTGGTTGCCAGTGGGAATGAGGAGAAGCTGAAACGCAAGTGTCATATCGGGACCTGTAAATTACGTCGATATCAGCCGGATTTGGATGGTTATGGCAGGTAACTCACCTCCAGTGAAAGGAAGAACACGAATAGGAATTGGGATATATTTGAGAGAAAAACATCGATTGGTGCCGCCATTGGCAGAACATATCGGACTGCAAATGGATAGGAGGTTCCGCAATGCCATCTGTTGAGGTATTCAAAGACATACTTGGTGTTGGACGGGCCATCGACGGATAGGAAGAGTGAAAGCTGAAATGCATAGTATCATTCGTGTGGGGGATATTCGACCCTAAACAGGCATAGCAGCAATTTCTATGAAATGAGGGCATTGTATTGCCATGTGGCTGCGACAAATCCGAGCCTTTCTTTCCGCTCTTCGAGCCACAGTGTAATCGATGCATCTTGAAGATGGAACCACAGCTGCGAGAAGTTACCATGCGGCGAATGGGGGGATGCGTCGCGACTGGGAAGGAAGGGGGTGCATGATAAGGACTCTCAAGGCGTAAATGTACTCGACGAAGCGAGATCATAGCAAGTGAGGGAGACGAACCCCCAACGTCAGCTCAACCTGTGGCGGCCGTGTTGTCGCTCGTCTTCTTGCAATCCAGGCACTGCGGAGATCGCCGCCACCGCCTTTGGCAGTACTTTTTTTAATGCTGGGTCTCACCGCCAGGAGGGAGGGTGCTTATGTAACACCGTTGCTAGGCTCGGCCGACTTTTTACGGAGGATGGAAGTACGGAGTATATAATTTTGAAGATTTGCTACGATCGGCCATGGGCCTCACAGACTCGCTCAACCGGCGCATGAAGGCCCAACCTGATACTGCTGATGGACACGACTCTGAGATCCTTTCTGAATCGAGTTCAGACGACGATGGCGTTGATTCCGGCAACGCTGGGTCTGGAGCTGACAGCGAAGTTTCGGAATCAGAAGACAGTGAGGGAGAGGTACAGTCTTGAATAATCCAACTTTGTTTTTTCTCCTTTTGGTCTTGCGAGAATAAAATACGTGAGCTAATACAGCAGTCAACAGCTGAGACATTCCTCCCCAGAGCACCCCGATATCACGTCCTCGCTGCATGAAATATCGTTTGGTGCTCTTGCAAAGGCCCAGGCCTCCCTCGGTCGAGCAGGCAAGCAGAAGCTTACCCTGGCCCGTGAAACACCACGAGGTCCATCCGCATTGGATGAGATCCGACAGCGTATCGGTGCTCTCCGAGAAGAGAAATCGGCAACGCCCTCATCAAAGAAAACGCATGCGCTTCCTCACCGCTCCTCCAAACATGCGCCTGCCGTCCAATCATCCAAATACGCGGTTACCCGCAAACGCATGGTCGTAGATCACGGTGCTGGTCAGCCAAAGGCTCGCGATCCACGGTTTGACACCGTCGTGATATCTCACGGCGCGTCCAACTCCGCGGCGATCGGCAATGCCAAAGCGGCGGCGAACAAGAACTATGCCTTCCTCGAAGACTATCGCGGCTCTGAACTCGCTTCACTCAAACAGCAGCTGACCAAGACCAAGAACCCGCTTGAAAAAGAACAGCTCAAGCGTACAATAACTTCTACGGCGGATAGAATGAGGGCCTTTGAAAGAAAAGAGAAGGAAAAAGAAATCGTGGCACAGCATAAGCGCAAGGAAAGGGAGTTGATTCGGAAGGGAAAGAAGAGTGCACCATATTTCTTGAAGAAGGGGGACGTAAAAAAGGAAGCCTTGAAACAGAGGTACGAGGAGATGGGGGCCAGGCAGAGGCAAAAAACCATTGAAAGAAGGCGGAAGAAGGTTGCGTCGAGGGAGAGAAAAGGAATGCCTGATATGCGAAGAGCGGTGGAAGATTAGATATATTTACGTACAATTTTCGTCCAAAGAGACACAAAATTATGATTCATGATCAATTTACGGAGTACTCCGTACTCAGTGAAAAAAAAAAAAAAACGTTGTACGGAGTATGGAGTATGGAGTTGAAACAGCGGAAGCTAAGAACAAACGCGGAGTACGGAGTACTCTGTAGTCCGCTAGCTGCTCGGCAATCACGGGCTGCCAATTTTTCGTCACAGTGCAATTCATTGCTATCATTGGATGGGCTGCCCAGGGCCAAGGTGTGTTTGTTCTGTGGTGCTGGAAAACTACTATAGCGGCTGGGAATATTACGCTGTTGACTCGCTAAGCTAAACTTTTAACCGCCAGAGTCGCAAAATGTCTCAGATAGCTGCCCAAGCTTCAGGCTGATTGGTACTCCATGGGGGTGAAGTATTTGAGATGTCAGATATAGCTCGTATGATGGTAAAACCGTGCTAGTCAGTGGATATGGAGGTGGGGGTTAGGGAATGACAAGGGGAATTTGTTGGTTCGTTGAGATGAAATAGTAAGAATCAGTAAGATGCGGCTTGGTCGTAAGAAATGTCACATCTCGTGTTTTGCCATTTCATCACAGCGTAACTGGGAAACATTGAGTGCTAAGCAAGTAGTGGGAAGGCCCTGCAACGAAGAGGGGGCAAGGAAAAAAAAGAAAAACTGAAAAGGGCGTAGCCAAAGATGTAAGACGACAGCGGTACCTAGCCAGAATGAATAGTCGTAGAGTATAAAAAAGCAGACGAAAACAAAAGGGAAATGTGAAAGCCATGTGTTTCCGGGGACCAAGTGAGGTTCCTGACGCTAAAAGAAATGAGCACTGAGGTGGAAAAGAAAAGAAAAGGGGCGACTAGAGCAGGATGAGCAAATCAAGAGAATGAGCAGGACCCATGACATATACGACCGAGAATTGGCACTTGCGAGATGCATATTAACTCCCGTAAATACCCAACATGGTAGCCGGACTATGAGGGTATGAACCAGATACGAATAATCGTTGGGGTGGAAAGGAAAACAAAAGAGAAGATAAATAATAAGAGAAGGATGTGGGGAGAGAGTAGTTATATATAAGAAAGAAAAACAACAGAAAAGATTACGCGAGCGGGACCATAAGACCAAATGGTAGGGTTGCAAGCTCAGTCTCATAATAAATAGCAGAAGATCGGTGTGGATTTCTTGCAAGGAGATGAGGAACCAGAAAGGGGATATGATATCGTTGAATAAAGCAGTTCTTTTGTGTGCGCGGAGCAGCATTTATGAATGAAACAAATCCCATGCGCGGGCGCATAGGCCTAAAAACTCTTCCTTTTTCAACCGCTGTGTTTCTGGAGAATCTCTGCCGGCGCCAAAGGGGCCATAGCTGCTGGGGCCTCGTCCTGGACGGAGGCGAGGTTCGGGGCCTGGGCCCAAGGGCGGGCTGCCGTGGTCCTGCTCGTATTCCTGTCTGGTGCGGCGACGGCCGGCGGTGGGATTCGACGCGGCAAAGCCATTCACCTGGTGGTTGTGCGTGCTGCTTGTGGTGGGCGGGTTCGCGGCGGCCGGGGGCGAGCGCGGGCTGGGCTGGCGGTCGCTGTAGTGGATGATGCGCGGCAGGAACTCCTCACGGCCGCCAGAGAGGTCGTGGACGGCCTCTTCGGCGGAGCGATACTCTCGGGGCCGCGTGGCGGCGGCCGCGGGGTGGGCGGGCAGGCCAGGCGAGGGCAAGGGGTTGAGAGATGGCTGAGACTGATTGCTCGTGGGGGCGAAGGGGCCGCGCGAGTTGGGCTGCTCGCGGTCGCGCAGGGCGAGGGCGTCGGCGCCAAAGACGTCGGCGAGCGGCGGCAGGCGGTTGTTGGTCTGGGGAGCGGGGGGCTGGGGGATGTGTGGCGAGGCGGCCAGGTCGACGGGGTGGTGGGTGGTAAAATGGCGGGCGGCGGGCTGGGTCTGGCGGCGGCTCGAGAAAGTGTGGTTCAAGGGAGCGGACTGGATGATGCGCTCGTGGGCGAACTGCGAGGCGGCGGGGGGCACGATGGACAGGCCCGGCGGCGGGCGTTTCTTCGCGGCGCGGTGGGTGCTGAAGGGCGGGGACTCGGTCTGCTTGGGCGCGGCGGCGGTGGCAGCGGCGGGCTCCAGGGAACCGTCTCCTTTGGCGGTCAGCTGCAGGCGAGCCTCGATGATGGAACGCTGCTGCTCGCGGACGTTGAGGCTGCGCTGCAGCTGCTCGCGACGGGCAGGATCATGGGTCTGGAAGCCAGGCGACAGGCAGGCGAGCCCAACATCCTGCATGGCGCGGCCATCGCGGGCAGTCAGCGGGCCACGGGAGGAGAGGCTAGAGGCAGAGACGCCCGACAGATCGAGCTTGCGCGGGCGATGGCGGGCGCCCGACGGCAGGCTGGGTGACGATGGCGGTTCTTTTTTGATGGCGATCTTGGGCGGGTGGGTGGTGGCGCTGGAGGAGCAGGGGAGGGTCAGCAGGAGGGAGAGACAGAGAGAAAGAGAGAGACAGAGTAAGCGAGAGAGTGATTAAGCGAGCAACTCACGGCGATTTGTGGACAGGCGATGAGCGGGCAGACGGCGACACGGACGGGCGCGGGCTGGCGGACGGATTGCGGTTGGGCAAGGCCGGGCCCGGCGGCGCAGCGGGCGGCACGACGGCAGCGGACATGACGGAGCAAGCGAGGAGGAGGAGGAGGAGGAGGAGGACGGGCGAGGCTGACGACCAGACGTAGGATGAGGAACGTAGCACGAGAAGGAAGCGGACGGCGACGACGACGACGACACGACGACGACGGCGAAGCGGCGCTGCAGAAACAGACGCAGCGTTTGTTTCGCCAAATGAGCGGGCGGCCAGGGGCGGCGCGCTAGTGTTTCAGGGCGGGCGCAGGCTGACTCAGCGGGCTAGTGGCACGCCGTAGCGAAGTTAAACTAGTCTAGCCATTCCCATCCCGCCCGCCCCGCCGCCGGCCTGTCCACCGTCCGCCCTCCGCCGCCCGCCGCGGACCTCCGCTCTCCGCTCTCCGCCCTCCGCTCTCCGCTTTCTGTAACAACGCTGCCCGCCGCCCACCGCCCGCTGACTGCCATATAGCCGCCCGCCATGCCTGCTGCTCGTCTCGCCTGCGCTGTCGCTCTGCTCCCCCGCTCGCACCCGCCCTGAACCCACCATGGCCACCGCCCGCACCGTCACTGTCTCCCACCTCGGTGGTATCGACGTCGGCTACTGCATGCCCGCCTACGACCCTGCCAAGCCCACCCTGCTCATGATCAACAGCTTCGCCACCGACGTTCGCCTGTTCAACGACCTCTTCGCCAGCGCCGCCGCCGCCGCCCAGGTCAACCTGCTCGCTATCGAGCCGCTCGGCTGCGGCCGCACCCGCCCCAAGACCTGTGCCTACTGGAGCCACTGGGACAGCGCCTACATGGCCCTCCAGGTTCTCGACGCCCTGAAGGTCGACAAGGTCTTCATCCTCGGCGTCTGCCACGGAGGATTCATCGCCCTCAAAATGGCCCTCTTTGCGCCGGACAGAGCATGTTCCATCCTGCCCCCCCTCCGTTGCCGCCCGCTGATGCGCGTCGCCCCCTAGGTCCGCGGCCTGATTCCCGTCAGCATCTCCTTCGACTGCGAGAGCGCCCGCGCCCGCGAGCTGGGTTGCTGGGATTCGGCCGCCGTCATACGCAAGTATCTGCCCGAGTGGGACAAGCCCGGCCCGACCCCGGACTACGTCCCGACCGACAACTTCAGCGAATACTACGCCGACGTCAACTTCGGCCCCGACTGTCCCGCCGAGGTGCGCGACTTCTGGGTGCAGAATCTCAAGGCGCGATACCGCGGCAACGCCGGCCGCAGAGAGCTGATGGTCATGTCCTTCGCCTACCTCGAAAGAGGCTCCATGTACTGCAAACTCCGCGACATCCGGTGCCCGTTGCTGCTAATTATGGCCTCCCACGACCCCGTGTTTTCGGTGGAGAATGCCAAGGACGAAATCCAATGGGCCGCCAATTCGCCCGAGGCGAAACTCGTCGTCGTCGATGGCCAGGACCACTCTCTCATTTACTTGCACTCCAAGGAGGTCGAACAATACGTCCTGGATTTTGTGAAAATGTATGGTTGAATAGCCACAGCCTTAAAAGTGCTGCCGCTGTCTGGCTTCCCACGCCTGTCGCTCATTTTGGAGGAAGTGGACCACCTGAATAATAATGAAAGTTTCTCGGAAAGCTATGCAAAGCGGGGTTTTATTTATCTTGTACTTTTAGTACTTATTATTTATGAATATTCCTACGGGGTACAATCTGGATTTTCTCACTGATCCGTACACAACACGTGAAGAAAGGTAAATACATTCATACTCTAAACATTGGTGAAAAAAGTACGCACCGATGAGAGCCATCTGCCTGGAGTGGATGCGAGCAATCGACACCCACCAACTAAGCCACGATTCTACAACATTTATTCCTTCTTCAGTGGAACTGCAATTGAGGCGATTAAAGACAAAAGTTTACCATCCGCTCTCATCAGTGGCACATCCACTCTGCATGCTTTACGTTGCCCGCACGCCATGGCCAAAGACCTGAGGTGCCAGCAAACTCCCCTGTCTGTCCATGCTGTTCGGTGGTCGCGGCCGGCAGGCCTTGGTTTCGTTGTGCATAAATTCATGGCACGTCCGCAGTTGAAGTGAGGATACTGCACACAGATGCCATCGACGATAAGGTTGAAGCTCCATGTTTCCAAGCGGCATTCATGCCATGGTGGGCAATCCATTGAATCCCAGGTCTGTCGAGTGTCGGTGATAGTCCTTTCGCGAGTGTCCCTGTATTCGCTCGACAGCGACAAAGTGAAATCCCCAGCCTTGACGTCTACTTTGGCCCCAATGCTCCAGCCTTGTGTCCTTGAGTTCGCAACCGCTTTTGATTGGACAAGTTGCAACTTTGTTGGGAGCGGTGTGTAATTGCGGCGAGCTTCCTCAAGGTTGACATTCCGGGAGATAGTAATGTTGGAAACAGCGACAAGCTCATTGTAATTGTAATATTCCGTTGAGCCACTTAAACACCAGCTTTATTCAACGTGACAGGTCCGTACTTTCCATCAGCCATCGATAAAATTTGGCTTTTTATCTTGGACAATCTTGAGTTTTGAGTGGAGATCAGCTTTCAGAGCATCAATGACGGTCCGGGGATCTGGCTGGAGTGATGATTGTCGCGTCCGGATTTTCGGCAGAAGATGCTTTAGGGCTTCATCCATATATACAATTCTCCAGATCTCTTTACTGGCCTCGCGTCCTGCAATTGGGTTAGACCCAATGTCTGTACGCGCGACAGACACGCTCCCAGCAGCATTTTTGCCGGCCGTTGGTGATGCACCAGCGTATAAATTTGCGGTACAAGCGAGGAGGAGAAAGAATGCGTAGGAAAACATCCTGCTGGATGTGGAATTGGAGAGAAGGCTGGAAGTTTCGAGAATCTCGAGAATGTTGCAATGGTGTTGGCTGAGGAAATTCAAACCAAAAACAAGGGATTGCAGGTTCCCCTTTATAGACATGTTGCTCTGGTCCCCTGCAGCAGTATGGTATGGTTTATATTTAGATCCAGTCAGCAAAAGGCACCCCCAATTTCATAGGATTTGTTCTGCTTCAGTATCCGCCGGCTTCTCTTCTAATTCATTGGGAGGATATTCGAATAACTCTTGGTGTAAACGATTCCAGTATTTGTTACATAATAGTGAGCCTTATTCAAGAGAATAGTACTCGTACGTCTCCAAGACTGGGCCACTCCTATACATAGACCGGCCTGATAGCCCAGAGAGAGGTGACTTTGTCAACCTGATGTTTGTAAATATGCACCAACATGATCACATCATGTCAGCTACTTCAAGCAGTGGGCAATAGCAGCAGGGCCTGGGATCGGGACGCGGCAGGGTATAACAGATGAGTAGCTGGCAGAGAAGCCCATATAACTAGAGAGCTGCTGGCCGTGGAGGTATCAGAACATCCAGAATAGAAAGAGCTGACGTTGAAGGATCAAACCATATCGCCATGAATTTTTGGCTGCCACAAGCTAGTTACAGTTGCTTGCAAAAGCATTGCGAAATGTGCCAAATTCACTTGTATTCCTGGTGTAGTTAAGTTTTCAAGCACCTCTAGCCTCAAATCCCACGGGACCGACCGAATACTTAATTGATAGGCCACACGTTCATAGTTGAAGAGGCGCACGCCCTCAGCCAAACTCTCCACTGGACGATAGTTAATGTTTTAACCCCAGATCAGTCCACAACGGATCTTGATGAGCGGAAAGGCCCACATCCGCTTTCTTAATATTGAGTTAGAATGCTACACTAGAATTGAGCCTTTCTTCTCTGTTGATTCTGCCAAGTCTGTTGTCGGCTGTGGTTGAGCTACCTAGCTGGGGAGGGAATCTTGTTGAATCACGGAGTACGGAGTAGATGACGAGGCATTCGGCTAGGGATCTACAGTGGTTTCTCGGACCTACGTAATTCCGCAATGGTAGTTGGATTTGATTAAGGTTCCGGAGAATTCAAAATCCCGGGACGCTTCAGGCTATCAAGGCGCTGATGCCGCATGTCCATATGATCTACAGAAGTGTTTTGCTTTAACTCGGTGGCTTTATATACTGTTGACTTCTTGTTTCAATCGCCTTGTCTTTCCTTGAGTTCTCATTCTTCCAACAGAAGTCATATATACGCAATGACGCGAGCACAACAGTTCCTATCCATCATCCTCCTTATCACATCAGTGAGGCTCTCGTCCCGTAAAACGCGTGCATTCGCGCAGTGCTAACTGCGGCCGTGTCAAAACAGCTCTACCTCGCACTTTACCTAGGTCTCCTACCTCTAAATGGCGTTATCCAAGAACAAATCATTCCATACGTACGCCAGGCCCTCGCCCCCCCCCCTGTCGTCCCCAGTGCTGACGTTCCAATCCAAACCACAGCTTCCTGCATACTCAATCATGGTGCTAGGCGCATATTTATTGTTCCGCCTAGGCTGGGGTGTATTCACATTCAATGACGTACCGGAAGCGCATAAATCATTGCAAGCGGAGATCGCCACGGCGAAGAGTCAGTTGCGAAAGGCCAACGTGGATGTTGATTAAATACCCCAAAGATAGGAATCGTTCAAAGCCATTGAGGCTGAAGGGTTCACTGCGCTGGGTAGATGCCGAAAATGAAGCGGCCCCGAATCTTCTGTGCCAAGGGCTTTGAATTACCATCAGATGGTCTGCTTTTCACAATTTAGCCAGTCGACGGAAAACGAATGGCGAGCACTGGCCTTTTATGTAACATTACCCAACGTGATTACTGGATACCAATTTGCTGGTTGTGACACTCAATTTATAGAGTTTTGGATACATATACGGAGCACCTCTTGTATGCATCCAGGTTTTTCTTATTCTGACTCTTGTATTTCTAGAAAGTTTTTGTATGAAATATGTAAAATGGTGTGCATGTCATGGTGACACTGCCATGAAAAATTTTGAAAAACACATCATACGCTAGTTCTATTTAAAAGTGCGTGTTGACAATGTGCCTCACAACTACCAAAATACCAGCTCCGAGGAATTTCATATATCCCACACCAGAAGCAAGAGCAAAGGTAGGTAGAATAGGAGTCATTATGTTCCCAATTATCACATCAGCGGGTTTGCTGTAGCGAGGCGATCATGCTCATCAATGTCCCTATTTGCGTAGCGATTATTAGTGAATACGTACGCATCGAAAAGTAGCTTGCTCTTATGGAGCAAGTACTGTGAGGACCAAACAAGGGTATTGTCATAAAATACTAGGGCAAACCTACGTAGCTTCCCAAGGATAGCAAATCCATACATCCTTTGTTGTGACCGCTGCAAGGTATCGATCCTCATTGAGCATGTCAAGAGGAAGCTTTCCTTTTTTCTCTTTGTTTTTATTCTGTGAAAAATGTATTAGATAACTTAATGTATGAGCCTATATTGCAGAAAAAACTCACATGAAGAACAAATATCGAAAAGGTAGTCTTCTCTCCCTGTCGTCCGAGCTTCTGCTGCGCAAGCTCGACATCTTTTTGAAGCTCTTTGACTGCGTATTCTAAAGTCGTTCTTGTGTCATCGACTTCATCAACAATCAAGACATTTTTTCCAATCAAGTTTGCCATCTCAAGCGAGCTCATATCAAGCCATTGTGTTCTTGTAACTTTGGTGCCTGGTGTTTCAATTTCACCTTTACCGAGATCTTCGTAAAGGGAAAGACCAATGGCTTGGATTGGAATATTGGGAGAGCCAGTTCGTCTGAGGAATGATCTGCACATTAAATATTGATCAGAATGCGGTCCTTAAAACCTATCGGTCGCCCAACCCCCCAGGGTGCTGTAGACTCCGGTGCCATATGGGACCTAAGAATATAAACTAGGCAGCACAGACCTTAATATCCTGGCGGGTACGTATCCTCCTCCCCCAATAGCGATCATCAGATTTGGGTGGAAATCATTTAGAATCCTATCAGCAGATTGTTGGCATAGTTTATGCACCTAGAGAGTCACCGGGGACAGTTAACAGGAAAAAAATTGCTTGTAACCAAGAGGGCATATTCTAGGTAGTTATCCCTTGCTAGGTTCCCAAAGCCCAAGCACGAGATTGTTCAACGTACCTGGTTGTATGTAACGTAGACCTTGTCTGGCATGATGTTCTCGACACTGTTTTGAATATTTCTTACTTCGCTTGAGATGAAGTTATATCACTACTGATTGCAACAATAAATAGAGAAATGTACAGAATTGTTTGCTACATATATCCTTGTCAGCTGGATGATAATATCAACGACCAGAGGGAGGAGAGTAACATACCAGGTCTTCTCAACAGTCAGATAATTCGCCGCCACCAATTTCTAAGATATGTCTAAGTTAAACGATTCGAGGAAAAAATTAAAAGGTAAAAAAGAGGGGGTGGAGAGTGCAGCTTGGATTACATATAAGTCTGAAGCTCAGAAAGCGGGATGAAAGCCGCGGGAACGATAAACAGGTGTGGCTTGGTGATAAGGGCAAAGCCCTCGCACTGGGCGCTCCTAGAGGGCTCTGATTCGCCAGGTGAGGCTGCCAAGCCGCGCTTCGTCCCCGGTCCGCCCAACCCGCGCTTTTCTTTTAACGATCACAAAGCCAAAACTTCGGAGTCGGCCGAACAGACGTCAATAATAGAGAGCTTTCATTGTTAATCTACGGAGGACTAACTAACCGCCTATGGCACTATCCCTGAGCTATGCATGTAATACTGGAACAAACTAGCCTGGTTGGGTCTCTCACGCGTTTGTCGTGCTGCAGCTCTCTCGGCCGCTTGTTTTTCATACTCCTTCCTATAGTCGGGGTCGTCATCGTACTCCTCGTCTTCGTCAAAGCACCAAACCTCCACGCCATCATCATAGACAAAAACAAGAAACTTGTCATCCCCACGAATACCATTGGGCACCTCGCAGACCTTTTCGAAAAGCCTAGAAGCCGGTACCAAAATTCTCAACCCCTCTATTCGAACAGACCTCCACCCTTCAGGGCTTCGAGGGTCCAGAATGAGTAGGAAGGGCCCATCGGCTCGCTGGTGGAATCGATATGCTATTTCTTCAGATACGATAACTTCCGATGTTCCGGTGTAGCATCGGCATCGTGATGAAAGCTTATCGTTCTGATACGTGCGCACAAGAAATTTTTGCAAAGGCTTGCTGTAAGTCATAAATCCGACATAGAGACTCGTATCCAATGCAGGAAGTGGGTTCTGAGGGCAAACAATGCACGCCCCAGAGTGATTGAGAAACAAGGGATGTCTCCATTCAATATTAGGCAAATCGAATGGCACCTCGATTTTGAGAAGATTTCCGTTCTTCGGAGAGCTTATGTCGGTTACTTTTGCCTTTAGGTTTGTTGTATTATCTGCTGTATTCTGCTCTTTTCCGGTAGTTTTCGCCGGTGGTGTTATCCGTATAGGGTATAGAGCCATGAGGCGGTCCTCCATTGCATCCAACACTAAACAAAGAGGCATTCGAGGAAGAAGCACCTCCCGGCTCACGTCAGAATTCAAGTTCCAAACCAGTACTTGGAGGTATCCAAAAGAAACAGCGACTGTTTCGCCATCAACAGCGAAGTCGGTCACCTTGCTTCCATCAGGCAGGCGGAACGTTCCTTTTTTCCCTGATCGATGATTCCATACTTCACACCAGCTACATAGAAATATTAGCTCAGCTGACAAAAGAACACATCATTTGCATACCAATTCAGAAGGACGGCAGCTACAATTTCTTCATTCAATCGAATATGGGCAATGACGTGTGTTGGCGAGAAAGTTATCACTTTGCTGGTACGCAGGTTGAGCACGCGCAGCGAAGGTGGCAATCCGGGCCCCGAAGTTTGGTATGCAACCATGCCACTCGAATAAGTTACATGGGATGCTTGTTCGTTAAATCTCCGGGCAAAAATAAAGAGAGCTTTGCTAAAGGGTCTTCCCATTTTCAAAGCCAGGTGCTGCTTAGCGTATTTAGTAAATGTCTCCTCCCAGGTAGGAGCGGTAGTATCGAGATTTCGGGAGGGAATAAAAGACTGGAAACTAGTCTTGCAAGCGGTCGAGATAGAAAACAATTCATTCCATCGTTTTGACACCTAGATTGTGAGATATTAACCTAGGAGAACCAACGAAATTATTCTTTCGCAATCAGTTTTTGAGCCTCTTCAAAACATACCATGCGCATGATGAAAATTTCGGAGGGCTCCAGATAGAACGCGACCTGAAAAACTAGTTCCACTGGCATGTTTCCAATAACATCAAAACATAGTGACTTGGAAAGCACATTTCGCAATTCATCAACCCTTTTCGCTATGGTTTGGAGTCTGTGAATTAACGCCATTAGCGCCACTTATTTGCTATCAATATCAGAGTTATGATAGACATACGCTTGCTTCTGGGACCCAGTATCCAAGGCTTGAAAAGCTTCAATCACGTTCTTAATATCAGTAGAGTCGCCCATCTTGGCACCAACTGTTCAAAAAGGCAGTTGTACTATGTTCTCATTAGCATTATATATGAAATTTATCTTAAGAGTTTGTCGGATGCCAACATTTGTTTATCCAATATCAGGCATTCAGTGCGATATCATTGCAAGTTAGAACCAAGTTGAACACAAAAGAGGGCAGCTCAAGCATGTACGAGCACACACAAATGGGTTGACAAGTGGTTTGAAAACCAAATATAGCAACATGTATTACAAAACATGCCATTGTTTCTAAAGGTGAAATGTTTTGACAGGAGAGAATTCACTGGAGAAATCAACAACAGCGCTATCACGTGCATGGTATAACTATACAAAAACAGGCAATACCCGGTACCAAAAAGGACATAGTCTGAGGGTACTTCCAACATTGACCAGATTGAGGGATTATCAATTGCTGAGCACTTAAGTGAAGCATAGCGATGAAATGACTTTCCATATAAGACTAGCTTGTACAGAATCTTTGTCCAAAAACAGAAGCGTGGTTATCAATGTTGAAGCAGCTCGACGATATATGCCTGCTATAAGCAGTATTTTCATGGAAAGGCAAGCAATTGACCTGCCGTTCCATCATAGCCCTCAGTCCATTAGACATGAAAGTGTCCAAGCAGGAACAATACAAGAAAAGTCACGGCTATCGAAACGGTCTTGGATCACCCACGAGCCATACCGATAACGAAGAAGAGCATCCACCCGGAATGGGTATAATCAGCATTGCAGGTAGGTATGGGTGCGGCTAGATCTATCGGACGAGTACACAGTGAGAGGCAGTGCAAGGCTGGGGAAAATGTTGCATGGAAGCATCTGATAGAACGCCACTGATAATACCGGATATCGAGGAGCGCTGAATGCAGGACCGGATCTAGACACTGGCCTGTGTCTCGAGGACCTGGAGTTCAAAACAACGAGAGCCCTCAGACCATGCGGTCGTCAGGGCGTTTGTTTGGAGTGAGAAGAACTGCTATCCCAAATCGGGTAACAAGCGTGGCTATTAATACTCCTCACCAGCGGCTAGCGAGCATTATTCCGTGGTTCTATCATCAATGCGGTTAGGGGAGAGCGCAACGAGTTCCGTTGTTTAAGAACCCAGGATGAAATTCATGCGGCCTTCGGAGGCTATGGCGTTTCCATCGAACTAGTTTTACTTAACTAGTGAGTTAACAACTAGCTAGCCCGGCCGGTTGCCGTTTAGTTCGCTTTGGATGCGACTGCCCGATGCTCCAGATACTCAGTCAGCTAACCGAAGATGTCAGGCAGAAAGGGCTGGTTCGTTAGCCATCGTGTATCGTGAAGATCCAATGCCCAGCTTGTGACCTGTCTGTCGCCGGCTGCAGCAGCCACCTGGCCGGACACAGAATTTGATTCCAAACGTCTTCTAGACTGGTGCAGGGCCTTTCGAGAAGCCCAGTCAAACTTCCAGCCAGCAACCGGCCACTGGGGCCCTCTCGCCAGGCTCACCCGCTAACTCTCACGGGATGGCGGAGGGCGTGAACGACAAAACATCGGCTCCATCCCTGGCCCTGGCCCTGGCCGTGCGCACACCCCGACGTCAAGGAATGCGAAACAAGGGGTGGGCGTGTGGATCTGCGACCGTGAGAGGTGCTCGGGAGAATTATCAAACTGTTAAGATATTACCAAGGGGCGGTCGCGGCGCCGTTCGACGTGACGTGCGATGCTGCGCGTGAAGGCCCGAGTTATGTACGTTTGCTGTGTCGTCGGCTGGTAGCCAGCGACCCGTTTGAAGCTGCCAGGTCCGGAATAGTTAACTGGTTAGACCGTTGCAAGCGCTATTGTTTTACTAGTTAGCAGTCCGACATGCCCATCCCCAGTAAATCCTTCGCGGTCTTCCAGCACCTCGCCTCGTCTCACCTCCAGAGCTGTCGAGCCTATCCCTAGCGATCCGCCCGGCTAGTGATACAGCCCATCCTGGCCGTGTTTCTTTATCTCAGCCTTCTTGCGGAGGGTAGCATGTAAAAACGCCAGGGCCGTTGCATCACGTCCTGTGATTGTGAGGCCGGTTCCCTTGTGTAGAGTGGCAGCTGGTCGCCCGTAGTCCAGAAGCGCTGCATGTCGTTATCTTCCCCGGCTTCTCCACACTTTCTCTCTTCACCACCACCACCACCACCACCTCCTCCTCCTCCTCCTCTCCAGCTCGCCCCAGCACCATCGCCCTACAGATATTCTCCGTGCGCTGCCTGTTTCCCTCTAAGCAGCATCCCGGCGCCCAATGACTCGCCGCTAACTGTACTATTTCTGGTCTAACTACCCTTGCACGCAGCTGCTGCGGCAGCTCCAGCCTGGTCGCCCCCAGCCTGTGACGGCCCCAAATACCCTCCCTGTCGCCCACACTGGACAGCCTGTCCATTTCGAATGAGCTGGTCTACCGTGCCCGAACGCCCTGCACACGTACCGCCGGCCGAGTTCCTAGCTTTCGTTGCCCCTCTCGATTCCTTGGGTCGCTAGCTTTGCGTCTTTCCACGGTTAGGCTGTGGATGCCAGCTGCTTACACACCCACACAACCCTCCCTCACCGAGGCACCTCCGGCCGGACTCGAGAAGTGAACGCCAGAATATGATCGCCGAGCTCGCATGTATGGATGGTTAAATCGCCAATGCCCTCATTGTCACTTGCTACTGCCTTTGCGGGACCCGCTCCGTCTCTTTGCTTCCCCGCTTAAGCCGGCGCATCTTCCAATTCTCCGCGACGCCGAACACTTTTGATACTGGGGCCATTGCCGTTACAATTCTGGAAGCTTGGTTCCTTATCACCTGTTGCGCTAATCACCTAGGCACCTTTCTGGCCTATTCTTACCAAGCTCCTTCGATCTGCCGTAAAGCTTGCCTTTTCTCCTGGCCGTTCGTTTCCCCCCTCCCCCTCCTGCGGTCGTGAACGCTGCGCTACAATGAATCGTGTTCACGAACCCCCTTCGAGAAACCCCTTTTCAGGCGCCGTGGAGATGACAGAAACTAGAAACATCCCCGTGCTTTCGGCATCCATCTCGCCTTCCGATCATCCGGCCGGTGACCCTATGGATGTTAGCCCTCCCGCTTCTGCCGCCATGGGCCCGCCATCGCAGAGTAGCCCCGAGATTGACCAGGGACATACAAATGGGAACACTTTGGAAGTAGGCAATGCTCAGAATGCGACCTCGACGCAGCCCACTGGAGCTGCTGCGGCTGCACAGCAGCCAAAGGTTGTGCAAACAGCCTTCATTCATAAGCTGTATAGGTACGAGACCCCAAGGCTGCGCGAGGATTGGCTACAGAGTGTTTTCTAACCGCATTCTGGCAGTATGCTTCAAGATTCGAGCATTCAACATTTGATCTCCTGGTCAAGCTCCAACGAAAGCTTCGTTATGTCTCCTTCATCTGATTTTTCGAAAGTTTTGGCGTATGTGGCCCTTTTCTCCGCTTTTTGCCGGGGGTGAAGCTGACTTCCTAAATCAGCCAATATTTCAAGCACACGAATATCTCTTCTTTCGTCCGACAATTAAATATGTATGGATTTCACAAAGGTAAGCTCAGACCCTCTTTACCTTAACGCCAACTGTTCTCTGATCAAAATGCCAAGTGAGCGATGTATTCCACACTGGTTCGCCAGACTCCCCCATGTGGGAGTTTCGGCATGGGAATGGAAATTTCAGAAAAGGAGATCTCTCAGGGTTACGCGAAATCAAGCGACGCGCGTCGAGGCATGCGCTGATTCACCGGGATTCGTTCTCTGTTCACAAGAACAACGCTTCTCAGCCTGGGACCCCCGCTGAGCCCGCTCCTGAGGCTCCCGACAACAGAATGATCAACTTAGAACACTCGCTTTATGAAGTCCATTCGCGATTATCTCGAATGGAAGACCAGCACGCTCTACTGAATTCAAGGTGCCAAGCGCTCACAGATAGCCTAATCCGGTGTCACCAAGTGGGCATTCTAAATTCCACCTAAGTGTTTCATTTCTAATTCATCTTTCTAGTGGGCGAACTCGATGTCTCACTTCATGATTTCACTGGTCCCTGACCCGGAAAATGCAATACATCGTGATGGTAGGTGGATTCGATCCTTTTGACAAACTAACGATACTAACGCCATGCAGCTGCCAACATGCAACGTGAAGTAGCGAGACAACTTGACGCTATCCGTGCGTTAGAGTCTCCAACCGAGCTGTTTGTGTCTGGGCGACAGCCTTACTTCGCCAACTTGACCGTTGACACTGGAGCACCACTGTCACCCCGGCAAGTTGGCCAGGATTCGCGGAGAACCTCGATTGCGCGCCCACCAATGCCACCTCACATATCGGTCTCACCTCACCGCTTTGGATCTGTCAGCGGCGCAAATACCGGCGGTTCTGGATTTAGCCGACCCCCTCCTGCGCCACAGCAGCCTGCGCCACATCCTCTCTCAATATCTTCGCCACCGGGCCCTAATCTTGGCAGGCGTCACACCTCGGCGGATATTCGCCAGCACGGCTGGCCGGGCTCGGGCATATCTCCTTTTTCTGCTGGGGCAAATTCCTCTCAGTGGCCGCCCTCGCCTCAGAGAGTACCTACAATAACCGACCAACAGGTTCAAGACGTGCTCTCAAGGTATGAAATGGGGAAGCCACGCCAGCCACCAGATACAAGACAGCCTACCCCTCCGTTATCGCTCGACCCGGCACAAGCTTCAGAAGGTGGCTGGGCTATTGGAGGCCCTAAATTTCTTCGCCCCACTGAATCACTCCCCGCCACTCGACGCTCAAGCATGGCCAGTAACGTGCATTCTTTACTCAACCCCGCAGAGACGCGAGAGCGTGCCGAAGAAGAAGATGCTGCAATGAGTGAAGATCGCAAACGGAAACGGCTTCAGTGATGCGGCCTCGAGCCGAATATTTTGAAACAACAAACCCCTGAACCACGGAACCTTCTTAACACATGCAGATAATGCAGCGTACAATAAATATCCTTACTGGACAACAGGACCACCACTATTACTCACGAAATTACGTCTCTCTAGCATGCTACCTCGCTTTTCATCGGACCTTGCGTTGATGATGCTTCCCCCTCTTTTTTCTTTCCCTCGTTCCTTGTCTTGCTCGTCGGCACATGATCCTTATTAAGTACCCAATACCCTTATATCTATTTGATTTGGCGATCACTAACTTTATGCTTTTTTTGGTTATTGGGTATTCAACCTTCCCATCGCTAGTGTTAAAGAGTCCCCTAGCTATCATGAATTCCCTCTCCTCCTCTTTTCTTTCCAATTATGGAGCTCTCACAAGCTAAACCCACAGTACAGCTGTTCTGTTTTCCTTTGTGTACTTTTCTGACCTGCCATACCAACAGTTTTTGGGTATCAAAATTCTGTACCTTGTAACATCTCATTATCATATTCTAGCTTTGGCAGATATGTTTGCTATATATCTTGGTGGCGCTTTTGCAGAGTTTCTGCAAAAAAAAATCTTCATTTCTTGTTTGAGTATCTTGTTGGCTTTGTGTTTTGATTTAGTATAACTCACTGTACTTGGTACTGGATATCTACTGCAATTGAGTATAGTAAATATCTCTTCTACTCCCTCTCAGCCTCCTTGTTAAAAATTATCTTTTCAAAACTAACCATACTTGCTTCTTCCTTCAGGGATATGCACCATGTGCTAATCACTTTTTGCACTTAATTCCGTCAGATTTCTGATTATTACTTGAGAGTGTCTATCTTAGTGACCACTGCCAAACATGAAACCAGACCCTCAGGTTAAATCTTGCCAGTTAAATGGTGTTTGTGTGTGCATGAGAATGACACAAAACATATTGTAATGGGAAGAACATAAAACAACTTCTAGGGTCTTCTTGACTAGAGCGATGCATTTTTCACGACACATCAACTTCCATAACACAACACATTAGCTCAGCATTTCTGAAAAACAGAAACCTTCACATTCTACTGCATGCAACTTGTGATATGATACCTTGATACCACTTGAGAGGATTGAAGTCCATTACCCTTGTCCCAGATGGAAGTGGTAGCAATGACTGAGCCTGAAAATCCTGGATTGATATACTCTAGCGATGACGACGTGCCTCTGGCGGCAAGACGACAATCCAAAACGAGTATACTCACGGAACGGTTGCCAGAAAAAGGCAATATCAAGCCGACGACAGATCTAACCGCGTAAGTGTCATTGAAAAGAAACCATCGGCGTTTAATTATGGCTAACCCTGAACAGGCAACCATTCCGCTCTGTTGTGATACTACGCGTCGGAGCTAAGCGAGAAGAATTCTTTCTTCATACGCATGTTTTTGCGGGCAAGTCAAAATGGTGCCTACAGCGTCTCGGAAATCTGTCCTCGAAAACATTCGATCTTGACTGGCTGGAGGCTGACGTGTTTGGCGACTTTGCAAATTGGCTATACCACAATATCCTACCAAGTCAAGAAAGCAAGTCTGACGATGAGTATTATTCTCATTTGAAAGACTTGTATTTACTCGCGGAAGAGTTTGGGGTTGAAGGGCTTGCGGGCGATGTTGTGAATAGAATGTTCAATTTCTTCTCACGAGCCAACCGCAAGATGTCCTCCTCGCTAGTAGAAAGCATCTACAAATCGACAGGCCCAGAATCAAAATTGCGGCGTTTGGCAGCAATTATGTACGCGCACGGCTATGTTAAGGGAATGGTTACCCTGCCGGAAATCTTAAACGACGTGATTATAAAACAGCGAGAGGACTATCAGTTGTTGAAAGAGAAAAATATCGAGAACAGGGCCGCCGCTATGGTATCGAAAACTCAGGGTAGACGCAAATACGGGGAGCGAGCCACGAGTGCCGAAAATATCCAGGAGGTGTTTGGTCTTGGTACACAGAGCGACACACAGCCAATCTCAAAAAGGACAAGAGCCAGTACGGAAGCGCCCAAGCCAATAAATTCTGCCACCTTGTTGAGTCGCTTTCAAACTCTTAGAGGTAAATAAAGTGGCGTCGTCCCTAAACATCAGTCTCCATTGCGTTTTTGTTTCTTCTTTTTCGACCTTGAGGACAGAATTTCGTCTAAATAACTACTGGTTCTCTTCTTGTTTGAAGTTGCCCTCCCTACTTGACCAGTATCCGTTTTACCGGCATCAACGCCTTTCACTGGACGTGATATTCCCTTTTTGTTTCGCATGCCCAATGACGATCGGCTTTCCTCCTCGTCCGTGTCTGATTGCGGTACTTCTTGTAATTTATTTGGTTGTTTTGTCTGCTTTATGTTACTTTTCCGAGAAACCATGGTTTTGGCATTTTTGCCTAACAGTTGCTTTCTTAATTTGTCATTGGAGCTAAGTTCTAGGCGATTCCAACTCCCGTCAGCCTGTTTGTCCGGCAATGGAGCACCCAGTCCAAGTCTGCAAAGTAATTAAATTGTATTAGCTTCTGAGTGCTCTGTATTAAATTCTCTGACTACCAGTATTAACGCACTTCTCTGGAACCGGAGTGAATATTGCATCTTCCTCCTTTCGAAGCTCTTCTTCCGTCTTCTCGTTCGCAATATCTGCTTCGGATTTTGGAGGCAACCAGGAAGCAATTAAGCGTTGGCTTCGTGCCAATGCCACATTAGCCCTATTAAAGACGACTTCAGCCTCAGAGGCAGAAGATACCATGTTGTAGAATGGCCAATTTGTACGCCCTCTACAGAGACACGAATTCTTTGCCGAGATCCAACGGTTTAAGATCGCGGCTCTGCGGGTAAACGGATTAATATTATTACGATACCAGGCCAAATTGGGGCTAGTGCAGTCACTCTGACACTCCCGCAACTTCTCTCGTTTGGGAAATCGAGACGTTGTCGCCGGAAAACCTTGGGGCAGTGTTCCGTGCAAGCGACTCTCATCTCCTCTCTCTCAAGTTTTGCAATCTTTCTGGTTTTCTTGTTTCTGATTTAAGTCGGTTTGTTTTCACAATGTTCAAGCTCGCGCGCAGCAGATCGATTGCTGCCGTTCTAAGGCCTGCAGTGGTAAGGAAGCTCAATGTCAACATCAGTTTTACACGCGCTCTTTCTGCCCCGCCCCTCCAGAACATACGTGGTACTGATAATAATTTGTTCACAGGAAACACCTTTCAGAAGTGCCTTCCAAAACCAGAGGAGAAACCTCGCCATCCACGAATACCTTTCTGCCAATGTCTTAAAATCTGTCCGTACATTACCTGCATAGATTAGGGACGATCTACGACTAATTCCGCTGTAGTACGGCATTGGTGTGCCAAGAGGTGAAGTTGCACGCACTGCAGACGAGGCTGAAGTTGTTGCAAAGGAGCTTGGTATGTTCTCGTAACATATGCTACTTACTTGTCAGACATATGCTTATCTATCATTAGGCGGAGAGGATGTGGTTATCAAGGCCCAGGTACTAGCTGGTGGTCGAGGAAAAGGGACTTTTGATAATGGCCTGAAAGGCGGAGTTCGCATTATATACTCGTGGGTATACCTCTGGCTCGCTAGTTCCATCTAACAATGAACTAGGCCAACCGAAGCCCGAATGTTTGCGAGTCAAATGATCGGCCATAACCTCATCACCAAACAAACCGGAGCCCGAGGACGGTTATGCAGCTCCGTCTATATCTGCGAGCGTAAATACGCCCGCAGAGAATTCTACCTTGCTGTCCTTATGGATCGAGCATCGCAATCACCCGTCATCGTTTCCTCTTCGCAAGGCGGTATGGACATTGAAGCTGTTGCAAAAGAAAGCCCGGAAGCCATTACAACTACCCGGATCGACATCAAAGTTGGCGTTACTGATGAAATCGCCCGAAAAATCGCCGCTGGCTTGGGATTTTCAGAGCAATGCATCGAAGAAGCCAAGGACACGATCCAGAAGTTATATAAGGTCTTCATGGAGAAAGATGCAACACAGATCGAAATCAATCCGCTAGCCGAAACCACCGACTACAGAGTCTTGGCTATGGATGCCAAACTTAACTTCGATGACAATGCCGAATTCAGACAAAAAGAGGTCTTCTCTTTAAGAGACACTACTCAAGAAGACCCTGATGAGGTCAAAGCTGCTGAGTTTGGTTTGAACTTTATCAAGTTGGATGGTGATATTGGTTGTTTAGGTAAGCCGGCCTTCCATCCTTTTTAATGTAATGGCTAGCTCTAATATTTTGAAGTCAACGGAGCTGGCTTGGCTATGGCAACTATGGATATCATCAAACTCAACGGAGGCAACCCTGCCAATTTCCTTGACGTTGGCGGTGGTGCTACTCCTTCTGCGATCAAATCTGCCTTCGAACTCATCACTAGCGACCCCAAAGTCACTGCCATTTTTGTCAACATCTTTGGAGGAATTGTTAGGTGTGATGCCATTGCCCAGGGTTTGATTAATGTCGTCCGTGATATGAACCTTCGCACTCCCATCGTTGCTCGTTTACAGGGCACTAACATGGAAAAAGCCCACCAGTTGGTACGTTCGTAGCTTTCCTTTCGGCGCCTTGAATACCATAACTACGTGGCAGGTTGCTAACAACGTCTTCTAAGATCAACGATTCCGGTCTCAAGATTTTTTCGATCGAAGATCTCCAGAATGCGGCTGAGAAATCAGTGCAGTTCTCCAAGGTCGTCAAGATGGCCCGTGATATTGACGTTGGTGTCGAATTCACGCTCGGTATTTAATTTTGGTCCGCCTCGTTCTTCCATGCTTTCCTCTAGCCATTTTCCCCAGTACTCGAGCAGTTGATCAGCAGCAACTATCAATGAAGCGACTTCACGCCTTCACTGCTAACTTCTTTCCTGCGCGGTCACAGACGAATATGCATGTGGTTGAGCTGATATCGACTGCGATTCCTGGGGACCATGGCTAGGGTGAATACCAGAAAATGTACTTTTTTAGTTTAGATAAAGGGTGGTTTCTATGAAGTAGAGGAAATCATAGAAGGATATCTTGAATTTGCCGTTGTTATTCGCCTTGAGGCTTGTGCCAAAACTTCGTTCGCATTGCCTTTTCATCTTACGTGTATTCTATCCTCCGCAACCTTTTTATAAATTTTTTTTCGCATAGTATACTTGTATATACATACCTTCGTTCCTTCAGGGGGAAATGAACACTGGTCAAATTGGATAAAAAAATTACCTACATATCCTAAGTCACATGTACATATATACAAAATACCCATTCTCTCACGCAATTTACATTAGGGAAAACACAATTACTCACCGACGCCACTGGTTATGCATTCTTTCAGTGAAGCGTGTTTTTGATATCAATCCACCTTTCGGGGGTCCAGGATAGACTGTGATTCTATTTCCTCCGTGTGCATTTCTCACCTTCTTCCTCTCTTTCTCTCCTCTAGGAACGCTCTTCGCAGTTTCCACAGATTAAACATTCGGCTTAATATCATCTGGAAAAATCCCACCCATGTCCAGCCAGCACTCAGCAAGTACACAACTTTTGCTTTGTTGCCCTCCCAGATCCACTTCATCCGCCCGGGGCCTTTGCTCCAGGGCCATATCCATCTCCAAGGAGCGGCCCCATAGAGAATCTGGGTGACAACTTTTCTGGCATAGATCTCATTTGGCATAGCGCCACTCTGGCTGTGAGTAACACGACGCGCATAATCATCGCTGATGGGAAGATAGAGCGAGTTGGGCGGGAGAACACGCTCCAGCCGAGCGATTCGGGATTTAACACCTCCGGTTATAATGGTTGTGACTTGAACACTAGATCCAGGCAGCCAAAGGTTAATTCTCATCTCCGCACAAGAAAAAAAAGAATTCTCGTTTGAATTTGTTGGGGTTTGGGAGTGGTGTAACTACAGACCCGAAAGGCGCCAATTCCGCCCGTAGCGTATCGCTGAAGGAGTGGAGAGCCGCTTTGGAAGCATTATATACTGAGCCAAAGACGTAGGGTATTATCTAAAGGTAGCCTGTTAGTAATTGCAAGTTGTCTAAAAGGTATAAGCAATCGTCGTACCCCGGCGATTGAACCGATTTGAACAATCGTGCCCTGCGCCTTGATGAGGAGGGGTGCAAAAGCCTTGCACATGCGTATAACGCCAAAAAAATTAGTTTCGAAGGTTTTGCGCGCTTCATCTATATCGACGTCCAGCGCCGGTACGGTATAGTCTAAGCGTTTGTGAGAAATCTAGCCCGCAACGAAATATCGTGGGATGAAAGGCGTACTCTGCCCGCTACAAAGGTCACAAACAACGGTTAACGCGACAGAATATTAGAAAAGGGAGAAAAAAGAATACTCACGCATTGTTGACCAGGTAATCCAAGCCCTTTTCTCCCAGCAGCGATACAACTTCATCTCGGCAGGCCAATACGCTCTGGTCTTGATCGACTTCTAAACTTAAAGTCTCAATCCCCCGCTGATTCAGGTCGGAGAGAGTGTTTCTGTCCCTTGCAGTGGCAAATACACGAAGCCCATTCCGGTGGAACTCGAGGGCCAGCGAATGGCCTATACCGCCGGGGGAGCATCTATTCCAGCAAATATTGGGTCAGCTGCAGGCGAAGTATGTATGTATGTATATAAAATTATGCCATACATACTTTCGAGGGGCGCACGTACCCAGTGATGAGAACAGATTTTTGATTTTCCATTGTTATAAATACGGCTTTAGAAAAAACATACAGCAAATTGTTTTGACGAAAGACGGAGACCCGAGAAAGTCGCGTCTGCCGTTCCGCAACTCGCGATCACATGGAAATCGCTGGGCCGCGGATCTATGTCGGCCCGAGAGGTTAGTTTTCTGCCCCGGTTACCCAACTAGGCAACTACCTCCACGATCACTTTCGTGTGAAATCAGAGAAACTTCACATGAGGGACTGCAGGACACGCCGCGATACAAGTCCGCTTCTTGTTTGGCGACTCTCTTTCGAGCCTCGTGCATAATCACAAGGCACGTTTCTTCATCCACAGAAGGACAATCTTGTCAAGATTCCCTGGTCACAGACTCTTCCAAAAACTTGGTTGGAATAGTAACATACTTTGCCATCACTACAAAGAATTCTCTTCAAAGATAGCGGCCAACCACTTCCCATACAAATTCCTGGTTTTGGATGTTATTACACCATTCATAGTTGTCCATCAACTCCTGAATTGCATAGGTAATAAGGAATCAAATAACTAAATAGTGCATTGAAGGTTTGCAGCTATTGATACACATGAGTGGTTTCTGATGGAGACTCTGTTGGATTGCCTTTAGCCAACACATCCATACTAGACCCTCTATCACTGCTTCGCCAAATACCTTCAAGGCCGACCTGGAATCAAGTGGGATATCCATAAAGCTGGCGTGTGTCACTATAAGAGCCCAGCATCCGTCAGCTGGTATCATCGCTACTTGACCTAGCTCGACGGCTTCCTGCGCTGATTTACGCATGGTTATAACTGCCAATTTTAGTATTGTCAGAGAATCCCTAGGTGGAGAGCAAGACTGCGTACTGTTTTGGGTGCCCAGGTGGGGGTTTTTCATCCACCCTCCACATGTGGAGACAAGCGACAGTGTATCCAGTGTCGAAAGCAGTAAATGAAAGAACCCAACTTGTGCCTTGGGCTTATATGAACCACTAACGTGGCACATATCATGCCTTGACGCCCAACTTGGTAATAGACCTGGGCCTTCACGGGCCTGGGCGTACATGGATTCATGTCTAGTACCGCAAAATTGTCTAATCGATGCGAAATGATAGCGGTCAATGTTTCCTCTAGACTTTTGTGGCTGGACCAAATACTGTCATGCATGTCTTCTGCTATCGGTTTGTTTCCTAGCATGATAATCAGTCGCTTCAGGCTTTTAATATCTACAATTTCTTTGGCCAGATTTGTCTCTTGTCGGTAATCCTCCGCCGAAATAACATTGTCCTTATGCAAGCCAGTAACCCCATCCACATAGGTTTTATAGTAGCATATATTGCTTTCCAATTGCTGCAATTTTAGCCGAAGAAACGGGTTTATCGACGAAGTAGTCTGGGGTAAGCCTGACATCTGGTCTTCATAGCTTGCTGTTCTGGCTATTTGGAGTTTCAGGCTCCCCTGATATGCCGCCGAGAGCAGTGAGGTGTACTTCAAGGTACTCAAGGACTCCAACATCGCCAAAAATACGAATATTTCGTAGAAGCTACTAAATAGAGGATAGCAATGAAAACACAGACCTTTGGTTGATAATTAGAAGAGAAGCTATCAAGGGATCTCAGGGCGTCGCGTCGCTTCACAAAAAAAAGAAACGACAAACGGAAAGCGCCATGACCGAGGAAAAGGACGAGAGCCATCTCAACTGAGAGCAGCCGATGAGTCCGGAGTCAGCAAGATTGGCATCGCCATGCTCTCCACTTGAGGCCGATCAGATCTCTAAGCGAGCCGTTCGGCGCCATGACACGCCCCGCGAGCTTGAACCGGCTTGGCTGCGACCAAGATCGTTTTGCGCCAAACAACTTTCTTCTCTCTCCAACATCTGCGTGATTCTCAATCATCGGAGGCCGTACTGCGGGACACAGACGCCCGTGCCACCCTCTTCCCTCAGAAGCGAACGACCACCGCTCCTGGATCTCGGATTTAGTTCCATATATTTGCGTTCGCGATGCCGACATCCCGGCATCGCCCTGGTGCGTGGAGATGCAGTGCCCCTCAGCCGTCCCAAGACACCTGCGTTTGCCGGGGGACGATGGCTACCGGACTCCGACCATCGAGGATGTAGAGAGGGGTCCGCCTGCTCTCCATTCGCTGTCGCAGGCGCCGTTCGACGACGAGCTATCACCGGTCGTGGCCGTGATCTCGAGGCGTCGTCGGTCCTGCTCTGTCCACCACAATCCCAGTGCTGGGATCGTGATCAATGGAGACACAAGATCCCCGCCGCCGGTGACGGGCGACGCCTGCTCGACCCTAGGGCCCCCGCTCGCTCTGGTGGATAGTATCCCCAGTAGTTTGCCTTGGAGAGAGAGGTTGAGACATATCACCTGGGCGTATTTCACCTTGACCATGGCCACGGGGGGGTTGGCCAATGTTCTCTACCAAGGTGTGTTTTCCTACCCAACGCTATTCTATCCTGGGAGAAATGACCCAGCTGATATGGTGTGCGCCAGTCCCGTATCAGTTCAAAGGTCTGGAGACTATTTCTATCGCTATCTTCATTACAAACATAGCGTTGTATTTGATCATATGGATGCTGCTGCTGCTACGGTTCTACATGTTTCCGTATACTTTCAAAGCATCGTTCCTCCATCCTACGGAATCTCTTTTTGCTCCCGCTGCGATCGTGTCCTTTGGCACCATTCTCATCAATATATCCCAGTATGGACCATCTAAGACCGGAGAGTGGCTTCAACAAGCTGTTGTTGTGCTCTTTTGGTTCGACGCAGCTTTGGCGGTAGTTGCATCTGCCGCGATATACCTTGTTTTGTACGTGATATAGACACCGCGATCCGAGGCGAAGTTCCATACATACTGATTCGCCGTCCCAGGTGGTCAACCCAGACCTTCACTATCGCCCAAATGACGCCCATCTGGATATTTCCGGCTTACCCCATGCTGATTGTCGGCCCACTCGCCGGCGTTTTGAGTGCCAAACTGCCTCAAGCTGATGCGTGGCGTATCATCATCGGAGGCAACACCATCCAGGGCATTGGCTTTCTGGTATCCATGATGGTATATTCTGCCTTTATCTATCGATTGATGACACAAAAGCTTCCAAAGGAAAACCTACGTCCGGGGATGTTTGTCTCTGTGGGACCTAGTGCGTTTACGGTGGTGGGGCTTGTGTCAATGGGGAGCAACGCCTATCGCGCTGTTCCCGATGGGTTTCTGGGAGATTCGCAATTGAGCGCAAAGATTATCTGCATTGTGGCATATTTTGCATCTCTTTGGCTCTGGGGGTATGTACTCGCACTTAAGATCTGCCGTTTAACTAACAGTGTTGCACATAGACTGGCGATCTTTTTTTTCTTTATAGCCATCTTCGCACATACCTCGATTGTCGGTAGCTCAACGATGATCTTCTCCATGACGTGGTTCTCTTTTGTGTTTCCCAACACTGCTCTGGTGACATCCACTTTTGCCATTGCCCGAGCGTTTTCGAGCCGTGCGATTGGTATCGTCGGCTGTGTGCTGACTGTGTTCCTCTTCTTCACTTATTTCTTTGTCTTGTACATGATGGTTCGAGCGATCAGAATGCGACATATTCTATGGCCCCAAAAGGGCGAAGATAGAGACGAAGGAGGATTCAAGACCTACGAGGTCCAACCTATAACTTGATCCTTAAATGAAAAACCGAGAATCTTAAAAACAAAAGTACAATGCTAGGTGAGTGCTGAGAATATTTGCACGCCTATGTGTTTTTTTTTACCGTTTTTTCTACTATTTGAAGGCCACTTTTCCTCCAAATTTAGCATAATACATAATCTTGCATTGCTTATCCACTTTAGCTGATTGAAATTCTATGCATACTAAATCTAGGCCGTTATCGCTATATATGTAGTTACACTAACTTTCGACAAAAAAACTCAGGGCGGAAGTCTCAGACAACTCGTCTCACTTTTCCCGTCTCAACTTCATACACCCAACCAGAGATCGGGATCCCCGGAAGCACCAGGCTCTGGGCTCGCAGCCAGTCCACATCCGACCTCACAGCCTCCTCCAGGTCCGGAAACGGCTGAAAGTCAATGGCACCGGCCTCCGCGCGGACGTGCGCACCCAGATTCTTCTCTGCGATGGCGCGAGCGTCCTCGTTCGTGAAGGTCAGCATGCCGCAGCCGGTGTGCTTGACGAGCAGGATCTCTTTGGTGCCCAGGAGCTGCTGGGAGATGACGACGGAGCGCAGGGCGTCGCGCGCGTTGGCCCCTGCGTTGCGGATGATGTGGGCGTCGCCGAGATCGATGCCGAAGGATGCAGCTGGGTCGATGCGCGCGTCCATGCACGTTACTGGGGCTAGTTAGATATCAGATGGCCTGGCGTGGGATAGTATGTGAACGCACCGACGAGGTAGCTCTTTGCCGGCGGAAGGGCAAGGTGTCCCTTGTCGAAGCTGGAAGCGTAGTCGGCGTTCCGGGACTGCATGTTCTGCTGGATGGGTGTTTCTGCCGCCATTTTGTCACGAAGTATGAATAGACTGGATAATGCTGAATTTAAACTATGTATGCAATTGCTGTGATGCTGTAGAAAGCAAAATAAAATAAAAACTCCCAATCTCACCCCGTATTAAATAGCTAGCTATATATCTACTATCTAGCAATAGACGACAAAAATCTCCCCCCGCTCCCCCTCCCTCCGCAGAATTTCAAGCAGCCGGCCAACTTGAGACAGGAGTGCATCTCGCTTCCAACGCACCTGCTCTCTCTTCTCTCTCTCTCACTCTCTCTCGCATCGGTTAGTTCGTTGCGTCCCCCTCTCAAACACACATCACACCGGGGGGGGGACAGGCTCCATTCTTGCCGGTGCCGCTGACGACGTGGCTGGTTTGCAAACTGCAGCAGTGCAGCTTCTCGAGCCACGAGGGGAGGGAGGGAAGGGTTATTTGCTGTGCTACGTTCGGAGTGCATACTTCGTAGTTATGATGATGATGATGATGATTATTATTACTCCATTATTGTTGCAAGGGAGAGAGATGACAATCAGGTAACTACATAAGTTATACATTAACTAGAAAACAAAGCAGGAGGCTTATATTCCATTCTATTTCGAGATCCCCTTTTTGTTTTTTTTTGTCTTTTTGTCTTTGCCGTCGCTGGGTCTGGCCACGACAGGCCAGGCCAGGCAGGTGGCGTATAATTAACCATTTAAGTATGCATGCCAGCCTTATCCTGCAGAAAATATGTAGAACTCTCCAACGCACCGAGATAACCAGTAACTAGTCAGTAGTGATAGCACTGCTAGTCGTCAACGACGCTCCCTCCCAGCATCCGAATTCCCGTCACCCACCCAACATGCCAAACAAACACGCAGCTCGAGCAGTCCAGCAGTGCAGGAACCCGCCCAGGGCAGGCTAGCTAGCTAGCTAGCGAGCTAAACATCTACTTAGTCGTACTCCGTATTATCAACTACCGTTTGTTTCTGAGAAGAAAGGAAGGAAAAAAAAAAGGGGGGGGGAGAAGGGAAGAAATCTTAGCAGCAGCAACCACCCCATAGTACTCCGTACTCCGTACGAAGTAGTTTGGTGGGAATCATTCCCCTGGAAAATAATAATAATAATACGGAGCACGCTCGCTTCCCTCGCTCATTCCACACTAACTAACTGCGAGACTTGGCCGCACCAACCCCCCCTCCCCCCCCCCTTCCCGGGCGCCTAAACCATGCAAGTTCGGGTTGCAAGCCAGGCTGATCCCTGCGTGCAGCGCTGCCCTGCGCGGTTTTACTTATTATCTTTGGGGTTTTGGGGGGGCGGGGGTTTCTGCTCTCTTGCCGGCATAAACCTCGGTTCCTTCCCGTCGGGGGGAACTTGTTCGGCGAGGTTTGGAGCGTGATCGAGCATGGCTGGGAAAAAGGGGGGAGAGTACGGAGGAGTAGTGGCTACGGAAGTAGAAATGAGATATGCCGTCTGGGATTTTCTACCTACGCCGTCGATTGAGAGTAACAAGCAATAAGTAAAAAACAAGGACATAGAAAAGAGCTCGACCAAGTAGGAACACATGAGCAAGAAGAAGAAAAAAGAAAGTGGCGTGCAGGATACATGAGGGCAGCACGTATGCACTGGAGAGAGGTAGAGAGAGAACCGGTAGAAAAAGGGTAAGGCCGTACACTTGGTCAGGTCAGAGGAACATGAGCAATCCGAGGACAATTAGGCAAAAAATAAAAAACGACACGACATGGGAATCATCAGGAGGAGAAAGAAAAAACATAGGACACAAAAGAAAGAGGTGGAAGAAAAATATCAAGAGAGTACAGAAGGAGTCATGGGTTTTTCCAAGGCATGCCGCATGCGTTCGTGTGCGATGTCCATGGGCCTGAGCGTGTACGGCCGTGTGGGGAAGGCGAGGGAGAAGACTTTAATGGGAGTCCGTGACAGTGGTCCGTCGCTCCGGTCGCGGTCTTCGCAGACTCTTCATGCGGTTCATCAGGCCTCCGCCGATGCCAGCGCCGCTGGAGCTCGGCTTGGCCTCGGCGGCAGCGGCAGCGGCGTGCGACGGCGTCACGCCATCGTTGGTGTTGCGGCGCTGAATGGACTTGGGGCTGCTGGCGGAGCGCGGCCGCGGCCCGCCGTTCTTTTTCGCGTCGTTGACGACTTCCTGGATGCGCGCGCTCTTCAGGTCGTAGGCCTCGTCGTAGTCCTGGAAGAACGGGTTCTTGTCGGTGCGCTTGCCCGAGCCGAGCGGCGACACGCGCAGCAGCGGCTCCGGCGAGGTCACGCGGCCCGCCGCGCCGCCGCGCGTGTTGATGCCCCGGATCTTCTGCGCCAAACTCTTCTTGCGCTGCAGCCCGCCGTTGCCGGCCTGCACCGCGTCGACCTCGTTCTCGCTCTGGCGACGCTCGATGGCGGCGCGGCTGGCCGGCGCTCCCTCGAGGAAGGTGGACGTGCCGAGCCCCATGCTCTCTGCACCGTGGATGGGTTCCACTCGGGCGGTTGGGTCGAATCGTTCCGGCCGCACGGTGGATTTGGAGAAGTCGGCGTAGCCTTCCTCGCCCCGGCCGTGGAAGAGGTTGAGGTCGAGTTCGCTGTTGTTGGGGCCGGCGCCTCCCAGGGCCATGTTCCGGGAGTCCTTGGGAAAAGCCTGCATGGGGGCGTTGCGGAGGTTCTTACGGTTTCGATGAGGATTGCAAGCGTCAAAGGGGCCATCGTGATGGAATACTAGAGAGCGACGTCAGTAATCGGCGACAAGAGCCCAATCGAGCCAAACAAGACTGGGGGAGAGGCTACCTCCGCCGTAGACGCTGGTTACGTCGAGTTTATCGATGATGTCCAGCTTGTAGCTGTTGTTCTTCCGCGAGCGGTGCGAGCGCTCACGGGGCTTGCCGTCACGATCCTTGGGCTTGTGCTCACGACGGCGGCGGTCGTCTTCGGCGTCGAGGGCCTTGGGACGCTCCATGACGGACGACTCGGAGTTGCGGCGGCGTCGCTCACGGCGCTTGGAGGCGGGTAGTTTGGAATCCTGCGGGTCGGCGAAGACGTCGATGAGCGGTGCGTGGGAAGAGGAGGTGGTGGTGGTGGCGGTGTTCGCGGGACGGCGGGCCTTGACGTCGTCGTGCGAGTGCTTGCGGGGAGAGCGGCGGGCGTCTTTGTCCTTGGGCTGGGGGGACGGACGGCGGTCTTTGGGCCGGGGCGGCGCGTCGAGGGAAAGGCTGTCCTGCAGCAGGCGGGCCGGGTCAGCGAGAGGCAGCAGAGCGAGCGAGCGAACGAGCAAGCAAGCAAGCAAGCAAGCGAGCGAGTGTTGGCGGCGGAGGATGCGGATGGATGGATGGATGGCAGTGGTGATGTGATGCGCGGTGGCGCTGGGCGAGCGCGCAGGCAAAGCAGGGAAAACAGGCTGGCAACCCAGCGAGGGCTCCACCGCGGGCGAGCCAACAAGGAGCCGGCGCCAAGGGAGGAAGCGTGGATTGTTTTACGATACGTACCTATCGACATGCTGGACGAGAAGCAGCAGTGGAGGACGAGACGGCGGCGGGAGTGGTGGTGGTGGTGGTGGAGATGGAGAGGGTTTGATTGTCAGGAGAGCGGCGGGCGCAGTTCAGGCGGCGTGTTTCGCCAGGGCAGCCCAGCAGCAGCAGCAGCAGCACCACCGCAGGCTCCGCAGCCCAGCCCAGCACAGTACAGCACACGCACAGGCAGCGGCGAGGCCCGAGATGGCTGGCCTGAGACGCCGCGCGTGGTGGTGATGAGGAAAGTGAAACAAAAAACAGGACGCCCGGGCGGATCAGCGAGTGCGGGCGGGCGGCTTGGCCCGGAGCAGCGGCGCGAGCGGCAGCAGAAGCAGAAGCAGACAGCAGGAGTAGACGCGAGACGAGAGACAGAGAGAGAGAGAGAGAGAGAAAGCGAAGCGAAACGAAAAGAAAAGAAAAGGAAAAGGAGAGGCGGCGGCGGTGGCCGCGGCGTGTGGAGGTGGCGGGCGCCCGCCAACGCGGCTAGCAGCCCGCTAGCCAGGGAGTTGGGAGGGAATGTAGTAGTAGTTTGTATGGATGATATTATTCCAGACAATGTTTCTATTCCGCCACGCCGATCGATCGATCTTGTTCCTCTACGGACCATGGCTAACTACAGTTCCCAGCCATGAGGCCGTTGCTGCACGCCCACCGCCCGTACCGTCCCCGACACCCTCCAGCCCTCGCGATCGTCCCCCATTCCGTCACGCACCGCCCTCGCCGTGGTAGATCTGCTGCTGCAGCACGATGCTGTATACGCTGGCCTTCAGCAGCGTGTACACCGTCGCCGTCTTGCGCTCCAGCAGCCGCAGCGCGTCCAGCGTCTCGCCCGCCGGCTGCGACGCCAGGTACGCCAGGGAGTCGGACAGCTGGAAAGAATAGAGACGCGCCAGGTCAGAATAACGAGCAAACGAACGAACAAACGAACAAACGAACAAACGAACAATCGAACAATCGAACAAACGACACACGCGCGCCACCCACCTTGGTCATGTTCTCGAGCAGCCTCGCGTACTCGTCCAGCACCTCCTGTTCCAGCGGGCTGAGCAGCGCGTGGTCCCGTAGCAGTGGACTGAGGCCGCCCGCCGCCGGCGACGGCGACGACGGCGCGTCGTGGCTTGCGTCGAGCCGGTCAGACATCGTGTGCGCAGCGGGTGAAAGCGTTGTGAGCGATGGACGAAGCGTTGGCTGTGTCGCGCGGAGAGTGAGCCCTGCTGATTAAGCGGGATCTTGTCGTTGACGCGTTGGGAGAACTACATCCGCTCCGCTGCAGCGAAGCATGAGCACACGAGGTACCACTCCAAGGTAGCTAGTTAGCTGCTTGGTCTCTGTGATAAGCCTTCGGTTTCAAGGGGACTACGGAGTATGCACACCACAACAACGCTTGCCCGTCAATGCCGTTTGCTTGTTCGACTCTAACAGCCCCAATCCAGAACCCCAGACGAACCAGGGACATCTGCGGAAAAGAAAGGGGGCGAATACGAAGCAGTCCGTTTGATGCAATTTCCGCCCGCCCCAGCCTGTTTCGTCGACACTGCACGGGCTATCAATCTGATCAGATCGCCGCCTAGTTAGCTGCGCGCGTTTTTCCACAGCGCGTCAGCTCAACCGCCCGCAACCACCACGCCATCCGACCCGCCGCAAACACCTTCTTTGCCCATGCCGCCGTCTCGAAAACGCCGTGCGGTACGTGCCCACCCTTCCCACTGCAGGTACCGCTCATCCTAATCGAATTTTCAGGTCGACAACGACTCCGCGGACGAGTACTCGCAAGCACCACCGGGCCCCTCGCAGCACCGCCGGGCGGCCGCTGCTTCGCCCGCAGACGATGACGGCGACGACGACGTCCTGATCGACTCGGAGCTGGGCACCACGGCCCTGCAGGTCAAGAAGATGGTGCGGCTGGCGCTGGCCAGCGAGTACGCGCGCCTGCCCATCCGCCGCGCCGACCTGAGCTCCAAGGTCCTCGGCGAGCGGTCGCGCGCCTTCAAGCCCGTGTTCGCCGGCGCCCAGAAGGCCCTGGCCGACGTGTTTGGCATGCAGATGACCGAGCAGCCGCTGAAGGAGAAGTTCTCCATCAGCCAGCGCCGAGGTACGCATCTCCTCATTATCGGTCAAGAGAACAAATGAACATCCCCCCTAATCCTTCCCCTAAAAAAAATAACATTGAACAAGAGATCAAACAAACAAACATCTCCTAACTAACTCCCCCGCCTGCAGCCGCCCAACGCGTCGAAAAACCCTCCACCACCTCCAAATCCTGGACGCTCATCTCCACGCTGCCCGCCGCCTACCGCGCCGCAGCGATCCTGCCGCCCAACCGCGCGCCCAGCGCCGCGCTGGAGAGCAGCTACGTCGCGCTGTACTCGTTCGTGGTGGCGCTGGTGACGCTGAGCGGCGGCGCGATGGCGGAGCAGAAGCTGGACCGCTACCTGCGGCGCGTGGGCGCCGACGCGTACACGCCCGTCGACCGCACCGACCGCCTGCTCGCCCGCATGTGCCGCGACGGCTACCTCGTGCGCAACCGCGACGTCGACGCCGGCGAGGAGATCGTCGACTACCATGTCGGCCCGCGTGGCAAGGTCGAGGTCGGCGCCCATGGCGTCGCCGGCTTGGCGAGGGTGGTCTATGGCTTCGGCGCTACCAGTAGGAGAGGGAGGCCGGAGGGGGAGCGGGAGGATGCGGCAGCTGAAGAGGAGGAGTTTGAGCAGAAGCTGCGTCGGAGTCTGGGCGTGTCGAGCGTCGGTCGGTTGAGGAGGGAGGGGGAGGAGGAGGCGGAGGGAGAGGCGAGCACGTCAAATCGGCCTGGGAGGCCGGCCAGGGGGGGTAGGGCTGTGCTTGACGTCGACGATGATGATGATTAGCGTGGATAGTTGTTTTCAGTTCGTTTTTATGTCCATGGATAGAATATTTCCTTTAATGAGAACCTTACGAATACCCAGCTCAGCAGTTCTAATGCTTTATTTATTAACATCTACTATTGTCCTGAAAGTAAATGGACATTCGACATTTACGAAGCCTATGAGACTACAAAAACCAGCTGGCGGAGATGCCTCCGTGGCAATCACATTTTATATTGAGTGTGATCTACCGTAATAAATATAGTATAATCCATACCTTAAACACCCGCATCTCAGCAACTATGTCAGTATAAAGCAACAAACTGAAACAACACATGCGCTCTCGAGTATCATATCACACTTCAATAGCAAATGGAGAAGAGATAAGTGGGGAGCGACCCATGCTTGAATATTGGCGAGGAGCTGGGAACAAGCAATAGTGGAACCTGATGAGATTTTAGTCAACGGGTATACCAATCAACATCCCCGTTCATATAGATTACCTTGTGCGATGCTTCGAATCTTTTTTCCCACGCGCCATTTCCTCGACCAGAACACCTTTGCCATGCCCATGTTGGATATAAGAAAAATTGTCGTATCACCATAATGAAAAAAAAAAGCAGAAGTCTGACAAAGTTGAATTTTGGTATATCACTGTTTTCTGACAGTGGGAAAGAAAAAGGAGTTGTTCTCTGTAAGCCGCTGGATCAGAGGCAGCTCGACACACACAAAACGAGACAAGAAAGTACAACAAATAGCAGAGTATCCAAAAACTTTTTTTCATGCTATATATTTCACCCACCGTCACTGCCACTAGTTCCGTCATCAGAGTCATCTTCCGGTTCTAGTCCGACTCCCTCCTGAAGAGCGTATTCTGCTTTCTGCAGCGCGATTTTGACTTCCTTGTACTGCGGGATGGTGAAGTCCACTGGCTTCTTCCCATTCTTGTTTCGGACGCGGGGGTCACAGCCGGCTTCGAGCATCATTTTGACCATGGCCAGGCCCAGCTTGATATCCTTTTCATTGGCGTAGCGGACGGCCAAATGCAACGGGCTGTCCTTTTCGATCCGGTTCTGGGGATCACATTCGAAGCCTTCCACGTCGAAAAGCCAGTCCATTGCATCGTCTGTGCCGCGTGGGCGGTACTAGATCAGCGTTCCAGGCAGGGCAAAGGGGGGGCGAGAGGTTGCTTACAGCTACCGTACATGGCGCAGACATGCAGAGCGTAGTTGCCCATGGAGTCGGTAACTTCGTTGAAAAACTTTGCAATGTCTTCTTTGCTCTGGTTCTCGAGGTTGTCCTTCACGACCTCCTCCAGCAGGTGGGGTTGGTCACGACGACAGGCCTCAACAACGAGCTCCCGGGGAGATGCACCCTACACGTAGCGAGTGAGTCAACAGCTCCACAGCACCGCCGGCAAATGGCTACTCACGTCTTCGTCTGCCATGTGGCCGGCTGTATACTTCAAGCTTCGCTAAAGAACAAGGTAGTGGGACAGGGCTCAAACGATGGGTGAGGAACGTGAAAGGGGGTATGCTAAAACGCTGGAATCGTTCAGCTGGGAATAATTCTAGCTCTAACGGGAAGCGAAGCTGGGCAAAGGAGGGCGGAGGAGAGGAGAGGAAGCAGGCCGAGCGGAAAATGAGTCGCCGACGACGGCGGGTGACCAGGAAGGCGGGGTAGGGAGGCTGACGGGCAGAGAAAAGCGCAGAGCAAACATGAACAAGCGGCAGGACGCAAACGAGCGTATCCAAAAAAACGAAACCAGCGGGCTGAAGCTGTCAGGTGTACGGGGAGTAGCACCCGAGAGCTGTTTGGTGAACGGTCTTGATACGGCGACGATGACCCTGGGCTGATGACGGAACAGGAACAGGCGCCTACGATAGGCGGGAAGAATGTATTTCCGGCCCACGCCCCACGTGCAGCTGAAATACGCGCGTTTAATTAAGTTTCACGGAATTAGCCGCGCGGCACAGCAACCCCCACCCGTTACAGCCCTGCAACGCGTATTAAACCGTGAGCAGAATCACCTTCTCTGCACAGGCTGCAGCAACACAAAGGCGCCCCAGCTTGTCCTGGATTATTATGGAACGCTTATGACGCTCATAGCCACGCTTTGCTAAAAGCGAAACTTGCCGGCTTACCACAGTCCTTGTCGGATCCTGAAACTTGGGATCTTTTGGCCCGAAATGCCTTTAACCTGTGGGTGATGCTCGATTAGATGCCAGCGATTCCGCGAGGAATGGCGCCTTTAGTACTAACACTCCTCCAGTCTGCCCAAACTGCAGCAATGCATTGACCATATCCAAAGGCCCGTCCACCGCACAATACCCCGCCGGCGTGAACCGATTTGAATGCCGCACCTGTCCCTACCAGTATGTTCTCGACCGAACATACTTCGAGCGCACCGAGATGAAGCGAAAGGAGGTGGCCGATATTATGGGAGGCAAGGATGAATGGAAAAATGCCGACAACATGGCCGGTGAGTGTGGGTGTGGGAGGAGCAAGGTGAAACCGTTTGGGCTGATGATTCTTTTTTTCTTTTCTTTTCTTCTTCCCTTACAGCCCAATGCCCAGCCGAAGGATGCAATAGCGACCGCGCCTATTTCTACCAGCTTCAGATCCGCAGTGCCGACGAGCCCATGACTACCTTCCTCCGGGTATGCATATCTTATAGCTCTCTCCGGTTCTGCTGCTGATTCTTGGCTTCTAGTGTGTCACTTGTGGGGTGCGATGGAGAGAAAACTGAGTTACAGGATACACGTTGCTTCGAGCATACCACCCAGGCCTACTCGCTTAGCTTTTTCGGCTCGTTGCGGCCTTGTGCATCTTGTCAATGCAATATATCGCTGCACAAGCTACTCCTCCACACCATGCTCCAATCATACTGGTGTCTGCCGAAGAGTGGGATTTCCAAGACTGTTACCATGGGCGCCAGATGATGTATATAGTCTATACGTCTACCCGGAAATGGTAAGCTATGTGTTGGCACTGCATGTCGGCCAGACTCGCAATAAGTTTACTGTTGTTGGGGCTCCACCGATAAGAAGGGAGACATGGTCAGAATGGCCTAATAGTAACGCGACACTGGCCCATCCCAGACTGTTATATAGAGAATATCTGCCCAATGTAAAAACTATTTCCAATAGAGCCAGAAGCCCCAGTCAGACATGCAGCCGCCCCGTAAGGTTCAGATATGCGGCTGCTAAGCACTGGATTAGTGGATGACGCTGAAATGGCAAAGGCGGGGAGGATATTTGGGACTCCGACAAAACCTTGCAGCCAATGGGGGCGCCGCCAGTTTCGCAGCGGCCGCGCCACCCCTCTACCTGAAACCATGGGAAAGCCTCTCCCCCCAGCGCGCGCGCTTCGACGCCCACCGCGCGGTGTCTCTACTAGTAGACCAGCGCCGCAAGGTTTGGCCGGGCCAACCAGGCAATTCCCGCCTGGCAACGCAGAATTTTCACCAGCCTGGGTGGGGCTGGGTTGCCCCTCCCACCGTGCGATAAGCCCGAAGCGGCCTAGCGCTGTCGATTCGGGCGCGCTAGGCCCGGTCGGGCAAGGTTTCGCCTCCCGGGCACCCCTCCATACAAAAACCCCTCCCTCTCTTCATTTTCGCACAATCCTTTTTTTTTCCCTTCTTCTCTTCGTCTGCTTCAGTGAGTATCTCCCCCGCCCCCTATAAAGTTCCATCTTCCTTTGCCTGCCCTCGCAACTCTCGCTGACCTGCCCTAGCACCTCTACGCACTTTGGCCGTAGTATCTGAGCATTCTTCCTGATTTCTTCTAGCATCTTCCTAAGAGCTACAAGACTTCAACCTTTCCTTTTTTGTTCGAAAAACTTCACAGAAATCCTCCACAATGGGGTAAGTCGCTTCGATCCTTGACTCTTCTCTCGCGCTTTGACTAACATCACTGCGCTCTACAGTAAGGAAGAGAAGGCACACATTAACATCGTCGTTATCGGCCACGTCGATTCCGGCAAGTCGACCACCACTGGTAAGTCATCACCACGTTTCCCGGATATATCCTGCTTCTCAGTCGCTTACAATCGTCTTAATAGGTCACTTGATCTACAAGTGCGGTGGTATTGACAGCCGTACCATTGAGAAGTTCGAGAAGGTGAGCAGCATTTTCCCCCTCCATCCTGTTGTTCTGGTGGGGTACCGTCGCCTAAGCCACCAAGCGAGGGCTTTCTACCCCACCACACCAGCCCAACTATCAAACTTTGGCAGAATTGTCGATCTTTGACCAATCATGCCTGACCCCTTTGAACCATGCATTTTTTACCTTGACGCTCTTCAGTATACTAATATGTTTCCCCCCTTAGGAAGCCGAAGAGTTGGGCAAGAAATCCTTCAAATATGCCTGGGTTCTTGACAAATTGAAGGCCGAGCGTGAGCGTGGTATCACCATCGATATCGCTCTCTGGAAATTCGAAACCCCCAAATACTTCGTCACTGTCATTGGTATGTTGCCTCTACCACACCCTCAAGTCACAGATTACTAACTACACCCTTTTAGATGCCCCTGGACATCGTGATTTCATCAAGAACATGATTACTGGTACTTCCCAGGCTGATTGCGCTGTTCTCATCATTGCTGCCGGTACTGGTGAATTCGAAGCTGGTATCTCCAAGGATGGCCAGACTCGTGAGCACGCCCTGCTTGCTTTCACTCTCGGTGTGAAACAGCTCATCGTCGCTATCAACAAGATGGACACCACCAACTGGTCCGAGACTCGTTTCAACGAAATTGTCAAGGAAGTTTCCAACTTCATCAAGAAGGTCGGATACAACCCCAAGGCCGTTGCTTTCGTTCCCATCTCTGGTTTCGAAGGTGACAACATGATCCAACCCTCCACCAACGCTCCTTGGTACAAGGGCTGGAACAAGGAAACCGCTGCTGGTGGCAAATCCAGCGGTAAGACCCTCCTCGAGGCCATTGATGCCATTGACCAGCCCACCCGTCCTACCGATAAGCCCCTCCGCCTTCCCCTCCAGGATGTGTACAAGATCTCTGGTATCGGAACTGTCCCAGTCGGCCGTGTCGAAACCGGTATCATTAAGCCCGGTATGGTCGTCACTTTTGCTCCTTCCAACGTCACCACTGAAGTCAAGTCCGTCGAAATGCACCACCAGCAGCTCACCCAGGGTAACCCTGGTGACAACGTTGGCTTCAACGTCAAGAACGTCTCTGTCAAGGAAGTCCGCCGTGGTAACGTCGCTGGTGACTCTAAGAACGACCCCCCCAAGGGCTGCGACTCTTTCAACGCCCAGGTCATCGTCCTTAACCACCCTGGTCAGGTCGGTGCTGGTTATGCTCCAGTTCTTGACTGCCACACTGCCCACATTGCTTGCAAGTTCTCTGAGCTCCTTGAGAAGATCGATCGCCGTACCGGTAAATCCGTTGAGAACAACCCCAAGTTCATCAAGTCTGGTGATGCTGCTATCGTCAAGATGATTCCCTCCAAGCCCATGTGTGTTGAGGCTTTCACTGACTACCCCCCACTTGGTCGTTTCGCCGTCCGTGACATGAGACAAACTGTAAGCTTCTACACTCCCCTAACTTCAGGTGACCACATACTAATGAATGAAACTACAGGTTGCTGTCGGTGTCATCAAGTCCGTTGAGAAGTCTGACAAGGCCGGTGGCAAGGTTACCAAGGCCGCCCAAAAAGCTGCCAAGAAATAAATTGGTCTAATCTGAAGCTTGCCATGCTTGTTCGGGGTGAGATTTGGAGTTGTGGTGAATCAAAGGAGGTCATATTATCTATTCTGAGGATCATGTAGTCGGCCCCCGCGAACCAAAACATTCGAATTTTAGATCCCTGATATTCAAAAAATTAACGATATTGATGGTTCATGACACTTCAAATCTTTTGTTCCACGTCCATTATGTGTCAAAAAGTAACCTCAAATCGTTACCCTTGTGTACTTCGTAACTTTGAGTTTCACGCTGTATCCGTTGCAGCTCCTCATTCTAATGCTTGTAGCCACGTCCGTGTGAATGGCCGTTTACTCCTTCATTTACGACGTCTAGTAGGTGAATCTGTTGATCCACGAAATGATATGCATATGCTGAGCTGGGACGCTCAGCACTACGGTGATTGTGCGTCAGGCCCTTTGATAGCAACATTCATAACAACGGGGGTGAGGGGTCAGGATACCATCAGTAGTACGGAGTAGGGAGAAGTGCATCGAGATACGCATCCTGGATGGCTAGTCCTGAGAGGTTTCAAAGTTAATTTCTGTGTTGGTCCGAGATTCATCTAGCGTTACCCTCTAGTGCATGCGAATCTAGTGCATTCGCATGCAACAAGCCCAACTTCAAAGGGCAGGATGCACCAACGTCAGTCAGTCTTCAAGTAGGTCAGACCACTCTGGAATCTCCTTAATGAGACTCCACATGTACTTCTCCAGTTTCACTGCGCACTTTGAGTGTACAGTAGTTGCCTCGTTATACTGCCGGCAATTGCTATAAATCAACTTGAGATCATTGACAAGGTCTGTTGGATTAGCATAAGAATCCTGCTCCAATATTCCGCAGTGGATAGATCCATGGGCGATATAATAACATTGTAATAATCCGGAACATAATCTCTGCTAACCGGATTAAGAAAGGGCCATGTTTGCTTATGGCTTTGGATTTGATATAGAAAACGCCGAAGCTCGTTGAAATAAGGTCCGTGACGTGGCTCCCTACCTAGTTTGTCCATATTTGGAGACCACCCGGTTGCCCGTATGGCAGGGATAGAGAGTGGATCAATTAGGGTGATAGCGCCGTTGGCCCACTGCCGCGGCGGCTTATGTATAATGTGACTTTTGTTCCAAGGAGCGGCTTTTGGCTTTTACCATTTCTCTTTGTTTCAGAAGTATCCGGCCGACTTCAAGACAACGAATTTGGGGAAGCATGGGGGCACTGCAGAAGGGTTCCGCCTTCGTAATCTTTTATATATATCCCATCCAGTAACATAATTGTCGGCGTAGGTTCAAAAATGCATCACTGGGGAAGTGACTCAGACATATTCTTTTAAATGAGCCATTAAATGTGCACCATACCCTTTCGCCTGTTGATTTGATGAGACCGCGCAAAAGACAACCTCCGCAAACGGGCGGTCTCGAAGTTCACGGGAAGATATTCCACCGACGACTTCCAAGGGCATTTCAATGGCCATAGACAGGTGTGTGCGATCATAGACAAAACGTGCGATATAGTCTTTAGGCATTTTCGGGAGTTGTTTTTGTTAAAGGCAAAAGCATACTTTCTCTGGGAAAGAAACCCTTCGGGCTAGGGCTGACGGACATCATGGCACCTTTAATTCTTTTAGAATTAGATAAAATACTCCGTTCCTCAGATGCCGAGCGCTTCTCATCAGGGAGACCTAGCCCGCGGTCCGCTAACGAGCGCGGCCCAGCTTTGTCCATGAGTGCCAGTGAATGGTATTATGCAGTAAGAATTGCGCAGTTTTTGCTGCTGAATACTAGCACGGCTGGCGTCAACCTCGAGTAGTTAGCTATGTCAGGGGCTTCAGCCACAGCGGTTGTTGAGACTATCACCACAGCATATGAGAACAAACAGAACAAACACTAACTAGTTATCACCCCATATTTTGTCAACTTCCCGCTCGGCAATGGCATCAAGAGAGCCCAGATGCCTCGCGAATTAGCCCAAAGGCCAACACACAACGCATCTTAACATGCCTCCGCATTTACCTATACACCGCATGCTATGCCAATGCGTGTCCCGCAGCCCCGCAGCACGACCATCACATGTGCGCTTTCTATCCTCCTCACAACTGCTCCGCTCCACTGCCAACCCGTTACGGAATGCTTCCCGATCTGCGCGAAAGAGCCATGGCGAATATAAGCGGTCCGTTGCAATCTCTGCTGCTGGGATGATCTCGTGCGCAGTCGCCATGTTCGGAGTGATAACGATCTATTTCCCAGATGGTGTCCAAAAGAAAAGCCGGGAAGGGCAAGATAACAATGCAGCGATTAAGCTCGATGGGCCGTCGGGACTCATTGCTACGAATGATGCGACAGTCGTTATTGACGGCGTTGAGCAGGTTCCCACGGGAAACTCGACCGTTCCGCATTTCCCGAAATCAATCCGTTTGCCTAAGACTCTCGACTCACCTACATCTCGCCCGGCAGCCGCACTGGTTATTGGAGAGGAGGTGAAGAAAGGCGATGGCAAAGAAGAAGAATATCATCTACTTGGCCTAGGAATTCGCACTGTTTCATTCCTCAGCATCCAGGTATACGTTGTCGGACTCTACATCGCGGCTTCGGACGTGGCCGCGCTACAGAAGCGACTGGTCAGACAAGGTGCCTCTCCAGTAACGAGCGCACCCGATAGCGCTGTAACAGCTACATCTTTGGTACCACACGAACGAGACGAGCTCAAAAAGATACTACTTGATCCAGAGCGGGGCGAGGACGTTTGGAACCAGATCCTGAAAGAAGGCGGCATCCGAACAGCCCTCCGCATCATTCCCACACGGAATACGGATTTCCTACATCTCCGCGACGGATGGGTTCGTGCGATAACGGCGCGCGCGCAAAAGGCAAACGCGAAAGCGAAGGAGCTTGCTGCGAAGGAGGGATCGAGTTCTCCGGCCGTCTCGGAGTTTGGTGAAGACTCTTTTGGGCTAGCTATGGGCGAGTTCAAGGCTCTGATGGGTGGCGGGGTGCGCAAGAATGTGCCCAAGGGACAGACACTAATGCTACTTCGGGATAGAGTGGGCGCTTTGGAGATACTGTATCAGCCTGGGGATAAAAAACCAATGCTGTGGTTGGGTGAGGTTGCGGATGAGCGGGTTAGTAGGCTGTTGTGGATGCAATACCTTGCAGGGAAGAATGTTGCTAGTGATGGAGCAAGACAGAATATCATCGAGGGGGTTATGGGCATTGTTGAGCGGCCAGTTGGTACAGTGGAACAAATGGTTGCCTGAGTGTATATCTAGGGACCCAGTCTTGGAATTTGGGATGTATGGGATATATGTATTATATTATCTGCATGATGTGAACAAGAATCTATTCAATGATACTCGTCTCAAGTGTCAAAAGTCAACGATCTAAAATGTGCTCAATTCACGGATGTAAATCTCATGTTAAATATCAGGTTTCCTGATTAAATGATTTAAAGAATAAGTACATTGCTCTCTACAGTGGTGGTATGAAGTACTGGCATCCAATTTGCGTAGTTCCGCCGTCTAATGTCATCCAAAAGGCCACCGAAATCTTTCAACGGGTGTATATCCAGAACGCTGCTTCCGCTCATGCCTTAAGGGCACCAGCTTCCTTGAGAAGACTTTTCAACTCGCCCTTACGAGCTTGCAAGTCAGAATTTCCTCCAATGTGCTTCTGCTTGATGAAGATGTTTGGCACAGTTCGCTGGTGGGTAATTTCCTCAAGGGCATTTTGAATCGCAGCACCGTCGTCTAGAGTGACACGGACAATAGTTAACACACAAAGCATAGAATAATAGAGCAAATTGATCCAACACATACCAACTTGATCCAATTCCATCGTGTAGAAGTCGGCTCCTTCGAGGGTCAGGAGATTCTTCGTGGCCGTACAGTAGGGGCAATAGGACTTAGAGAAAACGACTACACATGTCACTGTAATCAGCACTAGCCTCACTTTTGCGAATTGGTCAAGTATTTTCCCCGGCTACGCACCAACAGCGTGGTCGGAGATGACCTGTTGCGTCTTTTGCTTTGCGGCGGCCATGGCTGCGGGGGAAGTGCCGGCGACGGAGCCGAACAAGCGACGGAATATGAAAGCAATGGTGGGCGAGCGTGAGCTGAGAGCAGCTGCAAGACAGAACGAGAGAGAGGGGGAGAGAGAGAGAGAGAGAGACAAGGATGTAGAATGAGCGGTTGTCGGTCTGGTTTGCGGTGGAAGAGGGGGAACGTTGGATTAGAAATGGGGAGCGCGGAGGGTTAACTAGTTAGTTAGTTGACTTGGCGGGCCGAGAGACAAGCACCCAGCCCGGCTTGCCGCCTTGTCGTTTCTTTTGCTCTGCTTCTCTCCTGCATACAGGATGCTGCGTAACGCTGCTTGTAATCGTTGACGAACTGCCGGCCGCTGTCCGCGGCCCTGGCGTCACTGCCACGTTCCTGTCACACCTAGAGAAGGCTAATAGACGCTGCCGGGCTCTACATTGGAAGAAACAACCGCAGTTCGGAACCACCCTGGAAGCAGACATCAGCCGATTGGCACACGCGGCGCAAGCTTTGCACCGTCCACCAGGAGTGCGGATGGAGCGTCAGGGGTTGGCAGCGCGGGCTCCGACGGCAAACGGTCCTGTCCTATGATGCTGTTGATTGATATTATAATATTTTTATTTCCTCGACTGAGATTGAGAAAGTCTCTTGGTTACAGGACGATCTTCTGCCTCGTACTATGCACGGGTAGTAAAACAAAAGCAAAATTCAAGACAAAATCAATCCCGGAACGAAGGAGACGGTCGGCAAAAGTTATCAACTGGAATAAGCCATAGAAAACAGGGACAGACGAAGACCGAAACTGCATAGAAAGAGGGCAAACAAGATCAAAAAAAAGGGTACTGTATGGAAGGACAAAATAGGCGCTCCAGAAATGGGCTTTAAGAAAGCACTGTGAATAGTAATTGATAGACTTGAGCATTCGAGAACACGGAATGGATGTTCAAGGTGCCGAGAAAGGATGTATTTCATAAATTCGTCAGAGGAAGCGGGTGATTATGGATCAGTGAAGGGACGGGCATGCAGGTATGTTGTATCGGCGGTCTCAAGAACACCTTCCTGCTGGCCAAGACACCTTTTTCCTGCGAATGCGCCTTGCTGTGCAAGATTAGCGAAGCAGTGTCGAAAGATCCAAGAAATCAACAACCAAAAGAAAAAAACCAAACAAAAATTACCAGCCGGATGCAACAAGATAGAAGCTAGAAAACGCCGATGGGCCAAAACAAAACCAAACAAAAACTTGAACGCTGTTGAACATGCTCGCAAACAAACAAAAGAAACAGAAAAATCAAAACCAAAAAACCAAAGGAGTGAACCTAAATGTTGTAATATAACACAGTGTACCCAGAATAAAAGAATTGTTGACACAAGGACATTTGAGTATGATTTGTCTATAGCCAGCATAAGAGCCCCATACCGTCCAATCACATATCATTGCTCACATCACGACACAGCACGAGCAGCTTTTCTCCTTTACAGGACGGATAGGGTCCACTGGCATAGGTTTGGGACCGGGCGTTGCGGTGATCGAAGTGACGAACGTTGGTGCAGGAGGAACAGACGTAATAGCTGGTATAGTCTTATACCCTCCACGGTCCTGCCCGCTGGTCCCTGGGCGGACCGATGGATCTGGGCTCTTAATAGGTGATGGAGGCTGGACGGTGACGGGCTCCTCTTTCGGTTTCTCCTGTTCCAGAACAACGGGAGGTATATCATCGTTTCGAATCGATATAGGTGCAAAGTCCTTGTCATACGCCGAAGGGATTTTGCCCTCCTTCTCCCATAATTCCTGCTGGAGTCGTTTTGCATGGGTGGGAAGCATTTGCTGGTCGGGCGGGAGACGCGGATCAGGTTTGTACATTGTTGCTAACCATGGAGGGTCACCCTCGGGACGGTTGATGGCAGTTCCTGGCCTACGCTCGCCAGATCTAGTTCCTGGGCGGTGGTTCGTACCGTTGCCATTGCCACTCCCGTTGATGCTACCCCCTTTCCTTTGGGTTGCGGAAGTTTTGCGGGTGTCGGCAGAGTTTGATGCCTTACGATTTGTAGTTGTTCTAGTAGTTTGTTTTGATCTAGAAGGTGAACTTTGCAGTTGTTGGCCTGCAGATGTCTCCTGACTATCCTGGGTCTGGGGTGAAGTGGTGTCGAGCTTGGGTTCCGGAGTCTGCAGTGTGCGAGGGGCGGATTGACTTGGACGTCGAGTCTTTGCGATTGACAAGCTTTCTCCATCTCCATTACCATTTGTGAGGGTATTATTTCGCGTTCGGTGGGGAGGAGAGTCTCGTTCCAAGTATTCTTGTTGAATGGGATGGGGGCTTGAAGCAAGTACTGGAATTCGTGAGGAACTTGTTCTCAAATGGGGCATTCGGTACACCTTAGGGGCAGCTCCCTCCTCGTAAGGATCTGCTGCGATTTCTTCCGGCAATCGTGGGTCCTCAAAAACAGTAGGACCATCATTCTCTTCAACTTGGCTATCGTTGAGACGATTAAACGAGGGGTCGCGGTGTTCTAGATCTTCGGAGATAACCATGGACGACTCGTTTCTATCAGCAATTCCGTTTATTCCAATTCCGAGGGACTCTCGGCTACGGCCGTTGATACTCCCAGATACAGTGCCCAACAGCACAGAGTCAGGACTGCTCATCCCATATTGCTGTAGTTCCTCGGTTTCTATTTTTATAAGTTTGTCTCGATGAATCCAATGGGACTCATTTGGATCTTCCTGGTCATGATGACCTTTATTAATTTCTGGGGATTTGTCCGATACCTCCATCACGCTTGACACACTACGGCTTGACGACTCTCGTCCATAGAAATCCAAGACACTATCAGCGTCGCTGCCGTTGCGGGTTGAAGTGTTATCTTTGCGGCTCAGAGCATCAACGCGATGCGCCACTAGATGCCCCTGATCAAGATAGCCATGTCTTGAGCCTGATCGCGAGGATGCACGGGATATAGACGAGCTGTTCAATGGATAGGAAAAATTGGTTTTGTATTTCGAATAGGTCGCAGTGGAATCATGGGATGTTCGCACCCTGGAAGGGAGGGATTGTGTATACTGCTAAAATGCCAGTTAGTCCAAAGCGCAGGCCATGCATTCTTTGTAATTACGGAAGAATAAAATGCCAATTTCCCATGAAAGAAAAAACATACATCCGGGTCGTGTGAGGCATTTTGCTCCCATTGCTGACGCCCATTCGCGCTCCCGGGCGATGACAGAGCATCTGCTGGGTTGTTCACAGCAGTCTCTGCCATGCCAGCGATGGTCTCCGATTTAAGCGTGGGCTATGTAGCTCGAAGAATATCAACGCCGCTCTCTCCTAGAAGGCCAACTCCTAGCAGGATCCCAATTGCAACAGCTGCCTCGATGGCTCAGCGCCGTTGCGCCAAGTTGCATATAAGTATACGGGGGTTCGATTGACGCGAAATCGGACAGGGTGGCGGAAAGGATACGTAGAGGGGGAGCCGATCGGAAGATCTTGAAGGGTGCACGCTTTTCCCGATTTCTGAAACGGAGAAAAAATCCAGATCTTGAAGTCCAAGCTTGCAGCGTCACAATCGGTGGGATCAAACGGTTTCCTGCCGATCCAACGGGGGGCGGTTCTTGGGAGCAGGGAGCTGGTGTAAGCCGCAGCCTACAACCGGAAGACCAGCCCGCAACGTAGAATTGGGCTCACGGGCGATGCGCGGCAGGGTTGTCGAGGGGAGAGGGAGATGGCTGGGAAGGACGGGCGGCGAGAGCGAGCCTGCAGGGCTGGGGGAGGGAAGGGAGAAAAAAGGGCACCGGCAGCCCACCAGCGACGAAAAGAACACAAGGGAAAGCCAGAGAGAGCGCAATGGAGAAAAAGAGCAAAGGAAAAGAAGATCAAAACGAGCGGTGGCGTTGCGACGAGAAGGGCGAGGCGGCGGGCCGGCGAGAGGAAGAGCTGGACAGGAGAGAGAGCGGTGGGTTGTTGGTGATGATCTTCACAGCCGGCGGTGCCAAGCGGAGGGAGAAACGGCAATTCCAATAAACTTCACGCGAGCAATTCGTCGCCAGGGAGATTCAAAGGCCTGGACGGCGGCGGGCGGCACTGCGCACTGCTCAGCAAGCCGGACGGCTGTGACTCGCCTCAGAAAATAGGAGGCGCCATCTCAGCCCAGCCATGCGATGCTTCGTCTACATTTATTACGCCGGCACGGGGATTTTGCGCCTGATTTACGCTGTCATCCGAGGGTTTGATTACCTGCAGGGGCCAAATGTCCGGCCAATATCGCGGTTTGATTGGCGTGGCGGCGCAGGCCAGCTGCCCCGGTCATTTCAGCTGGGTGTGAGAGAGTAGGGAGAAGATTAATGAGTGCAGGCGCCCCAAGTGTCGGAAGACGAGAGCGAGCAGATCAAAATTAATATCGGGTCTAGCAAATGTAATGGCGGAGAAGAGATTGACACAATATCCAGCAAATCAAGGAACAAATAGATTGGGAAAATGCAAACCAGGCATCCCGGTAAATGTTGCACACACAATACCTCTGCAGTGTATAGCTTGCTCTAGAAGTGGATGCAGAGGGGCATTCTAGTTGTTATTCAGGGGCGTAGCTAGGAAATAAATCAAACAGTAAGTCTTGCTGGGAACAGAAGAACATGGACACGACAAGCAGAAAGGAAATTTTTGGTCACAACGCTTGAGATGCAACACACTCCAAAGAACCATTAACTGAAAGAAGGGAAAAAGGTGGGGAGGGTAATAGACAGAGAGAGAGTGTGTGTTAATACCGCCTATTGACCGCTTCGACGCGCCCGATGCAGCCTTGTAACTTCTTGACGAGAGCCTTTCTCCGCGTTCGAGTAGCCGCGTTGTCCGGCTCAACCCTGTCAAGATCCTCCAGCATCTTATCGCAGGTCGCTACGAGACGCCTGTACTCGAGGTCTCGGATTCGTTTATCCTGAGGCGTCCGCTCCTCGAATAAGACGATGAGGGCAACGATGGTGTTCTCGGTATACTGCTCAAGCACAGTCAACCTGTCATTCGGTGACTGGGATGCAACCGCCGGTGGAGGTGGGGTTGGCATCCGGGTAGATGGTACATAGGGAGGAAGAGATGGAGTAGGTGCTGGCGGGGGGGCCTGTGGTTTCTTCTCGGGTGGTAGGCGAATGGGGGACGCTGCAGGAGATGGGGATCTGGCACGTCGAGGCGGCGTCGGCGGCCTGGGCCATGAAGTCGGTGGCTCAGAGTCTTTTGGCGAGTACCTGGTGGTTGGAGGGGGGCTTCTCTTCCTATTCCGCGGGTCGAGAGGTGAAGTTGGTGTGCGTTCGCCACGACGGTAGTCATCTCGGGGGGCAGGCCACTCTGGACGAGTTCTCACACGAGAGGTTGATTCATCGCTACGACGAGGGCGGCGACCTTCACCGAACGGACTTCTTGGCCGTCTTCCTACACGCGTGCCGGATTCGATTTCATCGCCGCGGGTCCGGGACGGACTCTTTCGTCTCGAGCGTAGCCCGGGGGGCTGGAGGAAGTCGTTGTCATCGTGGCGACAAGGAGTTCGCTGCCTGGAGCGCTGTCTCATACGTGATCTTGATTCTCGTTCGTGGCGGCAGGAACTCTTTTGCCTTGGCCGTGAATCTGAGAAACTAGGGCCATCCTCAGCACGGCGGTACGGTGTTCGACCTAAGCGTGTTCCCGTAGTTGGACCCCGGTCATCGTCGTGGCGGTAGCCTACTCGTCTTGAATGTGTCCGTATCATATCCGGGGGGCTAGCATCCTGGCCAGGCTCTTCTCGCGCTCGTAGGAGTTCGAGGGCGTTTTCAGAGCTCGGGGCGCTCTCAAGCACAGCATACACGGTTGAATTTTGTTTCAGTCCAACACTTTTTGCAGACGCCGAATCATCGGGAATAGGTGTATATTTATAAATTAACGACAGGTCCTTTAAGTCACTAGCACCCAATACGCTGCCTGCAACCCGCCGTATGTCGCCCACAGTCAGGATGTCATCACTGATTGCAAATGCCGGAAACTGCAGTAAATAGAGCGTATCGAGGTGGTTAAGAATGAGAACATCTGGCGCATGCACATCATCGTCGTAAAAATCGGTGGACGTCCGTGGGTCAAATAAGCGAGGATCGCGCTGGTAGTCCTCGGGTCCCATATAGCTGAAATCGCTGTCTCTGATCTCAGGAGCCCTAAACGTAAACCCACCTGTGGGCGAGTAGATGTCCCTCCACCCACTGGAACGTCGCCAGGCTGCCATCACTATTATGACTATAATGATCCCAAGAAGAACAGTAGCAGCGAGGATGACGGAGAAGGGGGCGTCGTTAGAAGGCGGGGTTTGGAGAAACGGTGCCCAGTGAGCAATGTGCGCTGACAACGCAGAACTCAACCCTACCGCTGTCGTCCGCAGGTCCAGGATCAGGTCGTGGAGGCGCGGGGAGAGCTTCTCGACGTACGCAGCGGCACTCGCACGTACGGAGGGGGGGAGCGCGAGTACCATGGATTGGGCGGGCGAGAGAGAGAACACCTCCGTCGTCAGCCAACTGGATCAGGCGGATGCGGCGGTCAGGAAGAGGCCATGCTGGAGTTGGGCGGGTTGAATTCGACGGCAAGATGATCCTGCGGGCGCTCACGCTGGTCGGGCTAGTTAGTGCGAGGGCGTTGAGCGTTGTGTTCCGGCGTTCCCTGGCCGGTATGCTTGCGTCCAGGGTTTTTAGGATGAAAATGCCACGGCACGTCGTCAGTCAAGACTTTACGTAGAGCTAATTAAGTTAACTAACTAACTAACCAACTACATAACCACAGCAGGTGGGCGTGACAGCCCTGGCAAAGTCCACGGCGGCGAGTATCATATTCTATCCACAATGCGAAAATGTAACAGTGCCATCTCTAGCACCAGAAATTCATCTGAGAGCCAGGTTAGACCAGATGAACGATAACCGGCCTTTTGATGCCTTCCAAACAAACGCCAGTAGCATGCAACATGTATATATATATACCTACACCAAGAAAAAATGTCGGTCTTCTGCTAAATCAAACACCAAAGAATCTATTCAGCCCACTCGAGCTGCCGTGGACTCCCCCGTCAGCATCCGGGCCAACGTCGTCCTGGTCGCGCATCCACCTCGGCCGTCTCAGCTCAGAATCCACCCGCTGCAACCATTTTGGTTTACCAGTTGTTTCAAATGTATTCTTAACCCTGTGAACAAACAATTGGAAGGGCGTTTCATCCTCCTCATCGTCCAGGTCGATTGTCCGGTTTGCAGCAGGGTGTTCGTATCGGGGTAGACTGGATGTCTGAGAGTGAGGAACACGGATCGTAGGCGCGCGGCGAGGAGTCGCAGGGGAGTCCGGGTCTGCATCGCGGAAGTGAGTACCACCAGCCGCGGATCGGGAAGATAGTCCAAGGAACTCAGGCCCGCTTAGCTCTTGATTTATCAATTCCCGGCCCTCACGCCAAGTGCCGACTCCGATGCCAGCATTGTCGTCATCATCGTTATCATCGCTGTCAAGAAGGCCGAACCCCAGGGCGTTTCTGACTTTACCATACATATTAAACAAGGTAGCGCCAACAGGAACCAGGATGAATATTGGGAAAAAGTAATCAAACCCTTTTCCAAGCGGAGTGAGGTCGATGAGTTGACCTAGGAAATCGTAAAAAGTAGTTTTGTGCTGAACGTCTCGAGAAAGGAGGGTGATGAAGTTATACGCCAAAGGCACGGTAAGTCTGGCCACCAGCCCTGCATACCAGCAAGCGCTCTCGCCGTAGGTGTTTCGTGGCACCAGGGCACGGTTGCCCCACACCTTTGTGTCAGTGATCCCGGCGAAAGCGGCAGAGCACATGTAAAGGATCCACGCTGATGCTATTAGCTGGCCTGTAAAGCCGACTACTGCGGTACCATGATAGGTATGGGTGACGCTCAAGTTGACAATGGAAATACTAGGTGCAAACGACTTGACCAGTTCTGACCAAATAATGCAGGCGGAGGCAAGGGCGAAGAAACCAGAGAGGGTGAAGCGAACAGTAGGAAGTACGTGAGAGTGAAATAGGTATCGAAGGTATGGTGTGAGTAACGGTCGACGATAGAACCGAGGGGGAGTGGCTGCAGTCCGCCAGTTGAACTCAAGACGCTTTGAAGTAGACGAGTCCATAACAGCTTGGCAATCCGCTGCCTCCAGAACCAGTCGACCCCAAGTGTCAGTAAAACGAGCGTTCTTATGACGTGCCCGGTTTAGGTTTCTGGTAAGCTCCGCCAAATATCTCTCTGTGATAACAGCTGGAATTGTAACCCTCGGTTGCTCGCCCTCCGTGTGTTGCGCAGCTCGTATCGCCGGCGAATTCACTTCGTCCACCAAATCATCTAGCCAATCCTGTAAATCGGGGGCAATGGTTGCTTTTCGCCGTTCTAGCTGGATTACTTGAGATCTTATATCCTCAAGATTTGATTTGGCATCGATTAAACGGTCATATATTAAAGGAGCCCTGGATTGCAAACGCCGCAGCCTGTTGCTCGGGTTCGCATTTCTCCAAAGCTTCCTCGGAATCGCTACTAGGCCATGTCCCATGAGATAGATGGCCAGTACCAGACCCCACATGTAGGCAAGAGCCATAACAACACTCTTAAGAGAATTAAATTTGAAGCCGTTCTGGAACAAGACATACACCAGGCCAATAGTTGCACAGCATAGTACAAAGAGTTGGTAGCGAGCATTCGACCGTAGGGAGTAGGTAATTCGGTCTTTTGGAGTGCGGTATCCGGCGTCAACAAACTCCCCGAGTAAAGGAAGTATGGCCCTACATTGTCGAGTTAGCGCGACCCAAGGCTGACTGCATAATATCTAGAGGCACATACCATGTCAAAACAAATGTAAGCCAGTAAGCAATCCTCCATGACACCAGCATCACACGGTCTGGAAGCCATATTCCGGAGCGTGGGCTTTCTGACGTGCTCGAGGTGAGATCGATCGGCACAAGGAGGATCACGCTGGCGGGGAGAGCAAGGGCTAAGGACACAGGCACGATCAGATAAGCCGGAGTCGTGCGTAGAGGAAGATAGTGGCGCAGTAGGAGGAGCACGAAGCAAAAGATGGTAGCAACAGCAACGAGGGTAAAAATGCCCGATCCCACTGGGGGAGGCTGGGCGGCCTGAGGGGAGAACACGGTCATATTGTGGGACGGTCGGCGACGGCCACGGACTTGTGCAGCACGCTGCCCATTGAAACACAGGCTAGATCATGGAGAAAACAGTGTTTTGATTCTTGCTGCAGTGCGCGGGGCGTGAGTGTGTTTCTGCGCCTGGTTGGGGCGGGTGACGTACAGCCGGCGGCTGCTGCACGTGACACCACGTGCTGCGCCAACGAGCTAGTTAGTGAGTTACCCGCGCGCACCAACTGACGCGACGGGAGCGAAGGAGGGCCGGATGGCGAGACAGGGCCGGGTAGATACCACTTGCACCCAGCAACGATACGGTAAGCAGACCGAAACAGCTCCTCCGCGCAGTCAGGAGCTCACACCCCCTGTCTCCAGGCTGCGCCATCGGCGCCCAAGCAAACCGCAAATTCCTGCGCAAATTGCAAACACAGGACAGCGCAGCCAATCAGCGCGGGGCTCAGCCGCGGGAGGGTAGATCACTGGATTGCGCTAGGCCCGAACTGGGGCTGCCAACGCAGCCAGGCTAAACCTAGTTTGGGGCCGGCAGAAGCGTCACCCATGATTGGCCGGCTTTGGCTTGGCGCAGCAGCGACGGGGCGGTATGTCACGTATTGCGGGCGTAATATTACGCGGGAGGGGCGTCCTGGATCGCCCAAGACGGGCTATACCACCGTAACGGGCACGTCAGACGCTCCTTTGGCGGGCGCGCCGTGGCTCGTCGCCCGTCGTCCTCCTTCCTCGCTCGCCCGTTTGACAGCCTCCGCCATGCCGTGTGTGTCGTCGACACCTTCGCCCGCCAGTAGTGCCGCCCGACCAGCAGCAACATTCACCTCGTCAGTCGCGAAAAGGTGCCTAGACGCTTAGTGGACCGGGGGGGCCCTGTACCAAAGAACCACGGTGTGTGCCTGTGACCTGCCTAGCCGCCCCAGCCAGATGCTTGTCCAGAAGCTGTGCTCCCTTCATCATGCCTTCTGCACCTCCTGCAGTGTCGCCTCTAATAACTCGTTACTATTATTCTTCGCACAGCAGAACAACCACGCTCGCCGATAATTAAATCCTCGTCGTACCGTTCTCTCCATCCCGTCCCACCACTTGCCGCCTTTGATCGCCTTTTTTCTTGTTCCGGGCGCAGCCTCAATTCTACGCCCCCTCCACCGCCCTGAGGGCGGGCGGAAACACCTCGCCGTCGCTCTGCCCTCCCCATCTACAGAAATACTGCCCGTCCGATTAGTATCCGCCCTCTCGACCGTGGTCACAGTCAGCATCCCGCAGACCAGCCTCTCCAGACACCTCGTGGCTCCTAGCTTTCGCCAACTCCCCATCGATACCCAACTGTTGGAGACCGTGTTAACTAGTATCTCCGGTGAATGCGGACGCTCAAAGGTTACCGTTGCGGATTACGGCCTGCTGCCGATTCAACAATCCCTTATCTACGATGAATCCCGCAAGTTTTCCTGGGCCCGGTGGCCCCGGTGGTGTGACCGGTCTTTCGGACAAACCAAAAATGGACAACACCCAGATACTCCTGAAGCACGTTAGCCAAACGATACATGCCCAGGGCCCTTTTGATGGATGGCGAAGTGAAGTCCAAATAAACACTCGCGTCGTGAAAGTTGGCCAAATGTGAGCCCCCGAGCCCTAACGCCCAGTAGTGTCAAGAACTTCGTCATTCAAGTCGTTACTTTGTTATAACGAATCTAACATGTAAACCCCAGGATTTCTTCGTTGCGTCTGATCCCAGGAATCGAAGTCACGCAAGCCATCAGTGCTGCCCTCACTTTTGAAGAGAAGGCATTCCGCGAAGCCAAAGATTTGGTATTCCCACCCTTTCCTAGCCTGCAGTTAGATACTAAACTATTGGAAAGGCTAGCTACGAAAACGCGTGTAATGAAAAGCTCGTGCAGCTTCGCGATAAGCGACAGGAAGCCGTCATGACTCAATCCGGCGCCCAGGCCGTCGGCGCCCAACCCCAAAACCAAATGCAACATATGTTTCCGGGCGGGATGCAGCGCCCTAATCAAGGCCCTCCCATGTCCCTACAGCATCCATCCATGAATATACAGTCGCAGCAACCGATGCGCCAACAACCGTTCTTTCAGAATCCAGAAATGCAAGCTGTTCCCGGACAAATACGTGGAGACATACAGGCGAAAGAATATCAACATTTGTGCCAACTCGCTGAACAAATGGCCCAGAACACGTCGCCCGCAGACCTGGAAAAAATAAAGGTATCTTTAGAAAGAATGAGTGCAGTGCAGCGACAAAACTTGGAGAGCAAGGGCGTTTCTCCTTTGCAGTATTTTTTCCGCTGTCAGGCCCTGAAAAGCTACAGGAAATTCAAGCAAGGCCAAATGATTCCTAACCCTCAGAACTTTAATACCGATCCCACAAAAAGTGCTGAGAATGGCATGCTAGCTGCACATCAGAGGCAGATGAATCAGACGGGGATGCCCTTCCAGGGCAGCCCTGCTATGCGCATGGCCGGACTCGATCCTACATTCACCGGAAATGTCGACCATATTCAGGCTCAACAAATGAGCCCTTTTCGTTCTCAGGACGCTGGGCAACCCACTATTCCAGCTCCGGCTTCTCAAGTCATGAATCAGCCCCAATTTGGTGGGCAGCAAGGCTCGTTTCAGACTGTACCCTATAATATCAATAGAGCAAATCTCAATGCCATGATGGCTCAGCACCAGCAGCGCCAAGGTTTACAAGTTCCTCCTGGAGGAGTGGGCGCGCAAGGTCGCGCGTATCAACGCCCACCGACGATGGCACAAAATCACACCGTTATGCCGACTCAACGGCCTGTACCCCAAAATCTTCCACCAGCACTACAGGCTCAACTCGCCCACCTACCCCCAGAGCAAGTGAATCTTGCTCTTCAAAATTATCGCCGCTCACTCGCAAACAGTCATGGCATGCTTCGACCACCCCAGAATGTTCCTGGCGCCCAGCCGCCACTCCCTGATTCAGGACAGCTATCGCAGCCTTCTGGGGCCGCCTTACTTCACGATCCCAATATGCGAGCTCAGATAGGAATGAGTCACCCCATGGCCAATATGGCTGGAATACAGCCTCCACCAGCCATCCAAGGGCCCCAGTTTTCGATACAAAAACCAAATCAACAATCCGCTTATCCTCAGCCCCCGGATCCTCGCCTACAATATTTACAACAGCGTAGCGGTCCCTTCAATATGAGTGAAGATCAAGTCAGGGAAATGGATAGGCTTCCATTTCCCTTTGCCATGTTAAACTCGTATCCCTCTATGGCTCAAACAATGCCCAAGACGCTCAAAACATGGGGTCAATTGAAAATGTGGGTCAGCAAAAATCCTCAGGCACCTGGTGAGATTACCATGGACAGGCTGGCAATGCTCCAGAAACTTCACTTTAGCCAGCTGGTGCAAGCTCGACGTGAGGCTGTGAACCGCGCTATAGGGCAGCCTGGTGCGGCGCCCATAGCAACGGATCACAACAACCTACAGCAACCCCCTTTTAACGCCCAAGGCCCGCAGCCTCAACAATTTCCCAATCAAGCACAGCAACACCCACAAGTCCGGATGATGCGGCCGCCGACAGCCACTGATATTCAGATTGCGCGCCAAAGACTTGGAGCGCAAGCTGTCAATCTAACTGACGAGGACGTACGAATATTTATACAGAAATATCGGCAACAGAAAAGCATCATGTTGCAGGCAGCACAGAGTAGAGAAGCCGCACTTAATGCCCAGGTGACAAATCAAGCTCCACTGCCAACACAGGTATCTGTTCCCAACCCATCACCACAACATATTCCTACAAGCCACCCCCTACCGCAGGCATCGCAGCCTACGCCAGCACCGGTCGTGCAAACGATACCAGCCATGGATGCGAAGTCGGCTGCCCACAATGCGCCAAACAGTACACGTCCATCTGTTCCCAAACCATCTCCCAACAATCTTAAGAGACCGAGTGGCTCCGAAGCGGAAAATCCCGCGATGAAAACCACAGCAGCACCGCAACCCCATATACCTGCACCTCAACCAACCGTTACCCAGCCACCACAAGCTACTCCTCCACAGCCTGTCCCTCTAACACAGCCCACTCGAGAACAGCTGGCGTCGATGACTGCTCAACATCGAGCACAATGGGAGGCTCATATGCGACGGCAGAAATCCCAAACCCGTCAGGGTATTACCAAAGAAGCGGCGGATGAGGCTTGGGCTCGACTACCGGATCATTTGAAACAAATATACGCAGAAGTTGTGCGAAATGACAGCGCAACAACACCCATTCCTATGGCTACGGACAAGAAGGCCTCAGTAGGGCAGTCACTTCGAGACAATACAGACATGCTGAGTCGGATGGATGCCTTGGTGCAGTGGGTATCGAAGTATCCAAACCAGCAGAGGCCACTGCGTACCCTGCTACAAATGGTAAGTTATCTTTTCTCCGCGGTCGATTGTTGTATAGCTGTTATTGTTGTGACATATCATGCTAATATCTCTATCCGTGTGATAGAGAATGTTGTTGATGAAGCAATTTAAAGGCCCTGATTGGACTCTCGTCGAGAACTTCACAATCAACGATGACTACCTGACTATGGCAATAGGATATATTAAAAAATGGTTTTCTGAGATGATCAACCGGGTCCAAATCTCTCGCCAAAACCAAACCCGGGCTGCTCCTGGTGCACAGGCTCCTTCTACGCCTGTAATGCCGGCGACACAAAACGCCCCCGCACCGCTGAATGCGAGTAACCTAAAGCAATTTGAACAACAGCAAGAAGCTGCACTTCAGCGTACCAGGAATACTTCTCAGGCCCCAGCTCAAGCCGTTCCTCCTGCTCCAACGACAATGCAGCCCCCGTTCCCACTCGGAGCCACATCTCCGCAAGGCGTTCCTCGTGTGTATGGCCCCACAAACGTAACGCAGGATACATTGACACTGCCACCTCCAAAGAAGCGAAAGCCGAATCCGCCGTCGAACAAGGCGGCGGCAAAAGCCGGGCAAGCCCAGCCCTTGACTACAAAGGAGGGCTCCCCAACTATTACAGAAACAAAAAAGCCAGCAGCAGTACCTAAAGAGACTTTCAAATGCAGTGTTATGGAATGCACGTATCGCTTGGGCGGATTCCCATCCAAAGCTGCCCTCGATGCGCATGTTAAAACTGAGCACAAGCCTGAAGAGCAAATTACAAACCCGCTTGAATATGCGATTGAGAGCTATAAGATAGGTCTTGGTTTAGACAAGACCGATAAGAAGCCACCGGAGACTCAAAAACCAAAACTCAATGCTGTTTCAGTTCCGCCGGGGAAACTCCAACCGTCAAAACCCGGTGGCGTGAAAACCGAGGTAGTGACTCCAGCATCCCAGCAAATGGCACAATCCGCTAGCATAGCTGGAATCAAACCAAATTCCCCTGCTCACCCTCAACACAAACCCCCGCAGGTTACCCCTGGAAAAGGTCAAGATATGGCCACATCTAAGCCAGAAGTTGAGAAAGATGGCAAAAAGGATGCGATAAGCAATACAGTGGTTCCACAGGATGCCGTCAAGGACCCATGGGAAGACTGTCCGACATCACTGGATTCTATTCGCTCGACCTTTGGCGATCTAGCGAAGATGTCCTACTTTAATGTTAGCTGCGATCCTCTTGATGAACTTCTTCTATCAAACGCATTCAATACAGCCCAGTCCAAGGACACTCCGCAATCCACGGATGCAAGTGCACTCAGTCAGACGCCCCAGGACAGTGATATGTCCGATATGGATATTCAGATGGAACGCACAATTGACGACACTTGGCTCCCAACAGAGTGGGTAGCGCTCCCGGCGAGTTTTGATGGAAGCTTGAATATGGGCGAGACATTTCCAGAGATAGACTGGAGTTTGCATTTCAATGATGTACCACTGGAGCCATTTTTTAATCAAGAAGTCCTGCTCTCGGTGTAGCCAATCGAATACATGGAGCCTGGGTTTGTCGATTTCTACTAGTTCTCTCCTTGGTTGATTTTTCTGTTCATATGGGACTGATTTAAAAGCAATAGATATCATGGTAATGGGGAGGGCTGTCGAAGCAAGCGAGTTGTCTTTTTTTTTTCAGCCCATCCCGGACTTTCTCAACACCTGGTGGGCAAAAGAGCATGGTACTGTGGAGTTTTTTTGATGTATTTTCTGGTCTCAAGATATTTTCTAATTATTACAAATTTCTGAGCGTTTTTGAACGTTTTATATTAATTTTGTTTGATATTGTGGTCTTTACGGCAGTTCTATGTATGTACCTTTATTTGGGTGCGATATGGAGTAGGTACGGAGCACTCTGTTCTCTATGCAGAATACATACATACTCCGTACTCTCTTCACATTAGCATGAACAACTTACCTCATCATCTCAGACGCGTGCTGTTAAGGTTCTTTAGCGCGAATTTAGTATTTTGAACTAACCCATTCAGGTAATTCGGCCAGAACCTGACCAGCACAGCGTCTGAGCCGGTTTTCAGCTTTTTTGCAGGAAGTCGGAAATCGCCATACAAATTTGAGAATTGCGAACCGGGCCAGAGCCACGCACGTTGGATTTGCTGCTCCGAGGACTTGATACGATGTTTTTTTATATAGGCTCCATCTATAATCATGTTTAAATTTACTGTAGAGCTTCTCGTTCGATCTGCTCCGCATCGCCAGATTTTTCCGTTTGGTTACCCGATTGGGAAATACCGGTTGACCAGCTCTAGTTATTCTATAAGGGCAGTATGTACATAAACACGCCTTCCCCCTGGGTCAGTGACCTCCCAGCGCTTACCTGCCTTCTTTGTAGGCTGGCCCGAGCCTTTAAAGGCGTTGGGCAGGCTGTTTCGGAGGTCCAAAATTTCACTAAGTCCAACATCTGGCCAGAGAACCCTAACAAAATGCGAAAAACCGGCTCAGACCTTCCACAGGATGTGGCAGAAATTACCCGTAAGGGTCTAGCTCCAAAGCTTATAATTACGCTACGCTACATTGGGCCTAGCCCATTTCTGACTCATCCGAAGTGGAAGGTCTGAGGGTATGAGGCAAATGAACAACGGGTTGTTCTGAACTTCTAAACTTCAAAGTATGCTGAATAATCAATCACGTGGAGTTTTTTTAGTGCGTGGAGTACGTAATATCATCCTAACTCAGCTTAGCCAAGACGCTAATCCACTCTTGGCGTTAGCGCAAACCTTGGTATGTATCACTTGACAGCTGGCTAACGAGCCTCATCGCTGCTTTTGGGAGTCAATGGTCTGTCTCCCAAACGCCCGCAACAACCGCCTGTTGTGCCACAATGGCGTTGTCATGATTATTGGAGGCTATCGTATTATTTTACTGCATCAATATAAACTACACATCCCCCGATACTCCTTGAAGCTTCTTATACCGACCTGCCAAGCCAGCTATCTCCCACACCCTTGAGGGAACTTGGAAGTATAGAAAGAAGGTCTTGCCGAATATCCTGCTCGCAAAAATGGCACCTAAAGGGATGATTCCGATCCTGGTCACCATGATGCTGGTGACCGGCGTTTGCAACACGCTTCTTACGAAATATCAGGATATGCAATGTGTCAGGAACTGCGATGATCCTGATCCTAAAAAAAGGGTAGTTTTTGAACAACCCGTCCTCCAGACGTGGGTACTTCTCGTGGAATTCTATTAAGCTGCGTAAGCGGCCTTTTTCCAAAGCCATACTAATGATATTACGTTTATATGGCCTAGATTGCAAATGTTCATCGGAGAAATGGGTTGTTGGCTTGTGCTCTTTGGTATTAATACTTGGAACCGCCATATTCGACCTCGATTGCGCGGCCCATCATCGGCACCGCTATTTGCTGGAGGGTATGAACCTGTTAGTGATGGTTCTGCCGATCCCCCACCGTACGATGATGCCGACGCCGATGACGCTCTCGGAAATGGCCCTAAATCACACGATTCTCGAGTTAAGCTAAGAGGAACAAAGATTCTACTCCTCGCGGCACCGGCATGCTGTGACATCTCCGGTACCACGTTGATGAATGTTGGTTTGCTCTTTGTAGTAGCGAGCATTTACCAGATGACCCGTGGAGCACTTGTTCTATTTGTCGGGTTGTTTAGCGTGGTGTTCCTTCGCCGAAAGCTTTACCTGTATCAGTGGATGGCTTTGGTATGTGTTGTTTTTGGCGTGGGTCTTGTTGGCCTTGCAGGTGCGATCTTTAAAGACCATGGGCCTGTTGCCCCGGACAATATTCCTCAACTTGTTTCTCGAGCTGCACAAGAAATCCATTCAACCGCAAAATCCCCAGAGGCTGTAAAGGTCATTGTTGGAGTTCTCTTAATTGCTGGTGCCCAAATTTTTACTGCCAGCCAGTTCGTACTGGAGGAATGGATCCTTGAGCGATATGCCATGGATCCGTTGATGGTTGTTGGCTGGGAGGGTATTTTTGGAACCCTTGTCACCACGTTCGGCATGTTTGTGCTCCACCTCGCTATTGGACGAACGGAACACGGGAGATACGGATATTTCGATGTGGCAGAAGGCTGGAGGAATATGACAACTAACAGAACAGTTGCATTTACTAGCTTGTTGATCATGATCAGTATCGGGTATGTGCATTCTCTCCCTCGCAGGCTACATTTTTTCAATCCTATACTAACTACCATCTTTCTCCAGTGGCTTCAACTACTTTGGCCTTAGTGTTACCCGATCTGTGTCTGCGACTTCACGCAGCACAATCGACACTTCCCGTACTCTCTTTATTTGGCTGGTCTCCCTTGGACTTGGATGGGAGTCATTTAAATGGCTACAAGTCGTCGGTTTCATGATGCTTGTATACGGCACTTTCCTTTTTAATGACATTGTTCGACCGCCACTGAAAGCCTGCATTCCTGATAGGTCGCCTGAGGAAGCCGAGGAAAGCTTGCTTCCTGAGGAGCCCATTGAACATATGTAATGCCAATACCAGCGTCGCTGTGCCTCTTTGCCTGATGACTTGAGATTATCTCAAAGGTATGTGGTGATGATTGTTGGATTGGTGTCTTTTTTTTGGTCCTTGTTTTTCGCACAGGTTTGAACAACCTGTCATATTCTTTTAGACATTTCCAAGCCCCTGGTCTTCTCTCGGGCTTTTTTACACCATATTTCTACAATTACCTGGATTTTTTTTTTGGTCTGTGCCTCTGGGGTAGTTATGGCATTCCACGCTATTTCGGGGCAAGGACTTTTCCTTATATCTTATCTTCGGGCATTTGTGCCTGATGTATGGGCATTTTTGATAAAGGCGTTCCGGCGTGACTTCCCAAGTTTCTCATATTTATCATATATACAAGCGAATGTGCAATTGAACCTATTCCAACGCATGCCTCTATGAATCCTTTACCACTAAGAGAGCCCAGCATACACCATTGCCTCGACCGTCGCCCACAGAGTCACCAGTTGTGGGTCTCCAAACGGCAAGAGCTGCGTAGCAATGACGCCCGCCACCTCCTTCTCCCGATCACACCACCAGAAACAGTTTGTAATTCCGGCCCAGAAGGCGCTATTCGCTGATCTACCTGTGGGACTGGGCGTGATCATCCATGTCAGGCCCCAGCCCTGTGGCGCTCCGTCAGGAATCGGATACAGAGCGGGAAGCGGGTTCGAAATTGTTGGATCTGGGGCAGAAAAACCAACCCGGCCAAAGTCTGGCCAGTCAGGGATTTGGTTCTCAAACATGCTGTCAATGGTAGTTTTGTCAAGGATCCTTTTGCCTGTGATTGGAGAAACACCGTCGTTCATGAGCGTAGCAAGAATCTCTAGATACCCAGAGTTAATTTTCTATGCCAGGACGAGGGTATTTTCTTTGCTTGAACCTACGAGAATAGTCTCGCGGAGTTGAGAAACAACCTCCTCCTCCACTATTGAAGATGGATGACTTATGCTCCTCACTGGAGACGTGCAGCGGTTGGCTATTGGGGTGCTCCTTGTGACTAAGCGTTCCGTCCGGAGCACGCTGGGCCACGGAAACGAGCTTCTTCTTCATCTCTTCAGAGGGAAAAAATCCAATTTCCTTCAAGCCAAGCGGCTCAAAGATGTGTTTCTGGAAATATTCTCCCAGGGGCATGCCGTTAGCCCGTTCAACGACGACGCCAGCCCAGTCGATATTAATCTAGAAGATTGTTAGAGTCTGCTGGTAAAGGTTCCAAGAGTTTTGTTACTCCATATTCCCATTTTTCCCCCGGTTGGTTAACCAGTGGCTGTTTGAAGTCGTCCAGCTTGCCAGAAAATTCATTGTATCCCTGTTTCTTCAACCTCTCTTGGAATATGCTATACCCAAACCCAGCTACCCGTTATTAGAGACCATGTTTTAACATCTCTTATAAATATAGGGTTGTCTTACCGGTATGCGAAAGCAACATCCTTAAGGTAATACCTCTGTTCTTGGGCACAAGAGTTCCATCTTCCTGCATAACCTGAACCTCTTTCAGTTCAGGGCAGAGGCCTTCCACCAGCTCTATATCATCTAACGCGAGTTTCCCCTGTTCAACCAGCTGCATACAAGCCACACCGGTAATCATCTTAGTAAAGGAAGCGATCCAGTACACAGAATCTGGAGCAACAGCTTGACTCTGACCAATCCCACGTGTGCCGGAGGAGTGAGCAATGATCTCCTGGCCATCTTTATTAACAACAACGAAAGACACGTTGGGGAGATCGTTAACTGGGTCTTTGCAGGCTGCATCGATAGCAGAGCAAATAGCGGCCTGGCTTTCGGGAGAAAGTTTTTTCCCCATATTTTCGGATATTTCTGATGCTTTACAGCTGGTAGAAGCTGCGAGTGGGTATAGGAGAGTAAGAAAGCGTGTTAATATGTAAAGAAAAGAGCCTTGCTTCTTGTCTCAAGCAAGACGAGAAGCAAGAAATGCCCCGCAATGCCGGCTACATATATTTGTCCTCGGAAAGACAGCCCGCCGAATGACCAGCGGAGGCACTGCCGGTCCATGCAGACCCGGGCGAAACTGGAACATGCGGGGCAGCGGCAGCGGGGTCAAACTGAGCCCAATTCGTTAGACCGAAACATCCGAGAAGAAGAGTGATAATGGCTGCAGGCCTGTGCTGCAAGAATACGGTTTGGCTAGTAGTGGAGTGTCGACTTGTTAGCAGGCGTCGTCTACGGGACAGCCCCAGGTGGCGACGAAGGTAGCGCGATGCGGTCTTTTACATAACTAGGTAAAATCACATTTGCTGACTATGTATTTCAATTATGACTTGAAGTGTACATTACAAAATTGCTGCAGAAAGCCAACATGCATCCGTCCGTCCCCAATGCGATGACAAAATAGACAGAAAACTCCCAAAACGCACAGTTTGCTATTAAATACACAATGGAAAGAAGCAAGTAATAATATTATACAAGTACATAAAGCGCACACATCTGTTGTTTGCAGCGAGTTAGTACGATGCTGTGGCCGAGGAGGGGGTGGAAACAATACCATCGAGAGACCCAGAATCATGGAGGTCCAAAAACAAACGTTCTACAATGATGGATGGAGTCAGTGTGAAGCTCGTAAAATGTAGCAATATAGGGTAATATACATTGAAAGTTCTTCGCCCCTTCACGAATTTTGACCGTTGTGCTGCCACAATTGGTAGCTGGAGCATCATCGCCAGAAACCCGTATCCACGAAGTTTCTTGGTGATGCACCCCATGACCAACTCATGACCAATCGAGCTAACAAGGAAGGTGATAAACATGGCGCCGGAACTCGAAAATTTCGTTAAGGAAGAAAAGTATACGTGGCGGCGAAGGAAGTGATGGACGGGGATATTCCATTCTCGAGAGAATTCCAACCTGCCACCAGGTTAGTGAATTCGATTCTCTGACCCTATGGGAACTAAACCTTGGAACCCACCAGTCGCACGAGTTCCACCAGTCCGAATAAAACCTGCGATCTGCAAAACGAGTAATTTCTGCAAAAGCACCCAGGGTATACTCGAAAATGACCAAAAATACCAGCAAGAATGTAACCATAAAAGGGAACAAAAGCATGCTTATTGTCTCCGCTAGTATCAGACCCTTCTCAGACCAGGCGTCTACTCTATGCAATCGGTATGCGGAATCGTTTAATACTGGCACAATGAATTCTTCAGAGGTTAGAGTCAGTAAAAATATACATCCAAAGACAGCCAATGACTTGATCAGAACTTTAGTCCACTGAGTTTCTTTAGTGCGCGGGTATTCTAATTCGTAGCAGAGAGTTGGACACATTATAAAATCCGCGTAGTTTTTCCACGTTAGGTTCTGAGGGTACGTGACGTGACCAAGGGTAGAGGTAAGCTCTGTGGCAAGATCGGATCGAAGCTCAGCGACGGACTTCTTGCATTCTTCCTGGCAATTTATGGCTTGTACATTATCCGCCTGGCTTGCTATCCCAAGACAATATCTTGGATACCGTATGGCTGCGGAGAACTTAGCACCTTTTGGATTATCTAGGGATGAAAGGCGTCGCTCCGTTTCGCTTAAATGGCCATTGTAGAAAGCATAGGAGTGCATCTTCATCAAGAGAACAAGTGTGTGCAGCGTCAAATAAACTTGCGCAGTCCAAGTCCAGTCTAGCATGAAAGGTATTCTATGGAGAATATTTGTTAGTAACGTCGACTCGGAAATCGTACATGGCTACCTTACGCGACCCAGATATTTAGCCAAGCAAGCTGTAGTAAACTTTGAACTGTCATTCCATAATTTGACCACCGGAGCCATCCTTTGCTTGATCGAATAGTTTGGTGTAGCGGAAGCGTTAGGCAGGTGCTCAAGACCATCGCCAAATCACATAGACCAAGCTGGAAAACGTTTGCTGATAGTAACGACCAAACCTGTACTCGTAAAGGATACCCTGTATCCTTCACATTACGTAGCACTGTGGTAATGACCATGATAACTAAACTGATCCAGAACAATACGAAAAAGCCGCGGAAGTTCTGGTTCTCAGAATTCGGATCAAAATGTGACAGGCGTGGTTGGTAATCGATATTATGGAACAGCCGAGTCTTCACCTGAGCACGGACTTGTTTCCTGGCAGAGGAAATTGATTGTACAGACGGAGGAGCATCTTCGGCAATGGGTGTTGAAATACCACTATTGACAGCTCATCAGCAAAATAGCTACAGATCGCAAAAGAATTGAACGGATTTTACCTTGAATGACCTGAAGATGACTTGCCTTGACTTAATCGATCCAGCTGCTCGGCGGCCCGCGATGCGCGAGCTCGCAGGGCGGCATTGTCGTCCGCATTAGCCAACACGGAACGCATGATAGCTGCAGATACAGGAACAGCAAGCTTCAGGTGCCAATACCAATACCATTGACCCAATCGGTGCTAATAAGAGCGACGGCGCTTCCAGAAATCATTCTCACAACTGGCCTCCAGACATGCGACGCCGGTCTTGTTGCTGTGTCGGTGCTCGCTCTGAATTCCTGATTCATTCAGAATTAGTTACATGACGCCACAGTCCAGTCTGCAGACCCGATACGCCGGGTTTATATTACACTAGTAACGGCGAGATGCCGCTAGTCTGTTTCAGGCTAGACTGCATGTCTCTGGGCATCAACAGGCGAGCGATGGTGGCATGAAACACCGCAACGCATTCAAGCAGACGCCCGGTTGTCAGAGGAGACGAGACTCAACATTCTTGCTAGGGACCAGTCGCCCAGTAGCCCTATATTCTTATACACAGCTTCCGCGGTGACGTTCGTCGCTTCTCCTTGAGCCCCGCCGGGGCTATTAACGCCCGCCATGACCTCCCGTGAGTTACCCGGTCGTCGAAGCTTGAACGATCCCCATTCTAAATTATTAAAAAAGTTAAGCAATTTATACGAAATGTGCGTGCATCGAAGACGATTGCGGACGAGCGAGCCGTAGTACAGAAAGAAAGTGCTGCAATTCGCGCGAGTTTCAGGGATGAGTACACAGACTCCAATGTCAGGTGAGGGGATGGTACGCAATTGGCCATTGCCTATGCATCATTGCTGACAATGTTAAAGGAGGAATAATGTTGCAAAACTACTTTATCTCTTTACATTGGGCGAACGGACGCATTTTGGTCAGATTGAATGCCTCAAACTCCTCGCCTCGCCACGCTTCGCCGACAAACGTCTGGGGTACTTGGGAACCATGCTTCTTCTAGATGAAAATCAAGAGGTTCTGACATTGGTCACAAATTCATTGAAAAAGTTGGTGTTCCAGAATGACTATGTTTGTTGGATTCCCACTGATCGACTCTTTAGTGATTTAAACCATTCAAACCAATATGTGGTTGGCCTTGCCCTCTGTACACTAGGAAATATTGCCTCCGTCGAGATGTCCAGAGACCTATTTCCGGAAATAGAGTCTCTAATATCCACCGCCAATCCCTATATTCGCAGAAAAGCCGCCCTGTGTGCAATGCGTATCTGCCGAAAGGTCCCGGATTTGCAGGAACACTTCATTGACAAGGCAAAGGTCCTCTTATCTGATCGAAATCATGGTGTTTTGCTCTGTGGCCTTACACTTGCCATCGACTTCTGTGAACAGGATGAGGCGGAAGGGGGGCAAGAGATAATAGAACAATTCCGACCGCTAGCTCCGGGTTTAGTAAGAACTTTGAAAGGCTTGACGACCTCAGGTTATACACCAGAGCACGATGTTTATGGAATTACGGACCCATTTTTGCAAACCAAGGTCCTCCGGTTACTTCGAGTCTTAGGCAGAGGCGATGTAGCGACTAGTGAACTGATCAACGACATCCTTGCTCAAGTTGCGACTAATACTGAGTCTAGCAAAAATGTTGGAAACTCTATATTATACGAGGCTGTGTTGACAATTCTTGATATAGAAGCTGATTCTGGTCTGCGAGTACTGGGCGTGAACATCCTTGGGAAATTTCTGGCCAACAAGGATAACAACATCCGATATGTCGCACTTAATACCTTGGTAAAGGTTGTTGCTGTCGAACCTAACGCCGTGCAGAGGCATCGGAACACAATTTTGGAATGTTTGCGAGACGCTGACATTAGTATCCGACGGCGAGCACTTGATCTCAGCTTTACTTTGATTAACGAGGGAAATGTTCGAGTTCTGGTCCGTGAACTCTTAGCTTTCCTGGAAGTCGCAGATACGGAGTTCAAACCTGTCATGACAACCCAAATAGGGATTGCAGCCGACAGATTTGCGCCCAATAAGCGCTGGCACGTTGATACTATGTTGCGAGTGCTGAGGCTTGCTGGGAATTACGTGAAAGAACAAATTCTCTCTTCCTTCGTTCGTCTTATCGCCACCACCCCGGATCTTCAGACATATTCTGTTCAAAAATTATATGCTGCTCTTAAGGAGGATATATCTCAAGAAGGCCTGACTCTGGCCGCAGCCTGGGTTATTGGAGAATATGGCGACGCGCTCCTCCGTGGTGGACAGTATGAAGAGGAGGAACTTGTGAAAGAGGTAAAGGAGAATGATATCGTGGACCTTTTTTTGAATATTCTAAACAGTACCTATGCCTCCCAAATTGTGACTGAATATATTGTCACCTCAGCCACGAAACTCTCCACGAGGATGACTGATCCTGCTCAGGTAGAACGTATTCGCAGATTTCTGAATAGTAGAGCAGCCGACCTTAACGTTGAGATTCAACAGCGAGCCGTGGAATATACAAACCTCTTTGGCTACGACGAGATAAGGCGCGGTGTATTTGAAAAAATGCCACCACCGGAAATCCGCGAAGAACAACGAGTCCTAGGACCTTCAGCAAACAAACGACAAACTAGAGTATTAAAAGACAAATCAAAAAAACCAGTGAAGCCGTCAGAACAGGACATGCTTCTTGATCTCATGGGTGGCTCTGATGTTCCAGCCGCAGAAACAAGCAAAACTCACAACGGATCGCAGAATACGGCAGACTTATTGGCTGATATTCTAGGTGGTGGTCCTCCTGCACAATCACCACAAACATCTTCATCACCCAGCTTATTCGCAGCCACCAAATCTCTGTCGTCCCAAACTCCTCTTCCTGCTGCTGCAACACGTGGACACACCGCATTTAACAAGAACGACCTCGCGTTAAAATTGCAAGTTCAAAGAAGCGGCCCGTCGGCTGCTCAGATCTTAGCAAAATTCTGTAACACGTCGAATTTCGATCGCTTTGCCAACGTTGGGTTACAGGCAGCCGTGCCGAAATCGCAGAAGCTTCAACTCTCGGCCATCAACAAGGCAGAGCTTGACGGCGGAGAGGAAGGCTCTCAGTCGATGAAAATAACGTCTGCAACGAGTAACGTATGTCATTGCTTTCTACATAGTTGCGTCGGGTCACTAACGAAATGATGCTGCAGCCTTTACCTACTAAACTGCGACTACGCCTCAGGGTTACCTATTCCAAAAATGGCTCGGATTCAGTAACGGAGCAGGTGGATTGGACGGAACCTTAGTATTTTGTCTGATTTGAATGCCTTTTTTTCATGATTCCCCTTTGAATTCTTCATTTGGCGGCGCTCAATTGCTTTCGAGACAAATGAATTTGAACTAGCGAAAAATATATGAAATAATGCATTCGATTATAAGAGGCTCTCACGCCAATCTTTACTTTTACATTTTTGATACCAGATTTTGGCCGAGGGTTTACAGAAGAACTTAAAGCCAATTGTTTCCTTTTCAACCAGTCAGTCAGTTGCAGGAACTGTACATCATGTTACTTGCTCACCATTCCGAGATCCAGAATTATGTCTGCACCAGAAATCCATTGCTGTAAATTAAGGTTTTCTGGCTATGCAACCCCCGTTGGTTACCAGGACTGATCAGTCTGTACTCTGTATTGTGTGTGTGTGTGTGTGTAGTTCATTATTTTTCATAGACTCTTATGGAGTCTTAGACTATGAAGAGCCACTCTCCCTAATCTGGCTTAGTTACAGCATGTGTTATCCTTGATATCTGGGCTTCCACAACTCGATTCTGTTGAAGTCTCAAACTGTAGCATGTCCAGAGGGGGCCAAGGTCTCTTATTCAGCACCAAATTCTTCTATTAGATCATGTCCCCTAGAGAAATCCTCACAAAACCTAGGGTGTAGCTAATTAATGTGCGAATGGCAGGGATTTACTGGATCCAGTCTTTTGATTTTTCAAATAGATATAGTATAGACACGATCTGGTCTGTCATTGACCGCATGCAAAATGTGAACTTTTCTGAAGAATGGGTACATGGTCACTGAGTGAACGGGTAGCCTTCCTGGTAATTAGTAGTACCAGTACTAGTGACCACTGGAATTTGTATCTAGCTCACTGGCGTTAGATCTGAAGGCTTGTATCATTGAGGTTTTTAACTGTTGGACTCTGGAGGTTTCTAGATGAAGATGGAAGCTGTCTGGTAGCATGAGCTGGTCGGATCGGCCCTGGCCATGCCCGTCGTGCCCGAGCCGATACTGGCCGCCTGGAGTGTGCATGAGGCCATGGTGGGCCTGCAGTACGTGTGGCCCTGTTGTTTCTTTTGTCTGCTTCCTCTCCTCCTCCTCGTCAGACATGTCTGATTGTGTGTTGGCCGGCAGGCTGCCCGGCATAACTCTCCGCTGCGCCGATGGTCCAGCACATACGACCACAGGAAGTGGAATACAGGGCTTCCCGTCCGCTCAGCCGTACTTAAGCCACTTGCCGGCCGGCTAGTAGTTGGGTGGGTGACCACCAGCGAATCCCGGCTGTTGTATGTTGTTTATTTTTTATTCTTATTTTATTTTGTTATTGCTTTCCTTTTCCCTCAGCCTAGTAATGTATCTTTTGCGACTGCACAGTGTCTGCTCACAACAATAGATGACTTGTGCTTACGGAGTATGGGTGGCTCTATACACAAATAGAGAGTTTAGCAGTCTAGAACTGCTAGCGCTCCGGCAAGTTTTAGGTCTGCTGATACCATATTACCCTTTGTTCCTCGTTTCTTTGGCGTGAGCATTTCCGGTGTTTATTTTGTTGCTGTAGATCTGAATGCGGCTCTTCATCACCGTTCCCGTGACGCCGCTGACTCAGCATATCAAAGACTTCCTCTCACCCGCAGCTTGTCTCGGTTATGTCGTGAGCTGCAATCGCACAGAAAACCGGCCCCCGCCAGTGGTATCAGGGGTAACATGGAGACCAGCTTGCTAATTCGCAATTTACTGCAACCCCAATGGCTATCTCGCCCCTAAAATATGATGGATTTCTCCTCCCCGTTGCCCGAAGCTTCCCGGCCCGTGTTACGTCAGAACCGTAGCTTAATATATAAAAGGGCGACTGGACAAAAACTGGGAGATGTTAACTTTCCTCTCCAGTTATTTTTTGCTTCTTTTTTGACTCTCCTCTCTTTTCTTGGTGCCTTGGAGCAACATTTGCTCGGCGCAGGTTGTTTGATTTTGAACATTCTGTGTACTCCTTCTTTTTAGACTGTGCTGTTGATTAGCCAGAGGGTATTCTCCCTTTGGTCACATATATGAGAATTAACGGCACAGAGACCCTAACGGAGTTGTTTTTCATCAAAACGGAGAGAAGCTAAGGAATAAGAGATACTCGATCGGTGATTCGTTAAGCGATGGCGACGGCTCAGCTATTGAACCGTGTGAGACGGCCGTCAATGCTGTCGAAGCTCGCCAAAGCTGAAGACTTAATTCGTTTCTTTCCCAATGGGTCATATATCGGTTGGTCTGGATTCACAGGTGTCGGCTATCCGAAGTAAGTCGCATTAGTCCCTAAACCATATGTCCCATGGGTTTTTGTTAAACGGCGTGGGTAAATATAGGATGATTCCTACCGCACTAGCCGACCATGTCGAGAAGAACAACCTACAGGGGAAATTGAGATATACTCTCTTTGTAGGGGCATCGTCCGGCGCGGAAACGGAAAACAGATGGGCGCGGCTTGATATGATAAATCGGCGATCGCCCCACCAAGTGGGCAAGGAAATCGCGAAAGGGATCAACAATGGCAATATTAATTTTTTTGACAAGCATCTTAGCATGTTTCCGGCAGATCTTGTATATGTATGTACTAGAACTGCTGCTGGGTAATCTTGTGAAGCGCTATGCTGACCCTTATCTCTCCATGACAACAGGGTTGGTATACGAGAGACAGGCCCCATAATAGGCTTGACGTGGCAGTTATCGAAGCGTCTGCTATCACCGAAGATGGTGGGATTATTCCTGGAGCCTCAGTTGGAGCTTCGCCAGAAATAGTTCAAATGGCGGACAAGATCATTATCGAGGTCAATACTGCCGCTCCATCGTTTGAAGGGTTACATGACATTACGATGTGTGATATTCCCCCGAGACGAAAACCATACCTCATTATGAGACCGGAGGATCGGATCGGAACAAACTACATCCCAATTGACCCGGAGAGAGTTGTTGCGATTGTTGAATCAGATTATCCAGATCAGACTCAACCGAATGCTCCAGCCGATGAAGCTTCGCGGGCTATTGCGTCAAACTTAATTGAGTTTCTTCAACATGAAGTGAAGATGGGCCGTTTGCCCAAAAATTTACTTCCAATTCAGTCTGGCATTGGAAATATTGCCAACGCAGTCATTGGTGGTCTTGCCGAGGGCGGTGCCAATTTTCAGAATCTGAAGGTGTGGACTGAAGTTTTGCAAGACTCATTCCTCGATCTTTTCGACAGCGGCAATCTTGACTTTGCCACAGCCACGTCCATCCGTTTCTCTCCGGACGGATTCAAGAGGTTTTATAAAGGCTGGGCAAATTACTATGACAAACTCCTTCTTCGCTCTCAGCAGGTTTCCAACTCCCCTGAAATCATCCGGCGTCTCGGCGTCATTGGCATGAACACTCCCGTGGAAGTCGACATCTACGCCCATGCCAACAGCACGTGCGTGATGGGGTCGCGGATGCTGAATGGCCTGGGCGGATCCGCCGACTTCTTGCGCAGCGCTAAATATAGCATCATGCACACGCCCAGCACACGACCTAGTAAAGCAGATCCCACGGGCATTTCTTGTATCGTCCCTTTCTGTACGCATATCGACCAAACGGAACACGATCTGGACGTTGTCGTCACTGAGCAGGTATGTCTTTTCCCTTCAAGTACCCACGAGGACTTAGCAGCTGACATTTCCAGGGACTTGCTGATGTCCGGGGTCTTGCTCCGCGGGAACGGGCCCGCGTAATTATCGATAAGTGCTCACATCCTGATTACAAGCCGATCTTGCAGGACTACTTTGATCGGGCCGAGTCGTATTGCCTCCGCAAGGGCATGGGCCACGAGCCGCATCTGCTCTACCAGGCATTCAAAATGCACCAAAACTTGGAGGAGAAAGGGACTATGAAGATTGATGGATGGGAATAGGGTCAAGATAGTTACTGCGTCTAGTTGATTTTTTTGGTCTAAAATGATACCTCAACATTTTTTTGGCTGCGTTTCATGACGCCGCATAGAGTAGTTACTGTACGCTTGTCGTATTGCCTCAAATTAGAAAAATTTTCTGAAACAGTACAATATCCACCCTTCCTAGTATTGTGAACACAGCCGCAGAGTGGCTTCTTCGAAACAACACCGACAAGTCAGCTACCCACACCATAAGCCTGATAATCATTCATCCATAGATTTTATATCCATGTAGTAAAAACCATGCCAGTGGGGGCCATCAAGTCAAAACCCAAGAACCTCCCTAGGCTACCATAGGATCCTGTTGGGCGACCAAGGCTAGGCGTACCCATTACGCTTAAATGGAAGTTATGGAACTCGATACGGAGTACCTGCAGGCTGTTGAGCTTGAAGAGAGGGATCATGAATGCTTTGCTTTGGGGCATGTACAATATTTTCCGTTGAGCTAACCCAGAACAAACGGGCAATCATTGGACAACGGCTGTGTTTAGTCAGCCTTTTTGTTTTTACGCGGGTACATAAAAGCTTCCTCGCTGTTTTTACATCTAAGAAGTTCTCCCGATGACCGTGGAGTTCGATCCCTTGGCTAAAAGGGCACAGGAACAGAAGTTTACTGCTTGGCTCCAGTTTCTCTTGAACGAAGTCTCCCTAATACATGTCCATGGCCTTGCGGCATGCCACCGGCCATGAAAACCGGCAGCCGCCCGGCGGTGGAAAAACGGTGCGCTCAACGTATGCTACCGCGTCAAGTTCGAAGACGGTGTCCATGTCATCGTTCGCTACGCCGCTCTAGGGAGGGCCATCCTTCGCAGAGAGAAGATGGGGGGCGAAGTTGCTGCCATGAAGCATCTCCGACGCCATACGCTCATACCGGTGCCCGAGGTCCTCGGCTCTGGCATCTGCCTTCTTGGCCCTTCATAGTCGTTTGTCGAGGGCATACCGTTATCGGATCTCCTCAAAGGCAAGTTCAAGGAGGATTGCCAGCCCGTTCTAAATAATAGCTCGAAGAGAGCCTACCGTGAAGTCCCAGCAATCGTGCTTGAGTTGCCCAAGCATGAGTTCGGGGGAATCGGGGCCATTGAAGAAACCAATGGGACATCTATTATTGCAAAACACGCTCTCATATTCAACCAAAATGAGTTGATGGCCTCAGCCAATCTGTCTGATCACCTTTTTTGCTCCACAGGTATTCGATTCTGTACCGAAATGTTTTGAATCTCTTCTTACGTAGCGACCTCTTCTATCTCCGGCTACAGAAGAAGAATGCCATGGCGAGCGAGCAAGATTGCAAGAAGAAATACGTGGCCCGCTGTTTATTTCTTGCGATTGTCAAAGGCATATCCCATGAGCACTGCGACGACTTTCGTCCGTCGAGTTTGCTCATTGATGTTGAAAGTTTTATGTTTCTGGAGTGATTGATTGGGAGTTCACATATGCAGTCCCTTCTGAATTCACATATGTTGCTCCGTGGTGGCTTCTGCTCCAGAGCTCAGGGGACTGGGAGTCTGATCTCAATGAGCTCCTAGTCCGCTTTACTCCTAGGCTGCAGGTATTCCTTTCTGGTCTACGAAAATGCGAGGACGAATCGAATTTATCCAGCAACGCAGACTGTCTGAAACCCAGCGCTAATCTACACGGATGATGAATTCTGTGGAGACTGGGCAACTTTGATTATGCTTAGCTGCCCGTTACAGCTCCATGTTTGATGAAATATACTGGACGTTTCTGGACAAACGGGATTATGGGACGTTTCTTCGCTTGACGATCGGATCAGTCTTTCGAATCCTGAGCAGCAAGTAGAAATGGATGAACTTGTCAGGCTTAAAGTTTCCCAGGCGGGCGAAAGTGCCTTAGATGACCATTATCCTGCCGATAGTTGTATGATTTGTGATTTCTACGGAGAATTTCCTGTTGTTCACAATCTATGAGTAGGTTTGATATGTAACTATTCCGAAAAGGAATTTTTGACTTTAGTTTTCATACTCCGTACGAAGTACCTCTTGACATACGGTTGGTATTGAAATAGTGCCCGCTGATCGAATCGTTTGCTTTGCGGCTTAACGCACCCTTCGAAAACAAGCGCTTCGCTGGTGTGGTTAATTATTAGTCGCGAGTCACAATTAACGCCGATTCAGGTCTAAGATATGGAAGATCTCTGTATTTTTTTCCCGGTGAGTGTGTTGTTACGATTATTTTCCCGCCTTCGACCAACAGTTTTGACCCCCAAAATTCGCAAGTGCTTCCTGTTGACCTGGGTACATAGATCTGTGTGCTTGCCCCTCGTTAGCAGAGTAGATTTCTCCATAAGAAAAAGTTATTTTGAATGAAACTGACTAAATAGCCGGAAAAGTGTTTGTGACTGACTCCTTTTGTCACTTCCGCCCCTACGGGGGTTCAGGGGCCTGGGTGCCTCGTTCTCCGTACGTCGTGCCTCTTCACCATGATGATATTATTATTTTAACACAACACGGCAAGCCTCGTACTTTTTAGTTCTTTACGGAGTACGCCCCTGCCAAAACGCCGTGTCTGGTCGCTTGACCTGTCTCTAAATCAAGGTTGCCGTAGTGCTTCTACGGAGTGATTATTCTGTAACCTAACGGGGTTTCCCCAACACCTAGGACATCCTAGGGTATATTGGCTGTGTTAATAATACATATCCCGTTTGTTTACCACTCGCTCGGTGTAGTAGTCTCTTTCAGACGTGATTGTATCCGATGGCTTATTCAAGTCTCCACAGAGCTTCTATTATCAGCGGCTGACTTTATATAGACATATTTGAATCACAGAGTGTCCTTGGTAATCGCGCGCTTGGATCTTGGTTAGATTCGCAAAGCATGGCTTCTCAAAGTTTATCCAAGTTGGGAGTTCTAAGCGCGATCCCTTATTCTGTCTGGCGCCCAAGGATTCTACCGGATTGGTGATATGAGCATGCTGGAATCGTTTGTGTTCGGGTCTTGGGAGCCGGGCAACAGCGTGGAATGAATACTTACTAGTTGGCGGAGCTCGTCGAGCTGTGGAGGCGAGGCAGGAGAGCACGGTGATTGTGCTCGGAGATGACGCGTATCAATCTATCAGTCTTCCGTACGGAGCAGGCCATACAAACCGCCTTTTATTTGTTAATTCTACGGATGCTTCTATGGAAAGATATATATTTGAAGAAATGTTGGATTTGCGACAAGAAGACTCCGTGTTCCGTCCATTTCTGGGTACAACTCCGTGGTTGGAATTGTTGGCGCGAAGTAGCGCTGTTCTGTCACATGGAGACGAGCAACGACAAGACTTCTTGTCAGGGCCATGGTTGCCACCCAGCAGCACTACGAATAGGGAGTTGTGAGGGTCTGGCTACAGATCTCAGGACGGCGGAAATAATAATAATAATAATAATACGTTCTGGGAGGAACACGCAAAGCAAGGGTTCCCCGGATGGCGCGGCCCCTGCCAGGGAAGGCTGGGCCTGGCAGGCGGGCTCGATCTGCGGGAGAGCGATGTTTATCGCCGGGCAGGGTGCTGGGGAGAACAAGGAGACGAGAAACTTGCAGAGCAATGCCTGTTCACAGTAGCTGTGTTTGCCTGTGTGATTGCAAGCAGAATCGGGATCGCGACAAAGCACTGCCCGGGGGCTGTTTTCTCATGCAGGAAACAAAAAGCAAAAAGAAAAATACACACCAAAAAAATAAGCATAAGAGCAAGGGGCAAAAAAGAAACAGCCAAAGGCGCAACCAAGACAGTCGCAGGAGTGTTTTTATTTTTTATTTTTTTTATTATTGCGCGCTGGGCGACAGTCGCTGACTCGCTGGGGTTCGCAGCGCAAGGCCAATAGGGAGGCCAACAAGGAGAAAACAGCGCGTTCGGGACGCCGATCCTTTGGCAAGCGAACGGACCCTTTTTGTGCTCGCCCTTCGATCTGATTGTCTCTTTCACACGCGCAAGGATCATCCAGGGGAGCCGGCAAGGCTTGGGGCGAGTGTCTAGCCAGAGGGAGGGGGGCTGCTAGGCCAGGCATTAGTATTGAACAGGCAGCTGGGACAGACGGCGGGCGGGACGGCAAGCGAGCAGGACATCGGAGCGGCAGTGCAGAGTGGAGGACATAGGAAATGAAGCACGCCGCCGCAGCAGCAGCAGACGACGACGATGGCGGGCGCGGGTTGTTTTTTTTTTTTTTTTTTCTTTCGTGCTCGTCGAGCGCGGCGGCGCTGGCGAGGCGTGATAGCGTCGCCTTGGCTCGCCGGCGTGCGCCTCGCGTATCGTACGCCGTACCAGGTACGGTACCGCCGTGTTCCATACGCGCCGCCACGCACATCACAGCCCGCTGCGCTGGCGTCGGGTGCGGAGGACACATAGCTGCTGTACGGTTTGGACGCATCCTGCTTAACTACCACTGCTCTCTGTAGACTCTACGCACCGTCGCCTCGCCGTGCCCGCGCTCGGCATGCGTGCCACAGCAACCGGAGATTGCGTGGGCAGCGTGGCGACGCCGGACTGGGCAGCCCGTATCGCAGAGGCTGACGTGAAACGGCGGGTTCCTGGCGCGCACGCAGCCCGCGCGTAATACGGCCGTCATGACGCCGCCCCACCGCCCCGTTGGCTGCGTGTGCCTGGTAACGCCCCGTCACACGCTAGCCCCAATGCGGCCTCTCCTTTTCCCGCTTTTCTGTTTCTCCTCCCGCTTTGCTCGCTCTCCCTCTCCTCCTCCTCCTCCTCTTCTTCTTCTTCCTCGTCTCCTCCCCCGTCTTTCGTTCTCCCGTCTCCTCTCCCTCACTGACCACCGCTTCACTCTTTCAGCGGGCATTCTTTCTTTCTGCTACGGCTCTTCCGCTCGCGCTCTCCCCGTCTCCACTGCCATCCCTACCGCACGGAAGATTACCCTAAGACAAACCGCCCAACTGCGCACGTCCATTCTTTTTTAACCCGTCGCTCGCCGCGTCCTTGCACTCCTCTGTGTCTTCCTGCGTCGTTTCGGAGACACCATGAAGGGCGCTGCGCTTTTGTCCGCCGCTGGTCTCGTGGGCTCGGCCCTGGCTGGCGGCCTGCACCATCGCCACGGCCACCTTGAACTGCACCGCCGTCTCCCACCGTCGTGCGTGGTCAAGACCATCGTCATCACTGGCCCTCCCACACGTAAGTGCTCGCGACCGTCGCGTGCATGCCACGCGCTGCATGTTTCTCCTTGGCTCATGCTGACTGAAACAACACAGTTATCCCAATTCCTGCCGCCACCACCACTTCGAAAAAAACTGTCAAGCAGACTAGCTACACCACCGTCACCGTCGCTGTCACTCCCGCCCCCTCCGAGCCGGCACCCACCCCCTCCGAAACCGTCTTTCCTACTCCAGGAACCTACACCATTCCCGCGCAGACAGTCGTCCTCAACAAGACTGTAACGGTCTGCGCGCCAAAAACGACCCCTGTGCCTGGTGTTTCTCAATCCTATGGAGGTGTGACTAGTGTTGTCCAGAGCTCCACTGCGGTCGTTTGCCCTTCATCTGCGACTCCCGTCGTCTGCGTTCCCGGCACCTACGTCCGGCCGGCAGCCACCGTGACCGTGACCGAGACAAAGTTCGTGTATGTGTGCCCATCGCCAACTCTCGTTGTCCCGTCTCCGACCCCTAAGCCTGAGGGCCCGAAGCCTGCCCCTCCAAAGCCGGAAGAACCCAAGCCAGAGCCTCCAAAGCCTGAAACACCCAAACCAGAGCCCCCAAAGCCAGAAACGCCCAAGCCAGAACCCCCTAAGCCCCAGGAACCTAAGCCAGAACCTCCCATGCCTGAGACTCCCAAGCCTGAGCCACCCAAGCCAGAAACACCCAAACCCGAACCCCCTAAGCCTCAGGAACCCAAACCCGAACCTCCTAAGCCCCAGGAACCTAAACCCGAACCTCCTAAGCCCCAGGAACCTAAACCCGATGGCCCCAAGCCTGGACTTGGAGGTGGCGAGAAATGGGGTATGACCTACTCTCCGTTCACCGACAACAGTCTATGCAAAGATGTCAATCAGATGAAGTCCGACATTGCCACCATCAAGCAAAAGGGTTTCAAAGTCGTTCGCGTCTACGCACCTGATTGTAACGCGCTTCAAACCATCGGCGATGCGTGCAAGGCAAATGGCCTCAGAATGATCATTGGTGTTTTCATTTCCAACACTGGCATCCAGGGTGCGCAGAAACAGGTGACCGACATCGTCAGCTGGGGTCAGTTCAATATCGTCGACCTCATCGTCGTTGGAAACGAAGCTATCTTCCAGAAGCACGCCGATGCTGGTTCTCTTGCATCGTTCATCGCCTCGTGCAAGGCTACTTTCCAGAAGGCTGGTTACACTGGCCCTGTCACCACCACGGAACCCCTTAACATCTGGCAGTCCAGTGCTTCTCAGCTCTGTGGCGTCATCGATGTTCTCGGTGCCAACATCCATCCGTTCTTCAACGCTGGAGTCGCTCCATCGGAAGCCGGCAAGTTTGTCAAAGGCCAGATGGACATTCTTCAAGGTCTTTGCAACAAGAAAGTCATCAACCTCGAGACTGGCTGGCCCAACGGGGGCGGCAACAACGGTCTCGCCGTTTCTGGCGGCGCTGAACAAAAAGCCGCCATTAAGTCTATTGTCAAGGCTGTCGGAAGTGACTCTGTCTTCTTTTCGTTCCGTGATGACAAGTGGAAGCAACCTGGCCCATTCGGTGTCGAACAAAACTGGGGCTGCATTAATGTCTTCTAAATAACTTAATGTCAGTCTCCTTGTGCAATGATGACTTTGCTTTCTCGCCTCTTTTGTTGCCCTTTTCTATCCATATACTTGTCTTTTTCACTGTTTGGGGTTCATCTCATGGGGTCCTGAGTGGAGTTGTATATGTCTTTTTTCTCTTTCATCTTGTTTCTTTTTTCTCAATAATTTTTTCATCTCTCTGGTCAAGGCGAAAAAGAGGGAAAGACAAAAGGAAATATCAGGAGGAACTTCAACCTTCCCAGCAACCAACCCTACAACACAACAGTGACAACACCAGTTCAAGTGTACGTGCAAACACTTATGAAGTTCCTTATCTTTTTTTCTCCTACCTCTCTTGTTCAGATCCGCATGTGTGAATGTACATGTTTGGCAGCCATTTTACGAAAAATCAAATGTCAGAGTAACTGTGCCAAAGAAACAAGCAGAAGCAGTCTCATTCTGTTGAGCAGCATTTCACTGAGATGCTTCTTTTCATGTACAATGTTTTCCCATCCATTGTTCTTCCTTGGGTGCATATCCTCCCCCACCCTCACAGTGCAAAAATTCAATTATATGGAATATTTCTTTGTTGATCTATAATGTCCTCAATAGTACTTGGAAACTTTTTGCTTTGTTTTGAATTAATGGATTCCCAATTTCGATCTCCTCTTGCTTGTTTTTGGGGCCCCGCGCCGGCGCAAATCCAACAGGAACGCCGACCCAAAACACTCAACTTCATTCTCCATTCCTCCCGTAGGAGCACCCCGCCCGGTCTCCCGCGAGATGCGTCTTTTTAGCTTCTGAGTCTGTTCATCCATACAGTCGATCCTCAACCCGGGGCCCCATTATTAGCCACGCGCACGGTGTCTCGGTAGGATGGCTGGAGACTGGCGTCTGTGCTCGTCGGTGTATATATGTATGATAGCCGGCGGCAGTCCAAACTGTCACAGCTTGCCTGTACTTTCCCCCCACTACGATTATAATAGCATTCCTTTTCCTTTGCGCGGTACGGAGTATATCCAGCGCTGACTTTCCTCGCTCCAGAGTCCATATTCGGATGTGCTGTGGCGCAGGCGCAGGGGCTTGGCCAGTGTGGCGCAGCAGATCGTCACGGGTTTTTGCGACCAATCAACCCGTGGACGCCACAATCACGTCTTGTCCTACGAGCCAGCCTTCCCTTTATCCTCTTTGGGGAGGATTCGCGTGCTTCTTCTGCAATGGGTGGGAGGAGTAGGCGGCGTACTAGTCTAGGAAGGAGATCTTCTTTGATGCTGGCTCTGCGAGATGTTTGGGCTCCAGTGTTGAGGGAATTTGGGATGGCCTTCCGGGTTTCTCAGACGGCGTCGTCCCATCCTCGGCGGCTAGTAGTTTTATTTTCGTGCCAGCAGAGATAATATCGCCGTCACTTTTTTCTACAGATATGGCTGCGGAGCGGAGATCTGTGATTTATCGTACGGCAAAAGACTTTGTATATTCATTCCAGTGTATATACGTAACGGTTTACCGAGTATATTTCATGGCGCGTGGTAAAGGAAAGAAAAGGAAGGGAAAAAACAACGGTCTCTGGCTTTCGATCAGAGGAACTTCTTCGCCATGCCCAACAGAGCGCCAGCTCCTCCTTGCTGTTGGTTCCCGCCGCCGGACTGCCCGCCGCCGAGCCCCCCAGCCAAGCCAGCCAGGCCAGCAAGCCCCCCCAGGCCACCGCCACCGCCGCCGCCGCTCATCTGGTTCTTCATGTACATCTTCATCGCCATTGCAGCAGCCGAATTGACGGCCGATTGCTTATCAGTAGCCTGCAGAAGAAAAAAAAGGGAAAATTAGCCCGTGTTCCAAAATAGAAACGCAAACAAGAAATTCTCCAGGACAGAGAAAAAAAAAAAAAAAAAACATACCACATTGCCCTGCTTGTTCTGCTGATCCCACAACTTCCCCGCCTGAGCCATGGCAAGCCCAATCAGCTTGTTCTGGTCGCCCGCCCCACCACCACCACCACCACTGCTGCTCTTCTGCTTGTCCTCGCCACCCATAAACATCTTCAGCGCCTGCAGCGCGGCGCCATTGCCCAAGAAGTCCGCGTCGAGCTTGCGATCCGCCTGCGGATTGCCGCCGTCGCCGTAGAGCGCCTGGTGCGCGCCCACCACCTTCTGCTCGTCGATGTCCTCCTTGCCCAGGCTCTCCTTGTTCTGGCTGAGGAAGCTGACGGCCTTCTTGAAGAAGCCCGCGTCCTCGTCGTCATCGGCGTCCTCGCGCCCGTTGTTGTGGTACTTGGCCTGCTTGATGGCTTGTCCGAAGTCGAAGCCTCCAAAGCCACCATCGCCGCCGCCGGGAGCTCCACTGCCTCCTTGCTGGATTTGCTGTCCGGACATGTCGGCGCGGGGGTCGTAGTAGTTGGCGCTGGCTCCGCCGCTGAATTCGGACGGGTTGGGACGGGAGAAGTTGGACATGGTGCTGGGAAGAGGGGAGGGGAATTGCACTGCAGGTTCAACGGCACGGGAGACACGCAGAGGTCGCGCTTCTTATATGGCGTGGCTGATTAGGGGGGGTGGCGGTGACGTCAAGAGAGGGGCACGGGCTGGGCAGCCACACCACCCAAACACGACAAATTTGGCAAACATGCCAAACACAGGAGGCAGCTTACTCAGACAGCTGGTATTACTCAGACATTAACTAAGACTCTCACACGCCCGCTGTTTTGATACACCCCCCAAACCATATGAAGCAAAACTGCAAGACCGTTCCCTCCGCTCCAGACGGCTCTCGCCTCGCTGAATCGAACGCCGCTGATATCACATTGAAATGCTCCCAAGCCCAGGCCAATTTGCAATCCTCCAGGTATCCGAACGCAGCAAAAGCGGGCCGCTAAAATGCAAGCAACAAAACGAGAAAATAACGGAGTCAAATGTCAAAAAGAAAGAAAAAGGAAGAAACAAGCCAGAAAAGCAAATGGGGATGTGGAAGCTCAAGTGTAAATGGGGGTTAGAAGAGAGTAGATTCAGAAGGACAAAACCCAATTGCTAGACTCAAAACACCAGGAAACAGGGGGACGGAGCCCATCTTCCCAACTCTAACACAAAAAGGTCGCTTGCAGATTCCCCATTCGAGTGAAGCTGAGGAAAGGCGAAAATTATGCGACGGAAAGGCCAAGCTGCCAAATATCCCTCGAGACGGGACAAAAACAGTTTTAACTATGCATTAAAAAAAAAAAAAAAAAAAAAACAAAAGCAAAGAAAAAATGACGAGAAGAAAAAAAGCACTTTTGGAGGCCAGATCGTCAAAAAACTCCCAAACACCTATTAGTTGGCTTTAATTCAACCTTGTATTTCCGAGAAAGGAAAATACGGGAGGCAGAAGAAAAGTATGTCACCAAAGCAAGCAAAACCACAAGAAAAAACAAAAAAACAAAAACCCAACGGAGCCAGAATAGAGAAAGAAAGAAGAAAGGCAAAAGAATTCCAAGGGACAAAAAATCATGTAAAGCCTGAATGTAAACGCAATGACGTTAAGAAGGGGAGATAAAAAATCACGCTTCATGGATGCAATTCAAAAGAGTTGATGCACAGGTTATCCTAAATAAGGGTCTAGCATCTCGAACTGTGTGTCCGTGAAGAGTTTCTGGAACCGCAGCTTCCTCTCCCTCGAGCCAAGCACGCACCGCGGGTCGCCATCGAGCCGGTCCTCGGGCAGCCACTCGTTGGGCAAGTCGGGGTAGTAGAAATCGCCGGCATTCTCGATCCGCTTGCGCTTGGTGTGGCCGATGCCAAACTGCTGTCCCCACTCGCGGCGATCGAACTCCATGAAGCCGCCGAACTTGGCATCCATGTTCGCAACCCAGATTCGGCTACCGTCGGGCGAGAAGTCCGCGCCGCCGATCTCGCCGAAGAAGTCGTGCACTTGGCGCGTCTGGTAGGATTGGGCGTTGACGAGCACGATGCGATCGGCGGGCTCGCACATGAGCAGGGTGCGTGGGCCGCCGCCGACGGGAGAGAAGCGCAGGGAGCGATAGCCTGCGACATCGGATTCGATGATCTGGAGAATACGCCACATACGTGCATCCCAGATGTTGACGGTTTTGTCTTGATTGCTGGTCGCGACATGTAACATGTCGGGCGACCATGCACAGGCAAATCCGTAGTCACGGTGGCTAGATAGGACTTGAATAGGCTTGCCGTTGTCACTATCGACGACCCAGGCATCTGGTGCATCGCCAACAATGACACGAAGGCGGCCATCAGGGGATGTGTCGGTGCAGTTAATGGCGCGTGCAAACCTGTGTGTGTTGATAAATTTATTTGTAGCGCAGTCCAGGATCCGAATGCGGTCGTCGTTGGATGAAATAACAGCCTGAGGGCTATGATTAGTGCGATTCTGGATTACATCAATGTGGTTAGTGATGCCATTGGGGTCTTTAGTAACACGGCCGTCCATCGTAATCGAATCACTGATTTGTCCACGGTAAGCATACTCGCCAGAGAACCCACCAACGAGAGTGACGCCATATTTTGCTTTCATGGTTGAAATCTTGACTGAATCAAGGAAATTTCGGGAAGTCGTTGGGTTAGAGAGGTTGATCAGACAATTTTGTTCATTGTGAAAGGGCGTGACCGAGTAGACTTTAGACTGATATGCGTATTGCAAAGTGTTTGATGCTGTTACCGACATAAGGTTTCGCAGCTGAAAATGGGCCATTGAAGCTCGATATTTCGTATACATCGTCTTCGGCCTAAAGTAGTCCTCGCTCTGGGGTAAGACATTGGAATACTATTTTAGGAAAAAATAGAGTTAGTGGAAGCAGCTGAAGGTTGAAAAACGAAAGACTCACAGTTCGAGGGACATATTTTAGGTTATGATAGCAAGAATACATCTGATCCCTCTGGCGGCGGGCATCGGATCGCTTCACCTTTAGTCTGGTGGACCAAGGAATGCCTTGAATGTCGTAGATCTTCGAGGGCTCTGGTCGCGAAATCTTGGAAGGTCGTTCCCAATCAAGGACGTGTGCAGCCTCGGACGAAATAGGAATGGTAATCGGGCGTTTAGCTCCACAGATGCGGGGGTCGTGCGTACGAGACCGTAAGAACCACTGTCTGATGAACTGATCAATTGACAGGTTTCTCTCAAATGCTGGATATTGAATTCCATTAGCATCACCATAGAAATCACCGTCTGGGGGTGCAAGGGGCGTGGCAAGTAATGAGCTGGCAACGTGAGTATGGTCATTAAAGATTCGCAAAATCAACATGGGGTGAATAAAGTAAGGCGAAGGCATGGAGGCCGCATGGATATGATAATATTCGTCGTCCGAAAGAAGAGGGCGTGGGTTCCTGGCCGAAGAGGAAAATGTTCGAGTCCTGATTCTTAGCTCGCTTTGCGGGGAGCAAGGCGACTCAGATAAACGTGGCTGCGATGTCTGGGTATCTGCAAGCAAAGCAAAATCTCCTCTTGCAGACTCGGCGCAAGCAGAATGATGCCACGAAATGGCATCTTGAAAGAACTCTCTGCACTGAGAAGAAGTAACCGGAAACCCGTGTAAAGCCCGAGGGCCAGACAAAAACGAAATGATTGGTTGATTGACAAAAATGTCAGCATGCAAAACTCCCGGCACGAAATCAGAGCCTAGGCGGCGCGCACGGACAAGAATTGCGTAGATTCTTGTCTCGATAAGGATGGAAAACTGAGTTGCGAAACTAGAAGCTAGTTTCCGGGGATGGAACAAGGCACCTTGCATGTTGGGTAGGTACGATAAGCGATCATCCGGGGGGTAGAATCCCTTGGCTGTCTTCTGGCTTTGCGTAACGGTGCTAACAGAGGCGGCAGAAGAAGTAGTTAGGAAAGGAGGTTTCATACTTTCGGTATGCATCACCGGCCCACCACCACCTGCATGATCATTGGCCTCCCCATCGGTCTCGTTACTATCGTTAACTTGAGGGTAGTTTGGATCGAATGGGGGCGGATGGTCCGTACTGAAGGTCGTGGTGGGTGGAGGCGGAGTGTCGGGCTGCCTAGCTGCGTGGCCGTTGGGCAAGGGCTCATCACTTACCTCGGCACCCGTCTGACCAGGTGTTCTAAGTTCAGCGGCCTTTGAGGCGTCAGGGCCCTCTACACAGAACTCATCGTCTGATACGTAAAACCTTTCGGCGTCGAGAGCGTCGTAGGGATCGTCACGGCGGTAATTAGTATCAGGCGCGCCAAGGAACATGGTGGGCAGAAGTTGATCGTAAGTGAAGTTGTGGAGGTCTGAAGCATTAATCAAACTACCATCATCTCTCGTATACCGTATGCCAGCGAATAGTGGATCTTCAATGGCGTGGTCACCCAGACTGGAGGCCTCGGGGTCGTAGAAGTCATTCGGGAGGGATTCGACTGGATGAACGGCAACGCTGGCGTCTAAGGGGATCGCGGAGTGGTTTTCATTTGGACCGACAGACGTAGCAGGTGGAGAGGTTACAGGGTTGGTAGTAATAACGGTTCGTTCATCAGCTAGCTCAGATGTGGATGACGACTCGCCGTCTTCGTCGTTGTCGTGAAATTCGGAAATTAGGTCGATTTCAGGGAGATTTGGGGCAGCGGAGGCGACATCACTCCCAGAAGGCCAATCGTTCTGAAAGGCAGTGGCCAACTGGGGTGAGGTCGAGGCATTTATTTGATCTCCTCCAAAGTTTGTGTAAAACGATGTGGGCTCATTGGGCCCCTGGTCGACCCTGGGGTCGTCCTCTTCGTCCGAAGAATAATCGCCACTACGAGACGCCAAGTCACCGGTATCCATTTCTTCTGCAGAATCTTCCCCACCGCCAGAGTGTACTGAACTGTGAGTGATTTCAGGTCCCTCTTCATTAGGCATTGTTTCTGCGATTTTGAAGGCTTCGCGTGTGGTTGGTGTAGCGTCTGTAGATGTCAAAGGCAAGAAACTGCTAGTTGCTTGACCGGCAATGTGCTCATTATGTTCAACCATATTGCTTGGTTATTGACCGTAAATGCCGTTCTGCAGTAGCCGCCGTAGTAGGACAGGAGTGCTGGAGTGGCTGTGATAATTTGTGATGGGCTTTGTTGTCCGTTGAAATTGGAGATTGTGCGAGAGATTCAACCAGCTGGGAGAGAACTCAGCAGTATTATTTGGCAAGGACTTTCGTGAAGAGACTGTTTGAGTATGTATTGTGATTGACCAACCGCTGTTGCTGGCAGACGAGCATCTACAACAAAGCAGGTGAGCACCAACACATCAATACTTTATCTTGTAAGTAGTAAATGGGTAATTAATACCTATCATCAAAAGGATTGGATGTAGCGGCAGTTTCAGGTATTGCCAATAGGGCAGAGAGTAGGGAGTGGAGATTTTTGAGCAGCCGCGTTGCAGCAGAGAGATCCAAGGCAGAGAGATGCTTGATCCAAAGATGAGACCAAGAAGGGAGGTTCAAGTTTTTCTAAGGGAGGATAACAGCAGAGGTAGGGAGGGGAGAAAGTGAGGTGAACAACAAGGGAACGGAATGGGACTGAGGCTGGCTGTTCTGTCTGGCTATTGTGCAGAGTGCGTTCCAAACACACAAGCCAGCACAATAGAGACCAGACGCTATTTAGGGAGACCAAGACGGATGTTTTGAATGAAGGGCTGCAGGTTGGTTGCGCGAGATCGTGTTGCTGGTGAAGAAGTTCCGGAACAAGTGCTGAACAACAGTAGGGCTGCTTGTGTGGAGACAATCAGCCAGAGAGATAAGAGGGAACAGGGGAAGAGAGAACTAGGAGAGGGAGAGAGAAGAGGAGGACAAGCAGGGAGCACGCTGTTGAGGGGCAACAGAGGCAGCGCCGCGCAGCACAGAGCAGAGCAGAGCAGAGCAGAGCAGACTCGCCGGAGCCAGGCCAGCAGAAGGCGGGGCAGGCAGGCGGAGGCAGCGAGTCACGGCGGGCAGCACATGACCTGGGCGGGCAGCGCGAGAGCGAGACGGAGACGGGCGGGCGGGCGCAACAACCACAGCAGCAGCAGCAGTAGCAACGTCGAGCAGCAGCTCCGCGAGGGGAGAGGGACCAGGGGGGGGGGAGAGGGATCCCAGCACGGCCGCGGTTGACCCGGCGAGAGAGGGCGGGCGGCTCTGGCACTATAATATAAAACAACGCAGCAGCAACGCAGCACGCCGGCCAAGCCAGCCAAGTCAGCGGGATGCCGCTGCTGGAGCTGTTCTTCGTCTTCGACTGTTTCCTCTCTTCTCTCTCTGCCTGCTCGCCGTCGTCTCGCTCGCGCTCTCGATCTTCCCTTTCGGGTTCGCCAAAAACAGCTGGCCGCCAAGCTGCACCAGGCCGTATCGGGCATCGCGCAATCGACCAGTCGAATCGGGCGGCTCACGTAATCACCACGACCCGCGCACGTGCAGGCTTGGCGCTGTACCTGGCCGGCGAAGTTGGCGGGCGCGGTTCCGTCGCTCTTGTGCCGCGCCGGCCATGCGCGCCGCGGCCGATCCACCCAACGGCCTGCATCTGATATCGAAACGCAGCAGACAGGCCGCGAGGGATGCGCGAGACGGCTGGCGAGACGACTGTCACCGGCGAATAATCAACTCTGCCCGCCCGCCCGATCCGCTTGTTCTCTGGGCTGGCCCATCTCGGCCGCCTGCGCTATCACGAACGAGGGCAACACGATGTGACAACGCTGCTGTGTTCGCCCGTCAAACGGCTTCTACTCAGCTGCACCGAAGCAAAAACAGCAGCAGGCCTGCTGCGAACTGCCGTCTGACCGTCCTCCCGGCTGGGTTACCCGTCACATTCGGCGACGAAAAAAAACAAAAAAGGACGCCTTCGCTCCCATGTCCATCCATCCACCAGCAATCTGTGCCCGCCCGCAGAAATACATCGGATAGCCTGACAACTAGCTCGCTATCACCGCCCATTATTGAACCTTATCGAGCACCATCAGGCCGGCAGGCCGTGCTTTTGCTTTTGCCATTGCTTTTGCTTTTGGCAAAACGAACCGGCGCGCGTGCATACAAGCTCTGCCTTCCCACAACCGCCGGCGTCGCCGCATCGCACCAGACAATCAATGAATCCGGCAGTCCTGCGCCATAGAGCCCGACCTAGTCCTCCAGACACACACACGTCTGCACACGTATACACGCTCGTCACTCGAAGGGATCGGCCGTGGGGAGACAGCGCTGGCTGACCCGGTCGTACTGAGTATCCCGTATCTGCTGCACTTATCCCAGGAGCCCGATGGAGGGAGCAGGATCCGGCCGGGCGTGCGGTGGTGGCGATTATCCGCGACAGGTCCCCGTTTTCACGTCACGACTAGCCACGGCATCGATCAGGAGGTGCGCACATGGCGCATCGGACATGTCTGCCATCTCTTGCCCACGGTTGCAGCGCGGTGCATGAGCGGAAACGCTGTGTCACCCTCCCCCTGCTTTCCATAAGCTACGTCAATCGAAATGAAAATGAAAAAAAAAAAAAAAAACAAACAAACAAAAAAGGTTTCGGAGAGCGCGAGCCGGGTTGTACGGAGTACGGCTGGGGAGATCAAGGACAAATCTCCTTTTTCTTCCTCCATCAAGTGACTAGGTAGCTGGCTAATTAACTGGCTAGCTATACGGAAGTAGCTTGGAGTTCCCGACGAGCTCCCGAGAACAATCATCCTGCTCTTTGCTTCTCCTTATTACGGAGTATACTCCTACTGTTTCCTTCCCCCAATTTTAAGAACACATCTCTATGGAGTATGGAGTACATCAAAGCTACTCTTGACAACATGAACACTTTAAGTTTCTCCCATCATGCATCACGCCCAGCTGAGCGGCCCCGTAGCTGCCCATCATATGCACTCCCTCTTTTTTCTTTGTTTATTCCTCTGCCTGGTACGGAGTACTCGGAGTACACCTTTCCATACGGAGTAGTTACTACACATACATGCGTACTCCGTACTCCGAAAAACATACCCCAGACATGCACGAAATCCCCCCCCTTCTCCCCAACCGCAAATCTCTTTCCCAGCCGGCTGTCATGCCTCCCCCACCTCGCCCAATTCCAAGAGGTCACCCACCATTCCCACGGGACCATCATCGGCATATGCTTCTGGATACCCGACCATCCCGAAGCCGCAGCAGTGACGCGTAGAGAAACACATACATACTCCATACACACCCCACCACCACCACCAACACCACCACCACACAGCTGCGACGTGCGGTGTCGGTCAAGCTCTGAAACCCATCACATTCCGAGTTTATGACTGGTCGTCCTCTGCGCGCGCCTGCAGACATGAACAAGCCATCGTCTTAGCCGCAGCCATAGCCCATTTTTTTTTTTTTGTCTTTGCTTTTCTTTTCTTTCTCCTGCTTTCTTTTTGCATTACTTTTTTTCCGGGCAATTTCTCCGAAGGTGTGTACCCGGCGACGAGGGACGGGCGGGGAATAAATTCCCTTCTTCGATATTGATATTCCTAAAGAAGTAAGTGCCTGTCGGATGCTTTTTCGTATCTGATTTCTTATCGTGCAGGAGTTTCTTATCCAGCATGTAGAATTTGTCATAGGTAGGTCTGATAGCGTTTTCTCATTTATCTGTGCTGGGCCACCAGGCTCGCCAACATGCATAGGAAGTATCTATTAATTATGCTCGACTCTCCGCTATATACTCTTCTACTATCTAACGCTTCCTGGCTTCCGAGACTGGGGAAACAATTAACAAGTCTTTTGAAATTCCGAATAAAACGCCTACTAAATAGACTATCAATATTTGTAAAAGAAACTTCCAAGGCAGTGGACTACAGTACAAAAGCCATAAAAAAAAGACAAACTTGTTTAAGTGGAGGCGCAACATCTCAACCGCTAGTTATACAGGAAGATTTGGATGTATGTAGATATAAGTGTATGTACGGAGCACCTTTGTTCGACAATTATATAGGGGGGCATTTCTCAAAGGAGGAAAGTGGCATGGGTTTTTTTTGGACGAGCTAGAATTATATAAATAAGTAGCAAAAAAGACACCAAGATTAAATTATAAAAAGGAGAGAGATGGCTCCCAATGATTCAGTAATTTCTGCGACGTAAACCATTGGGGTTATCGGATTCGTATCTCAAAAGACAAGAAAACGGGGGAAAAAAAAGGGCAAAGGCTCAGCAAAAAGATTTAGATCCAAGAAGCAGTCTAATAATCCGATTCGTAAACGGAGTTATGTTGCGGATAATGCGAAAAATTCGTCGTGGACTGAGAGAAGCCACCGGTCCCGGTTCTTATGCGGCGTTCTAAGACATATCGCAGTTAGCAATCGATCCCTAAACGGCTAATACGGGAGAGAGAGAGAGAAAGTACACATACCTTTCTCAAAATCACGCCATCGTTTCATCGTAATCTTACTACTATCAAACTCGCCCTCATACTCAATACCCGCGGTCTTAGTCTTCTCGCCCGCGGTCTTGCGCGTATCGCCCCAGCTGAAATCATCAAACTTCCAGTACGCATACGTGGGCAGCACGAAATTCCAGATGGGCAAGGACAGCAGATAAATGAACATCCACGCGACGTACGACAGGCGGTGGGCGGTGACGACGATCAGGATGGCGGGCAGACCGAGGATGAGCGCCAGCAGGATGAGCGGGATGATCTGCACGGGCTTCTTGATGATGGAGATGATGACGACGTAGAAGGTGAAGGCGATGGCTGCCGGCAGCACCAGCGTGCCCACGAGCTCCATGAACACGACGAACTGCATGCTGAAGCAGAACGTGCCGCAGAGGTCGCGCACGAGGATGAGTTCCATGAGGTTGTGCACCGTACTGTTGATCCACCGCCGGCGCTGGGAGAGAAGCACTTTGAACTCGTCCGGCACGGTGGTCTTGCACACGGCCTGGGGCACGAAGACTTGTTTTCGCTTGGGGAAGGTCTTGAGCATCAGCGTCGAGAGATATCGGTCCTCGCCGAGCAGCAGTAGATTCTTCTTGTGCAGCGTGTCCACCACGTTCTCGGAATAATGCTCGACGACGTCTGGGTTGGCGAGAATCGGCACCCAGTAGTTCTGCCCGCCTTTGGGCGCCTTGATACGGTACATGCAGAAACAGCCAGGCAAGCAGGTGACACCACCGAAAACAGACTCAAATGATTTCGAAAGATGATGCGAAATGAAGTATTCAAAGACCTGGATCATAGTGACCCAGCTCTGAGCCTTGTTGGCAATCTTCGTCTCACCGCAAAGACCCATGATTTCGGGGTCGCTAACCATCGCAGAAATCATATGCGTCAGACTATCCGGGAACACCTTTGTATCGGCGTCAACCATGAGCACGATTTCGTAGAAATCGGGCGAGATTCCAGTAATCTTCCACAATCCGTTGAACATCTCAAATTCCAATTCCGTCATTCTCTCGTCGAACATAACTTTCTGGAGGAACGACATCAAAATAATCTGACTGTCGCGTTTACCTCTGTTTCCAGGCTTGCTGTTCTTCGACTCATCGGGTGTACCGCACTTGACAATGACCATCATCGGGACCCGCTGCTGTTTCTCTCGAGGAACCACGGACGCCTTACCGTAGTCGTAGAAACCGGAGTAGATTTTAGCCATGTTATGTCTCTTAGATCCACTGGCCACGGCAACGTAGGAGAAAGCCTGGACATCTTCCGGAGGAATGGCATAGTCACCCATCATGCCCAGGCAGATTTCAGGGGTTGACATTTTTTCACCTTTACCCTTGATCATACCGTCGCAAATAACGATGATCGTTTTGTGGCTGTTGGGATACTCCGTCATAGCGATTGAATCTAGAGTGGTACGCAGACCCTCTTCACCTTCGGAATATGCGGTAACAAGGCAGAGCGCGTGGGCCAGGGGATAGCCAAATGGCTGCCATTCCGGAGGGGGCTGGGGAACAACAGCTTCATGGATCATCTCAGCGGGTCCTTGGCCTTCCATGTCGCTAATCGTAGAGTAACGTGGGTCTGGCACCATCAGGCTGGATCTGCTGGCAGCAACGCTTTGACGATTGAAAGGCTCAACACTAAGCGTGGCTTGACTGGGATTCTTTCCAGATTGATACATCGACGATGGGGCATTGAGTCGGCTGCCGGTATTCTGGCTAGCCATCGTCGTGGGCGTTGGCCGTTGTTTCTGGGCTCCAATGACATAGGGGCTAGAGAATCGGGACGTCGTAGGGAACAGTCTACTTCCCCGTTTCGAGGCACGATCAGGGACAGCAGGATCCGTCAGGCGGGGTCCAGGGCGGTATATGTCATCACTCCAGTCTTCAATTTGGCGCTTGCGCTCCTTCGATTGCGGGTCCATGGCGGTCTTGGGGGCGGCGAAGCGTCTGGCGATGAACCACTGGAATAGTAAGGCAAGCAAGAATTTTACTAGCACGACAGACAGAATGAAGACCAAAGAGATATACAAGACTGTCTTCGACGCAATACAGCCAACGGTTTCGGTGTCCACGGATCCGACCTTGACGATTTCTGAGAGACACTTTGCAATCTGCTTGTCCGAACGCGACTGGAGCAGGTGGGTGACATCCAAGCCCTTGAGGCCGGCATTGTTTCGAATATCATCAAAGCGAGATGGGTACATCACCTGGCTGGAATTAAACCACGACAGGAGATCCAAATCGAGAACATTGTTGGAGTAGACAACCAGGTTCCGCGTCTTATTCTTGACCTCATCCCAAGTGAAGTAGACCTCGCCATCGGAGTTCAATTCGTAGAGTGCATTCCTGGCTCTGGGAGTGGTGTGGCACGCATATCCCGTATATTCCGGCTGGGTGAAATTGGGCTGGGTGGAACCGTCCTGGCTGAAGGCGACGCAGGGGAAGTACCAGCCCATCTCCTTTTCGGCATTGGTGGGGATTCCCGAATTCTCAACGGGGGTGATGAGGCCCTTGCAGGCACCGTTGACATTCTGGAACATGAAGCTGACATCTCGGCCACCGTACTTCTCGGGCAGATCGAACAGGACGTTTGAGCCACCAGGGACGCCGATGGCGGCCGGATGCGTGGAGCGAGTCAGGTCATATGCTTTGCCGTGAATGATCAAATAGCCGCTACCCACATGGTTGATCTTGAGGCGAACGCCGGGGCTCCCGCAGACGACTTGCGTAAAGCCAAAAGTCAGGAAACCCACAAAGGCACAGATCAAGAGAATCAAGCTGATGAGTCCCATTTTCTCACGCCAAGCTCGCCTCTGGGCCTTTGCCGGCATGCCTAGGCATTTCAAGATGAAATCCGGACACCAGAAGGTGACCATGGCGCAGTACACGTTCCAGAGACTGGGGGGACGGATGGCCTCGAGTTCCTTCTGGCGTCTCCTCTCCAGTTCCTGGCGCGATCGGGACGCTTTTCGGGACAGTTTTCTCTGTACTTTCGCCTGTGATTCCTCCTTGGAAACTGCGTGCCGCGGCGTGGGTGCCTGGCGGGTATCGTAGTCGGAGCCGGGACTGCCCCTTTCAGGTTTTAAGCTCTTGATGTCGGTGCTTCCCGAGCTGATAGTCCCGCCTTCTACTTCGACGGGGTCCTCCGCCACGGGGTCGTTGCCGGTGGTGGACGGATAGGTGGGCATATTCTGGGCATGCTGGCGGTAATGGTAATTGGGGTGATCGCGGCCGATGCGAGTTCTCTCGGGTCGAATCAGGCTGCGCTTGCGGTTGAGGTCCCGGGCGGCATCCTGGTCTTGGGGCGGGCCGGGCGAGTGAGGGCTGGCGGCGAAGTAGCCCTGGTTTCGGCGCGACGACGGGGTGGTCGGGGTCTCATTCTGGCCGCCGGCCTCGATGTCGTGTCGGCGGCGATGGTAGGAGTCGCGGAAGGAGGGCTGCGAGGACAGCTCAGGGCGTCCAGGACGCTGGGGGAGAGACATGGTGCGGCTGCGTCACTCTGGCGAGTTGTTGTCCCGTCAACGGGCGTCCGATGTTCCACGGCACGTTGCGATTCTGTCCAGAGGGGGGCACACTCACAAGGGCCTATCGCCGCGCAGCGACGAGAATGCAGCGTGCAGGCGAGTCGAGGGGCGTGCTGGAAAGAGGGTATTGCATTAATCCATAGACGGGGTGTCCGTCGGGAGAGCGTGAGGGCGGCTGCGAGAGGTGGTCTCCACGCAGGCTCAACACATCAGGACCGGCGGTCGGTGCAGCGTGGGCGTGGGTCAACTGGTCGAAGAGCCCAAGGATGATGATGGCTCGACGGCAGCAAGCAGAGAGCGGGTGGGTGGATCAAGCAAGCGTTTCGGGGGCGAGGAGGTGACAGGTAGAAAAAGAAGGGTCTGATGTGAGCGAGTGACAGGGGAAACAACAAACAAAAGTGGGATCGCCGGGGGGGGCAGGCGAAACAACGACGACGACGAAGCGAGAGTGAGGGTAGTTAGCTAGTAGGCTAGCAGCGAGCGTGCGGCGGCCGCGCGGGTGTGAGGGACAGCGGACGGTGGTTTGGGATGATGTTTGTGAAGCCACACAGCCCGCCGCTCCGCAGCGAGACGACGGCGAAGACGACGACGACGACAAACAAGGGGCGCTCCGTACGGCTGTGACGCGCCAATACGGTTGCCGTGACCGCTTGTCTCAGCGCTGGCGCGCGCTAGGCCCGGTGCGGGCTAGTGCGCGCGTGGCAGCCAATCATGCGCGCGACCCCTGGGGTGTCACGGGAGGCGCAAAGGCACCGGTCGCGCGCGGGAACGGCGCGTGATTGGCTGTGTGGTGGGGGCGCGGTGCTGGTACGCGGACGGTAATCGCTGACGGGACAGCGCGGCTCAGGGACGCCGGTGGCCAATGACAGCCCCGCACGACAGACTAGCGGCACGTGTGGCGGCGGGGGCCAGGCTGGGCGTGACGGGGCGTGACAGAACGGGCGCCATCGTTACGGTACGGTGGATACGGTATGGTGGGGTAAATATCGGAAGAAGAGAAGAGAAGGAGAAGGAGACGAGAGCAGCAGTGTAGAGCACTACGCAGGCGAAGAGAGGCAGAGGGAGAGAGGGAGAGGAGGCGGGACTTGGCTGGCAGACAGCCAGACAGCCAGGTAGGAAGGGTAGCCGGCAGCCGAGGATTGCCGCGACGCGCTGGACGAAGCAAGCAACCAACTCGCTTCTGGCAGCGATGGGCAGACCACGCAGCGACATGACGGCGACGAGGCCAGCCGGCTTCCAATCGGCGACAGGCGGGCGGGCGATCTGGCAGTCATGGCCAGCGCACCGCGCGAGCCCTGCGCGGTGCCGATGACTGGCAGCCGGGCTCGTATTCCGGGCCTGGCGCTGTGGCGTGAGGCTCGATCGCAGCCGTGGGCGCAAGATAAATATAAACAACCTGCGCCGTGCGCATCAGCCCCGGATGCGGCTGCTCGCGAGTGTCCTCCGTATGTGTATACTGCGTATGGCTAGTTGGTTACTCCAAGGCACCGTCCGTATCGCCCGGACTGACTGACTAGCGAGCCAGCCACGGCAGCGCCAGTCGCTGCGAGGCTGCCCGGTGCTGAGCCGCAGCGACAAGCCGCGAGCGCAGTTTGCGGAGCGTCGTTGGGCGGGCGATGGGGCGCCGGAGTCTTGATGAGCTAGTTAGTTAGTTGCTATGTAGAGTTGCGGAGTATTATTGTTCTTATTCTTCTTATTTATATGCGATGCTGCTCCCTCGCTCGAACCGCCGCTCGCTCGCCCCCTGAAGCCACGCCCGGCCCGATCGTCGCCCGCCAGCAACTCCTGGCTGGCTATTCTTAGTTTCTGAGCTGTCGTCTGCGTCTACGTCGTCGTCTTCGTCCGCGTCTGCGTCCGTTCGCTGCTCTGCTCGCTACTCGCCCGTCTCTGCTCTGCTCTGCCTGTCGTCGCTCGCTCTGTGTCTCATCCCTGCTGCACCACCCGCCATCCGCAGCTCGTATTTCGCCTGAGACTCCGCGGGCTTGTCTTGTCGCCAATCCTGCTGTCTCCTCTCCACCCCCGGCACTGCCCGTTCGCTCTGCTCTGCTGCCTACGCCCTCATTGCCTCGTGGCGTTGCCGTGACCCCTCCTCGTCGTCGTCGTCGTTGTTGTCCGTCTATATCTTTCTTTCTCTCTTTCTCTGCGCCGTGACTGCTGACTTCTGCCTCGCACAGCCCAACCCCTCCGCCGCAGCTGCCCGCCTCTGCAACCCGTTGCACAGCAATCTGCCCGACACCTGGCTGCTGCTGCTGCTGCTGCTGCTTGCTGTGTTGTGCATGACCCTGTGAAGCTCGACCCGCCCCCCGTCCAGCGACCTGTCGTGAACCAAGACGCCGTCCGATTTGCAATCCTCAACCCCCCCGGAGACTCCCAGAGCCAGACCTGGGCCCGCCATTCACTTCGTCGGCTGGTGGACGATTCACTGCGACGTGCTGCTTGATGAGAGCATACCACCTGTGACTTTCTCCGCCAAACAAAGCCCATCCGGAGCGCAATGGCGGACACTCAGGCGCCGCTCTCGCCGCCGGCTCCCGTCTACCTCAAAGCCTCACCTCCCCCGCCCTCCAAGCCCGTCTCACCCGCGTCTCCCACCTCGCCAACCGGCCTGTCCAGACTCTCGTTGCACGAAATGCCCCGAAGAAAACCGATCGCGATTCCCGACGGCGCCGCCCATGAGAACGCCGTCATGCACCAGTCGCCCGTGTCGCCCGTGCGCATCGACGACCCGTCGATAACGCCCGAGGCCTCGTCTGTGTTGGTGGAAGACGTGAGGAACCTGCGGCTGTCCCAGGACTCCGGCAAGAACCTGAACCTAAACGCCCAACACTTCCCGCCCCGACGGAGCTCCATGTTCCAGGCCCCGGCCCAGTACGCCCAGTATCACGATTCGCCCGCGGACGACCCATCGACGCGCCCGCCGAGAGGAGACTCGCTCAACCCCAGCCCCGATCTGAAATCACCGCCTGTCCTCGAAGCAACTGACCTGCCGCAGGCCACCCGCTCGTCGAGCCAGGAAAGCCTCGAGAGCTTCCCCGAAGAGCCGCAAGAAGTCTACCAGCCGCTGCAGTACCACCACCAGCCCTTCCAGGAACACCTGCTGGACCGCGTTGGCCATCGTGGCTCAAAATGCACCGTCAGATCCACCTCCGACTCCTCCTCCACCGGCGGACAGTCGAATCACCTCGCCCCAGGCGGCCTGGCCGTGCCCCGGCCACCCTCCACGTATTCTTCCGATGGCAGAGGCCGAACGCGCTCCCTGCAACTGTCCCCCTACGGCCACATGCGCGCCGTGTCGTCGCATTCCGCCGCCTCGCCCGATGCCCGCCCGCTGTCCTTTGTGGACTTGATGAACGTGCCCTACCCGCAGCCGCCTCCAGCGCCAGCCACCCTCAGCAACGCGCATCTGCGGTCGTCCGTGGGGAACAGCGCGTCGTTGTTGAGCCACAAGCAGACCTTTGAGATGTACCTGGCCAATGTCAAGAAGACCAACGACGCCGGCGCGCAGTACGAATTTGCCGTGTTTATGATCCACGCTGCGCAGGAGGGCTCGCGCCCGGAATCGCCCGCCGCTTCGAAACAGCCCGATGCCGGCGCCGAAATCTCGCGCGCCGAGCTGCTGCGCGAGGCGAAAGCCATCCTGCAGCGCCTGGCCGACCGCAGCTACCCGTACGCGCAGTACTACCTGGGTGACGGCTATGCCTCAGGGCTGTTCAACAAAGGCAAGCCCGACTACGACAAAGCCTTCGGGCTGTTTGTGGCCGCCAGCAAACACGGCCACGCCGAGGCGGGGTACCGCGCCGCTCTGTGCTACGAGTTTGGCTGGGGAAGCCGCAAAGACGGTGCCAAAGCGGTGCAGTTCTACCGGCAAGCCGCGTCCAAGAACCACCCGGGCGCGATGCTGCGCCTGGGCATGGCCTGCCTGAAAGAAGACATGGGCCTGGGCAAGCGCTACCGCGAGGGCATAACGTGGCTCAAACGCGCCGCCGAGTCGGCCGACGTGCAGTACAACTCGGCGCCGTACGAGCTGGGGCTGCTGCACGAGACGGGCTTCGGGGGCGATATCTTCCAGGACGAATCCTACGCCGCGCAGCTCTTCACCAAGTCCGCCGAGCTGGGCCACGCCGAAGCCAACTATCGCCTTGGCGACGCCTACGAGCACGGCAAGCTGAGCTGCCCACGAGACCCGGCCCTGAGCGTGCACTTCTACACCAGCGCCGCCCAGCTGGGCCACCCGCTGGCCATGATGGCCCTGTGCGCGTGGTTCATGGTCGGCGCCGAGCCCATGCTGGAGAAGGACGAGTATGAAGCGTATGAATGGGCGAAGAAGGCTGCTGAGTGCGGTGCGAATTATCCTTTTCCCCTCCCTCCTTATCTATATTCTATACCTTCCCCTTTACTAACGTTTCCCCCGCTGCAGAGCTCGCAAAGGCTGAGTACGCCATGGGCTACTTCACGGAGATGGGCATTGGGTGCCGCCGCGATCCCCTCGAGGCCAATGTGTGGTACGTTCGTGCCGCGGACCACGGAGACGACCGCGCGAAGCACCGAATCGCCGCCATCAGAGCTGCCGCGTCTGGCGCCGATCCAAAGTCCGCGGCGCGCCGGAATCATGGCAAGAGCGGGAAACCCGAGGGTAAGTCACCTTCCCTTTGCCTGGACTTGATGGATGTCTCTCTCTTTTTTTTTTCTCCCTAGCGGTGGTACTGATTATTTGCGTTTGAACCAGATGAGAAGAGCAAAAGCAAGAAATTCGGCTTGTTCTAAAAGCGACCGCCAGCCGCCTGTTGCTACTGCTGCATGGCATTCTTTTCTCCCTTCCCCGGATCTGCCACTCACCTCCATCGTCGATACGGCCTCGTGATGATATCGGTTTCCTTTTAAAAGCGACCTCTGACGTACATACATATACATACACCTCACCTCCCCACAGTCACACGGCAGAAAAGCGCAGTTCGCCCACGCAAAAATCTCGTTCATTTTCTTTTCGCCCCATCGGCACTCTTTTTTCTTTTTTTTTTTTTTTTTCGGCAATTTACCTTTTTCCCCCTTCTTTTTCTTGATTAAGCATTTCATCCCGCATTGGCAAAGGCCTTATTCTGTCCCCCCTGTCCGCCATGAGATTTCTCGAAAATCGTTGTTCATTGTTCGAAACAGCGGATTTCTTTTTTTTTTCTTTCAACTTCTCCCTTCTTTCTTCTTTTCTATATCCGACCTGACCCAGTTGGGATACCGAATATTTAACCACGATCCCGGTAAACCTGTCGTAGACACACCCCGGTAGATCTTTCTTTACCGCCCTCCCTCTCCCCTATTCTTTACCACGTTGCATTTGTCTAACCAAGCTTTATACTCTTTTTTTTTACCTAGCTCTCCACTATAGCAGAGTCTTTATTGATTGACCCCTCTAATGAATAATCTATCTAATTGGCATGCAGACCTCGCTTTTGGACTTCGACTTCCTCCTCTTCTTCTTCCACCCATTATCATTTTCCCCAAGAAACCCTTTTTTTCCCTATGAACCCACAATGCCTTCAGCGATTCATCCCTACTCCTTAGAAGTTTTGTTTTTTTTTTTTCTCTTCTTGGTCCTTCCAGACCTGGGAGATCCTTCCGACCACTGCATCGTCCTGCCATCTTTATAGTTTTGCTTTTCGACATATTTTGTTTTGAAGGGGCGTTTTTTTTTTTTTTTTTTTGCCTTACATTTTATTTATTTATTCCATTTTATTTCCTTTTAAAGACCAGAAAAGTATGCAAGAGAGAAAGATAAATCAGACAGACAGACAGAAAAGACAATATAATTCTAATATGATAGTATGAAACTTGATTTCCGTCTTTTTTTTTTTTTTTTTCCTCGGTTTGCTGTCCGGCTATTAGTATGGTGAAAGAGAAATATTCTTTTTTTCTTCTCCTTTAGGTTACTACGGGACATTCCGGCTTGATACCCAGTGCCCAGTGCATACTTTTCACCGCTCGCGAAGCGAGGACTGGGGAAGAATCGAAAGCTGGCAAAAAAAAGGGGGGTAGCAGGGAAAAAAGAGGCAAAGTGGATGGACAGGGCAGCAAAAAGGTTCCCACGGGGAGAGAGGGCCCTCTACTCTCCTCGTGGTACATCCTTGAGGCCTCGAACCCGGGCCACCGCTGGGTGTCAGACTGGACGGGACAGAACGTGCGCTGCTGTATCCGCTAGGCCATGGCCCGGGTTCGAGGAAGATGCCTTCTTTGTTGAGATATAGCCTTGGATTTGTGTTGTTGCTGGGGCAGCTGGGTATGTGTGTGGTCTCGACTAAGAGGGGCGTAACTATTATCATTACACTAGGTATATATGTACAAATATTGCGTCTATCTAACTACATTATCTAATTTTTATGACAGTGAAAGCAGATAAAAGGATATAAACATAATTTCGTCATCAAGCATACTTAAGAGACATAGCCATCGCGGTGAAATGACAGAGTTCGTTACTTTCCATCGGCAACCTCAGTGTCTGGATCTTTCTTCTCGCGTATCGTTTGCACTGAATCAATGGCCTTGTTCAAATCATACGACCGCGTCATCACGCTCATCAGGCCAGCAATTCCAATGATCACAGTGCAAACCGCATACACGATTCGCAAGCTGTCCGTATATGCTGTCTTCAGATTCTCCTTTGCCGGTCCGGCAGGCATACTGCGTACTATTTGAACAAGGCCAGCTGCATCCTTACTAAACGGCCCTGCAAGTGACTCAAATTCAGGGTATCGCAAGAGGTTCTTGTACATTTGATTCTGAAAGATGACACCCCCAATTGCAACGCCAATTGCTTGACCAAAGGCGCGGAAAAAGCTGAACATTGCTGCAGCGACGGCCATGTGGCCGGGAAGAGCGGATGCCTGGATGCCAAACGCCAATGCCGGGAATAATATGCCCAAGCCAAGACCAGCTGGGAGCGTGAGAAAGATCCATCCTGCAATGCTGGTGTGGACTTTGAGAAGACAAAATAGGCCTGTACCAATGGCAGATATTGCAAAACCAAGCCAAATGGCCCAGCGGTAGTGACCTGTTTTCGTGACGATGATACCAATAACTGCAGCAGAGGGAGCAACGGTGAACGAGAGTGGGAACAAACTGACACCCGATATGATTGGCGAGTACTCCTTCACCGTTTCATAATAGAGGGGCAGGTAATAAAGAGTGCACCAGAGGACAAGGCCGTGTAAAATAGTCTCGATATAGGTTATAATTGCGGTTCTGTTGGCAAAGATAGTGATGGGAATCATAGGGTCGGTTGCGGCATACGTTTCATAGAAGGAGAAGGCAATCAGACCGACGACACCGACGATAAGCGGAACAAGGGTACGCCACGAGTCCCAAGAATACATCACGCCTCCCCAAGTGACTGGTATCAGGAAGGATGTTGCACTGCCAATGAAAAGCACGGAGCCAACGTAGTCGATCCGACGAAGTTTCGACATCAAGGACGACGGGATGAAGTTAAGTTTTAGGAAGAGTAGGACGAAGACGATACCAACTCCGATGAAGGGGAGATTTATGTAAAATATCCATCTCTTTACGCAACTGTCAGCCAAGTTGTGTTTTAAAAGATTTTCGGTACTTACCCAGGAAACCTCTTGAGCAAAGCCTCCGCCCAAAATTGGACCAGTGACTGAACCGACACTCCACATGGCGCTAAGAATACCAAAATACTGTCCTCGAAGGCGCAGCGGGACGAGGTCGGTTACAATGATCTCAGATAGAGCAATCAAACCGCCGCCACCAATTCCCTGGATGGACCGCCCCACTAACATGTGCGTGAAGTTTTCTGAAAGAGCAGATACAAGAGATCCAGCGAGGAAAAAAACAATCGCTGCCAATATCAAAGGTTTGCGGCCGAAAATATGGGACAGCGACGCGAAGGTGGGCTGGAAGACTACAGAACCAATACTTAGCAAGCGGACTGGGCATTGGGGACTAGATGATAAAAGAGATACATGATACTTGACATACCGGTTGAGCATAAAAGGAATGAGGTTCCGCTCCAGAATGCTTCAATAGCAGACCCACGTAGCTTGGATGCAATGATCTGAAGATGTAGCTGTCAGCATTTGACCCGAGACGTACACACCTGTACAACTCACTGGCAAAGCAACAGATATGGAAGTCCCGTCCAGGGCTACCATTAGAGTGAGAGTAGCGAGAGTCATAAAAACAAGCCATGATCGTTTTGACAGTTTGAAGGTTTCGACTTCATCGTTTTTAACCGAGCCTGTAGATGACACTGGAGCTGATCCCCCGGGCACGCCGGTGCCTTTGCTAGTTGCTGGCTCTTTTTCTGCCATTGCTATATTGTTGAGAATAGCGGCTGTGATGGACTGTTCTAGGAATAGGGGGCACTTCCTTCACACAGAAGGAGCTGGTATTTCGACCTCCAACCGAAGGAGCAAAAGAGATCTCTGAAAGAAATTGATAGAAGGGAATTGAATAAGACCTTAGGGAGTATGAAAACGGGATGGTATTGAAAAGAGGCCTCATACATCGACTAGATGTGTCAAGCGTTCCTTTTTATACCGGATCCAAGGAGTAGCGTCTGAGACTGAAATCGAGATAATGACAGACCGAGAGCCAAACACGAACCAGCTTATCTAGAGAGCAGCTGGATTCAACCAGGTTCATCCGATCCGTTCAATCAAAACAACAGCGGCATTGCTCATGCCGGACAAAGAAGGAAATTGCTTGAGGACTGGGATCGGTCGGCGCCAGCGAAGGCAGATACGGTTCCCAGCAGGCCATGATGTCAGGACACAATCCAACCTCATGGAGGATCTCGGAGAGTCTCTCTGGCGCGGAAGGCAAGACCAGGGCTCGTTCGTGCAGCGACATGCAGTCGCAACCCGGCGGTGACGCTTTCGATGCCAAGGCCGGCGGCGCGAATAAGCTCGCGTGGCGGCTCCGGGCAGTCGGGATCGGGCGAACCGGCAGCCGCGTTGCCCGAAGAGGAATGGTATACGTGCGAACGGGCTGTGAATTCATCCGACGGAAAACGTGTTGGGAGTTGAGACAGAGCCAGTGTCTCGTATAGTCAACAAGTAAGTTAACTAACTAGTGGTTAGCTAACTTTATTGTCTTTGGCCTCGAGACACAACTATCTACAGAATCAATGTCATGCAGGGAACAAGTCCCATTGCAGCAAAAACAAAATGGAACGCAAACATATAAATGCACAAAGAATGGGGTAATTCAAAAGGCAGGTACTCTCTAGAATTCCTCTCACAATAGATTCATGGCGATGCTAACAGGAAAAAAGAACAAAAAAAAAAAAAACGGTTGACAAAACCAGATGTTCCCTCGGAAAAAAATGCACCTTCCAGCCTCATAATTTTCCAGAAAAGCGCAAAAAGGGATGAACTGAAGAGTCCAGTGGTTACAAAAACATGAGCAGCTTTACCAATCATCATCATCGCGGTTTTTCCCTTGCATGGCGTTTTGCCTGGCTCTCAGAGCCTCCGCGAGCCCGCCCGCAAGGCTTGTACTGTTCATGCTACTTGGGGTCGCGCGGCCGCTGGCATCTGGAGTTTCGTGCGAGTTCATGCTCACAGCGCTATCTCGAGGAGCCGCGGCCGGTATCACTTTACGTGCCATATTCGGACGCTTTGCGGGAGGAGCGGGAGGCGCTGGCTTCGCTTTAGCGGCCGCCCCGTTGACGCGGGACGGGCCATTGGGAATATTGTTAGATACGGCTGCTTTTGGCTGCGGCGGAAGGCTAGGTGGCGGAGGCGGCGGCGAGGGAGCTTTGATAACTACAATTTCAAGGTACGCTTCAGGAGCCCATCCTTGGGCGGAGGTCTCGGTATTCATACACAACCACCAACCTGGAAAAAGTAAGTCTCTAGCAAGAATAAGAAGCGGGCAGTACGCTCTCACCATTAGTTTCCTTTGTGACAACTTGTACGACTTCTCCCTTCCTAAGGGATAGCTCATTTGATCGTCCACTATCGAAGTCGTACAGGGCTTTGGCGGAGTCCTTCTTTGGCGCAGGCGGCTGGGCGGGCGGAGGTGGAGGTGGAGGGCGAGTCTGCGAGCCCGAATTATTTCTATTATGCGATGCAGCAACGGCAGCGATGGGCTGTGATACGGGCTTGAATTGTGCGCCGCTGGGTTCTTTGGCAACTCGGGGGTTTTCTGGGAGGGCAGCAGGTCTTGGTCGCGATGCAAGTTTGGAAGGCCCGCCTCCCGGTCCACCAGGTCGTAATAACTTGCCTTTTGTGATTGGTTTTCCAGCAACCTGTTTGGGCCTGGGTGTGGGCTTGGAGGCTGAATCTGCTGGTTCTCCGGGGCCAGTGCGGATTGTGCCACTCTTATACACATCGTCGCGGGGAACCGAGGGGTCTTTCATAGCTTTCACAACAGCCAATTTTCCGGGCTTCTTGTTATATTCGATGCTGTCATGATGATTAGCAAATTCCCAAATCAAAAGAGAAGACATGCGCTTACCTATCTCCAAACTTGAGGTGAAGTTGACCACGCAGTGCGTTCGTAAGATAGGTGAAGAATTCCGTCTTAAAAATGCAGTTTAGGAGAGGGTCCGGCTCCTGCTGAGCACCAACTCCAATGGAGAACCAGTCATCTTTCAGATTGGAGGTGCTGACAAATTTGATAGCGCCAATTGGGATGGTCCGCTCTGCCATTATGCTAAGTTGATTGTTGACAATTGTTTGAACAACTATATAAATGTTGCGAGACGTCTACATGCAAATTAGAAATCGAATGCATCAGTAGTATGGGTGGAAGACCTACTAGGACTAAAAGTCGGGGAGATGGTTTACTTGAGCGACCAAATTTTGTTACCAAGAGTTCACATCGGCACGAATAGAGAACAGTATCACCGCCTAACCTGTTAGATAGGGATATGACCACATATCGGAGCTGAAGAAACTTACTTCCAATGTTAATCGAGCTTTTAATAACATCCCCCATTCCTCCGACATTACCAATGCCGAGATAGTCACCCAAAAACCTTCTTGATCCGACTAGACTGTACCTTCGACGTTCTTTTCTACCACCCAATACTTTGTGTCCTTGGTCACGAAGCTTGATATATTGAAGACCACCAGTCACCCTTCTCCAGAATCGTTGTATGCGAATGGCACACTCCGTACGATATCGAAGATAATTGCGCCAGGCACGCTGAATCCTAGTCGCCATGTTGTGCCAGTAGCGGTCTCGCATATGCTCCAAAGCAAAGAGGGTTTCGGGTGTTTTGATAAATGCTTTAGTGACACCCATCTGGTATTCCTCGGAAGGGATGCTAGTATCCTTTAAAATTTGGCGGGCGCCGGATTGCGAATCGCCGGTCCATGTGTACTCGCCTGCATAGGACGTCTTTGGCGAAAGGAGATAAAATCGTTCCACAAACTTTTCAAAAGTTTGGCGGTAAGCGAAACCTGCTCTTCGAATCCTAACGTTTTCCTGTAAACCGAGGTATTTGATCTGATGAATAACATTTCCAACATTGTACTCGGAAGGCGATTTGTTATCGTTTGGTTTAATTGTTCGAATGTAAGATGGTTGGGCTTTGGCTAAAGTTGTAACTAGATCGTTAGCAGATGCTTTAATCTTGTCTCCTGCTGTAGGCGGACGTCGTTTATCGTCCTGATTCACTTGGTTAGGGAAAAGGGTATGCAAGAAGCTATTAGAGCTCGAGTTGACGAGGTTTAACAAGTCCTTGAGTAGTTGATCTTTATTCTTGTCCGTCATTCCCTCAATCGCGTAGGCGACGTCGCCGGCATAATGTTTAACAATAAATTGGCCTTGTCGAGACTCAAAGTTAGGGTTTTGAGACAAAAAGTTCAATCTTCCAACAAACGTTTGATCTGCGGCCCCAGAATCGGCATGTGCTGTTGCGCAGGCGTCATTCAACGCCGCGAAAACCCCTGGAGGCCTCTTATCTTCGATGAGCTGGCAAACAACTTTGTTGTCAAAATATTTGATTGGTGTCCACTTAATCTGTTCTCTTTCATATTCCTCTTGCTCCGTTTTCAGGGTTAGCTGAATAAATATTTGTTGCAACTTTTCGTTAACGTAGTTGATGCACAACTGCTCGAAGGAGTTTCGCTCAAAAATCTCGAAGCCATAAATATCTAGAATACCGATAGTGTTTGTGATTGCCCCCTTTGCGTTTAAGGACGCATTCACTCTCTGAACAATCCAATCAAATAAGTTAAAATATAGCGCTTTCGCGAGAGCATCTCGAACTGCAGTTGCCTGGACAGTATTGAGAGGGACCTCGTATACCGAGCCACGGCGGCCGCCCCGTGCGGTTTCGACAACTCTTTGGGTAAGTGCATTTTTTACTCGTCCTGCGTCCACCTCCAGAAGATAAGCAACAAAATCAATAACAGATTGATCCGTGATTGACGCGTTTGAGTGGTCATCCTCTTGAAATTGCATATTTCCAAGCCATAATACCGCGGATAGAGTGCGGAAGATATTGTCTTGTTCAGCTTGTGGCAGACCAATGATCTTCATTGCTTCTAAGGTTTCATTGAAATCTGCAGTGTCATCGATTCCGGGAACATCAAAGCACTGCGATCGACTTGTGTAAAGATAAGATTGAGGTTGCTGAATGCCAAAAGTATCTATGACACATTAGGTCTGAACGTGAAAAGGGGTCGGGAGTTTATACCTCTATAAGTCTGTGAAGCGGCTTTTGTGAACTGATAAAATATATGGAAATTTCGCTCGTTTTTAATCTGTCCGACGACTCTAGATTTCTCAAGAAGGTAGTTGGTGATGGTAGCACCAACTGGCTCGCCAACAGAGTTGAACTGAAGCTCTAAATATTTCCCAAAACGCGAAGAGTTGTTGTTTCGCAACGTCTTCGCATTCCCAAAAGATTCGAGAAGCGGGTTTGTTGCGAGTACCATGTCCTTTGTGTGTTGGATCGAAGAATCGGTGCCGCCGGACACATTGGCGATGTATTGCATCAGCCGCTTGGCTGCCTCCGTCTTTCCCGCCCCAGATTCCCCAGATATAATAACACACTGGTTTTCCTTATATGCTTTCATATTGTAGTATCCGGCTTCAGCTACTGCGAAAACGTGGGGCGGGACTTCCAACCGATTCTTCCCCCGGTAGCTCTCTAGGACCTTGTCGGTGTAGATACCGACTACAGCTAGTCAGCCAGAAAATCATTCAAACCTAGATAATAGAGCACTCACGGTCACGAAATGGATTCACAGACACTAGAACATGGCCGATATACGTCTGTGGCGATGTCCGTGTTAATAGACAACGCTCTACCAACCCAGCTTCTCAAAGGACAACTTACATAAATCTCCCCATGCTCAAATCGTTTCTTTAAGTTCTCGTTAATGGCCTCGTTAGACACCTTGCTCAGCAGTGTCAGGTCGGATACGCCAATTTCCCTTTTCTTGGTGCTTTCGAATACGGCCTTCTTGACCTGGGGCTTTCCGCCGCCCCCTTCATCATGCCTTGATCGCCCGAAGCCTCTGCTTCTTTTCTCTTCTCTGTTTTTAAACGGCCGCCTTGATTGACCCTGGGCGAAAGAAGCAAGTTAGTGTCTTTATGTCGCATAGCTTCTTGAAATGGAGTAGGGACACTCACCATGGCTCATCGGGCTGCGGCACGCAGCGTAACTCACCCAACGGGGTTCCAGGTCGTTCTGGTGGAAAAGCGCCAGTGATTTTCATAAAAGTAAATCTTGTCCAGATCCCTTATTTAAGTCAAGTCGCGACAAAATACAATATGGTGTTAATGAAGAGGCTGCATACGCATCATCTATGCTCGTGGCCGGCTCAACTGCCCCCTCTGTCTTGGACTCTTCCCAGGTCTCCTGCGGCAGATTACGTAACTAACTCCCCATGATGCAGCCTGCGGGAAATGCGACTTGGTAACCACGGTGCGCCACAGCTGCTCCGCCGCCTCCTGGCCCGTGGCTTGCGCGTACGCAGTAACTACTCCATACTCGCGACCCGATATATTAGTTATCCCATCCCACTGTGAAAATTATTCTATGTTTACAGGGTACTCCGTACAAAAGCACGAGAATATACAGACAGGCAGACAGAGAAATATCTTTTTACTACATACATTTCCTGTTTTACTCACGCGCAGTGCGGGTCAACTCCCCAGAAAGACAGAATATCAGTGGCTGTCTGCCCATCGATATATTCTTTTAACATAGTCTTTCCAGCTTCTGTCCTAACACCAACACAAAAATCTCGAACTGTGGGGAACAAGTCTGTTATTATGTTAACTGTGTGTCCGTCAATTTGACGGTATGGCGCTGTAATTGTGCAATGAGATACCAGATTTACTGGCGCGGGTGATGACATCGACTCGGGCACATAGCAGACATCTTCGATTCGTGATTGTAACGCCGGAAGCATGTAATCTGGTCCCTGGACAGGGATTATATGTATGCAAATTGTTAAGCGATCAAGTATGTTATCAATACGGATTTGTATTAACCGACTTGGTCTTCTCGGGTTAACCAAAGAAGTGTTGACACCTACAGGTTCTGCAATACTAGCAAGGGCGCTATATTTGGTCGGTGTTGCTTCGGGGGAGGCGCATTCGAAAGGAGCAACATGACAACAAGGTCGCTGCCACCTGTTAACGCAGTGAAGCGCTCTAAGCGTGTCAAAGTGTTTTCTCGCTCTGGCTCTTCTACCGCATCTGGTGTGAAGACCAAGACAAACAATCGCTTTGTTGCTCCTCTGCTTACGTTTAGTGGCAACTCGAAATCGTGGGTACCCAAATGAGCTTCTATGGACAAGTTACTGGTGTTCTAGATAGCTGAGAGAGCGAGCGAGAGAGGGAAACCCTTGAGGTGAAATGTCTCTGTGGCGGCAAGAACGGGCCCGATAGTTCTCCATATTGGGCGTTTCCTCAAGGACGCACAAAACATTCAGTCAAATTTATTTGATACTTGAAAAATATTGTGCACAATCAGCGGTGCGAACTTTTATGTGTAACGTCAAACTCATTGTTGAACATTAATGAGGTAGTTGGTACGGAGTATACAGACCATAATAAGCCCACCAGTACTGTGCCTGCCTTTTTCGGATGAAACGAGAAAAAACACGTGAGACTGGAAATTGGACTACATTACATGCGTACTGTACATTAATATGTTCCTTTGATTCTTTCTCAGAATAGGAGTGGGGTGAAGTAATATAGCTAGAAGAGTGGGTATCTAAACCAGCCCAGTAAATCCGTCTATCAGTGAAATTAATTGAAGGAAATCAGCGTGTATCATCTAATGGAAAATGCGGTTCGAGAAAGATTACTATTTTGTCCCATGAGGTGTCGGTTCAGAGGTAGAAGGGTTGGTAGGTGGTGGACCAAGTTTGGATGAAGCTGTCTCCATTGACGCTCCGCGAAACCATTGTATCTTAGAGCTCAATTTTTCAAAAATACTCTGCTGCTGAGGTGATTCGGGTTCGTCGTCGATAGCTTGGATTGATTCAGGGAGGACGCGATGGATTTCCCTGGGAGCCTTCTTTTCATATTTTGCTCGTAACTGCAGAATCTCTTTCTCTAGAGCAATGAGACCCAGCCTAGCCGCCTTTTCAGACTCTTCAAGCTCATTGAGACGTTCCGCCACGTCTTCTCTTCTCGATGTCTCCTTTCTGCGGGACCTCCAAGATTCAAACACTATTAACCCTCCGGCAACCATAAACAGGAAGGTTTCACTGATGAAGTTGGCACCGGTATCAATTGCCTTTGCTTCAGAAAGAGGTCTAATGCGTGGTGTGGGCGGGGGCTTGGGGGGTTCGGCTGCTTTCTCCCTTTCTTTTACAGTTGCCGCTTCGTCGGCTTTCATTTGCGCTTCCGTTTTTACTGTAGGTATTTGCTGCTTTCTCTTTTTAATCTGAAGATCTGCTGCTTCACGAGCGGCCTGCCGCTCAATGCTTGCTGAACTCTGAAGCAAACCAAGCCTTAGGCGCATGTCAATACGGTGGAGTGTTTGAGCGAAAGAGACGCACACCCGACGAAACCGCTCATGTTCTCGGGCTTGGGCTTTTATTTGGTTCTTAAATGTAGACTGTTAGTGCTTTTTTTTGCAAAGTCTACCATCTTTTAGCTTACAGCAATGGGCTTTGAGAGAGTACGTATCACTAGCGAAGAGAGCTTGAGCGTTATGCTTGTCATGGTGGATCAGTCGCATCCTAAGGTGGGCAGCTCGCTATGTGAAATAGCTAGCCAATCTCTCCTATACAAAATGACACGCCATCGACGACTGTTATGAAGGCCCACAAGTCGCGAAAAGCCTGCAGGCGGTTCAGTGATGCCTGAATTGGGGATGTGGAAGGCGGATGACATAATGGCCGGGAGCCAAAATGCTTAGCGCAGCCAAACCCAAATCCCGTTGCCGGGCCAATGTTTACAAACTTCCCGTTCGAGAAAAACGCACTCCTCGACATTTGGCCCCTTGCTCTTCCACTGCGAAAGACCACCTCATGGCGTCATGAGCGTTTATTGATCTACGCTGTATCTAGATTGAAATGTGAGTAGCTGTGTTTGCTCCGTATGTTGAACATTGACAATGCGACGACTGATCGAAAACATCAGACATGTTATGTTGCAGTGGCTGTCTGCAAAAGGAGCATAGGAATAGAACGGAACCGTTTGCGGCAATATCCTTCATAATATATAGCGACTGTTGAATTTTGAGGCCCCTCGCGTGGTTTATGGTCTCCCTCCAGACTCTGAATTTTTGATAATGGCGGCCTTGTCGCCTCGTTCTATCAACATTCTTCCAAAGCCGAAACAGGATCTAGTCAAGAAGCAAAGTACAAGAGACTTGCCAACCCCTAAGGCCGCCCCATCCAGGAACCATGCACCTCCACCGCCTACTCTTGTTCGGGAGCCTGGAAACGGCGAGCAATACATCACCGGAAATTTTCTAGGTCGAGGGGGTTTTGCAGTGTGCTACGAGGGAAAATTGAGTCGAAATGGCCGCGTCTTTGCCATGAAAGTCGTTAAATCTGAAATGCCACTGAGAAAAATGGCCGAAAAGGTATGTTGAACGCAACATCGTGGCGGAAATTTAAGTGACTGATTTATGGTGATTCGAACAGTTTCGCACCGAGCTCCAGATACATTCGAAGATGCGGCATCCAAATATCGTTACATTTTATCGTGCCTTTGCGTTTGAGACAAACACCTACGTAATTCTTGAAATATGCCCGAACGGCTCGGTCATGGAAATGGTAAAACGAAGAAAATGTTTAACTCTCCCGGAAGTTCGAAGATTCATGATACAGCTATGCGGTGCAGTCAAATATTTACATAGACGTAACGTTGCACATCGAGATTTGAAAATGGGCAATTTGTTTTTGGATCGCAATATGAATATCAAGGTCGGAGATTTTGGCCTTGCCGCTATTATTTTAAGCGAAAAGGATGAAAAAAGACGTAAAACACTATGTGGCACACCGAATTACATTGCCCCGGAGGTTTTGGATAAAAATAAGGGTGGGCATACCCAAAAGGTCGATATTTGGTCTTTGGGTGTTATTTTGTAAGTCTCGGCCGAACATGATTTTACAAAATAAACTAATTGAATGAAAGCTTTGCTATGCTCACCGGTTTCCCACCATTTCAATCGAAGACCCAGGACGAGATATACAAGAAGGTCCGAAGCCTTACCTACAACTGGCCTAAGAATTCCGAATGTGCGAACTACATTCCCCCCGAAGCCAAAGATCTCGTAAGCGCATGCTTGAGTTTAGATGAAAATGAGCGACCTGAACCAGATCAAATTGTGGACCATAACTTTTTCAACATGTATGTGGGCTGTATACCACATGAGCTTGATTCGGAGTGTCGTTTTTCAAGACCATTATGGATAAAAAGCCAAGATCCTCGGGGCGATAAAGTCGAAGCGGGCTACGGGTTAGAACATGAATCTCGATATCACTCCAGGGTGTCTCATATTAGATACTCTGACGAGAAATACGCTGTTTGTAAAGAATTTTTTTACACAGAGTGCGGTGTTGGAAAGAAGGAGACAGGAGAGGCGAGAAAGCCAGTAGGGAAACGTTGTTCTAAAACAGCCTTTGCTGAGTGTGCTGCAGAGGAAGAGCAGGGAAGGCAGCCGATAATACCATTGCCAGCTGATGAGGTTTACTGTTATTTGCAAGATAGAGACTGGAGTGTTCAGGAGATGCCTCCAGAAATTGACCCCCGGTCATCCCCAGAGGAGGATGACGACGACGTTGAAAAGATAGCGTCGAAAGCGGAAGCTGCCAATTTGGCACGAACACAGCTGGCACTTGCGGCTCAGCTTCGTCGAAAGGAAACACAACCACGAAGTCATGCTGCCCAGCTACGACAGCAGGCCTTGCCCGCGCGCCAGCCAACACGGGAAAACATTCTTCGTAATACTCAAAGTGGTATTCACCAGCTTAAGAGCGAAATATATCGAGAACCTCAGGGAACAGTAAGATCTGGGTACTTAATGAGTGAGCGTCCAATTCGTTGCAGAGCGCCCGGGTATCATGGCTCTCTTCGTGAAAGAACAACAAGCGCGAGTGCGCTACCAAAATCTATTTCTGCACCAATTGACGTGGTTGCTGGACGAACTAGAGCTCAGTCAAGACAGCAGCTTGCTGCAATGGCGACGAAGCACGTTGGATCTGAAGCCATAACTGAGAATGTCGAAAAACCTCCTTCCAAGAAATATAACAGCGATGCCCCAAAATCGTTGGCTGCTCCAAGAGCAAGAATTGCTTCCCGTGATGCAGATGAGATGCGTTTACGAAGGTCCCAGTCTAAGATGACTCCTCCAAATTCGGAAGTTGAGGTAGAGCAACGAATACCTCGAAGTAAAAGTGATGGTGTTGCGAAATCGACAAATTCAAGCGCCGGGAACAAGCCTAGGTCTGCTTTTGGACTACGTCGCCTGATACGTGCTGATGATGACGCGGACGTTATGCCTGGAACGGACATCAGGGAGGTTATGGGTGATGTAAAGATGTACTTTTCTGAGCTTTGCCGGTTTCGTTCGAGCCCTACGTCAGCCCGTACGAGAGCACGACGTCACCAGCAGAGGCCGGCTTCTATCAAACCACACTCATATGTAATGAAATGGGTGGATTACACCAATCGATATGGTATCGGATATGTTTTGGATGATGGAAGTGTTGGGTGTGTATTCAGGGCTGACCGTGGCTGTCCAGCCAGCTGCGTTATTGTCCGAAACGGGGAGATGCACATCCGACGAAGGACCCGAGCTAAGGAGAGTGCTGACGAGAAGGACGTATACTCAGATGCTGACCAGCTAGTTCCGCAACAAGGGCCACCAATTGAATTCTATGAGAATACTGAAATTGACTCTCAAGGACACCCGGGAGGATGCGTGAGGCGAGTGCTAGTGGAGGCCAAAGCTTTCGACACTAGTAAACACTCAACATGCGACTTAGTGATGAAGACACGTAGTCTTGACGCAGAGAAGATAAAAAGAGTGAAACTTGTCGACCAATTTGGAAAATACATGATCGGGCCTCTGGGAAGAAAGATTGAAAATCCATCGCCGGGCCATGAAGCGAATAATAGTTCCACGGAATCGTATGTACGGTTCTATCAACGATTGGGGAATGTGGGGATTTGGGGATTTGGAGACAGCGCTTTTCAGGTATGTAAATGCTGTCAAATTCATAAATGATTTTGTTCTGGTGGGCTCATATTACATCTAGTTTAATTTTCCTGACCACACGAAGCTTGTCATATCTCTGCCTGCGAGACAACAAGTCGACCGGGCAGATTCTACCTTATCATGCCAAATAGACTTCTTTCATCTTTCACCAACTGCTGCCCGATACTTGAAGGCTAAAGGGAAAATGCACCCCAATGGATTTGACACCAGGGCAGTCATAACTGATTCAGCTAGCAACTATTTTGCTTCCTTATGTGGCCTGAGCGCGCCAATGTCCGGTTCCGGAAAGGAAAGATTCCAGGATATCCTCGAAGCCAATTCCTTTCGTGACAAGATTGATTTTATTATTGAAGTGTTGGAAAGCTGGATTGAAAATGGCAGGCTTGGGGGCAGAATTATATCCAAGTCTTCATCTATATCGTCAACAGCTTCTTTCCAAACAACGTTAACTCGAACATTTTCCACAACATCAACTTTCCCATCAGCCTTGACAGCAATATCCGCGGGGAACCTAGATATGTCTCACAACTCTTCTGATATGTTTTGGTGTGGACCCCAGGAAAAATCCTGGGCGGCACCGTCAGGAGGGAAATTTGTATGGGTTACTGTCGGTGCCCAGGGTGGAGATAGTGAATACATGTCCCTTTCCCTGAAAAATGATGGCAAGATTGAGGCCGTCGGCGCAGAAGAGGCCATGGAGCTAAAGGATAGATTAAAAGCACTTACGATGTGATTGATGCATTTCGAGCCCCTCTCGCACTTATGATTTGTATCTGTGTTTTTGAAGTGATCCCCTGTCCCTTCTTTTATTTCCTTTGCACATAATTCTCGCTCTCTGTTTGAGATTTCTACTGTTGCATCTAACGAAGTTACGAAAGCCTTGTCAGAGTCGATTTGGTGGGTTTATAACCACACATTTCATACCCCACACAGTACTTGTGAAGAGTTCTTTGAGCGTTCGCACCTGACTTCATACTCGGCGCCTAGTCCCTTGTTTCTTGGAGGTCCTTCATTGCTTAATTTTGCTGGTGTGGCGTTTTCGTTTCACTTTCAAGGTGTTTGGTGTCTACTGAGTAAAGGTAGGTAATTACAGCCTAGTGCTCTTAAAATAAAATATTAAACGATTGATGATCAGGGATGCAAAAGCCAACATACCATTTCCATTTCCATCTTTGGGATGGTGAAGTAGTAAATGACTTTTCCGCTCTTCATTGACAGCCATGCTTGCAATCGAACTCCAAACTTCCGATTCGGCAAAGCCGCATGAGGCGGAAGGTCAAACCGTACTGGCGAACAACATCCTGTCACTTCGAAGACGTCGTAAAGTGCCATCAGGCTACGAGAATTCTTGGTTGTACCAGTATAATCCACCCGGGAGGATGGCATAGATTCGTCGTACATAACGTCAGAGCAATTAAGCAACATGACGAAGAGTACCCCGTGCAGGTCGTCACTTCTCTCTTCAATTTCAGTTAACCGACTTCAGATTTTCCATTTTCTTCCGCCGCTGAATTAAAACCGCCAAAGGAATATCATCTTCGTCGTAGAATTCCGCTTCCTCGTCGACACCAAAGTCGCGGAGGCGTTCACCCTCTGCATTTCTCCAGCTTTCCTCTCCTTCAGACAAGCCGGATTCTGTAATAGATTCACTAGCATCCGACATTATTTCGGTTTCGATATTATGCATATACCTTTCATGAAAAGGCTTTCGACGATGGATGGCTGATCTCTGTTTGTGGCGCTTATAATCTAACTCTTGTCGACGCCGGAACGCATCAATAGCGTCTTGATCAAAATCCCGGTGCATATCAAGAACCGTTCCTGGCGTATCTATGTCGGAAAGTACTGGCCTGTACATTCGATCTGGGTCAAGCGGCGGCCAAGGAAGAGAAGGATCTGCATGTCCGATTTATTTCATGCTTAATGGAGATGGACATTTAATTCTATTACAGCATGATTGAACTCACCCTCGAAACCGTTTACCTCAAAATCTAATCCCGTATCTCGGGGTGGGCTTCTGGAAAACGGCCAAAACCAGCCTAAGAACTAAAATCAAGGTTAGTTCTAGAATCGAGAAATCTTCAAGTAATGGGCATACATTGGAGCCTCCTCCCATGGAGGCGCTGATATTTTGCCATATTCCGATGTCAAATGGGAATTCTTGCTTTTGAATCCGAATTTTGGTGCCCTCCGGACCATCAAGATAGCCACCAAATACACGAGCGCGTCGCAACAGAGTGCTGTGTCTTTCAATTTCCCATCCCTCGATTGTTGTCTGGTTTTGAAGAAGTAACCATAGGGTTCGTACAAGCAAGATTGATAACGCAGCGAGTACCAAAGTGTTAACAACTATAAGGGCAAATAGATGCCCAAGTTGAAAAACTGTAGGGCCAAAATACTTTTCTTCCAACCCATAATATTATTAGTGTAAAGAAGAGTCCTGTCTATAATACTCGCATTAATCGCACTTACACTGGGCATATTTCGGTTATTCCATAAAACTGTCAACCGTAGATACAGAAAGTATTCTAAGTAAGCCATTGAAACAACAGCATAAGAAACAAAGCGAATGAAATGCGGGTAGGTAAAATGAGAGACGCAGTTATTCGTCCAAGGGCAATGGTGGTCCATTTTTGGTATACATCTTAACAGGCGTTAGCAGCCGAAAAAAAATATAAATATAAAAATAAAAATAAACAAGAAAATTTTTTTTAAATGAAATGAACTGGGTGCCTTCGTCTAACCTCTGACAAGTTTTACAGTGATGGGCTCTCGGCGGCTTCGAGGCTTCGCATCTTCGGCACCATCTTTGCCTATCCCACGTAGATGTATTCAAGACTTCTACGATTCTGCCTGCGGCTGCAGCCCTTGAGCCTCGAGTTTTCCATTGGCTTGAAATACGACCCGGGTCAGTTACGCAAGCCCGGGCATAGCAGATCCAAATACATAATACTAAAATATTAAATTTTATGGCTTCAGATTTGGTCAGCGGCGAGGGATCAATATGATGAAAAAGATACTGGGAGGAATAGGAAAGAAAAGCAATTAAGCTCGAAACAGCAGGGATAGCAAGCTGAGAGATTGAGAGTCCAGGCATCACGGCCGACGTGCGTGGATGTAGGTTAATTGTTGGTGGGAGGCTTAGAGCCCCCTTCCAATCGATCGGCTTGCTTCTCGGGATGGGAAAAACCGTACCTCCGGCTAGTTTTCGATTTTTTGGAGATTCCTCCCTTAACCTTGTACGTACTCCGTACCTACGTTAACCTAGTTGATCGTTCACGTGACAACTTTATTTAAACTACCCCTGATCGTCCAGAAAGTTACCATCATTCAACCTCTGGCGCCTCAACTCGAGCTGTGCAAGTTTGAGTTTTGGTGGGACTATTCAAAATGCCAATTACGCCACTCGAAGAAGCCACTGCCAGTGCCATTGGCTCTACTTCTGCTGTTCCAGATCCTTGTTCTGTTGTGAAGGAGCTCATTGACAATGCTTTGGACGCAAAAGCCAAAGCTGTTTACGTTGAAATATCTTCCAACACACTTGATGTGATCCAGGTTAAAGACAATGGCTGCGGTATTCCTCGGAGTGATATAACCCTCCTATGCAAAAGGAATTGTACCAGCAAGATCCAGACGCTCGATGACTTGAGAAATCTCGGGGGTAACTCGCTAGGCTTCCGCGGACAGGCTCTAGCAAGTATCGCGGAGATGAGTGATTGTGTTATTATCACTACTAGGGAGGCATCAGAATTGGCGGCCATTTCACTCAAGTTTGGTCGGACCGGCCAACTGCTGAGGCAAGTGCTGTGAAAACAACGTCTGTATACACCCGAACTCTGACCTCGCCAATAGCGAGGCAACTGTCCCTCAGCCCATTGGCACTTCTATTCGAGTGTCTAATTTTCTCAAATATTTCCCTGTTCGTCAATCTGCATTTTTAAAGTCCCCCTCATCTACCCTGTCTAGAGTTAAAAAGATGTTGCAACAATATGCATTGTGCCGTCCCTATATTAGATTTTCTCTCAAAATCCTCAAACAAAGCTCTGTATGGGTATACGCCCCAAATGAAAAACCGTCTCTTTTTGATGCGATTCTAAAAATTTTTGGCGGTGATGTTGCAGCTCAGTGTGTGTTTGTAGAATCCGATGTTGCAGACAGCTGTTCACCCAATTACAACGGCACATCTACTCTGTGCAGCAAGATCCAGGCTATTGTTCCGAAACCAGATTCTAGTATGTCCTTTCGGGTTTCTCTCCTGTGCTATACTAATTCAACTAAGATATATCCTCGCTTACGAACAAGGGTCAATACGTATATGTCGATGGCCGGCCATTATCTGGATCAAAGGGCATTCTGAAGGATATTTTGAAATTGTTCAAGTCACATACTCGTCGAGTGTTTCAACAAGCTTCTGTTTCTCAGACAGCTGGCGCTTTCATATATCTTCATATTTCCTGCCCTCCTGGTACCTGTGACGTTAATGTGGATTCATTGAAGGATGATGTGATATTTGAAGATCCAGCCTTGATATTACGTCTCGCCGACACTCTATTTCAAAGGGCATATGGTAAAGAAAATTTTCCCGGTGAAGCCAGCATAGACATATCCGACCGGTCAACACCTGCCCCAGGTTTACCAAATTCCACTGAGAATACACTAGCAATTCCAGAGCCACTTACCCCTTTCACCATAGAAGATTCACCCGAAGTATCACCCCAAGTATTCTCTCAGCTACTGAGCGATTGTCAGAAAGGAAAAAGGGCAGCAACCCATTTGCCATTGAAATCTAGTCTAGGTCTGTGCACTGTACCGCACTCTAGGGAAGATTGCAATGTGAATCCTTGGACAATAGCAAAGCGAAATTCCACTATTATAGACCCCATACCTCACCTTCCAACACCTTCTAGGAGCGTAGGGCTCTCAATTTTCCGTGGACGCAATTACCTGGCAAATACCCATGTTACGGGACGAGCGACAAATCCAGGCAATTTTTCGCCAGTTGAAACGTCACCAACACCCGTAAGGAGGGCTACTACTCAGATAACGGGCCAACAGGAGTATCGACAATCAAAAATTATATCAACTACCCATTATCAAGATGCACGCCCTGCTACTGCAATACAACTCTTTTCTATATCTCAACCCGTCAGTCCAACAACCGCGTCCTTTCCGGATAGGTTGCAAGAGGCTAGAGACGGGTCTTTTCCACTAGATCTAGAAGGTCGATTTGGTAAGGATACTATTATCCTTGCTAGCCCTTCCTGCCCTGCTTTGCCATCACCAGTCAAAGAACAGGTTTTGTCAGGGCCTTCTGGACAACCATCGTCTGAGTTTGCGGATGAGCCACGTACATTGCAGCAAAATACTTATAGCATACAGCCATTCCCGTTGAACGAATCCCTGAGCTTTGAGCGGCGTAAAAAGGAGATTCTTCAATCTCGACGGAATAAATTAAAACAGCAAAGCACCCATATCACGGAAAATAAACAAAAACGCTCATTAAGCCCCAATGGGCTACGAGCTAGAAACAACGTCCTTAACTTTTCTCCCAGCGGGCAACTGTCGGTAAAACCTATATTCCCTTACCCACAGAGAATAAGCCATCCACTGCTTGTTGTTGAACAAGAAGTGCCCAATGAAGTGCCATTGCCCGTCAAACATATTTCGGCATCATTATTACAAAGCCACTCTGCTAAACAAACACAGATGTCCCCGATCAGTCAAATAATTGATAATCGAATGCCGCTGGAGGGCATTTCAAATCAACCAACTATTCACCATTTAGCATTGATGGGTAGTGGTAGTGTTGATTTTTGGGCATCAGTATCGCGAGTTTTGCAAGTTGATACATACGTGCAAGCTGGTAGCATCTGCTCAAGCTTTTTAACCACCTCTACTCCAACCGATACTGTGAGGCAGTGGAATGAAAAAGCAATGAGCTTAATCGAAAATCGCCTCTCTCGATATCGCTCCCCCTGATATGGTTGTTTGCAAGAGGTATTTTGTTTACAACAAATACAGTATGAGACCCAATCTGCTAAATATACGTGGGATAATCTCAAAGTATCGCGATAATATAAGATCTTTTTCATTCGAACGACATAGTACACATGGAAGCGTGATAGAAGCGCTATACCTTAAGGCATTTTACTGAATGCTGTATAATAGTATAACAGAGATAATTTTAGCAAATGGAAATATACAAATTACATACTGAGAGGAGATATACGGGTATATATCTTAGATGATATAGAATGGGCCACTGTTGAGCAGTTAGTTTTCATGGTCACAAAGACGACGATGGATTGGGTTTAGTGTACGGTTTCTTGACGGCACTTGAGAACAGCTAGACACCAAGTTAACTAATGAGTTACATGATAAAAGCAGAAGTTTTCTATCCTCAGTTTTCAACGTTACCCATTTAAAGTCTCTATCGTGCTGGCAACAAAGTCCTCTCATCTCAAAAACCGCTCGACGGCCACTATGCAGACTGTCTGTTAAAGGGCGATGCCGATACATGTCCTCTACCTTCCAGATACAGTCTGAGCTCGAGTACGGGCCGAAAGCCGAGATATCACAATTAGATTTGCGGGCAAGTGGTCCGCGAAGATTTGTTCCATGGGGTGGTAACAAGCCAAAGGTTGGAACCCTGCAGCCAAACCAGATCACAAGCTGGTATGGGCACTCCTTCTTCGTACGTTTTTGAAAAAAAAGCATCAGGATTCTTGGCCATTTTATGATACAGCTAGGTGTAGTTCTAATCAGTAGTCTAGAAATCGTAGATGCAGCTGTTATGATGTCTATCAATTATTGCCTGTATTATCATTAATTGGGCACCCTAGCAGACATTTAACAATTCCCAATTGTTGGTGCTAGGGTTCTTAGCCGGCTTCCAAGATTTTGAGGGTGCACTATAAGCCACTTTTGGGCAGTGGTACTGGTTTGTAATGTTTTATATTCCTTTCGCTTCCTCTTCCTTTTGTACAGAGTAGGTAGGCGAATTTATTCTGAGTTTTTCCCTAGAAATGCCGCGTTTCGCGGTTCCATCAATGGGGTATTCTTGCCGGACACAATCCTTGCGGCTCTATTGGTTGATCTTGCGATCTCCTTCCCACGACTAGGCATGAATAGTTTAGTAGTCAAGTGCTTTGAGCTGGTGTGAAGTAATGGTTCGGGTCCAGCTAATACGTAACTAGTTACATAGTTACATCGCCAACTAGAAATCCGTGTCCGAGCGCAATGATTCCTTGGGCTTCTCCGATAGTATGTGAGGAAAAAAAATTTAAAAAGCTGAGAGATCGATCCAGGGTAGGATAAGGTTGCTTCTTGATGGATCATATATTTCGGTGGACGTGGTCTCCTCGCTCGAGGAGAGCAGGTGACTGTTGGTGTCGTTCTGAGTGCTCATGCAGTTCCACAAGGTATGCACCTGAGACTTGAAGGAGGAGGATGTGTATCAAGTAGAAGTTTGGGAATTAACTGTGAGCCATGACTAGTAATAAAGGGAACTGTGCATGGTGAGAAGGCATACTGGAGTACTCCGTCTTGTCCGAAAAAACAAAAAAGGGGAGGTAAGAAAAGCCTGTTAAAAGACTGCCGGCCTGGAGGCTGCCAATAACTAACCATGGAATGCAGCTTCACTGACGGTCGAGCTTGGTGCTGATGGGACAGTGAAAAAGCGAAGTGGTGGCTGTGTGTGTGTGTGTGTGTGTGTGTGTGTGTGTCATTACATACTCCGAAGTTACATAGTTATGTAGTTAGGTGGCAGGAGGGCGAGATCTTTCACAACCAACCAGCCCGCGTAGTTAACTAGTTCACTACGCAAAGCGACATTCCCTGCTCAACCAGTACAGGTTGAAATCATGACAGGAATCGCATCCAACTGGATCTGCATGGAGAATTGCTGCTGTGGGTTGCTTCTTCACCACCCAGCCATGAGGGGCGGCCTGCAAGGCTGGGCAACGTGAGGCCTTCAGACTCACCAAGGAACTTACTGCAACATCGACGCTTCCAAGCGGGTAACTGCGCAATAACGTTAACTAGTCAGTTGGTTAGCTGGCTGTCGCTAATCTAGAGTTTTTAGGCCGGCGCGCTGCTCCGACTTCTTCCTAAGCGGTCTATTTTCTTCTGCGCCGCAATCAAGACTCTCCCGTGTCTCCGCTGGCTTGGGTGACGCTCGCCAGGAGAGCAAATAATACGAACAAAAATAGCTTCTCTCCCATTGCGTGTATATGGGGAGGCCCTTATACGGCCACGGATGGGAGCTAAAAAACGGCCCCCTCTGCCCGCGCCTTCGGAACGCCCTGATACCCAGCGTTCTTCGGGTGGCTTTGACTAACTAGCCATGCGGGAATAACATTATTATTATGTATCAGCGGCACGGAGCCCACTCTACCTCGGTTTGACAACCGCGAATCAAATGCCAATAATAATCCGCGGAGGATAAATCTGTCTCTGTGTATATCCTTTTTGTGCCCGACTCAGACCCCAGCTAACACCCAGGTTTTCGACCGCCAAACCGATTCTCCAGGCACCATGACAATCGCAGAAACACAAACCCAACAGCCCCAGAAGCCCCTGTCGCTAACATGGGAGCAGCCATCCCATCGATCTGTCACGGTGCGCCGCTCGGAGATCCTTGCCTCTGGATCTGATATCGCCGCCCCCACCTTCTGCCTCACGGCGGTGGCTGCCCACGACATACCCACAAACTCCCTCGTCGCTGTCAACACCACCACCACTCTAGCCTCGATCAAGGACTACTCGACCGTGCAGATTTCTGTGTCTGAGCACATTAGGTTAAACTCCGACCTACTCTACTGCAACCACTCCTGCGACCCCAATGTCCGATTCGTGACATCCACGCTTGTCTCCAGCCCAAAACTCGAACTGGAAGCCCCCGTGGCGGGTGTTCTAGAAGTATGGAGTCTTCGAGACATCCCCGCTGGCGAAGAGTTGAGGTTTTTCTACCCTAGCACGGAATGGGAGATGTCACAGCCTTTTCGCTGCTGCTGTGGGACGGAGGATTGCTTGGGCTGGGTTGATGGAGCGAAGAAAATACCAGCTAAAATTTTGGATCGGTACTGGCTGAGCGGTCATATAAGGTTGCTAGTTGCTGAGAGGGGCCGTATGAACTGAACTCCATCCTCATTGGGCCAAACACCTTCGGAAATGCATGATGACCATATTGTTCTCATGTAAATACATGCATACATAAATAAATGTGTATTTATTTTCTTTTTTTCCTCGTCACCCAGAAGGATTGGGTTCGCACCCTTTAGCAAGCATTTTTGCATCAGTCTAGGCCGTAACGGCCAGGGTGACGAGTGCACTCAGATTATGCATCATCTACTGTGTGCCAACATACTTCATAGCCCCATCTGATTCTCATGATCTAGCCTGCTATTTTTCCACACGGGTTTTCCGAGGATATCCATAGCGTTCATAATAATATGCAGATAGTCTCTGTGGATTCCAGCTTTAAACCGCCAATTCTCTCCGTTACTAATATCCGTCATACCTTTCACGAGGTGCACACTTATCGTATCATTGGTTTTCAGTCTCTAATAATAATTATAATGCATGCTCTTGCCGGTAATCGGTAATACCTTGATCTATTGTCGGCCAGAAGGATTTGCCAAGATATGGGTGTACACAATTGCCTAATACGGCTGCCCTGCCGAATGAGCGGGGACCCAAGCCACTAGTTAACTAACGCAGCCGCATGGAGAAGATTAGTCAATAATAATGAGGCACGAGGTGAGTTATATGGAGTACGGAGTAGTGAGTTAGTTAACTACTACTGTACTCCGTAAAGTTTAAGATACAGCCCGCAGCCCCCATGCTTCGTCAAATAAGAGTCTATCTGATTTGTTGTTATGTATGTATGAACATACCTACATCTACATACATACATACATACATGTTCCCCATCGTGCTTTGAAATCACCAAGGAAACTCATCCTTCGTAGCCAAGTGGTGTGTTTTTGAGTGCTCTTTGAGCCAACCAGTAAGGTAGCCAATCATCGCACGGGTAAACCTTGAGTTATTGTAGTTCCAGGCTGTATATCCGTAAATGAGGCCATCCACCCTCGACTCCCCAAGTAGCCTTTCGGCATATCGGCGCTGTCCGAAGCTGATGTTCCAACCAAAAATCTTTGCTACCTCACCACGGTCCCGGGACTCAGAAGCCTTACGTAGATCCCCAAAGACACTGGGCCTGAAACCCAGGTGGAAGAATCCATTGTCCAACATCTTTTGGCGAGTTGGGATATTTTTGGCTTCCTGCTTGTAAAAAGCCAGAGTCTTCGCCGACTGGTCCCAAATGCACATTGCCTCATTCTTGTTGAGACCATCTCGGACGATATCAAAAGCCTTCTTCGTCCTGCCAGTTGAAACCTTCGAAAAGCCGAATAGCACACGAACACCCACGGGTTCAAGGTGCTTGCGAGCAAGCTCTCGTAGATATGAGACAGATGAAATGCCAGTCTCTGCATAGTTGGGATTTTTGATATCTAGCCACACAAATGTGACGCCTGCTCCGTTTTTGCGCTGGGTAGCAATTTCATTAAACACAGCTTCTGCTCTGTCTGCACGGCTGAAAATGTTCCCATCATGGTCTGCCCACCACCCGTTTCTCCACGCGGTCAGATCGACCTCAATAGCGTTCGCGCCGTGGCTAAGAGCCGCCCTGACGCCGTTTCGTGTTAATACTCGGTGAGCAATGAAGTATAAAGCTCGCGATGTTGGTTGCCCCTGGAGGGTGACATTTGATGTTGTCTCAGTTGTGTCTGGTATAGGAGAGCCATAAATCCCGAAAAAGAGGCTTGCCAGTACGAGCTGGAAGACAAAAGAGAGAGCGAGCATGCTGAAGAATGGATTCTGACTGCCACAGAAATGCCTTGAGGGAATCCGTAAGGTTCTGCATCGTCGACGGATACTTAAATATTAAAACACATACACCAAGCCGCGGCAGCTGCTGGGTTAGTGAGGTGGAAGTATGGTCAGTCACTAATAATAGTTTTAAACATGATCGTACTGTACGTATGATACCATAGAGTTCGGAATAGAGTGGTACAAACAATAATAGTGTGTATGGAGCACACAAGTCCTCGAAAGGAAATTTAGCACGAAGATGCTTGGGAGGGACTCAACCGGGGCATCCACAGTGGATCGAGCTTGATTAAATCCACGAAGGGGGAGCGACGACTGAGCAGGACAACACATCATATCGCGCACCAGCAGGATTCATAGAGTGGGAGACCAAAAGAGAACTAGGTGGCGTCTGGGGGAGATGAGTAGACGGTTTGAGTCTACACTTCCGGCTGCCAAGGCAGGCCCATCAAGGAGCGTGGAACGTGATTGCCAGCCAGGGCAGCTCGCGCCTGCGGCGGGATGCCGATCAGCAACAGGCGGCCTTTTCTTGACGGCGAGAATATAAGAGAAGAGAGAGAGAAAGGGAGGGGGGAATATATAGCCACGGGATGGCTATAGGGCCAAAGAGCGCAATGAGCTCTCTCATTCAGGCGCTGGGGGGAGAACAGTGATGCCATCCGGGCGAGAGTGATTCAGTAAGGTACAAGAAGGCTGGGCAGAAGTAGAAGGTCGGCTACTCCGTACACATAAGCCTTTTAGTCTGGGAGGCACCTCTAGTTGTGAGGGCTTCGTGTGGTGGAGATGTTTGGAGAATGGCGTCGACGAATCCTTCTTGGGCCGCTCCAACTCCAGATTCAGTCGGCACAGAGCGAATCCTTTGGAATAATGTAACCAACGAGCCACCCAGCCACACCCCACGGGCCTAGTAGGCACCGAGACACAGAAGCGGTCTCTGGTCAACCGGCCTCAACCTTGTCGCCCGGTAGTCAAAAAGATCGCGATCGATCGGAGTTGCGTCGGCCCGAGAACCCAGAGGAACACGTGGACTCGTGGGCTCTGCAACCATTTGGTGTCTTTACGTTGTAGCTTCACCATTGCAACGTGATATAAGATTGCTAACTAGTTCGTTAACTTTTCAAAAATGACTACAGAGGGAGCTCTCGGGAATGGCTATGAGGCCAACGTTGAACTTGGTAAGAAGACAAGTAGGGAGGAAAGGGTGATTGATCTCTTTGTGAGTGTATGCTGATTTCTGCATCCGTTTCTACAAGAAATGTAGGCTCTAGACGACCAACATTAAACCAGACTTGGTATTCAAGCGATGCATTTCTAGTGTCGGTGGAGACATTGAGCAGGCGGTAGTATACTTCGTACAAAGGCAGGACACAGCCCAGAGAACAATCCTACATCCATTCAACTCAACTTACGATGCTCTGATCTACACAGCTTTGGATTCTTATCAGATGACTTAAGCATTCGACTAAAAAGGCGACCACCTGTTCGTCACAAGGCATTAGTCATGTTTTTGTCTGTTTGTCTAACAATTCTACAGCGTGCTTCGTACCGCGCGGCGCAGTCTTATGACTCCAACCTCCAGCTTCAGAATCAGATCTTCTTACACTGTACCGGGTGATAGCCGAACTACGGCAACTGATGGAATGATAGCATTGGAACCGAACCGCAACATCACTCTCCACCTACTTGAATGGAGTAAATTCCAAACTGGAAGAACTGGCAGGAGCCAGCGCCGGCTCCCGGAGAAACCGTACCTCCGGCCGGCGAATAAACGCGGCGTGATCGGCAACCAATGAGGTCGTTCGGCAGCCGCTATAGAAATCCATCTTAAGCAGCGACAGCCGGCTCGAAGGATTTGAAGTCAACGAAATTGGCTATCAGGAGCCTCACAGGCCCTTTTTTCCGGGTGCTCATAATAAAAATGCCGATCTTACACCCCAGAATGAATAATAATAGTCGCAGGTTTTCTCACAGCATTGGCCAATCCTTGTCCAAACAGCTAGAACAATAGCTTTTGCCCAGCTGCCATGGCCCTACTCAATACCCATTACGTCTGATTCAATATCTCTTATGTGCGATTAAATATCTATTATGTCTGATTCAGTAAATTTTATGTTTTGATCTCATAAGTTGGTGTCTAGAACAGAACTGCCGATCTCTTCCTAGGGCTACATGGCTTCATCGCCTGGGTGTGAAGTACGCGACCGCAGACTCTGCGTCTTAAGTCTCGTCAGGCAATCAATCAACTCACAATACCCTAGGTGTTTGGCACGGCCTCCTATCGTCTTTGAGCTGGAGCTTCGTGGCCATGAGCAATCCTGAGTGTTTGCTGAATGATGGACTTTTTTATGGGATAAGAGCTTCTCGAGTCAGAAAGCCCGCCTTGATTGAGAGATCTTGGAATTCAGCTGTATCGAGACGAGTGGGTCTTTGTTGCTTCATAGAAGACTACTGGGTCCATATTCTCCTTGCAGAAGCTTCGGTATCAACTGCCTTTCCAATGTGTCATCAACGCTCCAAAAAAACATATAAACGGAGGCATCCCATCCCCCCCAGCTGGCCTCGTCATCCATTCAGGTCACATTCTCAGAGCAACATCTCTCTGCCATACTATCATTTGAAACTTCTTCATCATATTCTTCCTTCAGAATTTCACAAAGGTCCCTTCTTCAAAGAATCGAACTCGCAGCCATGTTCGCTACCTCCTTTTTGTTTCTCGCTTCTTGCATCGTGAATGCCTATGGCCATGTGCTGCCCGCGGCCGCTGCTGGGCTCCAACTCGAAGCTCGTGCAACCAATGAAAATGTCACTATTTTAGCTCAGTCACCAGAGCTAGCTGCGTTGTTGAAATCCTTTGGCAAGCGTGCAGATCTTTTGAGAGACGGGACGACAGTTGATGATCGAACTGTTGTCGAGATCATTCGCGATTCTGCTCTAAAAGGGGCCAGTTGCAGCTACCTTGAAAATGACGCACTCGACTGCAAAGGCTATTGCTTTTGCTTCCACAAAGGACTGGAATATTGGAGGAAAATTCACTGCTAAGGCTACGGATTCCACCACGATGGAAATTTCAGGCGGATACTCTTCCTCCTCCAGTGAAACGATCACCAGGACGGATTCCTTTGAGGACAGCGTTACCTGCCCAGCTTTTACAGAGTACCGCTTTGAAACAAGATCCTTCTTGGTTGAGATAACTGGCATCTGTCGCAATCTGCCTGTTGTTGACTGCTCTTATGGTAATACCGTGATGTGCGATGATCGAAGCAGATGGGCGAACTCTTGTGATCTATACAAAAAGCACTCGGACAAGTGTGACACTGAGCCAGATTCTGATTGCACGGTTTCGTTCCCAGTTCTTGAATCCGACGGGCAGTTAATGAAACAGATTGCTTTGGTGACCAGCAACCTGAAAAAAACCATGAAACAGCGAATTTGGGGGATCACATAGATAAAAGCCTGGGTGTACTCTGTTGATTATCATCTATTTTTGTCTTACTTTGTTTTTAAATGGTCACGCCTTCTGGTTCTTTGCTTGTGTCTAGGTATATCAACTATACCCATGCGATAAACATGATTGGTTTTGGGTGCTGTAAACTAGATGCCCTTGCGGTCTTAATATTCATTTCTAGATAGACTATAGACTAAATTTATGCATTTAACTACATTTCAATAAAATTGTCTAATAGTTGTCGCGGAGTTAGTGATAGTACTGTCGTTAACTAACTTTATAGCTATTTTGACTAGGCGATGCACAGATCAGAGTAATGACAAAGCAAACAGTACTCCATATACAAAATATCATGTTGGAAAAGTCTTACGAGTGAATGTCCCCTCCATGGCAATTAATTCCTAGATAGTCAGTAGCAGCAGCTTCTGCGATGCCTCCGATCCCGATCACAATCATCACCGGCTTTTTGGGCTCGGGCAAAACAACTATCTTGCTCAACCTCATCCCGCAGCTGCCCCCCACCTACCGTCTCGCCCTACTCAAGAACGAATTCGGCGATGTCGCCATCGACTCCCAACTTGCCGCCGCCACATCTATTTCCGGAGTCCGCGAGCTTCTTAACGGCTGCATCTGCTGCAACCTCGTGGGTCAACTTGGCGATGCTCTCCTCCAGCTGCGCGATCAGGTGGCTCCGGACCGCATCGTGATCGAGACCAGTGGGAGCGCGTTTCCAGCGACCTTAGCCATGGAGGTTAATCGAGTGGCGGCAGAGACTGGCGGAGGCTTTGTGCTGGATGGCGTCGTGAGTGTCGTGGATGTTGAGAACTGGGAAGGCTACGATGATACATCATACACAGCTAAACTGCAGGCGAAGTATACCGACCTCATCATCTTCAACAAGTGGGAGGCGGTCGATGAGAGGAGGTTTGACGTGTGCCTGGACCGCATCGGCGACTTGGAGGTGCAGACGCCGTGGGTGAAGTCTGCGAAGGGCATGGTCGAGAAGGATGTTTTGCTCGGGGTTGATGGAGCACTGTTAGCAAAGGAGGCGTGTGACAAAGGTCATGCTGGGCTAGACTTGATTCTTATGGGAGCCAAGGATAGGCTTCAAGATCATGCCCATGATCACCAATCTGAAGTGGAAGTCCTCTCTGTTACTCTCAGCATCCCCGACGCCTCAATGGTGGTTGATACAGTTTCACTTGCACATCTTCTCCAGTCTGCACCAAAGGATGAAATCTATAGAATCAAGGGAATTTTTCGCTGCTCCACGGAGATCCCACCGCAGGATTCCTCCGGGGAGACTGCTTCTACTAGTGGCGAAGGACTTATCCAAAATTACATTCTCAATTGGGCCTTCGGCCGCTGGACGTTTACTCCTTTGCCCAATAGTACGCAGCATGATCATGGCGCTGCTGCCCGCATGACGCTCATCCTCGCAAGATATGAATCAAATAAATGGAAAAAGAAGTTAGAAGCAGGCGGTCTCATTGAATTGGCCGGGGCCGCAAAAGAACTAGGTGTATTGCAAATCGAGACAATCAATTGAGGCGATAAAAAGAAACAATATAATGTGAATGACCTTGGTCATTTTTTGTAGAACTGAGCAGTTGTTTGTGAACCATAACAGCTGAAATGGAGATGCGATGAAATGTTGATAGAACACAGATTCTGCTCTCGACACCAAAAGCTTTTTAGACCATGCAGTGCATATAACTAGATAAAATTGAATTTCAACACTAAACTGAATAGTTTCCATAAAGAATTTTAATACTAACGGTTAACTGGCTGGATGTTGACACCAATGTGGGTAATTAACGGCATCATATCATTGCCTAACTCAACTGAAAATCGCAATATTCCATGGTTTTCCTTTTTTTATCCTCAAATGAACAAATAATATCTAAATCTGAAAATCAAGTGAAACAAAATAAAAATCTGTCTACTGCCCAAAATATTCTCGATAATAGCTCATGTTGAATGGTGTTGCCATCATCTCTTTTATTAATATTGAATGGGATGTTGTCTAATATCCCAAAAGTGCAGCAGCACTTGGCTCAGTAGAGATGTAGATGATATCGTGGTTGTCTGTGAAGCCGTTAAAGCGAGTAGCGCTGCAACGAGTGTATGCACCCATGTTTTCAAAATAGAGCCAATTCCCCACACCCAAAACGCCGTTGAGCGTGATACGTTCACTAATCACATCAATTCCATCGCAGGTGGGTCCCCAAATGGAATATTCAACAGGGTGAGTGGAGGTAATGTCATCCTTAGTCAAGATCTGTGCCACTGGGTGCTGATGATCGAAAACAATGTTCGAAAAATTGCCATAGACTCCGTCGTTGAGATAGATCATGTACGTTTCGGTTGTCCCAGTGGAGGAATCAGAGTCAGACGTGGAAGGGCTGACATCACGGCGAGCGATAACGTTAGCTGCAAGGGTGAAGGCAGATGCAACATAGTAGCGGCCTGGTTCAGCGATGACGCGGATATGCGGCGGAAAATAAGTGTCAAGAGCGCCACTGAGAGCTGCAGCAAATGGCTCAAATGTTTCGTCACAGAAACCACCTCCAACATCTAGGACCTTGAGATCGTACCCAATATCGTAGGCTTGGTCAAAGACAAATCGAGCGTCTTCGACGGCTTTGACAAAGGCTTTCGGATCCTCGGCACCAGAACCAACGTGGAAGCTGACGCCAACGACGTTCAGGTCTAGTTCCTTTGCCAATTCGAGAAGATAACGAGTCACAGTGAGCGACGCGCCAAACTTCATGCTTAAACGGCAGAGGCTTGCCGAATCGTCGGTTAAGATACGGAGAAAGAGTTCCGCATCTGGACACATGTTTTTGATCTTGTACAGTTCATCTGCGTTATCGAAGGTCATTTGCTTGACGCCTTGCTGTGTTGCATAGCGGAGATATGATTTTGTTTTGCACGGATGAGCGTATATGATGCGACTTGGGTCAACACCAGCAGCAAGAGCATAATCGATTTCTGCTTTGGAAGCGCAGTCAAACCCGTTACCTAGGTGTGCCATCAGGCGAAGAACCTGGGGGTCGGGGTTGCATTTGACAGCTTGCACAAAAGCTGTTTAGTGAAGAACAGTAATTGAAGATGACAAATTGGAACATACCATAAAATGGCTTCACACGCCCCAAATTCATTTTCCAACGAATGTGCTGGCGATAAATTTCCCCCATATCCGCGACATAGAAGGGGTCCTCTTCACCAGGGCAGCAGTTTTGCACATCAACACTGGTTGCTTTATTTTTAAGAATGTCTAAAATCAGAGGTTTGGAGGCCTCACGCGCGCTGGCTTCATCGTGCCCGCCATGATTGGTAGAGCGCCAATTCTTTTTACCTTCATGAAGGTATTTTTCAGAAATATATACTTCAGTTGGTTCAAAAATCGAAGGTGCCATAACCATCCGACAGTCGGATGATTACTCGATTAAACTGAACGCAAAGATAAAATTCGGTGTTAAGGTGGGCGAAATGTTTCGCAACCGGTGCTGATTGGACTGAGCCTCCTCGACTCTTCCTCTGGAAGAGGAAGAACCTTTAGAGAAGTCCTATGCGGCAGCTCAAGGGGTGGGCAACTCTCAGATCCGGGAGGACAAAGGTGGACAAGCACTAGCGGGCGGGATTGGTGGTTGTATGGCCAGGTCTGAGGTGATTCGAGGGGCAAAGTGAGATGAAGATGAGAAAGCAAAGTGAGGTGCGAGGCTCCGGGGTTAGCTGGAGCCGTGGTCCACTGCGCCTTTGGGTATGCGGTCCCAAAGGCGAGCTGTCAATTAATTTATACGAATGGAAGGTGGTCCTAAAGCAGCCGTGAAACCAGTTAGCCCGAGAGATGCGGTGAAGGTTCGCTCGACCGACAATGATGGGCAATTTCGCCAGCTTCAGGGGAACTGGCGCGAAACGAGAGGTAAATGCCGAAGAAAAAACTTACCTAAGGGACGGGAGCGTGCAGCTAGAAAGCGGAGCCGACGTATATCGGCGGTCGCAACGAGGAGGAATATCTCTCAGACCAAGCAGGGGGAGATGGAGGAGGCGTGGAGGGCGAGACGGAGGGAGAAGGGAAAAAATTGCGGATTTGTGGGCGAGGGGCAGCAAGCCCCAAGTGGACGAAGTTTGGTGTGTTTGCCGGTAATTGTGACGCGCCGTTACGGCCGCGCCACCACCGCGTGCGGCCGACGCGCAGGGTCCGATACCAAGGCTTTACATAATTTTGGTAACAAGCAAGCTCTCTAAGCCACGGCCAGCTTCCGCCAACCTCTGCAGTGAGTCAACGGCCCCCCTGAGCATGTCGTGGCTGCGTGCATTGCCGGTTGCCTTAATTGTATGAGGTATTTTCAGCCCTTGGTCGTAAGGAGGCGGTGGTGCAACGCTATCGACGGGCCATGTCACCCATGGGCCTCTGCGCGCAACGCAGACTGGGAGAACTTGTCGGAAAGCTTGGATGCAAGCCGGCCAGTTCCAAAATGATCGGCTGCCAGAAAAACAAGCCGCTGCGGCTTCGATTCTGTCCACTAACCGGGCTTGCTCGCGTTCATCAGCCACATTTTCAGCTTGGGCTGGCGCCGTCAGAAATCAAGCATAACGCCCGGTGCCTGACTGGGCTCCTGCGCCCGCGAGAAGCGATAAACCATGACCGGCGTGAGGCTGGGATAGTCACCCTTACTCCCCAGGCTTTGTGGGGAAATAATCGACTCCCCCGAAATGGCGAATCCTGTATCTTGCATTAGGCGGAAAAAAGCCGACTCGCTCTCGCATCGCTTTTTCCACGCCACAATCAGTGTTGCGGTGGGCGAAATCCGATGTAGGCTAACAATAGTCTTAACTAGTGCGGGCAATGAATCGGAGTTATACGTGCAGTCAGACAAAAAAATCAGGTCGTTGTGGCGGTTTTGCATGTCTGTAGAAAGTTCTTCATCCCAATCAAGAGTCTGAAACTCGACCTGAGAACTGTCCGCCAGTTTTGCTGTCAAGATATTCCGATTAATGATTTCTCGCACCTCCTCAAGATCTGTGAGCATTACGGAGCAGTTAGGTAGCATCTGTGCCAACGCAATGCCGACAATACCGCATCCCGAGCCGAGCTCTAGCGCAGTCACTCTGTGGTTCTTATCCTTTCGGTTTTGTATCCTGCGGCCAAAGTCAATGATAGCAGCTAAAGCTGCATCCCTGAAATGCTCGTCAAAAATTCGGCCCAGCAAAATTCTAGAAACTTTGATACTTACCAGATATGCCTTGCGATGCTGTTTCCCGTTTCTTCCCAAATACATAGCTCTGGTCCTATTATGGGGGTGAAGCGTCGTAGCACTAGTTTCTCAACGGGTTTCCCATAAGCTGTATGAAACCATGGGCTCCATGCAGATATGATTTTAGGGAGATGAGGTCCTTGGAGACTATCGGATTCTGCTGAGGATATACCATAAGGACTAAATCGCATGCGAAGCTTGTCTGTACTCTGCCGTATGGGCCCAAATAGTACTTTCAGCTGCCTACTGCCTGCTTTCCAAGTGACTGTTTGCTGCAATGGGGTAATTGATCGTGAACATTCCACTGTAGCGACGATTTTGGCATCCTCAGCAAGAAAGGAGTCGCCGAGGTCTGTGGTGATGGTAATTAAAGTATTGATCAAGAAAGAACTTCCATTGTGTTTCAATATCTGTGGTGATTTCAATAATTGAATATAGTGTGGCATTTTTGTTCTGTAATCTTTAAAACACGGTGCAATGGGGGGTGAACATGACAGGGCCGATCCTATCTTCCATCCTGATCAGACATTGCTTAAATCAAGTCCTCCGTATCCGGCCCTTCTTCGTCGGTACACCAGTGGTGCGTGAAGTTGAGCTGTCAGCTCCAGTGTTGGCCACCCACAAGGTTTGAACTCCGAATTTCCTTTTTCAGCGGGCCTCATCGCGGCACGTGCATATTGAACGAGCTAACCCATCATAGACTAGTAATTATTACTCTGTACGCTGAGTAATACGTACGCTAGTACAAGCAGAATGACGTCGATCACGTGTATGTATCTGTCAGCGCGAGTAGGCCGACACTGATTGGCCAGTGAGCCGCGGTTTGGTGTCTGACGTAATCTAGGGTGCTTAACGACTTCCGTCTCGGATGCGTGTCGAGCCGCGATGGGACCTTGATGCAGACAGCCGGCTGTCGACAAACGCCGGGACACCTATTCAATGCCTCCATACCACCCCCTTCGTGCTTCTTAAACCACCTCTACCGCTTCATCGATTAGCAATCATGCACCCACGAGATCCGCGAATCCGACAGACTATCAACCAAATATCTCAGAACCTTGAATCAGCAAACGAAACCGCCCAGGAGGGGATCTACGCATTTTCACACAACTATCTTGTTCCATGTTTTGCCAGTATACGCCACTGTTTAGGGGCTTGTACTTCTCCATGTTTTCCTAACCGCGACGATCAACTGCGTCGCCGGAAGCGCGGGGTGACAAGAGGACGAGCAGAACTCAATTTTGACTTCTATGATGACTGGGATTATGATGAGGATGTTATGGGTGACAGACCACTGGGCTGGGGCACAGATGAACTTGATAGACTCTTGGCTGGAGGTAGTATCACTTGTGATCAACCTCTCATGAATCGTCGTCTGAGCTATGGCGCTCGTGGTGGACGGAGGAAGAGCTCTGCCATTCAGCAAGATGACAGGCAAGATCCTACTGTCATTCCAAGCTCCTCATTTCTTGGGTTTCTAGAACGACTCCCTTGGCGTATGGGGCATCGAGGGTTAAAGTATCGACCATCGCCAGCCGATTTACAAGAAAATCCCGGCGGCCTTAAGCGAAATTCCCTCGAAACTGAGCCTCTTTTAGAAAGGAACGAGGAAAGTGACGGAGAGGCACAAAAATCAGATAATCCCGATGGAGGAACCCGTCAACGCAGTAACACGCAATCTTCACAGGACACTAACACGTCGCTAAGCTCACGAGGTGATCTTATACTCGGTGATGAGGAAGAGGATGCTGTCCCTCTAGGTGATGAATTCGCAATGGCGCTAGAGCGAAGATCGACTATCTCCGGGGATGACTCTGCTTTGCCGCGGCGGTCTGTGTCGGGTACATCTATATCTAAAGAGTCAGGCCAAAGGAACAAGGGAAAAGGGAAACGTAGAAGGTATACGACTATTTCGAAGAATTCCGCTCAGTCTTCATCCGGGGGCGATGTACTCGAACCTACCGCCCTCGTCCCCACAATGGCGGATCTAAAACTGGAAGAAGAGCAAGCACGACGGGATGAGGAGATGGAGATTGGCCGGAAACGGCAAGCTGCTCTGAACCTTGCTCGCCAGAGAGGCTTGAGCATTAGTGAAGCTGACTCCAAGGTAAATTATTTCTATTTTAAGACAAGCCATAGGGAATATTGACGTACTCGTTTATAGGCCGCCCCTGTCCCGAAACTGAACGGTACTTTGCAACGAGACAATTATGCTGACCAATGCAAAAATAATCACACTTCTGTGACACAGCCACTCTCGGGGTCTTCCCTACAAGAAACGCTCGCAATCCACGACACGGAGACGATACCCGAATTGCCTGACGTTTCCAAGGCAAAGTGAAGCCGTCATATTTAGGTTTTTATCAGGGCCCTTCATTTTCTTACCGGAGCCGATGAGGATATGCCTTATCAGACCAAAAACAGTGCATTTTATGCCTTTGGTAGCAACCCTGACCGAGCCTACGTCGATGTTCATACTTGTCGGCAAATTCAGCTCAGCTGGACTCCTCATAATCACAATGGTTCCTGATGGAGTATACTGAAAGCAAACGACCTGGGAAGGCCGACGGACACATGGGATATCTTCAAAAAACGGGCGTGTCTTTTCTGGTAACTCGGTCATATCCATGCTTCGTGCCTCATATACACTCATCAAAGGTACACATATGCAACAAAACTCACACTATTTCCGGAAGAAAGAGATTGAGCTCCTTAATGGCATATTTACAAGCTGCTACGAAACCCCTTATCGGCCATCGTTTCAAGGTCCAAAAATTGTGCAACTTGTCCAAGGTGATCAACACCGAAGAAGCATTCCACCTCGCCTTTAGCATTAGTGCATTCGACCCAAGGAAGGCCGAAAGCTCCTGAAGCCACAGCTCGCTCAGTGTTTGCTAGAAGCATGTTTTTCACTTCTTCTGTAGTGGACTTATATTTGGTCAGCATGCAGCCCAGATGGAAAAGTCGACTCGCAAAGAGGCATCCCATACCTTCAGAGCCATTTTTTCAGCGGTTTCATTTCCCAACACCCGGGATAGCACGGGTACGAAGCCTTCAGGCTTCCCAACCTCCGAGTTGGATTCCACCCAAAGCGAATGATACAGTGCGTCGAGGCAAGGGGCCAATTTGTTGGGAACTTCCGACGCCACTGCGCAGAGGGCTCGTTGAACCTACAGACATCATTTAGATACACTTGATCTGTACATAATACATAATATGCGCGGCGTTCTCTTGACAGCAAACGTATAGAACTGTTTCGTAAATATTGCATAACAGCGTGGGAATACATACTGCCAGTGTCATGATTGGAAACCCTTTCGGTGTTTCGGGAGTGATAGGAATATTGAAGTACCGAGACCAGCGGATTCTCTCGAGGTTGATCCATTTATCCTTGTCTGCGCATAGCTTGACTGTTATTGCGGTTCGATCGGGGCAAAAGTTGGGAGCGCGACACGTACTCTTGACATATATTGGAGGGTTATTCCTCGTCGCCTTCATGATCCCGCCTAGAAAAACGGGCACGTAGGACAATTCGCATTTTGCGAAGACCGGGGAGTGCTGCAGGCAGGGTTACTAAATGTCCGCCATGCTCTGTTCTGGATCGCGCCGTGCATCCAATAACTAACTAACTAAGTAATTCCCTGGCAATCGCACAACCTCCCTCGACTTACCCGTGTGATATAGTATGCCAGATATGCAAACGGGCTGACGACGTCAACGTACAGTGTGATCTTCGGTGAGGCCATGACTTATTGGCTCTGCGATCGTGTGGCGTTTGGATGGGGATTATTAGTTAGTACTCCGTAAACTAAGTAGTTAATATCTATCGAGGAATTCTCAAGCCTGAAAACTTCACCGATTTGATATCTTCATCTTTCAGGTGTCCAGGCGATCTTATCTAGCATGTTGTCGGCGCGTGAGGAGCTAGGATGTCTTGCAGTCAAGCCGCTGCCGAGGTCTTGCTCGGCATCCCGCTTCCGACCTGTTCACTAATACAGAAGTCTGCCGCATCCCCTCAGGCAGTGTTACAATCTAGCTTTCCTCGAGCTCCAATTTCTCGTTGCCGATTGCGAAATCGATATGAGTTGCACATACCGTGCTTACGACTTCCCCTCGACATGCTGACGGTTGGCGATGGCGGTGCACAGAGAGGTCGGCTAAGCGGTCGTTCGCCGGCTTTCGTCAAATGGCCGCGTGGTTCATCGATAGACACCTCCTGGAGTATGATCTGAGTGGCCGTGATACTGCCTGCCAGTGGGGCGACAATTACCATCCGTGTTTTCCGTATACGAACCTCAGCCTCGAGCCCTTTCGAAATCCCTCGAGATACAATAGCCGTCGCAGCATTTGAGAGTTCGAGTCATCTGGCATATGTATGAAGTTCGGGTTGAAGACGTATTGAGGCTCCTAACGATAATCTCGCGGCCCACGCAATACGTATGTTGAGGAATACTGGTCTGAACGAAGGAATACATGACCTTTGGGGCTACCGAAATCGTGTATGGACGGACACCGGCCTGAAATTGACGCCGGGTTCTCCTTAAAATCCTCCTACTCCAAGCCCTGCTGTGGTCTCAGAACGATGTTTGATTTGGCTCTCAAGTGTACGAGACAGTTCCCTTCGTCACTGCCAATATGCTGTTTGCCTCATGGGCGATTTCCGTGATGGCGTCGCAGCTTCTCTGATCCAGCGAGCCCTTGTAAGAAACAACTCTCTACAAATTACGGATATGAGACTTTAACCTTGATTGACCCGACTACACAATATCACCTCCTGTGATTCATATTGCAACGCCGTGCTATCATACCCCACCGCTGCTTTATCCGTTTTACTTTAGGCGAAAAATTCTGCTAGGCCATCGGTACACACTCGCGATCAATTTCTTTTGTAGTGGCTCAATAAGCTCTGCGATGGATCCAATCTTGGGAACAGTACAACACTTCCCCGGTCGTCAGTCTTGCCCGCCATCCCAAGTTAGTATTAGAAAAGCAGAAGGGTCCCAGGGTTGTTTATCGTCTCCCCCCACAATTTATACTGCAGACAACGTAAATCCGTGTACGCCGCCTGGTAGAACGTTTTTGGATGAGGAGGGAGATACCCCAGTTTCTGAATCTTTAGCTGAATCCGTGATGAAAAGAAGGCGAAAGGGTATTTACTTCTATCGCCCACTAGTATGGAAGTCATCCCCTGCCAGTGGTAACGCTGTTGTTATTTCTTCTAAGGAGAACGACGATGAAATGGAAGACAAGGAAGAGTGCTTTTGCGGCAGTACATTCAATGATCTCGCTTCTGAAATTTGCACGACATCTGCTTTCGGTTCGCCGCTAAAATATACAGTAGCGAACTCATATTTTTATCTTATGCGTTCGCCGGCCGATAGAAACGACGGCGTACTGTCGTTGGACGAAGAGCCTTTGATTAAAAAACCTCTTCTCGCGTATCCCAAATTTTCTACGTCAGGCTTGAAAACGCCCTTCGAACACAATAGGCCTAAAATGGAGTCATTGCGTCCCATCATACCTTCGCCAAGCTTGTCTGATCAGATAGCCGTTCCTAGTGTCCGTCCTCAGGCTCAACTCTACGAAGCTGCTGAGGATACAATAAATCCTGCTCCCCCTGCAGTGTGCCGCCATTGACTAACCAAGGGTGTGTGGCAGCAATGATAACTCATTTAGAATAACTTGGAGCCACAGTTCCTTTTGTGCAACAGGCTTTTCTTGGATACTATCAAGCAGCTATGATCTGCTGCTGTATAGCTTTAACATACAGTTCAACAAAAATCATTATCAACAAAGCATCCATCAAGATTTCTGTTTTTTTTCGTTTTTCTGCTTTTTTCACCCTTGCAAAGCCTTCATAATAAACAAAGTGCAAACCAGCACAAGCAATATAACTTAATAAGCTGTTACTCAAGTCTTACTACCCCCTTAGACATGGCATTCAACCAGATCCGGAATCCATTAACCCTCTTAGAACTGAGCTTTCTTCTTTGTTCTTGTATCGTTTCAGAAGAACTTCTTGGTCTTCTCGAAAATAGTGCTTCCGACTGCAAGACGCATATCGGCATTGATGTCTGCCTCGCCCAAAATGATCAACTCCATCATGTCTTCGAGCAAACCGCGCAGTGTGTTGTCAACCGCCTTCTCGGAAGTTTGCGTACACTTTCTAAGAAACTTCTGGATCTTACTTTCATCCAAGCCGGTATCATAATGCGAAGTTCGATTTCCATTGTCTCTCTCGACTGGGAGTTCACACTCTTCTACGTAAAGGACATGCTCTACCACTTTATCAATCAACCCGCAGATGATTCTGTGGAGCTCCTCTTTGGTATTCTCGTTTGCCATGGCGGCTTTTATGCCCTTCTCTGTTACTCTATCGTCTTGCCGAAGAAGTCTTTCTAGCATACCGTCGTCAATCATGCTGATCAACAAGCCATGAAATTCGTATGCCTCCTGTTCCATTCTTATTGTGGCTTCATCCAGTCTAGAAGACGATATGAGTGCTCCGTCAGGCCACGCCGGATTGAGCATATCCCAGTCGCACAGCTCGCCCCCCAGTCTGGTTTGGATATGAAATAGGCGCCTTCGGTGCTGACGAGTCCTAAAGCGTTCTCTGAGTATGCGGCGTCTTTGCCGCTCTCGTTGTGCCCGGGAAGTGACTTGTTTTTCGCTGTGAAGATCACCGCCGTCGGACCCCCAGACCACCAGCCGACGGAAAAGTGACGCCAAGCTTTCACCGCTTGCCACGCCGTTTGCCTCATTTTCGGGGACGTTCATGATAATTTGCCTAGAGAGTGATGGCTCAGACATTATTGTGTGTGCTTTGCACTGAAAGGCTTTCTTAAATAATGGATTTATTGCTGGCTAGATCACAGTCCAGCTTAGCCGTGGTTCAGAGAGGCTGTTATTGATAGTGCTGGCTGGGTGTAAAGCATTTGAGTTAATACCTTCAAGAGTTGAATTTGGCTGGGTGCTAGAATGATACCTTAAATTTGTCGGTCCAGATGTCTCTCTTATTGCACTGACAGTGCTAGAGTTATTCTATTCTGCAGCTAATTGAGGATTTCCTCAAATACATATTCTTTGGTGAATATTTTCGTGAGCCCATGTGCTTGGAAGATCAGCAAAGGAATAACATAAGAAACATCAGACTTACAACATTGGGAAGTGATCAGGGCTCTACGGGAGTTTCACGCCAGTCAAGAAGACACAAAAGAATATTAGGGATTAAAAGGAAAAGAAATGCAAAAGAAGATGGAATGAAGAGTAAAGTTAAAACCCTCCTGATTTTTGAAGAGTCAAATACTGCTTCCAAGAGAACAGTGAGCAACAAATGGGGAACAAACATACTTGGGTTCTGCTTCACTCAAAATAGCGCGTTCTGTTTACCACTCACGTGAATATGCTTACATCCAAGATCTTTTCCTCCTATAACTGCACTATCTGTCTCTTCAGCCGCTTTCCTAGTTCATAGGTGCATATCTGGCCTTCACCATAGTCCTGCTTGATAGCAGGTTCCGCCAAGTCCCAATCCGGGACAAGAAGCTTTCGGCAATATTGACGCATGCTTTACCAGATTTTGGGGCGCCAGAGAAGACCAGAGCCAGTTTTTGGTTCTGATGAGTCAGTCGAAGCTTCCATGCCGCATGACGGTAAGGGGTTCTAGAACTAGCCGGGCGGTCGTCCCAAGTGTTTACTGCTCAGCTATTAAAATACAAAATGTAGTAGTCATGCATTTTAGAAAAAAGTCAGCCACCGAGACCACTTTCGTTATCATGCCCCTATGATGCTTCTCTGGGGTTTAAAGCTCGAATATCTCCAACATTAGAGCCATTTCCATGCTCATTCCCAAAGAACACCGGCCATCTAGCGAGAGAGGGAGAAGAGAAATGATGTATACGCTGCAGATGGACACACTGTGTCTACATAAACCACCGCAACGCCGCCGAATACCCACTGCTTTGCGCTTCCAAACCTAGCGCCGATATACCCTACATTCTTAGATAGGCAGCACTTTCCTAGAACTCGCCTTCATGTGGGTGCGGTCTTATGTCTGCCCCTTCATTCGGCAACCCTCGCAGTATTCGATCCATCGTCGCTGGCTGCAGGAGAGGAGGGTATTCTTCGCCCTCCGCACAGTGTGTCTCTGGCTGCACTTGACGGATGGCGGAAGCGACTGTGATTTGCTGCGCCGCCTCGCCAGCTTCCGCATCCTCCATAAGTTGGCGAGGCCAGGACGGTGCCCGGAATGAGGTGGTGGTTGTTTTGTTGATCTGGACCCTGACTTTTGAGTGACCGACCTCTGTACTTTGGCGAGTCATGGGATTGCGGAGCCCACCGAGGTGTATATGTGCGCGGCCGACTCCTCTCCTCTCACTGATGGTTAGGCCACGAGATGAAGACTTCCCGGCCGAGTTTGATCGTCCGCCCGCTGGGGGTGAGAATCCGCGAGAATAGTAGCGGCGTTCTCCACCTAAAATTGGCCCGCGAGGTAGTCCCGGAAACTCGTCTTCTCGGTTCGCTAGGCCAACAAGCTCCATTGCTGCCAGAGCAATTTCCACGTAAGTAAAATGGTGATGGATCATCTGGGTGAACATATTGCTTAGCCCCTGATCTTTCCCCTGAAGCTGCTGGACGACGAATGTGCCGAGCTCCGTACCGGACATACCGCTGTCTATTTTTTCGAGAAGCATACTATGCAGGTGAGATTTGTCTTGGGGTTGAATATTATCGACATTAATCTTCACACCTCTTCGTTGCAGGCGGTCAAATAGGGGGTTCCAAAGCCCGGAGGCGGAGGGGCTTTGTTGTATGTCAACGGTAGGCACAGGAAGCGTCTTACTCTGATCTGCCGCTGCGTTTTGATAAGTTCTCTAGCAAGTGCAAGACGCAATAGGACCTTACCTTTATTATTTGCAGGTCCGGATTTCGAAAGCCACGAAAAAGGTTTCTTTATTGCTTGTTTTAACTTGCTCTTTTCCTCCTTTGCCATTGCTGCTTATATCTTCGTGCGGAAACTGAGTACTTCCTTATGGCTATATAACAGCAGGTTATGCGTGAAGAATGACGGCTGTAAGAGAATGAAAAGCCGAGGTATGAATATGAAGGACCAGAAAATATGGTATAGTTATGGATCTTGAAGACCAGCAAAACTTGGACGCAGTGTCGAGGACGACTGTGCGAATTTATAAAGGTAGGGAACACCACTTCACCCTTTTGTGGGCATTACTGGGTGTTGTTCGCTTGCGGTAACAGACAAATATCAGGGACTTCCCACTCCACGTGACAATGTTCATTGAAAACATTTTTATCAGAGGAGCCGTCTGTGGTAGACGTGATAATTCATAGAGTATTGATGTGATGGAATTATGCAAAAGACAAGGGACTTTCCCTTATTAAGGGTATAGTTAGGAGTGATAACAAGCATATGCTGAAGAGGTCCTTGTTCAAAACCTATTAACAAGTATTAGATATTAATAATCTCCAAAAGAAGCCACTGGAAAACAGATTAGAGAAATGTAGCAGTATATATAATGTGATAAACGGAAGTCGAGTGAAAAGACAAGTGAATAGGGGGTACTTATAGCAAGAGTGTAAATTTAAGAAACAGTAAAAGTTTGGAGGCACAAGCACTGGAAGTTACCAGATCAAAGAAGTGAATGGAAATCTCTTTCAATTATGTCTCTAGAAAACCATTTAATCATGTATGTTCCCGCAAATTATATCGCTCGCTATAATTAAAGCCAAAAAATCCATCGGACACCAGAAACTGAGCCACGCCAGATGCCCTTGCACAGCTTCCATATCATCACCACGGTCCAAACACACCACATAACCCCAACAAGCACCCATTCAAGCAGAACATAGCCGAAGCGACTGACCCAGCGAAATCTGCGTTTTCTTTTTCGGATTCCTTTGTCCAGAGCGTCGTTGAGCTGCTTGATAGCCAGAGTACTCGTAGTTGCGAGTTGGCTGGTGAGATTCTCTGCTTCATGGCTAACTACGCTAAGGCGGTCACTGAGAGATGTTGTGACCAGTCGTTCAAGTAGTTCAAAATCGGAGATCAATTTTGGTATACTTGAGCTTGAGAATTCGGATATAGTGTTTTGGACCTTGTACATACGGTCATCAAAGGCGCACATCAGACATTTGGTAGCAGCAGCGGCTAATTTTTCATCCCCAATATAAGGCAAAGGGCTATGAAGATAATCCGATGCTCCGATAAACAGGGGGTTAAAAGTGGGGAAGGGCGAATTTTCATTTGATAGCCGACATATTTCCTTCGCTTTAACGCCCGTGGATAGTAGATGAGCGCGTACACGGACGATTTCATTCTTATCAATACGATAGGAACCAGAGTATTTCGGTATACTGCGAGAAGACCGAGTCCAGTGTCGAGTAGATTGTAGTCCAGGTCGGCGCTGAATCGGGGCAGCAGGTTCCGGGTGTCCTCGCCCTAGCCACAACAATGACTGTTTTTGCCCCAAGCTCTGTTCAACACCTAAGCTGGCATTGTTGTCGACCGAAGGGTCAATTTTTACACTGTCTATACGAGACTGGGAGGGCAAAGGGTATTCAGTATTTATTCCGTCACGCTTTAGGGATGAGGTAAAGGCTGGTAGATTTGACGTATAATATTTAGGAGGCTCAGAAACCTGTTCTATTTGAGATTGAGTTCCGATATCGGATTGCGTGGGAAATCGGGTTAGCTTTGGTTTTGGTATTCGACGGCTGCCAGGGATAGTATCACCGACATCCATATATTCAGAAATACTAGAAGACGATGAAGAGTAGCGCGAGTGGCTACTCTGGTCTTTTTTACGGATCAACTCTCCAACTTTTGATACCTCACTACCAACAAGCTCGGCCAGTCGGCCGCCTTTGAATATGCCACGTCGCTTTGAGTCCAACTCTTTCCCAATCCTGGAATTGCTGCTTGAAGGATGTTGGATGGAACTGTAATGGGATGGAATATACAAATCATTGGAGAAGCGGGGGTTTTGATTGTCGAATTTAGGATATTGTGGCTCTAATCCAGATATCGCAAAAGTGGCGGCCTGTGGCTTAGGTGGAGGTTGTGGTGATACAACATCGTCGTGCTGGAGTTTGCTGCTCTGGCGGTCAATCGAATCTTGGATTGATAGGTGGTAATTTCTGCTAGGAGAGCTGTCTCGACTCCATGTAGGGGAGAGATTAGAGGCAATACTTGGGAATACTGGCTTGTTAATGGGGGATTGCTGAAGGCTTTCGGCTTCTTCAAATGACGGACGTGACGTATATATGTTATGAGAGTTGTCGATAGAGGATAGGGATGGAGGATAGCCAAGATGTCGGGATGTTGTATGTTCATTTAAGTCAACATCAAGAGGAGGAAGTAGATCACGAACGGTATTCCGTTGTTTTAAAGAAGTTTGATTTTTTAAATATCCTTTTGATGGTGATTTATCATCACCACTGCTTCGAGATGAGGAAGGGCTTCTGGACCGGCTCAATGCTCTCCGCCACCCGGATGTACTTCCGCTTACAGAGCGGCCATGGCTGGGCATCAGGTGCGTGGACTTTACAAATTTATTGATTCGCCTACCGCGATTAGGATTATATGCACTCCTCGAGCCGATAGATTTAAAGTTGGGTAGTTCTCCTGTGGAATAAAGTGGGTTGTAGAACTGGCTAATTGAAGTCAATTCCAGAGAGGGGTTTGGCGTTGCCAATTTCACAGGTCTGAGCTTCGTAGTTCCAGGAAATATTTTATGGCCGTCTGTATTTTCAAGTTTAAGTTTGTTTGAGTCAGCTTCAACCCATGCCGCATCGGCTAAGAGGTCGGCAGGAGTCATGGCCCAATCTAATCGGGGACGACGGGGCTTGTTGGCATCACTGGTATTGGTGCGGCTGGGGCTTGAAAGGAGGTTTTCAAGCTCCTGAGATGTCTCATTACCACCAGTTGGAGATTTGAGGGGCGGAAGCCGAAAACACTCTTCGGCTGCGTACTCTTTGTTATCGAGAGATTGAATTATATGATCAACCCAAGTCCGAACACCAGCAACGTCTCCCCAGCCTTCTTCTTCCGCATTTATGGGCTTTCTTTCACGAAATCGTACTTTTCGATTGCGAATGTATTGAAGAGGGTTATACACTCTTCCATGAGCGGATGATGACTCAGGAGTGCCAGGTAGGTCGTTCAACTTTGTAGGTGTCGGAGAAATAGGAGGAAGATGCGGCAGTAGACGTAGATATTCAGAAACTAATTCAAAGTGCCTCTTTGCCTTTTCAGCTCTTGCAATCGTCCCGGCAGAAAAGGCATGAGTTTCCAGTCCCTGACTTCCCTGGGCAAGGAATGGAATCGGCGACGCTAGTAGTTGCTGAGAGTTACGGGACATGCGTAGAGATCCACCCTGTGTATTAATTTTTGACTGCCAATCGTCGTTCCTCATAGAAGGAATCATATCATCAGAAATGGGGCTCCGTGCAGGAATCGCATGAGAAAGCCGCCTATCCTGGGAAATCAAACTAGATCCTGCTCTGCCCGGCAATGTTCGTCGGCGGGATTCACTTAGACTAAGTGCGAGGTTGACAATCTGGGCTGGGTCCGTATCAATACCGACGGATGCTGGGCCATAAGACGTCAACGGACTTGACGATGGGCCCTCAAGTACACTATTGCTCGCCAAGTCGTCACTACCAGGGGAATCTTGGAAATCATCACCAGCATATGGGCGCGAAGGCGTTTCGTGAGGAGTTATGGTTTCACTGTGATGCCTCTGAAATGGCCTTTTCCGGACGACCAGCTCTGAATCGTGGCTTGGCCGTTTCGTTGCGACGCGAGGCAGCACCTGTCGGATAGACCGGGCTCCAGGATTAGAACTAGACCTTTTAAGAGCGGTGAAAGTTGATCCTAGACGAAAGCTGCTGCTGCTCTTGTTTCTGTTCTTCCTCTGCGGCACTCGTACATCCACTGGGCTGTTATAGGCCGTGGGAATGTCTGTAACTTTCCCCATTTGATCCCCCATTGTAACAGGTTCGCATCATTTGCTTTCAGATGCAGTGCTTGGAGCTGATATTTCGTATTTATTAATGTTGGCTATATCAAATGCTCGCTACCAGGCGGAAGCATCGCCATGGTAGGCAGTCAGAAAGTTCATGAGGATTGTAATAAGGATACGTTCCTCTGTTGAACCCCGGACGTACTAGTAAAGGCGCTGCCGGTGCTCGACAGAGGTATCAGCTCCTAAAAGTGAATTGGTATTGTGTTGTAGTCAAGTTGATTGTGTTTTGCCGATGCCATGTGAGGACGTGGCAAGGCAAACTAGGCAAACGGTGCAAACAAATTTATGTAGTTAACTAACTAACTAACTTACTAACCGCGCCACTCGATTAAGCAGCGAATACTCCGTACTCCGTACATTCGAAACAAAAAAAAATAAAAGAAAGAAATCTACGAGTGTTCATTGCCCATGTGAGGTCTAACCGATCTTTTATGCCAAGGAAATGGATGCGAAGAATTGTATGTTACAGAATATATAGAGCAACAAAGAGTATACAGACCTACTCTACTTGAAGGCATTGAAGACGGGCTTCGGTTTCAATGATCTGAAAATCACAAGTTAGCAACACATGGGCATATACAGCAAATGGTTTCTTACCTCAAGGGCCTGCTTCACTTCCAATACCCTCCTAACGTCTGCTAACCAATCCTTACTCAATATCTTTGACCACCCTTGTAACGAGTTCATCTCACGAGCCGCCTCATCAAATCTGCCAGCTTCCAGTAGCGCTTCAGTTCGAGTAAGGACACTCTCGACGTCATCTCCATCATCAGAGCCCTGTTTCGGGAACATAACCTTGCTCATCATGTAGCTGGCAGCGTGACTGGCAATGCCTGCATTTTCAGGTAGGAGACTGGCTTTGCGAACCTCGGTAGCTAAGCGTCTAAACCTATCGACGACCTGAGCCGAAGACGGAATACCTCGTTGATAGGCAGCAGCATTGATAGATGAAATGGCAGCATCCACGATGGGGTCTTCCGATGCAAGTTCCTTGACAGCAACGAGCTCGTTAATGAATGGCCTTGGGACCTCAGAGCTTTCAAGGGCACTGCGAACGGCATCAACTGCAACTTGGAGTTGTTGTGTCCTCAAATTCGTGTCCACAACGGTGTTCCATTCTGCCGTGAGATTTTCTAGCTCCTCAACTCCTGTTGTTAACTCGGAAAGTCTGCTGAGGCGCCCTTCCCGCTCATTTTCGACAAGAACTCTGATATCATTGAGAAATTTGCGATTTAGCTCAATAGCTTGCTCAACAAGTTCATTTCGCAATCGTTGCTCAGCGACATCATTTACTCTTTGAAGTTCGGTTTTAATTTTATCCTGGTAGGCAGCGGCCAGTCTCTCACGCTCCGTTTCGTACTCTTCGCGGAACTGCGCAGCATCATCAGACCGCACTTCGTCAATTCGTCGAATAAGCTCATTGGCTTTAACTTCCATTTCCGCACGAGCGCTATCAATCTCTTCTTGAGCAAGTTTTTGGGCATCTTGCTTAATTGCAAGGATATGGTCACCGAGCTTTTGGAAGTCTTCTTTCGATTTGGATAGAATAGTTGTAAATCGCGAAGACGACTCATCTGCATTTATAACAGCGATGAGGCTATTGACGATCCTCATGAGTTCCTGAACGGCAGGCTCTTCAGCACCGGCTATAGCTACAGGATCAACCATAGTTGGAGTAGATATGACTGGAGTCATGGGCTGTTCCAAAGCTGTTTTTTTACCATCTCCGCTCTTAGCTTCAGTTGCTAGTGTGGGTTTCTCCTTTGTAGCCGATGTAGGACTGTTCTTAGGCTCAAGCTGTTCAGCAGCCGGTGCCTTGGCCGCTTCTTTCGCTTTCTCAGATCCCACAGCGCTCATATGCCTGCCATTCCGAGTCACATCGCTTCCTTGAACCGATTCTTTCTCCGGCCCAGCCACCTTCCAGGAGAGCCCACTTTTACCGGGAATCGTTACATTTTGGCCTTCATGCCGTGGCTCAATAGTGCGCGTGGTAATTTGTCGGGTGGCATTAGGGAAGCGGCGACGGAAATCCTGTTCCTCAACATATAAAACAGCCTCCTCTCCGTAGGGAATGTACTCGGTAAAGAAATCATGGAAGTTGTCTGATTTTAGAGATAACCAGATTCCTCCAGCATACGCCAGGCCAGTAGTAAGAATTAGATAAGTAAGAAACCGGCGTAGCCCTCCCTTCGTCTTGGACGGAGGAGGAGGAGGTGGTGGTGGAGTGTTTGTCTCGGACGGAGGTTTAGACAGCGTTGCAGCTCCATCCACGGAGGAGCCAGGTGACGTTTGGGCAGGGTAGGGAGGTGGAGGTCGAGGTACACCTTCAGGTGGAATAGTAGACTTTGAAGATGGCGATGGGGGAGATCGGACGTCGGGGTCGTTTGCAAGGATAGCACTGGTGCTAAATGTGTTGCGTCCATTGACTTGGATATTGGGTGCGGCAATGCATCTCGGGGCAACAACAGAGCTTCTATGATTCGAGAAGTATCTCTGCATGCAAAAAATTATCAGCAGATGACACAGCGAGGTCTTGTGTTTGGGGAGAATCCGTACCTTGCCAACCACTCCTCGCTTTACCCGAGAGGTTAACTGGCATTGACGCCCAGCGACGGGGGAAAATAGCTGGCGGGAGGGTGCAATTGAAGAGCGTAGCATGGCGCGGCACTTTGCCTACAAGAGGCTTGTCAATTGATGCTGGATTGTCGGAGTTACTGTGGGAGTGAGTTACAATATTCGGTGATCTGAGGCGGATGATTTCCTGCTTACGGAACTTCAACCCACGAAAATTTAGCTCAATACAACAATACAACACGACAGCCAAGGTGTGGTTCAAGTTTATCACATGTAGCATACCACCATGAATTTGAACCTTGACTGCTCTTTCGTGGTTTATTCAGATACTACGTCTGTATTTCGGGGGGGGTTAATTTTAATTTACCCACGCCTTGGCTGTATGTCTCTCTACCTCGACTCTATTATTATAGATATGCTAAGACCGAGTAACCACACGACAAACTACTACGGAGTAGCCCCATGCCCAAATCTGACAACGATAACTTCTGGAGAAGCTTTAAAGGGTAGGAAATTACATTCATAAGAAATAGGAAAATGAACATTGGACCAGTAAGTCCCCAAGATAACACCGGAGTACAAAAAGGAAAAGTACAGGCCTGAAGAAAGACGCCAGTCAGACACAGGTCTAAAGGTAGCGCGCATAATGCTGGATGTTCTTGCGCGAACCGGATAGATTGCTTAAGGGGGGTATTAAGTGAGAGGATAGTTAAAAACACCAAGCGCACGGTATGTAGTCACCGCGTGGTGTCCCGGTAGGGTAAATGGGGGATGGGGGGTGTCGACTGTCAAAATACGGTCATCCAATCCTAAGATTGCAGTATCTTCCGAGAGAAACACGCCAGAATGACCAAATTGTCATCGATCAAAAAAACCATTTCAATTTAGGTAGACACAGTAGATGGAGTGGTAGGGAAATGTGATGGCGATCAAGTGTCCACTCAGCAATTGCATCCTCCCGCTTGAGCGGTAGCAGCTTCAGGCCGCAAGTCAACCCCTGGGCGAGGATTAGATCGAAGATTCCGTGGACCAGCTTGATCTAGCGGCAGCTTCTTAGCGATTGCAGTAAATAGCTCCCTGACGTTCGTTGATGTTTTGGCAGATGTTTCAAAAAACAGTAAGCCTGCTTCGTGCGCGTACGCCTCCGCATCGACCGTCTGAACTGCTCTCTTGTCGGGACTGTCTGTTACCAGGTCTAGTTTGTTTCCAGCTAAGGCAATGATGATGTTTTCGTTAGCTTGTCGCTGTAGCTCCTTTACCCATGACTTTGCTTTATCGAGAGATGACTGAAGAGGAGGGTCAGTTGGTTTGAAAGAAGTAAGTTTGGACCTGCAAAAGGGGCACGGACAGCCTGAGTTATGTCATAGACAACAACGGCACAGTTGGCATTCCGATAATACATTGGAGCCAAGGACTTATATCTTTCCTGGCCAGCAGTATCCCATATCTCGAATTTCACAGTAGTATTTTCGTCGAGGGAGATAGTCTGGGTCAAGAATGCGGCCCCGATAGTAGATTCGCGGTAGTCGTCGAATTGATCCTATCAGGTGGGGTTAACAAACAAACCGAATTTCTTCATTAATTTTCCTAGGAGACCGAGGAGCACAAAATTTATCGCTGAAAGAACCTACCTTCACAAAGCGCAAGACAAGGGAACTCTGGTAGGCAGCAGTCAGTAGGGGAGCTCGCTTGACGGGCGGCAAAGGGGAATCAGCAGTACCTTTCCAACAGCGGATTCTCCTATTAGGCACGATAATATCAGTCCAACTAGTTCTATATAGCTAGTTAAGCATACGGAAATGCAAACCTAGCAGCACCAGCTTGAACTGGGCGAATCTGGCACCGGGCCGGCTTCCAACAGACGCTCTAGCGGCCATCGTGGGCAACGATACTCAAAGGCAGCGATGTGACAAACAATCAGGTTTCGGTGCTGCAGATAGCAAAAGGAAGAAGTAGCAACAGTTATCTTGGAGGCAGGCTGGTGTAGAGGAGCAAACGGGGATGGGTTGGCGTTTGATCCGTTGCAGGTTGTGGATGACGAACCAGAGGAGGAGCAGCTTCCGCTTCAGCCACAACCCGCTTGTGGGCACACCCCAGCAGCTTACGGGCACGCGCTACCTTGCGGTGAAGGGAAAGGCTGAGCAAAAGGTAGTGGCTTTAAGAAAGTAAACCCCTAGCTGTATTGCCAGCACAACTTCTCTATCAACAAGCCAACTGGACGCCTTCTCGTCCCCCATAGCTACCCACCCACATCGCTCTCTGGAGACCAAGGTGTCATTCGCAGGACTTGAACTGATCTGCGTCCTTGTACACGCCTTCCTAGTCTCCTTATATTTCCTTGGGGGTCCTGTTGCAATGGCACCCAGCCTCCCCTATCGTGACATCAATTTGCTTGTTTCTCCTCTCCACTATGCATTCAGATCAGCTTCTTCGACATCCGCCCCTACCCTAGTCGTTGATAGGCCGTCGGGCGACTTACGCTTAGACAATGTCTCTGTTCAGGGAGCAAAGCGAGTGTCTAGTATTGCTGGAATTTTGGGAATCATCAATCTGAAATTAGGTACTTTTCGCTCCTCGTAGCTAAAGACCCCGACTAAACTTTCCCAGACAAGTACATCATCATTATCACCAAAGCTCGTCCAATGGGAAGGCTACGGGGGCACATGATCTACAATGTTGTTTCTTCAGAATTCCTACCAGTTCGCGAACGACCGCTACACGATCCCGATGAAGACACTTACCTCTCCCTACTCAAACAATTCCTCCAAAATAGCCCGATATATTTCTCGTACTCTTTGGACATTACAAATAGCTTCCAACGTCAATCACAGAGTGATCCATCCGCGCCATTGTGGAAACGTGCTGACGACAGGTTTTTTTGGAATCGTTTCATTCAGACTGATCTGATAGATTTCCGGTCGGGGCTGACAGACGGCACCGGCATTCGTTATGGTCAACTCTCTGATGTCGATCCGTATATATTGCCCGTCATGTACGGCATGCTACGGATAACGCCCACTCAGGTCAAATCGACGCCTTTTACATTCGCATTGATAACCCGGCGCTCCAGGCACCGAGGAGGGACCAGGTATTTTTCCCGTGGGATTGATGAACGAGGTCACGTATCAAATTTTAATGAAACCGAACAAATTCTCATCTTGAATGACTCAAGCGGCGGATTTCCCGGGTTTTCTGGCGGAAATAGCATTGAAAACGGGAAAGCTGGTGGTACCAATTCCAAAGACCTGCAGGTCCTATCATTTGTCCAGACCCGTGGGAGTGTACCAGTGTACTGGTCGGAGGTAAACAATTTATTTTATGTTCCTCGGCTGCAAATCCGTGGAGTTGATACGGCTATTCCAGCGGCTCGCAATCACTTCTTGGAGCAGGTTCACATTTACGGGGAAAATTATCTTGTCAATCTAGTGAACCATAAAGGCCGAGAAGATAAAGTTAAGAGTGCTTATGAGCAATTGGTCCGCACCTTAGTCACATCCTCATCCGAAACAAGGGAAGAGGATTCTCTGACCACAGAGAAACTTCACACTGTTGAGTCATCCTCTCAAGCACAAGAACTGGATAAATTGCACTATGTGTATTTCGATTTTCACAACGAGACCAAAGGCCTTAAATGGCATCGAGCGGAACTTCTGCTAAACCAGCTAACGGATGGGCTGGTTAGAGGTCAATATTTTAGTGGTGTCGAGCCATTGGATGAGCCGTCCGGCCTTCTTGATGCTAGACTTTTGCAGTCTAGTGTCGTACGAACTAATTGTATGGACTGTTTGGATCGTACAAATGTCGTCCAGAGCATGTTAGGCCGCTGGACTGTGACGCGGCAGCTGGTTGACGCTGGTGTGTTGAAGTCGGGTGAATCCGCAAGTGACGATGTTGGGTTTGAGTCCATGTTCCGTAATGTCTGGGCAGATAATGCGGACGTGGTCTCCAAATCATATTCAGGAACAGGCGCTTTGAAGACCGATTTTACGCGTACTGGCCAAAGGACGAAAGCCGGCATTCTTCTCGATGGTAACAATTCGTTGACGAGGTATATTCGCAATAACTTCTACGACGGACCTAGACAAGATGCTTTTGACGTATTTCTAGGAACATATCTTCCTTCATCGTCATCAAGCAGCCGGCTTGTATTTGCTGACCGAAGGCCGATTATTATCCAGGCTATTCCTTATATTTTGGCAGCGAGCGCGTTTATGGTTCTCGTTGCTACTTTCAGCCGCAGGCTTCCTGATGCGGCGGCTTGGCCTATACGACTGTTTCTTATCATCTGGATGGTAGTAGGTGCTTGGTGCCTGCGCTTTATTTATACCCACGGCATGCTTTATGTAAGTTTTTACCGTCCTTTTCACGGTGCCTCAGGATCTGCTTGAAAGGAGCTAACCAGTGATGTCTTTCAGGTCAACTGGCCTAAACTGAACACACCTGCTGCTGCAACTGAGGGTTATCTAGATGCATTACATAGAGCGCACTCCGACAAAGTGGTTGGACGATTTGTGCCTGTTAGCCGCCATCAACGTGGCTTCAGTAACGTACGGCTTGGTCATATGGAGGAGGGCAAGAAAAGAATAGAATAGTATTGGAGATATGCTTTGTAAAACCTCGTTTGGTTCATTTTTATGTGTATCAATACATCTTCTCAGTTGCTTTTCCAAGGCAGCTTCGTGGAATGGGCTCAGTTTTATACCTGTATTTCTATAGGGGCCTTGATCGCATTCTTACATACCTTAGCATCACCATTATCTTAGATATTCTCGCCTATAAACATTGATTTAACTACTAGACTGGTTGCTATGGCCTCCCTTTGTTTGCTTGTGAGTGCGCGTGACCTTGCCAAGCACAGCTGTATTTTTGTGGATTTGAAGCTCAAGAACTCGAAATTTATATCCAGCTCCACTGTAAATCAGCCAGTTCTCAATTTCATTCTATCATTAGCTTCGCCAGGCCAAGTAACAGCACATACTTACATGGTAGACACAGTGCAACGATCATAGCCGCTATTACGACTTCGATGTTTGCATGGTGGAAGCCAAAGCTCTTCCGTGCAAGTAGCTATGTCCGATATCTCGCCAACGCCACTTCTACAATGGGGCGTACATACAATGTATGCCCTTCTATCACTCCTCAAGATGATGTTGAACATCTCTTGTTTTAGATCAGGGCTACATGAGCTGACCGTATTTTTTGGTTTTCTAGGATGCCATCGTAGCTTTGAATTCGTTGCAATCGAACTTCTCGATTGTCCAAGAGATCCAAAGGTCGGGCGGACGGATGAACAAACAAGCAATGGCTGAAATGGTAGATTGGTGTAAAAAAATTGGATATCAGGTGTGCGCTTCGCTGCAGCTCTGCTTTGGGCTACCTTCCCCTTGACGTGTTCCACTGATATGCCACCATGCGTACCCTCGCTATTATAGCCGTCAGATTTCAATAAATTGAATTTAATTCACATTGCTGGGACTAAAGGAAAAGGCTCGACTTGCGCTTTTATTTCATCTATTCTTTCCCAATATATATCCCCCAGCGACCTCTCCCGCTCAAAGCCAAAAATCAACAAGATTGGCCTCTACACCTCTCCCCACCTTCGATTTGTCCGCGAGCGGATACAGATTAACAATATTCCCCTTTCTGAAGAGCTGTTTGCTCAATATTTCTTTCAGATCTGGGATCGCTTGGAGGAGTATGCGTCTCAAAATGGAATAGACCCAGCTGATCCCTCCACAAAACCTATCTACTTCCGATACCTTACACTTATGGCATGGCATGTCTACTTGAACGAGGGAGTTGATGCTGCGATTATAGAGTGCGGTATTGGAGGGGAATACGATAGCACAAATATTCTGGATAAACCTATTGTTACAGGCATCACGAGCCTAGGAATTGATCATGTTGAGCTTTTAGGGGATACAATAGAAAAGATCGCCTGGCATAAAGCTGGAGTCATAAAGTCGGGGTCAATTACATATACGGCGCCTCAACCAGAAGCCGCCATGGACGTTTTAATCCAAAGAGGCGACGAAAAAGGAGTGAAGACTCAAGTTGCCGCCGGCCACCCTGAATTTCTACCCGGAAAACTTCAACTTGGCCTATCCGGTGACTTTCAATATAAAAATGCAGAATTGGCGGTTGCCATAAGCACGTCGTTTTTAAAGGCCCGGGGCATTCGAGATGTGCCATCGTATGCTAATCATGAACCTCTGACTCCACCCATTCTACATGGCTTGAAGACTGCTTATCTAGGCGGAAGGTGTGAAATTAAACAAGAGGAAAATGTTATATGGCATATTGACGGCGGTCATACGCCAGAAAGCATAGAAGCCACAGGTCTGTGGTTTTCATCACTGCCGTATACTAGGGACCATGACAAAACCCAAGTATTAATTTTTAACCAGCAAACCCGTGACAGCTCCACACTTGTCCACACGCTCCATGATATATTAGCTACCAGAAATTGTGTATTTACGCATGCTATATTCTGCACCAATGTCACATTCGAACGCGTTGGCTACCGCCCTGATCTCGTGAGCATAAACACCAACGCGGCAGCCGTCCAACAGTTGAGCGTACAAGAGAATTTGGCAAAAATATGGTCAAAACTGTCCCCGGATACAAAGGTTGTGGTGAAAAATACGGTTGAGGAAGCTGTCAAATATGTCCGGGATTTGCCCTGCTACCATGGTACTCACGACCAAGGCACCCGGAGCCGCATTTCGACGCTTGTGACAGGAAGCCTGCACCTTGTCGGTGGTCTCATTGAAGTACTGGAGGCCAAAGTCACTTAGGAATAGCGTCTCAAGGCTGGATGCCCGTCTAACTTCTAATCCTGCATACTCCAGACCCTGAATTTGTATACTCCGTACACATACATACACTTGTAACCACGGCCCAGCAATGATTTTTGCATTTAGACATTGGACTTAAACGACTCGTACAATGCAACTTTCTACTATTTGAACGAAATTAGGCCAAGCTTGGGTTCTCATCATTGTGTGTACTTGAGGAGACTTTTGTAGCTACATATTATAGTTGCATAGTTACATGTTAACTATACTGGACTATAATGAACCATGAACATTCCTTGGATGCACCACGATACACTGTATAGTGCCGTAGCATATCTAAAGAATCGAGATCATAGTGGTCGTAGAGGACTTAATGTTGCTACCGCATTTACATTTAACCGTCCTCCAAATCCTCCAAGCAAGCACTTGGTCGCGGGGTTACATGAACTAGTTAGTTAACTCTTCAGGTGGGGCCTGGAAAGTGATATAGGTGTTAAAGTCAATCTGGCTTGTTCGCCGCTGTCCCTTCCCACCAACATAGCTAGGAGCTCATGTCATAGTTAGCTGATGTTTTATTCTTACCCTGAAGCTACAGGAAATCTCGATATTCCCTTTTATTGCTACGGTGCTACCTCGAGCTCCCTGGGAACATCAGGTCGTAAAGCTCTGACATCTTACCGCGTTCGCCTCCCACCGTTCTCTATAACCTAGATCACCATCCATTCATAACTTCTTGGGCTTGAAGTGTTAACGAATTGAATGCGATGGACGGCTCTGCGAACACCAACGAGTCCCCCGATGTGCCGCAGCCTCCCCCTGCACCGGCCGATGCAAGTGATATGGAAGAGGGGAAACAACCTGCCAAGGGGAATACTGTATCAGAGGCGGCTGTTGGGTCTAGACTGACTGACAGTATGGCGCAAACCCTACTGGAAATGAACCCGGCATTGCGTGGTGAATTGGCGGGTTTGGATAAAGCGCAGGCCGCCGAAATCATGAGAACCATGGATGCGACGGAACTTCTTACTGGACTTTCCTTGACACAGAAGAATCAAAAGGATATGGCATCCTATAAGTTCTGGCAGACTCAGCCGGTTATCAGATTTGATGATAAGGGTGCCGTAGCTGATGGCGCCATTAAGAAAATCGACGTGGAACAAGTTCCAAAATCTCCGGATCCCTTACTTGACGGGTTTGAGTGGGTGACACTTGATTTGGACAACGAGGGCGAGCTGAAAGAATTCTATGAACTGCTATCAGACCATTATGTCGAGGATGGCAGTGCGATGTTCCGTTTCAACTACTCTCGGGACTTCTTAAACTGGTGAGTGAGTCCAATTCTTCCCTGTAGCAGGGCTGACGCGCAGTCCGCAGGGCACTTAAAGCCCCCGGATGGAAGAAAGAGTGGCACGTCGGCGTTAGGGCTTCTAAATCCCGCAAACTGGTAGCCACAATCTGTGGTGTCCCTGCCAATATTGTTGTGCGCGGCCAAACGCTCAAGGTCACGGAAATAAATTTCCTTTGCATTCACAAGAAGTTGCGATCAAAGAGACTTACCCCGGTTCTTATAAAAGAAATTACTCGTCGGTGCTATGTTGATGGTGTATTCCAGGCAATTTACACTGCTGGAATTATTCTGCCAACACCCGTCAGCTCGTGTCGGTATTATCACCGAGCCCTAGACTGGCTAAAGCTGTTTGAAGTTGGGTTCTCCGCGCTTCCTGCAGGATCAACGAAAGCGAGGCAGGTTACAAGAAACCATCTTCCAACCAAGACTGGAACGCCCGGCCTGCGACCCATGCAAAGTAAGGATATAGACTCAGTCCATGACCTTCTCAACCGCTATATGAAGCGATTCGACCTGGCGCAGTCGTTCAGTCGGGCAGAAATCGATCATTTATTCCTCCACAAGGATAACTCTGGAACAGAGCAGATCGTTTATGCATATGTTGTCGAAGAGGATGAAACGCATAAGATCACAGATTTTGTCTCCTTCTATTCACTAGAGTCAACGGTAATTCATAGTGAGAAACATAATACAATTCGGGCAGCATATATGTACTACTATGCCACAGAAGCGGCTTTTGCCGACCGGGAAAAAGGCCTGCGAGAAAGACTAGGGTTGATTGTAAATGACGCTCTGGTTCTTGCAAAGAAGGTATGTTTTTTAAATCGGACCACTGGCTCTATAACTGACAATGCTGGCCAAATAGGAGCATTTTGACGTATTTAACGCTTTGACTCTACATGACAACCCACTCTTCCTTGAGCAACTCAAATTTGGTCCAGGAGACGGACAACTCCACTACTACCTGTTCAACTATCGAACAGCCACCATTGCTGGGGGCGTGAATGAGAGAAATTTCCCTGATGAGAAAAAGCGAGGTGGTGTGGGCGTGGTTCTAGTTTGAGACCTTGAATGATCCTTGTCCGTTGTGCGTGGGCATATGACCCTGGTCTTGGAGTATGTACTACAACAGCAGCCGTGAAATTTCCTGCCGTCATGTTCCTTGCATGTTTGTGTTCTAATATTGTGGCACCATTATTTCAACCTTGTACTACTCCGTACTATTCATGTTAGCAGGCTGATTACTACTGCATAACTAGCCATGGACAAATTCCTTGTGTGTATACCAATACGAACAATGCATGCTTGTATCCATCCCTTCAGTCTATCGACGGCGTATGTATTACGGAGCATGTACTCCGCATACGCATGAGTTTAGGCAGTGTTGATTACATAATCAGCTGATGATGTCACGAGCCCAGACCACTTCTACCACAACGCACCGCGGAACCTTTAGTGTGCACCAAACCTACGGATCGACGCTGTTTTCCGAGGGTGGCCAGCTGGTGAATTTATAAATATACTCATTGCTGTATACCTGAGTGGCATAAATACCTCGAGTACTTCGTAAATATATGTCTACTGAAGCCTTCAGGGCATCTAAGTGCCTAGTTACATGTCCATCTTGCCGGAATGGGTACTGGTTCCTCAAAGACAGCGGTGAACAATGGCCCTTCTCCTGGTATGCTCTTGCATTCTAGTCATATCTGCCATACCTATCTTTCCGTTTCCATGAGAGACAAAATATCCCACTAACTCCGAGATGATTCCTCTAGGGGAGCTGAGCAAACTCCTTGCAAATCGATTTGCCGCAAAATGTTTCACGCCTCTTGAACTTACCCACTTCAAGGACAACTTTGACTCTCAGGCCCTCCATGAAAATGAGTTTTATTATTGGAACGAAGAAATTCTATCACGGTTTCTAGGCATACCTGATGGGGCGGGCGAAAAGGCGAGCCCAGATACAGATACTATACTGGATGCAGGCCCTGTTATTTTTCGCATGGTATCTTACTTGGGGGCATTTCCTTTTCAAAATACGATGGCGCCCAGTGTACTTACCTATGATGCCATTTTGAAAGTTGTCGTCTTACTAACTGAAAGATATGGTCGGGTGTTGAGAAGGGGGAAAGGAGACCGAGTTAAATTGCTGTTTGGGAGTTTGGCAGATGTAGGTCGTGTAGGAGCGAAATCGTTCGAAGATGCACAGAATTATAAAGACAATGGGTTGGTGAATGGGGACTTGAATAATACTCACAAGCATACTCCTGGCTTCGACATTGATGCCCCTGCGAATGATGAAGATGAGGACGACAACGACGATGATGATGATGATGACCTAGCATTAACCGCACTCGAATCCCTGGATGCAACTGAAGTGTTCAAATATGACCAACGCATTAATCGGAATGTATATAAGGCTCGGATTTCTGTGGGCACATTCCGCAGATTGCTTGCTCTGTTGCTGGTAATAGCACCTCTCCATCCGCTAGGAACAACGGCCTGTCTCATCACAAATCATAATGGTGAATCAATTGATACTCTCCAGGCACAGATAGACAGCATTCTCGCTGCGTTTGGCGATAATGTTAATGAGAACGGTATCAGTTATCGCACCTTCTCCGACATTATCACGAAATCTCTCCCATACCTCTTTGATCCTCTTACACCACTTTTTGAACACTTTCTATTCAGCAAAAATTTAGACCTTTCAAGAAAGAAGAAACCTACCCACACAGACGAAAACCAAGAGCAGCCTTCCTCGTCTTCACCTCTATATCCCCCCAATATGGAGCCTATCTTTCTTCCGGGCAATTTCGAACCGAGTATTATGAATCTTACGTTGCTTTCTCACATATCCTTTTTTCTTTCCACATCCTCACCAATTCCAAATCTCTTTCGCAATGCCACCCGTCTTCACCCTGTTTTTTCTTCCATTTTTCATGGTGAATCTCTCACGGCTTTTTCGCACCATGTTCTCACCTGGCAGGCCCCAAGCCTTCTAATTGTTAAAGGAGAAATAAGATCGTCAAATAACGATACTGTATTGCTCGGAGCCTATCTACCAGAACCTTGGAAGCAGTCAACACGTACGCCATCACGCCGCATATCTGGCTCTTCAGACGCCTGCGTATTTCCATGCCTTTTTCAACTTTTACCTACCCACACAGTTCTCCAAGCAAACCCCTTCTTTAAATCTCTCAAATCAAATATGCCAGTGGTATCATTCTCCACAAATTCCGGCATCGCACTAGGCTGCGTGATTCCCCCTACCTCACGTACATCACTAAATAATGAACTCCAACCTCGACCCTCCGGTGGAGGAAGTTTGATCATCGATCCTGCTCTCGAGAATGCAAAGTTCATTGTTTCTGAAGGCGTCAACAGGGACGGGGTATTTCTCTCTCCCAGCTATTCACATCCGTCCCCCTCTTCTCTATCCACCTCTGCAGCGTCTACCACGACGTGCATTTCTATCCACTCTATGGAAGTGTGGGGAATAGTGCCTTCGCAAGCAGATATATCCGCGGATTTGGACCCTGAAGCTTCAAAGGATGCTGTAGCCATGCAGCGAGCAATGTGGAATTTCGAGGCCAAAGAGGCAGAAAGAAGGCGCACAATACACTTGAAGGTTGGAGGGGGTGATAGTGAAGCGCAAAGCGGAAGAGCGCTGTTGGAAATGGCCGGGATCATTGGTGATGGCCACTACCACAGGCCACGAAAACAATAGATATAAACAGCTTACTTGAGGAATTTCACGGGTTTGTGGGTGGATATGATTCTGGATCTTGACGTAGGCGTTATTCCTGATTTTCTGTGATTATGCCAGATATTTGAGCCCTTATTAGGTAGGTAGATTTTGGAGAGGGGTTTTTTTACTAGGGTAAATAGGGCCTAGCCGGGTAGCTATGGATCAAAAAATTTTTGGTCATTCTAAATTTCATTGAATTTGTTGGAAATATGGTACAGTAAGAGCCTCCCTGATTAACAAGCCCTAGTGTTTCAGAGGTACCAACCCATTAGGAGGCTCGTAATAGTCCAGTATTTCATCTTCGCTCTCGTCAAAAACGGAGCTATCCCGCATTCTCTCATCTTCCGTGTTATCCTTGGCCATTCCGCCGCCTTCACTCTTACCTCTGCCTCTACATGCTGCCCCCGCTCGCCCTTTTGTATCTACAGCATCGTCGTCTTCAGTGCCGCTTTTGGTGAGCTTTTCACGCGGTAGTTTCATAGCAAGATAGCGAATAGGGGCTCGTGACATTCGGTCCATCACGCTGTTCATGTATCGTTGAACTTCTGGTAGAGGCTTAACGACTCGGGCAAGAGGTTCAAGGGTACGTGGGTTATTTGAGAGTATGCGCATTGTAATGGGCTGGTAATACTCCTTGTGCGGTGAGTTTTCATGTCTGTCCGTATGTGCCTGCGATGCGTCCTCGGTAGAGTTTTCAGTAGGTTCCATTTTCAGTGAAGTTTCTTGGAGAGCCGAGGGACGAGATGTTATATTAGAAGCAGTAGAGGCAGGAGCAGTCTTGGGCTTTTTTGTTTTTGTCTTCGCGGTAGTCGGCGGTATAGAATCCAGTGGCAATCCAGAAGCGTTTGCTTTTTTGATGACAAGAAAAGATGCAATCACTTGCGTGCCCGGTGGTATATAATCAATAATCATATTCTCAGGCAGGAGATATCTATCGCCGGGGGCGCTTAATCCAGGTCCAGGAGGGGTAACAAACTCAAAGACAACTGCTTTCACATCTGATTTTGTGGGCTGAAGGTATGGTCTGGGTTGGTGGACGTAAGAGTTAGGTGGGATTGGGGGCTGGAATTTGGATCGAATCGGCGGAGTGGAAATGGGTTGGGGCGGCAGTTGAGGCTGTGAAGGAGCAGAACGTTGAGGTTGGGAGTGAAAGGTAAATGGTTTTGGGGAAGGTTCTGCTGTATGGTGGGGAGTAGGTTGCTTTATTGAATGTTGTGGGGTGAATGCCGCATTGGCCTGTGAGGTATAAGTGTGGTTTTCTCGCTGGCTATGAAGCTGTCCCTGGCGATTCTTGCCTGCAATTATTGCATTGAGTTCATCGATGTGAGCCTGAAAGGCACGCAATTGCTCTTGACTCGCCTCGCTAGATGCTACCACGCGCATTAGAGCTTTTAATTCTGGGTCAATAGCCGCCCTCGTAGCTAGCATCTGTATAACCGGATCTGGATTGCTTTTGGGAGCTTGTGCAGAGGTATCTGGGGGTCGTAGTGGTGTGGAAGTTGACGGTTCACCATGCGAGGTGGGCGGCCGTGAAGAAGGTTGTGTTGGGGGGCCGGATGGTGTTGCCGACGGAGTCGTTTGCTGTCCTTGTCCACAATTCGCCTGCAGTGGTGGCAGGGGATGCTGAGACGGAGTAGCGGGTGTGTTCAGAGGGGTAGTTGAGGGATGCAGTGAGTTTGGAAGAGATGGCCGGGCTTGAGGAATTATCGGTTGGCGAGGTTGATATTGGTGGAAGTTGCTGGTGCCATTCGGCGCGGTATATTGGACATGAATCAAAGGTTTTTGAGGCAACGGGGCAGGACGATGCACCTGGGGGTGTGATTGCGGATTGCGCACAGTATAGAGCATGACATCGAAGCGATGAGGTTCAATTATGATCGTACACGGGCCCAACTTCGTCATTGATTCCTTCGGTGGGTTCGGGGGAGGCGGCTGGCCCTTTTTTCTTGAAGGCTTCGTCCAGTATTTCTCGAAAAGGCAATTGTGAAGCCATCTCGCCTGCGATCGATGTAGGGCAGCAGCAACGACGGCACTAGGGAGGGAACATACCTGATCAGGGCATGGAAACAAAAGGTAACGGTTATACGAGGAAGCTCACCTTTCTGCAAAGGACTGATAGTCGTTCAAGGACAGACCCGCTGGCTGTGGCTTATCTAAAGTTGGTAATAGAAACGCATCATTTATCTTCACCGGAAGAGTTTCCAATGGCTCTGACGTGCTCGGAGCTCGGGCAGGTGTCGCTGCTTTGGATTTTGCGGGTGTCGCATTGTTTCGTGTCTGGGGAGCAGCCTCGGACTTGCGCTTCTTGACCGCCGTCGAAGCTCGTGCGGAAAATCTCCGCTTCTCGACCATATTGACGCGTAGCTCGAGCCTGAGCCATCATAAGCTGTGATCGCGATCGCCGAAGTTTTTGATGTCGAAGACAAGAAGCTCGGCAGCCGCCTTGCCAAACCTGGTTAGACCGGCATTTCTATCAATGTAATATTACGCCGCGTTACCTACCACCTTATCGATAGAGGAATATTGTTATTCCTCCCGAACCGCGGCTGGACCAGTGGACGCATCTCCTGATTAGGCACACGGTCATCAAAAAGACGTTCAAGTTTCCACGCGCAGCCCAGCACAAAAGGTCAAAATCCATAGGTGCCTATTCATCTACCCATCGGCAGATTTCTTTGTATTTGCTCTTACTCACTTGTGTTATTTAGAGCTCGTTGCTATGGTAGAATTGGCCCCAATATTCAAGAAGGCCTACTGGTTCCTTGCATTCTGCGGCCTGGTCTATGTACTAGCCGTGTTTTCATTGACATATCCTGATGTTCAGCGAGCGTTGGTAGTGCTTATTCCATTTGGCTTTGTGACTACTGACCACGTATAGCGTACTTTATTCTAATGGAATTAATCCATCAAAATTCTACGACGTCAACGATGTTGAGAGTTTCGGATTTCTGAGTATTCTTAGTCTCTTATATCTTTATTGGTACCTTCATTGTCCTGACCAGATAAACAGAATCTCAGGTACAGCCGTTCAACGTTGTAACGCCTGACAATGCCACTTTGTATGCATGGCATGTCTTACCGCTCCATCTATACAAAGAGCACGAGAGTGAGCTGCTTGTCGGTGGGACTGGCGGTGTAGCCGAAGACTTTACCCGTACTGCTTCCTTTAAGCTCCTTGCGAATGATCCCAATGCAAGGGTCATTGTTAATCGTATGAATCCCTTGAAGCTTTCAGAAACCTCCCGCCTAACGAGTTTACAGTGCATGGAAACGCGGCAAATCTGGGCTCTGGCTATCGTCCTGGAGTCTATCGTAATTTTGTAGCGGCATCCACTCCCTCCAACCCCGTGCATGTTATCGCCTTTGACTATAGGGGGTTTGGAATATCCACAGGCACTCCCACTGAGGAAGGGTTGATTACTGATGCCTTATCCGTGGTCCGCTATCTAAACTCCCCACCCCTGTCGATACCTCTATCAAGGATTGCCGTTACTGGACAGAGTCTAGGCACAGCTGTTGCCGCGGGAGTGGCCGAGCGGCTTACTTTTGACGGTGCACCCTCTACTGAGACTCTAGCTGGGATTCTGCTCATCGCCCCATTCTCCAACATTGGCCAACTCCTAGAATCTTATTGCTTTATGGGAGTTCTTCCCCCACTTCTCTCACCATTACTGGGGTATCCTCAGTTCAAGCGTTATGTCCTAAATCACATTGTCGATTCGTGGGATACGGCGGCGCGCCTAGCTAGATTAACGGGCGTATCACCTAGATCAGATTCTGATGCGAAGCAGAATAATAAGAATATAAAAATTTCAATCTTACATGCTCACAATGACCCCGATATCCCCTGGCGCGAAGGTAAGCAGGCGTGGGAGGCTGCTATAGGAAGGGATAAAGCTAGACAATTAGGTATCATGTTGCAAGATTTACAGTCCAGTGACAATATAACGGAAGTTAAGATTTGGGAGAGGAGAGTTGGCTCTGGAACTAAGAGGGTCAAATGGGAAAAAGTGAAATATGGAGGTATGTTCTATTTGATATTTTCGCGTCCGGTTCGTATAGTATTAACTGAATATATCATAACAATTCTTTTGAGTAGGACACAACGAAATTGGAAATATGGGCCCAGCAGCCGTGGCTGTAATGGACCTTTTTGAAACGGTATGAATGACACTCTTGAAGTGTCTTGAATACACCTCTGTTGTAATTTTGGGCCTGTGTCATCAGTGGTACATAATTGCAATTTAGGTAAAAGATCTCAGCTTTTGGCATAATATATCTTAATTAAACACATGAAGAATTAATGTTTCATAATTGGAGAGTGTTCCGCAGCCAAAAAAAACACCCAAACGCCCCCTTTGCAGCAAACATCATAGACAATAGAAAATGAGGTCTGGGAGGGTTTTAATGGCAGGTCTATAGTAAATTCATGATTAGCTAAGAGGGAACCCAGAGCACAAATACACTGGGAGAGATCAAGTTGCAAGTGAAAATCAATAGTACCCTCTAGACGTCGCTGCATTATTTCACGGTCCTCGTTTTTGTCACCCAAAAGCGTTATGTGGTAGAATACATTGAATAAAGAGAAATATAAGGTGTATAGGCTTTTCAAGGTGCCTAGAAGAAATACCCACCATCATATGTAAGAAATTGTAGAACCTTTAAACACCGGGAGCCCGGACTGAGACTCAACACATGGGTAGGTCGCAGAAAAGTAACCATAACAAGTGTTCGCTTAATTTATTGGATAGAAAACGGAACAAGGTAGTATTATTTCTTGTGTCTGGAAGCCTGGGCCTTTTCATACTCGGCAATAAGTTGTTTCCTGCGAGTCACATAGTTATCAGCTTTCATGCTCCGTTTCTATCACCATAGGCATGGACTTACTGTAAATGGCCAGGGGCTTTTTCGTAATGACTGAACTCCATGGTATACTCTCCCTTACCCTGCGTAGCAGCTCGGAGATGAGTACTGAAACCGAACATAGCATTCAAGCTACAGTCGGCATAAATGGTGAATTCGTCCACACCAGTTTCCGTATCATTAATAATGGCATTACGCTTGTTCAACAACGAGATAACATCACCCTGGAATTCAGACGGTGCAGTGATAACGGTCTTCATCAGTGGCTCAAGTATCTGAGGTTGGCTGTCAACGAATGCCTTTCTGAACGCTTGTTGGGTAGCATTCTTAAAAGACATTTCAGACGAATCAGTCATGTGGGTAGCACCATCATTGATAACCATCCTAGTACCAAGGACTTTGTGGCCAATGAGTGGCCCCTTATCACAGGCCATTATAAAGCCCTTCTCACAAGCGAACAAGAATTTCTCCGAAATGCTGCCACCGGTAATTTGTTCCTCAAATTTGTTTCCTTCCAGATTGCCAGTGGGTTCCATCCATCCCACGACACGAGCAAATTCACCAGGTCCACCTGTTTGTTTCTTAAGTATGTGATCAAACCCGACACGGTTACCAATGGTTTCACGGTAGGCAACTTGGGGCTTTCCAGTTTCGCAGTCAACTTTATATTCGCGTCGCATACGTTCAACGTAGATATCTAAATGCAATTCGCCCATTCCAGAGATGATTGTTTCCTCGCTCTCCACGTCGAAATGAACACGGAATGTGGGATCCTCGCGCTGGAATCTGTTGATAGCCTTAGAGAAATTAGGAAGGTCCTTGGAGTTTTTGGGTTTTATGGAAAGCGAAATAACAGGCTCTGGAACAAACATAGACGACATGGTATATTTCAATTTACCATCCGTGAATGTATCCCCTGAGGCGCAGTCTACACCAAACACAGCGCAAATTTCACCGGCGCCAATCTCGGACACTTCCTCCATCTCATTTGAATGCATTCGAACGATGCGAGGAACCTTTATCTTTTTGTTGTTTCGAGCGTTGAACACGTTGGACCCTTTGCGGAGGGTTCCCTGGTAGACACGAATGTAGGTGAGCTGACCAAAATTACTTTCCTCTAATTTGAATGCCAGGCCAACGAATGGCAGGGAGTTATAGGGAACGAGTTTAACCGAAGCTTCTTCACGTTTTTGGTCAAGGGCGAGATTCTCAACCTCAGCAGGATTTGGTAAGTAGTCACAGACACCATCAAGCATTGGTTGCACCCCCTGGTCTGCTAAGGCAGATCCCATGAAGACAGGTGTGAACTTAAGGTTTATCGTTGCTCGTCGAATTGCACCTTTGATCTGCTCAGCTGTGGGTTCCCTTTCTTCCAAGAAGATCTCTGCCATTTCATCGTCTACGTCGGCCAGGGTTTCGATCAACATTTTCCTCCTCTTCTCGGCGACACTGCGCACTTCAGCAGGAATTTCATCTTTCTCAACGACGGTTTCTCCTCTTGGACCTTCACAATATATTGCTTTCATTCGAATAATATCTACAACCCCCTTAAAATCGTCTTCAAGACCAATAGGCACTTGAACTGCTGCAGCATGCATTTTTAGCTTTTGATTGATTTGGTCAATCGCCTTGAAGGGATTCGATCCCATTCTGTCCATTTTGTTGATAAAAGTAATTCTGGGTACGTTGTATCGTCTCATCTGTCGGTCCACCGTAATAGTCTGAGACTGGACACCAGACACAGCGCACAGAATTAAGACAGCACCATCTAAAACACGCAGCGCTCTCTCGACTTCAATGGTAAAGTCGATATGCCCCGGGGTATCGATTAAATTGATATGGTATGTTTCCTCTTGCCCGTTTTCTTTCTTGATCCAATCACAAAACGTTGCTGCGGATTGGATGGTGATGCCCTTCTCACGCTCAAGGTCCATGGAGTCCATCTTTGCCCCAACGGCGTCACGTCCCCGAACCTCATGTATTGCTTGGATGCGACCGGTATAGAAAAGAACTCGTTCTGTTGATGTAGTTTTACCACTGTCTATATGAGCCTGGAAAAAAAGTCTCAGCTCTGACGGCGTTGATAATCAAAACCTTCATATAGAAAGATTCACGCACCGCTATACCGATATTCCGCATTTTGGATATTCTGGCCGCTTCCACTGGGTCCATGTTTTCGATGATCGACTCTTGCGATAGCATTTCCGGCTCGGCGGCGGCCTGCTCAAAACTGAAATTGACAAAATTTAGCACCTGGACGTGAGCAAGCAACTTTTGAGCGAAATAAAAAACACTTACACTGCAGCGGCGGCAGACGCACTTCTTGTCGGTACCCATCTTCTGCAGAGCGGTAATCGGGATGCCGGTGTACATCGCATTTGACCGGCCGAAAAAGGCGTTTGGGTGCAAAGGAAACGTCCAAAATGGCGGCAAGCGCTTTGCCGCAGAGGAGCGGGAGGGCGAATACTTGCCCGCATTAGAGTATGGGCCCTCATATTCAGTGATTATTCTCGTCAAACCCTACAGGACCCCAAACCACCTCTTCGTCGGTAGAGAGCCGTTTTAAACAAATATTTTTTAGGCTTTACCATGGCCCCAAGTCGCCGACTAGTACAGAGTAGCTAGAAGTCTTGGCACGGGCCCCGGGCAGTTAGTAGTATTACCTAATCTTTAGACTGGATCAACTTTGGACCGAGCCAACTAGACGCATTTCGACATTCAGGAGAATGATGGGGCTAAAATTTGCTCTACTGACAGCAGGTGTTCATGGTTGTCCTTTGAAATAAGTATACCATCTCCGCTGTCAAAACTTTTCACTCGCTAGATATAATAATCACGGTATGAGGCGGCCAGGAAGCCGTCTCATTTTATGACTCGTTCGCGTGTACCAGCTCTACTCACTGGTTGGTGATCAGAACGTGTGTGGAACAAACAGAGACTAATATTCCTAATAAGGTGGGCCACCTTTCAAGCCGAGTGGCAGGCCCGATAGAAAGGTGCCAATACCAAGAAAAAGTGAGTATCGACTACTTCGTCCCCAATGGCTCAACACAGCTCGAAAGCTCAGCATTACTATGTCTTACCTACATAATTAGAAAGCTATTTTAGGTAATATGAAACCGCGACTTTCTGGTCTTTCTTCTGATTTTTACCGTTTTCCACACCTCTATCACTGCTCCAATGCATTCCATGCAAGTACAAAAATGTTTTCTTCTGGGACATACAAATCTGTGAGCTTGCTCATACAAAGAAGCGACGGAAATGGTGAGAATTTACTGAAATATTTTCTGGCTATACTCTTCATATTTTCAGCGTAGTGGTTTCCGCTAGCGAGGAAGACTTTTATCGTTACACCACCAAGCGCTGGCTGTAAGTCAATCAGACCTTTTGGTGGTTTTGGTATATCTTATTGGAAAAGGGCAAATGAAGCATTTGAAGCTGCTCAAAGATACCGAAAATTCAACATTCAGAGGCTTGTTGATGTTGCGGCTCGCTCAGATCGTACGAAGCTGAAGAAGTGTCAGTACGATGCCTAAATGATATGCAAATATGCCCTGCTAAAACCACCCATCAGGCGTAAGTGTTATGAAATACAGAGAGGGCCAATTCAATAAAACATTTCTTATTATATTTGACAATGGGTCTGAAGTTGTCGCGAAACTACCAAATCCAAATTCGGGCCCGAAAGTGCTCACAATTGCTAGTGAGGTCGCAACTATGGACTACGTATGCTCTTCTTCCGGTATTTTATTCCGCCTGACCTCTTGTACTGATATCTTCAGGCTCGAGATATTTTAGGGCTGAGAGTTCCTCGGGTGTTGGACTGGAGCTCTGACCCAAATAACCAAGTTGGATGTGAATATATAATCATGGAAAAGGTCGAAGGAACAGCCCTTGGTGATGTTTGGTACAACCTTTCCGACAAATCCAAACAGAAAATTATTCGACAAGTTGTGGATATAGAAGCGAAGTTCGCCGCTTTTTCCTTTCCTAGTCATGGCTGCCTTTACTACACACGGGATCTTCCAGCAAAATATCACTATAACAATCAATTCTCTCTCCCGGGTGATGATTCGAAGAGATTTTGCATTGGTCCAGTGGTGGATCGACAACTTTGGTCGGATGGCCGTTCAGAGATGAAGCTAGGACGTGGGCCTTGTAGGTAACATCACCTCTAAAATTTGGTGATTCTTTTCTAATTTACTAAGGGCGTCGCTTATCCGATTTTGCATTGGCAATGGGGGAGAATGAGCGGGCGTGGACTGAAAAGTACGTTACGCCCCGAATGAACTACTTCAGAAGCTACACGGACCAGGAAACCCCCCAGGAATATATCAAGCTTATTGAGAAATATATGCGGGTTGCCGCCCAATTGATAAGAACCGAAGCCGACACTGCCAATCTCTTACAGCCAATACTTTGGCACTGTGATCTTCATCTCAACAATATTTACATCGATGTTGATATGGAGAATATTTCTGGAATTATTGATTGGCAAGGCTCAAGCATTGCTCCCTTGTGTATACAAGCGAAATTCCCTCGAATGATTGAGCACCCTAGTCCGGTGCCGCTTGGAGGGATGATGCCCGAAAAGCCTGATGATGACGGGTCACTATCCAAAGCTGAATACCTGAGGTTGTTTAAATTATATAAGAGCGCCTTTGCTCATAAATATTACGAAGTCACAACAGCGACAAGAAACCCTAGCCATTACGCTGCGATTTGCCATAATCAAAGCGGCAAGCTCCCTATAATTGAACCACTTATGGTAATAGCTGGGTGTTGGTCCGCAAGGGAGGTTTTCAGATTCAGGGCGTCCCTAATGAACGTCGTGGATCGATGGGGAGAACTATATCCTAGCATTAATTGCCCAATATCTTTCACAGAAGAAGAAAGGAGGATTCATGATGAAGAGCTAGGGAATCGCGATCATGTTGAACGAGTCATGGAAGAATATCAGAAACTGGGTATTTTGCCCTTGGATGGAACAGTGGATCCAGAAGACTACGATGCTGTGCGGAAGAGAAGTGAAGAGCAGAAGAAACTCTTGCTCTCAGTGGCAGAGGATGATGAGAAAGCCTGGATTGAGAAAGTATGGCCCTATCAAGATCGCCCTAAAGAAGCATAGAGTATCAGTATAGTATCTCAACTGTGGGTCGTGTACCATGTTTTTCCAATATATAACTGGGGTATCTTTGAGTTTTAGCCTAGAACTTTGCAATGTTGGTCCCCATACTCCGTATAGAGTACAGAATGGCGGCATTAAAGCCGCGCCGCTCATACAGCACATTGTGACACTTTCTCTGCCAATTCGAACATTGAAAAATCTCAAGCTTAGCTTATGATAACGCATATGGAAAAGCTAGTGCTTCTACAACGTACGTGTGCAAACATTCTCGACATCTTACCACATAAAGGTATAAGGGAAACAGTTGATCAGTTTGACTCTTTCTAAGGTCGCAACTTCGAATTGGCCTTAACTATGGCTGGTGGATTTATGTGAGCCGGAGGGCCTGACCTAGCATGAATCCCATATAGGTTTCAATCTGATGCAACTTGAACCTAGCACATGTTTCGATCGTCCAATTTGGTTAGCAGATAGAAGTTGTCGACTAATTAGAGAAGCATAAACTTAAGCTTTCTGACTCTACATACCACTGGCAGACATGGGTAGGCTAAACTTCCATGAGCCGCATTGTTGAGACACAAGCGTCACGCACGCACCCATGCGGTGGTTTTACTACACACTTGGGGGAGCAATGGACTATAATTTGTGGAGGATATCTTGTCTTTGTGAAACATCTATAAGAAGAGGCTGAATATCTCGCTTTTTTTTTAGCTGAAGATGGATGTTTACAACATCTCTTGAGATCTGGAGTATTTGAGATATGAAGTATTATCACCGAGAAGTGCGATTCGACATTTTAATTTACTAATTTACAAATATCCTGCAAAACAGACATGGCCAAAGGTAGCAAGGGAGGGCGTTAATAACAAACACTATGTCAGTGAAAGATATCAATAAATGTACCTTCACTCAAAATATCAATCATTTCCCTTGCCGTTGTTTGTGTTTCGGGTTTTTCGAACTAATGACATAGAGAGGGATTAGCTCATAGTAAGTGGATGGCTACTTGGCTCAGCTATTTGATAAATTACATACCAAATAATGTAAACACGGCTTTTTCTTCTCACAGGCTGCATGTCAAACAATTGAAGTTAGTAGTGTTAATTGGGTCGAGAAGTAAAAAGGTCTCCGTGAACCGTTCACCGTTGACCAAAGGCGGTCCAGAGCAAAATTCTTAGGTGTGGAAGATGTATGAAACGCACCTTGCATCCGTCACACAGCCTTTTCACTGATGAACGAGTCTTCATTCCCCGCACTTGCCCGAACACCTTTTGGCTTCTACCCACGGATCCGACACTGTTATCTATGCGAGTCGTTAACCTCGAAGGCGCGCTCCATACTCTGCTGGATAGTCTAGCGAAGCGCCAAACGGTTGTTGAAAAAGTCGGTCTGGATATTCTAGCCGCAAAAGAGGTCGTAGATTTTCGAAGAAAGAGGGCCGGGCGCGCGGTGAGGAGTGATTGAAGAGGGCGGATCATAGCGCAGGTTAAGTTGTAAGTGATACCTCAACGAGAATGGCTGCCTTTGCGAATATAGAATGAAGAATAGTGCCGACCTGACGCGGCCGAATAGCACGAATAGCTAGAGCAAGAGGAGCCTTTGAATGTCTCGAAGTAACTAACAGAGGATTCGAAAAGCGTTGGAGCGCAGTTTCGGAGATATGCCAAGACCGTGAACATGTGGAAAGATCTCTTAACCTTATTAACTAGATTGGCTTCGGAAAAGGGGTTGGCTACAACTTTAGGGGCCCGGTTAATAGTTAATTTGGTTCTCTGTCTTACATAATCGCCAGGCTCTTTTGAGTTTTAACAGAGAACTCATCGATTCAATTCAAGCAATTTCAGACAATTCATTCTTCACTAAAAATTCTCCAGTCAATATGAACCTTTCAAAAGACATAATTATTTCATGATGAAGCATACGGAGTAGCTACATTGGAGTCGCTTTGCAAACAAAGTTTCAGACTACAGTCCCTCTTTACACCAACTACTCAGTAGCGATTATTATTAAAGATATATAGTCTTCCAACTCCAGGCTGATAGCTAGGTCATAGTGGAGGTCATAACCATTCACGGTAGGCTCCACCCCGCCAAATCCGTGCTAATAAAAGACTGGCTACCGATTTCGTAAAAACTTTTTATATACTGGTGATTCAGTGCACTCCTTAAACGGATAACCAAGGTCCTGAAGAAATGCCTCTACTTCTTCTTTCTCCGTCGGTGGACATTGGATCGCGGCAAGGATGTTAGCAACGTCCCCACCATAGTTTCTATAGTGAAAGAGCGTGATGGTCTGATGGGGTCGAATTGTGGTCAGAAATCTGGCTAGAGCTCTCGGACGTTCTGGAAACTCGAACATAAAGATCCGTTCATTGGCAATATCACTTCGACCGCCAACCAAGTACCTGATGTGTGTTTTTGCAAGCTCGTCGTCACTCATGTCAGACACGGTCATCCCTGCTTTTTCAATCTCTGTTTTTAAGACTGCGAGATCGACGACACCAGTAGATGCAGATAGTGATATACCCATGAAGACATCGGCAGAGTCTGGTGCCGCATATCGATAGCTGAACTCCGTAATGTCATGCGGCATAAGAACTTCAACTAATCTTGCGAACGCGCCGGGTCTCTCTGGTATGGTGACGCTGAGCAGTGCCTCCTTCTTCTCACCCAACGCTGCTCGTTCTGCTACAAACCGTAGCCTATCGAAGTTCATATTCGCGCCGGAGGCGACGGCAATAAGCTCGCGATTAGGATTAGATGATGGATACTTGGCAACATATTTCTTGAGGCCAGCCACAGCAAGCGCTCCAGCTGGTTCCACGACGGAGCGGGTGTCTTCAAAAATATCTTTGATTGCCGCGCAGGTCTCGTCGGTAGTGACTAAAATGACTTCGTCTACTACTTCTCGAGCTAGTCGAAATGTTTCCTCTCCCACAATTTTGACGGCTGCACCATCAGCAAATAGACCAACCTCCTTGAGCGTAATCCGGCGGCCACTCTCCAAAGATTGTGTCATGGCATTTGCGTCACAGGTTTCGACGCCAATGACTTTGACGTGGGGCGCAATGCGCTTAATGTACACACCGATACCAGCAATCAAGCCGCCTCCACCGATGCAACAGAAAACTGCTTCCAGGTTATGTAGATTTGCTTGGCGTAGTAACTCCATGCCGCAGGTTCCTTGCCCAGCAATCACATAAGGATCGTCGAATGGGGGAATGTTCGTAAGGCCATGTACTTTTGCCAACCTATGCGCCTCTTCCTTTGCCGCATCAAAGTCAGGTCCGTGGAGAACAACATTTCCTCCAAGTCTAGACACATTCTTGTGTTTGATGGCTGGGGTACATGACGGCATGACAATGGTGGCAGGGACTTTGAGTTTCCTGGCAGAATACGCTACTCCTTGCGCATGGTTCCCTGCTCAATGCTCTTGTTAGCCAGAGAACAAGGTCCCTGGATAGGAAAGCACATCCTACCAGCCGAGCAGGCAATAACTCCTTTCCATCGACGTTCATCACTCAAGTGAGCCATCTTGTTGTATGCTCCGCGGAGTTTGAAACTGAAGACCGGCAGGAGGTCCTCCCGCTTCAGAAATATTTTGCATTCTAAACGATTGCTTAGGTTTACAGCATGTGTGAGAGGCGTTTCCGTAATTACTTCGTAGACTCGAGAGGTCAGAATGAGCCGCAGGTACTATAACTGATCAGCAACCAATGTTTTCAATCACTCCAAAGATTCGGGGACAGAGCACGTCTGGATAGCCATTAGGTAGGAGAAAATTCTCAGGAATATCCCAATCGGAGCGAGAAATGTTTCTCTCGGAGGGAGGAGTCGGGTTGGCGGTGTACTCAGTTAGCGAGAGGCCACTGAGGGGAGGGGTACTGGGTCTAGAATGCCCGTTGGGCGTCACAAAACCAGCCATTATTTTTCAATGCAAAGCGGTATGGCCATAGATGAAACTTGTTCAGTTCATGACGACAGCCTAGGAGCAGCCAGACGTAGACTGTTAACTATAGATCTGGCGAAGGTGGTGTCGCGGTCGACGCGGTGGGCAGTGGTGACTGCAAAAGCTCCGATCGCGCACTGACTCGATAACTAGTTAGTCAGCTGGTTCAGCCAATGGATAGAAGCTGATTGCTGACTGATAAAAGCTAACGGGCATCACGTCATTGTACTCCGTATGTAGCTACTCCATATCGTTGGACCTGAATACCACAAAAGTATCACAGTTTCATGCGAATAGCGAGGGGATGGCCGTTTGCAAGTTCCCAGTTCCCAGTTCCCCAAGTGGGTGGTTCACAGGTGATTTAAGCGGTAATGACTAATTCCAGACACTGTTGTATCGATGTGCAATTGAATTGATGCGAACTGTTTTCAGGTACGGAGTAGGTAACCTACCTGAGGACCTGGGAACCCTAGAATTCCGGGGGTAGTTGGCTACAGTACTTCATATGGAAATTTTCTCGCCATAATTATTGCCCCGCTACTGCCGGAGTTGAGTCGAAAAAAAAGTTATGATCGACGCAGGGTTCGAACCTGCGATTTTCCGCGATACTGTTTGTAAGCTAGTTTGGGTGTTAGAGCAGACGGCAACAGTGGGGTGCGGGGTAACATACGCGGACGCCTTAACCACTGGGCCAGTCGATCGATATTGACGGACTAATTGTTCAAACAACTTTATCAGTTGCACAGATCACTTTGTTAGCTAGTGTTAGTTACCCAAGCAGTCCAGACAACAGACTTCAAATTCGAGCTATTATTGTTTTATGTCCTTAATACAACAGTTTTGGTTGTTTCACAAATTTCATTTAAGGAGGAAAGCCAAAGCCATCGTACTTTCGATAATCGTAATCAGAAGGTTGCAAGCCAGGGGTGGGAATACCGAGGTCACACCCGAGCATTCTCAAAAAAGCTCTTTTTGAAAGAATTCTGGTACTTGCGTTTTACGATCTCCACTACAAATATTGAGTGATATAGAAATTACTTCACAACATTTAAAGATCTCCGGAGTATAGAATGTTCCACTTTGCAAATTGCATACCGTCCAAGGTCGCACTTATACTACCCACCTCTATGTCTTTCATTAGAGCAGGCAATATAGATTGAAAATCTGGAAAATGGCGGATCACAGATGTGCAACTACTCTCAGACGTCAAGTCTTCGACCACAGTCGCCACGGATTCTGAACTCAAGCGACGGCGGAGAGCGGACTTCATCCGGGCTATTTGCTTATGCGTATATTCGCCCGATACAGGCACCTATGGGATGAAAGCCTCGACCTGTTGACTAAGTACCACAACTTTATGCACAGAGATAGCACAGAGACATGTTCTTGAGGTCGCTCCAGCCTAGCCCGTTCTAGGAACCTTTGTATATGGGAATACCTGTCTAAGTTACACAAAGGGTCAAGTCTGCACAATCCTAGATAAGAAGTGCCAAACCCCATTTTAATGTCGTTTTTGAATCTTGCCCCCTTCTTCCAGTCTCCCTCAACGAAATATACGCACATCGAATTCATCGCATTGACATGTTTCGCCAGGACCAACGAGGCACCCAGACTCTGAGTCTTGATGTAAATGGGTTTTATTTGGTACTATCAGACTGTGATAGGGTCTACAAGTTTCACTGGGGTCTCTATCTGGCAAAAGCTCCACAATACGGTGTCGTATATCACATAATCAGCGATTCAAACGGCAAGTTAATCCTTGAAACTGGACCCGTTGAAAATCCGTTTACTTTCTCTCACATTATTCTTGCCATCAAACTGGCAGACATGGACCCGGCTCTCCACGAAGCCCTTGCCGATCGACTTGCGGAGGTCCCGGTAGCTTATTCTACTCGCTTTCGTGAGAACATTACATGTCGAGTTTGGGTAAAAGAGGCCCTCTTTTTGTTGGATGACCAGGGCTATATCAAGCTTATTCGAGAAGTTATTGCACTGGAGAGAGAAGCAATAGGGGCAGCAATCGTTCAAAAGATCGGAGGAACCCGATTAATTTTGAAAAGCGCCGCCGTCCAGGTTTAATAATACCATACAGCCTAAATCAACTTGCAGGCCGGCATTGACTAGTATAACTGACACCATGGGTCTTTACTTCGACAGTACGTTTCATATACCGGTACAATTATGATCGCCTTCGCATGGATCAGTACATGTTGTGATGATAGCCGGTTTCTATTCTTAAATAATCGAAATTGGGTTGATTTGCAGTTTCCGATATTGTACCCCGAAAACAGGGGCCCTGCGAATCAAAGATGAGTCGAGTAGTTGAGAGCGGTGCTCATGTATGGCTGCATGCGCGCGGGTATAGTTAGTTGAGCAATTCTGGAATTATCTCTATTTTTTGATCCTTTACATCTCCATTCATCATTGCATGGTTCTCCCACTCGCGATTATTTATTATGTACTGACGGATGAAATCGAAGTCGAACCGCTCATTTTGGCAACTAACTACTTAACTAACTATAGGACAAGCAAATAATTTTATTCTTTTTGTAATGCCGTTGATAGAAGGATACCATTGATAAGCAGTAGCATTGTTTCCTCCTTTTAGAAGCAAGAATGTACTCCGGATAAAGTCTCAAACGGTGAGCGTCGCGTGATGGGTTTCCCCGAAAGGTCCCCACACCCTATCTTAAAGCGGCCAGGGGGGTAGTTCGGGCTCCAGGGCCGTTGGTCCCATCCAAGTTTATTGAAATGGTTATTTTGCTCCTTTCCAACGACTTAACCCCCCAATTGCACAGGTTCGTCTACCAATTGTGAAAAATGGGCGACAGACCTTTGCCTTCGTCTTTTGACTCTGACCCGTGAGTGTTACCCGACCCGACATTTCCGCCAGCCAACCTAATTAGCGGTTTGAAGCGAGTTCTTTGAGGAGAATCCCTGGACCAAGCTTCGACGGCGATTAGTGGAAGAGCCTCTAATTCCACTAGGTAGACTTCCCCGTGTCCTATTTCGTTAATTCGCATCAATTCATTCTCCCACTAACCCAATATACTCGTAGGATGTGCTGCTACAAGTTACGCGCTTTGGCGAGCGTACCGGTCTATGAAGGCCGGTGATTCTGAACAGCTCAATCGTATGTTCCGCTATCGTATCTACGCACAGGCATTTACCCTTGTTGCTGTTGTTGCTGGAGGTATTTACTACAAGGCGGAGCGGGCGCAAAGGAAGGAACTGGAGCGGGCAATGGAAGAGAAGAAGAACCAGGCCAAACGCGATGCGTGGCTGAGAGAGCTTGAAATCCGAGACCAGGAAGATAGAGATTGGAGAGAACGGCATGCAGCTGTCGGAAAGGCAGCCAAGGATGCTGGTAAGAAGTCTAAAGACGTCAACTTAGACGGACCGAAGGGATTTGGGGCGGACTCGAACGAAGAACCAAGGCCATCCGCTGGTGTGCTTGATGCTGTCAAAAATCTAGTAAAGAGAGAGAAATGAATATGTCTCTGGCAGCGAATTTTCCAAAAGAGGGGCTTGGTGTACTGTACACTACGATCATTGGGACGGCGTTTGGTTAAGGAAAAAACATTCCTCTCATACTTTATTTCTGATTCTCTCACCTGACATTCATTGTACAACTATCATGTGAACCTTCTAAATTTGAACAGAATAAGAAAGATACAAAACGGCAATTTAACATTATTTGCATAATCATTTTCCTGGTTACCAGATATCGAACTCTTCCCTCGTGGTGTCAATAATGAGTACTGGCAATGGGGCTTCGGAGCGTAAATAAATTTCACTGGAGACGATACGATATATGAGGCCACTCGCTCCATAGGCAAATAGCTATTGCCGCATTTCAACTAGGAGATGTACCCTAGGGAGATGTCTTGATTTAATGACGAAGCATTCCAATGATCTAATTTGGATGAGGGTGAATTCTTTTCTGCAGCGTCCTTCATGTTGTATCTTTAATTTCTCTAATGTGATAATATACCGGTAGAATCTAAGCCGTTAATATACGTCATGTTAGGCAATGGGAAAGAAAGGTAGAATTAAAATAGGAGGAGGATCCCACGTCGCGGGAATTATTCTTCAAATGCTGTAGGATCATCTAGGGTAGCCTTCGGTCCTGTAAACCACTTCCTTGCAAAAAGGAAATAGTAGGCAAGTGCAGAGATCCAGAGCGTGACATTGATGACGACAGTATAGTTCATATCCATAGCTTTTAAAAGACTGTTAGTTCTGGAAAAAAGCGACGGGGAAGTTTGAGCGCGACGGCAAGAACTGACCGTTAGGGTTAGGTCCCAGTGTAGGGAACATGCTCAAGGTAATTGAAAACGCCAGGTAGGCGAGAGCAGTTATAGCGATAGGGGTGCTGAATCGTCCTGTGTAAAAGCTTCCGGGACGAAATTTCTCTTGTCCCCAGAATATGCGGCAGAAAATTGGAATGGCCCAGGCCAGGTCGTTTCCTGCGACACAAAGAGAAAATAAAGCATTGGCGGCGGCAACATTTATCAAACATAGCAGTCCGACGATAATAGAGGCAAAAGAACAACCCCAGACTGCTCGGATAGGCTGGTATTTGATACGTTTGCTGACCACTCTCCAAAAGCTGGAAAAGGGTAATGCACCATCTCGCGAAAATGCCCATACTTGTCTCGAAGTCGAGATCAACTAAATATGCATACGTATTAGCAGGTAAGCTCTTTTCCGGGCCAGGTGAGCGTTTATTGCGTACGATACTCAACCCCATGAAAAACTGGACCACCGCCAGTAACGACATGAATGCCAGGGCTCCCGGTTTTCCTAGGGCGTCATAATAAATCTAACCATATAATGAATTTCTTGAGCTCCAATAGGGAATATATTACTCGGCCTACATACCTGAGCCATTGGCTGTCCAAAGGGCGTATTAAGAATCGAAGAGATATCTTTGCTCATACATGCCGCAATGATGCACAGCGAGAGAAATCCCAGAGACCAGCAGCCGCCAATGGACGCCAAGATCCCGTAAGGAACGGCTTTGGCGGCATTGGTTGCTTCTTCACTCATATGAACGCAGGAATCGAAGGCCCCTATTGTCCAAATTGGAGAAAGCCAGGCGAGCATAAATGTCCACCCAGTGGGCCACGCAGTATGATTCTCTACATGCGTAAAGACGTAGGCCCCTGAATTTATTCCTTCGGCTGTTCTTGCTTTGCCAACAGGAAGTGCAATTGCGGTTGCTAGTACTAATCCAACATTGGCAATAATGCATATTGATTGTATCCTATGCATAATATGGGCGGCGAAGGTTGCAAGGACTCCGAGAAGGACGACAGTTGCACAAAAGATGCCATATACCGCATAGTTAGAAGGCGTCCATGTGCCATCACCGCTCATTGATACTAGAGAAAGAAGCATCCTGGCGAACCCATCTGGGGCGGTTTTAGCAGGGGTCTAGGATATAAAGCAGTTTTACTCACAGTTAATCGAACACACGCCGCCAATCAAGCCAATCGTATTACTGTAGCCGACTAAAAATGAAAGTGGGTTTTTCCACTTCTCCGCGGCAAAGTAGTGAGTCCACCAATAAAGGCCGCCTGACGTAGGAAGAGAAGAACCCAAGTCTGCCTTCAAAAGTAAGGAGAGATAAGCTTCTGTCTTCTATTTTTTGTCGAAGAACTAACCATAGCAACGCCGACAGTGAAGATAAAACCGCTGGCGATAAACCAGCTCTAGAGTTTAAAATTGTAAGTATACTTGTCGGTGCTTATACCAGGGACTTCACGGAGGTGCTGTATATACCCAAACCATGGCAGCTGGACCACCGGGGAGTGAAAATGATAAAGTGGAGGCAATTGATGGCAATAGCCCCATGATGCTAAATGCAATGGCAAAGACCTGAATGGTGGAGTAATGCCGTCGAAGCTCCTCCTTATATCCCATCGCAGCTTCGGCGAGTTAGCATAGTGGAATTTCGAAAAAATATGTGCTCAAGTGGCTCACCGAGGGCATTTGCATCCTGGTCTAACTTCTCCATGTGCTGCGACATCGCCTGTGAAGCGACATCCACCTTGACTTCTTCGTTGGCCGCCATTGGAATGGTATTCAGAAGTGGGAAAAAGCGAAATGCTCCAAGTCAACTATGAGAGAGAGGCTACAAAGGAAAGCTGAAGGCGGGCGTTTTGAGCAGCATATGAGCTGCCTGCCGGCCATGTTTAAACGGCTCGACGAGCTCTAGGTTTGTAAACACGAAGCGTCCCAGAGGCCGAACCGTCGACCACAAAGGCCGGAACCCGGCGGGCTTGCAGAGCTCTCCCCGCATTCTTCTCCGCATATTTCTCCACTCTTGCGGTAGGAGGCGAGATCGGTCTTATGTGAAACCAGCCCGCCGGACCCGTAGACTTCATGCCGGCTATGGCATCGGCGCAACGGAGGCGCAAAAATGGGGCGCGAAGCTGAATATCGGCAACAAGTGGCAGCAACCCAGCCTGTCATGAAGTATACACTCCTAGCAACCGAGCGACTATCTTCTGGGGCATTCTGCGGTAGGAATGAAGACGTTACCATTGAATAAACACTGTAGTTCCGACGAAAGCATGAGGGACAACCGATCGGAGCCCGGCGAATCTGATAACTATTCCTTTTCTCCCAGAGCCAGTCAACAACCCAGAAAATCCCAGTTCTGGCAGTCAGTCGACTCCAGGACATCTCTCTAATATGCAAAACGACACCCAGTACCTCAAGAGAGGCACCGCCATTTGTTCTGCTTCGCCTTGCGGTTACACTCACTCGGAATTAGATCCTTCGATGCACCAAAACGGTATACGATTCCCTTAGCAATACGCTTTCGCCGGATCGAGCCATAGCGGACTGTGGCTGGCCAAATCATGGCTTGAGTACGGAACCAGTCTACGGTAGACCGGTCAGGATACCGCAGCTTGCTCTGTCTAATTGACTGCTAGGACCGATATCCGTGTTTGGACTGCGACATGCTACAGAGGCTCGACAATTATTCGATCCCCATTGACAACTGGCTCCAACTTGCGAGACCTAGTCCGAAGCTCTATACGGAGTACTCCGCACGAAACGAGGAACCACTCATCTATAGAGTGCTTCTCCAGGCCTAGCAGCTCGCCCAAGGACCCCAGGTATTTAGGTATGGGGGGCAATTACGCTTCGCGTCGTCTTGCGGATTGAATACCCACCCTACGACATGTTGGAACCTCGGATGTACATGAGGCAGCAATGTAAGCTCTTCGAAGTTCTTCGGTTCACATTTTCCTTATAAAACAACATTCAATTTATCTATGTTGTGTGTTCGTCCGCGCCCAGCTCAGTGCCGCCATCCTTTCCACTCTCAACTGACACCAATGTTGCGACGTGCAACTCTTAAGAGGTATGCCCCCAATTTATATATACGCATCTACGAACGGAGTATACTCTACTCTGCATACTGTATACATATATAGCGGGAAGGTCAGCGGCTGCATGGCTCGGAGCATGTCGGGTGTAGCAGAATATCAACTGCACCCATGCATTCCTGCATTCTAACCCAAAAATTCACTTTGGCACTGCCGCCTGACAACCCCGAAACCCCAACACGCACTTTAATTTTTAGAAATAATAGCGACGGGCATCATGGACCTCGGTAAAACGACATGCGCCATGTCTCCCAACGAGTTATCGAAACTATGGCACTGTGAACCCATTTTACAAATCCTGAGCTAGTATCCCCAAATTCCCACGCCATGCGCCCTGATAACTTTCTTTCTGTTGTTTCTTATTTCTATTTTTTGCTTTTCCTTATAATAGCCGCCATAAAGAACACACACATTGGTGATTCTGGCAGCGGTTAGGTGCCATATTTATAATTGGGATTCTGGAGAGTCCAGAAACCTTAGCAAGGTTTGATGAAAGTCTTCGAGGAGGCGCTCGGCATACGCCTTATCCAGCTTTCCAGCCCTGGCCACTAAATAGGTCTTTAGATTCTCCGACTCGGGCCATGTGACGAGGCAATGTCGTTCCCGCCCAGGCACTGTGAAAATTGGGTCCAGTGACTTACCGGTTGCCTGTCCAAGAGTAAGGCTTGGGAGGCCACCGAAATTTTCGTGGAGAACCACAGAATCTAAGTCGGTGTCTTTGGGCCATGAGTCGCACTGGGCTGCTATATCTTTCCAGCCGACCGTCTCAAACTCTATTGCCTGAACGTGTTGGTGCTGAATTTGACGGAACAGATCAGTAACTGTGCCGGACTTTTCTTTGTAGTTGACTCGCACTGGTATTGTGTTGAGACACATTCCTATTGTATCTTCTGCGCCCTGGATGCTGACAGCACGCCCATCTACTATCTGTCCAAACACCACATCTTTCTGTCCGGTTTCACGGTATAAAATATATGACCAAGCGGCTTTGATTGCAGTAGCCATTGTAATCCCAATTGGAGGTGGGGGTGACCGACATTCTCCAGCATAAATATCGCACCCGTCTCCTTCCTGTCCCGGACAACACGGCAACCGACTAACTTCCGCGCCGGCTAGCAGGGTTCTCCAGAAACCTAGAGCTTCCGGAGTCCTTAGTTGCTCGCATTCGCGGCGATACTGAGGAAAGTCAATACTGATGTGGAACGGCTGATTACCATATGCTGCGCTAATCTGAGCTCCGAGAGAACGCAGGCATACACCGTCGTACTGGGCATGTGTTAATCGAACGACAAAAATGTGTTTGAGATTTGATATTGGAAAAAGCATAAAGCCTACTACAGGCTGATCCATTGGCATAAGACGAGCCTTATCCGCCAAGCAGTACGATCGCACAAAGAGAGTGGGATCACGCTTTGGGGTGGCTTGAAGTCCAGGCTCTTCCTCGACAGAAATAGAAGTGTGCCGAAGGACCACTTGAACTACCTGCCCACGAAATTGCAGAAATCTTGAGCGCAAACTGGCATTATTTCTAACAACAGTCTCACATGCGATGCGCAGTTGATGTTTGTCTAAAGGACCATTTATCTCAAAAGGAAAATAGTCTATCACGTTTTGATCAACGCACATGGCTTGCATTTCCAGAGCTGGAAAAATATCCTCGATATCGCCAATAACCTGGTCTGGAGGCAATTCTGCGAGGAAGTCGTTGAAAAGAGGGCGAAACGGGTCTGTTTTGGAAAGTGAGGAAACTTTGACTACCTGCGCATCTTGCACCCGACCACACTGGACTAAGGAAGCTAAAGTAGGCTCTTCGAAGACCTGGGCAAGGGTGAATTGAAATCCCTGTAAGCGAGCCTTCGACACGAGTTGACGTGCAATTAAAGAATCGCCTCCGAGATTGAAAAAATTGTCCTCGATGCTCACTTCAGAATGTGGTATGGCAAATAACTCCACACAAATGGACTGCAATATCCTCTCATCTGTCGTCCTGGGCTCTATATAGGTTGGTTTTTCAAAACGATAAGGCATCAGGTCGCCCCAGGTCAGGCTTGATGCCGCTTGACGCAAAATTCTGCGGTTAATTTTACCCGTCAGGGTTTTGGGTAGATATTCCAGCGGAAGGATGGCACTGGGAATCATATACGATGGGAGAATTCGTCGTAGCTCTTGAGTAGCCTTCCGTGCTCGAAGGCGATGTTCAAGAGATGGGGGCGTGAACATCCCCTCCGTCACCGTCCCCGGCCCAGGGTTCTCCTGGGAGAGTTTATTGAAGACAAATGCAACTAAGTTTGGAGATTGCTTCTCATTGTTTCTCATAGTAATGCTGATCACATCAGCTATAGTTGACTTCGCACCTTCGTAATAGCGACGCAGAAGACATTCGACCTCCCCTAATTCTACCCTCTGGCCACGAATCTTTGTTCTGGTTCCTTTCCTGCCGAGAAACTGTACCGACCCATGCAAATCTCGAACCCGTACTAAATCTCCTGTGAGCAAATACCGCGATGGATTGCTGTCAAGCCCCATTTGACAAAGCCACCGAGGACGTTTGACAAACGCAAGAAGCGTTTTTTTGGAGTCGTTTAGATAGCCTTGACTCAATGTCGAGCTTTCAAACATGAGCTCTCCTTCAGTTCCTATAGGTCTAAGACGTTCGTGGTCTTCCGGATCCACAATCCAAAATGTGCCCCAGCTCATCTTCCCAAGGTCGCCCACCTGGCACAACGATGACCCGGAAAGCTCTGCTAGAAAGTATGTACTGGCGCCTTCTGCTTGTCCGTATAAACTATAAAGCACAACATATTTTTCCCAATGATCTCTGTCCTCCCTTGTAACCTCTTCTCCGGCTAGAAGCAGCCTTTTTAGATTCGGGATATTCCAGGGTGAAAGACTCCTGGCAACTGAGGGAGTCAAGACTGCCCAGTTCACGTTCATGCAGGATATGGCCCCCTCCAGGTCGCTTTGGACTTGGATTTCAGACGGGATACAGAGACAAGCACCCGCAGATAAAGTTATCAAGTGCTCAAACACAGTAACCACAAAGGCATAAGAGCAAAATTGAAGCACCCGAGACCCAGGCCCCAAGTGGGTTCGATCACATACATTTCTCGCCCCAGGACCAAAGGATTTTCGACTGACAACCACACATTTTGGCTCACCGAGTGATCCAGAAGTAAAGACAGCATATAGTGGATCATTAGAATTCGATTCTACCGATAGAGTCGACGGTATATCGTACATTGTGAAGATGGATCCGTTATAGTGGAATGTTCCGTCTTTATTGGTAGATATATCTAACAGCAGAGGGCCAAAATCGCGTGCTGCAACCGCAAGGTCTCCTATAGATAAAATCGAATGCATCCCAGTGATTTGGCACATCTTAATCAAACGAGCCTTGGGTATAGATGGAGGAAGGAACACAAATGCTCCTCCAGCTTTGATAATTCCCAATATGGCTACGACTGCCATTCTGGATTTGAACATATGGATTCCGACAAATTTTCCGGGACGCACTCCAACGTTTACCAGAAGATTAGCAATATGTGACGCCCATTGGTTTAACTCTTGAAAGGTGAGATCCCCATCCCAGGCACAGACCGCTGGTGCGGATGGTGTGACTAAGATTCTAGCCTCAATGGCCTCATGAATGGGTATTTCGGTCTCATCTGAGTGTCGAAAACTTTTATCCCACTCTATTAACATTTCTCTTCCTTCTGTGCCCAAACTTAACAGGTCTCTAATATGGGATTGAGGGTTTTGAAAAGCAGTGCGCAACACGTCAGTGAACTGCAGTAGCATGATCTGAAGAAAATCAGAGCTAATGACAGCAGGGTCAGCGCAGGCATGTATATCCAGAGAATGGCTGTCAAACACACAGCTTATGCTGAGTGGATATCTCTGGCTATATGTGGGAGGAAAAGATGTTAGATTTGTCTGGTCAGCACTATCTCTGTCCTTTAAGACTAGTAGATTTCGAAATTTGCCGATTGCTACGGTATCCGGGTTGAGAACGCTAAACTTTTCATGGCCCATATGCTCGAATCGGGCCAGCTCTTGACAGCGGGTTTTTGCTGCAGCGAGAAGTTGTGCTAACGTAGCCTCACGTTGAAACTGGAGTCGAAAAGGCATAATCGCTTGCTGGTTTGTATCCGTACGCCGTCCATGATAAGCCAGACCAAACAGAACGTCATCTACGTTTGTGAAATTGGAAATAACAATTGTCCACGCAATCTGGAGCAGAGAATCTAGTCTCTCAACCTTGCAATTGACAATATCAGCCTCGGAAATATGGGCGTCCCTTTGCTGAAATTGAGTTGGAGGAATATATGGCTCCTGGGGTAGTTGAGGAAATAAGGCAAATGAGGATGAGCAATCATCTTCACCACGATTGGTGTTCGTTGTGTATGCCATGGCTGTTGAAATCGGTTGGGAATATAGATACCTGTTTGCAGTAACTTGAGTATATATTAGAAGGGCAACACCCCGGAATATGTTTGGTCTTTCATGGTCTTTTATATTCGGGTGAAGTCACATTTTCGAGTGACTCGGCTGGAAGAAAGACTGTCGAGCTTCCTAACGCCACGAGCCTTTCAATGCAAACCGGGCAGCTGTCTGCAAAAATTGCGATTTAAGCGACCATTTTTTGGTTTTATTGTTCAAGTGAGCTATCAGTATCTAAAGCAGTTTCGATGATCTGGCACCATTCAGAGGCATGCTTGTTCTGTATGTATTTCCGTATGTATAAAAATACATACATTTACGCTGATTAAGTTCGTGGATCGCTCTGACTAGGGTGTTGAAGTGCGAATTGCTGAACTTTCCGATGGGAATATCTTTCCAAGCACGGCAATGACCTGCCTGTACGGAGCACGACGTAAGTGTGCATGTTCGTACAAGGATAACCATAACTGCGACGTATTTTCAACGACCCTAGATGTATTCCGTACGTGTACTCACCTGGCAACGTTCATTCAGTGTAACCAACTGAGTGAGAACCAACAGCGTAAGTAACTATGTACGGAGTACTTCGTAGTTATATAATTCCCCCGTATGGAGTACATCCTCCGTATACCAGTTCACTCAGCCTGCCCCTGCTTTGGCGCTCTGATCGTCATGCTTGGTCATTGGATTCCGACCTCTTTGCTTTTATCGCAAACTGGTCTGACGGTGGCTTGACCTTGGGAACAGCGCATAACTATTGAAACGAGGCTGGTGTGTGATTCTAACTAACAAATTAACTATTTGACTAGTTAGTTAGTTACGAGTTACAAGGGTTGCGAGATATGTCCATTCATACGGAGTGCCCTATTCCGTATGTACTCTGCATGTACTCCGTACGGAGTATGTATACAGACAATGGCGTGCGTTTGTCTCCGATTATAAACAGGACTGTACGGAGTGAGCCTGAGTACGGAGTACGAAGCACCGAAAATCGTATATTAGGCTTAACGACCGCTATATGTATGTACGGAGTACATAAATCCATACATACATTTCTATTCACGTCGCCAACGATATTCGGAGAGCCATAGACCCCAGACGACAACGATGCTAAGTAAATATGAGCGGCGGCTACATTTGACGGTAGTCAGAGTGCACCAACAAAATGTAGAACAATCAATACAGGCTGGTAAAGTTGAAATTGATGGCAACAGACTCACTATGGGAGAAGTAATCGCCGTGTCAAAGTAAGTCAGCTTCGTAAAAGCTATGTACTCTTATTGACCATCTTCGGCCAACCAGATTTGGATGCCAGGCGTACCTCACCAAGGATAAAGAGATCATCGAAGGCATCAATAAGAGTGTCCAAGCGCTGCAAAAATGTTTAGCAACTGGAGAACCTATCTACGGTAAGTGAGATTTTAAACGTTTATTGTCGCATATCACTTACACCTATGCTAGGGGTGAACACTGGGTTCGGTGGCAGCGCAGACGTGCGTACGAACCATGTCACTCATTTGCAAAAAGCTCTCATGCAGTTGCTCCAGAGCGGAATTCTCACCATTAGTGATTGTGAAAGCCGGAGTGGAACGGAAACAATGTCCAGCCAAGGCCATGCGATGCCATCTGACTGGGTCCTGGGCACAATGTTAATTCGCTGTAACTCTGTGGCTCGGGGCCATTCCGCGGTTTCACTGTCGGCCATTGAAGCTATTATGCGTTTGATCCAGCAAAATATTATCCCAATTATACCACTTCGTGGTTCCATTTCTGCTTCAGGAGATCTAATGCCTCTCGCATATATCGTCGGCGCCATCGAGGGTAGCCCTTCTATCTATGTCCGTATAGGCCACGATGTGTACACTGCTGACAAGGTATTGGCTATGATAAACGCATCACCCATAAACCTTGGCCCGAAAGAAGGGCTAGGTCTTGTGAATGGAACAGCTGCATCAGCCTCTTTGGCTAGTTTGGTATTATATGAGACTCATCATCTAGCACTGTTGGCTCAGATCATCACAGCACTGGCAGTTGAAGCACTGCTCTGTAGCCGTGACAGTTTTAGCCCGTTCATTGCAGAGACAAGGCCTCATGACGGACAGGCCGAGGTGGCCGCAAATATCCTTGCGCTACTAGATCAGTCTCAGCTGGCTCAAGGTCAGAACTATGAGGAGAGCGAATCTCAGTCAGTAAATCAGAGGCCAGAGTATCAAGGCCTTGTCCAGGATCGATATGCCCTGCGAACTGCGAGTCAGTGGATCGGTCCTCAGCTGGAGGACCTCCTACTAGCGGACCAGCAAATTGCTATTGAGCTCAATTCCACCACCGATAATCCACTGATAGACCGGGCGGCGGGTAAATTTTACACAGGGGGTAACTTCCAGGCTGTGTCGGTCACATCGGCAATGGAAAAGACACGGTTGGCGATCCAGATGCTGGGAAAGTTGCTCTTTGCACAGTGCACAGAGATGATCGATCCTTCACTCAACAATGGGCTGCCAACTAACCTGGTTGCAGATGACCCTAGTCTTTCTTTTACCATGAAGGGGGTAGATATCAATATGGCAGCGTATATGTCAGAGCTGGCATATCTTGCTAATCCGGTCAGCTCCCACGTTCAAACTGCAGAGATGCACAACCAAGCAGTTAACTCCCTGGCCTTTGTCTCCGCACGGTACTCGATGCAGGCGGTCGACGTGCTGTCTTTGATGGCTGCCTGCTCACTGTACGTCGCGTGCCAAGCACTCGATTTGCGCGTCATACAGCTCAACTTTCTCCAAGCACTCACGTCAGTCTGGCGGCAGACCCTGCATGTTGCTGCACTAGGGGACTCCCTTTCCCCAACTAAAATGAAGCAGTTAACCCAGCGCATGAACGAGGCAAGTGCCCATGCCTGGGCTGCACAGTCGCGACTAGATCTAGACGATCGGTGTGCACGGGTTGTCGATACACTACTCCCAATTGTTTTGGACTCGATAGCTGAGCGACCGGATACTCGCTCAGTACCGGCTCTCTTAGACTGGAAAGCGACAGCTACCGTAATGATGAAATCAACATACCTAGGTGTCAGGAGACAGTTCTTTCAGGCTCCGGACACAGTCAGCTATCTTGGTGTGGGCACGAAAAAAATCTACCAAGCCATTCGAGAGGATTTGCAGGTTCCTTTCCACCGCGGTTTTATTGAGCATCCGACGGTAGAAGGTGATGGCCAAGTGGATGGGCGGGATAAAATGTCCATTGGCGGCTGGATCTCAATCATTTATCAAGCCTTGCGCGATCATCAATTGGCAAGCACAATTGTCAAGGCATTTTAGGCTCGTGTGGTCAAAAGGAAGAGAAATTTAGGTATTTGTACTCAGTAATAATGTATCTATTACGATAACAAACCGTAGCCCTGCCCATTTTTGGGCTGTTTTCTGCCGTTTTCTGCTCGATTTCATTGGCATTCTTTGTTGTATGCTTACTAAGGACATGGTAAGGGGCTCGTTACTTCCATCATGGGTGTATATGAACTTACGATATCCTTCTTTGCCCAAGAAAATAAGAACAGTTTATAGGGGTATTCAAAGAAATGGTGCCGATCACGGAATGATTTCCCAGGCCTGCTGGTCGGATACTTGAAAGAGAAATACTCTATTTGTATTCTATGTTGAACTTCAAGGGTAGGTGGTATCTCCGGACAGTATCCGTGTCTGCTCTTTAAGGCATTGAGCATATCTTGGGGTCTAGAATGACTAGGCCCATGGCTTATAAGCAGAGGGCTTTAATAGCCCAAACTGCTGGCAAAATATCCCGGAGCACGGAACCAGGAAACATACCCCTTTAGGAATACGGAATACGGAGTAACGACGTTGATTTAAAGTATCAAATGGTCTAAAAACTTGATAGTTGCTATGACTAAGCTGGAATTACATAACAAGTTAGTTAACTACTAACACTAGTTTAGGTAGTTAACCACCTGATTAGCGAGCTAACTATGCTGCTGACAAATCGACTCCGAACAGACAGCGCAAACATCAATACCCAACGAACCTTCATCTGTTAAGATACTCGACATACTTCTCCATCATCTTGCGATCAAAACACGGACACCGAAGCCCCCCAGGATATGTTTCCAGCGCGCGCGTTGTGTTGGTGTCATCATATACAGGCATGTTTTCGTAAATTTCCCACCGGCTAAGCCCGTTGTGTACTTTCTCTGCCAGCATTGGGAGCAAGGGTTGGAGGCTGGCATGAGAACTGGCTGACAGGCGCTCAATCCACGCCTCATACGATAGACACTCCATAGGGACACCGCGAACTTGGCTAAGAAGCTCCATAACTTCACCCATGTCAATCGACATTGCCCGCCGCGGAAGCAAGTGGAACGAATGCCCGAGAGTGAACACTGATGACGAGATGTGCAACATTGCGGCCACCACATAATCTACTGGCACAAACTCCTTACGCTGGTTAGGGAGATTGGGGTAGCACCCGAGATCAAGACTGGCACGAATAAGCCGACTAAAGAAATCGTCTGGATTGCAGGCTCCCGTCTGGCGATCACCGGTGATGAACCCAGGCCGATATACTGCGATTGGAAAACCTCGTTTCATGAGCCGTCGCAGAAGCTCATCTGCTACCCATTGACTTTGCGCATAACCGTGGTCGTAAGGCAAGGCCTCCAGATGCGGCAGCAATGGGGCATCCTCGTACACCATCTTAGCCCCTGTTAACAGGCCCGTAGGCCCAAAGCATGAAATGCTAGAGCAGTAATGCAGTCCCTTGTGTCGGCCTGTAACCGCCATGCGAGCTACGTGGACCGTTCCAAGAATATTGGCGGGCCGGTGAAGAGAGTACGGTTGGGTATAGTTCACCCGCGCACCGAGGTGGAAAATCACGCTCGCCCATTCTGCTATCTCATGATATCGATTCTCTCCTAGCCCAAGCCAAGGGTCCTCCAGCATGCCACACAGAGGGAGTATCTTGGGCAAAAATGCCTCCCGCCAAAGGCCATATTTAGTCAACGCGGCCCGTAGCCTCTCCCGCCCGGCTGTGGCGTCCGTTGCCCGTACCAAGCAACCTACCTGGTGTACATCTGGCATCGCTAGCAGAGCTGCGAGCAAGAATACACCAACGAACCCTGTCCCACCCGTAAGGAAGACGCGGCCCTCAGTCTCGCTACGCCAGTCAATTACTGGCCTAACAGGCAATTGCAGTTCATCCGCCAATAGCGTATCCGCCATCCACAAGTCCCGTTCATTCCGCACAGTGTCGAGAAAGCCGCCTCGGTGGCAGTCAATAACACTGGCCAACTCACCCAAGGTTGAGTGATCATACAGTGTGAGCAGCGAGATCTTTGTGCTCAATTCTTGTTCAATGCGACTAATAAGAATTGACGCCTGTAATGATGTTCCGCCTAGAAGGAAAAAGTCATCCTCATTTGTATATTGAGGCAGTGGAGTGGCCAGAATGGTAGCCCAGAGACGAGCTAGATGCTCGCGTGTGCTCAACTTCGCCGAGTGTTGGCTTAGACCGTGCAGATATTTCTCGCGTCGTTGATGATACATCTCTGCTAGTCGCTGGCGGTCCACCTTTGCGTGGGCATTCAGTGGCATTTTCGGAATTACCTCAAGATGCGGTACCATATGCTCTGGAAGTGCCACACGTAGTAGTGTGAGCGCATCCGCCTTGAATGTAGGCGGACTGGACTCCCCGAGAACGACAAAGGCGACGAGAGCTGAACTAGCACCATCTTCCATGGAATCAACCCGCATGGAAACCCCTTCTGAAAAGTAGCCCGTCTCCATGAGAACCGTGTCAATTGCGCTGAGCTCGATACGATATCCTCGTATCTTGACCTGGTGGTCTCGGCGGCCTATGAAATCGTGCTGCCCATCAATACGACGCCTTACAAGGTCTCCTGTCCGATATATGCGGTAATGTGTGCCTGTTTGCGGATCTACCATGCCATCTATGAAACTTGCCACATTTTTATCGGGGTGATTCACGTAACCCGGCGACACACCAGGACCGCCAACCAGTAGCTCGCCATCCTCACCATCCGACAGAGGGTTTCCCTCTTCGTCTGCGACAAAGCACACGTTATGACCAATCGGATGGCCAATGCTTAACTTGCCTGCAGTCACGTCGTCCATGGTGATCTCGCGTGCAAGACAGTAAATACAACATTCTGTGGGCCCGTATGCATTGATAAAATGTTTGGGGGGTCCTTTAGCCAGGATAGTTCCTATTGCGCGCAGGTTGGCAACTTCGCCGCCGGTAAAAAGTACTCGTAACGTTGCAAATGCTGTCGGGCAGGTCGTCGCCGCGAGGTTGACAAGTGGGGTTGTGGTGGCCATGATTGTGATCCCGAGTTGACGGATGGCAGCCGCCATGGCTGGCACATCTAGCAAGGTCGTTTTGCTCAGGACTGCAATCCGGGCTCCGTGGACAAGCGGGCACCATATATCAAATAATGCCACATCGAAACTAGTGTTGTTGGCGTGGCTCACAATATCTGATTTCCGGACAGGCTCAAAGGGCGCATAGTACGCAACGTGAAGAATGGAGCGAGCTATAATCTGGACGGCTTTCGGTTTGCTCGTTGTGCCCGAGGTATGGATCAGATGCGTGCAGTGGGAAAGCCCGGTATCAACTGGATAGCAGCAGTCCGCTGTGGAGGGCTCATCGGCTCGATCTTCGTCATTTAATTCCCATAGGGGCACCAGCGTAAGAGATGGAAGATTACGCTTGCAATTGGCCGCATCTACTAACACACGCCGGGCCCTTAGTCTTTCGAGTCGGTCTTGAATTTGCTGGTCGGGCAGAAGAGGGTCAAGAGGCACGCAGGTTCCCCCGGCATAGATGATGGCCACCTGCGTTACTGCGTCCCAGATGCCATGCTGAACGACAATGCCGACCCTTTCACCTCGGCGGAAATCTGTCTGGGCGAGGCGACATGCTAATTCGATGGCCTTATTGTGCACTTGTTCATAAGTTAGGCTCTGCCCCTGCTCATCCGTAATTGCTATGGCTGTCGGGTTTTCGATCATGCGCTTATGAAACACCTGGCCCAATCCCTCGTCTAAGGCCACCGCAGCATCATATTCGGTCACTGGCGAGACAATCGCAACCATCATAAGAAAAATCAAAAGAGAGGTTAAGAAAGAAGGTCGACTGCCAGCTGTGAATACAAATCAGGACAGCCTGCCGCCGTCCCAACTCGAGAATTCAAATTGTTCCACTTGATATCACTTCGTTCACGATTGACCTTCTTCAAGACTAATTTGAGATTAATGCCGTCCCAATTTACCGAGATTTGTACTGCTAGCCACGGAACAATCGTCCGCCACCGGAGAAGACCCATTACGTTAGCTTAATTCGGGTGTAAAATCGGCTTCTTCGAGCTGGCATTGAATACCTCATTTTTTCAGTGTATGAGGAGTGCCACCATGCCCTGCACCGATCATCCCAGCCGGGATCCCCATGTTCCTCCTACTGTGGCTTATTTCTGTATCAGTTCAGAAAGTATTACAGAGTAAGTCTTTACTTCTTTTTTTCTGGGCTGAGTAGTACGCACTTTGTGTATTGTGGTTGCTCCCGTAACTGTGTGTGGACGGAGATGCACACGTAGAGTTCTACAGGGCCATCGGTACTCTGTGATCTGGCGTCAGTTCATTGGATTGCCATTAAAGTTCAACTTGTCTGCATTAAAACGAGGAGCCCTGGAGCTTACCAGAAGGATATGCTGGATCTTCCGTGCAAGATCGCCCTGCGTTGAGAGCGGCGCAATACGGAGTACAGTAGTCTACGTTAAGGATCACCACTCCGCAGGGGATGCAGAAAGCTGTTCATACCCGAACCACATTCTCTTCATCGTCTGCTCCCCCTTCCCTTCTTGCACGTAAGCCATGATGACAAGATTGGTAGTGGACTTTTTTTTGTACAGGGCGCTTCTTCATAACTACATAGTCTAGGCAAGACTCAACGCACCAGAGAACTATACATAGTTTTTCTCCCCACTGCCAAAATGACAACACTTGCTCCTCTCATTACCGTTTTTGGAGCTACGGGGAACCAGGGTGGCGCCGTTGCGCGATCACTGCTGAAAAATCCATCCTTCAGAGTTCGTGCCCTGACACGAAACCCAACTTCAGATGCCAGTAAGGCCCTTGCTGCTATCGGTGCGGAAGTGCATCTAGCAAATGGATTCGACATGCAGGCTATGGTGGATGCCTTCTGTGGATCGTGGGGTATATTTGTAAATATTAATTCTGATGACAAGGTAAGAGATGCAGCATACATGTAAAATCATGTCGCTATTGCTATGGGATATTCCAGCTGATATATAGTTATCATGTCTAGGCATTTAGGGTTGATGGATCCACAGAATTCGATATGGGCAAGATAATTACGGATGCAGCAGCTGAAGCCGGTGTCAAACACATCATATTTAGCTCTGGTCCCAGCTGCACAGAGCTCACGGGGGGCAAGGTCAGGATGAAGGCCATGGACAGTAGGTGGACACATCTTACAAATATAATATGTGCCTAACAATGTACGGTCGGCAGTGAAATATAAAATTGAACAGTACATCCGAAATAAGAGTGTCTTCGAAACTGTCAGCTTCATTGGCGCTGCCTGGTTCCTAGAAAACTTTTTGGCAAAAGAGGTTGCACCTATTTTCGGAGGCTTTCCCCATCAGGTAGATTTCGATGGATTTCTCACTTTTGTTGTCCCCAGATGGGGTGGAAAAGAGGACGTTCCCTTCATCAGCATGTCTGATGATTTCGGGGATATTGTGCACGGAATGTTCCTTGACCCGATGCAGTGGGATGGATGCATCGTTCATGGCTGCAGTGATATTTGCAGCTTTGACGACGTTGTAGCGACTTTTGAGAAAGGTGTGTTTGATTGAAGTGAATCCTGGCATCGCTATCCTAACCTGATACTGTCAGTGACGGGCCGCAAATCTCGTTTCCAACCATTACCATCTTGGGAAGCGTTTAACACGCACGGGGTAGCTGAGCTTGAAGATACCAAGCTGATGTTCGGATTTACCCAGCTCACAGGGGGCCGTTATTTCGGTCCGGAGCCGTCTGAGAATGAGACTGCAGCCAGGCTAAAGCGCACAACGGCGATAGCACTAGGGCGGCCAAAAGAGGAGCAGAAGCTGAGCTCAGTAGAGGAATGGTTCCGGCAGCGTTTTGTGTGACACTACCGTACTGCGTAATTAGCAACTTCATTTCCCTAGCTAACTACATAGTTAACTCTTGGGTGTCGATCGTGTTGATTCTATGTGTGAATATCCGCTAGTGTGAACTGGCTAGGAACTTATCGCTTGTGCTGCGTAGTTACGGAGTAACTACTCTGTACGGAGTACTCCTTATCGACACATAACTTGGGGTCAGGAACGCGCATTCAGACGAAGACATCCCCTAGCGTGTTGCTGGAGGCAATCCCCTTACCCCCTAAAATTAGCCGCATGTAAGTCTAGATCAATACAGCGTAAAGAGTACAGAGTAAATTCCGTAGAAGCCTGTCAGAACCTCGGTATTCCAACTGCAGATACCCGGACAAAACGGGCGTGTTGCCAGAAGATTGTCGGCGTAACATCATTTCCATGGCGTAAAGACAATTAGAGAATAAAGTGACACTCGATAGCATATTTATTCGACAAATCCCGCTCCAGATGTATTCCATACAGCTGGAACTATAGTTTATTGCTTAGTTCAAGCCGTGGTTTTTCGAAGACCTTGCAGCTGCGAAAGTTCCATTTTATCTTTCACCAAACGCTGTACAAGTGTACCATACAAGATGGCGAATGAAGTTAAGACTTCGACTGATGTTTTGATCATAGGTGCCGTGCGTATAGTAACCTCGTCTATCATTTCAAGATTACTGGTGGTATGAAAGAGCTAACATCTGATTTCAGGGACCATCAGGGTAGGTATCTCGCTCTTAGGAGTATCATAACACCTATCAGAAAACTAGACAATGCTAACGGACCCATTGTAAGCTTGGCTGCGGCACTATGGCTAGCAAAATTGGGGGTTTCTTTCAGAGTCGTGGACAAGCGCGCAGATCAACCGCGAGCGGGACAAGCAGACGGGTGACGCCAATTTACAATTTTGAAAAAAGCCGTGCTAATTAGTCAATCCAGCCTCAATCCAAAAACGATGGAGATATTCGAGAGTTTCGGCATACACGGCAAGGTTACCAAACGGTGGGAACCGGCAACAGATGAGACGGTTTGGTGTAGAGGAGAGGACGGAAAACTCGTTAGGACGGAAAGATATCGAAGCCACCCGCCCCCCGGAGTTCGGTGCGTATACGGAGTAATGTCGACGTTATTGAGAATCTGATCGCTGACGTGGCCAAAGATGGACACACGGAACTCTACAACAAGGCCGTGTTGAGGAAATCATGAAGAAGCACATCTTCAAGCTTTCGGGCACCTCGGTTGAGTACGATTCCTGCCTTGTTGATCTAGCGATCGATACAGCCGAAAATGATATTTCACGGAGCACTGGCTGTACAGTCCGTGTTCAACGCGGCGTCTCGATGGAAACAATCCGAGCACAATATGTCATTGGGGCAGATGGTGGAAGATCGTACACCCGCCAACTGCTCGGTTTTGATATGCAAGGAGAAACAGGCTCGTCAATATGGGGTGTAATGGACTTCTGCGGTGAATCCGATTTTCCTGAGTAGGTGCAGATCGTTTACTCGAGAAGAACCCGAGCGTTGATCATCACATTAGCTTTGGAACTACATCGATCATCCGGAGCAACACGGAGGGTGCAGTTGATTTCGTCCGCCGGGAAGACTGCCTAATCCGAATGTATGTGGAGTTGAATAAGGGACGGGAGGGAGAAGGCATCACCAGAGAGGCGATCACCCCTGAGTTGATCATCGACAAGTGTCAGCGTATGCTGCGGCCATACAAGGTAGGTTCGCCGGACGCGCCACAGAAAAGCCAGTAAAGCAGCTAACAACGGGTGCACATCCATTACCAATCGTCTAGCTCGATGTGCATCACTATGTCTGGTAAGCATATGGCAATGGCAGGGCTGGGGTCGTGGGCGGTTCTGACGTCGCCTATACGTAGGTGGTCCGCATTTACGGCAACCCAGCGACTGAGCAGCGCGTTGAGCTCTCACAGACGTGTGTTCTTGGTGGGCGATGCGGTCCACACGCACTCTCCCATTACGGGAATGGGCATGAACACGAGCATTCAGTATGTGGCTGGCGACCCTTGTGATGGATAGGCCCTGCGCTGACAGTTACAGGGACTCATACAACCTCGGGTGGAAACTTGCTGGCGTCATTCAGGGACAACTCAAACCCGAGATCCTCCAGTCCTATGATACAGAGCGAGGGGCGGTCGCAACGCAGCTGATCGATGCAGACAGAACCGCGTTGGAGTTATTCAATGCGAGGATGGGACACGAGGCCCGCGAACTGCTTGAGAGAGGGGACGCGTTGCGAATCTTCCTTGCCGGCCGTGGCACCCGCTATGACGATCCTCTTTTAACATCCAGCCAGCCGCAGAGGATGGGAGTCTTCAAGCCTGGCGAGTGCCTGCCAGACGTATCCATCTGCAACCACGCCACTGGAAGAGCTTCTTCCCTCCACAATGTGTTAGAGACGGACGGAAGATGGTGCCTGATCGTCTTTAGTGGTGATGTTTCAGTCGGCAGTCAGATGCAGCGTGTCCATACCCTGGCAGACCAGATTAAAACTGCCTGGGCCGATGGCTCTACCGATAGGCTAGACCTTTTGGATATGATCCTCGTGCACTGTGCTCCGTGGGACGCGATCGAATTGGCAGATTTTCCTACTTTCCTGTTCCCTCCCAGGGAATACGGAAAGATATTCATTGATGAGGCGTCCACGTATGAGGAACTTGGTCTCGACCAAAAGGAGGGTGGGCTGGTACTAGTGCGCCCTGATCGGCACATTGGTTGGGTCGGAGCTTTTAACGGCTTCAACAGTTTGAATCGATATCTTTCGCGGGTTTTCCAAGTGTGAGATAGTGTATCGGCCGTTCATCCAGGGTACGGAGGACAGTGGAGCAGCAAATAATGTGTGTATGACAAGAAAAACAAAGCCCCCAGAGGTACATAGAATTTTCTCGTTTCGATAAGTTCCCCATGTAGTAATTGAAGGACATGGACCTGTCTCTCGACTTGCATCATGCTCATGATGGCCGTAGGGCGATCAAAACATCGGAAGAACTAGGCGGGAATACTCCGTACCGCGGGAATTGTAGAGAGGCAGCCCTCACCTCCGTGGTCCCTAAGACAACTAAGTACGGAGATGCGTTGAGCGAGCGCCACCACAGCATCACCCAATCATGAGTTCTTGATACTTTTGTGATGTAACTATGCACCCCGTACGAGTAAACTGGTATAAGATAGAATCACCATGTTTGGTTTGATGGCCGGCCAAACACCGACCGAGGCCGTTATAAGCTGTCTCCTTCCTTCAAACACCACGCACAGGGGGAACTAGATAAGCAATGTTCCGAATTCTCTGGTTCCTTGCTGCTGCCGTGGCTCCGCATTGCGGCCCTGGTAACCAGGCAGTTCGGCGGGAATGGTAAGTGGAAAGGAAGAAGAAGGGTGTTTGATTACTGTTGACGCGAACTAGGGGTTCTCTTTCCACTAACGAGCGCCTTGACTACATCAATGCCGTTCACTGCATGCGTGAGAGACCACCGATTTTGCCACCCGAGCAATACCCTGGTGTCAAGCATCGAATGGATGACTTTGCGGCGTACGGGCCTGACATGTGTAGAAGCAATTATGAAATGACTTTACTTACTCTCCAATAGAACTCACATCAATTATACCCTGAACATTCATTTGAGCGGAATATTCTTTGGCTGGCATCGGCAGTTTGTTTGGCTGTGGGAGAAAGCATTGCGAGAAGAATGTGGTTACAGGGGCTATCAACCGTAAGAGCCGCTTCTTAGGACTCCAAATGTGGAGGCGTTGACAACGCGGACAGGTACTGGAACTGGGCGCTCTCTGCAAATAACCTGTCTGCGAGTCCCCTGTTTGATGGTAGCGACACATCTTTCTCTGGGGACGGAAATCCCATTGATGACGACCCGTTGATAAGGCTAAACCCAACCAATGTGACAATCCCACGCGGAACTGGAGGTGGTTGTGTTACAACGGGGCCATTTGCGAATATGACTCTCAATCTGCCTGATTTGGACTCTGCCAGAAACGACGTGTTTCCGCATGGTGCCTTCAACTACATTCCGCATTGTCTGACACGAGATTTGAACTCATTCATTTCGCGAGCATTCACCAGCCAAGAGGATGTAGACCGCCTCCTGTCATCTCCAAACATTGCTTCGCTGCAGCACAATATGGACGTTAGCGCCTGGCCGGCGCTACGTGAGGGGGGTATTATGGGCCCACATGCAGCGGCCCATATGCAGTTGGGAAGATCGATGGACGATTTCTGGACTGCACCACAGGAGCCTGTATTCATGCTGCATCACGCTATGGTCGATCGAATATGGACCTTGTGGCAGGCTCAAGACCCAGAAAATCGCCAGTGGGCGCTAAATGGGACCGCCACAATTATGAACCCTCCCACCTCGCCAGAGGTGGATCTAGATACGCAGTTAACATGGGGCTGGCTCAGCTCGAATAAATCGCTTCGCCATGTTATGAGTACTGAGAGGTATGAGTATTGCTATAGATATGGGGATTAGTATCAATTCACATAGCTACCGTACTGCGTCGACTTGGAGAACTGTACGGAGTATTCAAAGGTATCTCTGTTTGGGGAAGTATTATGTAAATAGGAAAAAGGATAGTTGAAAAACCTTATAATTATTTAAACAGTCCCAGCGACGCTCATATTGATTCTCTCTTTTGCATTTACCTTTTCTGCAACAACTCCCGCCTACTTCATACTCATCATCCACACAAGATGACAGGTTTTCAGGCCTTTGAGCTTACGGCAGCTGATTATTGTTTTCCCATGTTTTACGCAGGATGTACGATATCGTTCCGCCTCAAATCTCCTGATCTAGGGGTATCAATTCTCGCTGAAGCAGTCAAACAAGTAACGGATCGTCTCCCCTTCCTAACGGGTGTAGTTGGGCCATCGAAGAAAAGGCCCGAAATTATGGAGGTCCGATCTGAAACTACCAACGGCCTGGAGAAATTATACCCTCCTTTGTGCGCCGTCCAGCGATTTCCACACCTTCGGCTTCCTAGATCAGACCTTTCATCCAAAGAAGAAAACGGGAGCTATGATCGCGACACTAGTCACATCATGGTGCCGCTCCAAATCGCAGCGCTTTCAGCGGACCACCCCGTTATTCGCTTTCAAATAAATGTTCTTGCGGATGGGATTATTCTTTCACTGTTTGCCAACCATATGGTGATAGATGGTACCGGTATTGGAACGCTCATTGAGCTGTTGGCCGCCAATTCAGGATCTTGCCAAGAAAATAGCCAGTTGCAGTCTCTTTCAATGAATTCCAACTCTGACGCAAGAGAAGTCCTTTCTACGATCAGCCAGGAAAAGGCCAATCACCAAGCCCTAAATCCTTCAACAACACATACCATTAGATCCAATGACATACACAACTCCTCGCTTGTCGACTACAATTTCCACATATCGATTGACAAAATCAAGCTCTTGCATCAACAGGCGCTGCAGACATCAATGGGGGTCTCGCAGGACGACGTTGTAACAGCGGCATTATGGGTGTGCCTTAGCGAAATTCGCTCTCGGCCAGGAGAAAATGGGATGCATAGGTGCAGCCTGCAGCGACTAATCAACGCCCGGCACCGCTTGCGTCCCACCTTGCCCGCTCACTATGTTGGAAACTGTTTTGTTTTATTCAACGAGTCGGCGGGTACCAAAGAGTTGCAGACAAAGAATATGGAAGAGTCACGCAAAATTATTGCAGCAGCCTGCAGGTTAAGGAAAGGTCTGAATCAAGTGGACGACAGGTATGTCAGGAAATATTTCGCTCAGTTCAGTCAGCCAAACGACTGGGCGAGCACCACAATTCACCAATCGGATGTCACTGTCTCCAGTCTCCGCCGGCTGCGGGTCTATCAGAACTTTGGTCCGGCCCTGGGAGATGTGATTAACTGGGAACTGCTGCCGTACGCCTGCCCAGAAGGCGTGTGCACTATTAGGCCAGCTCGGGGGGCCAACGACCCTTGGGAGGTGAATGTGTCGCTCAATCGCACGGAAATGGATATGCTGCGGAAGAACTCGGTCTTCAGCTGGCTAGTGGAGTACGAATCGCCATTCAAGATCTTCGAGTCGAACGTGTAGGTAGTTTCGTTGTACGGAGTACCAGTTCGGATTCTTTTCGGATTTCGCTTAGTTAACTAACTAAATAACTAACTACGGAGTACCGTTACTCCATACGGAGTAGTTATACGGAGTACGTTAGTTAACTAGTTAGCTCATCATCATCTTCTTCCCACAACGTTACTTGAACCAGCCATCAATACAAATTCCGCAGTAATCCGTACCTATTTGCCCTTGAAGTGCATAACACGGCGCTGTGGCTGCATCTGTCTCGTGCTCACTGCGCCTCCATGCTGTAAATGTGTGGTAACTGTATTATAACCCCGCGGACGCTGCATTATTTACATGATGCTCAAAATCTAGCCGGTATTAGAATAGTGTTGCTTCTGATCGTGGCTAACTAGGTAGCGCCTCGGTCGGGCCCACTATCAAATTGAGCTAGTTTTGATGTACCATACGTCTCAAGCAGCCCAAGTATAATTTGTGCACCGAGGACGGTTCAAGAAATCTAGCAAATCCTCTGTCGATCTTCAAAGTGAAGCGACACAACAGTCAAAATCAGAATCGCCAATATTGTCTTCCACTCACAACTCGGGCAACATTTATGAAATGGGCTGTGGTTGACTAGTTAACTATGAAAAAACCAACCCTGCACCTTGGGGCTGCTGAGCTCTACTGTAGTCTGGGGAACCACACTGCAACAAACAGGACCGATCATTTTGGAACATGACGAACGGGATGGTGGTGAGCCGAATCGGCAAGTGTCTCGAAGTTTCGATCGTCGTCGCCAATCTTATGAAAGTTGATTAACTCCTTGCTGTACGGAGTAGCAGGACAGCATTCTATCTGGCAAAAGATACTCAAGCTGAATGGCATATAACCATGTTTTGCGTAGGGTGAGAGGCAGGAGAATCAGAAAAATTTGTCTATGCCTTGAACATTATTAATACCCATACACCTTACCGAAACTTCCCCTTATAGGCACCTAGAATGACGAAATGGGCCAAGATTTTTGCCAGTTTCTTCCTGTGTACGGTTCCCAGCTTACCTTCCTAGCATGAATATACAGATAACTGAAACTCATGTGCTTAGTTATTTGCACTTCGGCTCGTCCCGCAGCCTTTCACCCCCAGGGACGCCATGACATTACCTTCAGTGCCACAGTCTTGTATGGTTCGCCTGGGCCAGAGACTCTTCTGTTCCAGATGAAAGGTCCCAGTACACTACGCTGGGTCGCGTTAGGCCTAGGGGACAAGATGGCTGGCGCCAACATGTTCCTGGTCTACGCAGCATCGTCTGGGACTAATGTCACCGCTTCTCCCCGCTCCGCACCTGGTCACGTTCCCCCAACCCTTACGCCAGAGAGCCAAATATTTCTCTTTTCCGGAAGTGGCATCCAAAACGGAGTCATAACAGCAAATATTCGATGCGATACTTGCCTTGACGGCCAAAGAAATCTATGGGGCGAGGACCTTGCTTCAAGCAGATGGATCTGGGCCTATAAAATTGGCCCACCGATGAACTCTGATGATATTTCCGCAGACATTGACTTTCACGATGACTTCGGCTCCGTACTAATTGATCTAACTAGTACCAGTGCTAACATAGGCGACAAAGAGCCTTTTCTGGATCCCATTTGGAACGCAGTCCGTCCATTAGATGACGCAGACAACCCTAAAGCTGCCCGCTCAGCCACTACGGCAATTGTGCATGGCTGTCTCATGGGACTTACATTTGTGGTTCTAATGCCTATTTTCGCTCTGCTTGTTCCAATATCTGCTTTTATCCCAATTTCTGTGGTGAAAGTTCATGCTCCTCTCCAGATGTTCGCGTTATTCACGGCAATCGCTGGCCTTGGGCTAGGAATCAAGCTTTGGATACACAGTGAGAATATCCCAGCAGCGCACCCTATCATCGGAATTGTCGCAGTTGCTTGTCTTTGTATCTTCCAGCCTATTTTTGGTTGGCTTCAGCATCTGCATTTTGAAAGGACTGGGGCGCGCGGTCTTTACGCCTTTTTACACCGATGGCTGGGTCGCGGGATTATCATTGTTGGTATTATCAATTGTGGCCTTGGCCTCCTCTGGGCTTATCACCCCCAGGCATTACTTCGAGTGGGTAAGGTTGTGTATTCGATACTTGCAACCACGGTGGTTTTGGGATATGTGGCTGTCCATTTTGGCATCTTCTTTTATGGCAGACGACAACCAGGTATACGACTCAACACTCGTGACATGATAACCAGCTCTGACAACTTGATCCCCAGAGGTGAGCAGCAGCATAACCAGGAATCTGCCACTGCAAAATTTACGGCTTAAAGCACAATATAGTAGCAGGTATTAATGGATATAACCTAAAAAATGCCTTCATAGACTCTGTATATGTACCACATTCAATGTAGCGGTAATAGTCAACAGTAGGTTGGGTATAGCTTCTCTAAAATGCAGTTGAGGTGTCTTAAACATCTTTTGTATGATTTAAGAACACAAGTTTGATCTACTATTCTAAAAAGTTTTTATTTTAGTAATAGAGTAGATCAAAGATATTTTCTCTACTTTTCAAATTATCAAAATCCTAGAGTATAGAAGCAACATAAAGAAAATTATAAAGCCACTCTCTGCCCCTTGGTATTATGCGGAATATTGCATAGAATGAACGGATAGCTCACCCTCAAAACAACTGAACGACAATCTTTATAGTGCGTGTCAAAAACCCTTCATTTCCACATAATTTGCGTAATTCCATTAAACAAAGGGATCATGGTTGCCGTGATACGAGGATCGCTGGCAGCATACCGGTTGAATCCGGTCATGAGATCAGCGACGCCTAGGTATGGCTCCCGGATCTCTTTCGGAAATTTAGTGGCAATTGACTTGTCCAGCACAAGGCCTTCGACGAGAACTAAGCAATTATCAGACGCAGAAGTGACCTTAGAACTGGAGTCACCGACCGTCATCCACTAAGATGATCCCGCGTGGGGAGAGCAGATTGTGATCGAGAAGAAATCGAGTGTAAGGCTCATATTCTTCTTCTGCAGCATCGATGTATATGAGATCAAACTGACCAGTCAACGAAGGAAGCCTGATTGATGTACCACTCTATATTAACATTCTGTCAAAGTGTACACATCCTTACATGATGATAGATGAGAAGACGTACAAGTCTAGACATGGCCCTTTCACAGTTGTAATCCGATCGTTCGCTCCATACAGAGCAAAAGCATCATTGGCGTAACCAAGATATTTTTCAGACATGTCCATGCTGATAATCTCTGCCTGCGTTTTCCTTGTCGCCTCATAAAACGCAAGGGCACTGACGCCGGTAAAAGTACCAAGCTCAAGCACTATTTGCAGGATTAGTCGCGATAGCAAAGAATGACAGTAGTAGCCAAAGATATCAATTCTGGAGCAAGCAGACCTCGAGTCGGAGCTAGCATTTGAGTAATACTCATTAACCAAGCACACTGGGCTGGTGATGGTGCCATTACCGCCTCATCTTTGGAGAGACTGTCAGTGAACTCGATCTGCTTCATAATACAGCTCGGCAGTGAAGAGCTGTGAGCCTCACAGTAGTCCCCTGCGGTGACTACCTGCTCTTTAGTCAAGGAAAGCATGCACGAGTCTCTCATTGTATCGGCGTTGGATAGAACGGGTTAAAAAAGAGGTAAAGAATAGAATAGGTTGAAGCGAGAAGGAAAGGGTGATTGCCTCTGGCCATCGAATTTATCGTACTCGCCACGATGGGATACCATTGTAATCAATGGCAGCAGACGGTCTCGATCCCATATTGCAGTCATACGTATTTGGTACATGAACTCCGTAATCTGCACAGGGGTCACGGCAATGGCTCCTCCCAAAGTTTCTTTGATAAATCGTCTGATCTCCAATATGGAGCACACGCATTGGCTGGATGTATCCGTACTCTGTAAGTTTTGTGGAAGGAGAAAGGCCCGGTGATCACAAAAGCAATCTTCGCTCACCCGAAAAATTTGAGATTATGGCCCATGCAGCTAACTGTACGGAGTACCGAGGAACTATGGAGTACGAGGTCCACAGATCAGCGACGTTGATATATGTTTCAAAGAAAACATCTTAGGTACTCCGTACTCCGTAGTGACGCATCGCCGGATTTCATAATTGCCTATTGCGTCACTCAACATAACTACCCGGAAGCCATGATACGGAGTACGTATGCATGCGCCACCTCCGACATGCCCGCTCCCCAAATTTAGTCTAAGCGATGATAAACAGACATCAGTAGAGTTAAATTTTAACACTAGTAGCACTCTTAGTAAAAGAAACAGTGATCCAGGGGTTTGTAAGAAGTGCCTGAGCTGAATAGGGCTACAGAAAAACAGAACTTGAAGATCTACTCGGCTGTTCAAGTACCTAAAAAGATACCAAAGGGCTTAATCATAACCTATGATGTATCAGGGGTCATTTACAGGGTTGTTCACATTGATTCGGAGCACTTTAACTTACATTTCATCCTCAATCAGAGACCAAAGAGGAGATTTTATGTTAAGTGTTCGTTCTCAGATTAGAAGCCTTCACTACCCGTAGCGATCGAATCACCATGGCCAAATTTCTCCGTCCTTAGCTACCAGGGTTATTAGATCCGAGTCCAAAGAAAAGGCGTGGTAATGGAAGTCAATCTAGCTTCTGCGGGGAATTAGGCCGACCTTTTATGGCCTGAAATCAGAGCACTCATGAGGCTTGCTCGTCGATATACCGCCTCATATAATCAAACTCTGCTTTTCCAGTCTGCGTTTCGGCGTTAGTATGTTGTTAGTGTATTGTGCCCAGGCATCAATTTCATTCTCTTCAAATCACCATACCGAGATAAGGTATCTAATATGTGTCTGTTAAATAATCAGCTAAGCCATCAATCAAGGCCCAAAAGTAACCTACCAAGTCCGTAACGCTTTTATTCCGCTCGAACTCCTGGCGCGCGAACTGTTTAAGTTCATTTCTGGTGGTCGACGGCGGAATTCCTGATACATCAGTAAAATAGCAAGCATAATGTAACTGAAATAAGGACGCACTATTCACTTGGCGCACTATTTCACGCCATAGTTGAAGAGCCCGTTGGCGCTGAACAAACTACATATAATTAGTTTTGAGCTTCGTTGAAGGAGTAGTCGCGGACATGTTCCAAGTCCAATGCTGGCTTTCTCAGCCGAGACGCCCGGGGTGTAGCTGTAAAAAGGAGCGTTGTTACACGCATGAGGATTGGATCCCGGAGACTCGAAGGGCACCCCTTCAGCAACGTGGGTGGAAATCTTGTTGACTGATTCCTCCCAGGTAAACAAATGGATGTTCTCGAAGCCCAGGAGAGGAGGCTTGGCGTAGGTTTATGTAGTTAACTAGTTAGTTAGTTAGTTAACTAACTAATTAGCTGGTCAACTATAACCATACTACCACCAACACGCGTCGACGCGCAGTGCTGTCTCTGAAGAGCACATTCGGCTGGTGCTGTTTGTATTTTTCACGAAGGACGACTTGGCGTGAACATACGAGTATTTTTGAAAGACCTCGACATACGCGGGTTGTATCATTCCAGTGGCGTCAATGGCAGTGGCACACGACAGTGACATCATTCGAAGGATTCCGGAAGGATCCCCACGAAAGCGCAAGCGAGGATACCAAGAGATTGCCTTTTTTCGGACTTTGAGGGATGCTGTTAGCCAAAAGAAGTCAGTCAGAGAGATGGAAGCTACTTCTTCGAGCAAAAGTGTGTACCCACGTTGTCTAGATTACATACGATTGCGCGCGTGATAATAATATCTAGCCCTAGGACGTCGGACTACCAAGAAACCCCGTCTTGTCGAGACAGTGAATTCCCTACCATTGAACGAATTCATTGATCGCTATGTTCCGCCCTGTACAATACATACTCAACCTGCTCAGGATAATGGAGACGACAACCAAGAAAAAAAACAAATGCCCCGAATCAATAGTGATGATTCTCAAGGCTATTCGATCCAAATACACACGTCGTCAACAATTCCCAAAACTCATTTTGACGCATGCTTTTCCCTGATCAAGCTTACAAGCGCAGAAACATATAAGAGTTCACGTAATGGATGGTCTCCAGCAAAAAAGAAGGCGGAGATGAAGCTTCCAGATATGCGCTATCTGCTTCTGATGCGTAAACCAAACGGATCAAATAATTTGAAGGAGCATATGGCGCCATTAGGAGATGATGATTTAGGCGGTTTCCTCTCCTTTATGACAACATACGAGGATGGATTACCTGTTTTATATTGTTATGAGATTCATGTGGCTCCGAAATTGCAGCGTAAGGGGGTAGGAAACAAGATGATGCGCATATATGAGAATATCGGAAGAAATATCGGATTAGAGAAAGCTATGTTAACCGTTTACAAATCAAACATACATGGCTTGCGGTTTTACGAACGACTCGGCTTTGTCGAAGATGAGTCTTCTCCAAGGCCGATGATGCTGAGGAATGGTCATGCAATGAACTTTGATTACATGATATTGTCCAAATCCCTGAAGGGTATGGACGAGTCGCAGGATATTCAAAGTGATAGGAAGAATGCTTCAAATAACGTATAGGAAGTCTAGATCTGCCCAGCTATTTTACCTTTCATTTCTGGCCTCTCCTTTTCCCATTCATCTCTCAGCACAGCGAACAGGGAATCCGTGACAATTATTGACAAGCCCAAACTCCAAACAAGCGTGATTGCATAGAAAAAGTTTGCATTTCCTGAGCCGGCATAAATCCACAGATGATGGAATATGGGTCCTAAAAGACTTGCATAGAATAATGCAGATACAGCGAAAAAAGTGTATCGCATAACTTTAAGAACTTGTTAGTAAATCAAATGATGTAAAAGGATCGAATGACTTACGAGGAAAAACATGTCGGTACAAGGGTAAGAACGCAAAATATATAGAAACATCGGAAATGCTGGGGTATGGCTTAAATATGGCGAATATCCCAAAGAGCGAAGTGATGACAAATAACGGCTGGCGGCGAATACGTATTGTCAGTCCGCCAACGTATGCAGCTAGGTGTAACCAGAAGACTCCTAAAAAGAACTCCCGGAACGGGTCAAATATTTCGATGAGGAAATACCACCAGAGCCCAACATTTGGCGTCAGATCTGGAACAAGAAGCTGCACGCCATACGTTGCGGGAATGAAACTCCACGATCGGCCCACAATATGGTATGAAACATATAAGAGAGTCACAATGCTGCCGGCCAGGATTAGAAACTGTCGCAGGATAAACGTCAGAATTCCCCTTTTGGATGTTCCGTTAACGAAGTATCGGTCATAAGAAAGTAGAACAATAGGTGGGAAGAGCAGAGCTGGATAGAGAGACATATAAGAGGCCAATCCCAATGCGATCATAGAGTTGAAGCTACTACCAGCAATCGCATTTGACACTGATAATATGATGGCGGAATTGGTGAAGATGTTCGATGATCGGCCAAGACATGAAGCAATTGTGAACGGGTTGAAAAGATAGCTGGAATTCACGTTAGTGAAATTTCAAGGCATTAGTCCCAGATGTCACCCCACCTAGCAGCGATAGCTGTGCCATCCCATCGTATATTTTTTCGCGGAGAAGTGTATAACCTTGACACAACTGCCTCTCCGGAGTTGGAAATACTGCTTAAGGCATTGGCGTTTAAAAGATCAAAGAATATGTACACCAGCCCAGTGATTAATTGGTGTTCATAAGCTTCTGACAATAGCGAAAGGATTGGGAGTAGAATTGGGGCCTATTTATTATTCCCTGTAAGCTCCGCTGTAGCAAATAGCAAGCTCGTGGTTGGTGTCTACCTGGTGGAAAACGCCGCCGTCGTAAGGAGATACATCGCGATTGTAAAGAAAAAGGCCCTCTTGCACTATATTAGATCGCAAATTAGTATCTATTCTGCGCACTTGGGGGGGCTTTCCCTGGCTTACACCTCTTGAAGCTGCTCACAGGAGTCGAAACTTCAACTCGACGGGTGAGGAGATTAGGAAGGCCAGGGAACACGAGGATTAGGAGCAGTCGGAGAACAAAGGCACCTCCGAAGACCCAAATCTTTCTCCTATCGACGGGCATTCTTCGGTCTCTGCCGCATCGGATTGTGAAAGTGGCCGCCCAGTACCCGTTCCACCTCACTAACTTTACGGTCAAACAAACAGGACAAACATTTTGATGATGTAATCAAATATCGGTTGGTTAGCAGAGCGCAGCGCAAATCTGTGACTAGATGGAGTGTCGAAGCTCTTAAAAGTTCTCAAAATGGATCCCCATGCTACGCGGCCCTACATTCCATTTGCAATGCCAAAATAAGCTGAGAAGTCCGCTATATGGTAGCTTCTTGAGCTTAATATCGTCCTAACTACGAAGTAGTTAACTATTGCTTTGTCAGCAGGATAGCCCAAAATTTTTTCTGCATTTCCTTACCATCCCATAGCCAGCTTCTCAACTAGAAGAATTCCCACCTCATTGCCTTGTGATCCTTGTCGCCATGGCCAAAATCAAGAAAAAGGGTACCGAATTCTCATGTCTGTACTCTCGGTATTCACAACTAATTCAATCACAGGAACGTCTGGCGCCGCAAAGAATTATATTACCAGAACCCAAGCCGTGCGCAAACTGCAGGTCTCGCTCCCAGACTTTCGTCGACTTTGTATTTTTAAAGGTAGATATGATGTACTGCTGCTGAATGCTTTGAGTTTCACTGACCTTTTGGCTTTTAAGGCATTTATCCCCGTGAGCCGCGAAGCAAAAAAAAGGCGTCGAAAACCTCCACGCCTAGCACTACATTTTACTACACTAGGGATATACAATATTTACTACACGAGCCTTTACTCCGCAAGTTTAGAGAACAGAAATCCCTTTCCAAAAAAATTGCAAAGTCCTTAGGTCGTGGCGATGTTCGCGACGCGGCTCGGATAGAGAAGAACAATACTCCGAAAATCTCCCTCGACCACATTATTAAAGAAAGATACCCGACTTTTATCGATGCTCTCCGCGACCTGGACGATGCTTTGTCGCTGCTATTTTTATTTGCTAACCTACCATCAACGACTAATGTGCCCCCGAAAACCATCGCCTTATGCCAACGACTCTGCCATGAATTCCAACACTATCTGATTACCTCTCACTCCCTTAGAAAATCCTTCCTATCGATAAAAGGCATTTACTACCAGGCCACTATTCAGGGGCAGGATATTTTGTGGCTAGTTCCTTATCGCTTCGTTCAAAAGGTCTCAGGGGATATTGATTACAGAATCATGGCAACTTTCGTGGACTTCTACACTACACTCTTAGGGTTTGTTAACTTCCGCCTTTATACATCAATTGGCCTTGTCTATCCGCCAAAGTTTGACGCCAGAAGTGACGAGCATGGCGCAGAACTAGCCGCTTTTACGTTGGAAGGCAGGAAAATCGGAGATCAACTAAAGGCTATTGAACCCGATATACAAACCAACGGGACATCATTGCAAGACAACCCCACGCTAAACGATATCCAGTCAAAAGTCAACACAATTCTCCAGAATACCAACTTGGACGACAAGCGGGACACAGAAATAGTGGAGCAGAAGCAAACTGAGCTCGACGCATTTGATAGATTTGAAATTACAGCGCCAGAGGCAGATAGCCTTCCGCAACCTCAGATGAGCGGGAATGAAAGTGGCTCGTTATTCACTCCTTTGACATTCTTCATTTCCAGAGAAGCACCCAGGGCGCCGCTAGAGTTTTTATTGCGTGCTTTTGGGTGTAAAAGAATCGGCTGGGATGCCGTTTTAGGCGAAGGTGCCTTCACTCATGATGAAAGAGACCCTCGGATAACACACCAAATTGTAGATCGCCCACCCCTTGCGGAGAGTTCACTTCCACCACTGCCACAGAACCCTGAAAATGGGACGGAAGCGACGATAAGAGTACGACCAGGAACTAAAATACCTGGCCGAACGTACGTTCAACCACAGTGGGTATGGGATTGCGTTAATGATGGAAAGATTTTGCGCCCTGACATTTATGCCCCTGGTGCTACACTGCCGCCTCACCTTAGCCCGTGGGTCAAACCATCCAAAGGAGAGTACGATCCTCGGTTGAGCTTAGCGGAACAAGAAGATGAAGGTGAAGCTCAAAGAGCAGCCGAGGATGACCAGGATGAGGAAGAGAGTGAGGATCAGGATGTCAAGTCTATAGTCACGAAAGGCCCTCAAAGCCAATCGGTCGATGGCTCGGAAGAAGGATCCATTGACGGCGGGATGGAGATAGATATTCCCGGCTCAGACGACGAAGAGGATGAGGAAGAGGAAGAAGAGGAAGATACTTTCGAAAACTCCGGCGATATTGACGGAATGGTCAGCGATCAATCCGCGTCTGAGGATGAGGACGAAGTGGCACGAAACCAGCACCAAAAGGAGCTTGAAGCTGAAGCTGCGGGTCTTCCCTTCGCGGGAGCTCATGAAGTCGATGAAAATTCGTCGAAACTGCCAAAGAAAAAGCCCTTCAATCAAAAACATGCTATCAAGAAAAAGAAGGAGGAGGAGGAGCTCGAGCGCCAAAAGATGATGATGAGCCGGAAAAAGCGCAAACTTCTTGACAAGATGCTATACTCCAACAAAAAGAAAGATGAACAATCTGAAAAGTTACGAAGAAAACGAAGAAAGATCGAACAGGGGAAGAAGGAGTAGAGCTGGTTCTTCTTTGACCTTTTCTATTATGACGCCTAGGTGTGGGATAGTTCACGTGTACTCATGCTAGAGCAGCTTTTTAGGCGTTTAAAATATTTTAAAAGTATAATTTATCATTTTCCTTCAAATTATGCTTGTCTTCACAACTCAACAGTCGGCAAACGGAGTACGGAGTAGAGTGTCGACCTAACGAATGGTGCGCCAATTTTTGCTGTCACGTGCGTGTCTTCAAAGTAGTTAGATATATTTCTCCAAGCTCAGGACTCACTGTACGAGTAGAATCACCAATGATCCCTGGGCTGCTCCGTACAACAACATGATACAAGCGTCATCGAGTACTGAGCCAAAAAAGGTGGACTACACCTCAGATAAAATCGAACCTCATCTACCTCACTTACTTGATGACCCAGACGACTTGAGCTATGAAGAAAGTGGCAGCGACGCCATTGTTCAGACTCTCAGGGAAGCAGAGTCCGAAGATGCTAGCGATGCATCTTCCTTCTACGAGGGAAGCCCAGAAAGGCCAAACAGATTCAAAGGATCTAGGAGAGCCTGGTTTGCATTAACGACAAGAGAGAGGCAAGAAGCCACAGCTCTCGAAACTATTCAATCACAGGACCTATCCATCCATCTTTTCAATGCATTTTCACTGAAACAGCGAGCAGGCCATATAAAGGAGATAAGGGCTAGCGGTAATTGGGATAATTTCGCCAGGGATAATGGGTTCCGAGAGGATTTATTATCTACATTTGCGCCCGCTAAAACCTGGACTGCATGGCCTGAGAGGGCGATTTATGTCCCACGGCCAGACGAAATGTTAGCAAAGGCTGATGATGAATACTGGACTATCCGGCAGGCCCCAGATGCTAGACCTAGCGCGGACCTCGAAGAGCACATCATGGCGATGATGTTGAAATCAGCTAAAGAAAGATTTCAATCTCGCAAATTTTCACCTTCTCGGTCCCTGGAAGGGACTCCTGACACTCTATCTGAATTAGAGTCACTGGTATCCCACAAACGAGAAGACGATGGAATAGATGATATCGAGGGGGGGTGCTACCTTCGCCCTGTGGTGCAAGCAGACGACGATCAAGCGAGGCGACTCCTTCGCCCTGAGGCCCGCCATGTCATTAGCAAACTTGACGAATTACTGTTGAGTCTTTACAAGAGTCGTGAAACTTACCTCACAGCAGCTGATCTTGCGAGCTGCGAAGGAAATGGAGATGAGATGACGCGACACGGGAGGAGATGCAAGAGGGGAAGCCAGTCGAAAACGACGTCTGGTACTACTACTCCCCAGGGTACCTCGTCTCCCTATAGCAACACGATAGATGAACTAGCCGAGAATGCTGCAGACGTTCCACAAGCCCGAAAACGACGAAAACGCGCCGCACCGCGTAGGGCGAGACTGGGCCTGCGAGACTGGAGCGATATTCTGGGTGTTGCGTCCATGATCGGATGGCCAAAGGCTGCCGTGATGAGGACTGCCCGGCGGTGCGCAGATCTTTTCAAGGAAGATATGTTATTTCGGACTTTCAATGAAGGGAATCTTCAGCTTGAAATAGATAATAGTGGCTCACCCTCTTGGGCGTTTGTCGAACATGAAGAACACAATGACAATGGCAAGCATGCATCTCCTGACTGTATTGGAAAGCATAAAGAAATGCCATTTGTCTGCCCAGTAGAGGAGTGCAGACGGCATCGCTTTGGGTTTTCGAGGAAGTGGAATTTAGATCAACACATTCAAAACAAGCATCCTCAGGTCCCAATTGATTCTAGACCTAGAAGAAAGCGTCGGAGAATATCTAGAGAACTCTCTGCACAATATATTCCAGTATGAATTTGAAACCCGACCCAGCTCGGGCGGGCGAAAAATGAATTTGAGGAACATTCTACGGAGTATGCTGCTGCATACGAATTAGGATATGTTCTTTCCACTAGAACAATACCTAAAATACAAGATCCCAAAACGCCTTTTTTAAACTGCTACACCCCCAGTGCATTCTAATTAATATAGTATAATCCTTATGTTCTCATTGAATTTGTTATGGAAATCTCGGTTCGCTGAAAAATTCGTCTGTCACTTGGATCGATCTCCTCGGAGTCAACGATGGGCTCCGAGCTCTCTGTTCTATGGATGATCGAATTTCTCCCTCGTTTGATGGATGCCATATATAGATTCTCTTCATCATGTCTAGTCCAACATATCGTATTGTCAGTCAGCGTTAAGTTTTCTTTAGCCGCTCCACAGGATTTAAGATGGGACGCAAGGACAGAACGTTTCCCGGAACAATAGTCTTCAGTGCGACGAGCGGAAAAGACTTTAGGAAAGAAAAGAGAAAGTGGCTGCCGGATCATAGGCATGCAGGCGCAGACAATCCCAGTGTTCACTTCAATAACACTCCAGATCGCAAGGGGAGCTGGTATCCCTTTACTTATAGTTAGAAAGTTATTAAAAGGAAGCCTTCACGTGGTGTACAAACATAATGGGTCCTTTTCTTTATCTGATCCGGCAACAGTTGTGACTCGGATAATACTGGTGGCACAAACACTAGAGTTCTGCAGTTAGCACGTCAATCTCTGAAGTAATATATCTAGAAAGAGGTGAGCATACAATGTGCCAAGGGAAAATATGAAAAGCAATGCTACCTTATCCCTCAACTCTAGCTGAAGGTGAAGGATTTGATGTATTGGGAGAATTAAGATTAAAATGTCGGTAACAATGTTGCATACAGAAAACACCATTCGCCAAACATCTGTTTTAAGGCACGTGTGGGGAATAGAACGATCCCAAAAGGACGTCACTGGAGAGCATTGCCAGATTGTTGGAGGTGTAAAGGTAATAGCAGAAGCAATGGAAAACGCCATGAGCGAATAGCATTGCCAGCGAAAGGTTCTTGATACATAAAATGTTCTCAAGTAAAGGAGCAGAATAGCGACCTTAGTAACGGAAAGAGTGATTTTGTATATTATTTGAACAGTCATCATCCACTGTGCTCTTGATCAGTACGTATCCTTGGATGTATCAAGTAAGGAAAGAATAGCGAATTTATATGTCAACCTTCAGTGCTTCAATTCTGTCTTCTAGTGCAACATCCCAAGTGTGTCTGCCAAATCCATGCTCAACAGCTAAGCATGTGATAGGACCAGAGTTAGTCCAAGTTCAATATCCGCTTCAAGACAAGACGCACCCATAATATTCGTAGTAGAGAATACTACCGACAGAAGCTAAATTGTTGTCAGCCATGTCACCCATATATTGGATTCCGGCCGCTCTCTAACCTGTGCTGCAACGATTGTCCAGTCATCTGCCCGAATAGCGCTCCTGAAATACCTTCCAACCAAACGCATTGATACCATAAATCCAGAAACGATAACCATAGCTATCGATATGGCAAATAGTATTTTTTCCCTATGGGTTCCAGAAAGTGCAGAAACAGGTGAGTCCATTATTCCGGGTCTTAGGAGCCGTAAAAAGGAGCTATACAGCGTTCCTTGTCATAAGCAGTGACAAGGGCGTGGTCATTGTCCTCAGCGCAGCACCTCTAGGGAAACTGTCCAGCCCTATTCGATCTGTCGCATGGCACCTTTTTGTAGCCCATCCCTTCTAGCTGGTTCAAGGTGTGGTGGACAACACGCTCGCCACCATGGTGAAGGCGTATTTTGATTCTGATGGGTGTAAGCTAGCTGGTAGATTACAACAAAAGCAACACCAAGACCACCTCGAATGGGGAATTTGAGTGGTATAATTGGCTTCCATTGAGCGCCATGTAAGCTAGCTTGAGTTTAAGAAAAATAAGGCCAGGGTTAGCCGAGCTTTTGAGCCTAATTTTGGAACAGCCGTCAAGCAGCTCTCCCGATTTCTAGGTCTCAAACACAATAATGAATTGGCAAAACAAGATTCCCAAGTTGAGGAGTTGGAAACTTCTCTGGACCAAAGGCTGTTGGCAATGGCTGAAGACCACATCCAAACTTTTCGGGGGGCACTGGGTCTTGACCGCGACGATCAGAACGGTTTGTCTTCTTCCTTATCGGGCACCTAAGATAGGAGTTTAAAAGAGAGCATTAAGTTTGTCAAAGAGCAAGGTGGCCTTGTGTCCAGGCTGTTAGAAGTACATGCGTATATGGAGTACCAACATACACTACTCCGGAAACCAGAGACTATACTCCGTACTGGGTGCCTGCAATCACCAGTTTGGGACAGGATCAAGGTCCAGCTGGCCGCTGAAGGGTCGAGATTGAACTTTAAGGGGGAGGCGGCGTCTGGGACAGCCACTCGCATCGAGACAGGCAAAAGCTGAGTCAAACCTTGAAGACTGCTTGGGGGGTTCAGAAACGAGCGTTTCATCAGCGCCGCTACTCGGTACCGCTCTTCATTGGCAATGCAGGCCTCCATACGCTAAACCTAGTGGCATCGATTCCACCAAACCTGATAAGAGCTAGATCTCGAACCGAAGCGGCAGCGCCGGACACATCGCCATCACAGGGGCATCACTCTCAAGGCTGTCGAGCGGGTCCGGAAATCCCGGATTATTATCACTCCACGTCCCGATATCGGCAACGGATCAACGTCTCTCCGACCGAAATGCCGACCCCGATATATCGCGCCGACGCGCCGAAGCGTCACGGCCACTCTCGCCGGCAGTACGGTGCGTGCGGTATATAAGTTCTAGTAGTACACGCCCTGGTTGTGAAGCTGAGACATGACCTATACAGCTTATTTGGCCCTTAATTATCACCCAGCCATTCAGATAAGGCCGCTACTAGTACTCCCGACTGTTCCTTATTCGCATCCGAAATACTAGCTTCCCCGCATTCTTCAATCCGTCCGATCCGATATCCTTGCAACTCTGAGCATCTCATGATGGAGAAGCTCGCCCGCCCCTTCCTCCAGCAATTCTCCTATTATCGTCCAAAATACACATTAACAGCCGTTGCCCTCTACGGAAGGCGGCGATACACAATGCACACAGTTCCGCCTGTGAGTCACATCTGCCGTTCGTTGTTAGGGCCCTGCTAGACTCTACCAGCTCCCTTTTCATTGCAGACGAGACTGATTTACTTGAATCCTAACTTAGCTCAAAGATCGCTCCTTGCTCATCGGCAAGTGTTACGTGAATGGAGAATGGGTTGACGCGAGAAGTGGAGAAACCTTTGAGGTTCATGGTACAGACAATTAATTCCGAATTTTACCGGCAACAGAGAATAAGGAATTTGGCCTGCTAATGCAAATTTGTTCGGCCCTGTTGAATAGACCCTTCGACGGGCAAGCTCATCGGAACATGCCCCGAATTCACTGCTGAGGACACACAGAAAGCCATTGACGCGGCAGTCGCAGCATTTCCCTCGTTCCGCAAGACCTTGGCCAGAGATCGAGCTCGTATGCTGCGAAAGTGGTATCAATTGATGATGGACAACGCTGAAGATTTGGCGACCCTGATTACATGGGAAAACGGGAAGCCATATGCAGACGCAAAGGGTGAGGCAGCTTATGCTGCCAACTTCTTCGAGTGGTTCAGCGAAGAGGCTCCCCGCATCTATGGAGATACTATTCCATCTTCGGTGCCAGGAAACAGGATTATAACTCTAAAGGAGCCCGTGGGCGTATGTGGATTCATCACACCGTGGAATTTCCCTGCGGCCATGGTTACTAGGAAAATTGGGCCAGCATTAGCAGCTGGATGTACCGTTGTGTCCAAGTCTCCGGGTGAGACACCCTTCACAGCAAACGCTATCGCAGAATTAGCGCATCGCGCCGGTATTCCCAAGGGAGTTGTCAACTTTGTAACGTCTTTGAAGAACACTCCGGATATTGGTCGATGCTTAACCACCAGCCCTGAGATTCGCAAGGTCTCCTTCACCGGGTCTACCGGCGTGGGGAAACTACTCATGAAACAATCTGCGGACACTGTGAAGAAGCTCTCCTTTGAACTAGGCGGAAATGCCCCATTTATTGTGTTTGATGACTGCCCTGATCTTGACGCCGCCGTTGCCGGAGCCATCGCTTCCAAATTCCGCAGCTCTGGACAAACCTGCGTTTGTGCTAATCGCATCTATATCCAAAAAGGTGTGTATGATGAGTTTGCGGCTAAATTCGCTGAGAAAGTGAAAGGTTTCAAACTCGGCCATGGGTTTGACGAAGGTGTCACACACGGCCCTGTGATTCACTCACGCGCAATCGACAAAGTCACTCAGCATGTTTGTGATGCAGAATCAAAGGGCGCAAAGATCATCATAGGCGGCAAGGCAGCTAGTGTATTTGGCCCGAACTTTTTCGAGCCTACAGTTATGACCGGTATGACCAGGGACATGTTACTTGCAACCGAGGAGACTTTTGGGCCAGTTGCGGGGCTTTTTTCGTTCGACTCTGAGAAAGAAGTTATTGAGCTGGCCAACAAGGCCGAAGTGGGATTGGCTGCGTACTTTTTCAGTAAGGATGTCCGACGAGTATATCGAATCGCTGAAGCTCTTGAGGTGGGCATGGTTGGCGTGAATACGGGAATCATCAGCGATCCTGCAGCACCGTAAGTTCACCTCGGTCATTATTCTTGAGCTGGTTGTTTCAGCTGACGCACACCCCTAGATTTGGTGGAGTGAAAGAGAGCGGATTTGGCCGTGAAGGCAGTAAATACGGTATTGATGAAGTCCTCACCGTCAAGACAATCACTTTGGGTGGTATGGGAGCGGAGCTTCAGGGGTGAGTCCCTGAAATGTAACAGCTCATAGAAATATATTTGTACAAAAGCCACAAAAGCCACGGGTTACATAACTAGCATCAAAAGGTTTCGGGGCAATGAGATTTCCCCGTCATTTCAGTCTCGAAGCTCAGCCATTTAGTAGAGGACAGCTTTTGAAGTGCCCAGCGTAAAAGGTACGCTGCTGTTTACTTGTAACTGTTGGTGAATGCGGATCTTAAAAGCGGGGTTAACTACACGGCCCGTATATAAATACAACTTCATCGCACCCCCTAAGGAAAGTCAAGGACTACCTAGCTAGCATTGAACCTCTTTTTACATAGTCTGCGCCTTGCTCCTAATTTTCAGCAGGTCGGGCCCCTTATATCAACTATAGCTTAAAAGCCGAAGGCCCTGCGCACTCTGAGAATCCTTCATGATGGTCTCTTCTCTGCAGACCTCACTAGATCGACCCCAGCGGGAGAAACCATCACAGGTAAAATTCATCCGCGAAGCACAAATGAGTCTGTTTGCGAACATACTTTCATGGCCGCCCCTGGCTCGAGTCACCTTCCTGGAGAGATCAAAGAATGCCATAGACGAAGGGGTTTGTCAGGACAAGGTGCGTTTCATTCCTCTTCTTATGTTAAAGGAGGCCGAAGTAGTCGATGCCGCGGAATGTGGGGTATTGTCCCTCTTATTGACATCATGCAGGTTAACTTTACGGTACTACTTGAGTCAAGCCGCTCGTTCCCGGAACAAGCATGGGAGGTGTCTATCTGGCACAACATCAATGGGAAATGGACGGAACTACCATTGCAGAAAAATACCCTAGGCCCAGCCCCTGTTCATCTCGGGCGAGCAGGAGAGAACTATCACCAGTACACATTTTCTGCCCAGATCGAGTTTCCCGAGGAAGGCAAGCATGCCTCCTTTACCGTAAAATATCGAACTGATCCTGGGTCGAAATGGCAATGGATCAATGAGCAATTTGGAACCAAGGACGGCGAAATGGTGTTTAGCCCCCGACAGACATGGCTTGATAAGTACACTGGGGGTGACGCTGTGGCTCAGATCGCCGATTTCATAGAAAATCTTGATCAGCGATTGAATGTTCAGAATCTCTTGAGTGAGGCTCCTGGTGCAGCATTGTGGAGCATTACTGGAAATATAGGGCCAGCTGTTGATGCTAAGAGCAGGCATGTGATACTACCGCTCGGTTTACCGAAGGATTTTGTCAGGAACTTTTCGCTTGTTCGTATATGGACCCCCTGGTTAGCCCCTAGGCATGGAATGGGGACTTATCGACTGACAGAAGATGCCATCCTATCCTCATTCCTACGAAAAGATGGTCTTTGTTTGGTGTTGCTGGCTATTAGCGGCCCAACGAATATTCTTACCGTGCTTCGTTCAACCGAGTCTGGAGAGGTAATTATATCTGCAAAAAACGATGATAACGAAGAATCTGAAGCAAAAGTCCTTGCATCTGCTGCGCCTTCTTTTGACGTTGCGATTGCTTCAGTAATGTATGAAGCAAGAAAGTGCATGAGAAGCTCTTCTATGTCATTACCTCATTTGTTCGGAGAGAAAGAAAGGCCAGAGCCTCCAGCAGGCGAAGAAAATGATGATGTGAACGCCCAATGGATGTCAAGCTGGTATGATGGCTTAGCATATTGCACTTGGAATTCTCTAGGTCAGAACCTTACCGAGGAGAAAATCCTTCTCGCACTAGAAACCCTGAAAGCGAATGATATTAACGTCGTGAACTTGATTATTGATGATAACTGGCAGTCTTTGGATAATAAAGGTCAATCTCAGTTCAAAAGAGGTTGGACAAGATTTGAGGCAAATGAGGATGGGTTCCCTAAGGGGTTGAGACATACTATCGACACGATAAGAAATAAGCATAAAAATATTAAACACATTGCTGTATGGCACGCCCTCATGGGATACTGGGGTGGGATATCGCCCAGTGGAGAGATTGCAAAGAGATACAAGACAAAACTGGTCAGAAAGGTAGAACGAGTTGCGGGTGGGACCATGCTTGCTATTGACCCAGATGATATTTATCGTTTTTACAACGATTTATATTCGTTTTTGTTGGCTGCCGGAGTTGACTCCGTGAAGACAGATGCTCAATTTTTTCTTGATGCCTTAGATGACGCAACCGATAGGGCACGATTTACAAAGGCCTACCAAGATGCGTGGTCAATTTCCACCTTGAGGTACTTTCAAGCAAAGGCAATTTCTTGCATGTCCCAAGCTCCTCAGATAATCTTCCATTCGCAGCTGCCTACCACAAAACCTCGCATTTTGTTACGGAATTCTGATGACTTTTTCCCTGACATTCCCAGCTCGCACCCGTGGCATATATTCTGTAATGCACACAATTCATTGCTAACTCGATTCCTTAATGTTGTGCCAGACTGGGACATGTTTCAAACTCACCACCCCTACGCCTCATTTCATGGAGCAGCAAGATGCGTGTCTGGAGGTCCTATCTATATCACTGACGAACCTGGGAAGCATGACCTTGGCCTAGTTAATCAAATGAGCGCTCCATCTGTCAATGGTGCCACTGTCATTCTCCGACCTAGCGTCCTAGGCGCGACAGGGGATGTTTATCATAATTATCATGAAGGGCAGATTTTGAAAGTAGGAACTTACACAGGCCGCGCTGAGACTGGAAGCGGTATTCTCGGTCTATTCAACATAGCAAGCGAAGAGAAGTTTTCTCTAGTTTCGATTTTCGACTTTCCGGGAATAACTTCTGGCTCCAAATATGTTATTCGTGCCCATTCGACTGGGAATATGACTATGGGAGTATGCGACCAGAATTTTCTTCTTTCTATTTCTCTTGAGCAGCGAGGCTGGGAGATTCTTACGGTATACCCCGTTCAATCCTTTTGTTTAGGCGGCCGTGGTGGTACAGAAAAGACCTTAGAAGAGACTCATGTTGCAGTGCTTGGTCTCCTTGGAAAAATGACTGGCGCAGCTGCTATCATTGAATATGAAGTGACTGACCTGGAAGATGGTCGACTGCGCTTAGTAGTGACACTCAAAGCGCTCGGGGAGCTAGGGATTTTTATTTCGAATATTGGGGCGAAAACCGTTGATGATAATTTTATGGTATTGCTTTCAGGCAGGGCGGTTCCAGCTGAAACCGTTGCAATAAAAGACTTTGGTTCAAGCAAAGTACTTTCAATAGATGTGCTGGCGGCGTGGAGGAAATTGAAGTTGCAGCCTGGGTGGAGTAATGAGGTTGCCCTGCAAATTTTTATGAAATAAAACTAGGCCACTGCATTCAAGATTTAAAATTTCCGCAGGACGGAGTATACTAATATTTGTTAATAGGTATTCTCCTTATACAATGACCAATTTTTGCAATATAGATCACGGAGTCCATGGCATAAGAACTCAAAAGACTAAAGGCGAAGGGAAGGAGTCATGAGCTTATAGCATGACGCAAGAGATTTGGCAAGAAAGAAAGTAAATATCAATAGCTCGGAAGTTGCTTATTGTCACAGGCGTAAAGTTATTACGAGAAAGGGAAAACACCTATTAATGCTGGGCCAGTATAAAGTGAGAGACACTAAAAGCATACATGCAAGCACTCATATCAAGCATGGCTCCAAAAATACCAAACGCCCGAGATCCAGATACGCCTTTACCTCGCCTATACCAATACTGTGGCTGTTGGAAATCAAGGATAAGGTGTCGTAACGGTGTGGTCAATTGTAAGCTTTATGGAAAGGTCAGCAGCATTTGCCTTGCTTCCGTTGGGAAGAGCCCTCCGGCTCGTTATGTTCTCGTTCATCGTGTAAAGCCAAAGCTGGTGGAAAACCCAGCCAGCTGCGTCGTTTGTCTACATTACTATCCGCCCCAGAACCATCTGCTGACGCTGATGGGAGCTCTCTTCCCTGGATAGTTCTCCGTCGTGCAGTATCAACGTCCACTTTCTTGTTTCTTTGCTCGACAAGTTTTCGGGCAATTACACGAAAAACTTCCTCAATGCCTTCCCCATCTTTGGCGCTTATCTCGTGGCAGCAATCCCAACCAATGTCCTGGCCCCAGAAACCACTGTTACGTTTGCTTTCAGGGCCATGACTGTTAGGCGCTGTGGTAGCTGAAACCCCCAGCATTCCCATTCCAGAACTCGGCGGAGGTGTTGATGCCTGAGAAGGGTATAGTTGCTCTGCCACATAGGCTATCGTTTTCTCGAATGGGACTTTTCGTTTGTTCGGGTCATCAGCAACAATGTCGGATTTCGTCCCCACAACATGAATTATTATCGAGCTATCATCCCCAAGGTTCTCCTTTAACTCCCCCAGCCATCCGGTCATTTCTTTGAAGCTCTCTTCATTCGTAATATCATAGCAAAGGAGACCAGCATTTGCCCCACGATAGTACAAACGGGATATGCTCCTGAAACGTTCTTGCCCTGCGGTATCCCAAATTTGCAGTCTCACAACAGTATCGGAGGTGGAGTCCAGGACGCGCTTTGTGACAAACGATGCGCCGACTGTGGATACGGTGGCGGCAGGATTGAAGGAGTTTTTGACATACCGTTGGACGAGGGACGTTTTTCCAACACCTGCAGGGAGCAAACACCAGATATAGCTGTCAGGCTTTTATGTAAATAAGGAGGGAGGAAACAGTAGCTTACCTTGAGCACCAAGAACCACGATCTTAGCCTCCAGGCTATTACTCATAACTACAGTGAGGCTAAATACTGGCTATGATACGTCTAAGTTAAGCACGGGGAAGGCTCATGTCGCGGTGAACTCAAGAAATTTGAATCAAACTGTCTCGGGAAGCGGTTAGCCGGGCGTGTCAATCTGTGCAACGATGGCTGAAGATCCTATGTTCGAATTTCCACTGAAGACGGGTTTTGTGCTCGGGATCTTGGAAGCAAGAGAGAATATGCGAGAGGAAGTTCAGCGTCCTTTCAGGAGCGGGTGACTCAGGACAGGACAAAGCAATCGAGTCACGCGTCAGGGAACACAGCCTTCTTCACTGCTGAAATGACAGGCTCACATAGCAGAAACGGGTCTGCATGCTGACATGACTTGGGTTCCCGTCAGTTCGTCACTGCTGAAATGCTCAAGCAAGTCACGCCCAACGGATCAGCGGCTCGCGTCACGGCGTGTTTGCCCTGTATACTCCGTTCGCGCTGTGTACGGAGTACGAGAGAACGAACTGGCTGGGCCTGCTTGGCATTCGGCTCGGATTAATGTATACCCAAAGATGTGCCAAGCCATAATTTTTGGCCGTCCAGAGTTGTGACATCAAGCTGTTTACGCGGTAGCATGGCCGGAGTGAAGCTCCCTGCCGCCATGCGCTCTCAATTTCAAAGCTCCCGTTGGCTTTGCCTGCCGACGATGTGCCCAGCTTGCCGAAGGAAACCTCGAGTGTTTTCCACAACGTCGCTTCCGACATACAGAGCCCCAAACTGGCGCGTTGCTTTACCTAGTGCCTGGATTGTTCAACGGCGACATATTACACAGCAACATTTGCGCCGAATTGCAGCGGCCAAAGAACAATGGGATATGTGGGCGAAGCAGATCGAGGCTGGCGAAAGGCAGAGCTTTCTGTCGCTGTTGGAAGATCGAGGTCTAATAAACTCGGTTGTTGGGTTGGTTTGAATCTGCCCTTTCTTTGACTCTAACCGATGTTCTCTAAGGATTCTAAAAGATCCTGGCTAATGCAAACCCTGATACAGTGACCGAGATGTTTTGGAAAAGCTAATAACGAAAAAGCGGGTTGGTTTTTATGCTGGTGTAGACCCTACTGCGCCATCGTTGCATATTGGCCATATGCTCCCATTTATGATTCTGGGATGGGCATACGTTCATGGAATGAAGGCAGTTTGGCTTGTAAGTGCATCTGCATATTTCGACTCATAATCTCTATTCATGCTTTGTTCACAGCTTGAATTTTTGATCTAGCTCGGTGCAACAACATCAAAAATCGGCGACCCGACAGGTCGGGTGGAAGCCAGGCGATTAATGAAAAGTGCCCTTCGGAAGGCAAATATAGCCAATATTCATCTCCAGCTTAAAAAGCTTGGGGCATCATTTGAAAAATATGGCGCGAAGTACGGCTACCAATATGAATGGGCATGGCGCCGAGTTCTCGCAAATAACAGCACCTGGTGGAATAAATCTTCATTTGGAGATGTTATAACAGAACTTGGCTCGAACGTAAGGCTGGGACCTATGCTCGGACGGGATAAGTATATTGCCGATTACCATTTGCTTCTGTCATTGTGCTCACAGTAATTTAGCGTCAAGTCTCGATTGGAATCAGGCCATGGCATGTCATTGGCCGAGTTCTGCTACCCAATAATGCAAGCTTGGGATTTCTTGTATCTATTCAAACACGATGTTCAAATTCAGGTTGGAGGATCCGACCAGTACGGAAATATTCTATTTGGAATAGATGCTATCAAAGGAGCATTGAAGCACGATCCAAAATTTGGACCAAAGCTGTGTGATGATCCCGACATGGAGTCTCCCATAGGTATCACGACCCCGCTACTTACAACTCCATCGGGTGAGAAAATCGGGAAGTCGATGGGGAATGCAACTTGGCTTGATAAAGACATGACTTCTTGTTTTGATTTATATCAGGTGAGCGGACTTTGCTGAAAGTACTGCATAATGCCGTTTGCTAACAAGTATCTAGCACTTTGTTCGAACCCCTGATGAGACTGTTGAGAAAATGCTGAAGATGTTCACATTTATTCCAATTGATGAGATTAAAAGCATTATGAGGCAGCATAATATGGATGTCACGAAGCGGGTAGCACAACACAAACTTGCAATGGAATTTGTCGAACTTATTCATGGACACCCTGAAGCCATTGCAGCTGCGAAACAGCATCATATGGTCTTTGCATCCGCCTCCTCGACAGATACCTCGGGCCCGGAATCTGAATCTGCGTCTGGAGAAGATGAAAATTACAAGCCCGGGCCGCATAGAATGTTTCAAATGCCGTCACCACACCTGACCCTCCCACGATCCCTCATTGTAAACCAATTTTTCCATAAAGTGTTGTGGTCTGCAGGCATGGTTGCTTCTAAAGCGGAGGGTTTTAGGCTGATCGCAAGCAAAGGAGTTCATGTCGGTAGTATGGCTGACGCAAAACAAACTATGGGAGATTTCATTTCCTACACTCCGATATTGACTTGGCCCACTGGAATTACCGAGAAATTCATCATTGATAACTCTTTGATGATCTTGAGAATCGGTAAGTGGAATATTAAAATAATCAAAATAGTTCCAGATGAAGAATATGAGAAGATGGGCCTGGATGCACCGGGCTGGAAAGACAATGAGACAAGGGAGGAGCGCCAAGAAGATAATAAAATGTATAAAGCGCGTCAGAAAATAAAGGGTCGCAGAGTCAAGCTGCCGCCAATTGCTCAGGCTCCTGAAGTCGAAATTCGGTCATGGAAGCCTGGGCAAGAAGAGCCAGTGCTGAGTGGAAACAAAGAAGGTGACGCTGGACAGCACTCGTGAACAACCCTTGGGTTTTCTGGATCATATATGTACTATTATCGTTAGATTGTCTGCTCATAGTTGGCGTTTTAATTTAATACTCTGTATGTAACTACACTATACTTACTTATTTATCTGCTTTCTCCAACAATCGAATCTAGAATGAGCAAGCCTTGCTAGTGGTAGTTCACCAACTCATTACGGAGCAGCTTGTTATCTTATCTGATCCGTCTCACGCGTTCAACGCGCGCTAGTTAAATTGACGTCGCGCTTCACGAATCACGTCTTCTTCAACCCCCTGGAAGAATCTTTTATTTAAGCTGGAAATGGGCCATTGACTCGCCCCATCATTTTATGCTGGCTTAAATAGAAGAGCCCAAAACCAGCAATTCTTATTATCCTACTCTTTCGCGATGAAGAGCCAGAAGTCCATCCTGGGCTTCTTCCAGTCCAAATCGTCACCCTCCACTCTGCCAACTGCTCAACGTGCCAGTGCTGTCAAACAAGAGCTAGTCTCATCACCAACCCGAGCATCCTCTGCAAAACTATCACGAAGCTTTGCATCTGCCAATACGAAGTCAACGCAGTCGCCCGATGCAAGACAGTGCCAGCCTCCTCATTTGACACCTGCTCCTAGCAGCGATGCTATAGAACCAGGGTCTGACGATCTTAACACACGGAAGACTACAATAGAAAGGTCGAAGGAAAGTTTTAAGACCGTGGACGCTAGCTTGCCCTCTCCTGCTACGTCTGCTAACGACCGTGACGGAGAGCAGACTGAGAAAGATACGCGAGATTCGATTACCCCAAGCCGACGCGTATGTCTTCCATCTTTTCCCAGTTATTTTCCGTCTTACTAATTATCTTCACTTTAGGCTAAGAAACCAGTGAGCTATTTAGAATCAGATGATGACATTATCGTGGACTCTAGAATAAGGCGCCAGGGCCGCCCTCAGCCAACCAAAAAAAGAAAGAGTCTTCCAGTGACAGATAACGAGGATGAATTTCAACTCGATGATAATGCAGAGTTTTTTGATGATGGTGAGACGCCGTACAAATATCCGGATAAAGCAAAGGCTAATTTTACAAGATATGGACGACTTTATTGTTGCCGACGACTCTGAGGACGATGTAAGGCCGACGAAAAAAGTTAAAAGATCCTCCAAGATCCAATGCGCTAAACAGTCTCATGTTGCTTCTATCCAAAACGAGGGTATGAATCCAGCGATGGCTGAATCAGCCTCAGGAACCGCGCTGAAATGGACATATGATCCGAACAATAAGGGACCCCATCAACGCCAAAAGATCCCGGCACAATCCTCATCAAAATCTGAGAAGAAAAAATTAAAAGCTCATATGACAGAGCCGGAGAAGCGGTATCCATGGCTTGCGAATGTCCTAGACATGGATAAAAATGCCCCCGGCCACCCCGACTACGATCCTCGAACACTATACATTCCGCCTCTGGCATGGACCAAATTCTCCCCTTTTGAAAAACAATACTGGGAAATCAAGCAAAAATTTTGGGACACTGTTGTATTCTTCAAAAAGGGGAAGTTTTACGAGCTGTATGAAAACGACGCCACCATCGGCCACCAGCTGTTTGACCTTAAACTCACCGATAGAGTTAATATGCGGATGGTGGGAGTTCCAGAAATGAGCTTAGAACACTGGGCAAATCAGTTCGTTGCCAAAGGATATAAGATTGCCCGCGTCGACCAATCGGAATCCGCTCTTGGTAAAGAGATGCGGGAAAGAGACGATAAAAAGAAAGGCGATAAGATTATCAAACGAGAATTGAGCTGCGTCCTTACTGCTGGTACACTTGTCGACGGCTCTATGCTTCAAGACGATATGTCGACATACTGCACCGCTATCAAGGAAGCCCTTATTGATGATCTCCCGGCCTTTGGGGTAACGTTTGTGGATACGGCAACAGGCCAATTTTTCCTAACTGAGTTTGTTGATGACATCGATATGACCAAGTTTGAAACCCTAGTCGCTCAAACCAGACCCCAAGAGCTCTTGCTAGAGAAATCATACATGTCACCAAAAGCTCTTCGAATTTTAAAGAATAATACAAATCCTACAACAATCTGGAACTACTTGAAACCAGGAAAAGAATTTTGGAACGCAGATATGACTCGCAGGGAGCTTGATGCAAGCAAGTATTTTGTCTCTGCCGATCAAGACGATGTTGAAGCATGGCCAGCCGTCCTACGAGAGGCCAAAGACAAAGATCTTGTGATATCTTCATTTGGTGCTTTAATGCAATATTTACGAATGCTTAAGATAGAGCGGGATCTCATCACCATCGGCAATTTCACCTGGTACGACCCGATCAGGAAGACATCGAGCCTTGTTCTGGATGGACAGACCTTAATCAACCTTGAAGTATTTGCAAATTCCTATGATGGAGGCCCCGAGGGAACATTGTTTCGGCTTCTTAATCGATGCATCACGCCGTTCGGGAAGAGACTGTTTAAGCAATGGGTTTGTCACCCACTCATGGATTCCGATAGGATCAACGCCCGGCTTGATGCTGTCGATGCGTTGAACGCAGACGATAACGTACGAGAACAATTTTCATCGCAGTTATCTAAATTGCCAGACCTTGAACGACTCATTTCTCGCGTCCATGCAGGAGGATGTAAATGCCAAGATTTTGTACGTGTGCTCGAAGGGTTTGAACAAATTGACTACACTGTCAGCCTTCTTAAACAAACCGGTAGTGGTGAGGGCATCATTGGGCAGCTTATCTCTTCTATGCCGAATTTAGATGGCTTATTACAATACTGGAAAACGGCATTCGACCGAACAAAGGCGAAGGAGAGTGGTGTACTTGTGCCAGAGCCGGGAGTAGAAGAAGATTTCGATATTTCAACGGAGCGTGTTCAAAAGATAGAGCATGATCTTGAACAGCTGTTGAAAAGGGTACGACGCGAACTAAACTGCTCCGCAATTGTGTACCGGGACAACGGCAAGGAAATATACCAACTCGAGATTCCTATCAAAGTGAAAAATATCCCAAAGGGATGGGATCAGATGTCCGCAACGAAGCAAGTCAAGAGATACTACTTCCCTGAACTTCGGACCCTGATTAGAAAGCTTCAAGAGGCACAAGAAATTCACAGCCAGACTTCAAAGGAGGTTATGGGCCGTTTTTGTGGTCGTTTCGATGAAAACTATTTAACATGGCTTTCCGCAATCAAGATAATCGCGCAGCTTGACTGTTTGATCAGCTTAGCAAAGGCGTCTGCAGCTATAGGATACCCTAGCTGCCGCCCGCATTTTATTCATAAAGAGCGTAGCGTTCTTGAATTCCAGGAGCTTCGTCACCCTTGCATGCTATCTAGTGTGAGTGATTTTATCCCTAATAATATCAAGCTCGGCGGGGAATGCTCCAGCATCAATCTTCTTACGGGAGCCAACGCAGCCGGAAAGTCAACTGTGCTGAGGATGGTAAGTTCAGGGTTCGCGGCCTTTCCATGCGTAGTAAGACTATACTAATAAACTATTAGACTTGTACTGCGGTGATTATGGCTCAGATTGGATGCTATGTACCTTGTGAATCCGCAACACTTACCCCCGTCGATCGCATTATGTCTAGACTTGGGGCGAACGATAATATTTTCGGCGCCCAGTCGACATTCTTTGTTGAATTGTCAGAGACCAAGAAGATCTTATCGGAAGCGACACCTCGATCCCTCGTCATTTTAGACGAACTGGGCCGTGGCACAAGTTCTTACGATGGAGTGGCCGTCGCCCAAGCAGTACTTCATCATATTGCAACACATATAGGGGCAATGGGTTTCTTCGCGACGCACTACCATTCCCTTGCCGCTGAATTTGAAGGACACCCAGAGATTTCCCCGCGCCGCATGCAAATCCATGTCGACGACGAAGATAGACGGGTCACGTTCTTATACAAATTGGAAGCTGGAGTCGCAGAAGGAAGTTTTGGGATGCATTGTGCCTCTATGTGTGGCATTCCAAACAAAGTCGTTGAGAGAGCAGAGGTCGCAGCGAAGGAGTGGGAGCACACCAGTCGACTCAAGGAAAGCGTCGAGAAGAAAAAAGGGAGCGGATTGCTTGGGTTGGGCTGGTGGAGTGATGTCGCATGGATTCTTAAAGATGATGCTTCACAAACTGCCAACCAAGAGTTCCAGGAGAGAGGCATCGACGTTCTCCTAAAAGCAATTGAGAATATGTGAGGTTCATATCTGACTATTTTTTGAAAGATTCATATATCCTTCATCTGAGCTGTGATATGTCGGATATATCCTCTCTCTATGATCGGTGGGCCGTGGATTGTAAAAACTAGATATATACTACCTAGTGCCTGGCATTGTATGTAAATACATATCGTCATTTGTAAGAAACAGCTTTAGATCCATAGATATAGACATCTGTTTTTCACAATATTAGCCTTTGAATCAGCGTGTGTGACCGGATGACTTGACCTCAGATCACGCCAAGCTTCTTCCAAACAACCTCATCATACCCATCCATACACTCGACATACTCTTTTCCGGCCTTAAGCCAACCTTTGATTCCTCCTTCAAGCACCAGGCTCGTCATGCAGGTCGAGTCATTCTCGGCGATATAATCAGCAAACCACCCCCCAGCGCGGGTTCCACGACCCTGCGATGAACCTATGAGAATATGTCAGTAATTATCTGTCAAGAAAACTAAAAACAATTGCTGTCTCACCACAGTAAAAAACAACCTTCTTAACATTTGCCTTTTTAAAAATGGCATATAATGTTGGTAGTGAGGGGTGTAGGCTCTGTGCTGGAAGGTTTATCGAGCCTAATATCGTACCTCCCTGGGTAGCATGGGAAGTTAGTAAAGCTATTTCTTTATAAATACCGCATGCAATGGTTTGACGACGGCTACGCCTACGGGGCTATCAGAAGTGGAATAATTTCTACCTCATGGTCCGCTCGTCGCAGGTCAACCAGCACATATTCCGCGTCGTCTGACTGGTGGCGGAGCCATTGGAGCACTTCTTCGCGGGTGACGATGTCTGCTTTTCGTGTTGGAGCTGGAAACGCCGCATGCCAGGGAGCTTCCTGTGTTTGCGAAGCTGTGGTAGCCATGGTTTTGCCAGTGGTGGTTGGAGGTGGGGTGTGAATCAACAGACGAGGGGTAGTTAGAGATTAAATTAGCGCTGCTGGGGCGAGGCAGGCTCTGCCTACTTGGAATTGGATAATAAATATAGAATTCAACTTCATTTCGGACAGACAAACTCAATGAATTGAAGAAATTGTTCTTTCAGCTACAGTTATGAAATCGTTAGGCTATGAGGAGTTAGTCTTCCAATACATACAGGCAAAACATGGACTTCCAAAAGCAAATGCCCGAAAATCTCCCAACTAATACCAAAGGGCAAAAGGTACCTCTTAGGCAGCTGAGTTCTCTGCTAGCCTTGCCCTCAGCAGTTCTCAAAACGTCTCTGTGGTGAGAGCCAAAAGAAACAACAGACAAACACCCTCAAGTCCAAGTCGAATCTACATCTAGGCATATTCTTCTTTGACATCCACTTCGTTGGTGATTTGGGAAGAGCTGTGAACGGCGCCATACACAGTGTTGTCGATAATGCCTTCACCAAAATGTCCAAGCATGGATTCATAGCCAATGCCATCTTCGAGCTTGATAGAATCGTTGCTTTTAAAATGTTAATAGGGCCGACAGCATATTGATCAGAGAATTCATGTTCTTACATCAAGTCGATCGCATTGTCAGTGACTTTGGTTTCGCTTTTGATTTTCTTGGCTGTCGCGGCGCGTCTTCCCGCAACGCGTTTTTTCACAGGCGTGCTCTCACTGGAGTCCTCGGGGGAATCAGCACCGGTAGCGAGATACGCAGCAGTTGGAACATCATCTGTAGTCTTTTTTGCTTTTGCCGTGTTTTTACGGCCAGCAGTGCGCTTGGTGACCTTCTCAGGAGCCGCAGCCTGTCGCGTTTGTAAACAAGTGATGAGTTTCAGGGGCACAAGCGTGACCACTCACCTTCTGGATGAGACTTACGCCGTCTTCGCTGTTTCTCAAGGAAACAAGCTTGCGTCGAGCCTTGTTGAACAGAACGGATGCGACAGAAGCATTCTTGAGGCCTGACATTGCTGCCAGTTTGGTGTAGTCAACCTAGACGGATAGCCAGTTAGTTTAGTTAGTTAAATTAGGTAGTTAACTATCTGGTTAAGTCTAGCTAGCGATCTAGAACAGACAAGGATTCTCCACAAAGACATAACTAACTAGGCTGCATACAGTGGCTGCAGATCCACATGCAGGACTGACAGACCGACAAAAGGCTAATACATATGTATGTATGTACCTGAGAGAGTCAAGCTACTTACTTTGATGTTGTTAAGGCCTTCAAAAGCACAAATCATGCCATTGCTAAAAATGCGCTGCTCACTTGCAGACAAAGACTCCATGATGAACGTTGATTGAAGGGATGATGAGGTCTTAATGAGAATAAAGAGTCAAGGTGTCAATGTTCGTGAGAATTATTTAAGAGCTTTTAGCCGGTAAAGTAAGAGGGAAAGATGTCCTTGAGTTGAGAGGTGATGATTTAGAGGGATGAGGAAGGAAGATGGAGGGGATGAGGACATAAGTATTATATAGTGTTGGAGGGGACGACAACACAGTGAATACTGTAACCATGCCAACACAAGAGAGAAAGAAAACCCTTCTTGCACTATTGCCAAAATTTCAGAATGTGTTCCTCTGTGAGTGTTGAAGTGAACACTTCAAAGCTTTTCAAAGCTCATGTGAACTGATAGAAGATATAACAGAATATATAGAGTAGATATGCTGGGGCCTGTAACTGAAGATGCCGCTAATTATATTTCCAAAGTAGGAGCATTTTAGATACTAAAGGGGGTATAAGATTCAAAAAAAACTCAGACAGGACTCATGTGTTTTTTGGTAGGTGGCTATTTTGCTTGACTAGAGCGAATACTTGCTCCCAGATTTCAGGGAAGAACTTAGGCGTCGATCTCGCTGGTCTATTTTTATGAGGCGCATAAAAATATACGGTTTCCCGGCCTTTCCACCACGGTCGGGGCTGCGGATTAATGCTAACGAAGCTCACTGGTCTTGTGAAAGATTTTGTCGGCATAAGGTCTGATATTGCAACCTGCGTCCGACGTGGATAGAAATTAAATTTCATCGTCTCAATATTCAATGTTGCGGTTCGAGGAATGTTTCTAAGATAAGATAGCATGTGCTCTCTGGATTGTTGTGCAAACGCGGGTAAGGCGAGCTGAACGTGGTTTACAAACGGAGCGGTAGTGTAGGACACAAAGAGCATAGGGATGGCACCGGCAACAATAACTATTGGAGTCTAGTTAGCCTGGGGCCAAATAGCAAGATAGAGAGGACTCACTGGCCGCTGGAGTATACCACGGATAGTCTGCCGCGTAGAAAGCGGGAGCAATCACTGAGCAAGAAACGACAAAAACCAATATCGTCGATAGTCGCATCATACCAATGAATGCAATCTTGCCACTTCCAGCATGATAGATAACAACCTGCTGAGGCCTTGCCCGAGCTAATCAGAAAATCATTAGGCCAAGGTATTCTCATAGAGCAGCGTCGAGTACGAACCGCGGGCAAGGTTAGGCTTGGGTCGGGAAGGGGAGGTGCGAATAGGATTGCGAAGAATGTTGCAAGATGAATTCGAGGCATTTTGGCGGGCACCTAGTATAGGTTTCTGCGCAAACCCGGTATCCGTCGTCTTACTCCGCATGAATAGTGCTTTGTCGCAAGTTTGTCTGCGCGTGAATCGGGCAAGGAGGTAGTCGGGAAGGCGCAGAAGGAGGAGCGGTCGGGGCATCTTTGAGCGGGTAGGTCAAAATCCGAGAAAATATGGATTCTACCAGTCCCAGGGCCTCATCGTCAACGAGACTTCACAGGCATGTTGAGCTGGCGTTGATCTCGCAGTCGCTGTACGGGAAGAAACTCAATTGGCGTTAAGGTTTCCGGGCCTACACGTGATCTGCGGCTAGTCATTGTAGCCGCACAGCTTGGAATGATTTGATTGGTTTTTGCTAGCGCCGACCCCTGACGCGGCAACCAACAAGTCGTTGTCGTCAGCATCGCCGGATCTGCCTTGCTGGCATCGCCTGCGCAATGGCTTCGATCCCGGTTTGAGTCGGCGGGCGAGTGTCTATCTATGATGATGGCCATGATGACCCATAGCTGCTGGGTCTCCCTGTGCCTCCTATCTCTCTCATCGTGGATCCTCACCTTCGTTTCCCCCGTCGGAGCCTACACAGCTCTCTCTGACGAGAGTCTTAAACGCCTACCACGACCCGGTACCGATTTTGATATTCACAAAGGCGCTCTGCTGGCACCTATCCTACGGCCGCGCGTATCTGGAACGCCGGGCTCGCGTGCCGTTCTTGAACACTTCGCTAGCTTCTTCCGAACGACCTTACCGAAATGGACGCTCGAGCTCCAGAATTCCACGTCGAAAACGCCCGTAAGCGGCAACAAAGAAGTTCCATTCGTTAACTTGATTGCCTATCGAGATCCTCCAAACACTCAACCGGGCAATGTCGGGCGATTGACCCTTGTGGCCCACTATGACAGCAAGATCGAACCCAAGGGATTTATTGGCGCAACCGATAGTGCTGCACCATGTGCAATGATCATGCACGCGATACGAAGTATCGACGCTGCTTTGACAAAGAAATATGAAACTATAAATACCGACCCTCACTTTGATCTCAACGGTGAAGAATATCAGGGTATTCAAGTAATTTTTCTTGATGGTGAAGAAGCATTCCGTGAGTGGTCCGAGACCGACTCGCTATATGGCTCCCGCTCGCTTGCCGAACACATGGAATTGAGTCTATACCCTGCCCTCTCAACCTTTAAGAATCCTCTGGGGGCCATCAAGTTGTTTGTCCTCCTTGATTTGCTTGGTGCTGAACACCCAACCATTCCTTCCTACTTCAAAACAACGCACTGGGCGTATCAGCACATGGGTCTGCTGGAATCCCGGCTGCGGAATCTCGGCCGATTCAAAACCTCAGCGCAAGGAAAAAAGCAGGGCGGCAAAAAGAAGCCGGATCATGACAAACTCTGGTTCCAAGATTCTCATAAAAATGATGGCACTATCTTCTCTCCCTTTGGTGTAGAGGATGATCATCTGCCATTTATGAGACGCGGTGTTGATATTCTTCATATCATTCCCGCTCCTTTTCCAGGCGTGTGGCATCGTATGGACGACGACGGCGAACACTTACATATGGAAACTGTGGAGGACTGGAGCACTCTCATTACTGCATTCGCTGCCGAATGGTTAGAGTTGGAGGGGTTTTTTGAAGAGAATTTAAAGACAACGAATTTAGATAAAAAGAGAAAGACGGAATTGTAAGCATTTTTCGTTTTTATGGATATCATATCATAGCAGAGATAGACTTGCATCACTAATAATAAGATTTTTCAAGGAATTAACGAGATTAATAAATTAACCTCGCACCTCCCGCACCCCCCAGACTTTGATTACGACCAACTCCGGCTCCGAATGAATTCCACCTACTATGTACGCAATATTCTAGTTTGCTTACGGACCTCCCACGCCCGACGTACCCTCTATACACTGTGCCTCCGATGGCTCAATCCCGGTCTTATTATCCCGGCCAACTGAACACGAGATAGAAAGCGAAATTCGGCCTCAACATAAAAACTCAACTTGAAATAGAATACCAAAATCTCCAATTTTGGGTGACATATTTCAGGTACCTTGCTTTGAATACTTTTCTGTAACTATTGTACTCCGTATGTATGTGCAATTTGATAAAGTACACTCCTCGCATGCAGACTCATGGATTCAGACCAATTAGCAAGGGTATCATCAGCATAAAGCGCACTTCCAACTGCGGTTCAAAGCATCACAACCCTAGTAGACTCCCTAGCCAGAACCCACCCAACCACAGGGCACCCCAGGCGGGTTGCAACAAGGATCTCAGTAACCCGGGGCCCGGGCACACGCCATATGACCCCCATCCAACACCAAATACCGCAGCACCGACGACAAATCTCCAATCGGTATCCTTCACAGTATTTTGTGGCAAGTCAAAATGCGCGGCCAAGGTTGGTGGTTTCTGCCCCCCTTTGTCCTCGTATTCACGTTTGAGTTTCAGATAGGAGAGTACACTGGGGCCCACGGCAAATAACATAACCAAAGCGAGAGAGGGATCAAAACGTGATAGATCTAGCCAGCTGAAGAACCTGAGAACCTTCCCAGGTTCAGCCATACCGCTTATCAAGAGCCCCAAACCAAACTGCACACCCGAGATATACCCGTACACAGACTCAGAGTTCTTGCCTCGGCGCAAGAAGCAGGGAACGACAGCTGAATTTATGATCATTGCGAGAATTACGGTGGCAGACATGAAGCCTAGCTCGTAGGCTGATGGGTAGGAGGGCACATAGCACGGCTGTGTTCCTGCACAGGGCGGAATAGGGGTTCCCATCCGCGAGTTTGCCGTGATGAGAGCAGAGATGAAAAAAATGCTTGTCGCAATGAATGAACGCAAGGAGAGGCGGCTAAGTCCACAAAGCATATGTCCGGATGTGCAGCCACGGCCGTTCTAGCGGCAGGCAAGGGCATCCATTAGCAAATCACTTCCGCTCAATTTCTCAAAAAAGACAGATACCCTGGGGGCGATGTTCTAAGGGTCGTTGTTCTGCTCACCTTCGTGCCCCATCCAACCAAAACCCCAGCCCCTGATATTTTCATTGCAGCTTCCAATCCATCTGGTAGAGGAGGGTATGACGGGAGCAGTGATGGCGCCACTAAAGATATAAGGACAGCACTTGATACCATCCCAAGCACCACTGGGATATTGTTCGGTCCGGGACGCGCCACGCATCCTCTCAGGAAGCCAGATATCCCAAAAACTCTACCATTGTGCTTAAGCAATCCTGCCGAGCTTTGGTAGAGAAGTAGTGCGCCCAGTGAAGTTTCGATAGGGGTGAACATCTCTATGGTGGTGGGATCTGGTTTCGTGGATGCTTGCAACTTAGACTGCCGCTATTTTGGACTCCGCCGTGGTACCTTTGACGGTGCGATTTGAACATCTTATGTTTAGGTGTAGGGCAAATCGCCGATTGCGTGAGTACGCGCGAAACCAAGGCCGATGGAGTCCGGGACAAGCGCGGGCGCTAGGTGTGTGGCAACCGAAAGGGGATTGAGGGAGTGAGGATCCAGTGGCAGAGGCGCAAGAATCCTCTGAAGATACGCCATCGTTCTGCTATTGTCGAGAGAGAGAGAGAGAGAGTGGGTGAGTGAGTGAGAGAAAATAGGTGCAAGTACGTTTCAGTGCGTCGGAGCTCGATGCTCGCCGTTCACCTGCCGGCGATCTCACGCGGCCCAGCGTCGTCACCCGCCATCCCTGGCGCCCCCCAACGTCAGCAACGCCGATCGACGCACAACATCAACGCCCACGGCCTCCCAAGTCTGCTGTCAAATAACTGTTAGACTAACGGCTGCTTTTTGCGCCTCGGCTGCCGTTCCTCCACTCCCCAACGTTCACGCTGACGCCGACAATTCCAATTCACTGGTTATATGCATATCGCCAGCCTAATAACGACGCAGTAGATTCTCCAGAGCTAGATGAATCGTCAACGTCCTCCTCCCGCATCCCTCCGAGCCCCCGTATCACCGCCGCGGAAAAAGCAGCGTCAAGGCACAAATAGCGAGTCAGGGAACCAACGCAACACAGAACCAGAGCTTAGTCTCGCGGCTGTCGAAGCTGGCAGGCTCGACGTCGATGACCCTCTGCGCGTATTATCATCCCGCCTCCTAGCTGTTACGCGACATCAGTTTTCTTTGGCTCCTCGCCTTTCGCACCCCGAGTGGGTTGGGCTCTACATGCGCAATAAGCACCCACAGGGTAGGCATTTTGTGATACATCAGCACGACCATCCAATCGCCGGTCCACATTATGACCTGCGGTTACAGTTTTCCGAAAGCAGCTCGTTGAGCTTTGCTATTATGTACGGTTTACCAGGCAACCCGAACAGCAGGAGGATGAATCGAAACGCTACGGAGACAAGAGTTCATAATATTTGGGTAAGTATGTATTTACGTGCATCGGGGACTGGGAAATTGAGAAAACTGGCCTGCTCACGTTGTAAAATTTTCGAGCTTTTTAGAGCCACTTAATTGAGACGGCATCTATAAACACCGGGAGTCTTATTATCTGGGATACAGGAGAATACTCCATCTTGCCTTATTACCAGCACAAAGAGCCGGCGGAAACACACTCTTCTGCTTCAGATGCAGGCGATGCATCTGTATCTTGCGAAGCTGTGAACATGTGCGACAGTGATAGGCTGAAGCACGCGTTCCGGAAGGTATGGTTTTGTACCCCGATAAGTGAGACCTGGTGTAATGGTGCGGCTGAATCATCATAGCGAAAGATTCGCCTACGGCTACATGGAGCACGTCTACCCCCGAATTACACAGTGACCTTGCGTCTCACGGCGAACAACAACACCCATAAGCAGCCGAAAATGCCGAAGGTGAGAAGGGGAAGGAGGCAGGGAAAGATGCCAGCAGAACGCGTAACCCCCATATCGCGGTCTCCTTCATCTTCGCCCATTCGAGATGCAGCTGTCGAAATAGCAACTCCAGATGGCACCGGTGGTGACTTGTCAGACCGTGGGTTGTCTCACCAGGACACTCACAACGAATTCGCAAGCTATTCTGACGACGAAGACGAAAGAGTCCGAGTCAACAACGCTTACCCTGGTGCCGTCAATTCGATCTCCTCCATTCACCAGAGACGGTGGTTTTTGTCGCTTGACCGTGTGAATTCCGGATTCAAACGCCACTTTGATTCTTCAACTAGTAAGTATACCTGGGTAAGGCAAAGCGTCGAAGCTCCCAATCAGCCATCTCGGCTCTTAGGCTTTGAGCCTTTTTTTGTGCAGGGACCAGACGTAGAGCGCAGCGTTGTCACAGGGCGTCTGGGTAGCGAGGTTTTCAGAGACGAAGGAGTAGACAAATTCACTGGGCGTAGAGGCTGGAGGCCCGTCCTTTTGTAGCAAAACGAATGTGCCTAGAGAACCCGGCAGACACGAGGCATTTTTCTACCGCATCGGCTGGCTAAAAACATTCTGCATCTGCGCCGTGACGTTGGTTCCTCTGCCCTCCAAGGCCAACACGATTTCTTGATTTGTTCTCCGCCCGCTGACTGTGAGTCAAGCAGCTCGGATCTCTTGAGCTTTGACTCTTCACGCTTCCTTGCGATGACTGGTTTCGGCTCACTAAAAACTCAAACTCGGAGATACGAGCACATCTGGGAGCAGCGAGCAGCGGTGATTCGCCCCCGGCAGGCAAACCTGGAGATCAGCGTCGGCCGCGAACCCATCCCTGGCGCCTCCTGCGGGCCCCAGCCAGACCTCCTCCATGCCCGCCAACGTGATGGCGTGGGCTAGCCCGGGATTCTCGGGAAGCATTTAGGTGTGCTCGGTTCAGCCGTTGTCTCGAGGGTCAGCGCTGTCGGACTCTGCAGTCCTTGAGCAGCAACTGGCTGTGAGTGATAGTTCAACTCCACGTCGTGATCCAAGAATCGCCCGACCAGCCCTCCTAGTTCCGTTAAAACTAACTAGTTAACTAACTGACTAGTTAGCCGCTTAGCAAGCGGATACCACCTCGCATTGAGATTGGCTTCGGGGCTATTTTACTACTATTTCCAGAGCGCGGGCCGGGTCTGAACTTGTCTTTATTGGGACTCCGAAAGTCAAAGTAGTTATGTGATCGACTCCGCGCACAGGATGGTGGCGGCCGTTTCTCAGCGCTGTCGCCTTTTGGGCTTGATGCGCCCGTTTAATTTCCTCATCTTTTCTGTTTTTTGTCCGTGAACCCTCGCAGGCTGTGAGCAGTGGCCGCACTCTGCGGTTTTGCCTGGTCAATAGCTCTTGATGCGTGCATGATTCTCGTCCTGTGAGAGATCTCAAGGCGCCAACCATGGCTACCTCACAAGGATCGCTTCTCGCTACTGGTATCACGGCCACTGCACTGGTTACTGTTGCCTGCATCCCAGCACTGCGGTCCATTTCAGCACGATGCCACTCGCGACGAACAGGCTATCGATTTCTACACAGTTTGTATAGCGACCAGGACGGCACAGCGACGGAGGAATCCTCAAAAGCCTTTTCTGATGTTCCTCAACGCTGTGTAATTGCCATATTTACACTCTCTGGGCTTCTGTCCTCTCTTTCATTAGCTGTTCTTACCACTGCTGGTCGAGGCAGCCCTTTTTACCCCGGCCCAACTGAGCTCTGGCTGCATTTTGCGAATTGGGTAAATAATTCACCGTATCACACTGCCTATACCAAAATCCTAACGCTCTCATAGATTCTTCTCACCGGTGGAACAGTGGCTCTATTTGCTGAGCCGTCTTCCACCAAACGATATTTGCTTGGCCTTTGGAATTCCCTTTCTTGTGCTTTGTTAGCCACAGCTATCTGCACTCAAGTCGCCCTGATCGGATCATGGATAGATTCACCGTCTATACATACCATTCCCGATCTTATTATTCTAGCTGAGGTTTTGCTCGCGCTCGTCATCGCTACTGTATCTTGCCTTCTACCACGTCGTCCAGATGTTTTCCGGAATGGCAAGGCTGTTGACCGCCAGTCAACCACGTCTTTTCTCAGTATGATCTCTTTTAGCTGGGCTAATCCAGTACTAGTATTCGCTATCAAAAACCAAAGGCTGAATATTGATGATCTTCCTGAGCTCAACCATTCTACTCGCTCTAGGACTTTGCTGGAGTCGTTTACAAAAACCAGAAAAAAGGGCCAGAAATTATGGGTGACTCTAGTCCATGAACACTCCTCTGCGCTGCTACTGCAGTTTGTTTTGGTCTCAGTCGTTTCGGTGCTTAGCTTTGCTCCTCAGATTGCGCTCCTGGGCATCCTTCGGTCCTTGGAAGCACGTGCAGCTGGAATTTGGAACCCCGTAATAACCTGGCTCTGGGTTATAGGACTTGGAGGGTCTATCCTTCTTGAAAGTACAGTTGAATCGTGGTTGTTTTGGGTAGTATATTACAAGCTGGCCGTTCCAGTATACGAACAACTTTCTGCGGTTATATTTGCGAAATCGTTACGACGAAAAGACGTGAAGGGCTCTCAAGCATCAACTGATAGCCGAAACGAAATAAAACCCGGCGAAAGCGATGACAACGATGGCGATGGCGAAAATGACAGCCAAAACTCACGCCAGGCGACAATCAACCTTATTGCAGTTGATGCTAAACGAATATCTGATTTTGCCGCTTTTAATTATATTATTGTTGGTACTGTCGTGAGGCTATCAGTTGCCTTCACCATTTTAGACCGTCTTATAGGCTGGAAGAGTCTTTGTGCTGGACTCCTTGTAGCAGTGATTGTCACTCCACTTAACATTGTTACCGCAAACAAATATTCTGCAGCTCAGACATCACTTATGAAATTCCGTGATCAGAAAATGGCTATTATCACAGAGGCTCTGCAAGGAATCAGGCAAATTAAGTTTTCGGCCCTGGAGACTCAATGGGAGAAGAAGATATTCGATATCAGGAATACGGAGCTTCATTCACAATGGATGGCATTTCTTTACGATGTTGGACTTATATCAATTTGGATCCTAGGCCCAATTATGTTGTCTGCAGTTTCACTCGGTGTTTACTCAATGTTATATGGGGGACTATCTGCATCTGTTGCATTCACTACAATGGCAATTTTTTCGTCTCTGGAGTTCTCTCTTGCCATCTTGCCGGAGTTGATTGCAGACTTTATTGAAGCATATGTGAGCTCAAACCGTGTTGATAAGTACCTGGAATCCGCCGAACGTGATCGGACCCTTACTCCAGCAGACTATGTCGCTTTTGAAAAAGCAACTCTTGCATGGCCTGCAGAAGATGCGGAGGGTGACAGTGAGAGATTCATGCTCAAAGACCTTGATGTTAGATTTCCCTTAAATGGCCTTAGCGTTATTTCGGGAAAAACAGGTTCTGGCAAGAGCTTACTACTTGCCGCCATTATCGGCGAGGCTGATATTGTTGACGGCGAGGTTTTCGTTCCCGTCGCTCCCCCTTTGGAAGAACGCTTTGATGATAAAGCTACAAAGGCCAATTGGATTATTAACTCAGCAATTGCGTATGTTTCTCAGGTACCGTGGATTGAAAACGCCACTATCAGGGATAACATTTTGTTCGGGTTGCCGCTTGATTCAGAGAGATATAATATGGTTCTCTTTGCCTGTGCTCTGGAAAAGGATTTTGAAATGCTACCAGACGGTGAATTAACAGATATTGGTGCAAATGGAATCAACCTGAGTGGTGGGCAAAAATGGCGTGTATCTTTTGCAAGGGCCCTCTATTCCCGTGCTGGAATTCTTATTATGGATGATATTTTTAGCGCATTGGATGCGCATACTGGTCGACATCTTCACGTTCATGCGCTTAATGGAGAACTTTGCCAGGGAAGAACTCGGATCCTTGTTACCCATCATGTGGGTCTTTGTCTTTCTTCTGCTGATTACTCTGTTCATCTTGACCGTGGAATGGTTCAGCATTCGGGCTCTGTGGCGGAACTAAAAAGAACCGGCAGCTTTGCGGACATTCTTGCTCAACCTGAAAATGAAAATGGTAAAGACCGCAAAGAGAGTGTGGAAACCGTTGAAGATGAGGTGGAAGAGTCAAATATTTTGCAAAAGATCTTATCACATCGGTCTCATCGAAGTGCATCCCATGAACATATTGAGAGTCAATCAAAAACACAGATACCAAAAAAGTTCCAGCAAGATGAAAATCGCGAAGTTGGTTCTATTAAAACCAGCCATTACATTAAATACCTTCGAAGTGGTGGCAGTGTGCTGTACTGGTTGGTTGTGCTCCTGATTTTCTGTTTATCTGCAGTTTTTACTGTCGGAAGGGTAAGTGTTCCACTTTCCAAAATCTTAATTTCCTCCTTGACTGATCAGTTTCTCACCTCTACAGTCGTGGTGGGTTAGTATATGGACTCGAGCCTCGCAACAGCACTCGATTACTGGTGAACGGCTCGATATATTGTCTCATGTTGCGAATGCGTCACCCCAACTCAAATCAGACCATAGCCTATTCTTTTACTTAGGGATATACTTTGCTTTATCGGTTATAACATGTTTACTGGGTACAATCAAATATATGCTCTTACTCAGAGCTACAATTCATTCCTCGCGGAATCTATTCAAAAACTTGACCTATGCTGTTCTGAGAGCACCATTGCGCTGGCTCGATACCGTTCCAGTTGGCCGAATTCTAAACAGATTTACAGCAGACTTCAACATGATAGACTCCAAACTCCCATATGACTTGGGCTTCATGTTGTACAATGTTCTAGATGTCGTGGGTATTGTTGTGGCTGGTTTCCTAGTCTCTCCTCTATTGATCTTATTTGCTATCGTTCTCCTGATGATATGCATTTACTACTCACAACGATACCTGATGGGCGCGAGAGAGATCAAAAGATTAGAAAGCAACGCAAAGAGCCCCATTTTCGAGCAGTTTGGCTCCGCTCTTATCGGGTTAACCACTATCCGTGCCTTTGGGAAAACACAGACATATGTTGAACGAATGTATAAAAAGATCGACCACCATGCTCAAGCTAACTGGAACTTATGGCTATTCAACCGATGGTTGAGCTTCCGCATGAACGTTGTCGGAGCTATCTTTTCAACATTGACTGCTGTCCTTATAATTTCGCTTAAAGGTATAGATGCACCTTTGGCTGGATTTGCTCTCAGTTTTGCGCTACAATATACGGCTTCTATTATGTGGGCCCTGCGTCGTTATGCGAACGTGGAGCTTGATATGAATGCGGCTGAGCGTGTTCTTGAGTATTCAAGTATCGACATTGAAAATCAAGAAGGGGACAATGCACCGGCGGCATGGCCAACAGAAGGACGTCTCGAAGTGACTGATCTGGTTGTTGGATATGCCCCCGATCTCCCAGCCGTATTACGAGGGCTGTCTTTTACGGTTGAGAAGAATCAAAGAGTTGGAGTTGTGGGCCGCACAGGGGCTGGAAAATCGTCGTTGACTCTCGCATTATTCCGCTTCTTGGAGCCTTGGTCAGGGTCGATATTTATCGACGGTATTGATGTCTCAAAGATCAAGCTACAAGACCTACGAAGCCGGTTGGCCATCATACCTCAGGATCCTGTCCTATTTTCCGGTACGATCAGATCAAACCTTGATCCATTCGATGAGTACTCTGATGCGGAACTACATGACGCCCTCGAAAGAGTCCACTTGGTCTCCAATACACCTAAACAAGGCACCAGACGAAGCTCGTTTGCACATTCTGCACAACAAGTATCAGGAGCTTCGGGATACACAACGCCCACGTTGATTAGTAACAATGGTAGTGCTTCCGCTCCAACAATGGACACCGCCCACACCACCGCTGCGACGTCAGCCCAGAGCACAACTAGCAACCTCAATATTTTCACCAGCCTATGCTCAACCATCTCTGAAGGTGGGTTAAATCTCTCCCAAGGCCAGCGGCAGCTACTTTGCCTCGCCCGTGCGATCATATCTAAACCCAAAATCATGGTGCTCGACGAAGCTACCTCTGCGGTAGATATGAGCACGGACGCACTGATTCAGCGCTCTATTCGATCTGAATTTGGACGCAATTCAACGACACTACTGGTTATTGCGCACCGATTGAGTACGATTGCCGATTTTGATAGGATTTTAGTCATGGATGCTGGACAAGCGGTGGAGTTTGGGGCGCCAAAAGAGCTAATGGGCATAGAGGGGGGTGTTTTTCGATCGCTTGTGGAAGAGAGTGGGGAGAGGGAGTTGCTTGAAACAGTGATTTTTCAGGATCCAGAATGAAAGAGCGAACCCCGTTAGATAGATTGTTTTTGGCCTTGATTGCGTATTTATTTGTTGTAATACGTAGAAAAAAAGGTTTGGATGTTTGGATGTAATGTTAACCTCACTTAAGCATCTATTTAGCCGTCGACTGCATGGCCTGAACCTGATTGAGAATCTCATCTGCCGCCTCTTTAAAAGCTGCTGTTGCTGTTCTCCAAAGCCGCGGGCCAACACTAATTCGTGCCACTCCGATATCTGTCAACTCTTGGATCGATAGTCCGTTTTCAGCTGCGATAACATTAAGCCTGCCACCAAAGGCGTTCGACAATCTGACAACTTCATCCCGAGACAAACCGCGGCGGGGACCACCCCAGACAAACGTCGTCGTTGCGCCGGCATCAAGGTAAGCCTTCCCACGGGTGATAGCGTCTTCAATATCGTCATAGAACGCAATTGCATCCGTACGCGCGTTTACAACGAAATTGGGGACTCCGGCCTTCGTGGCAGTCGCCAATGCTAGACGGACCCGATTGACAGCAACATCAAGAGGAAAAAGCTTGCCCGTGGTATTGTCTCTGTCTTCTAAGTTACAACCTGAGGCTCCAGCAGTGATGATTCCTTCAATAGCTTCTTCCAATCTAGAACCATAGCCATCCTGTAAATCGACTGATAAGGGCTTGTTATGTTTGACTGCCACTGTCGCAATACGCCGGACGGCCACTAGATTGGTCTCGAGGTCTAGGTCATCATCATCGAGTCCATGGACCGCGGCGATGGCGTAACTAGCCGTAGCGAGTGCTGCTGCGGCTGGGTTCGAGGCGATGATGCCGGCAGTCGCTGGATCATAGACGTTGGTGAAAACAATCGGCTTCCCAGGAATATGGAGGCTTCTCAGGTGCGCAGCTCGACTATCTGCGGAAGACATGTTACTAAACACAGCTTCGCAAAATTATTTTCTTACAAAATAGAGATTTGACCAGGACTGTCTCGATATATAAGAAGCTCGGAGGAGTGTGTGGAATATATGAAACGACTGAAGAGAAACAGAATCAGAGCTGCCTTTGTGAGTCAAAAAACAAATTGAGTTTGGCGGCGCCGCGGGGTAGTTAGCTAACTAACAAGAGCAGTACTCCGTAAACTAGGCTGATGCAAAGTCCGCGAATCCGTCAGCGCTACGGAGTACAGAGTACGTTGCTGCAGAGGTGGTGGGTTCGGAGGTTAAATGAAGAGGGCAAAAGCTTGCTGATAAATTTCATGTATGGGAAACTGGGTGCTAGAATCGCCGTAATACACAGGTGGATTCTACTATGGTAGATGCTAATTGCCAGATTTCATCATATTAGATCTCTAGTAGAATCTCTCCAACACGGGGGTAGATTCAAGGATAGGGAGAAGTAGAGAACTTGACAGATCAGGGGTCTGGGCAAATGGAAAATGTCAAAAGAAGGGGCGATCGTTTGTTATGCATTATTGTAGGTTGAAAAGCTGATCTTGAAGGCATGTGCTAGTGAATACCACGATTTTGAAGGCGTGTGGAAATTGATATTCAAAACCTTGAGCGCCAGGATTAACATGTTGACACCCTGTTCGGAGAAGATGATAAGAAATTCCATGAACTTGTTCACAGAGGGCATAGGCGGGGCACATTATGTGCTCATACCATTAGAATGGCTGAAAGAGTGCGCTAACCCATCCACATGCGGCTTCTAGTCAATGGCATAGCGCTTTCCTGGTGCCATATTCTATTAGCCAAGTGTCACAAATACAACAAAGGAAAAACAGTGACAAAAAAATAGCTTCTTTTCATTAAAAGGGCCACTTCGCAGTTGAAGTTGACATTGTATGAGGATAACTATGCAGAAGGGAAAGCAAAAATGGTGCCAGGCTCGCAATTTCTGTTGGTGGAGCCAGCAGGGACACCTTCCAAGGGATGTAGATCAGAGATGCCTTCATCACGTCCGTAAAATAACAAGGTGGATGTGCCGGACGCCTTTTTCATCCTTCCTCCCCGGTCTTTCATGAAAGCCACTTGAGCCCGAGATGGGAGAGCTTCCATGTCAGAGGGAAGGAAGTTGAGTCAAAGCGAACACGCCAGGCTTTCATCATCTGCAAGGAAAGAATGGTCAGCAGATGAAGCCTGGAAATCGAGCATAGAGAAAGAGAGGTACTCACTTGTTCAAAACTTGGAAGGATGAAGAAGAAAAGAAGAGGAAAAACAGAAGCGAGAGAAAAAAAAGGCCGGGAGGCACCGGTGACGGAATAACATTCCTCCGGGTAACTAACTAACTAACTACATAGTTTTACGGAGTAGAAGTTTATGGATCGTCATGTCGAAAGACAATAGCGGAGTGAAGACGAAAGGACCGCATTATCAAGCTGGCGGAAGGCAGGCCACTCTCCTCTGAGGTTGGAGGTCCATTTGCATGATATCTCTGTACAGCTCGCCCAGATGGCTGGTTTTCTGCGGCCAGCTATTCGGGGTCCGCTTGCTTGCAAACAAAGCTACATAGAGATATCAAATTACCTCCGTGGTGTTTCTACGTCACCACGATGCCATCTAAAACGTCAAATGTACAGCCAAAGGCTCTTTCATGCCGGATGTCCACTGGCAACTCAGGAAATCACTTCATCGCCTGGACCTTTCCTTGAGGAATATAAACAGTCAAGTAAGTCCCAATTTTTGTTATGAGTTTATTCTACCTTCCGCTCTAATTCCTTCTTTTTGCGCGTCCAGTGCTATTCCCTTCTGCTATCCCAGACTTCAAATTCTTACTTCAAAGCAATGCCATGGACAAAGAAGTCACGCTACATGGGTATTTGGGCAAGCGAACCGATCTGGGAAAGAAGATGTCATTCGTTCGCCTGACAGATCCGTCTCTGGCACAGACCGTACAGGTTGTCTCTTTCTCGAAAGGCGAAGCTTTTCAAAAGCTAAGGTCTATCGACTCCAACAGTCCAGTGGCAGTGCGAGGAATTATCCGGTCAAAGGCCGCACGTTCCAAAAGTGAAAACGTAGATCCAGTTATAGATGCAGAAGGGAATATAGACAGCATTGAAATCGTGCTCGAAGATATTCAGCGTCTCAATAGATTCCCCAGGGACATCATCATGACACCCGAGACGATTTTTCCAGTGGAGAAAAGATATCTACAAATCAGAAATGATAAAACGCTTCGCGAGGCTTTAGTATTCCGGGCCAAAGCAAACATGGTATTGAGAAAGGCCTTGGAAGAGTGCGAACCGGCGTTCGTGGAAGTAGAAACTCCGTTGCTTTTTAAGTCGACCCCGGAGGGAGCGAGAGAATTTCTCGTTCCGACGAGGAGGCCTGGCCTTGCCTATGCGCTTCCCCAGAGTCCACAGCAATATAAACAAATACTTATGAGTAGTGGGATTCCGCGATACTATCAATTTGCACATTGCTTCAGAGACGAAGATTTGCGAGCGGATAGGCAACCCGAATTCACACAGGTAAGCTCCGCAGAATCGAAAGAAGAATCTATTCTTATAATACTCATACAGCTTGACTTTGAGATGTCTTTTTCGAGAGGCGAAGATGTGATGGCTGTTATTGAGCAAGTGATACGGAAATTATGGTCTGCAATGCTACCAGAACATCTCGGTTCCAGTCCCTTTCCTCGTGTAACTTATCACGAAGTAATGTCCAAGTATGGGTCTGATAAGCCTGACCCAAGAATTGGAATGGAAATTCATCGCATAGATTATATGATTCCCGTGGATCTAGTCAGCAAAATTACGGATTTGAGGGAGCCGATCGTCGAGGCTATTAGGCTAGAAGGCAATGGGGACCCTTCTGAGACTCAAAAATTTATTAAATCTTTCATGGACTCACCTGCAGCCGGCGAGTTTATCAGCAACCCTGAAGGTGAGCCAGGGGTGTTTGTTTTCGATTCGTCAAAGCCTTTATCAGGCCTTCAAGCTTTTGGGTTTGAAGCAACATGGGCATTGGAGAATGATCTTAATCTCAAAGACGGTGACTTGCTTGTTCTTCAGGCACGGCGGAATGCACCGTTTTCCGGTGGCTCAACTCCTCTTGGTGATTTACGTCGAGCCATTCACAGAGCCGCTGTGGAGAATGGCTTCAAGCCTGCACTGACAGGTTTCCACTTTCTTTGGGTCACACACTTCCCACTCTTCTCGCCGAGTTCGGATTCAGAGCCTGGCCAGGGTGGCTCTGCAGGAATTTCATCGACTCACCATCCATTCACCGCCCCTCACACGCCCGAAGACGTATCTCTCCTCCTTACTGACCCTACGAAAGCAATCGCTGATCACTACGACCTTGTTGTCAACGGTGTGGAACTTGGCGGTGGCAGTCGACGTATTCACTCTGCTGAAGTTCAGGAATTTATTCTCCGCGACATTCTAAAAATGTCGGAATCTCGCTTAGCCGATTTCTCTCATCTGATTGACGCACTGAGAGCTGGATGCCCTCCCCATGCTGGAATGGCGCTTGGTTTCGATAGGCTGATCGCCGTGATGCTCGGAAAAGACAGTGTTCGTGATGTTATTGCGTTCCCTAAGTCGGGCAAAGGCGAAGATGTTATGGTTGGAACGCCCAGTGAGATAACTCAGGAGGCACTTCAGACCTACCATCTGCGGTTGCGGGAAGACCAGTTGTAGCAAAGCTGTATGGCAAACTTCAGCCAATAGCATTATTACTACGTCTATAGTAGAAAGCCCTACCTGTTCAGTTGTACGAGACTGTAGTATATATGATGAATTTAGGATACAATCGGTAGAGAAAGCTGTCACAACTTTTGCAAAACCAAGGACAACCTTCATACCCACAGACATTAAGGATTTTGTATGAATTATAGCAGTAGTCCTGATTTTTGCAACGCCTTTGCAGCTGAACTTTTTCATTCATTTTCCTCCAACCTGCTGAGATTTATGCGCACAAATCTACTGGATATTACCTACAACAGTAGAATCTGTATGCTCAATAGGCAGAGTACCGCAGTGCCTGGAGAAAGGAAAGATAGTCCTTCTTTATTCATTGCTCGCAATTTCAATAAACATCCCTAGAGTCTCCCATTATCCCATTTTCGCATTCGAGAAATCGAGCTCTAAAATGATAATGAGCACCCGGGCGCGTCAAGAGAGGCGCGAAACATACCTGGATGCTGTGCCTGAAACTTCTTTAAAATATCCATCTTCTTTTCTTCGTCGCTAGTTGGCTTTCCCATCTCCTTTTGCCTCTGATCGTACATCATCTTCTCCACCATACCCCTAGTCTCGCCATCCAGGTCGCTCAGTTTGGAGTTTTCAGGTTGAATCTTACTAACATCTATCTTTGGAGCAGATGTCACAATATGTGGCCACCACGTCATCTTGTTCATCTTGTCAAGATGGATAGATACCTCTTTTCCGTTAGATATTGGCTCGAGGGTCCAGGTTGACTCGTCCACATGAATTGGGTGAGGAAATTCTCCCTGTGGACATTTTGCAGTGACGTTAGGGCATAAAAATTATACAATATATTTACAGAGTCGATCAATACCTCAATTATAGGCTCCTTTCCCTTTATACCTGCGCGAATCTTTGATTTCGTCAGCAGGACATCTAGATCCCGACCTCGCATTTCTGCGGGCACCGCGAATGTGATGTCGGCATCTTTAATGGTTTGAATCCATTTATATGGCAGTTTGGATTGTTCAGCAGCTTCCCGTTCTCTTTGTTCACGATCCTGGCGTTCGCGCTCTTCAGCAGAGAGCTCGGTATCTAGAGGTTCTGAGGACGACATGGCTTCCTGTCTAGATTCGGGTTTCTCTTGACTCTCGACAGTCAAATCGGTGATTCATATATTGTGCAAGAGAGTTAGTGCAATAGAACAAAGAAGTGGTAGGCGCAGCAGCATACGATCTTACTTATTAGGTCCCGCCTTCACTAACTGGCTTGGCGGGGAGCTTCAGTGCAAACTGTAGTTACAAACTGTACAAACAATAACTAACTGGGCGGCCAGCTAGTTAGTAAGCAAATTTGCATGCATCATAGCTTTTGATGATTGTTGCTAGAAATACAATAATACACCACTAATTGTAGGAAAATTTGCAGCTAAACCCAGAAAATAGCAAGCACAAAATTTTTGCAAATTCCATATCCTTAGAAATAACAATATCCCCTTACCAGCCTTAGAGTATAGAACAAGTCCTTTATGGGCAGAAACGAGACGACAAAAGACCATACGCCGGCGAAGGATGCGGAATGTCAGGTTTCGTTTTGAGCATTGAATAAGACAATTCATAGTCTCGCCTTCAAAAAATACATAAATCTCGCAACCAGATCATTCAATTATGGGCTTGGAGTCCCTTCTTCGTATCGAGGTCCTCCATCATCCATTGCCCCAGGCGTGGCAGGGTATCCCATTCCACCAGCAGGAGTAGGAGCGCTATATGATGAAGCACCTGGTGTTGGCGCGCTGGCTCCCGGTGTAGGAGCTGCATCGTTCCATGGGCGAGGCGTAGGAGCAGAGGCGCCGGGTGTGGGTGCAGCACCAAATACAGCAGGCGAAGGTGCCGCGTAGTCACCACCAGGAGTGGGAGCATCAAAAGCCTTGCCACCAGATGAACCAGAGCTATGGCCCCAAGCAGGAGTGCGAGAGCCGGAGAGAAGGCTGGCAGGGGCAGGCGTTCGAGATCCGGCAAGGAATGCATCGAATCCGGATCCAGACGATGCTCCAAAGCCAGAAACGTCACGAGGGGTTTTGCTACCGGCTGCCCAAGCCGGCGTTCTGCTCCCGAGAGAGGTCTTATATCCAGCGTCATATGCGTTGACTGTCCGTGAGCCATCTGTTTTCCACGAAGGCGTTCGAGCGCCACTCGCAGCTGCTGCATTCCATGCAGGAGCTGAGTTGTTGTCAGCGAGAGTAACCATAAATTACCTAAGCACTTACTTCTTGATGAAGACGAACGCCAAGCAGGTGTTCGAGAAGAATCATTAACTGCCATGGGGGTTCTACCGCCTTGCCAGGCTCCCCCAGCTCTTGGAGGAGCAGCAGATGCTCCTTGAGGGGTTCGTGGCCCACCGCGACCAGGTCCGCCTCGGCTAAACTGCCGAAGATCGATCGGTTGACCAGTGATTGGGCTAGATTGCATATGTTCAGCAATGTGGGCAAGTGAATAAGGCAAATGGGACACATACTCCTTGATGGTTAAGTTCTCTTTCTCAACAGGAACTACTTTAGAGACAGAGTGCAACTCCACTCGGGCAATTTCGTCAGTTGTGTCCTTGATGATACCAAGAAGGCCTTTATATGGACCTTTTCGAATGGTGACTGTTTTGCCGACTATTCTATCTCTGCCAATGCTTCGAGGTGGTGGCATGCCGTTGCCGTTTAAACCATTCTTTTGCAGAGCAGGGTTCATCTTAGAAAGGTCTGGTCCTCTAGGTGCTAAACTGCCTCCACTGGTAGCCACGGTGACGACATTGGTTGCTCTCGATACAATAATTCCAGCATTATCACCAACAACTTTGCTATTCATGAAAAGAAAAGCTCGGTGGACGTGGAGGATGACGCCCAGCCTTTGTTCTCCAGTAACCTCACGTACTGTATCGGCGAATTTGATTTCAGCGCCGTTCCTATCGGTAGTTACGGCATTTCGACGATGTTCGATTTTGCCTATGACACGGGACGGAAGTAAAGTTCTCGTGGAGCCATTCTGATCAAGGACCTTCATTGACTCGCGATCAAGTTTGATAATACAGCCAACAGTGGTTTGGCTAGGGTAGTGTCAGCTAGATCATCGACTTTTACGCAATAGAAGAAGACATACTCAATTTGTACAAGGTCATGGACATCATATTGACCAAGTTTTCCATCGACACCTGCATCTTCTGCTTCACGCAGGTCTTTGCTAAAGACCGTGATTTCTTGCATACTCATATCCGTGAGTAATGTAACACGGTCGTCCTTGATGCGAACAACCATTCCAAGCTCATCACGATATTTGCTACCTCCGATGACCTTCACATGGTCACCTTCCCTAAACCGCTTGCGTAATGATTTGATAGGGACATCTAGCCTCTGATCTTCGAGCTCGCCCTCTGTAACTTTGATAGAGACAATATCGGCACGACCAGAAAGAACTCTACCGACAACGCCTCGCTGCTCCCCACTGAACACTTCCACAGTATCTCCAGGTACGTATGAATCCTCGCTGGTGGTGTTCTTAAGACTAGCAGCCAGCGAAGCAAGATCGAGGTTGACAGTACCGTCATCAGCACCACGAGCGAATCTGGTGACTTCATCAAGCTGGGGGTTAACATTTTTCGTGATAAGATGCTGGATTTTCATATCTTTTATGAGAAATCCATCAATATATGTATCACCAAGATAGGTCCATGATTTACCGCCTAGACCTGCCGCAGCCGATAAATACCTTCCATGTCTTTTTTTTGCTTCCGCTTCACTGAATAAACGTTGAGGTGGGCGAGCAACCGCAGGATTAGAACCACCAGGCCGTTTTCGCTTTGAGTCTCCATTTGGGCCATTCACATCATCATTCATACCATAATCGAGACGTGGAACAAGCCTAACGGTGACTTCAAGGCCATTTGTCTCAACTTCTTCTATCTGTGCCAAATCGCCCTGGTATTTCCCCCGTTTGATGCGTACCCAGCCACCAGGCTGCAATTCCTCCGATTTTTGAACCCTGAGAAGATCAGGCATCTCCTTGACAGATATCAAGGTCAATTTTGACCTAATAAACACATTGGAAAGATTCTCCAAAGCATCCATGACGTCTGCTTGTTTGCGCGCCTCAACATATATGTAGCCACTCATAGTGCCCCCCCGTTCGAATATTGATGTGATCCGAATAGGATTTCTTGAGCCTGAATGGCGCTCTTCCATTCTCTTCATTACATTAAAAACAATTTCGCGCTCTTTTCCGGGGCGGCATTTAACGGCCCAGATGCTGGGATCCTCAACACTCGGGAGTAACAGACGTTTTGGAACGACTACCAAGTCCGAAGCCGTAGCACGATTGCGGCCATATCGCTCTTTGAGGGCCTGGGCTTGTTTTTCCGCGTCCATCGTTGCCTCTAGATCTCGCTTTCTATCAAGTTCACGATGTCTGCGGTCGTCTGTTTCAGCGCCAGCTGGAAGAATTGCATCGTCATCAGGATGAACGAATTCGGCCTCCATGTCTTCCTCTTCCTCTTCAACATCTTCCTCCTCCTCTTCAACCTCGGCCTCTTCTTCGAAGAACGCGTTCAGGCCACCACGTCTACGTTTCCGTGGGCGTCCCTAAAATGAATTACAGTCAGTTATTATCTAACAGAATTCTGGGATTAGGAAACTCTTACCGATACAGCCCCCTCATCTTCTTCCTCTTCTTCATCTTCATCTTCATCTTCCGGTACTTCGTCGTCGTCGCCAAGTCCATCGTTGGCCGCTGCACTTTCGTTACCGTCATTTTCTTCATGGTCTCGTCTTTTCCGTATATCCTGGTGAATGCCGGTGGAACTTGGTAAATCTTCATCATCCTCACCACCAGCGTCTCCCATAATTCTTTCAACCCTAGCATGCTTTTCGCCTTTCATTCGAGGCTCGCCAAACTCCACCTCTTGCTTGTCCGCTTGCTCAGTGTCGGAATCTTCAGCAGGAGTAGGATTGAAATCGTCATCTTCCTCCTCCTCAGATCCAAGGCCCTGGTCCAAAAACGAGGAAGGAAGTCGAGACATATCGAGATGAGCTTCTTTAAACAATCGGGATTATCGCAAGGGAGTATCCGCAATGTGACGGGATAAGCGACAAAGCTATGGTCGCAACGAGTTAGCGGTCGGTCCGATATTCCACTCGGAGAACTTTTAGGAGCTTCATACCCGCCAAATATGTGGCGTTTATCAAATGAGAAGAGGCTCGCAATTTTCACAGGCTGAGGTGGCCTAGAAAGAAACTAAAATCAATTAAGAGAGAAAAACAAATAAATATTAAAAAAAATGATGGCTGGGAACCAGCGCCATGAAGAGTACGTTCTGCAAAGCACTGACAGGCGAATCCAACAACGTGAAGCTTGAAGTCGGAAAGGCTTCGTTGATGGCGCCTGTGCCCTCCTGCAGTTGACTAAGCGAATATGGTAACTATCACGTTACTTCGCCTTTTCGATGGCGGGTCAACATAACTCCGTATCGTTCGATAAATAAGGAGTACTCCGTACCATTGTTGGCTTCAGATAACTCGAGAAGTCTTCACACCAAATCACATGGTTAACTATACTTCGGCCTACCTATATATATTCTGAGAAGTAAAGATCAAAGAAATAGAAGAACCATGTTCTTTCTCAATGACCACCACAATAAGGAGGAAATATATCTTTTAAAAATAACTAGACATGAGGTATTGACATGCTGATCTCATTTATAAACTCATTCCAAATGCCTTGTGGACTCTCAAGCTCTGTCGCATGCTAAGATCCAACATAATTTCCTCGCTACCTCCAGGGATCGCATACGCCCTGACATCACGATACAGGCGCTCGATTTTACCACCCTGGCCGCCGCGGCTATAACTCAAACCACCGAAGATCTGACTAGCTTCACGGGCACAGAACTCGAACGTCGTGGTAGACTGGGCTTTGAGGCCAGCGATGGCACCTCCCAGGCGGAGAGATGCTTCCATGTCGTCGAAGTTCTGACACTGGTAGATGACGTTTTCCAGCCAATTATGCGAAGCCTCAATTTGGCGAGCCATGTGAGCAAGCTTCATACGAATAACGGGATGGTCGATTAGACGTTTGCCGAAGGTGCGACGTTTGTGGGCGTACTTGACAGACTCTTCATAACAGACGCGAGAGAAGCGCAGGCATTGGATAACAATTCCGATGCGCTCATGATTGAAATTGGTCATGATCACTAACATGCGTTAGGAAAGAAAGGTGTAAGATAAATGGAAAGGTAGCCTACCCTTGAAGCCCTTGTTTTCTTTGCCAATTATGTTCTCAACGGGAACTTTCACGTCTTCGAATGTTATGTACGTAGTACCGCTGCTCCATACACCCTGGCAGTCCATTCTGCGAGTACTGACGCCCCCGAAGTCTCGCTCAATAAGAAGAACACTTACACCATTCATTCCAGCTTCGCCGGTTCGCACTGCCACAGTGAAGTAATCGCACCACATACCATTTGTGATCCATTTCTTTTCACCATTCACAATATAGTGCTTTCCGTCGGGCGTTAATTTTGCCTCACACGACAAGTTAGACACATCACTTCCGGCATCAGGCTCCGTGATGGCAAGGCAAATACGCTTGTCTCCAGCAAGAATTCCGGGGAGAACTCTTTTCACGACTTCTTTGCTGCCGAATTTCAGAAGCGGTGGGCAACCAATACCAAAGCCGCCAATGAGATTCCACACCACGCCTCCACTAGCACATCGTGAGAGCTCATCTGTTACAATGACCTCATGGAAAAGATCCCATTTTTCGGGTGGCACGCTCTTGACAGTATTCTTAGTGAGGGAAGCATCGTATCCCACGCCAAGCAGCCCAGCAAGATACCCTCTTTCACCCATCTGCTTGTATACGTAGTCAGGAACTTGCTTGGCTTCGTCCCACTCAAAAACATGTGGTTCAATCTCAGAGTCAACCCACTGTCGAACTTCATCACGAAGAGCAGCGTGGGTATCGTTATAATACGGCGAAAAGTACTGCGGAAACACAATAAAAGGTCAGCAAAAACATGTTGAAAAAGGGTATTGGTGGAGCGCGCCATACCCCATGGTACCAGGCTGGATCGGCGAATGGAATAAGGTCACCGTAGGGATCCAGAGCAGGTTGGGGGGAGAGCTTCTTTTCTGTAGAAGTAGCCGCCGGGGCTTTCTTTGTCGCCGCGGGAGGAGTGGCGGGCGGAGTTGGAGGCGCAACCTCCTTTTTAGAGTCTAACGACCCAACATGCAGCTGCTTTCCAAATTTCTTCAAAACACCAGCATTATGGTATTTCCAAAATTGCTTCGAGGCATCCTTTCCAGCAACTCTCTGAAGAACTAGAGAGAGGTCAATACCCTCAGTCAGCTGTGGGAGCGTCTGCTGTAAAAACTTACTCTTCTTTCCACCTATAAACTGTCAGCCCCGTGTATCGAAAAACAATATTGGAGATGTTCTTACCTGGATGGTCATCCTGAAACTTGGTCAGGTCATAGACGTCCTCATCGACGACAATCCAGAGGTCATCTGCCTTGTTATGCGACGCAACAGCGTCCTTAGAAAATCTTGCCGACATTTCTGTATAAAAAAACAGTCTATTACAGGCAGATAAAAATGCAATATATACAAGAGAAAGGAGACGTATTTGGACCAAAGAAATGCAGCGTATTTGTAAAGATTGAAGGGAGAATAAGAACAGCTTTTTAAGGCGAAACACAGGAAGTATGGGGAAGCGCGCGGAGGGAAGTTACAGTAGAGTTACCTAGGCTCAAGACCAGCACAGGTCCTCGTGGCGCGCAGCAAGAGTGGTTCGCTGTCTTTCTAAGCTGTACTTCGTGCCCACATAGGCCGTCCAACAAGTGCAGATTGTCACATGCCTGAACCACAGCTCGACTTTTATGGAACGGAGGTTGTCCTCCTCACCCACGTCTCTTTAGAGGATCTCTGCAAACCAATGACAATCTAAATGGGGGGATGTAGAGGCGGACTGCTATTTCCCGGAGGCAATTCACCTGCCCTTCTGGCTTCTCTGCTGGTCTTTTTCATTCGACTTTGTAGATGCCGTCAAGTGCCTCTTCACATGTCGGGATTTGCCTGTGATCAGATAGCCCACACCCCACATTCCACTAATCCTAAGGTGGTAAGTGCCTCGGCAACATGGCCGTATTGTCGCGGGAAATTGTCCGAATGCAGAAAGACCCATCTGCTGCCGGACCACATGTGACCCATAGTCTTGGCAATTGCATGCAGCTGATTGGATGGGGCGTGGGCTGACATTCTCGCGGCGCTCATTGGAACGAATGCTTATTCATCACTTTGTGTCACCATCATTTTGTGGCGTTTGAGGTTTCGATCTCCTGAGGCACCGCCGACGTGAAGTAACCTGTTGCCCGGTAGGAAATAATAGCGGTACGGAGTACACCGATGACTAGCTTTTTACATCTGTGATGTGTTTAAGCCTTGGAACAAAATTCATGTTTGTTGAAGGAGGCTTAGCGACATATCCGGGTCGAGGAAATCTGATCAATTGCATATTACGATATGCAACATGCAAATGCATTTTACATACATTAGTCGACTATACTAGAAGTACAAAGGAATTCTAGATGCTAGGATGCAGGAAGAAAAAGAGAGAGTCCAAAGAACTGACAAGAGGCTAAGAAAAAACGGCACCCCTTACTCCTCATCAGAGTAGTAAGCAAAGTCATTCGGGACAGGAGCCTCCTCGCCATTCTCCTCGTCCTCATCTACAGCAGTAAGAACTCCTGCCGCTGCCGCGGCACCTCCGGCAGCAGCTTCGGCGGGAGCAACACCTTCCGCACCGTAAATCGCAGCGTTGATGCGGTCCTGGATTGACTGCGGCGCGGCAGCAACAGAAGCCTGCTTAACCTCTTTGCTGGCTTTCAGCTCAATAACTTCCCGGCTTTCAGATGGAGACTTGTCAAGAACGACAGTAACACCGCCAGTTGGCTGTGAAGAAAGCTATAGTCAGCTTACGACCTAAAATGGAAACTTATTCATGCTGTACTTACCCGCTTGACTGGCTCATATCGGGGGTCAGGGAAAGTCAAATACTTGAGCTGAGCTGGAAGAACTCTCGACATGTTTGCAAGTTCATACCCAATTTTCTCCTTCTCGACCTTGCGTTTGGAAGCCTCAACTTCCTTCTCAGCAGTCTTACCCTCATCCTCCGCCTTCGCATGGCCTTCATCCACCTCCATTTTTTCAGTTAGTTGGCTAGAGCCCTTAGGTGTAGTTGGAGTTTGGTCCACATCCATACTCTCTCGTCGCTGCTGTCTTTCCTTCCGCTGGGCACGCCGTTTAGCTTGAGCAGTTGTCGAGAGCACCGCTGTTTTTACTTTTTCTGGCGCCTCATCCGCCTTCACCTGCTGTTCAGGTGGATAGTCAAACATGCTAGGGCGCGTGTTGCAGTGGAATTTGAAGACTGGCACCTCCAACTTCTGATCGGCACCAATCACGGCTGTAGGCGTGAAGCTGAGAGAAAGAAAATGTGTCAACGGGAACCAATACCAGTACTGAGTGAAAACAGCCGTGCCAACGATACCTGGCATGTTCAGGTTGCCAGTCTGGGTTTGTAAACTGATGGTGCAGTTTCGACCACCAGCATCGATAATTCCCAAAGCGACTGCACATCCAAACTTGGCCATCGCATCCTCATGGCGGTCCCCAATTACCTTTTGCATAGCCTTTCGAATTGTGCTCACTTTAGGGTTCATAATTTCATTTTGTTGCACAAGGACCATAGCCAATGCTATCAAAGCCCCCTGGCGTACAAAGTCAGTAGGGTCCTTGAGCATGGGCTCTAGAAGATCAACAGCCTCATCCAAGCCGGTTCCAGCGCAAGAAATACCAAGTGCCATGGCAGCTCCGTAGCGAACGTGAGGGTTATACGATTCCGACAGTAGCTCAACCATTCTGGGGACACTGTGATATTTTCTGAAGAGAATGAAGCCCAAGCTCATAACTGCCGCACGTCGTACATCATCATTAACATCACTGACAGCAACATGAAGAAGCCTCCTAACAGCCTTGTTGCTACCAGTACCACAGTAGGCTAGGGCAATGGCCATTATACCACCGTACCGAAGGGTGGGATCCGGGTCGCCGAGCAGCCCATTGATAAGCTCATCAGCTGCTTCTTGGCGACCGTACATGATGAGGGCCATGCCCATCGCAAGGCCACGAATAATCTTTTCGTGCTGCGTTTCATGGGAATATTGAATCATATCTTCAAGTGCCTTCATATTTCCGGTTCCCAGCATCACTAGCCCCATTGCGAGGCCCACCGCCTCGCCATTGAGGGCAGAGTCGGTCTGAAGCACCTTCTTTAGATCTAAATATATCCCTTCATCACCCGTTGCCATGGCCGAAACCCCCAGGCCAAGCGCACCACCATGCTGGATGACTTCTTCAGTAGCTTTGTTAAAATGTTCGCGGATAAGATCCACTGCCCAGCTCTGGTGGTTGGCATATATCAAGCCGAAAGCATAAAGAGAGCCACCTTGACTGTAAAGAGAGCCAGTACCACCCATGCCAGGAACGCCGTCTCTAGGGAGGTATGGCGCCAGTAGTTTCTGCCCCTGTGTCAAATTTCCACGATGAATAACACCAAGCGCTGCAGTCGCAGTAAACTTTGACCAATTAACAGCTTTGCCTAGCCACTCCAGATTATCTCGGAAAAATTTGTCATGGGTTGTTCCGGCATGCATGAACGCATTTGATAGTGTAACAGCCGTATGAAAAATTGAGTTCCGGGCTTCGAGGCTGTCTTTGATCTTGTTTAGGATTGCGATGTCGGCTTTATTGTTTCTGTAAAGAAATTCGAGGTTCAGTTGGATGGAATTAATGCCGTCTAAAATGGTGCGGATATTGTTGAATGCTGTACGGGCTTCCGATGAGAAGCTTGATTTGCCAGTACCGGTACTCGGCCGTTCCTCTTTTCGAAGGAGACTGTCTGTTTCAATTGCTTCTTCTGCTTCCTCTTCCATCTTGTCGTCACCGTTCAACTGTTCCGTTTCTGCTGACAAGGCAGCGACTTCCTGCCGTACCTTTCTGAGAAATTCTTGCGTGCTATTATCGTATAGATCAAACGAAATTTGATATGCAACTGCCAAAGACCGTGCATCGCCCTTTTCAACGAGCTGTCGAAGGATATCAGAAGCCATTGTGTGTTCATTCAAATATACGACACACTTCGCGATAGAAAAATAGTCTGGGGACGGAATTTCGCTCAGAAGTTCGAGAATAAGTTTCAAAATCTACAGTCAGGGGTACCAAAGTAAGCGACAGTCTCTGTGGAGAAGACAGGGGATGCGAACCTCGTCTCTGAAGGCACGTTCCTGCACGACATTCATACAAATTCCCAAGACGTATTCCATCAGCTCCTCGCCTTGTCGGGAAGATTCGCTTCCTCTACCCTTTTCGTCTTCAGCCGCACGTGAGATAGCCATCCGAAGTATTTCCAAGTTTCTTGCTTCGACTGCAATCCCAATTACTTGTCTGTATCGCTTCTGTCGAAAGCATCGTTCAAATAGGCGGTTAATAACCGTTTGAAGCTGTTTTTGAACCCCCCGTTGCACCATAAGAGGCACATCTGCCGAACCGTCCATCTCATCGCTTTCACCTCTTGAGTAGTCACCATCCATCAAAGATTCAGGGCGCGAAAGTAAAGACTTGGACGGCAGCGTAGACTGTGAAAATGGGGTAATTGGGGATGCCAGGCCAGCGGAGGTGCTTGCTGCTCCGTTGACGTTCTGGGGGAACGAGGTGTTCACATGCGGCTTGCCTGGCGTATCCGTATTTGGGGCAGTTTTCCGTGTAGCGGATATCGATACGAAAGTGTCAATACATTTCGCTGCAAATGATTCAGTCAGTATGTTATAAAGCAGTAATACACATTCATAGCAGGCGTACATATGATCGTCTCCTCAAATTCGCCTCCATTCTCTATGTCGAAGAGACGACCAGCTCCCAGAGCAAAAACAGCACTTTCATTATATTCTTGTAGGTTATAGTAAACCTTCGACGTGACCAGCGAGGCAAGTTCGCGCTCAGGAAAAGACTCGTCTTCGCAAAGCGCTTCTCTACATTGATGTGCCAGTTAGCAACAATGGGCCAGCAAGGGGCAAGTGACCTCAGAGTGCTGGAATTTGAAAGTCAAAAGATCAAACAGCGCTCTTCTCACATTTGGCCAACAGATCCAGCAATTTCAGACCATAATGAGTCGACCTGGGCGTCTAAAGTTTTCAACGCAAACACCTTGAGTTCGGTATCGGGCTCCGACAGAAAGCCAACCAGGCCAGCGGCTGAAACGAGTCCAACCATTTTTAAAGCGTCTAGATCTAACCCGACGTATCCTCTTGAGAGAACGAAGCTAAAGAGTTAAAATGCTGTACAGAAGCTCGGAGAAAGGGATAGACTGCTGGTGACGGCGCCACTTATTAGCAAACTTAAGCTACGGAGAGGAAAGAATAGAACTCACAAGTAGAAATACAGAGAGAGAATAGAAGTGGGAGATACACAGATGAAGGACGCAATTTGGCAGATGATGGAGAGAGCTGCAGGTCAAGACAGCACGTCAAATGCGTTGGCGAGGCTACTGGGTGCTGATTGGCCAGCGCAGAGTTAGTTGTGTATCGGCTTAGTCATCTCGCCGCGAGCTTTCAGCCTCATTTTACGGAGGCCAATCACGTCACAACGACACCACGACATTCAGGAGAGACAGCGATCGTGCTCCGTACGGAGTAGTGAAAGGAGATTCAACAAAGAATTTGAACAGGAGCGCCGCTGGGCCTCTAAAATGTTTATTTTACCGACCGAATATGCCCCTTAGCTTCTGTTTAGCCATCTCCCTTCCAAGCGGCCCAAGCTATGGCAACCATTAACCGTCAAGGAAAGCTGATATCAGTGCCTTCGACTACCATTCCTCACCATTCAAACCCATTCCTTTCTATTGATCGCCAAACTAGTCAGCTACAGAAAGAGCTGCAGGTACTTCTTAATGCACAGGGTGCTGGTTTATTTCCCAAAGCCCCTGATTCCCCGGGGAACCCGATTACTCTGCTCTCGTCTGCAGGGCCGAGAACTACAAGCACGACTCCCGTCAATCAGCCTCTCGAAGACAAACTCACCCTTTATGATGCAAGGGTCGGATTACTGGACACTATGGATGAACTGTTGACTGTAAGGGAAGAGGAACGCCGTGTCATTTGCTCTGAATTGCAAGCTCGGCGGGAGGCAATCGCAGGTGTAGATGCCTTTCAAATCAAAGAAAAGGAATTACAGGCAGCAATGCGTGCTGTTCAAGGTGACCCCGAAGTCAAAAGAGCCGAAAATCTTAAAAACTTAAGTCACAGCCTCGAGAAGGAAATGATGGAGATGGAACATAAATTAGCAGAGACCAAAGCATATCATCAGAGGGTTTCCCGTGAGATAATAAAGCTTGAAAGCTCTGTTGATTCGAAGTTATCGTCCTACAAATGGTCTATCGAAGCACTTCACAAGGACATCCAGGAATATCTGCAGTCCCCTCCCCTCCACCCCCTTTGGCGCCCCCCTCGAGACCAACCGAACTTCTACTCGCTCCGCCCAAATCGTAGAACGCTTGATATGGCGAAGGAACACTGGAAGCTTGAGTCAGCGGAGATAGTGAAAAGGAGACAAGGTGTTGAGAAAGACATCAATGCGATTACTGAGGGGGGAGACGTTTGGCGGAAGATAACCGAAGGACTTACCGCATATGAAAAACGGATTAGAGAGCAAATTTCACTACACGAGGCTGCCGAAGGTGTGGAGCAAACCGCCCTTGCTAACAGTATTGAGCAGGACATGGACAATATGATAACCATATTACAAGATGACCTGGAAATTGCTAGGGAGAAGAATTGGACGCTTCTCATTTGCAGTATCAGCGCGGAGCTGGAGACTGTTGAGTTGTGTAGAACTAGATTCCAGGGAAACATTCAGCATGACGAGTGGCCACCCACGTCAGATGACAGTGTTCCTGGAGACTTGCTGGCCGAATCACCTTGCACTGAGCCTGTCTCGAATAGTCATATTGGGGACGCGGCTGATCATACGATAGCTCCGTCGTCGCGCCCTCTGGTACCGGATCTTATTGACACTTCAGATGAAGAGCTTCTATTCTCACCCGTAAGAATGTAGTATCACCTAGCAATCAGCGAACTGTATTCATAAATAAGACAAGCTATTTCTTGATCCTACTCCTGTTCTAGTTACAATCAATAATCCAAGCTTGTGTATGCAGACCCTTTCGTTCCTACAAATCCCCCAACAAATCGCTACGTAAATTAGTTACTAGTTTCACACCCACTGTTGTCATAAACCTTCCAAGTTTGCTTCACACGTACAACTGTACAGGGTCACTGATTCCCTTTTCAAAATACTCTCGATGACCGTACCCTGATAATGAGCTGCCTTCTACCACCCTCTTCCTTTGTCATACCATCGCTACATGATGGCGCCCAGCTTGAGTGCCGATTATTCCACCCACTCCCAGGACAGCAAAGCTCAGAATATCCGAAAAAGAAAGCCGCAATCGTGGCACATCCATATGTTCCCTTAGGTGGATGTTTCGACGACCCAGTTGTTTGTGCAGTTACAGACGAATTGTTGAAGGGCGGCTATGTTGTGGGCACGTTCAACTTACGGTAGTTACTCCGTACATAGCTGCATAGCTCCCTAGCACGATCGACAGTCCGTGAATACAGAACCTAATATAGCTATCGCGTTTCTAGGGGCGCCGGAAAATCAGAGGGGAGAACAAGCTGGACAGCGAAGGCCGAACTAGCCGACTACGTCTCCTTCTATGGTTTCATGATGCATTACATGCAGAAAATTTGCGAGAGTGCTAACGATGGCCCTCGAGAAACAGAGGGAGCTTGCCTCTTCAGAACAGAAAATCGCAATGGCTTAACGTTGATTCTATGTGGTTACTCCTTTGGTTCAATGTTGGCATCTTTTCTCCCATCCGCAGCCCAAGTTCTCCAAGTGCTGGCATCAAAACACCAAGGAAGCGCGGCAATGGGAATCAAACAAACTGCAGCTAAAATGTCAGCAAAGCTCAATATCTCCTTTAGGTATGGACAGTAGTCATCGTTGCCGACCTATTCTTCCGCAGTTTCTAATTTTTCTGGCTCATCCAGTGAAGTGTACCAGCCCAAAACAGAAAATAACGGCGACCCGTCGCCCCCGAGCGTGATATATCTTCTGATTTCCCCATTACTCCCTCCAATGTCTCTTTTTGTGACTATGTCATTCCTGACGCCCAATAAGCGACTTAGCACCCGCGTGGATGGAACTTTCGTAACGGGTCTTCAGCCCCGGGAAGCTTTGACAAGCCATCGATGCCTTGCAATTTATGGAGACAATGATTCCTTTACATCGGTCAAGCGATTACGGATTTGGTCCCAAGAATTATCAAGTATTCCTGGATCCTTATTCAAAACTTTGGAGATCCCAGGAGCTGGCCATTTTTGGCGTGAGTCCGGCGCAGAGGGCGCAATGAGGAACGCTATCCAGGAGTACATTCAAACTCACCTTCTATAACCCCATACATATCTTTGCATAAACTGTGTTCCAATCTGAGTTACAGTGAAACGGCTTGCCGCTTCACCCACGAACTCTCTTACATAGATTGAACCCCGAAGGTTCAGCGCCACGATTGTTTTTGTCATCAAGAACCAGGTACCACACTCCAGTAGTGCATGTGGAGGTACCTTTACGTACCTAAAAGCCGTCTCCAGGCGAGAATTATTATCGGACTTTTCTCAAATACCTCCGATATACTTGCATTAACGATGTTGCCTCCTTTGTGTGTTCATGACCTCTTCTCTGCCAAGCGATGAATGAATCATGGTGGCAGCATCCAAACAGGGGTGCTTCAGTATATGCACCTTCAAGAGTAACCTGAGCTCTCTCCTGCAAAAGGACGGTGGGATTCCTATTGGAGCAGCTTCGGTTCAATAGTATTCCTTTCTCTTTCCAAAGATCTCGGGCGCTCGCGTCGACAAGACCTATCTCCTAATTCAAGGAGGCCATGCTTTACTCTCCTTTTTTAACTTATGGACTTGAAAACTCGATATGCCTGCTATTCCTGACGGTGATATTCCCAAATCGCCATATTTGACTCACTCGGAACAAGCCGGACTCCAAGGGTTAAGCCAGTGCCTTTCAGTTTCATGCCTGTCGTCACTCCTCCGTAGCTGTTTCGCACAAGTAGGTTCTTTACTGTACAACATTCGAGATGTTCCCGCTATCGAACAATGCGAAAAATTCTTCCTCACGGAGAAACGAAAGCGGGACCTTTCCTGGAATTTACCAAGGGTCAGTATTCCGTCTACTTGTAGACCTGCTTGCTAACAAAAAATGTAGGCTACTAGTCTCCATGAATGGTTACAAATTGCGGGAGAATTGGATGAACTTGAAGGAAACAATGCATGGAAAGCCATTGACGAGTCTGACGAATATGACTATGTCATCATACGGGAGCGCCTCGAAAATCTGAAGCGGGCTTTGGACACAAATGATCTAGCTTCTATTACGCATAACATTCGAACGACGTTCTCCCGTGATCTTGCGAATATGACAAATCCAGATCTTTATGGGCGTGCATACATTGGTTCAAAAAATTTGATAGATCTATATGTCACAACGGCCGTCAACGCGGTATCGATGGTGCTGCAACTGGTAGATGAACTGGATTTGAATGTTGATGAATCTCAATTCCTGCTACACCAGTTGCAGGCTTCCCGCCAGGCTTTTGGTCGCAGCGCTCTATTACTCTCGGGTGGCGCTACGTTTGGCATGAATCACACTGGTGTTGTCAAAACCCTCTGGCAAATGAGACTTCTTCCACGTATCATTTCTGGTTCATCTGCAGGAGGCGTTATTGCTGGAGTTCTCTGTACACATACAGATGACGAAATCCCGAAAATATTATCCTCTCTTGCATATGAAGACTTTTGCGTATTTGAGCCGCGAAATGAAGTGGAGAGTGTAATACGCCGGCTGAAGCGATTTCTTCAAACTGGCTCCCTCTTCGATATTGTCCACCTCAGAAAAGTTATGCAAGATCTCCTAGGTAACATTACGTTTCTGGAAGCATACAACCGCACGAGAAGAATACTCAATATCACTGTGTCTCATTCGGAATTCCATGAACTTCCTCGGCTATTAAATTATATTACTTCCCCTAATGTAATGGTCTGGTCTGCCATGTATGTCCTGCCCAATCTGCTATGTGGTGAGATACTAACTGACATCAACAGAGTGACATCTTGTTCCGTCCCCCTTGTGTTTTCGGCATCCTCACTGATGGCAAAAGATCCAGTGACGGGAGAAATACTAGACTGGGGAGAATCTTTAGTTCAATGGATTGATGGATCTGTTGATGGTGATCTTCCCATGGCACGACTGTCCGAGATGTTTAATGTCAACCACTTTATCGTTTCACAGGTTAATCCCCATGTGATACCCTTTGTTCCCCCGGAAGAAGCCTTCTTGTTCGCGGAGCTCAGTGAACGCCGACAACCTCCCGAAAATGGAAAAACCCATCTTCCTAAAGAATTAATGAAAGAGGAGGCGATGGGTAAATTAAATCTGCTTTCCGGTATGGGACTATTTCCCAATACTTTGAGGCGCTTTGCTTCGATAATGAGGCAAGAGTACTATGGTGATATAAACATCTTACCGGAGATTACGTATGAAGTTTTTCCTAGCATGCTGCGAAATCCTACGCCTGACTTCATGCTTCGGGCTTGCCTTACCGGCGAACGTGCTACATGGCCCAAATTGGGGCGCATTCGGAATCATTGTGCCGTCGAATTAGCTTTGGATGCTGCAATTCCGATTATGCGCGACAAGGTTGCCGCCATTGCAAGGAGCGCGAATATCCCCATGAAACATTTGACCTTCTACACGGATGAAGATCTTTATTTAGAGGACAATACGGCAAAGATACCGCAAAAGATCACCCCTAAGAATTCTTTCCATGGTGCACACACGAACCAAATTTTTCACCACTCCAACCCCGTTTTTGAAGTACGGAAAAGCAGGAGCTCCATTCACATGGCGAGCATTGAACACAGCTTTACGCACCATACACATCACTTCCACGCCGCAGAATCCAAAACTCATTTCCTCAACCCTGCCTCCCTGGCAGTGAATGATATCTCTGGGCACACGAGCCAGGTGACTTACTCCGAACTGGATACGAGACGAGTTGATAAGCTGTCGTCAGTAATATGGCCCGACGAATTAACATCTCTTTCCAGACCAGTTCAACCAGAGCGGCATGTACCAACAGTCTTGCCACACCGCGGGTCCTACGCCCGATTACCAACCCCTTTAATTCCAAATCCGCCTATTGCCCGAAAGACTCGCCGGGCAAATAATTCCAAGCTCTTTCCAGCAGGAGTGACTTTGCCGCGTTTCATAATGACTATGAAGAGTGGACCTCCATCTCCAGTGCCTTACAGGCACATTCGACAGAGCTCCAGTGAGTTGGTGAAGTATAATAGTGTGGTTAATTTGTGAGCCAAAATTACAGGCGGCGGCCTTGATATGGCGGCTGGGCGACTGTGCTCTTTCTTTCTTGAAGGATTCTCGTTTTGACCAGGACCGTAACAATATACTGATGGGGAAGTAATGTCTATACTCCAGATGTATGCGTATACTTGAATTACTTCTACGAATTCCGAATGTCTAAATTATAATATCTAATACCAATATATATTATTCCCATCTCATACATTCTGACGGAGCACTAGCGACAGAACCGCCAGACCTCGATTGGGGGTTGCTTACTAGAAGGCAAATGGCGTGCGATCGTGTAGTTAGTTGCCACGGGGTAAAGCACCATACTTTGGCTTACAAGCCTGCTAAGAGGTGGGATGTACCCGCTCCGGCTTTTTGCAGGGCAATTCCATACCTGATACGACAGAATGGATGGCTTTGCACCTTTTGTTTATTAATCTCGTTTTCTTCGCATGAGCATCTGAGGGGTTTCATAGCGGAAGCTGAGCCCAGTGGTCTGGGTTAAATGAGACATTATCTCTCGGCTATGACAAATTAATACAAGATAATGCCAAAACCCTGTGTGCAATGGGGAAGAGGCCGGAGTGCTGATCTGCTGGTGCTCAGTTATGAAATAACACGAGTCGACAGCCTAATGCGTGTGCTCCGTCCTGTGGAACGCATGTGCAGTAATTATATGGGCGGACAGTCGCGAGGAGGCTGCGACGGGCAATAATTATCGATGACGCTATACTTAAATCCGGCTCTTTCGCATGCCGTCATGATCGACCAGTCTGGGAGGAAGGCTTCGATTGTTCGGCGTCCATTCCAAAATACTGATCCTCGGAAATGCGCCGTTGATTGCAACACCCTCACGCGCATTGTCGCACCAGGGACCGTGTGAGAGAGGGACAACAAGAAGCGGAGGCCAGCCCAGCGTCATGCTTTTGTGCCCCGATCCAAGGACACAGCAGCCCACGGTGGCCGGGGCGACGAAAGCGGGACGGAGGATTGCCGTGTGTTAGGAAGGGCATGGATCCATGGCGCCGCAACCGGGCTGTCGGGACTCAGGTCGCGCATTCGGGCGCAACTCGACCCGGCCGCGTACGAGAGAGCGACATGGGTGCTGTCCGTCCCCAAAATTCGGATTGCTCTGCGCCGTATTATCATTATTATTGGGGTGCCGGTGCCCGTTTGTTCAGCACGCCGTGCTCCGTACAAACGCCCACATCGATCTGAGGCATTGTTTTTCGCCCACCAACTTTGGAGAGTGACGGAAGACTGTCAACCCGGGCTGTCGCACATACACTGCTGCGGGTCGGTAGGTCTGCTGGCCCAACTGTGCGCATGGTGTCTCCAGCGCGGCGAAGGATTCTGATGCGTCGCATGGGACGTGGTATGCACGCCGCGCATGATACGACATACCCTGTCATGGCCCCCAATGTCCATAATGGACGATGGCTAGCGGTGGAGGGGGGAAGACGTGTAGCACACCGGGTGTGCAGAGTACAAGACCCCTGATCAGCCCAGGATAGGGACAACGCAGTGCCATCGCAACAACCCGATCGCGGCACTGCTGCCGATACGTTGTGGTGATGTTCTGAGTTGAGGTTGGCTGTTGGATGCGGCAGCGAGTAAGCGCCGCCGGTGGAATGGCGGCTGTTGATTGGTAGGAAACTGTCCAGGTCGGGAGTGCTCATTGGCTGTAATATATGGTACAGCACGGAAAGACACCTTTTTGGGGCCAATCATCACGCGCTATTACTCGTATACGGCGTATATCAGTTACAGTACACAGTTCCCAGCGGCACCAATCAAAATGCTCCAGTAAGATTAGTCATGCGGCCGGTTTCCATTGTTGTCGACTCACGTGCGCCAATACTGGAAAAGCGAGTCAAGACGGCAAGTGAGTGCGAATAACAACGCCGCGGGTGGTGTTTGACAACCAGCACTGCTTTTGAAACCCCGCCAGAGCTGACAACTGGACTCTACCGCACCAATCCACGTTCCTCTTCGGACTATCCCCTGAACTGGCTGGGTGCGGCGGAAACAGCGATGTCGCGCAAGGGGAAACGATCTTCAGCCTCAGCACCCCAACTTCACCGGACAGATTGTCTTTCCGGCGGGTAACAGGTAGTTAGGCCATGTCCCTCTACTTGGAAGAACGCCCGTATCCGCCACCCATGCTCTAGTGACTGTTTCGCGCGTAGCCATTGGCCAGCACCAATGGCGAACGGACAGGCATCTTTCGAATCCAATGTCCATTCTAGGCATTGCGAGAGAGACGACGGTGTACGAAACCCATAATGGGCCCTGCAAGTCCTTCTCCATGCCGGGGTCTCGACCGGGGGGCTTCATCTCATGCAGCGGCTCAACTTCAGACAACAGCAGAGAAGGTGGGCTCCGCCCGTGTCCCCCGGCATACCACAGCTCCACAGCTCAGCTTGTCGGCGAACCGTTCCAGACTACGCACGCAGGCTATGCCCAAGGTTGTGTCATCGGGAACACATACATATATTGGCGTCTTTTGTGGGAGGAGGCCATACCCCGTCCGTACCGGTCAACGTACTGCACGCCTACCTAAGCCTTCAGATCGCTCCGTATGCCCGGAGTATGATCCTTTTGAGCACATTAGGTTTTGACTGCCCCTGTGTTACCTGCGATGGAAACATTTTCAGGCGAACGCTGCTCATGGGTTTAATTGGACCATGCCTCTAAGCGCATTTCTACGTTTCGACGTCGACGGGGCTTGACGGCTGCTCAGCCCCTGCCGCCCACCCATTGCCTTAGCATGCAGCGTCAACTTGCTAAAACAGGGAACAGTCATGAATATTGCGGGCCTCTATGCCATTATTATTGCGCTTGCGGCAATCTAATGCTGCTAAAACACCCCATACCCCAAGTCGAGTATTTAGACAAATTCTACTATAATATTTTTAGAACCGTTCTCTTTCTGCGCGCCGCCGCTGTGACCGTGACGCTTATCACCCACCCCTCTTGAATGGATTGCCGCATGCCGTGCAACGGACTGTGAGCCCTTTTCTTTTCTCTTTTTTTTTCTTTTTCGTCTGAGCTGGCTCAGCAATTATCATTTTCCCATTCCCCCACCCTCTCCTATTGCTCCTGGCCCCCCGCAGGTATCGCCGCCTTGTCGCGCTTCCCTTCCGCCACGTCTCTGGCGACCAGCCGCTCTGCTGCGCTGGAAATACTTATGTTTTGATCTTCGGCATTGATCCAATACTTGTCTGCTCCAGCAATGTGTCTGCGGGTTTCATGACTTCTATACGGAGTTGCAATGCCCCAACCTTGACTCTGTGGCTGCCTTGAGTTGCTGTTTCCTTTTAAGCTTTATTCTATTCCCTTCCTTTGTTCCTCTTCTTAAATCTCTCACGAGGTCTATCTAAAGGAACTTGATCCTGGATAGTCCTGTTTACTTTTATTCGGACGGCGTGTCCGATCACGCAGGTATACTTAAGCTGTTATCATGACATCTTGGGTCAAATGTTGCCTTGAGCGGGGTAGGCTAAGGCAACGTCGAAAGGGAAACCAACAGTTAGACGAACGATATGGGGATACATCCATCAGCGGCCCAATGGATGGAGGATGGAATCAACTGCCATCGTATTCATCCGAAAAACGCTCCGCTTCAGTTCCAGCGTCGAGTGCTGGCTCGAAACGCCAAAGAGAGGCGACCACAGACCCCCGGCATGGCTATTTCAACTCTTGTTCCGGCACCCAGCCTTTCACGGCTCATCCCAAAGAATTAACTAGCGATAAATGCAAGAGGTCCCCAGATTTTCTATACAAACCCGCCAGTGAAAAATTCTTTGAGGATATGGCGAAAATTGGAAAACCACGACATCCTCCACCTTCCTCGATTTCTAACAGTGACAAACATCGCCGCCAATTTTCTACAAATAGTGCCAGTAGCTCTCTCGATCCAACCTCGCCCGCCGAAATACCCTGCCATCCTTCCTATCAGAAGAACATGCTCCTCCACCGTTCACCATCGCCACAATTATGGTCCATACCTTCTTTACAAAGACAATCTCTAAGTCCAAAATTAAGCTCCGTGGACAGTCCTGCTTTGTCGTACCATTCAACATTGGAGGAAGAATCGTACGATCTCAAAAATGAAGAAGCTATAAAATATACATCTCCACCGATGACCAAACTACAGCCGAAAAAGCCAAAACGGACTATCACGGATGAATTGGTTCCTTCTACTACAGATTTATTCGGATAATATTCACATGCCGTCTTAAGAGTAGACGAGACATGTATTTTTCTTTTGTTTTTAACTCGGGTTTTTTCTTCGGTGTACAAGGCTTAGTGAAATATTTTTGGGGGACTGTTCGCTGGAGCATTATACCAGGAAATGGTCTTGAAGTCAGAGACTCATAAAACATATCAATTTACCTATTTCCTTGTGGGTGTTGGCGCATGTTACCCTTGCTGGGGGGTCTTTTAGTTTAGGTTTCATATTCTCACAACGCTTTGCAACTGAGAGCGCGAGCGCCTAATTCTCTCTCATCCAGCTATGCCACAGCTCTGGCTATAATAAGTTCCACTCCACAGAGGCCAGCTGCACTCATGTGCCTTGCATGATCTCTAACAGACGATTTTAGCTCGCGCGCAAAAAGAACCACTCAATCCATCAAAAGACATGTTTTTATGTACACCAAGCGCCACTAAAAAAAAGACCTGTCGGGTCTAGACTACACTACTACCGTCTGTGGTAGATACAACTTTCAATCATACCTTGATATTATTTCAGCCAGGCTGCTAGGCATACAAGACCCACAGATCGACGCCGCAACCAACAAAATAATTTCGCGCATACGTGGCAAATATCGCAACATTATTCCTGCGCCCTGCAGGGGGGATGGGCGTGCAACGCAGTCAAAGCGTAGTACAGGGTATCGTGCAATGGGAGGTTTGGGTTAGCCGCCGGGCAGATTATCTAGGTTAGTTAACTAGTTAGTTAGTTCCTCCGTACTCCGTAGTTGGGTGACTTAACAGTAACTAACTAGTCAACTAACTAACTACCTGTTAGTTAACGATGAGGTCCAGCTGTCAAACTCAAAGAATAGACAAGAATTTTTATTTTCGGTTTCGCCCTTACGCCTAGTCCAACGTCAAGCTCAGTCTTGCTTGGATGCCAGTGCTCCAGCGTCGATTGTCTAGGTTGGGGAGTGAACGTAAGGGTGAAGCACACTCGAGTTCATAGCTTATGAAGGATATTGGAAAGAAAAGATCGGTAAATCATTATGACAAATGTAATTTTGAAGGCTCAATACTTATACTGCTCCAATCTCCAGCACATATTCACCGAATGCTGCGAATGCAGCCTCATACGCAGACAAGGGAATCCAAATATTGCGCCATTCCCCCCTGATGCGTACAATGCAATACTGCCAGTATTCTGGGTACCAGCCGGCATGAGCCCAATCAACCACAGCAAGGACATGCGGGCGACCAGCTGGTGAGACTAGAATATTAACCCAATGCAAGTCTCCATGAGTCAGCGATGGCGATATCTCTTTAAATCAGGAAGCCGGCATTGGTACAGAGAAGAAAACCAGCCATTGAATGCTTTCGCATTTTCGAAAGGTCTTGATTGGAGGTGGTTGTGAAGATAGAATCATGCAAACGTGTGCGGTTGACAAATCCTACTCCAGTAAGTGAGCCTACTGATAAACATTGCGGGGTATGTCCATACCAATAAATGAGCCGCAAGAATCCGGCTCAATTTGCCAAAGAGAATTAGCTGTAGCTGGCCGCAAATAGAGTTCCTATCCGGCTCACTGAGAGAATCCCATCGAGTGTCTCCCTGAACGGGCTCCATTTAAATTAACACAGAGTTTTGATATACTCTCGAACCATACACCGCTGTGACAGGTAGTTTCTCAGCAAAAGAGGTTTGAAGCATGCAGAGAGTTAGGGCTTCGTCAACCGCCACAGACGGCCCAAAATTTGATGAAAAGATTCAGATGCTCAAATTCAACCGGTGCGGGCCGCGGATGTTTGTTGAACTCTTCCGAGAGGGAGCCAACCTCTGCAGCGGTTGGCAAGCCCTTATGGTCTGCTTTGGTGAAGAAGGAAGAGTCAAGGAAGTCCATCTCTGTTTGCTTGCGTCTAGAGTGGCTGGCGGTTGAATTTGTGGTTTAATGGGCATCTTGTTATGAACCGTCTCAGGTTGCGGATGATACCAAGAATTACAGAACCGAGAGAGTTGCGGCCTGCTCAGGCTGCAAGTTCACAGGAAGCAAGTGAGCTCCAAGGCTCATACAGTACTTGTCAAAGGTATCTTGAGGTTGAAAATTCAGTTAATTCACCTATGCGATGTTTGGAGATTGCTGCCGGTCCAAGAGATCATTCTCCATACCACCCCCAATCCTCCGGCCAACCACACAATCTCTTTGGGTCACCAATGCACGGCCGAGTGGAAACTATACGTCCAAATGTTGCGAAGGCTTGAGATTTTACCTCAAACACGACTTCTCCACGCTCCCTTGATGGCTACCTTCTTTCATTGTAGCCTTTCCTAGGAATAACATGACTATAACTGAAAATAAGCTTTCCGCTCTGTTGCGATAAAATCGGACGAAAGGAAGATTGCTTATTATTACCCGGCCGTTTTATATCTGTCCCACTGACTGGATCGTCGGAGAAGCTAAGCTATCGGCTATCAAGCCGTCGGCGGCCGGATGAGGCGCAAGTCCCCCTCCTCAACCGCACTATTATTCATCATGAACGCGGGGACTGGGGGTATAATGAATGGTTCGGTTCAGAGTAACAAAGCGGCCTATCCAGACGATAAGATGGTTAACGAGATGAAGCAACTAGGTCGTCCCGTATTTTATGCTTATTACTATTCTTTCCATTTCTAATGGTGGAATACTCAGTGGGCTATTGGAGGAAAAGAGTAGCGCTGTTTCAGAATTACAAGAATAGCTATCCGCCAGCTCAACAAAATATCTAGTAGAGAACTCGCGAGCTCTGTTATAAATTCTGAATCAGGACACATGGCTATCGGGAGGCTAATTTCTTCCGCAACAAATTCCCGGCCGAGCCATCTTCAATCTTTCTGCCCAGCGATATCAATTGATTGGATGTCTTATCGTATAGTTACATACTCCGACTGGGTATCGCGATAAGGGCGGATCGCGCATTCGGCGCTAATGATAAGAGTAAGAGGCCAGACGAGGCCAATAACCATATGCATTAGACGCTGCTCCAGCGTCAAACTCGGCTTCCTGTCGCTTCTCTCGTCGCCCGCCTGCGCAAACACCGAAACTGGAAAGTTAATCCGCGAGGGTCGTGACAGCCGACCCAGCCGCTTGGATACGCCGGCGCCACGCTAAGCCAACCTGGGAATAGCGCTTGCTCTTTCGCGTATGTGCGGCTGCGGGCTGGCCAATCACAGGCGGGCTTCTTGAGCCTCGGCGGACGGCTCGGACGAAAGGTTCCTCCAGGCAGTGCGAATTCAACGTTGCCGGCACGGCTAAACCACACGGACCAGCCATCAACCGCTTAATCTGGCTCCCGATTCATGGAATGAAATTAGACTTGTCTCCGCCATATCTGCTACTGGTTGGCCAGATGGCTGCGGAGTCCCAAGCTAAGCAAAACTCCACTTCTCCGCACGGCCAAGCCCCTTTCTTGTCGAGATTGAGAAGCTGGACCGGCAGCCAGAGCTGTCTACCAGAACCCGATATGAGGGGCAGCTCAACGTCGAGGGCGAAACACTTCAACTGTTTTGTCTTGGGCTTTGTTAGCTGTCCGATGATCTACTTATTGACCGTGATCGCCCACCCCAATGGGTTTTCATCCTCCCTCGAACTCTCCCCTTTCACGCGTTTCTTTTTTTTCCCCTCGCTGCTCTGCTGGTTGAATATACACGGCCGAGTTGGCCCTTCTGCGTTGCATACATCCGCCATATACCACCCCACTGTCGAGTATCTGCTCATCGATCGAATATGGCGTCCCACCACGTTGACCGTTCGGACCTAGTTCCAGGAACGGTCCATCTAGTGGATGTTGCTGGCGAGGCAGCAAATTCGAAACGTGAAAAAGACATTGTGCTCGTACCTCGGCCGAGTGCGGACCCTGAAGATCCTTTGAATTGGACTCGCCGGCGGAAACTGTTACATATGGCTATGCTTTTTATCTATACCCTCGGCGTCGGTATTCCAACGACTCTACAGTACAGTGTGCTAGCGGATATTACACGAGATACCGGAATTACTACCGCCCAATTGGTCAATGGCACCGGTCTCATGTTCTTGTTCCTGGGGTGGGGCTGTCTTTTCTGGCAACCTCTTGCTATCACATACGGCCGACGAGGTATTTACGTCATCTCCTGCATGCTCTGCGTTCCGTTGATCGTCTGGACTTCCTACTCGAAAACCTATGGAGAATGGTATGCGCATCGGATCATTTTGGGTTTTGTTGCGTCTCCAATCGAGTCGCTTCCTGAAGTATCAATTCCTGATGTTTTCTTTGCCCATGAACGTGGACGATGGATGGGCGGCTACGTCTTATTTTTATTCGGTTCAAACTTCATCGCACCCCTTGTCGCAGGGTGGTTCAATGACGCTTATGGATGGCGATGGGTTATGCATTTTGGAGCCATGATCGGTGCCGTGGCAACAGTGATCATCTTCTTCTTCATGGAAGAAACGTTGTACTTTCGGCCTACTGTTGAGGGCGAAGAACTAGAAATCACGTCGAATGAGTCAGAAAAGAGAGAGTCCAAAGAGAAACAGGATCTCCAGACGACAAACACTTCAGAGAACGGGGTGGAATTTTTAGCCCCCCGAACATACCTCCAGAAATTGAAGCTATTCGTCTTTTTACAAGGTCGCCCAAGCAAGAAGCAAATGCTTACGATGATGTACCGACCCTTGTTGATTATCCTCTATTTCCCTTGCACGTCGTGGGCCGGTTTCCTTTATGGTATCAACTTATCTTGGTACAACGTACTCAACGCCACTGCCTCCCCGATCCTTTCTGCCGCTCCATACAATTGGAGTGCAGCTCTTGTGGGTTCTGCTTATACGGCTCCTCTTATTGGCGCAATCTGCGCGTGCGCCTGGTCAGGAATTGTTGCTGATAAATTTGCGATCTTCCTTGCTCGCCGTAATAAGGGCGTTCGAGAGCCGGAGCATCGTTTATGGCCGCTCGTCGTTTCAGGCCTGATTTCCACCGCAGGACTAATTCTCTGGGGTGTTGGTGCTTCATTCGGGATCCACTGGGTGGGTTTGATCTTTGGTCTTGGTATGCTTGCTTTTGGCTGCATCACGGGTGGCTCCATCGCGATCTCGTATTGTATCGACTGCTTCAAGGAACTCAGTGGCGAATCGATGGTGTCCGTGATTATTATCCGCAATACCCTTGGCTTTGCATTTAGTTACGCCATCACGCCCTGGATTGAAGCGCAAGGTCTGCGAAACTGTTTTATTACCGTCGGCATGGTTTCGTTGGTCACAACAGCAACGTTCCTTATCATGACCGTATTCGGGAAGAGGTTGAGGCGGTTTTCCAGGGACAAGTACTGGGAGTATGTGGCTACGAGTGTGGCGGGGGCCATATAGTTTGCATGAGAGGAGGACGGAGGAGGATACGAGTCTGGCCTGGAACTCATGTCCCCAAATTTGCCACGTATGAACTGGTCTATACGCTGTATAGTTTCATAATTTTGTCGAAATTTATTAAATAGTATGATCTTCTAAATACTAATCCGTACTTGATTTTGCTTCTATCTTTTTTTTAAGTCACCGCAGAACGGAGTACTACAGCTCATCCCACAAACCTGAGTGGATCCAATCTGCATTCTCAGTTCGATGAGCGGTGAACACCCGAGAGGGATGCTAACGAGAGTTTTTTTTTCAAGATCCGATATGGAACAGACTACGGAGTATTCTAACACCAGTGAATGGAAGGAAAGACCGCCTCCAACGTATGCTACACACTAGATAGATGGGATGGGGGCCAAACGCCAATCCGCGGAGCATAAAAATTCTTCTAGAAGCCGGCCATCGAGTCAGGATGAGCCTGGGGTAGTTAATGGGGCACAAAACAAGGGGACAGAGGCCGGGGTACGATAGTGTAGCCAATTACCGACGAGCACATGTGCTGAGGGTTCTTTTTTTTTTTTTTTCTGATGGAACTGGCCGGAATGCGGGTCGTCTTGATCGTCGGCTCTGACGACCGGGTTGGGCTCGAAGCGCCTATGCTGGCTTTGATTGTGCACTTTCTCAACTATTAGAAATGCTAGTGAACTGTTTTCCACGAGCGTCCTTCTGATTTTTCATCTCTGACGTTGGATTTGCTTCATTTCTTCTTCGTCTTTCCTTATCCCTAAGACTGTTTGTTTTGTTTTGTTTGCAATTGCCGACGCTATTCAAACGCCCCTGTCTTGCGCTAATCCCAAAAAGGGTGTGAATAGTCCGGCCGAGCGCTGCTCTTGGCCAATCGCTTCCCGTTGGCCCCACCGTTCCCAGCGTGCCGGGCCCGTTACCCGTACCTCATGGCCCGCCGCGGCGTCTTATTGGCCGCCGAACCAGCCCCCAGCGCCGCGCATTGCCCGATCAGGCAGTCTTCTGGAACAATTTTCCTTCGATGCGCCAGCCCTACGACGCCGGCTGGGCGGTGGTTGAAATGCGGCGCAACGCGGGCCATCCGGCTGCTGCTGGGCCAGGGCGGGCGCTGCAGGGTGATGTGGGCGCTGGCTTGTATGTATGTATATAAGTTGCACCGCTCTCGAGGCAGCCCTCTCGAGATTTCTTCAGCGGGAAGGTACATTGTTAGCCGATCTTGAGCACGTTGCACTTTGCATTGTATGGATATCTCTGCACGCACATAACCACGCGTTATTCAAGATGAATCGTACCCTCTTTTCCTCATGGAACTTTTCAGTCCCTCTCTTTATTACTATCCTCTTCTTAGAACTGGTTTCAAGCCAGGCAGTCGACCACCTGTCGGAGCTCGAAATGCCGAATGACCCTCAAAAATGTTCCTCCTTATGCATCTCCGGTCGATCTCGCGAATATGGCGATGATTCGCGCATCCACCAAATTGTCAGTCGAGCATTCCACAACGGCCCATTGTCAACGCGGGAGAAACGGGTTATTGGTGTGAGTGCTGGGCTTGCAGGACTATTTGGTAGGAGCAGCCCAATTTTCAGGCCCACTCACATGTGTTAACGAGAAGCAACCGTATAAACAGTTATTTCCAGCATCCTCATCATTATCGGGTATCAACAGCAGTGGCACCGCAGCATCGCGGCGATCATCACCTGCAAAGACCACCGACGGACGCCACGCAGGACAGTGCCGGAAGATACCTTTCAACGGCATCATGAGTCCATGTTTTCCGTTGGGACGCCCCGAGTATCCTACAACTCCGAAGCAGCGCTGTACCACACAGGGCCTCATCAGCCGGGCCTTCCCAGCCCGGCCACCTCATACTACCAGCCGATCGAGGTATACCGCTCGCTGATGCAGAATAAAGAGACGCTCCAGCCACCGATGCCGCTGACGCCGGCGATCCTCGCTCCGGTTCGCCATCCGGCCCATCAGCACTCGTCCCCGCAAGCACATCGATGCGAATCATATCCACCGGCGCTGTCTGACTGTGAGATCTCCCCCAGGACGATTCCCGCGCCAACTCGACGCGTGATCCATGCACCGCAGCCCCGACGCATTGGCCTGCCTCGTAACCCGCGGCATGTCTTGGGATTGGGGATTGCGATTCCGCCGCCGCCCCCGCTTGTGAAGCTACGGCCGTTGCCTCTGAGAGAATATGACGAGAAATAGGGCGTTAGTCTGGTTATCTTTTTCTTGTTGAGTTGCGTTTGGATTAGCGCTGCTCGGCGCTTTTTTTTCCTGTATATTATTACCGTCTATACCCTTGCATTGCGATTCTATGTCGATTCGTCCTTGTCCTCTCTTCGACGGCTGCAGGTAGCGATACCGTTGATAATGCCGTTGGAAAAATAGACTTTGCTGTAATGGTCATGCTTAATTAGGCCGATAGACTTAGACAGACACCGCTCCGATCGGGTCTTCGTGGTTATTATTGGCGTGGGCTGTTCACTAACGGCTTTGACTTTGGGCGTCGTATTCGTCCTTCAAGCATACATTCGGGTGCAATCCCAGTGGCGCCACTGTCTTTCGTACTATACCAGAATGAGAATCCTCTTGCTTAATAGGGTCAAAAGAATATAATAGTTAGTCAACCACTTGATTTTTGGAACTGCCAAGGGGCTTTTTGTATTTGAAGATTTTAATAACCTTACTCTGCAGTTGAGAGTAATGTATTAATATTTCATATTTCAGATTCATCACTCTCGACCTTCAGCAGTACTCAGAATGCAGAACTGTACGGAGTTCAGATTTGTTAGTCATTTTCGATTAATTATTGAAGTTGAGCCATAGATCTAGGATAGCCTTCCCTTTAGGTATCATTTTCACAGTCACTTTCTCGTGTCACCTGAACGGTGAGGGTGATTGGCTTGCAGCAAATGGAAAGCCTGCCAATCACGCACCGCATTGACCCCGAAGCGGCCAGATTTCCATTGCGAATACGGAGTACGATCTGTGTGATAAGACCGCAGAATCCCTGCTTAACTATCTAGTTACTCCTACTGAGTACCGTATGTCTGGTAGGATGGCTCGGGTGCATGGGCGGGGCATCTATCCGCGAAACTTTCGAAGTATGAATTCCGAAATATGGGATGAGGTGGCTCAGAGGTACGGAGTAGTTAGTATAGAAAGCCTATGGTCTTTTGGTCAAATGCTATGTCAAAGATAATCTGGATTAGGATCCGATTTCTCTCCAAACACCCATGACCCGGCACGCATGTGGATTAGTCCTTATAGGCAATGCCTTTCAGAGAATAGGCTATTTGGCTAAATGATTGAGTCGAGGATTGACATCCTTGGCACTGTGTCTTGGATCAGACCAAAGTTTTTGCCTCCGTTAAAATGTCGTTGACCCAGTTAGAGCAATTGTTCTATGCTGTTGGATTGGGGTCGGCTTCAAGCAACATTCTAGTCCTGGGGCGGAGGGTATTTCTGTGCGATCCGCTTTGAATTGTTCAAGCTGAGCCTTTGCAGTTAAAACTGCATTTGAAGCTTCGTCTGTCACTGGAATGGGATATGGATGCATTGACATCGCAACATCGCCAATGGGCCCATTCTCTTACCATATTCGGGATTGAGCCAGCCAAATTATACAACGAAACCACAAACACCATAGGAAAGAAAGAACTGCATAACCAGAATAGTATGATGGAGAATCTGTAGCAAGTAGTTCGTCCAATTGTTTGCCATCTCCAAATATAAAAGGCCTTTGAGAACTCCCAGTCCACAATCCCGCGTATCTGCCCATCTTTGACCATAATATTTCGAAGACGCAAGTTTCCATGAGTAAAGACAAAGCATACCTGTCAAGAGGTTGTTCACGTGGTTCTTTGGGGCTTCCATTTGATGGGATATGCCTCAATAAGAGCCTCGTTGGAACTGAGTGTGACATGAGATCCAAATTTCGCGACGACGCCAAGGGAGATCTCTGCTATCCCAACAGGTATTACTGTCGGTAACACTTTCTTCGATTCACAAAGCCCGGGACCGAGCAAAGAAGGTTTATTTGTACCACAAGCAGCAGAATCGGATCTTGAGTAAGGTTTGCCTCACCGCGCGTTAATTCCACGTCGTCTTCCCCTCGTCTTGAGTCTCTCCACTGATAGCCTCCTAGCGCTTGACCGCCCGCGCGACCTACGGACCGGCAGGGCCTTGCGCGCACGGAACCGCGGATCAGCGCTCTTTGTCTGCCGACTCGACTGCCCGCAGGGATGGCGCGCAGCTCGCCAATCAGGCCGGCTGCTGCACTGTGACGAGGACGGGATCGCCAGGACGATCGACCAGGGCCCGCGCACACACCGCCGTGCGATTCCCGTCGGACGACTGCGCGACGGCGGGTCTCGTCCTGTTGTTGCAAACCAGGCGGCACGCATGAGGGTGGGCAGAGTGGCAGAGTCGCAGGCCGACGCACACTGACAGACCGGCAGAGCACAAGGCAGAGAGCACAAGAAACGACAAGAGCCAGACTTCGCATCGCGGCGGGCCGGGGTGGGCGAGCCGTGCCGTGGGTGGCTGGCCGGTGATCATCTCGCGCAGGCCAAGCAGCCTGGCGTGCAGCCTGTCGACGAACTAACGGCCTCATGGCCCTTGTCCAGGCTGCCCGCGGCCTCTCCTCCCGCCGGCTGTCTTGCTGGTCCTGTTTGTTCTCGCTTGTATCCTGGCGCTGTGCTACTGCTGCCCGGCCACGGCCCTGCCCGCCCTTTCGCTCCCTCTAAGCGCCGTGTCGTGCTGCCTCCCCGCCGTCTCTCCCGCTGCTCGGCAGATCCATCGCGATCTACTTAAGTGGGTACGGAGGACTCGTTGCAATTCCCTCGTCTGTCGGCTGTCGTCACCTGTCTCTGCTCTGCTCTGCCCTGCTCCTGTCTCCTCCAGCGTTGCGGCCAGGACGCCTCGCGCGCGGTGAGGGCCGTGCCAACTATGCTTTGATACGCCGCTGACAACGCTCGATGCCACGCCGTGATCGACTGCTGCGACGCCTCCAGACCGGCTGCTGACCCGCCGCCGTGTTCGCGATGCTGCTCTTGCTCTCCCCGCTCTTCGCGGTGGCCGCTCTGGCCCTGCGAGTTGCCCCCGGCTCTCCCTGCGAGAGATCATGCGGGTCCGGCTTCAGCAACACCACCGGCGACGATATCGTCTGCCGCGATCCCCAGTTCTTCGACTCGGAAGAGGGGAATCGCTTTCGGGAGTGCGTCAACTGCGAACTGCGGAGCACCTATTCCATTTCCCGGACGTATGATACAGATCTAAAATGGGGTCTTTGTACGCGCCCTCTCCGCCAGATACTTTTATACCTCACCGTGCTAATGGCTGCTAGATAATCTCCGATTTGCCTTCTCGAGCTGTATCTATGCTTTTCCAGTCGCTAAACAGTCGCTCTCCACCCCGTGCCAGGTGACATGCGACTCGTTGCAGCAATCTATCAAATATGACCTTATGAACCCCAAGCCCCAGTCCGCCTACGACTTCTGTGGATTGGACAGCTTCTCCGACTCTTTTGTCACAAAATGCGCCTTGTGCTATTCGCTTACAGAGGATGAGAAGTTCCTCGCGAACTGTATGCATGGCTTGCGCCCCTTTGAGTCATTTTGGAATGTACTGATCGATATCATAGTTATCGAGGCCATCAGGCAGGGTTGCCACTCCAAAGTGCCCCCAGGAATGCCCTTCTTCATCAATCCCGATCGTATCTTTAATACCACCCTCCTGCCGGCAAGCACCCAGTCTGTTAACCCGATGGCTAATACGCCAAAGGGGAAAAAGAACCTGGTCTTGATAATAGTCCTCCCAATCGTCGGCTTCTTGCTAATCAGCTTACTCACTTGTTTCTGTTGCTTTTTCTTTATCCGACATAGACGCCGCAAGACCAAGCGCAAGAGCCAGATCGACATCCAGAATCGATGGAACCACGACGCTGCCGTGATGAGTCCCGTGGCTGGAGGGTTTGCACAGACTTGGGACCAACCTGTCCAGCAGCAGTACCCCGCTCAAACACCCCAAACACCTGGCTACCATCCCGGCTTCCAAGCAACGTATTACTCTCCAGAGCAGGATGTCAAGTACCCTCCTGAGGCCTATCAGATGGGCCCTGTGTCGCATTTCCCAAATGACTCGAAAAAGGCAGACTTTGTAGCCCCCACTGTGCCCATACTCTCCGCACCCCCTCCAGGGCGAAAATCACTCTCAAATCCTTAATATGCTTTCATTTAAAATACTGGCCTTATCCTGGGCGGGAAGACTGTGTGCATTATATTACCCAAAGTGCGGGTACCTTGCCCGGATGTGGAAATTGACACCAGCCTCAGTTTCTTCGTACATCTGGATGTATGATTTGGAATGGCTGTTTCCACGTTTCCGCTCTACTCTGTTGCGGCTAATCCAACTTTTTGCGAAAAAAAACTCCAATATTATCTGTTCTCAAGATTTTTGGCCCCTTCTATACCCCTCATATATTGTTTTCTCGTGCAAGACGATATTTCTGCTTACTACCTTAACCTAATGATTTGAAGAATGTATGACATGAGCTTGTATGAGTATCTTGTTTACAGCCTGCATACTACTTAAAAACTGGCTTCTACTTCAGTAAATGTCTGTCAGGAGGTACCACACGTTTGCTCGTATCATGCCTTCTAACATTACTGTGTTGGCTCTAGGATAGAATATGCATTTCCTGCTGGCCTTTCAGGGATATGGAATATCAGCAAAACACAACCACACCCTGCAGTAATGTTTGCATCTAATAGTACATATCTCCACTATTATAACCCAGAACTTTATAAATATAAAGCAAATATTTTCGTGCAAGTTTTCTAATAGGTTATTCCCTACTCTGGCCCTTGATAGCAGCCAACATAGAGGGAATCATACAGCTGGCATATGGTAATTCTGTTGTGATGAAAGCAGCACATAGACTACCTAAGGGGTACTGATTATTTTCAAAATATCAAGTAAAGATAAGACAATGTAAACAGAGAGATAGTGAGCCGTCCTTATAAATTGCTTTGAGTTGAACTCTCCAAAAAGTTAATCAAAATAGCCGCGGCGCGACTTCAAGGACCTTCAACGTCGTCATCTTTCAAGAGATTCAATCACTCTACGCCCCAGCAATGACATCCATCGGCCCAGAGCAGCTCAAAGCCCTGGAGCAAACTCGACAACGGCTGGTACAGCTAACACAGTCGCTGGGGTCCCTGGCAAACAGCATCAGCCAGAGCGACCCGCTGCCCGCCTGGTGAGGTGGTGACCTGCCTTGCAACCCGTGCTTCATCTCCATCGACTATCCTCGACGAGCTAACTAACAGCGGAATTCCTATACAGGTCGTCTCTACAGTCTCAAGCTACAATCATATCCAACAACCTTCTCTCGATCTCCCACCTTCTCACCGAACAGCAAGGCCTGCTCGCCTCCATCATCGCCTACCCAACCCCGGAATTTCCAGGCCGAACAGAATCAACTATCTTACATCAGCTACTGCGAACGAAACTCGAACCGCGCGTTGAGGAATGGGTGGCTAGGGGCAGAGCCGTCGCGAAGAACAATACTGCTTCGTCGCAGCTGCAGGCGCAAGATGGAAATGAATCCACGCGTTTGTCGGTCGACCAGCTGCTGAGCTTATGGCACTGGGCGCCCGTGGAGGCAAATATGGAAGCGAGGCAGAGGGACTGGGGCGGTGATTATACTCTGGAAGAAAGAGAAATGGGAATCAAGAATGTGATAACTGGATTGAGCCGAAAACTGGATGAAGGGGATGAAGAAGATGATGATGATGAAGATGAAGACATGGTAGGCGATGACATGGAAGTAATTGTTGGCGCCCATGCGAGGGCTGGCGGAGCACCAGGGGTCGAATTCGATATCGCGAGGGGAAGCAGCCATACGCCTCCAAAGCCGATGGCCCCTGGGTTGCCGCTTGAGGATGTTTTTCGATACATGACAACAGGCGCGACTCCAAGCCCTAGATGATCAATATTACGCCCAGTTACAAGCGCATATTACTGGAAAGCATGGTTATTCTTATGGCGCTGCTGCTATGAATAAGTATCAAAGGGTCACGGAATACCACTGAACCTCAAAATTACAATTAAAACGTATAAGAGGTGGTAAAAGGGAATACGCGCAACGCCGCCAAAAAATATCATCCTCGTCTTCGTGTACTCGGGCCTTTGCCAAATGGGGAAGGGGAAGCGCCGCTACTCTTTGCTGAAGGCTTCTCTGCTAGCGCTTGCGCGGGATAAGGCTTCTTTGGCTTTGATTTTTTTGCAACAGTCACTGGAGAGTTCCAGTAATAGATCATCTGCGCTGCAAGGATCAGGTTAAGGGAAAATCCGGCGATGAATCCGTACAAGATGAGCTTATCATCAACTTCCTGAAGAGTTGTGAATATACGCGTCAACGACCCGAGAAGATAGTTGAACACCTGAAATGAGATGTTAGCATGTAGCTCGGATGGTTAGTTGCAATGGAATTCCAAAAAACGTACCGCAAACGCGCTTAATTGACCAGTGCCGCCCTGAGACCAGATAGTCCAGATTTGGGGCACTTTGCTCGCCACACCCAAAGCTCCGGCGCCAGCCTGCAAGAACCCCATCACATGGTTGTCTACGATGGTTTCACCACTAAACAGAAGGGCATAGACCGCGCCGCCGAGAGCAGCAAGGAACGCCCCAGCGATTGCACTCTGACCAGAGAATACTAACACCAAAACCGCAACCACCACATCTTGCACCGCAATCAAAGCTGCCTCGCCGTATGTACTAAACGGAAATTGCAGACGAGCATTGTATGCGAGCGTAATCAATAAACTCGTAGTCTCGAGCGCATAGGAGGTGAAGGACACCCCTTCCGACGAGCGTGAAGATAGGAGCTTCAGGATCTGGGGGACTTTGACGATGGCGCTAAAAGTAACTATGGCAATTCCCAACACTTTGGAAATCGCCAGCGGGAGACAAGCGGGGTCCTTGGTGATGTCGACGGCGAGAACCAGGGAGGTGTAGCATCGGGTACCGAGGAGGGAGACAAGGGCGTTGCCGATCGGTTCGGGCAGAGAGGTCGTGATCGGGCGCAGGTAGGGCTGCAGGGGATCAAGGATCAGGGACTGGATAGCTTGCGGTACGGACTCCATGGCTGCTGCTGCTGCTGCTGCTGCGCTGCTGTTTGTCTTCGCCTGGATCGTGGCCTTGCGAGCCCGCAAAACAAGCAGCGGAAGCGCGACCTTCACGTGATCGTGATGCTGAGTCAGCGGCGAGGAAATTCGGCTTGACCTCAAATCGTTGATCGAGAAAGCGCACAAGTCACCGATGACCCGGAGCCCGCGCCCAGCCGCATTACAGATCGTCAATGAGCCTCCGGGCTACATGTCTGAGGCCTGGGGCCGCATTCGAGCCGGTGGCACTCTGCCGTGAGTGCCTGTCGCGTGTTTTCTCGCCCACCTCGCCTGTTTCCCGCCGAACATATGCCGCCACAAGCAGCTTGCGAAGTGATCTCGCGCAGGCCCGGGCGCTGCCACGGATCCTGAGAAAGGCATATTTCTCGTCTCATCCACCGACCTTAAGGGGCGTGCTCGCGACGAAACTGCTGCCGTGGTCGAAGGTTGCCACCTCTGCAACACGTCGGGCGTCTCTCTTTGATTCTGCTGCGCCAGTATCAAGAGATAGAGGCGACACCGTGGCTGCGCAGGACCAAAATGTTTCAGAATTAATCAATGAGCTTCCTCACAGGCGAAGACAGCGCCTAAAAAGCAAAAGTGAAAACGAACAAGCCTCCTCTCCAGAAACGACTATACGACCAGACGCCTCCTCCCGCCTCTCCACGCTCTCGTCTACGCTCCCAAAATCTTCCTTGCGCCGGCAATTGGCCCTCTACCTCTCCCTCACAAAGCCACAGCTTTCCTTCCTCATTGTCCTTACCGCCACGACTTCCTACGGGCTATTTCCCACTCCCACGCTCCTCGCTCTTGATCCGTCCATAACTCCACTCCCCACCCTCTCCACGTCGACCTTAACATGTCTGTATCTTACCGTCGGCACGTTTCTCTCCTCCGCCAGCGCCAATACCCTCAACATGCTCTTCGAACCCAAATATGACGCTCAGATGTCTCGTACACGGAATCGCCCCCTCGTCCGGGGACTCATCAGCTCTCGCGCCGCTTGGCTTTTTGCCATTGGTACAGCGACAGCGGGCATTACGGCCCTTTATTTCGGGACCAACCCCACGGTCGCGGCGCTTTCGGCTTCGAACATCTTTCTATATGCCTTCGTTTATACACCCATGAAACGACTGTCTGTGATCAACACCTGGGTCGGTGCTATCGTTGGTGGAATCCCACCACTGATGGGCTGTGCAGCAGCCGCCGGCCAAACAGCAACAACGGGGCATGACACATGGCGGGATCTTCTATTTGGCCCGGATTCTCTGGGTGGCTGGTTGCTTGCTGGTATTTTATTTGCGTGGCAGTTTCCGCACTTCAATGCCTTGTCCCATACCATCAAGGACGAGTATAGAAATGCGGGGTACAAAATGCTAGCATGGACAAACCCAGCACGGAACGGCCGTGTCGCTTTGCGCTACTCCATTCTCATGTTTCCTCTATGTGCTGGGTTATGTTGGGCTGGAATTGTAAACAAGGGCTTCTTAGTGGGAGGCACGTTGATCAACTTCTGGCTGACAAAGGAAGCTTATCGCTTCTGGAAGCTGCAAGGAGCGAAGGGCACTGCCCGGGGCATGTTCTGGGCCAGTGTGTGGCATCTACCCCTGCTCCTTGTCGGAGCCCTGGTCACTAAAACTGGCGTATGGGACGGCGTGTGGAATAGAGCCATGGGCATCATGGGTGACGAGGAAGATGAAGAAGAATACCTGATAGATGAGGGGTTTCTGGAGTATGAGGAAATTCGAAACTCAGCTCCTTCAAGCCAATCCGCAGAACCTGTGGGTTGAAGCGGTAGTGTCCGCAGTGTATTATACTCATACTTATTTAGTTCCATTTATTTTACGTTCTCCGAGCTTGAACAAGAGGCGTTGGGACCTGACTCTCCCATTTCTTTAGAAAGCTTTTTATTCATGGTCTCCTTGGATTGGTCTCTTGTCAAACTACCAAGCAGCTCGGAAGTGAAATGAAACTGTCCCCAAATGATGAAATTGACTCAAGACGTTGGTCGTTTATCAAATTATCAGATGTATCAAACTGGAACAAAGAAATGATGTTCCCCAGTCAGGCCTCAGCTTCAGCGTGCCAGGATGCATCGTCTGTAAATGTATCTGAAGATGGCCCAGCTAGAGACTCGACGGCCGTTTATCCATGGAGTTCTAGCCTGAAACTTCAAATCCCAACGGACAACAATCCCAGCGCCCCGGCCCCGGGAGACAACATATCGAAACCCAAGGGCTAATCGGAAATTAAACTTTAAGACTACAGGTGATATTGACGTCCCAACAAGCAATTTTGAGTGGATACAAAAGCTAGTACGGAGTATTGCGGCCGAACGGTTTGAACGCATGCCAAGCTGCTTATTTCTTTGGCATAGTTAGATGGCTAATCTAACTTTGCCCAGCTGGTCCAGTTCGAAGCTGACAAGGTCCTTGTGTTTAATGAAAACAGCGCCATCTTGCCACTTTGGCGTGGATAAAAAAAATAGTTGATCTTTAAGCTTGCAAATCTTCTGCATGATCATGTAGGGGCGGGAAGCTTGCTGGCAACTTCGTCCTTTGCTGCACAAAAATGAGGGAGCCATGATGGTCTGGGCCTTTGAAGGAGGGTGTCCATAAGGTTCCGTTGCAGTCCCGATCTCCGCTGGGCTAGAAGGAGGTCAGAGCGACAAGAATAAATTTCAAGCCAACAGACGCTGCAGTCCTCCGTAGTACGGCACGGCAGAGAGGGTAGAAAGAAATGGATAGCTTCTGGCTGGCCGAAATTCTCTCACAGAGGGGCTTGAATGCCGACCCGCCCATCGCACCCTTGCCAATAGTCCATGATTGGCCATGGCATTTGGTTTCACAGCCCGGGTTGAATTTTTCGAAAGCTAGCCAACCGGGATGCAACTCGCGCACGGATCATGTCGCCCAGAATCTTGCGGTCTCGACCAACTCCTGGCAACCGCCAATTCCAGGATGACGACGCTGCCCGCCTTGCTCCCGTCACAATGTCGCCGGCCAGCTTCGAAAACCAGACGTCATCCATCCCTGGGCCGATACGAAGCTATTCCGAGATAGAACTAGCGGCGGCCTGTTTGCCGTGTTTGCTGCGCTAATGGTCGGCCCGCCGCCCTGGAGTGGGTACGGTGGCGAAGAGCGACCAGACACGCGGGCTTGAGCCGCCGCTTCCAGGATGCGGAGCCGCGATTGCTTGTCTCGTCGCAAAGTCGATTTCTCTCCTCATCACCGCCTCGCCGCTCGTCATATGAGCTTCAGTGACCGTGGCTCCAGAACTTTCCTTGTCAGCAATGCCTCCCCTGCTGTAGAGTTTGGGGGGACGTGGCCTGGAAACTTAAGCTCGGCGACCAAAACCCGGGCCTTTCCCTTACTATAGAAGCACCGCTTGGTCCTGACCTTGCTCAGACAACCGATACTGACGTATTCCCCACTATGGAATATGCTCGTAACGCTGCCACAGGCGACACTCGCGATATGCCCGTTGCACAGCCAGATATGTCGCAAGAGCTGCGGCCTCAACGCCTGGTCCAGCGCGATTCGAATGATGACCTGACGCTGAGCACCAATCGCGTCGTGAAGAACCAAATTGTTTTCCGGGTCAGGGATGCCCGTCGGCCTGCACCTAGGACCCGAAAACCCGTTGCCGTGGAGCAGGACGGGGCTTCTGCCGAGCAGGCATTCCACTCCCGGCGGCCGCATCGCAAATCGCGGACGGGGTGCGGGAACTGCAAAAAGAGACGAGTCAAGGTGAGAGGCTGCGATACTTATCCCGACAAGGAAATTTCCTTGGAATATCCTGCGATGCCGCAGCGCCACGTGCCGCTGGCATTCACTTTCTTCGCTTGCGCTCATTGGAGTCTGACGTTGCGTGCGTGTGTGTGTGCTGTAGTGTGACGAGAAGAAACCTCACTGCAATAAGTGCGAGTCCTACGGCATCTCGTGCGATTATGCGGCGGTCCAGCTGCACGGGCGGCGGCCTCACCACCTGCCGGAAGGCCGCCGTACATCGACGGCCAGCCCAACGGCGATGATATTCTCCATGTCCGTCACCGACATGGCCAGCCGCATCCAACGGGTGCTTCAGTCAAGCCCGAGCTACAACTCGGAAGCCGACCCGCTGCCGCCGTTCACGATTTCAGGCGGGCCGATGGCCTTGTACCATTTTGTGCACGCGGTGCAACACGTCGCTTCTATGTCCGACACGTCGAGAAGCGTGTCCACCGGGGACATGCTCCGGCTCGCATTTCGGGTTTGTCATTCGGCTCCTTGCAGCTTCGTCTAATAAATATGCTAATCCCGGTGCACATCTTGTAGACGCCGCATCTCATGCATGCCGTGCTTGGTCTGGCGTGTACGTCTCTGTATCAGTACGGCGTGGCGAGTCGGCCGCAGCGACTGGCGGAAGCGTACCACTGGCAGAACGCCATCAAGCTGTACAAGCACGAGCTGCAAAACCCCATCAGCATCCACAATATGGATGCGCTCATGTCGACGTGCATGCTGATGGGAGTGCTGTCCTTTTCGGAAAAGGAGTACAGCCCTCTGAACTCGTGGGTGTTCTCGTCGCGGCCCACGGACCTGAACTGGCTGCTGGTGCAGGGCGGGCTGCGGTACCTGATCGAATCGGTGATTCCATGGCTACCACAGAGCATATGGTGGGACTTCTTCCTGGAAGCCGACGACGAGCACAAGACGTTCGACGACCACCGGGCCGGGTTCGTGGGGCTGCCGCTGGACCTGGCACGGCTGTGCGGCATCGAGGCGACGACAACGGAGGAGACCAACCCATACCACTCGGTGCTGCGACTGCTAGCGCCGCTACTGCCGCTGCCGCTGGCGCGCGAACACTTCTGCAAGTTCACGTCGTTCATGGGGCGGCTACAGCCGGACTACATCACGCTGCTGCAGCGCAAGGACGCGCGCGCGTGCCTGATCCTGTCGTACTGGATGGGCAAGATGTGCGAGCAGCCGCACTGGTGGATCGGCCCGCGCGTGCACGCCGAGTGCACGGCGCTGTGCATGTTTCTGGAGCGCTGCCCGGACCCTGAGGTGCGGCGCCTGCTGGCCTTCCCGGCCTCCAAGTGTGGCTATCCGCTGGGCCGCACGCAGCACGCGCTGATGCTGCACGAGCTGGAGTTTGGCGCGCTGGAGCCCGCGCCCGAGCCGGTGGTGGTGGTGGAGCGGGAGGAGGCTGGGCAGCTGGTGGAGCTGGAGTGAATAGCGAGTGCGTCTCGGTGAGGTTCGTCTCCACGGCGTTGGGGAGGTAATAGCTAATGGACGGGAACGACGACGTTGGAGGCCCGTCGTTGGGCATTGCCCGATCGGGCCGTGGCGTCAGGTGACGGGCGGGTTTTGTGTCGGCGGGGAGGCAGGCTAGACGGCGCACGGCGGCGTTTATACTCTCATTGACCACTCCGGGGGGGACAAGGGGACGGTGGGTTCTATTTTTATGTGTGATAATGTGTATTTATATGAAGCCCGGGCAAAAAGGTGGACGGATTCCATTTTTAAAAGAAGAGCGGATTGACCTGATATATGTTGAATCTAGACAAAGCAAGCAAGAAAGAAAAGAGTATCCGCCCAAAAAAAAAATAGAATAGCATATAAATAATATCCGCCCGTGAGTCAGGAGAGATACAGACAGACATCAGACCAGAAAACACAACGCAAAAAGGGCCTCCCGCCTGCCAGTCAATGGAAGAAGATCGGTGCTGCATACCGAAGAAAAGAAGGAACTACGGCAGGTTTGCCTTTGACACGACCCAGGCCTCCCAGATCTTGCGCTGGCGGTACTCGACGCTGACGCCGTTGTCGTCCAGGTCGTCGGGCGACACAGACGCCAGCAGCTCCCACTGGTTCGTGAACGGCGGCAGCTGGTGGTGGTGCAGCACGGGGGCGCTGGGGGCGGTGTCGGGCCGCAGCTCCAGCTGGTGGGCGCGCGGGCCGTCGTCGGCGTCGTGGTCGCTGAGGCCGTCGGACTCGTCGCCGATGCTGGCAGAGTCATCATCGTCGTCGTGGGCGGCATCGTGGGGGCCGTCGAAGAAGGAGCCGTTGTCGACGTCGTCATCGTCATCGTCGCTGTCGGAATTGTCGGGGAACGACTGGGCGTCGGAGACGTCGGCGCTGTGGGCCCATTTCTCGTCGAAGGCGGCGGCGTAGTCGATGCGGCGCAGGCTGAGCCACTCGAGATGCGGCAGGTCGGCGCGCAGCACGGCCAGCACGTCGCGCCAGCGGCTGCCGTCCTTGAGCAGCACGTCGCGCAGGCGCAGGCCGCGCAGCGTGCGGCGGTGGCGGCGCGCGAAGGCGATGATCTCGTGCGCGTGCAGCCGCCACGCCTGGATGCCCCACGCGCGCAGCCGCGCCCAGCACACGCCGTCGAACACCTCGTCCAGCGCCAGCGCCACCGGCAGCCGCGACGGGAACCCCAGGTGCAGCGCCTCGAGCCGCGCGGCGGCGCGGAACAGCGTACCGAACACGCGCGTCAGCGCCCGCAGCTCGCCGTCGACACAGCGCGCCGCGTCGAAGTGCAGCTCCAGGCACGTTAGCCGCGCGGCTAGCACGGCCAGCGGCGCTAGCGGCACGCGCGTGAGCGCCACGGCGGCCGGCGCGCTGAGCTGCGGGCCCGAGAAGCGCGCGACGCGCGGCGCGCCGGTGGCCAGCAGCGCGGCACCAACGGCGTGCATGGCGCGGCGGCACGCGGGCGTCCAGTCCAGCACGCGCAGCGGCGGGCCGTCGAGTGGACGGCCGTCATGGCGCGCGGCGGCCAGCAGCAGCTCGCGCTCGAGCTCGTCCTGCACGCGCAGGATCTTGACGTGCTGCAGCGCGGGGAAGGCGGCGACGGCGCGGCGCAGCCCATCCAGGTCGTCGCCGGAAGCCAGCAGGCGGCGCTGCTCGTCGCGGCGGCGGTGGTGCTCGGCGCACACGGCCGGGGATGCGCGGGCGGCGGACAGCAGGCGCACGAGGTCGTCGCGGTCTATTGATTTCAGCAGCACGTCAGGGGCAAGCGGTGGGGAGGGAGGGGCCTATTTGTATAGAACAGAACAGGGCTGGGCAGATGGGATATCGCAGGCGTACCACCATCGACGTAGAACGCGCGGGTCAGATAGGTCAGGGCGGTGGCGTGGCGCGCGAGGTGCGGGCGGCGCGCCAGCTGGTCGAGACGGCGCAGGGCGGCGGCGTCAAAGCGCACGACCACGCGGCGGAACTGCGCAGCAGCGGCCACGGCGGCGAAGCGGCGGCACACCAGACGGAAGCGGGCCACGGCACGGCGTGGGTCGTCGGGCGAGGACGACAGCGACGGTGATGGCGGGCGCATGCTCTCGAGCGACAACGCAGCGCGGGCGGCGATGCTGGGGCAGGCAGCGGCAGCGGCGGCGGCGGGCGCGAGCTGGTCGAGGATGTCGAGCAGCAGCTCGTTGGAGAGCGTGAGGATGGGCGCCATGGCCGGGCTGTCGAGCATAATTGTGATCAGCGGGGTAGAGGGAGGGAGGGAGGGAGGGAGACAGAGAGGGAGCGGGAGACAGGCCGCAGAGATAGGAGGTGCAGCCATCCCGACGGCCACCCACCGACTCCACGATAGTCAACTACATACCAGCGTTCAGTCACGACATCCAGCGTGGCTCGCCGTGGGTTGTCGCGGCCTGCCAGTCAGCGGACCGCGCGGGCGGCAGGAGGGAGAGGGGAGAGAAAGAAGGAGGAGAGAGGGGATAGGATGGGATTCAAGCGACAAGGCAAGACTAACTAGAGTAGAGCGTAGGTAGGTACAGACAGCAGACAAGACAAGACGAAGGACGGGCGAGCTAGCGCACTAGGTGCAGGGACGGCGTCGTGTACTGGGGTAGCAATTCGCGAACCAGGCACTTCGTCACTACTATAGGCTGGCGGCCTGGCGCCGGCGCAGCTCGGTGCTGCTGATCTTGCCCGCGAACGGGCCGTCAGGGCTGCCGTCGCCCGCGCCCGTCTTCCCACCGTTGCTGCCACTGCCCGGCGCGTCCAGCACGGCCACCTCGAAGGCCTCCAGCGCCGCCAACCCCGCCGCCGCGCGCGCCGCGTTGACCGCCTGCCCGCCGGCCCGCGTCTCACCCGACACCACCAGCGCCGTGATGCGCGCGTCCGTGGCCGGCGGGCCCAGCGCGTCCGCCAGCGCCACGAACCGCAGCTCCAGCGCCCCGCCTGCACCCACCACCACCACCGCCACCACAGTCCCGTCGGTACATTCTTCTGTGACAGCCCACGCCGACGAGGCTGCAGGCTCGACGATCGCCTGCAGAAACGCGCACACGCCGCGCCGCCGCGCCTCCCACGGCTCCAGGAACTCGCGGAACTTCTTGTTCGCCAGCATCGCGTCGCCGGTGATGCCGATGGTCACGACGCGGCGCGGGCCCGTGGTGACGGCCGGGTCCAGCGCCAGCAGCGTCGCCGTCAGCAGCAGCTTGTGGCCCGTGTGCAGGTGGTCGAACGTGCCGCCCACGGCCACCGAGTAGTGCGGCGTGGTGTGCGCGCGCGACAGCGCCACGGCCGCGCCGGGCAGAGGGGTGTTGGCCGCGCAAACCAGCTTCTCCACGGGGATGTTCATATTGTTGATCTTGTCGTTGTTGCTGCTGCTGCGCTGGAAGGCCGCCAGCAGCGCCGCGCCGGCCGGCGTGTCGAGCGTGTACACCACGGCGGCGGTGGCCAGGTCGGCCAGGCGCAAAACGGGGCCGAGCTGGTGTGCGCGCGCGGCGGTGTCGACGAACAGTACCCGTGTGTCAACCGCCCCAGGTCCATCCAGCGCCACGCCCGCGCTGGCGCCTGCCGTTGCTAACAGTCGGTACAGCTGCGCCAGCATGTCCTGCAGGTGATCAAAGGCCTGGCAGCGGCGCCGGGCGGCGTCATCAGTGTAGTTATTGTGGTCGTGATCGTGCTCATGGTCATGGTCATTATCAGGTGCGGCCAGGCCGGACACGGCGACGGCGAGGTCGAGTCCCGAGGCGGCGCGCGCGGCGCAGGCGGCCAGCACGGCGGCCAGCGGAGCGTGGTAGGCGGCATGCAGGGCGGCGAACGTCGGGCTGGCGGCGCCGGGCAGCAGCAGCAGCGCGCGCGCGCGTGGGCAGGTCTCGTCAGCGGCGGCCATGGCGGAGTCAAGGCAAGGCGAGGCGAGGACGCCGGACGGGCGAGCAGGCGGGGGAGATGAGCGATGAAGATGCCGAGGAGGTGGTGTGCTGAGTCAGTAACTGCTTAATCAACACTTAGTCAGCGGATTAGTCATAGTTATTCATCATGTTAGTCAGCGCTCGCGTGACCAGGACGCCAAAAGAGGCCAGACGGCCAGCTGGACGGCGGATGCTCCATACGCAAGCCAAAGCATGAATCCATAGTAGCATCCTCTGCAGGCTGTGGCTGTGCGGCTGCTCGCGCGGGGAGGCGGCCGTGCGCGTGCCGGGTGTCGCTGCGTAGTAGACTAGTTAGTGCGTGCCTCCGCCCTGCCGCCTGGCTCGCCGGTGCATGCCGAGCCATCGCGAGACTCAAGACCCGCTAGTTAGGCGTGACGTTAGGGAGTGAACCGTCTAACCTCCGTTGACGACGTCGCTGCATCGACCTTGCATAGTGATCAATCTCGCCGGCTGTCTGCTCACCGTCGTCTTCCGCCGGCCTGTCTCTCTCTTTCCCTGCCTCTCTCTGCCTGTCCCCTCCGCCCCGCGATGCCGCGTTAGCCCGCCGTGCTGCCCGCCGCCCGCCGCCATGGCGGACTCCCACGCCTTCGCGCGCCAGCCTGAAGAGCTGCACATCCCCACCGCTGCTTCTGCTGCTGCTGCTGCTGCCAACGGCCCGCGTCCACCGTCGTCGTCAGCGTCCGCGTGCATTGCCGCCGCAGCCGCCCAGCCGCCGCAGCCGCAGCACCACCAGCACCACCACTCGCTCCACCATCACCACCAGCCGTCATCATCGTCGTCTTCCGCCGCCCTACCTGGCGCCCTCCAGCCCGGCCCTGCCTCGCTATCGTCCCCCGTTCCGCCCGTGCTGCCCACGCTCGCCGAGCTGGCCGCGCTGCCGTCCGCCGCCATGGCCCATCCACACGCCTACGCCGCCTCCAGCCCCGCCGCCTTCGATCCACCTCGATACAAGCCCTTTGCGCCCGCTCCGCCCTCCGCTGCCGCCCACCAGTACTCGCCGCTGGGCCTGGCCGACATCCGCTCGCACATGGAGTCCGGCCTGCTCGATCATCTCGGTGCGAGCGGCGCTGGTGGTGGTGGTGGCGCGCAACCCCCGCTGAACATGAGCTCCGGCTACCTGGCGCCGTGGGGCGTGTACGCGCTGGACTGGTGCAAGTGGCCTGCTACGGCGCCCGCGTCGTCGGCCGGCCGCATCGCGCTGGGCAGCTATCTGGAGGACAACCACAACTACGTAGGTTTCTCTATCCCCTAGTCAGTTATATTTCACGGCCGTGTGTTAACCGCCCGCAGATCCAAATTCTCGACGCGCAGCCCGCAGCGGCCGGCGGCGACCCGGCCGCGCTCGACTTCGTCAAGGTCGGCGAGGCCACGCACACATACCCCGTGACGCGCATCGTGTGGGAACCGCCGTCGTCGCAGAAGCAGAGCACCGACCTGCTGGCCACGTCGGGCGACCACCTGCGGCTGTGGTCGCTGCCCGCCGACGGCAACAGCCATACGAACCGCATCACCACCGGCACGACGACGGCGTCGTCGTCGTCGCCCGTGCCCAAGCTGTCGCCGCTGGCGCTGCTGTCCAACTCCAAGTCGCCGGAGCACACGGCGCCGATCACGTCGCTGGACTGGAACGCGGTGGCGCCGAGCCTGATCATCACGTCCAGCATCGACACGACGTGCACGATCTGGGACATCCCCACGCTGACGGCCAAAACGCAGCTGATCGCGCACGACCGCGAGGTGTACGACGTGCGGTTCTGCGCGGGCAGCGTCGACGTCTTCGTCAGCTGCGGGGCCGACGGCAGCGTGCGCATGTTCGACCTGCGCAGCCTCGAGCATAGTACGATTATCTACGAGCCGTCGGACAAGACTGACAAAGGTATATCTAATACTCTCTTTCTACATATATCTATGGATACTGACACTCACAGGTACGCCCGGCAACCTGTCGCCGTCGTCCTCGCCCGTGTGGCCGCCGCCGCTCCTCCGCATTGCCGGTAAGTATACATTTGATATAAATAGATATATTTTATATTAACAGATCGATCAGCATCGCCGCACGACGCGCACCTGCTGGCGACGTTCGCGCAGGACTCGGGCGCGATCAAGATCCTCGACGTGCGGCAGCCGGGCCAGGCGCTGCTGGAGCTGCACGGGCACGCGGCGGCGATCAACTGCGTGGAGTGGTGCCCCACGCGGCGCGGCACGCTGGCGTCGGGCGCCGACGACGCGCTCGTGCTGGTCTGGGACCTGCTCGGGCAGAGCAGCAGCAATAATAAGAACAGCAACGCGGCTCTGTCGTCGTCGGGCGAGCGCGGGCCGGCGGCGTCGTGGGAGTGCGAGTTCGAGGTGTCCAACGTCAGCTGGGCGCCACACGGCGCGGGCAGCCACTCGTCGGGCTGGCTGGGCGTGACGGGCGGGCGCGGGCTGTGGGGAGTGTCGCTGTAGGCCGCGGGCGTTGTGCTGGCACGGAGGATTGCGATGTAGTTCGTTCTTGCTGAGAGAGAGAGAGAGAGAGAGAGAGAGAGAGAGAGAGAGATGTGTGTCCTCAGTGTGGCTTCTTTTGGGCTGTTTGCGCGCTGCTATAGATTCATGGCAACACCTGTTCCCCTTGGCGGTGAGTATTGTGCCGGTCCCGCCACCGTCATGACCGTACCGTACACAGCTACCCAGGCGGTCCAGCGCCGTCATGACACGTACGCCACCGTACGGCGGGCGTCCCGAAACATCGCCGCCTTCGCTCGCAACGTCGTCGCTGTTGCCGCTGTGAAGGCTCGCAAAGAAAGGCTTCGATCGCGGCCGCCCTCGCCGTGCTGCCTGTTCGCCTGCTGCCTTGCTCGCTCTCTCTCTCTCTCTCTTGTGCTCTCGCGCTCTCGCGCTCTCGATGCCGTCGCCATGGACCTGCGCACCATCATGAACGCCGACTCCGCCGCGGCCGCCAGCAGCCCGCCGCCCCTGCAACCGCTCCAGCATCAGCATCTCCAGCATCACCAGCATCACCAACACCCGCCTGCGCCCTCACCACCTCCGTTGCCACCAGTCCAGCCGCGCGCCAGACCTCCGCCGCCGCCGCCGCCGCTGCTCGCGTCCGCCAGCACGATCCTCCCCGGCATCCCACCGCCGCCGCCAGCATCGCAGCAGCCCTTCCTCCCGCACGCCGGCTCGCCCTTCACGCCGCAGCCGCTGAGCACCGTCTCTCCGCATCCCCAGCAGCACCAGCAGTCGTACTTCTCGCAGCCGCGCGCTCTCTCCGTGCACTCGGCCACCACGCCGTCATCCGTCCGCAGCTTCTCGTTTGCCGCTCCGCGCGACAACGACGCCGCCGCCTCGCAGCCGCATGGCGACGCGCGCGCACCTCCAGAGCTGCTGTCGCCGCTCATGCACACGCCGTCCACCAGCGGCAGCGGCAGCGGCAGCGCACGCGCCCCGGTGTCGTCGCTGGTCGACCAGCCGCACCGCCAGTATCTGCTCGACGCCGAGTTCGACCGCCAGCGCGCCAGCCTCAGCCCCAAGTCCTCCTCCTCGCTCGTCCGCCCGCCCAGCATCCCTGCCGCCGACCTGCCTCGCGTCGCTCCAGACCGTCCGTCGCAGGGCCTCTCGCCCCATGACGCCAGCCGGCCGCTCTGGCTGCCAAATACCAACAATGCGAGAACAACTACCCACGATGCCGCCGCCCAGCCGCCCCGTCCGTTCTTCCCGCCCACCACGCCCAAGACCTCGCGCCCGCCGTCCTCGAGTCGTCCGCCCACTATCTCCCCTACTTCCAGGCCGTCTGCTCAAAGAGACCCAGACCCTTCGGCGCTGCCGCTGAGCACCCCCATGAAGCCCGTGGAATACCCGGCTCAGTCCCCCGCGTCCGCGGCGCATCTGCCCAAGAAGAAGCGCAAGAGATACCACGAACCTCCCATCTACGCCCGAAAGGCGCCCAGGTCCTCGGGCACTCCGCCGAGTATCCCCGTTGGCTTCAAACCGCCCCCGCCCTCGTTTCTCCCCACCAAGCCGCCGCCCTCCAAACGCGCCGTCTCGGAGGACCGGCCGACGTCGAGAAACACGTCCCTCCCGCCGCGCCTGTCCCTACACACGAGCCCGGCCCAGACCGACGCCGAGGGCAGCGTTGCTCGACCGAAGCCCGTCACCACCCCCGTAACCTCCCTAGGGCCGTGGGAGCCGTCCGTCACAGGCGTGATTCCGCATGAAGAGGTGACAAAGTTGATCTGTGACTTTCTCTTCCAGCAGGTGGTCATGCGAAAGGACATTGGCGGTGCTCCTGCTGGCGGAGCGGCCACTGGCTCGGGAGCCATTCTCGAGGTCGAGGCGAAGCTGGGACAGCTGGTCGACAAGAATCGAGGAGAGAGGCTGCGCCTTCCGGTGCTTACGGAATGCGTGATCAGCAGAGATGATCCGCATATGCGACTGGCTTTTGAGAGTTCCATGTCTCTGGTATGTATGCCCTTGGTTGTTTTTATACAGAGCTAGGCTAACAATCCCCCACACAGGCCCAGCACCGCTCCCTCAACAACTTCCTCAACGAAACCGTGAAAGCGTCCATGGTCCCCGGCTCGTCCCGCATCCCGCTCACCTACGCGCACAAGAAAGAACGCGACACCTTCTACGAGATCTCCCCCGCCGCCCTCCCTCCACTCGTGCAGCACCACCTCAACCCGCGCCACAAGCCCAAGGTCCGCGTCACCACCGACCAGCGCACCGGCGAAATCCTCGCTCGCATCATCAAGTGTCGCATCGCCGACATGGACGTCCACAGCCCGCGCACCAACCTCGACTGGCGCATCAGCGTCAATCTCGAAATGAACTTCGACGGCGACGCCAGCGAGCTCATCCCCATCGCCGGCATGGGCGATGCGCCCGTCCCCGCCGCCGGCGGTAAACGCACCGGCTCCCGCAACAAAGACCGCATGAGCTACCGCCACCTGGCCTATCAGATCGACCTGACTCAAGTGGCCACCGCCGAGCTCGCCACCGCGAGCCCGCCGCTTCCGACCACGGACTTTGAGCACGAACTCGAGATCGAAATCTCGTCCGCCGAGATCAGGCGCCAGGGCGACCTGGCGCTCGCCGGCGACCCGAGTAACCAGTACGAAGAGCTGATCAAGGGCTTTGTGGATAATGTCAGGGTGTTGGCGAGAGCGGTGCCGGGGAGATTCTAGAGAGAAATTGGGAATTTGGTGGTGGTGGTGGTCTTTTTTTTTTTTTTCTTTTCATTTTAGACTGCAAAAGTTAAGGATCTCAAAGGTTTTTTTGTTGGATTGTCTTCTTTTTTTCTCTTTCTCCGGTTTTCATTGACGAACGTTCTTCTGTGTTGGAAGCGACTGCTCGAGATTGAACTGCTGGACTTGCTTTTTCTGATATGTATTTTTACTTTTTTTTTTTTTTTCTATTTTCTATGTCATGTCTTTTGGCGGCTGTTTCTTTTTCTATCTTCGGGGCATAGTGTCTGAGTTACAACAATCTTTGCTTTACTATCTTCACTTTAGTCCTCGCTCGCCCCATCAGATCAACGAGTACGCACGAGTTGAACTAGACATAATGAAACCTGCCTCCCTAAAGCGTACTTTGAATATCATGGGATTTCATACTCGCTAAAGCTATCCTTAAATCCTATCCTATATACAGACAGGAAGGGAAGACAGGAAAAGGATGTATGATCAGTAGCAAAGGAAAAAAAAAAAAAACAAATGTAATTTGCCCAGGAGCGTCCCAACCAAACGAAGACATGATACTTGGAAAGAGGCCAGGGGTATTTGCAAGTTGTGGCACGTGAGAAGACGGCGTTCTAAAAAAAAAAGTGGATCGATATAGCATGGACAGAGAAGAGAATAAATAGAGAAATGAAAGATGAAAAAAAAAAAAAAAAAAAGTTTCGACCCAAAGCAAAAGAAACCAAAATAACCGCACAGAAGCTCATCCAAATCATGTCACAAATATGAATCGATTTGTCAGGTAAAAATGAGTTTCATAAATCCTTCTTCTCGTCAATGTTAGCAGGCACTATGTCTATATATATATACCCAAGAGGGATGGAAAGAAAATGACCAAGGTCCAACAACAGGTGAGGTGCATTCACGCGTTAATCATAAGGCTTTGGCATTTCCCACCGCGGGCACACCGGTGGGGATCGTCGTTACTCCAGCGGTCGGTGTCTGCCGATCATCGCCGGCATTCGTCGCGCCTCTCTCGCGCAGACGCCGCCCTTCCATCAACCCCCGCAATCCGCGTTTCTGTAACCCGACAACGCTACTGATCCCTCCCGTCCATACCTCCCTGTCGGCTTTGCTTTGTGTCTGTGGCCGACTGGAGCTGTCGCCATTGCTCGACTGGCGGCCAACGACGTCCGACTCCGTGAAGCTGTTGCTGGTATTTGTGGATGCGGAGGTAACGGTGCTGGCGCTGCTAAGAGATTCGGTGCGATGGCGACCTCCCAGGTTGGTATTGATTCGGAGGTTAGAAGGGCGTTGTTGCGAGGCCGAGTTGGTGGATGGACGCCGGCCGGAGGAAGAGGCTTCATTGCCATCTACTTCGGCGGAGTTTGGATGCACCGCGCTTACCTGTTGGCTTGAAGACGTCCTGCCTAGTTCAGGACGTGACCTGGCGCCGCCATTCAAAATCTCTAACGTGCCGCCAGTGCCACTGGAAAATCCAGTTCCGCGTCCACCGCCCGCAGCCATGGCGGTAGCGTTGAATACCGCGGCGGCGTTACGGCCGTCCAGGACTTGGTGTAAACGTTCGACAATAGCTTCAAGCAACCCGTCAACTTGATACGGCCGTGCCAGTTGTAGAAGTGAGCAAAGTATTTGGGGAGTGCATAGAGGTGAGTTGATAGGGGGAAGTGATGAGGTGTAGAGAAAATGAACAAGCAGTTGCACTGTTAGGTAGGTGTGCGGGAGATAGAGCGTTCGCGGACGTGACATCGGTGTGAGAGAGTGAGCAGATGGTATCTCAAGGTTAGGAAGTGCCGCAGAAGGGGTATTCGCGCTAGCGTTCGACGGCGCACTGGCATGATTGACAAGGGTGGTCGCTGAAGAAGACGTGGAAGTATGGCTCTTGTGGCTTATTGTAGGTGTGATGGTGACATTAGAACTGCGTTTATTGCTGCCTTGATTGTTGGCAAAGGAAGAGCCAGGCCGACGAACAGTACCCGCGTCAGATAAGTTGTCTGATGCAATTGACGTGGATCGACGCAGTAACTGGACGAAATAGGGACCCCATCGTCTGGCGAGAACATGGGAGTTGACTGGGATTCTCCCGCCACCAATTGTAAGTAGGTCCATATCGGCTATTTCCATGAGCGATTGTGCCGCAAGACCCAACCGTTGCGCAGCTGCAGAGTAAGGCCGACCGCCACCAGATTGCAAAGAGAACCTGGGCTGTATGGATGCTGGTAATGCAGGGGCGCTCACTGATTGATATTCCGACGTGGCTGAGGTCCGGCGAGGATTCTCGTAGAGTCCAAAGGCTTCCAGCTCCACCAAACAAACGTGAGTAAAGTTAAGACGGCGATGATTATAATCTTCAACCAGACTCCGTTTCCTATGCCCTAAAATAACAAATGTGCTGCGTCGATTCCATAGAACTCCGCGGTTCCAACTACCATTGCTGAACATCGTGCCACCAACATCTATGCGACCCCAAGTCAGGGTTTTTAAATCTAGTGCCCAAAGCGCATACTCTTGTTTGGAAGAAGTTAAGTAAGTACCGCTAACAACAAAATGCCCATTGATGATGCCGCCGTTTGGGAATCTAAGACCGGGAGGAGAAACGGAGGTGTCCATGGTCTTTTCTATTAGTCGGCCGCTCGGCAGTCGAATCTGAAGCTCTAGCTTCACATCAAGAAAATTATAGTTTGAATATATTAAAAGGGGAGTCCCGTTAACATCCGTATTCGCATCCTTAGAGTGTGTAAAATCATCGCCTGCTCCAATGTGTGACACAGGGACATCGTTCAGGGGTGTGACAACGCTTCGATAGGCACCACAGCTCCGGTCTAAGGGGGACGTCACAGTCCATCTCAAACTTCGCAGATTGAATATGCTGATTTGTTCGATATAATGATTGGAGCTGTCCTGGCCTCCAACGACCACCATCTCAGCGCCCCCGTAGCCATCGATATCGACTCCTATTGTGCCTTGGTGTGGGTTAGATGAGGATGGATTGTGTTGGATCGCCGATAAGGGTGCTTGAGAGGAGGTAAAGACTGCGGATGAGGGAAGGACGGTAGCGCAGTGGGCATACCGCCCCTGAGGTGTGTTGTTCGCCTGAATACGTGTCCATGTCCGCGTCGGTACATCGTAGATATGTATGTCAGACATCACGACAATCTCCGGTTGGGAATCCTGGGCGGCAGTTTGGGACAAATTGCTTGATGACTGGTTCCCTGGTGCGACCCGGGGAGACATGCCACCATAGCAGACCAACTTTGTATCGCCGAGCGCACATACACTGTGGAAATATCGTGGCGGGGGAATGTCCCCCGTTGTCTGGATCTTACTCCAATGACGGCGTATCAGGTCGAGCTCGTAGAGATCTGACGTAAGCTCTGGTCGAGTTCGAGATAACATACGGCCTCCGAAAACGTATAATTTGTCGCCCAGGATCGTGGTAGTGGCGCCAACCAGGGCATGAGGCTCTCTACCTGTAGTTCTATGTACATTGCACACCAGTCCTGATAGATTTGTAGAGCCTACATTCGTCGCTGGACCGGCGATTGTAGCCACGGGATGTGGGCTTGAATACTGCGGTTGGGCAGCGTGGTCGTCCCGCGCCCCGTCAGGGAGCGTGCTCGAAAGCATGCTTGTGAAGTCGCTCAAATCAGTGTGAGGCGTCACGGGTCGGGAATTCGATCGTTGGTAATGGGTGTAGGGAAGTTCTTTTTGGTGTCCATATGCGGTATCCCCGCCTACGGATAGTCGGCGGCGGCTTGTGTCTAACGACGGGCTTCGCAACGAAGCTGCATTAAGATTAGAGGGGAGTTGAGGCTGTCTATTGCTGGTTAAAGTTGATGTTCGTAGCCTAGGCTTGAAGGTAAAGTCTGCCGGAGGTGAGGTTGCGGGTAAGCTTGAGCGGCGGCTAGGATAGGCCGACGCGGCCGGTTCGTGGGAGGGAGTGACCGGGGTGGGCGAGCTTTTGGGCGGAGCTACTCCCGGCGAAGTGTTGGAAAACCCTCGCCGTTCTGAGAATGCAGTCGATGGGCGTACTGGCGACAGAGACCCTAGCCCCTTTATTTTAATCTCGCCTTGCCGGAGATATCTCTTTACTGATGAAAAAGGGTGCGATTTCTCGAACTCGGAGGGGACGGAGGTCGAATACAAATTACCGGACGAAACCCCAGTCCTGGGGGCGCGACGTTCCCCTACTAGGTGCGGCATGGTCGTTAACGGTCACATTCAGGAAGCAAAAAATAATAAATAAAAAGTAACTCGAAACAAAACGCGCTGGAAGGAATTGCAGGCAGAGCAAGACGAGTTGGAGAAAGAGAAATAAATAAAGAGGCGGCGAAGAGAGAGAACAGGTAAAATTAAGAGAGACGTGCAGCGCTGCAGGCATCAATACGTACAGTTGTCTTGCAGCGGAGGTCAACGCACAGCAGAGCGCATTCCGCATTGAGTTGAGATCCCCTGTTGGCAGGCAATAATAAGATAAAATGGCGCCCCCCCCCGCCACCTGGGGTGCACCCCAGAAATATCTGAAACGGGATATTAACGAAACCAGAAATCGAGGACAGGCCGCGAAAGGCGACGACGGGCAGACGGCCAGGGGGAACAGGGCGGGTTGGCGGGTTGGCGGCCGTTGGGGCTCGAGACTGGTGAGGGTTGTGTGGGAGGCAGAAGACACGCAGTAGGTCGGTAGCAGCCCGCTTGGTGCCTGGCAAAGGTGGCTGTTCGCCGTCTTGTCGCCGGACCAAGGAATGGCGGTCGTAGGCAAACGAGCTTGGCGGGCCTAGCTAACGGGCGAGCACAGGGCGATGGCAATTTCGCTGGGGGACGCAGTGTCAAGGATCGGCTGCAGGGCAACCATGCACGGCGAGATTACCACCACCGCCTTATCTGCCGTTCACGGAGCTGTACAGGAGGCTCGATGGCAGCGACAGGCTGGGTCGTGCGAACGCGAGGCCTTGAAGATGAAGCCGGCTGGATGGCGGGCGAGCGAGACGACCGACGTTGGCGAGGCGGAGCGGCGGGCGGCGCGCTGATTGGCTGGCTCGCCGCTGGTCTACGCCTGGCCTTGGCAGATTATGTAATCAATTCGCGAACTAAGCGGGTGAGGCGAGAGACTACGGTCGTTCATTCATTCATCTGGCTTCATAATTACACAGGTGACGGGCCGCGGCGGGCACCGACTATGGCACATCTAATGGAATCCTCCCCCCCCCCCACAGCAGCCCTACTGCAGCCTATTTCTGGATCATGGTGTAACGGAGGTAGCTGTGCACATCGTTAGCAAGCCACTCACAGAGAAGGCCGGCACCACACGTACGGCTTGACAACGCGCACGTCACCGAATTTCTTGATCGCGTCTTCCGTCGACACGGCGGGGGGAATGATCACGTCATCGCCCGGAACCCAGTTGATGGCCGTGTTGACGCCGTTCTTGTCGGTGGTCTGCAGAGCATCAACCACCCGGAGAACCTCTGCGGTGTTGCGGCCCGTGGACGCCGGGTAGCTCATAATGAGGCGGATCTTCTTCTTGGGGTCGATGATGAACACAGAGCGGATGGTCATGGCCATGCCTTCCTTGCCCGTTAGCGCGGTCTGATTTGTCATAAAACAAAAAATTTAATCGCAAGCATACCCTTCTCATCTACGTTGGTTGTATCTTGGTAGTCAATCATATCATAGAGGTATGAGATATGGCGGTCGGCATCAGCGATGATGGGGAACTGCAGGTGAGAGCCTGTCACTTCATCGATATCCTTGATCCAATCATGGTGCGACTTCAGGCCGTTGGCACTCTATCACAGATCCTGTCAGAGGGCTTGTTGCCAGGCTGCATGGATCTAGGCAGGCTTTCTCACCAGTCCAACCAGCTTGACGCCGCGCTTGCTGAATTCAGGCTCAAGCTTGGCAAAAGCGCCGAGTTCTGTGGTGCAAGTAGGAGTGAAATCGTCCTAAACTCGATATATCAACGGCGATCCCGGGCGGTACTCGCAAGGTGGGGGGCATACAGGGTGGGAGAAGAGAATAACCCAGTTGTCGCCAATGAACTCGTGGAAGTCAATGTCTCCCTTGGTTGTGACAGCTTTGAAATTCGGGGCCTCAGACCCGAGGCGAAGGCTGATGACGCGTCAGAAATGGCAGAGGGAGAGAGAGGCACAGATAGACTCACGGAGCAGCACGCTGGTTCTGGTTAGCCATGATGGAGAGTGAAGGATGAGGAGGATAGAAAAAACAAGGTCACGGAGGCAGGCAGGGGGCGACAAAGAGTGGGAGAAAAGAGAGGGTGAGCGGGAGAGATCCGGCGAGCTCCATCGATATTAATATATGCTTCCCGCTTATTTATTATTCGCCCGCTGTGCTGTTGCGACGCGGCTGCCAGACTGCCCCTCGTTGGCAGAATAATCACGCAATGACACACCGCCTTGCACCCCCCGCGCGGGTATTGGCCGGGTGGCCGCCAGGGTCGCCTCAGCCAATTGCGTGCCCGACATGACAAGGGCCGCTAGTCGCCGTTTTAAACCCTGCTGATTCATTGGGCCCCAAGCAGGGCGACCGGACGCTTCGTTGCTGACTCAGCTGCTAAAGCGTGCTTCACTGCGGCTGTATCGGGCAAGGCGCAGCGCGGGCTAGGCTATTTCCGGATGATACGCACCGTCCGCCAAGCATCTCACAATCGCCCGCCAATTCACACGGACCGCCAGATGAATCTCAGCCACGGTATGCGGGCTAGAGCTGTGCCTTGCGTACTGCAGATGGCATCTTTGCACTCTCTCTCATTTGACTTGGTTTGCTTTTTCAGCAATACAGAGTATCTGATCTGAGCTCGAAGTCCCAGATTTCCTGTTCCTCGGCCGCCCAGGCCTGTCGTTGTGATATCAGACCGGGGTCATCCCTATGAATCCGAGACCAAGGCCAACATTGAATTGTCGCTTCCACCGAGCCGAGTGCACCCTTGCGCTGTACCCCACACTTCAGCACACACACAAGAACAGATCTGGCTGCTCCTAACATGATAATTTTCATATCGGAGATCAACGGTCAATTACTCTATATTTTAAGATTGATCTGCTACCGATAGCCGTTCGAGACCTTTCAAAAATACGACAGGACGAACAGAATGCAGAAACAGACGGCGATTAGGACCCACCTACTTAACGGGTGCGTCGCGTCACAGGCCGGCGTGTTCGCCGTCTTCACTGTGTACTTGCTTCGGCATTCTCGTATAAAAGTCGTCTGATCACAGAGCCCAGACAATTACATGCGAGAAGATGAGGGAGTTTTCGCTCTGACCATATATATGGGACAATCCCTTCCGAGAATATCCCGACATTGAACTTTTCCTCGCCAACGCCAGGGACTACCGCGCAAGAACTGGAGGATTCTGCAAAATGATTGTCCAAGTTTTCGACATCATTGTCAACTAAAACTAGGCATGTATACACAATCCAAACTGTTCAACATCCCTACCTTATTAGCGAGACGTGGCCTGGTACTTAACGCCCACTCTAACGCCGAACCTATCGTCTATGTCCCTATATATGCGTTTCAATGCCCTTCTCCTTAAATGTATTCAATGCTAGATAGATGATATTTTGCAGGGACCCAAGATAACTGCGATAAATGCTCTACTTCCGTTCTGCCATTATTTCCTAGTGCGGTTGTTAGCACTTACAATTTCACACTGGTTTTGCGCCGACTTCAAGTGAACACAAGTTGGTAGGAGTATCTGAACCTACACTGGCAAATTTACTTCGGGCGCGAATTCTAGGTCCATAAAATGCGAGTACCCATGGAACGATTGTCAGTAAGGTGCCCTATGGAATACATTAGAGAACGGATTCTTGGCTGCAAATTGCACACAACAGCTGGTACACACAATTCCACCAAGCAAACTCGAAGCTTCTGCATAACCGAGATTGTTGAACATTGCACGTGCCACAAGTGGAAAGCAGCCGCCGAGAACATTTCGACCTGGTTAAAGGCAATTGTCAATTCAAGGTACTCAAATCAGGGGAGACATACATGTGACGTACAGCAGGATTGTGCTGCCAGTGCAGAGCTGGCATAACGATGGTAAGTATCGGCAAGGTAATTGAACACGGCAAGATATATCGAGAATATTCCAATCGTGGCACATCCGACTGCGAGAGCTGGCCAAATCCAATGTACTGAAGGTCCTGACGTCCACCCAAACCAAAACATTCCTGCTGGCATTAGGATGGATTCGACACAAACAAAATACAACCGGCCTTCCGGCGTCGTTGGCATCTTCCCCAGCCATTTGGCAACCTTTTCTTGCGTTATACTAATAAACAGCGCAACGAGCGCCCCACCACACATCGCTATAGGATCAGATTAGTTTTATTTAAAGTAAATAAGGCACCAATGCAATCGGATTTACCTGTGAAAACAGCGCCAGATTGCTGGATATCGAACCCGTGATTGTTCCGGAAAACTAGTGGAATCGATCCAAATTGCAGGTAAAGAACAGCCCAGCTGAATGAAACCCAGAGTGAAAAGAAGAAGACAACTGGCTCTGTCATCAGGAGATCTGTAATACTGTTCAGCGAATGTTAAAACTGGAGCACGGAGTCACCTTACGAAACGGCCGATATAAGGATATACCAATCATTTTAGACAAAGTTTCCCTCTCTTCGTCACTCTTAACCTTCCAGCGTATACGCTGACAATTCTTCTTTTCACGCGCCCCTAATAGCGAGATATCTAACCCTGGACATCCAGCAATTTCTAACTTTTCATACCACTCATTCAGAACTTTTGCTTTTCTACTTAGAAGCACGCTGCCACGAGTCTCTTTGAAGAACAGGATTATGGCAAGGAGCACGATGGCCGCAGCTATAGCTTGCGAATAGTAGATCCAGCGCCACGATGTATGCTTGACGATTGCACTCGAAAAAAGCGGCCCAAGGCCCGTTCCAAACAGTGCTGCCGTGGAGAAAAGTGCCATGGGGGTATTACGATCGCTGGTGTGGTATATGTCACTTATGATTCCGCCAACTATCGTGGAAAATGTTGCTATTCAAACGTCAGCAGCAGCTCCCCACAGGCCTGAATGGTCAACATACAGCCCCCTACTCCCAGAAAGAATCTGGCAAGTATCATGCCGGCGAAGGAACGGGTTACGCCGCAGCCAATCTGGCATACTGTGTTGTGGAACATGTTATCATTTGGTGCCCTCTGTCACCCAGAAAATGCGAGACTCCTACTAACCAACGAACAACACTCCGCTCCCGATAAACATCGGTCTTCGGCCATTGATTTCTGAGAACGGTGCTAGCAACATTGGGGCAACTCCAAACCCAAATGTAAACACGGTAATGCCAATGTTATATACTACTCCGCTGATTCCCCATGCTTGGGTAAGTTCTTCTTCTGCAGGGCTATAACAGCCCGCTGCTGCAGCACTAAGAATGGTAACAGTGCATGCTACCCCTGTAATCACGGACTTCAGCGTATTCGGCCACTCGAAGGGCGATGTGTAGGGCTTCAAGTCCGGCCGCGGAGGCAGAAAGAAATCTTGATCCGTTGATATAGTAAGGGAGCAAGGGGATGGAAGATCGGAGTCGAAATCGAGATAAAGGTAGCGAATGTCTGCTTTGTCGGCTGCATATAGGACACCAGGCGTATCTCTTTCTGCTGAAACATCGACGAGCGTTGAGTTTGAACTGTCATTACTCTGTGGTTCCGGCTGAGATGGCAGCGAGCTTCTGGCCCGGCGGCCGTCTACACCCGCGCTGAACGTGAGAGGGTCGCCCATGTCAGCAGCCCACACATCACCTTTCACACTGGAATGTATGAATCATAATAACATCACAAGCCAGCAGAGTTTTAAAAAAAAAAGTTGATATCATTCTCCCTGGGCAAAACGATCCACTTTTAGGAGGCTCGGCCTCTTTTCTCCAAATTTTTTCCCCAAGCGCAAGCACTTGAGCCTGCGACTCTTCCCCAAGTATCTGAACCAGTGGCAACAAGTCTCATCCGAGCGGCACCTTATCCGAGGTTTGGCCGTTTCCAGGGTTGGGAGCCCGAGAGGAACATAAAGCTAATGATAATAGCCGACCAACTTTCCGGAGCTACGGAGTAGGATCCCTGAAGCTAAAAATTTTCATTCTCTGCGATACAGTCGCCAACAACCCAGCAAAATCACCGCAAGAAGTTTCAAGACTCGCTCAACTTAGACAAACTATCGGTCAGCAGTGTACCTATGAATTAACTATCTAACAGATCGAGATTACGCACCTGCCGCAGCCGCTCAGTCCGCGCCACGTGTGAAAAGATGCCCAGTCTTCCCGACTGAACCAATATGGACAATGCCCAAACTGAAGCCGAGGAAGGGTTCTGCGATAGGGAAATCGCGAATACCATGGTTTCAGGCCATTTGACAATTCTCCTGGTGGTGTGGCTTCGTGCCGTTCAGCCAAAGGTACGGTGGGTTGGAGAATTGGTTCCGGTTATCGTCTTGGGTGCGTCCGAGCACCCTTCCGAATAAGAAAATGCGCGCGGAACAAGGCTTTTGAGTGTTTAAGAGCCATTTTCAGCTAGAGATTGGCCGAAATATTCTTGTGAGATATATGCCTGCCGCCGAAAAGCTTTACTCGGTACGGTACCTATTAAATACCCACAGGGAAATCTTCCTTTCGGAACATGAAGAAATCCTAGATCTTCTTACCTAGCTGAATGACATCGCGAGGCCCACGGTCTCTACATCACTATGGAGAGTCGGAACCTAATGCTTCGTCGACCTATCCATGCTCTATGAGCCATGCCAATTGAAAACAAGCCTTTGCCCAGCATCGCTTGGCCGAGATGCTTGATAAAGGCAGCGAGGCTAGCACTCTCAAGCCATTTAGCTGACATCGATATCACCAATCACGGCTATTCGCCGAGCGAGGGACATCGATCCAGATCGTCTTCAGAACTAGCTAGTGGATGCAATGGCTCCGGCTGGACATGGCCTGACCCAGCACCATACACGAACATAAACAGATAAGGAACAGAAAAGAAGGGCCAGAGAACCCGGTCCTGGTCAACTGCGCCGGTTCGAACCTAGTTTTTCCTGGTTATCTGCCAAAGGGCGTAGCATCTGCTGCGCCTTGCTGCCGGCTCTCTACCGAAGAGGCTGGCGGCACGCGGATGTGGACCTTTTCGCTCCTCAATATCTCCTTTTTTGTATACCCTTTTTTTTCACCTTAGGCTTTTTGAAAGCCTAATACATTGCACAGTTACAGGCGTCAATGCACATGAAACTCTTTTATTTGACCCAATTCAGACTATATATTATCATACAGCCCTTCTAAAATACTGGTTACCCATTTTGGCTGAGCGATAAGTATTCAACTCGGTTAGTGCTGGAGTGTCTATATAGGGGAAGATTTATACTATGGGAGGCGATGCCAACGGAATCCCCCAAGCAGAGAACCATTTAATGCATATTGCCCTGCTAGAGTCAACAGAAATCAGCTACTGAGAACTGCTAAGACAGCTTACGGGGGGGAGAAGTCACAAGATTCTTTCTTGTGACAGAAAAGCCCTTGGGAAAGGAAGGCAATACTTGATCCTTTCCGGTGCGGCTGGCACACTGTCGAAGGGGATGGATAGGTAGCTTTTCTTCTCTATCCGGCCTGAATGCCAATTTTGTGTTCCTACAGATGCACAGTGCATATGATGTAGAGCCAAACTGGTATCTAGCACTGGATCATTCTTGCGCAGAATCACAACACTGCAGTACATTTTCATGTAGACCACAATCATATAAATAATTACCCCGTAGAATAGTTTTACACTGGGGCGGATCTACCAGGTGCCCATGCCAATCACGCACGTGATCGTGATCTTTGCGACCCCTGGTGAGCCTACAAACCGTTGAAAGTTTCTTTCTATTGTCGGAAGGTTATTTGGGTCAATGTAAATTTCTTGAATTATATTTTTTGAGTGGGCAAATCAGATTACAATATTTAGCAAAACCTATCTTCCACGCGTATCGTCATGTCGAGTACACGAAAGCGCGCAAATGGTGTTGTTGTGACCGAGACGGCTGCATCGTCGCGTCCGAAACGCGGCGCGGTTGCCAAAGACATCGCAGGCCCTACCAGTGGCCCTGCTACTAAGCGAGCGACAAAACCAAAAGGTCTGTTTACCATATGCCCTAGATTAAATATTTTCAGATGGAATTAACGCTTTGTGGTAGCGAACACTGGCTCTAAGCGATCAAGTACCGAGCAGAAGACACCCGAGAAGAGCACTATCGAGGTGTCGCGGAAACGAAAGGCCACCGCGACGAAGGATGGCTCGAACGATGCTTCCAACGTGGAAGTCGGGAAGAAGCGCTCCAAAACACGCAAGACTGAGGCTGATGGAAAAAAAGCGGTTCGTTCAATTCAAGCCAATACCAAGTCCAACAGTAATGTCAAGACGAAGAAAGATGAAAGCACGGGAGCCAGGACCTACTGGCTGATGAAAGCGGAACCGGAATCGAGACTGGAAAAAGGTGTTGACGTTAAGTTCTCCATTGACGACCTGCGCGAAGCGAAGGAGCCTGAACCCTGGGATGGTTAGTTCATTTCCCTTGCATACCTCTGCAATCACGAGTCCCGAAGTCTGGAAACTAATATCATTCTCATTTTAGGCGTCCGAAATGCGACAGGTCCGTGTGGAGTTTTTTGCTGGTCTCATAGGGATAGTTGCGCTAATAATATGCAGCACGCAACCATATGCGTTCCATGAAGAAGGGCGATCTAGCTCTATTCTACCACTCAAATTGCAAAGTGCCTGGAATAGCAGGCACTATGGAAATTGTTCAGGAACATTCTATCGACGGTATGTTGACCCAATTCTCACACAGGTCATCCTCATAGATAATGACTGGTGAGTAGAATCCGCATTCGACCCCGCGCACCCGTACTATGATCCCAAATCCAGCAGAGATAACCCAAAATGGGAAGTTGTGCACGTCCAGTTTAGAAGCAAGCTAAAGAAGCTTATCACTCTGGCTGAGTTGAAGTCTCTGGGGAAACCTGGGAGTGCACTTGAGGACCTTCAAATGCTGAAGCAATCCCGCCTAAGTGTGTCTTCAGTGACACCGGAGCAATGGGAGTTCATCATGGGTTTGGCTGAAGAGGAAGATGCCGAAGAATGATGCAGGGCGCAACGAGGACGGGCATTTTAAGATGCCAGGCTACCCTCGGAACGATGCTCAAACGGTACGTATTGGAAAGCGAGAGGCGCGAACTATGTACTTTTATAGCGTCTGTTAGAGTAATCTGACTTGATAAGTATGCGCGATAGCCGCCCCTAGCCGCGGAAAAGGACCCCTGTTTTGGGCAAGGCCTATGACGTTAGTGTGCGGGAGCTAGGCGGCGAAGGGAAAGCCGACCCGAGTGCTTAGCTAAGCGGGTCGGGCGGCGTGAGGGGAAACTTGCTTGCACAACCTGGGGAGGGGCGCGGGTGCAGTACATACATAAAGCATCAATGTTCGGGCTGCGTTCATCGGTCCTTGTACTACGACGTGTTTGCCAGGCTGCTCCATCTGCCCCATTGCACACTACACCGCAAGTATCTATACACGCTCGATATTTCTCTGTTTCTTTTGCCAGGATGTCTGATCTCTCCACTCAACTTACAGCTCCGAACGGCCGGGAGTATACCCAGCCGTTAGGCCTGTTCATCAACAATGAATTTGTGGCTTCCAGGTCTGGCGAGAAAATAACCTCAATCAACCCTACGTAAGTTTGACTGCCCTGTGTTACGTACCTACATACGTCCATCCATGCGGACATAAACTAACTTCTCGTGTAGTAACGAATCCGAGATAGTTTCTGTATATGCCGCAGGGGCAGAAGACGTCGACATTGCAGTTAAGGCCGCTAGAAAGGCCTTAAAAGACCCGTCGTGGAAGGGATTATCCCCAACTGAGCGAGGCAAGCTCATGATTAAGCTCTCAGAACTAGTCGAGCAACATATTGAAACACTAGCTACCATTGAAGCCTGGGACAACGGTTAGCCTTTGCCAAAATCTCCCCCAATGTTATTTAGTAGCTTATCAGGTATATTTGGCCCTTAGGTAAGCCATACTCTGTTGCTCTCGGTGAGGACTGTGCCGAGGTCGTGGAGACCTTGAGGTTCTACGGCGGGTTTGCAGACAAGGTCTACGGCAGCACCATAAGTACTACTCCCGCCAAATTTGCATACACCTTGCGTCAGCCAATTGGTGTTGTTGGCCAAATCATCCCATGGAACTACCCGCTTATGATGGCCGCGTGGAAACTCGGACCCGCTCTTGCATGCGGCAACACAGTCATCCTTAAACCGGCAGAGCAAACTCCGCTTAGTATCTTGTATTTCGCCAATCTGGTGAAGGAAGCTGGCTTTCCTCCAGGCGTCGTGAATATCTTGAACGGATTTGGTAAAGACGCTGGTGCTGCCATCGCGTCTCACACGGATATCGACAAAATTGCATTTACTGGATCCACCGCGACTGGTCGACAAATAATGAAAATGGCTGCCGTAAACATGAAGAATATTACCTTGGAAACTGGCGGGAAATCACCTCTTCTAGTATTCGAAGACGCCGACATCGAGCAAGCGGCCAAGTGGGCTCATATTGGCATCATGTCGAACATGGGTCAGATTTGTACGGCTACTTCCCGTATTCTGGTGCATGATTCGATCCATGATAAGTTTGTCAAACAGTTTAAAGAGATTGTTGCGTCAACTAGCAAGGTGGGCGACCCGTTTGCCGACGACACTTTCCAAGGCCCCCAGGTTACGAAGGCGCAGTACGACAGGGTCCTTTCGTACATCGAAGCCGGCAAATCAGAAGGTGCCAAATTGGAAGCAGGCGGCGTACCACACAAGAATGTCGGCAGCGGCAAGGGGTTTTTCATAGAACCCACCATTTTCACTGGTGTGAGCGATAACATGAAGATCTACCGGGAGGAGGTGTTTGGGCCATTCGTCGTTATCGCCAGTTTTAGCACTGAGGACGAAGCAGTGTCCAAGGCGAACGACACAACATATGGCTTGGGTGCCGCAGTATTCACGCGAGACATCGAGCGCGCTCACCGCGTGGCGTCGGAAATCGAAGCAGGTATGGTCTGGATCAACAGCAGTAATGATAGTGATTTCCGGGTTCCATTTGGCGGCGTCAAGCAGAGTGGAATCGGAAGGGAACTTGGCGAGGCTGGATTGGACGCCTACTGCCAGACGAAGGCCGTGCATGTGAATTTGGGCACCAAGCTGTAAAGTCTGGATTTTGTATCTTGAAAATCCAATTGGAAATTGGCTTATGCTTGGAGATTTTCTCGTTTGCGATTTACCTTATAATACCGAGTGCCAGGCTCGAGAATGCCACTACAGTATTATGAACCAAGAGCGTTTTTTAAGTATTGCAGAGAAGGCCATACTATAAGTAAGGGTGAAACCAATCTCAACCCAGAGATCCTTAGCTGGCTTCCCGGGGAGCTTCTCAAAGATAGTATAACTTGGTGAAATGTCCGCATGAGAGCAAACACTGCGCAGAAATAGGCAGTAAAATTTGAGGGACACACGAGAGAGGACCTTGAACACAATGGATGGGAGTTGTTGTGGGATCCATATCATATCGATTTAGCTTTCAAAATCACTTCACTGGCCAAACATCCCGGGCAGTCTTCTGGAAAACGAACGCCGGGGGGTTTCTGCTGTGCCTGTTTTTGATAAGGCAAGAACCTCCTGTTGTGCCACCAGCGGCATCCAATCCAACATGCGGGCTGCCTCCATCGGGCGAGAGAAAGGCGGCTCTTTCAACCACATTATGAGCCTAATACAGAATGAATGTGTTCTCGCAGCTCCTTTGATACGGTGATGACTTGGACTTGGACTTGGACTTCGCGGTTTTTTACTTCACGCATCCGGGGAAACCCGCCAATGCAGATATTTGCAGCTTAGTATTCTGGTACCATAAATTCGGACCGACGCCATTGAAATGGGCAGTAGAGCACGATAGGCTTAATCCGGTTAATCTATTCCTGGCTCACGGGCGTTAGCAGCTACGAAGCGGGACAGTGTCATGGTCAACCTGCTGCTTGCCCATGGGGTTTAGTGTGACTTTGAGAAGTCTGACCGGCACTTCCTGACTGCGCTTGTTTTTTAGACAATACCGGCAGTCGATACGGCGTAACCTTTCTGGAGGAAATCCATTTCACAGTTCCACTCCTTCAGGTAGTCAGGTTAGGCAACACAGGTCTGGTCAAGGCGCCGCTTGCCTACAGTGCAAATGCCAATGCTCCTTACCATGGCATCCCTGGTCTCTGTCGTGACGCCGACGGCTCATGACTCAAGGTAAGGGTTGGATTTGCCTGTGGGAGGGCCATGCAGTCCGCTATGGAGTATGGGCATTCCGAGGTCGTCCGATTACTCCAGGAAGTCTTCCACGCCAGGACTGGCCAGTTCCGACCTGGCGGCTGGGGGGCCATAAATGTCAGCCGGTACCCAGAGATGTATATCTTGAGGTTACTGCGGGCCTGGAGGCAACAATGACAACCAAACAAATGCAGGGCAGGGTAGAGTCGAGAGACGCGGCAACCGAAACCCGTAAAAAAGGTACGAGTCACCAACCGCGCTGGTGTCTCATAGGGTAAGGAAGCAGAGCAGAAAAAACAAGAAAGAATGGTCTCGCATGTCGCCCGTAGTTCTTCCAAGTTGAAGGCCTCCTGCTAAAACGCCAGGTGGCTGAAGAGGCTGAGGCCGGGGTTTTATCGGCCGCCAAGCCGGCGACGGTTGTCTCTGGCCCGATGACATAACACTAACTAATTCTGAAATCCAACGTCCTCTTTGTCGTGAGTCAATAAATCCTTCGGCGGCGAAAGGCGCTCGAGGCCTTTATTCACGATGCAGTCGGGGAACCAGCTGCCCGCATACCATGGCCTAAAAGCGTACTCAACCCTGGCCGGGGTTCTAAACGTGCTTTGTCCTTGATTTTGATCGGTTTATGTCTATTGCTGCCAGTGATGCATACTGGATAGCAGATACGCCGCATGCATTCTTATTACTCCTGCTCGTTCCTTCACGTCGAGCTGAGTCGTTGCTATCCCTACTTCTTGACTCCGCATCAAATGGGGCATCTGATCTTCTTTCCGGACAACCTAAGGGTATCTGATTGTGCAGATGGCAGCACCATTGGCTTCTTTTGTTATTATTTACGTACAAGGGGCCTGAACGATCCTTTTGATCCAGCGGGACGTAGCGTCAAATCCAGCACCGTTTCTACAGAGCGTTATCATATATCCCAGGAGGTACCGTACCGCTGGGTGCGGGCCAAGCACTCTCGGTCCTGAATCCATCGAGCGTGGTCGGAGGCCCATAGGCCGGTATGTAGGTGGCATATAGTGCTGAAGCATACACTTCAATTATGACCACCAAGACCTCATGGGGCGATTGTCGGCTGGTGATTTAAAATACGGATTCCCGCTGGTCCCAGCAGAAGTATGCGCTAATCCTCACCCTCCTCTTATTTTCTTTTCGATATCTGGCATCAAATGCCTTACGCAGGAGCGCGGATGCCATGGTTCACCTTTACTCTGCTCCGCAATGGTTAATCGTCGGACATAGAAGCCACTGGGCGAAGCTGAAGTATATTATTCCCGCAACCGTATCGTTTCTGTTGTTCTGCTGGCTGCTGCGTTTGACGGGTCATCATATTCTCGGTACAGTTGATCCATTCCTTTCGGATATCAAACGACAGCACTCGAGCCACCGATGGATGCTAACCAGGGGGCGTAGAAAGAGTTAGCACACAGCAAGTTGCACAGCCGACCATTGGCAAGGTTTCTATGGTATATGGAAACGTCTCAGTTTACGAGAGAGCTCTCCAGACACATGCAGGGCATAGCCGGCGATTTGGGTATCCTGAGTTTGTTTTGCGCAAAAAGATACTCGGCGGCTATTGGAGTAAAAATGCGATTTTGATGTCTGTTTTGTTGCAGGAGTTGCAGCGGCCGGAAGGCCAGCGGTTGGAATGGATCTTGTGCGTGCTACCCATACTCCATGAGACCGGCGTCATCTAGAGTCGCTCATTTGGACCTAGCTCAAGCTCTTATTCTGATGTAGCTGGTTCGATGCCGACACCGTGTTAATGAACCCCAACATACCGCTGGAAACGTTCCTCCCTCCGCCCCATTTGTCGCACATTCATCTTCTCGTCAGCAAAGACTGGAATGGACTGAACAACGGCGTCTTTTTCATACGCGTGCACCCTTGGTCTCTCAAATTGCTCACTGCGGCTAGCGCCTACCCGATCCTAAAACCCGAAGTCCACCTCGTGTGGCAGGACCAGTCGGCCTTAGCAGAACTGTTCAAGATGGAGTATTTCTCCTCCTCTGTTGTGTTCTGCCCATTGCGGTGGTTCAATGCATATCCTGAAGATTGGCTTGAGGCGGGTCGGAGTAGTGCCTCGTCCTCGCATCTCCACTTGCAACCGGGAGACCTGCTTGTTCATTTTCCAGGCACATCTCGTGAAAAGCTGAACGAGACGATGATGCCGTACATTGAAATTGCAGAGGGACATCAGAAAGCCTGGGAACTGCGGTTGGGGGAAACGTATTATCAAACGGAGATAGAGTCATTTTGGAAAAATATGTCGTCGAATGTTACTCGTTTCTGGCCGCATGGCGCGATTGCTTCCTCGCCAGTGTCTGGACCTTAGTTCGTAAGAAGCTACGGCTCACAAGAATTCGCATTCTTACACAGTGGTAAATGGGAAGCCGTGGGATGTCTAGTAAAAGTGATTTTTGCTACAAACGGCCATTCGCCGAAGATACATTCGCAACGGCAATAGAACTGTTAACGAGAAGACCGAAAGTGCATTTCAATCCTTGAATCATTGGTATCCGCAGTTTAATTATCACTTGCCACACTACAGTAGTCATGAGCTCCATGTCTCTTTTCTCACAAATTTGTCACATTGGCCGGTTCGTGTGGTTGATAATAGCTGAGGTACGGTCAGGTTCTCTCAGGCGGTCGTCGGCGTATGCCAGTGTATCGGCCATGAAGCGTTCTAGATCAAACTTCTCTGCAAGACCAATTTCCTGCAGTTTCCGAATCGCCGCTTTTGTCCAACTGACACAATTCTGCTTCGGATGGGCGCTTTTAAGTGGAAGCGGGATGGATTCGAGAAGCCCGTATATTTCCGAATAGGGCACTTCATTCGGGACCTTTCCTATCATCACGCGGCCAAGGAGAGAGTGTGACGCTACGAGCTACAAGCTGGAGAGAAGTGCCTAATTCATCTGATCTCATATTGAAGAGGGATCTAGATGCATTTATATAAGCAAGTGGCTAGCGAGCTCTTACTACATAGTAGTCAAAATACGTAGTAGTTACTGTAGCCAACATTGAAACTACAAGGTGGTGGTAATGGTTACATAACAGCTCAGAAAATCGGTAACCCGATGGTAGTGCAGAGATCCGCGATTCCGCTATGGAATCTCAGCCTGCATCAGAACCTTTGTCATATTGGTTCATTCACCAACCCACTTGAGATATAAGCCGGATTATTGAAACCCCCGACAAGAGCCAATAAAATCTCCACTAAATATGTGTCGCATGCAGACTCTTCTTCTCTCGCTTCGACTTGCTCTCGGAAACAAAATCTTCGGCAAAGTTGGCTTCTGGGGGGTCCGAGTCAGCCCTGGAAGAATCATCAAAGGGCCCTGCGAGACAACAGAGCTTGCGGCCCTACAGTATGTCGCTGAGAACACAACTATACCTGTTCCAAAAGTCCTTAAAGTCCATGATTACAACGGCCGACTTTACATTGAACTAGAATGGATTCGTGGAATTGATTTGCAAGCCGCGTGGCTTCGTGGAAATCTTTCACCTAACCAGAAAACACTGCTTATTACCGAAATTGCAGCGTACATTTCCCAGCTGCGAAATCTTGAGCCCCCACGGCCGGGGTTTGTTGGTTCGGTGTCCCAAGGCGAAAGCCTGGACCATCGAGTTGGGTCGGCGCCTTTTGGCCCCTTTACCAGTCACACGGAATTCCACTCCTTTCTTCGAAGACATATCCCGCTTCATGATAGCTCAAAGGTGTTCGGCCCCGAAGTCGAGAAGTGCCATTCCCGTGCCTACCGGAGCTGTTTTACTCATGCTGACCTCAGCCCGCGGAACATCATTGTACGAGACGGGAGAGTAGCAGCCATCATTGATTGGCAATTTGGCGGTTGGTATCCGGAGTATTGGGAGTATACAAAGGCTTATTTTGGCCAACTTGAAATATCAGATTGGTATGAAGGATTACACCACGCCTTCGACAGCTACGAGGACGAATTAAAGGCCGAGCGGCTTCTTTGGAGGCAATGTGACCAACCTGGGATGCCTTGGTAGATATCATTGCCATTCAGCCATTCTTGTAATGTGATGGGAAATCCCTTGTCCGTGGGGTCAGCCTACGAGTCCTCACAAACATGCCAGCAGAGTTGCAAAATCGCCAAGAAACGCATTTCGATTACTCAGCGTCACGTGCCAGCCGCAAACAAGGCAAACAACCGCCATCGCTCGATAACAACCAAACAAACCTCATGGCCTTTGCGGAGATTCCGTTGATCGACCTGTCGCTTGCTGCCGACCCGCTGACCCGCCCGCTTGTGCTGGCGCAGCTGCACCGTGCGTTGATCTCTGTCGGCTTTCTCTACGTCTCGAACCATGGCGTTCCCGACACCGTGGTGCGCGAGCTCGTGCAGGTGCTGCCGCGGCTGTTTGGCCTCGACCGCATGGCCAAAGACGCGATAGCGATGCGCAATTCGCCGCATTTTCTGGGTTACTCTGGCGTTGGCGCGGAGACTACCGGTGGGCAGACAGACAGCCGGGAGCAGGTTGAGTTTGCGACGGAGTTGGCGGCGGTGGATTCGCCGGCGGCGCCGTTGTATGAGAAGCTGAGGGGCCCGAATCAGGTAGTTATTTGTTTGTGTCTCGTCGATAACGTAGTGGCGTCGCTGACGATGGAAATTGCCTGTTTATCAAAGTGGCCCTCGGAGCTCCCCAATCTACGTCCGATCGTCACATCGTACATCGACGAACTCACCGCACTCGGTGAGCGGTTCCTCAGACTTGTAGCGGACGCTCTTTCCCTTCCCTCCGATGTCTTTTTGCCCTTTCTATCAGATCAACACCGTCTCAAGCTAGTTCACTATCCAGGATCTCAAAAGTCGCACTCTGGCAGTTCGTGCATCCAAGGGGTTGGCCCACACAAAGATTCCTCCGGATGGTGGACGTTTTTGCTGCAAGCTTCACCGCCGGATGTAAAAGGGCTACAGGTTTTGAATAAGAATGGCGACTGGATTGATGTTCCTGTAATACCAGGAACCTTTGTCGTGAATATCGGCCAAGCGTTCGAAGTTGTCACCAATGGAGTCTGCAAGGCCACAACGCATCGTGTGCTGATATCTGGCGAGAAAGGCAGATATAGCGTTCCATTTTTCCCGGGCGTCCGGCGCAGCTTAACAAAGAGTGAGGCCACTGAGACTCTGAAGCAGCACTTCAGTGGCGTGGTCGACGGCGGTGAATCTGCTGAAGGCAGCGGGGTCGATTCGGCCTTTCTCAAAGGCAAATACGACACATGGGGGGAGTCTCAGTTGAGGACAAAAATTCGAAGCCATAAGGATGTTGGGAAGAGATTCTATGGCGATGTTTTTGATTTGTATGTCGATGAGAGTTGATGTCGTCGGATTGAGCTATGCATATGTAGCTGTCATTTCGTAACGGATATGGTACAAACGAGTGCGGTTCTGCTATTAACATTATGGGCTCATATATTTAACGCCTTAGATGAAAAAAAAATTTTTAACGGGTCACGAACGCAGAACAGCTTTTGATTTGGCAACATGGGATCAATTCGTTTTCTGTTTCGTACGACACATTTCTTCCAAATTGTCGGCGTTTGGTCGAGCAACTTCTGGGTCTTGTCTGAGCTGGCCCCAGCTTAATAGCCGGGCAGTCAAGCAGTTCTTAGCCAATACCAGACAGATGCATTTGAAGATAGTCATCAGAGCTTGTTGCGGCAAGAGCTTCTTTGGCAACGTCGGCAAATTTTTGGCCCTGGCTGCATTTTCTCTCAGCATCGAGGCGCTGCCAGAATTTGGTGACGAGGAAGGTGGTGTGGGCGCCCGCGGCGGCATATTCCAGGGAGGCCGGAGAGTTCATGTTTGCCTACAAGGTTGGATTAGCTCGTCCGTTAACTCTCTGCTGCACAAAGCCGACGGCCTGGACCGCAGCAGCGGGGGTGCATACCCAGATCTCCTCAATGCCGTGGCTGTGCAAGGGCTTTGCGGCGGGAGAGCCGGCCTGTCGGGTGACCGTGCGGGTTGTGTGGAACGCGCTGCTGCGCACGGGGTCGTTGGTAACGGCGTGCACGACGGAGCCGCGCTGGTTCTCTGTGGCCCCAAAGACGATGAGCCGCCTAGTCGACATGGTCCTTGGCCAGCAGCAGCAGCAGCAGCGGCCGGATGGCGTTGGCCAAAGGGCGGGCGGGGGCGGGTAGGTAGCCGGCAAGCAGCAGCAGCACAAGCACGGTGGAGACGGCGAGTGGGAGGGCGCGGAGCAGCGACTGCGCAGTTGCGTTGCTTAGCAACACCATATTGCGAGAGCGTTGTTGTTCTTGTTGTCGTCGTCGTTGTCTCTGATCTTCTCTCTTTTCTCCTTTTGGTGGTGGTGACGTCATCTAACTAACTACCGATAAGCTGTTTGGCACTTGAGCTTGGCAAATGCTTGGAATCACCGCGCGATATTTGCTGGGAGGGCGAATCCTAGAGACCAGGAAGCTGGCTACCTTCTCATATAACTACAGAGTACGGAGTACACAGTGATGATCAGATGCGTCTGCTTTTCTGTGAAGCGACTGAAGCTCTGTGGGCATGTGCGCTGCTGATCCGCCATCTAGTTAACTATTCTACAGGGATAGACCTTGTGTAAATCTTTTTTATTTTTCATCTGTTGTTCTCGAAGACATCTGCCGATATGGGGGCAGCTAGTCATACTTTATGGTATACAGAGTATGGAGTATCAGCTCAGAGTAGCAGGGTCGTTGACCAGATAACCCAGCACCAGTCCACTAGGAAAGGAATGGTGGTGTGAGGTACAGTGTACCCCAGCTAACTCTGACTGGGTTAGATGTCTAGATGTGAGCTTGTACAGTTCCGTACAACAGCCTCTTTCAACAAACGTTGCCGTCAGCCACGCAGGCCGACAATATCTGCAGCGCTTTGTATATATTCTCTTCAGACCATTGCGGGCCCCCAGAAGTGCAGCAGTAATAGCCCAGCCAACCCTCCCGCACACAGCTAGTGATATCTCTGAAGCATGGGCAACCCAGTCTCAGAAGCACCCAGGCAGTGGAGCCTGGGCATCAATGCTTGCGGTACGGGACTTCTAGCGGGTGCTGACGGACCCCGATTGGGGATTGAGTCCTATGGAGCGGTTCAAAGTCGAGCCACCCACCTATCCCAGTCGCAAGTCTTCGGGTACTGCCGCAGACGCCATGCCACAACGAATGAGAAGGGGTGGATCATGGTCCGGACGGAGGGGTCGGAGCGCCGGCCACCCAACCAAGAGGATGACCATCGTCGGGGTGTCTTGTCCGTGTTTGCAGGCGCGCTGGTTCGTTACATAGTTGGAGATGACAGCACAGTTGGCGTGTTGTGAGGTCGACTTTCTTGGATGTCGGTGTTCTTAGCGCCCGTTGCTTTATAGTTAACTAATTAGTTAACTATTTATTAGCGATTTTAATCTAGAAGAACCATGTCGATAATCTTCCTTCCAACGATCCATCGTCCAGCCAGGCATTATTCTCTGACGTTCGGGTCGCCGCACCGCTTACAACGGGTGAGGTAGTTAACGCCATGCCACACACCGTTGCGCTATAGATCGCGCGATGCTTCCTGCAGCCTCCTAGTCAGCTAGCTCTCGTCTGCGCCGTCGCGCTTCACATGGCACGCATGAAACCCGTGCATCCTGCCGTGGATGGCTCCTCGCCCGCCTGCCTGTTTACTCCCGGCCGCCGGCGTTTCTGCTGCGGCGGGAGTGTCGTGGCACGGCATGTTCTGTCTGTCCCGTCCCGCTGCCGCCGTTGCGCGTCACGCCAACGCCGGTCTGGATCGCACGCTCGTTTGTGCCACACGCCCGTCAAGGGATAAAAAGGCCCCGTTGGCCCCTCCGGCTGCGCTGGCGCATCGTTTTTCTCGCCGGAATCGCTGTTTTTTTTTCCGTCGTCGCTTCGCCCTTCAACGTGTGTATCCACCCGCATCGTCTACAACCACTCATGGCTGTCTCATCGCTCGTCCGCTTCCCGCTGCTGCTGATGCGCCTGCTGCAGTGGGCCAGCGCCGTCATCGTCATGGGCATCGTCTCGTTCTTCATCCACGGGGGCCCCAAGGACACCCATCTGGTCTTTGAAGAAGTCATCGTGAGCATCTTCCCTCCCCAGACCCACTCTCCGCTACATCATCCAAGGAACGCAGAACTGATCAATCCAGGCCGTCATGTCCGTCGCCTTCTTCCTGCCGGGTCTCGTCTCGCCCTTCGTGCCCAGCGTCGGCTGGTTGGCCTTCCCTGTTGACCTGATCTTCTCTTACCTGTAACATCCTCCCATCTTCATCCACTGAGCGGCCGTTTGCTCTCGCCATTAAGCAGATCTATTATCACTGACGCCATCTAGCTGGTTGACTTCTTTCATCTTCGCCACTCAGGACTACAGCGCCGGCGCCGACTGCGAGGAAAACGCCCCGCCTGGAGAAAGCTGCAAAATCAAGCACGCTTCGCAAGCGTTCATCTTCATTGCCTTGTACGTTCCTCGTCGTCGCCATCATTATCATCATTCTCGTCGCTTTCTGCTGGCCTAGCTAATGCCGCCGTCTAGCTTCTGCACTATGTGCTCCGCCGTCCTGGAGAGCTGGAACCTCTGGTCGCACCACAACCGCTCCCGCGAGCCCGTCTCTAGCCATACCAAAGAAACGCCTCGAGAGGAGCCTGTTGTGACCGGCACCGCTGCGGCTTAAATTTCCCTCACTCAATAATATATGTATAAACCCCCAGATAACCCCCCCCGTACCGGCGGTGAGCGAGGTTGATGATATTGTTGTTTTTCGTGATGAAGAGACGGCTTTCGTGTATTTATTCGGGGTCAATTTGACAATATACCTAATGCGGTTGTAATAATGACAGATAACTTTGGGCCAGGGGATGCCACTTGCTGCGCGCTCCTGGGCAGCTGCATGTTGCTTGTATTAATGATAGTTTCGTGAGATTTTAACACGCCACTCGCTATTCTTGGCAGAGATAATCAATCCTTCGGATTCAATTCCATCTAAAATGCTTAACAAGGGTATATAATTGAGTTCATGCGCAAAACACGTCCCAAACACCGTTTTTCCCGCTCTGTTAACGGGGTATGCATGTCTGTGTACATGTTGCTTTTATATAACGACGGCAAAGGCCAGCTTGGCAATTAGATACTCGCCCGTCGTGGCGCCATCGTTCGTCTCAGTTTCTTCTTTTCCTCCGTCTCTTCCTGCATTGGCAAGTTGCCTTCATTCTTCAAGCGCTCCAAGAACCCCTTACCAAACTTATACCCAACCTGGTAGATCTCATCAAAACGCCCAAATTCCAGAGTCCCAAACGCATCAACGGGAGGTCTCATGTAAAGGCAGCCGGGCATGGACTTGGCCCGTTCAAGAGCATCTACCGAAGATACATACGCCAGCCGAGCTTGGATCTCTGAAAGCGTGGGAGGGTTGGGAAGCGCGGAGAAAGGATTCCATCGGTTCACCAACGCCCAAAAGCCGGAAAGCGAATCGCCGTATCCCTGTGGTGTGTTGTCGTCGATAGCACCAACGTCAATCGCAAAAATCACATCTGCGCCAAGCGACTTCATTCTCGCGACGGTAAGGTTATCGACATATCCACCGTCAAGCAACATATTCCCCTCATCGCATAGTGGCGGAAGCAGGCCTGCCAGGGACATTGACGCACGAACATACCGCCATGCGTAGCCTGAGGAATGAAATTCGAGTCGCGACTTGCTAATATTAGTTGTATTGCAATAGAACTCGAGCCAGAAATCCTCAATGTGACTGTTTCCAAAGGCTTTGAATATGCCTCGGTTGAATTCGTGCCCGGTAGTATACGAGGCGGACGGGTAAGTCAGATCCAATGCAAACCTCCACATGCTGGCCATTCGCCCGGCGAATTTTTTGGCGCGGCCATATGCAGGTACAACATCTGCATCCCTTGCATATAATGCGCCGATAAATGAGCCAATGGACGTACCTCCAATGATATCGATTGGGATGCCGGCTTCTTCCAGTGCCTTAATCACACCAATATGCGCGATGCCCCTCGCCCCTCCACCACCTAGAACGAGCCCAACAGACTTCCCACAAAGCCGACGAGCTAGACGGTGAAAGTCGCCTTTAAAAGGAGTCGAGGTTGAATATGCCGGCGCTTGCCGAATCCGGCGAGAAGTGTATTTCTGTATTTCCGCTTGGATTACCTGTACTCTTTGCTTCAGTACTGCGCCGAGGCGTTTAATTTCGGGGTGAACGGGCTCCGCTGTAAGTCTAAATGACATCTGAATGTGGTGATGACCACCATTGATCCACATCCGATTCTGTAGCCATTGCCTTGTAAGGCCTGGAGGAGAGTATTGTTCAACATGTAGTAGAACAAGTTCTTTTCTGGCGGTAGTCTTCATACCGAGAAGGAAGCGCTCATATTCGCCAATAGTGGGAGACCCTTCGGCTAGAGCGACAAGGAGAATACAATCTGCTTGGCTAATACATGTCTGAGTCCAGGGCGCATTGACGCTGGTGTCGGCAACATAAAGGACCATGCCATATCTTTCTTCGAGATCGGCAAGGTACTGTGCGAGCTTAAGTTTGCCCATTTTACTAAAGGCATGCCGACCAAGGTGGTTCAAGATGTCAGCTTGGTGTAGTGACGTGACGCCATTCGTAACCCCGACCTGGTTGAAGGCATTTAAGAGCCTGTTTCCAAATTCGATGACCGGAATACCAGTAGTAACAGGAAGGATTGCGACGGTGCGAAGGTTGAGAGTAGAGGTTGTCGTTTTAGCGCCGTCTGATGGGCTTTTATCACAAGCTTTCTCAAGTGGGTTGTCAATAATGTGTCGCATGCGCTGAGCGATTAGCTTCGAAATCTGAATAGTTATACCTGGGTGCTCTTGAGCAAGGCTATTAAAAAGAGTCCGTGGAAACTTGGCCAATTCTGTATCGCGAATAGCATGTAAAGTGGCAGGTCTCGTTGATTCGGTCATGACTTCTAACTCTCCAACACTATCCCCCTGGCCGTATTCGCCAAGAACACTAACTTTGCCGTCACCTTTGTCTAATACGGAACGCAACCGGCCATTAAGCACAATATATATCGCGTCGCTCTCGTCACCCTGATGGTGTATCACCTGGCCAGCATTAACTTGAACCCACTCAAGAGCAAAGTCAATGTGTAGAATAAGACGCGGGAGAATGTTTGTCAATCGTTTTGCCATTGTGAGCATAACAAGAGGATACCGATCAGCAATCCTCTCGAGTACAGTGCGGGGGAGAAAACCGACGTAGACATCAGTTTTTGCCGTGACATCTGTAAACGATCGATATGAAGTTATTGACCCGATATAGCCTTCAATACCACCAGGTTTCACCATGTAAAGTGAGCGCCTGGATATTCTTTTCTTCTGGTTTGAGGTATTGGTAAGAGAGAGTCCTTTTGAGGTATTGCTTGAAACCCTACTGAGTGGCAATAAGAAGTCGTCGGCCGTCGTTCCGCGAGATGAGCCTATAAGGTCCTCGCCTTTTTCGTTAATCGGAATACCTACATCTAAAAATCCATCGATGACATAGTATAGACCTGGGTTGCGTTCTCCTTGTTCAACAAGCACAGATCCTCTGGGAAAATAGACAATTTCAATTTCGTCTTGGAGTTCAGACCTGAGATTATGAATAGACGAGGTGCCTCCAGCAGAGGTTGCTGACATCGACATGAGCGATTCTGAATCACCATCGCCGAATCCATCGTATGGGTCCATGAAGCCAAACGCATTATTGAAAACTGCCTTTTGTCGGCGTGAATCATATGATACTAGCTGCGGAGATGCATCTCCAGAGTTATGCGTCTTTCGCAGTAAATCTGTAGTACTTCCCACAAGCCCCAATGCTTTCATCATGCAGCTAAGAATGGACTCCCTAAAAAGAGCGTCTTCATCAATTGCATCCTCCATTTGAAATGTAATGTTTTGAGCTGGAAATTTGAACAACGGCCGTCCAGCCGTGGTAAGTGGGGTGGGTGGATGTTCTGCGGGGCTCTTGAAGCCGGAGGCAGCATCATAGAAGATGCTTCGTCCATTCAAACGCTCACTACCGTACCGTGGTCCGAACCGCGAAAGTTGGATTGTGGATAACAAATCACCCGGGCTGACACCAGATGATTCATGATCACCATATTGGGAAGAATTTGAGATTCCGCCTTTGCTCCGAGCAGCGGCTATTTTCGCCTGAAATGCGGCATCTTTTCTCAGCGAGCTACTGGATCTGCGTCTCCGATTAATGGCAGGATTGTGGAGAGCAATTCCCTTTGTTCCATCTTCAGGCCCCAATCTTTCCTTTTCCTTTGTAAACTTGTCCTTGAGTCGGTTAAGAGGGGCACCACGCAAGTGATTAGGCAAGTCGAAAGACGTATACTTAGTCATTTGTTTCCCAATACTGAGAACTTCAGTAGTTAAGCCTAAGTAAGAGTGCGCGGTAGCAAATGTGACACGTTGAAGTCTTGTAAGAATTACTTGTATGATGTGTGCAGTAGCTTTTGGATAAACCCGGGTCAAACGTCGAAAGGCGCTGGCGGGAATAATAGCAATGGTGGTATCTACCATTGCACGGGCGAGGATGTCGGGGTGCACTGACTTTTCCCTCTTGAACTTTGATGGCCTTTTAAGCCGATGATGTTTTAGGAGGTGTTGCGGGGCACTGGGACTGCCCAGCGCTAATGGCGGTACGGAAGGCAATATACTGCCGTTGGCTTGTGGTGAGATGTCTCTTTGCTCAGCAAAGCTGGTCCTTAATGGGCTGCCCAGCACATTGGCGGGCGTCACTGGTGTCGAACCGGGCACCTGAACGCTTGTATTTCCTGAACTCGAAGCCCGGGATCCGGAGTCTTCAGTCTCGCGCAATTTTACGTCTTCACTAAAAAGGGATAGGATGGAGAACAGCGACGACATTGACGCTCCGTTTTTCACTTCAGTAAGTAATTGGTAACCTTGGTGGCCTGGGCGACGACTGGCTTCATCCTCCTCAGTAGAATCATCCACAACTTCTTCCGTAGATAAGTCATTGCGTTCGACGTGTCTTTCTTGTATCGACTTGACGAATATCTGGACCAGCCCGTCAACAACCAGACAAAAACCTTTTTCTTCTTCAAGCAGCAGTGTTTCCCCTGCAATTAGCTTCCGTGTTTGCATCGTCCGCGTTAGTTCATGAAAGACGGGCCTCTCGAGGTAGCCGAACACTTTGATAGCGCTCAGAAACTCGTCGAGATAGTTCGACAGTCCTGGTTTCGAATCCCCATCTTGTGAGTCGGGAAACAGATCGATCTCAGGCTCTTTCCTTTGCGGCTCTGGAGGTAGTCGAGAGTAAATATTAAGGAACCGATAGCGGATAAACCAGCTGATGGTGGACACGACGAGTAATAGAATTATTAAGCTGTTAGACTATCAGTAAGAATTCACGGCGCTCCAATGGACGGAGGCAATGCTCACAGAGTGGTAAAGTTCATTGTGAAGGTGAGGCTCATAGAGAACAGAGTAAATAGCGAGGTTGGGATGGTGATGGTGGTGAAGGTAATGAGCCAGTAGAGAATTCTGGGGACGGCCTGAACGAGGTACAACAGGAGGCGGCCCAGGTAGGAAGCCATGGCGAGCTGCGAGAGAACGAACTGTAGCGGGTTGGGGGAAGACCCGGCCGGACAGGCAGCGATGGCGGGGGCGGGGGAGGGAGAGAGAGAGGGCGACAGAGAGGGGAGGAGAGAGGGGGGGCAGGGAGGAGCGGCGGGCGGACAAAAAGCCCGCGGGGGGGGGGCGGGATGCTCGCGATGGCGGCCGTCATTGGCGGGCGAGCCAGCCGCGGCAGCCGCGGCAGCCGTGTAGAGCATGGCGGGCAGGCAGAAGCGCCGGTAGGCGACGACAACAGCAGAGCAAGGAGGAGCAGGTGATAGTGGTAGTGGTGTGACGATCTTCGCTGGCGCTAACAAGCACGCTTCGATGCGGAACGTGGGCCCGGAGCGCTGAGCTTGTTGGCTGTCACCAGTCGTGGCGGCACGCTCGGGATCCCACGCAGGCCAACCGGCATCTCCAGGCCGTATACCGAACAGACTCTCAAAGCGCGTGCGATCACCGGCGTGAGCGAGCGAGCGAGCGAAGCTGAACGGCTGACGAGACCAGGGGCGAGCTGCAGCCGAAACGAGCGCCGATTGGAGGTCGAGTCGCGGGCGGCAAGTTAGTCAGCATGGCTTAGTCAGCGACGCGCGACGCGTGATTGCGCGTGTGTCCGGCTGACTCAGCCCCCATTGACCGGTATGCGCTAACGGCGGATCTACGCGCGCCTCGCGCCCCGGCCCGTTGCGACCAGCCAAATCAGCTTTCCGTCCTTCGCAATTTACGAGAAATGATTGAAGCTTGTTGACATGCGCCGCCGCCTCCGCGTTTGGCTCCAAGCTTTCAGGGGGAGATGGCCCGGCAAAAGGGGCAACCAGGAGAAAGCTATAAACTCTCGTTCCTCTCCGCGCAAGGAGAATCCGTATCCTCCATAATCCATCAAGTTTCTTTTACTTCAGGGTAGTTCACCGAAACTTGACAGTCACTCCCAGGTCCTTTTGGTATTCTCATCATGTTTTCTCGAAAGCGGAAACAACTGAAGGTACGGAAAAAGCTTTCGGCGGAAATGCCAACGCGACGTCGATGCTCTCACCTCGAACCGTAAGCCATCCAAGTCTAACCCTAAGCAGTCGCCCCCCTCAGTTAGATCACAAACCTCAAAAAAAAATCCGAATGCCCCCGTCGGCGGTAACGAAGCACCCCCGTATTAGTACTAGAAAGACTCTGACTGACAGCCGTTCCTGAAGCACGCAGTTCGACGAATGGCAGGCCAGCTCCATCCACACCTAAGTCTGGCATAAAGAAAGGGCTAAAGCTCGATGCCGAGAAGAAGAAAAAAAAGAAGCGTCAAGCCGATAAGAACGATAAGAAAGCGTGTATCAACACCGCAAAGGAAGACGTGGCTCAGAGCACCAACGAAGCCAAAGAGTTGGCTGAACATCCCAGCGGTAGTCAGTCTCGAAAGACCAGTAAGAAGAGATCTTATGATGAGGCTGCAGCCACTCCCCAGCCCTCTACCATGAAGAAACAAAAGCGGGATGGAGCAGGGGCTCCACCACGGCCAGTGCGTACCCCTCTTTATGCACCCAGACCATATTGTGATCCCCGGCCTATTCCCTCACGGGCCAAATACTCCTGTCTTGAATCAAAAACGGCTCACATCCCGGAGGCATTCCAGAGCGAGTACACTAATGGCAAGTACCTCATCATGCGCACGCCAAAGGCCCTGAACCTTACCATGAGGCTAGTCACGAATGCCCTTCGCAGGCATAGGGTCAACGGGGCCATCATTGCTGAGACATATGGGGATGAGTGCTGGGCCATAGGGTTTGACACTGAGCAATCAGCTGCACGTAATTCTGGGAAAAAACTGGTGTTTGAGCTTGAGAAAGAAAAGGGCGTGACAGAGACGCTCGAGGTGACCCTGAGGCCATACCTTTTAGAGTGCCCCAGACTCTTTATCACAGATCATGTGGGACGATGTCCCGATCAGGTCTTGTCTGAAGCCGTCAGCAAGTCTTGCCCTGGAATTAAATTCTACCTGGCGGCGCAGGTATGTCAGGGGATGAGGGGCTCCAAGCGGCTGCTAGCCTTTCGGACCGACCCGGGAATCAAATTCCTTAAGCTGAAGGTCACTCCCGATAAGGGTGTTCCGACGATGCCGGCTATGAAGATCAAGTTCAGAGTGGTTGATCCTAGATCCCAGTGCCGTACATGCGATAGTCCAAACAAACATGAGGCTAGACATTGTGACGACTGGAAACATATCCAAGGTCGGGGGATTGAGAACCAGTTGACGCAACGACCACGGAATATGCAGTTTGATAACTGGCCATGACTTCGATCGTCATGGACCATGCATGGGCGTAAATTTCTGGGAGCGCGGAGTACAGAGAAGATTGAGGGTATGGCGTTTGGATGTTTGGGTATTTTGATAGAGGCGAAAAGTGGGTGGGTTGCTTGTTGCTTTGAGTCTTGTGCGGCGATGGTTGCACTGTCTTGTAAAATTACTTCACCTGTATATACGGAGTAGGGAGCTGGTGAAAAGGGAGTGGAGTGGGTGTTCAGAGCTTTCTTTCGCGTTCGCCCACCAAGTGGTAGCTACCCGTGACCTTGCCAAGCCTACGAGTCTGAATACTCGCCTACCAGGGAGCTTCAATACTACCTTCCTCCATGCGTTTCTTGTTGCCGCCGACCATCATTTAAACATTCCATTGATATAAGACAAACACGATGAATCACAAATGCGGTGGCTATATAAGCAGATGCAACCGAAATTCTGAACATATTGAATATATTGGATAGATATACTTATGAATGAAAACCCATACCAAAGGCACTCTATCCTCCCTGACAGTTGCCTGAGAGCAGCTATAAAACTACGCCCTCCCTCCACATTTATCCTTCCCCCTCCAGCGCCGCAAGCTCGTCAAGCAGCTGCACCGTTTCCCCGGGGCTTGATATCCATGCCGTTGTACACGCAAGTCGAGCCTACAACCGCCACCTCGTTAGCCTCTACCTTAGAACATCTTAGCCAACCCCTCACGCACCTTGAAATCATTTGCTCCCGCAGATAAGAACTGGTCACCAATATGCAATGTTTTCGACCTATGAATTCCGCCAAAGTAGCTTTGACAACATAAGACCCCCCAGGACTTGTCGCCGATATCAACAAAGACATCGCTTCCGCCGTTGAAAGCACAAAAGGGGAGCCGTTGGCCAACGGCTGACATCTCAACCGTTTGCTGTGCTATGAGAACCGTTTCTTCCAGCTGCTCTCGGTGCATTTTGTGGCCTGCCAAAGGATAAATCCCAACAGCCCTCTCTTTCCGAAGAATAGATGCGGGTAAGTTAAGATTTGACACGCAGTCACGTAGCGCGGCTTCAGCCACGTTGAGTAGCTCAGTAATATCATCTTCGGTCCATGTTTTCATCTCGTCTAGGAACCATTCGCTGCATGGTACCCAGCTCAGCCGATGAGGAGAGTCTGGGTCAAATTTGAACATGAAATTACTCTCGCCACCAAGAACTATTAAGCACTTCTTCTGCTCTGGAGTCAATGATGATGCATCATGAACCATATCTAGCAACCCATGGAGCCGTCCATAATATTTATCGGCGCTGGTATACCCCGCGGCCGTTACAATCCCAACTCGTTTGCCCTGCCGTAAGAGACGAAGTATACGATGTGTGACAGGGTTATCTGGTGTTAGCGAAGCACCGTCCTCATACAGCGTAACATCTCCATCAAATGTCACCAACTGTACTTCACTGCGATGAACCAAGCCCATTAACTGAGCTGTATTCAGAGTCAAGCGAATATCATTGAAAGATGGGGGGACAAAACGTCGACTGCTGATGAATCTTTTTTTATCCTGATATTTAAATGCCTCCTCCAGCAGTAAAGGCGTAAAAAAGGTGCCCACCGAGGGTATCAACATCTTTAATGTAGAGCGGCTACTCGTCCCGGATGCTTGATGTGCGACTGTTATGATAGTATTAGCAATATGATACTGCCAAAATGACCAGAACTATGCCATACTATGGTCGTTGACAAGATGCTCAACATCTCGCATGATCTCAACATATCGGCCATGAGTTCGCTCTGCCAGATGAGCCAGATTCTGACTGTGTTCCTTATACATGGCAGTAGGTTGCGAGTGCAATACAAAAGGAACGGCCAGAAGCCCCTACTACAAGTTAGCGTTCATCATTATTATATTGCCCTATACTGGAAACATGTTATACCTTGATCCATTCGATCTAGCATCGAAACTGCTTGTTAGTGGATGCTCAGGGGGTGCACTGTGGTCGCTTTCCAGAAGTTGCTATGAGACTCACCAACTGGTCCCGTCGATGAGACTACAAGAATAGTTAACTAGATGCTATCATGGGAATTGATATTCAGAGAAGCTCGCCTTCAACGCATCTATGTTGAGTCAATAAACTCAATTTAGTCACCAGGCCTAGCATTTCACAGCGATACATGCGACTTACATTCCACCCGATATCGAGTTGTCATAATGGCTGCCGGACTAACTAAGTTTTAGCTGCTGGCCTTTTTGCAAACGTATTTCTACAGGAAATCACAACTGAATGGAGCGAGGCACCGAACAAGGACCAAATCGACAGTTGGGGAGGGTGAAGCTGGAAGGAATTCGGGGTAACCACCAGTACCCACCATAGCGGAATCCAATACCATTGGACTAGTTACCTAGTTACCATCGGATTACTGATTTTCCGAGCTGCTAACTACGTAACACCAATCCAATGCATTGTACTCCGTAGATTCAACGCTGCTCTGTGCAGTTAATATTTTGACTACAACGTACTCCGTAGAGCATGCTCACTACATTGAATCTACTATATAATAATGTCAACCCTTTTATGGTAATATCAATGTTTTAAATCTCAAAGGAAACGATCTGCAAGTGAAAATTTTTGCTTCATCTTTTTAAAATCTCTAAAGTCTCCTTCTACAGTAGGAGACTACATAGACCTCTCGCTTTACCCTGCAATCGACCTCCCAATGCCGCCCGCGCTGTCCATTACGGCTTTTGCACCACTGAGTCTCTTCCGCCACTTATATCTCTTTCTCTCCGCCCCGTTTAACCTCATATATGCTTTCTCCAACCGTATGCGCCAGCGACTCTCCACTCCTATGCCTGTCATCCCAGTCGCTACCCTTGACTTCCATGCTGTTGATTACAGTGACAACACTGTCATCTTTGAGGAAAACACCTGGGAGCGTCGCCTCTCTGTCCGCAAGTATACTGTCATTAAACGCGCTGTTAATGCCAGTGAGCTTCTGGTGCGCAGCAATGGTGCCTCTGTTTACCCCTACTGGGCTTCTGAGCGTCTGCTCAATGAAGCTGCCACTCTTGCCTTCATTGCAGAAAAGACCACCATCCCTGTGCCCAAGGCCCGTCTGTACTACAGTGAGGGCATGTTGCATCTTGAGTCTATCCGCATCACCAGTGGTGTAATGCTTGACACCATCACTGATCATCGCCAGCCTGCAGCGATTGCAGCTGTTGATGCTCAGATGCAGCAGACCATTCTTCCACAACTACATGCCTTCCGCCGCAACAACATTGGTAGTCTTGCTGATTTACCTGTCTTCCCACCTTCGCGTGTACACTCAATGGATCGCCGCTCCTGGAAACGCATCACTGCCAATGCCAATGACTTTGTCCTGTGTCACAATGACCTATCACCACGCAACATTCTAGTCAACCCCTCTGACAACTACCGCATTGTCGGCATTATTGACTGGGAGTATGCTGGCTTCTTCCCTGCTGACTTTGAACTGCCCCTCTGGCGTGCACTCAACCGCGAAGAGAAGAATGCTATGATGCGCGGTGCGAAAGAGCGCGACCTGGCCTTCTGGGCCTCACGCCCGCAGATATCCAGAACAACTGTGACGATAAGCCATCCTGGCTACAGGCAGCTACTTAAGAGGCTGCAGCTCGCTCTGAATATTTTCCTTTCTCTGTCTGTGTCCGACCCTTGCACACTGGTGTTCAACCTTGTTAAGAGGCTGATTTGCTGGCCATCCCCTTCTAGATTTTGGCCCCAGACTCTCTTAGTATACGGCTTCCAGTCCACTCCACCTGGGAAGTTTGCTGGCATCTCCACAAAATTACGAAGTAGCTGATCTAACTTTCCACTTAGTTAGCTAACTACCTAGGTAGTCTTCTGTTCGGCGCAACCCGCCAATAACTTTCTACTGTGCAACAAACTAGCGACCCTCAGCGTGCTCCGTGACTTTGTGAATCAATTATGGGGCGGCAAGGCTGACACGCGAAGAGTACTCCGTACGGAGTACAGAGTAACATGACTGGCCAGCCGCATCCCATCGTCACCCCGCTCCGGAGTAGACAAAGGAGTGACTCAGAGGTCAGGACTAATAAGAATGGCGGCGGATTGATCATGTCAATGGTTCTGATACCATTCCCGCAGTCGGCTGTCTTCGGGGTCTCGAGGCGCTTAGGTGCAAGCACAAGTCACCATGGCTAACTGCCCGCCTAGTTAAACAAGGGATTTTCATTTGTGCTTTCGTGTTCTCTCTTCCCAGCGGACTGTGGTGGGTTAGTTAGAGGAAAACACTAAATTGATGTTAAAAATTCTCAACAGCACGTGTCTTGAGTGATAAGATAAAAATCGAGGCTAGAATGGAAATTAAGTGTCTCCCGAGTACGAATTACTTTTTAGAAATTGCTGATAGACTGCATGAATATGCTGCGAGCTACACCGCTGCTTTGAAACTGATCATCTTTGCCCATCTCACAGGAATTCCGCATTGGCCTCTTCAACTTTCAGGCGCCAATTGTACCCTCCACTTTCCCTCTTAATATTTGTAATGCCTTTTTAAGAGTGACGGGCGCGGTATTTTCCTCAGCGCCCTGCGCATCCGCCGAGGGCCAGCTAAATAAGATATTTCCTTGCTGTTTCCCATTGGATTCTTTATCGAGAAGCGTCCGTCCCCGTTCAGCCCAGGAAAAACAGAGCTGCAGCTTGTCGCCTTCGAATTGTATCTGTAGCCTTCCTGTGCTACCGCGTGATGGAGAGAAGGCGGTAAGCTCGCCCTGCTGAGGGAAAGTAGGTTTCCAAGGGAGCAAATGAGCAGAATTGAGCTCTGAAATTGGTGACGGATGCGGCAACCCATTTTCATCCCACAATTCTTCTTCTTTGTTGAGTGACTGGGCGCCAGGATTGAAGTCTTCCGACTCTGTAGCTGTGTTAGGATGTTTCTCGAGTGATGGTATTAAATAAACAAGGTCCAGAGTAAAGAGGTTGAGAATCAGCTCCTGAACATCTTCCCGACGCCCGAAGCGCAAGGGGGTGGGTTGGGGAGAGAAGTGAGAGAGATTCGTCACAATTTCAAATTCAGAGCCAAGTCCGTTCGGGTCCATATTAGTGGTAAGTCGTAGCCTAAACCACGATCCCTTCGAAGATAGCAGACAGTTGAATATCGATTCAAGGGGTTGAACGAAATCGTCCAAAAATTTCTCTGGGGAAGTTGTCTCCAAAGCGTGATGCTTGGGGCGGCTAACACCTTGGAGCGTGCGCTTTTTAAAAGGATATGATACGTATTTACATTCCAAAGCTGCAGACTGTAGAGTATGAGTTGCATTATCGAGAAACGTAGTAAACCAATGATAGTGTGAGCGGTGTTGGAAATGGCAGAGAATTGGCCGGATGAGGGCATACTCCAGGGTCAACTTTTTTGCAGGTGCCAGGGGCGAAGGAATCCGCGTTCGCCGGCGGAAGTTTTCACGATGCGCATGGGAAAGAAGAACCCGCAGAGCCTTTGCAACAGCGGCGGCTAAGGTGTTGTAAAGGGGGGTTAATTCTGTGTCTGTATCTGCAAATCCGTCATCACGTTCAATGAGATCAATGATGATTTTCTTTGAATCGATTGCCGGGATTTCTATCAGATCCCGGCTAGTTTCCACGCCGTGCCGAAGCAAAAGGCGTGCTTCTCGATTTAGTTCATGAAACAGTTCTTCTTCAAACAAGCTGTCTCGAGCCTCGCGAATTCTAGCATCTAGAGCTTCATCATCTGTTCTAGGAGCGCTCATTGGGATAGAGACGCCCACGGTTTGATCTCCATCCAAGATGCGCACACGTACGATCCGGGGTGGCGTGGTGATTCCACGATCCAAAACTAAGCTGCCCTCATCTGCCTTCCGCAACGCCGCCAGGCCCCGATCGCGAAAGGTCGGCGTCGACTCCAAAAACCCGAAGTGGACCCCAAGAGTCTGTTTTTCTCGGGGTAGTCTGCACACCTTCCACCCCTTTTCTTTGATCTTCAGAACGTCAGACCAGTATCTGGTCTCAGCAGTAATATCTTTCTCCAAGCGCTCCGCGGATTGGAGGAGCTTGGTCGCAGCAGAATCAAGACTCTCAAGTTTCCATCCGCGCGATACAGCAGCTATATCTCGTTTCTGGGCATCCGACTGTTCTGGGGGCCTCGTTCTGTCGGCGCCGAGAGCGCCTAGGGGAATTTTTTGTTTCAGCAGTGGAGACATGGACATCTCCGCCTGGCGGGGATTGTATTTTGATAGCAGTAGGGATACGAATTCGAGTGCGTAAGTTGCTTCCATGTGAGCATCCCTAGCAGAAGGTCAATCTCTTGAGTCAGCGGCGTGAGCTTCTGTCAAGGCAGACGGCGTACGGACATGGCAAACTGCGAAATCTCAGCACGGCATTTGAACAGTTTCTCCTCCCTACTTTGTTCATCTTCTTCGAGCGCCTCTGCAGTTGAAGAGTCAACCGCATCCTCTTCAACGTTACGCGCTGCTTCGATCTCGGCCAGCAGGCTCGCCTCCGTCACATTTCGAAACGAGCCTCGCTGGGCGTTGATCTGCGCGATTTTGATCGCCAAATCATCTTCGGGTTTCTGTTTCTGTCGCAGCGACCGAAGCGGGAGCGTAAAGCTCTCCGTCATCCTGTCGGACAAGCGAACTCTTTCTCACTGCTCGTCAACATGGTTGCGCTGGTGCTCGCCAGCAATTGGCTCTTGGAGGTCCTGCCCGTGACCATGCTTACATAATACATACCAAGGCCGTATTAAGGTTCTAGACCCCACCGTGACGCAACGCCAAGGCAGCAACAAAGAGGGGGAAGCCAAAAGAAAGAAAGAGCGCGACAGAACTGGAAAGTGCCAGCCAGAGAAGGCAGGAACCAGCCGCAAACAGTTCTCCAAATCAGGCCATACCAGGCAGTGCTGACAAAGGCACACCTTCATGCTACCATGCACAGAGTGAACCTCTGCTCGCACACATACGTAGATGCCACCGCAGGGGCCAGTAGCAATGCCAATCAACTAACTAAATCAAACCACCATCCCTCAGCCGTCTTGTAAGGTGATTTTTGCCCCTCCCGGTCCGGGCTGCATGCAATATATAACTAGCCCGGGTCGCTGTCTTTCTTGTCTCCTTGCTCTGTGTGGCAAGAATCCAAACTATCAAAGATTGGGTGCAGATTTACCTCATTCACTCCTCCTCAAGCCACTTCACGTAACTAATCAAGTGGGATTGGCTGCTGGAAGCTCCCGGCGCGAAGCTTATTTAACTTTCTCACTGAGCCCCTCAGTTGTGCGCGCTTTTCTCACTTCCTGAACATTCATCTTCTTCAACCTTAGCAGCATCCAATTCAGTTCAGGATGGCTTCTACTGAATCTACTGTGGGCCTAACAGTCCCTGCGACCAAACGGCGGCGAATTGGCGTTTTGACCAGCGGCGGCGATGCACCAGGAATGAATGGCGTCGTGCGTGCAGTGGTCCGGATGTCCATTCACTGTGGCTGTGAGGCGTATGCGATCCATGAGGGCTACGAAGGCCTGGTCCAAGGTGGCGATCTGATAAGGCGAATGCACTGGGAAGATGTTCGAGGCTGGCTGTCGCGTGGCGGCACCCTGATCGGCTCAGCACGATGCATGGCATTTATGAAGAGAGAGGGTCGTCTGCAGGCCGCGAAGAACATGGTCATCCGGGGGATCGATGCGCTTATTATTTGTGGAGGCGATGGCAGTTTGACGGGCGCCGATGTCTTCCGCTCCGAATGGCCAGGCTTACTAGACGAATTGGTAGAGAAGGGCGAGCTCAATACCGGCCAGATCGCCCCCTACAAATCACTGAATATCGTGGGATTGGTCGGCTCAATTGATAATGATATGTCGACTACAGATGCTACGATTGGGTGCTATTCTTCGTTGCACCGCATTTGTGAAGCTGTCGATGAGGTTTTCGACACCGCCGCTTCCCACCAACGTGGCTTCGTTATTGAGGTTATGGGAAGGCATTGCGGTTGGCTAGCACTTATGTCTGCCATCAGCACTGGCGCAGATTGGCTGTTTATTCCAGAAATGCCCCCTCGCGATGGATGGGAGGACGATATGTGTGACATCATTACTCAGGTATGCTAGGTCTTACACCTCTAGCTGGGATCAAGGGCTTACCTGTCGACGCCACAGAACCGACAAAGAGGGAAGCGTCGAACAATTGTTATCGTTGCTGAAGGGGCCCAGGATAGAGCCTTAAACAAGATTACGTCTGGCGCAGTGAAAGATATCCTGAGCAACAGATTAAAACTCGATACCCGTGTCACTGTTTTGGGACACACACAAAGAGGTGGTGCTGCATGTGCTTTTGACAGATGGCTCGCGACTCTTCAGGGCACTGAAGCTGTGAAGGCCGTTCTTGAGGCTACATCGGATTCTCCATCGCCCATTATCACCATCCGTGAGAACAAGATCGAAAAAAGCTCCTTGGTAGAGGCCGTTGAAGCCACAAAGAAAGTCTCAAAAGCGATTTCTGCACAGGACTTCGAAACAGCCATGCAGCTTCGGGATTCTGAGTTCAAAGCTTACCATAGAGCTTATATCAACACGACTACTCCGCACCATCCCAAGATGCTTTTGCCGCAGGAAAAGGTAAAAATTTCCCATTGACTGGTTTATCGTGTTTGGTATGCTAAATTTTGTCTATTTATTTAGAGAATGCGGATTGCAATTATCCATGTCGGTGCCCCCGCGGGTGGTATGAACCCGGCTACACGGGCTGCCGTTGCATATTGCATTGCGAGAGGCCACACCCCGGTTGCCATTTACAATGGATTCCCCGGTCTATGTCGTCATCATGCCGATAAGCCGTTAGGTTCAGTTCGAGAGGTAAACTGGCTGGAATCGGATTCGTGGGTCAACGAGGGTGGTTCCGAGATTGGAACAAATCGCGGCCTCCCATCTGAAGATATGCCAACAACGGCGAAGTGTTTTGAACTTTACAAATTCGACGCACTATTCATCATTGGAGGGTTCGAAGCATTCACAGCGGCGAGCCAATTGCGAAAGGCAAGGAAGGACTATCCGTCATTGAAGATCCCGATCGTAGTTTTACCAGCTACGATATCGAATAATGTCCCCGGCACAGAGTACTCGTTGGGAAGCGATACTTGCTTGAACACGCTGGTCAACTTTTGCGACGTTATCCGCCAGTCTGCCTCTTCCTCGCGTCGTCGGGCGTTCGTCATAGAGACACAAGGAGGCCGATCAGGCTACATTGCAGTGATGGCTGGATTGGCCGTTGGTGCATATGCAGTGTATATCCCCGAGGAGGGGATCAATATCAAGATGCTAGCTCGCGATATCGAATACCTTCGCCATAATTTCTCGATCGATCGAGGAGCGAGCCATGCCGGAAAGATCATTCTTCGCAACGAAAAAGCGTCGGCCACGTATACCACGCAAGTAATCGCAGATATGATCAAAGAGGAAGCTAATGGTCGCTTCGAGTCCCGCGCCGCCGTTCCTGGCCACTTCCAGCAGGGTGGAAAGCCGTCACCGATGGACCGCATCCGCGCTCTGCGTCTCGCTCTGCGCTGTATCCAGCATCTCGAATCGTTTTCCGGCCAGAGCCCCGAACAAATTGAAGCCGACGACATGTCCAGCGTTGTCATTGGCATCCGCGGGAGCGAAGTTGTATTCAGCCCCATGTCTGGCGAGAAGGGTCTCGAGGAGACAGACACAGACTGGGAACATCGATGCCCAAAGAACGAGTTCTGGATGAAACTGCGCCATCTGGTGGACACGCTGAGCGGCCGGCCCTCCGAAACCAAGAGCAGCAAGTTCAGATTAGGTGAAGATGAGGGATGGGAGTCGGGAGACACATCTGACCCCTGTCATTGGGCTAGTCAGCCGAAGTCGCGCGAATAACCAGGGCGTTGCTAGCTTTAGCTAACTAACTAGTTAGTTAGTTAGTTAGTTAGTTAGTTATCCATGCCCTGGAACGTAAACAGGGGACTTGTTTCGCAATTCTAGATAGAACAGTTACCAAAGGTCTTGCTTACCAGCGTTCTTTGCCAATACATAAAAGATCCATTCCTTGTGCCTGGAACTTTTCTGCCGTGGTCATGTGCATCCACTTGACTTGGCATGGCTTTTCTATCAAAACTCAAAAGAGGGCAACAACCCGTTGGGCTTGTAATAAGCATGTTGATGGGCAGGAAATTGTATTAAGAATGTTCCTGGGAGGTCTGGCCTAGTGGGTGGCTGCTCATGTATTTTGTGTTTTGTTTTGTTAAGAAATGCACGGGAGCTTTCTGCAACTAGACTGTTTGCCTATGGCCCATGATGTGCCGGACAGCTGGCATATTTCCCAGAATACTCTCTTGAGATGTATATCTCAAGATGTGTTCCTAGCTGATGCTGTATGAGTGAATGCTTTTCCGCAGGGGAGATTCCAGTGTCGGCTACAGCCATGCCTAAGTGTTACCATGGCACCCGTGGAGTGATCGCTGCTGCATTCAACCCAGCTAGCCATGCATTCCCTCTGGTGCCAAAGTGGTGTTCTTCTTGGATTGTGCAGCTTGCTGTGGTGTTGATGCAGTCTCCTGGGCCTGGGCTGGTCTCACTCTCCTGTTTGTTGGCCCTTCTGTCCTTCTCAACAGCAGAACATTTGTTGCTTACATGAAATACCCGCCTCTCCTTTTATCTTATTAAATTATCTTCATCCTTCATCGTTTCTCTCTGGCTTTTATGATATTTTACTTTTTTTGGCATCGTGACCCGGATACACCGTCCCCGCGATGAACATATCGCTTCGAGCGTCATTGAAATGGGTGGTTGTGTGCGCATTAGCTGTGACGAGTCTTCCGATAGCTTCTGCAATCCATCTAGACCTCAACAGTGACGGTATACTTTCCTTCTCTCGTCCACCTCCAGGCGTTGCACATCTACTGACGCCTGACAACAGCATCTATCAAGAAGGCAGCGAAGATCGTGGCGTCTGGGATGACAGCGTATTATACTGGGCATTTGCCAGGCGATGTCCCGGGGAATCTACCGCCTCCATACTTTTGGTGGGAGTCCGGTGCGATGTTCGGCGCCTTGATAGACTACTGGTTCTACACAGGCGACAGCACCTGGAACAAAATTACGACACAGGCACTCCTGCATCAAGCCAGTGCCTCAAATAACTTCATGCCGCCCAACCAATCCAGGACGTTGGGTAACGATGACCAGTCGTTCTGGGGCATGTCTGCCATGGCAGCCGCCGAGCGCAATTTTCCAAACCCACCCTCAGACCAACCACAGTGGCTGGCGTTGGCGCAGGGCGTCTTCAATTCTCAGGCTGTGAGGTGGGACACCGAGACGTGCAATGGTGGACTGAAGTGGCAGATCTTTCGATTCAACAACGGGTATAACTACAAAAACACTATTTCTAACGGCTGCTTCTTTAGCCTCGCTGCAAGGCTGGCACTGTATACGGGCAATCAGACATATGCGGACTGGGCTGTCAAAGCATGGGACTGGACCCATAGAATTGGACTGATGTCCCCTGAATACAAATTCTTCGATGGCTCAGACGATAAACTGAATTGCAGCCAAGTTAACCACATGCAATGGACGTACAATGCCGGCGTTTATCTTCATGGAGCGGCAAACATGTATAACTATGTATGTGTCCCTGGATTGTCCCTCATAATAGAGGAAGCTAAAACATTGTATCTTGCAGACTCATGGCGATGATGTTTGGCGCCAACGCATCATCGGCATCGTCAAGGGACTCCAAACATTCTTCTTTGAAAACACAGATATAATGTTCGAACTAGGATGTGAGCCTCAAAATAACTGTCTCGTTGATCAGCGGTCTTTCAAGGCATATCTCGCGCGCTGGATGGCAGCAACGACTCAACTTGCACCCTTCACATCACCCATGCTCATGCCGAGGATACGCGCATCAGCTGTAGCGGCGGCAAACGCGTGTACAGGTGGTGCCGACCGGCAGATGTGTGGCTTGAAATGGACTATAGGGGGATTTGACGGTAGTACCGGTGTAGGGGAGCAGATGGCGGCTTTGGAGGTCATTCAATCGAACCTGATTAGCAAAGTGAAACCTCCTTATACGGAGAAATCGGGCGGAACAAGTAAGGGAGACCCTTCTGCTGGAGGAACGTCCCGTGATTCCAGTTCTAGAGAGTTAAGACCAATAACAGCGGCAGATAGGGCAGGGGCAGTGTTCATTACGTTGATACTGATGGCAGCGGTGGTTGGAGGTTCTTATTTTGTTATGTCAGAGTAAGATTCAACTCCTCCTTTTTCAAATTGGAGCTCCTGTAGATACGACTTTCGTATAAATGAAAGAGATAACTTCTCCCTTGTATCAGCGAAGTTATTCATTTTGAGTCAACTAGAGGTGCTTATAAAGCGATTCTTCTTGGATCTCCTGGGGATGGAGTACCGTGAAAGGGTGTATGCTAATGACACAACTAACCTAGAGGTTGCGTTTATACTGAAATGAAATGCTTGAAAATAAACCACAGAGATGAGAGGTAAAAAGGGGTACAAACGCGCTCGCCATAGAATCAAAATGGTGAACCAGAGGTGAATCTTAAGAAACATCAATCATATTGTTTCATCTAGGTTCAGAGAGTAATAGCGCAGAGTCCAATATATGACAGAGGGAGGAGATGCAGCCGTGGTCGAGGTTTTCTAAGTCAAGGCAGGCTTCGATGACGTGGAATTGGCCGCCTCGGATCAAGAGAAGATGAGTTGGGGCATACAGTGGTTACCAATAGTGCAGGGACCTCTTCCGAAAGGGGCTACAGGTGCAACCTCTCACGCAGTTCTGCCTCTCTCGATAAGGAAAAAATAGCATAGGATATATATGTAACTAATACTGTATAATAACAGAAGAACGAGAGCATAAGATATCTGCATAGTATGACAGAATTGTAGGAGCTGACTGGGTTTCATTCAGCTATGAACTGTTTCGTCACCGGCAGTAAGCCGTCAGCGATCTTCACCTTCTGCACTGAGAACGGTCTCTGGAGGTACATGGGATGGTTCATCAACAGAGTTTAGGCTTTCCACAGCGGCGACTATTTGCCCAAGATTATCAGGGACGCTTTTGCTGCGAGTCTGAGAATCGTTGGAAAGGGGTGAAGGGTTAGGGAGAGTATCGGTAGCCAGTTTTTGTGACTTGTCGTTTTGGTTGTTCCAAGCTCCACAGCTACCGCATCTCCATGCTCCTAGCTCTTCCTCAGTCCGGACGCCGGGAGGTGCTTGGCCATTGACCAAGCGACATTGCTGGCAGATAAGGACTACTCGGTTTTTCGGCAGCGTTTCGTCCTCGCCTAGTAGGACATCGAGCACGCGGTCGTACCACTTAGGTTGGCGAGATTCGCTATAGAATGATGTAGGAAATGCGTTTGGGTGAAATCCCGGCTCATCTAGTGAGGTAATTTGAGGTAGGGGGTGCGATGCGATGCCACCGGAGGTTTGAGGGCGATCTGGTGGGGGCTGGGGGGTAGAAGCCGGGCTAGACAGTCTCGGAATGTTTGCTGTAGGCGGAGGAGAGAGTCCGGTTCTATTAGAGGGGGGATGCGGAGACGCCTGACGCTCAAGATCCCTGCGCTTCTTTCCGTTGGGTCCTTCTACGGTATCCGCGTCCTCGTTTGCGCGCTGTGGTGTTGCTGGTGCTCCGCCATATTTCTCTAGAAGCTGCTGAGTGGAATTGTACTTCGTGGCCTCCTTCAGCTTCTCAATTGTATCATTCCGTTGTTTTTGGAGATCGTCGAGCACGGCTTGCGATTTGGATATGCGATAACTGTAGAAACTAGCTGCAGCGGCTCGGACGAGGTAGATGCTAGGCAGGTTAGCCACAGAAGAAGCTTGAAAAGACCACTGAAGAAACACATACAGAACTGGGCCGCCGCAAAGGCTCGTATATTCAAGCGGGCCCCATCGCTCACGGCCTAGAACAAGGACTAGAATGACCGAGTAGAGGATGTAGATGAAGGTCGTATACAGTGTCCAGAGCGCTTTGAAGCGACGAGAGCGCTGGCGGAGCCTATCGAGATGGCTGTTTGTTTCTGCTAATCTCTTGGACAGCTGCGACAGAGCTTTCTCGAAGGACGCTGGGGAGTTATCCGGGCCCTGGAAAGATCAAGGGCTGGGTCAGGCGTTGGACAACGGGCGGCAGGAAGGCGACTTACCCTCCACGGCCAGAAAGAAACCATGGCTAGCTCGATATCAACATAGTAGCTGTATGGCTTGTAGGGGCAGAAATGGCTAGAACAGTAGCATCGTGGTGTTGCTGGCGTCGATGCTCTGCGTTCATTAGCTGTCTTGCTGGGCACAGGCAGAAGGAAGCTGTCATGACTAAGCAGCTAGTTATACGACGCGCGCGTGGGACTTCAATGTCATTTTTTACTCAACATTCTAACGACAACTACGAAGTACGCTACTCTCCCCTACGGTAGCAATGCCATCAACTTCTTGAAGTTGGGCGTCCCGAACCCAGTGACTGGATCCCATCCCCTAACGGCATTCCATGCTGCCCCGGGAATGCGGGGCCCGCCGTGCGCGCCGTTGCAGCCCGTTCCAGCGCCGTTGACAATGTCCGTGAAGCCCTGGTGGCCCTTACTGTACAGCCAAGGGTTGAGGAATCCAAGAACGGGTTTCCCTTGCGATAGCCGCACTTCATTGAGGTTGGAAATGATGGCAGCGATGGTTGGTGCAGAGGCACTAAATGCGGGAGTTTCTTGTTAGTTTCGCAGGTGACTGAGATGCGCACAGTATTTCAACGTACCTAGTTCCGCCTACTGGCCGTACGCGTCCGTGGTCATACACGGCGTAGTCCACTCCCTGAGCAGCAACATCGGGGAAGCCACGGCCGTTCCTATCGAAGTACTGCGAAAATTTATCGCCTAGCTGCGACAAGAACGCACTCACGGCTTGGTTCTGATATGTGGGACGCTGAAACACGTCAGAAAACCCACCAGATGAGAAAGATACCGCCTTTTCGGGGCTGGTACTCTCGGTGGCTCCCACCGATGTTACGTATGGACATGCAGCTGGGAAAATGGGGTTGAACCGAGCTCGTTTCTGCCCATCATTTGTTTGACAACCAGCTCCGACTCCACTATCACCGCTGCTGAAAATCACAGACACACCCCGAGCCCCCAGCTTTGCGAATTCATCACATACGGATTTGGCATACTCCTTAGGCACACTTTGCTCGTTTTCGCCGTACGAGGTTGACAAAACAGTGGGAATCTTGTCATCTGGAAGACTAGCGAAGTATTTAAGCTGCTCCATGTAAGGTTCATTCTGGTTGTCTTTCGGGTCTGGTTGTTCATTATCTGGGACTAGTGGGCCACGGCCTCCAGCAGAGTAGTAGGTAACACTAGTGTTGTACGCAAGGCTGACAGCATACTGAATATCAAGGCTAGCCTCCACGGAATCATGGCGGGAATTTTGATCATTCTTTCCGCCGTTGAGAAGCTCGACGGAAAATGTCGCACCTTTCGCTTCGGGGGCATATCGTTGAATGAAAGTATTTAGATCACTATATCGAGCATACTGGTCGAGGTACCCAGAAACACCAAGTAAATTTCTAGTTTTGTTTGTGACTTTGAAGCCCTGCATGCTGTATAGCTGACGAAGGGTCGCCGGCGTGTTTAGAGCAGCGCTACTTCCAAAATCAGACATTGACTTGATTGGTCTAAGGATGTGACTGCGATGATGCTCCATTTGTCCAAAAAATGTAGTTGGTTGAACAGTTCGCACATGCCGTGAGATTCCAGAGGGTAGCGAGTATTCCAGCGATCGAATCTTACGGACCTTATTGGATTTGTCCATGAAGTGATAGAATTGAGTGTTGAGTAGTCGTTCTGCCTTATCAACGGTGGTGGAGAAGTCGATCCAGTCTCCACGGTTGTCAATATTCTCGACCTTCACACCCCCTTCCCGGAGCCAGGCAACAAGGCCATCTGAGGCCTTGGGATCGGGGGCCACCATAGCTTGAACTTCATCACGTTTCATGTGCTGACCATAGCGACGGCTACCGGGGGTCGAAATCTCGAGGAGAGTGCGATGTAACAATTCGGGGTTTTTCGCACGCACAGAGAGCTTGAGGTGGACAAGACTTGCGGCATCGGCACGATCTCCTTGGGTCCATCCGTCTGGGATGGTGGGGAGTCGTTCTGCTAATTTGAACCCATTTGCAGGCGAGGCAATCACTGCCTCAAGCCCGAATAGGAGATGGGCAACAGAGAGAAGCAGGCCAAAAGACAACATTATGAACAAGGCTTGTGCCAACTGAATAGCCGACACCGGGCACTCATAACGGAAACCCAAGGAGTCTTTATATGCGGAGGCAAAGTCGGCACGGCAGATAAGATACAACCGAACGTGTGCAATATTGCGCGCGGGAAGTCGACATGTTCCTATGTCTGCAAGGCTCCGCCTAGGGTGTCATTGCTTTTGGCGCTGCTCTGGATTGCCGAAATGACACATCCAGTCAACATCCTAGTCAATACTCATGGTAGGGTCCAGCTTGCAGATAAGCTCTGGCACCAAGTTCGAACGTAACTAGATCCCCCGCGTCGAATGCAGGGAGAATGCTAAAAATCATTCTTCCCTGAAGTTCCAACCCATAATGGTTCTACTGCCATTCGGCCAGTGTCTCCGAAGATCAACAAGGGCGGGTCAACCGCCAAGATATTCTCCCCGATTGTGAGGCCGTGTCTTCCTCCTAATTCGTAAGTTGTAAATTGTATGGAGTAGTCTGAGCAGGCTTTGACAAGATCTGCGGGCGGACTAGTTAGGGCAATATCTGTATGGAAGCCCAAAGTGTCATCGCGCCGAAACAAGGGCACCAGCATCCCCCTGCTTGTGCGTGTGGCATAGTAGTGAGTAGTGGTACAGAGTATATACCGCATCGTGCGGGGATAGGCAAACCCTTGCTCGCATTTCGTCCGAGAATCCGGCGCGAACCCATGGAGATTGCAAGGGAATCAACCAGACGATTGAGCTTGAGTTGCTTGATTTAACTTGGCGGGTCTTGATCCGACGCCGCAAGACTTGACGGTCAGCGGGAGCCACGTTTGATGGCTGGGGTGGCGGATCTGCAGATGAGCAGAGATGTCGATCGCGGGGGCGACGGGGCTAACCACACTACTAGTTAAATATGTAACTCGCAGCTTGGAGCGGAGGTGGTTGCATCCGTAATTAAGCGTTGTTGGTGTAGATATAGATTGAGGTTGCAGACTGGGAATCGCATCCCACAGATTGTCACTGGAGATGGGAGTGCCACTAGTCGCAGTTTTGTAAGGAAATTGGGGCCGTTCGCTATTCTTATGAAATTATTGCATCCGCTACCCGTGCCCCGGGTAACTCTCGTCGTGCACCGAGGGCTGCTCGGGTTCTTTTGCCTACCAGCAACATTTAGAACAGCACGCAAGACCAGCTGTCCACGATAAGAAGTGGTGGGCTGCTTATCCTGAGGGCGAAAGGGCTTAAACCTTGGTTAAGATTCATATTTAACGGATTAGAAGATCATGTACGACAAACTCACTCGGCGTTCAGAATCGACTAGATATTTAGGTCTGGTACCATGACAAAAGGAACTCGAGTATCAGAGCTCGATAGGCGGCTATCAAGAAAAGCGTACTATTTAGGAAGACCGAAATTTTGCAGCAATGCTACCTCTTCTGTCCCCAGCATCCCACATCCTGTTTCAATACTTCTAACACTCGAGACTCATCGATATTTTCCAGCCTAGAGGCCTCTTCAATCGACTTGCCTTGAAAGGATTCGTTCAGTTCGGGGTCTCTCTCCTCGATTTGCCTTGCATTTGTATCCTCCGTGCCGTATTGCTTCAGGTAGTCTTCTTCAAGCATATGTGGGACATTAACATACCCGTCCGTCGCACTGGATAAAACATATACAGTTGGAAACTCAAGTATTGATCGCCCTCGAAGAGCCTCGCATAATGCAGTGGTCTGAGAAATGGGGAGAAGCACAGGGACCTGCGCGCGAGTTCGGGGTCGATGTAGGTAAAAGTGAATATTAGGGTCAATATTGGGAAGGGCGCATTTTGGGGTGCTATCAATGGAAGGCTGAAGAACTTCGGGACTAAGGGTACGCGATCGCTCTCGTTCGATCTGTAATGATTGTGGCCTGGTGCTATCGGTTTCGTTCGGTGGATGTGAGTCGAGGCACTCCTTTTTTGTGGCGGATTGACGTTTTCTCTTCTTTTTCGGTGGCCTTTTTATCATATTATGTTCATCTGCATACTCCATCCTCGAAAATGCTGTTCCTATTGTGTCTGTTTCGACGCATTTGGTAAATGCCCTTTCACCACCCGGAAAAACAAATTCCAAGGTCCAGTTGAGGCACCTCCGCCTGGTACAGTATCAGCAGCAGGGTAACATGGGCATAATCACAATGAACTCACTTCTTATGCCAGTTCGTCATATTTTGTTTGCTCCGGGTCATCCCTTTTGGAGCCCGTATAACATCAATTTCCCGAAGTTCAAACCTCTTTAGTAGAGAGAGCTCGGCATCCTCGGCCTGCTTCCTATGGCTCGCTGTTTTGCCAAAATAAATTCCTCTATTCTCGGCATCCCTGTCTGCGCGTTCCAGGGACCGCTCGACGCCCGTAAGGAAGTTATAATCCTTATCGAACGCCGCGGGGGAAACCAGGTCTTGCTGTTTGATATACGCGGCGGGATCACGGACGCCAGAACATTCAGCCCATAGCTTGTGCTGTCTGGAGCAGGGAAGCGAGCATGTACGGGCAGTGCAGCGCGGACACGTGTACTTGGGCAAGTTTATATGGCTTGGAGCTGGTCAGTCAAGGTGGGAGAGCCGAGAGGAATAAAAATGCGTACCAGATCTTGCACAGTCTGGAGAGGGAATCCTCTGCCATGCCGTCGATATTTATCTCCGTGGCTTGAGAGTGGAGGGCGCGAAGTTCTGAGGGCGTTTGTTGCAGTGAAACCGATGACGGAGCAGCTGGAAATGTTGGTGAGCCGGTTGGCAGAGAGTTTACAACATCAAGACTTTCGCCTCTCAAGGTTGCCGGCGGAACAGCTACACACCCCTGGGTTAGTTGCTGGTTACGCGTAACCACCACGCATTCACCATCCCATTGCGCGGCTGTCTTCTGTTTTCTCAGCCCTTTTGTCTGGCTCCCGTTTGCGTGAGTCGCCGCAATGCTGTCGGTAAGGCGCCGTCTAGCCCCCGTTCAAGAGCTTCAGCTTACCCATCGCAGCGTCTTCGCGGTGCTATCGATGCTCGGATCGCAGAAGAACAAGCCCGTCAGCGAGCAGGGCAGGACTCGCTTTCCCGTTCCAACTCCGCTGCCCGCCGTACGAATGCGTCGCCTGCCAGACAGTCCGGCGCGAGAACCAAAAGAAACAACAGCTTCTTAACACGCAGCCCCGATCCTTCCGAGTTCGATGCTGAGTTTGTTATTGGCGACGATGATTCGTCAACGAGGACTAGTACACCTCGTCCGGAGCCAGAAGCCAGTGTCAATGGAGCTGCTGGTGAGAGCGACGACAAGGTCGCTGAGCCGGCGCGATCGACTCCTCCACCCGGAAAGCCTGCGCCTCCCACGTCGACTGAGCTGCCCACGGACGTTCGGGTCAAACTACGCAGACTAGATAAGTTGGAATCAAGATATCAAGGTGCGCTAGATGTCGTCTTCTTTGCCAAACCAAATTTTATTTACTGATAGTGCCTCATCGCAGAGTTGCTCAGCGCCTACCGAGTCGCTCATGCCCGCGTTCTGTCGATCGAACCTTTTGAAGCGGCACTCCGAGAGAATACGCCCCTGACTTCTATAAGCGAACCGCGGTCCTTGACCGAATACCTGAATCAGCTGACCCTTAAGGGAGATATGGTGGTTGACGAGTTGAAACGGGTGACTGCCGAAAGGGATGATTACAAGAAACGATTCGAGGCCACCCGCGACATTTCTGATCAGGCTTCCGTTCAGAAAACTAGCCAGGACAACAACGATCCTGGGTCCAACCTAACTGAGGAGGCGGTAAATGATCAGAACATCCCCGGCATTCAGACATCAACAACTGGTGAAGACTCACTAGATAACTCACAGAAATCACCGACTACTTCAATGACCTCCCGTGCAGCCTCGATTCGTGGCCTATTCTCTCCTAAAGCCAAGCCTCTCAAGTCTCCGCCTCCTCCAGAAGAGGCCGAGGAATTCTTCTCTTTCGACAACGAAGTTCCAAAGCTAGAGGCGGAACTAAATGAAAAGCAGCAGGAAGTGGAAAAGCTTAGGACGGAGATCAACAAACTGAACGGAGATCTGTCTGTAGCTCGGGAGTCTACTGAGAGCATGGTTCACAGCCTGGAAGCTGCAACTCGCGAGCTTTTTGAGCTGCGAGATAAAAATGAGCGTCTTGATTCACGGCTACGGGAAGAGGGCTCCGACTTACGGGGCCAAATAATTTCCTTGAAATCTAGGCTGAGCGGCATGGAGTTTGACTTCAGGAGTTGTTCGGATGATGTGGAGGACTTGGAAATGCTGCTTGAAGAGAGAACAGATGAATTGCGGCGTATAAAAACAGCAGATCCGGCTGGTTCCGCAGATCCCTCTCTCGATCGGGTACGATTTGAAGTTCTGCAAGGCGTCTATTTGAACCTGAAATCACGACTCAAAGATGCGGAATCTTCTGTTGAATCCCTCACATCTCGTCTCGTTTCCAGCGAAACTGAAGAAAAGAATGCCAAAAATCTTGTCGATTTTATAGACGATATTTATAAGGAAAACGAGAAATGGAAGAGTGCTAAGGAGCTGATTTTAAGTGGTAAACCCGCTGATTTCGAAGAAGTTCGAGAGAGTTTGACTATGTCACAAACAGAAACGGCGCCTCCAGCAAGCATTGCAGTTAGTCCTGCACCGGCTCCCGCTCCTGGAAAGAAGAAAAATAGAAAGAAAAAGAAAGGCGGAAAGGCAGATGCTGCGACCACCTCAGCGGGATCAACTACTGCTCCCATGCAACAACCAACTTCCAGTGGCTCGGCCAGCGATTCACTTCATGAACTAGAAAACAAGGTCCTAGCGCTCAAGACTGAGCTGGCTGAAAAGGACGCCGCTGTCGAGCGCCTGCACTCGAAGCTTAAAGGAGAAGAGACCCTTTCAGAAGAAATCGAATCTCTACGCGATGATCTCATGAATATCGGGCAAGAACATGTTGAAGCAAAGGATAAAGTTAAGCAACTTTCTGTTGAAAAGGCCGCCCTTGAGAAGACTATCGGCAATTTGGAACAGGAAATCGTCACATTAAAGGCTAATTCAGCTTCTGAGGACGATGCTGAGGGCGCCCGGAAAAATCTAGTAACTGATTTTGAGGATCTTAAAGTGAAAGCCGTAACATTGGAGACGGATTTATCCGCGGCTCAGCAACTAGCAGCCGCTAGATTCAAGGACCTTACGGATCTACGTCAAGCCTTGCAGAAGATACAACCCGAGTTAAAAACGCTACGTCAAGAATCGACCGAACTGAAAGCTACAAGAGAGGAGTTGAAGAATAAAGGCGCAGAAGTTGGTCGCTTGGAGAGACGGCAAGAGGATCTCCGAATAGAAATTAAAGACTTGAAATCGGCTATTAGTGAAAAGGAGTCAGAGGCCAAAACGCTCAATCAGAAAATAAGTCAGGAGACCAATGGCCGCTCTAAAGCCGAGCAGGCTCTTGAGGCCGCACGATCCGATATTCGGTCATCGGAAACGCAGAACAAAGAGGCCGTCGAGAAAATCGATTTGATAACGAAAGATCTTTCAAAGGCACAGGAAGAACTCCGAACCTCTGGCTCCAGGGTGCGGGAACTGGATGAGCAGGTGTCGAAATTGAACCGGGAACTTGGGAATTTACATGACGAGATTCAGTTGAAAACAGCACAGCATGCAAGCGCGCAAAGTTTGATGAACAGCATGCGTGATCAGACATCTGAACTAGCCATGCAGGTTAAGGAGGCCCGTGAGCGCTGTGAAAGTTTGGAGGAAGAGCTTTCCGATGCTCAGAGGCTGCTGACGGAGAGGACCAGGGAGGGTGAAACTATGCGTCGGTTACTTTCCGAGGTAGAGCTGAGGGCGGAGCACAAAGTCCGAGACTTTAAGGAGCGACTAGAAACTGCTATTGAAGAGCGTGATCGAGCTGAAGATGAGGCAAATACGGTTGGCCGCAGGCGAGCAAGAGAAGTGGAAGAGTTGAAAACGAAAGCGCGCGAGGCCGAACGATCCCTGCGTAGTGCTGAGGAGGACCGGGAGGAGCTACATCATTCCCAAAAGGAATGGAAACGGCGTAGGGAGGAGCTTGAGATGGAAATGGAGCGATCGAAACAAGAATTGACAGACGTCAAGGAGGCCATGTCGCAACTGCGGGATGCGCTGGATGAAAGCGAGAAGCAAACACGCGAGTTTGACCGGGAGAGGTCGGAGCTTCGCCATGCTGTAGAAGAAGCGAATCAGCGACTTGACAAAGCTCGCAAGACGAACAAGTCCTTATCCGAGGATCTGAAAGCTATCAATGCCAATAAACGGCGGGTAGAATCTGGGGGCCGTACGCCTCGGTCATCCATTGATTCGGCAGCCCAGCGTGTATTGTCGCCTCCGTCCAGGACGCGCAACGGCAGTCTAGCACCTGGTGAGCCGCCCACAGCGCCTGGAGGAGGAACCATCGACCATGTATACCTCAAGAACGTCTTGCTGCAGTTCCTGGAACAAAAGGATAAAAGTCACCAGAAGCAACTGATACCTGTGCTAGGCATGCTCTTACATTTTGATGCGTAAGTCTGACACACTAGAGTCTTATATTTGATCCATGACTGACGCCTTTGCATGCAGCAACGATGAACAGAAGTGGATATCAGCTATCTCGTCAAAGTGAGATAGCTGGCGGCATGTATGTATATACATAAAAGATATTAATAGCTTATTATTTTTATTTTCCCTCCAGGGGTTTCGCCTCAAAGGGCTTGACTCTAAGTGTTGTTCTATTGCCGTTTATACCACAACGTTAGGGAGACCTTCATCGCCAAGCGCGGTCTCCTTATTTCAGACTATCCTTATCGATGTATTTTCTTTTACCATCATCTGCCTAGGCTTCCACCATATTTTGAAAAAACCAGACGTCTTCAGCTAGGTCCACTAGATCTTCTTTTGAGAAGATAACGTTCTGTTCTTGTGGCTTCGCCGGATTCCTTGGCCGATCAAATATCTTCTCGAAGTCAAGCTCCAGGGTATCTGAGGCTCTGCTGGCACCATTTGCATGTGTAACCCATATGTCTTGTTTCACCCTTGCTTTCGGGCGGTTCGACCGAGTGCCTCGTCCTATATAGGAAGGCTCCCATGCTTTAATATGAATTTGAGGTGTTGTTCGGTCGATTTTTACTGTTATTGCAATCTGAACTGTTGAACCAGCTGCCTCCAGCCAACCTTGTGCATCAATTGCCAACTTAGCATCCCTCTCAGCATATCCCACTTCCAGTACAACATTAGGCCATTGATGGGACATCTCTGCTCTGTGCTTTTTTTCTGGCCACCAGGAACCATCTGGTTCCTTCCTGTAATTTCCCTCTTCAACCGTGGAGCATCCAGTCGAGAGTGGTTTCAGTCCCATGGACCTTACCTTGCTATATAATTGGTTTCCAAATTCAACAGCAGCGGTCTCATGGGGGTTTGAGACCATTGTCTCAATAACAAGAATTTGTTCTCTTTTATCTAGCACAGTGTGATGCTTTTGAAAATCGCTGGGTGAGTTTTCAAGGAGCTCACTCATCGATGGGGGCACGTCGAACACAACGAGAAACGGGCTTTCTCTTGGATCTGAGCCGCTCCTGCGCGACTGAGCGACCACATCCTCCTCCAGGCGCCGCATATTCATGAACCGCAGGTATGGTGTTTTTTTAGGAAGTCCGACCAGCAGCCTAGAGGGCGGGCAGCTTGACGGGCGGGCCATGGCACGGGTGTATTTCTTTGATATGACGGAGTGCATGGCTTGGGCGAGCTTCTGATAGTCGCTGGGAGGCTTCACTTAGGGGGTGACGTCACTGGATTGCGCTTAGCCCGATTCGCCACTGACTATGAGCTGTCGCCAAACCAGCCCCCAACCCACGCTCTCCAAGTCTGCGGCCCTGGCAAGGCCTCTTGTTGCTGAGTGTACATCTAGGAAGCTCCAGACACGTTTTCGCAATGGAGCCGAACCTTGACCTAAAGCGCCGATCTACGTGGGAGCAGATTTTTCACGTAGAGTATGTGATTCTTTACCGCTTTAGCGAGGGAGGTAAGTTGCGATGGCGTGTTCCTGGAGTCGTGAGCCTTGGCTGATGTGTTGTTTTCTCTTTCATCAGACCAGGCCGACGCTATCCATCAGTTTAAACGACTTGTCAAGGCGCTGAATTCGGTGGGTTTGGAGACGTCCGTGCGGCCTGCTACTAATGGCACACTCTTCGTGTTCCTCAAGGCTGTGGAGAGCCAATTGGATAAGGCTGTCCATCGCGGGCGGTGCGTAGACTCGTGGAATGGTCCCCTGTCAACACAGCAAGGAGCTAACGATCTTTCAGCGTGCGAGACTGGCTATATGGTGTTCGCCAGATTCAACCTCATGCCGATGAAGAAGAGTCTGAGGATATTACAGAGGCTGAACGGCTGCGCACGGTTTATCATATGATTACTGCATCGCGGAGTGATGGTGGTGCAGGCATAACTCCAAAACACGGAGAGTGGAAGCATGTGGAAGCAGTTTTCCCTCTCCACGATAAGGAAGTTAATAAGGAATGGATCCTGAACTGGAGCCGTAAAACACTGCTCAGCCGCCACGATCTTGACCAGATCCGTGCCAAGCTGGGCGAAAGAGTTGCGTTCTACTTTGCGTTCCTGCAGACTTACTTCACTTTCCTGATGTTCCCCGCCGCATTTGGCACTGCATGCTGGGTTCTATTGGGCCAGTTCTCTATTGTTTTTGCGTTGGTGAATTCCTTGGCCTGCCTCGTATTTGTCGAGTTCTGGAAGCGGCAGGAAGTTGATCTCAAACTCCGCTGGAACGTAAAAGGTGTGTCTGCGATCAAGTCAAAGAGACGGCAGTTTAAACATGAAAAAGAAGTCGTGGACTCGGTCACAGGTGAAAAAATCCTCGTTTTCCCAGCGAAAACTCGGTTGGCGAGGCAGCTTCTGCAGGTCCCGTTTGCACTCGCTGCAGTACTTGCTTTAGGAACCCTGATAGCTTTTTGTTTTGCCATTGAAATTTTTATCGCAGAAATCTACTCGGGCCCATTTAAAACATATCTAGTAAGTATATCCTATCCGGTGTTTGGCTCCATACTAACCTTAACAGGCATTTATTCCTACCATTATTCTTTCTTTGATGGTCCCAACTATCAGCGGCATTCTTACGACAATTGCTACTCAACTAACTGAGTATGAGAATTACGAGTGTCAAGATAGTTATGATGTTGCACTGACTCAAAAGATATTCGTTCTCAACTTCATCACCTCATATCTACCGATATTTTTGACCGCGTTTGTATATGTCCCTTTTGCACAGAGCATAGTTCCATACTTGGATATCTTCAACCTTACGACTCGCCCATTTCTCTCTGGTGATACGGATACAAAGACGGCAACACCTAAGACTGAATTTCAAATCGATAGAACCAGATTACGAGGGCAGGTGATATATTTCGCAGTCACCGCTCAGATTGTCAATTTTGGGCTTGAGACAGTCTTACCGTTTGTCAAGCGAAAAGTACTTAATAAGTATACCGAGATGCAAGAGGAGAAGAAACAGAATCAGACAGCAGCTTCTTCCCCAGTGGTGAACCAAATTGAAGATTGTCCAGCCGAAGCGGAATTCCTAGCACGAGTTCGCAAGGAATCAGAGCTTAGCGAATACGATGTCACTACGGATCTTCGTGAGATGTGCGTTCAGTTTGGCTACATGGCACTCTTTTCGCCCGTGTGGCCCTTGGTGCCTGTATCTTTTTTGATCAATAACTGGGTTGAGTTGCGATCGGATTTCATCAAGATCTGCAATGAGTGCAAACGTCCCGTCCCTTTGCGATCCGATACCATTGGGCCATGGCTAGACTCGCTTGGATTCTTGGCTTGGTTGGGCAGCATTACCAGCGCGGCTTTGGTGTATATGTTCTCAGACGGGGAGAAGGGGCCGGACGGCACTCCATCGCAAATTACGGGATGGTTACTGTTGCTGACTATATTCTTCTCCGAACATCTGTACTTGCTTGCTCGGCTGGGTGTGCAGATTTTCTTCTCCAAGATTGATAGCCCGGAGACTCGGCACGAGAGGGCGCAACGGTATATGGTCCGCAAAGCATACTTGGGCACCATCTTACCAGAGAATGACGCTTCGCCAGACGGGACAGAAGGGAACGAAAAGGTGGAGGAGGTCGCAGCGGAGCATGTGACGCGCGAAACGCTTGAGGAAGACGCGCGGCGCTCCTGCCAACAGTCAGCCAACCCGACGGAGATGTTCTGGAAGCACCAGCGCGGCTGGAAGAAGGCAGCGCTGGCGGGTGTGGGGATCATCCAGGCGGGCTACACGGCGCCGCCGCCAGAAAAGAAGAAGCAATGAGTTGGGAGCGGGTGTGGTGTGGCATCGCGAGGTGTCTTGAGAGCGGTGCGTCTGTTGATATCAAGCGATAATTGGCGCGCCTTGTTCTTCTGCTTGTGTATTGTAACGTGCTGGTGTGGGTGATGTCAATGGATTCGGGCTGAAGTTGTTCCGGCCGGGTGCTTGCGTAAGCGGGTCTAGATCGGATTCATCAGCAAGGCGATACGACGGCGCGGCGGCTGCGAGTGTGATCCTGAGCGCAAGAACACAGTATCCGGAATTGTGACTCTGCCGCAGAGCCGGCGCGGGCCTGCGGAACAGCAGCCCGTTTGTCGCGCAGCGATAGCTGACGTGTGTGTATGGGGATCACACCGCGACGTGCTGGTGAGCCGGATGCTTCGCGGGCTGCACAGTCCTCGCTGGTGGACTCGCGGCTGGCTGGTCGCCGACGCCCTGGCGTACTAACTAACCACATACATACATAGCCCTACTATTATTATACTCCGGACTCCGTACTCGGGCGTGGGCAGGCATAGTTCGTAAGTTCGCACTGCGTAACCGGGGCAGCGGCGGCGCAGGCCGACGGCGGCGGTCACGGGGCGGCTGGTTTGTCAGCTGACGGGGGCAGCCCTCGAGCGCTGACTAATGGGGCGCGGGCTTATATAAGGCAGCGGCGGCCCTCGCGAATGACTCATCAGGCATCTCGCACTCGCTCAGTCAGCGCGAACGACAGTCAGCTTCGCCTACATAATCAGACGAGACTTCGCCCGCCATGCAGCAGCCCAGCCAGCAGCCGGCGCCGCCCCAGCAGCAACAGCAGCAACAGCAACAGGCCCAGCAGCAACAACAGCAGCCTCCACAGGCCCTCGCCCCCGCGCCGCAGCAGCATCCACACTCCCACCCACACCAGCAGCCGCCCTCTGATCCCTCCAAGGCGAGCGGCAACCCCAACACCGCCCATTCTGTCCAGGTAAGCTGGCTCGAGCATCAGATCAAACACCTCTGCACCTCACATACACACTGCTGTGCGTTGCTGGGACGCCAGCATGGGCTGAGACAGCCGTGCCAGCCGCGTGCGCTGCCGCATCACACATTCACTGCGGCGTCTGTGGCCGGTGATGCGCAGTTCCAGTTCCCTTGATCTTCCACGCAACCACGCCCTGTCTCTCCCCCATTCTTTGTTTCCCTCCCCCCCTCCCCATCACGCCGTTGCCTCTCCTCTGCTGCTCCCTGACCCCCTCTCCTCCCCTACCTTCCTGTTCTTTGGCGACTGGTCATGGCTGACTCTGATCTCCTCGCCGCCTGGCGAAAGTACTCGGCCTCACAGGACCATGCAGACCAAGGTACGTCGCGCCGTCGCCGACCGTCCTACGGTCCCCAGATGACTAACCTGCCCTCGCCGTCTAGTTCTCCATGACCAGCTTCTTGCCGCCCAGCTCCAGGCAGGCCATGGCGCTCCGCCACCGCCGCGGCCCCAGCCGGGAATGCAGCACGTCCAGCCCATGAGAGACCACTCCAATATCGATCCCTCTATCTCGGGTGGCCCCCCCACGGCCGGCATGATCCCTGCGCCCCCGCAACCGCCCCAGTCCCAGCAGTCGGCTCAGTCCCCAGATCAGATGATGCAGGACCAGGGCTCCGAGACGCGTAAGATGTATGGAAAGCGCGAACTGTCGACATCGAAACGCGCTGCCCAGAATCGTGCGGCTCAGGTATGTCATCTGCTCGTGTGATGTCAGATAAGAAGACCATTAGATCGCTGACACGTGCATGATAGCGAGCTTTTCGTCAGCGGAAGGAAGGATACATTCGCAAACTGGAAGAGCAGGTGAAGGAATACGAAATCATGTCTGAGAACTACAAAGCGCTCCAGGCCGAAAACTATCAGCTTCGCGAATACATCATTGGCCTCCAGTCTCGCTTGATCGATACTCAGAGCGATGTCCCGGAACTGCCCGCAAACATTGACCTGACGCAAACCCGCCCAGACCCCTCTGTCACGGCGGCACAGGCCGCTGCAGTTGCCGTAGGCCAGGCCGCCGGCCAGCCCGAGCAACTTAACGCGCTAAACCGCATCGCCGTGGCAGGCCTGGGCGTACGAAAGCACCAGCACGAAGAAGCTGCCTTTTTAGGCAACACCAATTTTGCGAAGAGACTCCGTAGTGAAATGGTTGGCGATGAATCGGGCGACCCGTCAGGAGTCGGTAAGATTGAAGGTGCCCCGCTCCCGAGTTTGCCTTCTTAGACCTGTGTCATTGGCCTTGAATCTGCCGAACCATCTGATATTTGGACCGTGAAAATTCTTTTATCACTACGTCGTTTTGCTTCCTCGGGGGGTTATTGCCACTGGCTTTGAAAACACCTATATTTTTGTTTCTTTTGTATTTTTTTTTTTTTTTTTTTTTTCTCGGCGCTGGGTGGGGTTGGTTGGCGTCGTCCTGTTGCATAATTTGATGTCTAGTAACTACTAGGAACAATTCCATTTCGCGCCGCACCGGCGAGAGTACAACGCGAAGAACAGGCGAGCGGGGAAAAAGTGATACGGTTGATTTGTGGTGTTCTACTCTCTGGCAGCGCTGTTGACTGGGCGCTTTTTCCAAGTACTCTTTAAGTCTGTATCCTTTCATTGATGCTATGAAGTTGATCTGATCCTATATTCACCTTACGGCAAAACAGATAATCGTAGAAATCTCAGTAACCAGGCCTACACCGTCAAAAGCTAGAGCCGCCACCGTACTTTTGTAATATAACGACAATAATCAATATAGCCCGTCAATGTATTTTATTCCATTTCAATGGTCGCAGGAGGCTTTGGTTCAAGTTAGTTTATGTTTTTATTGATTTCAAATGGTGGGTGCTAACCTTCGAAGAGATGTCATAGAGAACACGGGACACTATTGGAATAAGTCAGCCACAGAGGGGTTTAAGTAGGACAGATTTAGGGAATGTAAAGAACTAAAACGAACCACCATGGACCTCGTTGATAATCCTTGTTGAAGCCCTTGAAAGGAATTCATGGGAGAATGGATAGGCTGTACACGTCATGACTGCATTTGAAGTTAGGACAATCCTGAACTATATAAATTGAAGTCCAAAAAGGGGGGGTATTACTTACAATCGGTCGTCTCGACGGCTCGTAAAACAATCATTTCGGCATGGACTCGTTTGTCACCCTAGAAAATACCTTAGACCCGAGTGACTTGAAGTTATCGTCAACATGTTGACCCAGAATGTATTTACCATAACACCAACTGCCTTGGTTGGATCCAAAGCTGCGTAGGCTTGAGCAATCTTATCATATAAGCCGGCCTCACGGATCATGGAAATGAAAATGTGGTCGGCTTGTCTAGCTATTTCAACACGTTCGGGGGTGACTTCTCCCAAAACACTGTTCGGACAACAGTGGTCAGTTATCATCAAGTGTAAGAGAATAAAGGCCGGTCTAAATTTACTTACCGGATGGCAATTCCGGGGCCAGGGAATGCTAGAGTTTTCGTGTTAGGTCAATTTCGGTAGCGTTTATTATGGGTACTAACGGTGCCTCATCACTAGATCATTATGAATGCCGAGTTCTCTTCCTAATTGGCGAACCTCGTCCTTGAACAGCTCTCTAAGAGGCTCAATAAGCTTCAAGCCTGCACCTTCTTGCATTCTCTAAAAGGTGACTGCCGTTAGTCTGTAGCATAAACATATAGAGCAAGTACGGAGTACTAGCAGACCTTTGGAAGAGCGCCGACGTTGTGGTGCGTTTTAATTGTAGCGCTTGGGCCTCGGAAGGAAAGACTTTCAATAACATCTTTTTGTAAATTCAAGTTAGTATTCTTAAGTTGAGAGTGAAAAGTCCCCAGAATATCACAAAACATACCTGGATAGAGGGTTCCCTGAAGGAACCACTTTACCTTTCCACCTGTGTGCTCAACTGTAGCTTCAATCCTTAATGCCTCTTCTTCAAAAACATCAATAAATTTGCCGCCAATAAACTTTCGCTTTTTCTCAGGGTCCGTAACTCCCTTTAGACCATCCAAAAATTGCTTCGAGGCATCAATAACAGTCAAGTTGATACCCAAATGTGTCCCTAATGTTGCATGAACCTGCTGGCATTCATTTAAGCGCATGCAGCCATTATCCACAAGAACGGCATGGAATCGATCGCCAATGGCCTCCTTCATCAGCTTTGAGGCAACAGTCGAATCGACTCCGCCACTAACTGCCCCCAAGACGTGATCCGTCTCACCCACCAATTTACGAATGCGAGCAATCTCTTGATCAACAAACTTCGCCATTGTCCAGTTCTGCTGGGCGCCACAGATATCTACCGCAAAGTTTCTGATCAAGTGTATGCCATCTGGAGTATGGGTAACTTCCGGATGGAATTGGATTCCATAGATAGGCTTAGTTTCATGGGCAATGCCGGCGTATTCGGAATTTCCGGTGGTAGCAATGGTATGGAAGTCCTGCGGGAGTTTCACAAGTTTATCTCCATGACTCATCCACACCTTTGCATTATCTTTGATGCCGGAGAACAAACGATCGACGTGTCCCTGATTGTCCAGCCTTTTTGCAGTAAGGTCTGCATGTCCATACTCTCGTGCAGTGCCTGCATTGACATTGGCTTTGTCCAAACGGTATGCGATTTCCTGTAATCCGTAGCATATACCTAAAACCGGAACATCAAGCTCCAGGAATTCTATACAGCGTCAGTATGCTGGTATTTGGTCGGAGTCATTAAGTAGTAGTGCGCACCTGGGTCAATGTGTGGGGCATCTTTCTCGTAGACAGAGTATGGGCCACCAGAAAGAATAATGCCCTTAGGTTTCCACGACAGTTCAGCGCATTTCAACGTGCTGCGCAAAAAGCTCTGGTGAGTAAAAGGACTATTGGAAGCCTCCGCATATCACACGTACCATGGCACTAATTCGGAGTAAACATTGAGCTCTCTCTAGCCAAAGGAGAAAAGAATCAGCATATGCTGGACCGGACTAGATTTCAGGGGTAACGAACCAATCTGTACAAACCAAGGAATCAGAAACTATCACATATACATATCAGCTGGGAGTTCATACCTTCGAATGATCAGGTGCGAGCTGTTCGACTCCGGTCAATATTACTCATTCTCACCGCGTTTCGTCATGGACTTACTACTGGCTGCCAAAGTCGAGAACGAGTATAGTATCGAACACCGAATGGGGTGGCTTTTCAGCTTCCATAGCTGTAGGCGTAATGTCTTTCGGGGAGGACTTATCGATGTTTTGTGTGGGCTGCCTTAGATCCCAAGACTGATATCCCACTTTGATCCGATAAAGCGCTTATCAGCAAATTTTGTGTCAGTTAGTTAGTTAACTAACTAAGTTAACCAGTTTAGCTACTTAACTAGTTAACTAATAGCTAGGGCCCAACTCTGTAGTTAATTAACGAGGTAACCAATTTACTAACAACTAGCGTCATCACATGACCGGTGACATACTCCAGCTTCACAGTGGTGAGTTATAACCTAACTATAGGTTAGGCCTACGGAGTGTTTCATACAGGGAAATATAGTATGGAGTGGCTGATAGTAAATCAGTCTTAGAAAGACCCTGGCATGATAAATATCAGACTTGCTCACCAGTCAACTGAAAAAGATGCTCTGATTTCTTTCGAAAATACCAGCACATAGAGAAGAAGAGCCCTTGATTCATTATGAAGGAATCTTCGTACTATCCTACACTAAAAATGCGCAAACATGGCAAATAGACGGCTAATTAGCATTGGGAGTGCTTAGCCGGATCGTGGAAACCGAACACTAGCCGAGCATACCATACTGGCTGACATGCGTTGCACATAGCCTTCTGTCACAGACTGAAAAATACTAAAAATGAATAGAAATTGAGAAAAGAAAACCAATTAATCACAGTTAAATCGCCCTCTTGTCTGCTTTCCCTAGAACCGGGAGACTTCTGGCTCCTCAGGTTCCTCAGGCCCCTCGGGTTGATCTGGCTGGCCACCGCCAGTGCCACTGTTTTGTTTGATCCAGTTGCCATAAGCGCCGACTTTGGTGTAGACCGCTGGAACCCCATCGTTGGAGCAAACATTGGAACCGAAGGACACGATGCCAATAATGTTCTTTGAGGAGTCGTACAACGGGGTACCACTGTCTCCTTTGCAGACAGCTTTGCCTCTGATTCCAGAACAGATCATGGTTTCAGCCAGCGAAGCGTGCCACCTTTTGCATGATGCGCGGTCAATCATGGAAGTTTGAATAAATAGCAAGTTTGGTGAGCCTGGCCCTGTCGGGGAGGTTCTGCCCCTATTTTAGATGAGAGTGTTAGCTTCTGAATGTATATCTAATAGCCAATGGCTGGAAGAATATTACCATCCAGCAGATACGACAGAGCCTGTTGGATCAGCAGTAGATGACGTCGGACGACCATATTTAATTACTGAGCTCTCCTTAATGGGAGATGCCAAATGAAGGAGAGCAATATCATTGTGCATCCTTGGCATGTTCCATGAACTATGCCTGGAAATTCTTGCAACACGGGAGGTGACGCCACCCTCATCCCATTTCTGTTGATAGGGTGAGAAAATGGTCATTTTCAAAAAAGTGGAATAGCTTACCAGAGAGCCAGCACGAATTGAGAGGCTACTAGCAGCGACCCCAACACAGTGTGCTGCCGTAAGAACAAGTCTGTCGCCAATCAAGGCACCACCACAGTGTTGTTCGCCATCCTTCAGAAGCTTCACGGTGGAAGGGAACTGGCCCTCTCTTGCTGGAGATCCACCAATAATTCTGTCCTCACCCTCTTGAGGAATGGCTGCTGCCATTGAGGCAACAGGCAGTAAAAGGGAGGTTACAATTGCGAGAATTGGAGCCATTTTGAATTGAATTTATGGCAAAAAGGCCGACCTGGGACTGGAGTAAGAAAGGAATGAATGGATAGATGGATAGATGGATGGATGAAGCACCTAGAGAAGTAAGGTCAAGTGGTGGGAATGGTAGGCTTTTATGTCTTTCATTTTGGAAGATATCACCTTGATTCTTCCATTGATGCTCTTAGAGGCCTTCTCCCTCATGGGGCGCACAAGCCGCTCCACAAAGCCCTGGGTTAAACGCATGACCTAGTAGATGTAACGTATTGTGGAACTGTATATCAGGGGAAAAACATGTTTCTATGGGATATTTCTCCTCTGCCGTGTGTATGTGGGTCATGGGAGAAATAGGCCAAAGTTGGGGTATGTATCTACCACCTCTCCATCTTTGCACATGAGACCATGAGGCTGGCGTGTTCAAAGGGGTCGTCTCCACAGAATGCAGTCCGACTGTTACCTACATATCATTCCACTCGAGGCAAGCCGCGATGCTCTGGCGTTTCGAATATATCCGTGTGTTGGAGAGAGATAAATGAGAATCGTGGGGCATCGAGAAAACGCCTCCGCGATTTTCAGGAACGGCACAATACAAGCCTTAAAGGCGGCTATCAAGCATAGGGTGTCTGGCAAGCCTCTAGAAGAGAAAACAAGGCGGCAATATTCTTACTAGGTAAGAATATGTGGTTTCTGGGTGTGTTATCCGAGTATAGTACACGCTGGCGGGAGGGGTAGCAGATTTGCAACGGCATTAGTGGATCTGCATGGGAGAGGTTCATCGTTCTCAACAGACTCCATTTGACTTAGTAGTGTGCTGTTTCATTTCAGGAGCCCCCGCAGAAAAGGGTCTGCAGAATCACAGCGGTTCGCCAGCCGTTAAAAGAATTGGAGAGCGGATAATTCTTTCTACGGCGTAATTAGTTTTAGTGTAACTAGTTAGTTAGTTGCAAGGGGAAAAAGTCAAATTGGAAGCGAAGCAAGGATACGATGTGACTAGCCGCAAAAGCGCGGAGAATTTCATGGGCTGTACTCCGTAACTAGGCATGGTTTAGCTAACTGCATAGTAGAAGTAGCAATGATTCATGAAACAATCTCACCGTCAGGCCGAGTGGGTTCGCGATGTGGGCACTCGGCACACATCTGGGGAGCGGAGAGACGCCGGATGCGGCGATCCCGGTTGCAGCGCTAGAAGGCCTCGAAAAATCGCCGGCGGGAAACAGCCAAAATGCCAACAAGGAAGGCAAGCTAATGATTAGTGCAGCATGTCGCGGGATAGCAAGGCAGCGAGCGGCTGAATCAGAGACGCTAAACAGGGAAGCCGGCCATGGGACAGCGAATACAGCAAAGTGATGCCGCGTGGCCAGAGTCGACTGTGTGCGGACAGCTCGCGTGCCTGTCCAGCTTCTCGCAGCCGCGTTCATAGATATTCGTCAGGAGTCAGCGGCTCAGCGGCCGTCAACTCGTTGACTACCAAAAGCCCTGAAGTCTTGGCGGCCGGGGGCCGGATGAGGAGCGTGGACATGTGCGAAGACCATAAGGTTCCCCATCCATAAGGCCCGCCCGGCCGCGCCGTGAGCCAAGCGGGAGGTTGGTGATAGAAAAACATCGCCCGGCCTGGGGAGGGGAGGGAGCGCCCGTCAGGTGATGAGACTTCCAGATCCGGCTCGAATGCTGCGTCTTCCACGAAGGTGTTTGGACAGGGAAGAGCTGGCGCGGGCGCGAACCGGTGCCGGAGCCGACGACCAGGCATTTGCAGGTTACATGCGGGGTGGCCGCGTTTTTTCCTGGACTGGCGGGGAGGCTGAACCTGGGAGTAACCCTGGATAGTCAATTAGCTCAACCCCACTGATGCAGCGGCGCTTCGTATGCTTCCCTCCATGGAGTATGTTGTATCAGAACATCTTCGGCTGTCTAGTTACTCATGTGGTACAAAGTCGGCTGCTCATCTCACTACTAGCAAATTGACGCCAGTCGTAATCTGCGCACATCCACTCCTCAATTATCATATGCCACAAATTGCAGGACCACTCGTGCTGCCGGAGGTTACATAGTATTGTATCAATATGGGTTTTTCTGCATCCGTGCCTTGAGGATCAGCTTTGTGCGACCTAATTGACGCTGGCTTGTCTACCTCTGCATCTGATGCGTGACAACGTGTCTGAACAAATGTCAAAATGAAAAATAGTCTTATGAAATGGATGTAGGTATGGATGTACGAAAGAAATATGTACATACCATACATGAGCAGAGCTCGCCCACCCGCTTCGAGTTTTTGCGAGGAGCTGCTAATAACTGCTCCAGCCACAATTCTGCAAGCAGAATGGGCACGGGAGGACGAGTACGAACTCGAGTACAGAGTACTCTGTACTGCATTATTAGCCACCCAGTTTTGTCATCAAGGACTTAGGGTCAGTGTGGAGAACCAGCAGCCTGTAAACTCCGCACAGCATACTCCATATACTGAATCCGGATGATCCTCAGCGCTCTTGATCGTCAACTCCTATTGAATACGAAGGATGCCCATTGACAAGCCCGGTTCTGTCTTTCGAATCTCACTCATAACAATGGCATTAGAGCAGGAGAGCGCAAGCTATATTAAGGTCAGTATTCATAATGGGCCCTGTGTTGTGCGCGGAAAATCTCGCAAATTTTCAATGAACTTGGTATATTCCACGTCCGCTAGCTAATACTGCCAATTAGGGTACAACATTCTGTTAACAATCTGTCTAACAACTAAAAACTGTCTCCAGGCTACATCCCCCACATGAGCATTGCAATTAATGAACGAAAAATTCTCTCGTGGGCTTAAAAGCTGTCGAGGGCCACACCATCGTCGAGAGAAGCTCTTTATTAGATTCGTTTCTCCAGAATAGTGTGTTGCTCAACGAGTTGATTTCCCGCACTGTTGAGAATCGGCACCTCAAACTCACAGTCCACCAGCCGCTTTGATTGTGCACTCAAGCAGCCTCTCTCGTACCGTCGTTTGAAAGCCGCGCAGGCATTCCAGTTTGTATGTGGGAACCACCAGCGTTGTTGGAACGGTGCACACATATTTGTTTCTCCAGAACAGTGAACCCATTGTTGCTGGCGGCATTTCCCCTTAATTCTGACATGGAAGCTCCAAGTTTGGAAAGAGCATCTCTTTCCCTTGGGACACGTAATACTGCGCTCATTGGTTGTAGTGACAGTTCTTCCAGCAGTATTAGTGTTGGAATATTCAGCTGAGGCTTCCAGGGTCCCTGTAACGCCTTTGCCAGTGCCAGAAACCGTGGCCTTGACACCAACTTTCCAGCCCACTGTCCTTGATCGCATTACTGCAATTGCCTTGGTTGATTTGAGATTGGTGACGGCTTGAGGTGGAGAAGAGATTTGTGCATCAATGTTGCGCACAAAGAACACATTCACATTTGAGGTCTGAACCATAAGATGCTTTTTAAAGAATCCTGAATTAATAGTGCAGTAGGTCCAATAAGGTGCGCAGGTGGTTATCCACTGCTTTTTCAAAGAATGCTCCGGTGGACTCTTTGGGTTGAGTTTCAGACTCCTCTGCAGTCGTTGGATTCTTGCCCGTGCAAGTTTAACTTCCTGCGTCTCAACAACCTGCCAGCCCTTAGAGGCTTTGGGCACTGATCTAGCTATGTTGTTCTGGTCGTCGGCATGGCAGTCCGACGGGTCGAGGGTCACTCCGGGACCTTCCAGGGGTGGAAGCTTTTCGGGATCAGGGTCATCGATAACTGTGTCATTGGAAGATAAGACAGCACCCGATGGAAGACTGGATACAATGGAAGTAGGAGGGTTTAGAGGAGGAGCGGCGCTGGCCCACGCGGCCAGAGCTGCTGTGATAAAGAAAAATTGCTTTCCGAGGATCATAATTGCGCACGAATGAGATGGTCTCCAGGGGAACTGAGTCGGAAGTTAATGATAGGACTGGAGAACAAAAGAGATTGCATTGGGAGGCAGGCACCCGCAATATATAGGCCTTCGACCGCTGCCTATGCTATTCTTGAACTCGTATGCATGAAAGAAGAGAGCTGCTTCGAAGGAACCAACTGTGGGACTTTAGGATTCTACATCTTGTTGCTGAACCTCCGTCACAGTGAAGGGCCATGCCACGGGGCAGATCCAAAGAAATGGCCCCCATACATCAGATGAATCGTTGCGGGCCTCAGTAATGGCTAGACGGAACTGAATCACATCCTTCCTCAGAGGTAGGGGCATAGTGGCTATGTTTATTTTCTGTAGCCGCGCGTAAACCTCCACCTCGGCCATGGCCATGTTGTCGCGGAGCTAGTCATCAGAGACGGCGAACGGAGCAATCTTTTTTGCTGAACGGTTTTCAGAATTTTTCATTTTGTGGTTTGTGTCAGGGACATGGTGATGGAATACCGAGATCAGAATCGCTCATCATGTCTCTGCTAGAGTTATCACTACTAGGCCGTAGTCCTAAGGAGTTTACGCCTCCATAGCGGACAGGCGCAGTCTCCGAGATTCCCTAGGTTGCCACCCACGGGGGAACAAGACTGGTTGTAGAGTGGTCACCAAGCTAGTTAACTATTTGACTAGTAAACTAGTCTCGCCGAGCGCTCCACCGCCGCCCATGTTGCCCGATGCCCAGGATCACCGGCATGAGTGCCTATCATGCGAAGACCAGAGGACAAGAACACAGCAGCGCAGAGCATTGGTAATTTTGTTCTAGAAAGCACAGCCTAGACATCCTCCTGGCGGCTCGTCGTCGTTGTAGGGGGGGGGGCGGGTGTGTATTGGTAGTGGTGATGGTTGGTGGTGGTGGTGGTGGTGGTGGTAGTGGTTGGTGATCCTGGGCCCGGAAGAACTATCATCCGAGCCTGCCGGCCCCTGGTCTTGGCGTGGAGGCCCCGTTTGATTGAGATCGCCTCCTCCATACCCCGCACTCCGACGTTCGAGAATGGATATTGCACACGCGTTGATCTTTATCATTATTATTAGTCAAAATGCGCCCCCCTTGCGTACCCAGACCCAAGCCAAGAAAGTGCCTTGCGAGGTGATCGAATTTTTTGCTATCATCAGCCCATTGTTCACAGTGCATCCTGTGCCCTGATACAATACAATTCTATACTCCGTACCGATGCTCTTATCCAACCGATGTGCTTGACTCGGCCACGCAGCGACCAAATATCCGCTCGATTGAGGCTGATGGAGCCATCTAACGCGTTGCCGGCCCACTGAGCTCCTCACTGCCGTCTATAGGGTAGCAACGCGGCTCCTTAGGCCGGCATGTGAGGGTATCCCCCCTCTACCCCAGCGTCAGCAGCTCCGCTTTATGAACGATATAATTCCCCCGGGTGTAATTCTCGGGTATCTCCAGTAGTGAAGATCTATCTTCATACAGCCCTTAGAGGTGAACCCTATCTGCTATTTGTTATACGGTACCGAGTACGGAGTACATGCTCGACTAAAACAAGATAAAGGCATCATCAAATGATTCTCTCCGGGGATTTCTTCTCGCTTCAAGAATATCTTCTTGCTCATAATAACATTAGTCGTTGAGATATTCTGGAGTGATATCTTTCTCGACTACTTTCTCCACTGATGAGTCTTTGGCAGAAACAGGATCGGCCTGCAAAGCCCCCACTGCTTCTACTGGTACCATCCGACAGATAACGATGTCTTCCCCTCGTCTTGCTATGCAAAAACGGGTGTAGCTAAATATATATCAATACTAGAGAGCCGCAAGCTTCCCATATTTGTTGCCGCGGAAGGTTTGATAACTGTCGCTGCACCTACTCAAATTCATGCAGGTTATGCGTCGACGCCTTCACTGGCGAGAACAAGTTGCTAGTACTCCGTAATACAGCATCTAAAAGTGTTATATCCATATATTTCAGCTGATAGCAATACACCCAGCCTAGCCGACTCCTGTTGTTATTGCAGCAAGAATTCAATCTCCCCACGCCCAAGTGTTTTCTACTGTTCTTCAAATCGAGAATCAATCCACAGTCAACGCCCTTGATGAGGTGGAACGGATAGCGGGTAGCCTATATGAGGAATAGATATGTCGCTTTGAGGGACCTCCGAAATCACCTAATAACCATTTAGATTACCGCTATCAACAAAATATTTGATATCCACAGAGATATTTTTTCCAATGCCACGACCACTGGCCCGTGTGCAAAAATAGCCATGCTTTCAACCTTATTCATATAGCAAAGTTCGAAGCCTCCATGGCCTGTGATGGCTAGCCAAGAAGGCTGCGGAGTTATGCACTACTCACAGCAACCTCATCACCCTTGGAAAGTGGGGTAACTAAGTGGACTGGTAGATGATGAATGCATTATTGTTTATTATTGCTCACACCATCATACTGGTTAACTTTTCCATCTTTAGATCTGCGGCGGCCCTGCATAGCATGCTACCTCAGCAAGCCTGAAAAACTTGGTTTCAGCCCTTTTCGTGGGGCCTGCCGTCAAAAGCTGATGGTAGATTTTGTAAATGCCGAGGTTTTCTTTGCGGACGGCGTCTTTTACTGGTGAGTTGTTCACATTACTATGGTCAAGCGACAGACTAAATTCAGGTGTGGATGCAGAACAAGAAAGCCAGGACGCAGCTATCTTTGCTACAGTATTTGTACTTACGTAGGTACTCCGTATAGAGCTTCATATTCACTACCCCTATTATGGGTCCTCCTCATAACATATATAGCTTCAAAAACATCAATATTCACCTTACAAACTAGGCTCTAATGGTTCAGATCTTAGCTATGAAAAAGCAGGAGGTTTTTTTTTAAAAAAAACTCTATTTTAAAGAAGCCCCTAATATGTCAAGCAGTAGCTGCAAAAAATGAACGCCCAAGTCTTTACTAATCAGTATCTAAACGGAATGCCGAATTTTGAACTGTAAAAGAACCAACGCTTAACAGTCAATTTCTTATGACATGAAATCCAGCATGTCTCGAGAAGAACTACGGCGTACATGTGTTCAGAATTGCCCAAAATTCCCCAAAATACTTCATACGTTGCCGTGATTGAACCAGACAAAAGCACTCATAACTCCCCAGCAATCGATGGCAATAATGGAAGATCCCGTCCTTGGTGTTCCGATTGTCAGCCGGTGAGCAACATGTGCAGTAGTGGTGGCCTTGGGCCACGAAGCCCAGCAGATGGCCTTCCTTTTGGCCAAGTGGCTAGCGGGCTTAGCATGCTCTTGCATTGCCTAGGCTCATGTCGTACGCTTCTGCGACTTGCGTTCGAATGCGGCATGTGTGATGGTAGCGGATGGATAACAAGCCAGTCCATCAAGCACTGCTGTGTCACCCAACCCGTTAGCTATCCAAAAAGCCCTGAATACGTTTGCAGACCCGGAATGATAATAATACAACCCTATTGCATCTCTAAATAAAAAGCTAGTGGTTTGGTCGTAAGATGAAAAGAATGTATGTAATTCCAATCACCAGTTCATTGGATGCTAGAGCCAGCTTCAATGCTGCATTCCTTTACTTATGTCTATGGAGATGTAGTGGCGATGTCGGCAAAGCCTTCAGTAGAGAAGGCGTACGAAGAAACGGTTGTTTGTTCTAGGCGCAAATTATTAAAAACACAGTTTCCAACCAAATCCCGGCCGGAATAGCAAAGCCACGCGGAAAACGACGCTGGGTATTTTTATTCCGACATATCTCGCCACTGCAGCCATGGCATTCGCGATCGAGATGGGAAGCCGTGGATAACAGACGTACTACTTTTTCACTGCTGGTGTTAAAGCCACCGTCTCGGTTAAGAGCCCATCCAAGTGGGCTCAGAACTACAATAATGCTGCTATCTACAGCAACTGATTTCTTAACACATTTAAAGTTTCTGCTTCGGGGCATGCCGCACGGTAGGTGTTGGATTGGATCGAGTTTTTTTAAGAAAGAGGAAGAAGGATGATGTCATTCTTTCTGGTACCGCCGGAATTGGTAGTAGTTGCCGCCAATCTATGCGAGACCGTCAGCTGGAAACCAACATACAAGTGACTGGTGTCTGGTTCTAACCATGGAAATCATGTGGTAAGAATCTATTTAAATGGTACGATACCAAAGCAGTATACGACGCATATAAACCTCTACTACGGATATTGAGAGAGGTTAATATGGAAATAGCCGTCGATAATAAATATGAAGCTCATGTTTCGAGAACGAGGGTTTTGAACTGTAATAATTCAATATGGGAGAATGTCAAGTCCTTTCTCCACTAGACATTTCGTTAGTTACATGTACCTTGATAACCGAATTCAGATCGAACTGTGCAGCTGCTTACCCATGACTGTATCCCACCTCACCCTCCCTTCAACATCTTCACTGTCGTCTCTCATGGCCCATAGGTCTTCCAAAAATTCTTTGGCCTTTTTCACATTCCCCATTCCATACTGTGACTCGAGTCGTGAGAGCAACGCACGGACATTCTCCCGGTCTACGTGATTGCATGCTTCGCATCCGGCGGCGAATAAGGGTTGGAGAACGGCAACACCGGGACATGGCCCCTTGGCAAAGTGGATAGCAGAGACACGAAGGATGATTTGGTGCACAGAGGCCTGCACAAGATGGTGAGACAATGGCAAGTTTAGAATCCGCCCTGTATAGGTGAAGGAGGGCCACATGGTGGTAGGTTTCGTCCACCGCGGCAAAGTCTACTCGGTGACGGCTGGACAACGACGCATCAATGTTAGGCCGAAAACGCGGTTCGTGGGAACCTAGCATCGAGGTGATGTTTTCTATCATTCTCAAGCAACGTTCCCGAATCAGGCCATTCGGAAGACCGGGGGTGTCGTCCGTATGGGCGACGGGCTGCCGACTGTTCTCCAAGCCGGACTCCACGGCAAGAAGATTGATATCGCCGAAAATGGGGATCAGCGCCGTGGAGAATCCCGCCAGATCATCGATGGCATCGTGCCCGATAAGACGGCGCAATTGCAGGGCGATCCGCGAGCCTGGGGAGATTGTGACGTTGCCGCTGAGCAAGGTGATAGTTTCGATGGACAGATACCAACGCCACAGCAGCAATGTCGATTCCGCCAGAGGATGTCCGGCCCCTCGGGCGGTGTGCAGGCGATGCGAGATGACGGCGGCGGCGCCGTGCAGATGCGATCGCCACGAGCCGGGGCTACGGCCGTCGGAGACAATGTCAGCGGTGCAGAGGGTTAGGATCGAGGCGATCACGGCATCGGCCTGGTGGGAAGCAGGATGGGCCAGGGCGGTCTGGAGGCAACGCAGACTGGCAGCCTTCAGAGCGTCGAGCTGGGCGATGCTCTGGGACAGGCCGAGGCTGGCGCGGTGGGTGGCGGCCAGGCTGAGGAGGGCGACGAGCAGGTGCGGCGTGCGGGCGGCCAGGGGCACCAGCACGGCACAGTAGGCGCGCTGGATGGCCGGGTGGCATGAGAGCGCGAGCGTGGTGCAGGATATAAAATGGTGCAACAGAAAGCGATGCGGCGCGGGCAGGCCGCCGAACGGGGCGGGCGGTGCCTGCGGAACAGGCGGCGGGCCGGCGGAGCTGTACACGAAAGCCGGCGGGCTCCCTATCGCTCGGTCAGGTCAGTAGGATGTAGAGATGCAGAGATGCAGAGATGCAGAGATGCAGAGGGCGACAGACCCAGCGGCAGCCGCACCAGGGCTGGGTCGCGGCGCAGGCAGTCGCCAAAGCGCGAGCGGCCGAACGGGCGGCCGCCCCACGACAGGCGCAGCGCGTAGTCACAGGCGCGGCCGGCGCGCACACACCGCGAACACGCCGGCCGCTGCTCGTCGCACTTGCGATGGCTCTGCCGGCACTGCGCGCACCCGCCCCGCGATCGCTGCGGCGGAGGAGCGGCAGGCATGGCAGATCCGGACCGCGATGCACTGAGCGGGCGGGGGGCGGTTGACTCAGGTACGGAGTATTAGCCACTTAACCCCGGAGTAGTTAACTTATCGGACGACACAGGAGCACGTGATGATCATGTGACTGAGCGTCTATAATATTGTGTCTAGGTCTGCTCCTAATGAACAAGACAAGGATACTTATAGATGAACATGCTATAACCAAGACTATGGGAAAAATATATGAAAAACCCCTAGCAAACCTCTGCCAGTCTGATAGTTAAAGATAATAAAATTGATATCATGATTGAGAAGAGAAGATGATCAACATGCTTCTGTATCTTTGGCAGTGATGTAGACAGCAAATCTCTTTCTATTAAATAATCAATATTCATGAGCCTCAATTACTTAATGAATTTTTTAAATTTCTATCTAGACAAGATCTTTGTTAAGTCATCTGCAGACATATTATCACTTTCAATTCAGTTAATATTCAATTTCTTATTAGTAACTGCTTGCCATAATCAGTGGTGATGAATTGTCATGCCCACTGTAGACTAGATCTGCTCTAAGAGCTAGTATCTTATTAGTTAGCATAGCTCTAATCTCACTAGTACTTAAAGCCACACTGATCTTCTCTCACAGAAGATCAGCAATGAGTTCTTCTCTTACTGCACATATAGCAATACTACTTTAATACTATAAGTGCAACTTAGTTATCTTTCTTACACTGTAGACTTGATACATTGTTCTTTAGCATCTATTTTATAGACTGTCATCTTACAGTTCTCATCACTAAAAACATGAAACAGTTCATTAAGCTACTTTGTTAGAAAACTTCTTTCTATTCTATCTTCCCAATATCAATGCATTTTATGCAACAACAAACACAATTCCACACTGTTAGATACAATTAGATACTATGACTGAAATCAGAAGTGAAAATAGAAAGAGACAAACAGATGTGAATTCTGACAACAATTCACAGATTGAAGTCTCTATCACTGTCTCTCAGAGAGAACAGATGAGTCAGACTATAGTATCAGAAACTATAGCTGAAACTTCTTTAATAAATAATCAAGAAGTGTCAGTAGTGCAAGTTGAACACTTAATTGACACTTTTAGTAAGTCAATGAATATTGACATCTCAGAGAAAGCAACTTTAAGAAAACAGACATCAGAAGCTGTCATTTTAAATCAGAAGAAGAATATTACAGTTCAGAATCTTCTTCATGATGCAGATCAAATCATCATGAAGCTTAAGATAAAGCTCAATCTCATCAAGAAAAAACAAGAGATTCAAAGATTGAAAAATCTCATTAAGAATAATAAAATCTTCAACAATTCTTCACTGAAGAAAAGAGTTGAATGAAATCAAGAAACAATATTCTCTACATCTTTCTTCAATCTGACACTCAGAATGCAACTGATTTCTTCAGAATTAATCACAGAGAACATCAAAGACACAATAAATGCACAAGTGACAGTGCTGAAAGCACAATGAAAGAACTCTTTCTGCAATGAAAGTGCAAAAGACATAGATTCTGTGCATGCTTCAATCTGAAAAGTGAAAAAAAGATTCATTGCCTGAACTCTCAAGAATTTAGAAGAGTTTATCACTGCCTCTGAAGTCTTTCATCTCTATCAATAGAAATACTTCAAGAACAATGATAAACACAAGATGTTGAAAGCCATTCAACACTTTGAACCAAAGCCATTGATCAAATGATCACATAACTTTAAGAACTCTGAGAAAAGAACCTCATGGAAAGACTTAAAAGCATAATTGAAACATCAAATTGTGGACCCAGAATGTACTCTTAGAAATGCAGAATGTGAATATCTGACACTGATGCAGAAGGAAAATCAAAAAGTGCATGACTTTGTCATGCAATTAGAGACTCTAGAATGCAGACTGAAACACAAATATAATGAACATCAGAGAAAGTCACATCTCTATTCAAAGATGCTCAGTGAAGTATGTGCTGAATATGATAAGTATGCAGATAACTTTGATGCACTTAACTATGACACACTGATACAAAGACTTGCCACTGCAGAGAGAAACATTTCAGAAAAGTACAAGAAATCAAAGCCCAAAACATTTTCTTCATTCTTCTTCCATCAGAAAGATAGTAAGAAAACCTACTACAAAGAGAAGAAAAAGAGCAAGTCATGAAACAATAAAATAGATCAAAACTCAGAGTATGATAATTTCTTGACAGACAAAAGCAGTGGAAAGTGCAAGTTTGATAACAAATCAGTACCATATTGTACTTTCCACAAGCAAAAAGAGCACACAACTGAAGATTGCTTGATTCTGAAGAAACAGAAATTGACAGACATCATGTCAAAAAATGAATAAAAGAGTTCATTAACATTGTGATGATTCTAGATTTATGTAAGAAGTGGTAAAGCCTCATGTCTTTTCTAATTACAGTACAGATTCAATCAGCAACAGAGAAAGAAACAGTTCTGATCTTAGTAGACTCAGAAGCAGAAGCAAACTTCATTGATCAATACTGAGCCAAATCAAAAGAACTGATTAATGACAGAAAATTCTTCAAGCTAGCCAAAGCAATTGATGAACACAAGATACACATCTATGGAACTCATCATCTCACTGTCAGTGCAACTGACAGTAATGAGATTATGCAGTCAGTGAGTCAAGAGTTTGAAAGTGTTGATCTAACTGATTACAATATGATCTTAGACTACTCTTGACTCAAAGAAATCAATTCACTGATTAACTGACAGAAGAACAACTGAACATACTGACAAAACATCTCTGAAGATCTTCAAGAATCAGAGATTATCTCAGCTGAAGAAGCTATGACAGAAGTTATCATAGAGACTCAAACTTATATAATCTTGATTAATGAACTTCCTATCACAGACAATGATTGAGATATCAGCACACTCTACAGCACAAATATTGCAGACACTGCATTGAAATCTCTCAACTATGTTATGTCACTTGCACAAAGTTTCTTCAGAGATAATGCTGGCATTGTAATTAATGGTGCAAATGTTGCAGATTTCATGTTGACATTGTCTGACTACATTACACCATATGCACACATCTTCTCTGAAGAAAATGCTGCCAATCTGTCCAGATCACCAAATACTGAACATGTCATAGATCTGAAGGAAGAAAAGAAATCACCATTCATGCCAATCTATAATCTGTCAGAAACAGAGCTTGCAGTATTCTGAAAATACATAACTGATGCACTGAAGAAGAAATGAATTCAACTCTCAAAGAGTTCAGCTGAGACATCTATACTCTTTGCATTAAAGAAGAATGAAGATCTCAGACTCTGTGTAGACTATAGAGATCTTAATTGCATTACACTAAAGAATAGATATCCATTATCATTAGTTAGTGAAATGTTAGACAGATTGTCTGATGCTAAGATCTACACAAAACTTAATCTCAGAGATGCTTACCATTGTATCTCAATATGTAAAACTGATAGATGAAAGACTGCATTTCACATCTGTTATGATCATTATAAATATAGAGTAATGTCTTTTGGTCTTATCAATGCATCTGTCACTTTTCAAGCTTACATAAATGAAGCTCTTATGGATTTACTAGATGTGTGCTGTGTAGTCTATCTGGATGACATTCTTATATATTCAAATAGTATGGAAGAACATAAGACACACACATGTATGATATTAGAGCACTTGAAGCATGCAGTACTGTTTGTCAAACAATTTAAATGTAAGTTTGTGATGGAAAAAGTCTTCTTCTTGGGATTTGTCATAGAACTCAAGAGTATTTTAATGGAAATGAATAGAGTGTTGAACATTCTAGACTGATCAACTTTCAAAAGCATTAAGAAAGTTCAATTCTTTCTTGAATTTATGAATTTCTATTGCCACTTTATTCATGTCTATTCATGCAAAGCAAATGCACTCTTTGAGCTCACCAAAGGGGATACAAAGAAGAAACAGTGCAACTTTAACTGAACAAAAGACATTCAACACACATTTGAAGAACTAAAAAGAAGCTTTATCTCAGCATCTTGTCTAGTACACTTTGACAACTGATGATGCATTCAGTTAGAACTAGATGTGTCTGATTATGCAGTAGCAGCTATTCTTACACAACTTCAAGAAGATGAACTATGGCATTCAGTTGTCTTCTGAAGTAGAAAACTAATTGACATGGAAACTCACTATGATATTCATGATAAAGAACTTTTAGCTATAGTAGCTGCATTTAAACACTGAAGACACTATCTGAAGAAAAGTCAGAAATCAGTACATGTCTTGTCTGATCATGTCAATCTACAGTTCTTTATGACAATCAAGAGCTTAAACAGACATCAGACAAGATAGGC